CCCCCCCCCCCCCCCCCCCCCCAACGAACTTGGAGCTGTTCCTGGGCGTACATGTTAGTTTCCTAAATACGGCGTCACTTGTCTGTGCCTTTGTAATTGAGCCACTGAAGTAGATTCCCGAGCTTGGGCATTGGCCCATGTTCCAAGGTAACAAGTTTGGTACTGTTACGTGGGGAATGAATCTGAAATCTGAAGCTGTCAGTCAATTTCGTCTCCCACTCGCGTCATTCCCTCTTCCCTCTCTCTTATAAACCTTTGGCCCTCCTGGACAACCAAATCTTCTTCTCCTTCCTCTCTTTCATCCTAAATCCCCAATTTCACCTACTCTCAACCATCATCGCCTCGTTTTTAATCATAACCACAACCTGACTACCAGCGTCGTTGCCATGGCCACCCTTCACTGTCAGTATTCCCAAACGACCACTGCCTGGTTTGTTTACAGCACCCCAGCACCCCAGCACCCCGCTTTGTCTCGTTGGACATTCAGTCTCTTTACCCCCCTTCGCCGAAACCTCATGCAATGCGACCTTTGGCTGACTTGACCTCATAGATCTCCCTCCTGTCAAGCCTTCTGCGATTGCCCTGGGCATCGTCTTCAACCAAGTCAGCTCTGCAGCTGTATTGGCCCCTCTCTTTGGTGACACCTATCACCGCGCCAAGGCCGCCGACAGCAAGGAGGAGTTCTTCAAGTCCAAGGAGACTGCCACCGCTGCCGCCAGCTGGGGTAGCAGCATCGTGGGATCTGCCATCCAAACCTATGGTGTCGCCGCCCTAATCAACTCGACCGGTACTCTTAGCTACAAGGGAGCTGCTTACCTCGGCAGTCTGATCTTTTTCGCCTCCTACTCTCCATCTGTATGTCCACCACATATTTACTACATCTCTGTCCCACTTGACTGACTTGAACTTTTTTTTAGCTGGTCTCTGCTCTCGTTGTTGAGAACCGTCCCATTGACACTGTCGCCGTTGGCGTTCTGTCCCGCATCTTCGAGACCGTGGGTCTGAGCGTCTTCCTCACCTACTGGGGAACCCGAACCAACCCCTTTGACTAAACGGCTGGCTCTCTCTAGGCGTCCCTAGCCAAGAAACGATTTGACACAATTGCAAAGGTTGCAGATCATGGGCGGAGAGGAATGTCATTCGACGTTGATGCTCGAGGGCGATGGAAATGGTCCCGAGTCAACAATTCGGGCGTCATTGGAGCTCGCTTCTACTTCTCGTGAAATCTCAACACTGTATCCATAAATCACATACTGAATTCAAATCATAATTGTACAACCCAATTCTGAGCCGCCGTCACCTATACGAATGAGTTGCTGTCTTTCAAGTAGTATTCACACCAATCTTGGCTATCATCCAGCCGACAAAAACCTGCCCAAGGTAGAGTCCTGTTCAGCAGTCTATCATCGAAATTGTCACCCGAAACACAGATTGTGCGTAGGTTGAAGGCCCCCCAAAATCTGTATATTCCAATTGACATATTGTACAAAGCATCCTGGCTAAGTGACAGCCACTTTGGTTAGAGGCGTCTGCACCAGAGCTTGACCTGGCATTCTTCTGAGCTTACTCATCGCTGGCTGCCTCTAAATCAACTGCCTTCTCCAATCCACCAAGAAGATCAAGCCCTACGTCCTTGTTAATTTCTGTTTCGCCTTCTAGTCCACTCTGTCCTTCTCCGGTTGATACGCCACCATCTTTTACATCCTCAACCGCTTCTCTGGCCCCAACATTCAAGGCAGTATCGGTATCATTGTCGGCGATTGATTGTGTCAAAGTTGCAGTTGGGGCTGTGTCATGTGAAGGCTGGAATGGATCTCTCGCCAGAGCATCAGTTGTCCCCGACGCGTCAACAGGCTCCGCGGAAGGTTGCACAGACTCGACAACGCCACTTGTGGATATAGTGGGTGTATGTTCACTGGTGTTATCCAAAGATTGGTCGAGAGGTGTGACATCAGGACCTGACGTCTCCTCGTGCCGCGTCCCACCCTCCAAGTCCGGCTTGACTTCAGATCCTTCTCCAACCACAACAGGCAGTACGGTTGGAAGATCTGGCTGGCTTGACTCCGTCGCTATCTCGGAGATAGGCTGAGGCGCAATTGCTTCAGCAACGGGATCGGTAGCTGCTAAAGAAGGAGTTAGATCCATTGTCGGAGCCGCAGATGATGCTATGCCCGTGGCGTCCACCGGCAACACTGCAGGAAGAGAGACATCTTCGGCTGCTTGGTTTGGCATGACAGGCGTCGACAATTGTTCCGCATTGGTCTCATTTAAGGTCGATATAGGACTGCCGGGAATCGGGGCTGAGATTGTGGCTGCGGGACCCGGTTGTGGCTCGTGCGCTTGTATTGATGTAGATTCGGAGAGGGACGGCGGTTGTGGCGATGTGGCCACCTTGTTAGTAAGGCTCGTACCGACTTCGAGGGGCGGGTTGCCATCTGTCGTAATCGTAGGCCCTTGAGCGGAAGTCTGTGGTAGACCATCCAGCTCCGGCGCTGACTCTGGTATCATCACCATGTGGGTGGACATTGGATTGTCTGTGAGGGGTATCTCCGAGGCTGTCACTTGCGTGGGAGCCACGGAGGCTGTATCTTGTGGCAAGTCCAAGTCGACGAGCTTGTCGACTGAAGAGCCGGCTTCCGTGGTTGGAACTTCTTGCACACTCGTCATTAGTCCGGTGCCATCAGCATGGGCATCTGCCATCGACTCGACCTCGGAATGACCAACGGCGGTGGGGTTGTTTTCGAGAGTGGGTTTTCCTCCTTCGTCAATCTCTCCTTCCTCGCTACCTTCACCCTCGCTATCGCTCCCAGACCCATCCCCATCACCTCCATCCCCCGCAGCGCTGTAGCCTGGTTGAGAAGAATCGTCCACAGCCTCTGCAGCTGGATCACCCTTGATGACTTCGGCATTGGCAGTCTGTGTGGCAGCAGGATTGCTCTCCCCCGGAATAACAGGTACTGCCTTGCGTCGCCCAGGACCGCCGAGCTTCTTCTTCTTCTTCCTTCTCGGGGGCATGTTCTTTCGCACAGGCGCTGGTTCAGGCGGAGCATTGCCACCCAGAACCCCGGCGGCATTTCCGAGTCCACTACCATCGCCCAAATCAAATCCAGCCGCACCAGATCCTGCCCCCGGATTCAAACCCAACGATCCAAAGCCGTGGGTGGCTTTATATGCACCACCGTAGAGAGACTCCATGCCAGACCTCCGGTCAGCAAGATATTTTGGCTCAGATGTTTTTTCAGCGATAGCTGTGGGGACCTGGACCCATTTCTTGGTTTCAAAGATACGCTCTTGCAATCCAGCATTCAGTTTTCGGCGTTTCTCTGGCGCTGCGCCATCGACATCGAATAGGTCTTCGTTGTTGTTTTCCTCCTCGTTTTCCTCTTCGTGGTCTGAAGCAGGGGTATCTGGGTTGTTGGACAGATTCTTAGTCTTAAGGTTCGCGTTTCTCGCGTCAACCTCAGTCCCAGAAATCCACGTCTCTGTTTTCCGATCCCAAACTGGAGGTTTAACATTGGAGTGACCTAGGCGGGCTCGTCGCAGCAGTTCCTAGTCAGATGTTAGATCACATTTCTTTCCCACAGTGTTCTGGCAGCATAATGCAGGGCGCGGCCATGAAAGGGCTATGAGAGGTCGCACCTGAGAGTGTGGTGGCAATTGACTGAAAAAGTGAGGCAGCGGTTGCTCGGGCCATGGGAAGTCACTGTCCGTATGCTCCTGATTCTGGTTGCTCGAATCTGAAGGATCTGCTGTGAGATCCTGGTTGACCTTGACCGTGACTTGCTCCCACTTCCTGACGGGCAGGCCATCTGTTGGATCCCAATCAATCACGCCAGCTCGATTCCGAAGCGGCTGATTATGCTCCTGATTCCGAGTATGGCGCGATGATCGTAGCTATGAAAATTATCAGCTTCCCGGTGTTACAACTTGATAAGCAAGGAAGGTCCGCTAAAGGTTGCATATCTTCAGGCCACGTCCCGAGTGGGGGTAAGTGTCAGGATTAATCTTTTTCAGCCAAGCTATCCACTGCAGTACATCTGGAGACAAATCGCGCTGCACATGAGACGCAGTGTGACATAGGAATGCGACCCAACCTATAGATCCTGAGATCTGGAGTCTTTTGTCCCTTGGTACATAGAGCGTCTTGGCTTTCACGACTGCTCCATGGCCGCGACTCGCGACCCGCGACCCGTAGATGGAATGTCATGTATCATTAAACAAAATCCAAATCCTGCTTCGGTGTGGGATTTGGCATTTCAAGGCCGTGACCATAGTATTCGGAAAAGGGGAGACATGAAGAGAGCATCTTACCGGTGCCATGATGTGATTGATGCTTGATTCGGTGTGTCGACAATCCCCGCTGACTCAATACAACGCGCCCGGGCTCATACTGAATTTGGTAATATAAAGATGGAACAAGAGCGCTGGGCATGAATGACAATGATGATGTTTCAGCGTCGGGAAAACATATGGACAATGGGTGAGAAGAGGCTGGTCGACGCGACAGGAGATTTCAATCAATCGATGAGCTAAAGAAGAAGGTTTGCCGGGAGCATATTGCGCTAACCCTAGATAGCTAGGGTGGTCGGCTTCGGATCATCGTAGTGCCGATGATGGCCTCGCAGGACGAGGAGGAAAAAAATTGAGAGAGAAGTCAACGACATCGACGTACGCAAGATCAAAACACAACATGATGCACGATGATGGACAGTAAAATCAATGCTTGACGTTTTTCACGGCGAAGGAGAACCATGGGTTCACGAGGAGCATCCAAATCGGATATCACCAGGAATGTGGGGAAGAGTAGTATATTTGTCTAGTATCACACAGCCAATGTCTCGCCATGGGGAATAGTAGCGCCCATTCCAACATGACTAGTAATCGTACAAAACGAGTGGTGGCAGGAACAAGTCTTCAGTCCCATCTAGAACAGTACATGTCAGTGGAGAGCTTGATCCATGCAGAGGAAGGGAGCTTACCCAGTGTCTTTCTGCCGGACAATGTCGCCTGTGCCACCAGTCTCTTTGCCCTGTTAGACATGTTAGTGGGAATGTATGAGGGGCCATATGCAACAGTTCATAGTGATGTTGCCTCATGGAGGAGGGTCATACCGTCTTCCCGCCTTCTACAACTAAGCGATCAAGCTGGAAGAACTGTGATATCACCGTTTGTCTCTGGAGAAGCGGAAGCGAGTCAGCTCCGCAACATATCAGTGCAAGAATCCATCCGGGTGTGGTTGTGACAACCACCTGCGATGCGAAGGATGGCACCCGAATCATCGGCTTACCTTCATGACTTGCAACTCCTTCAATCCCTTCTGAACCAATTCTTGTATCTGCCGCGAATCCGCAACTCGCTGGTTCTCATGAAATGCATCTCTCGTTCTCCTGCGCGCATACATTCTGAAGTTGTAATTGGCGAATTGGTTTCCCTGCCGCAGTAGAGATCGATACAAGGACCGTACGCTATACGCGGAAGTATCGGCGGCCGCGCTGGTCAAGGCAGCAGAAGCCATGGCGTTGGTCAGTCAGGTGACTGAGAACCGGAAAGCGGAGACAAGATGGATAAAGGAGAATCCGCGGGGAAGGGTACAATGGAGGTACTCGGTATGTGTATCAAGGTATGGAGGTGGTATAACGAGTAAATGGTGGCGTGATGCAGGTGAGATGAGGTTGGCCCAGAGCAGAAGGGCGCAGGCTGAAGAGGCAACAACAATGGGCGCAGGTAGTAGTGTGGAGGTTGGGACTTTGTTGTGATGATGCAACTGCGAGTCCAAGTCTCGACTCTTCTAAACGGGGGCCCTAGAGTGGTATCGACAACAAGAAGTCTCCAGCAAGCTGGGATGATGCTGGTGGCAGATTAATGAATCAAAGTCAAAGCGGATGGTCAAGTGTCGGGTTTCTTTTCGGGCGAAGAACTTCGGAGATAGAAATTCACCAACGTCACCGACCCCAATTCCGTCATTCCTCCTCTATTTCCATCACATGAAGCAGTTAACTAACGCGCTCTATACACTACGGGGCAATACCTCTGTTCCGCTGCTGCATGCATTTGCAATCATAGATGCTCGAGTCTCTACATTCATAGCGACTAAACCAAGCCATGTCTATATCTCCGTCTCCATTTCCATCTCTCGATTCGACCATCCCTGAACCAAGCCTTGAACCACTCGAGCCCTCATCATCCCTACCGAGCCAGACTTCCACAATATCTGCTCAACTCGACGACTTGCTTGTACGCTACCTCACCTTGCTCGATACATACACGGCTCTCCGCAGTCACCTCTCAAAGGAGTTCTCATCTGGCTTTATCTCCCTTGCACAGGCAAACCGCACCTCGAACCTTGGCCCAGGCAGACGCTATGGGGAAGAGGGCTACGATGAGCGCATGAAGAGCTTATGGAATGTTGTGTTAGAGCCGAAACATCATGAACACCCATGCCTCACAGCTTCAGTTGGTACGGAGAATGATTCTGGAACATCAAGGCAGAAGAGATGTGCCTCGCCCGCATCGACAAGTATCCCTCAGAAATTTGAAGTGCAACCTGATCACCAGGGATTGTCCGACCGATCAACCACCAAGGACCATGACCATCCCAAGTCTGGACTTCACACAGCTTATGACTCACCATTGATGCCATTCTCGCCCCTGAAACCTCAAAGTCTGACTTCAGTAAAGCCCAAACAATCCATGTCTCAGAGTACCATTCACGACGCAACATGGGTATCTGAGCACGTGCTGGAAGGTCCGATTGACGACGACGAAATAGACTACAGCTGCATCATCCGTCCTGCAGCGGCGACAGACAGCGATGCCACTACAAACAAAGTCACAGATCCTCTCAAGTGGTATGGTATTCTGATTCCTCCCGCATTGCGTCAAACCCAGTCCCACTTCACCACAACCGTGACGACCGTTATTCCGAGACTGCTCGATGTCACTCGCGCTCTTCATACTCTGGAAACGCAAATTCGGCGCTTGCGCGAGGAAATCCGGACTGCAGGAGATTTTCCTGAAAGTGGGACAACCGCCGGAGACGGTGGTCAGGAGGAGTGTCCTGAGATCAGAGACGGCCTCGGGGAACAGAAGACTCTGGCGCAAGACATGTCGTCCTTGTCATTGAACGGGTGGGCCGCCAACAGCGGCAACCGGCTCGTGACGACAGAACCAAGGTCGCGGTTGCTAAGGCTCGAGTAAGCGATGTGCTCGCGTCGATCTCGGGATCAAACAAGATACCCATCAATTATTCCAAGAAGTGGCGCCATGCAGACCATGTCACACATCGCTCATTCCCCTGCACATGTCAGACAATCATGACAGCGATTACAGCGTTCCAGAAAGACCCCACCAACCCATGGGCCAACTTTGCCGTGTGTGGAGAGCAATGTTACAAGGTAAACATGTCTTGTTCCTCAATCATGTCCAAAGAAAAGTTCTTCTTGCCTCCCACCATTGAAAAGAACGTGCATTTCTCTTTGCAATTCAGTCTTTCATCTGTACGTCATCCTGCGCCAAGGTTGGTCCTTGGGCTATGCTCGAAATTCCCTCCAGTTCATCCCCGCTAGACTGTGCCTGGTGTTCCCCAGATTAATCGTGCCACTCTACCTCGGCTTGTTGTGACTTCACATCATCTTTTCGTATGGGCGAACTGACAATATGCCGCGCCGCTGGACTTCGAACTATCTCTTTCAAATCTCCATCCCAGTAGCTTGGTCGCCGCTTCTTTCTCGATCCATCCCGCCCACGGCCTTTTCTCCATGATGTCACGTTTGAATTCAACGGCTTCACCATTCCACCGCGCCCCGGGTCACCATACAGGCTCATCCTTACTGCGGCTTGTGTCTCTTCGTCCACTTCCATGACTTCCTCTCCTTCTTCCAACATCAGATCGTGATTGGCATCTTCTTCATCCTCGTTGATCACTGATTCTCGAACCATATCGATGGGACTCGTTTCTGCTCCACGACCTCGCTTCCTGACCTGGGAAAATTCTGAAGGATCCACTATCGAATTTGGGGGACTGCTTCTGAATCTTACATCCTCAGAAAATCGCGGACCACTGGACGCCACTTGGCATGTTTGTGCAGTATAAGCCGACCTACCATAATATTTTCCCACGCCCCGTGAATTGGCAAGAGCAATGATGCCGTGCTTCTTGTATCTACTCGGCGGCTTTGCCAGCGGGGTCAACGTATCAGTTCTATAGGCATCCCGGATTCTTGACGCTGGGGCTGGGTCACGGCCTACCCTTTTGGCGGCTGCGGTCGAAAACGAGTACATGGCTTGGCCAGGTGGTTTTGATTCGTTTCGATTTTCGCGAGCATAGTACCAACCTGGTTGGAAGTGTTCATTTGCGGTTGAGGTGTAAAATCGTTTCGAACTTCCGGGTCGATTGTGGTATTGTCGAGACCCTGGAAGCGGAGGGCTCGAATACCACGAGTCATGAGACTGACGTCTTAGCCCGTCGGGTGATGTTGTTGACTTGACTTTGAACGCCGGCGTAGGGCTGCCGTTGGCCGTCACCCGTGGTTGCGATACACCAAGGCTTGGGTAGCGAGGATTGTTGTTTGGATCAATAACCATCGCCGCAGGACCTCCTCTACCATCAAAACGGGCACATTTTGCTGGTGTGAAGGAGCTGGCAAAGTGAAGGCCCGGCTCCGGACATAACACCAGCTGACTGTGCAAATGAACGGATGGGTCTGGACACCCTGCACTGTCTAAAGTCGTTGTGTCCTGCCTTTCATATGACATTGACGCAGGACTGCGCTTACCAACCGATGGGTCGGCAAATAGACCACTTAGAATGCCTCTTTTCGCCTTTGCTGAAGTCGCAGCGGCTTTGGCAGGGGCAGACAGGGTAATTGAGTCGTCCGAGCCATTGACCACCAACGACGATTGCCCATGTATACCACCCGATTTCCGTTGCTGGTGCATGATGATTGGAGAGTTGTCGCCACTATCCACGTCCAGTTCTCGCTCGTTTGTGACACGAAGAGTTGTCATGGGTTTGGTTAGGTCCTCTGGAAAATAGGAATTTTGAAATCGGTGGCCATCCAGGTTGCTCTGGTCGAAGGCTGCATCTAAGCTAATGGCGGAGCTTTCAGGACTGGCATTAGTATCAAGGGTGGCTCTGCTACGACTCTGTTCCGAGTCATAGCTTTTATTTAGCATCATTCGTCGACATGTTGGAGAGGTGAAACCACTGCTGAGTGGTTCGCTTGCGAGACCTTCTGCTTGGTCTAGATCGCTATCAGGCAAGTCTGGAAGCTGGGGAGATACTTGAGGAAATGGCTCTCTGACGTCAAGCTCAACTTCAGCCAAAAATTTGGGTGCAGTGGAATACCTCCAGCTTTTGGAGTTGGTGTCAGGGATTGGCGGGCTGCCATCCGGGGAAGACGCAGGCTTGGTAGAACTTGTAGGAATTCTAGAGTCAATGGAGCCAGCAGGTGATGCGGCAAATCGAATATCCATTCTCAATGAGGCTTTGGCGGACTGGAACAACTTTTGCATCTGTGCCACATGGCCAGGGGTTGTGAGCGACTTCTCTGCCGGCGAACATCCTACTAGGAGGTCATGATTGTTCGGTGGAGTGTTCTTCCCAAACATGGCCTTTTCGTCAGCAGTGGGGCTTGGACTAGGGGTGATTGGAGAGCAATTATGCTGTAAAACTCTGGCGAAGAACAGAGAAGAGCGTCTTCGAGGAGGCTCTATTGGAGCTGAAGAGAGTTACGAGTCAGCATCTGCGCATTGTGGAGGGCCGTGAGTCGGACCAACATACGCTTTGGGGTTCCAGGAACATATCGGATTCGCGATGATGATTTGCAGGACGAGTCGGTGGAAGACGTTGTTTCAGAGAAACATTCCATGCTGTGAATCTGTTTGAGTGGAAGAAATGCATAACAATTAAACCAAGGCAAATTGTCGAGGAAACGAGTGGACGTCGGCGAGCATCGCGCGTAGACTGAATGAAAGAAACACGGATGGGCGAAGATCAGGTTGGATGCCATGTTGAGGGGATTTGATCGGTGGAAGATCAAGAAAGAGGGAGGGAGGTGATGAAGAGGAAGGAAGGTGCAGAGGCAAACCGTGCGTAAGGAGGCGCACTCCACGATCGAGGAACTTCAACAGGCAACAAACATGGACTTTGTGGCAAACGTCCACACCTACCGACATGTTGCATGCGCACTCGACTTTACCATAGCAGTATTGTATTTGGGCTGGATATGGTATCAGTGAAGCCAAATTAGCCATAGGCACCGAGGTGAGTATGGAGCAGAGGAACAGAAAGGGGAGACCATCTGGAACCAAAATGTCCCAAGAGGTTGTCAAACTGCGTGGGGATTCATGTTGTTGTCAAGAGGACAATTTGCCTCTGATGGCCGTAATGTCGTCAAAACATGAGGCTCTAAACGTTACTCTGCCTTGGGAGCCAAATACTGCTTAATACCGTTCGAAGCAAGTTAGGCGAGGTGCGTTTGTGCTTGAGCGGCCGAGTGGTCGAGCAGGGCAGATCTTGCAGAAGCGCAGCATGATGCAGGGGCATCACTGGGCTCACAATGCAAGCAAGCGCGACAGGACAGCCGCAGGGTCAGGAAACACAAGTTTCATTTCACAGGGAAGAGCCATTGTTGTTACCTGAGGAGGGACCTGGGTACCTAGGTAGGTACATATTGTTTTTGTCGTCGATGTTGGCTTCTCTGACCGCCACAATCTGCAATCTGATACACCCACCAAAAGATAGTCTTATCCACAAGGTACGACTGGTTTTTGTCATATCTGTCATGTTCTGGTCAGTGTGCAGTGTCGTCTTGAACTTGAGTTTTGACGCGTCCACAGGAACTCGTGGTTGGAGCTTAATTTAATTACTCCAACGCGATGTGCAACTTGGAAGTCTCCAGTCTGACTCGGCGGAGTAAAGATTATCGCAAGCGCAAGGAGGCCCGAGCATATCTGGGGTAAGACGTCTGTGCGAGAATAGGTTGCCACCGAATCATGATACGTCATATCAACATCTCAACATCTTCACGGTTGCGAACCACGGCTGATGTGATGACGACCTGTGATCCATTCAGGGTGTTTGGTGTTGTCACAACACATGGGTCACGACTGATAACTGTCTGAGGCATGAAGGAACATGGATCGAACCAAGAACAAAAAAGATTATTGCAGGAGCAAGGGAAAGGAACCAGTAATTCGAGTGCCAGGCTTTTGTGTTTCAGAAACAAGTAAAGTCCAGGCTATGCCTTTCCTGTAGGAGATTATTCGTTCTAACGCCAGCCACTGAGGTCCACCACATGCCCCCAGAGCCTCTCCTAGTTTCCCACTGCCAGACCAGCGTGTCCAGGGCATAGATAGTGTGAAATTCGCGACTGCAGGCCAATGAGATCCTTTTGTAGGTCATGCAGGAACTAAGTTAGCAGCAATTGGGGACCTCGGGCTTCTGGCTTCGCCTCTGCAAGGCACGCGAGGTGTGGAAGCGAGTCCTCGCAGGCAGGGAGACCCCCGGCATTCACGCGGCCAGAGAAAATGTTATTGGCCTGGACTCCTGACCACCTAAGAGTCGAGACTCGACACGGACAACAAGTCGCATCACAATTTGAGGCACCAGACATGGGAATCCATGTTGGTTCCGGTAGAAGAAGAAGAAGCAGTTGTTGAGCCTTGAGGACTATTCAGAAGTAGCTCTGGTGCTACTGTTCTGTCCTGACTACCTGGCTGCCTGACTCTCGCACAACGCGGTACCAAACCCTGTTACTCAGGCGACTCAGTGGCCTGCGATGAAGCAACAATTGCCTGTGAGTTCCCCGTCACTTTTGGTGTGTTACACCAGCGATCCATACATCTGACACAAACTCTTACTCTGACTTCCCACACCTCGTTTCCCTTCCTCTCTCTCTATCTCAGTCCCCCAGTCACGCTTTTCTCTTCCTTTCCCACTTCTCACCATTCATAGCTTGACCTCTCGGGTTTTGCTCATCTTGCCGCCTCTTTGGTCGTGCTTCCATTCCTTCTCATTTCCCCGTTGACCACTTACTCGGCCCCTCACCACCGCTCGAGATAGCAAGTTTCTCTCTCTCCTAAACACATTCACATTGACCAGAGTCATTCATTCCAACATCTTCCTGAACCAGCCAGTCCGGTTCTTTCGTGACTTTACTGCCCTCCCACTCTTTGCGCAAACCAGTTTTGCCGCATTTGCCCCTCAATTACTTCGACTTGCCATCTTTGGCCCTCTCTCCCCCGGTTTTCACTCAAGACAGCTTTGAGAGCAGTCAGGTGCGACCACGACATAGCCCAAGTTCTCTGAAAGACTGGATCTTTCTCACTCGCACAGCGAGGTATGTTCATGACCGCCCTGCAATAGTCATCTTGGAAACTACACGCCTCTTGAATCTCAAGACAGCACTTGGCCGACTCCTCATCCAAAGTCCTGTAAACTAACCATGTTTTTCAGGCTACAGTATTGCACAACCTTGTTGCCGAATTTGGCCCATTACGGACTTTCACTATAGCGATCAGCAACATGACTACATCTCACTGATCGAACGCACATTTGCCGGCTTCTGATTGCCTCCATCGGTCTCGCCGCAGGCACCACTCGTTCACCTGGGACCTGTTTTTTCCTCTACCATCTCTCAACTGAGGCCACTTGCGCCATGGATCGCCCTTCCAATCGGCGGGAAGATTCTCAGAAAAATAATACCGATAATCGCTTCCACTATCCCCAGTACAAACCCAGCAAAATGACTCCACAGCCACAACCCTCGCCATACAGTCAAGCGTCACAGTACTCCCAGTTTCCCCCACATCCGTCCGTTCGTCCTCCACCAGGAGTAAAACTTACTGCCCGTCAAGTTCCCGCTGGTGTAGGTGTGGCACCAACCCCAACCAGAGGCGACACACGAGAACGCTCTCCGCCTCAGAGATCCAATGGTGACGGGATCCTCGTCCAGGACTTCCGCTTTCCCGTCGCTCGACCACCAGTTCCTTATACAGGCTCCTCCACAATTCGACAATCTCCGGGGCACCAATCCCCAGGCAGAAATGCCAACACTCACGAATCATACATGTCCTCAGTAATCGGAGACTTTGTCACCCCAGGCACGACACCAGGCTCCAGATCTCGCGGGTGGCCTACACCCAGACGCTATTCAGGTTCTGTCTACGCCGAAAGCGAAGCCCTCGGGGCAGATGAGCGTTATCAGCACGACGTCAGCTTAGAGAAAAGCCCTCCCAGCTCTCCTGAGCCTTCGCCACAAGTTCTCCGTCAAGCTAGTGTCGGCAAGCGAGCTAGGCCCGCTGTCACTACTATCAAAACCCGAAGTAGTCACGCCGAACACGACCCATCTGGAGAGGCCATCCCCCCCGTAAGCAGAAATGCAGCAATGGCAGCCCTCAGCGCAGCCATAGCTGCAGGTGTGGGCAAAGCACCCATAGATATCCGAAGTGAAACCCCAGGCTCGAGAAGTTACACTCCTGTGAGGATGCCCTTCGACTCCTCTCCGCCGGGATCTCCCAACGCCGACCGAGAATTTCTACGAACTCCCATCACTCCAACGACTGTGGCTTCTACAATGGTGCTGGCGCCAAAGCCAGGCTCCTCGCACTCGGGCAAATCCACCAATGCTCTCTTAGGCTTGGGCATCGAACAGCCGTCCATGAGCAACAAAATACCCCCAAACCGCCGACCGCCCAAGCTCGACATCGATGCTGTCAGAGAAGCTGAGAATCGTGGCAGCACAACCAGCTTGTCAGATCTCATAAAGAGAGCCACGAGGCTCGCTGCCAATCTTGACAAAGGTCGGACCGCCAGCCGTCTGGGCATGTTGGACATGTTTGGCAGTCAGGAGAAGCTGAACGGCAATAATCGTCAGTCGACCATGTCAGATATGATTTCGGCGTTTCCTGCTCCCGCAGCTGGGAACACTCCTACCAATCGTGGTGATACCCAATGGCCGCTGGGCGAGAAAGGAGAGGCTTGCGCCTCCACGACCGATATGTCCAAGCCCACAAATCAACGTCGAAAATGTTGTGGCCTTTCACTCCCTGTTTTCATCGTCATTCTCATCGTTGTCGTGGTTTTGATTGCGGCTGCTGTGCTGGTACCAATCTTCCTGATTCTGGTTCCACGACAACAGCGTCAGGCCGATGCTCTTTCACAATGTGCTGCATCTTTCCCATGCAGAAACGGTGGCATGAGTATTGTGAGCAATGATTCTTGCATGTGTGTTTGTTCTGGAGGCTTCATCGGAAGCCAATGTACAACAACTGGCAATGCCGCAGATTGTACCACGCTCACCCTCAACCAAGATAATGTCGAATACACAAACGCTACCGTTGGACGTTCTCTCGTACCCGTTCTATCACCTCAGAACCGTTTCGGTGTCCCATTGAACGTTTCGACGATCCTATCCCTAATCTCAAACAAAGACTTGACCTGCTCAAGCGTAAATTCACTTGTCAATTTCAATTCCACCGTCGTCAATCAAGACAGGAGAGCAAAAAGATTTATCATCTTGCCCGGCTGGGGCCCCCGCGTACAAGATGAACTCCCTGCATCCGAGGTCAGACCTGCGCCACCAAAGATCACTGACCGGGCGGCATATGCCGGGAACCTGCGTCTTGAGAGACGTCAAGATGGAGTCACGGTTGGCACCTCCAATGGCATTGTCTTCCAAGCCACTTCTTCGACTTTGGATGGAGATACAAGCTCACCCACCACGGCGGAATCTTCAACAGCCACAAGTCTCGACACAGCTGCCCCCACAGACACCCCGACATCAACGTCATCTAATGGGCCTGACGATACCGACACACCCTCTCCTGTGATCTCAAACAACATGACGGACGAGCAGATGGAGTTTGCCCAAGTTGTGGTCATGTATGTCTTTCAAGAATCTCGGGCTGTCAGCGTCGCCGTCAATGCTCAACAGGAAATCGAGACCTTTTTCGCATTGCGCAATGTGACCTCCTCTGATGAGACTGATCTGGATGTCACTCTCAAATATGATGACGTTCAGTTGACCGCAAAATTTGGCGAGTTCGATCTATTATTTGCCAATTCTACCAAAGTCAACTCCAGGAGATGATGTGTCTCCTCCGATCTTTTTCTCTTGCATCGGTTCGGCGTCAATGGAAAAGGGAAATTAACTTATTCATGAAGAAGTGTACGAGTACTTTATCTGTTGGTACTGCGATGCTAGATTGGATATCAGGCTGTATGTGGCCACCAGTTCCCAGAGATCTGATGCGCCCACGCGGACGGGGCCTACCTCTTTTTAGTCGCTTGTTCATATCCTCCATGCCTCGTCCACGAAGCAATAAATAAAGTTCCAGTGACGACAGAAGCAAATCTGTTGTATAAAGTCTTTCGAGACTCGTAGCCCTTTTCCCGTGAATTCTAAATCTTGTTGCCAGGGGGTCACTTGACCAATTGGCTGGAAATGATTGTAGAGGATTGTGTGGCTCATGCCAGGAAGATAGATTGGACTTCTATGGTCTGCATCATTCCTTCACAATTTGTCGTATTCATCGCGACAGCTAGTACAATACTCATTGTACCAGTCCTGCACTTCTGCAGTTTTCATTGTCCCGTTAGGGTCCCCTTCATTGCCCAAGACTAGTCCCTCGACCATGCGACATCTTCTATTCTCGTCACCGACCCACTGGAGCCATGCCGACTGCACTAGCTCCTTCTCGATGCTGTTCACAACACGCACCGCGACCGACAGGTCATGCCGGTACGTACCTAGCCGCTGGCGCGCTTCTTGTATTAGGGTAACTGGGGACTTTTCCGATCCGATCTGCATTAGGTCGGGATCATGTTCGTCGTGGAAGACACGGTAACAGAGACTAGAATCACGCACTGGCAGGTCGGCTCCCCGACTGAGAATGTCATCGAGGTCGTGGTAGTAAACTGCACGACTCATGACGAGGTTGGGAGACACTCCAAGTCGAGCCATGAAATTGCTTGCCTTCCGCTCATGCCACCATTCTTTGGTCTCTCGAAGTGAGTGCCAACTGTTGTAAGCCAAACTGAGAAGCAAAGCCATGACGATCAGCCTGTTTGCCGAGATCAATTTGCCAAACCATTTCAAAATATCCAACAATCCCTGCAGTAGTGTGCTCGCGGCACTTTCGGCAGCAGAGGCTGTGGTTTGTACAACCAGCCCAGTCATTGTCCTGGTGACCGGCTGTCTTCTTAGCTCGATGTTGATGGCAGTATTATCGATCATTAGCTGGGTCGCTTCGGTTGAATGCCCGACTTGACCAAATATCTGGATCGCCTTGCGCGTCCGACTGTGAGCGCCAAGTTTGCGCACTTGGTCGGCGACAAGGTCGGCTAGATCTTGAGAGTCGAGCTCAAGATCATACAGAGCTTGTCTTTCAACCACGGAACCGAACATCCATGGGGCTCGCAACCACTCAACTTTGACAAAAATAGCCAGTTTACATTTGCTCTTTGCGGTGTGGGTTATCACGACTTTGCTCACAAGTCTGTGACTGTTCTGGTATGGCAGATGCCATGGTGTTCTTTTGTCGGTGACAACATAGCACAGATGGTCGTTACTGACCTCCACGACTTGATAGTCGCACACTTCTGTGTATGATTCCACGCCAATGATGTTCTTGGTGGGGATCTCAAACGTAAACTCCCGGCGTAAGCGACTTTCTCCCATATTGGACCAAGCTCCTTGGGTCAAGTTGCTAGCTTGACGTTCATGTTGCAACAATTGCCACAATGCACTTTTGTCGCCGAACATGACATGGAAGAGTGCTTTGGCACTAATATCAAATTCCTTCTCCGCAGCTAGTCTCAGATTGCCAGGGGGAGTGTACTTCACCGGCTGTGCAGGTAACTTGAACTTGGAATCTCTTCGTCCTCCTGCAGGCTGATCCAAGGTACGATCGACCACGATCGGCCCTCTAACCTCGTAGCCCATTGTTGAAGCTCGACCGCGAGTCCTCTGCCCTCCGGCATCGACTGGGGTATTTGGCGATACATCTTCCCAGCTTTCAAGACTAGGGCTTCGATCTGGTGCTTCGTTCTCCATTTTAAGGAGTCTCTTGATAACATCTTCCAATGGCAACGGTTCGTCGGCAGAGCTGTTTCTAATCAAGAAATTGAGTCGGCGCTGGAGGAGCTTGAGAGGCTCTAGGAAAATTTTGATGGTTATCCGTCGCGAACTGACATCGCCAAGGCCGTCTCGCAGATGAAGGAAGACAAAATCACAATCTTTACCGGGGGCCGCTGTGGCCTCCTCGACCGAACTCAGTGGAACACTGGTAGTAAGGACAAGTCCAATATGGTTGCTGTAAAAATAGACATCTCGAGATGTAACATACACTCGACCAGGAAATTCCTGTTGATCACTAGGACTCCACGTTGCCCTGAAGACCATGACGAGACGATCGTCACGAGCCACGTTAGGGAATAACAGGCGAAACTGCGCATCTTGGGACTTGAGCTGCAGAGGGTAGTAGTTAGGGAATTCAGGAATCAGCAGATCAGTGTGAAGCTCCCTTGGCCCTTCACGGTCAACACTGATCGTGCTTCTATGCTGTCGCTTGCCAGGAGATGGAGTCCTGGATCGAGACCCTGGCGGAGGCAGCGACAAGTCGAGTTGAGAGATTGCATTCTGCTGGTTTACTGCAGATCGTGAAGGCGACTGAGATTTCTTTGACGGGGAAGACGCTCTCAGAGTTGGACTTGGTTGGGCACCAAGACTTGGGTCGGAAGCAAGCTTTGGTTCACCCCCGCGCTCTAATTTGTTGACGTGACCAGTACTTGACGTTCCCCACATGTTAGCGAGTAGTCCCGTTGGGATACCAGTTCTGTCGGGTGCTGGGCTTAGACCTCGTTCTCCCGTGATGACCACTGCGGCTCTGCTTAGGTTGGTGGGATTTGGCACAGAGGCCAGGGTGGATGGTGCAAGGCTGCTGGAGGGCATATCTCGGAGAGCCAGCGTGAACGCCCTCCTCGGCCGAGAAGCCTCAGGCTCTAGTGATTGGACGGCCGGTAGACTTGGTCCAACTGGCATTGAGCCGTGGCTGGCCGCGATGAGACTCGCAATCCCTCCAACAGGGACATTTGTTGTAGACGGGCTCGGAGAGATCTGAGAAGTGGCTGGACTCTTTCGATGAAGATCAAGTTTAGATATTATGCGAGATGCTGTGTCGCGATGTCCGCCTTCTTCCAGGGCAGTCGATCTTCTCGGGATGTCCATGCTGCCTTCTCGAAGATGCTCATTGCCCGGGATCGGTAACGTGTTTGTTTTCTCGAGAGCGGTAACATCGTCTGCCACAGGGCCAGGCTCAGTCGAGCTGAGCATTATGGTGCCAAATTCTGGGATTGGCGGCGCCGAGATAGCAAAGGCGGCGCCAGCTTGTATCCTCCCTCGACCGGGAACGCCGTTCGTGGCATCTGGATCGTCAAAAGCTTTTGATTTGGCAGCCTGGAAGGCGGTGATCCAATCGACCAGCTCCGATTGTGTTTCAGCCTGAAGAATGATGGTGTTTTTGTTCGTCTTGAGTTCGAAGCAGAAGCGACGTTCCTCAGTCGGGGCGGGCCGCACGCTGCAGAGAAGAACTCCGATCCGTTCACTTTCTTCGACACCACCTGTCCTAGTGCCCTGTAACAGCCAGCCAAAGACACCGTTCCGCACAAAAGCCCATCTCTTAACCCATATAGTTCTGGTGGGCTTTCCACCATACGTCCGCAAGAATAACCAGCCTTGTTTCTCTCCAGTCTGTGCAGTTGTCTTCTTAGGAGACCGCGACAACGTAGAGATACTTGAAGCTTGCGCGTGGCCACTGAATTGAGGCACGGTGGACATGCTGTAATCTTCCAGCTCCCGAGACGGACGACTGTTGAGTTCTGAAGTGTCTTCAAGTTGTCTCTTGGCAGACATGAGCTCTTTTCGAAAGACTCTTTCACTGGCTTCCATTTCATTCAACCAGCCTTTGATTCGTTGCATTTCATCGGAGTTTCGTTGAAAGGTGGATATGGTATTGTCTCTTGAGAGGCGCATTTCTCGCCACTGATCACAGAACAATCTGACCAATAGTTTGTCCAAGGCAAAGCGAAATTGAGGAGCCATGCTAATAAAGTCCATCATAGCCTTGAGGTAGACCTTGCGGGCTTCGTGTAATTGGAAGGCGTCTTCTCGGAGAGATGAGGCTTCTTTGGACTTCCCAAGACCGGCGTATTTTGCCTGTAGGGTTTCAAAGGTCTTTTGTGTGGTTTCCACTAGTCTTCGAGCCTCCTTGAAGGCCTTAACATCGTACTGTAGGAAGTTCCTGATTGGTTCTACAACCATGAGATTGAGCCTCTTGACCATGGTGATAAGACTCATCCAATAATCTTTGGCGCCTTCACCATACCTCTTCATGGCCAAAAAGCCATAGTCGTGGTCTAGGATCGACTCCGAGATACTCGATGGGAGGACTGAATTGGATATGAAGTTGTTGAGGACATTTTCGAGTGTCAGCGACTCGGTCACCAGTCGAGTGGTTGATTTCATGTATTCATCCAACCATTTCTCGAGCGAGTCGACCTGTTCGCCGTAGTGGATAACGGTCGCACGTGCGGATGGGGAGTCGATCGCGGCTTCTTTGAGGGCTACTGGTATCAGATTGATCAGCCTGCCGACATCGTCGGCCGGTTGCAGAACCTGTGCCATGGTCGACAATGCGGCGGTTCTATTGAACCAGGGAGAGGTCTAATCGAGTCTGAGCATGTCTGAGGGAACGACGCGGAGGGCAGTCGCTGAATGGGGTTGGAGGTATTATCCCTCAGGGACGGAGAAATAAGGAGATTATTTGATTCAGATCAATAACGTTGCAACGTCAAGTTGAAGCAAGTCTGGTGGATGCTGGAGGGTGGAATCTGGAGTCTGCGGAGTATTCAACATACGTCAAGGTTGAGTGTCAGCGCCAAACAAAACGCAGCCACGACAGGCAGGCTGGGAACTGCGCAAGCCAGCCTTGCGATCGCAGCCTTGTGCAGTCTCCCCGCGTGGAACTGTGCCAAGACATTGCATGCGGCATCCTTCATACTCTAATTATTATCCAAAACTGGTCTATTTTTTTCCCTTTGGGATGTGGATTTCCGCCTTTCAATGATCAAACTTCCACCGTCAACTTCCTCTTCATAGACCGTCCCGAATCGCTTGATTAGCCAAGATGGCTCGAGGGCTCTTGGACAGCGATGCGTCCGACAGCGAGGATGGAGGCACCAATGTTCAACCTTTGGACCTTAAAGTCAACGAATCCTTCGCTCGAAAATTTGAACATAACAAGAAACGGGAGGAATTGCAGAGATGTATGTTAAAAGACAGACCTGTTATCCCGTGGTCTTACTGACCACCTATAGTGGAGGAAAAGTTAGGACAGTCTGCCCGTAAGCGGAAACGAGACAGTAAAGACTCTAACGACGATGACACCTCCGATGATTCGACCAGCGAATCCGAAGACGAAGGCGAGCTAGCCACTGAAACTGTCGATCGAGAGATCATGGACACTCTGCAGGCCATCCGATCAAAGGACCCGCGATTATATGATGGCAACACCAAGTTCTACTCGGAAACTAACACACTTCCATCCTCCAAGCCCAAATCATCAAAACCAATGACCCTACAAGACTACCACCGTCAAAACCTCCTCAATGGCGACACTGATAATCAGGCCACTCCTGACAACCCTCCTCTTTCCTATGATCAAGAACAAGCCCTACTGAAACAGACAATCATTGGAGAGATCAAGGCAGTAGCAGGGGGTTCTAGTGACGATGAAGAAATGGGCCCAGACAATGGTGAATTCCTGGCTGCAAAGCCAACAAAGAAGCCTACAAAATTAGAACCCGAATTGGATGTTGAAAATGCGGACAAGGACCCCGAACTCTTCCTATCAAATTTCATGACCTCAAGAGCATGGGCAGCGCCGTCAGACCCTGCCCTTCACCCCTTCGAGTCGGATGACGACGATGACGATCGAAGAGCAGATGAGTATGAAGAGGCATACAACCTGCGATTTGAAGACCCAGCAAAGTCTAACGAGAAACTACGTTCGCATGCTCGAGACATGGCTGAGAAATACTCGGTTCGCCGGGAACAACTCAATCCCCGACAGAAGAAAAGAGAAGAAGAGAAACGGAGAAAAGAAGAGGAAAAGCAACAGCGAAAGGAAGACAAAGCACGTCTTCGCAGGTTGAAGATCGAAGAACTAGAAGACAAGGTGCGCCGCATCAAGAAGGCAGCCGGAATCAGAACGCAAGATCTCAAACCCGAAGACTGGTCTCGTTTTGTCGATGACGAGTGGAATGATGCCCAATGGGAAGAGGAAATGCAAAAACGGTTTGACGACAACTACTATGCAGCAGAAGAAGTCGACACCGATGAAGACGCCGAAGGTGCAGCTGGACACAAAAAACGCAAAGTGCGCAAGCCAAAGTTTGATGATGATATTGACATCAAAGACATTATCCCAGACTTTGATGACCAAGACAAGGCTGAGTTCAGCCTGTCTGAAGACGACAAGCTATCCAAGCGGAAGCGGGTCAAAAAAGAAAATGAAGAGAAAAGAAGAGATGCAAAGAAAGAGCGCAGACTGATTGAACAATTGGTAGACGATCAGCTACAACTAGAACTGGATGGTTCGTTACCAAGTTCTTCCAAGGCAGGGTTCCGATATCGTGAAACATCCCCCAAAACATTTGGGTTGACGTCGCGGGACATATTGCTGGCGGACGACAAGCAGCTGAACGAATTTGCCGGCCTCAAGAAGCTGGCGAGCTTTCGAGATCCAGAAAAGAAACGCAAAGACTTGAAACACCTCGGGAAGAAGGCCCGGCTTCGAAAATGGCGACTAGACACCTTTGGGAGCGAGGAAGGTTTGCAAGGTAGCCAACTAATTCCTGCCGAGGACAATGCAGCAGATGAGGGCGAGGACGGAGGCGTAGATATCAGGGTCAAAGGAAAGAAAAAGAGACGCAACCGATCCAAGAAGGTGAAGATTGACGTCGAATCCTGATTTTGTTGACGAAAGATTATGGACATGCAGGTAGAAATATACAAGTAATAATGACTCCATCTTGCAAGTACCACATGCGTGTTATGATCCATAGATATCTAGGATTTACTCGTACAGGACCATGGTCACGAGGGAAGATCAGTCAAAATATGCATGATTGCGCCTGCGATGGAGTATAAGTTATCCACATGGGAGCCGCATCAGAAAGCCAAGTGGAGATGGAATTTCTAGAACACCATCATCATTTCTGAGCACGTTCACCGAGAGATTGATGAAGGAGGCATGGGCCATGATGGACGCTACAAACCGGAGCAGAAGTCCCAGTCCCTGCCAGTCCCTGGTTCATCCACCAACTGTAGTTGAGACAATTATTACCTCTTGTTAGGTTGGGCTGGGCTTGCCATCGGAACTGCCCCATACAAATATTATTGCTCGCTTCTATTTCTCCCATGGCCCGAGAAGAGAACGCCGAGTTGAGGCCCGAGAGATCAGGCCAAGGAGGTACGAGGATTCAGTGGTCACAGATGGCATGATTTACCGTGTACATACGTAGATACCTACTATGTACTTATGTACTGAACATGAAACATGCACATGAAAATGGTACTTTGTGCACATGTAGCAAGTGGCTCGAAGGAGAACGATGCCAGTACTAACCTTTCCAACTTAATTTATTATTTTTAATTGTGTCTCAACCTACTAGGTGCCTACCTACCTTATCTAGGTAGGTACCGATACGCGCCAACTACTCCGTAGAAGGGGAAATGGGGGTAGATGCTTGGAGGAGGGTCTATGAGTGCAACGGTTGCTAGGGAGTTCAAGTTGGGGCTGTACTCCGTAGAGTCCCAGGAAGGACCAACTGTAGAAGAGAACGAGTCAGATCGTGGGTGGGTGGTCCCGCTCCGTTGCGCTCAAAATTTTTAAGACGATGGGGCTCACGAAAATGGTTCGGGCGGGAAAATTGCATGCGTGGGCGCCAGGCGGTAAATCTGAGAAATCTGAGAGCCTAGGCTAAGACGATGTGAGGATGTGAGAACTTCAATGGCAGGTCGGCCGATCGCTCGGGAGCACCAATTCTTGTCCTTGCCACACTTGCCTCTTGGGTTACAGGTTGGTGTAGGAGGCACGGAGGCACTTGGAGGCTAAACTTTTGGGGTGGACGTGTGCCCGTGTGGGTTGCCAGGCGTTCAAAGCCGACGAAACCAGGCCGACTCCTTCAAATCGAATCTATCCGCTAGTCTTTTTTTAGCCTAGCACGATTTGAGCTCCAATCCCTTTCTACAAAATTTCCCAGTCTGCTTCAACCTCAATCTTCTCTCTATCATTCCTGCATCACGCATCAACTTTCCCTCTCTCCACTCATCCATTCTCATATCCAGGATCAGTCGCAAAGATGTCTGGTGATATTCCTCAGGAACGCAAGTCCGTTATGGGCTTGGTAAGTGCACTCATCATCTTTTCGAACTCAATGCCAGCTGCTGTTCGCACGACCGGCACTGTCTCGAGCTTGGGGGATTTTTCTCATCTATAGAAACATTGCTAACTTGACTCTAGCCACCCTTTGCCATCGGTTAGACGAGATCAACTCCACGGATATCCAACATGTGCTAACAAGCTTCAGATTTCTTGATGGGTGGTGTCTCTGCCGCCGTCTCGGTAAGCTCCAAAAGAGATAATCCTGCTATCTGAGCCCGTCTGACAAGTTTCAGAAAACCGCCGCCGCTCCCATTGAGCGTGTCAAGCTCTTGATCCAGAATCAGGTATGCTTCACCTAACTTCTCCCATCGGTCCGCCGCCTCGCTGGGCATGCTCTGCAGAGGACGGAGTTCTGTTCATCACAAGACCTACAACCTATCATGGACAACATATACTCATACCCTGTTCTAGGATGAAATGTTGAAGACTGGACGTCTCGACCGCAAATACAATGGTATCGTCGAGTGCTTCAGCCGAACTGCCAAGAACGAGGGTGTCATGTCTCTGTGGAGAGGTAACACAGCCAACGTTATCCGATACTTCCCTACTCAGGCCTTGAACTTTGCTTTCCGTGATACCTACAAGTCGATGTTCGCCTTCAAGAAGGACCGTGATGGATATGCCAAGTGGATGGCTGGTAACCTGGCCTCCGGTGGTATGGCTGGTGCCACTTCCCTGCTTTTCGTCTACTCCCTCGATTACGCCCGGTAAGCTCTAGGATGGTGCTCATTTGCGTCAAACCCTCGTACTAACTGTTGACAGTACCCGTCTTGCCAACGATGCTAAGTCCGCCAAGAAGGGAGGTGAGCGTCAATTCAACGGTCTCGTCGACGTCTACCGCAAGACTTTGGCTTCTGATGGTATTGCTGGTCTCTACCGTGGTTTCGGTCCTTCGGTTCTTGGAATTGTCGTCTACCGTGGTCTCTACTTCGGCATGTACGACTCCATCAAGCCCGTTCTCCTGGTCGGTCCTCTTGAGGGTAACTTCTTGGCTTCCTTCTTGCTCGGCTGGGGTGTCACCACTGGTGCCGGTATCGCTTCCTATCCTCTTGATACCATCCGTCGTCGCATGATGATGACGTCTGGTGAGGTAAGTACTTTGTCCAGTTTGATGTGGTACCGTAACAAGAGTCTAATTCGCTCTGCAGGCTGTCAAGTACAAGAGCTCTCTCGATGCTGCCCGACAAATCTTTGCTGCCGAAGGTTTCCGATCTTTCTTCAAGGGTGCCGGTGCCAACATTCTCCGTGGTGTTGCCGGTGCCGGTGTCTTGTCCATCTACGATCGTGAGTACTTCCTCCAATGTCAAGGCGTTGAATCGACCACTAATAGACAAACAGAGGCTCAACTTCTCCTCTTCGGAAAGGCCTTCAAGGGTGGCTCTGGCTAAATGCCATCTCACCTCATCCTGCCGACCAACACGGAAACCTCTACGACATATCGTTCATAGCCGACAATTATGTCGTGACGGATCAAGATAATCAGTGTTTGGGATGGAGAGAATTGGTGTGTGGAGACGACGATGGAAGGAGCTCTCCACAACGGAGAGAAATCTCACGGGGAGTGGAGAGGAGAAGAAGCTTGCTGCAAATAGACAACCTCACGACAATGCAACGCGAGAGGCGACAGCAATCACTGGGCTGTGGGGAGTGTGTGGGGCGCCTTCGATATCCTGTTTTCCATGATGGGCTTGTTGGCGGGTTCTTCACGTTCATTTCCGCTCTCGTCTGCGTTGTAGCCTCGAATCTCAATTGTACTTTACCCTCTTTACCCCACGACTGGTCTCGCTCGGCCAGAATATGTTGATCAGTGATGAGTGACCAGTAGACAACTACGTAGATGATTCAAGGCCGTGTAGTCAAGCGAACAAGACATTGCGATTATCCTGGTATTGTGTCGATGCCTCCAGAAGGATGTTTGATTGAGGACCTGATTAGGGCTCCAACCTCTAATTCTTACTAGTTTCCATTGCACGGGGTCTAGGGAGCGACGTGCCAGTGTGCAGATCGACACGTTCCAACCGCCTGTGAGTGGGATACTGTCCATCATTATATTGTACATTCCTGCCGCAGACTCCATCAACTTGTGCACCCCACTTGCGCCAGAAATCACAGTATCCCATTCCTTCTTTATGACTTTCCATCGCCGTTGATGTTCCTCCAGATCTGTTCTTCGGTCCTGCTCAGCCTCTTGCCTGCAGCTTTGGCCCAGGCCATGGCCTGATTGAACATTGTGTCATCGTCATTATCCCTTTCCATTGTCGGAGCACCGTCAAGAATGCCTCCCCTACGCGACGAGGGACTTGCTCGTCGGTCAATAGGTTGGCAGAATTCAATGGGCTTGTCGTCGAAACTAGCACGGTGGTCTTGTTGATAGCCTGGGGGGTGTGAGAGGTCGGCCACCGGTGCTGTCACTGGGACGGGCGAGTACAAGGTGGAGGATGTAGGCCGGTTACGAGTTGGAGTAGGGCTGGGCAAGGAATGGCGAATGCCCGCGGTGGGAGAGGCCGAAGTAAAAGGAAGGGCATGAGGTTGGGGATAGGCCGGGATAGCGAGTTTAGGGGACCTCGGGGGTTGAGGAGTTGGGACGGCCCCAGGTTGAGGTGGTGCGGGATTAGAAGTTATGGACGACACCTCGGCGGGAGGATTAGATGTGTGTGTCACAGTGGGTGTGATATTCTGATTTTGGAAAGAGGAGACGACGTTGGTGGGTTGAGCGTACGCCGGAGCCCCAGGCTGAGGAGATGGTTCGAGGCCGGATGCCGCTGTGATCGTCGTGGTAGGTCCTGCAGCCGCTGCTGCTGGTACTCGGGGGGTATATCGAGCTGCTGCACTGCTTGGCGATCTACTCAGAGATGCCGTTGGGTGAGTTTGGTTCTGATTGATTGGGGAGGACGCGTGAATAGGGATCGGAGGCATGATTGTATCTGGGCTTCAGGAGACTGGGGATAGTGGAATCTGGGTACTTGAACGCGAAGAAACAAGTAATTCCTTTGACGGAAGTAATGGATGGTGTATAATGTCACAACAGAGCAATTAGGAAAAGGAATGAGGGGAGAATGCCCGTGCGGTCGAGCCACCAGGGATGTGTCTTTCAATTATGGAGGCACGGAGGCGATGCGCGTCATCGTCATTGTGAGATTCAAAATATGTGGGACATGGACTTGTTCTGTTGGGTTTGCCTTGGTAGGGACGAGGTTAGTCATATCTCAACAGGTCAAAATTCATTTGATGATGGACAAGCAGGTAGCATGAATGTGCTTTGTCCCACGCAAACGGCAAGAACTGAGATCCCTTTGTTTTGTTGCGGGTGATTGGCACTGAATAAGTAGATAGGAATTTGGGATCTCACGTGGATGTGGATGTGGATGTGGCTGTGATGGTCAATGTTGTAGCCAAGGAATCAATTACGATATTGGTTTGGGGGAATCACAGGGACCTTGAGTGGTTCTGAGGGAGACACGGGAGAGGGAAGAGCGGGGAGGGAAGAAAGAGAGAGAGAGACAAACACAGGGAGAGAAGACGCAATTGGGAATCATTTGATTAGAGAGGTTAAGTAGATTGACAGGCTAAGCAGGTGAGCCGAGTACTATGCAGTCTAGGGAACCGTGGTTACAAACTCAAGGCAGGTACAGAGTTTTGGACAGTGGCATGGAGGAGCTTGATTCAATAATGTCCAGCTGGGGGAGATCTTTTTCCCTCCTCAAACATGTTCATCATCAGTCTTTCGGTCTTTCAGTCTGTGCGCTTCATAATATCAACCTACTCCCACCACCGTCAGCAAAGACAACTTCTACTTCTCATTTGTGACCTTATTGCCAGTCGTGGCTCTACGTACCCTAAGAACCCACCTCTGTGGCCTTCGAAGCCTGCACGACACATCAAGCCGCGTGCGTGATCTACGCGCCCTGATTCGCCCACAACGCCTCAAGGGTATCCCAACTTGGCATATCACCTCTGCTTTAACCCGCATCCTCGCTTCAGTGTAATTGTCCATTATTGTCGCCTGTTGCAGGAATATCTCAAGTCCTTGGTATTCGAAATTTTCACAGCAATGGACATATGATATTTTGCCAAAGGCACTGTCTCATCACCCGCTGCACAGTCTGATCAGTGGCCATCTGACAGCCTACCATTGCTTTTTATAACAACAATCTTCACCAAATGTGCCAAAAGCTCAACTCAGGCCAATCTGATATTGGCCATTCTAGGTCTTGAACACTTCTTATTGGACATTCCCGCACGGCTGCAAGGTTTCGATATACGTCGACGAACCCTTGTCGGCATTTGTCCGGTTGACAGCCCATTTGTCCATAAGACATTCCTTCCTTTTGGTCTTTGAGCGGTCCTATCGATTACTGCCGCAATCATGTACGCTCTTCGTGTGTTACTGCCTTGGCTCTTGCTGATCCAATCAGGAAATTCGGAAAGCAGATTCAACGTCACCAATTGGACCTTCCCGAATATGCCGCCAGTTTTCTCAATTACAAGGCTCTAAAGAAGGTGAATTGCTTTCAACACCGTCCACCCCACTGCAAATGTACTCACCGCTGTTCCAGCTCATCAAGCAACTCAGTGCCACCCCGACAATCACCGCCCAAGGCGACACCTCTGCTTCAGATGCCCAAGCAGCCCTGCGTGCAAACAAAGAAGTGTTTTTCTTCCGGCTGGTTAACACTCCCAAAACGATTCACATTTGTCCTCTCTGTTAACCTTTCAAAATAGGAGCGAGAGATAGAAAAAGTCAATGTGTTTTACATCCAGAAAGAGGCCGAGGTGATTTCCCCCTCTCGTGATTCGAATCATCGCCTAACAAGTCTCAGTTTTCTTCAAGATTGAAAACTCTCCTCGATAAAAAGCGTGTCATTCAGGCTCGGGTGGCGGCAAGTTCGAGGTTATCTGCGTCGTTTGCAACCTTGGTCGAAGGCTTCCAACAATTTGACAACGACCTAAACAAATTACAGGTACGCGTCTATACTGACCGTCGCCACGCTGAGATTGACCCGCGTAGCACTTTGTCGAAGTCAATGAGACGGCGATTTCCAAGATACTGAAAAAGGCAAGTCGCTGACTCTCTCGGTTGATCGAATCGTTGCTAATCATAGTCAGTGGGATAAAACATCAAAGGTAATTTGTCATTCACCAGCCTCAATGGCGACTAATTAAGATGTTTCATTTCTAGTCGAGAACAAAAGAGATCTACCTTCAAAGAGCCGTTGAGATACAGCCATGTTTCAATCGCGATGTCCTTCGAGACCTCGCTGATCGGGCTACGACCGCCCGCCTAAATCTCGAGGCCCTCGCCGAGGGCGAAAACATCCAGTACGAATCGTCAGCAACACAGGATCGCACAATCGGTCAACGGGTCGGTACCGAAGAGAGTGACATCGATCTCCAGATTCTTCAAGCTTCCGCCGCGGGCAACACTGGTGCTCTGCGAGAATGGATTGCTCGTTTGAGCAGTGGAGCTGAAGCCGGTGAACGATTTACCAGGATCTTCCTGGCCACAATCAGCGAGGCTCCCGATGAATCACTCAAGTTGTTTATCGACTCTGGCCTTGTCGATATTCATGCAGAAGACGACATTAACGAACGCAACTGTCTCCACGAAGCCACCATCTACGGAAAAGACATAGTTCTTGAATATGGTTTGAGTCAAGGCGTTGATCTAACTCGCTTAGACGCTTATGGCCGCGTCCCTCTTCATTATGCATGCTTAAGAGGAAGGATTGGGATGGTACAACGCCTTGTCAGTGCCGGTCCAAGTACAATTGATTTGAAGGACCACGACAACTTTACACCACTCATTCATAGCATCGTTCGCCATCGCGTCGATTGTGTTCGCCTATTACTCTCTCACCACGCTCAAATCGATCCTCAATCGGACACTGACCACATTCCTCTGAATCTGGCATGTCAACATGAGTCGATCGAGGTGGCGAGCCTCTTACTAGAAAGAGGAGCGCGACTTCTTCCCGACGCCGAAGGTCTATTTCCTCAGCATCTCGTCGCACGCTCTAGTCAAGAAGCAGACCTGTTGATACTACTTGCCACTCATGGAGCAGACCTCAATCAGCGCGACAAACTGTATTCGTGGACACCACTGTTCCATGCCGCGAGCGAAGGTCGAGTGTCCTGTTTACGGGCATTACTAGATAGTGGTGCTGATCCCGAGGCGCTCGACGAAAAAGGGCTGACAGCCATGTATTATGCCACCTGGGAGGGCCATCTCGAATGTCTGGATCTGCTCTGGGAAAGGAGTCGACTTCACAGAGATCGCAGGTCCTCCAGATTGGGGGCCATCGTCCCCCCGCGAGGCATGATGAGTGCCATGGAGATCACACCCGAGGAGATACCTCTTGAAGGCGACGGCATTCCTGATCTTTCCTTACCGCCTCCTATTATTCCTCTCCGAAAATATGGGCACAACTTTCTCGACACCAAAACATTCATTGCCATCAACCTCGACGGCGGCAGTAAGGCGATTCAATTCTTCAACGAAGCAAGGTATCCCGCCGCACGACTGACCATTTCATCCAAGACATCAGACATGATCCCTCGAAATCTCATGCTGCCTATTGAAGAAGACTCACGGTCGGTGTATTTCCAGGTTGATGACCTCAGCACCTTCTCCGTTGACTTTGAAATCTTCCCAACATTTGGCTCCAAAGTCATTGCCAAATCTGTTGCGCTGCCTGACGTCTTTCGCGCTTTGCAAAGCAGTGCAGGAGCGTGCACGTTGCCTCTCTTTGATCCTCGGCTGCGCTCTGTGGGCCAGATTCGATTGAGCTTTCAGGTGATTAAGCCTTACCAAGGCACTCCCTTGGAAATCACGCAGTTTGCAACCTATTGGAAAGCCACGAGCACGTTGGATGACCACAGCGGCCTAGTCACGGGATCCAGCCTCTCAGGAGATTACTTGAGGCTCGTCGTCCAACTGACACGTGATGGAGTTCCGATTGTATATCCGTCTTATTCGATCTTGCATCACCAATTGGAAGTCCCCGTGTACGAACTCAAGCACAAAGTTCTGGTTGATCTGGGGTTGGTACAAACACTAACTCCAGCTGCAGCCACCGCTGTTCCCCTCAGCGTGCTTCAATGGCGTGAGAAATTGAGGAATTCCATCTTCCCACTGGAAGACGTCCTTGCCAACTTACCACCACATATCAATCTCAACCTGCATGTGCTGTACCCGACCAGTTTCGCTGCCTCCGGGAAGGGGTTTCAATCTGGCATCGATATCAACACATTCGCTGATGCGATTCTGACCCAAGTGTTTGACCACGCGCGAGCGCTACGCAGTCGAGCTCCGGATCTCTCACGATCGGTCGTGTTCAGCTCTCTCAATCCCAACATTTGTACGGCATTGAACTGGAAACAGCCCAACTTCCCCGTGCTGTTATGCAACGACCTTGGAGGCTACAACGGGCCTGCCGGGGGGGACGCGCTGGTCAAGTCCGACAGTAGGAAGCCGACGTCCATCAAGGAATCGGCACAATTGTCGCAGATGAACAACTTTATGGGCCTGACATGCTCGGCTCGAATCCTACAAATGGTACCAGCACTGATCGAGACCATCAAACAGGCTGGTCTAGTGTTGGTGTCGGATGCTTCCGACAAGGAGGCGTCCACGGATCGCATTGAAACGGGGTGGACCATGCTTCCCGAGGGGGTTAATGGGGTGATGAAAGGAAATGGAATATTGAGGTTTAATGAGACAATCGACATGTGAGATGTCACGAGAGTACGACAACACGACAACCAGCAGATGGGTGGCTATTTTTTATTGAAGAGATTGGAAAAGCACAATGTTTGGATAGGATGTCTCCCAAATGAGATTTGGCATTTGAAGCACCGTGCATCAAATGCAGCAGCCGCAAGATACGGTAGAAAGTTAAGAAGCAGACATTGGTCAATTTGGCTCGAAATACCACGCAATGCGTGGAGCTTATTTCTAGAGTTGTAACGCTCTTTCGTAGCATTTCCTTGTCGGGGATACACGCACGACAGCACATGTGATCAAGTTCTAGCCGAAGGTGCAGCGAGCGGGTAGGATGGACAGGGGGGTATTCAGAGCTCGGTAGCAGCTTAGAGGAGAAGGAGTTTGGATGGCCTTTTGACTGATATTGGGCACATTGGGTCCAACTACGAATGTCCGATAACTGCGCGGGGCTTGTACGGCTCTTCGAGAAACTTGATTTCGTCGTCAGTGAGGACTTTGCCCCTGACCTCGCAAGCCTCGTCCAGCCTCTTCAAGTTACTAAAGCCAACAATGGGCACGGTTCCCTTGGCAATGATCCAGCTCAAAGCCACCTGGCTCATCTTCCAACCCTTTTTCTCGGCCAATTGCTGGACACGGCCAATGATCTCATCGTCGGCGTCACTCAGTGCATGTATTGGGGAGCCCTTGGAAGACTCCTCGCGGGCGGTGGCAGTAGATCCTAGGGGTCTTGCGAGCAGGCCGCGATAGAGCGGGGCCCAAGGAATTAGACCAACGCCGGTCTGCAGGCAGTAGGGGTTCATCTCCCGTTCTTCTTCACGGTAACATAAAGAGTAGTGGTTTTGCATGCTGACAAATTTGGTCCAGCCATTCTTCTCCGCAGCATGTTGCATCGAGGCGAATTGATATGTCCACATGCTAGAGGCACCTGAATAGGTGAGCGAATGTCAGACGAAGACGAAGACAGGGAAGGACAAGAGGGGCGCAAAAGTCAGGGACTATACAAGGCGAACGGGCACTCACCAATGTACCTAACCTTTCCGCTCTGGACTAAGTCATGCAGGGCCTTCATGGTCTCCTCGACAGAGACAGTGGCGTCGAAGCGATGAATCTGCAAGAGATCCAAGTAGTCGGTGCCCAGTCTCTCGAGACTAGCATTGACAGCATTGAATATGGCGGCACGCGAGAGTCCACCCTGGTTGACATAGTCCTTGGAGCGGCGCAACTCGTCCGGAAAATTCATGTGGCGAACGCCAGGTTCTTCGCCAACAATACCGTAGCACTTGGATAGGAGGATGAGCTTATGACGTGGGATTTTGTGTTTCTTGATGGTGGCTGCGATGAATGACTCAGAGATGCCGTTGCTGTAGACATTAGCCGTGTCCCAGGTGTTCAATCCACGGTCATAGGCGCCCTTGAGAAGAGTATCGACTTCAGAAGGATCGGAAATGAGCCAGGGTTGCCAGTCAGTGTGGCCTAGTCGAGAAAGGAAACGGAGTCAGTCGGTAAACCCTTGGCAGGAGGGGAAACACCAATATGCCAGTTGTTGGCCTTGAAGATGAGGCGATGACTTACCGAATGACATGGCTCCTAGGATGGGGACCGAGACTCGCAGGCCGGATTTGCCCAACTGGGCGTATGATACTTTGGTCTCGTCCAGGCTCTTCTGGAGAGATTGGGGAACGGGGAGGCGAGCGTCTACCATTGTCAGGTATGGGAACTTGCTGAAAGCAAGGGTGGAAGCAAGGAGATTCGAGTTTCAATTGTACAAGGAAGAGGTCTCCGGTCAAAGATACAGGATGGCCGAGGAAGATTTAAAGAGATTGAAAACAAGTAGAGGAACTCGAGAAGTAGATGGTTCAGGAGTGTCAGGAGTATGTATATTTATATTCTAGCACAGGACCAAGATGCTGCCTCTGAGCGAGCTGCAAGGTGCAAGGGCGGGTAGAGTGCAGGGTTGAAGCTGATATATAGAGAAAACAGGGACAAAGTGAGGATGGATGTTTCTTCAAGCTCTCGTCTGCCTCGTCATTCCAAAGCAAATGTGGCAAGTGCGGATGAGGAAGATTCCATCTCGTTTAGCATTTGGCAGTTGCAACCCACTCAAAAGTCAAAGAATAAAGTTGTAGCAGGAAGGAACAGAGACCCGAGGGAAGGTGCGGGTCAATCGATGATCGGAGGTAAGAACGACTGTGGGGGTCCGAGACTTCTCTTTTTGTGTCGCGTCATCTGTTGGTCTTCACCGTCGGTCAATTGCTGTACATCCTGCGCTACACTGCGCCTCTTTGGTACTTGACTCCTCTCTTCGAGTACGCTTCGACCATAGATGAGAAATCAGATCGGCGTTGACGGAGATAGACATCAATAAAGTCCATGATCGACCTCAACCCTTCCCGTCCTCCTTAACGCCTCACAACTACACGCCTTCATTTTGATACACTCGTGACACTCAAACAACATGTTAACATCTCCATGTCTACCTGTCAAACCAAACATACCCTGAAGAGCGTGCAGTCCTAGTTCGACTCCCTACTCCAACAATGCCGACAGTCATTCCTCTTCTGTCTCCCTAGACAAACACCCCCTCAAGCCTTGAGCCTCCTCTCCTCACACGCACCACACACCGGTTTCTCCTCCATCTTCCTCATGATCCCCTTTCTTCTCTCCTTGTCAGTCGGCTCCACCGCGATCTCTCGAATGAAGAAACGCCCTTCCTGTCCAAATCCATCTCCACATTCGAAACACCCAAAACACTGCTCGTGATATTTCCCCCCTAGAGCCTCTACCGTGATCTCGTCCAGGATCTGCTTCTTACATTCTTTGCATCGCGCCGACGTTCGTTTTGTATGACAACCCACACAGTACGCATAGCCGTCTCGTTCAACAAACGGCGTGTCAGAGTCAAAAGGATCCCCACATTCGCCGCAGAAGAAGTGTCCCACGTGCCATTCCGACCCTGCTGCCACAATCACCTCCCCTTCGATTGGTGTCTTGCATGATCGACATCGCGGAGAGAAGAATTCATGGAAGTCTAAATGGCAGTAGAATCGAAGCTCATGCTCCGCCTCGTCCAAGCCTTCATCTTGAATTCTCTGCTGTCTTCGGTGCTCTGGCTCGGGGTAGAATGATACACACTCCAGAGGCGTTGAGCAGTGATGGCACGCGAAACACTCGGGGTGGAATCGAGCTTTGGGAGCCCCACTGACCGAACCAGCCGCCGTGACGATGCGACCAGAAATTGGCAATCCACAGCTTGAGCACGAGACGGTAGGGAGAGAAGCACGCTTCAGCCAGGGAACTCGTGCTGATGTTGTTTGCTGAACTCTCGACCTTGTAGGCTTTGTCGTCGAGGCATGTGTCGCAGGTCGATCATTGTGCGCAACTGATCTCTCCTTCTCTATCTCGATGCTCGGCACTTGAGGTAAAGACCGACTTCCATCTCCATCAACATGGATCGATGGCACTGCCGCCGGCTCCTCGGGCAAGTCAATTCTAGGAACTCTTGGTGCCGAAATGACACAGCTCGGGGTCGGTCTGGCATCAGACCCATGGTCCGCCACGTGGATCGTCGGTACCTCTGGAGCGGACACTGTGACTGATGGTACTGGCAAGATGGGTCTGGTCGTGGGTCTTTCCTGGGTCGCCTCCATTCCCGTCACACTGGGTTCAGTCGATCTTCTGACTGGTTGCTCCATGTCCAGGCTAGTCCGAGGCGAATCCATCTGCGGCTTCCACGACTTGTCAAAGCTCACAATGGGTCTTCCTAGATTGTCACTGACTGCTGTTGGAGTTGGTAGGTTCGGACTTCTGTCTTTCCTCTTCATACTTGTTGCTGCTCGGATATCCTCACTTCTGATTTCCAAGCATGGCGAAGACTTTGGCGTTTCCACCTCTTGGATCGCCTCAATAGCCGTGGTTGGAGGTGGTGGCTCGTTTGCCACATACTCGGCATTGTTTGACTGGATCCGAGGGTTCTTGTGTAGTTCGAACAAGTCGTACTTCTTGGAATGAGGCAAATTTGGCACGGCTGACGTCTTTTCTGTCCTCTTTCTCAGCCATGGAAGGGTGTTGGTCGATTTGATCCTCAGCGGAAGACTAGCGTTGGGTGTTTTGACTGTTTGCTCGGTCGTCGGTAGGACAGCGGGGGAGGTGGATGGCTCTTCGTCAATTTGACCGTCCCCATGAGGAAAAGACGCCTTTCTTGATGCACTCGCCTGTCTGTGACCACTACTCCGTCGTCGATCTTTAAGCTTTAGATCTGGATTGGAGTATGGCGCCATCTTCTCTTGTTCGGCCGCTGCCGCATTTCGATGCTTCCACACCAGGTCTGCGGCTTCTTGCTGTGCCGCCGTGTACACTCTTCGTTCCTCATCTTTCTGATCAATCAAGTCTAATGCCTCTCGCAGATGGTGTGCCTCTTCCTTTTCGAGTTGTCGAGCGGCAGATTCAATATAAACTCCATCTTGGGTGGCCTGTGGCACTTGGATTGTGGCTGTAGGCGAGACTTTCCTGCCTCGAAGGACTGGTCGGTCTTGACCTGGAGGCTGGGCCAGCGGTCGACCCTTGGTTATCGATGTAGCTGACGAGCTAGACTTGTGAAGAACTGGCTCGTCATTGTGACAGTGGGTATTGGTATCAGAGGTGAGGACAGGCGCCGAATCTGACCTGGCCAAGTTGGATGATTCGGAAATGAATGCGTAGTTTCTTGATGTGAATGGAGCCGGTCTTGAACCCGTTGGACGTACGGGACGATCGTTGCGGAGACTTTCTAGATAACAAGCTGAAAACGCATGTGAGTATTTTGATGTGAATGGGGGATCTCGTGGAGGCATGCTGTTGAGGGGCAGCGGCAGAGAGAAAGAGAATGAGCAGTCAGAACATCTGCCGACAATCACAATGATAGAATTTGGGGTAGATGCATCAACTCACACTTTTGCTCGGCAGTGAAGGCTGTTGGCTGCGGAGGCGATACCTTTCTGCCTCCCAAGCTAGTTCTTCTGTGGAACATTATCAAGTTTGGTCTCGATTTCAATACGACTGCTTTTGTTCTGGGATTTGGGTTTGCGTCCGGAGCAGATGCAGACGCGGATGCGGACGGGTGGAACCTTGTGCGTCTGGGAGGATGTATGATGAGGTGGTACCTCAGTAGGACTCAAGGTAGTAAACGTAGCAATCAAATGTCACACGAGAGGGATGGGATATCAGGTTGAATATCTCAAAGACGAGATCATGAGCAGTAGATCTTGAGCACGGGCAACTTCCAAGATAGCGCGCAAGGGGTTACGATAGACAAAGTACGGAGTACGGAGTAATAACAAGCGTCCACATTCACAGAACACTAGGATATTCACCATCATTAGGGGCCTGTTGCTAGACAGTCCTGAGTAACTTTTTTTGTTGACCAGATGTGGTTGCCAGGCAACGGCTGGGGCTGCGGCATGTTGTCACTGGGAAGGTGCAGCTATCGTAGCGTAGCACGTGTAATTTCCTTTTGGTCAAATGCTCCGCAGTAGACCGAGTAGTGCGGAGCATTCAGGCATAATATTTCATCAAGAACCAAATTGAACGACAATGCAAACCCATCATTTATTATCAACTATGGTCAGTAAGACGAGTATGATCTTCACTAATTTATCTTGACAAATCCCCAGTCACAACTTTCTGACAACCTAGAGCACGCATACCTATCAGCGACTGGGAAATGGGGTAAAGTTTGGACACTGGTAGGCACTTCGTCAATGTCATGAATCCGGCTAACTCGGCCCAGAGGTTCGCTATGCTTGTCATTCTGCCGGGAGAAGTCCGAGACCCATTACTACGGAGTAGGAGTACGCCCAGTCCGGGCGAGGCGCTCTGGCTTCAGGAATCGAGGTTGGGGGCAGGACTTGAATCAGGGCTCCTCAACCGGTTCCACCATAACGCTTATTATTTGCAGATCACACCATCAGGCAGTCGAGAACGAAAGACCAACCAGCACGGCAGGTCCTCAGCTTTTTGGTACTCGTGTACGATGCCTCATCGACCTCTTCCAAATTTCCTGATACTCTTCTTCTCACCAATCCTCTCCTCATTCTTCTTGGTCATATAAGGAAAGATGGCAAGAGACGACCCTGAAGACGCGAATACTGTTTCCTGGCTACCTTCTCCATCACGGACAAGTCCGGCTTCAAGAGGGCGGACCTTGGCGCATACATCTGCGGCTTGCTGTCCTATGCCTACCTAGTAGTCTTCCAGAGGCAATGCCCCATGCGTATATTCAGAGTCAAGGGAGATGCTCAGAGCCATTCGGTACACCTCCGCACTTTTGTTCACTCCACCAGCCACACGCGCTACCCAAGGCTTTTTACGGAGTAGGGTTGCCAGAATCCCCACAGAAAGACGAGAACCCTTCGAGATGAGATCTAAGAGTCGTTACCCGAGACAGCTTCCTCCACACCGTCTCCAAAAAGTTCAACTTTTCGGCCATGCCTAAGGTGGTCCGAGGCCCGGCTCTCGCAAATCACCATTGCGACTTCGTACAACATCCACATCTCACCTCGTCAAAAATCGCCCATCTTTTTTGTACGGGAATTATGAGTCCTCCAGCTTCCTTTCTCTCTCTTGAATATTACCTTGACCTCGCCTCTTCTGTGGCTTCTTGTCTCAAAAGTTGAGACAACAATGAGTGATGGCTGACTCTGTCCCCATCAGTCCTGTGGCGTCCCGTACGCATGGGCCTCGCAACCAGGCTGCCTCAGACTCTGCCGTCGACAACGATCTCGAGCAGATCCAGTCCACGAATTCCTCGCTCAAACTCGACGACAATCCTCCCAATGGTGGCTTTGGTTGGGTCTGCGTCGCTTGCTCGGCTTTCATCAACGGTTAGTCTAGTCCCACGTCGCCTGTGACCTTCCCTGCCTCAACTGACTTGATATGCGGAAAGCCCACACCTGGGGTATCAACTCTTCCTATGGCGTATTTCTCCAGTACTATCTCAGCTACAATACCTTCCCCAACACTTCTCCTCTAGTGTACGCATTCATAGGAGGTCTGTCCATATCACAGGCCATGTTTCTCGCGCCACTCGCCACTCACGTCATTCACCTTTACGGCACAAAGGTCTGTTTGCACATTGGCATCTTCCTGCAGACCTTGTCCCTCATCGGAGCTAGTTTTGCGACTCAACAGTACCAGCTCATTCTCTCTCAAGGCATTTGTTTTGGCTGGGGGATGGGCTTCCTCTTTGTCGGCTCCGTTGGCATCACGGCTCAGTGGTTTACCACCAAACGCAGTTTAGCGAATTCCATTTCTGCTGCTGGATCTGGGGCAGGCGGCCTCATCTACTCGCTTGTGACCCAAGCTGCCATCAACAACTTGGGCCTAGCCTGGGCATTCCGTATTTTGGGGATTTGTTCGTTCGCGGTCAACATCACAGCGTCAAATCTGATTCGAGACCGGAATGCGCAGACCGGCGCACGCCACAAGGCGTTTGACTGGAAACTCCTTCGTCGACCGGAATTCCTGCTCGTGCAGGGTTGGTCATGGTTTAGCATGTTAGGTTATTGCATTCTCCTGTTTTCACTCCCATCGTACGGGAGAGCGATTGGCCTCAGTGCCAACCAAGGGAGCGTTCTTGGAGCTGTGCTCAATGCCGGACAGATGCTGGGCCGGCCCTTTATAGGACTCATGTCGGATCGGTGGGGACGCATCAACCTCGCCACCTTCCTGTCCATCATCTGTGGCATCTTTTGTTTTGCGTTCTGGATCCCTGCCGAACTTCTACCGTCTCCGATGGGTCTGCTGTGCTTCTTTTCGATTTTCGGAGGCGCCGTGGCCGGGACATTCTGGGCGACGATTGCGCCAGTTGGGGCGGAAGTGGTGGGGCTACGTGATCTCCCCTCGGCGCTGAGTTGGACTTGGTTGCTGATGGTCCCGCCAACGACCACAGCCGAAGCGATTGCCTTGGAAATGCGGCGGACCGACGCAACGAGTTGGATCTATCTTCCGCCTCAACTCTTTACCTCTTTTATGTACCTGGCGGGAGGTTTATGCTTGTGGGTGGTTCGAGGCTGGAAAATAGGCGAGAAGGAAATGACTGAAAGGAAGTTGCGAGAAAGAAATGCACGGCACGAGGGTATGATGCCGGCAACCGATGCGGAAAAATCTAGAGTCGGGCATGAGTCGGGCAATGATGAGCTGACACCCGACTCAGTCTTGAGGCGGGAGATCTGGGCGCCGAGGAATATTCTGAGAAACATGGTCAAGATGCAAGTCGTGTAAATGGAGGGATGAGAGCTGGACCAATCATATACATTGGTTCACTTCTACATGTATTTGTGCATTGTGCATAGCGATCGGGAGAGGAGGTCATATCTATCCTGGACCATTGTCATTATTGAACAAAGAAAAGATTTATGAGCTTGATCTTCTATTTGATGCCAAAGAAGCGAGTGGCTCTCAACGCGGGCCAAGTGCGTCTGTAACAACTAGCCTTCGACGACGGCAGCCATAGCAGCGGGATATCTGGCTCCCACGGTCGGGTTTCGTCGCAAGAGGTCGTCGATCTCGGCAAACTCATCTTCGGTCAACTCGACCAGCTTGCTGTTCTCAATCACTCTTTCGGAGGTGGTAGCGCCGGGAATGGGGACGATGGTGCCGAGTTTGACGACATTGCCATGCCTGTTGGTGAAGGACCTCCCACTCAGACCAGCGACCCAGGAAATGGCAATCTGGGCCCTGGTGACGCCTTTCCTGTCGGCCAACTTGGCGACCTCGTCGGTGATGCGGTTATTGTACTCGAGCGCGTCATCCTGGAATTTCGGCAGATGTTTACGGAAGTCGGTGTCAGGGATCTCGGCGTTCTTGCGGATGGGGTTGCCGGTCAAGGCGCCTCTGGCAAGGGGACTGTAGGCGACCACGGGGATGCCCAAGCGGCCACAGGTTTCGGCGACGCCATTTTCGAGGATGTCGGTGGCCCATAGAGACAACTCGACCTCAACGGCGGCGATTGGGTGGATCTTGTGGGCGCGCTCGACGGTGCTGGCCTTGACTTCAGACAGGCCGATGCCACCGATTTTACCCTCGCGCACCAGCTCGGCCAGGGTTCCCATGGTCTCCTCAAATGGGACAGTCGGGTCGACGCGGGCGCACTCAAACAGATCAATGGTCTTTTTGCCGTCGAGTATGCGCAGGCAGTCTTCAACGCTCCTGCGTACATTCTTGGCGGAACCGTCAGGCTTCAAGCTACCTAGCTCGGTGCCTCCTTTGATGCTGAGGACAACCTTGTCGGCGTGCTCTGGGTGCTGGGTAAAGTATTCATTGAGCAGATGGCACGAGTGACGGTCGGGAGTACCGTAAAGTTCGCCGCCATTCCAGAAGTTGAGGCCCTGCGACATGGCCGTGTCCATGGCTTGGAAGCTGGCAGCTGCTGGCTGTGGTGGGAATCGCCAGGTAAGCCCCATCAGACCAAAGCCAATGGGAGCAATATCCTTGCCCAGGAGTTTGACAGGTTGGGTCGACATGGGTGAGTGGTGTTTGGGGGGGGGGGGGGGGGGGGGGGGGCTCTTGGGTTTGGTGGTGGTGATGGGTGCTTAAGTTGATAGTGTATGGAATTTGGCGTTCTAGGTTCTCCCGTTACTTGGTTGGAAATCAAGGACGAGTGACGAAGGGATATGCGTGAATGATGTTGAGACTCGATGAGGTGGGAGCAGGTGGGTTATATAATATTAAGATTGTATTGGACGGAGTTAGAACTGGACTGGATCCGTGACACAATACAGTACATGCAGCCTTTGGGTATCATGACGTTGAAGAGGGGAATAAGCGGTGTTTAACATTGTGCTGCTGGCGTGGATTAGTTTGGTGGTTACAGAAGTATCTTTTGTTTGGAGTATGTCCAGAACTCCGAGTCAGTAGACCGAAGAGATGAGATCTAGGTGGCCAAGGCAGGTGGGCACGGTGGGGTTCACAAGCCCATGAGCTCTTTCCTTCTTCCAAACAAAGCTCCCTAAGTGGCTTCTTCCTTCCTCCAAAATGCGAGTGGAATTATTATTATGGGCAGGCACGTGTCAGGTAGGTGGGAGGTACTCCGTAGGTACCTGCACACTGACCTGAAACTACGAGGAAGTTGCCTTTGCTGTACAGTAGTACTGAGCTTCCCACACCGTATCAGTCACTTTGCCGTGTTTCACCGAATCGATATCGATCTCGATCTCATATTCGAAGTGGAGATACATCACAAACCGGGTTTAATTAACATCCCAAAGCGAATGGTTCGGGGGTGCTCTGAGGAGAATCCCTATGGGTGGTCGGGGTTGCCGGCGATACTAGATGCCTGAATTGAAATAGTCAGTTGCTGTGTTGAGGGGAGGGGAGGAGACGAGAGAGATCCGCAAACCAGGCACGTGGCAGGAAAACATTGCTACAAGTAACTGCTACCTTAGGTACCTACCAAGTATTGTTAACTCCGAGAAAGTCCTGGTCATTCGGGCTTCTTAACTTTCCTGATCAGGAGGGACTAGGTTCAACTACATTCTTTATATCATACAGGAATTATTCAGTTGCCTCTACTTAGGGTATATACCTACCTGGATTTGTGATTTCTATGTTAGATACCTCCTCTGGCTGGTTGTTATTTCCAAATGGTCCATACCATGATTCAAGAACACGCCAATGACCCAGTTCACACTGAAATCCACCTGTACAGGCGGCCAGAGCAGGTCCGTGAAAACAAGAATCTTCCTTCATAGACACCTATTTAATACATCATTCGCTTCAACCTAGTTACGTAGACTGTACAATCACGAGAAAGTCCTATCTGTCGGTGCCCCTCATTTGCCGCGTATCTGTAACATGCCATGATGATGGCACGCGTACTATCGTATCACTCGCGGGCACACTACTTTTGACTCGCACCTCCGCTTGTCCCTCTACTCCTGTGTCCCTCAAGTTTGGACTTGTGAATCCTCGCCTGAGGACTCAGGTATGCAAAATGACCCTCTTGGTGAACCTGGTCTGCGTCAAGCATTGTCCTGTCCACGCCAAATCCTCAGCCCTGGGCAAATTGTGCAAGATCCTCTCACCCACGTTTCAAACCGAGTCAATAAACCCGGCAAATCCCATTGCCAAGTGAAACCACGCCTGAAAGGCTTCTCGCCCTTTCTGTCCATCGTCCATCGCCGTGCTGCCACCCAATTGCTGATACATGTGTGATGTTTTTGAGTTGTTGATGAGAAGCAAAAATGAAAAGATAAGCCGGCAACCTGGTCCCCTGGTGCAGGGCCTGATCACACAATCGCAGTCCCTCCTCCGTCATGACTCTTCGGTTCTTGGGGTATAAGCGCTACGTGGTTGTCACCTAGCACAGCAGGCGTCGTGGCCGTTAAAGAATGTACACATCTCGTCCAAGTCAAGTACTCCAAATCTTTCCTTGCTCAATTCAATTCAGTATTCCTGATCGTAATGTCTGTCTCCGTCGCAATGCATGAGTTTTGGGAAATCTCGTCAGTATAGTGTCGGGTATCACTGTTATCCTCCTCGTTCACGTGCCGAGCGCGGGAGCGTAGAGGTCGGGTTCAAGGGTTCGCGTCCTCCTAGTCAGCGAATTGGTCGTTTTGTGAATCCGAAACCGTGTCGCTCAGGTTGATGAGCAACTGTGCCAGGCATCGCTTGGTCGCTGCGTCGTCACGGAGCACATTAGAGAAAGTGGCGTCTCGAAGTGGTTCTGGCAGGCACTGTCGAAGAGCCTGGCGAGCACGATTGTTGTCGCTCAACCTGTGCCACTGTCAGTCGTGCGCATGGGTGGAAGACCTTGGAGCCCAGTCCTTACCTGAGAAAGCATCGAACCACGTGTTTCAGGAGACGCACTGTTTGTGTCTCGACCAACCCAATCACCATGTTGCTGAGGACGGTGCCGACAGCATAGAAGCGTTCGTACGTGGCACAGATGTATCCCAGCCCCGTGTCGTCGAGTAGAATCTTTTGTACAATGAAGATGGCAACCGTCTTGGAAAGCTCACTCCCAGTCTCCATGATTCGCAGACACAAGGGAATGATTTCCGTGGTCAGAAGAAAGGTGATGGTGGGGGAGGAGTTGTTGCCTGGCCCGTGAGCAGACGATCCGTTGGGATTGATCGCGCCACCCGATGACGGTTCGTTCTTGACCAACGCGCCGATTACTCCGAGAGAGGTCAAACGAAGGTACTCAAACGGACGTGATTTAGACGTGGTGTTGAGAAAGGGGTATAAGAACAAGGGGATGTGAGCTGGGGATCGGTTAGCCAAGTCGCAAGGAGCAGGTGGAGGTGGGTGAGAAGAGACTCACCATTCAAGAAAAGGCCTCGAGTCTCGTTATGACTTGCCACGCATTGTAAGAGTGCAAGAGCATTGCAAACGCGGTTGCTCGTTGGAGCTGTGAGCTGGCTTGGGTTCAGAAGTGGGTAGACCGAAATGATCTCTTGCAAGAGACTGGTCATGACACCAAAACTGTGCCACAGAACCAACGCCAGTTCGGGGACTTGTTCTCGCTTCTTGCTCAACTCCATCAGGGCCGTCTCTCTTTTCATTGGGTCCATCAGCTCGGCCACCCACTGCAACACTTTGCGATTCTCTTCAGACAGTTGCTGATCCATGACCGACTGTGAAGTTTGCTCGCCAATATTGTTCATAGAGGACCCCAAATTGGATTGAGCATTGTCTCCGGATGATTGTCGATTGGGATTCTGGTTGTGAGACTGGTTCAAGGCAATGCGGTTGTAATGCTGTTGCTGTGCGGCGGCAGCAGCGGCAGCGGCAGCCTGGGCCTGGGCCTGGGCCTGGGTTTGCTGTTGCTGTTGCTGTTGACCTGAATGACTCAGCCCCTGTAAGTTTGATTGAGGAGCAGAGTGCTGCCAGGGTGAAGGCTCATGTTGATTGTACTGCTGTTGATGCGAATACAAATGCTGGGTTTGTAACATGACGCCAGCCACTGTCCGTCGATGATGTATGATGTTGTAGACACTGAGTTGATCTTAAGTCAAATCGAGTCGAGCGGTGAGCCGATGAACCGATGAGCAGGTCAAGCCAGGCTCATACTTTGGACAAGGGAGGATAGGGCAAGGCAGGCGCGGAGGAGGATGTGAGGGCTCGAGGGGGGATTGTGGACGATGTCGCTGTCGCGGTCTCAGAGCAAGACAGTGTGGGCTTTGAGATCAAGTTGATTGTGATGTTTTGTGTGAGAGCAAGGGTAGAGTTGTGAAGGAAGGCCAGTTGTGAAAAGCTATGAGCGATGGAGAATAAAGCGGGGAGGTCAATGGCGGTGCAGATTGTCTGAAACTGCAGAGAAGAAGAGAAGTGGGAGTTAAGATCAGATTGGTGGACAGCATGAATGATTGGTCGACGAGGCCAAAAAAGAATGAGGATTGTGGAATCACGGGGTTGAAGAGAAATGGGAGTGCACAGGACTTTGACGGGGTTTCTTGTAGGTAGGTACCTTAGGAACATGGTAGTGGCCCCTAGGCCAGTTCAATGGGGTCCACGGGGTTCAGCCTGGTCTGGTTAGGCCATGGGCCCCTCGGCCTGGAGTCAGGGCACCATAGGCGTGGGGAAGGGCGACTCTGGTCAAAAAGCTAGGCGGAGGTTCCCAACAACCAGGCTTGTTGTACTTGCAAATGATCATATTGTTCAACTGGGGGTGTGTCTCCAAGTTAGGCGTGGATGACCACTATTTACACCTAGCTACCTTACATACGTACCTACCTAGGTAGGTACCTAGGTACCTTGCCTATTAGAAACATTTTACTAAGTACGAAGTACTTGGAGACTTGCGCCTGCTGGTGCGGCGGCCCCGGGACTCTTATCCCGGCCCCCTAGTCCTCCACACTTTGGTGGCTTTTCGCCCTTGAGGCATGTACCAGCCAACCATACATTCTCTCACACTTTGTCATTCACAGATCTTGATCTTGATGTATATTACTTTTTCGTCCTTGTACAAGGTGGACGTTGGGGAAGTTGTGAAGTTGTGAAGTTGTGAAGTTGTGAAGTTGTGAAGTTGTGAAGTTGTGAAGTTGTGAAGTTGTGAAGTTGTCCAGATTTTTGTCATTATGGGTGCCTTGGTCATCTGCTCTGGCAGGTAGGCTACTCGGAGATTTGTTCCATATCGATTGTTCAATGTACAATGTACAGAAAGACTCATCCCTTCTTCTCCATCCCGAGACATAATGATTCGCTATCTTAGGACTCATCATTGTCAATGCATATGTATACCCGCTAATTCCAAATCAAGCAAATGCAACCTCATCGTCTGAACATCATCCATCATCCATCATCCATCATCCATCATCCATCATCCATCATCCATCATCCATCATCTCCTGGACCGTGACCGACTGCTGCGTCTCGTTCGTCGATCCGATGAGCTCTCGCTGCTCGAGGTCGTGTAATCAGAATAGTAGGAACTTCCAATCGTGCTGCTCTTGTCATCTCGACGGTCCCTCCTCCTCTTGAGTCCCAGGAACAAGGCCAGCGCGCCTAATGATGCTGCAACCCAGCCAGCTCGGCCGATTCCCGTCCTCTTTTCTCCACCACCGTCACTCCTTGCTGGTCGGGTACCAAACCATGTTCTTCTGTTGTTTCGGCTGTCATGTCGACTGCCATGACGCGAGTGTCGTTCCACATAGACTTCGTCTGTTCTCCGCCTCCTGCTCGAACCCAATCCAAAGATGGCCAAAATACCATCAATCAGGCCCTTGAAGCACATGCACGCGCAAATTAGCAACAAGAGGATGATGCCCGCAATCACCCCAATCACGATGCCGGCGATGGCTCCACCACTGAGCCCGCCCCCGTCCTCTTCAATTGGGCCCGTGATGATGGCTCCGTTCGTCCCAACAGGTGTTTGGAAGGGTGCCGTCGTGGTGACCCCCGATGTCACTGTGACTTCTGTGTTGCTCGTTGGTCTGAGTGGGGCGCTGGCCGTGTTGGTGACCACAGTAGTGACGGTGAAGAGACTGCTGTAATAACCCGAGCTTCCGCCTCCGACTTCGAGACACATTCCCGATGCTTGACAATACTGTCCCGATTTGCAACAGACATTGCCACAGGGCGTCTCACCAAGAGAGTATGAACAGCTCAACCCTGTCCCTGCGGAAACTAGAGAACTGAAAGTTGCCGTGACGGTTCTTAAATCGGTTTGAACATAGGTTGTGGTATAGTATTCCCAGACGCCCCCGGCTGCTGAGGTGACGCCCTGTTGCGCTGGTCCGCACTGTGCTTGGTTGTTTGAGTCGGTATAACATGATTCTCCGGTCTCACAACAGAGTTGGCCATAGTACCCGCAAGGGTTGTCGCATCGTTTGCGAAGGTCCTGGAGGTCTTCAAAAGCGTGCAGTAGTTGAGGTAGGTAAATTGCTTTGATGGGCTGCACAAGGAGGAGAGCTGTGGCGAGACATGATAAAGGTGGCTCGGGTCGAAGACGCATGGTGGATGCAATAGGTTCGATTGTCTGTGCGAGAGATCCGTGCGCTCTCTGAGCAGTGACCCTCGGTGAAGGTCGAGTCTTGCGATACTCGCAGCACGGACGGCGTCTCTTGAATCCTCAAGCGGAGATTCTATCGGTTTGCAACAAGGTTCCTTGATAGAGGTCAATGTAGTCAGTCAAGATTGCAACAATGACAGTGATAAGAAGGAGAAGAAGCGGAAAGTTGCTCTGCGAGGTGGTGCAATAAAGTGTGGTGGGTTTTTGGTTCTGGTGGGCGAGGGCATCAGGTTTACCAACCACCTTCCTGCCACCTGGATTTTGGCTCTAACTGTAAATTGAGCCACTCTAAATCAACCTAGCAAAGGCTGGGTGGCCCGACGAGTTAATTGTCTTGCATGTCTCGGATTCACCTTTGAGCCTGCCGATGGTGATTCAAGATTGTTGCATCGTCATCGCCTCATCCAAGAGGAGGAATTGTCTTTAAGACTGTGAACATGATCGCCCACCCACCAGTGGGCAGATGGAAGAGAGCCTCGGAGGGTTGAGAGCCACGCTGGGTCTTGGTGGCGGGGCAGGAGGGTCAAAGGGTCGCGGCTGCTGCCGGGCAGCCGGACAACGCATCCGCCAAGACCCGTGTCATCACGTGACAAAGGTCACGGGATATAACACACGTGACTCTTTCTTAACGACTCATCCACTTTTCATCCCTGAGCGAAATCTCCCATTCATCTCTTATTCATCTCAACTCAATATACGCACAGGTCGTTCCTTGGGGCGATGATCACATGAGAAGGAGGAGAAGAGCTTCGTTGTCAAGCATTGACTACCCAATTTGACTTTGAAAAGTTGAGCGCTTATACTGCAAGTGTGTCTTTCCTAGGAGCCCGTGTCTGGAGATGATCAGTCCAGCATGCCACTTCTGGCATCATTTCGCGACAAGACTTAACACCGTGTTCAACCTGTCGCATAGACAGCGTCCATTCGCTGACAGAGTGAGCCTCCTGGCCGGACAGCTCTCCCACGCCATGAAGCTCTCTCGGCTCAAGTCCATCCTCTGGCCAAGCGACCGTCTCCTTCGTTGTCCAATACCTTGGACAGCTACACCGATTTCAGGAGCTTGCAGGAGCTTGCAGCAGCTTGATTGAGATCTGTCTTGTCAGTCCTGGAGCCATGCGGTCGCATAGTCAAAAGCAAGGCTCTCCTCATGTTTCCCAATCTTGGCAATCCTCAAGCGTCTCGACTACCAATGCTTGACCATTTCGCAATTGTGATCTAGGCTTCATGTCGGTCTTACAGTTCCTGCCCTCGGCATCTGATCGACCTTACGCACTAGAATGGTACCTTGGTTTCGAATCCCTCTATTCAGCCCAGGTCAAGATCATGTACCGCCGACCACTGCCGATCTCTAGCACCGTACTTCCTCGTTCCATAGTGCCTTTGATGTGCTTACCAAGATGCAGGCACGTTAACCATCTTAGAACGGAGACTTTTGTTCTCGCCACTGGTTGCTTGAACTGCATCTTCGTTGTTTGTCCTGGCTCGTGTGGCTCAACCAAATACCCATGTCCGGCGTCGTGATCTCGACTCCATCGTTCTCAGTACAGCCCACCTTGGAGTATTGCAATTTCAACTGTTGTCTCATCTCTCGTTATTTACCTGCGACATCGTCTGACATTGATTTTCTGCTGGTCATTCATTCAAGAAAAAAAGACTTCACGCCAATCTGGAGCTGTTGCTGGCATGGCGTTGGATCAAGTGAAGCAGGGTCATATGTAGTGGAGGGAAAACCAAGCTTTCCACCCGCAAGCTTTCCACCCCCATGCCTCCTTATAAGTCAGCGTGGGGACCAAAAAGGTATGCAACAGGCTATATCCACCCACTGGTCTGTGAATGAAGCCCACTACTAGTTTCGGTCATCACTGACATGGGCCTTAACCGATCAGTCCAAAGGCTCAACAATTCTCTATCTTGACCTTGGGGCTTCCTTCTAGTGGAGTCCTGGATATGGGATATTCTCCAGACCACGCCGTTCACGTGGCGATGTCACCGTGGTATGGTATTGCGACGACTACGGGTATGATGTTCACTGTCTATCAACCTTACAAAGCTGGGTGGAACGATGGTAACGTGGAATTCGAAATCACCCTCTTGTGTATCTTTCCCTCGACGGTCCACCAGTCAGTCAGCTCTTTGCCATAACCTGGCGTCGGGTCTGGGGCCTCTTCAAAGGCCTCGGTTCGACATTGATTACCCTTCGGCTGGCGTGATGCAAAGACTCGCCGGAATTCAGGGGTCAGTTTCGGATCTCCACAAGCGGGCCCTACTTTTTCCATTGTCATTCCAACAGCGGAGGTTGGCAGACCTGCTATGACGTCGCTGTTTGATACGAGGACACAAGGCTTCTTAAGCGAAGCCATATCGGTCAAGTTGGAATTTTCGCCTTTCCAGAAGGCTGCCATTAGCGGGCGACCCCGGACTCAGCACGCGCTTTCTCTTGCCAAATGATGTCAAGATTAACTGCTGACAAGCTGAGCGATCAAAGGCCTCTGCTTTGATAACACTCGCTAGTGTTATTAGCTCATCCGCGTGGGCTTGGACACGTCGAAGTGAAGACTACCCACCGCTTTTCTTCCACACCACAGCAGAAATTTATCGTGAGGCTTTTAAGTCAATCAAAGAAAGATTGTCCACTTGGACAGCCATCTACACGTTTCCGGCCCCAGGCGACCTAATTCTTAGGACAATAACAAACGCCAGATCTGCGTCACATCGATCTGCGGTTAGGGCTGGGCAAGCGGCATTTTTCTCATTCTTCTGTTGAGTTGGCAGATCGGGTCCAACGCGGTTCAAAATTTGGAGACGGCTGTCGCCCTGTGGTCCACGCACATGACACACGGCACGGGGCTTGTATTGCCTATAGACTAGTCGAATGACCCAAGTGCGGTGGTAGTCAAGAAGTCAAGATTATGCGCAATTACATGAGATGGGTGACCAAGGTGAGCACTCTGGAGCTTCAGCCACGTCCATGGCTGATGACTCTGGGGCACATCTCCTATCGATATGTGGGAGGAGCAGAATAGGTGGGTAAAATGCGATATCAACCACAGGTAGACAGATTCCTTCTGGATTTCCCACCAGAATGCTGGGGTGGCTGCCCACTGTAGTGACATAAATCTGCTCGATGACGACAGCCGACATCACTTCGCTTGGGCATGTCGAACGCAAGGGAATTTCGTCAAAACTGGTGGGGGGGGGGAAAGTCGGGTGGTGTCAGCCCATCATCAGTAGTGGGACAAGGCAAGCTTCACGGGCGCGACAAGCTCCGAGCCTTGTCGCTGTGGTCTGTGGTTAGTCTGCACATTCTTCTCCCACTACGCTATGCGGACTGAACAATCCTTGACCCAATCCGAGGATGACAGCCTTCCAGCGCCAAACACCCGGGCCAGTGTAGGCGAGAGGTCATCGAGCTCGTCCCACTTTGAGAATAGCGTGAATTACTCATATGTTCGCCCGCTACCACGCGGCGGTCTCGAAGCCTGCACACTGTGCAGGAGGTGCCCTTTTAACAGACGAATCATACACCGACGTTGGGTCAACCAGGCGAGGGCCAGTTCCCAAGACTGAATAGTGCGCCTTCTGGGAAAGGTCTAGCGTTCTTCCCGGTAGAATCCTGGCAATTCATGGCCCCGCGGTGCCCCTCGCCCCGGCTGTCTATGCATGAGGCGTGCGAATTGAGGCGTGCGGATCTCGATCTCGGGGTCGCTATATGTATGCGTTGAGAGAATGAGAGTGGAGCGGCCAGGTATCAGGAAGCATACTTTGCTTGTCAGGTTCTACTGGACTGTTAGTAATGGAACCATAGCTATCCTCTGCAATTGCAACGAGGGTGACAAGAAGTTTAGTCTATCGACAAATAGCAGCAAAGGGTCTATGCGTATTTGGCGCCCACTGTTTACCCACGGTCCACGGAACCTGATCTACTTACAGTAGTGGATGCAGAGGGGTGCTCTCGGGTAAGCAGGGACCCTGGTCGATCAGCAAGAATACTCAAGGGTCTACTTCCTGCAATTGTTCTCCACATCTTGAAGACGCCAGCACGTCGTGGCCGGGTGTATCCCCTTTACGAGTATACGGAGGTAGAGCACACCACTACTCTCTCTTCCCTAGCGAGCCTCACATTGTCAATCGTTGTATAAGAGCACACCTTCCACCCCTCCCGAGACCCAAGCAGAGCAAACCCTTCTGGCAAAGTTCAACATCCACCAGTCCCCTAGCCCACCATCAATTCACGAACCCCAATTCTATTCAACCATATCACAACGCAAAAAAGACAAGCAAGTCAACATGTCGAGCTATCAGGCCGCCAACTGGAGTCACCAACCTAGCACCTTTGATGGGATTGACCATAGTTTCCAATGGGAGTACAATGTCGCCCAATCACCCAAGAACATGGTGAACCAATACAATGATGTGAGTGCCTCCCCTAAACGAGGATTTGCGGCACCAAGTTAACAACGACTAGCTGCTTCAACGAGCGGCCGACTTCTACGCGACACTGGACAACTCATTTGAGTCTGTTTCATCTTCAGCGTCGGATAGTTCCTATCGAACGACACCAGAACGGAGGGTGTCAACCGCCGGGAGCATTGTGGCCCAAGTGAAAGGATCTATTCCAGACAAGATCGAGGTAAGCCATCACAAGCCCACGAATTGTTGCTTCGGCGTGAGTTGACTTTGTTACAGCGGAGACGCGAGCAGAACCGGTCATCACAACGCGCTTATCGAGAGCGCAAGGAACGTCACCAGAAAGAACTCGAAGAGCAAATCTGCCAATGGCAACAAAAGCACCAGCTGCTCACTCGATCATATTCTCAACAGTCGGAGGAAGTTAAACGGCTCAAGGCACAAATCGATAATCTCAACGGGGAGATTGCTAACCTTCAGAGCGGGCTTCCCAATCTGTGTGGGTCTTTGTGCCAGTCACCGCAAGAGTTTGATCTAGTGCCCTTCTTCGGTGCTGACACTCTGAGCCCACAGAGCACTCCACGCCTGGGCCAGGCGGTACCAACTCGGAGAGGATCTTGAAACAAGATGCGGCATGGACCGGCGGCCGGCTTTGTCACATGAGTCGTTGAGACGTTGCATAGCGAGGAGTTGGATCGGAGCGGAATAATCCTCACCATTCGAGAACGCGGATATCGAAGGGGCGAACTTGCATTTCAGTAAAGGCGACACCATCAGTTGACCATTTCGTCACGTATTAGTGAATTATTGCAGGGGACAACGGAAGTGGGTCACGTCACCCAGCAGTATAAAGCATTCCGCGCGTGTATTAGTGTACGAAGTAATGCGAGACGGACATAGAAGAATGACAGGCGCAAGCCTCTGTTCCGTGGACTAGAAGTTCCTCGCGCAGATTCCGCCCACGACAATCTGGATTACGGATGGATGGGTCTCTCATTTGCCTACCTACTCACAAAGTGGTAAGATGGTGTGTACAAGACAGCAAGAATGAGGAGGCTGAGCTGAGCTGGTGACCCAGTCAAGAAGCATGAGAGGGAATCCTACCGAACGTCTTCAACACAAGATCATGAACATGAGGGCACTGTGTTCCGGTCGACCCTTAGCGCACGCAAGCCCAATATCTGGAAGCCCCCATGAGCGAGGACATCTGGATCTCATGCGGGTGCAAAGATCGACAAACCGGTCTCGCCGTGGGTTACAGTCTGAAAATTCACCAATTCAGGCATAAAAGATGATCGACAGGTCGCCCAGTTCGACTTACATAATGTGTGCAACTTGCACGAGGTCAACAATCCAGCTGTGTAGTCAGCAACACAGGTGTTTTGACCCACGTGGGGAGCTACCGGCCGATGATCAGGGACAGGTGAAGGGATACTGCCAGCCAATGAAGGCATTGTGAACTTGATACCCCTTTCGTCATTAGCGTTCTCGTTTCAGTCACAGAGTTCGGCACACGCTGTATTTCCGAGAGGCGCCCAGGCTTGCCCTGGCCGTTTCGAAAGTGCCCAGGCCAACAGGGGACGGCTTGAGGCAACAACAACGGCCATTCCGTGTATGGCCGTGCCGTATGCCGTTGACAAGGGCTTGATGGGCGAGGGACGAGTGAAGCCGAGTCAAAACATTAAAGAATTTAAGCGTTCCAAGCCGACTTTATTGAACTCAAACCGCTGTTGGTTGATGAAACCCGGGAGGCCTCTGTATTTGTGCTGTAGCGCGCCGTGATTGCCATAGGTGTGCTAGTCTATGGCCTATCTGCTAGGGACGAAGGACAAGACTTATCGCGGAATCTCCAAAGTTACCACGGTTTGATGATAGACTATCCTCACTTACGTGGTTCGTACCGACAAATACCTGGCAGCTGCAGGTCATCAGGAGATTTGGTTCCAAAGGTTCGTGCTGAGTGCGTCAAGAGCTTAATCATCTCGTCTTCCTTCACGTGGAAGGTGCGTACTGAAGTACGGAGTAAGGGATCATGTGGCATTGACACAAGCATGGATGCCCGGTCTGCCAGGATCAAAGCATTGGTCGTTGAGAGGCCTGGCCATGCCAAGAAGGAAAACTGTCACCACGAAGCAGCCGTTAGGCTAGAGGAGTTTACTCCGGAGATGTTGCAATCTTGCGTAGGGGTAGTTGATCTGCTTGGGTAGAAAGGAGGAGATATGGACTGAACCTATGCGTCGGGTGTGATGTAGACATATTCCTCGATCCATGTACCAACTATCTAGACCGGGAAAGGATATTGGAGCTTGGCTCTCTTTGACACTGTTCTCGTTCAGGCTGTTGCACTAAAACGCGGCTTTGTTTTGCCCAGCCCTCGTGTCGCTAACAAGGTCGAATCGTGGGCTGATGGGTGTGTGACCCGAGGGTCCCCGCTTGCAACAAGCATTCCAGACCAAAGACTTCGGAAAGTCTTGATTGAAGTACACCCTCGCTTGTGGGTCAAGGCGCCCCAAATAAGAGCATTAGCAGAATATGGTAATTCATTCTTCAGCACTGGATGTTTTAATGTTTTCACGACGGGCTGAATTAACCGGGTTTTGGCTGAACTCAGTCGCATTCGAGTTTCCAGGGTTCCAACAAGCAGCCATGAGATCGTTTTAATCACCTCCACTAGGTGGAACTCGGACGTTACTGGTGAAATGGCAGCAGTCACCATTGCGCTGCGTTTGATAATTTTGGGATGTTTTGGCATACCTTGGAAGCCAGCTCCAAAATAGAGAAACATTCAAACATTAGCTGCTTGGCCTTGGGTTATAGATCGAAGCCGACAAGGCAGTTACATCTCGTTGTTCCAGAATTTGAGTCTCCCAACCATCAATATAAATTTCTGTTGTCACAAAATGTCCGCTCTGTGTGTGCAAAGACCTATTCCGGGCCAGCGTCATTCTCCTATTATCTGTCGGTTTCGAAGAGGTCTTGGACGCACAAACTGTTGCTCATCACGATCACGATTGCAGAGCAAGCAAGCAAGAATTCCATAAATCGACTCGTAAATAGGTACTTACCATGTCGTCTGCAACTGTATTTTGATGTCTACAACTGTTAGGCCTCAACTACATGTATGTTGGAGTTACATTGAACGAGGGTATATGTCATGCCGATGGATGCGAAACCCGGGCGATTCTAAAATGAAGTACCCAGGGACTTTGATATTTCAAAAGCCCTGCCGACAGAGCAAGGTCTAATCTGCCAGCACTTGAGACCCTGTATGGCCAAGTTTTCAACACCCATATCACACCTTCCTCAAGAGGGAGGCTCATGAGGAGGTAGGTACTATGCTTAATGCGTAGATTGTCCGTAGATTTTCCGACTTCTCATGAACCCTTTTGTGTCTATCAGACACAAGAGATGTTCTCACAGGAAAAAGCAGGCTTTATAGAGTTCTGACTGGGGGTCTTATGCTAAAAGCAGACGTTTCTTCCCCGGTGGAAGAGCACCGGTGGCAGTCTTAATTCGTGTGTTGCAACTACGGTCTACGGTTCTCGTTTGCTCGCGGCTGATCGAATCTCTCATCCAGGAATTGAGGATGCAGTCGACAAGTCAAAGCCCGCCCAAAGGTGAGAGTTCGAGACTTAGGTATATTGTAATCTGGAACGACGGTACACAAAGTACCTAGTCAAAGTTGACTGGGCAGGGTCATATGCTGTCTGCACAGACCCACCTCAGAGGTGGGCAAGTAGGCAATGTAGGTTCCTAATATACATATGTGATATTTGTGAGGACGACCCATCAGGCACTTAGCTAGACGTTACATTGTCCAGGTGCGCAACGCCCAAGGGATGCCTAATTTCTAGAGTACGTATAGATTATGTATTCTTTGTTAGCCTTGAGCTGGCGCCTACGCAGACGCACAGCAAACTGAGACCAGTGGTGTCTGTGTCCCTTGGGAGGCAGTTCCATCCAAACTTGGCCATTGACACGTCGGAGCCATCATTGCAATAGATCTACGGAGTAGACACACTAAGAATAAGAGAACAGAATAAATCGTGCCCCCATGCCAGGTACTTGTTAAGGTATTGGTACTCATCATCTCGCTCCCTGCTTCGGTAGGACATGAACCCACCTTTAGCTAAATGAGGAAATGGCTGCTAGCGTGCGTGGGTCAAGATTGCTTACTTAAACAGCAGCCATACGTATGCATCTTTTTCACCGGAACCAAATGGATGGGGTGTCGTCTGGACTGCTTTTTAGTCATGAAGGATGTCTGCAGGATCCGGCCCAGGTATTACTCCGATTTGTCCAAGATCCAACCCCTGCTTTCGAGTCGGGTTTCAGCGTGTCAAAAGAGGCCAACCAATGACGACCCCACGGCTCGAGTTGGCCTTTGAACAGCTGATATTTCATCTGGTCTGTCACGAGACTGAGAGACCAAGACTCTTCGTGTGGGTGAGGGAGGGGCACGAAGGAAGACGGAACACCATCGAACAATTGCTTACCCCTGCCGTACCCCGGAAGCTGCATGGTCAGGCTAGAATGCCCCTCAGGGCCTCATGCAACCTTAGTCATACGCCGCACGACACGAAAAGCTCCTCGCACAATCTTCCTTTTTCTCATATCTTGTCGGGCACCAGTTGACTTTCGGAAGGAGCAAGCCATGTCCGATATACTTTACGTGGTAGGTACAGATGGGCTTTTCAACCCCATGCCTTGAAGTCACCTGTGGGCACTCCAATCACCACCGGGCTTCTCACTCACACTTGCTCGAGAATTGACTCCCCAGCTCTCGAGGAATCGCGAGAGGCTTTCTCCACTGGCCCGACACCAATGAGGTAACGGGGTACTTTGACTTTATTGGTAGGAGAACAGCACCAGATCACTGGACCTGACCTAGGAAGCGAATGCACGACATAAGCATTGTATACTCGTACGCATACTGGAGCACTACTTGGAAGGATGGAACGGAACCCCCAAGGCGCATGCGTATACCTGTTTTGTCACAAAAGATGCCTAGATAGGAAGTTGCCAAAGATTAATCTCAACATCACTACACTCCAGGGCTGTTTGGTTCGCATTCTCATACTAGACTAAACACCACCATGCTATCCACTCTCACCGAGTCTACTTGTTGTCGGGCTTCAGACCGTCTTTGGTAGGTACAAGGTCCTTCACGTATGCACGCTAAAGCCCACGGCGGGATGACCATCAACCCCTGTCCTTAATGACCAAGCCCCTAAGGGTCGCTCTTAGAGCGGCGTGACACATATCCTTTACAAGATCTGAAGAAAGTCACGAGATCTACGAATACATATAACGGAGAGCTTAGCAACACGGAAGTTTCCACGGGATCGTTACGTGAAAAGGAAATCTCTTGGGAGACAGAGGCTTGGATACTGAGGTGTATGTACAGGCATGAGAGACAGGTTCGTCGATGCTGAATATGCAATTGAAAAAAGGTGATAGAAGTTTGTAAAAGGAGCATATCCAGACTGTGACAGACGCCTTGGGCTACTACAGGCCGTAAACGTCATATGAACGCCAGCGCTTAACAATGAATTGAAATAATCAGGACAAGGTCGTGCACTGACAAGATTTCGTTGCTTGATCCACACTCTACGTAGGTCGAAAATGCGCAATTGGCTCGATGTGATGATGCATTAAACAGAAAGCCGCAGAATGTGCCCCAGGAAATACCCCTGAACAGGCACATATGCTGTTCTGTTTGGCCTTGCTGACTAGACGTAATCCGAATCCCGAGAACCTCTTCGACCCCGGTCTTTTCGATAGGCCTTGGGAGGATATACCTGGGCAGGGTAAGCTGGCGGAGCAGTAGTTTTCTCGTCCAGGCCAGGAAGAGAGAACTGGTGTCCATCATCATTGGACTTGTTGGCGACAGGAATCCAAGTCAGCTCGACATTGTCGTCAATCATGCGTTCTTTGGCCCTCTCTGCCGCATCCTGTCGCCTTCGCTGTCGACGAACAATGAAGAAGACGAGAGTGCCAACGACTAGAAAGAGACTATCGGCGGTCAGTTTGACACATGCTACCACCATATACTCGGGGGGTACGAGTGATTTTTCCGGAGCAAAGATGGCTGCCCTTCCAACCATCGACACAGGTACTTACGACAAGCCAATGATAAGAGGGATGCCCGTTTTGGTGAATTCGCTGACATATCTTTCGCACGCATCAAAGGCTGGATCCTCATTCTTGCATTTCTCGCGTTTCTGGTAGATGTGGTAAAGATTCTCCATGATGATGGCGTCTGCAGTTCAGAATCGTGTCGCAAGCAACAGATAGAAGTGCCTTTACAGTAAAATAGAAAACAAGACACGTTGTGATGGTGCCAGCTGTTTAGTGACGCATCTCAGGCTAGTGGGTCATTAAGGTCTGTTAGGCATGATAATCAAGGAAAAGAGAGCCGAGTTCAAGTGACGACGTGAAGACAAAAGACTTGGATCAAGATGATACAGCGGTTTTGGAACATTCCTTCTTCGAAGCAGGAAAAGAGTAGAGTTTGCGACAAATGTGAGATGATTAAAGTGATTAAAGGGGGAGCGGCTCAAGTTTCAAAAAGGGTGTGGAGGGGGATGACACTCTCGTTTGGTTTCGTACCTAATTAATTGTTTGCGGTTTAGGTGCTTGGGCTGGCGGTTCGAGGCTAGGAGCCGCCCCCTCGGCCCCTTCGGATTCTGTCTGACACTGATCTGGTCCCCTTAAATCGAGAAAGGTACTGCACCATGTTTTGTGCCTGACAATGCCATTTCCCTGCCTCCCTCCTGGACACGTCGACTACGCATAGGTACTCCGTACATGACAAGGCTAAGGACCTAGAAGCTCTAGAGCGTCGTGAGTGTCTGGGGGTGGCTGGCAACTTGCCATGGGTACCTCAGGTGGCTGGTGTCACACTCTCTTGTCACGGCACCAACATGACAGGTTCCAGACTCCAGGTCCGGTTCTCACTCTGTGCGATGGTCACGTGTGAATGCACTAAATCATCAACCCAGAGAGTCTCCTTCACACTCTTCGTCAATATAGAATTGACAAAACAATGTAAGTAATGCATCCATGCCTCGAAAACAATCAAGGACCAAGAGACAAAAACGCGTCCATGTTGATGTGTCTACCAATAAAGGTAAGCAACTATGGGCTAGGGAGGTTTTATGTTATTAGGCACCCCGGTCACGCTTGTCCAGGCGTTCCAGGGCACCGTGGGCACTGATCTCCGAATGCGGGGCGCCACGCGGGGAAACGCGCTGACGCTACGGAGAATCTCGCAAAAACATGATGTGCAATGCTCGCTTAGGTCATGCACACGTGACTTGGCTTGGCTTCATCTTCTTCTCGACTTCATTTCATCTTTGGCGCGAGACGAGACTGATGAACATACCAACATCTACAGCAATCCCTGCCCAATTGGGTCGGCCACGACTAATAGGCATCTCGAATCTGAACGAATATCACTCCAGTCCGCTCTTTCATTCCAAGACCAATCCCTCCTTTTCGTCTCTCTATCGTTAGTGCCCGCCACGGGGCGAGCTCCAGTCTCCATAATCACCCCTCCTACAACACGCAAAGATGCCCTGATTGCGACTATGGACTATTCGAGGCATGGCATCAAATTCTTCACCCGACCGAGATGTCAAGCAAGCTGCCACTCCGGCCAAGCAAGCTGCCTGTCTAGAGTGTCGTCGAAGCAAGGTCAAATGCACACGTGATCCTGCCGCCACCGTCTGTCGCAAGTGTCAACAGGCCAACTTGCATTGTGTTACTCCCGAGTACCATGTCGGCCGGTATAAGGGCGTTAAGAAGTAAGTCCCAGCATCTTTCCGCTTTCCTCCTATGCTGACTCCCTCCCTTAGTAAACGAAGCGGGCTCGAGAAGGCCATTTATCAAGTCGAACAAGCATTGAAACGATCCAAAGATTCTGGCTCATCCTTGACCCTGGAAAATCTCGACGTTGATGCAGACTTGCGACAACTCATCACTTCTCCTCCACTTGCCACATCGCAAATTCGTCGCCAGTCTAGTTCCTTGACTCCCAACGAGAAAGGTCCGCCACCCTTTCCTCAAGCCCGGAGAAGTCTAGTCCCTGGTGAAAGCACTGGCGGGTCTCGCGACTTCTCAACCCATGACATGTCTCCGCCCGATGCTCCAACGGAGAAGCCTGAGGAGCTCGCGTTAAATCATGCCGACAACCCCCTCCAGCTTCTCGCGATGGCCTCAATTCTCCCTGCCCAGTCCCCGTCGACAACAATGTCCACCTCGCCTGCAGGAGCCGTGCCTCAGCCAACTGCTTCTGATGTCAATGGAGCAGAAGCAGAATTGACCCAGTTTTTTGGTTCCCTGCAGCCAACCTTCGACAATTCTCCTGAATTGGATCCAATTGAGATGGGCCTGGTCACAACCGAAGAAGCTGAATCGCTCTTTGCGTATTTCCACGAACGATTGGCACATACACGGTGGGGTCTTGACCCTACCCTTCACACCGCTGCTTTTGTCCGCGGCAGGTCAGCTTTTTTGTTTACCTCGATTTTGGCAGCTGCCGCTCTATTCCTACCAAAGGCCGAAGCACTATCCAAGAGATTGTCCAATCATCGCAATGATCTGGCTCGAAAGGTTCTTGCAAATCGTAATCGCTCTGTCGAGATTGTCTTGGCCTTCATGGTCAACGTCCCTTGGATGAAACCAGCAAGGCATTGGGCAGACGATGAAACCTGCGCGTATTTGTCAATGGCATTGACCATTGCGCTGGATCTCCAGCTCAACAAAATTGTTGTCCCATCTCCAACCATCCGCCCGCCAGGTTTTCTAGACAAGATTGCCAAAGCAGAATGCATCGATGCTGCCAAGGCTCTACAACTAGACGGCTTTCCCAACGTAGACCCCACCTCTGCATGGGGTCGCAGATTGTTACGGTTGCGCGAGAGGATTTGGCTTGCTTTATTTGTTCTTGATCGAGGGTATAGTGTTTGCCCTTCTGCACGTCTGCATACTGGCTAACTTGCCCTGGAGAATTTGTTTAGCTCGTGGCAGACCGTATGCTGTCCCGATCGGTCCATTGGTAGAGAGCTGTGACACATGGCACATCTCTGATATTGCAGACCGATGGGATGGCAGTATCATCTCTGCAGCGGTGCTGCGAAGAGACCTGGTGCGCCACTCCAACAAACCTTTCCTCCCACATCACTAATTCCTCCAGGTCGGCTTGATATCCGGGGTCCGCGAATTCTGTGACGGTAGCCAAGGAGTCAATGGGGGCTCGCCCGCCGTCCGTTTGTAAGTCTGCACCTTGCGCGTGGTCGCCGTAAATCTTGCTCGCCGAGCTTGACCCTCTTCCCGACCCCTTACTAACTGCTCATAGTCTCAAGGACAAGATTGATCGATTTTTCGAGCAATGGTATGCTGTGTGGTCCTTACAAATCACTCAAGGAGACGGTAGAGCACCTTCGAAACAAGTTTAATCAACCGCGCTGACTTTGCCCAAGGACAACTTCCGCCTTATGTCGAGATCCTGGTGTCTCACACCAAACTTTCATGTTATTGCAGCGTTGTCAACCACCCTACAGCTTCTACAGATGTCAAACAATTCTTCCGCGCTGCAGGGCTGGCTTCGGCTATGAATGTGATGCGCGCTGCTGTTCAAGGGGAAGGACGGTTGAAGTCGATGCCTAACAATACGGTCATCATGGTATCCTTCGCTGCCTGTTTTGCTCTTGCACTCGGAACCTCTGAACTCGGCAATCGGGCGATTTTTGCACCAAACGCGCGTACTTTGATCGAAGAAGTCATTGCTGTTCTGGAACGCATTGGAAGCACTCCGAAGCACCGTGATGGACTCTCGGTTCTATTTGCCAGACACATTCGGAGAATCTTCCAAAGTTCTATGCTCAATCCACAGGAAGACGCCCAAACCCCGGCGCCGAATCTGACGAATCCTTCTCAGCCGGTGCAGGATCTTAGCTACGCCTCGCCACGCCCTACCGCCATCCCTGCCCCAGCAGCTTCGAACGAGCCTTACGTCTTTGACATGACGGATGAACAGATTCTCGAGGCCATCAACAATGCTAGTGCATCTCAAGAATTGTTTCAACTCGATGAAACAATGTTTGTCGATTGGCTCGACTGGCCAAATGTGGCCTGAAAATGGAAAGTCTTATTATCCTTGTCCACTTAGTCAATGGTAATCGTACGTCCCGACCACGGGAATTTATCGACTATGCGCCAAGACTATCTTTCGAATGGCTCTTTCTGTTAGTCGCGGGATCAGAGTTTCTGAGGAGATATGACGCCTGTGGCACTCCTGGTCTCTCTGGCGTCTTGTGACATGTTGACAAGCTTCTGCAGCTGCTCAATGAAGACAAAGGTCAATACGGTGTTAGGCCTGCAGAGAGTTAAAACCACGAGCAAACGACCAAGATTAGTCCTTGCAGACTTACGCAAGTCTAAGCCAGGCAGGAGTCCAGCCTCTCATCAAGAACCGTGGGCCTTCGGTGCGAAGGGACTCGGTAACGATATTGACGACGCTCTGCAAAGTCTGGTCAGCCGTTCATCAAGTTGGCGAGTTCTGGAGGTTGTGCCAGCATACCGGTCTTACTCCGTCCACTGCCACTGCGTTTTGTACTCGACTCTTTAACACGTCGGCTGGGGCGCAGGCGGTAGTGGCCACTGTTCCTGCTAAAAGGGAAGCAAGGAAGTGAACTGGCATACCGTCTTCCAAATCAAAGGTGGACAAGAGTTGTCGTTTGGCTGCGGAATAGCTTTGGCATGTTCAGTCACACTGTGCATCGACAGAGGTTCTCAAGAAACGAGCTTACGTGGCAATCTGCGACACATCTATTCTCCGTCAGAAAACGTGATTAAGCGACGAATCAGTGAACATAAGCGGGCCCGATTTACTCGGCTGATGAAAGCCACGAGGTCTTAGAGAGACGGGTTTGAACTCACTCATAATGACACTGCGAACGATATTGGGCGCCAGTCCTCGGCTAAAGGTCGCAACGCCCTCTTCACGGCTGATCCTCAGAAGGGCATCAAACGCATGTTTATAAGCAAATCTCTGACCAGGAGCTTTAGCTCCATCGGCACACATTCTCACCAGGGCCACCTGTCGATGTTGTCAGTCTGTTGCTCGTCTCTGATAATGCGGTATAGACGGACCTCAGTGGGGTTTCCGACGACACCAGCCATCCCTCCTGCCAGTGCTGCGCACGCGATTTCCCAAGAGCTTGACAGACGCTGTTGTCCTGTCCGCTGTCGGGCAGCCTTGGCGAAGTAGTTATAAAGCCCGAACCGAGCAGTTGAGTAAGTTGATTGTCGCAGCATTGATGCGCTGATGCCCCACCATAAAGAGCGGATGCCTAAGAGAAGTGGTCAGCTTTCTTGGAGATTGGGATGGATAATCGCAGAACCAACCGTCTCGACTGGCAAAAGTCAACAATGTCCGGAGCATGTTTGGAGGCTTTTGCATGACCTGCATGCGACTATGACGGGTCAGCAGCTGTGTTGATCTTGGCGTGAGGATGTTTTACTATTTGGTCTGATCAATCGGATGGGCTGGTGACGGAACAAGTCAGCTTCGATTTCATCGAGTTGTCGTGTCACATACTGAAGCATGCTGCCATTGAAGCTGCGGCACCGCTGTTGATCGTCAATAACATTGTCCTCAGTTGAGGTCATTTGTACCTCTCACCCAAGCCAGAAAGGCTGACTTTGCTTCTTGGTGGCGACCATATCGAACCTCCCAATCTCAGGTTATGCCAAGCCAGACGGTTGATCCGTGTATACTATGGCAGAGAATATGTGAGATGTAGGTTTAATCACTGTATACGATAGCCTTTGGAGATGTCGGCAACTCCACCAGAACAAGACTTTGACTTGATGAATTGAGGAACCAAGGAGGATTGCTGTTGTTGTATGGCATACGTGGGCAGTTCAATTGCTCCCTATGAACTGTGTTCTACCTGTTGCAATATGATGCCCCGAGCGATACTACCAATGTTTGGCTCATAGATTGGATTCACACGACTATGGGGGAATGAAGTCGAGAGACCCAAGGTACGGTATGAGATACTGACGGCGACAAATCTATGACCGAAGATGGGGATTAGGCACGTGCAAATGTGAGTTTTTTGTCTGACGAAGAAAATATGGAATGTGACGCGTTGGCATGTGTGATAGTTGCGTGCAGAAAGCCCTTCGGAGGTTGATTTGGGCGAATAATATACCACGTCTGACTAAAATCTCCCTTCTTAGCCCCGGCCTTCCCCGGCTTCAGGGAATGATTTGCCTTCAGCTTCACCAAAACACCAAAATAACAAAAATCATCATCCGATGCCGGAAACAGATCGGAACAAGCACCCAAAAATGTTGCCGTCTCTGCCCGGTAGGCTTCAAGATTACCCATCCATCTCGAGGTGTTTTCAAACGTCATGTTGATGCATCGGATAAATTAATAAACCATGATTACCTTAGTATTCAATAGATTCTGCCGGTCTGTCTCGACCCCCGTCAACAATCATTTGTCTTGGATTTCTGTCTTATTCACTCTTCCCATTGTTATTGCCAGACATCCCTTCTTCCTGCCATAGATCTGATCACAATCATTGAGCTTTTTCTTGAGTGTTGATCCATTGTTATCCAATGGCGGCCAGGCGAACGTTGCTTCTTGGCATCAACAATGCCTGCTCTACTCCTATATGCAGTATCAGCATCTGCATTGGTCGGTCCAGAATAGCATCCAAGCATCTCCAGATACCCAGGACATATCCTCTCTCTTCAAGCCAGTCCCGCTTCTTTTCTTCCTCTAGACAGCGAGGATTGGGAGCCTCCCGATCAAATAACGCCACAAGCCAACCCGTGATCGACAGGACAAGATCAAAGGTTTTCCATGATGCGGACGAAGCGGTAGCCGACCTTCAATCTGGTTCAGTCGTGCTCAGTGCTGGTTTTGGGCTTTGTGGAACCGCCGAAACCATCATTTCTGCCATGGTGCGACGCGGAGATAGTCTCAGCAACCTCACGGCTGTCTCCAACAATGCTGGCGCTGCAGGGGCTGGAGGGCTCTCGCCACTCACAAAGTCAGGGCAGATCACTCGGTGCATCCTATCTTACCTGGGCAATAACAAGGTCCTCGAACAAAAGTACTTGTCTGGCCAAATCGCTATTGAATTATGTCCTCAGGGTTCTCTTGCGGAGAGGATCCGTGCCGCAGGTGCAGGTATTCCTGCATTCTTCACCCCGACAGGCGTCGCCACCTTTATCCAGACCGGAGGCATTCCCACGCGACTAGGTCCTGTTGATCCCATTACCAAGAAGTCCGCCGTACTGGAAGGTGGCAAGCCCCGTGAAACAAGAATCTTCAATGGCAAAACCTATGTCATGGAGACGGCACTCCCTGGTGACGTGGCCATCTTGAGGGCCTGGAAGGTCGATGAGGCTGGGAATTGTCAATTTCGATATACCACAAAGGCTTTTGGAACCATCATGGCCAAGGCCGCCCGTCTGACGATTGTCGAAGCAGAGAACATTGTGCCGGTGGGGTCCATCGATGCCAACGATGTACACCTTCCCGGGATTTATGTCGACCGAGTGGTGCCTGCGACAGTGGAAAAGAAATTGGAAATCAAGAAAACCCGGCCATCAGACACAGGCAATGACTCGGATGCCTCAAATACATCAGCCTCGTCTAACTCATCCACCAAACCCGAGGCGCTAGTACGAAGAGATCGCATCGCCCGGCGGGCGGCAAAAGAACTGAAGCACGGCATGTACGTCAACCTAGGAGTAGGCATGCCTACGCTGGCACCATCATTCCTGCCCTCGGACGTCAAGGTCTGGATCCAGTCTGAAAATGGAATCCTAGGCATGGGCCCATACCCGACCGAGGACGAGGTTGACCCAGATATTGTCAACGCCGGCAAGGAAACTGTGACATTAGTACCGGGGGCCTCGACGTTCGACTCATCGGAATCATTCAGCATGATCCGCGGTGGGCATGTCGACGTGTCCATCCTGGGAGCGCTTGAGGTCTCGGCCTCGGGCGATCTGGCCAACTACATGATCCCCGGTAAAGTGTTTAAAGGCATGGGGGGCGCCATGGATCTGGTGTCTAACCCAAACCAGACCAAGATTGTCGTCACCACAGACCATGTCGACAAGTATGGCAAGAGCAAGATTGTCCAGACGTGCAAATTGCCTTTGACTGGTGCCAAGGTTGTCAGCACCATTATCACGGATCTGTGCGTTTTCCAGGTGGACAGAATCGACGGAGGCTTGACCCTCACCGAACTTGCGCCTGGTGTCACCGTTGATCACGTCAAAGCAAACACCGATGCCAGTTTTGTGGTCGCAGATCCTCTGGGTCAAATGGATTAGTAATGTTGGGATAGGTTGGTGTTGGTGAGAATCCTCCCACGACACCGCACACCGTGAAATGGAATTCTATGGTTGAACATTTATTTTCTGTTGCACTTGAGCGATGACAAGAAGAGGTCTGAGGTCCAAAACGATGGGGGCTCATGGATCAATGGTCCGTTAGCAGAAACCCCACGACTATAGACATTGATGATTCCAGAAGTGTGAGCCGTGTCTCATTCGAATATTGAATACCGTAGCGTCTAGTGATTGGGCACACGTCAATGAACTGTGATGGAGATGGTATAACGCCAATGCATTGAAAATACCGACCTCTATACTTTTGATCCACTTTGATACGACAAAGATACTATGTATATTGTTTATGTACCATTTCTATATCAAGCTATGCTGGACAGATCAAAGTGATAACTGCTAGAGGATTCCCTCTCACAGCTTCGCCTTTAAATTATCCGAAGCATAGCCCGGAGCAAAGGTGGTTCCTGCTCCGCCACTCAAACCTTGGACAAGCTCATCAATGGTGTGGAGTATCCATTGGTTGCCCTCGTCCGTGGCCAACCACTCGGCTCCCTCAACGTCCTTTTCCGCCGTGCCGTCAGCGAAGGCCTTTCGAAGACCGAAACAGTGACTGACGACCTGTGGACCGACACCAGTCTGTGACCTGAGGCAGGCAATGGCAACCAACGATGTCAGAACTCGCCCAACATTGACCGATGTGTCCGGCGTGGGAGGATTTCCCAACAGAGTGCCGTAGTGCGCGTTCAAAATATGTACGGGCAGATTTGGATGAGATGCGGCAAGCTTGTCGTACAACTTGTTCTCAAAAGGACGATAAACCGAAGCCCACAGGTTCCAGCCACCCTCCAGACGATCTTTGAGGTTCTCTGGCGTCAATTGTCGAGACGGGGGAGGCGTGATTTGGCTGAAAACATCCTGGGGAAGACCCTCCTTGAAAGCGCCAAGACAATTGATGCTTCGAGGGATCCCATTGAATGATATACACTTCAATCCGACCTCTCTCATCAGTTCAATGGTTTTGGGCCCGGAAGGGGCGTCGGGAAGTGACTGGGTATAGTGATACAACTCCACGAGGGAAGATGGTGAATTCATCGTCATGGTTGTGGCGGTTGAAATGGTGAGCCAGGCCGGAATCCCGACATTCTTTATTTTGGCTGATTCGGCTATCCGGGCGAATGTCGACCGAATCTTTGGCGGTGCGGGTAACATATCAGGTTTGGCATGAGTGGCGTTGATGAGCGCCTTGAGCGAGTTTGAGAGCTTCGACATGCTGGCTGGGACCTTGTCGTTGAACTTAGGTGCAGGCTGTGGATGAAACGTAATCTTGCCAATATGAAGATCTGAAGATGCAAGGTAAGTTCTTCATGCTGGTCAACCAACACTGTAGACTAGAAGGCCAGCTTACTACGGGTTTGTGATGAAGACAGATTCTGCTCTGATCGCCAAGCCTTGTCAGGTGCTGGCTTTCCCCAGGTACTGTCAGGCATGAACGGCACAAGGTAGCAATTTAGGTGTGGAAACAAGGGATGGAGGACCAGTCGATCGCGAGGCTAGACACTTTAAAGTGTTAGATATTGCTGGGGCGAGACGAGGGAGATTCGTATGGTGGAGGGTGAGGACGACGGCCAGGTCGGAGGCCAGGCCGAAGAAAGGAGCCTCGGCCCTATTTTTATATTGACTAAGCTGTATATGGACTAGCTGATACCCCTCAAAAGTCGCTCTTGCCTCGTTCGGCGATTGTTTTATCACCAGCCTGCAAAACCATCATCCGCTCTTCCAACCACCATCCTCCCACATCCTCCCACATCCTCATCCTGGTCACTGATCTACGCATATGTACAGATGCTGTACGATCTTGTCACTGCTCTTACGGTCCGTCATGTCTGTTCCTATGCAGATTTACCCGCCTACTTCTGATTGGGAAATGCAAGACTATGGAGTAATCCCCTTTCAGCTTTGATCAACCGGATCATTGGTACAACTCCCCAGTAGCCTTGTGTCCTTGTGTTACTGTCCCTCTGCCGTGTTTCTCTCCCCGGACATTAATCTTGATCACAAGTCAATTATGCGCGGGGATAAAGTCGGCAAGATCCACAGATGATTAATGATCACTCTGATGGACTGGTTACCTGGGGACGACCCTTGGGAAGGTTTTAGGTCAAATCCTCTATTTAATTACTTGAATACTATATCTCCAATGCAGAAACCTCGTTCCCCGTCTCCTTCTCCCGCCTTGGTTGCGTCTTAGTATTTCTTGGTCTCTTAGCATCACCAGTCAAAGGTCTCCTCGCCTTCATCCTCAATCTGATACCTGTCTTGGCTCTCCTTGAGTGGGTCCAGGATCCTGACGACTTCAGCCTCGTCCAACTTATACAGCCTAGAGAAGGACATAATGCCCGCTGTCGCCGGCGATGACGAGTTTCCACAAAAGTGTGAATTGCCCCCCGACCTCGACAAGTTCCATGGCAAGGAAGCTGGGAATCAACCTGGCAACGTGGACCATGATGTCTCTGTCGAAGGCGACGCCAACCAAAAAGCTCTGACTAGGAAGCTGCTCTTTAAGCTCGATACGAGGTAAGGCGCCAGTTTTTGTCATTATCTATACATTTAAGCCACTATGCCCAATATCATGGTCCGCTATCCTATCATCACACCTCTAACTTACTTGCCTGGTAGAATCCTACCTGTTCTCGCAATCCTTTTCCTTTGCAGTTTTCTTGACCGAACAAATGTGGGAAATGCAAAGATCCTCGGTCTAGAGAAGAGTATCGGCGTCAACAATGATCAATACGGCAATGGCTTGGCCATTTTCTTTGCCTTTTACATTGCAGCCGAGCTTCCCTCAAACCTAGTGCTCAAGAAGTTCAGTCCTCGAATCTGGCTTAGCTTTCTAACAGTCTGCTGGGGTATCATTGGCATGTGCCTGGGCTTCATTCAGAATTATGCAGGCTTTTTGATCGTTCGAGCTTTCCTAGGCCTGGCTGAAGGTGGTCTTCTTCCAGGCATGGTCCTCTACCTCTCCACACTTTACACCCGCGGAGAGATGGCGCTCCGGATTGGGCTCTTCTACACCTCGGCCAGCCTTGCCGGCGCTTTCGGGGGACTTCTTGCACGTGGACTGTCAGCAATCGGCCCACACGGCGCGATCGAGGAGGGTTGGAGATGGATCATGATCATCGAAGGCATTTTGACGGCTGTCGCTGGTGTGGCCGCCTACTTTTTGCTTCCGAATGATGTTGCAACTGCCTGGTTCCTGACTAGTGAAGAGAGGGCATTGGCATTGCGCCGTCTTCATAGAGACACGTCTGCTCACTTGCCAGCGAACGGCCATGTTGAGGTCGTGGAGAAGTTTCAGTGGTCCGAAGTCAGACGCGGCATCATGAGCCTCAAATTATGGCTCAGTGCAACGGCATACTTTTCCATTCTGTCAGGCCTATATTCCTTTGGACTATTCTTGCCGACCATCATCAACGGCCTCGGGTACACTGCCAACGAAGCTCAACTCTGGTCAGTGATACCGTATGCTGTTGCCGCCGTCCTCACGGTGTTTGTCGCGCTTGCATCGGACCATTTCCGACTGCGAGGAGTATTGATGCTCCTGACTTTACCCTTGGCCATTATTGGATATGCGGCGATTGCCAATGTAGGCACACATGACAACCATACCAAGTACGGGATGACATTTCTTATGGCAACAGGACTTTATGCCAGCGTCCCACCCGTTCTTGTATGGAACTCCAACAACTCGGCAGGACATTATAAACGGGCGACGACGACGGGTTTGCAGTTGATGATTGCAAACTGTGGAGGCTTTGTCTCAGCATTTATCTATCCCAGTTCGGAGGGACCACAGTATCGCAAATCACATTCAATCATTCTAGGGCTTCTGGTCTATGCCTGGTTTGCGTGAGTGACTCCAACAGTCACCCGACTCGATCAATGCTTGTTGACATTTGCTGACATGTCCATCTAGGGTCCTGCTCAATGTCATGTACTGTGCAAAAGTCAATCGCGACAAAGCCAGAGGGAAGTATGATCAGTATAGAGGATATGGTGATGACAGAGATCCCGAATTTAGGATGGTTCTCTGATTGATGAGGGGATCGAACGAGTCCTGCCTCAGCCCCCGTCTTTCTTTCCCCGATCCCGACCATGCGAAGGATTTGAAGGCGGGGTAAGCGCAGTCAATTGCCGGTTGATCACCTTTCTTTGTATCAGTTGCGTAGAACAACAGAGGAACTTTTAAATGCGGAGCACAAAGTCTGACAGAGGCTGCTCGAACTGACAATTAGAAGGCTGGAGACAGCTGTCACACCATTACTGAGTCTGGTGCTACAATAGACTACTTGCTTGACTCACCGCATCCTCTTCCTTTGGCTCAGCTGCTTCTTCCTCGAACATAATCACCGTTATTCAATTCTGGCTTTTCCAAATCTCCTTCCAGCTCTAGCTTTGTAAGGCCTCAACGACTAGCAATCATTCATTATTGGTAATCACACACGAAAATGGCAGCCTCGGCCAATTCACGACCTCCAAATCCCGGCCAGGTAGAAAACAACCTGCCAGGCCTGACGACACACATTGTAGGCCACGATGTAAAGACAGGCAAGGCAATTGTGCAAGAGTCGCGACCGGGCAAATGGACCGTGTATGATGACAAGCTCATGGCCTTCAACGTGGTCTATACGACCTCGGAATTTCCCACCGATCTCAACGATGACAAAGACCTCAAAACCCACGACTCGCTCATGTCCACGGGCAAACTTGGACTCGTCAACGCCAATGGGACCGTATGCCGTGTGGTGGACTTTGCTCCAGGCTATGAGTGCATCATGCATCGGACTCAGAGCATCGACTATGGCATTGTGCTGGAAGGTAGCATTGAGTTGGTGCTCGACAGCGGCGAGGTCAAGCTCATGGCCAGAGGCGACGTAGCGGTGCAGAGGGCCACGATGCATGCCTGGAAGAATCCTAGTGACACGGAATGGGCCAGGATGATCTTTGTGCTGCAGGACTCCAAGAAACTCGAGATTGGAGGTCAAGTATTGAAGGAGGATTTGGGAAGAGGAGTGGATGGGCTACCTGCCAGTGGCAACTGAGAGCAGGACAGGAAATGCCTCAGCGCGGTGCCTCTGTTGCAGGTCATGAAGTATCCAGATAGTCATCGCCGTCACTCATTACCTTGCAGGGCTTGTGCCACGAGGTCTCAGTGCTTATAATCAAGTGCCATGCCCTGTCTGATCCATGCTGCATCCCCATCGAGAAACTTAGCGGAACACCATCTGGGACAAGTATAGCCAGCGATTATTATGTGGAGTGCTGGACATGATCTATGCGGCAATTGGGTTGGCGAGTTAGGTATCTCAGTACACATGTAGGGAGTATATCGCACCAGGATGATGAGTGTCTGGAGTGGCACGTGACTGTAGATTGTCACTTACGTTAGGCCTCGGGCTACCCAAGTACCTACGGAGTAAGGTAGGTAGGTAAGGCCTCTGGTAGACTGCAAAAGTACCTACCTAGGGGTCTGTGAGTAGCTCCAAGGTCACTTTACAAGATTGATAATCAAGGCTGGGCTCCGACCTACTGTTCCTATGCTATTACTCCGTATGTACATGCTGTAGAATCTTGTCCATATTTCTTGCACACTGTTGACTCTTGAGAACTGAAAAACGCCTCTGACCAAGATCCCAAGACCAGGAATTACGCGTCGTTGTGAGGACTCGCCCATTATGGTACCAAGTCAACAAGCGAGACCAGGGTCAATTTGTTGGCTACAATTCTGGATTGGTCCCTCCTGTCCCTCCTGGCAACGGATTACTTGCTACAGTATTTTAGCTCTGAAGGTGTCGAAGGTGGCTTAAAGATTTCGGGAGGTTTGGGGCCGAGGGGCCCAAGGGCACTTGGGTTCCCCCCCTTAGCGATAGTCCAACCCCGAGAATCCACCCTTGCCGCCCCAAGCCTCCTTAGTAGCTGCACCTTTTAGGCGGGAGAACGGCATTATTCCCAGGCCCATCGCCCCTAATCCTTTTAATCCCAATCCCTACCTTACCTTAATCTTTAATCCCCTGCTAAAGATCCTCTTAGTGGATCCTCCTGCAACCACAAACTGCATCTTTCCTCTTTCCTCCACTCAGATTTGTTGATTGCCTCGCATCCCAAGCATCTTGGAAACTTGCCAAACAACCCTCTGTGTCTCTGTGTCTCTGTGCCTTTCTCTGGCTGGCTTTACTTCTTCCCTCCTTATCATTATTTCAATGTACATATTTTTCTCCATAGGACGACTGTATATTCACCATCCTTGGAATTTGCTCAATCACTTCATCTCCTGTGAAACCTACTCAGAAATTCTATCCCACTGACAGCACCAAGCCCACTGACGACCACCGTCGCATGAGATCTCAGCCTTCTCCCGCCTTGACCCTACAGCCATGATCACAAATCGCCTACCATGATCTGGCAACGAACCTCTTCATTCGGCATCGACGGCTCCAGGCCAAACACTGCACCTCGCAACCGACCACGAGCTGAATCTGACTTGGAAAAAGATGGACAAGATCACTCCCGCTTCTCCAACGACAACCACGACCACGACTACGGTCAACCGATAGATGAAGAAAACCCTTCGGTCGCATCGTCACGTTCCCGCTCCGACATGTCCAAGCCCATGCTAACCAAATCTCCCTACACCAACACCTCCAACAGACCCTCTACATCCCACCTAAACCGACTCCCTCGTTCTATGATGCGATATCTTTGTCTAGGCGTGGCTGCCTCGCTCCTCATCTTCATATTCTCGCTCGAACGTCTGAGTCATCGCGCCGACAAAGAGGTCAAGGTGGCTATTGAACAGGAAAAGATCAAACCAAAGCCTCCTCCTTGGGAATCGTTTCCATTCCTCGAAAAATACTACGGTGGCGTGCGAAATCTTGTGCCCACCAAGCTGAACGTCCCAGAGTATCCTCGTTCGAACGACGAAGTGCCAACCGAAAGTTTCAATATCACCGAGGAGTTGCGCGACAGCGAAGCTGCGAAAAAATCTCAGAAGAGGGCCCTGCCCGACAGCATCGTCTTCAACCCATATCCTAATTATACCACAGCCGAATATATCGCAAAGTACGGCGACAAGGTCGACTGTTTTTTGGACACTGCCAAATCAATTACTGTCCCCCGCGTGCGGTACTTTGATGGCATCCCTCAAGGCTTTCCAGATGCCGTCATGGGTTCCGCCGATTTGCTCGGTCTGCGAAATGACATTTGTGTCGACCGCTTTGGCCGTCTAGGTCCCTATGGTTTGGGCTACAGCTTGAACCGAGGTGGCAGTGGTGCCCAGCAGGAAGGCGAACGGGAGGGCGCAGACCTAGTTTGGGTGGAAACCCCCGAAGTGGACTGGAGGGACGTCAAATGGAACGAGGTCCAGAATCGCTGTCTTCGTGACAACAGCCACCGTTTCAACGAGCTGCCCAAACCTCGTATCGACACCTTCCGTGCCATGCAGGTCGGTTCTCTACAGAGACGACAAGACGACCCTGAGTCAGAACCGCTAGCTCCAGAAAAGACTACAAATTCAAGTAGTGCGCCCAAACCGGGTTCAGACAAGCTGCCTCGCACCGCCGTCCTCATCCGCACATGGTCCGACTACCGCTATACTGCCGAAGACAAGATTTACCTGCGCTCCTTGATCTCTGAGTTGATGCTCTTGTCCGGTGGCGAATATGCGGTCCATTTTCTGATCCAGATCAAAAACAGCGATGAGCCCATCTTTTCCGACGATGAAACTTACGAACGCAAGTTGCGCGAATCCCTGCCCGACGAGTTTCGCGGCATGGGAACCCTGTGGAATGAGCGGCAGATGCATCTCATGTATGGCGGCCTCGAAGAGACCCACATGCGAGGCCTTCCGGTGCACGGCGTCTATCGTAGCACCTTTATGCCCGTGCAGTATTTCGCCCACCAACACCCCGAATACGATTACTTCTGGAATTGGGAAATGGACGTTCGCACAACACACCATTGGTATCACCTTTTTGATCGCGTGAGCAAATGGGCCAAGGCTCAGCCGCGCAAATTGCTCTGGGAGCGCAACAGTAGATTCTATATTCCATCTGAACACGGCTCCTGGGAAGACTTTAGCCAGATGGTCCGCATCCAGACCGAGCATGGAACTAATAACGTCAACAACCTCTGGAGCCCCCTCAACCGCGAAAAGGACCCCAACGTACCCAATGGCATGGTACAGCAAGGTGACCGACCCATCTGGGGACCCGAACGACCCAACGATGAAAAAGACGATGAAAACACCGGCTTCGATAAGGACCCGGAACCACCCACTTCGTTCGACAAGGACAAATACACGTGGGGAGTCGGTGAAGACGCCGACCTAATCACATTTAACCCTCTGTTCGACCCCGTGGGCACCACGTGGCTCCTGACCGAAGACACGACCGGGTACAACAAAGAGAAGGGCGGTCCTCCTCGACGCACCGCCATCATTACCGCGAGCCGGCTCTCGCGCAAGCTACTCGCCACCATGCATCGTGAAACGGCCATCAGGCGGCACAGTATGTTTTCGGAAATGTGGCCAGCCTCGGCAGCACTGCACCACGGCCTCAAAGCTGTCTACGTGCCACACCCCGAGTACATTGACCGCAAATGGCCCACGAATTACTTGCAATCCGTCTTTAACGCGGGCCGCAACGGTGCCACGGGTGGGGCGAGGACTTCAGTCTTTGGCGATCGGGAACACAACTTCCGTGGGACGACGTGGTATTACAACGCCGGCTTCCCCGAGGTCTTGTGGCACCGCTGGCTTGGAATGAAGATCCATAACGAGGGCGGCGAACAAGTCGAGGTCGCTGGCCAAGGCCGCATGTGTCTCCCGGGCATGTTGCTTCATCCCATTAAAAGGGTTGAGCTGGTTCAGGAGGGGAGAAAGGCCGACCAACCGGCTGGCTGAAATTTGGGATTTGTTCAACGTCACTGCAATCTATCTGTATTGAATATACCCGGCGTCTTGTGGGTTTTGGGCAGAAACTGTCTTTGGGATACGCCCTTGTGCCAACCGCGAAATGTGGGCAAGCCTGCTCATGATTTGAATGGCCTCCTTGGATCGTGGCACCATGTGGCATATGAATATTGGTCCATTGGTAGAACGAACATGTCTCCAACAGTGGAGATAGCATGAATATATTAGCAAGCCAGTTGACTGCAGATAATCATTGACCTTGTCAAATATTCTTGGAAATTTGAAGATTCCCACACGTGTTTTTTGTCCATGGCTCAGTTGCAAAGCTGGGCCGCTTTGATTTGATTTTTTGTTTGGTCCACTCTATTAAATCTGTGCCAAATGCAACGCCGAATGACCGATCGAACTTGGATTGATGCATGACCAGTGTGTTAATTAGCTATGATGTGGAGCAATAGCCATGGGCCCAAATCTTTCATCTGAACGACAGGAACAAATCAATCAAATCAACAGTTCATACTGAACTTTGGCTTTCTGTCCGCCGTGAATGAACCCCAATGCCTCTCGCTGGCAACCTGGTCATTGTCTCCGATGGCATCAGGCTTGTTGGGTTCATCGAATGCTGCAAACCAGAAGATATCAATGCCCCATTCGAGGAGACCGCACACGGCAGAGTTCCAATATGTCTCCATGTTCTCGTCGCTTGCAATGGCTGCTCCTGCGTTGGTGCCTCCTGTGCCGGGCCAGCCAGTTTCTACTACTTGTCAGAGAAGGGTCCATGTTGCTATCAAGTACCAAACTCACCTCCGTTCATAAAATGAATGCTGTCGAGACTGCCAGTAATGTCCTGTACACGGGCCAGGGCCAGTGCCATGTCCTCGAAAAAGGTCTTGGTTGCATTCTTGATGTCTTGGTATTGCCAGTAGGCGAATCCGTTGGCAAGTCTATGATGAAAGTCAGCTTTGTTAGGGAGGGTTAGAGGGTGGTCGGTCCTACGCGAGATCAATGCCGCTGCGAATGACAGCGTCCATGGAACCATTGGCCCACAAATTCCAACTGTCGGCGGTTCCAACCAGGGTATTGGGGTAGTCTCTTTTGGTTTCTTGCAGCCAGCCGACCAGTTCGTCCTCGGTGTAGGTTCCACGATATATTCCTTCAGACCCAACTGTTATTCCATACAGGGTGTCGCCAAAAGATTCCGGGTCTGCAGCGTCCAGAGCGGCCTTTTCTCTCTGCCACGCACCACCGTCCGGCCTAGGAAACACAAGTTAGAAGATGTTCAGCAGGAGGCGCGAGCGAGGTGAACGGCTGTTCTCACCACAAGCCCAAGAGAACTTTGACACCGGCGGCTTTTGCAGCGGGTAGAACAATGGAAGGGGTGTCACAAGGGTTCCCAAACATGTCACTGGACGAATATGTCCTGATGATCTCGGCATGGGAATTCTGTTTGATGGCGGCAAAGTCGTCTTCGTACTCTTGCTGAGTCTTGCATTTGTTATCAACGTCCACATTACCAACGGCGAATCCGAGAGTGCCGGCAGCGGACACCGCCAGCGGTGCCAGAGCAATCGCGGTTGTGAATATCGAATGTAGTTGCATATTGGAGCTTGGGAAAGGTAGTCTGGACGGAAGGATACTTTTGAGGCTGAAGCTGCTAGACTGGAGGTGGTAAAAGACGGATCAAGCGAAAGACAAAGGCGTTGAATGGTATGGTATCCAAGGAATGACTAAGAATGAATGAAATGCACAAGAGCAAACGAGAAGAAATGGCAGTTGTGAGAGGAACAAGATTTGTACAGGTCGTCGACAGAAAGTTGAGCTGAGTTGCGGTTGTCGACGTGAATCACAACCAACACGCTTTTCCCCAACTTCGTGGATGCTGCCCCCTGGGAATCGACGCGCCAAGCCCACGATCCCCTGAGGCTAATGCCCCTCGGCCATCAGGCTCCCGACTCCCGCTGCCCGTGGCGCCTAACCGCCTAACCGCCTAACCTATGCTAACAACCTTTGTCCTTGTCCCCTGTTCATCATTAATTACTGTATTGGCGGTACCCACTCCCGACCTGCGAAGGGCCCCTCGGCCCGTGCAGTGGGCGCCTGGGCGCCTGGGACTTTGGGATACTGCCATCAGTGGCCCATCACTACCGAAGTAAGGTACCTACTTAAGGTAAGTAATATATTGATGCCTGCATATTGCCAGTCTACCAATCTATACAAAAGGATGGCATCATGGCATATTTACAATCCAGATCATGCTTATACCCAGATGCCTCCATTGTTGATAAATTCCCAAGATCACCCATTCAGCCTATACCACGCACTGTGCGTGCCCAGCAATCCATTGATGCTCCCCGCTACTCCCAGCGTCAACGGAGTAATAGGATACCAATGGGCAACGTATAGTGGAACGACAAAATCGGTGAGATCGACCGCCAGTTGCTTGAATATCGCCTGTTGCTTCGTGGCAGGTGCACGTTGAGTCTGTGCGACATTTGCATCTTCCTTACTGGTTCCGCTGGCTTTCTCATTGACGCTTGAGCTCTGGGCAGTGGTGGGAGCCTCTGGTTGTGAATTGATGAGCTCGTAGAGTGAAATGATGATGGACACAAGCAATGAATAACCCCAGATCTTCAAGGATTCGACCTGCACAGTCCCGGACCAGGTGGTTGATGTCAGAGCGATTGCATCCGTCTATGACGAGGGTCAATCAGTATGGATTCGAATCACAAGAGAAGCCGAGGACGACTCACAATCACAAACATCTCCATAAACAAATACATGCCGAGAAGTGAGTACTTCAACCCATTAAGCAGTGCTTTGGTGGCGTCGATTGAGGTCGTTGTGGGTTTGGAGACCGAGTCTGATGAGGTCTCATTCTCGATAGAAGACGAGGCTGGTCCAGTTGACGCAATTTGAAATTGGGCTTGAGCGACAGTGAAGCAGTCAATCCACTTGAACAGGCGTAGAAACCGCCGCGCTTGTGGTTGTCAGTCTGCTTTCAAACCAATAGAGCCGAATCCTTGCCTGACTTACCGGTATTGATGTTACCCTTGGCAGCTCGCCATCTGATTGTGTCTGTGGGCTCGATAGAAAGCGACTCAATGGCTTGCAAGGAAAATTGGAAGAACTTCAATGCCTTGTCAATGCCAACTATTCAATCGAGGAAACACGAGTCAGTCTGCGAGATGACGAGATCATATATGGCACAATGCAGATAATTGCTGACAAGCTCCAAGGTTGATAATACATACCTGGGTCATTTGTAAACTTTGCTATTGGGCTCAACATTGCCACGGGAGAGTCAAGTATTTGGGGCAGAGGCGTATTTGGGGCAGAGGCGTATTTGAGAGTCGCAAGTCATACTATTGTTGCATGTCTACAAGATGGATTTTCAGACTCACACTACCTGATAAAGATTGCTCGGGTACGATGGCGCGGGGATAGAATGCCGCGGTGCCAATGTGGTCAGTGGTGGATTTGGATGGCTTGCTGCCCGAGGGGACTTCTCTCCTAACAAACAGCGGCCATGTCATTTCCACGGATGTCTCCACGACCGTTGATCGCAATATGCTCCCCAAAACAATCCTCTTGTAGTCAGCCATATACTATAAGGCAACCTAGAATCCAATATTTGTCTCCCACAGAGAACTATCATGGCTGTTGTGCGACAATCACCCACTGGGCGAGATGGAAACATAACCAGGTCGTGTCACTTGCGGAGCTGGTTGTACTTCAAATGACTTCAAACGGCAGTCGATATAGCTGAATAGAGTGATATTTTTCTACCTTGATGCGAAGACGGGTTGTCATCACAGTCTTACGATGTAAGTGTACGTTGTGATGTGTGCAACCCTCACATACCTACCTCACATATGCCTACCTAGGTAGATACAGTGCGATTGTGCCCCCGAAGTGACCGAGGGGACCTCATGGGACCTATAAGGGACCTATAAGCACCCCGAGGGGCCTAGCACACCACCACGCCTGGCCAGAGGGACGATAGCAGGCTAGACCTATTTGAGTTAGTGGAGAACAACCCAAAGTGCGTACGTGGAACTGCGCAAAGCCAAAACGTGCAAAACACCTGAACTCAAGGCACTGGTATTCCTTCACGACAACTGATTCAAACGGCTCCAAGATAGACACTTTGATTCCGGCGGGTATATTCTATTTTCTACAATCCTCTCTCATCATCCCCCGCCGCTATCAAGTCGGTTACCATGTCGGCATTCTCTCGACTTCTGGTCCTGATCGGCATCCTTTCCCTATTCCATGCGTATGTCCCATCCAATATCCATCGTCCAACTGGGATTGCTGTCCCTGTACTGACCCGAACTAGAGCCTATTCCGCCCACGAATTCGCTGCCCTGAGTAACAAGCTTCACAAAAATGCCCAACTACCTCTCGACATCAAACTCGAAACCCTCGTCTCAGTCTTCTTAGCCTCGGTGGGCCTAGTCCTGGGCTCTGACTCTCTGAAACCTATCAGCTGGAATGCTTGGGCCGGCAACATCGAAAAGCACGGTCTCGCAAATCCTTTCCACGCATTCGAGGAAAGAGTGGGTTTCATGGATATCCGAGCTCAGAGGAAGGAGTTTGCAAATTGGGCTCGTCAACAAGCAGGATCTCCCAAGAGTTGAAAACAGCCTCGTGTCCATTCCCAGCGTCATCCATTCCAGCTCTCAATTCCTAGCGACTTGCGCCATTCTTAATCGCGACGAGAACGATTTCCTACAAACCCCAAAATAACATAGACCGCAATGTACTCTCGAATAATGACTTGACGTCCTTAACCACGTTTCGCCGCGACGATTCCTATTTACCCTGACATCAGGATCATATCTGCAGAAACAGATGGACATTTGCACAGTTCCATTACAAAGTTATAGAATCTTGAAGTAAGCCCAGGCTGCAAGAATGAACACTCGACAAGTGATGGATTCAACAATTCTATTCGGACTATATTGTCCGACTGATAGAAACAAGACTCCACGCCAGGCCTTTTGCCTGGTGACAAGATCGCCTTCCCAGCGTCACCAGTGACCACTTTGTTCTTGATTCATCCCTCTAGTGCGCCTAACGCCATGCCCAAGGCCTTGCCTCATGTCATTCCATGCTGATCACATCACCGATCCAACTCCGACGCAACCCCAAAAGAAGTCATGATATCGTTCCCTGTCCACGCTGTGCCCAAGATGATGGTATTAAATGCTCTCATATCACAACATAGAAAATCCGACGCCCAGAACCACCAGGGCCAACCCGGCGCCTGCGACCTGGTTTGAAACAGCAACACCAGTGGCAACTGCGAGGGACGCACTGGCGCTCCTAGATCCTGATACACCCCCGTCTGTACTTTCGACAGGCACTGTGCTCGTGGCTAGTGTGGTTGTGGCATCGTTGGTAGAGGTCGATTGGGCATTCGTGCTCGTCGTCTCATTTCCATACCAATATCCTGACAATGTAGGATTTGTTGCTGCGGCAGGTTGCGACGTGACCAGTTCGGGTTGGCTGGTGACCACCGATGGTTGACCGGTGATGACACCTAGGGAGTCGGTCTGGGTTGTGTAGATGGTAAAAGGGTTCTCGTAGGACCCAGAGCTGCTGGTGATTGCGCCGCTGCTCGTTGGGAGTGGCGTCTCAGGCTCGCCCGTCGTTGGACTTGACTGAGCCGACGCAAAAGAAGCAAGGAGAGTGAGAGTGGAGATGAGGATGGTAGTGGGAGCGGAGGTGTGCATTTTGCCTAGGAGAATGAGGGTGCGATCTTCTGACTTTGCTTGGATGTGTTTCTGCTCGTGGCTTGTGGCTTCAATGAGATGTATAAGGTGAGTTGGGATGGAACGGGAATCTTCCTCTCCAGGTGCTGGATTGTGGCCTTGAAATAGTAGTATAGATCTCAGTAAAGACTGTGCACAGTCCTGCTGTTCGCAGATCTATATATGTCGAGATGGGTTTGACAGAAGCACAACAAACTGATGTCTAGCAACCCAGCCAGCCCGGCCGGTTCCTGGCATACGTCGTCGTGGTTGTGCGACAAATAACAACGACCAGATTGAAATCCAACGGCAAACAATACCAACCTCTCTATCACCATGTACTCCGTATGCGTCGTCGACGATGCTAATGACAATGCTGGAAAGAAAAACCCACCTCCAAATATGCCCCTCCTCCTTGCTTGCGGGTTGAGCTGCTGTCGCATTGGGACACGAAGGGGAAAAAAGCCACATCCCCCCCTGGGTTACATGGGAATGGAGCAGACTGTGTTGCCGCACGCGAAAGCCAGCCCGAGCGGTTGACGTTGACGTGCAGAAATCGATCCAGGGGCGAGTCGACCGTCTAGCTGCTTGCGGTTAAGCGGTGGCTGAATTCGGCCTTGAAAAGTTGGGAAAGGACCGAAAGTCAAAGGGTTGGGCGGGTGATGGCTGGTGCGTTCTCCAGTTATGGAGCCCATCGCCCGAGGGCCCCTCGGACCACCAAACCAGCCCAACCAGTGGGCACCCGTAGGCGCTCGTGGCCCCGTGGGTCCCTAAGTCGTAGCCCCTCGGCCTCCAAGAACTGACGCCACCCATAGGATTTTCAAGGTGGCGCCGGCATAGACTTTTAATGGGATGAAAATTGTTTCTTTCCTCCAACTCGAGCCACCTAACGCTTACGTACGGAGTATATGCATACATGGAATCGATGATTTGATGAGCCTGTACTGCGTTCATGCTGCCTTTAAACGAGGGCCATGTCATACAGAGCAGTGCCAAGCAAGCCTCGTCACTCATGATCGAGTTGCTAACCCCAACGCCAGTGCTCAAATTTAGATACAAAGCCACGCCCATCTCACAATCGTCGGATTCCAACACGCGGCTGTCCTCGTCTCGTCGCTCCGACATTGGATACTTTTCGTAGAGCAGTTGGCCGCGGCACCTGACCCACAGTCTTCTTCATCTCGGCAGATGCATTCTCCTTCTCGTCCGCTATGTCTGAGGTCGACACGGAACACCTGTCATCGACCGCCGTTGATGCATGTATGTGCTTGGGTGATTTCCTGCGATTTGTCTCGTCATTGCAGTCCAGCTGGCTCGATCCGTCTGTCTGAATGTGATGCGTCGAATGCGGGTACAAATTCTCGGAGCTTGTGTTTTCACCTGACTCTTGGTGCACCAAAATGTCTGCTAATGGTCGCTTATTCTTGGTATTGGCTTGCACGTGGTCCGTCGACATCATACGAGGCTCGTTTTCCTTGGTGTCGTCTTCCTGTGCATCATTTTGTTGCGAAGGACATTGACTATGTAATGTGGCTGCGTTGGAGCCGAGGACAGCCAGGTCTTCGGCTTCTTCTCCGCGCTTTTTCGCAACCCCCACCTCGTGTCGTAGATGTGGCGGTATCGGGGCGTGTATTCTCGTCATGAGTTGTGCTTGCTTGGAGAAAGCATCGTAGTCTTCCTGGATCAAGGCACCGGCTGCTGCGTTGAGCGCCGAGTCTGGGTTGGGCTGGATCAACAAACATGAGATGGTAACGAGAATGTCCTTGAGAGTCAATTTAGGATCCCAATCCCTTTTGAGAGTCTCCAAGCAGACTGCGCCAGTAGTCTCGTCAACATTGGGATGGTAAATTCTGGTCTTGAACGTCGCTTTCGGTGGGTTCCTGGGGTAATCCTGGGGCATTTTGAGATGGAGGCGCCATAGGCCTTGAGAGTATGGGGTGCCTTCGGCGCCCGTTATCAGCACGACGAGTTGTGTCAGGTCATCGGGGACTGAGGATAGATCATCGGTGTCTGGGAAAAAGTAATTCGGGGGAGGGTCGTTTCGTAGCAATGCATGATCCTTGATCAGTCGTCGAAGTGAGGACGCCTAGTCGATGTTAGAAATGGTGTTGGTGTCATGTCTCGCATGTATCCAACCACGATATATGGAGATCAATATGGCCTCGGTCGGGGACATTGGGACTCACCATGTTCGCAAATTCAGATGTACTGCGAGACTATCTGGGGTTTGGGAGGATCATAACTGGACGGGGGACAAAAATGTTTACATGCGATGGGGCGAAGAACGCGCTTTGGAGTCAACGGGGGTTGAACCCGCGACTTGAGTCAGGGTTCTGGGGCATAAAGCAGGAACACGTGTCAGCACGTGTCAAGCGAACTTGTGCCTTTTGAGGAGTATACTTGGTTTGCTACAATCCCGTGACTTGTCAAGTTTTTCCGACTGTCAATGAGTGCATATACGAGTACCTCCGTAAGAGCGTAAGAGCGTAAGAGCCTGGAGAGTGCCCTGGAGAGAATGCCTACTACCTAAGGGGTCTACATGCGAGTGCATATTCCAGGAGGGCGGCATTGGTGGTATGTTGAATTCTTCCCATATGTCTACTTGTACAGCTTTATCCGTTCCCTTTCTCCATCCCATACGAACGCACCAATCCAGATTCGCATCGGCCCGGCCGGTTTTCTTGGTTCAAAAGTGCGGTAAGTTTTCTCAGGTCTTGCCCCACGCCACATCACTAACACCATGGGAGAAGTGTAGGATTGGTCGAGGTTCAATCTGACGGTGAGAACCTGTCCTTTTGTCAGCTTCCCCTAGAGGGTCAACCTTGGTACCCAGTCGTACCAGTTACCTTTAGAATTCTGACTCACCCGCACTCTCAACGACGCAGGGTTTGCAATTCTGTTCAGGCACCCCGCCGCTCTATACCTCGTCAAGAGACATTCAGAGGGCAAAGGCCAACACCGCCTGTGGACCCCAGGGACCTAAAGGCGTCAATGACGCCGACCAGATAACCAGATTGAGTACGTCCATGCGTTGCTCTAGCCTCCGGACGGTGTAGCATCGCAGCCCTTTCCACACCTTGCGCGAAGCAAGAAGCAAGAAGCTCCCAGAGCACTCCTCGAGCCTGTCCCACGCAAGGGATCTTCAGCGTTTCCAATTCCATTTCCACTGCCATCTCAACATCACGACCTGACAGTCCCTGTGGTCATCAGCTCCGTCATTTACATACAATAATCTCCGCAAGCCATCTTGTAGCCCGTTTCTGCTTTATTCTTATTCCCAGTCGCAGTTTCTGTCTTGTCCCTCATCACGCGCTGCGCCGCGTCGCGCTGCGTTGTTCGGCCTCCGACTAGTCGCTGATCTTTGTGGTTCCTACGCTCGCGCCAGGCTTGCTCAATGCTAACCGACTGGACCGCCTCTCCTCTCGTACGTCGGAGGTCCTTTTGACATGCCGCCACACGCCATGTGGCCACCACAACCACTTCCGTCCCGCAATCTGCCTCCACCTCACGTACGCCAGCCTCCTGTTCACGATGCATCCGGTAACCAAGGTGCTCCACGCCGAACCAGAGCAAGCAAACCTAAGGCAAGCTTCATTTCGCTCCTTTCCCGGATCCGCCGCTGATCTTTCTGCCAGGTTCGGACTGGCTGCAAGACGTGTAAGGTACGCCGATCCACTTACTTCCAAAGCCTGTGTGTGTGCCCATCGGAAGTGCATGTCGTTGTTCGACCAGCCACGATCCGGGTCCTGTCACAAGTGAACAGCTGAACCCCCGTGACCCCCCACAAGACTATGTCTAATTAAAGTGGTCCCTCAGATCCGCCGGGTCAAATGCGACGAGACCAAGCCAAATTGTACGTTGGATTGACCACCATCTTTAGATCTGACCTTCGTAACTCACATGATCCCCAGGCAATAGATGTACCTCCACAGGTCGCAAATGTGATGGGTACCAGGCCCATGCCAAAGACACTTTGACGCGGTCACAGTCAACTGACACCTTGCCACCGGACACGTCCGGTCCCACCCTTCAACCACCTTTTCTTCCAGTTTCAATCTCCAAATCATTCCAAGGAACTGTCCAACAACGACGCACCTTTTATCGTTTTCAGTACTGCACCATCCCCGCTCTTGCTGGCGGATCTGAATCAGGCTTTTGGACCAAGCTCCTCCTCAGAGTGGGCCAAGAGGAACCAGTGGTTCGCAACGCCATTATTGCGTTGGCGACATTGCATGAGGACTATCAGGAACGTTGTGGCAAATACAACCTTCAGCTGATAGAGGATCCCAGTTACCGCCACGCTCTGGGGCTCTATGGCGCCTCCTTGCGAGAATTGAATCAACGGTTGAACCAGCCATCGAGGACCAACGCGAGACTCGCCATCATTTCAAGTATATTATTCACCTGTTTTGAAGTTCTCCGTCGCAATAACATGGCTGCCGTCATTCACTATCAACAAGGCATGAGAGAACTGATTCGCCAGATGAATCTTCCCCAAGGCGAGGACACCTCGCTAACACCCTACTCACCCCAAGAGTACCAGACCTCACGCGCCAACTTTCGACAAATTCCGGAGAATGAGTTGGATGAGCTTCTAAGAGTCTTTGCTCGGTACGACATTCAAGCTTGCACCTTCTCCAAACCTCGAGCGGAACCTCTGAATTTCCCCATCAATGCCCTGCCTCGCGTGCAGCCTACCAATCTCACCTTGACTCAGGTTCGCACTCATCTGGACAACTTGCTAGTATCTGTCTACCAGCTCGTGAAGTCTGACCTGAAGATGTTCCGATATTGGGACTCAGAAGCAGTGCCCCTAGAATGGCGACTTCAGAGGGAACAAGCTGTTGGGGTCTTCGACGCCTGGCTGGCTGCCCTCGAAGACTTCTTCCAGCTTCATGAGAAGAACCTAGGTCTCGCAGAACTGAGAAGCTTGCTCGGGTTAAGACTGCAAATCAGGACCGCAGTCATCATGCTCAAGGTCAGCATAGATTGTGGGCCAGAAAGCACATTCGACCGATTCAACAAGGAGTTTGAAGACATGATTTCGAGGGTGGAAGGAATGACAACAAAGTTTCAAATGGTCAATGTCCTACCCCTGGCACTGGACAAAACGCCATTTACCATGGAACTTGGTGTCGTTCACCCTCTTTTCTTTGTGGCGTGCAAGTCTCGAGACCGGGCTCTTCGCAGACGTGCCGTTGAACAGCTGAAGAAGGTTGGTAAAGAAGGCGTATGGGAGGGACCCATTATGGCCGTGCTGGGAGAAAGAATCGCAGTCCTGGAGGAACAAGGCGTGGAGGAAGGTGGGGTCATCCCAGAGGCCAATCGATTCCACGAGATTAAGAAGATTGTGGATTACGACAGACGACTTGTGTTTTGGGAAGGCAACAGACTCCTCGATGTGAAAGGCAGAACATTCAGCGTGCACAGGGAAGCGCTTCCCTTCTAAGACATGTGCAAAAAGAATTGTTGATCCTTACCTAGTCTTATAAGCTGTACGAATACACATAAGGGTACCTAATGTACAGTAGAGTCGGTTTCAAGTGGCAAGGCACAAGCAAGCTGGAAAGTCATTGAGAAGGAGCATCGGAGAATTTTCTCAGGCTAACATGGATTGGGCCCGTTAGGCGTTCATCAGCCACTCACCGCGTGCACGACAAGCCAAATGTGGGCACCCGTGCCGTCCTTAAAGTTGGCATTGTGGCCCTGAACTGTCCGCACGGAAAGCACCGTTCCACCGCCGCTAGCCCACCAATAACGACACGCCAACGTGGTCGAGTTAACCCTGGCGGGGAAAGGCTTCGGGCGTGATCAGCCCCTAACTGGCCTAGCTCCCCTCCAAACTGCTCTAATCCCTCCTAATCCACTCTAATTCGCCTCTGTCCACTTTCAACTACTCCGTAAGATGACAAGTCGTCCCTGGCCCAAACGCGTTTCGCTTGCTCAATCTTAGAGAAACTTGACTGCGATTAATCTACTCGGAGAAGATCTGTCGTCTGTCAATCCTGCCCACCGTCAACTCTACCCTTTCTCCAGATTTTCCACAACTGCTTTCCAGAACCTCGATGGCTTTGATCCAGGTTCGTTGGCCCCGGATTCTGCTGCAGTCATTCCCTCACGACAGTCTGGCTTCGACGACTTGCACCTACCACCACCGTTCATGACTCTGGAGAAGCTCCCTTCAGACTTGAACCACGAGCCTACAGCTCCATTTTCTCTTCACCAACACCGCTCCCTCAGCCATTCCTCGACCAATTCTGACGACTGGGTTTCTCCATACACCCTTCCTCCCTTGCCCGTCCTCCCGCGAAACCGCGGCCAGTCCGAAAACTATCGATCCCCTGAACTTCCACATCAGCGCGTCGAAAGTGGATCTTACTACGCTGCTGCTTGGGGTTCGCCATACGCCACTCCTTCTCCTCGAGCTGCTCAACCGATCTCGACACTACCAAAGCGAAACGCCGATTTCGAGTTCTCCTCGCCACCACTGCCTCTGTCACGCCCAGAATTGGGCAGAAATTCAACCGACCATCCTCGTCGCAAACCTCTCTCTGAACGTCCAAATTGGTTGAGTGACTCTGACGAAAGCCAGCCAGACACGAGTGTCGCGCAAGAGCAGACCCCGAGAGGATTGGTGAAAACCACCAGCTGGGGCCCATCTCCCATCTCCTCTTCCCGCCCAAGACACCGCATATCAGAAAGCCTTGCCACCATCACCCCGGAAGGTTTCCATGAATCCACAAACACCACACTCGAGTCAGGAAGTCCCCACTCTTTGACCAGCAAGAGGGTTGCAGATCTGAAAATGGTGTCGACGGAGAAGCCACTCCCCCCTCTGGACCGTCGATCCTCTCTTGTCGAACCAGAATCAAACTCTTTCGAGCTTTCGACCTCGCCGACCCGACCTCGCCCATCATCCCTCCAATCATACCAGCGGCAGAAGAGAAAGGTTGCATGGAATGGCAAAAATTGCATCATCTCCCTGCCTCCTATAGATCGTCTTGGGGCAGGCTTACCGCCGTTACTGACGCCTCAGCAAGTGCAAGAACGCATCGACAAATTCGTTGCCGCTGGCTATAGGCTCGAGGGGTTCGAATTGACTGGTGGCATCGTTAGCTCAGAGAATTCTGGCCAAAGTCGTCCCATTTTCCCTGCTGACGTCGACACTTACTCCGACGTCAAGAAGTCACGCCGATATGAAGTTCGAATTCCAAATCAGGCGGAATGGGAAGCCTGGGTCAACCTTTTGAAAGAAGAGAAGCTTCGAGCGCTGGGCGTCAGTCCAAGCAATTCCGAGGCACCACCATCAACACAGTCACCCTTCTCGCCTAATATCAGCCGTGTGTCTTCAGGATACCCTGGTCTTGTACCATCGCCGCCCATTGCACCGTCCTCATCCGCCAGCAACCCCATGCGTCTTACAGGCACCGCAATCTCCCCTTCACTCATCTCATCCTCTGGCCTTAGTCCGCAGCCTGGTTCTGCGAAGTCGGCACAGTTCAATGGTCTGCCAAAGTCGCTGCATGGTTACAAGCAATCCATGGCACCGCCTAGCAATCGTGGTCGTACCAGCTCTCCATATGACCATGTCATGTCTCATTCGGTCTCGTTGGGCCCCGGGATGCCACCTATAATCCAGCCGTTATCGTCTCGTCAGAACAGCTTCTCGCCTGGCCACCCTCTCCATCTACCAAACATGGGAGAAATTTTGTCTCCCATCCAACAACAGCATGTATTTGACCTGCGTGGACAAGGGCCTTCTCTGCCAGCGGCTCAGGTCCATCACACTCACATGCCTTCCCAGGCACATTTCAGCCATCTCTCTAATACTTTTCGAAACCTTCCCAGCCCTCAGAATGCTCCGCGACACGACCACTTGCCGAAAACTCCAACTCATATTGGTCCATCTCGCTCACCCATTGAAATCGCACATCCCACCCCCAAAAGCCACCGTCACAATCTGAGCATGGCCTTACAAAAGGAGATCGATGAAGCAGAAGCTGCGGCTCGCGAGCAGGATAGTGACCGTGATGTCAAGGAGACCGAGGTTCTTGCAGACAGCCGCAGCCCCGCCCTTCGAAGAGACTCGGCCTGGGAGGGGTCCGTCAACGACGAGCCGCCAATCTTGAGGCGTCCGGAGACCATTACAGACGAAAGATCCGAGATTGAGACCAATCCAAGCATAGCAGCTACGCCCATGCTGATGGATGATAAAAATCCCTTTTCAAACTGGCAGACCTTGAGCGATGCTGCGAAAGGAGATCCTCAGCCTGACGACAAGCCATCCAGTGCTGCACCTCGCACGGCTACGAAGTTGAATGTCCAAGCCAAAGAGTTTGATCCCCGAGGAGCCTTCTCCAGTGCGAATTTTGCCGATAGTGGCATTTCTTCCGCACCATTTGGACTTCAACCGGCGGTCCAACCTTTCGCAGCGAAACCCCCTAGGCTTCCCGGCAAGAACAAGCTATCCATATCTCACCTTAATGCTGGTGCGCCAACCTTCACGCCTGGCAACCTGAAAAGCCCTCAAAATCCGCCGATTCCTGAGGATGAAGCTCCCGTCACCAGCAAATCAGCCCCGTTCGAATTCACTGCCGCCACTCAGTCGACACAAGCAACCTCGTTTGGGTTTTCCGCGGCACAATTCAACGTGGCTGCGCCTGTGTTTAATCCTTCTAATTCACCAACCACAAACTTCAAGACCATGGTTGGTCATGACAAAGAGCCACCTGCGAACAGCATCTTTGGACCCGTTGTCATAGATCCCAACTCCGCAGCGACGAGGCGGGCAAGCAAAGCCATCCCCATCACTCAGCCACGGATCGAACCGATGACGGATGAAGACGTCGATGGGCGACCCATGGCATCAATTGAGCGACAGAAACGCGCGCGACGAACGGATAATGATGGCAATGAAAGTCCATTGTATGCTGATTCGGCCCCGTTCCGCCATTCGACATCTCCCCCAAGAAGTGTTGAAGGAAAAGAGGCAAAGAGTTCTCAGCCGAGCCAGGCCGATGAGACGTTTGATGGATGGTCGTACATTTCTGCTAACGAAGAAGAGCTCAAACCGACGGACCAGCCAGTATCGCGAAGCCACTCCAGAAGCCCTTCAGTAACCGTCACCATGCCATTCTCGTTCAAAAATGAGGTCGATGCAGCCACGTTCAACCAAGCTCTGCCGCCATTAGATGACTCTTTGCTGGTTGGAAAAGACGAAGACGTCAAAGATCCCGTCGACAACTCACATGTCGAAAAATCACATGTCGACCAAGCTCCGGAAGCAATTGTCAGCCCCCAACAACCCAAGTCATCTTTGTCGGCCCTGGCAACGCCGTTTGAGATCAAGCCCCGAACGGTCGATCAAACTCCCACAAAATTGCATACAGCCCGTAAGCCCAAGGGGTTAGAGGCCTCCCGTTTTGCTATTCCCCAAAGCCCCGTGCAATCATCTGCAGGCCCCAGTACCAGCCTTTCCTCACCTCCAGCAGAGCTGTACTACTATGAGCAAAAGACCGAGCCCGAGGAAGCTGAGGCCGAAGGCCAACACGATACGCCGACGCCCCCGGAAGAAGCGCTCGAGTCCGTCCCCAAAGACGATGACACGAAGAGCGGCTCTGAAGCTCCTGCTGCTGATGATCGCCTGCTGGACATTGAAACTTCTCCACGTCCCCCAGTGGAGTACGCTCGTCCTCAAAATGAGGACGTGGAAGAGATCGATGGGCCATCGTTCGAGGAAATTGACGCAGTCATGAAGCGGTTCGAAGAGGATCCCGAGCTCGGCATCGAACGTCTCGATACCCCGTTGCAGTCGACGCCTTTTATTAACGAGCCTTTGGTTGGGACGCTACGCAGTAGTGCCCCGAGTCCAAGCCCACCAGTAAGCCATGACGTGAGGGATAGACAAGAAGAGTCCAAGTTCTTGCCATCTACGGGGCTAGGAATTGGTATTCACAACCTCAACGCGGGGAGAGGGGACATTAGCGATTGGGGTGGCGTTCTCCCGAGAGACGAAGAGGACAAACTCGAAATCAGGTCTCGATTTTTCGATGGCCACGTCAACGACCTGGTAGGCGGTATTCTAGAGAATCGCATTGGCCCACTGGAACGTACGCTGGAAACAATGCAACAGTCTCTAGCAGTGATTGCTGGTGGCCTGAAAACAAAACCTGAGATGAGAGGCTTCTCAACTGATGGCAAAGAGTCCGATGCAGATGATGAAGATGAGTATGATGCCTTTGAAGGGTTTTCGCAATATAGAGCCCGATCACCTGCTGCTCGACGAGATGTCGTCCGACAAGATCGAATTCGAGCTGCCGTCTCAGAAGCATTGGCCAGTTTTCGACCGCCAACACCGCCTCCGCCTACAATGGACTTGGCAGAGTTCAACGATATTCTCCAAGAGATACGACAAGTTGCCCTACAGACCAACTCTCTGAATACTCAACATGAGCTTCGGACCATCGTGGAGGATGTCATTTCCAATCACCCAAGATTGCGGGGAACCAGAGTGCAGAAAGATCACGAAGCTGCCGAGATCAGACTTCAGCCAAAGATCGATGGACTGGAATCGATGCTAGCAGTGGCCAAGGAGCATGCCTCGGAAGAAGTTCGTCTGAGGAGAAGAGCTGAGGAGGAAATGGGTGAGTTGAAGATTCGTCTTCGTATCGCCGAGCAAGAGGCAGCTCAGTATCGCGAGTCATCTAAAGAGGCCGAACAAACCCTACTTGCATTTGTCGAGGAAAAGAAATCCTACAAAAGCCTGGAAGAGCAACATGAGAATTTTCTGTTAAAGAATGCCGCTCTAGAGACGACATTGGAAGAATACCGCATGTCGAGCGACCAATGGCGTGAGGACATTCGCGAGGAGCGTTCTAAGAACAGCGCTCTGAGAGAGATCCTCCAAGGACTACACGGGCAATTGGAAGACCAATCTCAACTACGCCAAACGTTCAGGCAAAAGGTGGAACGGCTACAGGAAGATCTCACTCGCGTTGTCCAAGACTCACAGTCTGATCAAAATGATTGGCGAGCGCGAGAACATAAACTTTTGAGCAAGCTTGCCTTGGTCGAAGACACTCTTGCTCAGGAACGACAGCACCGTGCAAAAGCTGAAAATGAGCTGTCTATGGTTGAAAGCGAACTGAAAGCAAGCGTCGACTTCAAAAGTGCTTTCGAGAATGCGACGATTGATATTGCTCGACTGAATGAGACAATGGCAAGCCTCAGAGAGGAGAACAGAGCGCTAGATACCAAATGCTTCAGCTTAGACCGAGAACTAGATCACACCGTCAAGACAAGAGATGCCGAAGTGGCGACGAAGACCACTCAAGTACAAGCTGAACTTGAAAGCGTCAGGGGACAGCTTGACAGTATTCGGACTGATTCAGAAGCACAGATCTCCAGACTTCAGAGTCGACTTGATCATGCCGAGCTGGATATCGAAGATCAGAAGGCCAAACATGATGCCTTGCTCTCAGAGATGGTTGAAAACCACAAGGAAACCGTTCGCGAGATGAATGAAAAACGAGAGAGCGCATTGGAAGAGCAGCACAAGCTACATGAGAAGAAGCTCAACGATCTTCGAGAGCGGCATACTCGAGAATTGCACAACTCGTTTGACAACCGTACCAGACTGGAGCACCAGCTCAATGAGAGACTTGCCCTTGGACAGGACAAAAACAAACACCTCGAGAGCAAAATTGCTGATCTTGAGGAGAGACTGGAAGCCGCCAGGGCGGCTGTCCGGGCCGCGGCTGAAGCAGCTATAGCCAAGGGAATCAATCTTCCAACGCCAGCACCCTCAGTAGTTGCATCTCCGCCACAGCGTGCAGCAAGTGGCTCGATCTCATTTGTCAAAAACACGGATGTGCCAGAACGAATTTCGCCACAGGCACTCAGGGAATCGATCATGGTCTTGCAAGATCAGCTTCAAAACAGGGAGCTTAAAATTGAAACTCTCGAAAACGAGCTCGCAAGTGTGGACAAAGACGCCGCTCGAAAGATCAAAGAGAGGGAGACAGAGATTGGCTGGCTCCGAGAATTGCTTGGAGTTCGCGTCGATGATCTCGAAGTCATTATTTCAACACTATCTCAGCCCGACTTTGATCGAGAGAGCATCAAAGATGCCACGATCCGACTGAAAGCAAATCTCCAGATGGAGCAACAGCTTAAGGAACGAGCCCAGGGATCGTCGCTGGGATCCCTGCCATCGATCGCCACGCTGACGAGCTATGCCCAGTCTCCGCGAGCACTGCCAATGGCAGCAGTCGCAGCATTTTCAAACTGGAGAAAAGTACGGGACAGTTCGATTGGGACCATTTCAGATTTGGCTACGGGGGTCACCAATCAAACACCATCCAGGTCGACCATTGGTAGCCCTTCCAGTATATTGTCTGGAATCATGACACCCCCAAGCACCAGCCAGAGGCAATCGAGCTCAAGTGAACGAACAGCGCCTCCTCCCGCCATGAGGCCATTAGCTGGGGTAGCGGGACAAACACGCAAGAGCAGCATAGAAGCGCGACCATTGAGAGCTTACAACGCTCAAGCTCGGACGTTATCTAGTCGGCAACAAGAAACGCGAGGGGAGGCAGCAGGATCGTATCCTCTCCCACGAGCAGATTCCCCCCAAACACCAACTCAAAACAAAGGGCCCAGCCTGGACTTTGGCGAAGACGTGGACGAAGATGCCTCACCACTTGATGGACGGCACAGCGCACATCTCGAAGAAGGCAATCCAATATGTGAATAAAATTTTGGTGGCCATGGCCATGTTACCACCAAGCGGCGTACAAATGGACCTCTTAGCAAGCGATTGACGACACAATTTTCGAAGACGGGGAGATTGCAGGAACACCTATCATGGATGTGTCTGGTTTTACCTTGGTTCAACCTTTCTCTCTGTGTTGGGACGACGGAGGATTTTCTTTTTCTTTCTTGCATAGAGGCATTACAGCATAGCGGAGATTGGCACATTGACAGCTAGCTAGTTACATATTGATCAGGGTTACGAGCGGGGAATTCTTGCAGGCGAGATGTTGGACTTTGTTGCTTGGAATGTGTTGAGTCGGCTCAGTGCTGAGGTTACTGTCAAATATGCAAATTACAAACAGCACTCCACTTTTTCTTTGTTTTTATACGAATACCCAGATAGCGCAGTACGAGGAGGGGAAGCTTTCTTTTACAATCATGATGAAATTTGTGCAGAAACACGTCGGAGGCAGTGCATGTTATACACATACGCACTTATCGATAGGTAGGTACCTATTAACCTACGTACACATGTGCGTTTCTTATCTCACTCGAGGCCCGAGGGGCCCCTCGGCCTCCAATTGGAGGGTTTCGAAATGTATCTTGGGTCTAACCGATTTTCGTATTCATGGACCATGATGAAGACGGGCCGTGGTCCTTTTCGTCATTGACTAACATTGACCATCGTACACACGCAGCGACTGGACTGGGCCCTGGTCATTAAACATTTATCTTTTGACTACCTCCTTAATTCCAGGGAGTCCTAGGTGGGCGCATACATAATGTCCGACATCAAATATATAAAAGACGGGGGGCAACGCAGCCGTGCACCTCGTCTGGCAAACCGTCCACAGTCCACGTGAACATAATCTCACAAAAGGCCCAAAATTCAAGACAGTAACCATGGTGAACCTAGACAGTGTGCGTCTCGAAAATGCTCACCTGGTCCAAAGTCGTCCTCTGGTGGCTGTCTTCTCAGGCGTCACCTCAGGTATTGGCATGTCGACACTCTTGACACTTGCAAAGACTCATTCCACCACGGGAAAAGGCCTACGCGTCTACTTGATCGGTCGAAACAAAGAAAAGTCGGCTGAATTGATTGCCCAATGTCGAACTCTCTGTCCAATAGGCGACTTTCGCTTGATACAGGTCAATGATCTCTCCCTCCTTGGTGAAGTCGACCGTGTCTGTCAAGATATTGTTGGACAAGAAACGCAAGCTCAGACTTTGGGGGATTCTGCTCCAAAAATCGACCTTTTGGTCATGAGTCAAGGCGAGTTGTCGCTTGAGCCGAGAACCGAGACGGTCGAGGGTCTCGAGTTCCGGGTGTCACTGCTGTACTATTCACGCATCAAGATGATTGTCAATCTACTTCCTCTACTGACGGGGACCGCAAGAGACAAAGACGACGCTGCACACGTCATCTCCGTCTTTGCTGCTGGCAAAGAAGGAGAACTATACCTGGACGATATTTCGCTACGGGATCCGCAACACTGGGGCGTCGGCGGCACTCGCTCGCACGTCACGTACATGACGACCTTCATGTTTGAGCATTTGGCCAGCCAGTATGAGGGCAAACTGTCTTTGGTGCACGTCTTCCCAGGCTTGATCCTCACCGATGGCTTTGACAAGATGCCACTTTGGTTTCGCCTCATCTTTCAAGCCTTGACCCCAATTCTGAGACTCTTTGTTACCAGTCTCGAGGAGTGTGGCGAGAGAGTCTTGTTCCTGGCGTCTCAAGCTCGATTCCCGCCAAAGCCAAAGGGTACAGGCCATGACACCATCGCTGCCGACGGTCTAGCCGAGTCATCCCACAAGCTTCCAGTCGCCCTCGGTACTGATCTCACGCTCGGCAGTGGCGCTTATAGCGTTTCTCTCGATGCTGAAGTCACTCCAGAGGCACAAATGCGCAAAACCTACGACCAACTGCGCGCTGATGGTGCTGACCAGGCCTTGATTGCTCATACAGAGAAGGTCTTTGCGGAAATCAAGGCTGGCAGGAGATTTAAGGATTAGGGGATTCATACACCGGCTTTTGGTTAATATTGTAATCTACCTGTTTACCTCATCTTTTCATCTACAGCAACTATTGTACAAATGCGAGGCTCTTTATAAATGTATGGAGATCGTGTAAACTATGTCGTAGCGTCATCCGATCCTCACAAGAAACTGTTTCCCCAATCAATGACCATTCAGTTCTGGCAGATGTTTCAGGCGGAACAAGTTCTTTGCATTTGCTCTTCCAATCTTTTCCTTGTCATCCTCTTCGAGCTTCAAGCCGTCGAACCAAGTGCATGCGTCTTCGTAACATTCAAAGGGATAATCTGTTGCGAACATGATGCGGTCTGCGGAACCCAATTCGTCAATGACATATTTCAGTGTCTTTGTGGAGAAGTGTCCACTGGTGGTGATCCAGATATTCTGGGCAAAGTATTCCCGGATGGTCTTTTTACATGTAGCTGCTAGGCCTAGGGGCTTCTTAATATCTTCGAACCAGTGGTTGATGCGCCACAGGTCAAAGGGAATGTGTTCACCAAGGTGGCCGATAATGATTTGGAGCTGCGGGTGCCTGTCAAAGACGCCGTTGACCACCATACCCAGGAGATGGAGGCTAACGCCCTGGGCGAAGCTGAGTGGTGGACCCACGAGCCATTTACGGTCCGCCCATAAGGTGTCGTAGACGACACCTGTGGGCTGTTTGGGGTGCAAGTAAAAGGGGACGTTGAGATCGACGACCGTAGCCCAGAAGATGTCCCATTCGGGCTGGTCATAGAAAATGAGTGACTTTCCGTCTTGGGCAATCTGAATATCATTGACTAGTGCACCTTTGAAGCCGTACTCCTCAACACAGCGGCGCAATTCGGCGGCCGCAGTGGAGGGATCGTGCATGGGTAGAGCCGCAAAGCTGCCAAACCGGTCAGGCATATCCTTGATCTGTTGGTAGATGTAGTCATTGACGAGACGTGCTTGACGGAGAGCTTCGTCCGGATCGGCGATGTCTTGGATCCCCGGGGCTGTATAGCTTAGAATGTGATAGCCAACGCCATACTTGTCCGCATAGTCGAGGCGCAGTTTGCCGACGTCGCTGATTTCACGAACATGTTTGTCCGCGTCAACAGCGAAGAGACCAGCCCACCATTTGGCCTTTTCGGCGTATTCGGGAAGGTTGAAGTGGTCTTCGATTGTGATTTTTCCTTTCATTGTTAGGGGAGTATGGGAGTGACTGTGAGTTCCAGTTGTGGTGGGAGTGACGGGGATGTGCTTGGGTTGGGAATGTTAAGGATAAGAAGAAAGCGGAAGAGGGCATGGCGGTATCTGTTTATAAGAGAACGTTTCTGGAATCTCCTCAAGTACACGTAAAATGGGTTTGCTCTTACTGTGGTGGGACGTGGGTTTCAGGGCTGTGAAGGATTGGCAGGGTTATCTTGGATGGAGGATCTCTGCCGGTGCATGATATTGGAGATGATGGCTAAGAGACGGCTGTTGATCCTGAAGCCGCCGCTAGATTGAGAACATAGCCGCAACGGGCGCAACGGGTGTAGGTGATCCGCTTAGGATGTAGGGTAGTTGGTCAAAGGATAGAAGACGCAGAAATTCAAAAAAAGGGACGAGGGGACCCTTGGCCACTGATCTGCACCTGCACCCCGGATTTTCGACTGTGGAGAAGGTGCAACCGTCGAGGATCCCAAGATGGTTCTTGCACCATCTTGCGGCGGTGCGACGGCTGCAGCCTGAGATTATAAATGGGAGGCAGCGCAGCCAGATGCGGCCTCAGGCATTGTAACGCAAGGCTGCAAGGCTGCAAGGTTGCAAGGCTACGGGGCTGACATTGACAATCCTCATGTAACACGTAGATGAGGTTAGAATGTGAGCAAAACTCATTTTGTCTTGGTATTGATGCGACGAAAATAATACCTTGGTCAGAAACAAATCACCAGGAATCAATCTAATCCAATCTCCATCCAGATATGCTATTTGTACACCCAACATCGGCTAACCCCGCCATACCAATAGGCCCTAAGTAGAACGAGAAGCATAACATAGTGTCGTTAGTTCATTTGGCGACAATGGCCCGTTTGGTCAGGATGGCCGATGTTTCGTCCAGTCGACTCCAGTCATGAGCATCAAAACATGCTTGTCGACTCATGTTGACCGCGTGGCTGGTCCTCGTCCGCATCTCTTGCTCATATTCTTCCAAGACCTCCCGTTGGGATTTGCCCTCGAAGTATACAGCCTTGAGTGCTTGACACAGGTGGAATGCATCCAGCATTCCATGGTTGGCGGCTTCCCCTCGGTACATGACCATGGCATGTGCTGCGTCTCCCACAAGTGTCACTCGTCCTTGTTGATTATCCCATCCCAAACAAGGCCAATCTGCCAGTCTGATCTCCAGGACCTCAGCGCCGTCGGGAATAGTTTCCACTGCCTTTTTGAGGGTAGGGGCGAAGACTGATGCTCTCCTCCTCATGTCTTGTAGCCTCTCGGGGTACGTCTCTTTCACTTCGTCCTCTGGGCCCTTGACCGGCCAGGATAGGTTAATCTGAACTCGATACCTCTCATGGTCGGTGCCAGCCGTGCCATTGATTTCAGGAACCTCGAGCATCGAAACCCACATAAAACACGATGTATCTGGGTGGCAGCCCTGGAACAAGAGAGGATCCAACGCTCTCAGGGGTTGGACTTGTTCGGCCGTCATATCAATACCAGAGCCAACAAAACGAATGGGAAGTTGTCTGTTCCGATAATCGCTAGGGTTGAGGAACTTCCTGGTAGTTGAATTGCTACCCTCGGCACCAATAATCAACGATCCAGAAGCACGCGTCCCATCCTGGAAAAGAGCTTCTACACCGGTACCGTCGGGCCGGGTTTGAATATCGACCAGTCTCTTGGACCATTGCACGTGATCTTTGACACCATCTAACAAGACTGCGCGTAGTTTCTCGCGGTTCACCCTTCTTCTTTCAGAAGGAGGAATACGATACTTGGTGGAACAATCGGCTAGGTTCAAAAACAGGAAATTGCCGCTGTCGTTGCGTCCCACGGCAGGGTCGACTTGTACACCATCAATTTGCCTCATGACCTCGGGAGAGATGATCTGTTTCAGGTATGGCAGTGCCCAGTGGATGGTGATGGCCCAGCCTTGTCCTCGGGAAGAGATGCTCTCATCTCGTTCGAATATCTGAAATGGAATACCTGCCTGTCCAGGGAATTAGAGCTCGACTTTGATGGTTGATGTAAAAGATCTCACCTGCTTGAGACCATGTGCTAACGTCAGACCGACTACACCTGCGCCAACGATGATGACGCCGTCTTTTGCCATTTGAGCTGATGACTGATATATGGTAGAACGTGTTGAACGACAGTGTCGCAGCAAGAGGAGGAAATCAATGGAGTGTGGACAAGGTCAAGATCAACAATCGCAGGTTTGTGAAGAGTGCTTTGTAGATTTCATTCAACAAGTCCGAGCCAGTGACACACAATCTCAAAGTCTACAAGGGTAGAAGCCGAAGCTGATCTGAAAGAGAGGCTAGAACCCGCCGGACGATAGGGAGAATCAAGCGAGAGCAGTAAAATCTAATTAAAATAAGAAATGATGTTGTGCTGATATGCCATATGCGCCGCCACGCAGGCAAGATGGATGACTACAGTACAACACGGCAAGAGCGACGGAGGCCTGATTCATCTGGGGCATGGGAGTATGAGGAAAGAGCGATCCAAGGTTGATGACTTTGCATACGAATACTCGTACTCTGATCAGGCGGGGAAGGCACAACGTTGGCCTTGGCCTTGACACTGACATCTCCCTCTCCCTCTCCCTCCCTCCCTCTCTCCCCCTCGCTATCGGATATCTGCGTTGGTCATGCACCCGTCGTTTCCGCACCTGGACAGCGTCAGGGCCTTGCTCCCCGGCGCATCTTTATCAGCCAACCGTTACCCGTCAAAAAGCTCAAGGTAAAGTATGCCTCCATCCCCTTGGCCGCGGAAAATAACCTTGGTTCACAATATTGTCAATTGACAGCTTAGCCTGGCCCTGAACCCAATTCCTCCTCATCCTGGTATCTACAAATATTCAAGTCCATGTCTGAAGGCAGCTAGAGAGATTGGTGGATGTGAATGCTTTCAACTCTTCTCGCTGTGTCTGTTACCAACCATTGCATATCCTATTTCTCCCATCACCATGCCTTCAGCAGATTCACAACCCAACGGCCACCATGAGGCTCTCAATCCCATTCATCCCAATATGCTCGACCGGCTTGATCCCGTCTTTGTCGATCTCTATAACAAGTATGTTGCCAATACGCCTAATAAACCTATAGACCTGGCCTTCCTCCGATCCAAATACTCGGTTCTCTACTCTTATGGCACAGGCCCCGCCCCCGATGTTGCTCGCATCTATGACACCAAGATCCCCGTCGCTCCAGGCGTAGAGATCGACGCCAGAGTGTATGAGCCTTCTGCTGACGGACCCTGGCCTGTCCATGTTGACTTTCACGGTGGTGGATGGGGTCTTGGAGATCTTGACACCGAAGCCCACATCTGCAAGCATATCTGCCACAAGGCCAAGGTTGCCGTGATTGACGTCGCCTACCGGCTGGTTCCCGAAAATGTGTTCCCCACGGGCATTGAAGATTCATTCGCTGCGGTCAAATACATTTACGAGAATGGAGCACGAGAATTCAACATCAAGCCAGACAGCATTTCATTGGGTGGTGTGTCTGCTGGTGCCAATATTGCCTTGGTCTGCGCACATTGGGCTCGAGATGCACAGATTCCACTCCGTCTGATCGCGGCTGGAACACCGACCATCGATGACCTTGCCAAATACTCATGTGCCGCTGAATCTCCGTTCCCTTCGATGCAAGAGAACGAATTTGCACCCACACTCAACTGGGCGCGACTCGCGTGGTTTGACAAGCTGAAGTGGAGCTCTCTCTCGACCGATCCAGTGATTGAAAAGGAACAGCGAGCCCGAATTGGCTGGACGAAGAATCTCCTCGATGCGCCCAACTTCACAGGTTTAGCAAAGACGGTGATTTACACCGCCGGAGCCGACCCTCTACGAGACGAAGGTGAAGCATACGCCATCAAATTGGTGGAGCACGGTGTGGAGGTGGTGATGAAGCGCTTTCCTGGAGTGCCACATCCATTCATGCATATGGACAAGGATCTCTGGCAGGCGTCCCAGTTTATCGACATGACTAGTAGAGAAATTCGAGTCGCGCACGAGTAGGATCGGGACTGTGTAGGTATCATACAAGCTGTACAGCGAACGGCGTTTTTGGTGGATCTGACAACCAGGTAGTTTTGAGGAATTGAAAAGCCGTACCGTCCGTGTCTAAAAAGTGAATCGCCTCCAAAGACTCTTGGTGCCTCGTACTTGTCTTGATACTCCCTCGTACTTGTCTTGATACTCGATGCTTAGCCTCTCACGATCGGCACATACAGTAGAGGTCTCCTTCTACTCGTATGGATGGTTTTGTTTCGTCGTAAAACCACCGTAGCACCTTCTGCTTTAGGGATACACTTGTTTCCCCGCATTCTGGGTTTCCAACTCCCAGTGGCCAAGGGGCCGCCTCGGGCGCCCCATCGTTAAAGAAGCCAGAGGGGCGAGGGCGGCTGAGGGACCGAGGGGGCAGTCTAGCCATGCCCAGAGGGGCCCGAGGGGCTCATGGCCACAGATTGGACACCCCAAAAGGCGGGAAAGGCCAAGGCGCTCGGACGTTGGAGTGCTCTTGCTGATAACGAAGAACTGAACAACGAAACTGCACCTTCCCAGTTCTGTGTCGTCTTACTCGCCCTAAGGTTGCTTGTGAGGAAGGTACGCCACAAGAAGCAACATCCAACCACCCTCCAACCATCCTCATCAGCGCACCACAACCACCACCCTTCAACAACACCACCGCCACCACCTCTACCAAGACTAACCCACAGCGGGCACCAACAAGACTGACTATCTTTCATCTTAGTTTCTGGCCTTTCCACCGTCCTACTCATTTAACAAATGTCAATGCCTTTAACCTCACAGCCCTCCCATCGTTCCTTTCGACATGAGCACTAATCCTAATCGTCGCACCGTCTGCCTTCGGTGTGCTAAAATCAAACAGGCCTGTGACGGAGGCAGCCCGTGCGCCCGTTGTAAACGTCTCGATGTCAGCTGCGAACCAAACGATCCAGCAAAACACAACTCCAGCTTCTCCATCCCCATTTCAAAGCCTTCCCGCATCGTCCGAACTCACACCGGTTGTTCCAGTTGTAAGAAACGCAGGAGAAAGTGTGACGAAGCACGTCCACGATGCTCCGACTGTCGCCGTCTCTGTCTCGACTGCCACTATTCCAACCCAGTCACAGTACCTTCGACCAGCTCTGATTCAAGCCCTTCTGACCAGAGTCCCACCGCCACCATCACCACCTCCAATTCTCCTATTTCGGTACCTCATGTCTCTCAGTCTCAACCACCTCCTTTGGACCACTCCATTCTTGGTTATCCCCAGGACTCCATGACCGCATCCCAAAGTCCACACGATTGGTCCGATATTGCTGACTTGTGGCCCACCACTTCCCGATCTAACCTCGACCTCCATCTCGCCCATGCCAGGATAACACCAATCTCAAGCCCCAGCCTACCCATCATCATGTCCACCGTTCCAGATTTGTCTGCAGCCGAAGACAAATCCCTCCTCAACCACTACATGAAAGTCGTTGCCCGTGTGCTCTCTCGTCGTGATGACAGGCAACCGAATCCTTACCTGACCAAGATTCTCCCTATGGCTTTTCAGAACCAGCTCGTCATGAATGCCGTCCTGGCACTGAGCGCTAGTCATTGGAAGAAAATGCAACCAGGAATATTCCGCCGAGGAACTATTCATCAAACTAATGGTATTGCTTGCTACCCAAATACTTTCTTCCTTCCTAGCTGACCTGACCATACATAGCACTCAAATCACTGGCCAAACTACTACCTCACATTGAGAATACCTCGGCTGACGCTGCTCTGTCTGCTACCCTATTGCTTTGCATGATTGAACTCTTTGACGGAACCTCGTCCCACTGGCAGTTCCATCTCGACGGAGCTCGCCGTCTGTTGTCCGCCCTCGACCAAAAGGCCGACTGGTCACGGAAATCCGAGTTGAGAACCTTTTATCGACAGTTGTATCATTACTTGGACTCGGCCACAACTATTTCAACCTGTCACCCGCCGTTGCTCGAAGCCCCCAAGGATAGTGACAGCGACAGTGGCCCTTCTCCCGCATCTTCGCATCGAGATGACCAAGACGATGAAGAGGCTCTATATGGTGTACCCAAGTCTCTCTTCCACTTTGTCGACAAAATCAATGGTCTGGCTTATCAACGCAAATTCCGTGAAGATCCCATCTTTGAGACAATGTTTCAGGCCTCGGCGTCGAGTCTCGATAAGGAGTTGACCCAGTGGAGTCAAGAGCACCAAATTAGCGAGGCCCACGACCCCACACCAGATCAGCTCGCTGTCCGCCATGCTACGACTGCCTTTGAGCAGGCCCTCCAGCTGCGTCTCCATCAAGTGGTCAACGGCTACTCATTACAGCACGAAAAGGTCGGACAGTGTGTAGGCCAGATACTCGAATCAATCCAAGAGATCCGGTATGGAAGTCCGTTGGAGAGCAGTCTGATTTTCCCTCTCGTCATGGCAGGAGGCAGTTGCAGTACCGACAGCGAACGATTGATCATCAACGATCGCTTTCTCGTCATGGAACGCACCTTGGGCTTTCGATACATCTATACAGCCCACGAACTAGTGCAGAAGGTGTGGAAACAACGTGATACGATTCAAGATGGGGAAGACGTCAATTGGGCTGCCATACGTTATTTCCAAATCCCCGGCCTAGCCCTGGTGTGAGGCCACCCACTGGTTTGTACATTAATGACACCACTCCAAAACACCAAACAAAAAGAGGCTATCAGTGTCATTCATGCACCCACTGCTACTTCAACTGAAGCAGGCGGTAGCGTGTGCGTCGACAATTGAGAATCCTGCACCAGCTGGGCGATGTGGGCATGCATGTCATAGCCACAAATCTCTTCAATGGTCAGTTTTCCTGGCTTATCCGTCGAACTGCTCCAACCTATCCGCTCCGACAGATCTGTCCTGGCACGAGCACTTGCCGTTTGCACCTTGGTCGCTCTCGCCTTTCGGGCCCTTTCGTACAACTTGAGCTTGTCTTGAACCCCAATATGGCTATACTTTGGGCCAAAGATAATTCCCAGGGCGCCAGCGTCTTCTATTGCCATACATGCACCTTGAGACTGGTCTGGGACCATAGGATGGGCGGCATCACCTAGTAAAGTGCATTTGGCGTTGGTCCAATACGCATACTCGTCGTGGTTGTACAGCCTCCACATTTTGATGTCCTCTGAGTGCATAAAGAGTTTGTGCAGTTTGGGGTCGAGATTGGGAAACGTGGCCACGAGATTTTCGGGTGTTGTGGAGATGTTCCAACCATCCTCGCGCACATTGTTCAGTTCTGAGGGATAAAAGCAGTAACAGGAAACAACATTGTTGTCCGAGCATGCGGAGAGAACAATCTTGTTGATGCCGAAACCGCCCCAAAACTCGATGGCATTGTTGTTGAGGTATTCTTCAAGACCCAATTCCTTCAACTTGTCGGCGCTGATGATGCAGCGATAGCAACACGAGGTTGAGGCGACAAAGTGAGGAACGACACCGATCTGCTCCCGAGAGACTGATCGGATTCCGTCGGCGCAGATGACGGCATCGGCGGTGATGGTGTTTCCATTTTCAAACAGGACAGAACCGGCTTCAGGATCAACCTCGACGGCCTTGTGCCAGGTTTCTAACTTGCACGGTGAACCTTTGCCGGCGTCTTGGATCGCAGTCTGCTTGAGTAGATTATGGATGTCGATACGGTGGAAATTGTTATAATCGGTCCCGAATTTGGCACGGTAATCGCCCAGGTCGTAGGTACTGGTGACTTGACCGGATGACCAATCGTGCATGATGAGAGATCTGAGAATAACGGGCTTGGCTGCCTTGATATCCACATCCCATTCTTGCAACAGGCGGGAGCCATTGGAGGCTACGGATAGTGAAGCACCGACCTCGCCTCCAAAGTCGTACCTCTCATAGATGGTGACATTATGACCTGCTCGACGAAGGGCGACGGCGGCACTGAGACCTCCGAGGCCGGAGCCGATAATGGCAATGTTATAGACCCGGGGTTGATCTTGTCGCAGACGACCAGGCATTCTGAATTTTGGATCAAAGTCTCAAGAGAGTGTAGCAGTGGTATTGGACCTTGGTAGGCGATGAGGATGTTTACGTCTGAAGCGTGGGAATTGATGGGTGCCCGCATTGTGTATGGAACTATTTATCGAACTCGCATTCGAATTCGTATTTTAGACAGGCTGTGTGATGGCCGCGTCGAGGCATTAAGCGCCGCACAGGTGCATTGAGGTCCCTGTGGTAGGACTCGTGATGACGCGACGGTGTGGGCAGGGCCAGGTAAGGCCAGGCAGGGACACACAATCGATGTATCAGGCATTATTCAGCCTGGGCGAAAGACAATACCGACGGGCCCGCGGATGGCCTGAAGTCGATCGCTTGGAGCGACTCGCGTTGGGATGGAGGGTTTGCGACGGTTGCAATTCGGTGATAGAATCGAACATGATGATTGGCGGGCGACGGTTGAGGCGGCCCAGGGTAAAGCTTGTCTATCGTCGCCAATCCAACTTCGATCCGCCGGTCTCTTCAGACAAAGTTGAAAGCTCAAGACACCTCGTGGGACGGACGGGAGCGTCGAGAGAAGGATGAATTGATACATATCAAGCGTCCAATTTCCTGGAAGTCGTTGAGGACCACAACATGTTCAGTTGGACACAATCTCCATCACATCAGACAACTTGATTGTTATGGATCACAACGACAAAGACACCAAGACTTCATCCGTCGACATGGCTTCGGTCAAGGACTTGGAGTCCACCACCAGTAACCAGGTCGGTGGAGGAGTGATGGTCGATGTTCAAGACTCTCAACTGTTGCGCAAAGTCGACTGGCGAATTGTGCCGATTATGCTGGCCTGTTATTTCCTACAATTCCTGGACAAAGTATTAATCAACTACGCCAACGTCATGGGTCTGGCCAAGGATCTCAACATGACGGGCAATGACTTCTCGTGGATGGCGACGGCCTTCTTTATCGGCTTCGCAGTGGCTGAATTCCCTCAAGGCTACTTGCTACAGAGATTCCCGCTGGCCAAAGTGCTAGGCTTGAATGTCCTGTGCTGGGGTATCACCATCTGTTGCTCTGCGGCGGTGACGACGTTTGCGGGCATGGTCGCATTGCGCACCCTGCTCGGTTGTTTCGAAGCCTGCATCTCCCCAGCCCTGGTCTTGTCGACGTCGCAATGGTACACCAAACGGGAAGCCGGACCTCGATATGGGATCTGGTATTGTGGCTTGGGTGCCGGCCAAATCATCGGAGGGCTGATCTCATTTGCCGCCCAACACGGGGCGGTAGGATCATCCTTTGGAGGCTGGCGCATCATGATGGTTGCTGTGGGTGCGTTTAACCTCTTTGTGGCCACCATGGTCCTCTTGTTCTTGCCAGACACGGTGGACAGCGCCAAGTTCCTGTCGGCGGAAGAAAAGGCTTGCATTCATCAGAAACTGGCGCTGGATCAGGGAGGCAACGGAAAAAAGGTGTTTCGAGCTGCTTCTCTATGGGAACTTGTCGTGGATGCCCAAGTCTGGCTGCTGTTCCTGTTGACAATCCTTATTGTCATCCCCAGCGGAGTCATCACCACCTTCTCAGCGACCTTGATCCGAGGATTTGGATATGGACCGAAACAGGCGGCGCTCCTCAACATGCCTTCAGGGATTGTCAGCATCGCCAGCACCCTCATGTGCACGTTTGCCATTCTACGTGGATTTCCGCGTTGGCTCAGCATCGTTCTCCTCCTCATCCCTACCGTGATTGGGGCGGGACTCATGTCGTTCATTGACGCCGACAACCAGGCGGGCAAACTGGCGGGCATCTACCTGATCAACTTTATTGTCGCACCACTGGCCATTATCTACACTTGGGTCGGGGCCAATACCATGGGCTACACCAAACGTGTTGCTACAAATGCATCAGTCGCCATTGCCTTTTCCATTGCCAACATCATTGGACCTCAGACGTTCCAATCACGGGATGCACCAGACTACATTCCAGCCAAGATCACCATTTTTGCCGTAGCGGGTGGTGCCATGGTGGTGTCGGTCTGTCTACGATTGTTATATGGAGCTCGCAACAGGATCAATGTCCGGAACAGAGAAGCACAACTGCAAGGATTGACGATGGACGAGGTCAAACAGGTTGATGATGAGGACAAGACTGATCGCAAGAATCCAGCGTTTGTCTATGTTTATTAGGCTTGGGTTGATGTGTATACGAGAAGAGAATACCTAGGGTGGCTTTTAGTTGTATGAATGCGAGTGTTTTTGATGTTGCTTTGGATGTGTATGTAGCTACAGCTTGAATGAGAGAATGAATGCACTGACAGAATGAATGAACACGATCGATCCCGAGGATTCCTGATTGGGTTCCAAGGTTCCAAGGTTCCAACTGTTGTTGATGTTTCCAGACTCCAGTGGGTATCATTCGTGCGAATAATTCGAATACGAATACTAATACTGGGAGTTACCAAGAATCTAACCACTTGCCACTGCAACCTCCAGGAGTCCATGCCATTACCTCAGCAGATCTCCCCACAGCCCGTAAATGTCAGGCGCAATAATGTGTCTGAGTGCCTAACAAAGGTACCTACCCAAATAGTAATTGAGTACGATACATACTGTATCAGTTGTAACGTGACATTCTTTCAGGGTGTCCTGTCGTTAGGTCATTCATGCATGATGCCTCCATGTCCAGGCCTTGATTGAAGTCGAAGCCTTAGGTACCTACCTAGATACCTAGGGACTGAATTGCCCTCGCCCTCCCGTCGCAAGCTACTCTTCCTTATCTTGATAGGCATCTTGATAGGCTTACCCACGCCAATACTTGCTTCAGATGGGTGTCACTGTGCCCCGACGCCGCCCTTATCCTGACCCTTAGTGACAACTGGCGGACTTTTGCGCCCCGTCGCATCATCCATCAAAGTTAACATTCCCGTCGCTCTGCCTCCATTTCTCAATCTCGAATCTCGATTTCCCCGGATTTCTTCGCCGTATCTTGTCTACAAATCTTGTCATCTCCCCCAGATTATGCAGGTGGCGCTTCAATTTTAGACTTTTCTCATAAGACCACTCTTGTGCGACGGACACATTCAGATAAGAATCTTATGTCCATTGCTACCAGTAGATAACAGAATAACAGCGGGCCGCACACTGGGATGACGAGCTCTCTACGTTGTTAGGCCATGATAACCTCCTCCTTGGATTTTGCCCTATTTTTCCCATCCCGACATGATCATATGTCGTCAACCGTCGCTCATCCCGATCCCCATGCCGGTGCGTGTACTTTCTTCTACCTTGATGAGCTGTGCCTTTCTGTCAATTCGACTCTACCTGCGGGCCAGCCCTGTGTTGTGGACCCTCTCGAGGTTGGAACAAGACCTTGTGAGGTTCTGGTTTGTCATGATTGTCTCCATTTCCATCTTCAAGTCTTTTTCCTTTGTTGTTTGGTCCTACTAAATTCATTTCCTTCTTCTACTTTGTCGCAATTCCTCCCTCTTCACCAAGCAACCCTGTCCCATCCTCTGGGATAACACAGATCCCATCATGCCTCACGCGTACCCTTCGCCCATCAGACCTCCATTTTTGGTCGTCGTCACCGGCGCCAACGGCTTCATCGCCTCTCATACCATTCAAAAGCTTCTGGCCAGGGGGTTTCGAGTCGTGGGGACCGTTCGCTCTCAGTCTAAAGCCGACACTGTTCAGAATACCCATCGAGCTCTAAACCCGCAAACCGTTCACCTTCTTGAAACCGTCGTCATCAGCGACATGACACATCCTGATGCCTACACCCTATTGTTTGAGGAGAAACAACCAGCTGCGGTTCTCCACCTCGCCAGTCCCTTTGCGTACTCTGTCGCAAGCTTTGAACAAGATCTGATGAAGCCCGCCGTGAGAGGGACCGAGGCCATCTTGAATGCAGCAGCCAAAACCCCTTCTGTGCAGCGCGTCATCCACACCAACAGCTTTGCCTGTATCTACGATGCCAGCCTTGGCCCCCGTCCTGGGTACACCTACACTTCCAAAGACTGGTGTCCCTTGACCTACAAAGACGGAGTTGATGCCCCAAATGCCCCCGTGGCGTACCGCGCCAGTAAGGCCGTGGCCGAAAAGACTGCTTGGGATTTTATCCACAACCAACCACACAGCCACTTCGACTTGGTCAGTCTATGTCCCGCCATGGTGTTTGGTCCCTTCCTCGACACCGAATTCTCCCTGCCAGCATCGCCCGCCGAGCTCAACACGAGCAATCAATTGGTCTGGGACGTTGTTTCGGCTGGTGAGAACGCCCCTGTCCCACCCACAAAGGGTCCTGTGTGGGTGGACGTGCGCGACGTCGCCGAGGCCCATGTTAGCGCTCTGATGGATTCCACCCTGGGTGGCCGCCGTATGCTGCTCGCTCGAGGTGTCTACTGCAGCCAGGAGATAGCCGATGTGGCTCGCAGCGTTGCCAGCAAACACTCTGCTCGGATTCCTCTCGGCAACCCTGGTCAGAGAGACGCAGCCTCTCATTTTGCCGTCGACTCGACCGAGGAGGCTCATGATCTGGGTATCAAGTGGAGAGGATTAGATGAGACCTTGACCGATCTTCTCCCTCAACTATATCGCATTGAACAAGCCGCTGAGGCCCGCGACTAATGGACTCCTCTAAAGAGAAGGCACCACGGGGTGCCATGGTTGTTAGGAATACCTCTCTGTCTTCCAAGACATTCCATAGTGGACTAGACCTTGTCAATCACATGAGACAATTACTGGATCCATCTGTGAAGAAAGCTTAATGTCATCGGAATCTGTCCACATCCATGTCTTCATCTCGATATGTTGAGTTGCTTTACCATCCCTACGATCGTGTCACGCAGTTCTCAAATGTCATTAAGTAAGGGATGACAATCTTTGGCACAATCCAAGTGGGTATAGTTCAGCCTTTTCATCTCTGCTGGTGTAGTGCCGTTGATTCTTTGTCCGTAATGCCTCGGGGTTGAGGCAGACCGCGTCAAATCTTTCTTAAACGGGCTGCTGCTCATTGGACAGCCCTAATGGCATGGAAAATAACATTTCCCAGTTGATATCATCTAGTGTGGGATCATTCAACAACAGGCTATTCGACCAGGAAAAATCAGTCACTTGATCCAGTGACGACTGAATCTGTGCCTGGCTCTGAGTTTGACTCTGGTTCTGGTTCTGAATTTGACTCTGGGACAAGTCAGTAGAAGGATAAGTAGAACTGTTGGCCGTCATTGGTGTAGAGGTCGCATCAGCGGACAGTGGCATTAAAGACCGACTCAATTGCATCGCATCTTGCTCCTTTTTCTTTTGGGCTAGTCGAACAAGAGACTCAATGGTCTCGAGGGCGCTTCGAGCCATGGGAGTGTTGAATGTTGATGCAACAAATCGTAGCGTGTCAAGCGACTCGTTGACTTTGGACAGAGATTCACTCGTGTCCATGGCTAGGAGGACGCAGGTGAATTGGAAGGGCACGTTCGATATGTGCCACCAGGGTCGACCTTGTTCACAAGCCTGTCTCGAGGCGGCTAGTGCTTTAGTGCCAATCTCAATAACGACTTTCAACAAGTCCATGTTCAAGTGAATATTAGAAACGCGGAGCCGTCTGTAGAACCCAAAGCAGACGTTGGCCTGTGACATGATCAGGTGTCCTATATTAAAATCATACCCCGTAATTTCTCGAAGACCTGTTTCCAACTGCTCCAGGCTGGCCGTGCTGTCAGGATGCAGATACTCAGAGAATTGAAACATTTTGACCATGTCACTCGAGGGGTCGTGGGCCATTGCCGCGGGTGGTTGGCACGTACTCCCTTGAATCACGACTCGCGACCGGCCAAACTCGAACGAGATCCATGAATTGAGCAATTTGGCTGCCCAGTAGACTCGGCGATGAACTTCCGGGCCCAGTCGGCCGGTGTGTGTAGCGGAGGCTGACTCAACGTCGTCGTCCACGGTAGCGGTGGCGGCGTCGGTACTGGGATCCAGGTGGAGACCGGTAGCTTCCACAATGTGCATGGTTGTGCAACTGGCCATCCACGTCGCGTGTGGCGGGCTGCTGAACCGAAGGAACAGTGTCCTCAGCAACCACGCCTGAGCGTCGATATGCGTTGGCTCTCGTATCATGCTATTGATCTCCATCATATCGCGAGCACATTCAACCAGGAGTCGTTCCCGCTCAATAAGGCGTTCATGAGCAGGGAGGAAGAGTGAGGCAATGGCGGCAATTCCACACAGAATGTGATCGTATGACTTGGTCGCATTGGGGTTTGTCCATCGTGTGAGACTTTGAGCAAAGATGGACTCAGTGTCGAGGAATCCATAGAGTGGGTGGATGTTGTCGACATAAATCTCGAACAAACGATCCCATTCACGGTGTGTGATGATCCACGTGATACTTTTCTCTGAACGAGGCTGATGATATTGCAGGCCAAGATTCCAACCAAATCCTTTCAATTTGGGTGGATGACCCGGGTCAAGCTTCAGCCCCAGGACATGAGGAAAGGCCATGCCTGAACTGCAATCAACATGTCGCTGCGGTTGAGTGGGCGCGGCTGGTGCATTTGGAGGTGTAGTATGGAATTGCGATGGCGAAGACGTAGGTGGGCGAAGAAGTGCTGGTGACTGTGAGGACTGGAGCGAGTAACTGGCCGCCGGCTCGGACTCCTCCTTGGCTCTTTTTCGAGGCAGACGAGTGCGATAGAGACACGAGTATTCGTATCTGACACAGGATGTACAAGGATCTTGTCCGTCACATTTACGTTTTCGAGCTTTGCACGCCTCGCAGGCCCGCCTTGTTCGCAGCCTTGTTCGCAGCCGGTTGGTCTGGGTATCCATTGGCGAGTCGGCGACCGACGTGGTCTTCCGAGCACGCACACGTTGAGTAGACACTTACTCCGTCCTTTGGTGATTGAAGGCGACTAGAGGCCGAACATGGATGGTCTGATCATTGATGTGTTGAGATGCGGAAATTGCGGTTAGTGCGGGGCTTTGGCCCAAACGAGTCACGTGCTTTGCTTCACCTCACTTTACAGTTCAACGCAGGTTGAAGGGACATTTCCCACCGTGCCGCCGAATTTATTTAGTGATAAGTACCGCCGTAGAGCTCTGTAGGCGACTTGGCGTTAGTTGCAGCTGCTACTCGCTACGTATATTTTATTGTAAGAGGGCCCAAGTAGATCGATAGGGCTATATGCCACAGGAAGCCAGAGGGATCATACCACGATAGAGGGGAAAAATACGGAGTAGGCTACTGGGAAATTGTTGCTATCTCTACGGAGTATTCAACTGATTCAGAATACGAAGCACCCTAATGTGCAAGATGTTACTTGAGCCTTTCTTTAAGCATAACTACTAGGTAAGTACCGACTTTATTTCCCGGTTGCCCTGGGACACACCATTACCTACTAATCGGTCCAGCTATGCGAGGTGTCAATGGCTCGAATTTTATTTACCATGCAAGGACAGCTTCCTCAAGTGTAGTCCTGTTACAGAGTGTATCGAAATCCTGGCAGGTCGGCAATCACCTCCTTCCCTTCATCAGCCAACTTGTTATGTTTGCGGAGATACCAAACCAGTGAAAGTGTCACCAGTACAATGACTCCATTGCAACTGAATACACGAGGTCAGCACATGATACATGATCGTTACAACGTTGCAGTGAGTTGACTTACGTGAGTGCGGTGTAGATGCCAGGATAATAGTTCGGAAAATCCTGTGAACGGAATGTCAAGGCACCAAGAATGCCTCCCACAGCTCCCATGCCGGTCAGAGTGGCGCTGCAGAAGGTTCGTGTCCAGTGGCCTCGAATGTTGTTTGCCTGCCACGAAAGGACGCAGGGGATAGTCGCGTTGCAGCCAGCAGTGACGAGGAAGACGGCAAAAAGTTGCACTCCGGGGATCTCGACCCAGGACAACAAACACAGACCGAGCACGGATTCCAGAACATTGATCAGGATGACTGGACTTCGAAGACGGTACTTGTCGCTTAGCGAAGCTTGAAAATACATTTGTATGGCCGCGAAGATATAGGGAGGAGTGGTGAGAATTTGAGAGACCCCAGCCGCGAAGCCGATTTTCGAGTTCAAGATCATCGGAAGGAAATACGACACGGCATATGCAGGGGCCGTTGAACATCTGTGATTTGAATTAGATGCCGAATTTTCCTGTGTTGGCAAACTCTTCAAGTCACTTACGTATAGAGGAGGCCGTAACCCCAGATCCGCAAGTCGAGCGCAGGGCGGAGAAATTTTCCAAGATTAAATTTTTGGTCTGCTTCGGTATCCTGGCGATCCCTTTCAATGAGTCGGATCATGTAATCCAGCTCCTCGCGTTTAAGGAATCTCCAGGCCTGGGGGTTGTGTGGGTAGCCCACAAGAAATATAAATGCGGCTCCAGCTACAACGCAGGTCACAATACCCTCCATAACAAAAATCCACTGCAACAAGAACATTAGTATCTGGATCAAGAGATTCTAACGCCGATCGAAGGACCCAGAGAGCCTATTCAGGTCTCAGAGGAGCGACTTACACGCCAGGCTTCCAGTCCTCCCAATCCATCCATCTGTATGAAGATGTATGCCAGGATGCCACTGAACGATGCCCCAACCAACCCGACCAGGTAGTTGAAGGCATAACGTCTAGCCATGTCGTCTGGAGTACTCGTCAGCACTGATCAATCCTGAAGAGAGACAGGGGAACACTAACATCGCGTGTAGTAAAGCGAAATTAGATAGATGACACCAGGAAACAAGCCACCTTCAAGGATACCCAGGATGATACGGAGACCGACAAGGACTGTCCAGTGGTTCGCGAAACCAAATCCCTAGCCGCCAGCATCAGCGTGTGAAAGCAAATCGAGGCTTGATTTCTAATCATCACATACAATGACAAGGAAGCCCCAGAGCATGGTCATCCCTGGAAGAGTCCACCTCGGTCCCAGCTTCTTCACAATGACCGCACCAGGAATCTGAAACGCGATGTAGGGACCAAAGAAGATCAGGACAATAATCGACTGTTTTTGCACTGTCAGCTTCACGCACAAGGGAGAAATCCCCATGAATCGAGACTTACATATCGTGTCCCGACTGTGAGCTCCAAGTCTCTACCCATTCTGTGGTAATCCGTCAACCTCGAACGTTTGCCACAGAGAACGCTCTGGTGACATACCCAGCAATATAAGCATTGGAAACGTTGCCTCGATCCATCAAACTGACGGCGACCATGAGCCCACATATGGAAAGGAGACGTCGATCAATCCTATGAACGAGTTTTCGGGTTTCGGCATGTGTATATTCCTCCGGCTCTGTATCATCTATCTGTGACACGCGATCCTCGCCAATTGCATCGACTTTGGGGTCAAGCTCATGCATGGTGGGCTTCTCGAGTGCCATGGTGTCACGATGGATGTCCAGAATCTGGGGCGAGTCGTTCAAGACAGAGTAGTGTTAGAGACGCGAGGCCGAATGGGCAATACTCTCTGTTGAATGCTGAAAGAGGAGGGTGGTTCCCCGTGCGGAGAATCGATCGACATATATATCATCTCGCGACTTGTTATGAGCAGAGATACTCCCCATGGGGACGGTTAATCAAAGGCAAAAGGCATTTGGTGCTCGTGAACCTTAGAAAACTCTGTTCAGAGAGCCGACGACTGCCAGGACAATACCGTTAATTGCCGACCACAGCCGATGGAGACCCTGAGGATGATTCGTGCATTTTTTCCCCAATCACGATATTTGTCGCGTTAAGGACCCATCTACCTGCCGAACACGCAATTTCGCTCCATTATGCCATCAACTGATTTCTCCAGATTCAGCTTAGACCACGGGTGAGTTGCTCTTATGCTCCATGTGGCGATTTTTACTGCGGAGTACTGGGCGTGGAGTAGAAGCAGGGACAGTTAGACTACCTAGTAGTCTATTTGTACTCGGTACGTGGTCATTAACATGGTCAATTTTCACTCATTTGTAGCCCCTCGGTCTCAAAAGGAGACATGGGAACATTCCAAAACTCGTCAAAAATGCAGCCAAAATCTTCGTGGGCCCATAGTGGATCAACCAGGTCCGAGTTCATCCATTGTGAGCCATCCACGAGGGTAAGATCAATTCTTGGACTGAATGATGTTGGAAACGGGAAGAGACCCCGCAAAACAATCATGTCGTATGGTGTGCCTTCGGAATGTCGCTCGCTCGATGAGGTGGGTGAGCCGGATCGCACCTTCGTGTGACTACGTGAAGCACGCAATCCATTGATCGTGCTGAGAATGGAAATTGCCCCAGCAAATTTGACCTTCATGTGTTGAAGCGCCTGTACAAGAATGTCGAGCTCTTGAGCACAGACGTCGCTCTGCTGAGGCGTGGTATTATAAAGTAATTGCGGCACTGCTGCCACCATCATGTACCAGGAGTTGATGCCAAGCAGATAGTTGATGTCGTCCCGGATGTACATCTCGTGGTACAGGCGTGTCACACAAGAAGAAGCTACCAAGGTTGCGAGGCTACAGGCCGAAAAGAGCCTTTGATCGCCAAACAGGTTGAAGAAAGTGATAACAACCACGAAGTACATAATGTGGGTTTCTGACACGCTCCGTCGATAGATCCTGTGGTTTGTCTTGTCATAGAGTCGAGCTTCGTCAGGAAGATCGTCCAACCAGGTTTTTAGAGATTCCAAAATCAGGGACCTCTACACATGGATGAAGGATTAGACAGAGAGTACTTGATACGGATACAAAGAGTGGGAGGAGGGACCGTTTCTAAAACCCTGCTGTGAATAGATGACGTACCTCTTGCATATTGTCAGGCTGTCTAGCATGCAGGTCTTGAATCCGTCCTAATATCACCGCCAGCTTGGCGAGTTCTATGAACAAGATCTCCGGACGGGTGATGATCTCAAAGTCGTCTGATGTGGGAGGCGGCACATCGAACTCGTGCAATTTGATCGCTGTGGGACGGCCCATGGCGGCCGACAAAAGTTGATCTTGTATCTGTGAAACCAGTCATCAAGCAGGTCTGGTTGACACATTTCGGCCAACTTACAAAGATGCACCACGCAATTCTTCGCGTGATTTTCGGGTTGGCCATTCGCGTGTAGGTTTGGTTGAGATGGAGTCCCATTTGGTTGAGGAGTCTGCAAGCCATCCCAAGCCACTGCCAGGCGCAATCGAAGGTGAGAATGAGATGTCCCTTGATGTTCCATGTCATCAAGAGACACATTGTCTTCAATATCGCGATAAAGTCACTCTCATAATCAAGATGGATTAACATCTTGGCAGCAGTGTAGTATTGCTCGCTTTCGGCCAGAGGTGCTTCGCCTCTGGGTTGTCGAAGCATGGATCCAACCATGCAAATGGCTTGACAGAGAGGGATAGATCGCTTCACAGGAAAAAGGTCTTGACGCTCCGCGACAGGGAACCGGTGACACAAGTGCTCAAAATACATATCGGCATAGGCTTCGAAGACAAGATCCGAGGGCAAGGACACAACACCTGGTATTTGGAGAACCTGCTCTCTCAGTCGTGTCGAGAAGACAGTAGTATTCTCATGATCAGGTCGCAGCGTCGGCCTCTCAGCCAGGAGGTTTGATGTATCGCCCAAGTAGGGAGACTGTACAGGCAGGCTCCTTTCACCCCTTTGGTCGACGTTGGAATCTTCAGTGAAGTCCAAATTTTCGATAGTATGCTGCGTGCTCACGTTTCCAGAGTCGTGTTCCGGGCGTAGCGACGACTCTGCTAGCATCGGGGGGGCATACTTCTGGCGAACTGTGGCTCGCTTGGAATGGCGTCGCCTGGGATATTGATTTTCAGCAGGTTGAAGAGGACGTGTAATTAGGTACATGTGTGATCTTACGTGCATACTAGACCGTGCTTCGAACAACTACTGCACGATTCTCGGCTTCGAAATTCCAGATCGCATTTGACTTTGCGGGTGTGACAGTTGTCGCACACCAGTCTCGCGCGGCTGGGTCGTGGCGAAGATAGTTGTCGACTGGCCGCCATGGGAATCTGAACAATGCCAGTAGGGCGAGAGCAAGTCTGCGAGAAGACGGATTTGGTCTACGTCGACTGAAGTTGATAGGTGCAAAATACTGCCAGGTGGTTGGCGACAGGCGACATTTTGGTGGCAATTCCTCAAGTATCTTCATTTACGTAATAGCGTAATAGAGGACTAATGACTTCTGAGTTAGGGTTACCCTAACCCTAATGAGTAAGCCTAGCACGTGCCTGGCCATTTTCCATGGGCCCCGCATAAGGTCGATGTTTAACGACACAAGGACCACGTGATACTTGGAATCACCAAGTCGCTACTCAGCAACGAGCGACTTAGTGAGCTCTTTCGTCTACTCTCGGGCCTAGCGGACCTATCTTTATTGGCACTCTAAGCCTGGGCAGTGGGCACCCTTATACTTATAAGCCCCCTAGGCGCTAGTACCCCTATCCTTATAAGTTATAGGTACTCTAGGCCTACTCTACGGAGTAGATACTCCTAGAGTGTTAGGCTTAACTATAAGGTGGTTCCACTATCTTGGAGGGTGCTAATCTATTAGCTCGCGAGTAGCCTCGTAGCAAGGCCAAGAGTCACGTGGTCTTTGTGCGAACAGTCCTTCCCCTACAGTCAAAGCCTACCTAGGTAGGAGTATGTAGATCGAGCAAAGTACCGAGTGTAATAGCTAACAGCTTTTACTATTTAGCTTAGGTAGTTACATCAATAAAGTAAATTAGGTCTTTAGCTATTCAGCCATTCTGAGCAAGAATCTCCGCTAAGCCAGACCACTATCATCCCTGCATCTCTCTGCATCTCTCTCAAACCCTTTACTTCGTCAAGTAGGCCCCCACTAGAATGGATGGACGCTGACTTCTATCCACGCTGACTTGACTGGTTACGCCGTGATCGCATCCATGAAAGTAAGCTTAGGATACTCGTACTTGCCCTCGATCATGGCACTGGATGCTCCGAATACACGGACTGACTGGTCAACGATCATGTGCGATGGTTGTAGAACGCATGTACTTACAAGTGAATGAAACTTCACCTCCCCCTGGCGGAGCTGGTAGCCAGCTGTTGGGGTCCAAAGGTTAGCAAAATCCGGCGGCAACATTCATCTTTTTTCGAAACTTACTTGGAATGCCATTCCTTCGGGGGTGGAACATCTCCTGGCTGAATCAGTATTTCAAACTTGCCATCTTCTCGCTCCTTCAATGGTGTTCCATCGGGATACTTCAGGTCACTGCGATCTCCTAGAGCATAGTGTTCTAGGGCATTGGGGATGAATAGTTGATCCTTGTTGTATAGGCTCAAGCTCCAGAAACCCAACGGTTCAAGCAGAGGCTTTCCGCTAAAGGTAAATTTGATGGCCTCATTGGGCCCAATCTTGACGTCCGGGATTTCCGCCGCACTCCCACGTGGACAGTAAGATGGATAAATGGCCTGCTCGGATGACACTCCCAGGTATCCGCGCATTGCCACAAGATACCGTGCAGGATAAAATGAGCGAAAGTTTCCGCAGATCATCGGGGTGTTTGTGTACCAACCGTGGCCCTGATCCCGTACGAAGCCAGCAGTCAGCTTGAGAGCCTTCGCGGATAAGTTGGCCAAGTTGACTGCTTCGGTAAGCGAGGTGTTCGGTGGCTGGGTGAATACTCCATCACGGATACCCGCCTTTTCCAAGACGTGGGCAATCCAGCCTCGGTCTTGTGCCACTTCTGAAAGATTGTACCTCGCCAGGGCCGCCGTTAAGCGCAAAACCTGCTCCGCTTCCGATGCTGGGGACTCTGCAGGACCAACCACCTCGGCGAAGATGCCCAGGTCGAGAGGTGGCACTGTGACCTCATGTGAACAAGGTACAGTGACCACCTTGATCTGATTTTGGAGTGCATGGACTTTCTCCACGTCGTCTTTCTGGTCCTTAAGCAGTAGGCGTACCGTCCAGACTCCGTAAGGAGTAGGAGAGCGGATCACGCCCTGCTCCTCCGTGTTGCTGTGATCCTGTTGCAGTCCGTAATTGTCTTCGGCGAAGGTGAGACGATAATTTCCAGCCTTGTGGTGCATCAAACCCATGACCGATGTATAGTTATTTCCGTACCTTCACTTCATCAGCGCCGAAAGTACCGTCAAGCCGCTGACCTACATGTCGAAGAAGGAGAAGGACCAGAACCTGTCTCCAATTTCGGGAATCGAGATCATTAGATCGGACTGGGACACGTCGTAGAAAATCGACGAGTACATGGTGTCGTTGTTAGGCCGGACGACCTTGGTCCACCCGGGCTTAATCACCTCTCGCTCGTGATAGAGAGTGTTGATAGGTGAACCCTGTTTCTTCGAAAAGCGTCCATAGGCGAACAATGGATACCCGTACTACACTCGAATTAGCCCAGTCATGGCTTCTTCGAGGTTTCAATTCTCAACGTGCCTGATAGGCGAATGCGAGGGCATCTTGGGCATCGGCACCACCAGAAGTAGTAGACCGCTCACCGTTGACAAATTGCTTTCCAATCATTCTGTAAATTGTTTCCGTGACAAAATCTGATCCCCGCTAGGTGTGTAGCCACAAGTCGGGAATATGTCTTTCTTCTGATACATATACCCGCCAAATATCTTACACTGCCTGATGTATACTTGATGATTCACTCGTGATCTTTAGTAGCGTCGGTTGTCCGGGAGGGTCCAAGGGTCTACCGCCCTCAGCCGACGAGTGCCGGTTCTGGGCGGCACAACTTTTTGCGTTCTCCACTTTCCTGTCAGGTGAGGTTCAGCCCTTCCTAGGCAGTTATCGTATTCCGTCTCTTTCGATCATCCCGTCAGTTTTAACGCTATGTGCCAACTGGTGGGACAAAATTTTGTTTGGAACCACTTGGTTGGCGACTGTGGGAATCAGGCCGAGGCCCTCGGATTTTCCTACTCTCCGAGGTGTGCCGACTAGGGCAAACATATCAAGGTGAAGCACTATAGCTGCCACAGGGCAGATAGTCAGCATCCTTTTTTTTTTGAGATGTGACGCCTACGAGACTGAATACAGTGCCCGCCGATATATCTACTCGGTCGCTTTCCGCTGTACTTGCTGGCGAAATGGTTGGACAACGAGGCCACTGTCGCCACTATCCGTCCACGTTCAGATTTGCTTGTAAATCAAGTATCGGTCATGACAACGGTACAGGTGATAGATGGATGAATTCGTCCCTCAGACGCCGAGTTCCACCATAGTGGTCCCATCTCAGGATTAGGCGACAGCAAGTCGGTTTAATCTGTATCTCGTGAGGTTGATGGCTTGCATAGGCCAGGAGAGAGTATGACGAGGAACCCTGACTGGGTGATGTCCTCCGTTGTTCCTGCTTTCTTGCTGACGACGGACTCGGTCCCTTCCTAGGCAAAGTAGGGCCTCGGGCTATTCCTAATACGGAAATCCAAATGCGGGGCCCCTCAAATATCGACGCAGATTTTGAAGGAGTGCAGGCGCGAGAAACTTATCACCTAACATAGGCTGCAAGCTCCAGGCTGCTTGCACAAGGACGCAGGCTACAGGGTCTGACGCACGACGGGCACACGAGTGCGAAGGAGTTAGGAAAGAAAGCACGCGGGCTCTTATAGACGTCAAAAGCGGTCAAAAGCGGCGGGCCCAGCCAGAGGCACCTCGGCCGCCCGCGACCATGCCCGAAACGGCAGGACCGCCTAAAACACAGGCGGTGAAACATTGAAACAAGACATATCAACCTGGAACTCATCAGATTTTCATCACTCCATGATCTCCTACAACTATAGAGACCAGTGGAGTTGGACATGGCATGTCACACCTCTTGAATGTGTCTTTGTATCCGGATCGAGAGTAACAATCTCAACCCCATGACAGTACTCGTCCATCTTGACTCCAACACAACCTGTCTTTCACCTTCATCCTCATATGACGCCGAGTTGCTCACATCATTCGTATAAGACGCTTTCTCATCAATACGTTCCAGCTTTCAAGCCCTTCAGCGACCCCAAACTCAATGCCAGGCCTTGCGACCGTGACCGGATCCGAATAAACCCAACAATCGAATTGTCCGCCGTCTTTTCGATGCTTAGATTTGCCAATGCATCCTCCCCTGTAATATTGTCAGTCTTTGTCACAGTGACTGTCATTTCGAGTCTTCTTTCTTTACTTACCAAAGACACTCCTCGCGTACAAATTGGCACTGAGGAATTGGCAGTCGCCTTTCAACCCGGCGTCGGGCGTCAGGCACGTCATGTTGGTGCTCTTCATCAATTGGTCCAAGAATTCTCTCAATGTCTTGGTCGTGCTCTTGCTGTTGATGTTGACCTTGTTCTCCCACTCAAACTCTGTCCACATTGTCCGGAAGGCCGACTCGGAGCATGTCGCAGGTTGAATGTAATCCATGATGTCTGCGTGGACGTCGTTTAGGATCACCACGCGCTGGTCCGTCCCCGAGCTCGAATCGTACACCACGTTGCCAAAGATCACACCAGTGTCAGTGCTCGACACCTTGATCGTGGACTGCACATTGAGGAAGTCTTGCGGGCCCAGGTTCTGTGTCGTCGGTCTTTCCACCACTTTGAGGTCTCCCAGTGTCGCAAATTCCACCGACAGGTTTTGTAATGTGTCTTGGGTCTGATTGACAAGCAACACATCTAGGATGATGTCGAATTGATGCACCTTGACATATGCTTCTGCGTACACCGGATCGGAAAACCCTGTGAGTTGCACGACTCGGCTTAGTTTCGACGACATATCTTCAATCGACGAGTCTCCTCCAGTGGCCTTTTCCAGGTCAAGTTCCATTTCATCTGTGCCATCGCCGGCATTCCTCTTGGCCAACTGCCGGATGGAAAAGACGTCGTCGACTTGTACTGCTGTCTTGGCTTTCTCAACGGCTGCCTTGGCTGCTCGCTTCTTCTCTTCAACCTGGACCATCGCCCGAAAAGCTTTTCTTGTGTCTTCCAAGAATGAAATTTCTAGTTCTTTGCGCTCTGTGAATTCAGACAGCGATCGTACACAGGACATGATCCGGTCGACCGAGTCCTCATCGATGGGGGCCTTCACGAATTGTGATTGACCCACACGAATGATAGAGATCATAATCAGCATTGCTTCGGCCCGAAGGGCGTTGGTGCGAGCTTGATCGGGCGAGATCTCAGAATGTCGCATGACCAGTTTGGTGAGGGTCGATGACAAGACAGCGCCGAGATAGTAGTCGCCGTCGAGAATCAGTTGTCGTAGCGGCGGCTTTTGAGCGGCCTTGACTGCTTCTAATCGGGCTTTGGCTGCCGAATCACTCGTCAATGCACTTTCTGTGGCGTATGTCCCATCAGCCAACACTTTTCGTGATCCCGAAGCCGCTGGTTTGGAGGTGTTGGAATGTGAATGTCCGTTGACCTGTTCCTTTTGCTCGCCATCTTCATTGGCGTGTTCATCCAGCAGACGCTGCTCGGATGCCAATATGGGGATTTCTCCAAGACTGGCTCTGATGCTCTTCCAAGCTTCTTTGATGTCGTTTTCTTGTAAGGAGTATTCGCCAATCACCCACAAAGACCCTCTGTACACCTTGCCGGCACGTACTTCACCCAAAGTCGACACCAGGCGTTCGACAATGGATGATCTGAGGTCGGGGAACTTCTCCACCACTTCTTTCACAAAAGAGATGACATCAATGGCTGAGGAGTTGTTGAAATCGGCGATAAAGTCCATCAACACGTCAACCACGCTAGCGGCGATTTCGGAGAACCTAATGGCACACTGATGGATGGACTGGATCAGGAGCTGTCGATATTCGGCATTCTTCTCATACTGTTCAACCACAGTCTTGCTAAGCTCCTTCTTCAACAGCATGACAATCTCTTGCACATTCTTACTCGACACCATTTCCAAGGCAATGCCCAGAGCTTTTCTCCGGACATCCAGGTCAGGGCTCGAAAGCACCCGGAGAATTTCCATGGTGAGATCGTCGAGAACACCTTCATTGCGTCGTCGGAGCTGGTCAACACGGTCTAGAACGATCAATTTCACATTGTTGTCCGCCTCCTTGATGCTCAACTCGATCAACTTGCCAGCGGCCGCTTTGACTGCGACCGGGTTGCTGGTCAGGGCTGTGAGAGAAGTGGCGGCCTCGTAGATGACTGTACTGGTGTTTGCCTCCAGAAGGTCGAAAATCAAACGAAGGTAGCGAGCCTTGTTTTGTTGGTTTTGTACGGCATCCTTGCGGATGAACTCGAGTTCAACCAGTTGTAGCAACTCATCGGCGTTTGGGATACCGTCTAGAACACCGGTGAGATAGGCCAGAGCCTTCTCATGGCTAATGGTCATGAGGGCGCCAAAGGCATTCCGTTTGCAGGTGGTGTCATTCTCGGCGGTCAAGAAGGTGGCCAGCATGTCGGGTGCGTCAGGAATGAGGTGCTGGGCGTGCTGGTAGACAGAGGCAAGAGCCCATACGGCATTCTTTCGCACATATGCATGCCTGTGGTCGAGACATGTTTGCGCCGCAGAGAGAAGTGGTTCGATCAATTCGGGTTCTCGAAGTTTGGATAGGAAGCGGAGAGTGTTGCCTCGGACAAACTCGTTGGGATGTTGCAGGTCATTTCGGATGCCATTGCTATTATTTTGTCAGCCTGCTCTAGAAGTGGTCCCTGGGAAAGGAGCCATGTACCAGACTAGAATCATCTCTTGCTTTAACTTTCCATTTGCGTCCAACTTTGGACAGATCTCATAATAGAAATAGAGGAGTTTTTTGAGGGGTTTGCTCTTGGATGGCATGACGAATCGGATAATGTGCATTAAAAGATTGGGCATAGGATCTCCATTGAGCATGGTAATGAGGATCCTCCTCATGGTGTCTAGCTTTGTCTCATCGGTGCCCTTTTCGAGTTGGGTCTTTAGATCTTGTTGACTAGGCTGATCTGCTGTGTTGTCCAAGTGGACCAGACTGTACGAGCTTTCGAGAAAGCCCGCCATGATGAAGGGCCTTGATCGGCGGTCTGGACGAAGAGGGTCGAGGCTTCTGTAGGTCGGCGGGAAACTCCTCGAGAGTTCTTAATGAATCGAGTTGGAGAGGGGAGGACAAGGGCAGAAACGTTCACCTCATGGTCCAATTCTCGAGTTTGGGAGGGTCAGAGATGAGGCAGTGAGTGTGAGGAGGTGTCGACCACATGTAATGGAGTTGGTGCAATGTTGGCGTGTGGAATCTGAGGAATCAATTGTCAGTTGTTAGTGCATGACACGCTGGAACGAAGCCAACACGGATGGTCTTGGAGAGGTGTCCCCAAAAATGTGTGTAGTCTTGGCACCGTTCAAGCAGCGGGAAGACTGCCCCTGGAAACTGGAAAACTGGAAACTGGTGGGCACCACGGGGGTGGTTGCCCAAGGGGCACTTTGGGTTCGCCCGATTAGGGCGCCTATCTAATGCCGCTTTAATATCACCCTTCTCACCTCATGTCACTCTCCTGAACCACATGAATGTTTCTATCACTACAATTCTTGAGCATTGGAGCGAAGTTGAAGAAATCATGCACCTGTGGAACTCATGCTGATCGAATATCAGAATCCCAAGACCTTTTTGTACATACTAAAAATCCAGCTAACTCCAACAACATACAAGCAGACAAGGTCCGCTACTTGGTGGTATCATACTCATAAATCCACGAGAGTCCTGCATCCTTTCCAATGTACAAGAAGTAAGCCCACATGCCCCATTCCTTCAGAATCTGCTGAAATGTGCTCGGCTTGGACTTGCGTAAATCGCCACTTTTCGAGGTGAAGGCAAGGACTTTCTTGACCCTGGTCCGTCGAATTGCCTGCCAATTGCCCAGCAGGCTCTTCAAGTCTGATGACTCCTTTGTGTTGATCTGTCCGAGAACGTCTGCCAGTGTGATGGCATCCTCAAAGGCCATGGCAGCGCCCTGACCACCCGTGGGAGGCATTGCATGAGCGGCATCCCCAATGACCAGCACTCGCCCAGATTCACTGGTCCACGATTGGAGCTCTGGAACCTTAAAGAAAGGCCATAGGCTCAAAGTCGACTCTTCAACGTTCTGTGTGGCTTCATGGACAAGCTGAGGCCACTTTTCCTTGTTGTGGTAGGATCGCATGTATTGCAACAATGCCGCCTTGTCTTCTTGCAAACCAGCCCACTCTTCCCGGCTCCGATCCTGACTTTCGAGCGTGGCAAAACAGCCCACGCGATCACCATTGTAGTCACACGGCATGAATGCAAACGAGTTGAGCTTGCCAAAGATCATGCAAGGCATATGGACATCTTTTCCAGCTGATGCCAGCTTGGACCGTGCAAGTGAACCACCGACGCCCATCTGTCCGCTGAAAGTAGGCACGATTGTGGGATTGAGGTAGTTGCGAACTCGGGAATGAATCCCATCACAACCAATCAGAATGTCGGCCTCCTCAGTACGCCCATCGGCAAAGGTGGCCACAACCTTGGAACTGGGGGTCTCTTGAATGCTGACACACTTGGAGTTGTATTCGATGTCGATTTTCCGCTCATGGAGTACCGCAAGGAGGGTCTGTCTGACAATGCCTCTTGAGATTCGGAGGGCTTTGTAACCATACTTGTCTTGGCTTCCATTGAGAACGGTTCCTATTCGGCTCAGGTTCCGAGAGGACAGGAATTGGAATTCTTCATAGTTCCAGCCCTGGGCGGAAATGCGATCATATACGCCAATGCGAGACAAGGCTCGAAGAGCATTGGGAGCCAAGGCGACAAATCCTCCTTCAAAGGCTGATTCGTCACGCAATTCAAAGATTTTGCACGAAATGCCTTGTTGCTCTAGCGCCAATGCGAGGACTGGACCCTGTTTGGAGGTCAGTGGATGCTTGTCATATTGTCAGAGGATGGATCTCACGGCCAAACCGCTTCCGATAATGATGGCCTTCATGGTCGCTAGTGGGCGTCAGGTAAATGCAAAAGCTGTAGTTCTAATGAGACGTGGAATAGTTCGCGATGGTACAAGGGCAAATGCTTGGGTTAAAGCAAATACCCGGTTTGTGTTATGATGTGGCCATGGTTGATTTGGGACCATCAGTGGTCTTTATATCTTCATCACTATCGACAAGCGGATGAATTCAACCAAGAATAGACTTGCTCAGAACCAGAAGAATTGATGTCACTTGTCTGGACGACAGTTCAGCTTTGCTCGTGTCATAGCGACAAGAACATACACCAAATAGGTTAGCGTTGCGTAGCGTTGCGTAGCGTTGCGTAGCGTTGCGTAGCGTTGCGTAGCGTTGCGTAGCGTGTGCGTATTCGTAGTATTGGAGAGTTTAGAAGTCAATGCGCAGCCACCTTTCCACCAGCACCATCAGAGCTAGCCAGCCGCCAAAAGGCTAAAACTGCCATATTACTTAAAGTGGCCGGATCAAGAAACAGGTGCCGAACACGGGACTCGATTGGTCTGGAAGCCACTGTCGATTCACCCAGTCGAAGTGTGTGGCAGTGCAAGCTACGTGCGCTAGGCTCTGAACTCATCAATGTCATGGCTAGGTGAGGCTTGAAAGTCGTGAGTATTGGGTCTAATTACATATCTAAGGTATTTGAGGAGTTCATCGACAGGTGACCGGAATTTCGAGTAGCAGTTACAATACGAGGTATTCAAAATCAAACTGCATCGCCAAGTATTGCGGCCTTTTCGATCTGCCCGTGGATTCATTCATGTCATCATCAACAAGGCTGTATGTTCAATCTCCCAGAACGCTCCAAGCACATATGCCTGGCAGAAGGGGAGGCCATTGGTGTGGCACATTTTCTTCAGGGGCTTGGTCCTGACTAGAGTCGATGCTCGTCACAGTAACCCTCCCACGGCACCGACAACGACCCCTGCTCCGGCAGCATACACCATACCGGGACATGCTGTCTGTCTGGGACCAGAGTTGCCCACCTGCACAAATCCTGTCGTCTGCGTCGCTGTGGGAGAACCCCCAGTCCCAAAATTAGCGCATTGGGTCTCTTGCAGACCATAGCAGCCTTCCTGGCTCAAGGAGCTGCAAATGCTGCTGGCCGAACTGATGACGGTCCCTGAGGCGCCTTCTACCGTGATGCCTCCGCCGAATCCAGAAACAGTGACTCCGTTCTGGCCGGCCAAGGAGACGAAACAAGATGTGGACGCAGTTTGACAGCTCGAGAAAGCACTCGTGCACAAGTCGGCATTGGCGTATGAGGTAGGAATGTAGATAAAGGGGAAGAAGTTGTTGGGCACAGTTGAGCCGCCTCCTTCGACGCCGGGATTACTCGTTGGAGAAGGACTCGATGTGGTAGTCGATGTGGTCCCTCCGAGGACGAATCCTCCACTGCTTGTGGCGGATGCGGAGCCAGTGCCCCGGATGGTGCCTGTGCAAAATGCCCCGGTGGGACAGCAAGCGATGTTCCCAGCCTGGTCGCGAGCGCAGTTTGTGTTGGAGGGACAGCATACATCAGCTTCGTCGAGATTGGCGCATGAATTATAGCCCGACTGGCAGTTATTTTGTCGTTTGATCAGAAGGTTATGGTTGGAGAGGCCAAATAAGGGATCGGCGAACGGTGAATAATCTTGGGCGAGGCACCGAACCGAGCATATGCTTGCCACGAGGGTAGCCAGAATTGTCCGGCGCATGGCAGAGAGAGGACAGTCCGACGATGCAGAGGTTATTGGGGTGGTGATTGTCGAGGCATGAGTTCGTGTTGAATTGGAGTGAATGAAGACGACAAGGGAGTGAGTGAGGTATGGCGATCGAGGTATGGCGATTTTGTCTATGAAGGCACTCAGCGAAATCAAGTTAGGTTCAAAGGGAGTTGGTGTGGTAGAGGATCGAGTGATGTTGATAGCACCTGAGGAGGACGAATGAAGAAAGATGTTGACGCAGGCAAAGACTAGGACGTCCTTGGTAATAAGTGCTACTGTGATGATGTCGATGCTATTTCCAGCAGTTGGTCACGGTTGTGGTTGGGTTGCGGTGAAGTTAGGCTTGAGGCGGGGACTCCTACTGCATACAATAGGTCGATCATTCGTTGATTCATGGGTGTGAGACGGCCTCCAGTGCCCCCGAGTGACACCCCTTAGACTCATGGGTAGGCATGGCAACCATTCCCAAACCCACTAAATTTACCCTGCCTAGCCTCCTGGTCTGGTCTGTCATGGACTCATTACCCTCGCACAATTTTCTCACTTCTAAATTCGACTTCAACGAGGCGTTTCCGATCGAAGTTTAGCATCGTGAATGCTAAAGGAGGTGGTGTACTAGAACACCTGGCCCGTGGTTAAGCAATGCGCACAGATGAAAGCTTCTTGCTGAGGACAGACCCTCGCAGCGCACCAAAGATGATTCATGGTAGGTAAAACCCACCTCGTCCATCTCCTTTGCTTTTATCCCAAATGATGAGCATCAAAAGAATTCTGCAAATCTGACAAACCCAATCAATGATGGGTTTGATGCTGAATTTCTTACATCGCATTACTCACTCTGACTCTTGACTCAACGCCTGTTCTCATCAAGAATTAAAAAGTGGTCACAATTTACTAACAACATATATGCAGGTGCCATCTACCATCAACATGATCTCAGTAGCCAAACCAAGTTCACACAATTCGTATCCTTCTAGAATTCATAACCATAGAAAGCCGAGCCCGGGTAGGCGAGTTGCATCCGTTGCCGAAGGCTCGGGTCAAAACGGGCCAACCCAGTAATAGAAGGTTGGTACTGTGGTTTGCACCTGCGGCCTTACGGAACGTGGGTGCGTGACATATCGTAGGTAACAATTGCCACCCCTCACGCCTGGCAATTGTGTTGTGCGGGTGCGAGTGTGGGTGACTCGAGTACCTATTCCGTAACCCTGATGCCCTCGTAGGCTGTCAGTGTCATGCGGGGAATTTGTGCATCTATTCCTCACCTTCAGACTTGTACGACTGCGCACGCGCAATTTGATGGTCTGCGCCGTCTGGCCGTCTTGCCGTCCTCACTTGTACTCTGTGACTCTCCACAAAACGCCCAGCTTCTCCGCGTCTCGCGGCTCTTCAACCTCAAGCAGGGCTCGCAGAGTCTTGTCCATGTAGAATCATTCTCACGGCTACAAGCCTCGATTATCTTCTATCCTATCAATCTTGCCTCTTCTTGCTCGACTTGCGCCTTTGACTGCCGTCCCTCCATCAGCTTCAAAAAGCCGCTGGACCTCGTCTCGCATGATGCCGTGAACCGTCGTCAGTGTCCATCAAGGTCACACTCTTCCACCGAAAACTATCGCAACGTCATTTCTCCCTTTATCTGCAACATGTATCGATTACCACACCAGCCTTTACGGCGTCTCATCCGTACGTTAGATCTCCCGAGTAGGAGAACTCTCACATCCACCGAACCCGCCACCCTTCCAACCGCCCTCTTCTTCCCCGGTCATGGAGTTCAGAGAAAGGGTATGACTCGACCTTGGGTGGAAGCGTTCCCCCAGGTGTGTAAGCCTTTTCTACAAGAGATGGATGAGATTCTAGGGTGTTCGCTGTCCACCTTGATCGACCAAGGACCCATCGCACAGCTGGACAAGAGCGAGAATGCCCAACCCGCCATCATGGCCGTCTCCATCATGATCCTGAGAGTGCTTGAACAAGAATTCGGCTTCAAGACGGAAAAGATGGTTGACGTGACCTTGGGCCACAGCCTAGGCGAGTTTGCCGCACTCGTCGCGGCTGGTAATCTCGAGTACACATTTGCCCTCGACCTCGTCAAACGACGCGGCGACGTCATGGGAGAATGCACCAGACATGCCAAGGAACAGTCAGGAGAGGAGTTTGGTATGGTAGCTCTGGTGTGCGAGCCAGATCAGCTCGATGCCTTGGTGGCCGCTGTTAAAGATTTCCTAAGCCACGGCGCAGAAGGATCCAAAGATGACTCCAGTGCCCTCCCTGCCATCCAGCAAGTGGCCATCGCCAATGCCAACTCAAAAAATCAGATTGTCCTCAGTGGCAGTTTCCAACGAATCCGCAATCTCCTCGTTCATATCCGAGAGTTTGGTGGCCACGACCCCAGAGCCGTCGAACTCAAGTCAAGGTCGGCCTTCCACAGCCCCATCATGATGCCCGCCTATGAATTCATGAAGAAGGTGGTAACTCCAGACAAGGTGACCTTCCCTGGCCGACTTCCCTGTGTGAGCAACGTGACCGCACGGCCCTTTGCTTCCAAAGAGGAATTAATCCAAAACTTCTCACGGCAAGCCGTTGATACAGTCTTGTGGTGGGATTCCATCAAGTACTTGGACCGGGAGGCAGGCACCATCACTTGGCTTGGGGTCGGGCCTGGCAAAGTTGGACGCAACCTTGTTTCAAAAGAGGTTGGCCGTTCGTCAGAAAAGGGCGGTGGCGTTTGGTCGATTACCGAACCGCACGAGATTGAAGAAGCGCTGAGGGGCTTGGAAAATGCTACCAATGCCAAGGGCCGATGAGATCGACCATTGAAGTTGCATGTAGATGTGAAATATACATGGTGACTATTGTTACAGGCTCAAACCTGGTCAATTGATACCCTAGCCCGTTGATAAGATCATCCTTCCCTGCTGAGATGAAAAGAACACTGGAGAAATCCAAGTTCGCTTGTATGACTCTTCTTGAGGCTGTGCCTATATAGTGTGTCAGAGACACGATACAAGAATACAAGACTAGCACACTAGGTATGGTTTGGGTTTCCCTGAGGTCTGATAAACTATGGTCCTTCAATTATGATCGATATTCGTCGTTCCCCGAGTTTCCTGGTTCTGTCTCCAAAATAATATCACGTGACATGACGTCGAAGTGGAATCACATGTCATCTGTTTCAAACTACAGGCAACTGCGTTCATGGCAAGTTGGCACGGGGCAGGAGCAGGTGCGGGTGGCCATGTCATGCGTTTTCCCTTCTACAATCCACCATCCACCATCCACCGTCCACTGTCCACTGTCCACTGTCCACTGTCCACTGTCCACTGTCCACCGCCACCATCCACGCCCATCTCGACTCCCCATCTCGACTCCTCCTCGCCTCCTTCATCTTCCGCCTGAGTCCCAGGCACCCGTCCCGTCATCTTAAGACTCTCCTAGGCTCTGAACCCTCTTCCTTTTACCTCCTCGGAACTCATTGGAGCATTAATCTCGACGTCAGTCAAGTCTCCCTATCCCTCGTCCATAGGTCCACATAATATCGCATCACCTGGCCTCCCATCTACACTCCTCGTCTTCCCCATACTCTATTCCGACCTCCATATTCCCCTGCCCGTCCAAGACCACGTATATGGTCCCTTCTCCTTATATTTCCATCCTCTTGTCTTCCGCGCCCAACTTCTGTCACCGCACTTCTTCCCCCATTTCCTCACACTGCGCCCTCCCTAGAGCCTTGTTCTTTTAGCAAGAGATACATCTCCAACTCTACCACCACTCCCTAACATGCTCATTCGCCGCTCCCACCATCAAGCCTCTCATTTACGTCAATGAGTGACTACTTGCCTTCTTTCATCGTCGAACCAGTCCTCCGTCAAGCAAGGCGATTCTCTGAGTCACCTGGGCTGAATCTGCCTGCTGTTCCTGTACCCGATTTACAGCGTTGGAACCCATCCCGCCTCTGGGCCACCTCCCCCTCCTCCGATCTTGATGACGACAGCCACCGAGATTCGCGAGAAGAGTCGACCATTCAGTCACTGACTAGGACCCTTCAATTATGGGCCAGTCAGTTCAACGACCTCGAAACAGAACCCACTCCGCCGCTAGGGCCTATGGACGACCTAAATCCTCCTTCTCATAATCTTCAAGATCCTCTTGTTCTGACCGATTTTCCTCCCTTACCTTCTCCTACTCTCGCCCCCCCTCAAACGCGAAACGATAGCGAGACCTCCCTCAACCCTGCCCAAGAACTATCCAATCGGTCAAGAGCTCACCATGGTTCGGGTTCTCGACAACATTCTTCGTCCGACCCTCGCGGTCCTGCCCTGGGCCTGGAAGACTCCCCGTCAACACCCATGTCTCCTCGCTCGGATTCCGAGACTGCTCATCGTTGGAGGGATGGCTCAGGTCCAATACCAGAGGATGATGGCATGTTTCCTCTACGGAAACGAATCACCGCCGTTTGGAATGGCCCTGGCACTGCTGCCGAAAAATCGCGACTGGTACATGGAATGATGATGGAAGGCTACCAACAGCGTCGGTCTGGACGGCCAGTCTCTTCGTCGACAACCACCACCGCACGTGGCTCATGGCCCGGCCCGGATACCCCATCCTCAATCTTGTCCGGCTCACGAGCAGAGTCCCTCAATTATAACCTCTGTCCGGAGGACCTCCTCCCGACCTATGCACCCATCGTCGATCCTCCGCAGGACTATCAGATCGCTCAAACTGCTCTCGGCACTTCCAAGCCCGACCTGGGTTGTGTTCACTACAAGCGAAACGTCAAGATGCAGTGCAACACCTGTCAGAGGTGGTACACCTGCAGATTGTGCCATGACGAAGTCGAGGACCACACTTTACCTCGTCGAGAAACAAAGCACATGTTGTGTATGTTGTGCAAATCTCCGCAACCAGTCTCTCAATTTTGCAAGTCCTGCGACGTCTCTGCTGCCTGCTACTATTGTTCCATCTGCAAATTGTGGAACAACGATCCCAACAAATCTATCTATCATTGCGACGATTGTGGTATTTGTCGCCTTGGGGAGGGCCTTGGGAAGGATTTTTTCCATTGTAAGACATGCGCTGCATGCATGTCGATACAAGCCGAAAGCACTCACAAGTGCATTGAAAGGAGTACCAAATGTGACTGTCCGATATGCGGCGACTATATGTTCACTTCCAACAAGCCCGTCGCTTTCATGCGTTGTGGTCATAGCATCCACGAGTCCTGCTTTGCCGACTGGTGTAATACAAGCTACAAATGCCCCATCTGCTCCAAAAGCATTGCCAACATGGAGAGTCAATTCCGCAGGCTCGATCGTCACATCGAGGAGCAACCCATGCCCGAGGAGTATCGCGATAACCGTGCATACATCTTTTGCAATGATTGCAACAGTCGGAGCATTACAAAGTATCACTGGCTCGGCTTGAAGTGTGCCATCTGTGAATCCTACAACACCACACAGCTGGAACTCCTGGGAGCTGAACAAACCCCACAGCTGCAAGAACAGCAGGAACGAGCACAGCAGAGGGGTGTCAGCGAAGCTGCTTTGACTGCGAGCCAAACACACACGCCTACAGGCGAGCTTGTTCAATCCATCCCAAGTCCCTCGGTGCTGGCCATCCCAGGGGCTACAGCACAGTCTGTGCCAATCAATGATTCTGCAGTCATTCCTGCCACTCCGGTCAATACCAGCCCATCGTGGCTCCTGCCTCACTCCCCCTCCACCAGATCGGCACGATCAATTTCACCCGTCGTTGGCAGCTATTTCGGTACCGGCAATCGAGATCTCCCAGGGCCAGCCCAACCTCCGGCTCCTAGAAGAGGTGCTACGCCATTAGAGGATGACGATGACCTCGATTTCTGGGGTCGTCCGAGTTCGCCCAGCCAGCCAGTTTTCGCCCGGCAAGAGGTTTCCGAATCTGATGAGAGCGACTCCAGTGACGAGTTGATGGAAGATGATGGAGATGATGAAGAAGAGGATGCAATGAACATTTTTGGACATCGATGACATCGTCGGCATCAGCACAATTTCCACCCGTCAGGTACAGACACAAAATCCCCCATAGCGTTACCTTGCATATCAGGAGGTTGGTCAGGTCAGAGCCGGCAGTTTTTGATCAGCATTGTTGTTGGATCTCAACGTCATGTGTTGTTTTACAAGCGAACTTGGGGGTAAGAGGATACTCCTCCGTATGGGTGCATCATGGTCATCTCAAGCATAGCGAGGCGCACAACGGCGCCGGTAAATACGAGTCTATATGGGGAGTGCATTTTGTATCACATCAGAACCAAAACATTGCTGCCAAGTAAGTTAATCTTTGAAATTTTGGAATATAGTCGAATTATGCTACGGCCAAGCTCAATACACATCATCAGCTTCTGCGATTGTGGCCCCCCCGGAACCAGGAACAAAGGTATCCTCGAATTCCTTGGTACACCTATTTACTCTCGCATCATACGTGAAAGAGCGGCGAAATCGGAGCTTAGGACTACTATAATTGATTGTCTCTGGTGATACTACCAACTGTCTACCTGGATCGTGCACTCATCATCTCCACGCCGCAAGTTGTCCGAAAATATCCATTGGGCTTTGATTGCTCCACGCCACAGATCCATTCGAGCGTCTCGTCTCAACATTCTCCACCGATGCAGCGTGTGCGACTCAAGTCCTCCGCACGCTCTTACAGAAATAATATGGCTTCATGTGTCAAATGAGCCCGTTCACCATCACGACGTTGCCAACCCCATCTCCCCATCTACCCAGAAGTCGATCAGCCCCTCTAACAATGCTAACAACCCCTGCGGCATACTAACTTAAAAACATCTTGACATGGCCATCACGTCTTTCCGTGGTTGTCTTGCACTTTTGAGGAGCCTGCCCATATCACCCAATCCTGTCCCATACTCAAACAAAAACCTCAATGCTCAAATGCCCGTGTCGAACTTGAGAAACACAAAAATCTGCCAGTGCTCGAGGTGATGAAGGCGAACAGCAGTCCCCGTCGCTGCCGAGGCATCGAGTCGGCTGATTCAATATCCATCGACACGAGTGCAGGGGCGCGGCCACGAAGCCCTCTCTTGCGCTACGTCGATAATGCTCTACCCTCTTGAGCTGGCATGGTCATGGTTTCGTAGACGTTTCGGCACTTGAAGCCCATGCCGCTGCCCAGAATTTCCAAGCTAGCTGCAACCCCCTGTACTTTTCGTGGTCATTGATCTCAGTTAAATGGTAGTTAATTGTAGTATTGCTGCAGCCTCCACCGTTCGAACTGCTGAGCGGCGTTTTGTAGTCGCTTAACTTTTCAAGTCTATGCATCATGTGGGAAAAAAAATATCGATATGTTTCATCAACATACATCTCTGGAATGTATCACCAATGTCATCAGCCACGACCGCATGATTTGTATGCTTCTGATGGGCATTCAAGTGCATTGGCTCAGTGTCGCTAGCATACTCTCACACGTCTAATGAGGCGGTGAAGTGCGATAGGAGCCGTTGGCCCGGCCATCGACATTGCTCGAGTCATCGTTTGGGGAACCTTCTCCAGCAAGCTTCTTATCTGAGGCAACGATTTTGCCGTGAATGGTTTGCAACTCAGACCCCTTGATTCCTTTGTTCGGCCAGTAGGTCGCGGCGTAGTCCCTGTCCATGAGTTAGTACAAGTCCATGTGCTGTTCAGAGGCTACCTTACCAGAATCGCTTCTCCACCGACTCATTAGGCTCCTCCAACTCGGTCACTTGCTCGGTGATAAAGTTTCCAATTTGCTTCAATAGGACTCTCAACTCGTTGGCTCGTTGTTGCCCATCAGGTATCGCGCTCTTGGTCGTAGCCTTGATCTTTCGAAGGCTTTCACGGACCGGCTTGAATATCATCACCATTAAAGGATCGACCTCAGCCGCACTTCCATTGGTGGCCGCCTCACTGCGCCTGTGATCGCTACCATGGCGGTTATGTGGGCCATGATCATCACGATGCCGACGATGGTCTCTGTTATCGGATTCCCTATCCCGCTGTGGGTGTCGTAGCTCTGATCGTGGGGTACCATATCTCTCTGAACTTTCGCGATGAGGTTGGCTCGCAGGCCGGCGGTGTTTGTCGGACTCACGGCGATCCTTTCGTGGAGCAGGGGAGTCGTTGTGACGGACCTTGTCAAGCTTCTTGTTGTTCCGATGATGATTTTCCACAGCTCTCTTGGCTGCAGGGTCATCAGCATACTTGCTTTTAAGCACGGAGAGCAGATAGTCAGCTCGTCGAACAAGATGGACTGCTCCAGGGGATTTGGCATTCTTTGCATCCAACCGCTCTCTCTCCGCTTTCTTGTCGACACGATGCTCCTCTAAAAAGAATTTATCATGAAGACCAAGATCAGGATCGTCTCTGATCTTTTCCCAAGCACCATAGCCATGACGTGAGATTCCCACGCAAAGCATCCCATCTTCTCTTGCGCCCCAGGCGCAGGTATAGCCTGCATGTTTTGTGGCTTCGGCGATCCGGAAGGATTTGAAATCAGGGTCTTTAGATGTCACCTCTTGCAGTAAACGCATCTCAGCAGGTCTTTCGAGGATAGTTTCGGCGTTAATACGTTTTACACCATGAAGTTCGAACAGGACAGCTTTCTTGTCCTTCTTGGTCAGCGGGCGATTTGCGCTGCGTTCCAAATCTTCCATGCGTTGCTGTTCCTGTTTAAATAGCCGGAGAGATTCGTCCCAGACCTCATTCATGGCGGCTTTGACGACTTCCATATCTCTGCCTCGGAGGCGAGCCTCTGTCAAGAACTCCTCGGTTCTGTCATCGATTGAGCCGTACCGAAGATGACCTTTGATGAGGTAACGGTATTCTCGCTCACTCAAAGGTCTTGACGGGTCAGACTTGGGGCCGCCCTCTTCGGAGTCACTATCAGAATCAACCTCCTTCTGGCGCTGCTCTTGGCGTCTAGTTTTGCGGGCGTCTCGATCGTCGGTCTGGTGGTTTCGCACGCGAGGTTTGTTTTGTTCGATAACTTCTTCGAGGTACTTTTCGTCGGCCTTCCGCTGCTCCTCGGCCTTAATATTCTCCAGTTGTTCCTTAGGAATAATATCTTCCCAGGAGAGTTCATCCACTTTGACGTCGACAAAGTCAAAGGATCGCAGAAAGTCTTCACCACCGTCGGCATCAGTGCCGTCTGGCTGCTCAACTTTGTAATCCTCGGCGTTGTTAAGCATGGCATCTAGGTCAAGTTCTTCCAATTTTTTCTGGTTACCAGTTTGTTCGAACATTTTCTGTCCTCTTTTTTTTAGAATTCGAGAAATCTCACTGGATGATCCAGGTTCGCCGACCAGCGCATTTCGACGGGCTTGAGTTTCCTTATCTGTGACACCTCGTTGAATGGTCAAAAATTCCAACATCAGCTTGTTTCTCGCACGTTCTAGGATTTCCTCTTCGACAGTCTCCTTGGACACCAAACGGTAGACGCTGACTGGCTTGACCTGACCAATTCTGTGAGCACGTGCCATTGCTTGGAGGTCAGCTTGGGGATTCCAGTCAGAATCAAAAATGATGACGGTATCGGCGGTCATGAGGTTGATGCCCAAACCACCGGCACGAGTTGATAGCAAAAAGCAGAAGTCGGTGCTGTCAGGGGCATTGAAATGATCAATGGCGATACGTCGAGGTGCGGCGGCAATCGTACCGTCTAATCGCTGGTAAGCATGACCCCGATATTCCATATAATCTCCGAGAATGTCGAGCATTTTGACCATTTGAGAAAAGATCAACACACGGTGGCCATCGCGCTTCAGCTTGGTGAGTAGCTGATCAAGCAGCATCATCTTGCCGCTGCTTGTGACGAGTGCGCGTAGCACTTCCTCACGTCGCGCGCCTTCAGGAACCAGACGTTCCTCAGCACTTGGAAACATGAATGGATGGTTGCTAGCTTTCTTCAGTTCCATCATGATGTTGAGCAGAGACTGTTTCTGGCCTTTGGCGCCCTGGTTGAGAGCGGCATAGTTCTTTGTCAGGATATTTTTGTAGTATTCGAGCTGGATATCTGACAACTCAACGCGGATGATCTTTTCCGACTTGGGTGGTAAATCTTTCTCCACCTTCTGCTTCGTTCGCCGTAGCATAAATGGCTTGATATCTTCTGTGAGCTGAGAGATCTTGGCGCTGGCTTCTTCATTCGTCAAGTCCATGTTCTCATCAATGTTGACGACACCAGGGTTGAGGAAATCGAACAGCGCCGAGAGCTCGCCGAGGTTGTTCTGGACTGGAGTGCCGGTAATGAGCAGTCGAGCAGGAGCCTTGAATTCTCGAAGACGATCGTAGAGCTGAGAGTCCCGATTCTTGAGACGATGGGCCTCGTCCACTGCCATGAACTGCCATTTGATTTGACTCAAGAAGGCAGCATCATGAAGAACATATTCGTATGTGGTGAGCAAAACGTGGAAGCGAGGATGACGGGTGTTGCCATCAGGCAAGAGCTCGTAATCTTTGATGATATTCCGTGCGGTCTGGTTGCCATTGTAGATGACATAGTTCAGGTCTGGGGCCCACATGTCAAACGTATCAGCCCAGGCAGGCATGGTAGAAAGGGGGACGGCAACGAGAAACGGTCCTTGCTGGCCACGGTTATGTCTGAGCCAAGACAGAAAAGCAACAGTCTGGACAGTCTTGCCCAAACCCATTTCGTCTGCAAGAACGACATTCTTGCCTTTGACCCAATTATAAGCCAGGAAGTTGAGACCAGTCATTTGGAAGTCTCTCAAAGTGCCATTTTGGATATAAGACGGTTGCTCCCGAACAGGCTGGAAGGCTGAGCGTGAAGCAAGATTGCTTTCGGTGGTATCAGACTTGAAGTCTTCCCTCCGGCGATTGATATAGCGATCAATCTCGTTCTGGGCAATCTCACTGACGAGGGCCGAGGACTCCCAGGTGGCTTGATCGTAGAAGAGGCCTTTCCACTTGACATAGTACTCGATGCCTTCTTCGCCATCACGATCACCAATGACTCGTTCAACCTTTTTGTAGTCGTCGAGGGTATCGGCATACTGCTCACGGTCAAGAATCCATTTTTCCCTGTCTTCAGGGGCAATGGTTTTGTCGGTGAGCACGTGGATATCGGTAAGTAAGGTCTTTCTGATATAGTTCTCGAGCCGGCGAACGCTTTTGACGCCAATGAGGCTCTCACTGGTTTCCCATGTGGCATGATAGTAAGCCTTCTGTTGCCACTTGATTAAGAATTCGTAATCATCTTTGGAAGGATTCTCGGTGGTGACATCTGGCTTGAGACGGTGGTTGAGGACAATGTCAATGGCGGGAGAGTTGTCTTCTACACCGTTAGCCCAGTAGCTTGGGGTCAGTGTGTCTGGGTCATTGTCGTCAAACATGTCGTCGTCGTCATCTTCGTTGTAGGTAGACACTTTTGCAGCTTTGCGAGTTGAGAATCTGACCTCGGCATGGGCGGGTGTCAGGCTCTCGGCAGACTGCAGTAATCTCCGACGTTGTTTTTTACTGAGCCTGGCCCTGCGTCCACCATAGGCATCAGAGTCACCATCGGAAGCTGAAGGGGACTCGACGACTGGAGTAGGCTGGTTTGAGGAACGACGAGAGGTGCCAGCTCTCAGGCGTTTGCGAGGTCTGGGAGCGATGTCGGAGTCGGAATCTTGTTCGCCAGAGGACTCGGCCATGTTGGGGACTGCTCTGGCACGTCCACTTCGCCTCAGACCATACATCTCTGGATTGCTCCGAATGTAATCATCCTCTTCTGCCTGTGGTGCTTTCCTCTTTGCAGGACGGATAGATTCGTCGGATGAAGAGTGGTCGGAGGGTTCGAGCTCGGATGTGGTTCTGGGTACTTGTATCGATGTGTCCATTTCATCATCCTCATCGAGTCCAGCAGGAGGTTCAGAAGGGGTAGAATCGTTCTGTTCCGAAAATCGTTGGTGGTCGTCGTCGACTTCGGTTTGTGACGGCGAGGCGGCGGCAGCGACAGGCTCGGCAGGGTCCGACAGGTCACTACCGCTATCGGAGTGGGTAGCGCCGTTGGCGACAGTGGACATTTTGGAAGTAGAAGCCGGCTCGAACGGTGTAACAGGAGGCTCAGACGCTTCTGGTATCGAGGGAGGAGGTGGTTGAGCAAGGATATCGGAGGCTAGAAAAAGAGGCGTCAGCAGGGCCGAGGTGGTGGCATAGGCAGAGTACCAAAAGGTACGACGAAGTATGGAACAGACAGGCGATTCAGAAAATGGTATAATTAAATCAACAGTGAGAATGTAAGACCAAACAAGTATAATATATGATGGAAATGAGGTGGGTTTGAAGCGACGGTGATGAGAGTGCTCTTAAGATGACAGGCTGAGGGGTGGTTTGGTGGAGGAATGAGTCAGGACTGCGGTGGAAGCAGGACATCAAACGCACAGCACGGTCGATGACTCGAGAACTTGAGATAAGGCTGGGAACAGTGTATCGTTCTTGTCCACAGGATGGTGAGGGCAAATGCGCAATCGAACCAGCGCGGAGGGTTAAGGTGATGGATGGGGCAGCAACAAGGCAGAATCTGAAAGGGTAACAAAGCTGACGACTTACTCTCCATAGTGGCAGGAAACAGAGTCCCAAGACTCTACAAGTGGACAGAGGCAGGTAGCTCAGGGTTAGAAGAGTATTTTGACAGAAGAAGAAGATGTCTGGACTTGAGGTGGAGGGTGCATGGTATAGGCAATGTAGACGTATGAAAGTATGGAGACTGGAGTGCAGACGAGTGCGGAAAGATGTGAGTCTCAAAAGGGCCTGTAAGGTTCAGGGCCGTGAGGACCTCGCGCCTGCCGTGATAATAATAAAGAAAGTATGCCGAGCCACTCAAGCGGAGTTAGTAGACGCTAATGTGCTTGGCATTGTTTGCACTCCTTACACTTTAACAGCCTTGTGTGTTGCTAGCCACAGGCAGATTTTTTATTGTTCTTGACGCTGCCAACTGACCAGAATTCCACAATGTTGATAATATTAGTATTGACCTACGGATTGCCTAAAGGAACATTATGCATTTGCAGAGAACCTTCCTTACGACAGTGCCATCAAATTGAGTGAGACTACGGAGTATCTTCTGTAAATCTAAACCATAAATCTGCACCTGCCTGTCACACTCTTCGATGACATTACACACACTTTGTCATGACTCATGGTCGCACAAAATCCGAGAGAGAGAAAATAGATGAGAAGATCAAAACAGGTGAGAACCCAACATAGGAAAAGTGTTTAACAAGGGATAATTGAAGGATATTTCCCCAGGTCATTTGGCCCCCCAAACTAGAGCCAATCAGCAGGACCTGAATATTGATTAAATCAGTCTGTCAAAAATGTCGTGGCTCTTGGGCGTCATTGGCCATGTCGTGGGGCTCTCTCGGCTCAGGCAGAGGCATCCCACCAACTAAAATACTCCCAAGCCCTACCCATTAGTGCCATTATTGGTGCCCACCACGCCTGTTACAGTCCTCCCACTGTTGGCTGTCCGCTACACTAAAGTAAACTACAGTAAACTACTCCGTACGTAGAGGCAGAATCGTCAGAATAATAATAATTCAATTCACACAACAGCCCCTCCTCAGTCACCGCAATCCCCAAACTTCACTGTCTGCCCTCTTTTTGATCTTCCTCTACTTTGTGCACTTTTCACTCTTGCCTGGCTGTTCACCGCGTCAACCTTACTTCTACACGCTATCACATCTCACTCAGTGTACCTGCCTGCGCTCATTCAATTTTCTCCCACATCTCTCGAGTACTGCCAACAAACCCACTCCCCGCCACGACAGGACTCGGTCTGCGATCGCCGCTATGTCGGACAAATTAACAAGGTACTTGCCCTCTTCGCCTCTTTATGGGTGGTGATGCCAACTGACATCCTCCTAGAATTGCTATTGTCAATAGTGACAAGGTTGGTGGTGCCTCTTTGGCAACTTCAAAAGTTTGTGACGGCTAATCCTTAATCCTTCGTCTCACAGTGCAAACCAAAAGTGAGCCACCCCACTCATGAATGATCACAGCCATAGACTGACAATACCTAGAAATGTCGTCAAGAATGTAAAAAGTCTTGCCCCGTCGTTCGAACCGGCAAACTCTGCATCGAAGTCACTCCCGAATCCAAGATTGCCTACATCTCCGAGCGTTTGTGCATTGGCTGTGGTATCTGTCCGAAAAAATGTCCATTCGGTGCGATTCACATCATCAACCTTCCCACAAACCTCGAGACCCAGGTCACCCATCGGTATTCTGCAAACAGTTTCAAGTTGCACAGACTTCCCATGCCCCGGCCTGGTCAGGTTCTTGGTTTGGTAGGCACAAACGGTATCGGCAAGAGCACGGCTTTGAAGATCTTGAGTGGAAAATTGAAGCCCAACTTGGGTCGATATGACAACCCACCAGATTGGGAAGAGATTTTGCGATACTTTCGTGGCTCTGAATTGCAAAGTATGTCTTGTGTCTACCATCGTCTGTTCCCAATCATCTGATTTTGTCTAGATTACTTTACAAAGGTTCTCGAGGATGACCTCAAGGCCATTGTCAAACCTCAGTACGTCGACCAACTGCCACGAGCCATCAAGGGCCCCATCAAGAATGTCAAGCCCTTGATTCAACAAAAGTCCGAATTGGGCAATCTCGACCACATCATGGACGTCTTGGGTATGTGAATGCCACTCAGCCTCACCTATCACCATGTCATCACTAACTTTTCAAAAGAACTCAACGCCGTTTCCGAGCGTGAGGTCTCGCTTCTCTCTGGCGGAGAACTCCAACGATTTGCCATTGCCCTAGTTGCCGTTCAAAAAGCGGACGTTTACATGTTTGACGAGCCCTCGTCCTACCTTGATGTCAAACAACGTCTAAGCGCAGCAAAGACCATCCGTGAACTGTTGAGACCCGACGACTACGTGATTGTCGTCGAACACGATTTGTCAGTCCTTGATTACCTCTCCGATTTCATCTGTGTGCTCTACGGAAGACCTGCCGTTTACGGTGTCGTCACCCTCCCGTCCTCAGTTCGTGAGGGTATCAATATTTTCCTCGATGGCAACATTCCAACCGAGAATCTCCGATTCCGCGAGGAGAGCTTGACTTTCCGTATTGCCGAAGCTGGTGAAGACTATATGGCCGATCGAGATCGTGGCTTCCAATATCCCCGCATGCAGAAAACCTTGGGCGGTTTCCATTTGAGCATCGAAAAGGGCGATTTCACTGACTCGGAGATCATCGTCATGATGGGTGAAAATGGAACAGGCAAGACGACTTTCATCAAGATGCTTGCCGGCGCAGAACAACCCGATGGAACCACCAGGGTTCCCAAGCTCAATGTCTCGATGAAACCCCAAAAGATCACACCCAAGTTCACCGGTACTGTCCGCCAGCTTTTCTTCAAGAGGATCAAGGCCGCTTTCCTGAGCCCTCAATTCCAGACCGACGTTTACAAACCCTTGAAGATTGACGACTTCATTGACCAAGAAGTTCAAAATCTCTCGGGTGGTGAATTGCAACGTGTGGCCATCGTTCTGGCTCTTGGTATCCCTGCCGACATCTATCTTATCGACGAGCCATCCGCCTATCTCGATTCCGAGCAACGTATCATCGCTGCACGTGTCATCAAGCGGTACATCATGCACGCCAAGAAGACAGCCTTTATCGTCGAGCACGATTTCATCATGGCCACTTATCTCGCTGATCGTGTCATTGTCTTTGACGGCAAACCATCCGTGGATGCTCGAGCAAACGCGCCAGAATCTCTCCTGACTGGATGCAACAAATTCTTGAAAAATCTTGATGTGACCTTCCGTCGAGACCCCAATTCATACCGTCCTCGCATCAACAAATACCAATCTCAAATGGACCAGGAGCAGAAGCTAGCGGGCAACTACTTCTTTTTGGAAGATGAGAGTTAAAATTGCATTTTTCACCAAGGGCAACTATCAAAACTATCATCACCGTCATCATCACCACGATGAACAAAAGCATAATGACCAGCACCATTACGACGGAACGAGTCACGATCACGACCAACCGGTCAGCAGCCATACCAGCTCCACGACGTTGAAGAGCACGGGCAAAGGTGCAAAAAAGCGTAGAGGAGGTGTTGTGATCAACGACGAAGATGCCGAATCGGAAGAAAGTGATGAAGAGGGAGATGACCTTCCCGGCAGTGGTTGACCTCCTGCGCCCTTGGAGAAAGATGTCATTGCAGATTGTTCGCTTTCAATGTGTAATGGGATCTTCTCTTCGCGATCTTTTTGCGAACAGGGTCCGGGTCAAGTTAGGTGGCCACTGCCTCATCAGCCCCATTTTTGACTAGGCGACTACGGAGTAGGTAGCATCAATGTGGGTCGAAGCGGGTACGGGCGAGACGTTAGCTCTTCTTTTGCCAAAGCTATCAGGAAGACGTGAACGAGGCAGGTGACAAGCCTGTCGTGCTCGCAGTGGTGGTGGAAAAGCATTCCCCTTACAGAGACACCTACCAGCAGCCGACCTTAATGGTCTCTCATTCCTTTGCTGGCCACTCGACGGGACATGTTGCTGTCGACGTAGATGAATTGAAGAACAGAGATACTATCAAGACATGAAATCAAAATGTTTTCATGCTCGTGCTTGAAATTTTGGGATCTTAATTCTCTTCTTCGTGACTGGTAGCACCATTGATCCTGTAAAACGGACGAAATTGACGTCGATACCCAGATGGATCGGGAACGTATTTCGTCTTCTGTCAACAGATTGGATCCAGGTATGACCGAGGAGGAGATGGTGGAGTAAATGTCAAGAATTATGATCTTTTTGTGCTTTTTTCGTTCCCTAAACTTTTACTGCTAGCCTGCGCAAACATGAGGGCAGCGATCCAGTGTGTGATGTGACCAAGAGTATCAACTTTTGTCTACTAAATCGACTTGACTTGATCTACCAAGTCGCATCGTAGCCCATTCTTGCTTGATCATGGGCAAGGGAGCTAAGCTGCTCCCCAAGTCTGGGCTGACCACAGTCTCACCATCCTTTGAGAAAGCAATCACGCATGCAGTCCCATTCGCCCGGCTATCTCCACGTCTGGTGCGACTGCGCAATGCGCAAAGCGTTTGACTCTCACAGAGAAACCCCTCTTCTCGCACAGCAAGTCTTAACCAGGCCTTAGAGTAGGTTCGCTGTATGGCTCTATTACAGTAAGTCTTTGGCCTCCAACTTGACAATCTGTGACACCTTTTCATCAACATCTTTTCCACTTAAAGCCTCCTTCAGCCGTTGCTTGTACTGTGGCAACTTCTCGTAGCTGCTATCCAGGGAGTTCAGAGCTAGTAACGCCTTGGTCGCAAGCAGGAATTTTCGTTTTCGAATGTACAACTCAAATGCCGCGGCTTGTACCTCAACAGACTGGTGGTTGAACTCGAGCAGAGGGGCGAGAAACTTCGAGGCGTCCTTGAGGGGTTCTTTGGTTTCGACGAGGGTCTTACCAAAGGGATCCTTGTCTTCTTTTTTAGCGTCAACATCTTCGGATTTGGGAGTCGGCTTAGCGGCCTTTTGGGCGGCTTTCTTGTCCGCCTCGGCCTTTTCCATCTTCTCTTGCTCTCGTTTGGCCTTTTTGAGTGCTTTTTTACGTTCGGCGGCGTTGAGTTCCGCGCTTGCGTTACCATTTACCGTCAATGGGATGGGACCGTGCTGGAGGTCCGGGTTGTCAAAGAGGAGAATGTAGGCGTGGACAGCCGAGATGGCTGCAGAGGAGAAGAAGGGGTGGTCCCTTAAGCGGTCTTCCCAGCGGAGCATGTCGACGTATGCTCTAATCATGCCTTTTCGGAGGGAGAAATTATGGAAGTCGAATTGGTCATCTTGCCAGATTTCAAAGACGGCGAGAACTTGGTGGAAGCGCTTTAGGGCCAGACCCAGTTTGCGCTGGCGGAGGTAGGATTTTCCATCTTCTGTCAAGTACCAGACGGCTTGCATATCGATCAGGTCGCCCAGAGGACCTCCAGACTTGTTCTGAGTGAACATGGAGGCAGTCTCAAGGGCTTTCTCATTTTGATCTGCTCGAAGCTGGTATTTGGCACTCTTTGTGTTGATCGCACGGTCTTTCTCGTCCAGGGATCGAGCATAGTCCATGACTTCTGCTGCTTTGACGAGATCACCTTTGTGTTTGTATGCTCTCGCTTTGACCGAGTGATAGTCAACTGACTTGGGATCTAGCTGGATGAGTTTGTCGGCATAGTCAAGAGCCCTGTCAAGGTCTCTACTGAGTTTGTAGTTGTAATGTTGTGCAAGGAAATAGAGGACGGATGCTTCAAAGTGTGACTTGTCCTGGTCGCCGTTAATGCTGATGCCGTTGGTCTGTGAGGGGCCTTTGCTGGAGGCATAGCCCTCGACCAAACTTTGGATCCTGCCACGTTTGTCGGAATCGGTGTATAATTGCTTGATGTTGGCAAAAGTGGATGGAACGCCTTTTTGGAAGAATTTCTGCAGGTAGACTTCGGCAGCATTTGTGAAATCCTGACCAGACAAGACATCGAGTAATCTTCGCCTGGGCAGGTCTGCTTTTGGATACTTGTCCGCCAGTTGTTCATAGGCGACTTTGAGATCGAGTGCAGGGCCATCTTTTAGCCCTTTAGCGTCGATGTAGCCATCATAGTAAGCGGAATTGTCGGAATTTCGATCGAGTAGGAGGGCATAGGCAGCCTCGGCTTCTGACTTACGGCCCAAGCGCGCGAGGTAATCAGCCCGCATCTCGAGGACACCCTGAACATCAGGGCTCTTTTTGCCAACAGCATCGAGATGGTCGAGGGCCTTTTCGACTTCCCCGGATTCTGCGATTATGTAGTTCTTATATAGGACCGCTTCCCAATGTTCGATGTCGTTTCTGTTTGGTTTGGTTTTCAAGGTATCTTCAAAGGTGGTCAGAACATTTTGGGCGTCTTCGTAGTTGCCAGCGAGGTGGTGAGCAATGGCTAAAGCGGTCCAATTTTGACGAATGCCAGGCTTTTGTTGTAACATGTTTCTTCTACTTGAAATGTAACCTTCATAGTCTCTCATCTGGATTTGGAGATGTGCCAGATCCCTTTGTATGGGGGCGGAGTCTGGTTCTAACCGGAGAGCGAATTTGTATGCCTTGATGGCCTCCTCAAAATTCTTCTCGGCTCGATACAGCAAGCCATAGACGTGCCAACAAACGTGAGATTTCATGTTGTTGTTCAAGGCGATTTTGGCGAGAGCGAAGGCTTCTTCGGTGTGACCTTGGGAATTGATGATGAGGGCTTTCATGGCTTGAGTATCGGCATGATTGGGATGCTTGCGGAGAATCTGCTCGGCGGCCTTTAAACCTGGGAGTTGAGGTCAGGTGGGAAAAGTCGGAGACGGGCAGTGATGGGTATCAGCTTACCTTTTTTATACTGCTTGTTCTCAAAGTGGCGGACCACCTGTCGGAACAGGGCGCCATCTTTGTTACTCAACTGCGGTTGCGCCTGAGCCATTCTGGCGCAGTGAACGAGGAGATGGGATGGTGTGGGAGGGAAGTGCAAAATGCAGGTCGATTCGGTGCAGGATGGGTCAACCAAACGAGATGGGTAAGGAGCAAAGGAAGAGATTATACGGGAATGAGCGAGTGATGCCGGAGAACAGGATTCATCAAACAGACTTGCTCCCCCCAAACGTCTAAAGCTGACTGAAGAGAAGAGATGGTGAGATGGACGACATTGAGAACATGCGAGGACTAAGTGGATAAACTGTAAAGAGGCTGCGTCAAGTGGCCCGATGGTAGCCTTGTCTTGGCAATTATCACACATCCATAACAGCCTGGAGAAGACCCAGTCACCCAGTGCATTTGCCTACCTACCTAGGTACCTAAGCACAAGTAAATTACAGGTACCTCCCTAATTAAGTGCTTCGCCTTAGGTGTCTATTTCGGTGCTTAGTTCAAGACGGTGCCGTGGGGAGGATTTCCCCAGAAAGCAGACTCTCAAAGAGAAAATATCATCTAATGTGGTTTCATGCTCGATCAATGTGGGTGTTCTGGTAGACCATGTCATGATGGGCATGGATTATTCGTGGCAATATCAATATCTTGGGCGGTGAATCAGTACGACTGTTTATAGGTCTCTAGTGAAGAGCAACGATCACCCCTCCCCCTTCTTCTCTAGACAATCGATTAATCGCGCTCTTCCATCAGGCTAGGCATCCGAACCAGCCTCGTCGATGAGAGCCCTCAAGGTCTGTGCACTGTTGCGAAGCAGTTGGTCCTCTTCTTCATTCAATGGAATCTTGAGTGTTCTCACAACCCCCTTCCTGCCCAGGACGACCGGTAAACTGAGACAACATCCTAATTCTTCGTTCCAGTGGGATATAGGACGAACAATGCGTTGATCAAAGAGAATGCTTTTGCAGATGCTAGCCGTTAAAGCGCCAATACCGTAGGCCGTAGCACCTTTGGCCTCAATAATCTTTGCTGCTTTGTCTTTTGTTTCTGCCGCAATCTCTTTTCTGTCAAGTATGGTACTTGGTGGCAATGCTTGATCAAGGGGCAATGCGCCGATTGTAATGAGAGACCAGGCAACCTATTTCTCGTCTTAGAGGTGAGGTTTGGGGTTAAGCAGGGTTCTTACCAGCTGAGTCTCCCCATGTTCACCGAGGACATAGGCGTCCACACTGCCAGCATCGACGTCGATTTTCTCAGCCAAGATGCCACGCAAACGTGCACTGTCGAGGAAAGTCCCACTCCCTATGACTTGGCCTTCTGGCAAACCGGTGAACTTGCGGGCAAAGTACGTGAGAACGTCGACGGGATTGGCAACAAGGAGGATGACAGTATCATCTCTGAAAGGTTTCATATCTCCAATGGCCGAATTGAGGATGGCTAGATTGCGGCCTAACAAATCTGTGCGGGATTCACCTTGTCTCTGTTTTGCACCGGCGCTGATGACGACAATGTCACATTGGCCAGCCTCTTTGTGGGTTCCGCTGCGAATCCTGACGCCTCCTCCACTAACTATATGTCAGTTCTGGTGTGAAGGCTGGCGAATCAGGCAGACTCACCCAACAGCACCATGATAGGTGGTAGCATCACTGAGATCTTTGACTTGAGCGTCTCGTAAATCTGCTTTGGGATCTACCAGCAGGACTTCGCTGGAAACAGGGTTGAGAATGAGGCAGAGGGCAATAGCCGAACCGACTGAGCCAGCGCCGAGGATGGCGATACGAGATCTGTCCTTGGAGAGCTCGGGGTTCATTGGAGGAGGATCCATAATGTAATAAGAACAGGAAAATCGATAACAGCGTATAGATACCTTGTATGCGGAAGCTCAATATAAGTAAAAGCGGGATTTGGAGGGAGCAAGAGTGAATGGTTGGTGATGTTGAGGGAACAGAAACAAGAGAGAAGAGTTTGTGGAAGTCGGTATGTATTTAAGAGGGGAAGTCACGATGCAGAAGGGTTGGATGAGAAAGCACGATTCAAGGTTGTCGCTGAATGGCAGGAACGATCTGTCTTTCGTTCTGGGTGCCAGAAAGTGGGCAAGAGCGGCTGCTCAACTCGTAACTTACAACCTTACGCAATTGTAAGCCATGAACGATGATATCGGACAGGGTTGAACACGCGATGCCACGCCACTTTTCTGGTGCTGTACCTCGTATTGCAAGTGCGGGCACTGAAGAATGGCCTAAGTACTTGGTCAAAGCACGAGATGCTCAGAAAGCTAGTAGGTTACCTCAGCTGAAATGTGAACCCTGTTTTGCCATGGCGGACAAGCTCTCGGCATTTCAACGGTCGACATCCACAATTCAGTGTGGTGCTGGTGTTTAGAAGACTTCTTCCCACTGTCATTATTATTTCCAAAAGGAATAGAAAGGGTTCACGGTGGGAGATAAGGGACGGCCGAGGGGCCTGCGAGCCGAGAAGGTCCACATCCAGTGTGTGGGGACAATATTCTTTCTCAACTAAGCGATCACCAGAAAACATAGCCATACATTCCTCACCCATGGTGATAGAGTAGCTCATTGACGAAATATACTGGTAGCAACTCTTCAAAATTTTATTCGCCAGTGCCAGTTCGTGGCCTCGATCTAATATCTTCCATACGTCAATCTTGCTTCTGCATTTCTATTTGGACGCCGACTCTGCGCCCAACAGTTAATGTCGTTGTCAAATAACTGGCTACATGGGCCTTCTTCTCCGACAATTAGTCCGAAGATTGAAGCTATGTTGGCATAATTACGTTCAATCGTGACATTCCGGGCATGTACTGACATGCCCAAGAATTGCCGTATACCTTGACGTTCTTCGAGAACATGGTAGAACCACTTTTGGCCAACAGGACGGATTTGCTACGCCCCCGTGCATTCGTAAAACGCCATTTCCCTCCTTTTCCAACATGCACAATCTGAGTGCTGATGCAACGTGGCTAGGTGGTTGATAAATCAACTCAAGTCAGCAATCATGGTCCCTGGCTCCTCCAGATACCGCTGGACCATGGTAGCCATTCTCGCCATTGTGGCACCATCAACAACTCGATGGTCAGCGCTCCAGCTCACTTCAGCTTGCTCTGCGGCTTTGACCGTCACACCATCTTGGGCGAATACCGGTACCTTCTTGATCCGACCAACACCCATGATGGCCATCTGGCCCTCGACAATGACTGGAGCAAGGACTCCGCCACCGATGTTTCCAATGTTACTGACGGTGATAGTGCCGCCTGTAAGATCGGCATTGCCAAGTTTTCCAGCTGCACCGAGTTGGGCGAGACGCGAAAGTTCTTGTGCGATGGAACTAATGGATCTTGCGTTCACGGCTTTGATCACCGGGACCACAAGGCCATTGGGAGTGTCCATGGCCACACCAATGTTGTGGACTGCTCGCATTTGGAGTTGCGGCTTCTTGGGGTCAGAGGTCAGGTCGAGTCGGGCGTTGAGAATAGGGTATTGATTGAGGGCAAGAGAGACGGCTTTAATGATGAAGGGCATGTAGGAGTATTTAGGACTGGTTTCCGGGTTCCGGATTGCGTTGAGCCTCGACCGGATGGACGAGAGGTTGGTGATATCCAAAGTGTCCGAGTAGAGGAAATGAGGAATGGAAAGCGAACCTGTCATGCTCTTGAACATTGCAGATTGGATGGGTGTGAGTTTCTGGGCGGTCTCGGTCTGTTTGGCATCAATGGTTGGTTTCATCGCCAATGTAGTCGTGCCAGACGAGGAGGTCTTCGCGCCCTCCATGTGCCGATAGACATCTTCCTTGAGGACTCGGCCGTCTTTACCCGTGCCAGTGATGTCCTCGATCACCAAGCCGTGTTCTTTCAGAAGACCTCTGACGGCCGGAGTTGCCAATGAGGCATGTTTACTGGGCGTCTTGGGCTCGGGGGCTGCTGGCGATACCTCCTCTTTAGCCGGAGGTTGCCCTCCCTCTGCCTTTTGTTCCACATCTTGTGAGTCGGATTCAGCCTCGTGTCCAGGCTGCGGTTCATCTTCTCCCTCAACCTCAATATCAAGCATTGCATCTCCAACTTGTACGACGGCGTCTTGAGCAAAGTGCAGTTTCTTAATGACGCCGGTATATTTGGAGGTGATCTCGACTGAGGCTTTGTCACTTTGGACTTCGCACAGAGGGCTCCACTCCTCAATAGGAGCGCCTTCTTCCACAAACCATTGGATGATCTGGACTTCTTTGACACCTTCGCCAATGTCTGATAGGACATGTGTTTCGGTCTTATCCCACCGAGGAGTCGCGTGGAACTGACGAGTCAAGGACAGGAAGGGAGTGGAGGATCGAGGGCGAACGACGGGGCCTTGACCTCGCACCGCGCGGTGCAAAAGACGCAGGGCTTGCGGCGAAGGGACACACTTCATTCTGAGAGGGAGTTGACAGGAGAATTTCGATGGACAAGGGGAGAATCCATGGACAACACGTATAGTCGTAATATTTGAGGAAGATTGAGGGTACAAGTGTTGGTGATCTGAGCCGCGTCTAACCGAAGCCGTGATCCGGCCGCGCAGTTTGGGAATGACGTCCATCTCCGACCAACCGGTGGGGAGGGAATTCTTTATATGGGGTGGGGCACGAACTCACATTGATTGGCCGTCAGCGATTAAATTATGATATTGTACGACTAACAATATGCTGACCAGAGATGAGGAATCCACTCGGCAGGCGGAAGATCAACAGTCGACCACCGTGGGCCGTGAGCCATGGCTGTGCGACTAGTTTTTATGGTTCTGTATCTTGAAGCGGTCTTTAAATTCTCCCCTCCTCCTATGTAGCCTCACTCGCACTGAACTAGTCGCTACTAGAAGCTACCACTACCATTCCTCCCCGACGATGACCATGTCAAGAGTGTATTGTAGCATTCCATGACGCTCAAAGCTGATCGATGCCAGCACACAGGGCAGAAGATCAAGGTTCGCCTGGCCGCTTTGAAGAGGAAACGCCTCGACGAGGATGATTATACTAGACGCTTGTCCATAAATTCTCTTTCCCCTTCAGCCCCATTATTTTGTCCAAGGCTGTCTCAACAAGGCGGCATGTTGCACACGCCAAATTGGTTCAGCCAATTCGATGAGTTGACTTCCAAAATCTTCCAACAGCTTCTCAACTTCAAGTTCAATCAATTCATTCTGTTTGATGTCCTGACCGAACGTTGCCTCTTTCCACAACGCTTTCCATGTTGTTATCGCAGTCTTTGCGGCCGACGAAGTTGCTCGGACATTGGTGGCGATAAGATAGAAGGAACTTCGTGTCGCGTGGTACTTTTTCGGTTTATGAAGCCGGATTCTGGCAAAGCTAGAAAAGGTGTGGAGAATCTGCAAGGTATTCCACGATTCCACTTTATGCAAAAGCATGATCAACGTTCCACCCTCATGAATTCGCTGAAGGGCCAAAATCATCTGGCTGCAACTGAGACGCTGGCGCTCCCATTTCTCTCTTCCCTCGTCGGCGGCTCGATGCGCTGCGTGCGTCCGTAGCACCTGTCCGTCACAGAACACGAGATCAAAAGATGTTCCGATATATGGACGATATGTGGAGAGAGTCGGCTTAGTAAATTCACCTGGATCCAAGCCAAACTCACTCCCAAGCATGGTAATATCAAAGAATTCCACCGTAACTCGGGGATCTTCTTGACCTTGCGGAATAAGAAGTTCATGGCCACCTAGTGCCTCAGGCAAGGTAATGCCGCAGATGGTCGCGTCCGGATTGTATCGAAGTGCAGTCGCAATGAATCCTCCAGGAGCCGCGCAGAGGTCTAGGACATGGGGAGCAGCTTTTCCCAGCGCTATTGCCTCTGTATCTTCTTCCATTTCATCTCCAACACGACGCATCATGTTGAAAAACACTCGACGCAGATTCGACCCCGCCTCGTCAGCTTGCCGGCGTTGCTTTCGAAAATGTTCATCAGCCGCGGTGTTCTTCCAGCCCTAAGAGAGTATGTGAGCCTAAATCAGATATGGCGTTATTACATACCTTTTCCCTCAGATCGCCCAACTGTCCAAAAAATCCTTGACCGTTTTCTCAGGTAGGAGTTTACTAGGACTGACGGGACTGTAGAAATTTGTTCGCCATCGAGCGAGTCCATCTCACAACAAGAAGTGCTACGTGCTGCGTCCACTTTCTGCTAAACAACCACTGTTGTTGAAGGGAGGCAGACTTAGCGATATGGTAAAGTACCTATCTTCGACAGGGGCAATCTCAGGATATTCATCTTTCCATCACTTGTGAAGTCTGGTGTGGCTGCCTGATCTCATCCCGATCTCAACCACGAGGTTTGGCGATGTGGCAAACAATAATTGCTTAGCAAAGGCAACGATGCTGCAGAGATGGTTTGATACGGCTGCCCGCCGCCTTCTTGCACATATCTGAACACTAATCAGTGTAAGCGAGGTGTCTTTTGTAGGATCATTAAAACGGAGGAGACACGTCCAATGCTGCAATAGGCGTCGACTCCCGTAACGATGTCGAACATGGAGACAGGAAGATGTTGGATAGCCCACCAACTCCATTTAGCGGCTGCCGACAAGCGACATGCAGGCAGGCAGACAGACACAGCAAACATTAGATAGGTTGATGCGGATTGGATGGCTCCGCGCGCGGTATTTTGGAATTGACAAGGCTGATGCTCATAACCGGTCCCTAATTGGGAAGAAGTGAGCGTCGTGTCATGCTCGACTTTTTTTTCGACCTATAAGGCAAGGGACCGTAGACGGAAGGGCGATCCTTGTGTGCCTAGAACGTCACTGGTTATAGTTACGTGGATGAATGAATTGAATAAAACGGTCGGAGACTTATACCATACACCAGAGTCCATAGACAGACGGAGGAGTGGGAGGTGCTTGGGCTAACTAGTATTAGTGGTCATGGACTCATGAATAGTCTAGAGCGAGGCCTCTTATAGTAACCGTCTTGACGCTGAGAAATTGTTGTTTACATCATGCTGGAGTAGATGACATCGTTGAAGGTGGTTAGGTTCAAGAGGATCAGACGGGAAGAAGCGAAGTCGTTGACACGCTGAGATCTCCCTTTCTGTATGACTAACGCACCTAGTTTTAGGCCATTCCCACGCCAAGTGGCCAATTTCTAGCACCTTCAACCGACCACCATGCCCAAAAATAATCCGCAACACAACTCGGAAAACCAAAATGATTGAAGGACAAAACCAGCTAACATCGACCAAAAAAGAAAAATTATAGCAACAAAGTGTTTCGATCACTTGACCTCCGGGTTATGAGCCCGGCGCGCTTCCGCTGCGCCATGTTGCTGAATTTGAGGGTAAATTGCGGAGATAGATATTATATAGTGTAAATATTCACGTGACTCTAGGGACTAGGAGGTCACCCAAGGACAAGCTCCTCGGACATGCTCATCCGACGCTGTGAGCTTATGTCGCTGGCTCCTGAGGATCACAGTTGCAAACGCATGATTAGGAGATGCTGACACTGAGGGAATCAATCCAATCCGCTTGTGTGTCCTTCGATCAAGTTTGCCCGACAAAAAGAGTGATAGCCAATGATGTGTATTCGAAATTGAGTCCAAGGGTTTTGACTTTTAGATCTCCCTAGGACTATCGAGTTTATCCAAGAAGCCTTGGCTATCTGAAGATTGGCCTTCACATTGGACCCGGATATCAGATGAGGTCGACTCAGCCCATACTCCTTCCATGCCGCTCTATATGAACCCAATCTGCGCCTGCCAAAGAGCAAACCACATGTGACGGCCAAGCAGGACTTGACCCAGTGTGTCGCTAGAGAATAACGCCCAGAAACCCACTCATGATTGCTAGAATACCGCCCAACCATCCCAAGTATGTCGTATCTATTGCAATAGCGCCACTCTCGGGCGCTAATTTCCCGACTGCGGCACCTCCGCTGGCAGCTGCACATGTGGCGGTCTCACAAGTGTATCCGCTGGGGCAACACCCACCTCCCACATCGGGCTCACAGGTAGCCCAGCCTTGAGCACAGGACCCTGTAAGAAGAGTGCCGACACCGGTGATACCACTGCCGGTCGGAGCGACAATGGTGACCGAGCCCTCATCAACCACGGTGGTGCTCCCTCCAGCGGGACAAGAAGTAGTTCCGCAATCTCGTCCAATCTGACAACAGCCCCCTTGGTAGTAGGCTGAACAAGCATAGAAACCTGTTGGACAGCCGTCGACGATGGTCGACGTTGGAGCTGGCACAGTCGTCGTTTCCGTGGTGGTGACCTCGCTTGTAGGTCGGACGGGTGGAGATGCCGTTGCCGTGGTCGTCGTCGGTTCCGGGCATTCAGCATCCCCGCATTCTCTGTCTGTGTGGCAACATCCTCCACCCAGAGACGCGGGACATGTTCTAAACGCCGAGGCACAGGTCAATGTAGCAGGCGGAGAACTAGTGACGGTGACGGTGCGAGTGACTGTCACAATCACGGGTGGGAGGGTGGATGTATTAGTCGAGACAGATGTTTGGCTTGTCGAAGTGGTGCTCGTCGTCGAAGAAGTGGAGGTTGTCGAGAGCGACGGTGTTATAGTCGTGTAACTTGTGACGGTGGTTGTGGAAGGGCCCGGTGGAGGCGAAACTGTGGCGGTGTTGGTTTGGACGCATCCAATATCGTAACAAGCATAACCCGGTAGACAGCAACCTCCACCAGGATTATTGGGGCAAGAAGAATATCCGCTTTCGCAGTCCGCAAGTGATCCGGCACATGTTTGCCCATTGGCACAGCAGCCGACGTCTCCCAGTCCTGTATCTTCCACAATGACACACGTGGATCCCGTGCCACAGCAACTGTTTGGTCGATTGATTGAGGTACACGCTGATGTGCCAGACGGACACTGAAACTGTCTTTTGGCGAATACATGGAATCCGGACATTCTTCGCAAGAGGCTAGGTCTGTCATGGCCATTGTGGACTCTGATGGGGCGATCAAAAGATGTCCAAGTTGTGACATTTTCCCAGGCAGTGTCTTCGACCTGTTGTTCGATACCGCGTCCAGGATTTGGATCCAGGTCGTCCATAAAAGTCCAATAGTCGAGATAGAATTTCTCACCTGGGTCGGGTGACATTTTTCTGACGCCTCCCACCGGGCTTTGCATCATGCGGTTTTGAATTTCCATGTTTCTTCTGAGCCGGATCTCATCTTCTGGATAATATTTCTCGTGGCGAGGGAGATTGTGATGCCATTCATTCTGTGCCGCGACGAGGCTCGCATAGGGTGCCGAGTTGAGGATAAACAAGATCATGGACGACGGCAAGGCTGCGAGGTGGAGCCAGGGTGCCATCGTGGGCTCGTGCCTCGGACTTCAGGGTTGACTTTGGGTCAATGCGGCGTGTCGATCGATCTTATAACAACCGCCTGCAACTGAGGGCTTTGATGTCACCTCGTTCGATCAGGCAGAACTAAGCATCACAGCCCGTAGACTCGAGACAAGCAGTCGAGGAAGAACGTTTCATCGTTTCATCGTAGGTCACGGATCGAGTCAAGTAGACGGCAACAAAGAGGGTACTGAGGGCATGAACGAGTGAAGTGAAGGCAAGAAACAAGTAAAGGGCATGTCCTTACATTTTGCGTCCCAGCCACCTGGGTACCATCACCTGGATCATTGGGACTGCCAGATTAAACGCAGTCAAGCCAACAGAGGAGAAGTTGGCGCAGAACAGGAAAGTCATTGACGAGAATCACGTGTTAATGAGGTGGCTGGGTGTTCACGTCACTTATCCACCTGGTGGCGTTGGCAGTCGAGACGCCACAAACCATCAAGATCAGCCAACACATCCATCCCTCATCTTTACTTGAGCGTGAATTACGAGCTGACGAGAAAACTGGAACAAGGCAGGGCTTAATGAAGCATCGTTGAGTTGCTCAGTGTGATGAACGAGACAACAACTGGCCTCGACTACTTGCGTCTCTTGAACGTCCATCAGCATTCACCCATGCTCAGATTCACTGCAACCACTTCAAACGACATCGAGTCAAACGTCGAAACACAAAAGAATCTCTCAACCAAAACCTCTGTCCTCGGTGCCATCTCAGGCCACCTCCGTGTTCCTGGAAGGTCCTTCTTGTCGAGTTGTTTCCACGATAGTGCGTTTGCTACCTTAACCCTCAAACATCCACGTGGGCTCCCAAATCAACCCACCCTTCTCAAGCTTCTCTCTCCAATCTCCTGTTCTCTCACCAGAGTTCAATACAAAAGAAATCCACCATGTTTCGGAATGTGCCATGACTTTGCATGAGCCTCTCCTTGTTGATTTGAATGGTATGATAGCGACAACCGCGCCTAGACAGTAGAAGTGGGTGTTTGCAAAGATGGACCAATCCCTCCGTACGATAAGTTAATATGACAGAGTAAGCAGATGCCGTGGTGCAATCAGTAAAGATGACCTGGCCATGCTGCCGATTAGCTTTTTGCACGTTTCGTTCTTCTCAATCCCGATATTTGGTTGAGCAAACCTCTCCCCATTCAGAGAAAAGTCGCCAGTCGCTGGGTTGGCGGCAAGAACCAGTATTACAAATGAGATAGACAATTTGAGGTCCAGCCTGACCGTACCATCTTCTTGAAAGGACACTCAATATGAGTTGTCAATCCGGAGTGGTCGGAGCATAGGGGAAAATATACCAGAAGGAAATCTGTCCACCGACCAAGCTAGCTAGGAATTTTTTCTTTAGCCGTAGTCATAATCGTTGGTATTCGGTGGAAGATGTGACGGGGAACCAATTATCAAAAGGGGCCAAAGGCCAAGAATTCGTGTCGATAGTCACCAGGTGTGGGTTGAGTGGTGAATATCGTTGCCAAAGAGTGGAGGATTGTCGAAGCCGGAGTACAAATGCTCGTCCTCGACAAAGGAAGATACCAACGCCTAAATCTCCCAAGTTCGTGATCGGGTCCAAACAAAGGCAAAACATCATTACATGGAGCCGAGACTGAGTAGTGCCTCAATCGCAGCTCGTTCTGAAGAATCATTGACGCCAGCGCCATTTGGAAGGGAGAAATTACGAGATGGTGCGACAGGGATAGCTTGTGGTGGTGCGGCCCTGGCAATCTCAGCCGGCGTCTTGGATCGCTGTCTCGGCTGGTAGGAGTATGTGGCAATGGGCTGGTATAATCGACCAGGTCCAGAGGCTGTGCGTGCATTGTTGGGCAGTGAGCGAGCTCGAAGCGCTTCAGCTCCAATTGCACCCCAATCTTCTTCGTCGGTGATTTCCCCGTCGCCGAGATCCTCATCTAGGGGGTCTTCAGCAACCGAGGAAACATAGCCGTCGTCATGGCCGTCGAGAGACATCTTATCGGCTTCATGTTCCAGCATATCCTGATCTTCATAATCCATGTCAGAATGGGAGAAGATAGCAGAATTGCCGCCGAAACTGGTACCTAGATTTTCTGAGCCCGTTCGCCAGGACGGTTGGCCGGGTACTTGAAGGCCTGGGCCAGCGTGGGAATACGAGGATGGAAGACTGCCTGGAGGAGTAAGAGCGGACCCTGGGCGGTCTCGTGGAAGTTGTCCTTTGACACGGGCGTCCCAGCGTCCCCAGCCAACTTTTTCGAACAGGACGTCATTATCACGACCAGCTCCATCCATGCCAGTGCCCTTGCCCTCGAGTGCAGCAACCACCAAGCGTCGGGCTTTTGCAGACGTGATGCGCGAGAAGCCCGGGACAGAGGTAGTGAGGTAGCCCATGATGTGTCTGATGGCCAAGGGTCCGTGAGACAACAAGACATCAGGAAGATGATGTTTGGCCAGCATAGAAGGAGTGATGGCACCAGCGCTATCCAAATCGCCTAGGCTATCGAGAGCCTCAGCGCTGAGGGCAGTGGGTTGTTTCTCATCCGGCGCGTCTTGGAGGTCAATGTCGGAATCGACCTGGGCAATCTTGGGCGACATAGGAGGTTGACGACCGGCATGATGGCCATGGGGAGGGAGATTTGGAGAGATGGAGTTGGGAGGAGTCAGCAACATGCCGGAATGTTGCTTCTTTCCAGAAGCGGCGGGTACAGCAGTGAAGATGTCCCGAGCATTCAAGGCATCGCGCGGCTTTGGAATGTCGACAGATGCGGATTTGCCGTTGAGGGCCATACCAAGGGCCGAAACTGGATGAGGAGCCATGGTATATCGCTATTCTGTGATGGGAATCGGGTGACTGATCTAACGGGGGGATGTGAGTCAGCGGCTGCAGAACGGACGAGTAGACTTGGATGCAGCGGCAGCTTGCCGCGAGACGGACGCGTTGTTTCGGGTGGTGAATATGAATCAAAGGAAGTCGAGACAAGTGACTCACCACGCGATTCAAATGGACAGAAAGTGCAATAATGACTTGATCGCGGTTGATGGAGGTGATAGATCAAGTGAGGCAAAGTGGCGCAGATATGAGTCAACCTTGAACCAAGACGACGCAATTAGACCAAAGACGACGTTGTGAGGACGGTGATGAGCTGTAGGTGTAGAGACGACCTTACAGGCGGTCTCTTGCGCGTGAGCGATATCTTCCCTAGATGTGGAAGATGGGAAGGAGGAAAGAAACGGAAACACCAGAGATGGGCGGATGAGTGGTTCTGATAACGAGGCGGGGGTGGGTGCGTAATGGGATAGGATGGGAGATGCGCACGATGGGGAGGGTGAGTCGCGGGTGATCGGGTGGACGGTGGTGACTTTGACAGGACACGAGAACGAGTTACTGGCTGGCCGTGGTCCGTTCGTGGATGCCTGTGGATGATGGTGGATGCCACAGTTCTAGGGGTGGCACGGTGGGTAGAATTATCGAGGACGAGGATAGGGAGGCCTAGGGCCGAGGGGCTCTCGGGCAGCGCCCAGCCCAACAACGTCCAGTTGGCACTATTATTATGCACCTGGCCATGCACGTTCGCCTGTGACTGGGAGAGGGTGAATTAGAGGCCCAAGCCCCGAAAGTAAACCACCCACGACCACCCCTCTGGGGGAGCTGGGCAACCTCCACAATAACCACGCCGGGGACAACAGTTACTCGTGCCGTGTGCGGCTGTCAGACCAGAAGCCTCCAGATATGACATAGCCTCTCAGGTGCCTCGGGCTTCTCTACAATCTCCCTTGGCGCCCTGGTCATTTCCGTTATCTCGACCTTTCAGCTCGCCGCCAGGTGACTCCTGAGTCTTGACTCCTGTGTTGATTCAGGTCAATGCCCCAGGGCATCCAGGAGCTGGTGCTCAGCATAAGATCAGAAACGATTCTGAATACGGCTTGGTCAATCACGGCCTTAAGAGTTTCGTCATCTGCATTTTGCCACCGATGAATGATACTTGGCCATGAATCATGGATGACTCGGTAGCAAGGAGGACTTGCTTCTTTCCTTGGTAGAAACGTGGAGGCGTTTGAAAACCCGAGTGTTGGAAGGCTCAACCATGGTTCCATGGTTCATGCAGGTCAAAGCGCACCAACCGTACACATGATGTGGTTCGTGGTTGCCAGTGGTTGCCAGTTGGTGACGAACATGCCGCCCTAGGTAAGTCTAGTGGTGCCTAGTGACGACTGCTCACGCCCAGTTTCCCACCCTCGTGCCCATCGCTACAGGTTGACGTGCATCCTCATGGTCCGCATGGTCCCTCATATGGTCCTCATTGATGTCCCAGTTGTGGAGCTCAAGTACTTACAGTTCGCGTATGCATTAGGTACGTACTGCTGTTTTAGTGTCCAATCCACACAATGCACTTCCCAATTATTATTCTACAGTACAACAAGTCATAACGATAGAAGGCAAGCTCATCAATTGACCATCAATGCCGTAAGCACATGGCCAGCTAAGGCCGCCTGTGTGGTCGACCAACTTCCAGCTCCAGGGTTTGGGGCAGTTTGACTTTTGGCTTTGGCCCCCATGATCATCTCACCCGCCCTTCGACCATGAGGGCTTGTGAGGGCTTGTTAGGGCATGCTAGGGCGCACAGAACTCTGTGCGAACTCTGAAATCAAAAGGCCCGAAAACCCACGGGCCCCGAGATAGGAGACGGGAGACACGGATTCGGATTCGGCGACATTCCATGCGATTGCATGCTTCTGTTCGTTATCAGGACCTCGGGAACTATGCCTTGGTATGCGACACTATCACCCTCTGCGAGCCGTGGCCTGTAGACCGAATGGCATTTGGACTTCGTATTTATCCTGTCAGAATCGTTGTGTATCCCTAGAGATAACAGCCGAGAGGCAAGGTTGAATTCAACTGGGTGTGTGACTCAGAGGCTTAGAATGTCGGATGAACACGGAACGTTCATGTTCTCTTCCCTCGATGTACAGCTGTTTGCTTTCAAACAGGTAAACCTATCTTGCCCCATCGCGCCCATTCAGTAAATTCAACCAGATCGACAGATTCGATTCCATGTAAACCAGGGCCTCAGTGGCGACGACTGTGATTCATCTCAGACATCAATCAATTTTCCGCCTATGCTATCTATGACTGCACTGCGTGGAAGTACTGTGGTATCACATGTCGAGCATGATCTTGATTCTTCAGGATGATCAACCCGTTTGCTGTCATACTTCCATGATTTTGGACCTTCTAAATGATCTACAGTGCAGCCTGACAGTAGTTGATCTCCCGCTCTTGAGTCTTGCACGTTTCCTCGGCTCAAATTCATGGCAGTTGGAGTGATGATTATGTTCATCTATCACCAACCATGTATGACTTGCACGTGACCCGAGCCTCACCTGACGCCATACAGTCAATTCATCTGATGTTGACGTTCAACACACAATCGCAGAATGAAATGTTCCTAGGATAAGCAATTGGCACTAATTCATTCAACACATTACATGATTCTCATGTTCTCAGCAAGTGAGCACCCAGTAGTCACCATCACATCCAAGTCATTAAATGCCCTTTCTTCTCTTCTCTTCCCTCTTCTCTTCCCTCTTCGCTGTTCAATATATTACATTGCCATGTCCAAACAGCAGATGATGCAGGCCCCGGTCCGTCATCGACATCATCATCATCATTCCATCCTCCCGGTTTGATACAAAGGAGACATTACTCGAAAGCGTCATTATGGTCCTGCCCATAGCACCTTCGTCCAGACCTCCTCGGATCAACTAATAAATTACACTGACTCACCGTCTCAGCTCTGCTGCGCTACAAGCCTGGATGCCATCATCCCATATTCCAATCCTCTCACATTGTTAAACGGTTGCTGTCTCTTCTTGTCGCCGCTCCAGGGGTTGGTGGCAGGGCCACTGGTTGTGGGATTGTTGGGGTCTGCTGTACCTCAACATCATCCCATACGCTTTCCCGAGTGACGGCCTGCAATGGGTAGTGAAATGCATGGCTCCGGCGAGGCGTCGAGCGTGTACGGAATAGCATCGACTTCTTTTCTGGCTTTGGTTCGGCCTGGCTCTCGACAATCTCTTCCCGTTCCTGCTTTTTGAGTCCTGGCGGTTTGCGTGCCACGTCATCAAGCAAGTATTGGTAGAGTATTCGTGAGAACCGGTTCGGTTGTCACCGAGGTGTGCCTAAATTCAACCATGACATGTCATTGCTGGTGGGTTCATCACTTCTGCCGACACCACCGCCAAAGTAGTCCTCTGCTTGGTCGGCCTTTTGATACGCTCGTCCGGCGCCAGTGGTACTGTTATTAGTAGGCGGTGGTGACCGGACCGATCGGGGCATTGGAAATGACGGAATTGATGATGTTTGAGTATCAAATGTGTCTCCGGAGGACGCTGTTCTCGGCGGTGGACCTTGTCCCTGTGCTGCGAGGTAGCTACTTGGTGGGTGCAACGGTCGTTCAGCGGGTCCTGACCATGTGTTTCCTACCGGCGTCCAAGATGTGTTGTGAACACTGGCAGGAATACCGCTTGAGAAGGCGCCATCTATCCGATCTTCTTCATACTCGGAGTCGTCCGAGTTGGTAGTCATTGAGCTCCCACTGGATATCCGAGCAGGCATCCCCTGAACGGACTGAAGTCCCCGCGACCGGGCGTTAGATGGGCCATGCTCCAGGCTCGGGCTGCCGGCAGGAACTGTGTGTGCTTCCAAGGGATTGCCAACACTATCGCGTAAGATTATCTTTTGAGTCTTGGTCGTGGGCTCAGGGACCCCTGTTCCAGGCCAAAATCCGCTTTTGGATGCCGAAGATCTTGAGAGGAAGGTTGTCCTGTTACCAGGCTGAGTCTCCTTCTGGAAATACTTGCCCCAACCCTCATCTGTCTTACGCTGCGACGGCTTGCGAATTGGTGCCGACTTGGGTCCCGGGGGAATGATGGAAGGTGCGACAGCGGGTGTGGCCGTACCCAAATCGATGCTCGGGCGTTCTTTGTAGTCGCCCAATACCGGATTCATGGGCTTGGAGATACTTAGCTGCTGGGCTTTTTCGCGCTTGAACAAGGCTTGTCCAAATGCGATCCCAGAGCCACGGAAGCCCGGCTGGTTTCGATCTGCCGAGACTCGTCGAATAAGATACTTTGGGTCGGGTTTTGTCCCAAACATGGCTGTGCTGTCTGCATCTGAGACGACAGCCGATGGCACTGGACTTCTTCCCATTGGTTGACCAGCCTTGGACAACGGTTGCAAACCTCCTTCTTCGTAATTGTACTCTCCACTTCTTTTCTTGTCGTCAGGATAGTCATCTTGTCGAGCTGCCTGTGACCGTTTTCTGCGCTTGGATCTGAGCCAGAGGAGCAGAATGATGAGAATCGCAGCAAGACCACAGACGCCTCCCAAGACGGCCCCCAAAATGGTCAGTCCTTTACTCCTACTAGAAGACGACGCTGGCGGGACAGCGGTGCTTTGACTAGGGTCTGAACTCGCTGTCGCGCTTGGGTTGCTCGATGTCGCTGTACCAGAGGGGCTGGACAAGGGTTGTTGGACCCCGAGAACTTGAGTATTGGATACCCAAGCATTGTCTGATTGATTGAAGAAGGCGACAGGGTCATTATCATTTCCACCAACAAAGGCCAACAGCCCGTCGTCGCCTTGGGCGACATCAAATCCGGTCCGAGTCTCGGATGGCGCTAGTGAGCCATTATAGACGGGATAGTTGCTCAGAAAGGTTGCGCGCCTTGATTTCTTTGAGGCTGGAGCTTCATCCGAAGATTGGGGATCTGAATTTCCGACCGTCTGGTTGAAGGTTGCGGGGGTGTTGCCAGGGTTGAGCAAGACGGTGGTAGTGACAGTTGGGGGCGATTGGCCGAGTTTGAATGTTTGAAGAATTTTACTGTTATCGCGCAAGGTGAATAACGCGCAACCTGCGACTGAGTGATCTGGGAGAGCGTCGGGCATTTCCAGGCCAAGATCCACCCAACCCTCACTCTGACTAAAGGTGAAAATGTTGGTGTTTGTGTCGCCTCCCCCTACCATGAGAGCTCGCTCGTCACTCCATGGGAGCATGAACGGTCTCGTTGTGGGTGGGGCATTGTTTGAGTTATAAGCCAGGACGCGGTAGGGTGGAAATGTCTCGACGACAAAGGTCTGAGTTGAGGCGCCTTCATCACCATCTTGTGAGCCGCCATAGACAATTAAAGAGGAGGAACTAGTCATGTATGCTGAGCCATGATTTCGTCTTTGCTGTGTCACAGCAACTTCGGGCTGGATGGTTTTCCAAGACTTGTCGTCGATGGAGAATCTCTGTAGGCCGGGGTAGTCGGGAGAAGACTGATTCGCGGCACCTCCGACAACGTACAATGCAGGTCTAGAGTTGTCACCATCGATGCCTCCTTTGGTGCAGACTGCACCTGTGACTGAGATGCCGTTGGACTCTTCCTTCCATTCAGCCCCCTCTTTCAGCTCCAGGGTTTGAAAGGCATCCGGGGAATAGACGTAAAGGACACCGTTGTGAATGATGGAACAATGATCCTTGAATGGGACAGGCGGTCGAGGACCCGACATTTCCAGTTGGATGTTGCGCAGCCAGGAAATGATTTGGTAGTCAAAATGTTTGGATCATTCTCTCGTGTATCGACAGTGAAAGGCGCAAAGGATAGAACAGTCCGCACTGCAGACTGATGATTAGGAACCGAAGGGTTACAGAGCAGGATATGAGACGATAGGGCCCAGCCGCTGTGGGAGGTGGTTGCTGTGCAAGATCAAAACCAAGGCGCAGAGAGGAGTCGAGAAGGGACGATAGAGGAGTTCTTTGGGACACGTGCGACGGTAGGCGTATAGGCGCACCGAATAGTGCACCCAGTGAAGCGTGTGTTCCTCGAGCGACAGCACAGTCGGTCGCGACTGGTGAGGTCTGTGTCTAAAAAGCTCGGACCAAGCAGTGGATAGGAAGTAAATTGAGTTTGGTAATGATTGACAGGTGACGGTGGACTCAGGGTGGTCGAGATAGAAAAGGGCGTATGTGATACCAGATGGCAGTCAGGTGTTGATACTGGTGCGTGACCGAATAGTGTATATGGTAAGGTGGTGCGAATGGAGAGGTAGTTGTGGTCAGTTGGACGTGGTGGAGAGATGCAACAGGGAGATGGAGCGGGAGAGGGAGAAGAAGGGAGAAGAAGACAGGCACAGGGCGTTGGGGTGGGCGGTTTCGCGGTGTTTGGATCGCTGCTCGGGAAGTAGAGTCTGGTAGTCTGGTAGTTGAGCCTAACGGTAGTAGGTTAACAAAGAACTGGGTGCGCCGCCTGTGCTGGGGGTAGGAGTTGAGGAGGTGAGGAGGTGAGGAGGCGCTGGAGGTTCAGTAGCCGTTTCCTCTGAAGGTTTCTTGGGATTGACAGGAGGGTGATTGCCTGTGGGGAGGAAACTAAGAGTAAGCAATTGGCGGAAGGGTGTTTGGAATGCTGCCGAAGGGGTGGGTCCTTGGTCGTGGCCGGGGGTAAATTTACAGATGGAAACTCGTGCAAAAATTATTCGACGCTCGTACTACTGTCTGCGTAGGGCTTGTCAAGCGACCTCTGAGTCCAGTGCGTTGATCAAAATGAATGGAAATGAGTTATTTGAACAAGGGGTGTGAATGAGAAGTTGAGTTGTGGTGGCAGAAAAAGCTGTATGGAGTAGACGTTGGAGAATGGTAGGATGTTTCCAGACCAGTCATTAGGTCTTGAGAAGGCCTGCATCTACCGGGGACATGCAAGACTATAGGCGCGGTATCTTCTCGAGGTGTGACAGCCTGGCCACGAATGGACGGACATTACTAGCCGAAGGGCAATTGGTACAAGCCGGGGAGATGCTGACGCCAATAAGAAAACAGGGTTGGGTGAATCAGGTCTCACCAACTCATCTTCACAGATTTGATGCACTCGCCGTGGTCATGCGGCTGCCTGAGTTTTGGGCGTGACTTCGATGAGGAGGGCGAAGAATTTAGGTGCTTGCGCGGCACAGTCAACCTTTCTTTGGTAGGTCCATACAAGGTAATAAGTCGTGACACGAGGCCGAGGGGCTACTCATCTAAGTGGCAACCCCTCTCAAGCTTGTCCCACCCATACCCACGTCGATCTGCTGTACCTCTTCGATGGCTACAAATTTTCAAAACAAAAAATTATCACATCAATGGCACTCCATAACCTACGATGGGAGGATGGGTGCAACCTCAGTAAAAGGCTAGTGGGTTGGGTGTAGGAGGTGGTGTTTCAATCGTGTTTGGCCAAAGAGCGTCGGTTGCTCTGGGGAGTGCAGAAGGAGCACTAGTGCAGGTACACGGGAAGGAACGACGGGGGTTTGCCGTGGAGCGCGACAGGCACAGAGCCATCTGAGCCAATCATTACTGCGTTTAGCTTCACACCATCTTTCTAGTCATTGGACCTTTCAACCAATCCTGAACGTTGATCAGGTGAAGTTTGAGACATATTTCATATTATGTCAGCCGCCGTCTCCCACCCTTCGACCTCGCCGATCGCAACGGCGGCTGGAATTACTGGCCGGTTTCCTCACTTCGTTTTTGACGCAGATCGTCAGTCCCAAGCCTTGCTGCTGCCTCAAATTCTCCATCTGCAAGATTGTCTGCATCCAATGCTCCACCAGCCCAACGCTCTACGGAGTAGTGCTCCATTCTGGCAACGATATCATGACGTAACGTGTGCCAGAGTCCTTTCCCCATTTTCGACATCTGTGGTAGGATGGTAGGACGTACGTGACATGACACCCTTTACATATGTACAGTATGGATGTGTGATATGTACATAAACGTACACAGCATCGTGTCAGCGCCGATCCAGCACGTCTGCCCAAGAACAGGGATCGCTGCACATGAAATTGCGCTTTTCTTACTCTCCAAGTGCCACGGCTATACCGATTAATAATGGCTCCAGAGACTAATGACTCTCACATCCCATCTACCTACTCTCCCGACCCATTGACTTGCTGCTGCGCCTTCCACTGGTGTGCCATCTGTAACAACTTGGACATCTTTGCTGCGCTCTCGTCATCCGCAGGGAACACGTAGTCGATGTACTCCTCGAATCGGTCTTCCTCCATCTTCCTCCTCTTCTTGACCTTGCGTGGCATTTGCCTCTCCATCTTCTCGATATCTTCCGCCGATCCATGTGTCTGCTCGAACGACAGCCATGCGTTCAACAATTCTACCCGCTCTTCCTTCATCTCCTTGTCCTTGAACACCTCGTGTGCTCGTTCAAACACTTGACGTGCCCGCCGTTTGGCATCCTCGCTCACTTTTTCTTCATCTCCACTTTCCTCCTCGTCGGCACCAGGCACGTTCACCTCAAATCGTGCATAGTTGATCCAGACCTTGACGTGATCAGTCTTGCGCAACAGTCGCTCGTATAGCGCTCGCGCCCGGTCATATTCTTCTTCGTATTCCTCAAAGTCGATGTACGCCTTCCACACCAATTCCGGCATGTCCAGTGTTGGCTGTTCGATCCCAAGCTCGTAAATGGCTCTAGCTCGGTCCAAATCATCCAGACCTCTCTCCAACTCGGCAAATTGAATCCACGCCTGGCTATTGGACGCGTTCCATTCAATCTGTTTCTCAAACAGCGTGCGACATCTGACGAATTCGAAGAGTCGTTTTTCAAGCTCAATGTAGCCTCGGAAAAGCTTGTCCTTTGGACACATTCCAATTGCTTGCCCCAGCGTTTTCCTGGCCGCCTGTAGTTGCATCTGTCGCACTTCAAACTGCGCCTTCATGATCCAGATCTTGGCAAACGTCCATTTCTTGTGCGGAATCAACTTGAGGCATTCTTGGTACACCTGCCTCGCTCGCTCCGTGTCCTTGGTGTCCATTTCCTCCCATAAAGCATAGAAAATCCACAGGTAGATGTACCGTCGCCAGTGTCGTTTCTCCTGTGAAGGCGGGACTTGCGCAATCGCACGCTCATACACGTCGCGGGTCCGCTCCACGTCACCACCTGTCTCTTCTAGTCTCGCAAAGTCAAACCACACGTCATAGTTGCGTGGGTTGCCTTTCAACTGTTCTTCATATTGCACTCGCCTCTTGGCAAGGATCACATCTTCGACCCCCTCCCGATTCCCGAATTGCTTTTCGAACTGCGTGTATGACTTGTGCAGATTTACCGACTGTGAGCGCGGTAATCGATCTAGTGCGTACTTGTAGATTGCCCGGGCTCGTTCAAACTCCTTCAGCTTGGCCTCATACTTGGCATAGGCGATGAACAATTTTTCGTCCATGAAATCGTCACCCAGAGATTCAATGGCAACGCCAAAGACATCCCGGACAAGCTGGCTCGTTCCGTTTTCCTCCTCAAACTTTGCCCAGCGAATCCAGTTGCGCGGTTCTGGGTGGACGATGGTGAAACGTTCGTAGATCGCTCGAGCTCGGTCATACTCTCCATACCGTTTCTCTAGTTTGATGTATGCCAGCCAGGCAGTCTCATCCGGTTCCCAACTCATCCATCTTTCAAATACTTGTCGGGTACCAGGGACGTTGCCCAAGGTTTCCTCCATGTAGACATATTTGTACCAGAGTTTGTCGATCCGAGGCAAGATGGTGACGGCTCTGTCGAGAAGATTCCGAGCATGGTTGATGTTCCTCGTCTTCATTTCCGCCTCGATGTACCGAATCCATAGAACTACACTCGTGCTGTCGACATCGAGCGCTCGTTCGAACACAGACCTAGCTCTCCTGAACTCCTTCTGTTCCAGTTCCCACTGAGCATAGCGCATCCAGTTGTTCATATTAACCCGGTTTCGTCGGACATAGTCTTCAAATTCCTTGCGCTTGCGGCCTTGGAATTCATGAAGTTCTTCTAGATCAGCGAATCTCTGGGTTGGCGCTTGTAATCCCGGCTCTTGTCTATCGACCGCTTCTCGAAGTAGTTGTTCGGCCGAGATTTGTTGAGGCGCTGGTGCCTTATTCTTGACCCTTGGAGGGCCTCTTGAGGAATCCATGGTGGAGGCTGCGGACGGTGTCCAGCGAGGCAACACAACTTTGCTGGGTTTCAAGACTTGGAAATTTGGCAGGCCTGAGTCCTTATGTTGCGAGAAATAGGTTACGGAACATATGAGAGGAGCACCACAGGCGCCCTCTGGTTTTAGAGAAACTCTGCACACCTGGTGGTGAGTGGTGGTGAGCGGTGGTGAGTGGATGAAGATTTGGTCGCAAGAACCTTACCACGAGTCTCTAGTTTGTAGTAAACGCAGTTGCTGCCTTAAGGTTGAGTTTGCGGAGAAAATGCCAAGATATTTGTCTCCGGAATTTTGGCTGGCATTAGGCAACCTCGAGTCACTACTGAACTCTCGGCCGTTAAAGCAGCCTTGTCTTCCTCCATCTTGAGACTTCGGTTCATAAAAGTCCATGAGAGTCGACCGCCTTGACGTCTTTCAACTTTTCGACATCTTCCTGCCTCTAACTCACAAGTCTAGTCTACAACCTCAAGGTCGCAACTCAATTAGACTGTACGATCGCAACAGGTTCCCATGCTGCTTCTCGCCTGACTTACGCAGTCCCACTCTTGACTATCCGCAGTTGCCATCTCCTTCCTGCCTCTGTGATGGCAACCCTTGCCGACGAGTTACTCAACGATTTCGAGGATTCGGGCTCGGAACAAGAAGATGGCCAGAATGGCGGACAGGACACAACCCTTGGGGACGAGAAGCCGACTTCGGCGCAATCTCCCGGAATGGAACTAGATGGTGATGAAGAAGCCGACGAGGACGAAGAAGACGAGGAGCTCGCGGCGAGAAATGCTGCTGGCCATGATGCCGCAGACGATGAAGATGACACAAAGGCAAAGATTGAAAAAATGCGACTCGGTGGTGTTCGAGATGTGCGCAGCGTTGCAGGCTTGATGAAGACTCTACAACCAGTGCTCGAGGTATGTCTAGCATTTTGTCCCACGTGTGATACTTGCGTCCATTTACAACTTTGCTCAAGCAGCCCTGACTTATCGCCCGCACTCCAGAAAATCGCTCACTATCAGAACATCCCTCCCCAACAAAGGACGACAACCATCGGCTCCGTTGAAGACAACCCAGAATATGCTCTCCTGACCCAGTCCAATTCTCTTTCCACCCAGATCGATAGCGAAATTGTTTTGGTCCACAAATTCATTAGGGATCACTACTCTGCCCGTTTTCCTGAGTTGGAAACACTGGTCACAAATCCTCTAGACTATGCCAAATCGGTTGCCATCATCAAAAACGGCCCTCTCGAGAACATCAAAACAATTGCTTCGTCCGCCGATAACATTGTCGGCGTTCCTCTTCGCTCTATTCTCGACGGCCCGACTCTGATGGTTGTCAGTGTCGAGGCCACCACAACAAAGGGTCAAGATCTCACCGAATCAGAACTGGAAGCAACCCTGCGGGCCTGTGAAATGGTGCTTCAGCTAGACAAGGCAAAGATAATTCTGACAGGATACGTGCAATCAAGGATGAACGTATTCGCTCCAAACCTAACCACTCTAATCGGATCTCTTACTGCTGCTCAATTGTTGAACTTCGCTGGCGGTCTCAAGGGTCTAGCCAAGGTTCCAGATCGAAATGTACCGGCCATGGGATCGAGAAAGCAAAAGCAAAGTGGTCTCGCAACCAATGTCGGCATCCGGCAACAGGGCTATCTCTACCACTCGCCATTAATTCAGAGTATTCCAACGGACCTTAAAGTCCAGGCGATGCGGATCGTTTCCGCCAAGTTGGTTCTTGCGGCTCGAGTTGACAGCGTTCACCAAGCCCCCGACGGCTCCACTGGCGAACAACTGCGTGACGACTGCCTTCGAAGACTTGACAAATTGACAGAGCCGCCACCCAACCGCGGCCCAAGGGCATTACCTGCCCCTGACGACAAGCCAGCCAGAAAACGTGGAGGAAGAAGAGCTCGAAAAGCCAAAGAGGCAAATGCTATGACCGAGCTGAGGAAACAACAGAATAGGATGGCATTTGGCAAAGAAGAAAGGGAGACGGGTTACGGCACAGGTGACGGCACAGTGGGTCTCGGCATGATCGGCCAGCAGAACGATGGGAGAATTCGAGCCACCCAAATCGATCGACGAACAATGGCCAAATTAAGCAAGAAGAATCCCGGCTGGGGAGCTGCTGGGACTGCAACCAGTCTCAACAGTGGGATGAACACATCACTCAAGGCGTTCGGTTCCACCATGGGGGGAAATGCAACCAGCCTGAGAAATTCTGGGCTGCGAACATCAGGAGTTGGCGCAAACGCGGGGACAGCAAGTTCCATTGCGTTCACTCCTGTGCAAGGGTTGGAGCTGGTGGACCCCAAAGTACAAGCAGAACTCAAACGCAAACGCGAAAGAGAAAATGCAGGATACTTTTCCAGCGGTACCTTTACACAGATTGGTTCCAAAGCAGATGGAGGATTCAAAGTGCCTCAATTGCCAACAGCAAAGAGAGTTAACATGGGGCCTCCTCCTGCACCGCCAAAATGAGATAAACCATCCCCGAGCATCACTTTCTACCGAGATCATCATACGGGTTCCATTAACGACTGAAGCAGACCAAGTCTGCCTGCCTTTTGGGTCGACTCTGAACGTCTTCTGTCTGACGATACGATGCATCGTCCGCGGTACGTCTGGCCTGAGCGTCTACGATCAGCTTATCTTGATTCAGCGATGGCCAATATCCCTGACATATCGGGCCTGAGAGTGGCACGATTGAGCTGTGGACAGACAGTGATATCAGTCTTCCATTGCCCTCCATACACATCAAAAATTCAAGACGAACCAGTCTATAGCACAGAGAACCACAAGCGGAGGACTATATGCTTATTGGGGAATCGCGACAGCCACGCGATGCCAGTGGTAGTCATTTGTCCTTTTCCCTGAATCGAAGGCTGAGGATACAGAAGCTTCCATTCAAGCTTCATTGGTGTATCGGGAACGACTAGCAGACCAGTGTGTTAACATGCACAAAGAGGCTGAAGTCAAGTATAGTAGAGCTGACCACACGGCACGTCAATGAGCGATCGCTTTGATCACTGCCTTGAATTCCTGGGAATCAGAGAACAAGAAAAGCCGATTCAAGGAGCACAAGCTGCCCGTACCATTTGATACTCTTCATCTTGTATGCGAATCTCGTGGTTCTAATCGAAGATTCAACCGCGCTTCCCTCTTCCTGACCCCCTCCCACCTCTCCCTCTATACCCGCCAGCTTTTCCCCTGGGAACAGCTCGGCTGCTCAATCTATCGGGTAACTCCTGGACGACACCTTCTCCTTGTCTCCACAAAGTGCCCAGGCCCTCCTTGATCTCGACGACCTCGGACCAGTAGGCCATAGGAACGATTTTGTTGAGTTGACCGTCTGACTGATCATCGTCGATTGATATTCCATCGGTAAGGATGACTCCATTCTCACTCCTCCACCACTTGATGCCCTTGGCCGCCCCATCCTGTAACGCCTTGCGAATGTCAATGTAGATGAGAATCTGTGCGTCGGACCGCATGCCGCTAATGACTTTATTCTGATCGAGTTCTGACGCTAGAGCTTGTTCTTGTTCTTGTTGTTGTTCTTGTTCTGGACCTTTATCTTGAGTTTGACTTTGAGCTTGGTCGATGCTCTGGGGTCTATCATCTCCTTCGGCCGGGTTCGGCCTCCTAATCTTCTTCATCACCGTCTCGATAGTCGGCCCTGTGGCAAAATGCACGTGGTTTCGAGTCATGCTCTTCAACCCACCGGTGGTCAAAATGGGCCTCCATGCACCGTAGAAGGTGCCGTGAACCACGGTTTCGGGAACGCTGGAGGGATCTTCGAGCGATATGGGGGTCAGGAGATTCTCAGCCTCAACTGTCTTCATGCTGTGGCCCTGGGTAGCGCGGATGAAGAAGTGACTTGGTGTGGCGTCGCCCATGCCCACGGAAGATCGAAACACGGCGATGGCCTTTTCTGTTTCTGACGTAGATTCGGATTCAGGTGGAGTGGCGGCTGGCTTCGACGAGGAAGGGCTCCCATCTTGGTCTGTTGGCGTTGCTCCCACGTGCTTGAGTCCGTATCGCTTTTTATCGCTCTCCTGTACAACGTCGACAACGTCCTGAAATGACACGGGCGGAGTCATGCTCCGGAGCCTCTGCCAATTCAGTAGATGATCCATGCGAACATAGCCCTGCTGGTCGATGGGGATCTTTTCCTCGATTGCCGCATGTCGTAGAAGTCGAGACATGGCTTTGGAGATCTGCACCGTCCGTGGTTGTCCCCTGTTGGAACCTCTATCTCGTCCATGCCCTCGATTTGCGCCTTTGCCTTGGCCACGACCGTGTCGGTCTTTATTCAAGTCCCGGTCGTGGCCACCCGCGTTGATGGATGCATCTTGTAGCGACATGACAAGCAGGCTAGAGGAGCGTTGGCAGATGTGATGGTGGTGAGATGTGAAGAAAGAAGGATGCAAGGGACAACAGGTATTTGGTCTTGGGGCTTTCACGCCTGTCTGAGCGCGTGCCTGAGAGCCGACGATGAACTTGACAATGACGAAACGGACAAATATGTCAGATAAATCTCTTGGTCGACAGGCAGACGTGACCAGGAAACCACAGTTCTTGTAGTGTGGGCGTGGCCAGAAGGGTTGAAGCCAACGATATGATGCTGCTGAAACTTTCGCTGTCCGTCTGGCAAGGTTGCACGGAGAAGCACGATGCTTTGGGATTCCAATTTCGGGGTGATTGGATATTGGTGCTGCCGAGCCGATTTAGTAGTTGAGCTGATGCTATGAAAACAGTGAAATACAGATTTCTTCTCGGGTTAAGGTGGGATATCAAACAAATTCGTTGTTCCGTGTGGTAGTGTCAGAAGAGCAGACTTTTATATTCGTCCGCATTTAGACCAAATAGTATTCAAGAACGAATCAAAGCAAGGACACTCAAAAAGATGTGAGTCACATCATTCACAGGATGGGTTTCTAGGAATTATTAACAAATCGGAAGGTTTTAGTAGATTTGTGACGTGTTTGCGTACAAGGACCTTACTCTGTATGTCAAAATGGAAACCTAAGTAGTGATGCAATGTTGGTCGTGGTCAACTTCACAACAATTAGAAGCGAATCGGCCACTCCTGATGAAGAGTTCAAACCCTTTCCAAATAGAGCGTACTCTATGACATTTTCTGACTCCAAAGCTCACCCACGTACATTGTATTGATACGAAAAGCCGGAGAATAATTAAGTTATATAGACACGATATCGAGATATAGACATTGTCTCAACCATGATGCCAACACTGTCGTCGGTGTTGACCAAAGTATCTCATACTTCTTCTCTTCTTGACGCAAATAACTTGATCGAGATGACACACCCATTTCGAGCGCAGTATCTGACATTCAATCTGCAGCTGGATGAAACAGCCATGCGACCGTTGGACCGGACGTGGTGCAGCTGCTGCGTATAACCGACTTTTATCCAAATCACCTTCCGCATAAGAAATTCGTCAAGAGTTGAACAATTCCTGTGAGCACAGCTGGGTCCAAAACAATGATACCACTATGATCTGCACCATGCTTTCCCTTTGACTAGGGCCATTCCAACTCCAACGATGAGTAGATGCGGCGGCCAACAAAACCAGCCGACAAATTGACGCCTCATTAACATGAACTAGATTCGTGTGATCAATGCTTTGGTTTAGAAATTCTGTGAGATCCCCCCTTGTGTTTGAGGGAATGTCGGTGCTCGTTCGATACGAGTGTTTCTCCTCGCTTGCACATCTCGTATCACGGGTTGGCCGCCGGCACCACCGAACGAGCCGTCGCCAAATGGACCATGACTTGGAGCTGCGTCGTTGTAAATGTTGTAGGGAACTTCGTCCTGGTAATAGGGGCCAGGATAGCTCTGATTGTCGGACGAGACTTCCGAGACATGTCCTTCCGAGTAAGTCGAAGAGGCATTCGAGGGCCCACGGCGGACACCTGCTGCACCACTTCGGTTCCTGTTTAGACCAGTGGCAGCACCCAACGCTCCAACACCGTCGGTGCCTTCTGGGTGTCCATTCATCAATGGGTCGGCGGAGTATTGGTCGGATGCAGCATTTGGTGAGCCATGTGCATAGCCACCTGGTTGGCTGCTGCTTTCAGACATTGCCGGGCCACCTGCTCCACGCCCATTGGAACCTAGGGTGGTGGAAGCTTTTCGATTTGAAGATGTCGCACCCCATCCACGATAACCACTGTTCTCATCCTGAGCTTCGGAAGCATTGTCCGTATAGGCAGCACCGCCAACGACTAATGTCGGATCACTGTTGGGATTGTAACCATACTCTGCCATTTCATTCTTTCGCAACTCTTCGTTGTTCTTCCGGTTCTTTCTCTTCCTCCACCAGCAGAAGCCGATGATGAAGGCAGCGGCGATGGCGACAATAGGGATGATGACGGCAATTGCAATCTTTCCGCCGGAACTCAGACCTCCTGAGCCTCCTGAGGCAGAGTCCGATGCGCTCAGGGCCGAGGGAGTTGGCGATGTTCGTGAACTAGTTGTGAGACTGGTTGGCAAGTCGGAGGTTGTAGGGTGCTGTGTTGATGTGACTACAATGACGGAAGGGCTTGTGGGTGTTGGGGTGGTAGACTCGGGAGGTGGTGGTGTAATAGTCGTGGTTGTGGTCACATCGATGACACTCTCTGATGTAGTTGGTTCGACAAAGGTAGTGGAAGGAGGTTCCGAGGTGATTGATGTGATGGTGGTGGGGGTATCTGGTGGGGGAGTCGTGGTAGGCTCATCAGGCGTAGTCGTCGAGGTATCAGTGATGGTGATGGTTGTGGTTGGTGAAGTTGTCAAACTCAGTGATGTCGTGGTGATGGTTGTAATGCTGACCGAGTCGGTGATTTGGTCGCTGGTGGTTGGAACCGCGGAATCGGTGGTGTTATCTGTTGAGTTATTAGGGACAGCCGTGGGAGAGATTAGCGTTATGAACATACCAGCCATTGCGAGGTCTAGAGGGGAGATTGAGCAATTCGCAAGTAATGGAAGAGTTGGCTCGTTAATGGGAGGTGAGCTGGATTCACCGGCTCGTCAAGGTAGATTGGTAACCCAACGGGAGGGATTTGGGAGTCGAAAACAAGTTGTTAAAATGTATGTTGAAAGGTATTATGGTAGAGGGGCGTTACACCAAGGAGGGATGGAAGAGGAAGGGAGGTGTCAAAAGCCTGTTTGAAGACCGAGTCCCTGGGTAAGCGATGCAATAAACACGTCCAGGCGCCGCGGCAGTCCACAATCAAGCGAATGTATGCAACCAGAGCAATGCTGGTGTGCAGTATAGATAGGGACAAACGTAGGCGAGCACTGGATCGCACGACGGCTATGAATGTCGAGGGCGTGCGAGGATGAGGATGAGGATGGTGATGGTTGATGGGAGGATGAGATTGAGGTTTGAGGTTGGGGAGGAGGTGGGTGAGAAGATGGCAGCAAAAGAGATGGAGGCGAGATGAGAAAGGCTCAAGAAAGCGGTTCTTGGGGGGTGGTAGCAGTGCTGTGCCAGTGCCAATAAGTTAGTCAGTAGTGTGCAGAGGTGGTGCGGTGCCCTTCCCAGATTCTCGGCGACGGTGGGTGGTAGGTGGTAGGTGGCAGTACTGTTCGTAGTGGGAAAAATAAACTACCGCATCACTAAACCCAGTTGGCGACCGGGAGTGTGCATACACGGCATGGTGCGCTGATTCACTGCAGCCGTGCACCCGACGGGGAGTGAGAGTGACCCTGAGTTTTGGATCAGCTGGGCCAGACTGCAACACTTTTTTCTCACCCCAAGACCAAGCCCGAGAGGTCTAGGCGGAGGTCTAGGGCCGAGAGGCCAGAGGTCACGGGCTGGCTGGGGGACATGATGGATCAAGTCCTCGCAAAGCCCATGAACTGAGTGTTGTGGAGTGTGCTCCCGCCTGTTGGCCCATGCCCACTCACTGTTTGACTATCATTCACGATTCAGCCAAACCACGCCACCCACCTGGATTCTCTTGCTGATTCCCTACCACCATAAGCCCCGTTGTCCAAGGTCCAAGGGACATGAGACTTTGGTAGGGGGCCTAGGGGACCCAACTCCGAGTCAAGTGTCAGCTAGCTCCTCTTAAACACCAGCCCTGACCATTTTCGGCATGGTTGGATCCAATATTTGGTTCGCCGTTACAAGATCGGCCTGCCCGTCTAGGTGATTATAGGCAGCCTCTCCAATAGTATCGTCTGATTCCCAATTGCAGGAGCTGACTTTTCCCACCCAGGTCTAGCATGTCTCGCACCATTCCAAAGCTTGTCGCCTATCACGATAAACGTGGACTTCAAACATGCTGCTCTTCGAAATTCACTCCCATGGTACTGTGGCTGCTTCAAACCGTATCGTGCAAAATTGCAGTCTGGCAGTGTATCCGCCTGCTTGGGACCGCTGTGCAGGTGGAGAGAAACATGCTGTATTACTTTAATTGCTCATGTCAATGTCAAGATTGACGAGGCGTTGTGCAAAAGAAAGTGTTGCCAGCCGTGGCATGCTGTGTGTCCTGACAAACTGTAGGAGCGCAGTCGACTTCTTGGCTCTCATAGCTAACACTTTCTGAGGCTTCCAGATTTAGATACATCCAATCGGCCAGTTGCCGCCTCGTTGCCGCTTCATCCAGTCGGAGCTTGAGCTTCGACACAGCATCGCTTAAATGAATAAATATCATGCGTCTTGCATCTAGCGATTTCGGAGTTGTTGTTGTGGTGTACTCGTACAGTCAATATGTATGAGTGATCGAATTCCAGATGCCCTGTTGTGCTGCTTTCACGTGGCCACCTTGCAGGATCTTTGCAGCACCAATTTCACCCCACTGAGAGTTTATACCAGCCGAGAACTGCCTTTTACACCCTTGAATGTCTCAATCCACTTGATGAACCATTCATCAACTCGTCCTCGTAGTCATAGTAAAAGTCGATCGTAGCGTCACGAGGCATATTGAGATCAAGCTCAAAGTGGCCAAGCCCTGGAGGTTCACACTGCAATATCTCTCATGCAAATCGCCAATCGCTTACTCAAATCTCACCCTATGTATCGGGTCTTTCATTGTATGCTTATGCTCAAAATAATTGTGCTATACAATGGGAGCAAAAACTTCCCAGCTCCAAGGCTTTGTGGACTCGACCATCGAGTTGCCTGTGCCAAAACTCCTCCGCTATGCTGTGGCTTTCTGATCATAGCCATAACTGACAGGTAACTGCTTGCTCTGACCGATACTATCGATTGAGATTCCATTGTGGCTTGAGTGCTTCATTCATCTCTTCTCTCGTCCCGGCTACGTTCTTGGGAATACGCGACACCCGGTAAGCGCCAGTTCGAATGTTTCGAACATGTAGAGCCGACAAGCCCGAACCATTGCTCCGGATACTGCCGGTTTCACTCATCGCATCGTTGACCCTTATCCGCCCGGGCGGGGCAAAGTCCAGTGCTGAAAACGTCGACGACTTCCGCAGTTGGTGACTAGCACGTGGATTAGCCCAAATTGTTAGTTAGAAGGTAAGGAGGTCACTCACGGGCTTGGCATGATTGCCAGATCGTCGTTCGACGAAGCCAGGGGAACGTGTGCTCGAACAGCCGGCGAATATGGTCTGGCACCACCACGAAGGCTGGTCGGCGTACCTGATCGCTGATTGGAGAATTTCTGAGGAGGAGCAAAGTCCGTTGGAAGCATGGTCGCACCATCTTTAAGTAGATGCGGTGAGGGGAGGATGTTCAACGCTTTCGGTGGTGGTAGTTGTTGTTTGCGTGGCATCGGGTACCGTGGTTGATCACGTGAGGAGGCTGATGAGAATGCTCGAGGGCCTGTCATGTAACTGCCATTGGACACGGTCGCTCGATGACGCCCTGAGCCCAGTGGTGGAGGGTAACCTCTCGGAGGGTAATACTGCGACTGATCGTAGTAGGCATCTTGGTTGTACGTATCATAGTATCCTTCTGAGCCATCGTAGTAGTCCTGCTCGTGCGCTTGTGGCTTGCTCTCGTCAAAATACTCCTTGTAAAATGACCGGATCCGGTTGGCCCTTTGCTCTGGGTTTTCAGATGGGTCATCAGGCGGCAGTGGTCGTGTGCCCCAGGTAATTCGACGGGGGTCGTAGCCAAGCTCATCTTGATTGTCAAAATAGGCAGGGTACTCCTCAGATTCGTCATAGTAGTCAACCTGGTCGTCGTCGGTGCTTACACCCTTCTGAACATGTGGTTCGAGGGCTTGCGAAGGATCGTCGTTCCGGGTCGGTTCTGTTGATGAGGCAGATGTATATTGGTGAGTAGCGTCAGTAGTTGGCTCGTTGGTGAAGGTAGAGCTTGATTGTTCCATAGAGCTATGACTGACGTCCCGTCCTTCGTACTGGAAAGATGGCCCAGCCTCTTTATCCTCGGGAGCATTGAAGGTGATACTGGGCGCCGAAGAGTTGGGCTCTTGAAGACTTGAGGGGACGGCGGAAGGTTGGCGAGAATGATAGTCATCCTTGACAATGACTGGAGGTGGGACAGCTAGATCAGTAGATGCATTCAGAGGTGTCTGGGACACAACAGGTTCTGAGGGAGTGGTGACCGGATCTTGCTTTTTGCCACCGCTGATATACTGGGCCAGGTAGTTGTTGCTAGCCCGCAGGGCGCTAACGGGACCGTTACTGCTGACTGTACTGACAAAAGAGTCTCTTGCATCCGCCGTGGGGCCTGGTGCGAGAAGGTTCAAGTTGGAATTGTTGACAGGCCTTCGAGAAGCAGGGTCATTATCACGTGATAGACCACGGTCTGTGGAAGCTGCACTGCCAAAGGATGGTCTGCCAACAGGATTAGGCTGTGCATTAGGAACAAGATTCTGTTTCGAATCGTAGTCAAATCGACGAATGGAGGATCCGGTCCAGCTCGAGGCGTCGTCCGCAGGACCCCGCACACTCGAAGGCGAGCGTATGGAGCCGTCGTCAGGAATGAATGCCGTGGGTCGATATCTGTCTTCTCCATTTATCGATCGGGACAGCGAATGCAGGGACTCGCGCGAACCTTGGAGTCCTGGTGGAAGCAAGTACGGGTTGTTCATGTCCAGGTCCATGGACAGGCCACGTGGTTGGCGGCCTCTCTCCTCGCGTTTCTCAGACGCCATGGTCATTTCAGGAAACTTGTGACCCTTTTTCTTGTTGTGCCCAATTCCACCGCCATGCCCGAGCCCAAAATCCAACGACTTGTGCTTATCCTCGGCATCTTCCTTCTTCAGCTTGTTGACGTGGCGACGATGAAGATAAATCAGAACAGCAAAGGCGATGACGAGAGGGATGACCACGCCCAGTACAATGGGCAGGGTGTTTCCTGATCCATCCGAGCCAAAATACTTTTCACACGCTCCAGCCTTGTCGTTGGGTCCACAAGACGTCGAAGCAGTCGCGGTGGAGAAGGAGAAGGAGGAGGATGTCTCCTCCCTCACAACCAGTGAAGGAGGCTTTTCGACAAAGAGATTTTCAAGTCTGTTATCGGGAATGGGGCCTGGGCGTGCGGCTGGGTATGGACTTCGAGCTTGGATCTGAGGCTCGTGTTCGGGGAGGAAGGAATCCGACATTCTTGTACAGTGGGATGAGCCCCAGTTGAGGGAGAGGATGGATTTCTCGAGTCGCAAATCCGGCCAAAGGTGAAGTGTTTATTAGTTCATGGTGACGAGGTCGATTGCTGTGATGATTCAAGGAGTGGTGGTTTTGTAGATCGTCGAGTTCTAATGGATGTCGATTGTCGTTGTCAAGACCAAGGTACGATGAGAAACGAGCGAAATGGAGTGTGGAAACCCGTCCACTGTTGAGGTTGTGGCAATTAGTCAAGCGTAGTCGAGGGTATGTACAAGGTAAGGAAAGACTAAGGTCAGCTCAAAGGAGTGACTGGATTGGGAATTGACAGAAGGGAGCGACAAAGACGAAAGAGAGAGTCGGGTGGATGGACTGTTGACGACGAATAGAGAGATGGTCAAAGACGAAAGCGTCCAGGGAGAAGCAAATGACTGGTGAATGGGTCTGGAGTCTAGGGTCTGGACCACTGCATGCCAGTGGACGACGCTAAGAACTGAAGATGGAGTAGCTGCCGACTACCGACTCTTGCTTACGCATACCTAGAGGCACCCACGGGCGAGGATGTTAGGGAGTGGTGACGCCTACGGAGTCCAGTTGTCATACAGTACTCCGTACTCGGGGCGCCTGGTTGGGAAGCAGGGTTAAGCTAGCCCCAAGCTCGGGATGCCCCAGTTTAGGGCAGCTTATTATCAAGCCACGCCGTTCTTAGGGCGATGGGGTTCCCCCACCACTTCATCGGCCAAGGTTGTTATTGGTGCCTGGGGGTGCAACCAGGGGTTACAGCCAATCTCACGGGGTTGTGCCTGGAGCTAGAAGGATGTGCAGGATCGGGCATTGGAATCACCGTCCCTAAGATCAATTCTCCAGATTGAGATCAAACAGTGGGTATAGATTGTTTGCCCTCGAGAGTACTCGCCACGTAGGGTTTGTCTCTGTTTGTTTATGCTCCGTAGTGGTGGCTTGCAGGTGGCCATGTTCGACACACGTGTACATGTACCTACTCCGTACATAGCAACGCTCGCACTCAACCAGGGGCGCGCGGTTTCGGGGGCACGGGGCTCTGGGGGACACTGGGGGCTGCCGGTGGTGCACTGACAGGCCACGTACTTGACGGCCGAGGAGGCCTTTCCACAGGTGTCAAGACTCTCAAGCGCAGGTCACGGTCGTTCCAGGAGAACCCCTGGACTCGCCTTTTAGCCTCCAGTGGACCGTGGTAAAGAAATTCTGGCTTGTCATTGTCGCGGTTTCTTGTTCGGTCGCCTGTCATTGTGTCAATTTCCCACGATCCAGTTTTGATCGCGTGTAGCCTATCAGAGGCCTCGGTGGGATCTGTGACGGTGGATCGTCGCTTAAAGGTCCACACCAATTATCCCCTTGACTTCAGACTGCGGCCCCGATGCTGACATCGACGTGCGATCGACCGTTGCAATCAAAACAATTTTTCATCATAGTAGAATCGATAATCTCAGAGTCTATGCTCACAATACCATGCGATGCACGTTCACATCGATCTTATCGGCTATCGTTGCTTGATGCGTATACTCTATTGGCTTCTTCCGCGACGCTGTGGGTGATGCTGGGCATGAGCTTGCCGCTTTTCTATTATTTACTACGTACGGAGTAGTGTATGTAAGTACTCGAGTGAAAGTCGTAACTCAATCCACGGATTGCACGTTGACGTTGAATCCATACCCTATCGAATCATGCTTACAGAAGGTATGTTGTGGTGGCAATCTTGGTTCTTGTTACTCTCTAGAGACTCGTCATCACATTATCATGCCTTGGTACGAAGTCTTCCATCTTCGGTCGACTCGCAAAACCCCCTCTACGTTGAAGCACGTAACTTTGGCGATATCATAATTTTGATCTGGTTGTCTTTGTTGTTGACCAATTCTTCAAACCCCTTTGACACATCTTCCAGCGGGATCCGGCTTGTTACCAATTTTTCGTACCCGTTATATTTACCTGGCCGTGTGAGTATGTGCAGGTATGGCCAGGGATAGATGTGAAGTACGTACCTTCTCCGATCACTTTCATGACAGCTGCAAAATCGGCGCGATTATAGCAACATGATGCGAGAATGGTCACTTCCTTGAAAAGGAAATTCAAAAATGGAATGGTGAACTGGAAATCATGTCAGCGGCTTGGAGTTCTCGACTGGGGACGGAAACTGACAGGCTTTTCCCACAATGCCACGCTAACATAAGTGCCTCCTTGAGTGACGCTGTCGAAAGCCGTGTCCAAACCAGCCGGAACTCCGGCACAATCGAAGACGATATCGACGCCCTTTCCGTCAGTGGCTTCGCGCAAGACGTCGCCGACCTTGACTGAGGTGGGATCGATGACGCGGTCAACCAGACCCTTGGCCTGAGCCTTTCTTGCTTCTGCAGGCTCGCTGACGGAAATGCTCTTGACCTTTTCTGCTTGGAGGACGATGGCCACGGCTAAGCCAATGGGACCTCCACCAAGAATGAGGACATCTAAGCCTTCCAGAGTGGGGACGGTCTTGATGGCGTGGTATGCGACGACCAAGGGTTCAATGATGGCGGCATAGTCGAGGCCGATAGTATCGGGCAGCGGGTAGAGCATGTCTTCGTCGGCGGCGACGAACTCGGAGAGACCCCCTCCGCCTGGGGTGGGGCTACAACCCAGCTGCCAAAAGATATGGGTTAGCATCATTCGGGCAATTGATCAAAGCGTACTCACAAAGCCAAGCTTCTGACAACAGTGATCGTTGGATCTTTTGCATGGCGAGCATGAAGAGCACACGACTCGAGGGTCGATCATGACAGCTTGACCGATTTGCAACTTGGATCCTCTTGGGGCTTCTTTGACTCGGCCACAGAACTCATGGCCAATGGTGATACCTGGCTGGAACATGACAGGCCCTGCGTCGCGAAGCTTAGTAGAGGTGTTGTTGGAGAATCAGAACATGGTGATGCTACTTACCCATGATATATTCATGAAGGTCAGAACCACATATGCCACACCATTCAATTTCAATCAGACATTGGTTTGGTCCCGGTTTTGGAATAGGGACCTCCTCAACCCGGATGTCCTTTTTGCCATAGTAGCGTGCGGCTCTCATGATTTCACACTGTGTGGTAAGACTAGAGTGCACGAGATTGAAGAATGAGAATCTGAGAATTGAGTCAGGAAGTATGTATCACAAAAATTTCAGTCCACCGGTGTTCGTGCTCACTTTACTTAGAGCCAGTTCTGGCCCCACCTGGGGCTGCGGTTGTGATATACTCCGTAAATTCGAACATCCGCAGTGTCTCCAAGATTTTCGGCACTTGAAGTACCTCGGGTGGTCCAGGACCAACATCCGAGATGCATCTACTAAGTAAATCTCCCATGTATACATATGATGTTGTTATGATTGCAATCTCGCAAGTCGTGAGCATGGAATGATGCCTCTTATCGCTCGTAGAACTCGAGGAGCAGAGTTACAGAGTGTAGAAGCAACTTTGTCCCACTCTTCTCAACCTCATATTCTCTGCTCCAGAAACAAGAACTGTAAACATACACAAGATAGCCATCGCAGAGTCCACTGGCTTCTCACTTTCTGTAGTAGCTGATCATGGTCGTCAATGTTAACGTCAATGTTGAAGCTGAGAAATTAAAATTGCTAGGTACCTTCCCAAGGTAGCAGTAATGATCAAAGAGGAAGGAACAAGAAATACCCCGCACTTCCTGCCTCGCGCATTCGTGGGGTTGGTGGAAAGGCAGGCGCGACCTAAAGACCGTGACTGTGACTGTGTACATGCTCCGTCATCAGATTTCCCATCTCTCGTTTCCCATTCTCCAAGACAAGATCATGACTACTTGTATCATGACAAGATCATCTACTTGATACACATCAAACATCATACATCGTTACAACCCACGCACGCCTAGAATTCACTTCCTCCATTACTTAAATCGATGCGTGTTGAGGACACAAGAAATACCCCAATTCATCCCACATATTGCCACGCTCAAATGGTCTTCTTCTGGGTATGACTTCAAGCGGACATTTTCGAAGCGTCCACTCTCTGTCATCTTGCGGGCTAGTGTCTCTGCGTGTCCAGCCGTGTTCCATGATTGTGCGTGCTTCTGCCATTTCTCATTCTCCTCGTCGGTCCAGTCTGGCAATCTATGTGGGACTTGCTCGTAATGCCCGTAAGAGATGAACAATCTGGGCTTCTTTTGAGTTGTAATCGCATCCGTCTGGGCCAGGAACCGATCCTGTTCCGTGAGAATGAAACTGTCGTTCCAGAAGATACTTGGACTCACGGCCACAAACGTGTCGAAAGTCTGATAACCGGAGAATAATGCATGCAATGTACATAGCCCTCCATAGCTGTGTCCAACCAACACGTGCTCCTTGACTGTTTTCCTGTCGAGTCCCGCCTCAGCCTCTTCAAACAAGAATTTGCTTGCGTCGTTGACGATAAAGTCGAGAAATTCATTTGCCCCGCCGGGTTGAGGAGTGAATTTGTTCCCATCCTTGTCCTCCAGAGGAACGTACTTTGGTGATGGAGGCGTCAAATCCCAGTTTCGCTGTCCATAGAATGGGAATGGGCTTGTGGGCGGATACCCGACCCCAATTATAATACCAGATATGCTGCCAGGATGAACTGCTGCTCGTCGAACTGCTTCGGCGACGCTAAAAAAATACGCATTGCTATCCAGCACCCAGCTGTTGAAACTCCACCGTCAGTTGGTCCTTCTGTAGACGCAAGATACATACAAGACAGGTACTTCTTCCCCGTTGGATTCGGTACTAGACTTCCATCCTAGTGGCCATGCCACCTGTAACACATACGGGTTGCCCTTGGCATTGTGAATAGTCCATTGTCTGGAGTTGGGAAGAATCGCGTCAGTTCCAAGCCGGTCCCCTGCCATGATCAACGCACGACAGAACTTATCGGCGACACAGTTGTGCAATTCGATCGTGGACTTTTTTTTTGTCTTTCTTCTCCTCCACACAGAGGTTCTTCGAATCTTAAAGGTTTCTTGGATGGAGTGCCGGGGTGGCAACCCCCATTTACCGATAGCGTAGATAGCGTGCAACACTCAACATTTGCGTCGTAGTCGTATCCGTAGCCGCGTAAAGGACAAAGCACAAAGCACAAAGCACAAACGAGGAACATCTTCAATGCCATGATTTGAAATGACATGCATACCAACGCCTGACAAGTCTAAGAGATCTATCATGCAAATAAATGTGAATGTACAAAACTCTTGGCCCCAATGCATCCGGATATCTTGTACGACTCCCTCGTAACGCCCAATCCCTGTCGTTTATCCTTGGCTTCATATGCAATTCATGACTGCGTTCCTCCCAGACTCGTGCTCGGCTCTCTATTGAACCGCCTCGCGTCGTTTCAGTCTCTACCACTTCTCGTTGGTCGTCGTCGGTGGAGTCTGTTGATTGATGGAGCTCTGCTCCTCATCCTTGGCAACCACCACATGGCCTTCAGGAAGCAGATTGAGTGCATCTTCTTCCTTGTCGAGACTCCAGAACTGTACCAAAAAGATACATCCACCAATGAAGGCAACCACGGCAAATACCCCGTAGTTCCAGATCAGCAGAGGGTCGTCAGACAGAGGATTTAGTGCCTCGGCAATGGCGGCCGAGATGGCGTTGGTAAAGAGCGCAATAGCTTGGACCAACGACCGCATGTTCTTGGGCGCCTTGGAGTATGCGTACTCGAGTGATGTGATGGATGCAAAGATCTCCGACAGGGCGATGAGAACATAACAGCCACTTTGGATCCACACGTTGAGTGGCGCCGGATCGACGGAGCCATCATCCTTGTAGCAGCTGTTGGCCTGGTATCCACAAGGTGACTTCTTGTAGATGTAGTATTGGACAACTGCCGCCCACACCATGGCAGCGGCTGCCGTCCAAAATCCCACGGCAATCTTCTTGATGGCACTAAAATGAATACCCATCTTTCGCAGCCCGGGGTAGAGGAAGGAATCGCAGATGGGGATCAGAATGATCAGCGCCAACGGGTCAAGATTGTTGACAATATCGTTTGGTACCCCGTGCAAGGCCATAGTTCCTGCTTGGGCAGTAAAGTTGTTGGTGAGCTGACCATACGCCAGCCAATACAGAGGGTACCAGGAGAAGACGGCACACGCCGCGAAGCCTCGTCGAACTTCATCCACCCAAGCATCATCAAACGTCATCCACGCGGGTCGCTGGGACACGGGGATGTTGGAGGGCTTGACTGCGTCCCATAGAGAGCCGTTATGGGTGCGCTTCCACATTGTCCAGGGGTTCAATGACCACCGCCCTTTCATGCCGAAGAAAAGAGCGCGGAAAGCTTTGGACACAACAGAGCCCGAGGCAGGTCGCTGTGTATACCTCTTACGTCCCCACCACATGATGAACGGCGTGGTGAGGAAGATCAGAGTGGGCAGCAGGAAGGAAAGCCAGAAGCCGACATACTTCTCGGCATATACCATACCGATCTGACCAACCAATGCCCCGATGTTGATGAACAGGTAGAAATAATGGTAGATTCGGCTTTGTGTGATGATAGGGTCCACAATGACACGCTCGCCAGTCGGCAGCCGCTTGACGTAAGCCACGGGGACATCTATCTGTTCAGCAACAAGTGGAGAAATGTTGGGCTTGAAGCCGCCAGTGCCCAACCCCATGATGATCAAGCCGACCATGAACACTGCAAAACAGGTTGTTTGGTGAGTGATGATAGGAGGAATTGCGCTTAGCACAAGGACAATGTGGCCAAGGATGGCGATGCCGATGGAGACGCAAATGGTCTTGTAGCGGCCGAGGTGTTCATCTGCAATATATGCGCCGAGAAGGGGTACACAGTAAACCCAGAAGGTGTTGAAAGTGTTGATGCCATTGGCAATCTGCAGACCTTGGCCCAAGGCGCCGGAAATCCCTTGATCGCTACCACCGCCCGCTCCGGTGTTGTGATTGGATCCGGAGGGTCCAAAGGGAGCTGGAAGAGGCAGCGAATGGTTCACAAAGTTGGAATCTTGGAAAGGTCAGACAAGTGTCGCCTCGGTGGATGAGTGGTTGGAGGTACTTACAAACGACTTGGGTGCCATAGTAGGAGAATCGCTCGCAAAGTTCAACGAACGCAACAGTGTATACTGCCCATGGAATAGGGGCTGCAACTCTGCGCAAAGCATTTGGCCCTTCGAGTTCATCTTCGGTGGGTAGATTGTCGTATATCGAGTCTCTTTTTTGGCCATCTGCGGTAGCTTTCTCGCTAGTAGCCTTGGTCACAGACTCGCGGCGACCTTGCAAGTCTATTAGACCACCGGCCTGGATGACCTCAGGATTGTCGACAGGCATTTTGTTGTTATCACAATGAAGTTCGAATTGTTTGTATGAGGACGATGGAGATATGTTGAGGCCATTGAAGCAGGACGGCCTCTGCAAGTTATATAGCACATCGAGTACATTGTTGCAATATCGCTGGTTGCCATCTGGATGCGACTGTGCGATATCAGTCTCTAGAACAGGCAAATGTTCTGGAAGGTCACATCAGCGAACACAACTAGCCCTTTTTGTCATGGTCGGCGTGCACCGAGGTGAGAAGACCCAGTCAAGAGTCATGAACCATCATGGAGAGACATGTGCCAACAAAGATACGCACGTTCAAGCATTTTAGCCAGTCGCTAATGAAGAGCTTGATGATTGCAAGCCTGGGCTTAGCTATGGGAATTGAGAAGTTTTCCAATCAAGGGCGCATGCCGAAGGTAGGCCGCGGCTGCATGACTGATTTGTGATATGGCTTGATCCGATTGGCGATGCTTGGCTCTCGCACGAAGCAGGCATCAAAGCATGCAGCATGAGTTCAGTGGCATGTTGAGCTCGTGATATGATTGGGACGTCCCAGGTTCATATATTCCCGCGAGCATGGAGATGCCGCCCGTGGGGCGATGGATCTCGTATCAAGGAGTTCTTTAGAGGTTGAGGGATTCTCATGCCAAATGCATAGATGCGAAAGTATCCTTGGACGTCTCACTCGGAGATGACTGCGTGGAGCGGGTAAGTAAAGGGGACTAAGTAGACAGATGTTGGCGGCGAAAGCTAACTGTGGGCTTAATTGTAGTTGCGAGAGACATATCCTTGTGTGCCTAATGTTGACGCCGTCGTTATCGTGATCGTGCGGTCCAAGTGACCAGTGGGAGAGTAGAAAGCCTCTCAGTCCAGAGGAGACAAGGCTATCCACCTACGTCTCTCCGTTGACCATTAGAGTAGTGGCTTAGATTGCGAGGATCTGCTGGGGTATGTGACGGTGGGTGAGAACTTGGACAAATGACGTATTTGCTTGTGCTCTATGAGGTATCGTGATTCATCAGCTACCACCACTTTCCCAGAAGGACTATAAGTGATGCTTCACAGGAGGGTGCAGTGGACAAGGGATGTGCTGCTTAGTAGCTTCTCAGAACAAGATCTGTTGGTGGTCGGAAGTCGCCGGTGAGGATGACGGGAGTTGGTGTGCGAGACTTACGGAGTACCAGTCGAAACCCTTGTAGTGGACGAGGCTGAGCTGAGAAGTGAGGCTGAGAGGAGCCAGGGTTACGGAACGGAAGAACCAACATCCGGGGTTCACAGCGACGCTTACTCTGTGCTTTCTGAGGAGTTCCAGCCGATATAATTCTTGATGGTTACGATAGGTGGGTTTCCTTCTCGTCCAATGCGAATTTGTGTTGATTTGGAATCTTATAATGAATATTGAAGATGGTGACCATGGACAGGACCCAAGGACAAGACAACACATGTCTCTGAGCCATCTGTGCCATGACCTTTTTGCGACAATTGGTGATCAATACCTTCCTCCTCTGGGCTCCTCCCTGATAACTACTCGGAAGCAGCGAGGAAAGAGCCCCTCGGCCTGCTCGTGCCTGCTCGTGCCTGCCACTCGTCGCCTGTCAACTTCCTGTTTCGTCAATCTTCATCACTGCAACTGCGAGATAATGAAAAATTCACAGAGGGTTGATCATCTCACTTGTAACCATATCAACTGCATAACTGTATGAAAAGATTCAGGTTTGAGCATCCCCAAGTTTGCCATGTCTAACTATTCTTCAAACAAGACAAGACGACCATCACGCATACATGCCGAACCCCTGCCTTGGCTGCATTGCCATCCCTCTAGGCTTCTCCATAGCCAACCTTTATCATCCTCTTCTGTACGCATGACTGCTCTACAGCTTCGTCGCTGCGATGATTGGACCACCAGGTCCTCCTTGAACGAGAGCGACTCTCTCATACCCGTCAGTCGCCTTCCAACTGGGCAACGTCAGCGACTCAACTCCTCCACTATATTGACCAATCTTCATCAATTCCTTAACGACGTTGCGATGTGCTACCTTCTTGCCCTTGTTGGGACCCTTGCCCACCTTGATGGTCTGGACCATGGGGTCATACTTTACAACGTACACATCGTAAACCTGGTCGAGCTCAGGAGCCTCTGACGCAATTCTCACTTCCTGGCCCACACGGTCCGCCCCGACTGCGAACTGCATATTGTTTCTCATGTCCATTCCTTGTCCAATGACCTCACTGATGTTTTCCTTGGTCGCCCCAATACCATCAACCGCGCCGTTGAAGATAATCTGAGGAGTAAACAGCCCGTTGCGTCCCCACTTGGTAAGGTATTGGCGCTGTCTCGAGTCCCACTGGCTTGAGCCAAAGGTGTCTTCCCACCCGCTGGATCCATTCCAGTACGTGACATCGTATGTCAACAAGAGAAGGTTGGGATTGTTGGTCGCATCGTGAATGCCCGGGAGCGCAGGTGGGCAAGACACGCATCCTTGCGATTGGAAAAGTTCCAGAACCGAAAGGGGCATGATTTCGACAAAGCATGCCGCCGTGTGCTGGTGGCCCTGGTCCATGGACATGACACAAGCGAGGGGAGCCTTGCGGCGTCTAAACAAGTTCAAGAAACCAGACATTGTGGATCGCAGGTTTTGAGATGGGATTGTTTGGGGCGATCTGCAGATATGCAATGACTGATTGTCAAGATGTCAAACTATTTGCATTTTGCAGGACCTCCACAGGGCCTCCTCGTTCCTTTATACCTTGACAGTTGGATCACATATGGACAGGCTTGGCCGACTACGGCCATTGACCTTGAACCGTTGACAAATGTTCATGCAAAAGACCCGATGCTTCCACTCGCACAAGGCTAACAACGACTGTGCCTACCTCGATGGTTGCTACTGCATGACTATTCCTAGAGGCCTTAGCCAGGGGTAACCCCGGCACAGATTTCACAACTACACCGCCCGTCACCACCTGAACTCAAGTACCTGGTGCCGCTGCTCCATTTAGCAGTCAAGATGAATTCCCTCTTGTCTATGAGGGCTTGAAATGGGGTTGATACAGAACCGCGTGGAGCAAGACGTCGCGACTGTTGGCAAATTGTGGGCCAAACCATGCCATTTATGGAGGCATAAGGCGAGGTGCAGTGAAGGTTTCACCAACTGCTCAAGCTCTGGTTGAATTAGGCCGACGATCACCCCAGAATCAAATCACTTCAGCTATAACTATCCCAGCATCCAGGGCCTTGAACCATGTACGCGTTCCAGCACTGAACCTTCAAATCGTACTATCCCTAGTGCTTATCATTGTTGACAGATGGCTGTTATTGATTGATCTTCTCTAGCGCCAGGGACCGTGGGGGCCGATTCTGTTCCACCCTGCCACTTCACTAAAAGCACTTGATCTTCTTCACAACTTCTACTGTATTACTTTCCAATCAGTCATCAATCCCCCTGTCATGATTAAAAGCTTAGCCCATAGGGCTGAGCCGTTGACCTCTGCTGCTCTCCATGTCCAGCCATGCCAGCACAACATGCAAGCTACATACTTATTAACACCCCTGGATGACGATCCCACTTCAACCCTCCCTGCTACTAGTCTCCCATGATACAACATCACGCGGCATCCATCTGCCCGCTCTCACAATTGGCTCCTGTGGCGATCAACCAGATCCCTGATCTCTCCCATCCTGGCCATTTTTTTCAGTTCACGGTCAAAAGCCGTAAACGGTAGTATCGTCCGTCCCAACCAAACCAGCCAAGCGTCTTTTCCTTTCCACAGCTGAACAGGCGGGGACTTGGGATTTTTGAGTAGGGCCTTGACCACATCTTCGGCATAATCATCAGCTTCGATCGCCACTTCAATGAAATGGGTGCCGCTCATGACATCGTTGATGATCTCACGTGCCGGGGCAAAGATACTCTCGTCAGAGAGCTTCTGCTTGCCTGTCGGACCCATATTCTTGTGGAAGTTCGACTTGACAGATCCCGTCTTGAGGTCAACAAGGGCAATTCCAAACATGCCCATTTCCAGTCGCATGGTGTCTGTCAAGCTTGCCAGGGCGGCTTTGGAGGCACTGTAGACGCCCGTGAAGGGCATTGAAGATACAGATGCGAGAGAAGTTTGATTCACCACCATTGGGCTGTGACCACTGCTGGCCGAAGCAAGCAGCAGCGGGAGAAAGGACTTGGTGACGGCCATAGGAGCCCAGACATTCAGGTCGAAAAGCTGTCTCGCCATGTCCAAGTCGACATCAGTGAGAGGACAATGATAGCCGGCCCCGCTGTTGTTGATAAGAAGATCGAGGACCCCATTTGTTCTGGTGGACACTTCTTGCACACACGCATCGATTGATGTCTGGGACAGGACATCGAGAAGCACGGTCTCGATGCCTAGGTTGTTGAAATGAACCAGCTTGGACTGATCACGCCCGGTTGCCATCACACGGATCTTTCCTGTTCGATGAAATGCTTGTGCCAGAGCATCTCCTAGTCCTCCAGCAGAGCAACCTGTAATGAGCACCACTCTCTTGTGGCGGTCAATATTGTGCTCTTGGCTGACGGGCGACATTATGGGCGAATGATTGATAGTCGAATAAATAAGGCAGTGACTTCTCTGGCAACGTCAAACTTGAACTTTGTATGTGTCTGTACCCTTTTCTAAGGGCCAGATTCTGTAGCTACTTGTCCATCAAAGATTTGTTTTATTTGCAAGCCTTAGACTGGACTTTTATAGTCGTCATGCTCGTCCTGCACCGCTCCACAGAGTCCTGCGTCATTACAATTAGCGATCAGTCAACCCTGTGATATAGGAAAACATCAACAATAGATCTACGGAGCAGGTCTCGCAGATACAATCTGACATTTGGTAGGCTTCTAGATACAACAACATCTTGGTTCACTCCACACATTGACACTATGAACAAGTCCGATTGGACACGGTGACCGGACTGACGCCTTTCCGGACCCAGGTCGACTCCGGATCGCTTGACGACGTTTGCCGACGATTGCTTTTCATGGCCCGTTCCCCACATGGGCAGACTACTCATATAACTTCGTAGCAATTATTATAATTCTAGTATCTACTGTATAGTATACGCGACACGTTTAGTCCTGTCGCTCCGATAACCTTTTGGATCTTGATGCCTTGATGATCGTATCGAACGCATACTGTGGGCTATGGCCATGGAGTCGGACAAGTGACTTTCTACAGTCACCCTATATTCATATTCATTGGGTTCATCTGCCCCTCTTCTAACTTTATTGCTTCTCACGACATCTCATCTAGGATGCTGTCTTCTCCTTTCCACCTGTCATAGCTCTGAGTCTCATTCCATCTTTATGCAAAGAGCTTTCGTCCCAATGGCCATAGCTCTTACTGACCTCTGGTGGCGGATATTTATTCCGGTCAGCAGTGCCCACAACCATTTCCAGATGTCCAGGTTGAGTCTCTCGCACACTGACCACCTGCCTCCAAGTTTTGGCTGCATCGACTCCAGCACATGTGTCCTGTAAGTTGAGAGAGGGTGTCGAGTTCATGGCAAGCGTCAGGAGCTCCGAGATGGTTGCCCACGAACCGACCAGACCTTGACGTGCGATGAATATCATGTATACAAGATACAAGGTATGCCCAACCGCAATCGCGAGATGGATCAGGAGCACACTGACGCCGAATTGCGTGATGCGGGAGTCATTCCAGTTGTACCCGTAGCCATATCGACTAAAAATGGGATCGATGCGTAGCCAATCGTCTTGCGCGGGTTCTGTCGCATTGAGTGCCTGGTCGACCCCTCCCTGAGCGCTCGAGACGATGAATTGGCCCACCATACCGCCATCTTCAGTGGTTTGATTGGTCAGGAATATTGGAGATGAATATGGATAGATGCCATTCCCGGCAATCCGTGCTAGCCCATCGGTGACAACTCCTGCGAGTAACGTGGCGATCAAGGTCGAATGTGATCGCCTCGATTCATCTGGAGTTAATTGTATACCCTCGCTAAGCGGCTTGGCTGCCATCATCGGAGCCTTGAAGGCATACCCAGTTTGGTTATCGATACTGCCTTCTGCATCAATATTGCCATCCATCATTGCTACCAGGACAGGCGTCGGTCCAATTGTGAATGGGATCGGCTGGTTGATCGCATTGGCATAGTCCAAGTCGATTGAGATGTTTCTGGGAGGCCGCGATGTCGAAGTCAGCGAATTGCCACCAACATCGAGACAAGTATCTGTCTTGGGATGCTTGAGGGCAAGCGCAACTTGGTCCTCTTGTCGAGGTTGGTAGAAGACATCGACAGGAAGCCATTGCGCGTAGATGCTACAGGCATGGATCTCGGTTCCCTGCTGAAGGCTGCTGTCGTTGTCGCGAATGTAGAGTGTGGGGACTCGAATGATACTGCCAATGGCTGGATACTCGGGACCGGCCGGCATCGGGACCCAGTTCACTTCTGTCGCATTCATGGGTCCGCTCACAGGAGTCTCGAAACCTGGTTCCGGCAGACTCTGGCTGGCGTTAAAACTGGGGAACGGATTGGCCTCCCGTTCATTAAGGTGGGTTTGATTATAATAGACATGGGCATCGCAAAGGACCTCGACACTTGGTGCATAAAGAGAACCCTGAAGAGTAATCCGAGGTTGAGTGGTGGTAAGTGCCAGGCCTTGATAGTTATTGCGGGCAAATGTCCAATACGCTGTCATGGCGGAGGTGATAAATGAGGGCAAGGACATGCCGGATGCTCGACCGTCATGTTCTGTTTCACAGCTCTGGGTGGACACGATTCTCCGAGATTCACCAAAGACGTCTGGCAAGCTGATGTTCGTACCACGAGTGGAGTTGGAGAACCTAAGCTTAAGAGCCCAGTCATATGTTTCGCGAAAACCGCCAGCAGGGCAGACATTTTGATACGAGGTCGAGCTGCTGGAAATGGTGCAGTTGATACCCGAATCGGGGCCGTTCAGGCTCGCTGCTGTGACATTAGAGGGAAACAAGACTGTGCTGTGGTTGAAGATGTAAAAAGGAAGCATCTCCTGCTCAAAGGGGGCGTTTAGAGGATAGTAGTTGAGAGAGGGGATGACTGCAATGGCCGAGGATGGTCCAACTAAAACGGCAAGCATTGCAGCAAACAGAGAGATGGTGAAAAACCGCCAGTAGTGCGCCTTGTTGGACCAGACTGATGACCAGAAGGCTTTGGTGAAGATGAAATCCCCAGACCCAATGAGAAAGCTATTGGTCAAGAAGCCCAGAGGCAAGCCACGAGGGCCAACAAGATAGTGTTGAGCAAAACGTAGAACAGTTTTGCCCAAAGAAGCAACAAGAATGACTTCGTGACATTTTGCCGCCAGTTGCAAAGCATTCAGGGCACCACTTTGTGTGAGACCCGGAGAGATATTTGCGCTTGGATCCTGCAGGTCCATCCAGTACTGCTTGCGGAAATTGAGCTGGACCACCGCGGTGGTGACGATGATAGATGCCAGGTGAGGGATGAATTTGCGGTAGTTGGCACGAAGACCCTTGACTATAGCCGGCTTTGGGCGTTCCAAAGTATCGGCCCGCTCGATGCGTGGTTCGGAGGATTCGGGCTGGAGCGAGTCTAATGCTGGAGCCTTTTTACGCTTCTCAATTTGATCGGTAAAAGTAGACTCAAAGGTGAATGGATCTCCTGGGGACGGAGTGACTACTCCAGGCTCATCTGCCTTACGTGACCTCTGATTCCAATTGTCCTCGGATCCAGGCGACAATGTGTGATTGTATGGATTGCGCAGTCTGCCATAAGTATACTCGAAGAAGGATGGCCGTTTGGTCGGGCCTGAATCCATCTTGAAACGACTGTGACGAGATGTAGACAGTGTGTCTGCACCCTAATTGCAAAGGACTCGACCGCGACCAACGAGAGCAGAAAGACATAATGACTACGTTGGGATATGGGTTGTTTATATGGCGGGCTCTGCGGCTCCCAAGACTCACCAGCATGGCCAGAACAAAAGCTGGGTACAGAGCGTCCAAGATAGGGCGTCCAAGGAGCCCTGGTCAGGACATGGAAGTGGGGACGGATGGTTTCAAGCGGATCGAGTGTGTGCTGGAGTCGTCATTTGGTACAGCAGCGTGCCAGGTTGGACCAAAAGTGCTGGCGGCTGACGATCCAAACGAGTGCAGGCTGGCTCGTCGAATTTCAATTGCCCCATGGTTGGACCAAGGCGGAGAGATGGGTAGCAATGAAACTCATTCACAACTCTGGTGGCCTTAAAGGGAGAGGATGGCAAGATGGCAGCACTGCGTGACTAACACATTGGTCCATATGATTGATTAAGCGCTGTAATCTCATGGCCGGGAATCGAATCTTGGCGACGGTACAGAATTTATCACTGTACGAGTACCATGGCAAATGTTCTAGAGGCAATTTTGATCAGCAAGAGCCTATCAATGTGAGTCCCACGTCGGGGAGTGTGGTCATGGTGGTATACCGTAGGGCCAAGGTCTCCATGGGTCAACAGTGAGCACTAAAGAGGGAAGTGGGTTTCAAGTTCTGTCAATCATCCAAGGCCAAGGCTGCACATGGCCAGTATCAACATTTGTAGCAGGACTAGTTGATACTGGGATTCGGCAGAGCCGCAGAGTGCATGTTTCTCAAGAAATGATATGACGCAAGATTGACGCAACGCTGATAGCAGCGGTCAATAAGAGAGGGTGGAAACTGATGGTTATGACTGGTGGGGTCGTTGGTTGCAGGGCCTCAACGGTCATGATCACGCTCACCAGCGTGGAGGTGTTTGCACAACGCTGAATGAAGAAAAAGAGAAAGAGAAAGAGAAAAGGGCGACAAAGTGAAAGCGAAGTGGAAGTGAAGTGGAAGTGAAAACTAAAAGTGGTCGAATAATACATCGCAACTTCCCTGTCACGAATTTTTACTTTTACCACCGCTCTTTCCAGAATACATGTCACCTTTGTTTTTTTTTTCTGTCTTCACTCACATCAATATTCCCATCCATATTGATGAGAAGAAGTCGCTTCTCGACTGTAGCTGCAATAATACCCTTGCCCGTAACAATTTGCCACGGACAAACGACTTTGATCCTAAAGGTTCAAGGTGTTTTGAATCATCAGATTGAGTGATTGGTATTGGCACACCGGCACTAATAGTACATGGTCACTAAGAGAACATATATCCTCAGCCAAGGCTTCCTGCATCAATTCTACAAGGTTGAATATTGTGTTGTACATCGTCGTCACTTTCGAGAATCACCGCTGTCACCCCTTCGTCGTCGCAACTTTGATCCTCCGCCAAACTTGTTCACCAGTCGTCCTGGTGGTCGACCCCCTCTAATCTTGGTTGGGTCTTCGGCAACAAGATCTGCACCCCAGTCTTGAAGCAAATCCAGCTGTTCTCGACTCAGAGCATCAATCTCGTCCAAAAGACCTGGCCGCCGTCCACCTGGCTTGACCACCTCTTGTCGTGCCCGGCCTCCGCGAGGAGGACCATTGGCCTTTGCTTCCACAACTCTCCGGCCAATCGTCGGATCAATTTCCCTAGCCTGAGATTCGTCCATTCCAAAACTGAACGTCTCAAAGATCCCGCCAGCGCCTTTGCTTGACTTCAATTCCGCCTTTGCACCTTTTCCTCCACTTCGATGCTCTTTCTTCAATCTCAAGGCCTCTCGTTTTCGACTTCTCGCTTCTGTCGGATCTTGGCGTTTCCGTATCTCGCCACCATCCACGATATCTTCCAAATCTGGCTCCTCTCCAGCGGCCTCCAACATCTCCTTGATCTCATCTTCGTCCAATTCCTCCTGCAGCGATGCTGAATTTTCCCGCAAGCTCTCTTGCCGTCTTGCCTTGTTTCCCTCTTTGCTGTCTGGTCGTCCGACCTTGACGCCTCGATCAATGCGCGTCTTTGCACCAAGAGCCCATAAGTCGCCCCATTGGATCTTACGAGCGTCGTGGTATGCCTGCTTCCCGAACGACTTAGGCACAGTCCATCGCTCAATTCGGCCATGCGGCGTACATACGTCCATGATGATGTGTTGTTTGCGCTTCAAAGCCGGCATGATCAAGCGTGGAAGATTCCACGGAGCGGGCATGCTGTCCAACGCGCCGCGGTTCGCATCCATGGAATTGAAATCTTCCAACGTCGTTTTGGGCTCGACTTCTTCGAATCCAATTTGAGCTTGACGCATCCATGCTTGACCCTGGACCCCCTCCCCTTGAGCGCCTGGAATGGACGGAGCTGCCAGAGCGTCTTCAAGTCCTTCCCATGCTTGAATCTTCCTGTTCCGTAGATCATCCCCTTTCATGACCGAGATGTATGAAAAGTCTACATCGTCGTGATTTCGATCTCGAGCCCCCAAAACGCGCTGCAGATATGAAGGCCGCGTGTACCGTTGTTGAAAAGCACACCAGTCTTTTCGACCGTGAGACTTTCCAGGAACAAGGTACATTGGGCACTGCTCATGATTGGTACAAGGAGCCACAATCATACCAGGCTTTCTGCCTGAAGTCGAAGAATCATCTTGTGCGTTACTGTAGTGTGTTGTGCGTCCTTCGGGAATAGCAATGTACTTGTGTAATAGGAGGTCACGTGCAGCGGCCACGGCTTCAAATCCGCGTGGGATGCCCTTTTCGATGATGATGAGGATGCCGCCGTCTGAACTTAGCATCGACCACAGATTCTGCACCATTTCTCTTCGCATGAATTCTTCCTTCAGCCCAAATAACATGTGGGGGGCAATAATCACGTCGAACTGCTTCCGTTGGACGTCAGGACGGTCATCTTCCAGAGTAGTGCCCTCGCGCAGGTGGGCATAATCGGGCAGCCGAGGAATGAACGTTGTATTGTCGAGTAGCTCCGCAGCTCGATGCCTGAGCGTGTGCGAACCAGTCAGGACCACAGATTTTGTGGCCGGGGGAGCGGGTGGTTCCTGGTCTGATGAATGAAGGGTACTCCAGTGGGCTTGAATAAGTTCACGCCACGCCAGTATCCCTGCCCCTCCAGCACCAGCGTCCAGCACTCGGGGCCCGCCTTCCTTTGCTAGTAAATTGTTGAGCCACGTTGGTCCGAGCCGCTTGCGTGTCTCAACCAGGACCGACATGATTGAGGCATACGTTGGAGGCATCACTGTAGTGATAAAGGCATTGGCCTCCATCTCCCCCATATTGTGGTCTGCAGCCGCAAGCGGGATGGGGACCTGTTCCCTCGAACGACCCGACCGTGGTGTAAGAGGGGAATCCGGTAACCCAGGCCCACCAAACGTTTTCTCGCAAATCTCTTTGAGGTGTTTATTCGAGTATCTGGTCATGATCTCCTCAACCAGGGTAACAAACCGTTCCCGAGGAAGCAAGACGTTACCAGGGCTACTGGCGAACTTGCCCAACCGAGTAAAAGGGTGTAATTTTGCATGGGCCTCTTGTAGCTCTTCCTCTTGAGCCGCAGAGTCCTCTTCTACGACCTCTCCATCAAGGTTCCGTGCAATTTCCTCCAGTCTCTGCAGATGCGACACCATCAAGGTTGGGGGGAGTTGGTCTGTGGCGAAGTTGAGCTTAGGACCAGGAGCAACAGAAACCTCTTCAGCATCTGCAACTTCCGACCCCTCGTCGTCTAACGTGAGCTCTGCTTCTTCCACGTCATCAAGTTCAACGGGCTGTCCATTCTCATCGAACAACCTCATCGTACCAGGCTCAAGCACGGAATCGACGTAACCCGCATCCTCCTCCTCATCCCCGAACGGCTCAAGGACCGGCTCGCCATAGAATCTTGTGTATATCTTGGTCTCTTGCTCATCCAGAACATCTGACGGTAATGTTTCTCCGAAGATCTGTCTCGCCTCTCTGGCAATGGCTTCTGGCGATGCACCCGAGGTTCGGAGGGTGGCAACTAAACCTTGTGCCCTTTGGACAAGGAGGTCGCGTGCTCTTTGGGTTGTCAGGGGGTGAGGATAGCCCTGATCGTCAGTCTCGGCCTCATTGACATCAGTCTCGTCTTCGCCAGCATCGATATGCTGATCATAGAATCTGCGTTCGGCTTCGTCGACCCGCCGTTCAAGCTCAATTAATCTTTCCAATCGAGCATAGAGACCTGAAGAAATGTGGTCGTTCGTGAGAGGGGCTTCGGCGGAATCATTAGGTTCGAATGCGGACTGCTGGGTCAGTCTAGATGCAGCCTGCGTGTAAGGCCTGATTGACGGGCGTGGAGACTTCAGTCGTTGACGTGGACGAGAGAGTGTTGTTAGCGCAGGCGCCGAATTGGAGAAGGCCGTCTCAAAGACATTTTGGAGATCATATCGACAAGCAGAGCACAGTCGGGCAACTCTAATGCGAGATATCATGATAGAGTGGTAGCTGTTTGGGCTGCACTGTTGTCGCGGTGAGGAAAGCGATGCAGGACTCCCGTTGATTTCACTTTGGGATCCAAAATAACCATAAGATGATGTACGGGCATGTCGCGAAAAATTATGACACTAGAATGCGGAGAAAGTTCTTGGCATAGCCTCGCTGTCCTTGAATCCACCAATGACTTTGGCTGTTTACTAAACTCCCGCAGACGCGATGAGATATACTCCATCCACCTCTAGACGCATCCATTCCAGCAGACCGAGCGCCTTCACAAGCCGAGAGACATCGCCCGAAGTGGGAGATGATCCCATTCAAGAGTGTCTGGGAGGTCTGGCTGATGCTCGTTCTTCACACTCCCGGAGCACGCAGCCTGTTCAATAGTTCGTGCTGCCTACTCAAAGGCCCCACATCGATTCTTTTGAGGACTTGTTTACTCGCCTGGAGCAAGCGTATGATTGCTCGTCCTCTCTTTAGTCTCACCCCCTGGATTCAGCGCACTGGGCTCCAAGGCAGAGGGACCAGGATCTTGCTCTTCATGGATTGAATCAACGGCACCGTCTTGTGAACGGTATCTCCCCAGCCCTCGATGCCCCACGATTGTTCTCTTCGGACTTTGCGTTCTTCCAGATCGGCAAACTGCCAAAGGTGATGGACCGTGTTGAGATCTCCGATCTGGACAAACCAAGCACCAACTCCTTCCATGACTTCTCGGCGGGCCTTCAGGCCCTTTCGCCAGTGTGTCTCCCACTCCAAAAGATTACCCGGGTGTAACGTGTAAGAGCGCAGTTCGAAGAGACCCCCAAGCTCGCGTGGTGGAGTGGTTGGCCAGAAGGAAAACTCTTGCATCAGCGAGATGTTCTTGGAATAAATCAAAGTCTTGAGCTTATCCTCAAAGGCAGGGAACTCGGGATGATGAGAGATGTTGTGTAAGGAGGCATGATAGCCCATGTACCGTTGATACTCCCAGATATGGACTGTGGTAAGAATTAGCACAGAAGGTGTGTCACACGGAAAGTCGAATACCAAATGTCTCGCATTCTCCAACTTCAGTCCGCCAGCTTCCCACCAAGTGGACCTTGTTCTCTGGAATGGCAGCCATTTTTGGATACCAGCCGCCGACTAGCTCGACATAGTCATCGACTTTGTCGGGCTTGACCTCATGAATAACTATAGAGTGGACATATTTGCCACGAGCCAACACCTGAGAAAAAGACCTTTCCATTTCTTTGTCCAGTTGCTGACCCTCTGGCGTCCCATAGATGAAAGAGGATAGTTTTCCACCAGAGCCACGCTTGGTGGAAGTGTCTGTTTCGGCCTGCCTTGCTTCTTCTGTTTCAGGAGCGATAGAAAGTGAGCCCAAGCCCAGGGATTCAACAGTAGCAGAGCCAAGATCAGAAGCAGAAGTAGGAAATGACACGCGAGTAGAAACAAGTGGTGACTGACTGTCAGCTAATTCCTTTCTTTTCTTCGCAGCCTCCAAGCCATCTCGGAATTCCTTTTGCTTCTGGTTGAAAATGTCGGCACCATCAGGTGTAAGGTCGCCGAGGCGAGGAGCACGGCCGTACGAATTGTCTCGGTAGAGAGTGGACGTTGTGAAGGATCGGACCAAGGTGGAAGCTTGATGAGAGGAGAGTGGGAATCGGCGGGTCAACATCATTGTTGCAGCAACGATGATGAGAAACAGGGATATAGAAGGGTAGATGATATGCTGGAATCAGCTGCAATGGATCAGGAGGCCCGCGTCGTTCGATGGGAGTTTGGTCGAGTACAAAATGAATCGGATCTTGCTATATTCACCCTAGTAGAGGGAGAGGACGAGTTGGGGCTTGGAATTGAATGGTGTCAGCGATAGACAAAAGATATCGACAACAATGCTCAAGAAGGTCCCTTGGGGAAGTCTGAGGCGGGACGGGTCCAATTGTAGAGGTGCTGGGTAAGAGTGGTGGGATGCTGACGAGGAAGGGAGGGTGGGAGGAGAGAGATACCTGGGGAGTTGTGGGGGAGGTGGAACAGGGCAATAATGCAGTGCAGACCAAGACGAGTGGAAGAGTTGACAAGCTGGGGAAGCTGAGGAAGCTCCACGGACTATCTCTTATTACTCAGTGGCCACTTTGGGTGTGTATGGATTGGACTATCTGTTGCAAGATCCAACCCTGGACTGAATGCGAGTGCTAGTTGTTAGCGGGAGGAACAAGACGCGAGTCGACGTCAGTACAAGAAGGAGCCACGCAGCCAACGCTGGTGCCCTTGTGAGCACCAGAAGGAGCACAAACACTCCTCCGTGGAGACGGCTAACCGTGTCTGTAGTTAGTTGCTGCTTCGACTTTGCGGGGTTGAAAAGTCAATGCCCGCCATGCCCGCCATGCCCGCCATGCCCGCCGTGTTGCCCAAGCTGTGAACATTCTGGACCGTATTGGCATTGGCGTTAGGCAGCCGTGGCATGCTCCAGAGACATGTGGTGCAGGTGGGGGGAAGGGAGAGAGGGGAGGACAAGTTTCAAATGCCCAGCAATACCTTGCACCATAGAGGCAGTGTTCGTAATTGCTAGAGGGGTACCGAAGGTACCTATCATCTAGACTGCGTCCTGGTGCAGACACAATCAACACCAGGATCGAGCCTCCAGCTTCAAGTATAGAACAACGACGATGAAAGATTGAATGAGCTTCAACCTTCAGGAACATGCAATTATGCTCTGTGCCATGGTACAATACAGGACCTAAAGCAGGTGAGTTTACTCAGGTAAGCCCGCTCGAGGCAGACCGAGGGACCCCTTGCATCGCCTGCACACGCCACTTCTAAACTCTCCGCCAGTGATAAATTGAGACTTCATCCATCCGCACCGCTATCGACCATTTCGCTGAATCGCTTGACAAGAAGCGTGGGTGTTGGTAGGCGCTCCTACAAATTCTCTCATACCGACTATCTCAACCTCTACAGATTTTTCCTCTCAGTTGATTTCTCCCACGCTGTCCAAACGCACTTCTCCTAGAGTTGTAGAAATGGCCGAATCCCACAATCCTCCCCTCAACTATGAAGCCAGTGCCACATCGACACATCGCACCACCTCAACCACCCTTCCCTCTGAAGTCTCCCAGTGTCTGAAAAATGCTCGCTTTCTACATCTCGCCACTATATCCTCCGCCAGCAATCCAGAACAAGTAACCCCCCATGTCTCGCTGATGAACTACACCTTCCTCCCAACGGGGACAAACACCACTCCCGGACCGTTGATCATCATGACCACAAATTCACAAAGTATCAAAACCCAGAACCTCCTCGCAAATCCCCGCGTCTCACTTCTTGTACACGACTGGGTCTCTCATCGTCCTCCCACTACCTCCTCAATATCCGGCCAGCGATCTGGTTCCCCACCAGCAGCTGCCACCAGAAGCAGCCTGGCTTCTCTCTTGCTAAATCTCAACACGTCGGCTCTGAGCTCGATCTCCACCACGATAGCCGGAACAGCACGCTTTCTCGAAGCTGGCACTGAGGAAGAGAAGTGGTGCAAAGAGACTCACCTGGCAAACAATACCTTCGGAGACCAGGTCAGAGAAGAAGCTGGCTTATTTGGCGTGGGACCCCAAAATACCGATGGCGGCAATAGTAGCTCATACATTGCAGGAGAGGATGTCAGGGTGGTTGTGGTGCCGGTACGAGAAGGTCGAACTGCAGATTGGAAAGGAGGAGTCAAGGACTGGGTGGTTTTGGATGAGCGCGGCGATAGTATCGACGACCAGGACAATTCAAGAGGGAGAAGACCCGACGACCAGCAGCAACCACTTGTCAATGGAATCGTCAACTAGCTTAGGCACTTGTACCAATATCTACTTATTTGAGGAGATATCTCGCCTGCGTAAGGTTTGCGGTGGTTTGCACAGAACACGTCGGTAGGATCCCAGATCTAAAGTGCGCGGAGCTTGCCTCAGTGTTTCCCACGTTACCCCAGGGCTCCCCAACTTTGTAATTAAACAAGAGAAGCTAAACGAGGATCTCGCCGATGCATCAATTCTGTTTACCAATGGTAGTGTCCAGACCTATAGGACTATCTCTCAACCACGTCCGAGCCAGCCCAGATGCTGTAGGGAAGGCCAGCACGACCCCGAACCAATCGTCCAATCGACCAAAGGCACAAATCTCCAAAAACTCCATATCACCGGACAGACGCCTGTAAAATATCATCGAGACTCCAGTGACAGGAAACATCCAGATCCGCCTCTTATCGCTAGAAGAACCAAGAAAGGAGGACAATGAGAAAAGTTGAATAAAGCTTTCTGGCTCCGTGTGTGTACATGGAATCCTATATTTACAACGTTGTTGTAACCAGAAAGAAAGCACCGGTGTGTTCCAAAACGTGTAGCCGCTGAAAGATGTGGTGAGGGAGCGTTGTCTGAGAGGTCGCCGCGACCATGGCACAGTTTAGAACAACCAGACTGAACGAAGGCAAGGGCCCCTTGCCAACAAACATGTACAAGTCGAGGATCAGCTCCTGGGCGGGTGTGATTCATTGACAATAGGGTCTCCAGTATCTTTGTTTAGCGCCATCGTGAGGCAGCTTCACATAATAGAGCATTTGGCATCCTGACTTGAGCCACTCGCTGTTTTGACGGCCAGGGCAACTCTAGCAGCTTCGGTGAAGGCCTCGTTGACACCGCGATTCCGCATCGCCGAACATTCTATTGTATCGAGTGAGTCGAGGGTCCAGAGAAAGGCGTAGCGCTACTGGACAAAGGACATACCTAGATACCTCAACGCGCCAACTTTCCTGGCAACCTCAAGCCCTTCATTGTATGAGATCATCGATTGTCGCGGCTGTTGTGTTTGTGAAAATGACTGTGACTGATCTTGACCTGCTGGTTCTCCCCCCTCTTCGTCTTCCTTCTCCGCTTCTTCGCGCAAATCACATTTCAGCGCGCATAGGACGATTTTAACGCCTGGACAGTGTTCGTTGATTTCTTGGATCCACTTCGTGCCCACATTTTCTAGAGAACCGCGATTATCGACCTAGATGACATAGTCAGTACGGGGGGAGTAGATAAGAACATTGACAGAGTCATTGTTGGTTGCGCGCGCTGGGAGTCGCAGGAGACAACGTACGCTAAAACACAACATGATCGCTTGGGTATCATCATAACTCAACGATCGCAGGCGATCAAACTCCTCTTGTCCGGCGGTATCCCATAATGATAATTCCATGTGAATGTTATCCACGAAAATGTCGTGCACATAATTCTCAAAGACTGTAGGTTCGTAAACGGTCTAGACGGCGGTGACATGCGTCAGTTAGCCCATGGTTCTCTCTATAGCTTGCGCCTAAAGACGCCCAGACAGGATCCTGCGTTGTTGACTATGATAGCATCTTGATCAAGATAGCTGCAACGTACCGGGAAGAATCCTCGAGTAAAGACATTGAGGAGACTGGTTTTCCCGCATGCGCCATCGCCCAACAGGACCAGCTTACGCTGCACGACTTTCTTACCGCCACAGAGAGGCATGGTCCAAGGGCACTGGAGCGGTGGAAGATCGGAACTATATCGGTGCACAGAAAAGTGTTGGCGTGGAACAAGATGTTTGGCGTTCGAAGTCTGTTGCTGGGAACTGCGACGACAAAACAAAGCTACGTCGGCTTGTCAGTCGCTACTCGGATGGTGGAAAGACAGATTGTTTGGCGGGGAAAGCGATCGAGCCAAATAAAGTGGAGTTCTTTATTTGGCTACCCTGGGCCCGAGGCGCCGTGGCCGTCTTGGTCTCGGGGCGGCTGGCTTTCGGTGGCTTCAACACAAACGATGGTGAGTTGTGATTGTTTGGTCTCGGAGAAGGCAAGCAGTCATGAGCGAATACTCGCCAAGACAAGCCACGAATCTAAGGATAAAACGAACAATAAATGCAAGGGGTTACAAAAGGTGGTTTTGAAGAGAAGTTGCAGGAGAGAGGAAGAAAGACTTTCATGATCGAGGCATGGTCTGATTAGGCCTGCCATGCTGGACAGCAAGTATAACGTGTCAACGTAATGTGGCTAAAGTGATGGGACAGTCACCTGGTTGAATTATGGTTCCTCGACTCCCCAGCATTCTATGAGTATGAGCGATCGGGCACTGGGGCTGTACATACTTACTTCAGGCATCATCCAAATCTGACTAATAATCTATGTCAGTGAATCAGGTACTCCAGGGCAAGGACGATCCGTATTTCCTCCGACTCATTCGTCCACTAGTACGTGCCTACAAAGACGATTATTACATGTGAGCAGGAATACAGCACGAAGCGCCTTAGCATGACTTATGTCAATGAAGGAGAGATCGAAATACCTGGGTTCATCCATCAACTTTTCCACGAACTAGAGAGGCGCATTGGCAAAACCCTTTAGAGATTTACAGATACGAGCCGCCTGCAACCCCGCCTCGCTCCCGATCTCGTGTAGTTGAGAGGTACACAGCCAGCGAGATTATTATCATCCGTGGTAACGTGCCCATTCAGACGACTATGAACCATGCAAACCAATAGACTCGACTGGAGGGAAGGATCACCACCCATTACAGTTTGTTCGTTAATCGAGCAGGGGTTCGACCCATCGTACAATCCCAGCCGGCGCCAGGATGACTTTGGGTATTGGATCCTCTTCCCATCTGCACGACTGTAATTCAGAACTCCTTGCACCGAAAATTGTTGTTGCGTGGCGCCGCGACGTGTGACCCACCCATCAAGTTTAATTATACTGTAGTACAACTTGTTCAGATCAGGTAGCTGAGCGAGAGAAACGCATCAAGGAATGATAGTGATATATCTGACCTTTGTCAGAGGTCAAAACGAAAACAAAGAACAAAAGCCATCCGTTGTTGCCGATGCCGAAATCACGAAGTGCAAACAGAACTCGTCGAGTATCAAGTGTTCGAAGCTGACCATGAAGCGCAGTAGAAGTTTTCGTGAGTATTGAAGCTCGAAAAAATGGTCATTTTTTCATCTATCGCATAATGCTGGCGCATGATTCCATCCCCATAGAAAACGAATCTTGTGTTCGTTGACTTGTGCAGAGTGCTAAATGCCTCGGTGGGTGACGCCTTCAGCCGGTATGCGTTCGCACCAGAAATGACCATAGGTACAACCAGTCATCTACTCCTCAACAATGTTACCTCTCTCGCTCACATACAAGCCGTCCAAGAACTTCCGGATATCCTTGTTTCGCACTCTGCAGATCTGTTGGATGTCGGCGGCGGATTGGGAAACGGCTTCGAGGCTGTTGCCGCTGAGCTCCAGTTGATCCTTGACACCCTTTGATGGCTCCACGGTGACTCCCTCGGGGATATCGACATGTCGAACGATCTTCTCGCCCAAAAAGTTTCTGCAGTCATGGTAGTTAGCCTCGAATGCCACGGCCAGCCCAGGTATTCACAAGCTTACCGGATCTCCACATGGTAGAGGCCGTTGTTCTTCTCGACGTTGACGTTGATGGGAAAATGGGCATAGACGTATCGCATCTTGTATTTGTATCCCTTGGTGACGCCGGTGATCAAGTTCTGGATGATCGACTTGACGGTTCGGAGAGTTGCGACGTTCTTCCTTGATCCATGGTGGATTTCAATCTGGACAACTTGCTGGCCTTTCTTGTTCTTGGGCAGGGAGAAGGTGACCGCAATGTGCGAAAGGTCCTTGACGAGTTTTCCTAAAGAGCCATATAATCAGTCATGTCTGCTGCTTTTTCCTGTCCCCAGACTGCGCCTGTGGTAATCTCTTTTGCTCCGGAATGCGTACCTCGTGGACCTTCGACGGTCACAATTCTGGATCTGATGTGAATCTTGACATCTTCTGGGACAACCAGCTGCTCTTCGGAAAAGATGTACTTCATCTTGAGCAGTGGTGGTGGGTTGATTCTGGTTGTATGGCCAAAGTGCGGACGTGGGCAAATATTCAATGACTTGAGGTGGGAAATTCTGGTGTTAAGCCAAGACTTGGAATTTGTGTGGGTGATGGTGTCTTGGCGTCTGTGATTGGCTGCTGCTCTCAGCCTTGCCGTCGAAGTCCAACCTGGTGATCCTGGCGAGGCTGAGCCGGCTTGGTCATAACATAAAATCTCGGCAACCAGCCCGCCCTTCCTAAATAAAAGGTCACAAGGTGGACTATCGTGATTGTTCTTGTTTCCTCTCCCTGATTGGGAATTATGCTCTATGCTCCTAATCCACGCTAAATGGGTATCAATACACAACGAAGGCCCGTGGCAAATCATGCCACTCTCAACCACCCCGTTTTGTCTGTGCTATCATCTGAGCTATGGTGGGATCGTCATCCTCGACCTGCAAGCCCTGCTCTCGAAGAGCGTTACGGTATCTCCGCCTGAGGCTTTGTTCATCATCATCTTCCCTTTCTGCATCTGGATAGTTATCCGGGTCATTTGTATCCTCGTCATCGCCATCGTCATCGTCATCGTCGCCAGAAGACTCGTCCATTGGGGCTCCTCGCGTCCGCGGCGCCTGCTTGGTCGATCGGGAGGGATCGACATTCATGTCCTTCATGATCCTAGTCAAGTCATTCGCTTTCTGGCTGGCGCTTTCTTGTTCGCGTTCTCTCCTTCGCTTGTCAAGTTCTGGCTTGTAGTCTTTTTCAAATTCTTGTCGCTTCTCCTCGACAGCGGTGAAGAAATCGTCCACACCCTCTCCAGTCATGCTTGACACGGCGACCATACTTAAATGGGAATAGAATTCTTCAAGCATCAGACTCATACTGTTGAGAAGACTGCCCATGTAACCACTTCCGCCGAATCCTTCGCCTCCGAAAACTCCCTTGTTCTGCTCTTCGGTCAAGGCTTCCTGAAATTTTTCATAGTCGGTCATCCACTCTTTTGCGAAATCAGCGTCTTGTACATCAGTCTTGTTAAAGACCAAGATCATGGGAAGTTTCGTCTTATAGAGGATGGAGCATGCATAGAGCATATTAGACATGAAGGTAGAGGTCGAAGAGGTTCGAGGCGTGTCGATGATGTATGCAATGACTGTTGGAAAGGACGAGGCCAGTGATTCAAGCAATATGCTGCCCGAAGCGGACCACACAAATACTTCAATCTGTCCTGGAGTGTCGACAAGGAAATGCTTGGGTGGTGCGACGGTGCTTTCAGGTGGGGGATTGGCGCGCTTTTCTAGTAGTGACATGATTTGGTCAATCTTTGTGGCAAAGAGATTGAGCGAAGTAAGGATTCCGCCATTGGGTCCAAGGTTGTACTGTTTCATGACCTCTTTGTAATTGATGCTGTCTCTGATGTCGATGTTTGCTTGGAAAGGGACATTGACGACCGCGGGGTCAAGATTGAGAACATAAGGTTTTGTCTTGTTTACATGGAGATGGTTGTTTATTCTTTGCATGAAGGTAGTCTTGCCAGATCCTGCGATGGTCAGTGTGGCTTCATACACGCAGCGGCGGGAGAGAAAACTGACCAGCCATGCCGACGCAAACGACGGCAACAGGTGAGGTGGCCATGGTAGTCTAGCCTGTTCAGAACAGGTAGATTGGTTCGGGCAATGCTAGTGACTTCTTAAGGGAGGTCAAACATTTGTGACAAAAGACTCGTCCCAAGTTTAACGGTAAAGTGATCGCATTTTGTCAGATGCGGAGACGAGAATGAGAATCATGGTTAATCTGGCTGGTGACGATTTGCCTGGGATTAATTGGAGGGGCGGATTTTCATTTTGGGCCGATCGGGCCAGTGATGACGCTGCTTTAGATGCACAAAAAGATCCGCCAGGCGGCCCAGGCACGCTAGGCCAGCCATTGTCCTTATTAATCTGGTTCCGTGCCAGATTATTGAATCTGATGAACCATCTACTTAGGTATCACTTCACTTCACCCACCACCATCATCATCATCAAGTGAGAACCAGGGAACGTTGTTACGTTCCAGTTCCCGGCGTTGACAAGTTCAAATGCAGCCATGGTATTTCATAACTTCTGATCGCAGACACCACTTCTACTGGGATCAGCGGCAAGAGAAGCATAGTTCAGATGGCACGTGGCCTATGTACTGGTTTGCCAAAGCGCCGAGCTCATTCGCGAAGATGTTTGTGTGTATCCTCGCGCCCCGTGAAAGTTGACTGTGATCCAGCGCCTTGAGCAATGACAGCCAAATACATGGGAGTCTCATATTTCAGAACAATCTTCAAATAGCACCACAAAAGCTAACCGTCTCCTCCACAGTGACTCTACTAGCACAGACCATTGAACATCTGTCTCATGTCACATTCTTCTCCTGGCGAGACGAAGAGGAATCTTCATCTCGCCTTGTTCCAGGTTCCAGCAACGACTCATGCTCTTCATCTGTAGTGACCATGTCCAGGAAGCTCTTGCGCTGGAAGGTTTTTGTTCTGGTGTTCGAGCTCGGCAGGGTGAATCTGGGCATATTGTGGACTGGTAATGTGGTTCGATTTCGCTGCAAGCTGAGCGGACGAGTAGGTTGGGGGTACTTGTGAGTTGTCGGGGGTGACGGTGCTATCGTTGGTTTTCGGGCGGGCTGACTTCCTAGCTATGAACCATCCAATTCCGAGAAGCAGAGCAGCGCCTGCCACGGCTCCGATTGCAACGCCTACTTTTGCGCCAGTGGAGAGGGAACTTCCAGAGGACCCTTCAACACTTGAGGTCACGTCACTTGGCGGCGCACTCGAGGCGGTCGACCCTGACGAACCCGCTGAGGTCGTGGTCACAGTCTCGGCTTCAGAGGTCGGTGAATAGGGTGGTGTTGACGTGGACGAAGTGGTGGAAGTGCTACTACTGTATGTTGTCGATGATGGCTCTGTTAAATTCTGAATAAAGAATCCAGGACTTGAAAGCTGTTCCGCTGTGTCTGAATAGGCCACGCCTTGCGGCAACCAGCGGAAGACCCACCGATTCGTGGCCAGGAGTTCATTCTCCGCGACTTCCACCAACCATGAGATGGTGGTTACAGCCCTGATACTCTGTCGTGCTGCAGAGACGCGGTTGTTAGCGCGGGTAGAGGGGTGAAGGTAGTGGGGTGTGTGCAGACAGACCGGCAATACGTTTCGAGTATATGTGGAGGTTATAATCTGTTATCCAAAGGTCGACATTGGTAGGATCGGCGCTGGGTGCGTAGATCGATAGGCTATCTGCGAGACTTGAATCCCATCTGATGGTGAAGAAATCTCCAATGGTGAGGTTTGTTGAAAAGTCAGGAGGTGCAGGACTTATCCACAAGTCTTGAACAGTGCCCTGGCACTGAGAGCGAGTCACAAAGAGCAGGGCGGAAGCGAGACAAATACAGAATTTAGATGCCATGATCGTCGAGAACAATGTCCTGAACGTGGTCCAAAATTCGCAGGGTCAAGACCAGAATGAGGCTCTTGTGAGGTTGTGAAGGAAACAAAGAAATACAAAGATAGACCCATTCGAATCCTGGCTGGTTGGCTAGCTTAATGCCCTCCATTCGTGTTGCATTTAGTCCCCAACTCAGCGACTTACTAAGTTGGACAGATGATTGAGAATGTCAATTTGCAGTGGTTTGACGCAGCGAATGAGGGCACCATTACTTAGATGGGTCGTCCGCTATCCTGAATGGCTCATGTCGGTGGCCAGTCAATTTTACGATACAAGAAGACACTGTAACAGTACAGCTGCACAACAGAGCTAAGATGATCCATGGTTCGAAGCGACAAATTTAGCCTGTTGCCTTCGCTTGTTCGCATCAGGCTGATGATACCTTGTAGGACGCCTTAAATGCTTACATACGCCTAAGGCAGGCTTCGATATGAAACAGGGTGGACAGGCAGGATGCAAAATGGAATTTATCGGTTGGAGATCATGGTTGACAGGTGCACTCGATGGACACATTGTGCTTTAGAAATGAAGAAAACGATTGATCGTATTCCGCTGATGAAGATCTGTGACATGTCGTTGCAGCAGGGTTCAGGTTATGGAGTTCAAGCTTGCGTGTCAGATGCCAAGACGGTCCGGGGCGCAGAACTGAAGGTTGGGTGGGTTCGGGCATTGATTTAGGGCCCCTAGGCCCCTAGGCCCCTGGGGCCATCACGCTACGCGCTATGTTTAACACGACCTTATGTCGTATGTGTCCTAGTCTTACCCGGATGCCCCTCGGCCTTGTTTAGGTTAAGGTAACCAGAGACATTGGTTGCCAACATGAACCTTGCAACTGCCCAGTTGGAACAGAAGAGGAGCCCTTGATGAGTCTTGACTCTTGAATCTTAACTCTTGATCTGACTTTGACTCTTTGGTTTGAAAGCCCAGTCTCTCTCAACAAATGCATTCTCACGATGGAACATTATCTCAGTAGCGCTGAGCCACGATTCATGCAAACGCTGGGTCTTTGATCATCTCTATCGTTTCATTGTATTACACGCCTCTTTTCAGCATCCAACACCAATAACAAACCATCTTTGTCGCCCATAGGAATGTCATCGCTGACTACGACTCGACCCTTATAACGTCCAGCCGATCTCTGACCTCACCGAAGGTCGAATATGGACTTTGCCAATCTACCACGGCGGTGGCCTTGGTTGGTAGGACTTGCCCTCTTCTCAATCTTTCTACTGTACCACCTCCACGAATCTCGCAGCCTAAGCCCAACACCTAATACTGTGGCCGACGATTCTAACTCGCCGCTCACCAATCCGTATCAACCACCTCCAGTAAGCGATGATGGACACTTTCACTGGGAACATCGTCCCACCCATTACCCCCTAAATAGCCTGACTCCTCTACCCACCGGGCAGCCCAAACCCCTTCCTCGAGTGCAACACTCTTTCGGTCCTGAGTCTGCGGCAGATCGCGAGGTCCGCTTGAGCAGGCAATCCAAAGTCAAAGAGACGCTCATCAAAGCGTGGCAGTCGTACCGCATCCACGCATGGATGTACGATGAGCTGTCACCTATCTCAGGTCAACCTCGCACTTCCTTTGGCGGCTGGGCCGCCACTCTTGTTGATACACTTGATACGCTGTGGATCATGGACCTGAAGGACGAATTCAAAGAAGCTGCCGCTGCCGCCGTCCATATCCAATTTTCTACCTCCACCGAGAGCACGGTCAACATGTTTGAGACCAACATCCGGTATCTCGGCGGCTTCCTCGCTGCTTACGATCTGAGTGGGGACGAGAGGATGCTACATAAAGCCGTTGAAGTGGGCAACATGCTGTTGGTAGCTTTCGATACCCCAAACCACATGCCCATCAGCCGATGGCAGTGGAAGCAAGCCGCTGATGGGATTGAGAAACAAGTTGCCCCAGGTTTCATGTTGGTATCAGAACTTGGCTCCTTCTCCGTCGAGTTTACCCGTCTCAGTCAAGTCACTGGCGACCATCGGTGGTATGATGCAATTGATAGGATCACCAAGCTGTTTGAAAGTCAGCAGCAGAAGACTAAAATTCCCGGACTATGGCCTGTTGTTGTGAATCCAAAAGACATGGACATGACGTCAGATCGTGCCTTTACGCTGGGTGGTATGTCTGATTCATTGTACGAGTACTTCCCAAAGGAGTACGTGCTGCTGGGCGGTTTGAATCCTGTCTACGAGAGATTGTATCAGCGCTCAATGGCTGCCTCGATCGAGCATCTCCTCTTCCGTCCAATGACCCCGACCAACGCCGACATACTCTTTGGCGGCGATGCTCGAGCAGAAGACAGTGGAGTGGCGCTAGAGGCCCGCGGCCAACACCTCACATGTTTCGCAGGCGGCATGTTTGCTCTGGGTGGGCGGATCTTCTCCAATCCAGAGCACGTCAACATCGGTCGCAAGTTGACGGATGCCTGTGTCTGGGCGTACGAGAATATGAGCCATGGGGTCATGCCCGAAATAGCACACTTTGTCCCTTGTCCGTCCAAACAAGACTGTACCTGGGACACCGCAATCTACGATGCCGCCGTTCTAGAACGGACTGGTTCTTCTGCCGAAAATCTTAGTATTGATGAGATCCTCGTCCAGAAGCACCTGCCCCCAGGTTTTACCGACATCGACGACCGCCGCTACATTCTCCGCCCCGAAGCCATTGAGAGCGTGTTCATCTTGTATCGAATCACGGGTGACAAATCATACCAGGACGTGGCATGGCGAATGTTTGAATCCATATTGAACTTGACCTCGACCGAGCTTGCCAACGCAGCCATTCCAGACGTTACCGCCACTGGATCGGACGGGAAGCCTCCCAAGGATGATCGGATGGAAAGTTTTTGGTTGGCGGAGACGCTGAAATACTTTTATCTGATTTTCAGCGAGCCTGATCTGATAAGCTTGGACCAGTACGTGCTCAACACGGAGGCACATCCTCTGAGGCGACCAACATGAGGTATATTCACGATCACGCGAGCCTTTGGGGGCCATGTCCTCTGGGTTTGTAGGATCTGTTGCCACATTACGCCCGACATTCCAATCGCCAGGGGGTCGGGTTGAGGGAGCTGACAAACTTCAATGGTAAACTCCGTCAATAGTAGACGGGCGTTTGCCCACTATTGGATTGTCTTGGAGCCATCGTCTTTCGCTGGTGGTCAAGGAGGTCGGGTATCAGACAAAGAATATGCCACAGAGGACGGTGTTCCAAGAACAATGGCTCCCTGGCATTGCGTGTATGGTTGCAAGCCCTGTAGAATCAAGGCTGGGAGATATCAGTGACGAATTTGAAGACATCTTAGCCTGTTCTCGGATGGTCATGATTGTATAATATTTCAGGGATGACAGTGACGGAAAGACTGAAAGACACAGTCATTATCAAAGAAAGCGATTCGATCAATACCTCCTATTTTTGTTGAGAGTAGAACTTCAAGGCAGTACATTGCCATAGGCTGATGTTGAACGGGTGATCTAGGCGGGCATGGGTGCAAAGGCGCCTAAAAGATCAAGAATTACGCGTGGCAAACGGGGCGTGCTTAGGCCAAGGGCCCCCTACCAGCACCCCCATCATGCCCGAGGCCCCCCTTATAATTACCCAGGTACGCTGTGTCTGCCACCCTGTCGCAGTCTCCATTCCTCCTCGTACCCGCCTGCATGGAGTCCATCATTATTTGGAGAACACGTCTCCCCACCAATATGACGCAAAACAAAATCGTAACAGTCTAACAGAGCCCGCAATCATTCTTCTTCTGCTCCCAGTTTGTGTTTCGAACCCGCATCTCTCTCCCAATCAATAACCCTCGATGGCGCTGGAAGATTTTGAAAAAGAGCTTGCCGAACAGAAAGAGGCGGAAAAGAGGCGGAAAAGTCGACATGACAACGACAAGCCCTCCTCCAGACACCACAAGCATCATCACAAAAGCTCCCGCCGTCATGATGCACACTACGACGACGATGATACCGACCGCCACCGATCGAAACGCTCGAGATACTCTCCAGAAGACGATCCCTCCAGCCACCGTCACAGACATAGACATAGACACAGAGGCGAAGATGGGTCCGAGAAAAGACACCGCCGCACTGAGGACGATGCCTCCGACCGTTCACACCGCCGCCGAGAACCTAGCGAGATCAGATCCACTCAACGGTTCGAAGAAGGCGCTTCCACTCGACCCGAAACGAGTCAGATGAAACGTGACTCATGGATGGAAGCCCCATCGGCCCTAGATATCGACTATGTCCAGAAGAAAAAGTCAGAAGCCCAACCCCCAAAGACGAATTCTTTGGCGGCAGACTTTGAACTGAAGATCCACAAAAAGGAATTAAACCACCACCTCCGGGACCTGCAAGATGGAGATTCTGCCGAGGAGATGGATCAGCCGTCTGTGCTCAAGGAAGTTGATTACACTTTTGGCGATGCGGGCTCCCAGTGGCGGATGACGAAACTGAATGCCGTCTACCGAAAGGCCAAAGAGACGGGAGGGAAAGTGGAAGATATCGCCTTGGAGAGATATGATAGCCTTCGAGAGTTTGACGAGGCTCGAGAAGAAGAAATGGAGTTGGAGCGTCGGAGAGCATATGGACAAGACTACGTCGGCAAAATAAAGCCGAGTGGTGACCTCTACCAGGAACGCAAGCTTGACGCTGGGATACACAGTCCTCATGCGCGAGAACGAAAATCGAGTCCTCATGAAATGGTATCCGAGATAGCAGTATCAACCGCGACCCAGCCGAAAATCGACCAAACCGCACTGAACAAGCTCCGCGCACAAATGATGAAAGCCCAGTTGAAAAAGGACCCCAAGCTGGCCGATCTTGAAGTTGAATATGCCGCCGCGGTGGAGACGTTCAATCAGCAATCCCAAGACCCGACAGTCATAACGCTCTCTGCGATGGACAATCGGATGCTTTCATCTGCACCACGCAACGAGGTCAAATCGGTGACCAACCGGCGCGGGGCGGAGCGCGGTCAGGTGGAAGAAAACGAGGACATGAGCATTGCCGACATGGTGGCAGAAGAAAGACGGACGAAATACCAACGCGGCGGGGAGGGGGCGCGGCTTGCGGAGCGAATTGCCAAAGACGGCAAGTTCACCAACGACCTTGAATACATGGATGAGAATGCGAATCAGTTGGCCAAGCGAGTTCACAAATCTGACATGAACCTCCGCAATGTGGCCATTGGTGAGTATCAAAAGATGCAAAAGATCCTCGAGAATTGCCCTCTGTGTCACCACGAGGACACTGAAACTCCGCCGATCGCGCCAGTTGTCTCTTTGGCGACTCGCACATATCTGACCCTTCCCACCGAGCCCGAACTCTCTTCTTGCTCGGCCATGGTAGTACCAACAGCACACCACGTCAACCTACTGGAATGTGACGATGATGAATGGGAAGAAATCCGCAATTTTATGAAATCGCTCACGCGATTCTACCACGACCAGGGCCGCGATGTCGTATTCTACGAGAATGCGGCTTTTCCCCATCGAAAACCCCACGCGGCTTTGGTAGCCGTGCCGTTGCCGTACAGCCTGGGAGAGACAGCACCTGCTTTCTTCAAGGAAGCATTCCTCACGACCGAGGGAGACTGGAGCCAGCATAAGAAGATCATTGACACCCTGGCAAAGTCCAAGCAAGGGTTGGGCGGGCAGGCGTTCCGAAAAACGCTTGTCAAGGAGATGCCTTACTTCCATGTCTGGTTTGAACTCGACGGTGGAATTGGTCACGTGGTTGAAGACAGTGACAAATGGCCAAGAGGAGATCTTTTCGCTCGAGAGATTGTCGGGGGGATGCTGGGGTCGGAGCCCGATGTGATCAAGAGACAAGGGCGGTGGCAGAAGGGCAAAGACGCCAGAGTGGATGGATTCAGAAAGAAGTGGAAGAAGTTTGACTGGACGAGAGTGCTGACCGAAGAGGCATGAGGCCGACGACTTTGCACGTTCCTCTTCTGAAGTGATGCAGGATGAGCGGAGGTCAATAGGGGCGTGTTTGGCGGTCTGCATACGGGCTAAGATGTTTACGAGAACAAGATATAAGACTTGGCTGACTGTGTGCACGTTAGCTGGAGTCTCAGCGTAGAAATACAGAATGAGATCTAGCAAGGGGTGCCATAATTTCCATAATAGATGCCACGATTCCATGTAGTCTAGCTATTGACGTAGCTGGTTTGTGGTAACATCATGATGATGTCGAGGTCGAGACAGCGTTGACGTAAAAATGACGGGAGAAGAGACACCGGGCAGCATGGCGAACCCTCTAGGTCACCAAAACTACGCTCGTCGTCTTGCAGAGTTCTGAGGGGAAATAGCAAAAGGGACCGATGGGGCCATTTTCTTCGTGTTCACACTGGGTCCAGAGTCCAAAAACACCGCCAGAGCGGACTCCCCCAGGCTGAACTCCTTCTAACTGCCACTGATCCTGGCCGCCGTAGCTGATGATAAAGCGCCACCTGACCTCTCTTCCGCCGGGTATCAGACATGTCATGCCACGAACGCCAATGGCTGGACGGCGGAGGCCGAGATTTGCCCTGGACAAGCCGGAGAAGTACAGAACGGGCAGTTCGGTGGAGTACGGTAGGAGGGTGTGGAGTTTACGATCTGAGGACAAGGACGGATCGAGCTTGAGGTCGAGAGTCATGAGGTCGCCGCACGCCTCTTCCTCGTCGTCGAGAGTGGGGGGTTGGATGGACAGGGCTTCGGCAGCGTTGAATGCGAAGAGGTCGGCGTAGTCAAGAAAGGCGTATGTGCCCAGCCAGGGTCCGGTGACACGAGCCCAATCCTCTGGGACTATTGGGTCGGTCAAGGTCCGGTGGGGGATGGAGAAGCAGAAGCCTTGAGGCATGGTCAGGTGGCCACGGACACACATCTTAAAATTGCGAGCAATGACACAAAAGACAGCCTCGAGCAAGGGCCAGTCAACTTTGCCACTGCCGTTCCGTTGGAATGGACCGTAATCGTTGTCGGACCCGGTCAGGTGCCAGTTGTACACCTTTCTGCGGGCGGCTCCCCACAATCTATTCTCGAGCTCGCGCTTGGTCAATCCATTCAGGACATGAAGGCGGGCGGCATTTTCAGGGCGGTTTTTCTCGTCTTCGGCCTGTGTCACTGACCGGGTCCGGGGGCGGAGGGGTGAGGTCCAGGGATTACCATTGGTGGCTGGGTATGTAGATGTTGCTGATTTGCCCGTGTCGTGTATGAGGGCAACGAGGCCTTGGTCTTTCTGGTCTATTTCTGAGAGGACTTGGAGATTGCGGGAGAGGGTTCGGTCATCCACAGTGGGAACTCTACCATGTTTGATGTCACGTGGGGAGGGGGTAAATTTGGTGGTGTCAAGAATATCCAAGATGGTGTCGACATAAGCGAGGGCATTGGCATGGTCGAAATCAAGCACGTACTTGGAGCGTGCCATGCGGAGGGCTAGGAAACGCAGCCGTAGTTCCCGATGCCAATGCCATTGTTCCTTACGAAGTTGACTGGCTTGGACTGGCATAGCAGCCCATGCGTCGGCGGGATCATCGAAGACGGACAGGAAAGCAGCTTTCCATAGAAGTTGATTCTGAGGGCTTGCAAAGGTATGAGCTTGTTTGCAAGTAGTAGCGAAGCTGGAAATGTCGGGTGGCCCCACAAAGGTCATAATATGGCTGAGGATCTCGGGCGGCAACTCGAGAAGAGCCATGGTGGATCAAGATGCCAATGGCAATTATCAAGCGGGTGACGGCATTAATGAGAGAGAAAGATGAGTTGGGAAGTGCTGAATTGTATAGATTCGATGATTGTGATGATTACGATTTACAAAATGTGATAGGTATGTATATTGCATTGATGTTGAAGGTGGCAATAATGGTGGTGGTGATGATGATGATGATCACGACACTCGACGTTGATGTTCCGGAGTTAAGTTAAAGTCGCTGAAGTTCTCCGTTTGGGTGAGCACCAGCACGTGATATAGGTATTGAGTACACACATACCTGATCCATCTACATGACTATCAACTAAGGTGGCTATGTGTGTACTAATAAAAGACACAGTCAGATCCTAGGGATACTGAAAGTGCACATGGAATATTTATATCCCATGAACCCACCTCATTCTACATGCATGCAAAGGCTTTGGTTTATATAGAGTACACACCGGCGTCCCCATCCCCATTCTTGGTCCCATTCTTGGTCGTATTCATTCCCATTCTGGTAATCCAACCGTCATTGGTTACCTACTTAGTACCTATCTGGTACTTAGCAACAGTACAACGCCCATCGCCTTCGCATATGAACTGCTGACCTTCCCTGGGCATAGGCGTACCGTCTGCGGACGGGCATGGCACGGCTTCAGCCGGACCAACTCATGATTTACTTCCACTTTGTTCACCTGTATCAAGTCCGTTGACTGAGTTCGGCCCGGAACCCCGCAAGTTCCGAAGTATACCCAGGGCCAACAACTGCGGGCTCCCCGCAGATGAATCTTGTCATCCATAAACATCCATGCTCGCCCAAACAAGTACTTTGTGGAGGGTGTGGGTTTTGGTCGCCCCTATCTTGAATTTTGTATCATACCAGCGGCATCGGGCCGTGAACCCCATAGTCTTGTTCAATTTATTTGGATAAGTTGACATGCCTGGCAACTTTAATGGTTCGCAGGCTATACTGGTGTCTTGTTGTAATCTTGGGACTTTCAAACATATCGTATCATCACTTTCATTTTCAAACGCCAGTCTCGTGCCTATCCTACCATGGCTGCTACCGTGAATGGAACCTCGTCTTCACCTCTCGAGTGGGACAAGTTCTATAACATCATCGACGGCAAATTAGAGACCAGCCAGGACACTCGCCATAGTATCAATCCTGCCACTGAGACCCCAGGACCTGAAGTTCCCGTTGCCAGCAAGGAGGATGTTGACCGAGTCCTCCAAATTGCCCAGCGGGCCTTTCCTGCTTGGTCCGAGACCCCATACTCGTCTCGAGTGTCGGCAGCGCTTGCTTTTACTGACGCCTTGGAGCGAGAACGTGAAGCGTTTGAGAAGATGCTGACCCAAGAGCAAGGAAAGCCAGTAAGTAGATTGACCATGGCCCTGAATTGACGGTAGAGCTTACACATGGCCCGCCCAGCTTCAATTCGCCCGTGTTGAGCTCGATCTTTCCATCCTCTGGATGAAGACTCTCGCGCAGTTGGAACTCAAAGAGGAGCATTTTCAAGATGGTGATAAGGATGTTGTGGTCAGATATACACCCCTCGGTGTAGCTGTTGCTCTTGTGCCATGGAATTACCCCATCCTCCTTGCGGTGGGTAAGATCATCCCAGCAATAGTCACAGGCAACACCATCGTGGTTAAACCCTCTCCTTTCACACCTGCTGGTGGGCTGAAGCTCTGCGAACTGGCTCAGCGCTTCTTCCCTCCCGGCGTTATCCAGTGTATTTCAGGAGACGACAACCTTGGTCCGTGGCTGACTAGTCACCCTATTCCGGCAAAAATTAGTTTTACAGGGTCCACGGCCACAGGGAAAAAGGTTATGGAGTCGGCTAGCAAGACTCTCAAGCGTGTCACGCTGGAATTGTACGTCTCACACGAGCTAGGCACAAGCACTTTTTTATGGTACTAATTGAATCTTAAAGGGGCGGTAATGACCCTGCAATAATCACAGAAGACGTCAACATCGAGGAGACGGCCACAAAGGTACACGAGCCCAGAACAACCTCTATCCTGTATTCAGATTCGCTAACGAACGCTATCCAGGTTGCACAGCTCGCCTTTCTCAATTCTGGCCAGGTATGACTTGCTCCAACTTTCTCCCGGCATGGTGCTGCTAGGAAAATTGGGTTCTGACCAGTTTTCCCCTCTATAGATCTGTCTGGCGCTTAAACGCATTTTTGTGCATCAAGACATTGTCGATCGATTCGTGCCAGCCTTGACTCGGGCTACTGAAAAGCTACAGGTGGGTCCTGGAGACCAGCAAGGCGTGTTCTTAGGCCCGATCCAAAATAAACAGCAGTATGAGAGGGTGAAAGGTTTCTTTGCAGATATTGCCACAGAAAAATGGAACGTGGTGGCTGGTGGCACCAATCCTAACGGTAAAGGATACTTTATCACGCCCACTATCATCGATCGCCCGAAAGAGGATTCGCGGATTGTCAAGGAAGAACCTTTTGGTAGGATCCATTCATTCCACTGGGAGATAAACATATGGCCTGACAAAAGCTTGACTAACACTGCGAGACAGGCCCAATTGTCCCCGTGTTGACCTTCAAGTCTGACGAGGAAGCCGTCAGAAAGGCCAATGACACCAACTATGGGCTGGGAGCTTCTGTATGGTGCAGAAATATCGATCGAGCCAATGCTATCGGTAGGCGTTTACAGGCGGGCACGATATGGGTCAATACGCATTTTGAACTTGATCCTCGAGTACCATTTGGAGGTCACAAGGAGAGTGGGTTAGGAGTGGAATGGGGCATTGGAGGATTAAAATCTTACTGCAATTCTCAGACACTATTTCTTAAGAAATGATGGGGAATGATGGGTCGAGGTTTGTAGTTGCCGGAATATGCAAAATCAATAACGTGATATGCTTCCTAGAGTAGCTGGTCGGAGAGGTTTCTAAATAGTGGAGGAGATTTGTTCACTCGACAGGCTGTTGGCTGCAAGACATTATAAATACTCGAGTATGACTTGTGTTACATAGACTATGAGTATGTAGACATATATGTAATAGTGATACATATCCTGTGCATATATATATATATATATATATGCATAGATATATATGCATCGCTATGCATCGCTAGTTGAATCTCGGCCCCCAGCGTTGGTCGACACTGCCTTTTTGGATGTCAATCTGACCAATTAATGGCTTCGCTCAGCCTCAACGTCATCCCCACCCTCACCATCATCCTTCCACCCACTCTCACTCTTACTCTCACTCTCACCACATTCCTTCGTTTACCGCCGCATCTGATCCTACGCATGCTCCCTCCGCCACACAGCAATGCCTCTTAATCAGACAGAGTCGAGGCAGACCGTCTACAGACATTGTCGCATCGTCTTCTGACCTTGGTCCTTAACTTCCAACCGTCCAGTCCATCCTGCCCCTCGCATCTCAATCCTCACTCCCTCACTCCCTTCAAACCATCTTCACCCGTCGCCCAATTCACCATGCCCAGTCTGCGGGAGTTACTCAAGAAAAAGGACAAGATTGACCAAGATGACACTCCCGCTAAACAGAACATTCGCGCTACTGAATTCACCTTTATGCGCTCAGACACCCACACCGAGGAGTATATAAAACCCCCCGGCTTCGACGACGACTCACCCTCGTTCGCCGACCCCCCAAGGACACCTTCGACCTCGAGGCTTTCTTTTAGTCGCTTCAATCGAAGCCCTAGTCCTGCAGTTTCGGCTTCGTCATCTCCGGAAGCCGATAGAAAGAAAGACCAGAGAAGATTGTCCCATCGTCTTCATCTGAACCGCGACCGTTCTGCCAGTAGCTCCTCGGTCAACCTGCCGGACAACCTCCCTTCCATTGATGACGCATACACCGCCTCCGGTGACCGTCAAGACAAAGAGGCAAAGTGGGAACATCGAGCCACAGTCTTGGCCAGCAAAAGCCCCGTCATCCGTTCTCAATCACCCTCCCCTCAAGTCACAAATCTGGGAACCGCTGATCCGGCGTCTCCTCGCCCCCGGAGCGTCAATGATCCCTCCAGCGACATTGACATCCAGGAGGCCATTCGTCTTCACGAATCTGGCGATCTAGCTCAAGCCACCCAGATGTTTCGCCAACTCGCCCAGTCCGGAAACGTTCTTTCTCAAGTCCTGTACGGTTTGTCCCTTCGCCATGGCTGGGGATGTGACCCCGATCTGAAGGAGGCTGTCGTCTACCTTTCTGCTGCCGCTTCCAACTCTGCAACCATCGAAGCAGACGCTCTCAAGGCAGGCATGAAAAAGGGTGGAGCTGCGAAAGGCGAATTGGTCTTGGCCATCTTTGAGCTTGCAAATTGCTTCCGCTATGGCTGGGGAATTGCTGTAGACAAACCCGCCGCCCGCCAGTACTACGAGACCGCCGCAAATCTCGGAGACACAGATGCTATGAATGAGGCAGCCTGGTGCTACCTGGAAGGATTTGGGGGAAAGAAGGACAAGGTGAGTCTCGATTTCTGTTGTTTGCTATCACCCTTGGCCCCAGTATCACCACTTGCTTGCCATGATTCTTCTTCTCTACACGACTTGGACCCTTCTGCAACTAGTGGCCCCTTTGATCTGAAATCCTCATCCCTGCCACGTGATCCCACCATCAATAAGACACAGAGGCGCCACTCCAGTTACGCATGGGCGCTCCATGTGTCCCAAGAAATGATCCTCCGCCCACTTCACCAAGCTGGCCCCCAAATACACAGGATACCTTTCTTACAGCAGTTTGTCGTTCGCTGCATCACTTTGGGCAGCAATGCATGCGTCTCTGCCGTCAACTTACCATTCAGAAACCAGGAACACCCCATATGCGGTGTACCTTGCATTAGTTTTTCCCCACCATCGCCTTTCATCAAATCATAGACCATCTCCTTGTACATTGGACTTGACTGACATGCCGCCCGCTTCGGGCCCGTTTTCTAGTTCAAGGCAGCTCAGCTCTTGCGCCTGGCCGAGACAAGTGGCGCAAAGACCTTGGGAAATACTTGGTAGGTTTCTCTTTCTCTCACGCGATCAACCGCCTATGCATGACTGCCTCCCCCATGGAAACCCCCATCACACCATCAACCAAGCTGCCCTCTGCCTAGTCATGGCCCAACAAGCCCCCGTCTATCGAGTGGTTGCTAGCACTCGCTGGCATCTCATCCACCACATCACGGGTTTGCGAGACGGGTTGTTAAGCCCTCTCCGATTGGCCTGAGGCGGCCCGCCACCACTGCGGCCGTTGTGCGGCCTGTTGGTCGACCATGGCCTTCATGACCTTGAATAAGCAGATTCCGACACGGCTCTTCAAATTACTAGCCAATCGTGGAATTTCGGTGGCTGGAAATATCTCAACTGCTGCCGGCTTTCCTCATGGTTCCTTTCGGAATCTGGGATCTTACACCGGCTCTCCTTATCGGGCCTATTCAAGGATCCAAGCAACCACACTACACTTGATTTAGAATTATCCTTGCTCCCTACTGACATGTTTGCCTCATCAGGATCTGGAAAGAGAAATACGATCCTCCAAAATGACCGAGCCTCAAGCCAAAACTCAAGTTCACCGCGAGGAACGATGAAGCGATATTTGGCTTGTTCAGTCTAGGCACACAGAGGCCCACCTCGCGACGAGAAATCGGTCGAACGATCTGAGCTCTGGCTTGCTAAAAACACCCACAGTGTCCACTCGCTTCTCGATACTGCTCCCACGACGGCGTCGTGTTCAATACCGGCCCCTTCCTCGCTCGAACCGTCGTGGGAACAATCGGATCCTTTTTCTTATCACTGGCATACGATTCAGGTGATCCCCTGGGGCCCTTTGGGCCCCCCATCATGATGTACCGGCCTAGATGTGAGGCTTCGCGATCGGGGCGGCGCGATGGCATCGAATCCGCATTCGCCTCATGACATGAACCACAACGGGCCGATGTTTCCATTTCCGGGCAGAGCGCCGACCAACTCAGCATTTAGGAGACCCGAAACGCACCCATGGCCTCGCTTACTCTCTGCTGAACTGTAAATGGAAACCACAAGTAGCTAACTCTATACCGCCATGCACCAACTCTCGTTGAATTCTACGCCACTGGTGCCTGACTGCGGCCCGTCCGCAGGCCAGTCAAGGAGACGGTCACCCGATGGCCAGACCGCTGGGCCGCCAGGTACGACGAGGACGAGGGCGAGGTCGGATTCGCGACCTGCTTTGTGCCCTTGGAATACGCGACCCATTTCACGTCCCCAAACAGCCTCTGTACATTATAGCACACCACACATCTACGACCTCGGCATTTTTGTTATTGGCATTGTCGTTATGCTGCAATCATGGACAGGGCGGTTCCAATTCACGCACGAGTCACCTGTGTGAAAAGTCTCACTGTGAGGGATAGACCCATCAGTTTCATCCCATTAATTCGGCGTCATGCTTCCATGCTTCATTTCTTGGCTAAATAGATGTGTCCTCGTAAGCTCATGACCACGCTTTGCACCGTCCCCATGATGCCCTGCTTGCGCTCTCTCCATCGTCCCCTGACCGCATCCCCGATCATCCCACAAACTAGTTAGATCCTCGCATGCTCCTTTCATGCGCCAGTCAGGCTTCTCCCCTCAGGAGAACTCCCCTGACCGTAATGCTTCGTGATTTCTACTACCAAGATCCACACTTGTCGTTAATCATCATTCTTGGATTCGTTGATTTTATTTCATGTCATTCATTTCATTCATTGCCTTGATTGTTTGGCCCAATCAATTTCAAAGTTGGTCCAGCAGGGAGCCCGCTTCTCTCCGAGCCCAGCATTCTGTTCACGCCTTGGCTTTACTGTACCTTGATTCACATTAGAAGCAAGACTCGTGCATCATCGTATCGTTGCCGATCAGATTGTTACTTCGCATCCTTCGTCTCTGGCAGTCTTGAATTTCCCAACTCCGTAGGGTGGCAAAGTTCCGACGCCCACGTCATGACCTTGATACAACCACAATTTGGAGCATCTGCGTGTCTCCGAAAATCATGCGACACGCCTCGGCTCATCGTCGCCCTCGCCCTTGCGTCGCCTGCTGTCGTCGTATATTCATTTTGCTATATAAAGATGAGAATGTAGATTCCAGAACACCCATGTGAGGAAAAATCTTGGCCGTCAAAAGAAAAGTCGTTTCATTCGTAAATTTGGCAGTCCCTTTGGGGAATGCATTGTAATGGTAAGGGAGGAGTCATCCCAACTGGACGGGCACAAGTGCCACAGATTGTTGCCCTGGAGCGTGTAGTCTTGTGCTGAAATGGAGAGAATTGCGGTGGGATGTTATTCTTGACATGTACGAGAAGTTTGGATGGTTTGAGGATGATCATTTGTGGTGTTGTCAGTAGGAACAAGTGCCTAGCAATCGTCCTTTTAGTTGGTTCGAGCAATCATCTCCTTGAAATCTCGAAGTACCTTTTCGGGAACACGGTCAAGGAGGACGCTTCGTTCTCTGGCTTTGCTTCCCATGCCACTCATCTTGTCCAGATGGTCGGTATCTGCCTGAATTCTGGCAAAGAGTTGCTGCAGGCGTGTGGGTTTAACCTCGCCTGCATCATTCTCGTCATCGTCATCGTCATCAAAGATAGTGTCGGGATTGGCGATGTGGTTATACGAGTTGGCGGACAGAGAGAATGCTGCGGCGACCTGTTGCTGACGAGAAGGGGTGGTCAAAGTGGAGTGGAGGGTTTCAAGCGATGAGGCGGATCCGGCCGTTTGTAGCGTGCTTGGACCATGATTGAAGCCTGCTTCAACGGGAGGCGCGGGCCGACTCGGCAAGCTTTGGTCAACGACATCTGAACCTGGGCCGAATACAGCATTGAGAACGTTTCTCGCTTCAGCATGGTAGTCTTGAGATAGGGTTGGTAGATCCGGATTCACCAGCGCGGTTGAAGAAGAACTGCCTGACGTTTTGGTGCCTGCCTGAGCGACGAGGAATGCACCAGCCAAAAGACACATGTTGAAGGTATTCCAGCTAAAGGTTCCCGTCTCGACTTTGACGTCAGAACCTTTGTCTGATGCATCCACAGTGCTCTCTGAATTGGTCGAGATAGGCGGTTGTGGTGTTGTATGCCTGTGCAAGGGATTGGGGTTAGGATCTTCCATCTTGAGGTCACGGTCAACTTCGTTGAGGCTGAAAGCATCCCAACTGTCATCCACGTTAAAGGCACTGAAGTCGCTGGCAAAGGAATCAGACGAGTCAGTAGCAAAGGGGCGGGACGCCTGCTGATTCTGCCTGGTGAAGTCTTTGACAGTATCCTTGAGGAGATTGTTCATTCTTCGGAGTTCGGATGTCTCAATGACCTTTGTGCGGATTGCTTCATCACGCTCATACTCGACAGTGCGGATGATCTGTTCAAGCTGTGCGACGCGATGCATCCATTGCTCCTGTTGATGAGCCCATTGTTCACGTTCAGCTTCTTGCTGGGCCAAAAGGTCACGCTTCTCCTGGTCCCATTCTATTTTGTCCATCTCCAAGCGCTCGGTATGATTCTTCTTGCGCTGGCGCGAGTCGAGACTGTTCAAAAGCGACATTAGCTTGGCAATGGTGAGGGGAAGTAAATAGAGACTTACGCTGCTTGACGGTTCCTCAGCAGTCGCTTCTGTTGCTTGAGCTCCTTCTTTTCTTCCTCGTTCGTGGTGGAGTTGATCAGAGTGTCAATGTTAAGGAGATTCCGATCCCTGGGGATGTCAAACTTTGCGTTCTTCTTCCTGATGCCGTCTGACCTCAGTACTAGCGTTGGGGTGGCACCTCTAAGTCGAGAATGTCTCGCACCCCGGGCAGCTTCAGCAACATCGGACGAGGTGGCAGAGGCCCATCCTCCCTGACTGGATTGGGGTGACATGGAGATGGACGATAAAGGTTCAGGCTGTGTAAAGGTGGAAATGTTGACAGGGCCACCAGGGTAGTGTGGTTGACTATCAAACGAGTCCTGTACCGAGCCAAAGAAAGGAGTAGGGGTGCTCGCCTCAGAGCGAGCAAATAGCGGCCAGGGCTGAGTGAACATGGGCGGAGGACAGTTGACCTGGTTGACCTGTGAGAAAGGATGAGGATGAGGGCTATTCAAGGGCATGGAGGGTTGAGAGTAGTGGCGATGTAAGGTCATGACGCTCGAAGGTCTCTCCTGCCAGAGATTAGTGGCTGCGGGAAAGTCTTGCTCCAACTTTGGCATCGAGGGACGACGGCTGTCACCAGGGTCGGATGGGTTCATGTCAGCGGGAGTAGGATGATCGAGAACTTTATCGTCGAGGATAGAGGAAGAATCGTCCTCGGTCAAGGCCGGTTTGACGTTTTCAGGCCAGTGAGGTTGAGAATAGACATAAAATGGCTCTTGTGGGTATTGCAGGGCCATGGCTGCAGCGGACTTTGGAGTCGACAATATGTGCGTGGCCGAGATGGAGGTGTTGTGTGAGTGGGCGAACGACTGTGTGTGTCGTGTGGGAGAATGTGTGTGCGCGCTGTTGTGTGGAAAGTGGCGGTGAGAAAGGTGGGGAATCTTGGTGGCAGTCAAGTTGGGAAGAATCAGAACGGTGGTGGATGTTGGCACATGCAGGAAGCCAACATGACGATTTTGAAGAAATGAAGCAAAATCACGCCGAAAGAATCACCTTGGATGATGGAGGAGAATTGAGTTGGAGCAAGAGGGAGGGAAACGGTGCTGGTTTAGTATGGATTTGGTTGCGGTGGGCTGAAGGGAGAACACTTGATCACGATACCGTACCGTACCGGGGCGGCCCAACACAACAGGGCCGAAGGAGCGAAGGAGAAGGATGATGAGGAGCCGGAAGGGGGCCTTCTGGCCTGTAAAGAGGGACAGGCTGACTTTCCAGGCCAAGATGATTGATGCTGATGAATGGCTGGCTCAAAGGGAGTGGAGGAAATTGAGGACCGGGACTTGGGACCCAAGGAGTTGTACTCGTAGGCGGAAGGGGGCAAAACGAGAGAGTCAGAAGGGTCTGTCAGAGGCTTTTGGAGTCAAGCAGCCGGAGTGGCCAGAGAGTGGAGAGTCTTTGTCGGGAACTGATGGTATCCCGTAGCAAGCTCATGGTGGATGTTGGATGGTGGAGGAGGAGGAGGAGGCACAGGAGGACTGGGCGAGGGTCCGTCTGGGTGGGATAGAGCTTGTGGCAACCCAGGGAGGAGGGCCTGAGGGACGGAGCTCTGGTGAAGGAGCCAGGCGGGCCTCAGATGTCAGGATAATGGTGACTGACTCTGTAGAGAGAAGCTTCAGGCAGGAAGAAGAGGTGATGAGTGGTTGGCAGGTAGGAGCGGCCAGGGTGCCATTGGATGCCCTCATTGTCTCTGATCAGAAACAAACAAGTCGGCCGTGGGCCGGAGGGTTCGTGGGTCGATGGTCGAGATCCAAGGGCAGAGAATCAGAGAGAATCAGACACTGAGAGACAGAAGAGACTTTGGGCAGGCGTGCAGTTGACCGAGACTCATTCAGTGGGTTACAGAGTTGGTCCAATGCACGCCTGCAGAGGCAATTCAGCGTTCTTGAACCACACTGGCCAACCCACCGGGTCACCTCTATGCGGCCTGCTCTTTAGCTGCGTCCCCTCCAAACATCCAATCCCCCTCGGTCGCGCACGGAAACAAGCGGTCACTTGGTGTGTCCTGTCATTGCACCTTCGATGGGCCAAGCAATTGTCTTTCTGACAGTGGGCTCACTCTGACCAGGAACCACCTGGGTCAACTTGGTGGCCAAACCCGTGATTCCATCCAAGGTAGGACCGCGCATCACTCGACGACGCCTTGTCAACTTACTATCACAGAATCGTCTCGAATAAGACCGAAAGGCCGAAAGGCCTCGATCAGGAGCCCTTCTCCAGCCGATGAAAGAGTCAACATAGGCAACAAACGCATCGTAGATGCGATATCAAGGCATTGGGGTAGATGATCGAGTGGTTCGTCGATTACCAAACAGGTCCCACAACCTAAGGTGCCTAGGCATAAGTGGTTAGCCAGTAGCTAGGTACCTAGCTACCGTGGCTACTCGTATATTTACTGGGTTGTTTTACGGCGATCGACAAAGGGTCGTTGTATGACACGCCTGAGCAACTCGCGGGGAGCCAGGTTTGAGGGAGCCGATGCGCCGAAGTTTCCAGCAAGGAGCTGCGGAACGGGCCTTAGCAGGCGGAGGTGTAAGCGGTCGTCAACTACCTTAATGTCCCAAACGGGGATGCCCTTTTGTGCTTCCAGGGTTATTATTGGCACCCATGAGGCTTAAATGGACCCGACAAAGCGTCCAGCGCCCCTCCAGCCAAAACGCCCCTAAACGACGCCGGGAGCTTCTAGTCCGTTCTCAAGAATAAGGTAACTCAGGTAGGTAGGTAGGTACGAAGCCAGTCGCGTCCATACTTCTCCATCCTACGACTTTCTCTGATCTACATACATCAACTAAAATAAGGAATACAATTACACAGAGGTAGTAGGGACCTAGGTATGCAGAGAAAGTCATCACCGGACAGCTTTAATCGCATGTTTGGTCTGTCAAACAACAACTAACCGGTGCCTGATTTCAAACTGTGGTACGATCCGATTTACACCTACAGAGTAGACAATTCTCATACACTACATAGTCTCTTCTCCATGTCCCAAAACAGAATCGGCGGACTGGGCCCGGCTGCGTACTCGCCTGCCGCATCGTGATACATTGTGTGTTTGTTCTTGGTATTTATCTTCAGCCATTGGTCCCACCGTCAGCCACAAGCGTGATCAAACTCGTTGCATCGGGACCCTGGTTGTTGCTCTCTGCTTGCCTAATCACGTGGATGGAGAACTTGTGAGATTTGCCCGCAACATCACCAACTCCTTGCTGCCCAACGAGTGAGGCTCTTAGCGACCTGTCATTCTCATCACTCTCCACTATAGCAGCGAATGGGTTTTCAGAGCCGCAAGATGACACGGGAGTCGATGCTCTGCGAACTGACCGGTCTCTGTCTTTGTTCGTTTCTCTCCACCAATCACGTTTCTTCAATGCCTGTGAACGACGCGCAATCAACGCCATAGCCCAAACACGCTGAAATCCTTCCTCATTCATCACCAGCGCGGTCGGGCGCACCTTGTCTTGTGATGGCCATCACAAAATGAACCAATGCGATTGTCAACTTCACCCTCTGAGCTGATTCAACGGTGGATGTCCCTAGCCTGTCTCTATCACACACCTACCAGCTCCTGCTGTTGGGTGGAAATTACTCGAGTATATTCATCGTCTGTAGATGCATTCTGACTCGCGACTCGTGTAGTGCACACGAGTTGATTGCCCTCTTTCCCGGACTCATGGCCTCTGCATCGAGCTTTTGCCTCTTTGATGTTTGCAAGGGAGTGACCGGATCAGTATTTGCATCTAGACTGAGCATTACCCATGCACCCGCATCCATTAGTAGAGAGCAATCCCCTGAGCTCATAATAAATCTGCCTCGTCGGTCGGCCTTAGTTACCATATGACCGGATTCCGCAAGGGTCAATTCTGCTCGTACTCCTCACATTTTGGGTTCCTCGTCGACGTCTTTCATCACCTCAATCAGATTGACTTTTGTGTTACGAGGCTATGCCATTGTTTGACCCCTTTGTATCGATACAGGTTTCGGCCTCAGTAAAATATGCTTACCTTTCAAGCTGGCTTACGTGGGTGGTGGTGCCGGACACTCAGCCCATCAATTGCGCTATAACTCTAGCCGCACGGAAAGGTCATCTCAAATCGATGCAGGCAATCGGATAAAGCACTGAAATCATCATGGATGCGTAGAAATGGACATGATAGGCTTCACAATTAGAAGTTAATGTGGAAGTGAAGTTGATGAATTGTACGAGTACATCAGTACCTTTATGTACTAACTCCAATAGGCAATCAATTCAACCAACGACAGGATAACGAATATCATTGGCGGAAGGGGGAGACCTTGACAATATAGGCAAGTCAAGCGACCTGAACAGATTTCCAAAAGCGTGCAAGCGTTTCTGGTCAAATTGTTGCTGTACCATGCAAGCTTCGACAAAGCAATCGTACTTCGCACACCGGTGCTGAGGAGTCTGCAACACATGGCATCTTGTTCCTGAGCGTTGAGGTACATCTTCAGCCGACATTGCCCCCTCTGTCACCATGCTACAGCCTCGATTACCATTGTCGCTCCTCTGCAGACAATGCAGGCTACCCACCCCAGTCTCCCGACGATCATACGCCTCAGTCATTGATGCCGCCCGATCAAGTCAAACAGCCACGGACGCTCCTGTCGATGACTTGCCTCCAGTACTTGATAGTATTGGCCACGTCAAACACGAAATTCGATTGCGTCGATACGTTCCTCGAACTCCCGGCCAGCGCCATCTTATTAGACCATTGAATGACCACCTGTGGAAAGGCCGCCCATGGCAAGCCCTCACATTTCCCAAGAAAGGCCACGCCAAAGGTGGTAGAAATAATACTGGTCACGTCGTCGTCAGACACAGAGGTGGAGGTCACAAGAGAAGGATTCGCACCGTGGATTTTCACCGGAGTGGTGGTGGGAGACATTTGGTCGAACGCATTGAGCACGATCCTGGCCGCACTGCCCATATCGCGCTAGTCAAAAGCCTTGAAACTGGTACTCGTACCTACATTCTGGCTGCGGAGGGTTTGCGGGCTGGTGACGTTGTGGAAAGCTACAGGAACGGCTTGCCACAGTCTTTGATTGACGAAATGGGCGGCCATGTCGACCTCGGTGTCCTTGCTTCCAAGACTGCATACAAGGGCAATTGCTTGAAATTGAGCATGATACCTGTGGGCACGCCTATCTTCAACATTGCGCCCAGCCGGGAAGAAGGGGGCAGATTGTGTCGCAGCGCAGGCACTCATGGAATCATCATTGGCAAGGGCGAGGACACAGTTCAAAGGGAGATCTCAAAACTTCTAGGCGAAGGCAACGAGTTGGACATGTCTGCGCTTTCACCGGCGCAGCTCAAGACTCTTGAAAAGACGGCAGGCTACGTGACCGTCAAATTATCCAGTGGCGAAGTTCGACTCATCGACCGAGATGCTGTTGCAACCATTGGCATCGCCAGCAATGTAAACTACCGGTATACATCTCTTGGCAAGGCCGGCAGGAAGCGCTGGCTGAATATCCGACCCACCGTTCGAGGTCTGGCCATGAATGCCATGGATCATCCCCATGGTGGTGGTCGAGGTAAATCCAAGGGAAACCGAATTCCTTCTAGCCCGTGGGGTATTCCGGTAAGTCATCTCCGAGTCGCCTCTGGGGGAAATCTCGGAACTAACATGTGCCATAGGCTAAATCTGGCTATAAAACGAGACCGAAGCACAAGGGTGTCAACCCTCTGGTCGTTCAACAACGACCTAGAAACCACGGAAAACGTAGATGAGGTTACTAGCATTTGTACAATACCACCCTTAGAGGAACTATCACATCCATTAATGTTGCGGGCATTTCTGATTTTGGAGCACATCTTAATTCTCCATCTGGTAATCTGATTATGTCACTTACTAGCAAGACGTTTTTAGTTGTGCCGTACTCGTAGGTCGTGCTCATTGCCTGCAGCAAAATACTGCGCGTCTGGTCTATAAACTCTCCTGTATCTAGGGGGCTGGGAAATGCGCAAACGCTGTTCCTTGACATTGGAACGACGATGCACGACGCCCTCGAATAATGACAGGTTCCCGTTCATAGTTTCGTCTTTCGAACTGGTTGTCTTGTCTTGTCTTGTCTTTTCTTGTGTATTCCCAACCTGGATGAATCCATAAGTTACGAAGGATCCGCTCCCTCTACGGCAGATGGCGCGGACGAAGAAGTCAAAGCCGGGCGCAAACAGCAGTGCAGGCATGGCCAGCAACTCCACTGTTGAGAGCGGCATTCACGCCCAAGCCGAAATCTGGGATGACTCTGCTTTGTTGCGGTCATGGGATGATGCTGTCAAGGAGTACGAGGTAAGTGACGGATTCTGGAAGAGTCCCGGGTTTGAACTCGGTTATCCAACGGCCTTCTCACTCTTATACTACTGCTACAGACTGTATCCCCCTTACCTCTGACCTTTCTGCTGACACTGTGTCACAGTACTATCACAGTATTCACGCCCGGGGAGAAGATGTGGAGAAGATTCTTCGCGAGGCCGAGGCGGGGGAGACAGATGTCGACCTCACCAGCCAAGATGTATCCATGGACCCATCAGGTTGGGAGGAAGTCAAGGGGGACGCTGCTCTGCCCCGTAGCGATGCAAACCTAGACGATGGCACACATCTTGCTCAGCAAGAGACTGTCGGAGTTAACCAAGAAGCTTCGGCGCATTCTCAAGGTAGGCCATCTATTCTCCCGTGTACCTGGTCTTGAAGGACGGGCTACGACATCAGAGTGCTGCAACTGACTTTGTATATTGGGAAAGATGACAATGGAGCATTCGCAACCACGACAAAAGCTGGTGAGACTGTACCAAGCACGTCAAATGTCACTTCGACTGGATCGAACAATCTCATCGGCCCACAAATACCCTTGCCCTCGAACAACACAGCCGGTACGTGCACCTCGAAAAGAGCCTTTGTTCACCCGTGTGAGGATAAACAGCTAACGTTGGTGCTTCAGCAGATAGCAGCACATCTCAAGATCAGACGCTTGAGAATATAAAGATGGCCTACTACTGGGCAGGGTACTATTCGGGACTTCACGATGGTCAGCGACAGTGTCAGCGATGAAGACTGACGAAACTGCAATTGGCAAAATGGACGTCCAACGTAAAATTCCATCCAATCAAGGGCAAAGGACACTGTGTATCTGCAAGCGGAAACGCTAGATTCACGGAATTCTGTCATGCAGGGCCTGTGGCTTCTATTGATCGAGTTGTACCGCTGGCCGTCCATGTTAGGACAGGAATTGCAACTCGGCCGGGTTCGCCTGCTGAAAATGTCTATCTCTGTTGCTCAAAATCGTCCAGGCCTCTATCGGCCGGATCATCATACGCCGCCAAAATCCCCAGGACACCTCACACGAGCCTTAGCGCAATAAACAGGCTCAGTTGACGTCGATCGAGTATAGTACGTAAGGGCTATAGTCGGCTTGCTCTGCAGCGGCACCAACTGCGTCACCGCCACCAGATCCCTCGTCCTTCTTGGGCCGACCTTTCTTGTCCTTTCCAAAGGCATTACCAGCAAGATATGAGTACTCGGAATCCAGGCCTTGGAGTGCTTTCTTTTCGCGTTTGCTATCAGTCTGTAGGGACGTCAGTACCAGCCATGAATGCCTCAGAAATCAGACAGCAAACCTACCTTGATGAGCACACTGACATAGTCAAGAGGAAGCCCGTATCTCAGGACGGTCTCGACAAACACTCTGAGCACCACGACATGAACGAGAGCCATGACACCCTCGGACCAGCCTGTCCGACCCAAGCGCAAGGTCTCGCCCCAGACCTTCTTCTCCTCGGCTTCAATCCTTTTCAGCTCTTTGGCCTCCTCCTCCTTTCCGCCAGCCTTGAATTTGTAATCGCGGGGAATCCATTTCTTCTCTCGGACTTTGTGGACAAATTCTGGCGAATGTTTTTTGAAGGTGGTTACTGCATAGAGAGAGAACTCGTCGTCGGATGAAATGAAATATGCCGATCTCGGGACAACGAAAGGGGCGAGGGTTTCGTACGTTTTGAGGAAATCTTTGACATAATTGTTGGGGACAGCAATCAAGTGGGTTTCGAGGTGTTCCGAATCGGAAACGAGGACGTCAGGATTGACTATGGAAACGAGAGATTTGGTTGAGAGGTTGCCTGTTTGCTTGCGGTACAAGGTCTGTAGGGTAGTGCGAAGATTGTTATATTGGTTGTATTTGGACCGGACATCATTATCGATTGAGTTGGCTTCCTGTTCACAACATTATTAGATGGGTTCGAAAGAAAACAAGCAAAGACCTGGGCCATTACCTTTTGTAGCAAGTCGATCAGTTCTGAGATAGGCCTGTCTGCTCGATACTTGACTTTGTTCCATGAGAACGACTTGAGATATTGGTCGAGAGGTTCTGCGAAGCGTGCAAATGTTAGCGGCGAAGAGCGGGGATCGAGGCCATGCACAGCCGTGGGACACCAGCGGAAACGTACTGTCATTCACGCTCTTATGCTGGGCCATCTTGTCCTCATCTCCATCGAGGATGTTCTTTAGAGTATCGCCCACCTTGCCGACCACGGCATTGCACAAGCCCTCAAGCTTAGCTAGCTCCTCTGTCTGTTGTAATAAAGCATCTAGAGTGCCCACTTTGAAATCTGGAAGGTTGAAGCCCAAGACGTCTCCATTCGCGGGGTTGACAGCCTTCTGGAGAGAAGCAAATGCATCGTCTTTATGACCAGAGGGGGTGATGGATGAGGGGACGGAGACGGCGAGATATTTGGTGGTCATTGCGAAGGAGAAGGGTGTGGTACAGGACGGGAAATGCTGATCTCTCTATTAGACCATTATTTGTCCTCCGATGAAGGGCTGGTAATGACAGAACTGGTTGAGAAGCTGAATTGCGGATTGTGTCGTGAAGAGATAACTGCGAACCAATGCTGTCCTGCGCCAGATAGAGCAGCAGCAGCTCCGTCGTTGGTGATGGTGAGCGCCTGCCGTCAGTTCTCCAATCGGTCCTTCCATGAGCTGCGTATGCCAAGCCGCTACCAGAAGCTTGGGGGTCTAGTAACACGCTAAGTATACCTGCCTACAAAAAGGAAGTAATATTTCGACTGCAAGTTGATCTATCTATTGGTCTAGTATTGAAAGTGACATTGTGCTGTTGTTATCATGGAGTCCTCAGTTCGTAATGGCTCCTAGTACAATTTCGTCATATAGTTCCAAAGTCGACGTGTCTCCATTAGATATAGGTCTCTTCATTTGAATCTCCGAACAAGGTCGAATGGGCCGAATTGTCGCCTGGCCATCCTCCTCGATTGATTGATCGATAGGTGACCTACCGAGCTCCTATCACGCTCTATAACGGTGAATGCGACTTCAAGCCTCCAGATAACCAACTGAATAGCAAAACATGTCCTCATGTCGCCGTTCTATTTGGGCGAATAGGCATCGCTGAGATGAAAGCAAAATCCAATAATCGGGCATGCATCCTCTTAGGCGGCCGCACGGTAGAGAGACTTAAGGACCTGTAGATGGGGTCAGTACTTTGAGTTGTTTTCTGCTCGCTTCCTTATGGGAGACAAACCTTGGCATGCTTGGGCTCAACGAACAAGGCGTTGGCCTCGACGAGCTTTTGAGGCTCTTCTCCTTCAGCAACCTCAAGACTCTCAATCCAACCTTCAGCCCACGCCTTGCGACCATCGATACGTGTTGTCTTGGCCTTGAGAACGAGAAATTGGCCCGCCATTGTGGGCTTGAGATAGTTGATTTGCAGGTTCGCTGTTACTCCGACCTTGTTAGGCATTGCGGGAAAAGCACATCTCGCCAGTCCCTCGTCAAGCATGGTTGCTAGAAAGCCTCCATGCACAATGCCTGGATGGCCCGAACAGTCTGAGCCGACATAAAAGATCTGAACCATGGATTTGCCATCTTTCTCGTTGAAATAGTATGGAGGCACGGTAATCATGTTAGGACCTGCCAATGTCCCTGCGGTCAAGTTATGTTGCCGCACTTCCTCTGGAATCTTCAAGTGAGGGCGGGATTCTATAAAGTCTGGGTGAGCTCGTAATGATTTGGCCAGTTCACTATTTCTGATGTGTTCGTCCACCTCACGCGAAAAGTCATCAGGGGCTTCGTATATAGAAAGGGTTTCGAGGTCGGTAGGAACGGACCCCATGATCCAAGTTGAGAGGAAAGGAGGTGCGTAGGTGACTGCGAAGTAGACTCCGGTGGCAAAGGATACAGTGCTGATCAGCAAGAAATTGACGATTCGCCGGCCCCGGTCACGTCCTTGGTTATGTACGACAACGGATGGCCCTAGAACAACGGTCAGGAAAGAGAAATCTCGATGTTAAGATGGGCAGGTGTAGGATAAGCTACCTGTCGCATACGCTCTCCGTCTAAGATAGGAAGATGGTGTGGGAACCTTGCCGAAACAGCGGTAGGCCGATGCAATGCAGGTGGAACCTCTACTGGTGGTGCGCAACGGGAGGGGGCGTCGGACGGTATGGAAGCCAGCTGTTGATATGAGTGTAGTAGATGAGGGTAAGGGTGACAATGGGGAGTGGTATGGACGAGCGCCAAAAGAAAAAAGATTTATTCTTGACCACGATGGAGCCATGATTTGCGATCACGCATTGGCACTATATTGTTGAGGGACTTGTGATCAACGACAGTCTTGATGGGTAAATTTGCGAATCGCGGGTCGATGATGATGGAGCACTCACCGGCCTGGCCGCTTCAAAGTTTTCGGCGATTGAAGATGACTGCGGACCAAGTGGCCGAGGGGCCTCGTCTAGGGAGAGATCGCCAATTAGGACCCCTGGACAAACCCGCGTAGGGAGGCTTGCCGTCGCCCGACAGGCACAAAACCCATGCCTGAAGAAAAGATACCTCGGCTTATGATTTATGTGGGTAACCGGCCGTGCCTGCCAACATCGACCCACGTGATACACGCTATACCCTTTTGCGCAATCATCGCCGTATCGTACTCGAGCCTTATCCTCATTCATGAGATGAGATGTGTAAGGTACCTAGGTACCTGAGGCATTTGGCCTTTTTTCACACGTACGTATGTCGATCGACCACGGTGTTAAGCGTAAGGCGTGCCTCAGATGCCTAGAAGTGACTTCATAGTCTTATCGTTGGGCTAATTTTTCTATGGATAACCTCGTTCAAAAAAGGAACACACCTTGTGGAATACTTGTTGGGGACACACCAGCTTCGATCCCCTATCGTATCCCGTACCTCGTATAAGACGAGCCCATGTGCAGACAAGCAAAAAGGGGCGTTCGCGACCATCTAAAAGTGCCTGCTGCGCTTTCTGTCCAGCGAATTGCAGTCCATTTCAAGTTCTGTAGAGGTGCCAATGCTGCCAGGTTGGCCCATCACTCTGAACATTCCATCTATGTCCAGCCAGTATCAGCCTTCACCACGTCGATGACTCATCTGCCAACCCTGAACCACGGTGTCTATACATCGCCCTGGTTGGACGTTCTAGCTGCTCTGGTGGCCATCGACAATCAGTCCTCGTGGCCCTGTCCCGGCAACAGGAGTTGAAAATATGAGCTTTGCGTGCGGTGAGTTCCGCAGCTCTAATGTCGATCTTTTAATGACTGCGAGTGAAGCTCGCGCCATTGTCCGTAATTGAGTGCCATCTTCAAACGTTGGACGACGGCTGTCTCGAGTGTGATCCTTTGGTTCGACCCGAAGGGCTATGTGGTGGTGCGTGCTCAAAGTGGGGGGCGAGATCAGGATTCTGGCTTGGTGGGATACCGTCCTGAGGGATACTCTCTGCAAACACAGGGTCGGTAGCAGCTGTGGCGGGATGAATTTCCATTCCTGCAGTTCCCTCGACGCCAGAATGAGATCGCGATCGACTGAATCGAATCGTTTCGCTAGGATCTTCGGCGCGGCGGTCAATAGGCGACCACGCGCCTGCAATACTCCCTGCAACGATGCCTGCCATAGCTGCTGCGGGACCAAACGCATTCGAGCTTGCTCTTGTTCGCCTTCGAGCTCGCTCAGGCGTTGCAGGTGATGTCGGCGACGTTACAGCATCTGATGAAGGAAGGTCCCCTTCAGGAGTCTGTGGCAGATTGGTGTCGGATCGAGAACGCGAGGGACTCCGTGACCGTGGAATCATGCTCTCGCGAGGGTGTTGTAACTTGTATGCTAACTCCGACATACGGCCGCCACGAATCTTCTTGAGAAACGTGAGTTCTTCTCGGATTTCCTCCACCCCTGGATTCCATCTTCGGACTTGTGCCTCTTCGTCCTCGACCAGCAGTTCCGGTCCATCTTTCCGTCGTCGTGAGAAACTCGGAATCAGACGCGCAAAAAGCTCATCAGGAATACATCTGATAACAATAGCCACAGGCATAGAAAGTGCTCCGAGCACAATCGAGTAGCCCCATTGCGCTCCGTTGATCTTGTGGATAGAAAACGCTTGGCCACCAACGAACATGATCAGACACTGGCCACCAATTATCACGAATTGGATTCCGATGAACCAGTAGTTTTTCAACACCCCTTCAAAGATGTTGAAGTTATTATCCAGCCGTCGGCAACTATGATGTCAATCATGTCAGAATGGCCTCTTGTGATTCAGACACCCAGACTTACTTGTATTGATTGAATATTTGCATCCAGACAAAGGTGTTGAAAATAGTACTTTGAAGTCTGTTCTGCTCGTCTGCTGTTTCATAGCTCAAGATGGATTCACCCGCGAAATTGAGGATGAGGGTCACGACAAGCTGATAAATGGATTGGCCGATAATCATCTTCCACATGGTTAGGTTGATTAAAGGTGCTGTCCTGGGTTCGGGCCGGCGGCGCAGGATCGAGGCTGTCGGAGGGTCCGTTGCCAGTGCTAATGCTGCAAATGTGTCCATGATGAGGTTAACCCAGAGAAGTTGCACGGCCGTCAAGACCGACGACTCATCTGAGCTCGCCACAGCAGAGATAAAAGTGAGAAACACGGCAGTGATGTTGACCGTGATTTGAAACTGCAACAGAAGCCGAATTAGTGAGTACTGTGCACCAAGCGTCATTGACACTCACCTGGAGAAATTTCTTGACCGCATCGTTCACCGTCCGACCCCAAGAAATGGCTTTGACAATGGAGGCAAAGTTGTCGTCCATTAAGATAATAGCTGAAGCCTCTTTAGCGACTTCTGTGCCGGCGATTCCCATTGAAAAGCCCACGTCTGCGGTTTTCAATGCCGGGGCGTCATTGGTCCCATCACCAGTGACAGCAACAGTTTCCTTGAGATCCTTCAGAGTCTGCACCAAACGCTTCTTGTCTTCTGGACTTGATCGAGCCAGCACTTGAAGGCGAGGGATGACCTGTTTGAGCTGTTTTCTGCTCAGCTTCCGAAAGATTGGGCCTTCCATTGCAATACCGCCAGGGGTGAAGATGCCACACTCGGTCGCAATGGCTTTGGCCGTCATTATGTTGTCACCTGTCACCATGCGAACGAAAACACCTGCGACCTGGCAATCGCGCACCGCCTTCTTGACACCAGCACGTAAAGGATCCTGAATACCGACCACCCCAAGAAAAATCATGTTCTCAAACACTTTATCGAACTCGGCTTGTTTCTTGTCATCGATTGAAGCACAACCCTGCGGGGGCCACTCGGGAAAGTCCCGGTAGACGAGTCCAATTGTTCTGAGAGATCTGGAGGCATAGTTTTCCACAATCTCGTTCAATGTCTGCATCTGCGCGGAACTGATGGCCGAATCGACTGTGCTCTTTGTAGGATCAGCGATAATCCGCGAGCACTTTGAGATTAATATTTCGGAAGCTCCCTTGACCAACATGCGACATCCGCCATCAGGAAGCCTGATGACGACGGCCATGCACTTACGGCCAGAGTCGAAAGGAAACATCTGCACGACTTCGCAGTTGGCACGTTCCTCACTGATGGATCCAATTGGAGTATGATCGACGATGAATTGAAGAAGCGCTGTTTCTGTCTTGGAACCAATGAAGATGCGCTTCCCGTTTTCCTCGCTTTCAAAAGCTGTCGAATTGAGGACAACTGAGTCCTTGAGGAGCACCTGAGTCTCTTTGGCAAGAGTTTTGTAGAATTCAGCGGAGGAAACATCAGCAGACACATGGTCGGATTTCTTCAATTCGTGGGTTGCGGCGTCAGGCACGACTTCTTCACTGTCGCCGAACCTTGAAGCAGTGGAGAGGGAACCGGCCACGACTGTCATTCGGTTCTCTGTGAGGGTGCCTGTTTTATCTGAGCAGACTGTCGTCGCGTTCCCCATAGTTTCGCACGCCCTGAGAAGTCGAACCAAGTTATTGTCTTTGAGCATTCGGGTGGTCGCAAAGGCCAAGGCCAAGGTGACGGCGAGTGGCAAGCCTTCGGGAACGGCGACGACGATGATGGTCACGGCGACAATGAAAATCTGCAGGAATTGTTGACCCTTTGATTGAGAACCACCTTGAATATTCTTCAGTTGGACCAAAAATTTGATGAAGAGGACGACAAAGAGAAGAAGACCAGCAGCCAAGCCGAGCTTTGCAATGTAATCAGCGAGGATATTCAGCTTCGACTGCAGTGGAGTAGTCTGGCCTTCATCCTGGAGAGACATCAAGGTCTTGCCGTAGCTAGAGTTGACGCCCACGGATGTTACGAGGAAGGTGCCAAATCCCTCAGAAACCTTGCCGCCTGAAAGGATGAAAGGGTCCATTTTCTTGAGATTTTCGTGGGCTTCGATGGCGTGATAGACCTCGTCGGCTCTGGTCTTACGAATAATGTCCGACTCTCCGGTGGCAGATGACTCGTCACATTTCACGTTGTGGCCATCGATAAAGACGCCGTCGACAGGAATAAGGTCCCCGGGTTCAAGATGCATGATGTCGCCGACCAAAACGTCATAGACGGATATTTCTTGTGATTTGCCAGAACGAATAACCTTGACATTTCTCTGCTCCTTTTTCTTGTTCAGTTTGACAAACTGACGCTCCTTCTGAAAATCATTCAAAGCACCGACGAAGGTAACGACAAGAATGGCGACCATAATTGCAACACCCTCGACCCATTCCACTCGAGCTTCGTGTTCTTCAGCTTGAACAGGGCGGACGCTTTGGTAGATGCCCAGAGCAAGAGAGATGACTGCGGCAACAGAGAGAAGGATCAAGACACGGTCGTTGTATGCGGTCCAAGCCAGTTGCCAGAAAGTCTTTGATTTCTTTTCGGGCAGTCGGTTGTCTTTGAATATGCGTTTCCGGTCGTGAAAGGAGTTGTCCGAGGTCTTGGCTGGCTGTGTCATTGAACTAGCAGTCATGGTCCTCTTGACGGAGCCAAACTTTTCATTAGAAACAACTCCTGCTTGGACAGCGTCACTGAAATCAACGGTGCCATCGAGACCCACTTCATCGCTGCTCAGGCCGGTGTGTCGATTGGTACGGAGGCCTTTTTCGAGGCCACCAAGGCCACCCAGGGCGTGAAAGGCGGCCAAACTCTTGGGGTTTATCATTTTGTTGAGTTGACCGGGACTGAAGGCGAATTTGTTGTTCTCTACTTTGAAGTCGTCTTCGGTGCCAGGATCGGGGTGTAATGCGGACTCGTCGTTCATGATCTCGTTGTTATTGGAAAAGGACGACTTGCTGAGGGGATCGCCGGCTGTGGAAGCCAGAGATTCGATCTGAGTTTCACCGCCATAATCGGAAGATTGCGAGAGCTCCGACTCTACTGACGTACCCCTCGCTCTTGAACCAGGGACAGACAAGAAGGTCTGTGCACCAGCTCCATCCAGGGCCTGTCCTCTGGGAGACGAGACATTGTGCGGTGAGGTGGGTCGAGATCCACGGGTGTCGATGGATAATCGTTGGTCGGTAGGAGACAAGGAAAACGGGGACGCGAGAGAGGGTGACTCTAAGCCAGTAGTCTGAATTCGAGGTAAAGGACCTGGTTTGTCAGAGGAGGCGCTAGGGGGAGCATCAGGTCGGGGATTGATGGAAGTGTCATCGATGCTGATTGTGGGTGCTCTGGTGCGCTGGTGAAGCGGTTTGGGTGGTTGTTCAGGGTCGTGGTCGTCGACAGGAGGATCCATGGCGACAGCGACGGACGGGGGAGGAAGGAAAACAGTGGACAAGTGATTGTTGCTTAAATTCAAGTGAGAGTAATTAGTAGGACGCAAGACCAAGTGCAGGTGACATGAAGGTCGGTAAGGGGGATTCCATTAGGTATGCCAAAGACGAAGGAAAGAAGTAAATTGGTAGAGTTGATGTTGTTTGCGCAGAAAATTGTGATTGTCAGTCGTTTTTTGACAGAGTCAGTTGTGTGGCCAAACAGACCAAGTAGTAAGATCAAGGTTGTAAGTGACCCACGAGCTCGGGGTGCCAGTCACCGTGAAGTCGAAGTCGTGAATAGGCGTCAGAATAGTCTCTATGACTTTTCTGAAAGCAAGATCTGGTGAAAACAGGCATGAGTCGAGTGGTGTCAAGTCTGGGCAGACGTGGTTTGTCTGTTGAAGTCTGGAAAGGACATGTCAACACAAGAAGGTCCACGATTGAAGTCGGTCACCCCATCAGGCAAGTACACCCAGGCAAAGTCTGACCATGAGCAAGAGTGTAATGTCGAGTCATGGTATGGACATAAAAAGAAAGGAATGAAATACGAGGGAAGACATGAACGTGTAGTGGGATAGAAACAAAAGGATGTTCAAGATGTATTGTGAACGGGTGTCGTGTTTGGTGTGTGTTGTGAGTCCGAGGAGTACGAGTAGAGTACTATGTATTATTTAGTTGGTCATCGACGGACGGACTTAGAGGCCGAAGCTCCTAGTTAGGTTTAGGGCAGATCTTAGATTGTTAGAGAAGGATGTTGCTGGCTGGCTGGCTAAAAAACCAGATCGTTTGTGTCTGAGCCCTGATCTATGTACTTCATAAAAGGCCTAAGGGTAAATACTGTGGGGCGTAAAACACGCGCCCGAAAACGTCCAGTCAGAGCCGGGCCGCGTCGCAAATGCCATCGATCGGCTGGTGAGGAACATGCATATGAGTACATACTCCGTAGGGTACATATGTAAGCGAGAGGTCAGTTTTGACAAGGATTCCGGTACGCAGGCACGCAGGACGCAAACGTAGACGCAGACGTGGCAATAATAATTGTCCTACTGGAGTCATAGCTTTGGAGCTAATGACTGTGTCAGTAAGGAAATGCCCGGCCAGTGGGTGCCCATGTGTGCCCAAGCCCCGGATCTGATGTCAGGTTCACCATGATTAGGGATGCTTCCCACAATCTCATTTGCCCTCCGGGCATGACCCGCTACCAGACTCGTTGGACCCTTGACTACCTTTAGGCGATACTATATATCATCTAGGGATGATGGCTTTTTTAACTTCAAGGCGAGGAAGTGTAATTCTCTGTTGACTTACGGAGTAGGTACTTCCCTACCTAGGTAGATACCCACGACATCTTACTTGGAGGTCCAAGTTGGCACCGCCAGTGGCCCTTCGGCCCACCATTAGGCTTAAATTCTCACCTACCTAACTAAGCTTGTTCACTGGCGCCTGACCTTGCAGCTCTGGGTCAAGCTCCCCCAAGCTTTTTCAACCTCCAAGACTCCGAAGACTTGGAATGTCTCGGCGCATCAAGTGCCAACCCAGCATGCCTACAAGTACGAGCAGGTACCTAACCTAACCTTAGGTAGTACCTCGCAATAGAGGAGGTGCCCCTGGGCATCAAGTACCTTACTTTACTTACTACACTGAACATTGTTACTACATGGGTAGTATCATGATGTACGTACATGCCTGCGCACATCAGGCGTGTTTGTCTCCCGCAGACTTCTCAAATATCATTCCTTGTTACATTTTTTGTCTTTTATTTGTCTTTGTGATTGAAACTCACACCGCCACCATCACGCATAACGCACCCTGTCACCATTGCTTTGAGGATGACTGTCACGAGCCGCAGTCTCAGACAGCCATCCTTTAAAACCCCTCATACACACGAGTTTACAACTTTACATCACATTCCAACCTACCGAGATCCACCATAGACCGGGAGGTTATGCTCGCCTCACATCCGAGACCAATCAGTTGACGCGGGCCCTGTCCGTGATTCTGCACTGCCACGCTCGAAATTGCCACGATACCACGACGTCCTGAACCGGCGTGCCCGTTTCGATAACGTCTGGGTCTTCTTTCGCTGCCTCGACATTATTGTCCGCACCACCAATCATCATCCATCATGGTCTCCCTTCATCATGACGACGAGGAGGCAGGGAGGGTACGGAGAAAATGTCCACATCCTGTCCACCGGCTTGGTGTTCTCACCGGAACGGCCAGGACAAGTATTATCACTGTCAATGCCCGACATAAGCTCCTTCGAGTCAGATATAAGTCCCGGTAAGTCAAGGATGGCAGTACAGGAAGACATTTCTTCTATATGTGGATTCATTTCCGCATGCGGCATCTGAGTTGCACTTTGTCGCAATATCCTCTTCGTGGGATCACAGACAATGTCAAAGTGCTTGCTGCAAGGGCAAACTTCTTCGATTCTAACACCCAATGCTACACAGAGCATTTGCATTTTCCCGCGATTTATAGCGCTTCAATGGTTCCCTTCTCGCCTAGATACCTACCTAGGTATTCATAATTGCAGTCAAGGAGCCTCCCACGAAATCACTTCTATAATATGCCGCCATGAGTCCTCCTTTACTGCCATTCTTGTTCAACACCATCTTCAAATCCCATGACAAAACTCGCCACGGCATAGAGCTCCACCTGGTTCTTCTTTTCCATCCTCCTTTGAAGCACCCTCCTCTATTCTCTCTTGATACGCTGGGTATGCCCCGACCCACCAGACTCTTGATTGCCTGAGGGTGTCCCACATCTTTTAGAGCTCCAATACTATCCAACAGCGTCTCCAGATGAATTAACCTCGTTATCAAGGCGGTCTTACCCTTGTGCTGGACACCATGGTGCCTGATGATTGCTTTGGATGGCTTTCCGCCGGATGAACTGCTGCGTACACAACCGTGAATCCATAATTTATACTTGTGCCATCCATTCATTGCCGATTGGCCGAACCTAGTCTGATTCGTACCCTTCGTACCCAAAACGCCTTGGGGACCGTTGAGTTTGCTTCATCGTAACAATCACAGCACAGCCTCACTATGACCCCTTTTCCTTCGACTCAGACATTGTCAGAGCGTCTTCGATTCTGCCTGGACTTCGTGCCTTGCAGATGGCAAGCGGTTCCGGTTACATGTTGGTATCCTCTCCACACTCAGCTCGAGAGGATCATGAGCCCCGACATCATTGTCTCTTAGAAATCATCAACAGCTCCAATGCCACGCAATGCCTGTTCCGCCTACATCAACCACAAGATCTCAATCCATCGCCTCCAAGTCGACTTCGCCCTGATCCTTCCAAGATACCGACCAAATCTCACTGTTCCCCTTGTCTGTCTTGGTCTTCTTGCCCTTTCCTTGTTCATTCGCCAGGAGAAGCGCTTGGCTGTCCAACGCAAAGACTCTGACCAACTCCTGGATTCTTCCACTTTCCACAAAAGCATTGGTCAACGTCGGGTTTTGTGCCACAATCTGTGCCAATTCCATAGTTTGAACAAGGTTTGCCCGCGAAAGAGCGTGCCCTGCGTAGTAAAACACTGCATTGTAGCCCAGGATGCAGTCAGGCACGTAGTGATTGCGTAGCTCTCTCAACAGCACACCCTCCATCTCATCTTGCGGTCGACACATGAAATCAACATCCAGGAGGGGATCAATGGCGATACGCACTTGGTCCAGTGCCTTGGATAGTTCTCGTTTCACATTCCGAACATGGGTTGAGTTTGTGCGGTTTCTGGCCAAAGGTTAATTAGATGGTACTTCAAAAAGTCTTGGTCCACTCACTCGCTGATGCTATCAACAAACCCTTGAAAATTATCCAAGGCGTAGATTGCTGCGGTAAGTTGCTCCAATTCCTTCCATATCAGGGATTTTGATGCCAGCATTTCCCGATCTGTTCCCTGTCTCGTGAGGATATGCTCCTGAGCTGACGGTTTGCGCTTGCGGCTTGGGCTGATGGGATGAAAGCGTTCTTCATCCTCGCCTGCATCTTCATCTTCATCTTCGTCCTTGTATGACAAATCCCGTGGGATCGCATCGCCCTCGACGAGCATGAGATTCATCCCCACAGCATCCAAAGAATACTGCGAGAGCTCCGTGCGCTCAGACAGCAATCTAAGAGCGGCAAATTTGCCATCGAAGAGGAAAGACTTGTATAACATGGCAACCGACCAAGCCGCAGTTCCCCATTGGTCTGCTTCTGTGTGACGAAACCATTCCACGCTTTGAATCGCTCTTTCGTCCTCTTCGGTAATCTCTCCTTCCATCAGGCCAGATCTGATCTTGAGCATTGCAGTTTTAGAAGCTCCTCCTTGCTCAACGATACGCGGAGCAGTCGGCGGGCCACCTCCAGAGCGAAGTCTCTGAAGTGCATCCATGTTGGCTAGAGTGAAGACCCCGTACGCGACAGCAGAGATGTTGATATTGAACTGGTTGATCAGCCTCACTTGCTGTCGACGTTCTGCATCATCGGTCACGTTGACAAGAATGGTGGCCAGCACGTGCTCCCCTCGGTCTGCGGATAGCTTTGATACGTATAGCGGAATCAAAGAATACTTTCCTTGGGTTTCAAGCCAACCGATATAGTTGACGATATTGTTCTCCATTTCGTACTGGTTTTGTGCGAATGATGGGTCCAAAAGCCCCAAGCACTGCAAGGCCAGTTGGAGATGGGCCACAATTCTTATTGTGTCAGGATCTTGCGCGTTGATTCGAGCAATTTCACTTCCTTCTGCAGTCGACTCGTCAATCAAGCGGACTCCAACGTCAGACGTCTGTGCCGTGTGTGCAGCGGCTACTCCCATTTCAAGGAGGAACGTATTGAAATCTTTTGTAACTGCTGCCAATTGCAGGAATTTATGTGGTTGACGCGCTTCTTCATTGGAAAGTGCCTTTCTCGAAAATGTCTTCAGGGCTTTATCCGCAAACTGTGGTGGATGGTATTCAAGCAACTCGGAGCCACTGACACGGCGTTTGAAGGCGCTCCAGTATGCTGCGTACCGCTCGATAAGGTATGCATTGAAGATCGAGAACAATTGATCATCGATCGTTTCGCTTACAGCCGTGGAGGAGCTCAAATTGCCAACGAGGATTCCATAAACTGCTCTCTGGTACTTATCAAGAGATCCTTCGCGTGACAATCTCTCACACACATCCAGCCATTCCGGGTTGGAAGCGATGCCATAAATGCGCTGCCAAGGCGAGTCGACGAGATTTGGCGTTGCAGGACCGCCAACATTGAGGGCTGCATGACGCCAGGACTCCTTGCGTTCAGCCCACCATTCTGCCACCGAACTTGGCTTTTGACCACGGCGTAGCATCTCCCAATAGGTGCGCCAGGCCGTTTGCTCGTGATTCTCATCCTGTTCCTGGAGTGAAGCAGACTGGCGTGTGGGGGCATCCGGGTCCAATTGAGTTACAAGGGCTCGTCCGTCCCCTCTGACATGATCGTTCTTAAGGCTCGGGAGCGAGGGGTCCAGGGGTTCAGATGTCAGCCTCGAGCGTTTTTGACGTTTGATGGCGGTCTGCGTATAGAGAGGTCCCGCACTCCAAACGCCCTCGCTGCTGTTCGAGCGAGGACTTAGGAGACGGACCACTTCTTCCAAAGGTGGCGCTGTTGTGACTTCTCTTTCTTGTAGCCATGACAGAATACATTCATAGTCTTGTGCAAGGATGTCGGAGTCAAGAAAGGCTTCCCAGATATCAGCGTTCTTTGAGTAGCGGTGGAGATCGCCTAGGCGTGATCCTTGGGCAGCGCTCGCCTCTCTCATAAGGTCAGGTGAGTTTGTAAGTAGCAAATTTCGAATCAAGATCCAGAGGTCGCATTCAAGCTGGATCTTTTGTACCTGAACGTCTGATTCGTGGGAAGCCGTGCGCTTTAGCCGATTGAGGGCAATATTACTGTAATTTTCCAGTAGCGCAAATGCATCATTCCATAGCGTCTGATCAGAAGGGTCTCGGTCGGCCACAAAGAGGTCCAGAGTCTTCGCAAACTCCTCAACTTGCCGACTCACACGATCTGCTGTGTCTTGTAGAGGCCGTAAGATGTCCTGGGCGGATGACTGAAAGGGAGACTCTGTGTATATTATATTGATTAGCCTTCCCGATAGCCTGAGACGGGGTGTAGAGCTCCGGAGTGACCACCGGGAGGTGGGACGGGCGGGATGATAGGGCACACCTTGCTCAAAGAGTTCCTCCTCATAGTCATCGACCATATTCTCATCCTGGCTGTACCGGTCGGACTTGGAAAGGGTTGCGGCAGAGAACGGAGTTCGCTTAGGGATTCAGTCAATTTGTTGGGAACCGCAGTCGAGGGACAGGTGATACATACTTCAGAGAAAGAAGACGGGTTACCCTGCCTTGACGATCGAGTAATGGGAGCCATTGGGGGAAAGATTGGTGTAATCCTAGCTGTTGATCAATCGATGCGAGGAGAGGAACTCAGAAGATAGTCCCATCAGTGGAAGGATGAGTTGCAACTTGGAATTCCACCGGCAGGACTTGACAGGATAGTAGCATGCCCTGGCACCTTTTTATTCCTTTGAGAAAACCGCAAGTTCCTGGTGCTGGAACGCGTCTTGTCATTACCCACGTGAATTGGAGAGTTGGCTACGTGTGTGTACTAAAAGTTCCTCCGCACTGCTGTGGCAGGGCGGACCACAAGATGGATAGTGACAAAAGAAAACGTGGCTTTAGTCCAGAAATAGACTAGCTCCAATTCACATTTGTCTCTCCAAGATTTTATCCTCGAACGACCGTTTCGTGTCCTCTTGATCCTTTTTCCTTCTCTTCAATGTCTACAGGTATCCATTAGAGTCTCGGAACAGACCCAACTTTCAATGTTTGTTCAGATCCTACGGGTTCTCTTGCGTGCTCACGATTTCCTAAGAGCATCTTTGCATTCGCTGTTCAGCTGGCCAGACTCCCTCGAGGAGATGATGGTTCAGGTAGAAAAAAACGGATTGCAACATTGTGATATCTCATCTAATATATGTCAAGAACATCAGAAGTCTTCTCAGCGTGCCGTATATCATGACTGTTGCTTGCGCTGTTGTAGCTTGAGCCTTAGCAACTTGGGCTTAGGGCAAGATGTCGTGCTCGCATCGTCTCCGTGCGCCTGATAAAAGGCGTTGCAACAGTCATACAGAGCATCGATGACTCCCTGGCATCTTTCTTCCTTGTAGTTATTTTTCTGAAGACAGTCTAAGGAAATCAGTCATCTTGATAGCGGGCAGGATAATACCAAGTTTCCTGACCTTGAATAGCACACTGGCAATGCAAATCAGTTGTGAGATATTTCAAGAGCGAGGATGGGTAGCTTACAGCCCGAGAATGGCAAGGAGGATCTGTCTTCAAATCAACTTGAAGACGGCCCTATCACCAATTTGATAAGCCCAAGAGATCTATCGTGCTAGGAATCGACGAAAGCCGTAATTGCTTTAGCAAGTGACTTACCATGGTGGACAGAAGAAGCAAGAGTTCGAAGACGCCGGGCGTTGCTCACAAAGATAGAGGACGGCAGACAAGGTGCTCAATAAACATCAGATTTAAGAAGCCTATGCCGTTTTGACGGAAGTATCCTGTCACTAATGATAGGCGATTGATACTGACTGCATCATAAATTGTAGGATGCTTGGTTGTGTTGTGTACCTGAGGTAGGTACTACAAGGTACGGTACTTGATGGAATCACCAGCCCACAGAGTAACCAAGACATCAATTTAATAACTACGATACCTGGGTAGCGGCTCTGCCCCACGACGTCATCTAAGATGATGCTCAAATGGATCAACTTTTGGTGCATCTATAGTAAGAACAATCTCTCATGACAAGTGAAATCATGTTGTCGCTGGTTTGTGTACAGAAGAAAGCCCAGTAATATGTTGTGTGACATTATTATCCCTGTAGAGATGTGTGGTGATACTGGGGATGTTGTAAGCTGGTGGGCTGCCTGTAGGTATTTCTAGCTTATGTAGGTACCTACCTTCCTTCCTTAGGTACCTTAGATATTTACACCAAGACTCAACCGTTGGACAGCGTTAGGGCCTCTTGAGGCGCCGAAAATGGACGGATAGGCGACTAGCGCCACTCTGATGGTGACTCCAACTCGTCAACAGTCGCGGCGCTTGCATGCCGCCTCTTGGTGTGCAATCTGCAGATGGCAAACCCCAAATCATTACCTTATTCACTCGTTGTCGATCCCGCAATAATTCTGCGAGGCTGCTTTGCCTTTCCTTCAATTCTTCCTTCATCTTCTTCACCTTCATTCTTCTTCCTCCTCCTCTTGTCATCCCCAACAGCCTCAATAACTCCCCATCTTGAAACGGTTGTCCAATCTCAAGACAGACTTCACAATATCCAAACCCCGCCTTAGGTATACCACTCCACTTCGCGTGTCGCGATTAGCCCTCAACTTATCACTTTCTCACTTACTAACTCCGGCAACAGGATTGACTGATTGTGCCACGTCGGTCTACGATACTTGTCCCGTCGATCTCAACCACCCGCATACAGAATGTCTGACAACGGTCAGCAATCTCCTAATGGCGCCGCTGATACACCTACGGCTCCTCCCTCGACCGAACATCTGAACATCAAGGTTACAGATGGCAATAATGAAGTTTTCTTTAAGATCAAAAAGAGCACCAAGTTGGAGAAATTGATGAAGGCATTCTGCGAAAGACAGGGAAAAGATATTAGATCTGCAAGATTTCTCTTTGAAGGTCAAAAGGTTCAACCCATTGATACACCCGAACAGGTAAGATATGATGTCCCATCTAGAGCCCTGATGAATGAATATGTACTCTTTGGCATCCTAAAAGCGTCTCCAGCATCGTTGTCACCTGAGGAATATTTCTAACCATTCGTACAGTTGGAGATGGCAGACGGCGATTCGATCGAAGTGCACCAAGAGCAGATCGGAGGGTCATTCTAAATGACCTGGCCAGTCTTGCCTGAGCAGGCATGGTGGTCATGACATGACAAGAGTCTGTTCACGGCTACGACACAACAAGGCTCACAAGGATTCTATTTGCACGCGTTGGAGCGAGGAAGAACAGGGCCTTTTGCAACATGGCGTTTGGGGAGGAGTTTGTGCTCTTAGGATATCCGCAAAGAGATGCAGGAGATCCCCAGCCAGAAATGTGCTGATCGCAAGTTCTCATCTTCTCAGGCAAGGCATCTCTGGGAGGCGGTGGAAGGCACTGTTTTCACCGAAGTCACTGAGCAAAATTTGTCTGCAGATCAGGGCGGTGGACAGGTGTGGCTTGACCTGAGGCCTGAGTGCACATGGTTCCTTGGTACAGCCTAGTGTAGAAACATTTACCGAATTCCTTCCGTTCCGTGCCACGTTTATATTGTCATAACTTGATGGGAGTCGAAGTATAGGCTCTGCATTAGGGCCAAACATCAAGTCTGCAAACCCTCCCCGACGACGCTTGTGGGGGAATCCCACGGGCAGAAGCACCTAGTAACACATGGAGACATTGCTCCCAAAGATTCAAACCCAAAGCACCATTTGAATTCTTGCGATTTAGTCAGTCCAGACAGCGGCCTTTAACTTCTCGTCGGCCTCTCGCTCTCTTTGCTGAAGTTCCTTTTCCCTGTTCTTTCGCCTGATCTCCTGCTCCCTAATGGCACGGTCATACTGCTTGGCCTCCTCTGATTTCTGGGGAGCTTTCATGCCTAGACCTGCAGCAATCAATCGACTGGCCGTGGCCGTACTTTTCTCAGGGCGTCGTCTTTCGCGGTCAGAGTCTGAAGGGGTAGAAGCAGTGGTGGAGGAGGGCGAAAATGGGGTCGGTCGGCCACCACCGAGCATCGATGCAGTTGACCAGTCGATGTACTGACCACTACCTCGAGGTGATATCGGAGTGGGCGGGGGTGGATGGAGGGCTGGATTTGATGCATTGTTTGGTTTGGTATCAAGGTCCGAAGGATCCGTTGGGGTGCGGTCGCCCATGTCACCCTCGACTGGAGAAGACAGGTCTTCGTCTTCCCACGAATCGGCCACTTCGACTTTCTTTTTGGTTTTACTTTGTTGTGACTTGGATGGGAGGTCGATATGCAGGCCAGACATTTTGGACTCCATGAGCCTAGAGCAAGGAGAGAGGACAGGGGGCTCTTCAAGTATGTGCACGATGCGGCGCACCTGGAGCTACCAGTATCAGCGACGTTTGCCTACCTGTCAATGATGCAAGCAAGCAGATCCGAGAACGTGCAGTGATCGTCGATGAATGTGCTCGGAAAAGATAGAGGAAATAGGGTATGGATGGTGAGGGGCGATGTCATAGAGCTCTGGGGTTCCATTCGGGGTCTGAAGCCTTCAATTAAAGTCGGGCGGTCGAGTGGAATGGCACAATGGTTTCAGCTGGCGAAGCAGTTACACGCGACAATGAATGACGAATGGATGGAGCTGGACAGGCGATGCTTGCCCCGTGCCCTGGTGTTGGTTTCGCTGAGAACATTGCAACGAAGACCCGCCAAAGAGGGTCGAGGGGTCAAGCTTAGGTGGAAGCTTGAAGCCAAGTGCTGGTGGTTGGAGCAGACAAGTGAGGGGTGGATAGCTGAAGTGTCACTGTACTCCAGTACTCCGCAGGGCCGGCCGGATCTGGATGGAGGGTGTTGGACTTGTTCAGTTTAAGGGACACAGGTACTGGGATGGCGCTGCTTCCTTACCCGGCGTGCCTGGGGGATCTTTCAGTGGCCCTCCCCAAAACAGTTATCTTTGAGCAGGAGACGGCAGAGTGCTAGTCTGAGAACGTCCAGGCAAAAGCCACAAAAATCACTTACCCCTCTGCCCCACGCTTGGAAGCCATTCATCATTGTGGGACACCTTCCACCAGGAGATATAACTGCAACAGACGTATGGTAATGATTATCTTCACGGAAGTATGGAGTGGGCAGAAGATAGATGCCGTGGATTTTCGTGCAGCCAATTCATGGGTGCGGGTGGGTTTTGTTGGCGAGATGCGTCTGACCTTGAATCCATCACGTGACAACATTCTGTCAACGGTGTCAAACTCAAGATGCCAATCTAGCATTACTATCGTCAGCACTATGATTGGATTCAACAATAATGATCTATGGACAACTCACCATACATTTACGAGAACAACCATTCCTAGATGAGCCTGCCGAGATTCGCAGGGGAGTCGAAGCTTGTCCACACAAAGCACGAGATGTTCCGACAAAGTACAAAGCATCGCCGGTCTCGCAATCATTTGGCAGCTTTCTCGGAAAATCCTTAGCGGCTCGGAAACTAAAGCGCCGAACCAAAAGGGGTTTTGGTGCGTCTCGCAACTGGAGGTTCCCCGTCTCGTGCCGACCTCGGGGTCTTCCATATTGACTCTCTCTCGTGTTTGCTCCTCGGTTGATTTGCCATGGCCTCCAATGAGCCTATTTTCAGACCATGATATACCGCGCTCAATTTGTCTAATTAGAGCTCCTTGTCCACACCGTTCTCGCTCGTAATCTCCATTTCTTTCTTCTGTGCTTCCATCAGCATTTCTGACCATTCGCTTCAAGCACAGCATTTGGCGCGGTTCCCATCTCCGCCATGACTCGAATCGCACTCCCGAGGCTACAGAGATCCTTGCGACCGTCATTGCGTTCTGTGTGTAAACATGGCACATATGGAAATGTCGCTCCTTTCTCTAGCTCCTCGCCTGTGCGGTCGGGGTATGCCGATACCATCAATAACCTGAAGATTGGCAAGCACACTCGTGTCATTTACCAGGGCTTCACTGGGCGCCAAGCTACAATGAACGCCCAGGAGTCCATAGAATACGGTACCAACGTGGTGGGTGGCATCAAACCGGGTGTCGAAGGTGAACATCTCGGCTTACCCGTTCTACCAAACGTTCGTGCCGCGGTGGAGAAGCTCAAGCCAGACGCCAGCGCCATCTATGTACCTGGAAATGGCACGGTTGCCGCCATGGAGGAAGCAATTGAGAACGAAATTCCTCTCATTATTGCCGTGGCGGAGCACATTCCCATTCATGATATCCTACGCATCCACCAGATGCTGCGGACCCAGTCCAAGACTCGACTTGTGGGAGCAAATTGTCCTGGAATCATCAACACCTGGGGTCGCTGTCGGTTAGGGTTCCAACCATTACCATTCTTCCAGGAAGGGAAGGTGGGGATCGTGGCCAAGTCCGGCACATTGAGCTACGAGGCTGTTGCATCGACTACCCGGGCCGGCTTGGGTCAGACGTATGGCATCAGCATGGGCGGAGATGTCCTGGCCGGTACCAACTTCGTGGAAGGTTTTCAAATATTGGCAGAAGACGAAAAGACCGAGGGCATCATCATGATTGGCGAAATCGGAGGCAGTGCAGAGATCAAGGCAGCTGAATGGATCAAAGAATACAATCGCAAGACTGCCAATCCTAAGCCTTTCATGGCAGTCATCGGTGGCATCCAAGCCCCTGCGGGTCGAATCATGGGCCATGCTGGAGCATGGGCTGCCCCTGGAGAGGCGGGTGCCTCCAAAAAGATTCAAATCCTTGAGGACGCCGGGGTTACGGTGGTGGATCACCCTGAGAAGCTAGGAGAGGGAATGAAGAAGCTGCTCGCGAATCGGTCCAAGACTACGAATGGCCAATCGACCGTCACCAGTCTCGGTGGTGGGACATCACAGCAGAGAAGAGGTTACCACACATTTCGGCAACGGCCAAGGTCGTCGCCAGCCACGACGCAGTTGCAGTTGCGAGGTCAAAAAAGACGGACGCTGTACATCAAACAATCACAAGCATTTGACATGTTGAAGGAGAGAGGAATTCCTACCGTGGACGAGGCGACCGTCAAAGAAGAGAAGTTCATCTCGATATCGATCGACCGTGAGGCACGGCAACCATGCGTTATCGCCTCGCCATCAACGGACCCCGAGTTTGCGTTTCAGCAATCGCGGAAATTCCCGTTCGCATACGGGTCAAAGGAGGCAACCTCGGCCGACTTTCTCGAGAGTGTTGCAGAACATCTGAAGATCTCTGGCACAGCCAAGGACGGCTTGAAGCAACTGGTGACCCAACTCGTGGACATTTTCATGTCAAAGGAAGCATTCGTTGTTCAGACCAAGATTGCACTGGACTCCCAGGGTAGATTACACGTGCAGGGCGCCAAGTTTGGATTTGATGATGCAGCCTTTCGAAGCTCCGGACGGCAAGCCGAGGTCCATGCTCTGAGGGACATCAAGGCCGAGGTGCGAGAAGACGTGGAGGCGGAAAAGGAGGGCATGATCTACGTTAAACTGCAGGGAGAAGGCAGCATTGGCACAATTGTCAACGGAGCTGGTCTTGCCATGAACACAGTGGACGCACTGGTGGCTCGTGGAGGATCGCCGGCGAACTTTATGGACACAGGTGGAAAGGCGACATCGGAAACCATCAAGGCAGGATTCCGGATTGTGTCGTCTGATCCACGTGTCAAAGTCATCTTCGTCAACATCTTTGGTGGGTTGACACTAGGGGATATGATTGCCAACGGGATCTTGCTCGCCTTCAAAGATCTGAACCTCAAGGTGCCCGTGGTGGTGAGAATCCGAGGAACTCGTGAGGCTGAAGGACAGAAATTAATCCAAGAGAGCGGTCTGAAACTTGACGCATTTGGTGAGTAACACGTGGAAAGGATGACGAGGTTTTTATGAATGCTGACAATGACAACATCAGATTCTTTCGAGGAAGCGGCCGCTCGAGCGATTGCCTTGGCCAAAGGAGAAGAGACCATGTGAAGGTTGACCAACTAGCGAGCATTCTACACATTCAAGGATTTGGGGACAAGATAGGCATGGCTTGGGACGGAGTTGTGAATTGGACAAAGGAAACTGCATAAGACTCGTTCATGCACAGCTGGCAGTTGGTGTGAGCGTCGTATAGTATGCGTATGCGATGCGGGCTGGACCAGGGTTGCAGAAACAAAACCACATAGGGCTAGAGTGTAAGAAAACTCACCATACCTTATAGCAACTAGGAGAAGTGCTCTCACAGGGATTTCAATGCCCAATTACGGTTGATGGTCAGTCTTTTGCTGGATGTAGAGGCATTTGCCGACATGTGGAAAGACTGTCCCTCTGGCGAATCACTGGCATTGGTCAGTAACACAACTGCCAGCATCAGGCCAGGAAGCACACCAAGTGGAATGCATTAGATGCTAGCCCTTCTGAATGGTGAGACCGACAGTGCTTCCGTCGTGTTGGATGTCGGGTAAGACGAAGCACGGAGGAACTTTTCCACCGGGCGTGACATGGCTTGGGAACGAGGTTGGCGGATGACATTGTATGCAATTCTATTGACTGGTTGCTGAGACGCCTAGGCCCCTCGGGCTTATAGGATGCACATAATAAGTTAGGTTTTAGGCACCTTGGGTACTCACAGAATATTGTGGTACGTAAGGGCGGGCATGAGCCTGCTTCCACATAGACATAAGTACCTAAGGTAGGTAGTATCTAAGGTACCTCGTTGCCCAGCCCCGAGATACTTGCTGAAGCCTAACAGTGCTAGTGAATAAAGAATACCTAGGTACCTACTTACCTATTAACCTGACCTATCATAAATATACTACCTACCTACCTAGTAACTGCACGAGCATCGCATGCAGAATTATGTACGGAGTAGGTGTTGGAAAAGCAACCACCCGTGCTCGGCACCAGTGAGACCCAAGTTGCTAACCAAGTTAGGCAGAGATCGGGGGGGATTTGAGTGGATAGGCAACTCGGCGGGCATAACAGCCCCTGGCAAAGTAAGGCTACCAAGGCCAAGGCACCCCGGAGTAGAACCCTCTAGCCGCCCCCTCTCCCCCCGGCCGCCTCGGCCTCACACATCATCCTGTCTGAGATACGATACGACACACTGACATCCACACACGCCCACCAGGATACCCGCACACCACACTTCTCACACACGGCACCGCCTGATCGATGTTGCAACTCCGAGGTCCGTTGTCCGTGGCTTCTGGAAGGCTGACTGCTTAAAAGCCTAAAGAGTTGCATGATGACCAATAATTCTTACATTACTGACCCTAATGATCTTGTAGTACCTAGTATGTTACTCTTTCGTTTTCCACAGAGACATCTCCATCTCCATCTCCATCGCCGTCTCCGTCCCTCTCTTCCTCTTCAGACCTCTACCTGAATTCCTGGAGGAGGAATCAAGTCTTCTCCGCATTGCACAAGGCGCCGCCTGTTTGCTTACCAGTACTACTTCCAACAATACCTAGTATCATAATCAGATTTGGACTCCAGGCACCCCGTGGCTCGCTGCCTTGCAGCTCCATACCATACCTCAACATGGCTGACATAGTCCAAAGACTAGCTTCCAACATCTCCGCTCAACATCTATCCGGCCTCGCAGCCTCGCCCTCGAAACATCTATCCGCCCTTTCCTGGCTGTGGTCGTACTATCTTCTGCCCGCTGTAGTGGCATATCCCCTCCTCTGCTCCGCCTTGAGATTCCGTCGCCTGAAGAATATTCAAGCCAAATACAACTATGGATCCTCCACAAATCCGTCATATGAGGGGATGACGGTCGTGGAAGCGCACAAGATCATTGACTCAATGAGCTGTTTCGAGTTTCCTGCCCTGTTTACCAAAGGCTTGCAGTTTGCCCTGTTTCGCACCTACGGCATTCCCACCATTAGCAGCTTGCTCTTTAAGACGACGCAGCTTTCTGCCGAGAAGAACGTTCCCAAGCGCTACGCAGACACGACCATCCTTCTGTTTGACATCATGTCCGCGGAGCCAAACAGCGAACGGGCCAATAATGCTTTTGCAAGGCTGAATTATCTCCATGGACATTACATCCGACAAGGAAAGATCAGCAACGACGACATGCTCTATACGCTGGCGCTTTTTATGAACCAGCCCGTCGAGTGGGTCAACCGATTCGAGTGGAGACAGTTCACTGACTTGGAAATCTGTGCCATGGGTGTTTTCCACAAGTACATGGGAGAATCCATGCAGATCAATTTTGACGTGCTGCCCAGTGCCAAGTCCGGGTGGAAGGATGGCCTTCATTTCTATCGTGAGCTCAACACATGGTTCAAGGATTACGAAAAGGAGTACATGGTGCCAGATGTGACGAACTATGAGGTTGCTGTAAAAACCCGCGACCTTTTGATATGCAACGCACCTACGTTCGCGCATTCTGTTCTCCAGAAGATGGTCAGTGCGCCGCTCGACGATCGATTGAGAGAGGCCATCATGTTTGACAAGGCCCCGCCTGCCTACACGGCATCTCTAAATGGTTTCATGACCTTGCGCAGAGTTCTCCTGCGTTACCTCGCCCTCCCTCGACCATGGTTTATGGAGGATACGATTATGACTGAGAAGCCTGACAAGGCTGGTCGACGCTACATTGTCACGTGGGACACCAAGCCTGTATATGTCAAGCCCACTTTGTGGAATCGCTGGGGACCTGGCGCACTCATGTCTCGAGTTCTTGGAATTGCCGTTCCTGGTGATGCAGGTACCCATCCAGAAGGATTCGTCGTTGATGATGTCGGTCCCTCAGTCTTCGTAGGCAAGGGTCGAGCAGAGGCTCGGGAGACAGTTAAGCACCTCGAAACCAAAGCAAATATAGGTTGCCCCTTTGCCATGCAAAAGCGTTGAGACTTTGCGCTGGGCGCAATAGAGCAAGGTGAAGGAGAACATTGATCATGAATATAAACCACAAATAGACCCAATCTAATTTTTTTCACCTCCTTTATCAACCTCTTCCTGACAGACCGGATTTCCCCGTGCACGCCTTGTGAACAGAGGGCTTTATTTGCCCTTTTGATGCCATTACTCAATTATCCCCGTCTCGCAAGCGTCTGTCGTCCCCATGTACGATGGATGTTCGGCCAGCTCGGCCCGTATTTTCATTTGCACATGTGCCAAGACCAACATCTCGCAACGACCTCCCGATGAACCCAGCACTCCCATTGGTCAACCCCGCAATCAGACCCACTGGACCGCCGGTCAAAACCGTGCCTAGCCGATGACATCGCCAATTCATTCGGTCATCGTCTGGCGACTACAAAGCCTCCCAAAAAGACTGACGCATGACGAGAGGGGAGGTCATCATCTCCAACTTGCTCTGTCCTTGTCCTTGTTTCTCTGGCTGTCTCGTTTGCTCTCTGGTCCAATTTGAACATGGCCCTTCCTTCCAGAAGTCTGTTCTCCCTCCCCAAAGCAGTCCCCTCCTCAGCGTCCACCTTTACACGCAAACTGCACTCATCCTCCGCCAACATGGCCAACCTGGCAGCCTTCAAGATTCCTCACATTAGCAACGAGCCAAACAAACACTATGCAAAGGACTCGCCTGATCGAGCCGGCCTTGCTGCCGCCGTCGCTGCATTGCAGCAAAAGGCACCCTTGAACATCCCCCTCGTCATCTCCGGCAAACCCATCACAACCTCCTCCATCCTCACCCAGAATAACCCCTCCTCCCATGCTACCACCCTCGCCAGCTACTCAAATGCATCCTCAGATCACGTCGCCAAAGCCATTGACGGTGCTCTTGCCGCCAAACCCGCTTGGGAATCCCTCCCCTTTGCCGACCGAGCTGCCGTCTTCCTCAAGGCTGCCGACTTGATAAGCACAAAATACCGATATGAGATCATGGCCGCAACCATGCTAGGTCAAGGCAAGAACGCATGGCAGGCCGAGATTGACGCCGCCGCCGAGCTGGTCGATTTCTTGAGATTCAACGTCAGATACGCCGAGGAACTCTACGCTCAACAGCCCCCCTTCAACTCTCCAGGCGTTTGGAACAGAGTCGAGTACAGGCCATTGGAGGGCTTCGTCTACGCCGTCTCTCCATTCAACTTCACCGCCATCGGCGGAAATCTCCCTGGCGCCCCCGCTCTGATGGGTAATGTTGTCCTCTGGAAGCCAAGTCCTTCGGCCATTGCGTCCAACTACTTGGTTCATCAGATTTTGTTGGAGGCCGGTCTTCCTGCTGGCGTCATTCAGTTTGTGCCGGGCGATGCTGAGGAAGTCACCAAGGTTGTCTTGAACCACAAACAGTTCGCCGCTTTACACTATACCGGATCCACCGCCGTCTTCCGCAAACTATACGCACAGATTGGCCAGGGTATCGGCGAAGGCAGATACAAGGGCTACCCTAGAATCGTTGGCGAAACAGGTGGCAAGAATTTCCACCTGATTCATAACAGTGCTGACCTCGACAATGCCGTCGCCCAAACCATCCGCGGTGCCTTTGAGTATCAGGGACAAAAATGCAGTGCCACTTCTCGAGCCTACGTTCCCGCCTCGGTCTGGTCAGACTTCAAGGCCAAGATCAAGGCGGAAACGGAGAAACTCAAGGTCGGATCTCCAGAAGACTTTGGCAATTTCATCGGCCCCGTCATCCACGAGGCCAGTTTTAAGAAGCTGTCGGGTGTTATCGACGCGGCAAAGAACGACAAGGAACTCGAATTGATCACTGGCGGCAAGTACGATGATTCTACGGGATTTTTCATACATCCTACAATATATGCCACCTCGAACCCTGCCCACAAGAATTTGAGCACCGAGTTCTTTGGACCAATCTTGACCATCTATGTCTATGATGATTCAGCAGTAGATGGGTTTGAAAAGGCCTGCAAGCTGGTGGACAGCACCAGCGACTATGGTCTTACCGGAGCAGTATTTGCTCAAGACCGAGCGGCCATTCGATATGCCGAAGAAGCCTTGCGAAATGCTGCTGGAAACTACTACATCAATTGCAAGAGCACCGGTGAGTGTTGCAAATAACCATTTGAACACATCCATGCTAACCATGTCTAGGTGCTGTCGTTGGCCAACAACCATTTGGAGGTGCCAGAGCGTCAGGAACAAACGACAAGGCAGGATCCGCATCCATTCTATCACGATTTGTCAGCATGAGGTCGCTGAAAGAGGAGACGCTGGCCATCTCGGGTGTTGAGTACCCTTCGAACCAAGTTTAGATGTCGAGCAGGCACTGTTCATGTATGATGTTTCACGGCGTCATGTTGATGGGATGGTACGAGGAATGATTCCGCGTCTGCATCAGACACCCAAAAGTCGAGGCTTCTTCTAAAGGCGTAATCACACCATTTCCCCAGGAATTGTAACCTAGCATTGAGAATCCTTGGGAAACACCAAGCCGATGCAAGGGTATCTATACATAGGTACGGAGTATGGTATGACCTGATGTAATAGACCATTGCTATTGATGTTCATTGCTTGATGTTCATCAAGCCATTATTGGGTTTGTTGATGTCTTTCCATTTTGACGCGTGCCATGTCCCAAAGCAGTCTAGTCTCAAAGTCCCCCGCGCTGTTTTACTGAAAGTTGCCCCTCTCAGTCTAGGCAGGAGCCGCTAAAACCAGAATGCTCATTTGACACAATCAGGTTAGCGGCTTCCTCACCGCCTATCGCGAGAGACAGGGCTTGGCACGCTCCCAAGTTGTTGATGGGCCCAAAACCCAAATCCCCTTTCCCTACCACGCCTCCAAACCAAACCCACAACCAACAACCACCTTGGACCACCGCACCTCACTTGCAACCTGCCTCTTTCTTGCATCTCGACCTCGACATCCTTCCATCTCATCTTCATCCCTCTCACCATCCACTGTAGCCTTTTCCACTTCATCTCGACAATATGCGTGAGATTGTAAGTCATCTCACCCCAATCACTTACGCGTCTCCAGCCTGTTTACCCCTTTGTCGTCTCAACCCCACCATCGTCAACCTCAAGTCTCTAAAAGGAACCAGACACTGACTTTCTTTTCTCTTCACAGGTTCATCTTCAGACCGGCCAATGTGTACGTGTCAACTGCCTGTCCTTGACATCACCCTCAACTGACCAGACTTATTCAGGGCAACCAAATCGGTGCCGCCTTCTGGTAAGACTTCTACCGACGCGACGATTCGAACTCGATTGACTCGATCATAGGCAACAAATCTCCGGGGAGCATGGCCTGGACGGCTCTGGAGTGTAAGAGAAACATCCTTACTTCAGCCTTTTGGACCTTTCAGCTCACATTCTCAGCTATAATGGCACCTCCGACCTTCAATTGGAGCGTATGAACGTCTACTTCAACGAGGTACGATTTCCCTGGCCTCCATCCTCTATCTCCCGCCATCGCCATCTCCAACTCTAACCTGGCTCAGGCATCCGGCAACAAATATGTTCCCCGTGCTGTCCTCGTCGATCTCGAACCTGGCACCATGGACGCAGTCCGTGCTGGTCCATTCGGTCAACTGTTCCGCCCTGATAACTTTGTCTTCGGCCAGAGCGGTGCTGGTAAGACTCAATATTCCGCCACGGGATCGAAGATTAGTTGACACTTCGTAGGAAACAACTGGGCCAAAGGTCACTACACCGAGGGAGCTGAACTTGTCGACCAAGTTCTCGATGTCGTTCGACGCGAGGCCGAAAGCTGTGACTGCCTGCAGGGATTCCAGATCACTCACTCTCTAGGTGGTGGTACCGGTGCTGGCATGGGAACGTTGTTGATCTCCAAGATCAGAGAAGAGTTCCCTGACCGCATGATGGCCACCTTCTCCGTCGTCCCTTCCCCCAAGGTCTCTGACACCGTGGTTGAGCCCTATAACGCTACCCTCTCTGTCCATCAGCTCGTTGAGAACTCTGATGAGACTTTCTGCATCGATAACGAGGTAAATCCATTCATTCCTGGCCATCATCATCCTTACTGATCATTTTTCAGGCCCTCTACGATATCTGCATGCGTACCCTCAAGCTGTCCAACCCCTCGTACGGCGACTTGAACCATCTCGTTTCCGCTGTCATGTCAGGCGTCACTACCTGCCTGCGTTTCCCCGGCCAACTCAACTCGGACCTTCGAAAGCTCGCAGTCAACATGGTCCCATTCCCACGTCTTCATTTCTTCATGGTTGGCTTTGCCCCCTTGACCAGTCGTGGTGCCTATTCCTTCCGCGCCGTCACAGTGCCAGAGCTTACTCAGCAAATGTTCGACCCTAAGAATATGATGGCCGCTTCCGATTTCCGCAATGGTCGTTACCTGACATGCTCGGCTATTTTCCGCGGAAAGGTTAGCATGAAGGAGGTCGAGGATCAAATGCGCAACGTGCAGAACAAGAACAACAGCTACTTCGTCGAATGGATTCCCAACAATGTTCAGACCGCCCTTTGCTCCATCCCCCCACGTGGATTGAAGATGTCATCGACATTTGTTGGCAACTCGACATCCATCCAGGAGCTCTTCAAGCGTGTGGGTGACCAGTTCTCTGCCATGTTCCGACGAAAGGCTTTCTTGCATTGGTACACTGGAGAGGGCATGGACGAGATGGAGTTCACCGAGGCCGAGTCCAACATGAACGATCTTGTTTCGGAGTACCAACAATACCAGGATGCTAGTATCTCCGAGGGCGAAGAGGAATACGGTGAGGAGGAGGCGCCTCTGGAGGAGGAGCAGTAAGGATTGGGTCGGAGTGGTTTCGATCTAGTAGACGGAGCGTCATGACAAGTGTCTAGGCACGATGGGACCGTTGCCCTTGTTTCAATCACACAATATTGGAGTCTCTGAGATGCTCGTAAGGGCACTCTGCAATGTTTAGCGTAGGCGAAAGAAATCAGCCAAGAATCATATTCAGATTCAAGAGTCTCCTGTTTTTGACAAGTCGATTGTGTGCTGTACAAGTCAAGTTGTCTGGAGGCTGTTACTCCATGGTCCGAGTGTTTCAGACCACGGTTGACCCTCAAGTCGAGGGTCTTTCACCACTGGTGGGGCTATACAAGGTCTATCTCTGTCGATGTACAAACGATCTCGACTCTATGCTCGATACTCGTACAGATCCAAGCCACGACAAAGCTGGGGGGCGGTCTGTCAGACCCAGGTGGTGGTTGGGCCTCTGCTGCTTCCGCTACCGCCCCGGGCGGAACCAGGTTTCGGCCGTGAACGACCCGGGGCCATGGGACTGACACCTGTGGGAGCACCAACAGAACCAACGACGCCCTCGGGACTATTGAAGCCAGCTCCTCGAGCAGCCTTGTCCGAGTCATGATCGCCAACCTGTTGAGGCATCGCCTGCTGACTGCCAGAACTACCACCACCTCCCAGGCCCCTCTTCATCATCTTGCCCAAAATGCCCACCATCTCGGCGGCGTCCTCGAAGGAATCGTCATCCATGCCCTCTTGGGCCTCATAGACATGGCGGATGGCCAGATGGGCCATCTTGCGGCTCGCCTCGGCTTCATGGAGGCAGTCATAGATGTATGCAACGTACTCGACCTTGACAGATAGACGCACAGGGTGAGAGCCCGGAAGCAACTGTTCAGCAAGGTCGTTTGCCGTGGCGAAGGCTCTTGTGGCAAAGGGTCTCCATTCTTGCAGGGGGAGAAGAAAGGTTGCAGTGCCGTTGCCATTGACACTGGTTGGTGAATGCGGGTATGGAGCAGTCAGGGGAACTGGCAGGCCAGGGGGTGTTCGCGCAGTCGCGCTGGCTCCTGCGACCGTGCCGCCAACGGGCCCACCGAGGCTGATAGCCGGGGAACGTTGGCGACCTGATGGAGACCGAACCGTGGGGTCTCGAGATGAGGTTTTGGAGAGGCGTGGCGAGAGCGGGTCTGGGAATAAGGAAAATGAGCCGGATTGAGAACGGTTGATCCGGTTGTTGACGGGCGGGTCATTGTGAAAAAGCACAAAGATATGATAGAATGATGCGACCAGCTTATGGGACAAGACGCGGAGTTCGTCGTGCTGACCGACCATGGGGAGCACGTACTGCTCTACCATGATCAATCCTTCGCGGGCAAGCCATAGGATATGGTGAATCAAGTGACGGGCTCGCGGATCTCGCACAGGATCGAGTTTCTTGGCTTTGCGAGCACGCAGAAGCTTCTCGGCTAGGATGACTGATAGCCCGAGCACGCGAAATAAGAAACTGTTGGTGATGGTCAGTTGAATATAAAAGTATGTGACAATGGCACTTGGCAACTTACCTGGAGAGGTAATTATTATCAGTAGTAATGACTTTTGCGAAATAACCGAGAAACTTTTGATCAACTTCTGAGGAGGCCATCCAAAAGGAATACAGGGGAGGAGATGGTCCGGACCACTGCCACTGCCGAGACAGGTATGTCAGCTCTATGAATGCTTGATTCCATCGTCTCCGGGTAGATATCGATGTGAGGTAGCCAGGAGGAAGAGGCTCGGAACGAGGGTGATTCCGATCCCTACTCGGGCTGACAGGACTGGCCATAGCACAGCACTATCTTGATGAAACGCTGCCAAGAACTCACTGTCGCACGGACAAGTGGAGTCGCGACAAATGGGGAAAAAGTGGTCGGTCTCTCAAATGAGTCGGAAGGTGGGGGGGTTGAAGGCAGGGCCGGAGGATTGATCAAAGAGAGGAATCGACTGGCAACTATAGATGTGACGATGACTGAAAGGAAAATTGGTGGAGAAGGAAGAGTGGTAGTGAAATGCAATTTACCTCTAGCGCGGCGTCTGGGGATTAAGCGCTTGCCAACCGCCTTGTGTCGTATATGACGGCAAGAATCGGCAACGCTGACGTCGGCGAGTATTTCGGTTCTCCCGTCAAACAGCGACCAGGAGGGACAGACCTTGAAGGATAAAAGAATGACAGACAAGGACCTGGAAAGCGCGAGGAAAACGCCGAAGTGATGGCACGACCAGTTGAGTATTCCGAAGCAAGGTGGGAGAATTAGGAGACAAGCACCTTGTGAAGCGGCAATGGGACGCAGTTGGACAGTGTTGTTACAGGTCGGCGAAGGAGTCGTGCTGCGAGACAGGTGGTGAAGGTGGTGAATAGGCGTATATACTTGGGACGGCGGGTTGTGACGTGGGAAACGAGGGACTGAGGGTAGGCAGGCAAATGGGACCAGCGTGCAAAGGGCTGGGAATGATTGTAACAAAGATACGGCAGGAGTTTGGGTAGCTGTAAGAGGTGTCAGCTCATCGACACAGATGGTGTGGCTTTATGACATCGACTGCCTGGGCGGAAAGTTGCAGTCTCGGGCTCGTACCTGACTGTGGGAGAATGGGAAGAGATGGGGCTTTGCGCAAAATGTCCTATTCGTCCAGCACCGTTTTATTGTAGCCAATAACGGCAGGACAGGTATGATAGGTTGGAAAAGTGGTCGCAGGACACGTGGAGTTGGGGCTGTTGAATGGTGCTTATTCTGCTCTGACACATGGTGCGGTGGTCAGGTGAAGACCCGTGCTGGACCGGTAGACGTGGGCGAGGCGATCCTCCAAAGGAACAGGGCGATGGCAACGGAGGAGGCCGAGAGAAGGGTCACGAGAAAAGCAAAGCCCAAGCAGAGGGTGTTGGAGAAGCGGGGACAGGCTGGTAGTGGTAGAGGAGAAGCAGAAAGCAGAGTGGCGGAGAAGATGAAGCCAGTCTTAGATGAGGGTCTGAAGGAGGAGCCTGATAGAGGAGTAGATCAAGGTCGATCTTGGTGAGGGTTAGGTCTAGAGGAGGTGTAACGAATGTGAGAGAGGTCTGTGGGACCTCATCAACCGGTAGGAGAGAGCGACGGGCAGCTGCAGATGTCGACAGCGGGCATGACGATGATGCACTGCAGAGGCAGTGGTGGACGGTCAAACGGCCATGGCAAAGCGAGAAAGCTACCCAGAGTACAGTGATTCGACAGGTGGCAGAAGAGGAAGCTTGGAGTTAGGTAGAAAAGAGGATGAGAGGTTGTGAGGCCTTTGGATGGAGAATAGCTTGAACAAGGTGAGTGAGAGGAAGACCAAATTGCCAACGCATCAGGCGCGTGTTGGAGTTGACGGTGATTCCGAACTTACCAGAGTTGTGATAGCGTGTCGATCAAAGTAGCAGGGATGTAAAGCGAGCCATGAGCATTAAGCTCTTGCAGCATCAGAGACTAGCTGGACGTAGTTAAAGTTGGGTGGGCGGCTGAGAAACTGAGAAACTGGGAACCGGGGTTGGACATGTTGTGACTGTATGGAGTACCTGCGAGTTTGTCCTTTGTACTCGGGCATATAGTGTGGCCATGATTGTTGTTGGATTTGGTCTGTGATTTCCGTAGACACGTAAGAGATTTCGATGAGGTAGAGTTGGGCTCTAAGAGAGTGAGAGGGAGAGTGAGATAGAAATTGAGAGAATGAGTCGAACCAAGGTTGAGATGACTTTTGACAGATTGCTACGTGGCAGCTGCCAACTCCAGAAGTCCAGAAGCCCCAGAAGCCCAGAAGCCACGCCGCTCGGCCAACTGCCACTGCCACTGCCACTGCCACGTCCTGCTAATTGTTCGACTTTAGCACCATAGTCTTCCACATAGGTTAGGGTTATAGTCTTCCATGCACAAGGCCAGCTTTTATTGACCTGCGTGTCTGTCTCGATATGCAGCTTAGACATTTTATACCAACACTTTCGTTATTGTGCCGATTCCATCAGTTCAAGTGGTTTTACATGTTCAAATTTCATACAAACAAGACATGCCCTGGTATAATATGTTCCCAATCAAGTCGCCAATCTTCACTTTACGAACTCTCACCTTTGGCATCCTTGCTTCTGCCTCCAGTACTTTGCTCAGACGCTCTGCGTACTGCTTCGGCCTTTTCGCCTTCGATGTCGCCCTCCCCCTCCTCTAGAACCAGGACATTCTTGTCCGCCAGCAACTCAGCCAAACTTCCGTCCTTGTGCATGTTGATCAAAATATCACAACCACCAATGAATTCATTGTCCACGTATAATTGTGGGATCGTAGGCCAGTCCGAGTATTCTTTTATTCCTGTTCAAATGCCCGGTGCAGGGGCTCGAGTTAGCCACTTGACTTGTTCATGAAGCTGCCACTGAGTTTGCCCTCTTGCACATGTTGTAGCACAATAAAACCTACCATCTCTCAGCTCTTGATCTTCAAGCACATTGAAAGCAGTGAATTTGGTTGGATCCACGCCCTGCATGCCTAGTATCTGGATGCTCGTCCGGCTGAATCCACATTGTGGCGTCTCTGGAGTACCCTTCATAAACAGCACGACCGGCGCCGACGCAACAGCCTTGTCGATTGCGCTGCGCACTTCATTGGAAAGAAATCGAGTTTGCAGGAGGGAGCGGTTAATCACCGGCTGGAGGGAGGCGTGTGTAGAGTTGGGAAGGAGGGAGGTGAGGGAGCCTCGAAGAGCCTGTAGACAATGCGACGATTAGCCAGCTTGAATTGACATTGACTCATCCAAGTCAAAGGACACGAACCGGTAATCGGAGGGCTCGAGTCAACATGGTGATCAAACACGCTGCAAGTATTTAAGACCTAGTTGACATGCACCTGAGAAGACGAAAAGTGAAGACGTTGATGGCGAGGGATGAGGTCAGTTGGTAGTTGGTGTTGGCGCAAGTGCGCTCTTTTTTTTGGAGAAGGAGCGATGGCGAATGATGTCAAATGTTGACTAATTCATTCGTCGTCTCTCCAGACTTTGAACATCTCCCCTTGGTTCCATTTCATGTTTGATGTTAATCTGTCGCTAAGACCATCATTTAATCTCTCCGTCTTTGATTCTCGCACTCTATATGAAATAGCTCTCAAATCTTCCAAAAGATACCATACACTTAGTCTTGACCGGCAGTCAATTCTCAACCTGGTCGTTATGGCCTCTGCTGCCACCACAGAACGCTTCTCCGCAGCTGATCATGCCAATGATGGCAGGCATCACATACTACTTGCCGCCAGTGGCTCTGTCGCAACCATCAAGATCCCATTGATTGCACAGGCACTGGCGAAACACCCCCGTGTGTCAATTCGCATTGTCATTACTCACTCTGCCGAGGAATTTCTGCAGGGCCAAGCGCCGGAACAGCCGCCGTTGGACTCACTCTTACGGCTGAACAACGTCGACGGCCTGTACCATGATCATGACGAATGGTCAAAGCCGTGGGTGAGGGGCGACAAGATTCTACACATTGAACTTAGGCGATGGGCACACGTTCTCCTCGTCGCTCCCCTCTCCGCCAATTCTCTGGCCAAAATGGTAAACGGGATCAGTGATGGGTTGCTCTTGAGTGTTATTAGAGCATGGGATACAACAGGCCTGGTCGACAATCGACGGAAACGAATATTTGTGGCTCCTGCCATGAACACTGCCATGTGGCGACATCCAATCACCAGCAAACAGATCAAAATCCTTGAGCACGAATGGGGCCAAGGAGAGGATGGATGGGTCACCGTTTTGCGGCCCATGGAGAAAGAGCTTGCCTGTGGGGATGTTGGAGATGGTGCCATGATGGATTGGAGGGATCTTGTTCACCATTTGGAACATCATCTACAACTAGATATCGTACAACAGGAGAGTACTACCAATGGTGGCTGAGCACACTCTCCTGAAACAGGCTGGACTAGGACATGTCCATTGTCGCTGTCATACCTGTGGGCACCTCCCTCGAACGTCGATACAGATAATCACCTAAAAGCCCCAACGATATGGTTCCGCCCGTTAACTTGGCCCCGTTAACAAACCACCACCAACAATCCTTTACATCCTTCAGGTTGACCCGACGAATCATCGTTGCCAGGGTCAGGGCTGCCCCGCCACAGCTTCCGATGAAGAAAACGGGGCCGGCACCAGCAAAATAACCAGCTGTCGCCAACAGACCTATCTGAGTGGCGGAGAAGATGGACAAAACCGTCTTGGGATGCTGTTCGTGCGCTTGCGCTATCGACTTGATGCCGGCTTTGGCGTCGTCCTTGATGTCCATGTAGGCATATATCATGTCATAAACCAAAGTCCAAGCCACGCAACTGGAGTAGAGGGCCGCAACAGCGGGCAAGGCCGTGGTATCGGAAAGGAAGTCGATCCCAAGAGCGGGAAAACCCATGATTGCCCCCCATGAGAAGGTTAATCCAAGCACAAACTGTGGGTAATGCGTCACTCGTTTCGCCAGAGGATAGATGACCACCAAAAGAAGACTAGGTGCACCGTAGAAAAAACAAGATGTCGGAAACTGCAAGAGCAAAGCCAGGCCAGCCGTCAGCTGTCCACCCAGGTATACCATTGCCTTGGGGACACTGACAGCCTTCCGGGCGATTGGCCGTAGCTTGGTTCGCTCAACATGAGGGTCCAGATTACGGTCCCACAAATCATTGATTGTACAGCCGGCACCCCTCATGATCAAAGCTCCGGTGAAGAAAAGAGCGGTCGATGTGGCAACTTCAAGTGGAGAGGCCATCGGTGTTACCATTGGAGCTGCCAGAAGAGTCGAGAACAGGCAGGGAAAGAAAAGATAATATGTCCCGGCAGGCTTGTCGAGACGAATCAGCTCGGCATAAGGTATCCACGCCGCAGGAAGCTTGGAGATAATCCCCTTGGTCGGTGGTTTGTAAACCATTGGTGAATCTGACACAGAAGAAAGCGGGTCTGTTGTGAGCGAGTTGGACGCAGAAATCGGAGAAGTGGTGAGGTGCCTGATATCGACTGAAGGCCTAAATGAGCCTTGAAGAGCCCTCGCTTTGATGCGAGAAGTCTGGCAGCTCAACGGTCGCTGAAATGTAGCAGATTGTCTGTAATGATGTCCATTCTGCGAGATCCCTAAGCATTGTAGCCTACGCCACGTGCGTACTCGCGTAGGATTTGGTCTGCTGGTTGTCAACATATTTGAGAGGGTATTGGTGATCCCCATGGTCTCGATGGGGACATGAAAGAAAGGATGGAATGAGTTTGAAAATTGAGAAAGGATACGACGGATTGCTTTCGACTACTGCTCACTCATCCTGACGAACTGCTTCATAGTGTGCTGACCGTGCACAATAGAGCACAGGGGTTGCGATCTTCTTGTCCCTAAATCCCTGACCAGATTAAAACAATAATACGCGAAATGTGGAAGAGGGACGAGGAGCAAAACGCCAAAGCAAACCAAGGCGTCCTGACCTTTCAGCTGTCCCCGGAATTTCCCGCCACAGATGTTAGACGGAAATGCTTGTGTATTGTAAAAATACTGTATTCCCGTAAAAATAATGGGTATTTCAGCCACTTTGAAGCCACACCACGGCTTACCTTCCGACCATGGAAATCACTGACTAAAATATAAAAAGTACCCGAGACTAACTTCTTTGAGACCTCAATGGTTGCTGCCCTATATCTACACCACAGCAACGTAAATTGTCTCATGCCATGCTCTGCCTTTAATTTCTATAGAGATTTATATATGCTCCAAGGTTGTGGCGTTCACCAGTCTTGCTTCTTTTCACGAGGCACAAAGGGATGCCGCAATTTTATGAGGTAGGTCCCGAGGTCCCTCTCTTTGGAGGCATTCTGCCCTTCATACAACCCTCAACAGGGAGGAGGTCGATAAACCAATACTTACGCTCCATCCCAGATGAGAACTGGTTTGATTGTTTGTCCGCTCTCCATGTCTTGGATGGCCTGCGCGAAATCGGTATAGTTGTACTTCTTGATGATCTTCTCGATCGGCAGGTTCCCACTATTGAATTGCTCGACCAGGTATGGTATTGCCTGTGTCAATACTTAGTATGAACCACAGCATCGACAGTGCACACAGTGTAATCCTACCGTTACCGGATCTCCATCGCCTTGTGTACTCCCGAGGAATCTTTTACCCATGTCTAGGAGCCTCAAGGGCTGGATGTTGACTGTTTGGTCCATGGCAGTTGCTCCAACCACGACTGTGGTGCCTCTGACTCCTGTTGCCTCAATCAAGGTTTCTATCACCTTTGGCACCCCCGTCGTGTCAAAGGCATGCTTGACGCCGGCAGGAAGTGGAGCGAGCCGACGGATTTGCTCGAGCAAGTTGTCCTCTTTCCCATTGAAGCAATGTGTTGCACCGAGCTCCGCAGCCAACCGCAGTCGGTCTGGGGCTAGATCGATGGCAATGATGGTTGAGGCCCCTCGTGACTTGGCCGCCATGATAGCTGACATGCCGACAGCTCCACAGCCAGACACTACCAGAGAGTCACCTTGCTGAACATCAAGCACGTTCCACACTGCCCCAGTTCCTGTCAAGACACCACATCCCAGGGGCGCCAACATGTCGAGCTTCGTGTCGGACGGGACTTTGACCAAGGAACTGCGACTAACAACTGCATGGCGGGAAAACGAACTTTGGCCCAGGAAACTTCCATAGATTGCTTGCCCTTCGATGCCTCTCAGTCTTGTACTCCCATCAGGCCGCTTTCCGTCCCAGTTACGCGGACGATTTTCATCACAGTAACCCGGAAGCCGAGCCTGGCAATTCAAGCATTCGCCACACGAATCTATGCCTAGTATGACCTTATCCCCAGGCTGGACATGTGTGATGTCTACTCCCACTTCTCTGACGATTCCTGCACCTGTGGTTGGAACTCGAGTCAGCATGACACTTGAATACCTTCACACACTCACCCTCATGCCCAAGCACTCGCGGAAATGGCTGTGGAATCACTCCATGAAGGAGAGCGATTTCCAAGTGACAGATGCCGACTGCTTGAATCTCAACAATGGCCTCGTCACTTCAGAGCTCGTCCAGGACGATCTCCTCCATCAACACTGGTTGATTGGGTCCTCGAGCCACCAAGGCTGTTGTCCTACGTATGCTGGTCATTCTTGCGATATTGCGCTACGAACTGCTGGGATTTGTCAATTTGACCCTCCTCAAGTTCTCTCAAAATTGGACAAGTAATCAACCAAGATGCTGATGTGTCAACTTTCCCAAACATATTCAAGACGTTATTATGTCGTCGGAGCGGGGACATAATGATTGGTTTCTACAAGATAACCCCGGCATTGTGGGCCCGGAGTTTTCTGTATGAACCCCGGGTCAGTCTCACAAGATTTGTCTTGCAGGCCATATGCAAATGGCACTCTGTGCCTCAAGCTGATTCGGTCCTCTAACGCTGTTATGAGACTAGTCAGAATCCCTATGCACACCCAGACAGGAACCCAGCTTGGATCTACACTATTTTAGATATGATGTAAACGATGTATAAACCCGGGGTATACGCCAGATATATTCCCGTGCTGAGAGGCCTGAAGAGACGTCTTTGAGGTCTATAAAAGCAATCGATCACCATGATTCTGTTCCTTCTGCACATAGTACGGTACGGTTCATTTATGCTTGAAGATATCTCTCTGTACAAAGATCTAGATATCGTAACGGCCCCAAAAAGAACAAGATGATTGCTCCTCTCACGTACAAAGACAAGGAAATTGTGCCATGTTTGATCAATGGGCAACCTGCTAAGCTCGATGAAACCCAGCTGATCGAAATCACGTCGTCTGCACAGGGCAAAATCGTTGGCTATGCACAGTCAGCCGACGTCAAAACGGCGCGTGCTGCAGTGGAGGCTACGGCCCAATCGTTCCAAACGTTCAGCGAAATCACCTATGAGAAAAAGAGAGAGCTCCTCAACCGGGCCGCAGACGAGCTGGAGGCTCGCGTCAAGATCCTGGCTCAATATCAAATTGCAGAAACCTCGTGCGCCGAGAGCTTCGCTCGATTCAATATTCTGGAGGCTGCAAAACATGTCCGAGAAATTGCCGCGTCCATCACCGTCGCCGGCACAGGAGAGATTCCTCCAATGGAAGCCGTTGGCCCTACTTGTTTCGTCTACAAGCAGCCAGTTGGGCCGGTTTTGGGAATTGTTCCCTGGAATGGAACCGTCGTGTTGTGTGCGAGAGCTCTTGCGGCTCCTCTAGCTGCTGGCTGCACGTTCCTTCTCAAAGCATCCGAGTTGTCTCCTCGAACTCATTACGGGGTCGTCGAGGCATTCTTAGCCGCTGGCTTTCCTACAGGGGTCATCAACCAGATCCAAGTCCGTAGAGAGGATTCCATCGAGGTAACCGAGGCCATCATTGCACATCCTTCCATCCGGAAAATCGAGTTTATCGGCAGTGCAACGGTCGGTCGTGCAATCGGGCAGACTGCAGGCAAATATTTGAAACCAATCTTGATGGAACTAGGCGGTAAAGGCCCAGCAATTGTACTCAAAGACGCCGATCTTCGCAAGGCGGCTATGTTGTCAGCCCAAGGAGCATTGTTACATCATGGCCAAATCTGCATGTCTACCGAGCGCATCATCGTTGAAAAAGCAGTTGCAGATGAATTTATCAACCATCTTCGTGACGCTGTTGCCTCATTTAACGGGAATGCAGGCTTTGCAGTCACAAAGGCCATGGCCCAGAAGGCCCAGAAGTTGGTGCAAGATGCAACAGATCACGGGGCTCGCCTCCTTATCGGTGGTAACAAGCAACGAGGAGACAGTGGCGCTGCTCTGGAGCCAACGTTCGTCATTGGTGTTGAAGCAGACAATCCGATCTATGACCCCGAAACATTTGGGCCATCGGCAACTGTCTACATCGCCGAAGACGAAAAGGATGCAATCAGGATCGCCAATGACAGTTCGTACGGTCTGACTGGTGCTATCCACACGAGAAACATCCTAAAAGGTCTGCATCTCGCCAAACAGCTAGAGGTTGGATTGGTCACTCTCAACAGCATGACACTGTTGGATCAATCTTCGGTCCCAATCGGTGGAGTCAAGGGATCGGGCTGGGGGAGAAGCAATAGCAGATATTCAGTAGAAGAGTTCCTGATTGTGAAATCAGTAGTGGCCATCGATCCTGACGACCCCATTGCTTGGGGTTCGGCTTGAGCCTTCAAAAAGTTGCAACGTCTGAGGTTGCAATGTTGTCAGTGTGGCTGCCATGTATGACAGTAGGCATTTCATGTTGGTCCGACTTTGTTCATAAAAAGACTTGGCCTGCCAGGTCGCATGTCGCTGGAACAATATCCAAATGACAGCCTAGTGGGTGCATCGACGTCAAGTCTGTTTGCGAGTCCATTGCGTTTTGTGCTTGTGGTACAGCGGTAATGCCATCATCATTAAACACCTGATGACTCGTTGTTGCTGACCCGGTTGTGCTCAGCTGAATTACGGGGTCCTGGTCAGGTAATTTTTCCGGACGACCATCGTGGGATACCTTGCGCCGAGACATCGACGGTAGGAGGACCGAATACTGCTTCAGTAAAGCTTGTCGTTCTTTCCTGGCTGGAGGGTCAATCTCCGTATCAACTCCTTGCTCAATAAATGAGAGCAGCCCTGCAGAGATGGTGAGCGACAAGACACAGAGTGAGAAAATTTGCCAGAATTTGCGGCAAACTTACGGAGCATGGTTGATCCCAGACCCCAGTACTGTGCAATATGTGTCATGATGAGCCTAGCCACCTCGCGGCCCTGGATCGCCAACTCAGAGTCATATACATCAGTACAACTAGGGACCATGACGGCGCAGGATATGAACGGGTGGCAGTATCGAATGAATTCTGCCGTCCAAACCTGTCCAACCTGGTAGATATATGAAGTGATTCGTTTGGAAAAGAGAGCATTGCCTTGTGTCGTAGGGTTCCACGTCAGGTTGTAGTCATCCTCTCGATGACAGCTCGAGCGTTCAAGAATCGTTTCGCATCTGCAGCTCATCAACATATGCGTCGAGGTCAACCTAAAACAGTCGTGTGCTTACGTTGCAATAATCAGATGTATAGCGACAATCCAATTGTTCTGCTCTTGATTGTCGTCTGTAAAGTACAGGGACCGTAATTGGAAGTCAGATGGCAGGGACAATTTGAAGTTGCAGAGATTCATTTCCAGCATCTGTTTCGACGCGGCTGAAGTCCCCGATAGACGTCGGGCATGGAGGATGATGTCGGATTTGATATGATTGGCAACCAAGAACCAAGATCGCGCAGATTGATTTGGACAATTGATTAGGCTCTTCCAAGTGGATTCGCAATGATGATGGATAAAAGCTGACTGGGTTGGAACACCCCGAAGCCAATTATCATTCGGAGCTGGAAGTAAAACTTTGATCTCACCTCTTGCAATGCCATATGGATGAATCGAGAGGGTGGAGATGAAGATGTCCAGTTCCCAGATCGACCACCAAAGCCGCCGACACTCTTCCTTCTTGAGCCACGACTCCGAATTGTCTTCGACACGCTTCTCAGCGCAGCCGTCCACGACAGTGAAAAGATTGCCATCATCATCTATCACATCTAAAGAGAGATCATATGCAAAGCGAATGCAGACGCTGATCAAGACTGACCCAGGACCTATCCTGCCCGCGGACAAGTGGTGAAAGGCAAGTATGACGCAGGCCTCGACAAAGTCCAAGCTTGGCTCCTGGATGTTCTTGAGGATCGAATCCTTCAGCGCTGAGGCGCGACGTGTAAGAATGTCGTCTCGGCTAGCAGGAGGAACATTGTCAAAGTAAGAAGATTTGGAGAACCTTGTTGCGACCGCAAGCATCGAGTAAATCATGAAAGCCTCGTCATTGGAGACTGCCTCCGGCTCGATGAGCTTCTGCTTCTCTCCAACCTGGCGCATGAACCTCCGGATAAATGTGGTCGGGTGAACGAATGTCAAGAATGCTTGCGCGGTTTCCAGGAAGAGACCAATGCTACAGAAGTGAGCCAAGTGAATCTCGGGAGATGTCGTTGCTTACAGCTCTGTTGCCACTTGAGAAGGAAGACCCCACTCGTCGACACAGATCGACGCTTGGAAAAGAGGAGTTGGATCCTCCATGTCTATGCCAACTGAAAGCCACTGATCAAAATCCGGGAGGTTTAGGCCCCATGCCTGTTCCTCGATCCCTATGTCGACAATTGGCACTTGGTCTGGCGGGAATTCTAATGGTGATTCGGATGTGGTGTTCGACCTAAATAGACCCGGTGGCGAAAATGACTCAGGTCGACAGTTATCCATTGAAAGTGGTGCTGATATATCTGCTCATTGGATCAATTCGACACACGACTCGAAGGACAGGCGGAATTGCTCACTTGTATTGTTTGTACAATCGAAAATGTTGGGAGGTGAAACTATCACGCTTAGTTCTGCTCATAGTTACACTATATCTCCACTGACTAATTTCTGCCTGCCTCGTATGAACGAGCTGTTTTTGTGCACTTTTGCGCTTTTGACGGAAAGGAAAGTCGCATGGAACGCCAATCCTCTGACAAAGGCCACAGATGGGTCGCCTCATATCACCTTACCATGTACATATAAGCGCGTGCATTGGAAGGCATAAAAATTGACAAAAAAAGACTTGCATTTTGTTTTCTTCCTGATTTAGAGACAATGTTAGACTCTATAGGAAGGGTTCTCAACACAAGTAGCTAACCTAGCGCAGCCCTGACATGCTCGATTCACCTTGTGAGGAAAGGACGAGTTTCGATCTGGGGAGCCATCGTAGATGCCCGACGAGGCGCTCATGATTCCGAGAAACAAGCTTGATTCTGTGAAGGACGAAGATTGCTTCACATTATGTTTCGATCTTGCAAGGTCAGATCTTGAATGCACGTCTATCGACGGACTTTAGAACTTCGGCCAAGAGTCCGGGGTTCCCCGCGACCAGCTAACTCCGAAGATGATGTAGCAATCATGATGCCGAAGTCCGTAATGCGTTGAAGACAAAGGAGAGAATCGCCGCGCCTCCATGCCAGCGACTTTCCTTTTCACAAGCTTGGAACGACTCGACATCTTTCGATTGTCTATGGGCACCAGAAGCTCTCAGGTCGACTCAAGTGCTGTCTGTTTCTCTGAGAGATTATGAGCATTCATGCAGGACTCGTTGGGCATTTTGGGAGGAACCCGTCCCCACATTTGAATTGATGAATGCGGGGCGGAGGGCCGTGATGTCCGAGAATATCATGTCACAGGGTAGAAGTGATTGGCATAGATGAATCATGCCGGTGCGTCGAGGGAGGCTGATATCGGTTTGTTGGTAAAATCGAGAGTCGTATAGATCAATACACCGTACCCACCGCGGTGTTTTCTGACGAGGAGACAGGGCTACTTACAATGAGGACCTAAGGGGAGACTTATGGAAAGATGCGGAGGTGTGTCCGCAAAGGAACTCACTTAGGCTGCCTTTCAGAGGCTGCGTGACTGCGAGATCCTCTCTGGGTGAAGGGAATTGCCCTCGAATGTTCTTATAGGATAATATCCATCGCTAGGTAGGTAGTTGTGAAGGATATGAGGTCGGTCGAAAAGTAGCACGACATGTATGACAAGAGGATAGAAGCCCATCGTCTGCTTGGACTCGACTTGACGCGTTGCTGATTGTTGACATCATCACGTGGGAGACACAAGAGGGAACGAGGGAAAGAGGCGTTGAGGCGTTGAGGCGTTTGAGGGAAAGAGCGTTGAGGGTAGGAATAATAATAATAATAATAATAATGCGGGGTTGACCCATACGCTGTACGGAGTACATGTGGAAGGTGCCGTGGGGTCTCACTATAGATCAGTCACGTGAATCCACTGCGAAACGCGCCTGCGCCTGAGGCGACGGCACGTGAACAAAAGTTTTTGGAGGAGCGCGCGTCTCCAAGTCGACCGCATCTTATAACAAAGGCGAGGGTATCTCATACATACCTGAGTCGGGTCCGCAGATCTGAACTGAGCAATCATCACTGCTTGAACAGCCAGATTGCACAAAGTCCCCCTCTCCCTTCTACGCTCTTGCCGACATCCTCCTTTTTCAATTCGCAGTGGCCTCTGTTGACTTCACTCCGCCTCTCCTCCCCCATCACCACCCTCATTGGGAAGATCAACGGCCCATACTTCCTGCCCCTCTAGTCGTGCTACCGGCATGCATAAACGCAACAGAAAGTTTCTAAGGAAGAGAAGGGCGTGTCATTGATCAAGAAGGACGTGGAATCTTCCTCTATCGTCATCATGCCGTCTGCTCGTCCTTGCGCGGCTTTCGAGCCTATCTCTCCGGATTTCGATGTCAAGGATCTAGTCGAGTCGACCCCCAACTTTGAATGGGTGGTGCGCATTCCCTGTAAAATGATCGACCACAAGGGCCTCGAAGATTTTGAAAAATTGGTCTTGATCCATGTCATCCTCGGCGGCAAACCGCTGGTCATCGAGGGCTACGAGACTAAGCTTGACAAGTGGACGTTTGCCCTTCAGTGGCTCCGAGATAATTGCGGTTCGAAAGGTCTGTACCCCATGACATCTTCTCCAAGTGTCCTTTGACTGACTCGATCTCCTAGTCGAGACTGCTCGTGATCTAACCAAGAAGGCTAACGTCCCTCTCTCTATCGGCCACTACTTGAACAACATGGCGCTCCTCACCGACCAATGGTCTGACCGAAATTATAAAGATCCGGATCGTCAGCGCATGTACCTCAAGGACATCGACTGTCCACCGCTATGGCAAGAAAAACTCAAATCGGTCCTTCCTGTTGGCCTCTTCTACCTGAACGACTCTACTGGCGAGGTCAATGGCTTCGGCGCTGTCGACGAAAATGACCCAACTCATCCCTCAGGTTTTCGGAAAGGAAGAGGTATTGCTAAAGCTGGCGACCTGATGAGTAGCCTCCCTGTCGAAATGCGCGCTGAGAATCTCATGTGCTATATTGGACATGAGGGCACATATACTCCCGCCCATCGGGAAATGTGCGCAAGCCTAGGCCAGAATATCATGGTGGAGGCTTCTACAGGGCTCATTGAGGATGGCAAGCCCACAAAGGCGGGCTCTTCCATCTGGTTCATGACCGAGAGCAAAGAACGAGAAGTTGTCTCCGAATACTGGCTTTCCCGACTTGGCCATGACATTGAGATCGAAAACCATTTTGCTCAAGTCAACGCCTGGAAGAACGCACCCTTCAAGACGTATATTGTCGAGCAGAAGCCAGGTGACTTCATCCTCATCCCACCTCTGGCTCCTCACCAAGTCTGGAACCGTGGTACCCGTACTATGAAGGTGGCCTGGAATCGCACTACAGTTGAAACCCTAGAAATGGCCCTGAACGAAGCCCTGCCAAAGGCCCGCATTGTCTGCCGCGACGAACAGTACAAAAACAAAGCCATGATTTACTACACATTACAAAAGTACTCGAAACTTCTCAAGAACGCAGACAAGGTCAAGCATAAACTCTCAACTTCAAACGCCCGACCCATGAATAATACAAAAGTCCGACAGCTGGAGAAAGACTTTCGTCGACTACACGCCCTCTTCACAGATATGCTTGTCTGCGAGAGCTTCATCCCGGACCGACCAGAGAAGAACGTTGAGAGGCTTACCTATGACAGTTTCATCACCTGCTCTTACTGCCGATGTAACATCTTCAATCGGTTTCTCACCTGCCCTAATTGCGTTCAGACTGTCCCCGGCGGCGATGATGATACCTACGATATTTGTTTGGACTGCTACGCCATGGGTCGCAGCTGTGCTTGCATCTCCCGGCTCAGATGGGTTGAACAATGGCCCCAGGATGAGCTGCTTCAAAACCACGAACAATGGCGTCTTCAGATCATCCAATTCGAGGCCAAGGTGACTGAGAAGTCCCCGCGGTCTCTCCACAAGGAGCTTGAACGACGCGGTGACAGCCTCACTCTAGCACAGATCTGTCAGCATGAACTAGCTCGCAGACCGTTTCGTGACATTCGTCAGCCGGCTTCCCCAGTCGTCCAGCACGAATCCGAAGAAGAACCCGACGTCGATGAAAATGGCAACGTCAAGAAGAAGATCAGAAAAAAGACCAAGAAATTCATCCGTGACCACGCCCGTTGTCACGTTGATTGCCATTGGGAACCCAAGTGGAAACAGGCTTCGTGCACCACATGCGATAAGAACTATTGCTATGGTCTATTGTACAGAGCCTACGACATGAAGCCCCAGGATGTTCTGGCCGACCCACGGTGGCGGTGCCCCAGTTGTCGCAACATGTGCGGATGTCGGAACTGTCGAAATAAGCCTGGATACAGACCATACACACCATCCGGCACTCTATTGGGCCACAATACTAAAGCAATTGCCGATGTGAGATCGGTTGAGAGCCTGGTAGACTTCTCACATTCCAACATTGGTTGGATCGAAAAGGCTGGTGATGACGATCCTGCCAATAACAAGCGACTTAACAAGCGCAAAAAGGATGCCGCATTTGCCAAAGATCAAGAAACCCAACTTGGTGATGACTATGTTGACATGGACCCTACACTACCTGACGAAGTTGACCAAGGTATCCTCCGCCTGGCTGAGCACGAGGGAATCCCGATCGACCCTGCATTGAGAGGTTCCACAGATAGGCCAACCAACGACTCTCGCGAAGAGGACGATGAGTACGACGAGCACCCCGAAGGTCCGCGACGGCCTGAAGCAACTTCTGCCTTTGAGCCTGTTGAGATGCAATACCAGGTGCCTGAAGGAGGTGTCATTCGTGATGCGGAGCACGCATATGACTTTACAGAAGCTATCACTTACGACTATCCTGACCCAGATGTCGGACGCCATGTTCCGTCGGCGGTGGAAGAGGAATACCTGACATCCGCACCCGTGGAGAGTGCACCAGCACTCCCCACTGAGAGTGCGGACGATATCTCCATGATCAACCGGAAGCGTAAGCGGGCCAAAGTCGACGAAGGTGATAGACCGTTCAACTACAAGAAGGGTACAGCCAAAAAGGCTTCACAGCAGCGAAAGTCGATGATTGTGAAGCTGAAGGTCGATGGCCCCAGATTGGCAGAGATAAAGAGTATGGCGGTGATTGCTCGCCAGGCCTTGAACGGAGTAGAGATCCCTGCTCCAGTGATTGGCTCCGACTTACAGGCTCTCAATGTGACAGAAGGTCATCATCAACAAGCCCCGAAGAAAGTGCGAAGGAATGACCTCGCGGCCGATATGCAAGACGACGATGATTTTACCCCAGGACGCTACCGTGACCGTAGGAAGGGCCGAACGGACGGAGAGCAGTCGGCACCTCCAAATGCTGACATCACCAGACGACGAACCAGGATGAACCACTATCACTATGAGGAACCGGACGAAGAAGAGTTCAATGAAGTGGTCAATAAGAGGTCGACGACTCGTACACAACGCCCTCCACGCAATGTCAATGTCGTCAGGCTAGACGATGCTGATGTCGACACGATGAGCCTTGATCTAGACTCACCCGGTGCGAATGATGCAGACGTTGGTCAGAGTCACTCAGACCCAGCAGAGTCTGGCTCCGATGAATTTGGCCCATCCAGATCTTTGGAAGGCACATTGAGGCCGGCAACGTCTGTTTACCCTTCCGCTACGACCAAACCACTTGGTGTAACTTCGTCCTTGGCAGAAGCGCAAGTGAATAGAAGAGCCAAAATGGCTGCCATGGAATGGGCGGAAGGTGATAGTGATGACCTTGACGATGTCTGGTCGAACCTATCATTCATGGAGGACTCGGACCCAGCGGCTGATGGGCGAGCCTCAGATGGGCAAAAGGGCGACAAGCAAGTGGGCAATGATAGGACGATGTCAGCGGACATACCGCCAAAGCCCAAGGGTCAATCAAATATACGACAGACTACAGCATCCAAGACAGCCGTTGACAAGGCCCCATCGCGCCCCCTCAAGACCTTCAAAGTGTCGGTGGCTGCTTGGGGGGACAGCGATGATTCTTCGGAAGAGGATAGACACCCAAAGACGAGCCATAATTGGCAAGCGGTCAATGTGCGCCATCCAGTTACGAAGACACCAACCGTGGTGGCTAAGCCTCGAGGACGTCCTCGAAAATATTGAGGAGCGATAACCAGGGACGTTGTTCTAGGTTTGTATCTCTGTGGACAGGATGATTCTGCAGGGGCTGTTACTTTAGGTGTCTCTGATTGCACCACATACCTACGAGGTTGGATCTAGCGGGGATGATCGAGGGTGAATGACCATTATCAAGGGTGGATGAACTGGACCATCACGTTGGCTTCAATATATGTATGATGTGAACGATTGCAGGTGGGCTCACAAGCTGGAAATACGACGACAATTCACTTCACGAACATGCAGTGATGTAATTAGGTACTGGATTCACGGTCTGACTATCTTGACGATGAGATTTCACGAACATCAAGTGACGTTGTTCCTGGCTTCACGGTCTGACCATCTCGAGAGTAACAGCAAAGCGTGAACTATGTCTGCCTTTCTTGCTGGTGAAGTAAATATGTTTCCTCTCCTGGCTTATAAATGTCTTCAGGCACTACCATCCTTCGCCCTGACGCTCTCTCTTTCCCACCGCACCACACTTTCGACACTGTTGACGGCGATCAAGGATCACAGGTGAGAGAAACGTTTCCCATCAAAAGATGTTGTGACCAACGTTGCTGATCTGCAGTAGTGCCCCCAAAGCATCAAAGCCCACACAGTCGGACGAGGCCTTCCAATTGCAAAAATCTCGCCACGTGCTCCTTGACCATGCTCTCGACACTGAAACGCTTGCTCCCAATAACATTCATCCTCCTCGTGTTCCTGATCAATCTCTGTAAAGCGGCCGGTCCATCCTTTGTGCAGAATGGAAGAAGCAATGACGATCTAAGGCAACTCTCCGCAGCCTTCAGAGACGCAGTCAACCTTGCCAGAGTGGCTATAATTGCATTCAATGGGGAAAACTGCAACATCGCCACCGATGCTGTCTTTGATCGGTTCTTCCGTCCTCAGGATGCCACTTTCGTCGAGCAAATCCTTCGTACCATTGCCAACATCGACCTCAACCTGCAAATCCATCCCGACACCATCCTAGGAGTCCTTCGTAGCACTCCGTTGAACCCCACCTTTGATCGCTTGTCCATTTCGATCGGAGACCACCCCAGGGGTCATCATTCGGAGTGCAGAAATGGAGTTCCTGGAATGAGATTGTTTGCGTACACGGAGGAACAAAGAGATGGGAGTGCGTACATCAGCGTTTGTGACGTATGTCTCAAGTATCCCACAATAGGAGATATAACCCACGATACATGGCCGAATGGAACGCCAAAAGGTCCTGGGTATGGCTGCAATGGGCTGTTGAATAGAGAAACGGAATTCATGCTCAGCTGCGGTGCTACACTCCTCCATGAGATCGTCCACTGGTCAGCGCTATTTCGAGGCATCCCTACCTTTAACCAGCTGATACCGTTTGATCATACAACTGGCTTTCGAACCATCGACGACTTTGAAGGGCCCGATCCGGCAAACGGGGCTGGGTTTTATAACGCGAAGCGGCTTAAAGATTTGGGCCATAACCCTTTGAACAACGCTGACAACTATCTCATGTTTGTGGTTTCGAGTTACTGGAGGTGGCAATGCGGTAGGGAGTTTGGTCCAGCGCTGTCGATTCGAGATGATTCTGCAAGATGGGACCAGATACATGGTATAGTCAGCACAAGCAGTTCTGGTATAAGGAGGCATGTGATGCACAAGAAATGGACACCTATCAACAACCAGTCTAGCACGGAGCCTAGTGAGCACAACGACGAAACCTGAGACTCCGAGAGATGAGAAAGATGAACAAGTAAAAAGTACCTAAGTAGATAGAGTGAACAAGAACTTGGGTACCTCCAGTCCATAGGGACGAATAACAGGCCGGAGATAAAAGTGACGCGCTCGGTGTTAAACCCGAAGAGGCATTTTCGATTTTTGCCTGGAGAAGAACGTCCAGGTTCATCAGAGCAATCATGACATGGTTACAATTCTGCCTGCCAGGTATACTTACAACGTTCGCCGCCTTGTGATATGATCAAGGTCTTGTGCTCTATACTTCCAAACCTCTTCTGATCAACACTCGTCGTGCAAATATGGAGAGCATGCGTCTGCTCCAGCGCACAGCTCTCGCACAGCTCCTTGAAGCGAGGCCTGCCGCCCTCCGTCGCGCCTTTCATCAGGTCGAACGAGCGTCATCACAGCCCCTGCGCACAAGAACGGTCCCGCACGGCATCCAGGCAAGAAGATCATATCACAGTAATCCGCAGCAGTTCTCCCGTCCAACACTCTCAACCTCCTCTTCTCCATTCCGCACTCCCACGCGCCGCACACCTCACACCACCATCGGCCGACCCTCGAGCAACACACACCACTACAACCGCCGCAACGGAGGAAGACGATGGAATTCGACCTCGTCGACCCCAGAGGAAAAGTTAACTCTATCACAACGGCTGAAGAAATTGTCCCGTGAATACGGCTGGTCCGCGCTGGGTGTGTACCTCTTGCTGACGGCGGCCGACTTTCCCTTTTGTTTTCTGGCGGTGCGCCTACTCGGCACTGACCGCATTGGACATTGGGAGCACGTCGTTATTGAGACGGTTAAGTCATGGGTCAAGTGGCCACTGCCAGCCACTGCACAGACCCAGCTCAACTCGGCGGGTGACTTGATAGAAGAGGCTCTCCGCATCGACGGCGACAAGGCCTCCACAGAACAGCACACTACTTCACCAAGGCTACTTGAGGAAGGCCAGGAGCAGCATGACGATGCTGATGAGGTTGAGGATCACGGGTACAAGGCGGCCCAGGCGGCGAATTCTGGCGCCAATGCTAGTATGTTTATCTTTGTTCGGGGTTTCGAAATGCTATAACCAGTGAATGAATGCTAATGAACAACTCCTGCGCCACAGGTATCTGGACACAGCTCGCTCTCGCCTACGCTATCCACAAATCCTTCATCTTTATCCGTGTCCCACTCACCGTCTCCATCACCCCTAAGGTCGTCAAAACTTTAAGAGGCTGGGGATGGAATATTGGCAAGGTCCCGAGCCGAAAGGGCATTCAAGGCTCCAGTTCAAGTCCTGGTTCTAGCTCCGGTGCAACTGGTGTCAACACCAAAGGCAGCAAGGTCAAGCCCGATGATTGAACCCAGTGAGGTGTTGCGTAGGTACCACGGGTGTATGGCACGGCATGGCAAAGACAGGGCAGGGCAGGTCAAGCAGAGAGAGCTTGTCGGGCTAAGGTCCCCCTCGTCCATTTGTTTACAACAGACTCCTCTCGCACATCTTGTACAACACCACCAGACAAAAGACGGAGATGACTGAATCTGGCACATGTCGCAAAGCCATTTGACCACATGATGCAGATATTAAATAATGTACATGCTTATTCTTTGTCTGTCTCACGAGACAAGCTAGCTTCTCTCCAAGCTCATAGGATCCCTCCCATCCGTCGTCAGCAACTGCCACGTCTTGCCCGTGGAATCCGTCAGACTCCACTCCATCGTCTCAAAGTAGCTGCCCTTTTTCCTCAGACTGACAAATCTGGTCAGAGCCTGCGATTTTGTGCCCTTGACCCAAAAGCTAATGTCGATAGTGCCATGCAGTTGGTTCAACTCGCCTCGAATCCACGGGGTTTTGCTGGCAAAGTAGATTTCGTCGCCGAGAATCTCGCGCGCCGTCTCGTTGGTGCGCAGTGCGTACATGATCGAACTGACGGTTGAGGACGTCGACTTTTGGTAGTTGAAGATGGCGAGGCTGGAGGCAGCCACAAGGACGAAGAATATAGGTAACGTTTTGACCCAGATCCCCGTCTTGGGCAGTCGAGGCAATTCCCGATCTCCTCGTCGAGAGAGCAGCGGCCCTGATCCTTCGTCTGGTGGAGGTACGAGCGGTCGCACGATTCGCGACGCCGAGGGGCTATTCGTCGTGGATGTGAATCGAACAGGTATGGTCCTGCAAGGTCGACTGGGAAAGAGGACTGATGTGCGGTATGAGGATTGGAGGGGAGAGCGAAACATTGTGCTGGTAGGCTTCCACAGCCCAGTAGACGCAGTGAGGAGACTCCTCGACCGCATGTTGGACATTTTAGGTTGAAGAGGTACTTCTCAAAAGGCCTATAAGAGACTCGTTGTTGCTGTTGAGCTGGGCGAGTCTGCTACATCCATGGCCGCATCGTCGTTCCTCCAAATAAAAGACATCATGAGATGCGGCAAAAGATACTCAACCGTCTCAAGTAGCTTCCTAGTCGGCAGTTGCCAAGAAAAGGAAAATCCACTCCTAACTCACCTCCTTCAGGGCGAAGGTGATGCCGCCCTAACCTCCCGTGTCTCACCTACCGTGGGGGCCTCAGGCCGCTTGGGCTGTGGTCTTATCATGCGTGCATGCACTACTCCGCAGGTACTTGGGCACGTTCTGGGTCACTGATGATCAAGCCTAAAGACGCTAGTTGGGTTGTAGTCCATATTGGCTGGAACTGTGCTCGCGACGAAGCGCGATTGAAAGGCAACACAGTCGCAAAGTTCTACAGTACCCTGGGTGTAGATGCATGGGAACGACGTGCTTACACAAAGTCACGTGTGAAACCCGTCGCACTTTTTGGGCGCGCACTTCCAAGGGAAGTGGTACTACTAGGGGGATTTCAAGTCCTCATGGATTCATCCTCTGTCTAATATGCACGTAGAACTCCTCCTGCTTCACGAAGAAAGCGTTGTGCAACTTCCACGGCGTTCCCGGGTGGGCTAGTTGCAGCTACGGGCAACGTCAGAAAGGCTGGACATACAATATGGGGGAGACTTTACCTCGAATTTTTGCAAGATGGCAGGCACCAGCTTGAAAATCTCTAAGAAGCTGATGTTTTTTCCTATGCAGGTCCTCGCTCCCGCCCCGAAGGAGAGAAGATGACGCTCCATGCTGGCACGCTGCTCGGCGGAAGCATTCAACCAACGTTCTGGATTGAATCGGTCTGGATGTGCGCCAAAGACCGTCTGGTCCCGGTGGATAGTCCAGGCGTTGCATCCTACGATGGTACCTTTAGGGAGGGTGGTGCCACCAAGGGTGAGGCCGCCAGACGGGACGACCCTCTCCAACGTCATTCCGACTGCTGGGTGGATCCTCAGAGCTTCCTTCACCACTGCTGAAAGATATGGGAGCTCATAGACATCTTTCCACTTGGGCAGAGCCATACCGCCGGTGGACTCGTCTAAGCTTCGCAATACCTTTAGTTCCGCCATCAACTTCTCCATGATGGTCTCATCTTGTAGGAGGTGGTAAAATATGGTGCGTAACGTGATGGCTGTTGTATCGGAGCCCGCAAATACGTTTGCTGCCGTGAGGCCCAGGACTCGTCCCGGATGCATAAACTCTGGCTGGTTGGCACTGACGTTTAGGAATCGAGAGAGAAAATCGCTAGAGCTGGACTTTTTGACCGCTGGGTCGAGATTATCGAAACCCAGCTTCGACTGCTCCAGTCTCTCCGTGATTCGTGACTTGGCAAAAGATACCACGGGCGTTTCAGAGCTGCCAAAGCCAAGTTTACTTGCCCATAGTCGGATTGGATTCTTTAATAAAAGTCTGTCCAGGACTGGGAGTTGGCCGATCTGTGTAGATGGGAAGAAAGAGATTAGACATGCTATCATGCAGCCGCACCAGAGAACTGACCACATTCGCATAATCCAAGAAGCTGTCATTACTAGCAATAATACCCTCGACATCGACTCCACGTTCGATGAAGCCCAGGCGTTTGGAGAAAGTAAGTTCTCCGATCACGTCAAAGGCGTAGAACTGAAGCCATCGTCCAAAGTCACATACTGTATGCTTGTCTGCAAACCGTCGTTGCAATTCCTGCAAGAAGATTGTCGTGGTGGAATCAACAAGATGTTCGAACCCTACGAGAGTGCTCATGGCATAGGCATGGGACACGCATCGTCGGAGTTGGGCATGAAATGCTTCGTCGGTCGAATTGAACATGCCCTGGAGCACACGGCCATCCTTTGTCACTGTTCGCTGGACAACGTAGTAATCGGACTGTCGGTGAAACAATCACAAATGTCAGAAAAGAAAGGCCAGCAAATTGAAACTGTTCAAAACTTGCTCAGAGAGAGAAAGCAAGGAGATGATGTCTCACACCTTCACACAGCCAGCATTTAGGCCATAGATGGCCTTGATGGCCGCCGGATCGCTCACAGAGACGGAATTTGGCCCGAGGCGCACGAGAGAACCATATTTCTCGTGAAGGCGGATGTGGTGTCGTTCTGGATGTCGTCCGAGTGCGACGCTTAAACGCCACCAATCTGTGTACGCTGCCCAAAATGGTCCTTTGATCTGGCTAATACCATAACCATACTTGTTGAATAGAGCTTTGACGATCAACCCTATAAACAATAGGAGGATAGTGACAGTCGGCTTTAGTAACGTTAAAACTGACATGATAGTTGCGAAGACATGTACGTTGGCTGCTATAGCTGACTCTTCATATACTGTCGACTGTAAAGTACCGTCCTTCAACCCAGCAGCTCGGGAATGGGAGTAGCGACACACCGTAATCTATTTAGGCTAGCTGTCGGAGAATGACTGGGGATAGTCCGTAAGCGTTCTGTTATGAATCGGACGGACGCCCGGGGCGTCCGCACATTCACATAGGTTCCCGTGGTTCCCTAGCTAGGGCACAGTCAGTACTGTGTGGCTTCACACTAGACGAGTCAGGATCCTGATTGGGGTTTTGCCATTCTGTGATGTGAAAGTAAATCTGCTAGAATCCGGCGATCGGATCCCTCGAAGAACGGCACATAGCAGTGAACAAGGGTTTAGAATATTTATTGGAATGTAGGTTCAGGATCACCTAGTGTCGTTATCTAACTATGTAATAGCTCAGAGCGAGGGAGAGAGAGAGACAGAGAGAGAGAGAGAGAGAGAGAGGAATATCTCTTCCTAGACTAGATACAGGCAGCGGCGAAGTATATTGAATATAGGCTTTTTGGAAGGAGATAACGAAAGGAGCTCGGCTCCTGGCAACAATATTCACGGCAAATACCGTGAGGCGGGGAATACTGGGGTATTCCCCGTGGGGGTCTCCGTGCCTGTGTGACACGCAATGCCAGGTATGAGTACCTGGGTACCTACTTAGTAGTTAGCACATATGTTTTTGCTGGTCCTTACATTTGGCATTGTACTTCGCTGTTCGTCACATAATCTGCCTCTCACAAGACTGGTCATCGATATTCAAGGCAAAGATGATTTCCCTGCAGATTGCAGTGCTCGCAGCCTCTGCAGTATTGTCTCTCTTCATTCTTCGCCATATCATTATCCTCAAAAGGTACCCCTCTGCACCAGGGCCTCGAGTTGCGCTTTTATCACGTCATTGGTACGCATGGAAAGTATGGAAAGGGAAGTTTGAAACCTGGAACATGGCGCAGCACCGGATTCATGGCAAGGTCATACGAGTGGCTCCAGACATGTACAGCATCGACGACTTAGAGGCGATGAAGAGAATTTACGGTGTCGCCTCAGACATGCCAAAGTCGAATTGGTACGCCGTCTGGTCCGCTAATGGAAAGAGGGGCAACAATTTGTTTTCGTTGGAAGATCGTCATATTCATGGTCAAATGCGTCGTAAAGTCGCTAGCATGTATTCAATGTCCACCATCAAGCAATACGAGCCGTACGTCGACAAGTGTAATAGAGTTCTGATGCAGCAATTCGAAAAGCTCGAGGCGGCAGGACAGGCTTTCGATCTGCAGAGGTGGATGCAGAGTTACGCTTTCGACGTGATCGGTGAAATCACCTTTTCGAGCAGCGTTGGTTTCATGGAGGCCGGTGGCAAGGATATTGACAATATCATGAGTCTGCTCGACTCGTTGAACTCCTTTTGCACCATTATTGGCATTGATCGAGGCCTCTTTCCATTACTGTATGCGAAATTCGGTATCCCTTCTGCGGGATTACTGACCTGGGTGGAGAAGCTCAGTCAACTACGCAGACAGTCCATTGGAAAACAGGCGCCTGGTACGATTCAGGACTTCCATTCAAAGGTGGATGCTTTGAAGGAGAAGGATCCAGAGGGCGCTTTCATTCACAATGTTGATAATACTCTGGTACAGAACGTGGCTGCAGGAAGCGATACAACGAGCATTACTCTCACGGCGATTCTATTCCATCTGGCGAAGAACCCTACTGTTATGAAAAAATTACGTTTTGAGATCATGACCGCCATAGCAGACGGTAAAATCTCCAGTCCAATCACATTTGACGAGGCACAGCAACTACCATATTTAGCGAACGTCGTAAAGGAGGGCATGCGACTTCATCCTGCAGTCGGTCTGCCTTTGTGGCGCGTCGTTCAGGAACCTGGGGTGACTTTAGCAGACAAGTTTTTCCCTCCGGGAGTAGGTCTCCCCTTCAAAAGAACCATATCCTCTTAATGGCTAACATCAGTACTGCAGACTGTCGTGGGTATAAATGCTTGGGTCGCTCACAATAACAGCGAGGTTTACGGTCCCGACGTCAATGAATTCAAGCCTGAACGCTGGGATCCGTCGATGACGCCTGCTGAGCAACTGATGCAGATGGAACGATACTATATACCCTTCGGCGCCGGGACACGCACTTGCATCGGCAAGAATATATCTATACTAGAACTCATGAAGGTTATCCCTGAGTTGCTTAGGCGGTACGAAATCGAATTGATTTCACGGGAGATGAAGACACAAAATCATTGGTTTGTGAAGCAACATAATGTGATGGTGCGAATTCGGAAAATATGAGCAACACTCAGGGTTACGAAAGCCGTGCTAGTTTAGCCTCAGCTGCCATTGCTCTTCATCATCAATCTACCGTGCTTTTCTATTTCCCCCGTGCAAGTTATCAAGTGTATGCGAGCCTCGTATCATGAGAGCAATGGGCTGTTCTTGTCCAGCATCTATCCTCGAGCCACAGATGTTTCCAATGACATGGTTCGTAACGGACCGATCGTACTCGGTGAATTGTTCCGGACGCTGGTCGGAACTCGCTAGGACAATTGAAAAGGCTTCTTGAATCCATTCACCTTTTATGGGTCATTAGGTTAATTTTCTCAAGTTTTAGGGGCTTCAAGAGATATAATTAAGATGTCTAAGAGTCCCTCCAGATGCTAAGGGTAACTCTTCTCTATATCAATACTTGTATAAAGAGATTACCAAGTTTCACGCCTAAAATTGCTTCCTTAGCGCCTATTTAGCCGATTTAGGTGCTAATCAATGACATCATCCTTCAATCCAGGATTTGATAATGGTTGGATACCACTGACCTAGCAGCTAGTGTTCTTGTGCTAAAGCTCTAGCCAAGTTAGAATTCTTCTCTCTCTAGCAAATTAGGATCTGTACGAGGTTTCCCACTACCTGCCACATTCTCTCATCAAATGGATACCCATTCCAAGGATACGTCCGACTTTCTGTCGCGAGCATATGCTCTCAACAGTGTCTCAGCAGCCCAGACTCTCTACAACGAGTGGGCCGAGTCCTACGATACATATCTGGATCTTGAGGGTTATGCCTTCCCCGAGCGCGCCGTCCAAGTTTTGCTGAAAGTTATTCAGCGGGAGACTCTAGATGAGTCTGTCAAGGTGCTAGATGCTGGCTGCGGAACCGGCCGAGTTGGCGCAGTGCTTGCGCAAAAGGGAGCTCGCCAAATCGACGGCATTGATCTCAGTCCAGGCATGCTGGCCCAAGCAGAGAAGTCTCATCATTATGCCTCCCTTCAAGAGGTTGACCTCACAAAAACGATTCCAAAGCCCGACGAGTCTTATGATGTCGTCATCTGTGTCGGCACCCTGACCCAAGGCCATGTTGGACCCGCTGTGCTTGATGAGTTTATCAGAGTCGTCAAGGTCGGCGGCGTCGTAGTGGCAACCATCCCCGACACCGTTTGGGAAGCGGCTGGATTCAGCACAAAGATCGACCAACTTCTCTATGATGGTCGGGTGGCGCTGCTGCGGTCTGACGCTGTAGGTATCCTCAAAACCACCACTTCGGGGGCAAGAATACTGGCCCTTGAGAGAAAATAGTGGTGAATGGATGTCAATCCGGGTCTGAAGACAAATCTTGGGGGCAATATTTCCTAGTCACCTGGATGGCTCCCTCACGATCCTTCCGGGTCTCGGCTCCAGAATTTATAAGGGCCAAAGAGCCAGCCCATCCTGGTCCGCGAAGCCGGGATCTTGAATACGCTGCTCAGGGGACCCGTCAACTTTTGGTAGGTATAGTCGGTCCACAAGACGCCCCAACTCAAACCCGTCAGCACATCAACCCTTGAGCCCTGGAAGGTTGCGCCAACCCAGTCGGTGAAGTTGTCGACCCATTCAGGAAGAAAACTGTCTCTCGTGGTGGTAGTGGCAAGGTCCGAGCTAGAAGTACGGCTTCCTGAACCGAAACTAAATGTCCCGTTGGACACGATGTTGACGGCTGGGCCCATCATGAAGCCACGAGTATAGTTGAACAATGGGGTCGTGACGTCTACCTGAAGTCCTGGTGAGAGGGCAAAGCCAAGCTCAAGGTCTGGGAAATCCATTGTGGCCCGGACGTAGTCAAAGGTCAGGCCGCTGGTCGAAGGTGGCCCAATGCCCAGTTTAGCTGCATCCAGATCGATTGTGCCATTCTCTCCTCCTCCCAGCAATTCAAAGTCAAAGCTGATTGGATTCCAGCTGTAGGAGTAGTCGATGGTCACTGACCCGTTGGAGCCTGAGGAGAAGACTGAGGACAAGTGTACGACAAAGAAGAGATCGATTTCGAGCTCCCTGAGCGCGGTGGAGCAGCCGCCTAATGGAACCGCCGCAATTCTCACATATGCGGTCTCCTTGACTCTCTGGAATGGATCTCGACATTGCATTCGTATTGATGCTCGGTTCTTGAGGCTATAGTTGTGGAAGGAGAGTGTGGGTGGAAAGACGGTAGCGGCATTCTCACCGAATCGGAATTCTAGGTCCCAATCAAGGAGGTCAACTGTGGCGATGAACTTGCTTAGTGGCTGTCGCAGAAGAAGACCGAGAGGAAAAGAAAAGAAGAAATCAAACTTACTATCACATCCGTCGAGAAATCCAGCGTCGCTACTTTCCTGACGCTTCTCCAAGTCTGGAGCGGCCACGTCCAATGCGCCCAGACCAGGGAGACCGTCATTCTCGTCTGTCCAGATCGGTTCGGCATCCCTTTTCTGCGGCGCCGCTGTGATGAAACCAATCGGAGCAGCCACTGCCGTGGCTGGGCTTGGTGTTGGTTTCAAATTGTCAACAACCGCACGTTCAAGCAATGTCGCCTCTGAGGTGCGAGATACTTCTGTCGAAGTTGTAGTCGAGCTACTGAGAATGGTGAAGCGTTTCAAGACCTGGCTGGCGCTAGACAATGCCTCTTCGGCTTTGGCTTCTGCACGCTTCAGGCCATCGATGTCCAGCAGTTTGAGCGGGAAGGGGATATCGCCCGTGGTGATCAATTTCTCGGCGTCGATCTTGAAAAGTTGCTTCCACCAGGTCCCGGAGTCTCTGTCCCGGGGCTCTTTATCGCGACGGAATGCACATGTTGCCTGAGGACCAGAGGGAGAAGAAGTACTGCCCGGAGTTGTCGTGATTGTGGTTGTGGGAGGATTAGTTGTCGTAAAGGGTGGGGATGAACTCGTGATAGTCACTCGTGGGTCTGGAGTCCGCCACAGTTCTACCCAGTATTTTCCGTTCTGGTAAAATTGATACAATTTGTATGTGAAGCCCTCCCAGCCCGGCACCTGAGGCAGTTTGGACAGGTCCAAGTCAACAGTCACATCCGGCGTGTTGAAGGCGTCGTCTAGGGTTCTCTGTTGCATATCGTTGATATACATGATCTTCATGCCTTGGTTCACTAGGGTGATGGTGTTCTGAATGGTTTGGACTGTTGGTTTGGCCAAGCTAGGAATTATTTTGACTACGCTGAAAATGTCTGCAATTCCACGCTTCGAAACTTGGTGGGCAATTGGCAGATCGCGGCGTACATTCCTCGGCTGGTAGAAGTCGATATTTCGCTCACTGGCATTTCCAATAGGTCCGGGAGTAAAGTAATCATATTCCTCAGGGGCGGTATCCAAGGAACCCACCACGGCACGAAAGTCGTCTGCATATGCCTCATAGGTGATGGTGCGATTCAGCCAGTTGACATTCAGCAGGTCATGCAATACAACCACAACATACTGCATGTCTGGGTCGTTGATTGCCTCATAATACCTCTCCTCCTCGTCGTGGTCAACAAAAACCACATCGGGATCACTGTATCCTAGCAATGTCCAGTCCGAGATGTCTCCGCAATATGAGACCCAGTCATTTGGAATGATGATAACCCCGGATTCGAACGTCTCTCCCCACTCTTGAAGGGTCCCATTGATCGGGAGATCGTCGTCAAAGTACAAGGTTAGTTCGTTATCGGGACAGTCAAATTGGATTCCCATGTCCGGACCAAGGAGGTAAATTTCCTCTTGCAAGTACACGAGCATGTCATTGTCATTGTCATTGTCATCGTCGTAATCCTCGGGCGAGATGGATGCGAATGGTGGGGGCGACGAAGATGACATTGTCGAAATAGTGACAGAAGTTGTCGTAGTCATAGATGACTCGCTGGTTAGCCATGTTGATGTTGTCGTAGATGACTCGCTGGCTAGCCATGTTGATGTTGTCGTTGGAGGTAGCGTGGGAATCGTGAAATCAAGCCAATCATTGCCGCGTTTCAAGAGCTGTCGATCACGAACTGGTATGACTTTGGCATACACCGTTGTCGTCGTGATCGATAGCACCCAGATCAACCGTTCCAGATACATTGTCTGTGACTGCTTGCAATTGATGTTTGACCAGAAATGATGGAGCAGAACATGAGGTAGTCTGTACTAAAAGGCTTCTGGACGAGGCAGCACGGCGTAGATATGGTTGCTGTGGTAGCTTCCTGGGACCTTCATCTCGCATCGTTTCCCTGGGTCACGAAAAGATCCTGACGTTCAATGCTTATAACTGCGAACTAGCGGACGATGCTCACCGTTGAGAGAATATTCGAAACATCCCATGGCCCACAGAGTGTCTCCGAGCTTGTAGAGGCCAAAGAAGACTATTGACCATCTCCAGAGAAACTTGCATACACTAAGAGCATCAAAGACAACAGGAGAGTCCACTTGAGTCTGATCGGGTCCAACCTGGCGTGTGCTAAAAATTCCAAGACAAGCTAGCAAGTTGGTGATTTCTGAATCTTGGGAAGGCTCGGTTTATACAACCATGATAGCGGACTTATGGCGTTGTGTCAATCGCGTGGTTGCGTGGTTGCCATGTAAACATCAACAAATGCCCCGTGTGCTAAGAGCACAGACCTTGTTCCCGGCCAGGTGTGTGGCACTAGAAGGAGACCATCGACATTGCGCACGGGCCTCAAAAGGAGATGAGGCTCATCGGGCGCAATGAGCATATCGAATTCTAGTGTTTATCATTGAAGCCGTTGCCAATGCCCTGGAAGATTTGCAGCTCTCAAACATCTCTCGAACATCTGCTCTTGCTGGTCAGCATCTGCCTGATATCACAAAAAGCTCCTCAGCCGGCAATCAAGGACCGCGACCTTCACATACCAGATTCACTCATCTCTTCTCTCCATTACAGTTCCTCCTTACTTTACTTCTATTATTGATCCCTTATATCGATGATGAAAAAGCCCCAACAGACCAACATGTCAAAGGCCATTGTGGCGGCCCTATTAGTATCCCAAATTTCCCTCTCATGTGCAAAGCTAACAAGTACACCAGTTGCTTACCTTGGACTAGGAGATGGCGTAGGAATTCCGGTAATAGACGCGTACGATTTGGAAGTGAACGATGCGGGAGTGTGGAGTAAGTACTTCAACCGGCGAAATTTCGAGCGTCAGCCTTCCCAACAGCAAAATGCTGATAAGAAAAATAGATGTTGATGTCGGCGGCGACTACCAATGGTCTAAACCCTATACGTTGCACAGTCAAGCGCAAAGGAGAGGGCTTCAACCGTTGGAATCCAAGGCACTATCGCCCCAGTATTCCATCGATTATGAGACTACAGGGACCTGTTCAAGCGACATCACCGTGATGGACGCAGACACAGGAGAAGTCATCGTTAAACCACGAACTCTCAACGTTGGACTGTGGGGGATAGAACAGGACAGAAGGATCGTATTTGGATTGCGGACGTATGCAACACTTGGTGTTGCGATCAATTGTGGTCAGGTATCGTGGTCTATCACCACTTACATGGCTCATTATACGTTGGGTGCAACCACTTCGGACGAGTCCAAAAGAAGAGCCCGGACACACCGTCCGCCATTGATTGCTATCAGGTCTGGGTTCTATTAAATGGGCTGACAGGTCAGAAGCATTCATTAAACTTTTGTATAGTATAGTTCATGCTTTTATATCGGAGTTCGGGGAGATGATATATCAGGGCGACCTCTGCCAGTGGCGTTCTTGTAAGGCGTCTCATCCACCAATCATATCATGTGAACCCCACCCTTTGTCATTGTCACCCGAACCTAGAGATAATGTCGTGATTAGAATACGAGCGAGCTCAACTTCATAGGGTTAGATCTGCGGAAGACGAGATGCATCTGGGAAGACATTATTGCTGCTTGCTCCTCGTCAACTCAAGGATTTCCTCCTCGCGTGACTCACCACCGAACACCCAGCATGGCCTCAACCGGCTTAGTTGAATCATTCGTTTCAGCGGTGCAAGCCAGCCTCTCGGTGCTTCTGGTCATCAGCTATGGCGGCATTGCCGCTTATCTCAACTTGCTCGACTCCAAAACCACAAAAGCAATTTCCAAGATATGTGTGCGAATGTTTCTGCCAGCCTTGTTGATGGTTCAAATCGGCTCAGAGCTACACGCAGGCGCAGCACATCGATATTTGCTCATCTTTGCATGGGCTCTGATATGTCATGCTATCTCCTTTCTCATTGGCATCTTTGCCCACCTGTTCATGGGAATGCCTGACTGGATTACGGCTGCGATCATGTTCAACAACACGACCAGCTATCCACTCCTACTGATTGCAGCCTTGCAAGACACTGGGGTGTTGGAAGCTCTCATAATGCCCGATGAAACCGCGCGCCAAGCCGTGGAAAGGGCAAAATCGTATTTTCTGGTCTTCGCCACCGTTTCTAGTTGTCTCACTTTTGCCGTCGGCCCTCGCCTCATTGATTCTGAACATGGCCACGACTCTGACAAAATCTCCCAAGACTCAGAATCGCACAGCAGCGGGGATGTTACCCAGGCAGATGAAACCACAGGCCTCCTGCCGCAACGAGAATCTCTGGTTCAATTCTCCGATCCGTTTAGACAAAATTCATTCTTCCCATCTCTGAGAAAGAGATCCCAGACAAGGGTGAGGCTGCTGCCGGATCGCAGGGCCTCGGTTGTCCCACAAAAGCATTGGGCCACTCTCGGTCCAAGGTCAAAATGGTGGCTGTTGTTCATCTCTGACTTTTTCAATGCTCCCCTTTTGGGAGCTGCAGTTGGAGCTATAATTGGTCTAGTACCCGCATTACATCGTGCCTTTTTCAACAGTACGAAAGATGGCGGGATATTCACGGCCTGGCTGACGTCGTCTTTACGCAGTATTGGCGGTCTCTTCGTCCCTTTGCCCGTGGTGGTTGCTGGCGTGTCACTCTTCAATTCATGGCGAGACGCGAGGAGCTCTGGTACAAACAGTCGGCAGATTCCCTGGATTACAGTCGTTTTCATTCTGGTGATACGCTTTGTCATATGGCCACTAGCCTCAATATCTCTCATCTATGCTCTTGCGTCTAAAACGAACCTCCTAGGATCTGATCCCATGCTGTGGTTTGCATTGATGCTGATGCCAACGGGGCCACCGGCGATGAAATTAATTACTCTTGTTCAAGTCAGCAATGCAAGCGAGGAAGATGAGAAGACAATTGCCGAGTTGCTCACAGTACGTTAACAAACTTTTGATCTGAATGACGCTGACCTTAACAGATCTCATACCTTCTATCGCCAATTTTGTCTCTGACTGTGGTGGGAAGTCTCCGAGCCGCGGAGCTGGCAGTTTGACTGAATGATGTTCACAACATGAACAAGATTTGGAAACCAAAAAGACCCGCTTGCACCGTTCGTGTCAAACTCCACGCCCATGGCCTTCCCAACCTGCATCGTATCTGGCGTACCTCAATATACCAGTCAATGGGATGGCGGGATGAAGGCTTCAGCTGTCATCCTCAGGTCAATATGACTCGAGAGGCTATCGACGTCAAAACAAAACTACCATCCCCAAACTTTCTTGTACCTTTGGGCACTACATTCCGACATTAGTCTTGATTTGGGGCCGCATAATTGCACTCCAAGAAGGCTTCTTCAACACTACTCGGCATTCAGAATCAATAGTCCAGGCGCTCTATCTGTCTCATCACCCTTGCCAGGAGTATCGGCCACTTCTGCTTGAGTTGAGAACAATCATCCAATACATCAACGCCATGAAGGCTCCAAGGCCGACGAAGGCAATCCCAATAGGGCCACCGCACTTCTCGCTACGGAAAACACCATGTTCTCATTCAAGACTTCCGTCGTCATTGATTGGCGGCAATTGCGTTGATCTCTGAGAAGTTCTAAGTTCATCGTCCGCACTGTCTGCGGAGCCCTTGAACGACCGACGACACGTAAAACCCCAGTATTTGGATTCAGCATAAACCCGGAAATTGTCTGCATTATCGACCGATCGAATTTGTTGCGCATGAAACGACCCATACCCATCGGGTGGATTGGGTCCCTGAAAGTCACCAATTTGAGGAATTCCCACCGAATTCTCTTCTACTATATGGTCAAAGTAGGGCACATCCTGAAATAGCCCATACCAGTGCAGCATCTCGTGCAGAAGGATCCCTCCGGGGGATGTCATATACTCGGAGTCATGGTCGCCAATACCGTCGCAGCCCCAACCAGGTTCTCCGCGCTTGGAGGGATCTGATGGGTTCTCAATCTCTGAAAGACTGGGATATCGCCAGATTGTGTCGCAGAGAGAAATATAGGCCCAGTCGCCAAGTGCTCGACTCGTGTAACAAAATGCAGCGGTCGTTGATGATGTACTGCAATGTTTTGCACTTTCAGGAATATCAGGATGATCCCCAAGACTGATCTCGAGCTTCGAGAACATTGGGTTCAGGCTTGTAAAAGCCTCGCTGGAAAGGAGCTCTAGGGATGTATTCTCGTCAAGTTCAATCTCAAGCGGCATATTGGCCAGAGTTTTGAATATATTGTGCACGAAAACAGCATCCAAAGCTGTGAAATATCGCTGATACACCTGCCAGCAGAAGTTAGCATTTGTGGTTATGGAAGATTATCAAAGCCAGAGATTATTGCAGGGACCTAATCAATGCACTGACCTCTTCGCAAGGATCGAATGTCGCAGCGGCAACCCTCGCTAGCTTCACAGCATCCTGGAAAGCCTGTCGAATATCTTGAACCCGCTCTTCGCTTGCGTTGTCTATGTTGACAATGTCCGGCAGACTAGCTTTGGCCACTATGCCGAGCTTCAAAATCATGACCGCAGTCACAACCATCGACCAGAATATATGCATATCTTTCGTGGAGACTCACGATCACTGATAAATGGTGTTTTCACGTTGTTTTATGTCAATGGAATGATGCATAGATAATTAGAACTGTGGAGAGACATGATGGAAGAAATATAAAAGACGTTGCAAGCTGTTTAGATCCTCAAAGTCACAAAGAGATCCCATCTTCACTTGAGGCAGGGTTTACACGGCACGGCACGGCATAAGTCACCTCTGTGCCTACGTTGTGAGTGTCGCGGGGAGAGGGACAAGTCAGTGATGCACTAGGAACAAAGAGGCCTCTGTGAAGGAGGAGTTGGCTTCACCTATCAAAACAAAGGTAGATCCTAAGTCTCCGTAGGATATAGCGAGAGAAAGTGAAGTTCGAGTGAACAACAGGCTGAAAAGGACGTCTTACATCTTGGACTAAAGAAATACCACTAAACGAAAGACTTATAAGGATTCATAACGGGTTGAATGATAGCAGAATATTTGAGAAGATATGACGGCCCTATCTTAATGATCATGTTTGTCCAACTAAGATATTTGATCTTTGATGTCTCCTGTCAGGGGAAAGGAGTATTTACAGCCTTGCGGAGCCTCGTCGGAGAAACTGTAGTTCCGCCAGTGCTGCCCAGCCTTGCCAGGTACGAGGCAGGCGCCAAGGACGCGTCAATGACAACTTGCGGACATGCGAATCGGAGACTCATCTCGACAACCAGATCAACAGCAACAGAGTTCCAGTTTTCTACTCTATCACTCTTCTTGCACATTCCATTAATCTAGACATCCTCTCCGCTTGCCTGCACCTGTACTTACCTCCTACCCCGATCCCCAATCAATCACATCCACCCCCACGATCACGAGCCCAGCGCAGTCACTCTGCCATCATGGCTGATACGCCCCTCTTCAAGCCCGAGAAAGATTACACAAAAGAGGCAGACAAAGTACTACCGGAAGCAAAAGCACTAGCTAAGGTATTCGAGATGCGATTCAGCAAGCTGTTATGGTTGCTAACTTCTATCCCAGAAAGACATCCAAAAGGGTATTGACAAGATCTTACTTCTCGAGAAACAAGCCAGACAAGTATGATTGAGAAGCCTATCGAGCCTGGCATTAGGGTGTGCTGACACTCGATACTAGTCTTCGGATCTTGCCACCACATCAAGATGTTTGGAAGCCATCGTGACAATATGCAAAGACGCTGGCGACTGGAGCCTGCTCAATGAGCAAGTTCTCCTTCTCTCCAAGAAGCATGGCCAACTCAAGCAGGCAATCACAAGAATGGTCCAAATTGTCATGGGATTCTTGGAAGACACACCCAACTTAGATACTAAGCTCTCTGTGATAGAAGCCCTACGTACTGTGACGGAAGGAAAGGTAGGGATCATGTTCAGACCTCTTTCGCAGGGTTCTTGCTGACTTGTTGCCTCAGATTTTCGTGGAAGTAGAACGAGCCCGGATCACACGCATCCTTTCCAACATCAAAAAAGAACAAGGAGATATCAAATCGGCCGCCGAGATCCTGTGTGAACTGCAAGTGGAAACTTTTGGCTCCATGACCAGAAGGGAAAAGACCGAGTTTATCCTCGAACAAGTGTCACTCTGTATACAAAACGAAGATTGGATCCAAGCGGGTATCCTGAGTCGCAAGATTAGTACCAGATACTTTGCCAGGAAGCCCTCAAAGACCCCCGAACAACTAGAGAAAGAGAAGAAAGAGGCGGAAGAAAAGGAGAAGAATAGGTCAGCCGATGACCCCCCAGTGGAGAAACCGGACGATGTCACAGATTTGAAATTGCGGTATTACGAGCAACAAATCACTCTGGCTAAGCACGAAGACAAGTATCTCGAAGTCTGCAAGCACTATCGGCAGGTTTTGGATACGGAATCGGTCGAGAACAACCCCGAGCAACTGCATGCCGTCCTCCAACGAGTCATTTACTTTGTCCTCCTGGCACCTTACGACAACGAGCAATCCGATCTCCTCCACCGCATCCATCAGGACTCCCGCAACTCCCAAATCCCCAAAGACGCGGCGCTGCTTAAGCAATTTACCATCCACGAGTTGATGCGCTGGCCAATCGTCGAGCAACAGTATGGAGAGCATCTTACAGCGACCGACATCTTTTCCAAAACCGCTGATTCAGGGGATGCGAAAGCCTTGACCAGATGGGAAGCTCTCCGACACCGTGTCATTGAGCACAATGTCCGAGTCGTGGCCAAATACTACACGCGTATCACGTTCCCTCGCCTCACCCAACTTCTCGATCTTTCCGAGGACGAAACGGAGAAATACATCTCGGACCTGGTAACCAAGAAGACGGTATATGCTCGGATCGACCGGCCGGCACGGGTGGTGAGTTTCGAAGTGAAGAGAGGGCCGGACGAGGTGCTAGACGAATGGGGCAACAGCATGAAGGGGCTTCTCGGACTGTTGGAGCGAGTGGGTCATTTGATGCAACGAGAAGAAATGATGGCCCGGATTCAGCCAGGCAGCAAGGACGATGCAAAGAAGGGCGTCAAGGCATAGCGTGCCGTGGAAGCCGGACTGCCATGAAGGGACCCACCAAAAGACACCATGTATTTCTAATGAATCAGGGCCTGGCTTGGTTCTGAGCGCGATGCTGTGAACCCGAGAAGGGATTATCACATGCCTTGCATGCGTTGCCATCTGCCCTCTGGCTCTTGTTGGGGCATTTCGAGGCGGGGGTGATATGGATACAAGTAACCAGTCGCCCATGTTAAAAGAAGCTCTAGAACAATGGCACTTGAATTGCCCCTATTCAATTGTGTCCACAATTACTTGGATTTGGGAGATCAACTCCTGATTCACTGGTGCACAGGCTTCCTCCTACGCGAATGTTCTGCCCTCTGGACGAGAGACGTTGTGCAAGAGCCACAGCGGTGTCGTGAAACCCCGCCAAATCTCATGCTCTTTGACTACCTTGCGGCACTAGCCAGGTAGGTTTCCTTCTTCATCTGATCGCTCACGCTGACCACAATCTCGGTAGCGGCACCATGTTCAGCGTCCCTATCGGCGTGAGCATGGCCTTGGATTCTCCACATTCGTTTCTGCGCCTTGATCGCCTGGCACAACAGGTACACGTGCCACATATATGCCAAGACGACGAGCCAGCCTACGACAGCTTTGGCAATGCTCACTTCATGTATCCCATACATGAAATGGCCACGTACTTGCACTGGGCAAACCTCCTGTCCGGTGGCATTTAGGGGCGGCAGCTCGCAGTGCATCCAGAAGGAGAGGGTGGTGATCCAGCCGGCAGCAATGAGAATGGTGCTGGGAATTAGTACGATGTAAGCGGCCCTCTTGGCGAGATGTGTGGGATTGTGGTGATGCATGACGAGCTCGAAAGCGAGATGGACAAGGGAGGCGGTAGGGGCACTGAGGGTGTAGAACATGAGGGCAGTTTGAGGTTGAGAATCTCGGTCTTTGCTGGTGTCTGTTGTACTGGGCTCGTCGGTGGCCGCTGCATCTCTCATGGCAGGCTCTAGAAACAGATCTGTAGAGGCCTGTCGTTTGCCGAAGATGGAATCGTTAGCTTCGGCGGAGGGATCTCGAGCTAATTGATCGGCAATAGATGTGTGAGGTTTGGCGATACAGTATGCGTAGATGGCGCCAAGGATAAGGGTCGTGAAGACGAACATGATGAGAATGGGGACGATGATATTTCGGAATTTTTGTAGACGAGCAAGCGAGGGGTGGCGTGTGCGGGTTGGCAGTGTCGATGTCGAGTTGGTTGATCGAGTGGTGGATTCGGTTGGGGTTCGAGCTGGTCGAGGTTCTGAGATAGGAAAGCCATTGCTGACACGGCGGGTCGTAAAGCGCATGATGGAGGTGATGGCGAAGGACAGAAAGAAGATGTCGTATATTAGGTGGTTGTGGGACTCTATGTCCCTATGGACTGACTTCTGCGGTCCCGAGCGATTGACGTGTAGCAGAATATAGATTAATTAGAGGCTACCAGCGCCTGGATCAGTCGAATAGGGAGAGGGTGGTTTCGAGAGAGCAAGCACGGGATAAGGAAGGAAAGAGGCAAACCTTTGGGAGGAGATGGAGGGACAGGAATACATATCAAGCTTGTGTCGATGTAGTACACTAACGTGTTTGCTGCCATCTTGACTGCAACAACATATCGAACCAACCACTGGTGCGCGGCAAATGGTACAAGCAGCCCAGAATGTGGCCATAGCCACACAAGTTCGTAGTCTGCACGCACGAGAAGTTTGGCCATGTTGACCAAGTGGTTTTGATTGATGTTAACCAGTGGTCTAAGGACGTCTGGAAGGCAATGAGGTCGCAATGACGATGTTGGGGAACAGGCGACCAAGAGGTTGACCAGTCGATGCTATTCTTGACATCGCGGCTAAATGAGGTCGATGTGCGAAATGCCATGTGAGCCAATAGAGCAGATCATCTGCGTAACGGCTTCAGACAGGTGGTTGGACACCAGCCGTTGAACCGGCTATGTAATGGCGGCTAACAGGTAAATGAAGACTGGGTTTCATGATCATTGCGACTGAAGCCATTGGGGCTGGGTTGGGCGTTTAAAGGAGGTGTTTGCTGTTTCAGAGCAACCCTGTCGTTGTGCCATTTTTGGCCCAGCACAAAAGAGCCTCGTACGTTTCAGATTCCCTGATTTCAGAGAGTACAGACCTACTCCGAACAGACCTACTTCGAACAGACTTTTGATCAGAGGAAGAAGGCTGATAGTGTGCCAAGAGCGACGCTACGCGCCAGGCGTTGGCATGCGATTCTTGGAAGGCACGACTGTATATGTCGATAGGCAGGAACGACAGTAAGTAGAGTGTGTCGACAGCAGTCGCAGCTGCCCAAAATATCAGCCAGAAGTACACGTGAGTCAGGTTGAGACTGCGGCCTTCACGTGCTTCTTCTGGCCAACGTGGCTTCATCAACTTCCATCATTCTCTACTACTACACATCTATCATCCATATCGCCATCAAATTGATGGCGTTGCCTCTGTCATTCAGTATTCCTTTGCCTAACAACAACGACTCTGACCCCCAAACAGGACCCCGGATCAGGTAATTGGAGAAGCCTCGGCCCGCCACAGGTCCTGGGCTGTATATTGGCGGTATTGGCTCGCCCCCCCTCCCATCATGGCTATACCACCGGATACCGGCACCACCAACATCGTCTTTAGTTATGCCGAAGAGCTTATCCAGTTTGGCTGTGACGGGACCCCAGAATCGACGCAGTCACACCTCTTCCTCGGCTCCTCGGTCCTTAAATGTCTTGAGCTGCAAGAGGTGGACAGGCAGGCAGGCAGATTGACTAATCACCTCGCCCACCGCTTGGTGACGTGGACAGTAAACCGTGAGGATGCCAATCGTGATGGTGCAAGCACGGTGAGTCAACAACTACCAGTGCCCAGAGCTGCGCAAGCTGGAGAGCCCCTCGGCCCCCTGGGCGCCTCGGGCCCTGTCCACTGCTCTGTTCAGAACCCCAAACTCTTCATGCATCCCCATATCCATATGCCTTGTCTCCTGAGTACCAAGTTACCAATATGTGTACATCTGCCGGGGATCTGAGAGCTCCCCTGCAAGATCCACCATCCCCGCTCTCTGGATCTTTTATGCCACCTTGATTTGTAAAAAGCTCCAGATGATTACTTGTTCCCACAATGCCGTCAATCGCCTGTCTGTCGTCGAGGGTTTCCAATCCTTCTCGGTGAATCTTCTCTTCACTGTGAGCGACATGCCGTGAAGAGTGCAACCTTCATTTCTTTGGAATACTAGTTGATATCCCCAGAGACAACTCTTATGCTAGTCTCCACTCTCGGACTTGACTTTGAGCATGTACTCGACCCCCATGCCGGATGAGGAAAGCGAAAAGGATCGCCATCTAGAACAGCCACTAAATCCGAGTCGGCCCCTAGTCGTGCCCGTCGAGTCCAACGTCTCAAGAGCTCTTGACGCAGAAGCAAATTTCAATCCTCACACAGGGCATCCCGTTGATATCTCCGACAATGCCACAGTTGATGTCGTCGTCGAGGACGGACCCCCTCCAGATGGCGGCTTGAGAGCTTGGCTTCAGGTCTTGGGTTCATTTTTCTTGTTCTTCAACTGTTGGTATGAGTGGACAATCTTATCGGGATCTCGAAAGATATACTAATGCCATTCGCAAGGGGCACCGTCAATGCTTTTGGCGTCTTCCAAACCTATTACCAGGACAATCCCTTGTGGCACCAGACCCCTAGCAATATCTCCTGGATTGGGTCCATTCAAGCCTTTCTACTTCTTTTGATCGGCGTCTTCACCGGTCCGGCATACGATGCCGGCTACTTTCGCGCCCTCATCATAGCCGGTGCTGTCCTGATTCCCTTTGGCTTCATGATGACCTCGATCGCCAAGACATACTGGCAGACGATGCTCGCTCAGGCCTTTTGTATCGGCCTGGGGAACGGCTGCCTCTTTGTGCCCAGTGTAGCCATCATCCCTCAGTATTTTTCCAGGAAAAAGGCGCTGGCCAATGGCATCGCCGCCGCGGGTTCGAGTTTTGGAGGCGTCGTCTTTCCCGTTGTTTTCCGTGAACTCGAACAAAAGGTAGGGTTTGGATGGGCCACGAGAGCCATGGGGTTCATCTCACTCGTCACCGTGTCGTTTGCCGTCTTGGTGATGAAGCAACGAGTCCAACCTAGAGGTAAACGGCAGCTGGTAGACCTGACGGCCTTTCGAGATCTTCCATACATACTTTTCTGCATTTCCATGATGATGGGCTTCATCGGCTTTTACGGGCCGATCTACTACATTGGGCCCTACTCGATTCAACGCGGCCTCACCAACGAGAATCTCGGCTTCTATATGCTACCCATCCTCAATGCGGCTAGTGTTCCTGGTCGAATTGTGCCCAACTTCCTCGCTGACCACATCGGCCCTTTAAACCTCTTGGTGCCGTGTGCGCTCGTCACAGGAGTGCTGGCCTTGGTCTGGGTTGGAGTGCGGACGTTTGGCGGCATCATTGTCTTTGCTGTTCTCTATGGATTCTTTTCCGGCGGCTTTGTTTCCCTGCCGCCTGTGGCCATCGTCACGTTGACCAAGGACATGAGCAAAATCGGAACACGCATGGGCCAGTGCTTTGTCTTCTCTGCCTTTGGCCTCTTAATGGGTACCCCTGTCTCGGGTGCCATCCTGCGCAACACCGGCTCATGGCTCGGCGTCCAGCTGTTTTCGGGTCTGACCATTTTTGTGACAGGTGTATTGCTGTTCTGTGCCCGCTTCGCTGCTGTGGGTGCTAATCTGAAGCAGAGAGCTTGAACGAGAGGCAACATCTCCATGACCTTGGGCAATCTGACGGGAAATTCCGAGCCCAACAAGGACTACGATGGGCGTCAATTGATGATAAGATAATGGTACCATGGGTTTTCAATTGACTGCGCATGTTCACTTGTATGTATGTCCGGATTTTGGAATGGCCCATGGGTGTGGTCGGTCAAGTTCTCGTGATCTCACCCACCCAACCTTTACGACGGCTTCTGGGTGAACTCGGCACCTGCTCACCAACTTCCGACATCAATCAAATTCAACCAATTGACAACACCCATGGCCTTGACGAGGTTTCCCTTCAGGTCCAGATGGACGCCGTCATATTTAGTGGCTTGAATACTCATGTTCCACGTTCCCATTGTCTCAACCCCTCTCTTTTCCGCCTCGAATCTAACACTCTCCTCAAAGACCATTAATGCCTTGTCGCCCTGCGATACCAGCCACTGGTCTGGTTTCTTGATCCCTGCAGCATTGGGTGGGATGAATAACTTTGGCCAGAGCACAGCCGACGAGGGTCGCTGATGGTGGCGCCGATCAAGATACGGTGCTTTCTGTGACGCAGATTCGAGAATTCCATCTAGCCAATTGACCGTCGCTTGGATATCGAGATCGTTCCAGAGTCCGTGTCCAAACACAAATGCGTATGGTCGCTTAGGCTTTTTCGCGGAGAGGAGGTCTTGAAAGCGGCTAACCTCATTCGGGTCGAGGGGAAAGCGGAGCATCATTTCGATGACGAGATTGACAGGCGAGGACTTGTTGGGCTCGGGGTTCCAACAGGCGAAAGAGTCGGGGTCGTTCTGGAGAACTGATTCGGTAGAGAAAATGCCTTGGACAGAACAGGATTTGACATCCATCTGATGATTGCAGAAACAATCTCGTCTGGGACGACAGTTAGTCATGGTCTAGGATATGGACACATATGAACCCTCGAGGACATACAATTCCTGATCATCAAAGTTCCAATTGGTGACTGCACCATAGCCCAAGTCCTTACGAAGTAGCACGTTCAATGCGCCTACAACGTGCCTCATCATGCTGTCCCCGACGACAATGATCTTTTCGAAGCGAGACAGGATGTCACATATCTCATCGGTGGTAAACCATCGCATGTCGCAGTCGAGGGGTATAAAGGGACGATCAAAGCCAATTCTCCCTCCACCAGAAAATGCACGCAGGAAATCATGGCGGGTCGGACATAATGGGGAGAAAGCGGAGTGGAGATCGAGCGAGGAAATCTGACAATTGCTGTGGTTCCGGTAAGTGTAATGCTGGAATGTGTCGATGGTGTCGGGAGCACGAAAGTTCGTGTTCTCTGGCGGAGGAAAAGCTGGGGCTGGTCGTGTTGTCCCGGAAGTGTGGGCGATCTCGATCTGGGGTTGTTGGGTCAAGCCACAAAATGAACTTGTCTGATTGTGGTTGAGATTGTTAGCCGAAAGATGGGAGGGGGCATGGGTTTCGGTGTTCGCTGGATCTGATGGACTCACAATGACGCCAAAGGATGTGAGACTGCGTAGAAGGACCCAGAACAGTAGGAATAGAGCGGCCACTTGAACAATTGGTCTCCTTGCATAGATCGCAGCCCTAGCTAAGCAATCGACAGAAGCCATGGTCTTGACATTGGCGTGAGGGTGTTGAGATTGGCCGCAGGTTTTTAAAAATGAGTGATCTGATCTCAGTTCACAAGACAGAAGACCACGTGGTTCGGATTATTGTTGATCCCCCTCAAAGGGACTGATCAGAGGCAGACACGAGAACATGTTCGTCAACGAGATTTTTTCCAACTGCGCTCATCTCATCTTCTCGCCTCCCACCCTCCACGTACAGATCTCAGTGGCTGCGTTAGGGGTAAAGTCTTCTGTCTTCGCAATTCAATCGCTTCCTTCTCCCCTTCCCACCTCATGACTTCTTCATGTGCCTTGGCTAGTCGAGATGACTTGCCCCATCCCAGTCCCAATTGGCCTGAATTGTTCTCAATATCATGTTCCTTCTGAGCGGCCAACCTGGACATTTGTTGGGCCATTTGCCGCCAATTCTGCAGCCCAGTCTGTAGACACTGTCGGCATTTATCTCGTCCATCATCGACCTTCTCCTCGTCCATAGCCCACATGACTGCTTCTGCAGCCTCGACACTGTCTCTCGTCCAGCTCAGTCCTTTCTCTCGCTCTGAGGCGCTCGTGGCAAATAAGATCTCTCCAATATATGTCATGAGGCCAACCTCCTCACAAGCTTCTTTCAGGGTATGGAATGGACGTTCATTGCCACTCGGTGGAGGTGGAGGGTAGGGTCCTTCGACGACTAGGTCCTTTACAATAGACAGATACTCCTCAATTCCTCCGTCAGCTTCGTAAGCAGACATCTTTTGCTGCCCTGTGGCGCCGTATGGCGATGGCGGCAGAGTCTTCCTAGCCCGCAACACACTCAGGAAGATGGGCAATGCATCTTTGACCTGCCCATGTTTTGCATAGTGTACGCCGAGAGAGGTGGTCGCCTTGAGCACATTCTCTGTCACCAAATCGTCGTAGGTCTTGTTAATGATGCCCGTGTTGACATCTACAACTTTATCTCTCACCGTCTCTGGCAGCCCCTGACATGCGAGATCTAGAGCCAACCGGTGCTGGTCAAGTGCTTGAGTCGACAACAAGGATGACTCAGACTGGGTTGCACCGTCGGCAAAATCCAACCAATCTGCAAATGCCAACGCGGCATCCATCTTCTGACGATTGTCGAGACCCTCCGATTCCAGGATTCTGTTATAAAAGACGTCTGGTGAATCGTATGCGGGCTCGACGTCGTTCCAATTGGGAGCGACCTCGCGGCCATATTTTCGATCCCAAGGGAGAGGCTTCGGCCTGGGGTTATCCGGCGAGAGGATGCTGTCTTTGGGATACAATCTGACGGCGCCGCCACCGAAATTGAGCCAGCCTCGTGTGTTGCCTTTGCGACGATAGTAACCATCCAGATGTTCTGCTGCGGTGGCGGCTCCCATCAAAGCCTCGACATAGCCTCGTCTCCACTGATCGCTTTTGGCACGGACATCTCTTCCGTTGCCGTTGCCTGATTGCAGGGGATCCAAACCCTGCTCAGTGTTCCTCAGGACTTCTTCCCAGTACCTGCCCACTCGGCCCCAGTCGGTTACCCCCCTCTTGACCCCGGCGCTGGTATGATCGTCTTCACCATTCTCCACAAACTTGGCCATCCTAAACGCCCATCTAGAACTGAACCCCCAGTCTCGAGGAGTGGGAAATCTTCTCTCTAGCTTCACATGCCGGACCCCAGCATACATGACCAAGATCAACGTGAGAATGGGCCAGAAATATGAGTGGAAGCGAACCTGTGCCCAGAACTGTTGCTTCCAGCGGTTCTTGCGTTCGGTGGAGATGTAGCGGGTGACGGACGAGGTGAGGATACTGGTTTGTGAAAGTGAGACGGGGAGCGAGTGTCCCGGGTGGAGGAAGGGGAGTTGAGGTCGGGGGAATGGGCGTGCGAGGAGAAGAAGGGTAGGTTTCTGGGTGAAGGGTCGGACACGGGGAGACATGTAGGGTTGTAACTGTCCTGAGCATGATGTTGATCCCAGGTGTCGTGGGCGAAGCTGGTGGACGACGACAAGGGTTCGAGATGATGCCATGGGGAGCTGCGGCATCTGGTCAACGGGCGGCCTGCGACCAGGCCCACGCAATCGTGTTGCCCGTTGGTTGCCGCTTCAATGGATGCAGTAGGTCACCTGTTGATTGAGCGCCTTTACTGGGTTGTCTCACAATGACAAGAGGCGGTTCAGGCTCGAATAAAAAGAGCGTACGAGTTGTTTGAGAGACTTCTCTTGCTTCGTGTGGAGCAGATGACTAACTTAGGCGCGGGTAAAGCTTGATTGTGGTTGAATTAATCTACAGGAGCGGGACATCTTCGTTGTACTCCGTACATGGATGCGGAGTGGACGGATTTTCGTAGGTGCACACCACACATATCACAGCCTCGTCAAGCCTTGTCAGCCTCGCCAGCCTTATGTCGCCTATGGAACGTCTTTTTCTTGTTCTATCAATTATTGAATCTATGGAGCCCTTCGTTTGAATCAATGAACCGAGAGGGCCTTATTTTCAGCTAAGCATATGCCATTGTCTTAATGAGGTGAGCACGTTGCCCAATGCTTTGCAACTCACACCTACTCTCATCAGTAATGGTCCTGTCCTTTGTCCTTCCAGGAGCTACAGCTCCGCTCGTGCTTCTCCCAACAGGCACAAGCACCAAATATCTACGATGCAGGACTCGCCAATCCTTTGGCCGGTCTCGAATAATTCCCTTGCCTTTCTGCCCTCTTGACAGTGTCGTGAGCCCTAGTCCGATTAAACCGATTAAAAGAAATGCCCTTTGGATATCATAAAGAGCCAGGGGTGCCACCGAAAACGCCTCACTCTTCGCTCTCTCTGCCAAGTGACTGCCACTGCCCCAAACATGCTCCTGGTGAGCTCTCCCCTTCGTGTGATTGATTTACCCCTTTTGCATACATGCATGATTGCAGCCCATGCGTCTTGCTGTGTGTCACGGCAAGCCAACCAGTCGTTTTCGTGGTCAAATAGATGCATAGCCCGCCTCGGATGCTCAAAATGTTGTCGCTAAATCGAATGCCGTTGTTTTGTTGGCGTCTTTATTGTGTCATCGTCACATCATCATCGTTGTCCCGCCTATGCATGTTCCCATCTGCTCGGCTGCGCTGCGATGCCTCAAACTCCTCAGCCGATGTGATTGTCACCGGAATTGGTTCTATTATTTCTGATGCTAGCACCGGAAGCTCCATCTGGTGGCCAGTGTGCCGACGCGGAAGCTCTGGCTGTGCCGGTTGTGCCGAGGCAGCCTCAGCAAGTGCTCGCAGCATACCTTCTTGATGTGGTTCGTCCTCCATTCTGCTCCGGTCCTGACTCCTCCCGGCCCGAGAGTTGCGACCCATCCCGTCGCGCTGGTCCAAACTCAAGCTAGACGAGGAGAAGTTCCGACTCAGAAGGTTTCCCAATCTGGACCGGCTATTGACGCGGGGCATGTGAGGGCTGTTTGATCGAGAAGGCTGACGACTGCCTGAACGACTTCCAGGAATGGTGGCCATGATCGCTTCGTGGTTGGCGTCAAATGTGCTAAATCCTAATTCGGGTCTCAGGTGTGATACACGGACGTCTGTTGGGTTCATGAATGCTGCGCCAGGGACGTGTCGACGCGGTTGCTCGGTCAAAAAGACATGGGGGTTGCTCCACCCTGGGAAACGTCTGACATCTTCATGTTCAAAGTAACCTGTGCGAGATTCATGTCCGTAGTTGTTGACTCCCAGTGGTCGAGAGCTACTCTCTCCGGAGGCGTGCATGGGGACCGGAGGGGGGCCAAGGAAGCCGGAGCTCGACTCGAGTGTGTGTCGTCGCGACGGAGGCCGAGAGGTGCTCCTTGCACGTTCGTTGTACCCTGCCGCAATTTCGTAACCGAGCGGAACGCCGGGGCTTCGTGATCTTCGATCGTAGCGATCTTGTGCGGCCAGGTCTACAGGTAGTGTGCCATGCGAGCCGGGGGTATACGGGGCTCCTGGGGTCCAGGGACCCATTTGTTGAACCTGATCAAAGGGAAGTAGCGGCATATCGACGTGGTAACTCGGAACCTCATGGAAACTCCTAGGTCGAGGACGAGGACGAGGACTGCTGACGTATGGAACACCGTGGCGATGGGGATTCAAGATGGGATCCATGAGTTGTTCGCTGCCGTCAACTGTTCCATCGTCGGACATGGTATCGGCACCGGGGCTATCGACGCCATCAAGCAGACTGTCGTCAATGACATCACTGCCCTCGCGTTGAGCCTCGGTTGCGAGACGCATCAAGTATTCTCGCAGACGTTCGACACCGGGCCCCGAAAACACACAGAATACATCGCGTTGTGGGTGAGTAAACTCGGCGGGGGCGTCTCTGCAGAAGCGGGTCAAATCTTCTCGGAGGAATGCTTGGACACCAGTCAGAGATAAATGGGTCAGCCTCGGACAGTTGTGCAGCAGTGCAGTGATTCCCTAGAGGTGGATGTTAGATGGCAAGCGAGCACGGGTGGCAAAGTACTTACGGTCAATGTTAGGTTGATGCAGTAACTGAGATGGACTCTCTCCAGAGAAACAAATTGCGAAGGGTCAGCGACCTTGCCGGCGGGACTGAAGAGCAAGGGACCACGAGCCAGGGCCATGATGCTCAAGTCGGTCAGATTTTGGCACTTGACCAGGCCGATGCGACGTAATTTGGGGAGTTGAGCAAGATGACGAACGCTAGCGTCGGTCAAGCGAGAGCAGCAGGCCAAGTCGATGTATCGGATGCGGTTGCAGGCCTTGACGAGTTGGATGACGGCATTGTCGGTGAGATTGGTGCAGTGGCCGAGATGAATGTAGTGGAGATTCTTGGTCAATTTACAAATGGAGGCCACAGCACGATCAGTGATGTGCCTACATTTTGCCAAAACCAGGTTTCTCAGACGGGGAGCGGCGGGTATGACTCTCGCAATGGCATCATCTCGGACTTGTTCGCAAGCGGTGAGATCGAGGATGCGCAAAGCATCAAAGGTCAGTCGCGGGGGGAGGTTGGTGAAGGCCGAATCATTAATGTCGACACAATGAGCCAACCGTAGCTCGCGAAGATGGGACAAGTTGGAGAGCAACGCGGTGACAGACTCGGAGGAGATGGATTGACAGCCGGCAAGGTCGATCTCAAGAATGGCGCGACAATTCTTTGCCACGGCGGTGATGGAGGCGTCGGTGGCTCTCACAACACCGTTGAGTTTGAGTCTCTTGAGTTGTCGACAGTGTTGGGCGATCTCGATCAGAGACTCGTCGGTAATGTTTGAACAATTGGTGATGTTGAGGCCCTGGAGCTTGGGACAGTTTCGGGCGACTTCTCGGAGTGTTATGTCTGTGAGGGCTTCAATGTCGGTGACATCGAGGGCTTGGAGCTTTTTGGTTCCATCAACGAGGCAGCCGACTCCAAGATCGGTCAGTTTGGTACAATTTGTCAAGGTGAGACGTTCGACAGCCTTGCAGTTTCTAAAGGACATGACGGTCCCATCATTGACTTTGTCAGCGAGAGCAGAGAGATTCAATCTCTTGACCATGTCTTGGTAGGGGAAATAGCTATCTTGACCTCGTTCGAGAGCGGCGACGACGTTGACCAGGTTGGGCCATTTGTTGCACAATGGTCTGTGCCATAGGATGCCGACAGCATAGAGGGCCCAGTGATAGGAGACGAGCATGCAATTTCTCAAGTCCGAGGTTGTAGTCAGCTTGCTGAAGATGGCGATCAAGATTTCGGGGGGTAATTTGGAGATTGGGGACAATCGATGGATTTGTTCAAGATCGAGATCGTCGTCACAATCGCGAATGGCAGTCACGGCACCCAGAGAAGACTGTGAGTCGTTGGCGTGAGCCATGAAGTAGTCGGTGTCCTCATCGTCGCCTGGGCCGGGAGACGTGTCTGAGCTGTCAGACTCGACTGTGATGACGCTGATATTTCTGGTATGGAGAGGAGCCAGCCGTGGTCGCGGGTCATCGGCCATGGTGGGCGATGAGGTAGCGAGGCTGTGAGGGAAGTGAAGAGGGTGACGAGGGCGAGGTTGCTGGTGGAGGGGAGGAGAGGGAGAGCGGAGGGAGGGAGGGAGATGAAGAGGTTCAGGACTTGGATGCAGACGTGAGAGACCGGGATAGGGCGATGTGCATGGCGCAGCTGTTTGTTCGACAGTGGCGTTATGAGGGCTGTGAGAGTTGCGAGTTGTTGTTAATGGAGGGTGAGGTGAGGTGCGCGGTGGTGGACGTGGCTAGGGAGATAGCCAGGCTGCCGTAAGAGACAGAGTGATGAATCGGATGCAAGGTGGAGGAAATGCGGTGTCCCAGGGGACAAAGGCTGAAGGAATGGAAGAATGGAGCGAGAATGGGTTGAGGGTTGGCGAGACAGGATGGATGGAGGTGTAGTTAGGGAGGTGAGGTGGAAGTTGAGTTGATCAAATTGAAGTGTTGAAGCAGACGCAGAAGGTGAGGTGGACAACGGTGAGTGATTGATTGATTGAGTAAGGTAGTGAATGACAGTAAGGAGGCGGTGGCAGTGGCAGTGACAGTGGAACTGATATTGGAGGGCGTCACGGGCGGAGGCGCTTAGGCCTGAGAGGCCAGATGGGAGAGATACTGGGGGGAACACAGCTGCAGAGTGGAGGGACGAGGAGTCAGAAGTCAGAAAGACAGGAGCCCAAGGCAACCAACTGGATAATCTACTACTCCGTAAGTACAGGTACTTACCTAGGTATCTACCTATGGTCTACAGGAAGGTGCAAGCCAATGAGGTAGGCCGAGGGGCCAATGTAGGCCAATGCAGGCCAGATTACAGACAACTACGGAGTACAAGGGCCACCTGGCGTGGAAGAATGACGGGTATGGTTGTGTGTTGTGTCCTCCGTAGGTGGTGGCCGAGGGGCTGGAGGTGGTCCTTGGGTGCCTTGGGCCCTTGGCCAAGGACCGAGGACTCACTAGTTGGTTAAAGTCATGCTGGACAGCCATGATTGACTGTTTTGGCTACCACAGCAATCAATAAATGTGCACGAGACATAAGGCGTGGCTATATCCACTTAGTTCCTCAAGTATTGGGATATCTAAAAGTATCTGCATGTGCAATACATTGCCTGTGCCCTTATCTTATGAATGGGTTAGGTATTCATGTACTGGTACATTTCTCAGTCCGTGGATTACAAACCCTCCATCATGCTCAATTCCACCTGATTCCGTCTACAAAAGGTATGGACTGACTAATCTGATCCAACCTGGCACACACCAGGGCCAGGCGTGACCTGCCTTGTTCACTAACCGCCGACACCAACAATTTAGGTATCTACCTAGGTACGTATCATGTGTAACGACTTATTCCTATATGCTGGGTGAGCTTATCAACCACAGTCACATCTGCGCCACGCTGGACCAGGCTTGCCCATGATAACATAATAACACAGTCGAATGCTATCATCGATCCATACATGCAACTACTGCCACCCCTCCAAGGCAGGTGAACTATATACACAACATGGCATCGAAAAAAATCCATGTCTTCGCCACGCATCTGCCTCGGCCACCCTACTCTCCTCCTCGAGGTTTGCCCTTGGCCCAGTCCCGGAGTACGTTCTTCCGGATCTTTCCTGTACTCGTTTTGGGCAACTCGGGCACGATTTCCACCTCCTGGGGTACTTGGAATCGGCTGATGCCAGGATGATCCCGAGCCCATTGAATGATGTCCTGTCCAGAAGTGTTACAGCCAGGCTTTATGGTCACAAATGCCTTTGGCGATTCTCCCCATTTTTCACTGGCGATGGCTGCCACTCCGCATTCAAGGATGTCCGGGTGGGTGATCAGTAAGGCCTCCAGGGCAACAGATGAGATGTTCTCGCCACCTAGTGTGCTCATGTCAGCAAGCGTTCAAGCATCATGATCGAGTGGAACTGGGAATACTCACCGGAGATGATAATGTCCTTTGCCCGATCCAGAATCTGAACTGCGCCGTCCGGATGCCACACGGCCAGATCTCCAGAATGTGACACTCCACCGAGGTACAGTTTCCTTGTGGCTTCTTCGTCTTTATAGTACCCTCGTGCACAAAGATTGCCAACAAAGACAATCTCGCCAATCTCCTCGCCGTTTTTCTCCACATCCTGGATCACGCCTTCGGGGACATCAGTCTTGATGACGCGCGCCGAAAGGGACGTCACCAGACCGTGACCCTGGCGTGCCATCTTGGCATATTTGTCCTTGACATTGGGATACTCGTGCCACTCGGGCAGGATGTAGCCCTTGGTGATGGGCCCATACGTTTCCGTCAGACCGTACACGTGCACAGGGTGCAGATTTCGACGAGTCATTTCTTCAAACAGATGTGCTGTGGGGGGACTGGCGGCGACGGTGACGCGGACGGGCTTGGGAAGTTGGACGTTGTTCTTGTCCGCACACAGTAACGTGTTGACGGTGGGAGCGGCACAATAATGCGTAATGTGCTCGTCCTTCAACAGTCTCCAGATTTCGGGATAGTCGATCTTTCGCAGGCAGTAGTGCGTGCCTCGAGCAGCCGTCACCGCCCACGGATAGGTCCAGCCCATGGCGTGAAACATGGGCAGTGTCCAAAGATACCTGCAGCGATCTCCATCATGATATGCCAGCCCAGATTCAACCACATTTGCAATCGCGGCCAGGTAGCACCCTCGGTGTGTATATTCGACCCCTTTGGGTCGCGCAGTGGTGCCAGAAGTATATGCAAGAGCGTTGACGCCCAACTCATCGGGGGCTTGCATTTGAAGTCCCGACCAGCCCTGCACAGACAGTGTTTTTTCATGTTCATATCCTTCCAGGATGGCTTGATTGAACGGCCCGCAGTCTGGACCTTGGGTCACATCGGTGTCTGTGTCGATGATGATGGGGACATTAGGGTGGGCTTTTCGGTAGTCCTCGAGCAAATCAACATACTCTGCATCAACCAGGATGGCATCTGCCTCGGCATGTTCAAAGATGTAAGCGATATCATCCTTTTTCAGGCGATAATTGATGGCGATGTTGATGGCACCAGCTCCACCAATGCCGTAGATGGCCTCGAGGAACGCGGGTGTGTTGGTGGCTAGAATTCCTACTCTCTTGTATCCTCGCTTCTTGACAAAATAGGCAAATCCACGAGCACGATCGGCAAACTCTTGATATGTCCTCCGAACAATCTTATCATTTGCCGCACGGTGGTAGATGGCGGGTGCGTTGGGCTCAATCTGAGCAGCTCGTGGGAGAAAGAAGGTAGGGGAAAGGGTGTGGTAATTGTACCATGATGTGGTGCCAACCTTGTGATTATCGATGGTGAGATTGTCAATGGACACTCCACTGGTAGGATGTGAGGGCAAGAGATGGGCGGCGATGCTGGCGAGCCTTGATTTGGGGGACGCCATGATTGTATGGTTGCTGTCTGACCGCTGGCTGCTAGATGGTATGGCGCAATGAGTTGGAGGGAAATGCTTGGTGGGTCGAGGAATTATGCTTTCTCTCTCTGGGGAAAGATGTGTCACCCTGGCGGCAGCAGTATAGTTGATGTTACGAGGACATGGTCGTAGGTCGAGGAAGGAGGATGTGTGAAGAAAGCGACAGTCGAGGATCATACATATGTACTCCGAGATGACACGGACTGGCCAGGGAGATTGATACCAGGTTTTTATTTCTTCACACCACCCACCCGCTATCATTGATGCCAACAGTGATTAGGTATTGATGAGGGTCAAAGGCGTCTCCGGGTCCGAGGTCCCCCTCGCGTCCCCCTCGCGCAATTCTCTGGGGCGAGCCCGGGGCGAAGAGCAATGGGCCGATATGGCTTCCTCTGATACGTCAGCTTCAAGGAGCCTCACGCCAACTAGCGCAGACTAGGGTCAATTAAAATAGAAAGTGTGGACAAAAACCGGATTAAAGCAGCATTACTCGGAGGCACCTCCGTCCCCACTTCTGTGCTGCTGTTTGGTGACATAATTCAAAGTATGATTGGGGTATTCAAACAGCAAATCTCTCCTCCAGTACGGAGTAGGTTCAGGACCCGGCTTTTTCTACCTAGGTACCTAGGCATTTTGTACGATCGTATTATTTTGCTTCGGTTGCTTGACCGAGAATTCGCCTGGTTCGGATCCGCAGACTTGTCCATACCATGCCACGGTTCCTTGCATTGCCATTGCACAGTTTGAATGATCCCACACGAAAGCATAAACAACATGTACAGCATGGCTATTGTGAGCGTGTCTCTGTCATTGTGGACTACTCCAATGCACTTTACCCAATGCACTTTATATCCTTACTCAGCTCGGGTCTAACTAAGCATATCCCAGGTTCCAGAAAGTCTCAATGTTGGCTCCCGTATCCTCGTCAACATAAGCAGGTTGCTTGCTCAGTGTGACTTTGTCTCCATGTGTTTCTGCAATCTGACCTGTCAGACTGGGGTCCGCCAACAGTTCGTGGACGCCTCGGGTAAGGGTGGACATCGGCGTGAGGATCATATGTTTGAACAGAGCCTTGTCAGGCGCAATATTGGTTTCTGCCACATCTTGTCAGTTATCGCTTATTCAAGTCACGGGTGCAACTGACCAAGCACTGCTGGTGCCAGTCCATTAATTTGGATCTTCTCCTTTTCCAGCTGCCGTGCCAGCGACCTTACTAGCCCAACCACTCCAAACTTGGTTGCTGCATAGATTGGAGCAACAGAGAAAGCATACAGGCCAGCATTCGATGCTGTTGCAATGATGGCACCTCTGGATCCACCGCGGGCTTCATTCTTTCGCATATAATGAATTGCCAGGTACACCGCTGTGACACATGCGTGAGCAGAAGCCCCCCACGGTCGGTCCCAACCACTTACTATATAGCGTCCCAATCAGATTCACGTCCACTGTTTTGAAACTTGGTTTGGTCGGTTTGTCCTCGTCGACGATGAGTGATTGCTCTTTGGAAATGCCCGCATTGGCCATGACAACATCAATCTGGCCTTGCTGTGAGTATATCGCCTCGAATGCAGCCGCAAGCTCGTCCCAATTTGATACATCGGCCTTGTGGAAGAAGAACCCGGCATTTGGGAACTCGGCAGACAGGCTCTTTGTTATCGCTGCGCCATCAGGGTTGACATCTAGGATCGAAACTTGTGCACCTTGTTCGGCGAATGACCTCGTTATCCCAAGTCCAATTCCAGATGCACCGCCTACGTAGAGCAACGGTTAATCCACAAAAACAAATGGCCTGAGGAGAGGAGCCTACCAGTGACGACAATGTGCTTCTTGATGGAACTGATGGACCCCATTTTGGTATCAGATGTTTCTTGAGTCGATAAATTGACCAGGTCGAATACCCCAGATCTAGATAGTCGACATCGTGGTTGTCCAGGGCGTTCGTCCCCCGCAATATAATAATATCCTTGCATCGGATACCCTCCCTCATCGTTGGGTAATTTCCATCGGTAAAACCCCGCGTGGCCTCGTGTGGAGAGCTGGAGAGCTTGACTCCCACGCTGGTCGGCCCAAGAAGAACTGCCGTGACTACGAAGTTATGCTTGAGTACGGAGTACGAGTACTCTTCACGTGGCCTCGATGCGGGGTTCTCAATAATGCTAACATTCAAGTCGTATGTTTGTTTTGGTCAAAGAGGCTTTCGTCCCCATTTCAACGTCAAACGATCAGAATTGGGGTAATCTCATGATCATATGCTCGGTGGATAGAAGCACAGAATCACAAAAACCAAAAATGTCATGGACGCTTATGAATGCCGCCGAATTACAAAAGAGAACCAACAGTCGCCTTTAAGCGTGCCTATTCTTTGGTTATTCACGGTTGGAAAAGAGGAGGCACTAAGGTGATAAGGTGAAAGCCAGAATAGGCAATGCCACACGATATACATCACTGATGAAGACTATACCTGAACATACAGTGTGGATGCAGGCAGGGTAATGCCAACAACAGGTATTTCACCATTAATAAGGATACACACTCGAGGGGCTCTTGGGGATTTCGGCCCATGGGTGGGTTCTACTGACTTGAATGGCCTGGACGCTTAACTTTAGGGACTGAACATCCGCCCGAGCGTCGCCAGCCGCCTCGATAAGGGTCTTCAGGTTCGCCCGTGTCCGTTCTCCCCTTCATCGCTAAAATACTGGGTCCCTGGGTTCTTACGCGGCGGAGGTAGGCCCCCACGCCTTCGGCTCGAAGACAAAGTCACAACAGGGCATTCGATATCGTCGGACTCTATCGACCTCCTCCAACCATCCATGAGTAAGTCACTCGACAATCCACCCCTCCAGAAGCACCAAACATGTCGAATTCAGAAGCGCCGCCCCTTTCCTCCTTTATCTCTGTATCCTCTGCTTCTGCCTTTTCCTTTGTTTTTTCGGGCTCCGTTGCCAATGCCTCGTCCAAACGCACAAACTCCCTGGGGTTCGCCGCCTCAGACTGCCATACTTGTCAATCTCTCAAACAGCAGTGTGACCGCCAAAGGCCCAGATGTAATATGTGTATCACATCCAGCGTCCACTGCCACGGATATGCTCAGAAATTGGCATGGCAATCTGGACTGGCCAGCCGCGGCAAAATGACCAGGAAAACATTCAAGATTCCAGCCGACGAGGATTCAGCAAACCAGAAACGCAAAACCCGTTGTCCGACCACATTTGCCTTTGTCCAGGAAAACGGCATCAAACGAAGAAAGACAAAAGCCCAGGTCCAAGGAACTCGGAGAGCACTCGAGCCGACCCATCGACACACCAGGGACTTCACCTCGCCCACAGTTCTAAGCCCCAGGATTCCGACTATGCTTGAGATCGATCAAAATCTCGAAGCCTACGACACTACCATGATAGAACAATCCCAGCAAGATGTCAACGGTCCAATAGAGCTGCCAGAAACGACCGAGTTTGTTGAATCTTCGACTCCCAACAGTCCTCCCGTTGATCAACGCGATTTAGTCATCCACCGCCAAATGACCACGTTTTACCCTCTCCACCACCGTGAAAGCGAAATCCTCGATTTTTATCAATTGCGATTCTCAACGTTACCCATCACGTTTGAAATGCAAGTCAATCCTTGGCAGATGTTCCTCCCAATGGCCTTTGAGAGCCCATGCTTGTTGAATGCCGTCTTTGCCCTCGGGAAGAAGTATCGTGGTTTACTGATGCACGAGGCCGAGGACCTCGAAGCCCTTCAGTTCAAGAATAAATCCCTCAATGCTTTCATCGATTTAGTACAAGATCTCACGGCAAACCCAGCCCTTCTTATCGCCACCATACTGGCTCTGGTGTCAATCGACGTAGGTCCTGCCACAATACTGGTCCTTTGAAAGATCAACTAACTTGCCATAGTATATTGGAACTGGCTACTCCAACTGGTCCGTCCATTTTCGTGGCGCCTACCAAATTATACAGAGTAAAGGAGGAATCGCCATTGCAGACAATGACATTGGACTTCAGAGCCAAATCGCCATGCTTGTATGGTACGACGTCTCAAGTGCTCTTCTTTCTCGGAGAGAGCCTGTCTTCCCACGATCCTACACGAAACGGCTAATGAAATGGAGATTGACTTCCGGATGGACCATGCTGGCTTTGAACGGGTTTCCCGACGACCTGCTCTTGGTGATCTACAATCTCGCTTGGGCGGCTTCACATCCAGTCGACGTGGAAGAGGTCTTGAAGTTGGAAGGAAGCCTGTGGACTGTTCAATACGAAACGCAAGACGAGGATCTGGCTCGACTTTTCGACTGCTGGCGTCTGTCATTGTTGCTATACTGTGGGCGTGTGTTCGACATCCAACAAACCAATCTGTCACATGAACCTCTTCACACATTCCCCGTCCATCGCCGCTTGTCTCATTCCGACTGTTCAACTCCGAGTTCCCCAGCCAAGTGTGCCACGCCTCCGAAGCACCTTTTAGGGGTCGAAGAGCGCAGCAAATTTCTGGCCGAAGAAATTTTCTGGTTGATGAGAGACATCAGTTCGACTTCCAGCATTCAGAAACAGTGTCTGATCCCCGTGACCCTTGCCGCTTGCGAAATGGACTCTGACCCCGAACGCTTTCCCTTTCGTATCATGGCCGAGGATTACTGTCGAAGGTGGAACAGACAGTCCGGACACGGCGTCTTTACAACAGCGCTGGGTCTGATTGAGGATGTGTGGAGACTCGTTGACCGCGGCTTAGCCGTTCAAGATCTTTGGCTCGCTGGCATTTCTAATCCGCGCCAAGTTCTAGAATTCAGTACCCCGATCGAGGAGTCTAGCCCCTCTTGGGACGGCTTGCATTCTTCAAGAGAGTTCCTACTGGGCTAAATGCTCGCCGGATCTTACTTATCGGATACGTCAAATTACGGTTAGCGCAAGATTGTGGGAAGCATCTGTTCCCATGGTGGGTTCAGGGTTCATAGCGTCTCTTTCATGGAAATGAGGTCAAATTATGTCTTCTAAAGTTTGAGTTGTGATTTGCCTCCTCTCGCTCGCAATGCTGCGACAACTTCTGCCGCTCCTCGTTCGCCAGCCAAGACTGCTCCTTCCATATACCCCTTCCATTCGAGGGCAGTCTCTGTCCCAGCGAAATGTAGATTGCCAAATGGTCTCCTCAGAGAGTTACCCAGCCGAGCCCATATGCCACCGGGGGCAGGCATCGGGCAAGGAACTCCTTCGATATATGGCTCTTTGGCCCAATGCTGCTCGATTTCCTGGATGGTGTCGTAGACCTTGGGTCTGAGGTCCTTGTCTAGCATAGAAGCCAGCTGGTCCTTGACGACCTTGATCCGGCGAGAGACAGGGTGGCGCATCCATTCAGTGGCATATTCTCCAAAGATCAGACACGAGATCGCGTACAAGCCATCTTTGTCCGAAGAAACATCTCGAGAGAATGTTACCGGCCCTTGCAGGTCGATGAAGGAGCCATTCAGTCCTGCATCTCGCCACCACGGCTGCGAGTAGACCAGAATACACTTGGAGTACGGTCCAAGGTGCACAGAGTTTGCGTACTCCAACTTGTCTGCTGGCAACTGTGGCGAGAACTGGATGTGCCGATACAACGGAGTTGGGATGGAAATCAAAACCTTACGACACTTGAACCGTAGGCCCGTAAGTGTCTCAACCAGCGTTAAATCGCCCGACTGGGTGATTCGGTTGACAGGGCTGTTCAAGCGCACGCTTCCAGGATTCAGTGCAGCTGCTAGGCGCTTGGAGATAGTCTGATTGCCTGTTGTATCTTAGCGATCAATGTCGGCTAGGATAGCTGGTGCCAAACTTACCTGATCTGTTAGTCATATACTGAGCGCCATCATCTCCGTCGCTAACAAGGCTTTGAATGCCTCCTGCGCTCTTGACGTAGTCCAGCCAGTACACCAAGCTGATCGCATCGGGCTCCGTGCCGGTCAAGGCACGAATCCAAGCCGTCCAGAGCTCGAGAGAGAACCCATAAGCACCATTCTGGCGAAAATACTCGCCCAGGGAAATGTCTTCGATATGTGTGTTGGCAGAGGCATCTTGGATGTCGATAGATTGCGAATCTTTGTCCATTGCCGCTGCCACCTTCTCAAAGAGTCCCTGCTGCTCTGCGCCCACTGCAGGAAGCCCTGGCCAGGCTGTTCTTGAGGACATGCTTGAGCTATTGTAGCGAAAGACCTCGTCTCCCTTGACCCTTTGAGGCAATGCCTCAAAGCCAAATTTCTGGAACAAGGCATACATCCTTGGCTGTGTCGTGTCGTTGATCCAGGCTCCTCCGATATCGAGGACTCCTGGTCCGTGGTCCATATTCACCGCTTGTGTTTTGCCGCCAACGCGGTCTTTGGCCTCAAGAACGACATAGGAAACCTTGGACTTGTGGATGTCGGTGGCTGCCTGCAACCCACTGAGCCCAGCGCCAACCACGACAACATCAACATACGGAATATTTGCCTCATTGACTCTCATCACAGCGCTCGAGGCGGAGGGTAAAGCTGCCACACATTGAATTTCCAGCTTAAGCTCTGAGGTCACGAGAGCAGGGACTGGTATCACGGCAGATGGAGGGTAGTAAGGGCCGTTCTCATCCTTGAGCCATTCCTTTAGCAAATCCCAAAGTGGTGAAGTCTTCTCGTCGTAGTCAACGACGTAGGCGGTCAGAGAGACTATGTTCCGAATCGAAGCGCCGACTTCGGCAAGGCAGATGTTTACATTGGCAAATGTTTGACGAGCTTGCGTTGCGAAGTCACGGGAGACTTGATTTGTCTTTGAGAAACCGACCTGGCCTGACAGGTAGACCAATTTAGATCCTGGCGCAACGACAGCTTCATGTGAGTATGCGTAGGGCTTAGGATCAGACAGGGTCTCAGGGTTATGGATTTGGATATGACCATTTGGTGGGTCAGGTCGAGATTGAGACATGGCTGTGAATAGAGGGATGAGCGAACGGGTTGGTGAACAAGTTGATTCTTCTCACAAGGGAAAGTTCATATATACCAATTTAACCGAATGCACCAAGCAGTCTCCTCCTGATTTCCTAAGTGGCGAGTTGTGCTGATTACGGACATAGAAGTCGTCCTCTCTCACTCGGATGGTCAGAACAGGCAGGTGAGTCCAGGCCATACGAGATTCGCATGGGGCATTTCTACCCTTTGCCGATTGACGGTCTCATGAGATAGGCCTTGAGCACTTTGGAATCTTGCCAAGGATATCCATAGACGATGGCACTCGTTAAAGAGTCCAAGAATCATGGAAAGATGCAGAGCTGGATGGGCACAAATGATACCTTCACAATGTTCGTAATGGGAAGGAGAGGTGGTCCCAATAGGCTAGCGCTCTACAAACCTCCTGGAGACAAGGATCTCCCCGTGCCCGATGTGCCCGAGGGCCCTCACTCGCCCCGCAAATGTGTGGCTTTATCAGTTCTCGGAGAGTGATAATTGACTTGATATCGGCAATCCAGGCTAGTCAAGCATTTGGTTTACTAGAGCGGACCCTGCTCTTTTATTTTTCCCCTATCAGTTAGTACGTACACGTCAGGATGGCTTTCGAGCTTGATCTGTGCGGATGTGGGTCGTGCTCGTTATTCTTGGGATAGTTGTGTTAATTGTATTAGGAAGAGCGGAAGTCTAGGTTGTCCATAATGGATATTAGAAACGACGTATCACTATCTGATGTTGAGAATTGCGGAAACTCGGGACTCTGTTAACTTAGCGATGCCATGGGGCGTTGTTTTTAACACCGTTTCCTCGGCAATCGTCATTCCATACTGGCAAGTTGCTCGTCTGTTTTCTGTCTGCCCATCAGGGTTCTTGGAGTTTCTACCTTAGTCCCTTCAAAAACCCTTTGATCACATTCCCCGTCAATCTCGCCACGTTATTCTTGTAGGCATCCCATCCCAGCGAGCAGTACCAATTGATGCTGCCAACAGAGAAAACTCCTCCGCCACCACTATTGACATAGTACGTGATGTCGGATCGAATGTCGGGGTTTTGTGTCCCTAATATGGCCGTTGAGGGGAATTGCCATTCTTCAGGGACGACTGCAAAGTCGTCTGTGTGGCCAGTACTTGATGCGAGGACCTTGACAGACTCTGGACTCTCGTTCTTGAGATCGAAGCGGTCCATTTCGTCGCCACTTGCTCCACCTCCGAAGCCATACTCCCCGATCAATTCATCGTGGCCGATTCCATCGAACATCCAGGCTATGGTTTTGTCCGTTTTGCTCTGCTCAGAACGCGCATAGGGAACCCCATCCGTAGCTCCTTCGCCACACATGCCGATTCCGAAGAGGACATTGCAAGCTCTACCGCGTGATCGCCACAAGCCACCCTGCTGAGAATCAATGTTATGTATACGTTCTCCACCATCCAAAGTAACTGATCGGACGCCTTGATCACCACGACGGACTTCCATTCGGTGAGGTCGTGTCTGGATATCGGTCGAGGTCACCCAGTAGAACCCATTTCCCCCCATATACATCAAGTTGCCGCCCTGCCTTGCATATGCTGTATATGCATTGTATGAGAAGAGGCTGGGATACTCAGGATGGCTTCCGGTGATGGCAGTGTTGAAACCACTGATCGCTGCAACGCCGCGTTCATGGAGATCATGATCAGTCACCACTTCATAGGGTATCTTTTCTTGCTCCAGGAACCCAATCATCAGAGTGTCTGCGCTAAACTCACGAGGACGCTTCCATGCCCACATGTAATAATTGGGGCGCATGTTGAGGATAGGCCGTTTGGCTGACGAATACACAACACCAGATCCGTCATTGTGGTAGTCGTAATGCGACAGCCCTATGTCTGACCGACGCTTCATCTTTTGCAGATCCTCGGTCCAGGCGATGTCGTTTATGTCAAAGCCGGGGCCAACGTCGATGGCTGACGCTCTCTTTCTATCGTGTAACTGTTCGTTCGCGTATGCAAGGTAAGTGAATGTGGGCATGACGTAGACGACCTTGCCGTTTCTCTTCTTCCAAGCATCTTCACTCGGCCGCACGAAGAAGGGAATACTATCTGATGCCCTCTTGGAGGAGATTTCAACGGCATATGCGCCTGAGCGAGCGTTTTTCGGAATCTGGATCTTGAAATCGGTCTCCCACGCCGCATCGTCACAGTCGTCCTCATGGAAGTGAATTGCGCCATAGCCGTAAGTCGCCTTGGTCCAGTCATTTTCATTCCCATCCCAGTCGTAGCCCTTGACGGCCCTGGTGGGCGCGTTCACTAGGGTTCCGTGATTACCATTTCCGGAAATATCCACTATCCGGTCACTGGACATGTCTCGAGAAAAGTCAAACTTGAGCAACGTGGTTGAGGGCACATCTGTTGTTTTAATGCAGGGGCTGTCCAGGCGGCCGTTGAGAATACTGGTTGGCCAAGATGAGAGTATTTCTGACGAATTGGCGTAGCTCGCACCAAACAACAAGACCTGATCTTGTGAAACGATCATTGGGCTCTTTAGATCGTATTGTACTGTGGCGGGAGGCGGTCCCCCAGCTGCAAATATTGATAGAGGAGTTACCTGGGCTAAGAGTCGTGCGTCTTTGAAGGAAGCTCGCATTTCGACCCATCTTTTCCTCTCAAGTATCAAATTGATTGGAACTGTCTCGACTCCTTGTCCGTTGCCTACCCAAAATTCCAGTGCCCCCTCAGCTGTGATCACTGCCGCAAAGCCACTCTTTCGAGCAATGTCAAGCGTGGAGATCAATGCTTGGGGGTGGCCAGCCTTTGGCAACCACGGTTGAAAGTAAAACGACACTTCAAGTCCTTGGACATCCTTTGACGAAACTGGGACCCAGTTCGTGACGCTGGCGTATGACCCAATGCGGGCAACTTGGAATCGTCCCTTTCCCGAGCCACCCGGAATGGCTGAGATGAGTTCCGATTGCGGCTTTGGAGAATGGCCCAGGGAAACACCCTGAATAAGCCTCACAGTCTGATATGTGTATTCGGACTCGGTTGATGATATCTGGTTGACGGTTAGCATTTAATATCACGCGATAAGGCTCCCTACCTTGATTTCAACAGTATCTCCGGGGCTGACAATCCACGGTTCTGCATACCCAGTGATTTCCGCTGGGTAGTTCGAAGGTGGGACATCAATGGTGGTCATCTTGTTATGGGTTGACTTTTCAACCTTGGAACTCAAGAAGTAAAATGGTCTGGATCTCTATCAAAGATCACACAATCGAAGAATACTTTATGCCCTTTGCGTTGACCCTGTACTCATGGAATCTATCAAACAATGGCTTCGGCTGTAGGGTTATCTAGCGGAATGGACATCTCTTTCCGAGCCTTCAACGTTACTATCAACCCAACGCCGCGGAGTAGACGATTCCCCGGTTTCTATGTCAGCGAACGAATCATAAGATTCCGATAAGTCAGAGCGGCACAATGTTAACTCTTTGACATTTCCCAGGTTCTGTTCTAAAATGGACAATTTTCTCTTTCGGGACTGCTCACCTTCCATATTGGGATCTTCTGGTGGGGATCCGCCGAATAGTCGATCCTAATGTGGATACCGATAATACTACAAATCCGGCGGCTCGAATACATCAATGGCACCAATCTTTGGCGTTTTATCCTGGTTGAACCCCTGCCGCAGACATTGACGCAACACCCAGATATCCGTCACCGTGGCTTCGAGTTCATTTGTTCATTCTGTTGACCTCGATGAGGAAGGTTAGATAACAAAGGATACCAAAGACCTCAAGTGACTTGCTCGAGCCTAGATCAGTGATTGGCACAGCTGCCTGTATATGGAAGGTGAGATAGCAGCTTCTTGAGCACCTCGAACAATCGGGACAATCGGATTCCACCAACACCCCTAGCCGACACGATTGGCACAGTCGTGTAGAGAACAATGGTCCTGTATTTCTCTATTTAACGATGATTCCCATCTACTGACAACACTCTCGGAAGGCTCAATACGGGAGAAACGGAACTTTGAACAAGCTCAGACAGACTACCACAATGACGCATAGAAATCTGGAGGATGTGGTTCCTGGAACAATTCACCTTGTTGATGTCGGCCACGACACTGGACATCAGAAAAACATTGTTCTCAATCCACGCCCAAGTGCCGACCCTGAAGATCCTTTGAACTGGAAACCATGGCGCAAGCAACTGAACATCTGGATGGTGTATACTTACATCTTCGGGATTGCAATCTGTACCGCAGTCCAGTACTCCGTCCTGACTGATATTGCCGCGGATACCGGCATTACAGTCGCCCAGCTCAACACTGGAACTGGGTTGATGTTCTTATTCCTGGGCTGGGGCTGCTTGATTTGGCAGCCTCTTGCGTTGGTGTTTGGACGTCGAGGTGTATACATCTTAACAAGCTTCCTCGGGATTGGGCCCATGATTTGGACGGTATACTCTAAGACACCAGGAGAATGGTATGCCCATCGAATCTTGGTTGGCTTGATATTCGCCCCCTGCGAATCACTTCCTGAGGTGTCGTGTGCGGATCTCTTCTTCGCTCATGATCGAGGCACATACGTGGGGTAAGTTCAAGCACAGGCACAGTTCGAACTACGCTGATCGCAAATCATAGACTCTATGCACTTTTCGTCTTTGGAGGTAATTCCTTGGCTCCATTCTTCGCAGGCTTCATTGCCGATGCGTTAGGTTGGAGAGCAGCCATCTGGTTTGGCACGATCGTCTTGATGGTCTGTACTGTTCTCATTTTCTTCTTCCTTGAGGAGACAATTTACTTCCGCGAGACCATCGAAGGTGTCGACGAAGGCGACGCAGTTGATGAAGGCAAGGCCGTTGAAACTATCACTAGCACCTCCACAGCTATCGACCAAGGAGCGTCCAAGGAAGAAGCAACCACTCAAATGGATCGGGAATCAGCCGAGTCTACTAACGCAGGCGCAATTTCTTACGCCCCCGAACGGTCCTATTTGCAGAAGCTGTCTCTGTTCAGGAGCTTGCCGGGACGGCCTTCTGTCAAAAGCATGTTTATTATGATGTACCGGCCTCTGATTATTTTCTTCTACTTCCCGACCGTCGACTGGGCGGGATTTTTGTATGGAATCAACCTATCGTGGTACACTGTGGTCAATGCGACAATGAGTTTGATTCTCAGTGGCGCGCCATACAACTTTTCGTCTGCTATGGTCGGTCTCTCCTTTCTATCGGTCTTTATCGGTGCCGTCATTGGTGCCTTATGGGCCGGCATAATGGGAGACAAAATTGCTCTGTATCTTGCTCGACGAAATGGAGGAATTCGAGAACCAGAACATCGTCTTTGGGTCTTGGTAGCATCGGCTATCATTGGAGCTGTCGGCTTCATTCTTTGGGGCGTTGGTGCCGCCAACGGCCTTCACTTCATGGGCCTTGTCATCGGTGTGGCGATGGTGGAGATCGCCGTTGTGACTGGGGCGTCTGTTTCAATTTCGTATGATGTTGATTGCTTCAAAGAGATTGCGGGCGAAACCTTGATTCTCGTCATGGTAATTCGCAACACTCTTGGTTTCGGCTTTTCGTATGGAATCACACCATGGCTAGAATCCCAAGGACTGACGAGAACGTTTGTTGCCGTTGCCATTCTGTCTCTCGCTTGCACGATGACGTTTTTGTTCTTCGTCGTTTGGGGAAAGTCGTTGAGAAAACTCTCGGCGAAGAAATATTGGGAATACGTCAGTACTATGGTCATCAAGTCAGGTCATTGAGGTGGTGCTCCATGTTTTGGAAACTACACTCAAGATGCAAAGATCAACGGTCATGTATTGCCAACCACTGCTCTGCTCGACAAGCCCACAGATGACTATTCATAAGCCACGAGAAGCAGAATCATATGAACTCTCACTATTTAAAACAAATAGCCGTGATTATAGTAACCCGAGTGACCTTACTTAGCAAATGCAAACTTTCCATAGGAAATAAACTCTCGAAGTCCACCACAGTGAGCGATCCCTCCACTCTTCGGATGTCTAGAAACAGAAGACCCTTAAGGCCCGTATCCATATTGTTCCGATATCCCGTAGTTCGATCTCAGACTTGATGTCGCATCAGGATTCAGTCATAGAGACTTGATTTAGTTAGAGCGGACGTGCCTCAATGTGGGGTGGTATGGCCCTTCTCGTAAAGTTTCCCATTTTCTAAGACCAGCAAATGAACTATTGCAGATTTTCTACCTTGGTTGTCATGCTCGAATCCCTAATCCCCACTGTGGGGTTCTCCATGGGCACATAAATGAGGATCAGTCCATCATTTGACATTTCAGAGCCCTTCCAGATCTGGTCGATTCACCTTCCCAAAGAGCGATACTTTCTGCCCCAAGAGAGCGATATCTCCTTCCCAATCGAAGGTGTCTATGGACGTTTGTTCAAGTGAGCATCATTACATGCATGGTAGATTGGTGCGCAGTTACTCAAAGAGGGATCATCGGGTTTCTGGGCCTTTGCTGGAAAGTGGTCAAGCCGGAAGTACCAGTACTCCAACTTTGGCAATTGAGTTGGTGTCATTGGCCATATTGACCTCCTAACTGCCATATATATACTCCCATAAAGACATCAGAACAACAGTCTGCAAGCCTCACGTTCGGAAGTATTCTTCTTTGATCCTTTTTTTGCATTCAAAATGGCCTCTTCTGTCCAAACAGCAACCATTTCTTCAGCGACGACCACACCACAGCTACTAAACGGTCGGCTGGGAGATTCAGCTGCTGATCGTGTCAAAGCCAATGAGCTCGTGGAATTGGAAATTGCAAATCAATTGGGAGCACCGGATATTTATGTTGACAGCGAGGACGAGAGCTGCTGGTACCATTGGGTTGGCGACCTCTGGGTGAAGCCTCTCCGGTTCAACAACCGCAATGGCGAGTACGTGATTAAGCTGCGAAGCGACGTCTTTACCGAGTTAGGGAAACATAGACATCGAGGGGAAGTCAAGGCTTACACTGTTTCGGGCAATTGGGGTTATCACGAGTGAGATTCCAGCGCATATTGTCTTGCTTTATAAATACTGATGCCATCTGATCTCTCGTAGGTACAAATGGAAGGCCAAGCCAGGTGACTACATCACGGAGAATCCTGGTGCTATTCATACGTTATGGATGGGCGGAGGCGGAGAGGTCTTGTTTAACGTAATGGGCTCCATTGAGTTTTTCAACGATGATAACAACCTGAGAGAAATCATGGACGGATTCAGCTTCTGGCGTATGTACATCGAGCATTGTGAGAAGGAAGGAATTAAACCCAACCACGCACTATGGTACTAGGTATTGAGAGCTTGATGGCATGGTAGAATGGTCCAATGAGCAGTGTTGCCAACCCTCAGCAACCTTTCATGATCTTGAAGTATGTATGCCCATTCTCTAAAACCGTGGAACCTGTCTCGTTGCAAGATGATGTTGGCAGAGCAATCAGACTCAAGCATCCTCTCATTCCTCCAGCGTATCCTCCATTTTGCCACAACATGACGTCCTTGGGAGATTTCACTCATACGTCGTCTTTGTAGAATCCATTCTATGGCGTGTATCTAAGTCACGTGACATCGAAATGTTTGGCCTCACAGGAAGGTGCGACTTGGTCTCTGTGTCTGTGTCTCTTTCCATATCACAATCCACCGACGGACAACATCCATCGCATCAAGATTGGAATCCCTTCATTCCTCATGTCTCGTCCAAGGACCAACATGACTCCTTGTATCACCTCATCATGTGGTTATCCTTACGCATGTGCTGTCTGCCAGTAAATGGACCAGGCAAGACTAACATCTCACAGACCATGAGCAAAACCCCCGTTGTTGACTGTTTGTCCTGAATTCATATTGTGTTATGAGTCTGGGGAGGGTTTCTGCTGTTTGTCAATCCTTCAATATTCCCGTCATATACCCGGCAGTGAACACGTTCGGGTAAGCGGCACACAGTTGGGGAACTGATCAAAGCTTATCTTCTCTAATCCCAATCTACGAGTACTCCGTACTGCGGTTCCGCACCACCTAACCAGACTACCTGTTGACTCTCATACATAACGAGAAACGCGTGAGAAGTTCTTCAACATTTCCTCAAGTTGTGATCCAGAATAGGTCTGACAATTGTCGTTGATCAACAGGTGAAGCAGTGTTATCCACGGTTTCGGCAACGTCCATCTCGAACCGACATCCAAATTTATTGTCTCGGGGTTTTCTTGTTGACTACTTATAGTCTCGGTGTTAACAAGCCGGCAAAATACGCGAAAATCACCCAGTCTCCAATTGCCGTAGACTGTGGGATATGTAAGCATTGCCCAGAGACGACCCACAACGGCGAACTTACCACATCACAGTGCATCTTCTCTTATCTCCAACTTGCTTTCTGTCTGCATGGCATTTATGGGTTCCCTTTGTCAAGGAACATAGCATCCCTGGGCATGGTGCTCGAAAAACAGCCCGATCAGGAACCACCCGTCCCGCAATGGACTTCGACGCCAACTCATAGCTTTGAATTTGGTCAGCCCGGCGATCTCCAGGACGATGGACAGAAGAAACACACGGCCAACAATCCCAGTACTTCATTATGGGACAAATTCCTCGGCGTCGTTTTTTATACACCACCATGGTCTCGATACGACCCAGCTAGGCCTCCAAAGTGGTCTCTCTGGTATAATGTATTGTTTGCATTTGCAGGGGCATTCACGGTCGGCAACCTCTACTACAGTCACCCCATCCTCAACGTTCTTGCCGAAGATTTCAATGTCTCATATGTCGAGGTGTCGAGGTTACCGACTTTGATGCAGGCAGGCTACTGTACAGGCTTATTGTTCGTATGCCCTCTTGGAGACTTGTTCAAGCGCAGGCCCTTAACCTTGACATTGATCTTCATGACTGCAACCATGTGGTATGTTCGACCTTTCACCTTTTCTAATAGCGGCCAAACTCACTCCGAACTCTTCCTAGGATTGGATTGTGCATAACCACATCATTTTCTGCCTTTTGCATCATTGGATATCTCTCTGCCATTACCACAGTTATTCCACAGGTCATGCTTCCCCTCGTTAGTGAGCTCGCACCCCCTGAAGGACGCGCTCTTGCTCTTTCCATCACCACTTCTGGTAATCTCCTGGGCATCGTCATTGCACGTATTCTTTCGGGTGTCGTCACCAACTACACTTATTGGCGAAACATCTTTTGGATCGCTCTTGCACTCCAATATTCTATTCTCATTGTTCTCTGGTTTTTCATGCCAGACTACCCGTCTTCGAACCCTGAAGGTCTCAACTATCTCAAAATGTTGTGGGGCATCCTCTTCCTCTACAAGAAACACGCCGTTCTTGTACAAGTTGGTTTGATCAGCTACTGTATCTCAGCCTGCTTCACCTCGTACTGGACGACATTGACATTTCTACTGGCCGACCCGCCTTACAACTATCCCAGCGTCATCATTGGTCTCTTTGGCCTGATTGGTATCGCCGGAATCATTATGACCCCAGTGTATGCCAAGTACATCATTCAACCTTTTGCGCCAACCTTTTCCTGTTTAATCGGATGGGCCATCCTCCTGGTCGGAATCGTTGTTGGAACTTATTCAGGGCGATACACCGTTGTCGGTCCGATCGTCCAAGCCTTGTCTCTGGATGCTGGATTTCAAATTTGTCAAGTGGCCAACCGTGCTGCCATTCACGCGCTTGAGCCGACTGGTCGCAACCGGGTTAACACTGCCTTCATGCTGTTGAGCTTTCTGGGCCAGATGACGGGCACGAGTGCTGGGGCTGAACTGTACGAGAGAGGAGGATGGAGAGCGTCGGGCAGTCTGAGCGTGGGCTTCGTGGCTCTCATTCTAATTCTCTCGGTGGTGCGAGGCCCCTACGAGAAGGGATGGTTTGGCTGGTCGGGAGGCTGGGATATCAGGAAGCAAAACCTTGCTCAAGCAACCGAGGTCTATGTGTCACCAGCGGCGGCCAGATCTGGCAAGAAAGACGTTGACGTGGAAGTTCCAATAGCTCCTGCGATGGCTCAAGAAGGGCAAACAAACTCCCCAGCAACTCGGGCTAGAAGTGGGGACGAAGAGAACGGGCAATTGCCTTTGGAACCTGGAAAGACGGCCGGAACGGACAAGCCGTGATCTAGCGAAGATTTGAAACGAGACTACGATTGGCCATTTTCCGTACAAGATGGACATTTGTTATGCATGATCAATGCTAGCATGATGATTCGGCATGATCACACCCATTCCTCGTGCGGTGTCCTGTTTCTATTTCATTGGTGAGCGCCCATCGGACAGACTTCGGCTAGGGGGACAGCTGGAATTCCATTATATTCAGAGCTTATGCCAGACAGGCATCTCGGGAATATTATTCACATGGCCCATCACTGACCACCTCATACTCGATGCTAGACACGGAAAGCTGGTCATGTGCACTCTCTTCAGTCGTGCCATGCAGGCCAAGTGAAGATGATAGAGGGATCTGTAAGGCGACCGTCTCTGTACGACCAGGATAGAAAGTCAGATGACCCGGCGCGCGCAGATCGGTATCAAGGGCGAGGATGACCGAGTTGCGTGAAGGGGTTATGTAGAGATTACGAGTGGCGCTATCAGCGTTGGTAGTCATGTCGGTGTCGGTGTCGATGTCGAGATTGGGATCGGTATCAGCATCGACCGCTATGTTTGGTGATTTCGTAGAAATATAATCACCACTTTGATCGGGTTTCGGAGTCGACACGTGCGCTTCGCCGCTGACGAGGACGAAAAACCTATTCAACAAAGTGAGGGAACGTATGAATGTGCGGAGCAAAAACGATATGTGCATAGAATAACGACAATGATGATAGCAACAACAGGACAAAGGGGAAGACTCAAGGCCCACGAATCATGCTCAATGCGCCAGACAAAGAAGCCGCAACAAGAAACGATAGAACCAACACCCAATCCATGTACTTAGGTAACCATCTAACAGAACGTGGGAGATACAATACAGACACACTTACATGGGAGCCGGTGGACGATGCCATCCCTCTCCACTACGAGGTGGAAGGACAACATATGTGAGATTGGACACGTCGCCGAGGAAGGCCGCCTTACCGACAGTGGGATATGTGTGGAAGATGCTATTAAGCAAGCGCCAGCATTGAATCTTGGCGGCATATGGTGGGGATGGATCGTTGAGTACGGTCGAGATGGTGAAAGTGTTGAGCGGCGGATTTGAGTCTGATTCGGACGAGATAAAGGCTGGAGATGGTGGAGGAGCGGAAGGAGAATTCGGAGGTAGCAGGAATTTTTCTTGCAGTTGCTGTTGCTGGGTTGGACGTACTAGACTCTCAATGTCGGTGGTGTGAGCGGCGACCGTGGTCTTGAAAGGCGAGCATATCAACAGGCCGAGGGGGAGGGAGAGAGAGAAACAGCCTAGATATTTGAGACTAGGAAAGGCCATAGTAGGGAGAATTCAGACGAATCAATCAATCATCAGGAATGACCCATTCGGACTTGTTTGGTTGAAGAATTCCCTTCGCCAGAGCACGTCCTGTATGCGTGGCTGGATAAGTGCGACTCAAGCTCGAGTGGTTCCCAATTATTTTAAGAACAAGTCAAGATGAATTTGTCAGTATCGTAAGTTGATCACAATAAATAAGGTACTCTGGAGGTCGAAAGAGAAGTATTGAAGAGAGTTATATGCAAGCCTCGAAAGTTGATGCGATTCGATTGGATTCGAGTTGAGTTGAATTGAATGGAATGGAATGAAATCTTTCATCAGAAGTTGGAATAGAGTTCTCGACTCTACGGAGTATGTTGCTTACGTAGACAAACTCGTACCGCATCCCTGATCTTCAGGCCTCCTTCAGGCACGAGGGCCCTCGTGCCCCTTGTCCCTCACTTTCGGGTCTTTTTTCAGGAACGAAATAAGGCCAGGAACGTACTCCGTAGTGATCTTCATGACCACATCCTTATCAAGTCTAGATGTACTTTTAGTGAAGACATATGTACGTGAAAACCCCCCCCCATCTCTTGTCAAGGCAACGATCGACAAATGAAGTGTGGGTGGCTAGGACGAACAAAAGAGAAAAGCCAGAAATTTATGTGGAATCACTTAGTACTATCATCACTTATCGTATGCATACTCGGTAGGTGTAGAAATAAATCCTGATGGATAATTAGTGGTTTGGGGCAAAAATCCCAAATCCCATTGCCTTTTCCCATCCCATGACTTTTTACGTCAAATTGATCGACGATCGGTCAGCCGACGGAGGGGAGCGGCCGCCCGCCACGTGCATTTTGACCACGTGAATTACGGAGTATGTTTTCCCTTTCACCCACGTGGTATGGATTTCCAAGACTCGTGGGATTGGGGAATGGGGAACGTGGGAACACAATACGGAGTACTGTATGTAGACCAAATAAAAGGCACGAGGCTGGCTGATCGCCTTCATTGATCGTCGCTTGCGTTTCACGAACAAAATACTTGACGTCAAGATCTGCCACCAACGACCCCGCGACATACTCCGTACTGTTCAATTTGATAGACATATCTCCAAAATATAGTCATGCAATTACAATCACGTTGGAGCAGCACGAGCAAGGGGCCGAACATTTGGACATGTTGAATCTTTTGCACGATAGTTTGGTGTCTATGCTGCAGATCACTTCTCTAATTTTGACAGCGTGAATAATGCTTGTTAAGCCCTGAAACCGGTCCCACGAATGTCAACTATTTGTCCATTCGATCGACTGCGCTAGATACATCCCATCTCCCTCCCAGAGGTAGTTAAATGATGTAAAAAGCCGCCATTGGGGAAATTCTGAATCACATTGACTGGAAAAATCCGCGCCACGCTCGATTCGCCAATAAAGGATGGTAGTGTTTTCGTCTTCGTTGTGCTGAAGGTGCCAGTCATGATGCATTATGCATATTCGTTCATTGTTGATTCAAGGAGCGTCGTTATCACCTTGATACTGAATAATCTCTCGCCGGTTGATAGGGGGGAATATGCCCATCAACAGTGGGTAGTTGGTGGATGGTGAGCGATGGCGACGCAGCTTGGCGTCCCACTCACCACGTACTGGTTTGTTAAGGTTGCAGTATCGTCTATGTTGAACCGAGACCGCCGAAAAGTGATACAGGTACGAAATTTCTTGGTACTGTAGGAAAGCCCCGAGTGAACATGGTACAGGGAGGAAATTCAAACATGGTTGTGTACAAGCTTGCTAATTGAGACTGTACAGATTCAGTGGCGTAATAGTTCGGAGAGAGCCTTGAAGAGGCTGCGTTTGTGTGGTGAGGTTGGCTGACCGCGACTGTCGAATGCTTTGTGTGAGTCCAGCATTGCTCTCGGCGGACCGACTGACATCGGTCCAACGATCTCCATATCGCCGAGTTCGGGGAACTTGCCCGACTTGTCGTCGATAATGGGCAAAATCACCTTTGCGGGTGACTTTTCGAGCACGGCACTAGAAGCAGTCGAGTTTGGCTGGTCCGAACCGCCATCACTCAGACGACTCAAGACGGGGTCCAGAATCTTTTTCATCATGTCGTGCTGTCTTTTCCACTGATTGTCGACTTGACCCCACTTCTCCTCGGTCAGGCGGTAGACCTTGGATGTGGAGCCGTTGTGTTCGGCAGTTCTGGCGAGGTGTTTGGCATAGTTTGTTCGGGCCTGGTTCCAGTTTTCACGAAACTCGATATAGCTATCGAGAGTGTTGGAGTCGGGGACATAGGGTTCTGGGTGAATGGTGAAGTTGGCATGTCCAAGCTTGGCGGACCATGGGTCAGCCAAGTCGTCCAGCATGTGAAAGGGGGACAGTTCACCAGTAATGGTGCTTGTTCGTGACCTGTTGTGCATGGACACCATAGAAGGCTTTGTCGACAAGGGTGGAGAGGGAAGACACGAGAGAGGAGTGTCCAAAGAGGTTCGAGAGCCGATAAGGGTGGAGGTCGGCGCTATGGAGGGAGACTGAAGGGGGGATTGGATGGGGAGTTCTCTCTGGAACGAGTCCAACATAATGGGCGGCAGAAGTGGAGTGGTCGCGTGGACAGTGTCTTCTTCCTCTGGCTGGGATGGTCTCTGTTCAATGTCGACGGGGAAGCTTTCGAGATGGAGAGAGGTGTCACTGCTCATGGCCTGGACAGGCGAATGTGGGATGGAGCTCTCATGCTTGGAGATGGCGCTCAACGCAGGGCTAATGATATCGACTTCGTTCCATGAGCCAGATCGGGCAGCGGGTGGGTTCATATGTGTGATGATGGACAATTGCGGCCCAGCAGCGGATCTGTTTCTCCACCGTCGTGAGATCGAGCCTAATCGACTGCTGAGGCGATGGGTGGTGCTAAGAGGGGTTGGGTCCATTGACCTGGGTCGCTTGTGATGTCGGGGAGTAGAGGGCGTGGTGGAGCAGTCATCGTCTTCGGGAGACTTCCAGGCCAGTTGGGTGGGGGATAGAGGAGGGGAATTTCGAGCATGATCATCGGCAAAAGCCTTGTCGTAGTCAACTAGATCATAGGAGCGATCGTTGACCAATGTGTAGCCAGCAAATTCATATCTCTCCTGGGGTTCTTCGGTGACATCCTCGAGGCGTTTAGGAGCACCATACATCTCGATGGAGTCTCGCTGAACGGGGGATGATGCTATGGAGGAACCTGAGCCTTTGGACGAATGGCCACGAGAGAAGACAGAGGCTGTGGGGGAGGATAAGTGGGTGGAAGACGTTGAAGAGCGGGAGACTGGGGTGATGGCATCTGTCGGGGTGGAATACGAAGACTCCATGTCGGGTTGGTGGTTTGGTTTTGGTTCTGGTAGTGGTTGTGGATATGGAATATTATTCTTAGATGTGTGCAGTCTGGTAAAGAGAAGGCACTGGGATTGACCCTCGAAGTCAAACCGTGGGAGGAAGAGGGTCAGGTATAGATTTGGACCAGGTCCAGGGCAGTTCAGAGTTGAACAAGTAACTGCATGATGGCTGGGCTGTTGACAAGTAGGATTGTTTATCGGAGACGTGTCAGTGGTGTATGATGGGAGGCGACGTGTAGCTGGAGCTGGAGCTGGAACTGTATTATGGTGTTTGTGCCTGTGAGTGGACGGGCATGCAGTGATTTGTTGTGGTGTGGGCGAATTCTACGCGGAGGTCCGGGCTGGAGAAACTGCGCAGGCCACCAAATGATCTTGGTCGCGACTTTTTCGAGGCCAGAACAGACCAGTCAGATGCGAGTGAGGTTGTAAAGTAGTGGGTGAGTCAGGTGTTGGGTATGAATGAGAGTGAAGTAGCTAACGAGTGAAGCCATCAATGAGGTGCCATGTGGACGAGTGAAAGAGGCGAAAATAGAGAGAAAATCGAATGGGGTGGATGTAGCAAGTTTTGAACCCAGCAAGGGTATAGAGAGCGAATGTTAATGTTGATGGGGCCCAAAGTCAAAGGCAGAGGAAGTGGGAAAAGACATGGGGGGCACGGGGGGCAAAAGCAAATCGGGGTCCAGGAGCAGGTGAGCAGGTGCAATGCAGGTGAAGGTGCAGGTGTGCAGGTGTGCAGGTGGGCAACAACAGGGTCGGTACGAGAGTGTGAGAGTGTGTGCGTGTGTGCTTGTGTGCTTGTGTTTTCCAAAGGTTGTGCAAAGAGCAAAAATGCGACAGTGGAGGGCAAGACCAAGAGGGGAAAGGCCGGAGAGCGGGTGTGGAGGCACAGAGGCCCGAGGGTCCCCTCGGCCACAGAGGTTGAAAGTGTTGGTTGTTGGTGGTTGGTGGTTGGGTATCGGTGGTTTCCTACGCCTATTCCGCGCTCCCATGCCTAGATCGCTCCTCGTACTCATCAATATGAGAGTACTCCGTACGACTACGGAGTAATAAGTCAGTAGTGGCCATGATAGATAGCATCCTTGCTCCTAGCACGCACCGGGAGTCAGGGCCAACGGGCCTTGGACGCGCTAGGCTGCTGCATCCGTACTCTGGAAGAGGGTGCATGGGATGGCACAGTGAGAGACCCACCACAACCCAACCAAGAAAAACTCTTCCAGTGTGCGATGGATCCCGGCAAAGACTTTCAAGTTGAGCGACGACGACTGGTTGGGGTACAAGGTGAATGACCTCTACCTCCGTACGCACAGGTGCTGGGACTTGGTCCAGCGTCGGTGGCTTGTCGACATACTCCGTACCCTGGGTTATGAACATGAAGCTCTTTACCGAGCAAAAGTCTATTAGACTCGTTGCGTTTGAACGTCGGATTTGAAAAAGAGGTGTGTGAGCCGTCCTCCAGCTCCGTACTCAGTTCTCCCTCGCCTCTCAGGCCCTGCTCGGCAGTACCTGAATCGACGGCTGAATAATGAAATTAAGTTTGGCTGTCTCAAGAAACGGGCTGCAAGGGAACCAGTGTCCGACGCCACCGATGCAGAGGGCTTGACGGGTAGCTTGACCATGCGTTCCATGCCTTGACCAGCCTACGTATAGTTCATACCTAGGTACCTACGGAGTAAGGTATCTACGTATCTACGGAGTACCTCCATACACTATCTACCGAGTACAACAAGACAGTGTCCGAAGCAATGAGGCGCCAAGTTCAACTTCTCACGGCACAAAAGCCAAGCCAGACCATGCTCCGTACATAAAGTAGTATTGTTCAACACCACATTCTTTGGCCCCAATCCAGACCAGATGTCTGCAACAATATTGTTATTATTATAATTCAATGTTTCAGGACTAGAAGCCACCAACAAGTCTTGAATCTATCTTGTTGGGGTAGAGTAGAGAGCACTGCCCGGTTCAGAGCAGGGTCTGTGATTTGGCAAGGCGCCCTTTGTCAAGACTTTTGGTGGCTTGACTTGGTCGTGTGTCCAACCATACGGAGTACTCCTAATTTTGGTTTATCGGCTCTAAATGCTATTCCATAATAATAATGATATTCATTATTCTCAACTTTGAGCTTCCGTATATGCTCATCAGCCTGACCTTGAAGAAGATTTGGTCGTGTTGATGACCATGTGTGGCCCTAACAACCGACGAATTTCGAAGCCAAAGCGCCAAGAAGAAGCAATTGAAACCAAACAACAAAAAATGCAAACCAACAATCATTATTAGTTTCAACTGGTGTGTACTACTACGCATACCACCCGCATAGATGTTGTTAGAAACTGTGAGACCTTCTACTCGCTTGGATAATAATGATTGTGTTGTCTAAAGTTAGAGGGTCATTTGGTGATGTACTGTAGAGTTTGGTGACCGATGAGATGACTTGCAACCGCTTTCGCTTCGTGGCGCGTTGCTGTCCATCCACGCCATCTCGCCATCTCGCCATCTCACCATCTCACCATCTCAACGTTCTTACAGCACAAAAATGCATGGATGACGTCTGGATACCGTCTGGATACTTACTTGCGGGGATGCAATGCACTATGGCACCATGCACCAACCCGTAGGCCAAATGACTCTGACTGTGTCTTCCTCTTCCACCGTAACCACAATAATACTACCGTACCTACTGAAGAAACCATCCAACGGTCCGGCCTGATGCATGACTAGGCGTGCTATGCTACCTATTTCTGTCTGAAACCACCTTTGTTTCAGTCCAATGTATGGCCACTTGAGGTAGTACAACATCTCAGAGAAATGCGGTGCTACGGGTGCTTTGCTCTCTTGTCCAACCCCCGTGTGGCTGGCGCCAGAGGATGTCCCTGATGCTGTGGGACCTCGGTACCGTGTTGTCTTTCCGTGCCGTTTTCAATAATTGGACAGTCTAGTACTCCGTAGCAGTATGTAGAGAGTAGTAGGATCAGAGGATGAGTGTTATGGACGCTTGTGCTCAACCAGCATGTCTCTCGCTCTCTCTCATCAGATGTCTTCCCGCTAGAACCAAGACCAACGGCCGACTAACGATTCTACTACCGATTTAAATTGGGCGAATTCTGCAGGGTTTGGCCCCGGCCCAAAAGATGCCATGATGCTTATTATTACCACTTAAGCGAGAGGTGTCATAATGCAGGAACGGTCTCAGTTGTACTCTCACACAATCATTCTTGGTGCTACGAATACAACCGGTACACTTGAAGTCATTTTGCTCTGTTGGCTCCGGGCTTGAATGTCTTGTCCTGTCGGTACCTTATCAACCTGCCTGATGGGTGTCTACCGTCCCTCTTCCCCGGCGGATCTTTACTTGCCATGGTTTAGCCTTGAAGCCTGAAGCCGCCCCGCAGGCCCGAGCTCCCGCCCCTCCATCTCTCACCTCTCAAAATCGTCACCCTGGTTGGAAAAAACGTGCTTCTTAGAGTATACACTTTTTTTATGTGGTTGGCAAACTTGAAATTTGCATGCCCACCATGGTCATGTCTTGTAGCGTAATCAAGTTGTAAGTCTGTACGGTTTCCTACCTAGGTATCGTAGAAAGCCATTTATTCATGCCTGATATCTTCTGTTCAGCGCAGTTGTCAAAGAATCGTTGCCTCTGTCACTCTCGCTGTCACTGCCACTTCCCCATCCTATCTTCGGATAGCCATGATTCATGTCCACCATTTGCGGGATCCTCCCTCCTCGACACCTGTCAATTGTCATTGCCCTTGTGAATGCAAGGTCGGTCGAAACATGTATTGGTACATGGCTGAAGCCGTTCAGCCCGTTCTGTCGTCATGGCACACCCCCCAGGTAAAGAGAATCCGGGGGGCTGGAACACCCTTGATCGGCCGCAGGAACAAACGCCATCTTCTGTAGCATCATTCCTGTCGCCTCTCAGTGTTAACTCTTTTCAAACCTTGTTTGACCCCCAGGGATGTTAACTTCGTCAATACCTGCCGCAATGCTACTATACAACTGCGTAAACCCTTGTCTCAACCGTGCCTAGGTAGACTAAAACATATCCCCCCGAGCATTCATCTTACCTCACCCCAGCAACTACGGCACGCATCATGTAACGTGCTACGTCTTGCGATCGTCTCTCAGACTGTCAAATAAACTCTGCCGATCTTTTCCGCTGTGTCACGGCTGGAAAGTCGATCCTCAGCTGTGGAAGCGTTTTCCAGATCGACGCTCGCTCTATCCGCTCTAATCCATGCCTCAACCCTGTAGTGGGAGACTTCCGAGAGAGAAAAACCTCCGCAAAGAGAACCTAAGGCTTCTTATCTCGAGGCTCCTGGCAGTGCTGGTCGCTGCCAACCATCTAATTGACAGGATTACCATGTCCTACCACGTCCTCGACTCATCTCAACCTCACGACCGACGCCTCAATCGATAGCGCCCAGCAAGCTTGGCCTTGAAAATCCCACCAGAAGACGGCAGAGCTTGTCCACATTCTCCCCACTCCCCACGCATTTTGGCACAATCTGGAGTGCCACCATCGATACCGCTTCATTCCTCATATGTACGTTCATTCCTTAAGTTTCCTTTAGTTTCCTTTATGCCTACGTTCTTGCTGGCGCCACGCTGCCTGAGGGGTCTTTGACTTTACCAAAGCTCTACACCCGAGCTCTAGTCTCGAATTCGAAAACCTCTCCTTCCAACTCCCAAAATGTCCTTAACAAGAAAGCATGTAGATCCACTTTGAAGCATGATTGCCTAGACAAAGTGCCGACGAACGCGGACGTGGAACTCATGAGCTTACGGAGTAGGTCAAGTATCTGGCTCGTCGCCGCACAGACATCTAGGCAGTCAATGCACTCAGAACCCTTAATTGTACACCAAAAGCATCATAGGCCATGCCACCAACGGCCACCTCAGCTTTTCATGCATCAGGCACCACCAAAGTTCGTAGTCGTCGTCGTCCTTCAGCTGGCTCAAGCACCGACCACGTTCGTACGTACCGCCATCGTGGTATTCTTCGAGACCCTCGTGGCAAAAGCGCACGAACCATTCTCAACCATACAGTCGGGTTGAGGCATCCTGTCTTGTAAAACTGTCCTTGCCCCTCTCTCTCCAAAGCTGAAAGCTGAGAGCTCCAGCTCAATATCTGCATTACGATAGTAGCTCATCGAGTCAGAGCATGTGTTCGCCCTTTGGGTCTTCAGACACACTGAATATCTTGTTGATCCCAACCCCTTTTCATTCTCAATCGCACAAGATTGACTCAGCTATGGAACAGCGTCAAATTCGCTCAAATCTAAAGTCGACAACTGCTTCTCGTTGTCTCTGGTTTCGTTGGCATGGCTGACACGTTTCATGTAGCCTTCGTGTTCGTTATCGCCACCCTTCTTGCCGTCGTGATACGGCTGAGATTCTCACATTCTAATTTTCGGGCATCTTGTGCATCTTCGTTTGGCGAAAGAGCATCCGTACAAGCTGACATGTTAGGGTGCAGCCTGTACCTTTATTATATGTCGCTAGGCCCAAATCATGAGCTGATGACCGTAGACTGAGACAACTCGCGAACATAGTTCAGGTAGAGAACCTGCTAACCCAGTACCGACTCCAGAGCTTCTTCTGCTCGTCGGTCCCCTTAAACTAAACGACTAAAGTCAGCAACCCAGTATCACTTGATAGACCGCACGGGGCAACGTACTTGGAAGTCAACTCGGTAAATGTCCTTGAATCCTTCCTTGAGCGTAGGCTCCTGTAGTCTTTGGAGAAAACTTCTGAAAGCAATACCTGGCAACATCTTACGAGCTTCCGGATTCATCTAATCCCGTCCAAAGTCATCGTGTCAGTTGCAATGTCGTGCAGCCATGGAAACTCGCAGCCTAGTTGCAACTACGTACCGTTGTCAGGTTCATGGCTCGGACCGCGTCATTGTGCTCTGCCAGACGAGAAGATGCCGTGAACCGCACAAGCCTGATTGGTACCTTGAATTCCTGAGCGAGCTTGACCCAGTATGCCCGGGTTTCGATGTCTGCATTCGTGTTATCTGTCAACACACACAGGTCAGTGTACCACAAGGATGAAACGGAGATGCTGAACTCGTCCTGAGACGTCGATTAAGGCATGATGTGAGGCACCAAGGGCAAGAGATAATGTCAGACAGGCGTTGACAGGCGAGGGTTGCAGTAGCGGTTTGACAGATGGATACATCGGAAGTCTGGTCACAATCTGCGACACAAGTAGGCAAGGTACCGCAGGTAGACACAATTAGCCACCAGTGGTCAATTGGTCTCAACCTGACCGCCTCCTGGTGCATGGAAGGCTGAAATGAAGAGAGGAATCGTACCAACTGCCACAGAAGACCCTGCTGCTAGTAGTTCCCTTGTTTTTTTGATGCACCTATCACGCTGTAACGAGTTAGGTCTTTGTCTGAACCATTCAGCAGCAGGAGATGGGTGTCAATCGCTCAATGAGAGATTGTGCCGGGACGGTGGTAAAGAGGGACATTGAAAGCGTTCGTACCGTTTTCAGTATGTCCTGATTGACTCTCTCGTATCCCAAAGGTTCCAAAACGTCCCAGAAGAAGGTGCTTTTCCCTGCTCCCGGCGAGCCACAGAATATCACTAGTTCTTGAGGATCATTCTTGGTGAATGTCATCGCTGTGGACGAGTCTTTTGGAACCTCCGATGACGTTTGCGAGATCTCTGCTCGTTCAAGGTGTCTGAGAGGATCAAATCCATGGTCATATGGTTCGGGTGCAGCGCCGAGGAAGAATTCTTCTGGGGTCTGGAAACGTATTCCAATATTTGCGGCGAGATGCCTAAACTCTCCTTAATCAGAAGTGTCCTTCGATTTGCCTAGAAGAGCCAATGTGACTCGTCGTACCTGTCGGAGGGCGCATGATCTTTGTTGCGTTGATCAGTCTTTGCTCTTCCAGCAGCATCACCGACATAGAAGGAGCCATCCACGTCTACAGCATCTTCAGCCTGCAGACCAAGATCGTCCAACATCTCGTCCCACATGCCAGTCCTCGGCTTGCGGAAGCGATCTTGAGCAGTTGCCCCATAGAAGCTGAGTGGAATGTCAAGCTGTCGAAAGATCGAGGTGATTTGATTTTTAAGGTTGACCAGACTAGGCGTGTCCTTCTGTAAAGATTTAGGGTTGTCTTTGAGACTGACATTGCCTTGGTTACTGAGGAAAACGATGGCATAGCCTTCTTCATGCAGCTGTTTCAGCCTTCCGGGGATGGACTGATCCCACCACTTCCAGCTGGTGGGGGATCTGGCCCATTTGCTACCGGTATTGGCGACAATGATCGTGTCATCCAAGTCGAAAGCAGCCACTTTGACAGGCAGCTTGGGCTCATCCTGGGTTTTCTCATTGGGATTATAACGACCAACGACTAGGCTGTTTTCGACAATTCGCCAAATAAGGTTCTCGGGAGGCCTTTGAGAAGCCGGTTTGAAGAAGGTTGCCACGGCCTTGCCTTATATCAATTAGCTTGAAAGGGGCATACTTGAATCAACGTACTCGTAGTGGTAGAATCGATCTTTCGCTTGATGGGTGGAGGCGAAATTGAACCGGTTGAATGGGGAGTAGCTCTCTTCATGGCGGATGCGACCAGATAGATGTTACGAGAGATATGATGAGAGAAGAACAAACCACGGATGCAACGACATGACAATGTCGTCAGCAGGATTGACGCCAGGCTCGTTGTTTGATGGTGGTGAAGGCACCAGTCGCTGAGTGAGAGATGTGCTAGAGGTCGATTGACGAATATGGTTACTTGATCGCTCCTGCCTGTTTGATGGTTAATTCGTGGACGCGATCTCGGTGTTTTGGGGAAGGCGAGAACACGCCTGGGCCCTAGCCCCCTCTGCCTAAGACGTCACTGCGGGGGGCTGAGGGGTGGCAAAGCTGCTTTGGGCGAGATTTCCTCAGCCTTGCCCCCTTTGGCGTTTTAGGGCAGCGTCAGCCTTGCAGCCAAACCTTCTCTACTGTCCTAACTGTAGGTCGTGACTTCCCGCATGAGTGCCACACCTGCCCTCAAGGAATGGTGATTTAATCAGTGACCTAGCTATGTTCTGAACAAAAGTCCTTTATCACACAACTATTCTAATTGAGCAAATGCGTTGCAATGACGTCGCTATCAGAATCCTTCGGGTACACTAAACCACGACTATTGTCTGAGAATAGGTAGTTTGACTGTTACGCCTTTGATTTGATCCAGGAAAGGTTCAGTTGAAAATCGCTCAAGATGCCCGAATCGAGCACATTGTCCTGTCAAGATTTACATCGGATGACTTGTGAGAACGTCGTGCTTGCGTTGTGATACGCATTATGAGAGTCACTCCAGTAGTGAGCTCAGGTATCTAATCATTGTTAAGAGCGAAAGCCTCGGCTTAGACATTGAGCTTGAGGATCGAGGGCCACAATACTTCCGGCAATGGGTAGGGACAGCCCCAATGTCCTATAGTTGGAGGGAGGAGCTAATCTGAGATGAGGATCATGGTTGTTTTGCCAAAGACCCTGCTCCCTGAATACCACGGGAATCCTCAATGGCATCATATGCACTCACTGGTTGAACCCGCAGCACATAACCTGCCCAATCCTGTGCTGAGCGGAGAGGCCGAAGGTATGCTTGTGTCGCCTGGCCCACATCCATGGAGGTCAGCAGAACCACTACCTTTATGTAGTCTTGTCATAGATACCGAGCGTCTGCAAACCAGAGCAAATGAGTCTATCACAGAGTCCGATTATGCTTGATGGTCAAACTCTGCGAACAGCTGAAGGGAGTCTGGTGTCAAGTGCCAATCGATCTGCCGGCGTCAAGTCGAACGCGGCCTTCAAGGATTCCTGGAAGTTGAGCAACTGCCGTGTTGCGCGGTCCTTGAGCTCCTGGTTGTTTCCATCGATAACGTCAATCGAAGCCTGAACCAAGTAACTCCCCGAGCGATCGAGCTCCTTCAGTTCCGAAACGTTGGAAAGATATGACCTCTCGGTGATGGCAGCGCTGGCTGATACTGGAGGGAGAGTGAGAATTTTGTGCACGTGAAGAGTGGTATCGTGATCGTAAAATTTGGAACCCACGAGGAGATATCTTGAAACATAGTCATAGCCAAAGTGGTCGAGGAATTCGGTGAGGTTGCCTTGGTTCAAAGGGACACGTGATATGAGTCTCGTGCTCACAGCTTGTTTCCCTGCATCAGGCGTGTCTTTGAATTCGAGTGACCACTGGACAGTCACGGCCTCCTCGTTCGTCTCATCGGACATGACAACGTCTTTGTCTGTAGATTTGCCATGTTTCTGCGATTTAGCCGAGGCGGGACTCACCTCACCTACAAGCTGCACATAGTAGAGACTCGCATTGAGCATATTCCTATAGCGTTGGATCTCAGGTTGCAGAACGCCCTGAGAACCACCGCCAGAAGGAAGCTTGTCCAGGCCTGCTGGTTGACGCGCCTTGAAAACGAGATGAATTTCCAGGGTGTCGACTGGCTGCATTCTTGTAAAGCCAGCGAGTTGCTGAAGTGTCTGATGATGGGAATCCTTTGCCACTTGGCCATAAAGAGCGAATTCATGCATGACTGATGTATGTTGAAAGCTTGACCGAATCTCTCTTGGATACATAGTCAGCGATGTCTATTGGTAGGTTGCATGAGGCAGGATGAAATAGTGATTATCTGCAAGTTCCTGCAGATGCAGATCGGCGTGGGGATTGAATCGATGCCAGTTCTGTGCATTAGACGCGTGGCATAATCACAGTCAGGTGTAGGGTCCTTGCCACTGGTCTCCGCTGTCGATTCCAAAGGAACAAGAAATTATCGTGGTTCGTTATCTCGTTATTTCTGCGAAGGTGGTCATGCCACCTGTACGGATTTTGGCTTCAGGAAAACAAAAGTCCAAGGCTGACCTAGCACGGCCAATTCTTTTAGGTGGGCACACAGGACATTGGCATGTATGCGGAGTGACGGTACGTACGGATTAGGTTGACTTGGGTAGGCGGCTAAGGTAGGAACCACAAAACAAAATCCAATGTCACGAGAAAGTTGAAAAGAAAAATATTCTGCGGCGCCCTCGTCCGAATGGCCCGTTTACCCTTGATTTAGGGGGGGGGCGTGGGGAGTGTCATGCCCAAAGCTCCCGCGCCCTCGGACCGGCTTCCGGCTTTCAGCGCATGTACGGAAGAACGGTGGAGGCCTGAAGATGGTGGTATTAAGCGGTGGTTAACCGGTATTAAGTGACAGCTAAGCAGGCCTTCTGGACCCCGATTTCGCACATCACCGCACGCATGCACGGAAGCCGCCTAGCAATTGGTACATTATTATACGTTCTTATTACAAGCTTAATTTGTCCAGCACTGGCTACATACAACCACTTTCTTCCATCCATCCTGACTTTGTCCAACCGGCTTTAGCATGATAAGACCTTCTGGATTTTGTTTCTTCTGCCCCGCCGACTGATACACCTTTGCCAGCTGCGAAAACCGGACAAAACAAATTACGACACCCTTGAGTATCTATTAACCAAGTCGACCTTGTGACCCTGCGCAAACATCGCCCACCTCCAGCCTTCCCTACAAACCACCTCATCTTCCCCCATAAGGGCAACAGCAAATCTCAACGATCTTTAAAGAAACTGGTTACTGCTGCATTCGACGTCGACATCGTAGACCGACTCTCGACGACAGTCGCACCTAGAGCCCTATTCAAACCCCCCACCTCACAACTCTGACCCGCCGCTTGCTTGACAGAATTATCTTTGTACGATGCGGGCCTCCCTGATCCTTCGAGCGACTCAACACCGTACCCCCTCTATCAAGTTCCTTGGGAAACGAAGTATTCCTAGTAAGATCCTACACGTACTCCTTCATGGCTCTAGCCGCTAACAACCCTCCAGAATCAGTAGACCACAGCCCACAACCTCACCCAGCCTCCCCAACTCATTCCCTCCCCGATAGCTTCGCCACATACAGGGCCAAGGCCCAACAACACGGCCCCCTGGGTGGTAACAATGGACACGCATCGCCATTCCAAGCTGCTACATCCGGTCATGGAACATATGGCGCCATTGGTGGGCAGTCCGGGAGGTCACTAGGGTCAGTTCAGCCTGCTCAAGGAGAGTATTTCGACAGGAACGAACTCCCGAAGCGGTTCTGGCGCACACCGTGGTCAGAAGAGGAGATCGAGGCTGTGAGCACAGGTGGAGCGAGCTCCGTTTTCTGAGCTGGAGCTGGAGCTGGAGCTGGGCATCAAAGTCCCTATCTCTATGTTTCGAGCATTGCAAAGCTGTGTTCGAGGTCCCCTTGATGTACAGCATATCATTATAATCATGGTTCAGGTCTCGATTGAGCAAAAGCATCATGGTGGTGTCAGCCTCGGAGGGTTTTCAGACCTTGCTTCAGAGGCTCGAGAATGAGAGTCCTACCTAGCAAGTCTTGGTAGCTCAGGCCAAGCCGGACCCCGACACAACTCCCAGACGCCATCAGATTTCCGCCGACGACGTTATCGACCTCCAATCACGAGAAGCTCGATTGTTAATGGCTTGACTCTTCAAAAAATCAGTATATATCCCACTCAACGTGTACGGTACATGACGGTCCTGGGGCGGCTAAATTATAAAAACTCCCTTTATTCTTGTCCACAAAATGGATGTGATGTCTTCTACAAGTCAATGCCTCCCTAATGGCTTGCCTATAATTAGTCACTGATGGAGTTAGTGTGGTTGTACTCCGTTGGTAGCGCCAATGTGTCTGTAGACCCAGATCAAAGGAGAGCTCCCCAGCAAGGCTAGGTCACGTGAGATCCTTCATTTCTTGGCGCAGAAAGTCATCTTGGGAAACTTCTCCAAACGAGCTTCACTTGACAAAAGTCTGGGGATACCAAAAGAACCACGAATTTGAGTCCACCAGCCACCTTGTGATGCTGCGCGCAGCAATCACGATGCCTCCGTCTTCATCTAAGCTTGTCGCCATTCCCCTTCCCCCTCCTTTTCTCCTCCCGCGCAACCTTCTCACCAAGTCCTCTCCCTTTACGCAAATCCGATCTTTTGGTGTTCGAGCAATCGAGAAGCGACGCAAAGCTAGTCCCTATAACAATGTTCCCGGCCTGCAACCTTTATTATCTTCGCAGGCGGCTGCTTTCGAGAGGAAAATCAAATCCGATACCCTGCCTTTACGTACCGGTGCACTCGCCATCAAGAAAGGCATGACCGCCATCTACGATGCCGAGTCTGGAAAGAGGATACCTTGTACAGTGCTACAGCTGGACCAGAATCAAGTCATTAGCCACAAGACGAAAAAGACCCATGGGTACTGGGCGGTCTGTGTCGGAAGTGGAACTCGCGACAGCGAGAATGTGACCAAACCCATGTTGGGACATTTTTCCGTTCAAGGCGTGAGCCCCAAAAGACACCTTCGAGAATTCCGTGTCAGATCTCGAGAAGGTCTTCTGCCTGTCGGACATCACATTAAGGCAGATTGGTTCATCGAGGGACAGTTTGTGGATGCCCGGGCAACCACGAAAGGAAAGGGATTCGCTGGTGTCATGAAGAGATGGGGCATGCATGGGCAGGATCGAACTCACGGTCACTCCCTCAGTCACAGGTCGATCGGTTCAACTGGTAATGGCCAGGGAGGTGGTAGTCGTGTCTATCCTGGAAAGAAGATGGCTGGAAATATGGGCGGAGAACGAAACACCGAGCAGAACCTCAAGGTGCTACAGACAGACCCTGAAAACGGCATTGTTGTGGTCAAGGGTAAGTTCTCTTGCTCTGGAAATTGTCACCTTTTTTCCAAGCGAGTGCTAACACAAGAGATTTCAGGTTGCCTATCTGGACCGAAGGGAGGTCTAGTTATGATCCAGGACGCCCTCAAGAAGCCATGGCCCACAATCCCTACCACGGCAGAAGTTGGTTCAGAGCCCGAGCAACAAGCCACAGCAGCGATCCCGGCTTGAATACATCACAGGGCAAGGTGCGCTTGATTGACAAAGTTGGTCGCCGAATGTGATTGAAGGCCCAGGAACGTCGTTGTGGGTATGGTGGATGTTTGCCACTTGAACTCTTAATCTCCTAGCTGTGTGTCTTCACCACCTCCACCTCAGCATCTGATACGTGTAGTGTTTCAACGATTCCACCAGAGCCTGCACAGAAGCCTAAAGAGACGATCGATTTGCTTCCGGTGCAGGAATGCTTGACAAACTCAAGTGGTACTCGTCGTCATAATTCAGCGGGTGTTTAAATGGTGGCACGTGGGCCACGTTTGGTGGATGTTATAGAAACACGTTGTATCAAAACCGCAGAAAGAGGACGAGGGACAGTTCGTAGACTAGAACGACCAGACATCCGTGTCGTGAAACCTTCATTCAGTATTATCATGACTCCATTTACTGAGCGCCCCAATGCTTTCGATTTCCTTGATAGTGGAGGTATCTCATGCACCTTTGAAGTCGTATTTCAACCCTCTTAGCTCTCCCAATCCACTCTGAATGTCATCTATACTATTCCTGATCACCAAGACCACAAGGAAGACCACGGCGGGCAACAAGAAGACCATCCACAGTCCCTGGGGAATGTCTGGGTTGGTTGAGGCACGATACCGTAAGGCCACTAGTGCGAGGAGAGCGCAGATAAAAGCGTTGAAGTACGGGAGAACCAACGCCAGCGGAGTGTCTAAGTCCGGGGGCGGAGGAGCCGATTTCGTAAGCGAAGGAATGGTGAAGAGTTGGCGTTGCCCGATGCGTTGCTGTGGTTGTTGCGAGTAATGCTGAGGATGAGGATGAGAAGCAGAGTCGCGGGACCCTATGCCGAACCTCGCCGCCGTTTTCGTGACAATAGCGAATAACGGCGTTCCTATCGGAACAAAGTACATGATGTAGGCGCTCAAGAGTAAAGACGTGATGCTGAGTATACAGGCCAAGGTCATGGCTCTGCTGGTGGATAAGCCCAGGACACGCAGAAATGCCAGCATTACCACCAGTGGCAGGACGCTGAAAATCATTACGTATTGCTTATTCTGCTTGGTTTCGCGTGTGCTGAGATTGGTGAGCAGCGTCTCTTGCTCTAGAAGGAATTGGGTGTCAGTCAAATGATGGATGTAGGAGATAGAACTGAATATGCAGATGGAGCGAAAGGAAAGGAAACAGCATAACATGGCATCTGGACTGTCATATTGATCAAAATGTCCATATATCGACGCCGTCGTCCACGCGCTGCCAAGAGGGGAAGTAATCAAGTCGATCAGACCATCTTCAACATACCTTCCTCGTCCATTTCGTCGTGCGACCCGTGCGAGTCATCATCATCGGGGTAGTGGAACGTTTTCCTCAGCCTCGTCGTTGCCATTTCTCGTTTGCTGCTCAGAAATTCCGCAAGAGTTGATGTCAGCCTTCGGCTATAAAGGAATCTTGAAGATGATCTACACTGTCGTCAATTTTGTCTTGCCAACATATGTGTCGATTCCTAGACAGAGGCTGTATCTGGTAGAGTTTCAAAGTAGACAACGGTCTTGAAAGGATAGACAAAAGGCTTCAACCTACCGAGTGGCGAATATCACGTGACTATCGGCTTCTCGTCCATTGTCACGTTCACCTCCAGCATACACGTGGAGCTCTACGCTTGAATTTAGGTATCCTCTCCTATTCCCCTGGGCTTGCTTAAAATCTATGGTTTGAGCAGGATGTTGGTGTATTTGATGTCGGTCTCACTTCAACTCAGCCTCTATCGTTGAAAACGGACCTCCTCTAGGAGGCCAAACTTTGACGACGGTCAGTCCCACGCTATCGAGCAGCGCTCTCCAATGCTTTTCACTTCGTTGCATCGAACTGAAGGTTGTTCGACTAATGTCCGCAAGTGACTCGAAGCCACTGCAGCCTGTAGCTGGGAGTACTGTTTCGCAGACTAGTAGCTTGGAATGGCCTTTGACCATGCCTTGAATCTGATTCTGGAGAATCTCGCGGCACTTGGAGTCGGGGAAATCGTGTAGAACGCGTCGCATGAAATAGATTCGAGCTCCTGGGCAGAGTCAGGTTTCTGAAGTCGTTCATGATCAAGGCTGCATACCTTTAATAGGCTGTGGGGTGAAGAAGTCGTACTCGACGACCTCATAATTCGGCTGTTTAGCACGAGCCTCTTCAACAATGGGCCCGAGGTCTTGTAAGACATAGCGACCTTTCAGATGCGAGTTTTCTTGCATAACCTTCTCAGTGACTTGACCTATACCGCCGCCGACATCGACCATTTGCACCGCGTCCTCGTTGGTGTTTTGAGAATCGAGAGCTGCGGCTGGTACAGGGCTTTGGACCAATTGTTGGCCCGCCCCTTTCATGGAGGAATTGAACCGGGTTTGACGAGCTTCATCGCTCCGGATATAAGCAAAGAAATCTGTACCGGTAGCATAGTGAGAGAGGGTATTATCCGGCTGCTCAGGGTTCTGATAGCCGATATCAGCGAGATATGCCGGCATTTTGCCAATGCATCCCCAACTACTATCAAAGCTATATTAGATGATCTCGTTAGTAACATACGACAGTAGTCCCTCATAGATGACAATGGAGGTATCAGCCAAGAGCAGGCGGACAAGGAAACTAACATATGCTTATTCAGATCTGCCGTGGCGGGTGCAGTCAGAGCTTGAGAAAGTGTTGAGCGAGCATAAGTATGTTCTCCAATCTCTGTAACAATGTTATGACCTGTTAAGACTCGCAGAAGACGCACTGATTCATGATCAGCAGAGGAAACGGTCAGTGGAGGGTCTTGTCCATGCCTATTAACGCTTCGTCGGCACCAGTCTTCTCTGCAAGCTCAGATGCGGTAGTTGAGGTACCCAGAAGGTTGAATATATTCAGCTCAAGGGCAGTTCGAATCACTGCGTTCAGCCAGGGCTGGAGACATCGTATTTAGCAGAGGCGAATTGAACATGGCGGTCTTAAATGTGCTTACCGCAAAGGCGAGAGCAGTTGCTTCCTGCTGGGGATTTGCAACCTCGGTGGCCAGCTTTCTCGCGGCAGAAGAGATCTTCTGCCGTGCCTGATTCACCTTTGGTCCTGGGGCCCTCTCCTCATTTGAGAGATCAATAAATGCGTCGATTGAACTATTCAACGAGTCACGCAAGGCCAGAAGGCCCTTGATCTCATCTGATGCGGCCGACATTGTGTCTCTGTAGGTCAAACAGGAACCAGGAAAGTTGACCTTTTGTTGAAGCTTTGCGAAATAACTTGAAAGGATGAGCGGTGACCGAAAAGCTTGAAGAAATGGTGAATAGGAGTGTGATTGTCCCATCCCCCTGTCCCCCGCATGTAGGATCAGATTGGCAAGGCCAAGGCCGTTCATGCATGGCTGACACTTGGTCTCGGTCGTTCCATACAGGACAGTAATTTTGCATCCGGATGGGGTCTGTTATCCATGGAGCGATATGATGACGGGAAGCTCAGCAACATGTCCTGATGGAATACGGCGACCGTGGTGGACAAATAAGGGAAGGTGGGGTTTTGCGTCCCATGGTCCCAACAATGACGAGAAGGAACGACCAGCAAGACGAGTGTTGGTGTTTGCTATAAGCTGGTCTCTCAAAAGGGGTGCAGTGACGCTACATAGTCCGTCAGATATGCCCACATGTTCCAAGCCATTGCTCTGTGCAGAGAATGTGTGTCCATGGGAGACTTCACAACGGTGATGATAAGTCTCTAAGGACAAACCGCGATAAATCATCCGAGTAGGCAGAAGCAAGATCTGCGGGGATAAATTGCTACTAGGGGCGGATCTGGGGCCCCGGGCATCGCTTTACTTGAAGTTACCCCTAATGCCCCCTAAAGGCAAGTCCCAAGGTCCCTTCTTGGCTGCAGAAAAGCGCGATAGATACACGCGAGAACTTCGTTGTGACGATGCTGCTGTAGAAGACGTCAAGAGCGCAGCGGATGTCTCAGGACTCAGATCTCGATTGAAGGTGAATCCTTGCAAGCGTGTTGGCTATGTCCTTCACGGCAAAGCACATGAGCCGCATAAGACAAGGGCATTTAGTCCATGCTATAAGCAATGCCTCGTCGGAGATCAATCTGACCAAAAATTCGATGAAGAATGGGATAGGCTATGTTTCTGTACATCTTGGGATGCATAAGAGACAGTGATTGTACCTATCAACCTCGTGGATTTTTATAATCCGCAATATAAAAAGCCCAGGAAATGTCCAACGTCATGGATTCGGTCCACTTTCCCAAGAGACCTCGAGGTTAAAGCAGCGCTCCAAACGCCCCGCGACTATTCCTAAAACGGGTTTCGTGCCTGGAGAGATCTTTCACGGTGCATTTTCGAGAAACGATCACTGAGGTGGACTGCGTGGCATATATGCCTTTTACTTCAACACCAAACATATCGCTTCGTGGATTGTGGCGCAGATAATTTCACTCCCCGTGATTTCATCAATCGGTGAAAAGACGTCCGACAACATGACCACCGATAATTCGAACGAACCGTTCTACGTTCGATACTAGTACGAGACGTCGCATTCTCCTTCTAAAGTGACCCTCACTAAAAGTTGCAGTTCCGGCCATTCTGGACGTTTTGGTCATGAATTCCTTGGTATTTTAACTGCTCAGCCTCAAATGGAGTCGTGTTGACTCTCAAGCAGAGTTTGATTTTCGAGTGATTGGGGATGGGAGAAGTGCGACCGCGAGATATGCAAACAACTCCAATTACCGCAACGATTCACTCATTCGCAAGGAGAGTGGGTGGCCCCAGGGTATCCTCTTCACTGCGAACTAGCTAACATAAAGACACAGTGTGTGTCAGTTCCCTCCTCATCGCCGAGATCAAGCGCATCATCAAAGACAGCGAAATAACCAAAGAAGACGATTCGCGGTGGCCACAGAAGAACAAAGATGGCAGACAAGAACTGGAGATCAGGCTTGGTAGCGATCACATTCAATTCGAGGTATTCTTGAAGCCTTCAAGATGATGGACCATGGCCTAACAATATGCTACAGACCGCAAAGATTGGTTCTCTCGGGGATGTGTCCGATTCGGCTGACCCGGAGGGTCTGCGTGTCTTCTACTACCTAGTTCAGGACCTGAAGGCATTGGTCTTTTCGCTCATATCGCTGCATTTCAAGGTTGGTTCAGCGCCAGTATTGGACCTGCGATTACTAACAAGAGTGCTATAGATCAAACCCATCTGAACACAAATGGAACAATGCAGATTGATACATTTGGGATTCCAAAGCTCTGCAGCGCCATGCACTGAATGACACCGTGGGAATAATACGCACAACGAGGCCATGAAACACAGAGATGACAGACCGGGGCCGACTATTGCTGTTGGGCCTGGCTGCGATACTCCACATGCCAGCAGAACACCTCTTGAGCAGCGCACATCAAGCGCAGCGTCCGAACGAACCGAAGTCCTTTTCTGTTGTACATGCCAGCAACTCGAAATAGGGGAAGACGCAGATTGTTATCCCAAAGTTAGACAAGCAAGGCATACCCTCAGTCACTGTCGAGACCAAAGGTTGCACGATCTGGTCTGGTGGGAGAGGACCAAGTCGGAGTACAGGGCGTCCTTAAGGGAAAACGACAGTGATTGCAATCATAACGGCATGTAGGATGATTCAAACACAAAAGACGACATGATGTGGACTTCTGAAGTGCTTCGCTTTATATGCCCCCGCCTTGCAAGACTGCTGACACGGGATCATGTAAAATGTCTTTAGCAGAGAGTTATGGAGAATTCTCATGTGCGGTGCTGTAGTGTCTTGCCTCCGACGTCGGGTGGGCGGCTGGCTTTGGGGCGGCGTTTGGTCACCTCGGCATCTGCTAACCAAGTGCGGCAGAGGACCTCCTCCCCCAGGATACCTTGGGCACCTTTTACTGGCCAGCCGTGCCAGCCACAGTACAGTGTCAAAGGAGGAGGGGGGGGGGACCTGCCCCGACTGTCCGCCGCTTAAAAAGTACCGCATCGCGCGGATATGAGCCCGAGGGCCATACCCATATCCACGCATGTAATCGACCCAGTCTTTGCCAGTCCTTGAGGTCTTGGTGTGTCTGTCGCGCCATCATCTCCAGTCGAGTCTTTCCAACTATCCCCTTCTCTTATCTTCTTTCTCAACCGACATCATCGACGACTCTACCGCCGCTCTCCCAGTCAGCCCTTGTTGACTGCAGTCGTCTGAGTCGCTTCTACTTTTCTCTGCCGGAGATTCTCCGCCTTCCGAGATTTCCACCTTGCGACTCGACCCTGCTCACCCCATCTCCACTGGCCTCCAACCTTCCATATGATAGTCCTCTGGCCCACTGAATTTCAATGCCAACTCATGCATCAAATGCATCAGACAGTGCCCAACCTGAGGCCAGTTTAATTCGACCGAGCGCCTCCTGCCCGCTTCCCACTCCTCCGTCAGACGACCATGGCATCGCCCCGCTAATCGATGGCATCATCCAAGACGAGCCATGCAGCAACAATGAAGCTCCTTCGGTTGGTGTGAGCGGTGATAATACAGCTGCGGGAATGTCGCATTTACAAGAAGAAACCATGTACATGTCGCTGCAGTCCACCCATGACACAATGCGTACAAACCCTCGAGACCAAGATCTTGACCTTAATCTGGTCGGCGCAAGCTCGAGGGATTTGGCGGACGATCTGAACAACAAATCAGTTGAACAAGAAGTGCTCAACTCAGATGTGCTTAACTCGCGAGCAGAATTCTATGTCCCTGTCACAGCAGGCGACCAATGGCGGATGGAGCAAGGGCTTAGGTCCGATCCGGTGGCCACCGCCGACAAGTCACCAACAACTTCCAACTCTTCAAGTCCTGCATCGTCTGTGCAAGATCGGAAACGAGGTTTCTGTGGCACACCAAGTAGTCCAGGACTACCGAGAATTGACCAAGAGTTGAACTGGTCCGCCGATCAAGGACATGAGAATTTCTCCCACCGGTGTCTGCGTCCGCAGTATCCTTCAGCAACTTTCCAACCTTACTCTGTGTTCAAAGGGACGCAACAATCAGACAGACAGACCTACAATGTCGAAGTGACTATTCTCACCGTGGATATTGAGCAGGCCAGCATGTCTGGATATCTACAAATTTGTGGCTTGACACCGGATCATCCCACTTTGACCACTTTTTTCACCGGCGAGATCATCGGCGGCCCAGATCAACGTTACACTTTTCGAACGGGCGACCCGTCTTGGGGAGCCAGCGATAAGACTGATCTCACCCACTGGGCTCGGTTTCCCGCATGGCGCCCACTCAGCCTCCAAGCGAAGCGAAACATCAACTTTGCGTATCCCACGAACCACGAGGATTGGTGGCAGCAAGAACACATTTTCATGAGATGGAAGGAACACTTCCTGGTTCCTGACTACAAACTCAAGAGCATCCAAGGAGCGAGCTTCGAGGGGTTTTATTACATCTGCTTTAATCAAGTCGAGGGACGAGTGAGTGGAATTTATTTCCATTCCAAGAGCGAAAGGTGAGTAAGCTTTGTCATGTTCGAGATGGTCACATAATGATTTCCAAGTAACAGGTATCAACAACTGGAATTGAAGCACGAAGGCAAGCAAGGCGTTTGGGGCAGAGGGGTCTGTCCAGCAGTCGAGTTTCGCTAATAGGCGGCGATTGCGTTTGACGGATCAAGGTTTGTAATCATGTATGTTGAAATCTATGTGTATACGAATTTGAACGGAAAGGTTTTTTGTTTTTTGATCCTCCGTGGGCTGCCGTTTGTAAACTGTCGACTCTCCCTTTACGTCAATGGAATAATCCTAATTGACCCTCGAAGAGCTTTGCGATAGATTGTTGCAGGTGGACACGTGATACATCCAAAAGGTCACGAGTCTTCTCGAGTTTAGAACTAAAAGTCCTTGGGCAAACTACAGATTTGTTGAAGATAAGCAGACACAGATTTTAGTTAGAGGTTGAGCCCTTGTCGGTCTGTTGGCGCTAACAAGTCACCATCTCTGACATGTCGAACGCTCATGGGTGTAGTGGGATGGAGATGGGCAGAACTTGTTTATCAAAAGTATCAGGTGATCAGGTGTCGAGTGGGGAGTCTATATGGATGCCATTGGTTGTTGTCATTATTGACAAAGTCATAAGGATCGAATTGACCTGCACATGCATTCTCGCGTGGGAAAGCATTGATAGAATCTTGCGTCTGACAGGTCACAGGCACAGATGACAACGACCGCACCTCGCCAGCGTGGCTAGGGCACAGATCGGTGGGCTCTTCCAAAGTCACTTGCAGAAGACGAAGCTTTGCTTGGAATGATACAGCGACAGGCCAACTCGACTTTTGTTCTTGTCGACGACCCTGAGTGGCAACAATTGCCATGCGTCTCTAAAGTCTGGATGGAGTCGAATGGACCTAATAATAATAAAATTGGAGCTGGTGGTTCGAAATATGGGGTTGGAGTCTGGAGAATGACAATTTGATAATAATAGTCAACTAATAATATGGAGGTACATACTCCGTAAGTGCCTCTGCGCAGGAAACTCCCAGGGAGGTCGATAGAGCCTTGGGGCTTGGGCTCTAGGCGTGATCCACCCTCAGGGATTTGTCACTCACGGAGTAAACGCCTACCACAGGTGTGGATAGGCTTACGTATAGATGCTGTTATAAGGCGCAAGGTGCATGATGAGCACTGAGAGCAGGCGTGGTAGGAACGGAATGAGTCAGTTACCGTTCCACCTCACCGAGAAGAGCGAGAACAGCAGCGAGGCCCCTCGGCCTTAGGGCGACTCCTTGTCATGCCAGTTCAACCTTAAAGGCTCTAGACCCTCGTGTTGCCCCGACTTGGTGCTTGGCTCCAACTCGTCTCTGGCTCGCCTCCGACCTGCAAATTTTAGCCTCGACCTCGATGACGAGCACTCAACCGCCGCGCTGCCCTGCACGCTGCCCTCTGCACGACTCAACTTTCAGCGCCATCTATTAGACTGTTCCATGTGCTAAAGCCCAGCCCACTACCTTCTCAATCCTCTGGGCCTTGTCATCTACATACACTCGACCTTTTCGCCCTCCGCTAACATATCTGGTCGCTCGCCTGGCATCGTGGACCATCACCACTTGGGTCACTTCTCCACCGTCTTATCGCGCCCTTGGCTGTTCGGTCGCTCTCTATGAAGACTTGATTGGGATCGATTCTCGAATCTGCAATAGACATCCAAAACCTGTTTCGGTGGCCACCACAAGATGAACTGAGCCATGGTACGTTGTGACTCTTGTCGTCGTGCAGAAGTGTTATCATGACACGATCAACGCTTGGAGACGTCATTCCATCCACCATGCTAACATGAATATCTGTCTCTAGGGGTGCTGCTCATCAAGACCCTCTACCCCAGAAAATGCCCAACATAGCCGGCCCAACTCTGCGCCACAAGTGCGACATGCGTCCCAGGAGATAACCTCGCAGACGGCCATCAACGGCGGCTCACATGACGCAGAAGTTCGCACGTTTCCTCCTGCCTCGGGCCTCTCCATCCATCACAGTGAAACCTCCAGATCTGCTCTTTCCACCCCTCGTCAGTCTACGCATGCCCATGGTAGGTCACGGCAAGACCAAAGGACGCCCTCGCTCGCCGAGCATTACAATCTCCCACTCCAACCACCCAAAGAATGGAAGAGTTCAGGCAGAACCTGGACTCGGTCACAGCTGCAACGAGAAAGATATGAGTTCTTCGAGACAAGAGTGACAGGGAGAAGAGAAGTATGGGACGGGTTGAAATCGGTCCTTGAATGCTTGCGGGAGGGCGATCTGGCAGATGCGCAGGGAATTCTCGATGCCTTGGGTGTCACACTCCCAACCGGCCGTATCGAGGCCGGTAGTTACGATGAAATGGGCAATCTCTACAAAATCCCCGAAGCAGTGGTCTCCGACCCTGTCGATGTTATTGAAGATGCCGATGAAGACGGACAAACCGTCATGGGGAGCAGTGAGGTCGATGTCATTGCTGCCAAACTAGAGGCTGCTGAGGGTGGAAATGCCAGCCTAACCCAAGAAGACTCTAATGGAGAAAAGGCCAAAGAAGCAAAGGGCAAAGCCGCGGTGGAAAAGGACGCATTGAAAGTCAAATGTCGTCTCAGCGACCGTGGTGGGCCCGATGTGATTGTGCCACTGGGTAGGAATCAGCGAGTGGGTGCCTTGTCCCAAAGGATCAGGGATGAGACAGATGTGAGTACCACGCCGGTTTCCCCCTTTGGCTGAGGTCTCATACTAATCGCCTGCAGGTTCCCCCCAAAGCCAAGATCAAGATCGCCTATCTTGGCCGAATATTCGATGACAAGCTGACCCTTCTGGAACAAGGCTGGAAGGAGGGCCATGTCGTCAACGCCTTGATAGTGGGGAGGCTGAACGGTTGATGTCTGACTTGACATTGACTAGGAGAGGCCATGCATAGGCTCGCGCCGCCTCCCAGGCGGATAGCGAGCATTTTGAACAGCATTTACGACTTTCGACGGGCTTAGCGAGGTGTATATTGTGTTTCCAGGTTTTGATGTACAAAGAGCTCTCATCTTGTCAGAGGTCAGGTCAGGAGTGGGGTTCAACCCATACGGCGTAAAGGTGGACAAGGTATGGTCGGAATATTTCTCAGGCAGGACTCGACAGGCCTGCAATGGTTTGATGAAGCACAGACAACATCCATTGTAGCACGACTCCAGTGTTGATTCGCCGCAGGTTATACCCACTCTAGCTCTATATGCAGATCTTCTGTCAAGCGAGGAGACCCTCTATCAATCTATTTTCAATGCTCACTTGGACCCTGGCGATTGTGATCTTGGCTCATCAGCATCTATTGGGACCTAAGATTTCTCTCACAGGGAGGAACCTTGTTACTATTCATGATCCCACAAGCATACCACCCATGTCGCAGGGAGGGGCACTCACACGCAAACCATATGAAAGAAGAGCCGCACGCACTTGAAACAGACTTCGTAAACGATTGGAGAGGAATGTTTACAGAGTCAGCTGTTTCGGGATATTCTGATGGATCGAGATGGTTGACTCATTGACCAATAACAAACCATGTCGGCAAGGCCGAAAACGTTGACTTTTAGTATAGTTGCTCCAATATATCAGCAGCGCACGGATCACTTGGTGCATGGATGTTGACATGTCGAACTGTCACCCAAGAGGCAAATACGACGAAATCTCGACATGTCAGCATGTTTAATAGTCTAAGTGCGGGCCTAAGAAAAGGGAAGGAACGGGCTTGTCTTGAAGACTGAGGGAAGGTGCGATGGAATTGACACACCTTTTATCGTCGTCGAAGTTGAAGAATTTTTCTCATTCCAATGCCCACCAATGATTGCCACCTGCGGAGCCTCTGTCAAGTCGTCAAGTCAAGATTGCAAGGTATTTGCTTACTGACAGCACCGTCTGTTGACTACGGAGTATATGTGCGTTGTGCACATGTCTCGTTTGACACCACATTCCAATCCCCCCTCCCCCCCCTCCCCCCCCTCCCCAAAACGCCGTTAACGGCAACCGAGAAAACCTAAACATCCAGGACACAAACCATGCAAGCTGAGTCCGAAGCCTAATTTTCCGACCTGCTCATGGCCCTGTGCTCTCTCCAGCGAACCAAACTGCTTTCTTCATTGGCCCTACTCTCGTTATAGAAGTTCTGATTGCAAGATCGTCGTCGTTAGTCTGGACGGATGCAGCCACGGTGAGCATTCGTCAAATAATTCACGTAAAACCCGTGCTGCATTTTCTCTTCCACCACCAGCATGACAAGGTGTTGTCAGAGACATAAAGACCAGAGGGGGTTTGCTGGGATGATGGTCCCAGCTGTTCTTCACTTCTCTTGGAATATCCAGTGTTTCCTCGTGGAGGGTTCGATTGAGTCGGTAAGGCTTTGCTCAAACGCCAACACATTCAACTGTACACCTTTTCCATAATATGGCTGTCAAACGAAGTTTCGGGCTCGATTCCAAAGCGATCCAGGGGTCCTTGTCAGACACCCACCGCAACTACCTCGTCATCTTCCTGTCCGAGCTGGCCGGTACTTTCTTGTTTCTCTTCTTCGCTTTTTCCATTGCCCAGGTCGCCAATACGCCGGTACCCGATAACCCCAACGGGCCACCCAACCTGTTGGCCGTCCTATTCATCGCCCTCGGCTTTGGCTGCTCTGTCGCTGTCAATGTCTGGCTGTTCTATCGTATCAGTGGAGGAATGTTCAACCCTGCGGTAGGTTCAACTGGACTTCTGTCATCTGATAGGGGTTGAGAGAGCTAATCAATATCTTGATACTGTCGCTAGATCGCCCTCACGCTTGTCCTTATTGGGGCAATCCCTGCCTCTCGAGGTGTTGTAGTCTTTGTGGCACAGATGATCGGCGCTATTGCAGCTGCCGCGGCCGTGTCAGCGACTCTGCCGGGGCCTATGGCCGTCAATGTGAGGCTAGGTGGTGACGCCTCCGTGGCACGGGGCTTGTTCGTCGAAATGTTCGCAACCCTGCAATTGGTTTTCAGTGTCGTCATGCTGGCTGCAGTCAAACACAAGGCGACGTATCTGGCCCCAATTGGTATTGGTATTGCCACCTTCATTGGTCATATGTGCAGTGAGTATCCCTTCCTGTCTGAGACTCGAGCAGTCAAAAGTTTGATCAATGTTGACAATGACAAGGCATCTACTACACTGGAGCAGGAATGAATCCAGCTCGAGCATTTGCCCCGGACGTCGTCGCTCATAGTTTCCCAAGTTACCAGTGGATATACTGGCTAGGACCGGCGTTGGGGGCCCTTGTGGCCGCAGGATACTATCGCCTTTTGGAGCTGCTCAACTGGATGACAGCCAATCCAGGACAGGACTACGACGACCTTGAGACTCAGATAGTCGAACCGTGGAAGTCAACGCTCCGGCCTAATGTCGCTTTACAGCAGGCCAGCGGCAGGCCATTGTTGAGGTCATCGACTGATAAGGAGGTGAAAGTGTCATCTCCGGCACAGGCTGAACGTGACTAGGCGGCTTCCTGAGAACATACTCTGGCACGAGACCGTAACTGTTGGGGGTCTTCTCAAAGTCAGCATGTATTGTTCGACTGTGATGGAGGAGCTAGTCGTCTCAAAGCAGTTGAGAGGCTAGCAAGGAATGGAGAGAGTGATAATCATGGCTGGTGTGCCGGGACTTGGAAAAGTTGCAGATTGAAAGAGATCTACAAGGAAGAGTTGTCAGGACACAAGAACAGGTTGTACATAATCTGGATGTACAGAATCCTTGAATGTCAGTGAATGTGACAACGGTATGAGGGAGAGAGAATGCTGTATATGCTTGCTCAATCGTAGACAAACTATAAGGTTTTATATTGGACGACTGCCATGTGTCTCGAGCTGTGTTGATCGTCGTCGCTCGTGTCTCGCGACGACATATCAAGCCATCCCTAAACAGGACTAGTGTCGTGGCATCAACGGGCGGTGGCACGTGAAAATTGGACTGGAAGCATGTGCCAAGCCATGATATCAAAACCCTCCATCAACTCGAAAATCAAGACTGTCAGTCACTGGGCCCGCGGGAAACATCCAGACATGGACATCTATCTGATATAGAGTGCGTACGGGTCGAGAGAGACCATTACTACTCGATCATGTCCTCAGAACCGCATGATCCTCTGCCATCACCACAGCCGCTACCATCACAAGCACACCCTCAACCATCTGCCCTCTCAACTCTCCTCCACACATCTGGCGCAAAGACTCCCAGTGAAGGTCTCCCATTGGAAATCCTCCATAATCTCCGACATCAACATGACTGGACAGCATTGAAATTACATGCTGTGCACATGAACGGCGGCAAGACCAGCATCCACATCATTTCCGGCCTCCCCCCACGACATAGTTATGTTCATCCAGACCTTACAATGCAATTGGTCAAGCACGGAATGGGTGAATCGGCGATTCCAGTTCAACGAGAATTTGTGTTGCCGTTGGCAGTTGGCGAGAGTTGGTCGTTGAAGCGGTTTTGTGCTGTTTTCGATGCCTTGCCTACGAGAGATGCTATTGTGATTTCTCCTCCGTCGTCTGGTCCAGGTGATGACAATCCCGCTTCTGCTGCTGCTACTGCTGCTACTGCTACTGCGGCTACCGTCGGTCTCGGTGTCACCACCACCACCACCACCACCACCACCACCAGTCCCTCCGTCGACGCGGGAGAGCGTCGCCGCGAAAGTTCTCCGCTCAGTACATCTACATCTGCTGATGCGAGTCAAAGTCATCGTCCTCATTCTCGTCCTGGTCCTCGACAGAATAATCACCTTGTCTCCGAAGGGAGCAGCACTGGGAACGGCACAGCCGTGACCACCCCGTCATCCACTGTGTATCACCACCAAGATCATAAACGAGTGCTACTGGGCATGAAAGCCCGAACCGGCGGAGGAGGTGACAGCACTGTTGTCTACTACATCATGCAAGAAGGCGAAGTCAAGCCACGACAAAATGGATGAAACAAGCGTGACTGTACCGGCCACTATACGGCTCGAACTTTCATAGCTTTGGGGGGTTGACGCCCTCTACATTCACTGCTTGGACGTAATGTGAAACGAACATCTAGGACGCCTAAACGACGCAATAACCTGCCTGATCAGCTGGCTTCGACAGCAAATGTCATGTCGAGGAAGATGCTCGATGGATGTCCTGAATCATGGAAACTAGCTGCCACCGTCCGGTCCAGTCCTGTCTCTGTGACTGCAGCTGCGACTGTATCAATTCATGTACAGAGGTTGATCATGTCCCAGCTTTAACTTGTGTTCCTGCTCCTGCTCCAGCTCACCCACCGGTTCGACCGTATGTTCCGATCGTCAAGAGATGGAAGGTATAGGATTACGGTTCCAAGGGCAGGGGATTCTGGGTTGAAGGTATACGCTAATGGATTTCACACTCAAATGCAACCAATGCTAGATAATTCAACTGGATCGAAACAGATACACCAACTCCCTTGCCAGAAAGGGTATTTGATAATTCCATCGTCGCCGGCTAAAGCAGACAGTATAAAGGAGATAGATAATTAATTATCACTAATAAGTGATGTGAAGGAGGCACCTGTGCAAGAATGAGATGTTGATTCCTGCCGCTGCCGCTGCCATCGGCAGTGTTAGTGGTGGTCGTTACAGATTTGGTGCCAATTGGATGTTTGATCCCTCCTGCTTCCCCCTTGCCATATCCTGATTTCCATATCGCCCTGCTCTTTTACAAACGCTCATTCGGCTTCAATGCAGTGCACAATTGCTAGACCAAGAGAGAATTATGAAAAACAGCCCAAAAGAATAAGGCGGGAAAGCCAGTCAATGATCGTCCATCCTCAGTGGAAACATCTCGGGGATATTGCAATTATCCCCGCCTCAATGACGCTCGAACCAGCGATCGCCCTTCAATTTATGGGATTTGATCACTTTTCTCTCTTCCTTTTCGGAACGATGTTGGCGTTTTGCCTCTTTTTTGGCATCCTTCTTCTCCTCTTTGGCCTTTCTCTCTTCGAAGTCCTCGATTGACTCAAGGACGTCGTATTCGTGCACGGGGATTCCTTCAACTTTCTTGATTTTGTTGCCTTGGATGAAAACAACCACTCCGGCAAAAATGGCGACTAGACAGCCGAGAGTAATCCACACGCCCGTACCCCAGGTGGGACGGTCGAATCGATTCCAGTGCCACATCCAGATACAAAGCAAAACTTGGAAGAATGTGTTGAGCATGTACATCCACACGACAAAATCAATTGTCCACGCCGGAGTTGGCTTGGCACGAATTCCTGTCAATGGTGGCTCTGGCATCGAAGTGGCGGGTAATGGAACTGCCCGATTGGATTCTAGAGTCTCCATCTCCTCTTCGGTATATGGCGGAGGGGCTTCGGCAGTGTACGGGTGTTTCTTGTTGTAGACGGGCGGAGGGCCGAGATCTTCTGGAAGCTGGTCGCTTCCAGGGAGACGGTACCACGATCGATTGATGCCGGCAAGACGACGATAGTAGTCATAGTTGCCACCCCATCTCCATCTCAGGAGGTAGTAGAAGTCCCTCGCTCTCCAGGGGAAAAGACCAAATGCAGTGACGCAGAAGAGTCCGTTCAAGATTTGGGAATCAATTTCAATCCACTTCTGTCGAGCAGACGAATCGTCTTCACAGCTGGGATGACACATGGCAGGAGCAGCTTTGAGGAGAACGAAGAAGATCATGGCACCCCAGCCAACGACGTTGAGACCGTATATGGTAATGATGAAGCCAAAAGGCGTGAGGAAGAACTTCCAGAATGCCTTGAGACCGATAGTGGTGGATTGGAGCCAGGTATGCTTCTTGGGGAAGCGATACCCGTTGGGATATGTGCCTGTTGCATCCGGACCTGTTGGAGGAGTATGGGTGTCCCCTTGCGGTTCTTGGGGCGCGGAAGATAAGGTGGACGGCTTCTCGCTAGGTTCTCGAATCGACGAGATCTGACCTGGCCTAATCAAAACACGGTTCAGTACTGGTGGATCATGGGTAGACAAAGGATAGAAATACAACTCACACTCTTGATTGCGATCGAGACTTGGACAGGAATCCTCGTGATTGCGATCGAGCCGACTTGGAAGTCTGTTCCTCAGGAATTTGGCTGGACTGTATTTCGGGGCTCGGGGGGCTGTTCACTTCGAATAGTGGATCCTGCACCGATATCGAGGCCCTTTTGGGGAAATATTCATGGTGTTCCTCTGCGATGGCCGGGACCTGGCCAGCAGGAGTTGTGATGGAGCTCTTTCTCGTCCTGGTGCTGGCAGAACTTGTTCTTTGCATGCGCCGGCGGTGGATTTCATGTGGGTTGGTGCCTCTATGTTCCATCTGACCCTCATGAGTCCACCCTTCACCGGCAAATGAGCCATTCCGGATCTCTGGTAAGGTGGGTATCTTAGAGCCGACCTCGCCGGTGGCTTGCCACATGCCTAGAGGAGGATTGCTCTCGATGAAACTCTGGATCAGGGAACCGGTACGGGTGCGAGTGCGGGTAAGGGTATTCCTCGACGCGATAGAACTTCTCCGTTCTGAGGGTGGAGAGCCAATGGCATTTTCAGGTCTGAAACTGTTGGCATCGTCTTGGATCGATGGGAAGGGCTCAGAGGAAGCCATAATGGCAGAAACAGCGAGGGATTCGCCAGCAGGTGTAGAGCCGTGGACAAAGAAGTAAAGATAAATGTGCCTGCAATACGCCAACGACGGGATCTGGTGTTTGCAACAAGTGGAAGTGACAGGGCACTCTGTCGTAGTAGGGGTTTGTGGAAATTATGTATGGTTGTGAGTAGTATTGTACTGTTGATGTAGTAATCGTGGTGAAGGAGAGAGTAAATGGATGAAAAGGTGGGCCAGGGTGGGAAAGTGACAGCAATGGCGGCAGCGATCCAGTTAACAGGGCGACTGGATCACGCAGGGAGAGGATTGAGTGCAGGGCCTCCAGGCGGGACTTGTGGGCTTAGCGTTCATGGTGGAGGCCCCTCAGCCGAGGCGCTCACAGGCTGCCGAGTTTTAGAGGCTCGAGAGGCCAGGAAACCTCCGAAGTGGCACCCAGATCGACCACACCAACCTATTAACTACCCTACATTACCCTAAACTGTTGTCCAAACAGAGCTTCAGCTTTGGCAATGGCCACCGGGCAAGGCCCCTAACCTCCGGGCTGCCGTCCACCTCTTGGGTCTCTTGGATCATCTTGTGCACGGTTAGGCATGCATGGAGAACCCATGTTAACTCGTTCAAAGTTTCAAGATCCAAAGGTAAAAATGCTGAGTGATGGTGAGAGGGTGGCACTGGTGGATGTCGACCACTCGCAAGCCTTGCCAGCCCCAGTCAGGACTGAGCCCTAATTCCTCTTTGGCGCGTCTTTGGAAGCTGTCATGTCCCCCCTAGTCGGATTACTCACCCCAATTCCAGTGTGTTTAGCACCGGATTGGGCATGAGCCTTGGTTAGTCACCTCTCAGCCATGCTGAACTCATCAATCCCAGATTTTCCATCAGGAAGGGATTTTGGGCCAAGGAGCTTTCTCAACATACAGAGTACACACATTCACAGACGAATGCCGTTGTGCGCCGTGTTTCAGGCCACACACGACTGTTGAGACTACCTAAACACCAGCTGACACCATGATTCATCTCTGCTTTCTTGAAGGAGACTCGCTCGCCCATTCTGGATACCATAATCTGATGAGCCTGGGTTCAACTGCCAACGCGCAAAGTCTCCATTGTGCTGGTAGAGCAAGTGTATCAGGGCCTATCAGCCTGACAGCCCACAGCTAGAAAGTACTTTCCCCTTTTGCAGCACAACATAATCCTAGCCGACTCCGCTCGTTCCTCCTTCCTCCTGATCCTTAGTGCAAAGTCGGACATGAGTGAAGATTGCTACAGTGCCCAGGACAACTGATCCCAGCCAGATTCCAGGTTGATTGAGCCATTGCTAAGATTGCTTTGCAATCATAAGAATTTGGTAAGATGGCAAGCGCGAATGATCAACCGTCCAATTCTTGCCTTGGCTAGTATTTCACACTCAAGGCAGGGGCCAAATATCACAAATTGACAAACAAATGGTATCAATTACGATTCCGCGCTATACATACAGCTGTCTTGATGACTTTGGTCGTGCGAACATAATCGCAATTCAGAAACGAGTCATAACTCATCCTCCAACAATTCCCTGCCGTTATCCTTTTCAGACGTACCCATCATCTAGTGGGTTGGGTTTCCTTGAGAGTCGGTCTTGACTCTAGGGTCGAGGCGGTTCAACAGGCTGGAGTTATGTGCCTTCTCCTGGGTTGATGGAGCACCGGTGGCAGTGGTTTGACCAGACCCTGTTGTGCCACCAGTTGTACCACTGCCTGTGGTACCTGTAAGACCACCGCCAGAGCGCCCATCACGATCGGAGTCGATTCTAGGGTCAGCCTTGTTCCCCATGTTGGATCTAGATGAAATGTTAGCCATTGCAAGACGAAGGACATAACTCAAAAGAGCAAACGTACGAATGGGGACCAGCATTGGTCGAGCGAGGGTCATTTCCATAGCCTCCAGTTTCACCGCCGATACCAGAGGCACCGCCAGTGGTGCCAGTGGTACCAGTGTGCGACGAGCCGTAGCCAGCTCCAGTTGATGAGCCAAGTCCACCGGCGCGTCCGTCACGGTCAGAATCAACTCTGGGGTCGGCTTTGTTGGCCAAGTTGGATCTGCTCAAGGTTAGTTACGATCCAAACACATCTTGCCGTGCAATCACACGCACGAATGAGGTCCAGCATTGGTGGAGCGAGGATCATTGCCATAGCCACCGCTTGTTCCTCCAACACCTGTTGTGGCTGCGTTGTGGCCAGATGTGACGCCGCTTGATCCAAGACCAGAGCTTCCCTGGGTCTGTCCATATCCTCCAGTGCGGCTGGTGGGATCATTTCGTCCGTCACGGTCAGAGTCGACACGAGGATCTAGCTTGTTGGCTAGGTTGGAACTGCTCACCACTTTAGCTGCTGCTTTTCGAAACATGTCTTTGCAACTTACGAATGAGGGCCTGCATTGGTAGATCCACCGGTGGTACCGGTGGTACCAGTGGTGCCAGCACCACCATAACCTGCCCCAGAGGTACCTGTGGTTCCTGAATTGCCATAGCCAGCACCGGTAGTGCCAGTGGTGCCAGCACCACCATATCCAGCTCCAGTTGTTCCCGTCGTGCCAGTTTGGGTCTGACCGTATCCACCTGTGCGGCTTGTTGGATCATTGCGGCCGTCACGGTCAGAGTCGACGCGAGGGTCGAGTTTGTTTGCTAGGTTGGAACTGCAAAAGATCAGAAACAGGCCGACACAATCACGGTGAGAAGGACTTACGAATGGGGACCTTCGTTGGTGCTCCTGGCGTTGTCATACTGGGCGGAGGATGTTCCTCCCACGCCAGAAGTGCCTGTTGCACCATAACCTCCAGATGTACCGGTGGTGCCTGAGGTGCCATATCCATCACCAGCAGTCTGGGTGTTTCCTAACCCTCCAGTCCGGCTGGCAGGGTTGTTGCGGTTATCGAGGTCAGAGTCGACTCTTGGATCACCCTTGTTGGCAAGGTTCGAGCTATTGTTGGTTTGGTGAGCACTCCCCACAACATGGCTGCGCAGGGTCGAAACAACTTACGAGTGAGGCCCGGCATTGGTGCTGCGAGGGTCGTCATACTGTGCTGTCCCTGAGGTATTGTGCTTGTCGCCGGACAAGGCATCCTTTGCTTTGTTGATGAGGTTCGACATGACTGCGTTTTCAAGATTCAGATGATTGAGTGTATTGTTTTCAATGGTATGTATCGGAATGCGATGGAGGATCTTTGCGCTTTTGTGGCCTGGATTGATTTCTTATACCTCAGACCAGGAACTGTACATGGCCGATTCTCGCACCGTCCAAGATGGTAGTGAGGGGATGCATATACGTGAAGTAAGTTAGTTGCGTCACTGGTGGAGCATTGGCCAGCCTTGTGACCGGCTCGAAGGCGCTGAGATGCGACCGAGATGGGATTTTCATCGTCATCCCCGTCGTGTTTCTTGGTCTTGACACGGTAGAAAAAAGTCAGGTCTCATTTCACTTTGGAGGATGTCAGGCTGCAGTCCCCTGCAGTCGATCTGTGGCTGAACATCCACGGTCAAAGCGATCTTCAGCCACATACAAATTCTCGAATCGCGTCATCTTTGCGTCATGTTTGTACACGGATTAGGAAGGATGCAGGTGAGGACTGGGAAGCGGAGTGTGGCGTCCGGGGCTGTGATTCGCTCATCTCCGCACGCTGAGACTCTCCACAATATCTGGAGACACGCTGACGCAGCTCAAACAGCATACACATGAAACTTCCAATCGTAATGGGACTTGATCTGGTACTTGTGTTCCATACGAGCGTTGGCGCCATCTAATTGATGGATCGTGCCATTATGGAGGCCCGAATCCTGCCGTGCATTTCAATCTCGCCCGCCATTTACCACGTATTTCGTCACAGAACGCTTCAACACGTCGATTTCCTGCTGAGTTTTGACAAAGACCTGGCGATATTGATCCAAGCTTTGCTGGACTACCTCTGTCCTGGTCTGCCGTCCTTCGCAGATCGCCTTCATCTTGAGTTCCATCTCTTTGCGGAGGAATGGCTTGCTGACGCTGACGTCAAGCCCCACATTATCATAACCTTCGATCAAAGCAACTCCAAGCGTGGTCGGAATGAACTCTTGAATCGAATTTCGCCCGCTGCCCGACCGCGCCCTGGTGTCGATGTAGGATCGTTCCTTGATCTTGGAGATGTGCTCGGCCATCGTGGCGTCCGTGCCAATTCCATTGGCATCCATCAAGGCAAGGAGTTCGGGTTCCGTCAGGTATCCCGGGGGAGTCGTTTTCCCATCCACCATGTTGGCCTCGGTTGGTACAAAAGACTCGCCCAGAGTAAAAGTTGGCAACTGTTGACTGCTTTCCCACTTGTCATAGGGGTAGACATCAAGGTAGTTCCGCTCGATCACGGTGAGGCCATGAGTGTGAAAGGTTTCTGGACCCCAAACCAGTTCGATGTCGGTGGCTTCTCCCTTGGCATCTTCTGAACAGCACGCGAGATACCTTCTCGCCACAAACTCATAAACTCGTTTCTCATTTTGGTCCAATGCTGATGCCGCGACATAATTGACGGGATGGATGGGCGGGTGTGCTTGATCGTTATTGCGACCCGACCGGGGCGAACGAAATCCTCCATCGAGTAGTCCTTGAGCAAATTGGCCCCAACTCTCATCATTTGTCTGCCGTTGAATCAGTGTTTGAAAATCAAATTCCCGTGGGAACTGATCCGTTTCGGTACGCGGATAGCTGATGAACCCCTTGTTGTAGAGCTTTTCTGCGACGGCCATGACTTGAGCACTCGTCATGCGGAGAAATCTACTGCCTTGAATTTGGAGGTCGACGGTGGTCAATGGAAGAGGTCTCCATTTCGACGTTGGCTTCTTTTGCACTTTGGTAACTTGGGCATGTTTGGCATCGAGGCACTGCTCGAAGATGATGGTGACCGCGGCTCGGTCGAATAGATGCACCCGGCGCCAATTGAAATTTACCTTGATGCGGTCGCGAGTGTGCATTAGTTTGATCGACCAGAAATTTTCTGGTTTGAAATTTCGAACTCGGTTATACCGGTCCACAACGAAACCTAGGGTGGGAAATTGACATGACCCGTAGCTGATTGTCTGATCCCTCAAGTTTTCACTCAAGGATTGCAGTTGGAGTGTTTGCATTCGGGTGAAGGATGCACCAATGCGAAGATCAAGCTCGATACGAGCAATGACGGCGTTGACCTGACGTTCGTCCAAGTCAATTGGGTTTTGGGCAGCCTGGATAACATGACTATAACTATTAGTATAATGATTCGAAAGATCTCAGATCGTATCTCACCCTCGCTCCGTGTTGCTGAACTTTGCCCTTTTCACTGTGACATTGGGGTTACCCTTTTTCGCTTGATCGCGTACTTCGCCACCGATGTGCTCTCCCTCACGGTCGCAATCGGTCCAGATGAAAAGGATTTTGGCAAAGCGGGCTTGAGACTTGATGTTGTCGGCGATGGATTGCTTGTCTTTGTCGACGATAGTTTTGGTGGTTGCCTCAAACAACTGACTTGGCGCACATGACTTCCAACCTTTGTATTGAGCGTCAAAATCGACGCTGGTCAAATGGCCCAGCACGCTGGTCATGACCACGGTGCAAGTGCCCCATTGGCGGAAATTATAGTCAAACTCGTAATTCTTCACATATTGATTGCCACGGATTGGATGCTAGGAAGCATGAGAAGGAAACTCGAAGGTGTTAAGGAAGTTTTTTCTCACCGTCTGAAAGCGACCGCCGGACAGATGCTGAGCGACTGCTTTGGCTATGGCCGGCTTTTCTGCGACGCAGAGGATTTTTTGGCCTGGCATGATTCATGGTGGGCAGTCCTACAAATGAACTAGGACTGGGACGATGGTCATCTCATCGAGCTGCCATTGAGGGTTGAATCTTCGACGTGCATTCACGAGAGTGGTACAAGACGCGAGGTGTGAACCCAGGAGATGAAATTGAACGACGCGCTGTCACGTGCCGTCAAAGAATTGAGTGGCAACGGCGGCGCGGCATGCGTGCGTGGCAATTACTACGGTGCAGCTGATAGGCGATATATGTATCCACAAACATCGATTACCACTGTTCAGTACTGCAATGTCTCTGCTGTATCGCAATTAATTTCAAGTTGGGCTTTTCGTAGAGGCTCTAATGCTCAGAATACAGCACAGTGAGCCAGTGAGTCTTTACGAGAAAATCAAAATCCATTTGGCTACTTTAATTATGAGCATACCTCCAGAGCGTCCTGGGCGAAAATCCAATCACACAGACACAGTATTCAACGCCAAGTGGAAGGCGTCAAAGTTCCTCCACGAGACACGCGATCCAGGGGCCTCCTTCGATGGTACTGAAAGAATGAGAGGGATGTTCTGCTCTGAAAGCCCACCATGTGAACGCAGACGATGGCCGGCAATGGTAGACAGATCGTGGTCTTTCGCACAACTGCCAATCACAAAGCTCTTTTTGGCCACCACGACCACATCAGCTTCGCGGTCTGCCGGCATATCAAAGAGCTCGGCTGCAGCCTTTCTCTCCATTGCAAGCTCGACCGCAGGCATTGCCTGACAGAATGCAGTTACTTGCTTGGCAATTTGATCGTCAGCAAGGTGGACTCGAACAAAGGAACCCAGGGCTCCATGGTGCTTGACAAAAGGATCGGTTATGGGACAGATCACCCGGGCACATGATTGTCCCCACTTTTCCTCGAGGGCGTCTTGAAGAAACAAGATATTGGGGTTTCCGTGCTCATCAGCCTTGTCGCTCATGCCATGGTCGCCAGTAATGGCAATCACCGCTCCAAGTTCGGCCAATCTACCAAGACGGCTGTCCAATGCCCTGTAGAAGTCGTTCGAAGCCTCGGACTGGGGAGCACTGTGGTGTTGAACAAAGTCTGAGAGGGTAAGATACAAAAAATCTGCTCTGTCTTCCTCGAGAACCTTGATACCGGCATCCATGACGAACAACGACAGGTCGCCTGAGTATTGGGATGGCGTTGGACGGCCGATCCACCTCTCGACATCGGACAAACCGTGTTCGGAAAGAGTGCAAGTGTTTGCCTTTTCTGCGGAAAAGCAGAGTGCGCCACCTTGGATATCGAGGCCATGGCCAATTAATTTTCTGAGCTTGTCCTTGGCCGTCACTGCCGCAACTCGGACTCGGCTCTTGGAGAGCTGTTCCAATATAGTAGTTCCCCGGAGCTGTGAATCATCGACAATCATGATCTCTTCCTTTGTTTTTTTGTCGAGGTAAAAGTTGCCGCTAATGCCATGAACCGCAGTTGGTGCTCCCGTGACGATGGATACATTATTGGGGTTGGTGAAGGACGGCATGGCACATTGAGCGACGGTCGAAAAGCCCTCCTGAACAAATCGCGCTAGATTTGGGGTGATGCCATCAGCAATTCCAGCCTGAAGGTATTCGGGGTCGAAACCATCGACGCATACTACGACTGTTGGCCGTTGAGGTAAGTTGTACTTTCTCCCGTGTACTTGAACAGAGGTATTGGTCCATGCTCCATTAGTTGTGCCTAAGTCTCGAGTCATTTTGTGAGATAGATGCTAGGAATATTGTATGATCAGATTAAGTGGCTTCGATTGAGCAACTTCGTTTTTGAATGAAACATCTCCCTCGACGTGCGACATCGTGTATTTGATATAGGCAAGCTTGACTGAATTATGATCGGAGAGCCTCCGTGATTTGATATTCGAGACAGTCAAAGGGCCGATGTTCACATATGTGCTGTTGTTGACTTCCAAATGACCGGCACGAAGACCGGAGTACCTACCTGTTATCCCCCGCGGTAGGTTATGGGGGTGACACATGGAGAATCGGCACGAAGACTTACCAAGACTTACCGTGGTGCCAGGGCCTGCCGATACCTAGAGGTGACATGGAAGAACTTATGCACGTTCGTGACTTGAAGCGCTCCTGAATCCGCACTCCATTGATACTCGAGTGTTCATAGAGGTGCTTGTAAGAGCGAGGTGAATTGTCACAGGGTAACAAGCTTGTGATGTTGCCTGGGTTGGTTTTTCCTTGGCATCAGGGCAAGTCGTGGGATAAAGAGGCGAGGTTGCTTATCTTAATCAAAAGTGGCGGGAAGAACCTACGGAGTAGAGGCGCTTAAATGGTCCCTGGTACTGCCGGGCATCCCTAGCCTTGACCTAAACACAAATCCCATGGTTAAATTGGGGGGTTAGATCCGAAGGGCTGCAAGGGTTTTGTCATAGCCGTAACATCAGACCAATAGAAAGCGTGAAGATTGAGTTAAAGTCAATCTGGGTGATGATGTGCGTCATGGTCATGGGGGGCAAACAGCAAACAGCAAGCAGCAACGGCACACCGTTCCTGAGTCCTGACCGCTAAGGAATTGCTTGGACTCATTGCTTCTCATCTCTTTCTTTTCCTTCCTTTCACCTCTTCCATTTTTCGAGCATCCAAAATCCTCTGGCCTGTGAGTTTTGCTCCTCTACATACACCTCAGCTAAGCTGCGACAGTAGAGGATCATTCACAATGGCCCTTCCCGTTGTCCATACACTCACAGAGTGTGCAGACTTCCAAAACACCGTCGCACCCTTCATTGACCAACTGCGACCTTTCCCTCAGGTGTTCTGGGAATCGATTGCCAATTCTGCCGCCCTCAACCAACTTTATGTCGACACCAATCCACTGGTGACTTCGACAGCCTTCGCTCTGGCCCTTGCTCCGATCTTTCTACTTGTGTCCGAGATCAATAGGAATTATTCCCAGGTCGATCGCTTCTGGTCCATTCTGCCCACTGTCTTCAATTTCCACTATGCGGTCTACGCTCGCGCGGCCGGTATCGATACCAAACGAGTGGATGCTGTTTTAGCTGTCAGCATGCTATGGAGTGTAGGGCTCCGGACACTATGACATGTTGCAGATCAGTTAGCTGACAATGCTCTAGGTGCGCTTGACCTACAACTACTATCGAAAGGGCGGTTACAACGTTGGAACTGAGGACTATCGATGGGCTACTGTCAAGGCCACTATCGGGGCGCCTCTCTTCTTCGTCATGAACGTTGTCTTCATCGCGTTCATGCAGTGTATTCTCCTTCTCGCCATCACAACCCCAACTTACATTTTGCTGTTGACCGGTCGCCTCGCCAGCAACAGCTCCTCGTCCCAAGGCTGGACGATACTTGACCCAGTCCCGTATGTTTTCATGTTGGGCCTGATTGGAATCTCTTTCATAGCCGATCAACAACAATGGGATTTCCACAAGGCCAAGGCTGAATACCAAAAGACTGCCAAAGTCCCAACAGACTACAGTCGTGCCGAGCTCGATCGAGGCTTTTTGAGCTCTGGACTCTGGGCATATTCCAGGCACCCAAACTTCACGGCTGAACAAGGCGTTTGGGTCGTTTTATACATCTGGTCCTGCATCGCCTCCCAGACATTATACAACTGGACAGGAGTTGGCGCCTTTTCATACCTCTGCCTGTTCCAAGCCAGTACATGGTTGACTGAGCTCTTGTCGTCACGAAAGTACCCGGAGTACAAGGTTTATCAACGTTACGTGGGCAAATTTCTACCCATCCCAGGCATGTCAGCCAAATTTCCCGTATCGGCTTCAAAACCTGTCAATGGTTCTGTGACGGCCACTAGCGACGCAACCAAAGCCAGAGCGAGGTATGACCTCCGCTGAAATCCCTGAATTATGATGAATTTAGAGTCCTCGAGGCTGTCGTTGGATATAAGACTGTCAATAGGGGGCGGAGTGTGCAGACTCTCTAACACCAACACAATCGCATAGATAGAAGAATTCGATGCTCTTAGCAAACCAAGGTTATCGTTTTAGTCGGGGTCATGAATGGAAATGCAGTACTTCTCCAGCCAATTATTCTTCGCAAAAGGATGTCCATGTCCAGCGAGCCATCGTGAATACTGGATTTCATTTGACACCTCAAGATCAAGATGGATCTTTGATATAATATTGGTCGTTAGCCTCAAAAGGCGCCTGCAGCTAGGTACGTAGTTGGGCAGGGAGACAGCTATACTCGACACAATATCAGTGGAATATCCATGGCCCACCAATTGCTTATCATTAACTGTGTCATGTCTCAAGCCATTATCGATAATGAAAATGTGGCGTGTTGTGGTTCTCGGTGACATCAAATGACAAAGAGACGTTCCTGGTGCTTCTTGGGGTGGATGACCACGTCGATAAAAGCAACCTTACCTAAAGTCCCGGTAGATGAAGTGGTCCAAGGAGGCCGAGGGGCTGAGAGGCGTAATAATGGGGGCTTTGGATAGGGCCGAGAGGCGCCAATGGGGCTTTGGGCCTGTCAAGGAGGGTCCTAAGTACCAGTAGTCTACCGCATCGGTATCTTCCATTGCGGCCCCTTAGGCCGTTGCCCGCCCGCCCGGTGCCCACACGACACCTAATGGAGACACGACACATCAGCCACTGAGTGTTTTACTGCTGCCCAGAGGCTCCCCATTGTTAACTAAAAGAATTCTACTAATTGAGAGTCATCGATGACTCGCCATCTCTCATCAAAAGCCCCTCTATTTGGATCAATGACGAGCATCCTTTTACAAACTTTTTGTTTACTCCTCAGTGCTGTCATTGTTTCTGGCCAAAGAAGCCATCTAAGCCGCCTAATTTTTGATCGATGTCATCAACATCCAACGACAGGGGCCGTCCCCTGCAGCTGTTCCTTGTCCTTGATGCCCTTGAGGTCTCCCTTTAAAGCATGGATGAGCTGACATGTCATGACTTGATTCATGGCTTGTCCAAGACCATTGCCCCTCGTCCCCACCAATCTGGGCGCGTTGGGCTGGCTGCATTCTTCGACTCCTCCATCACCGTATATGTGCTGGTCACACCACCGCTGTTCCCGCAACACCACCCACTGCCTCTGCCTTTGCTTCGGCCAGGACCGGGTCATTTCATACCAAATGGACTGACAATCACCACTTGCTGCTGACTATGTCTATTGCTTGGACGCTTCAACACCTATCTCTGTTCTTGTGACATGACCTTGAGCAGAAGCTCTTACTGAAATATTCTACCTCGACGTCATGGATCTTGAACGATTGAAGCAAAACCTTCGTCTACGTTCTGGTAGAACCAAAAAAGCACGGAAGGCCCAGTCAGTGCCACAGGATCCCAATGGCCATGCTATTGTATCGAGTGACGCCAGAAAAGAGACTCCGAATCCAAGGTCGCCTGGTCTACCAACTACAATTCCCACCATTGGCACTTGGGATACTGAAACAGCCCTACCCCAGCTGCCAACCTCCGATTCTGTCCAGGTTCATAAAAAGGGACAAAATGTTCCCCCAAACCTCACAGTGTACAAGTCATTTCCGTCCCCGCAGAAGAGACCTTCTCGAGTAGCTCGACTAAGCTTTGACTGGGCTCGCAAAGATCTTGCCCGAGAGAACCAGTCCACAGTACCGGAACCTATCTTACAAGGAGCAAAGGCCGACATACCCACCAGTCCTGATCAATATACCGACTCCTCAGATCTCCAAGACTTTGATCTGCGCCCACCTCCACCTCGACAGAAGCCTCCCTCTGTCGAGTCGTTGTCAGAGTCTCTGTTCTCGCCTGGTTATCTCAACCTATTGCTCCGAAGCCCGGTATATCTGGCTCGATTTACATCTTTCATCACAAAATACAACCCCCGCTTCCACCCCTTGGTGCTCCGCTATTTGGAATCACAAAAGGCCATCGCCGCAGTCGAGTATGCTAATGCTGTTGCTGAGACCCTAGACCCTTGGTCGCCCAATGGAGAAAACCTAGACACAACATCTCGCCCTTCAGCAGCCGCCACCTTGAACAAGTCATTCGAGGAGTCTAGCATTGCCGCGTTCCGCACCCTACTTGACTCGGCACTGCCAATGTACGTGACTTACAACTTGGTGCGAACCGTGTCCGAATATCTGATCAACGAGATTGCTGGCCGACAAACCCCTGTCACCCAGAATGTTGTGGGCGGCCTTTCCGAAGTCTTCTGCCTCACAGATCCCAATCAACCTGACAATCCCATCATTTATGCCAGTGAGGAGTTCTATCGCTACACGGGCTACGGACGTGACGATGTCATTGGTCACAACTGTCGCTTTCTGCAAGGCACCAAAACCAAGCGAGATACTGTGACGAGGATACGAGAAAGCATCGTCAAGGGAGAGCAAGCCTCCGAGGCTATCTTGAACTACCGGAGAGATGGCAGACCTTTCATTAACCTGCTTATGATAGCCCCTCTTCATGATGACAAAGGCAATGTCAAGTACAACATTGGGGCTCAAGTCGACGTCACAAGTCTTGTCGAACGAGGCAAAGGTCTTGACGGTTTCGAACGATTCTTGGTCACTCAGGAGATTAAGAAGCGCGAAGCTGAACTCCAAGGCGAAGACAATAAAAGGATGCCATCCAAACCTCCAGCACTTGAGAAGCTCCGTGAACTGAGTCAAATGTTTGATCTGGAGGAGTCGGCAATAGTGAGGTCAAACAGTGGACGACCCTCACAGCCCAAGCATGGCACCGAGAAAATCATGGACGATCGACGTCGATTCTTTGGCGGCTCAGAGTCACCCTCAGAGCTCGCACATGACGACAATGAGGAAGACCAGGCCAGGACCTGGGAGTTGGGTCTGTCAGGAAGGTCTGGTCTTTCGGGGAGATTACCTGGGGTTTACGACAGCTATCTGCTCATTCGACCCGCACCCTCTCTCCGAGTTGTCTTCGCCTCGCCTAAAATGAGACAACGTTTTGGCAACAGCACCCAACATCCATTCATGTCTCATGTCGCAGCACCATCCTCCACCTTGGTTGGCTTGAAAGAAAGCTTCGGGACGGGCATACCTGTATCGGCCAAGATTACCTACATGCTCAATCGTGGCGAGAGGCGTGACGGTACTCAAATGAATGCAGGGTCGAAGTCTGAGATCTCCGGACCAAGTCGTGCATGCTGGATATCCGCAACTCCTTTGGTAGGAAGCGACGACAAAATTGGCGTTTGGATGGTGGTGGTGGTAGAAAAAAGTAAGGTGACTGCCCAGCGTCTGAGAGACGACAGGACGGAAACTAGCCCAGTCAGGAATGGAGGGTTCCAAGCATCGCGTACTACTCCACCGACAAGAATTGATATACCAGCCGTACCGACATTCTCTCCGGCGCGCTTTTCCGAGTCAAGGGGGCCTGCGGACTCTGATGCACACATTTCTGCCTTCTTGGCAAGCACACGGCTCCTTGACGAATCCTTCGGGTCACTGGATAGCAACGGGTCAACCTTGAAAGTCGCTGAAGACGAAATTTACCCTGTTCATGTAGCTGGGGATGACCAAGCTGATCAAGAGGCTCCTCAGTCTCCCGTTGAAGTTTCGCACGACGAACAACAGCAGGATCATGAATTAGGAGAAGTGGCTGTCCAAACACAGGACGAAGTCGGCCAGTCTCCTGAAGCCGAAACCAAGGTTACATCAGAAGAACAGTTTATCATGCTGAAATCGAGTCGACGAGGGTCTGAAAAATCTGAGCGCCTGCAAATACGCGAGGATAGCGATGGCGAGCCCGAAGCATTGTCGACCAGCGACCTGGACGAGGCTCTCACGAAATCTCTCCCCGGGAGTCGAGCCGGCTTCCACAAACCTATTTTTGATGACCCACCTCTTTCGCCGGATCATATGAATACATTCCATGGCTTTTCGGACAATGAAGACACGCCACGGCGAGCAAATACTTCTTCTCACAGCGTTGAAGGTTCTCCATCTCCATCTCGACCAGCTACAAGCGGCGTCGACTCGCCTGTCAACAAAGGAAATGGCAAGCATTACATGGACTATCTGCGACATCCCGGCAGTGCAAGGCCTTCTTCTGAATACAATCGACCGCTCTCAGGCAGTGGTCTCTTAACCTCACGATATCATGCGGACGAAGAAACCCCAGACGGTGATAACCAAGGCCCCGACGGTTCGGATCTCGAATGTGCAAGAACTCCATACAGTGTCGATTAAATCTGAAATTATGTACTATACACATAGTAGGCAGGGTTCCATAGGGTTTAGACGAAGAGAATCTGGAGATACTATTTATGTCCATCCCGTACAATTAATGCCCCTAACATACTCCGTATATGCCATTTCAAAAGACATACCGTCAGACCGTCATTTCCCCCTTAATGCCAAGACTTTGCCCCTTCCCATTCGTCGGAGGCGGAATGACTTTTTTTCCTCCGCCTGGCGTCTTTCTTGGAAATTTATATCACTTTTACCCAGGGCATCACAGTCGCTTCATTATTCACGCCTTTTGACGACCATTGGAGACTCTTATTAATACTGTTATAAGGCCTTGACTCCGTCTAGACCCACTATTCTCCTCTCAGCATGGCAGACGTCGCAGACACCGAGCCTAACGAGCCTATTCCAGCCGTCAAAGATCTCGCAAGTAGTGGTAAGCCAACTTTTGCCTTAGTCTATGGAATGTTCACTCTTTTGAAACTCTGCATCTACATGATAGTCCCAATATCGACCCAACCTGACACTCTATTTTAGAACCAAGTATACGCCGCAACTCTCTTCAGACCATCATTCATCATTTGAACGATCGTTCGTCGACATCACCACTCACCAAGACGCAATGTCTCCAACTTTGGCGTGGGTTTTACGTGGCCGTCTACATGCACGACAGCAAAAGCGCCATCTCTGTACAAAACCTCATTACTGGAGTTGCTGGACTGCTTAAAGTTATTGCCTCCAAAGACGCTGAGATGGCTTCTTCCGGCGCCCAAACGCGGCCTTGGCTATCGAAGTGGACGTCCGCCTTCTGGGAGACAATCTGCCGTGAATGGGCCTCGATCGACCAGTGGCGAATGAATAAAGTGCTCCTACTTGTGCGATTCTTCTTGCGCGAAACCTTTCAAGCTGCATTCACTGCGGTTTCAGACGACGTCTCCAATGACAGATCAGATTCGGCAAGTCTCGTGACTGAACAAGTACGAATTCTGGAATCATCACCCCTAAGTCCCCGAGACCGAAAAGTCCCAGATGGCCTCCGGCTTCATGTCCTCGACGTCTGGTCTGACGAACTATCGGGCCAGGTCAAGCTTGTCCAGAGTCGACTTGAAGAGTCTGAGGATGGTGACTCCAAACGTTCAGCGGAGGCCTTGTTAGATTCGGCAAGCATTTTCATGACCGCTGTGGAAAGGTTGAAGAAGGAGGCTCTGAGTAAAGGCGTCAGGATGCGTGCCAAAGAAGCTCTGGACACCTACCAAGAATCGCTTAACCCATGAAACAACCAGTTCCCATCAGCCTGGTAACGGATATTTGCGGTCCTCTCTACGCCCCCAAAGGGCATACCTGGAGTCAAAAAGAACATCTTCCACTTTCTCGGCTTTTTGTTTAAACAGCATGCCGGAATTCTGGTTGACACAATCAATTACTTCTACTCTCGGCCTAACATACCACATCTGTGGCTTCAAAGATCCACTGATGGAGAACCAGTCTGCGTCATCATGTCAGCATGCAAAGCGGGAACAAGTCGGTCCAAGGGGGATCGTCATCAAAAAGGCCAATGTCACTGACTCAAACCGGCAGGCCTAAGCAGAAACCTGGTCTATCCTTCGTCGATATTTCAGATTCATGTGCTGATCTGGAGCAAGACATTTACATCTGGATCTGCTCCAAAGTTGGAAACCGATCTATCCGACGATCAGTCCCTCAAAGGAGACGAACTCCATACTTTCGTATGACAAATGCATGACCGAAATAGGCATTTTGCCATCTTGTTCATCTTTCTGGGCTGAGCTTTGAGTCGAACCATAGTCTGGGCCGAACGTCATCAGGGATCTTTTGACCTCACGTTTCCGAATGTCCACTCAAGTGTCACCAATCTCGGTTCCACCCCACAGCCGTCATATCCGTTGATTGGTCCTCATCCAACGCCTTGTATTCCATATGTCTGGGACCACTTGTCGTCAATTGTCTATTCTGCTTGTCACGGACATTTCACGACAGCAGATTCCGGTCCTTGCGCAATCTCAAAGGCCTCAACCTGCCAGGCAAGAGACAATCCAGAGGCGAATGTCTCTCCACAATTGACAAGCTTCACCGCTAGTTATATACCTCTGCGCACCTCCAAGATGCAGCTTCACTTTTTAAGCCTTTTCGACGACTCAATTTCCTTCTTGACCCAGCTCGTCAGCCTATTTGCTTCCTCAAGATGACTTTTATCGCACCTCTAGCAATCCTGCTCGTGTCCCTAGGTCTGGCCTCGGCGCGACAGTGTCAGAATTTGACTATTCCCCTCTCAATCTCTGCCCTTAATGCCAACTTTAGCATTTCCGCTCCTCAAGACAACATCGAAGTTACAGATTTCATTTTGAACCTCTCACAACAGGGCAGCAACTACACTGAGACTGTTTTGAGCAACTACACGGATATATCGGACAATTATACCATTGCCGCTACCTATTGCACCCCTGATGCGGGTGCTGGATCTGTTCTTCAGATTTTGACTCACGGCATCGGATTTGATAGAAGGTATTGGGATATTTCCTTCAACAATTTCAACTATTCCTACGTTCAAACTGCAGTTGACCAATACAACTATTCCACCCTGTCGCACGACCGTCTCGGTATCGGGGAAAGCTCCCATGGCGACCCCGTCAATGAAATCCAGGCTGCCCTTGAGATCGCAGCCCTCAAAGAACTCACCCGACTTGCTCGCAACCAGCAAATTCAAGGCATCGGAGATCAATTTCAAAGCGTTGTTCACGTCGGCCACTCATTTGGATCAGTTCAAACCTACGCTCTCGCACGCGATGAACCCAATCTCTCCGACGGATTGATCTTGACGGGATTCAGTCAAAATGGTACTTTCCTACCGTTTTTCCAACTCGGTGGAAATTTCGTCGCTGTGTCCAGCAACCAAGTCCTCGCAAGCCAATATGTTGCCGGATACTTGGCGGCCGGGAACCCTTCAGCCGTGCAGGCCAATTTCTTCTCCCCGGGCCAGTTCGACCCTGACATCCTCAGCCTGGCCGCACAGACGGGCCAACCCGTCACAGTGGGAGAATTGCTCACGATTGGTGGCGCTACGTATGGTAACAGTACATTCCAAGGGCCGGTGCTGGTCGTTACGGGCGAACGAGACGTTCCTTTCTGCGGTGGTGACTGTCGTGCTACAGGTGACGACTCGAACAATGCCACTATTATTGATGCTGTCGAGGAGTATTTCCCCAACGCCACCGTCTTTGAAGCCTTCCTCGTCCCCAGTGCGGGTCATGGCTTGAACCTCGAGTACTCGCACAATACCACATATCAGTACATCGCGCAGTTTCTACAGACGAATGGCCTCAAGGCATGATATCAAACAATCCGATCTTGGCAACTAGAGCAGACAACTGCGAATTATCCAGGTCTCCGTAGACTGCCATTAGATCTCCTATAGCGAGTCTATACTTCTTCATCATCTTCTACACTAGTGTTTAGATGTTCGAGAACTCCCGTGAGACCACAGCGTCGCTTTGTGATGTGGGCGACCAGACCATGATTGTATTGAATTTGCTTTCTCTCTCTGGTCGAAACATCATCTGTATAAGACATGATAGATCCGAATGATAGATAACTCGCATGCTGGCCAAGAACGCCAACTGTCCACGCTAAAAGTGCTCAACCTCGAAAGTCAGACAGCTCAAGTTACATGGAACTTTGGTCGAATCCTAACAGATTAAATCGCATTATACGTCTATCCCGAGTGTTGAAAATCCCCGTGGATGAAAAATTGGGCCAACAAAGGCCAAGAATTACCAGATAAGGCGCGTGGTGTTATGATATTCGAGCTGGATCAAGATCGTCACCAAGACTGTGACTGGCTTCTCGAATCCTGCATGATAGTTCAGGCTGAGAATATGGCTGGTTGCCACCAACTGCCACGATTGTCTTTTGCTTTGTCGTGTTCTGAGTCATCAGGTGTCGATTTGCCTTTGTCAGGAGCTGGACTTGCGGCATCTAACACTCATTCAATCGGCCCAGAATCAGCGCAGTGTCCAAGGAAGCGATGGCGGGTTAAGACCGATCCCCAATCGTCAAGATTAAAACATAGTGAATTATTGAAATGACATACCGAGTCCCTTGTCATTGTCGAGCTCTTCGCCAACGTCGACCTTGGGAAGTTGAGGAGGTTCCTCACTCTGTGGAGTGTCCTTTGCCTGAGAAGCTAGTGCCGCTGCTGATTCAATCGCTTCGTTTGGAGGTGAAATAATCTTCTCCTCCCTGGCGTCCTCGAATGGCGTCTCCACCTCTTGTGATATGCCATTCTCTTGTCCTTCATCGTGGGCATTGCCGTTCATCTCCGCGGGAGAACTTTCAGGGGGCGCAGAATTAGTCGCATCGGAAGCAGCAGCAGCCGCCGCCGCGGCCTTTGCAGCCTCCTTCTCGGCTTTTCTCTTCTCCATCTCCAGAGCCCTTGCGAGTTGACGTTCATGGTTTTCCTTTCTGGCCTGCTCGTCTTTCATTTTCCGTCTTCGTTCGACCTCGTCCATGCCACCAGTCTTCTTGAGCTTGCCTTCCTCGACGAATTGCTCAACCTCTCGTTGGAATTCACCTACTTTTCGACTCGCCAGTTCTTTCTGCCTTGCTTTCTCGGCACGTTGAATGGCCTCCAGTCGATTCTCATGGTTGGGCTGTAATGCGCGTACTTCGTCCAACATGCCCGTTTTGGCTTCATGGGGATCTGCTGCAATGTCGATAGCAAGATTTCGACTCAGGTTGCGGCCTATGTTATTTGCCGCCTGGAGATTCTGCTGCTTCATTGCTTCTTCAACGAGTTTGAAGACGTTGGTGATGTCATCGAGATCGCCATCAAGGTCATGTAAAAGCTCATCTTGTTGGGTCAAATCGTCACGTTCCAGCATCACAACCTGAAGCTCTTGTTCCCAGATCTTGGTCCAGACAGGTTTCTCACGCTTGACAAAGTCCTTGACCTTTAAGAGTTGTTTGGCTGTGGCGCTGATGTCCTTGCTGATTGTTTCTAGCTGGCGAGGGAGAGGTCGAACACCACGAGTCACGACATCTTTCCGCAGTTCCTCCACCAGGTCGGATAGATCATCGACTCGGTTTACCAAGGCCTCTGAATCATTGGACAAAGTCTTTTTGCCCTCGTTGATGTGAGCACGACCTGCGTCACCTTTGTATGACGAGTTTGCGGCATCGGCAGCGGTAGCCTTGACTGCGGCTGCTTTTGTTCGAATATCGTTCATCGACGCAGCAAAGTCGGCTGACATGGTGGAATATGTTTGGCGAAGGACTGCGATTTCGCGACGCAGGCTCTGAATCTCTAGAACAGAAGATTCGGAGGAGGTTGATGACTTGAAATTGGCCTGGCTCAGTGTCGGTGTTCGAGAAGGGTGGATACTTGGCACCGCGGACATTCTGGCCACTTCTTTGGAGGTTTCGAGTTGTCGATCGGCAAAACGTTGCATCAAGGTACCCTGTCCCTCTAGTAGTTGCTTGACACCATCCAAGGCTTTAGATAAGCCACCAATACCTTCATCGATGTGCTTTTTGACCTCGTCGAGCTCCTCAACGTTGAGTACCAAGACACAACGGTCTTTGACATCAGACAAATCCTCCAATTCATGCCTCACTCCAGAAACAGGATCTTGAACGTAAATCTCGGGAAGGTCGGCTCCGTTATGCTGCGTCGTCCAAGCAAACTTTTCAATGAACGCGAGTTGCAGCCTTGGGAGAGTGAGCTCTTCATAACCGTCGGGCAAGACGAATTTCTTGATTCTTGTTCGATATTGCAGGAACAACGTAAGCTCTTTGGTCTGAGGTGGGGATGAGTCAAGGGTTAGAACCCGAGACTGGGTTGGAGTGGTTTGGCCTAGAGCTTTTCGTTGGATTGTCTCTGGTGTCTCTTCAGAGGCTACTTCCTCAGAGATAGGTGGTTTAGGGAGCGCGGGTATGTCAGTGGAAGCTGATGGGAGCGAGTCGTTAGAAGCCACCGGGCCCGCACTCAAGGGGCCATTGACAGTTGGACCGACGAAGAAGCCCGAGGTGTTGGTAAGGACTGGGTTAGGAGGCTTGTGATACTCCTCAGGTGTCTTGGCTGTTGGGCTGTCCATAGGTAGTGGTTCTTCAAGACTCTTGATGGGGGCAACTGGCTCTAGAGTCAAGACTGGGGATTCATCGCGTTCTTCAGATATCCGTTGGGGAGCTCTCATGGTCCCGGATCTACTAGGAGACTCTGCTATCCGAGTTCTCGCCTTGCCCTGTTGATAAGACGTTCGCAGGCGGACGGCGTTCAAGGACTCGCGGGCTTCGAGACCTCGGTTCGGCGCGGGTGAATTTTGGGTGGACGGCATCATGGGAACGCCATTAGGGGAGGTGCCTAGGTGTTTCTGGATCTGGTAGGCCGAAAATCTCCTTGATGCTCTTCGTTCCAGATCACCACCTCTTTGCAATCGAGCCAAGGCGTCGGTCTGCTTCGGTGGCGGGGGAGGAGGATGAGGAAAAGCAGTTGTGGGAATAGCGGGCGACGATGAGAGATCGTCATCGACATCATGATACGGCGGTAGAGAAGGTATATTTTGAGAAGAGTTGGGGGACATGGTCGAGGAGGACTCGGAGAGGGGAATTGGAGCGGCGACATCACGTCGAACGGAGTGACGGTTAATCGAAGGCCTGTTGGATGGATTGAAAGGGGAAGTATTGCTGGTTGCTGAAGGCTGTTGAGATTGATCCGCAGGGAAAGCGGTGTCCGTGGGCATGCGCAAGCTGGAAGTATTACTCGGGACGTCATCCAACATGTGAGTGAGGCCAGTCTCGTTACTGCCAACAGTCGAGATACTGGCTTGTCTGTTCTGAGGAGGGACTCGTGGCTGCTGGACAGGACCAGCGTCCTTTGGGGCACGACCACGCAATCTACTCTGCTTCCGTTTGAGGCCATGGAGGAGATTGATGATGATGTCTCGTATGCGGGGGAGGTAGTTGTCGAGGGCTTGTGTGGATGCGGTTTGACTCAGGGTGTCTTCGAGGATGCTGCGTAAGAGATCGGGAACAGGACCCAAATCTGAAGTGTCGACGCCAATGGAGTTGAAGGCACGGCACGCTAGATTGAACTCGTATCCCAGGCGAACATAAACATCGGAGACCTCCTCTTCTTGGGCCTGGCCGCGAGACCACTGGGTGAGGGTTTCGAGTAGCTGTTTTGTGGCAACGAGGAGGTGGGTGACGCTCTTTTCGATCTGAGAGATTTGTTTATCTGGCTAGTAGATGGTCAGTCCAAGTGTGCGCGTGGCAAGATGGGGTGTGAAGATACATTTGTGCTTCTGGAGCGGGCAGAGCCAGATGCGGAACGCCCCTGGGACCCCGAGGCTCCTGGGGGAGGGCCCGAGGTGTTTTGAGGCTGGGATTGCATGGTCTCCGGCAGGTTCGCAGGACGTCGTTGGGAAGGAATCTGACGCTGGGATAAGGTGGATGCTGGGGCCTGCATTATTTGAAGGGGATAGTAGTGAAATATTTGAGCATGATTTCTCTAGACCAGTCGATCGCGCGTGTGGGTGAGGATCACATGGGGCGTCCACTCCGCAGGAGGGAGGGAAGATGGAGAGGGCTCGAAGGCGGTCGCGTTGAGAGGAGAGGATTGATTGCGAGGTAGTGCGATATAGCTGCGGGTTCGGAGGTTGTGATGGCGATATTCAAAGAGGATTAGCGATTGAGGGTCGTGGTTTGTTGGTCGTTGGTCGCTGGTTGTTGGTCGTTTCGGCCAACGACAAGTGACAACTTGTAGGTAACGTGGAAGGACCCTGACTCTTTGGGTTGCACCTCCCGTGACCTTTTGGCCTTGCGCGGCTTCTTTAGTCCACCGCGCTGCCAAGATTCTAGATGTGGTTAGCTGCTGCAATGTACTTGGGTACTTAGGCAAGTACGCCTACGCATACAACTCTGTACTCCGTAGGGAAGGAACTCCGGTATGCCCTCCTGCGCCTTTCTTCCGTATCTCTGTAGGTCAAGTACGGAGTACATAACTCAAGTTGTCTTGCCTTGTTTCATCACTATTCACATTCCAATATGGTCTACGACAACTGGTGTCAATGGATGTTGTTTATTTTCTTGATCTTTGATACTTGTGGGCTTGGTACAAGCTCCGTTGTAGAGAATTGAACGATGATGATGGGTGCGGATCGGGTCGAACCATGATCTATACAGCACATACCTGGATACCTCAGTCATCGGCAGGCCTCATATCTTGCTGCGAAACCAAGTCCAAACCACACGAAGTGAGACCAGGCTGACCAGCTGAGATTCCTATGCCCGTATAAGTGAAGATCTCGGGCTATCGGTGCGGACTGGGCCGGGCGGGGGTTAGCTATGACAGATGCGGACAGGCGTGACAGGGTAGCCTGGAGAAGCCCGAGGCGCCGGAACAATGCTTGGGGCCGGGGGCCAAAACAGCACCAAACTATTATTCTACTTACCACTCCTCAATCTAGACTCTTAAAATACCTATCATCTTGCATCCTATTATCCTGTTTCTGCTTCTCTAGATTGATTCTTGATGCAAATACACCTTGTAAGAAGTCTCCGTTGTCACTTCCATCTCCATCTTGCTTGACCAAAGAATACAGTACATACATCGTGGTTTGACTCGATGCCTTGGCCTAGGGGTCGAGCCAATCCCACTCCAGACCACTTTCGTTTCAAAGTCTCTTGCTCAAACACATCACATCGTTCCAATTCCACGCAACCTACCAGGCTAAGCTTATAAGCGCAGCCATGCAAACGCTGTGACGTTGGTACCTCGATCATGCCCATGCTAATATTGTAGTTTCATACTGCGATACCCGCTGCCGTCTCTACCATCATGTCCATCGCCGACGTTTCGAAATGGACACTCCTGAATGAGGAGGCCATCTCCTGACCTACCTAGATTCATATACCTGTGGATTGGAGTCCTGTTATATTCCACATCGACCTGACTTCTGTCTCTCTTTCTCGCACTCACTAAGTAGACTCACTAACCCATCTTCACTTCATTGCGTGGCTGGCCACTGCGATTTATTCAATTCCTTGCCGGACGAGTTTCAAGACCTCACAGACCAGATATCAGAAATCAGAAAACATATCCATCAACCACCACTCGACAGATCACTTCAAACCAACATGTCAAGACAACAATTTTCCATTACATCCATCCTCCTTCTCCTCTCCATCCTCACCTCATTCACCACCGCCACATACACACCATTTGGCTTCCTTATTCGGCGCCAACAAATCGATCCGCAGCGCTGCGATGACTATTCCAGAACCGCAAACTTCTCGACCGTCGGCTCCAACGCCACCTATAGAGCTGCTTACCTCGACGCTTCACCTGAGGGCAGTGACCCTGCACGAGCCCCCCTCGATTCGGCCATGGCTCGACTACCTACTCTCCAATTTGACGTCGACTTGAATGCTCAGTGTGGGAACTTGACAGAAGTGGCATTTGAAGGTGCTGAAACGAACTTCACTCAAGGCATCGTGTTGCAATTCAGAGTCGGATCCGCACCTCGCATTGGGTCAGGGGCCATGGGCCTGGCCGCCATCGCAGCCACGCTTGTCTATGCAGCTGTCGAGTCGATGTAGTTGCTTGAACGAGAGCCCAAAGTCAGAAACATAAGCCCTTCGCGATCGACACTGTGGGCACCTGGAGACAAATCTGTTGATTCTCCTGAGGCCAGATCCGACGTAGAAGTTGTTGCTGTTCATTTTAGAGGGTTTATGTGGGAGTCTTTACTTCTGGACGACGCCTGGGACGGCATGTCTCCAAGGCTGTGGTTGATAGTGACATGATACACGAGGATTTGAATTGCAGAGGCGTCAAGGGTCGATGATCCGTACAGATGTGACTGGACTGGGTGCCATGCTTGGATGAAGGCCTGGTCGAGGTCTCATCCGAAAAATATTTTTGCTGTGCTGCTTACAATTGGAATTCATCCTCTGGTCGAATCAAAGCCAGAGACTAGGACGAGGTTATTTATTATGGCAAGCGGAACTCCCGAAACCAAATTCCGAATCTTGTTGAATACTCTCATGAGAACTCTTCCTACGTCGGATCTACGGACATAACAGCCCTTATTATCATTCTATAGAACCCTGTTATCCAATACAGTAACTCCCTTGTCCTAACTCCGTATCACTCCCAACCCCAAATTGACCAATTTCACCCCGTATATGGACCTAGTAAACACCCCAGACTTTGCTAATCAAATCCACCGGAACGAGAGAGGCCGAAATGGACTATACGCCAATAATATACGACAAATTCCGGCACGCATGATGCATAATGTATTCCGTCCATCTACGGTGTGAACAAGCTTCAGGTTGGTTCAAATTGAAGCTTAAAAATCAATAACTTGGAAGTACCTGCGTGATGAGGGCCGTGTATAATACGGAAGTAGGCATCTGTTTCTAGCAGGGTTGTGTCACTTTGGTCAGAATCCTTACAAACAAGAAATCTAGAGAACGCAAACTACCTCAAGGACTCGACCCAGACATCTCTACAATCATTATTCCATCCTCATCATGGTTGCCTTTGATCCAGACGACTTGAGTCGCTTTGACGATTTCCGCATCCTGACGACCTCATACAAGCAGATCCACGAGCATGAGATCTCGGTCAACGTCCTCTACCACAAGGATCTGCCCGCTCATGCTTCTACCGCACAGCCCATCATCATTCGATTCCACGGAGGAGGCCTTGTTGCCGCAGACAGTCTGTTTCCCGACTTCTTTGGCCACTGGTTGCTCGACTTGGCCAAAGCCAACCGTGCCATCCTTGTCTCTGCCAACCATCGGCTCTTGCCCGAATCAAATGCCACAGATATCATGGAGGATCTAGATGATCTATGGAGCTGGGTTCACGAATCCTTACCTTCTTTTCTGACGACTCAATCTGGAGGTTCTCTTGGCTGTGATACCCGTCGGATCATGGCCGCTGGTGAAAGTGCCGGCGGGTATCTTGCCATCCAGCTCGCCTTGAACCACCCGGATAAGATCCGAACCTTCCTCATTCAATATCCGATGCTTGACATGAAGAGTCCATGGTTTATGGCAGAATATGAGAAGAACGTACTTGGCGTTCCTCAATTGCCCAGGACATTGATAGCAGATCACCTCAAAAAGGTCCACGACAGCGAGGCCCAAGCACATAAGAAGATCATTGTGTCTTCAGACCCGAGGTTCGAAAGGGGGCCATTGATGTTCGGCATGATCCAGCAGGGATTGTTCGGGCAATACTTCGACCCACAAACGAAGAGACTCTTTCCAATTGACCGTGTAGAGAAAGGGGAGAGTCTACCGGCAGCCGGGGGTCTGATCTGGCATGGACAAGATGACTCCGTGGTCCCTGTTGGTGGCAGTATCAAGTTCAGAGATGCTGTTCTCAAACAAAACCCCTCTGCAAACGTCGCCCTTGAAATCAGACCAGGTGAACATGGCTTTGACGCCGCTGTTAAGCTAAGCGATAAATGGATTAACACAGCGACTAAGCCTTATCTTGAAGCTTGGTTGGCTGAATGAAGATGAGGCTCGAGCAAAGCACATCTGTACCTAGGTAGTCAACCATGAGAGATAGGGAGCAAGACTAGTAGGACTAGGTTGACACTTAGATACTCAATGATTCGCAGTAGCTAATTACTTCTACGGCGGTGCATCTAGCTACGATTCGCTAGGTCTGCATTAGTGCCAGCGAGCCTAGATTGACCTCCATGTTCTTTATTTCATGTTCAGAGCCTTCTGAATAAGAAACGTTCTCTTTGAGTGTCCTAAATCTGACTCTTGGCCGCACCCTACTCTGGACCTAGGGACTGGATCCATGTCGTAGGCTGTATGCACGTCATGACTTGAGTAATAAAACTTGAGAACAGATCGAGGCTTGAAAAGTGCAGATTGTATAGTGGAGACGAACGACCGAAATGTCCTCCCGTGAGGTAACTCGTATATCTCAGATCCAGCTGTTTAAGAAAATTGATTCAGATAAAAGTGTGAGCTTTTGCAGCCTGATACATCCGAACGTGACTCGACATAGCGCATCGCACCGACGCCGACGCCGGCTCGCGATTCCACGTAAACACGCCTCTTTCTGCATCTGGCATGACCGACAAGCGGAGTCAACATAGTCCCATAGTTGTACATTCATCCTTTCAAACAGTATGCCCGACACCTTGTCCCATCCCTCGGGAAATAAATACGTAGGTGGACTTTAACCTCCCCAACGCCATTGCTCAATATCGAAGGGTCACCGGAAGACTCCTGATCCAATAAAGAAAGTCAGGCCTGACTAGCTGTGGCCATTGACTACATTGCCTCCGTTGACGCCGCTTGCACCATTTGTGAGGCCCGAAACACTAGAATATTCGCTTAGCTTTTGTCGAACCTTGTCCAGAGCACTGTGCATGACTGATTCTTTATCTTGTCTCACGTCGACACGGAGGACATCCCACTCCTGATCTTCTTCAGGCTCTTCTAGCGTGGTCATCTGGCTATGAACCATACTTTCTTTCATGTAATGACCTTGACGCTCTTTCACTCTCTGTTGGAGAGTCGCTTCATCCAACTTGAGGTAGATGAAGTGAATTTGAACCGAAGGATGTTCATAGTTGGCGACTCGGATCACATCGCGGTATTTATGCTTGAGCGCAGAGCACGTCACAATGACGGAATTCTTCGTGCGCAACTTTTGAACGGCTTGCTCCCTCAATGTGATCAGCCAATCCCAACGATCGGCATCGGTCAGCGGTTGACCAGAGCTCATTTTTTGTTTATTGGCTAATGGATGGAACTGTAGAATTGGTTAGTGTGGTTCAAAAGAGACCAATTCGTCAAGGGTGTGGACCACGTACATCATCACCTTCGATATATGGTACGTCTAGTTGCTCAGCGAGGAAGGATGCGACGGTGGTCTTGCCACACCCAGCAGGACCTGTGACGATCCAGATGTGCTCGACCTGGTCCGAGTCCACCTGCATCTTGACACTGGGGAGAGTGGACGGGTTGCTGGCAGTATGGAAAGGGAAGCGAAGAGATGGTGATCGGGGGTTCCGGTCTGCAGACAGCATGGTTGGATAAAGTCAAAAAGATGAAATCAGGAGGGGCGGTGATGTCACCCAAGCAGCGGAAACACTAAAAGCCGGCAACACACGAGCAAAGAGAGGAGAGTGAGAGAGAGTGCCAGCTGTGATATACAGGACTCGGAAGCACAAGAGCAAGGCAAGAAGGAAAATCGAAAGGATGTAGGAATGGGGGTAATGGAAACAAGATATAATGGACTCCATTGCCAGAGGACGAGACAAATGTTACGGTCGCAGAAAGAGTCCACAAGTGAGGCGTAGGGAGCCAAAGTCGGTGCCAGGAACGAGGGGGCAAAGTTGCGTGGTGCAAGGTGCGAAGGGCGAAGTGCGTGGTGCGTGGTGCGTGACTTGCTTGGAAAATCCAAGATGAGACCCATCAATTGACCATTTTGACCACTGACCATTCAGCCGGGCCTTCAGAGGGGGAGCCTGTCATCCGCTTTTCGCTTCTCCCACAGGCCTCAACACACCCCCGAGGCCTCTTGAGGGAGTCTTTACCCCACACTAGTGGACGCTACCACGTGCACTATGAGACGGGGAGCCCGGCTAAATATCACGAGGCGCATGACATTGTCGTCTCTGCGCATGCAGATCCCAGATGGACTTTGGCTTGGACTTGACTGGTTGACTGGTTGACTTTGGAAATGCTGGGATGGTGGTTGGGCTGAATTGTGCTTGGGTTGGGGTACAGATTCTCACTAGTTGGCCAGACGAATCATTGAGTGTCTTTGTCAATACTTACAGTAGTATTTCAAGCCAACAAACCAAGTCAGGTACCCCCCAGACTTTGGGATCTGGGAAACTCGATAAGGGATAAAGTGACAGTCATGGGCAAAGATGGCGCGGATGGCGTGGATGGCTTATCTACTCCGTAGAACCAGAGTGGCAAGTGGATATTTCCAGGCGGTCAAAGGCCAGTCGTCCCAGCTTTTGCAAGGGATGCCAGCCCAAGCCTCTAAACCACATCCGAACTTTGCGGGGTCTTTGGGGGCTGCATCCCTACCCCTAATAATTACCACCGACACTCACAAAGGGTAAATAGTACCCGAAAGCACCGAGATCTTGGACAGTCATGCCCAAAGGACCTAATTTTGTAGTTGATAGTGGGGAAAATTTGCCCGCTTTTTAGGCGCCCCTACAGGTACCTACCTAAAGTAGCTAGGTAGGCATGGAGTACGCATCGTAGACGCATACTCGTATGCCATCACCGCCGTCGGTCTTTGAGATGCCCCTCAGACTCCTCATTTCAGGTTTTCCAGGTGCCAGGGCCCCTGCAAACTCCTGCTGCGACTGCGATCAGGACTGACCACCGCCGGAAGTATGCATCCCTGTGCCGGACAGCTGTGCAGCTTCGGATCAATGATTTCACCTCCGGCTTCTCCACAGACTAGAAAGACTAGTTATGTACGTGGTGCATTTGATGTTACGGAGGATGCTTGGGCACTTGCAGCTTGACATCTCAGCTTAAGCCGGCGGATGGTGGTACGACGGTGTTTCCCGAGGTGATCCAAGGAAAGCCGTGTGTGATTGCTTTATTTTCCTGCAGTCATCCGCGTCAGTTGTAGTCAACCCTCGTGGTTTACCTCGTGATCAAGCTTGATCAAGGCAGCCAGTGAAACGATTTGATTTCAGTGTTACACAAAAGTAGCAAACGCGTCCGCTAGTCATGAATAATCTCGTCTATCAGTAGTGATTGACAACATCACTACTGTCGTATGTAGGTATGCATACGCACAAGATGCACCCAAAGTTAGGTAGGAAAGGGCCTGCGGGGAGATGATCACGCCTATCCTTCCCTGCAACCGCCTAAACTCTCCAAGGTAACTGGAGCTAGTTCAAAGGGAGGAAAGCCCGACCAATGCTTGGCGTGAATTGATCGCAGCCTGGCCGTGACCAGATTGATGAGACTCACTGCCACCAGCCATTCTCCGCGGTCAATCGACATCAGCTACCAACTGCCAGCGTTGGAATCCTGGCTCTCCATACACAAGTACTCACCCATCTCAGACCTTGTCAATTGCCAATGTTCATGACCAACGTCAGCACATAAACCATCCGCTCGTTCCGTCACCACCACTCTCACCATGTCTTCCTACTTCTTCTCCACCCCCGTCGACATTGACATCGTTCTCGAAGACACAGACGATCGGCAGACGGTGGATGTCAAGCTCGACAAGAACAGAAGGGAAAAGGCCCCCCTGTATCTCGATGGCGAATCCGTGAAAGGCGCCGTCACCATCAGACCGAAAGATGGCCGCCGCTTAGAGCACACTGGAATCAAGGTCCAGTTCATTGGTCTCATTGGTATGCTCAACTCCGACAATGCGCCAGACTACATTCGCGTATATTGCAGCATCTGACGTGATGTTTCTAGAGATGTTTTTCGACAGAGGTAATCACTACGAGTTCTTATCGCTCGGTCAGGAACTCGCTGCCCCCGGCGAACTGCAACATCCTCAGACCTTCCCCTTCAATTTCAAGAACGTCGAAAAGCAATATGAATCATACAACGGCATCAACGTCAAACTGCGCTATTTTGTCAGAGTTACAGTATCACGAAGGATGGCAGATGTGATTCGGGAAAAGGACATTTGGGTCTACTCGTACCGGATACCCCCCGAAACGAACAGTTCTATCAAGATGGATGTCGGTATCGAGGACTGCTTACATATCGAATTCGAGTATTCCAAGAGCAAATACCATCTAAAAGATGTCATCGTTGGCCGAATATACTTCTTGCTGGTCAGACTCAAAATCAAGCACATGGAATTGTCCATCATCCGACGAGAAACAACTGGGGTCGCACCGAATCAATACAACGAAAGCGAGACGCTGGTTCGATTTGAGGTATGGCTCCCTGACACTCTTCAATCCGACACATGCTCATTTGACCATTCTAGATCATGGACGGCTCTCCATCGAGAGGTACGTTTTGACTCCCCTGTTCACCACTGCTGAGCTTTCCTGCGACTGTGTTCAAGTGCTCACCTCTTTCCAGGCGAAACCATTCCGATCAGACTGTTCCTTGGAGGCTTTGACCTTACACCCACTTTCCGCGAAGTCAATAAAAAGTACTCGACTAGATACTATTTGAGTCTGGTCTTGATTGATGAAGGTATGTTTGCTATATTCTACTCATGATCATACCTGTGGTTCTCCAGCCACAATGTACCCCCATTGTGGCTGAACTCACTTGGATGGAGACCCCCATCCGGCAATTGACCTTACCCCCACGCCAACCTTTCCCCACCTAGCCGTTGCGCAAAGACTCTCAATCTCAACCCCATCGAACTCTTTTCAACATGTCCACTTGCATCCGTGTTGAATTGTTCCAAGCCGAGATCCCACCGTTGATCCCCTAGGCATTGGCTAACAAGGATATTCTATGATAGATGCCCGCCGGTATTTCAAGCAATCAGAAATCGTTCTCTTCCGCCAACAACCCGAGACACCTCCACAGCTGGTCACAGATAATCCCAGTGTTGGTGGAAAGCCTCCTACCCAACCCTTACTCACACCTGCTTGATCATAACGTCAAGTTCTACAGTAATTAAAACATAATATATCTGGCTATGGGTGCCGGACTCAATCTACCAGTCCTCCTCCTGATGACCCTTGGTCAGTGAGCTATTGGACCATGCCACCATCGTTGACGCAGGTTGTCCTCGGAGATTGCCTGGGGTCATGGTGAGGTTCACCGGTATACTTCGCCAGTATCGATTGTGTCAGCTCGAATGGAAATGGTGTGAAACTCGAGCTCCTCGTACGATCGCCCAATCGACGGAGCACTCATAGAATGCCCCTCTCCAACGATCAGAGGTCATTTGGAAAAGCTCTCCCGCCATAGACCACCTTATGAGGTTCAGCTACTGCCCAGAATTGACACGAACCTTGTTTTTCATTTTCTAGCAGATATCTCGAACATTTCCTCTATCACCTGTATTTCCCCTCGGCTTTTGATTCGTATCTAATATTGGAACATCACCATCCTTCACTGATGGAGGCAGTCCACTTCTCCAGGGCCACCTCAATGCCACGTCCCGCTTCATCTGCCTGCCAAGCACCTTCACCACTCAAACGGGGGAGATCTCGCCAGAATTTGGACACCTGCAGGAGCAAAGGGTACAGGATGCGAAGATGCTCTTTGCCGTCCTCGACCGTGCCCCGTTGGCCTAGCACACGGCCCTGGTCGCCGCCCAATTTGCCCGCGGCCGTGGCTGCTAGAAGCGCTCGCCCGTTGCTGCGGAGGTCAACAAACTTGGAGAGAATGGTGTGTAATTCAGCCTGTTGCGCTACTGGCGGGGGAGTCAGTCCTCGCAAGCGTTGATCTGAAAGGAACGTCTTGATTGGGTGGACGACGCGGAGTAAAAGGTACGGTGCAGCGTTTTCGGAGAGCGTCTGTGACGGGCGAGGCTGCTCATTTGAAGTTGCATTCACTTCCTTCTGCCTGACAAGGCTAAATAGTGCGTCGAGAGCTGCATAGCAGATTCTTCTTCGGCTAGGGAAGACCGGTCGATGAACGCTTCCCGCTCGGAGAATAAACAGGCCTTGTAACGGTGTCTTCTCGAGATCCTCAGGCATGTCGTTGAACCAGGGCTTGGCTAGAAGAGAAGCATTGAAAACCGAAACAGCGTATCGTCTACACGTCTGGGCTGTCAATCTGTCGCTCTGCGACAGGGTGACGATGTTCCGGTGGAGAAGTTGGAAATGCTCAATATCAAATGTTTCATCCTCGATCAAAGTTTCTTCCTTGTACCTCGCCTCTGTTCCTGTCAGTCCACCAGGACCTAGCATGTTCTGACTCAGGCCAATCAACGGTTCTGATATCGTGGAAAGAGAACCGTCCTGTTCAGCAGTTCCATGGGATTTGCTTTCTGTCGTTATTGCTTCAAGAATCACAACAGCAGTCACTGTGGCGTTTCGCCAGAGTGGCGCTTGGTTGTTGGTCGGAATGCTCGTGTACTTGGTCCCGATTGTTGCAGACAGGATTTCGAAAGTCGCGCCAATGGGCAAGTGCGCGACTAGTTCTCCTCTACTAGCATTTTCCAAAACCAGAAGTCTAATATTGTCGATACATGCCGATGCAAAGGCTGTGAATGTGGGTCGTTGAAAAGATTTCGTCATCGCCGCCTTCTTATGATTCTTAATGACTTTTCCATTTTCAATTCCCAGCATCAGGCGTAAAAGCTCCAGAATATGTTCGGAGTACCCTGTTGCATCCGTTTGAAGAATAGCCTTGAGGATCCCCAGGCATTCAATTACTTCCCGTTGTTCAGAAGCCGGCTCTTTGACGTCGCTTGTATATGGAGGGTGACTTGCAGAGAGAATAGTCTTTTGTGTTGCTTCACGTAGCAATATATCCATGGATTTCCCGTCGTGTCGATATTTACTTACTGCTTGAGAACTGGTCTTGAACGCTACCACGAGAGTGTGAGCATGTGCGGTAAAAGCTGGCTGATTGGGTGAATTCTCGTCAGAAGCAAGATCTGCAGGATGATATGTCGCCCACAAGCGTAATGTTGGCACGACCAGCGGTCCGTCCACTCTCCGTAGAGATGGTATCACGGACAAAAGTCTGTGGATATTGGAAAATGCCAAAGTTGCAGCGGTCAAAGAAGGCGTTTGGAGAACCGACTCAAACACTGACATGATAGCAGCCCACGTTTCCTCGAAACTTTTGTGTTCTCCAATGACTGGCAGATTCTGAGAAATGATTTGGGTGACGCCTTCGGTAAGTTGTTCCATCGACAACATCCACTGTTCTTGTTCGTCATAATTTGTCGAGTACTGCTCAACACAATATCTAATCGCACTCAAAGGTCCGATTTCAAGGATAGCAGCCCAAGTGTTTGGAGTCAAGCTTTCACTCGACGCATCTAGTGTTTTCGTGAGAATTCTGATAGCAGCATTGCGGACATCAGGTCTGTCGTCTTTACAAAGCCCAACAAGCTGGCTCAGGGTAAGAGCCCAAAGTGACTCTGTTGTTGTGACTTCCTCGACGCTTGTTTCTGTGGACTGGTCCGTCTCACCGTGTGTGATATCAATCTGCTCAGCCCTATCGAGAGTTTGCGAGGCAAGGCTCCACAAAAGAGTCGTGCTGGTTAGGGCGATGTTAAGATCATACGTCTGGGATCCAAATTGTCGCAGCAGTCGAGCGATACTTGCGAGTGACGTGCTTGATAGGACACCAAGGAAGTCGGATGTCATCAACTGCACCGTTCGGAACTGAACACGAAGAATGTGTGCTCTTTCGTCCTCATTGTCGTCATCGCTTATCCGAGGTGGCTGCGTCTTTGAGGTTCCGTCATCCACCATTGAAAAAGATTGGGCAATGATGTCCAACGCAGCGGGCCAATTCTCGTTTAGCGACTCTCCGCTATGACTTACGATGCTTTCCAAGGCTTCCATTAGTCTCTTGTGAATCTCAAAGTCGGCATCGCTGGCTCTATTGGCGCTGACCAGGTCCAGATCTTTGAGCTGATTAGACAGGGCCTGCAGGCACCAGCCCCTGACAGTCTCAGCCTCGCCTCCATCGTATCGAGGGTCGTCAAGAACTTTGACCGTTTCCATCGAAATCAAATCTAGAATACTCGCTGCCTGAATCCTGTGGTCACCCAACAGGGTTCTATCTTGACACAAGCTCAGCAGTCTGGACCCGATAAGATCCCATGAAGATTCGTGTTCATCCACAGTGGCAAAGCGAAGGAGGTTGACCCGCGAGAGTTCACTGATTTTATTCAGCACGAATTCAATCTCCATTCCGATGGATCTCGATCTTGTCCATAGACTTGACATGCTTCGACTGCTATGGCCCATTGGTCTTGATGTTCCCGACTTTGTAGCCGGGCCTGGCGAAGTGACCGGGGAAGTGATTGACGGGGTATCTGGTTCGTTCGTCCGAAGGAGTCGGAACAAAGCATTGACAATGGCAGTAAATGCCGAGTCGCTGTAGCCACGTGTGCTCTCTAGCATGCGCTTGGTAGCAGCCTGAACAGCAGCAATTTCTCCAGCTAGAGTTGTTTGACTTTCTTCGCCTGTAGTCCCTATTTTGGGAGTTCCTGCGTGTGATATGGCTGTCCCAACTATCGGTATTGACATCAATGCTTCTACCTGCTGCACAGTCTCCACCAGGATGAACCATGTCTCTTGCTCCAATGTTGGCCCCAATGCAATGCCGAGATTTAACAGGGCGCGGAGACAGAGCAGATGCCGGACATTGAGTGGCGGACTGCTGATCTGGAAGCCCGAAGATTGTGAAGGCTCTTGTAGTGATTTAGGAGTTGGTTCCTGGTTATCGTTATGATCGCTAGTGGCGACTATTCCTCGCTTCGAGTTCTGGTATGCTGCTACAACGCTGCTCGCGTTGGCGGGCACAGAAGCCTTTGCCAACGTTGTCAACAGGGCGTCTCTAGGTGTTGAAAGCTCCAAGACCCCTGACACCTGTGCCAACTTTTGGACCGATCTGATGAGAATATGATAAAACTCGGAATCCAAGGCTGCATTGAGGAACGTTGAGCATGTCGCAAGCGCTGCTGGCCAGCAAGACTCAATCATGGCTGCACAGAGCTGTACTTGTGCTAGCAGGGGGCGTTTGCTCAGGTTCAGAGGGTTGATCAGTCTCTGATACTTTTGGGAAGAGGTAGAAGATCGACTTGGTTTGCGGGTTGGCTCATCACCCGCGTTGTCCTTTGAGATACTGTCTCTCCGTGATTCCTCGGCGGACTGCCGCAGTACATTTCGATTTGGGACGCTCAGTGGCATGATGAATTTCGAAAGACCGTCGCAGAATGATGCAGTACATTCCAGGGCTAGTGTATAGACATAGGTGCTCGGAATGGAAGGCGGGTTGTGCTTTTCTGGTTGTTGTAACAGCGGAGTGGTAATTACGCTCCACTCTACGCTGATACCAGTGGTAGTGGTGTCTGCAGAGGAGACGGTCGTGATGGCGCCACCCAAGCCTTGAGCCTCTATCGATGCCGCTTCCTCACTCGCAGAGTCATTGGTTCGGTGTAAAGGAACGGTCGACTGGCGCCCTAGACCGATCAACGAAGGATCCTCGGAGGCTATTCGTACAAAAGCAGCCAAAATTTGACCGACAATCTTGACCTCACCAACATTGTCGAAGAGCTCAAAGAGCCTTCTCAAGACTACGAAATCTGCAAAGGTTTCACGGAAAAACTCCAGGCTGAGAGCTCGTCTCCATGGCTGACTTCCGTCTTTGTCGATTGCGTTCATGAGAATCATGAAGATCTCTGGCAATTGGTCCTTGAACAAGTCTGCAGAGGTCTTGATCATCAAAGACAGGATTGCTAGGGAGCGAACCATTGTGGTGAAGGCGTCCTTTCTGGCTATTTGCCGAGTTAGTCCGGCTAGGAGATGCTCTCTGCATATTTCAACCTGCGTTGGGCGAGACAGAATGAAAGACCCATAGCTGAACAAGATTGTCTGAATAGTCTCGAGCAAAAATTCAGAAGCAAGTGCTTGAAGTTTCAAAAACCGGGCAGGGTGCTGGTCAAGCAATAGGCAGAAGTCGTCGAAAAGACGAATTGCATCAGAAGATGAATCACCGTAATCATCATTATCCTCTCGGTTTTCGAGGGCATCACTTTGCTGAAGATCCTGTTCACGTTGACCTCTCTGTGCTTGATCGAAGACGGTGGTAATCAGTTGCTGAAACGTAGCAGCCGCAGTGTTGTTGACTATGGGGTTCTTGCTTGACTGTAAGGCGACACATATCTCCAGAGTCCTTGCAAGGAGGTCTCCATGGATATCAGAAGCGTATAATTGCAAAAGCGAGGGGAGCGTCTGCAAGATTTTGAGTTGCGGCTCATATCCAGTTGAGACAGCATCTTGAAAGGCTTCCAGAAGATCGGGCAGTCTTGGGCGAGCAATCGCCTTGCTGGCAGTCAGGCGTTGTAGGCATACAGTGCCATTGCTCACAAGTTTGAGGTTCTTGGATTTGCATGCCAGAACAAAGGGGTCAATGAACTGTTGGCGCCGGAGCAGGTCTCCGGCGAGCTGAGTCTCCGATGTCACTGATATGCCCCGCAAGTCGGTAAGAGACTGTTCAGCTGCAGTGCGAACATCATTGTGCTTGCGCTTGGAGTCTGAGATGAGGCTTGTCAGCTCAGACTGTAAGAATGCTTGTGTCATGCCTGCGCTGGAACCTCGCCATGCGGGCGGTCAGGTGAGGTCAAGGCGTTGTACTCATCGCTGTGAAGGTCTGCGATGCCCCTGAATCGGTATTCGAGAGAACAATTGCGAGAATAGAGGAAAGAAATGTCTTTGGCAGGGGTATCATCATGTGAAGCCGGTATCAACAATAGAAGTGTCCTCAATGTCATGCCAGGCTGCCAAGAGTTTCCTCGTGACCAACTATAATTGGGGGAAGGTGTGACACATGGGATGTGTGGGTGGCACTTGCCCAACTGCACAAGGCTGCGACCCGCCCGCGCTGCCATGCCACTTGCCTTTCCATGCTTTTACATCCTGATCCTCAGTGTGCCCCTCCCCTTCTCTTTGCCTCTTTCAACTACGCAATCTACCACAACTTTCCCTCCATTTTCCCCCTCTAGATTGCATGATATCCTCTCTCCCTTGAATCACTGTCCTCGCACATCAGACGAGATGGGAGCGAAAATCCCGCGCAACTTTCGACTCCTGGAGGAATTGGAGAAGGGCGAGAAAGGTTTAGGCGCAGGTAAGATAGCCTGGTCCTAAACCGAAAGTTGAGCAACAAGCCTTTTCTGACTTGTGAACCAGAGGCGTGCTCATATGGTCTCGCTGACGGTGATGACAACACTTTGACCAACTGGAATGGTACCATTCTAGGACCTCCGCATGTACGTCCGCATTTTACAAAGCCATTTGCAAAGGGCTTCCCCTAGACACCCGAGGCTGGACCTTTCTGTTGACATATGATATGAAGAGTGCGCATGAAAACCGAATCTACAGCGTCAACATCCACTGTGGCGATAGCTACCCTGACACCCCACCGACCATTCAGTTTGTTTCGCGAATCAACCTGCCCTGCGTCGATCCAAAGAGTGGAAAGGTGAGAGGAATTGACATGATTTGAACAACCTGGGCTTATATATCGTACTAGGTGGATCCATCGAGACTACCCTGTCTTGCCAATTGGAAGCGAGACTACACAATGGAGACAATCCTAATCGAGCTGCGACGGTAGGCTTCCCTCATTGTCATGTTGCTCGATGGTTGCTAAAGGATGGCAGGTATATGGCTCTCCCACAGCATAAAAAGTTGCCACAACCCCAAGAAGGCACGACTTTCTAATTTTTGGGCGAGTCGGCTGAAGGATGCCTGGCGACAGGTTCATGAGTGATGAAACACGAAGATGCATTGCGTGGCCGGCGTTGAAGCTATTGGGACATTCTTCCTTTTGCATCATTTTCTAGCATGGTCACCATGTCGAAGCAGCCCGGATTATATGTGATTGGAGCAGCACCAGTTCCCTCGTAGATTTCAAGCTCCTGGCACAAGTTTCGTCAAGCAATGCGATTATATGAATACTCCAGCGCTGAGCCGTGGAAGTGGTCACGTGGGTGGGCATTCGGTCTACCTGCTGTAATTGATCAAGGTGTGAAGTTGTCCCATCCAGAGTAGACTGCGTTGCTTGTAACTTTTATTAGCCTCTCCAAACCGAGCGTGCTGAAGCTCGACTAGACCAACAAGTGAAGGTTCCCGTGTGTGAGGGATGTGCGGATGCCCAGACCGCTCAATTTGCACAAGTCGTATGCTCACCGACTAGCATGTAAGAGATGGCAACCCGCAACTCACGGGCGATGAGCATCCCAACTGACCTATGACCAGGCCGCTCGCTCTACAGGGCACTCCTTAAACAATGCGCCGAATTTCCCACTGCCAGTCCTGAGAGCCTAGCCTCTCCTTCGAAGACGGTTCAAACCCTGCAATCTCTCGTCCGATATCGTTTTCGCCGAGACCGAGCTCTCTCATCACCATTTTCCATCATCAACGGGCTGGACACTGGTAACAGGGTCCTCAGTCTTTTGCAGCAATGCACTCTGAAATCACCAGTGGCGTTGAGCCAGCTCAGCACTCTGCTGGGCTCGATCAGCAGACGGGCAAGTGAGAAAGATGCGGTGGCGGTACGCAATGCCTCCTTCTGGAAGGCTCCACCAGTTCATCGGCAGGCGCACATCGCACACCACCAACATCTTTCGCGTAAAGATGTTCAAATCGGAACACCCGGGAATCCAGTCATCTTTCAGCACCCGCGGCCCCTAGCCGACTTGTACGGTACGGTTCGCAAGGTGCCGAGATATATCTTGGCCAACGGGATTCCGCTGCTCAAATACCCTGGCCCGCAGCCGGCCCTGATGAACAGAGTGCTCCGCCAAAAACTGCTCTGGCAGATCAAAAACTTTGAAAAGCTTCGCGCTCTGCAGCAGGGGGTCCATCTCGCCGAGACCGAGGATGACTGGGATCAAATCGTCCAGGACCACTTTGGAATCGACGAGGACCAGGTGGCGGAAGCTGAGTTGACATCACCACCGCTTCCAACCAATGGGCAGTGGCAGCAGCATCGGCAGCAGCGAAATCAAGCATCTCGTAATACAGACCGTACTAAATCTCCAGACTCGTGGACAAGAACGTGGACCAAGGCTGTGAGAGACGTGGGAAAAGCCTATGCTGAACGACAAAAGCAGCAATTTGAAATGGGTCGCAAGCTTTACCAGGTTTTTAAAGACGAGCGCGACTTAAGAGAGACGGAGCGAAGAGCTGCCAAACATGAGAGGAGAATGGCCAGGAAAAGAGCACAAGGTCTGCCGGAGTCGCCTTGGGACCAAGTTGTCGAGACGCCTACTCAGCTTGGGATCAAAAAGGAAGATGGTGAGTGATCTCTGAGCTGGGGACATGTAGAAGAGCGGTGCAACAGGTATTGCACTATTCTTGAGTCAAATGCATGTCCTCACGTCTCTCAAGACCAAAACTTTGCATATAACGAAGCCCGGACTCAGAACTGCCAGCATCGCTTCGGAGTCATTTCTCACCGCTGTAATTTGAGCATTGGGAAGTCAGGAGGTTAGGTCCATAAAGAGGCTATGTTGCTGGTATTGAAGGAAAGCTAGCCTTAGTAAAGAAGTTACTGCGCTGATAGGACCGACTCAGCTAGCATCAACGTCCTCCTCTGTCACATGTCTTGTCGTGAATTTGGCTCTTTCCAGGCTCTCCTTGACACCCCAACCCCTCTGCAACAATTCACCCACCTCTTCCAGTCCTAGGCCCATTGTCTCCGGGTAGATGCACCAGATGACCGTCCAACCGATGGCGCAGACTACAGCATATGTGACAAAGGTCCACGTAGGCGTGAAGAAGTCCATCATTGGTAGAAAGGTTACACCAACGACAGTGTTGCAGCCCCAATTGGTTGCGGTCGCGATACTCGAGCCGAGAGATCGAACACTCAGGGGAAACAACTCTGATTGCTGCCATGGCACGACACCGAGACCAGAGGCGTAGGAAGCAACATAGATAAGGATGGAAATGAGAATGAAGATGGCGGGAAGACGTGAGGAGATGGAAGAATTAGGATGGTCGATAATAGGATCGGCACTGGAGGTGTCGGGGAATTTCATGAAGGAGAAGCTGGCAGCGCAAAGGAGCAAAGAGATGATCATGAAGGGGATGGTCAAGAGTAGAATCCGTCGTCGCCCTAGACGATCAATCAGGTTGAATGCCACAATGGTAAAAACAAAGTTTGTGCCTGCCACAGTGAGCGAGGTGAGGGTCGGAGAGTCAAAGTTGAGGAGTTGGAAGATGGTGGCGGAAAAGTACATGAGAGTGTTAAAGCCGCACAATTGCTGGAGGGCTTGGAGCGAGCAGGTGATTGTTAAGGCGCGGGCATGAGGTGGGTGCATGAGGAGAGATTGGAGAGTGGGTGGAATGATATTCCATCGATGGGAGGCAGTTTTGAGGTGGGTTTGGGCTTCCTCTTCTTCAAGGATCTCTTTCTTGATTGCGAGGATGACCCTGTCGACCAATTCCGTAACATTGGAGCTCATTCCACGATAGACTTTGAGGAGAACGGCCTTAGCTTGAGCTTCGCGTTGTGTTCTAGCCAAGTAGCGGGGCGTTTCGGGCATGAAAATGAGTATAATGAGTTGGAGGATGGCGGGGAGAGCGCCCAAACCAACCATCCATCTCCATCCTCCAGCCAGGGTGGAAAATGCCCATCCGATGATGTAGGCCACGACCTGACCGCCGGTGACAAAGAGTGAAGACACGGTAACCAGCCTCCCTCGTAGATGTCCCGGTGCGAGTTCGGAGATGTAAAGAGGGACAATAAGGCTGGCACCTCCAATAGCGAGACCGACTATACTTCGGCCGAGGATCATCCCCCAGACCGAAGAGGTAAAGGCCTGCCAGATTGCCCCGGACGCAAACAGGCCATCTGCGAACAAAATAATATTTTTTCGTCCAATCTTGTCAGCCAGGACCCCGGCAACGGGACTTGCAATGAGTGCGAAGAGGCTTGTGCATGCTGTGATGAGGCCTTTGTCGAGGGTTGTGAGTTGACGATCAGAGAGGTCAGAACCGATGGAGACGAGAGTTCCGCTGATGATGCCGGTGTCGTAGCCAAACAGAAGGCCAGAGATGCAGGCGGAGATTGTCAGAACCCATATGAAGACATTTCCTGACGATTGAGGTACTGCGGACAGGAAGAGATGGTTGGATTCTGGCTGGGGGATGAGGGGTTCATCGGCGGCGTGATCATCGCGGAGGGGGGTTATGGATGACATCTCGAAATCTCCGTTGGCTTGTTGGCTCGCATGACTGACGGTGTGGTGATGGTGGAGTGTCATAAATTCATCGTAGTCGTGGTTGTTGTGGACGTGGGAATCCGCAGGTGAATGCGGCGCTGTGTTGAAGAAGGAGCAACAATGTCCACTTCAGTTGTACGCCAAGTCTTTTTGGTGACACGAAACAAGGGATGAGGACGTTGAGAACCCAATTCAGGTACGCGTGGACAGATTCATAACATAATTACACACATATACCTTTGGCTGGCTGTCTGTGGAGAGACAAGGCATTGTACATGTCTACATCCAAGTTGGTGTGTTCATAGGCAACATATATTGATTGGTAAATGTCACCCCCCCGCTTGTCTCGACCCCGGTGGTTGGGGAGGCAAGGCACGTGACGGCGGTTGGTCTCCAGGGCCTCTTGTCGTGACGGGGCTACAAACGAGCCTGTAAAGATGCTCTACTGTAGGCACCTAGCCTGAATTGATCTTTTGAGTTTTTGAAAGAGATCTGCCCTGTTGTTTTAGTTGGTTTAGCGAAACTGACGATACAAGGTCTTGTGAATGCTACATCTCGTTGGTTCAATCTATGAGATATGCAATGCAACCTAGGCATGAGACAACACGTGTGTTCTGCAGACAGCCCAAGCTCTCTAGCGCCAGCTTAGGTGAACTAGTACCTTTCTACAGAACTGTTAGGCAGCATCAGAGTACCTTCCAGGCTTAGGAACACTTTTTATTAGTTAAAGACCCGGGCTTGGTCTGCCACAAACAGGCTGAGTAGGCCCCTCGGCAGACCATCGCCTATACTTTACATACTATCACTGCCGGCAATTGGCGGGAGTAGCCAATTTTAAAATCAATTGATTCTTAAACAAAGCACGATAAGCTAATGAAAGTCCGCCTCTGTTAGGTAAAAAGAGGTGTACGAGGACCTCATGAGCGATTATATATCAGGAAGTTCGCTGTATAAGCGGCTGTGGATGCTTGCCAAGAGGGCTTAGGCAACACCTTTTGCTTCTTTCCATTGCTTCCCAGACCTTGTGATATTCATCTGAGATTGTTGGTGAGTCAAAATACTACTGACCAGAGCATCGTGCTTCTCAGAAGCCTCAGGTTCGTTCATTTTGCCTCTTTAGTGTGACACTGTCAGTATCTACAGTACAGCTTGTTGCAGTGATGCATTGTCCATCATCTCCCATCGTTCTACTCTACCCATATGGTAAGTGCCATCTTGGGATCACCAGCTGCTACTCTTGGTTGACTTTACTAATTGACCTGATGCTTTAGCCTGCCGCGAAGGGCAACTGTACCTTGCAACGAGTGTGGTGCTAAATGGCTGCCAATGTTGCTTATCTTGGATGCCAATCTTCCTACGTTACAACGCGTTCAAACTAGACTTGGCGCTTCCATGCGACCATCGATCGACCTTCCTCGTTCATCTATTTCTCTGTTGTTCGGCAGCTCGTAGCCATCTGAGCCTGCATTCATGCATCCACACCAGCAAGATTGAGCAATCATGACGTCTCGACACCCCTGCAACTCTCGTTATCTCCTACTCTACGAGTCCAGGAGATCGTTCATCTTCATCTCGTCACGAAGCTCTGGCATCCTCATCCCGCCCGGTAAGGTCGATCAAAAATGCCCACGTTCCCTTCCCTCGTTCGCATCTCCTCCATATTTGTCCAGTCTCTCGTTCAGGATTTCGTTTGTTGTCTCTGAGGCCTCAGCCTCCTGTCTTCTACCAATATGATATTCTTCGCGTGCATGTCTGGCCATTTCACTGCCATAGCAATTTATGCTATTGTACTTGCCTCCTGGTTTCCCTTGATAGCTCGCGCTCAGCTGGAAGTGATTCTTTCGGTCGAAGATGGCCTGATCAAAGACAGCATCGACGGTCGCATCGTGGTTTTATTCGCACCCAGCGGCGAAGACCCCCTCGATGACGTCGAGGTCGATACCACCCCAAACCTGTTCTTCGGAATCAACGTGTTCAACTTCTCTCCGGGCAAAACGACTGTCATCTCCAGTGGAAGTGGGACCAGTGTCGCAACAGGGCCATTTGGATATCCTAATGTGAGCCTCTCAGACGTACCCTCCGGTAGCTATTCTGTTCAAGCCTTCCTCAATCGCTACGAGACAGTGACTCGAAGCGATGGGTCCACAATCAGTGTACGGTTCCCTTGCGGCGATGGTGCAGCCAGCATCAACGGCTTCGGAAGTCTTTTCACCTCCATTGTCGATATCGATGTTGAAGCCGGCGCCCAAAAGATCGAACTCGTCTTCAATAACATCACAGCCTTCCCGGAGCTCGCCGGCAGCGAGATCGGTGGTTGCTATCAAGGCAACTTCAAAGATACTAAGAATCTTAAACACGTCAAGATCCGCAGCGAGGCTCTGAGCAAGTTCTGGGGTCGAGATATGTATGTCGGGGCCAAAATTCTGTTGCCTCCAGGATATGATGCAGCGGATAAGAAAACCAGATACCCTGTCATCTACCAACAAGGCCATTGGCCCTCATCCGGTGGTCCTTTTCGCTATCCCACCGCAGCCTTCTCATATGAGTGGGATGCTGGCATGATCAATGCCACAGAGGATTCAGCCGGGCGTCCCACCCCGAAGGTCATCCTAGTCAACTTCCGACACGAATCGCCATACTATGACGACTCATATGCTGTCAACACGGCAAACATCGGTCCGTACGGAGACGCTATCAACGACGAACTCATTCCACACCTCGACTCCGTCTTCAACACCATTGCTGAGCCATATGCACGTATTCAAACAGGAGGTTCAACAGGAGGCTGGGTCTCAGCCGCCTCTGTCATTTTCCGGCCTGATCTATTTGGCGCTGCTTTCTCATCCTACCCTGACTCAATGGACTTCCATCGCCATCAAGACATTGAATTGTACACAGCCAAGAATGCTTACATCAGTGCAGATGGCAGCGCCACCCCGTCCATCCGGGAATTCGACGACGATGGCAATGAGCTTATCTTGGCAACGGTGGCACAAGAGAACCACTGGGAGCTCACATTTGGCACGTCGACCCGTTCGTCTTTGCAATGGGATGTGTGGAACGCTGTGTTTGGCGTGCAAGGTCTGAATGGATACCCCCTCGAGCCCTGGAACAAAGTAACAGGAGAGATATACCCAGAGGCGGTCAAGTACTGGAAACACTTTGACCTGGCAGACTACATTGTCAGCAACTGGAACAGCGAACGGAAGCTCGGCGAGGTACTTCGAGAGCGTTTGTTCATTTACGTTGGCACTTGGGATGACTACTTCTTGAATGAAGGCGTCGAGGAGTTCCAGAAGCGCATCGAAGCCATGGGGGGCCCCACTTGGGCCAATGTCACAATCCTTCCGGAGAAGCCTCATGGCGGGTATTACCAAGATCGGAACTTTTGGGACTACATTGAGCTTCTCTACAGCTGGATCGAAGATCACGCCCCTGATGGCGCCACCCCACTTCCAGGCTCGGTCACCAAACCCTTTTCGCGTGGAAACACCTTTTCTGAAGTACTGGAATACGGCAGCCACAAGGCTGCAGTGGCACGTCAAGCGTCACCATTGATCAACGCCCGAGGTTTCAGCAAATCCGGACCCGTCTTCGAAGCCAGTGTGGGCCGGTGGGACCCAGGTGTCGCTCTCGAGGCACAATGGTTCATCAACGGCAAGCCGAGCGGCGATGAGTTTAAAGTAGATCAAGGCCAGGTATTGAAGTATGTCCCAACAGTAAAAAGCCGCACTTCGTTTGTGCAGCTATATGTCACTGGTCGCAAGGCAGGCTATGTCGACGAAACAAGGAAAAGCAACTCGCTTCCCACAATCAGGAAGTGGGTATCATCAGGCTGGGAGCCTTGGAGCAAGCCAGGTTCCTAGAGTGCTGACGAATGACCATTCTTGTATAGCTTTTTTATATCTAAAAGCCTACTATTTGACATATCTCATATCCAACATTTTTCTCAGTCGCTCGATCAATCCTCGACTTATTTCAAGATGGTGTTGGTCGATAGTTGCACTTGAAGTGTCTATTGACAAACACGTGCGATTTTCTAGAGTGGGCTGGCCAATTCTTCTGCACGTGACTGGAATGACTGGCTCTCCGACACAGTCAAATGTGAGATAGAAGATTCAGAGCCGCAGTTCCTCGGCTTTTGATCTTGTATACAAACCGAGTTCACCATCATCACGAGAGTGAAAAGAATACCGTGACAAGAATACGCTAAAGACCGAGGCTTGGTACTGCTTACGGGTATTCAGCCTATTCGAGAAAACAGGGATTAGGGGAATCGTTCGCTTATTCCATGCTGGTGGATCCAATCCGATGACTACCCATGAATTTGGATTATCCGTGGCTAACAGTGGGTTGGCAATGCCGAAAGGGGAGAACAATAAACAGAGCCTTTCTGCAAGCATGTGGCCTTTATTTTTTTTTCCAACAAATGTGTTTGTTTCAAAGCATAAAAATTTCCTGGTCAGCGCTTTTCTTGAGTCTACGCTGTCAGCTTGCCAAGTCATCAACTGATAGTGCCATGGCTACAAGTCTACCAACAACGTATGGTTGATACATCAGGACTAGTCTGACATGGACAAAAGTGGTCTGAGGTCCGATGTCGCAGCCTTTGGGAGGCAGATAGAGCAGTTAGACGAACACGCAGTGTATACATAATCAAAGAGCCGAGGCACATCGTGATAGGGTTTACAAGGCTGTATGAGAAGGGATCTGAGGGTGACGGGGTGGGGGGAGATCGGATACCGCACAAGACCTGTCCAGGGTTCATCTCCGTGTTTTGGTGGTCTAACGTACGAGTACTACGGAGTCGTATTGAGTCTCCGGGGCTGCCCGTGCAGAAGACGGAGAAAATCAGGAGCAGTATGGGGACTTGGAGAGTTTGCCAATTGGGGCTGTAGGTATCATCTTTTTTGTCAAGACTGACGAAGTCCCACTAGGGAACTTGATATTGCGCTAAACCTTATTCGGCAGATACCGAGGCAACTCTGACCAGCTGCACAGGTAACGCTTTCATCGTTTTCTCGTCCATCTGATGCTTCCACGTCACATCCTGACCTCATCTGCTCATCTAGCCCTTGACCAAGCCCCGCCACACTCCGAGCCAGTCCAAGACCCCAAGGCCAGAATTCGGATCATCGCCTGTCTTTGCCTCTTCCGCCGCTTGTCCTGAACCCTGACATAGGCGGGAAGCACGCTCAGCGTGTTTCGGGCCAAATACGGCTATTGCACCTACTATCGACTTGTCTTTTTTATTCAAAGCTCATCCTCTTCTCAGCTCTCAATCGTCCCACCACTTCTCTATTCCCACCTTTGACCCCTACTTTCACTCCTCTCCTCCCCTTCATCATGCCTTCCAATCCAGAATGGGTCAAGGCCCTCAAGCCTTCCGGGCCCCAGGGTTCCGAGTTGCTCTCCCAAGAAAGGGCAAAATCCAACCTCAACGTTGATCAACTAGCCGAATTCCTCTTCACAAAAGACGTCCTAGACAGGAACGAGAGAATCTTAAACATCCTCACCGCCGACCCGGTCTTTGACAAGTCCCAAAACTATTTTCGAGGAAGAAACACAAGAATTGAAGCAGCCCTGGCAAGAGGCAAGAGGTTACAACAGCTGCAGGTCAAGCACAACTGGTCCAAGGATGAGTATCAGGTTGCAAATGATCTCATCAGCGAGCCCACCCCCTACGGCCTCCATGCCAGCATGTTTCTCGTCACTCTCCGTGAGCAGGGCACCCCCGAACAGCACAAGCTATTTCTGGAAAAGGCAGAGAACTATGAAATCATCGGCTGCTATGCTCAAACTGAATTGGGACACGGTTCCAATGTCAGAGGGCTGGAAACCACCGCCACCTGGAACCCCGATGACAAGACCTTCACCCTTCATTCTCCGCACCTGACTGCCTCTAAATGGTGGATCGGCTCACTCGGCAAGGCTGCTAACTATGCCGTCGTTATGGCTCAACTGTATATTGGCGGTAAAAACTATGGGCCTCACCCTTTTGTTGCCCAGATCCGAGACATGAAAACCCATCAACCCCTACCAAACATCCATGTTGGTGACATTGGACCCAAGTTTGGCTACAACACCATGGACAATGGCTTTTTGCTGTTCAAGAACGTCAAGATCCCTCATGAAAACATGCTGGCTCGATTCTCTCGTATCGATCCGTCCACCAACAAATACGTCCGCCCATCCAACCCTTCCCTGATCTACGGAACTCTCACCTACATTCGAAGCTCAATCGTGCTCCAGTCAGGTTCAGTTCTTGCCAGGGGTGTGACCATTGCTAGCAGATATTGCGCTGTTCGACGCCAGTTCCAAGATCGGGATGCCCCAGCCGGTGAACCGGGCGAAAACCAAGTCCTCAATTACACCATGGTTCAAATTCGACTTCTCCCTCTCCTCGCCGCTACATATGCCTTGCACTTCACCGGGCGAGGCATGATCAACATGTATCAGGAGAATCAGAAGCGCATGAACTCCACAGCTGAACCCGAATCTCGTCGCAATCCTGGCCCAGAAGAACTCAATGCCGGTACAGATCTTCTCGCAGATCTTCACGCCACCAGTTGCGCATTGAAGGCTTTGGCTTCCACCACCGCTGCAGAGGGTCTCGAGGTCTGCCGTCGCGCCTGCGGTGGTCACGGCTACTCCTCCTTCTCTGGCATTGGCAGCTGGTATGCCGATTACCTGCCCACCGTCACCTGGGAAGGTGACAACTACATGCTCACCCAACAGGTCAGTAGATACCTGTTGAAGACCGCTCGTGCAGTTCTCAAAGGCACGGCCGGAAACAACGACACTTCCCGGATCTTCAAAGAATTCATCCGCCGCCGCGACATTGGCGCCGCCTTCGATGTGATTGGAAGTGACACCGACCTCGTCGATGCCTTTGCATGGCGTGTGTCATTCCTGACCTTTGAAGCTCTGCGTCATCGTGACGAAGACAAGCAGTCGTGGAACAGCCTTCTCGTCGACTTTTGGCGTCTGTCCACTGCTCATGGTCAATACATGATTGTCAAGAACTTCCATGACGCGCTCAACGACCCTCAGACCAAGAAGGAGGTTGATCCCGAGACGGTGACTCTGCTTCATAAACTCTTCCGCCTCTACGCCCTTAGCACGTTGGAAAAGGAAGCTTCTGAATTCTATTCCTCTGCAGCCGTCACTGTGCGCCAAATCACCCTTGCCCGCACAAAAGCCGTCATGAAACTTCTCGAGGAGATCCGACCTCACACAATCCGACTAGTCGATGCCTGGAAATTCCCCGATTGGCAACTCGACAGCTCTTTGGGTCGCTATGATGGCAAGGTCTATGAGGATCTCTTCCACCGCGCCAGCGAGCTCAACCCATTGAATGATGTTGTCTTTGATCCTTACCCAAATTCAAAGGTCCTGTTCAAGGAGGACAAGAGGTCCAACTTGAGGAGTAAATTGTAAATAGTGTGACCAAGGTTGTGGGAAACTGTCAATTCTACGGTCACATCGATACCGGCGCGATTGTTTACATGATCTCAGATGTACATGAAACTATCAATACATTTACACTGTTGACTCGGAATTTCTCTTGTGATGTAAGTGATTAATGGGTTTGTGTGCAATGTGTCAATAATACAGTCGTGAGTTAGAAGGTTGCTCGAGGCGAAGAGGGAGGTAAATGGTGGCAACGATTTTGCCCAAAGTAATGAAAGGTATATATTTTTTGTAAGTGGCAAATAGTGTCAAATTGGCTTCTATCAAGCACAAAGACGCGGTGGCCGAGCGGTTAAGGCGTGTGACTAGAATTTGACACAGTTATTCTCGGATATTGTGTCATATACTGAGATCACATCTCTTCGGAGGCACAGGTTCAAATCCTGTCCACGTCGACATTTCTTTTTGATCTTTGTCTCATTCAAAATTCGGTTTCTGATCTTGCTTTTCTTTTTGATCAAGCCCCGACCTGGTTCTTGTGCCTTGGCATTGAGACTTGGCAGTTCCTATACCACTATCTAGCAAATCAGGTACATCTGCAAACTTACGACCGCAGTAAGCTTTTGGGTACCATCTTTGAGCAATAACCGGTATAATTTCTCTTGAGATAGCCCAATAAACCTGCCGCCATAATGTGCATCTGGTTGCTTTCAATATGTCATATGTTCAGCCTTTTCTCACCTTGTACTCGGGCATTACGGATCCGCTGTGTGGCATGGAAGGACGAAGTAGATACCTAACCTCTGTTTGATGGGACAAACGAACATTATACCTAAGCATTAACCATCCGTTTGTCCATGCAACTCATGTCTGTCTATAAAGATGTTGCGGCGACTTCTGTGCTTGCCTTGATCAACATATGTGACAAAAGGCACATTTGCTCATCAGTATCACTGCGAATTTATCGCTTTTGCTTCCCAAGTTCCTCAGACACGGCAACGAGATATGTCATCTCGCGATATCTGGCTTATCAGCACTGACGGCGAAACCTACCGAGAATATGAATTATATCGAGTCGAATGCCACATCCGGACAGTCGACCGGCAAGGCAGATCCAGGTCTATCGTTCACCTAGTGAGCCCTCTTGGCGGTGATAGTAACCACGATTCAGAACCTCGCTACGCTTACGACCTCCGTTGTGCCTGCGATTGTCATTCTAGACCGAACCTTTGCGATAACAATAATGGGTAAGAGATGACCCGTTCGTTAATTCACCTTGGTGTCGGACAAGTGGTAGTCTTGCAAGATACTGACAACCCTGACAGTTGCAGAACCAGATCTGCCACCATAACCATCAACGGCAACGTTATTGAGAACGTACTTGTGCGAAATGAATCAAGCGAAAATAGTAGTCCCTGCAATGCCAATTATCATCGCCAGTGTCATGATCACTCGTGGCGGTCGGTTCGGAGATGTTGCAACAATGAGGGTGATGTACTTCCACAGCGGGGAAGAAGAACTTGACGGTGATGTGGTCATTAGGAATTCAAGAAGATAGAGATTGAAGAATATTCAGGCTGCGCACCGTGACCCGAATACCATGTAGCATGAAAGAATGTGGTGTATTGTATGCAATGTGACATTATTTGTAGTGGCCCGCTCCCGGAACTTGGGCAGCCAGAACGCGTACTTTAACTCTTGAAAGCGACGATTGCGGGCGCCTATGAGGGTCGATTAGGCCTGAAGGGCCCCTCAGGCGCCCGCAGCCACTCGGCGAACAACCCCCTCGGCCTCCCCGCCAATTCATGAGCTCCCTCTCAATAAGGACAAAGGTGACGCTGCCCTGTGGTCACCCTTGTCCCACCCTTCACGATATACTCCGTATGTGATATAGTCTCTAGTCTTGCGGCTTACATGGCCAGCGACGCTCCACTGCCTGTACTGTTACTTGATAGGAACATACCGTAGATACTGCCTAACCCGCAACCTCTTGAACTAAACGTTCTGCCTGCGACTCTCCCCGGAAATAAACGGTCATCGTCTCCCAAACTGTCCCATCAGGCCTTGTCTCCCGGGTGAATTGAACCTTCTCGACATGCTTTGGGTTGAATCCTCCTCCAAGGGCCGTGCTCGTTCCGCCAAAAGTGATCAAGGCGCTGCTTTTCGACTTGCATGAATTGCAGCTAGCCTTCTCCTCGTCCCAGCCGTCACCGAAACAATTACGACAGTAGACCGCGTCTGCGATGCCTTGTTCGTGGCAAGTTGTGCAACGCTTCCAGTTGGTGCCGCCGCCTGTGTATGTAGAGCGACATCCGGGGCAATAATATGAGGATTGCTCGTTACCCATAACTTGGGGCCGGGGGTTTCGGTATTTAAGCAATTGCGCTCGTAAGATGGGGAGAGTAAACTTGATCGGGGATATGGGGTTGAAGAAGCTTGCGCGAGATTGTCAAGACTTTGGTCCACGCACGCTGCTACTGACAAGAAGAGAGTCCCAAAGGGCTTTAAGTACACCTTTGGACATTATGATCAGGCTTTACTTGGAGCCGCATCACCCTGCTCTAAGTACCACTCTAAGGAGAGGACGTCAGGCATGTATGCAGCCGTGCAAGCTTGACTCCACTCCTGGTGGTGGTCTCGCTTAATCAGGCATCATATATGGGATGATAGGCCATATTGGCTAGTCTTGGATAGGTTTATGTAAGAACGGCTGAATCTTAATGGTGACCAATACAACAATGCTGATATTGCAATGGTGCCCAATGGAACAGGGATGAACTGGTGGAGTGAGTTGTCCTTCCATGCATAACGTTGGTTACTGCTGTAACGAGGTCGCCTACTTGATGGCCATCGAGTCTCCAGACACTCGGTGTGCATTGTCCGGAAAACGTCATACGCTATGAGAACGAAACTCTTGAAGTCGAGGAAGCTAAGGGACGAAGAACACCTCCTTTAACGGTCGCAATGCTTCCCTCGAGCAGAGCCGGTCCAATATACATAACTACTATAGAAGAAGTTCCATAGTACTCTATTTGCGAAGGGAATGAATGGACCCATTTGGTGAGGCTGTTCCTATGATGCACCTGGGGCTTCTACCCACTGTACGAGTGAATGCTCGTGGGACCAACACCAGATCCACTATGTAGGCCCTGAATTTGTAATGCTTGTCACAAGCAGCCTAAGTAGCGCAAGGCAACGAAGGCTAGGAGTTGCCCGATCGCCTTCTTGAGCCGGGGTTGTCAGCCTGGTCACTAACAGCTATGAGCCGCATCTTATCGGCGAAGGATTCGCTCTGTGTCGGGCATGGGCGCGTACCTTGATCGATAGGCCAACTTCTCTGCACAGCTTCATATATATACCAATGGAATATAGTTACCTACACTTCGAGAAATGGGTGCTCCCTCTCAGGCTTCCGTGCCTCTATCTTCACGTTCTTCCAGCCGAGGAGTAAACAAAGTTGACTGCAGGGCGCGCCAAACGTCATGGAGCTTAGGTCAGCTACCCCCACTGACCTGTCGCCTTTACCAATAGGGTGCGAAAGTGATTTTAAAAGCGGCATATCCCCGGTGCTCCGTAAGTCCCACGTGTCCTACCTGCCACTTTACATCGCTGTCTCTTAGTCATGTTGCCAATCTGTCACCACCCAACCAGAATCCACTTCATCTAGATAGCCACTTATCAAACATCAACCATTTACGTCCCCACTACATCGCATATATCTGCATTGGCAGTGTATCTCACTGCCAGGATTGCACGCATTCCCTTCCACCCCTTCCATCCGGACAGAATGCTGCAGCCAAGATGGGTAACTCTCAGAGCTCGAACAAGATCTCTGCGCAGGACCGGTATGTTTTTCGTCACCCTTGGTGTGCCTTTTTCGGGGACAATCTCCTCCAATGACCCTATTATCCTGTCCATGAGATCTCCTGCGATCGCGAAACGAACATGAAATGCTTACTCGTCTCTTCTCTCCCATCACAGAGCAATCCTCGACATGAAGAACCAGCGAGACAAGCTCCGGCAATACCAGAAGCGCATTACCGTCATCACGAGCCGCGAAACGGAGATTGCGCGTGAATGCCTCGCCAAGGGCGACAAAGCCAAAGCTCTCCTGGCGCTACGGCGGAAGAAATATCAAGAGTCATTGCTGTCCAAGACGGATTCACAGCTGGAACAACTCGAGAAATTGACCAGCAGCGTCGAGTTCGCTCTGGTGCAAAAGGACGTGGTGTTTGGGTTGCAGCAGGGCACTCAGGTGTTGAACCAGATCCACAAGGAGATGGGTGGTTTGGAAGGAGTGGAGAAGATGATGGCAGACAACGAGGAAGCCAGGCGCTATCAACAGGAGATCAGTGAGGCCTTGGCTGGACAAATGTCCAACGAGGACGAAGATGAGGTCGAGGATGAGTTGGAAGCTATGGAGAGGGAGCTCGAAGGTGCCACTGTTCTGCCGGACGTGCCTGAAGGTGCTGTCATTGGCGAGGGGACCTTGCCTGACGCTCCCAAGACGGAACTCGAGTTGGAACAAGAGAAGGTTCAGAGACAGAAGGAAAGAGCCCGGCAGAGGAAAGTTGCATTGGAGGCGTCTTGAAGAACTACTGGGAGCCTATTGTGCGCCCACTCATGATTTATGGTGTTGGTACATTTGAATGCAATTTAGCGCCGACATTGCGCGCCCCTGGAGGGGCTGCGAGGATAGAGATACATGATTCTTGGACGACCCATTCTACTGTCCTGGCATACTCTCGTTGGTGTTGGTCAAGCCTTGAATGACTTTATGGTCTTTGGGGTTGGCAGCTGCTTCATAGAGGACATGGACTGGTTCCCGGTTCAGAGCGATAAAGTCTCCTTTGAATCCCAGATAGCTAACACGAGTGACATCCTCGTCTCCGCCCGAATGATTGTCCTCGAAAAACAGATTGATCGAGGTAGTGCCGTTCCAGAGAGCGCGGTTCAATGGAATATCAGCCACATCATTGCTCCTCGGGAGATTCACGGTCTGTGTGGGCTTAAGATCTGTCGCCATACCAAAATCCATGTCGTCGCGATTCCGGAATAGTTTGAGAGTCTGTGGTGCAGAGTCCGAGTCCGATGAGCGGACCAGGATCGAGTACAATTTGCAGGATGCGGCGAAAGGGATATGCATCAACAACTGTTCGTCTGCGTCACTTTCGAGCACCGGCTCCTCGTTGAGACGTTCGTCCCATGTCTTTTTCACAATCCCTGCTCCCGATCGGGTCTCGGCCTCGTTGAGTGTAATGATGCTGTCAAAGTCGATCTGGTTGTACAGATTCGACTGAAGGGCAGGTTCTAAATCGTGGGAGTGATCGTGGCCGTCGCCGTGGCTGTGGTTGTGGCCATGGTGATTCCCATGGTCATGATCATGATAATGCGAAGACATCTTGATGACGATGCCTTGCAGGAGTTGTCGATTCTATGGGAATGATGTTGGTGGATTAACCACGATGTTGAACTCTAAGTCACATGTTTTAATGTTTGTCGGTCGAACTTTCCGTCCGCAACTCAGTAATCCGTGCTTTCCCAATCCAGTATCTAAGGTTCAGCTCCTCAGTTCAGCTCAATTTCTTCCAATCGACTTTTGATTTCTTGCTCTTCTTTTATCTGGAAACTCGACGGAACAGAGATGTATCTACTCTGATGGGTGTTGGTACTTGATATACACTCGGACTTGAACGGCCCCTCTTGCGATCCCTCAGTCTACTTCGCCAATTCCAAGCCAAGCAGGACAATTACGTCGTTATCTAGCCAGCCACAGGCATTCTTGTCAGGCCATAGCTGGTGCTTTCTTTGTTCTTCTCCCCAAGCTAACTCGTTTCCACCTTTGTTACTTCACGGTCAGACAGGCATAAGCCCCTACGACATTGCCATAAGCCCTCACCTTAAATTCCCAGACGCGCACTCCAAATCCTCATCAAGATGCGACATCGAAGGGTCATGTCGAACGAGCACCTGGTCGGCTTGGTGGACATGGGCAGGTGAGGCTTTCATTTCATACCACTATTCTCGTCTTTCTCCTTGCGAAAGAATCTGACCACACTCTTACGTCCAAAAGCAATGGAATTCGCTTTTCCATATCCGACCTGTCTCCTCCAACATCAAGGATTCTACCCACCCTCTACCAGGACCGGCTCGGCATTTCGTTGTATGAGGCCCAGCATGACCCCGAGACCGGAGAAAGGATCCCCATCCCAGATCGTATCATGAAGAATGTCACGGCAGAGCTGCGCCGCTTCTGTCTCGTGTGTCAGGAATTTGGTGTCGCTAAAGACCGGATCCGCATCATTGCAACCGAGGCCACTCGAACGGCAGTGAACTCACAAGAATTCAGGGATCATATCAAGGATAGAACTGGTCTCACCGTGGAAATGTTGACCCCCGCCCAGGAGGGAAATATTGGTGCCATGGGAATCGTCAGTAGCTTTGACAGTGTTCGAGGCCTGGTGATGGATCTGGGTGGAGGCAGTGCCCAGATCACGTGGATCATCCACGATGGCGGTGTGGTTCGCACCAGTCCTCGGGTTGCTATCTCCTTTCCATACGGTGCAGCAGCTCTGACCAAGCGGCTGGCCGACTGCGAGAAAGCCAAAGACCCTGAAAAAGCCAAGCAGGAATTTAGACAGGAGATCAGAACAAACTTCCAAAATGCGTACAACGAACTTGAGATCCCTCCCGAGCTTATCAGGCACGCCGAGGATGAAGGCGGCTGGCATCTTTATCTATCCGGCGGAGGATTTCGAGGATGGGGATATCTGCTCTTGAGTGAAAGTCAAATTCATGGACATGATTACCCTATCTCCATCATCAATGGCTTCAAAGTCAGTAGGGCTGAGTTGACCGACACCGAGAGGCTCAAGCAAGTGGCCCAAGATGCAGAGAAAATCTTCCGCGTGTCTGATCGTCGGAGATATCAAGTCCCCGCAGTGGCATTCTTGATCAACGCACTGTCCAACGCACTTGCGATCCGACCTCTGGATGCTCGGTTCTGTCAGGGTGGCGTGCGAGAGGGTTTCTTGTTCAACCAGCTCCCACGGGAAATCCGAGCACAAGATCCAATCGCTGTGGCGTCGGCACCATTTGCTCGCGTTTCTGCTGGACATTTCAAAGCTCTGTTAATGAGCGCATTGCCATCGCCTGCGTTGGGAAAAGCCATTCCTAAGACGATTACGCACCACCATATCGAAGCCCTTGCAAACTTGATGTACTATCACTCCACCAACGGAAAGGAGATTGCTTCTGTGTCGGCATTATACTGTCCAATTAGTGGTGTCTTGTCGTCTGCACATGGCCTGTCACACTCATCTCGGGCCACGATTGCTCTGATGTTGGAGAATCGCTATGAAGGGGAACTGCCACCACGTGAAGCACAATTCAAACATCGGGTTGCCGGCATCTTGACTCCAGAAGAAGTGTGGTGGTGCAACTATGCAGGAATCGTGGCGTGGCTTATCGGACAGATCTACCCTACCGGTTCTATCGGTGCAAAGATGAGACTTTGGCTATCTGCTCGCTTTGTGGACGATCTGGGTAAAGCAGGTAACAAAATGGGCGTCGAGCTTACCATCTCCATCCGCAAATCTAGCACTAGCGGCGTAGTGAAACAAGATATTCACGAGGACGGAGACGAGGATGAAGATGAGGATCCTCTCACGGGTCGGGTGCGGGTGGATAGCTTTGCGAAGAACGTGGCTAAGGTCGGCAAAAAGAAGAATTGGGTTGGAGGCAGAGATGGATGGGGCATGGCGGTCAAAGTGGTCGTGGCGGAACAATTGTCCACTGTTTGATTTGTTAGTTTGCTGCTGGGATGGGTCGCATTTCTTTGAAGATGGGTGGGCTCATGAATACTTTCATGGTTGGCTGGATGCCGTTCATCGAGTATGGCATGCCAAAACATAAAAAGTCCTCCCTAAAAAATGCAAAAGGGGAGGGTTGGGTGGATTGGGAGGATTGAATTTGACTTGCAACGAGGAGTAAAGGCCTGATCTGAGATAAAGTCTATACTTCCCTGGTCTATAATGATCTAGCAGGTTTCTGATACACCAAACCATGACCAAATCATAAGTTCTGAATTCTAGGACTGACAAACAGAGCCTTTGCGGAGGCGAAAACTTTGCCGGAGGGATCCTCGATGCTTCCCTTGATCCAATTCTTCCTCCCCGTGATATCGATAGCCCAGCCACGACATAAGATGATGCCTGGGGTATCAATGGGAGCCTTGTAGTCGACGGTCATGGTGGCAGTAGCCGGGGCAAAAGCGCCACTGGCCTCAGCGGCCACAGTACCTGTGATCTGATCGAGGAGGAGGGCATTGAAGCCGCCATGTGCCCTGCCAGTCTTACCGTCAAGACCGTCGCCCACTGACAACAAGAAACAAAATTCCCAAGGTCGGGCGGCGTCGGGCTCCTTGGTCGGCCTGCGGAAGTTGATCTGTGCCCGAATCCCCGTCGGTGTGTACAGCGTGCGTGAAAACATGCTGTTGGATAGTCGGAAGTCCACGTGGTCTGACTTGGCTGTGGGTTGGCTGACGATCTCTGTCCCGGGGCTTGAAAGCAGTTCTCGACACCATGGTTGGTCTAAATCGGGAGGGAGATTCATTGTAAGGGACGTAGACATCGAGAAAGGATATGGATATATGAATGTAAATATACGAGTAAGACGAGATGAGAAGAGACGATGTGATTGGAGTTGGAGTTGAGTTACTGGGAGCACGATGTGTTCGTGTCGAAGTCGTCCCTGTTCTCTATGACTGTAGCATTTGCAGACTAGATCTTTCAAGACTTCTGTGAAATGGACGTCTACAAGGGAACTGTGATTTGGATTCCCGGATATACATGGGCCGAGATGCCTATTCGATATATTCCATAAACGTGCTGCCGAGGTTGATTCGGATGAGGAATGATTGGGGGAGAGATTCGGGGAAGGATGAAACGAGTCAGTGCGGAGAGTATAAATTTGAATCACGAGTCATTTCGACAGAGTCACGGGGTCAGGGCATCACGGGATTCGAAGGCAAATATGACCTCAAGTATCAGGACTTCCTTTCTATATATTGAGACTTCATACATTAATGCATCTCTGCATGTCTAAAAGAACACAGCAACTGGATTGAGCCTCTATTTCAAGCCATGGCATAGTGAGTGTGTCCAAAAATGCCCCATTTCATCGCCTCTAAAGGGGGTCTGAAGAATGCGCTCATCCTTGGGTGGTGATGAGAAATTGGCTGGTAAAGACATCTGACCAACAGTTTGCAAAGGCGAAAGTATTTGCGCTCATAACCTCTTTGTGTGGACCAAATCATGCATCATCTCGTCGAGGCAAGCCTGGAAGATGTTCTGTCTGGCATGAAGTCCAATGCCATCTATCTTGATTACCCCTTTACAACACCAGCCTTGTTCTATGCATTGAGTCTAATCAGACATTTATACCTGGTACATACTTGGTCACTTCATCCAATGTGTGCTATCACCCCCCCACCCCCCATGTTGATAGAACAGTCGAAATGGCACTAAGGAACTGGGAGAACAGTGGTTGATTCTGCCAGACCTTTGATCTCCCCACTCCGCCCACTCATTGAGGCCACCCCTGGGCCTTTGTGAATATCAAGAGTCACGTCTGGGATCGCCGTGACAACCACCATACTGCGCAGTGAATATCATCCCACAACTTTTATGCCAAGCGGTGAGATCTGATCTGCTGCCTCTCCCTCTCCCTCTCCCTCTTCCTCTTCTTCCTCCCTCTCCCCCCTCTTCCTCAGAGATCATCCGCTTCCCATCCACTCTCTCTTGCCTATAAGGTACAACGTCCCTCGCTCATTATTTCCCTGGCTTTGTCTCCAAACCATCGAGATAGCTCACTTGTTCCCTTCGGAGGTCAACGGCCATCTTTTGTGAACTCTTGTGATTCATCACCCCCAGCCGCGCAATTGCAATCGCCATCAAACATGAAGTCCCTTCCACTGATTGTTGTCATTGCAATCGCTCATCTCTTCCTTGTCACAGCCAGACTCCCTGATGTGACCGGACCAGGTTCGTTCAACCCTCTTCCCATCAAGTCAAAGCAAACTAACAATGGTCTCTTTCTACCAGCACTGTCTCATCTCACCACTCCTACTTGGCCGGTCATCACAAATTCCCATCTCCTTGCTCGTCATGCCAACATTCACGTTGGAATTCCTGTCCTCCCGGAATCTGAAGAGCCTGCCCAGTCCACTATGACCACCACCGTCCTGAATCTTACTACTACCACGACCGTCTATGTCAATTCTACCACTTCATCGTCTAGCGCTGTCATCCCCAGTGAGACTGACCCTCTAGGAGTTGTCTTTGGAACTGTCACCAATACACAAGAACCCAGTATACCTGCTGCGATGACAACTCTGGAGGCCAACAACACAGATACCCCTGAGGTGGTGACCGTCATTGGTACCGATACAGATACAGACACAGACGCAGATATCATGACAATGGGACCTGAAACAGAAACTGAGGCTGCAACTACAACTTTTGCTGATCCCCCTGCTGAAACCACTGCAGGACCTGTCTTAACCACTACATACCCAGAGGACCCAATCACCACTGCGGCCAAATCTTCCTCCAGCCAGATTGATGACGCATTCGGCTACAATAGCAGTTTGTCGTCATCATCTGAGTTGTTTGAAGTTACCACCGCTGTAGGAACATCTACCAACAACAACTCCATGGAGGTCGCACAGTCAACAACGCCCACTTCGTGTGTCTCATCAGGTCTTGTCACAATGGTCACGCCGCTCACTGTCAATGACAATGACACCTCTACTCCTGCATTCACCACCTCCAGTACCGATAGTAGTTCACATGTCTCGTCTCATCATACTACCTCTCACCACACTACTAGCACCACAACCAATACTCTGATCGCTACAGCGACAGCCGACAGCAATGCTGGCTCAAGATCTCTAAGCCAGCCGCCTCGTCTCTTCCGCGTTCTCAGCCGCGTGTTCATGCTCTTGCAAGTGAATCTGAATCTCAGCCCAACCGCCCGGCAGCTGGTGCAAGCGACACATGTCGATGGTGATGGCAGCAGCAGTATTGAACCAGTGGAGACTGGCGAGGGTGCCCCCGCCCTCGACTCCGCGGCCACTACCACCATCTCCATGACATCAAGCACGACCAGCACCACGACCACCACTCTGACATACACGTCGACCACTAGTCTCAATACCACCAGCACGATCGACATGCCCACCTTGCCCTGCACAGCCAATGTCTATGCGGACCCTGCCGTTCCTGTCACCTGTACAGCCTCTTCTTCAACCTACAACGGCACACTCACATTCGCCTATGGTCATGACAACGGCACTGGTGCTATCTACAGCACCGGTGGTATAGTCAGCCACAATGCATCGTCGATCCTGAGCACAGGTGTAGCGACATCGTTATCTCCCGCCTCCTTTACATCGTCATCCCCATCATCTTCAACCTCCCACCGCTCTCACGCGACTCCATCAGTCGTTTCTGGTGCATCGGGACTGGGATCATGGAGCAGCAGGTCAACCGTCTTTGATCATCGCATGACTCCTTTCATGGTCCACATGGCCATTGTGCTTGTGCGCTTGTGGAACCGACATCACTGATGACCGCCACCCACAGACGGCTCCGACAGACAAATTATTGGAGAGATGCGACGACAAAGTTACTACAGAGCTTTTTCATTTTCTTTTTACATTTTCACTTTTCTTCCAGCTTGCGAGTTCAGTCTGCAACCCCCGCGAAGGCAGACTCCAACAGCAACATAAAATCGAAAAAAAAGATAGGACAGGAGAGACATTCGTCATCTTGTCTGTTCTATTCTGTACGTCCTGTCAGTGTCGGATTCATCTCAACCGATCTCTTTTCTCGTCTTCTTCTTACATTAGACGCAACGCTCGACTCAGCTCGTCTTCTTTCGCCGGATTCACTTGGGGGACTGGAAATCAAGCCTTCGACCTGCCAGTACACGGGAAGCGGGTTGGATGGGAAGCTATGGGTATGGATCTGGCCAAGGCTATGGCAGTGGCTATTCCTAGGTCATGATTATGGTTCTTGATATTCCTTAACCGACAAACCGACATCCCCTGCTTGGAAAAACCGAGGATCTGTAAGTCCCCTGCCGGGCCAACGCAGCATTCAGTTACCGATTACCATATTCATTTCATGATTCGGGTCAATGCCAGTAGATCAACCGGAGATTTGGTTGAACGGTTGAATAATCCAATGGACGATAGAAATGCCTTCTTAGTTCCTTGGTCTGGCACTCAGCCCTCCTTGATAGTCTGTTGCAGTCGCAATGATCAAAAACTCCATTCATTCCAAACTTCCCTTCCAGAATTGATACCAATACGCATTTGTAATTGCACACGGCCGTAGCTCTAATTCACGCTCGGTGTCGACGTGAGACTGGCCCCCATGCCTCCCATTTGCTCGCCTTGCTCAATCAGTTTCAGCCTTGCCGCCTCTTTAGTCCTCTCCAACTTTATGACAAAACTCGTTGTGCTCTCACTGGTCAACTCACGCGCCTCAGCGTCCTGTACATGATTCTCCATCCCACTCTCGCTTGGGCTTCCAAGCTCACCTTCACTCTTCAGTGCCGACAAGGACCCCACACATGACCGGTACACCTGAGTCCAGGGTTGGGAATCCAACGGGGCAAAAGTCTGTACCAGTTCGTTTGGACTTTGCCCTGCCGCGTCTCGTTGACGACGATGAGGTGTTTCGGATGCGCCATCCAAGTTGAGACACCTCACTGTGTCATTGCTGGCAGCATGTCTGATGTTGACAACATCTTCAATTTTGTATCCCACTGTGCTTTCCCCGACGCTGTCCTTGCTCCCCACTCCATACTCGTTAGGTGCCTTGAGATGCAGACTGTTACTGCGGTACAGACGTTTCCATCTTCCAGCAAGGCCCGTCCGGCCCCTCTTCTTTCCGGAACTCACCATGTCCACGCCCTTGAGTCTCGGAAGCGTCATGCTTTTACTCTTCCCCTTTTCCAGCTGTCCCCTTTTCACAAATGTGAGCCTTCTCCATGATCTTTGGGCACGCAGGTCAACCTTGATAAGGTTCAGAGATGCTTCTGATTGCAATGACTCGCGATCCGCGTCTCGGCCCGTTGCAAAATCACGTACTGCAACACTGTCCTTTGCCCCTGTTGAGCCAATCCTTTCAGCTCTTTCATGACTAGGAAATCGTGTCCATAGACGAAGGACTTCTTTTGCTGGATTATCAAATTTTGGTTGAATTTCTTTCCCAGACTTGTTGGGCGTGATATTGAAATGCTTTCCTAGATGGAGTAGACTGGGTTCTCCCTGGCCATTCAGCTTCTCTTGGGAAGGATCCAGAGTATCTCCTGCGGCGCTCTTGGGTGCTGTTGTGCAAGAGTGGTTCTCCCCATCGACCTCCACGACTCTTTGTCCGTTCCTTACACCTGAAGTAGTCGTCTGCCTTTCATTGGAGACATCCACAATACCTGCAACACCCGAGCTTTCTTTGCTGGTGACGTCTGAGTTTCCTCTGCTACCATCTCTATTATCAACTGGCGTGGTCAGGAGTTTTCCCAAATAAGGTTCGTCTAGCTTGTTAGCAGTTCTTCGAGGTGACCTCTGCATTACATTTTTAGCAGAATCAAGAGGGCTTTGTTGATTATGGCCAGATACTTGGGAGGGTCTTTTACGCTGCCAATGAGTTCGACTTTGCGAAGTCGGTCGGGTGCATGTCCTGAAAATTTGATTTTCCGATGCGGAGGAAGCTGGAACAATGGGGAATACCTAATTCGAATGTTTAAGCCTCAGAGTGGTGGAATCAACCTCACTCATGCGTTCACTGGCAGCGTCTCTTAGGGCTTGAGCACTTTGCTCCGTGAGTTTATGGACTCCGTCTGTCTGGAGCACGCTTGCGCTAATCTCACTAAATCTTTCGTTCTCTTCGGTTCGGTGACGTCTGTTGCGCTCTGTAGTGTATTCGACAAGACAGGCCCTTGCCTCCGGCAAGCTCAAACTTCGATTTCTGATGGAGCCTTCTGGTGAGTATGATTTCGACTGGTCGCTGTTGAAGCCCTTGCGACCAAACCAAGCCGACTCTTCCGTTCTCGTCTGCGGCATCTTGTCGCTAGGTGTCGTGACAGGGAGACTTATTGATTCAGATCTTCCACCAATCGCTATACTGTTTGGGTTACGTCTGCGTGAACAGGCCGTTGGATCTTCGGAATCAGCAACATCGCCATCACTCCAGTAGAAAGATGATGAATCATCCACGACTGGTCGCTTATGAAGGCTTGATTGAGATAATCCGCAAGACGTTGAGGTGGCAGTCCTCCGATGAGTTTGCGACAATCCCCTATCAAGTTTACCCTCGAACATGAGCTTTGTCAAGGGATCTGAAGGCCGACGATTATGCTCCACAACGCTGTGTTGTGTTACTTGAGTCGATTTAGAGACCCGATGACGAAGGCTTCCATCATCCGGGGAGCCAAGAGGTCGCTGTGCCGTGCTTGTTCGACTTGTTGTCGGTCGTGACGCGATTGCAAGCAAGGACGGGCTTGCGAGATTCTGAGAGATTCGCATATTGAACAGATGAACAGAGTCCTGGTCAGATTCGTCTAGAGAGTCAAGGTCTTTCTCCCAACGGTTCTTGATGTCTTTGAAATTTGAATTGTCCGGGGGAGCACTGGTGGTGGTGAACAGCTTGCTGGAAGCAACAGAATTGGGGTTGTAGAATGGGTCAGCCTCTGTTGTTGCGATAGGTTCAGACTCTGTGAACCTTGAAATGTACTGGAGCAGACTGAGATCGAGGTTCGACACAAGACTGTCACGAGCATCATCTGGTTCTGTTCTGAGGCTTTCCCTTTTTGCCGCGGCTGCTGTGTCGCCAAGTCTCTTGAGCTCGCTCAAGACGTGAAGTTCTGTATCTTCAACGGAGCAGGTCCCTCTCTCGGATTGGGAGTTCGTAGTTAGGACGTTAGTGGGCGTTTTGGTGGCCTTTTCAAGCCCTGACGCATCGGGGAGAGTGATAACCCCACTTGCAAGACCAACACTTAAATTTCGGAGAGCTTTCATGGGTGAAGTGCCTTTCTCGGCTAGGATGGCAGTCATGAAGGAGATGGGAGAAGATGTATTAGGGTCTGGGGGTGCAAGGGGTTCGTCTTGCGTCGGACCCGAGTCCTGCTGAAGAACTTGACCAGGTGAAGGGCCCCTCTTGACGGAATCTTGTTCTTTAGTTGTGTCTGGACTTGACACTATGGCTAATTTTATGCTTTTTGCATCACTGTCATACCCTGTTTCGCTGCCGGTTTTTGACATGAGGAATTCAGCCAAACCAGCAGAGCGCTGGCTATTGTGCAAATCGGCGAGTGGAACACTACCCGAGGTCATTAAGTCGTCTCTGTGTGCATGAGTTGATTCACCGGTAGCAGTCTTCTGGTTTGAATGGTCTTTACTCGGGCGGCCTTCGGAGATCCTTTGCCTGATATGACTTCCAAGTTGCTCAAGGCGGCTCATATCTGTAGTTTCTGGACTCTTGGCTCCGAATTTGAAGTTGATATCGAATGATGGCTCTCTTTGTAGTACCTGGATTCGATTCGAGGGCCTTTGACGTCTGTGCGGATCTGGCAAGCTCTTTCGGTGATTATCGTGGGCTGGCATGCGCTGCGTGGCCTCGGGCTGTTTTGGTTCAGTAGGGCGCAGAAGCATAGGTACATGTATGTTGGTTGATGTCGTAGAGACGTGTTTGGGCCGTGTATCGCCTGAGTTGACGGGCTGTTTGCCGTCAGGCGAAGGAGCACCGAGACAACATATAAAGCCCGAAATAACGGCGCGGATGGCCTTCATGATGAATGCAGATGAAACAATGACGGCAAAACAATGCACAAGAAGTAATCACTGCGTGAAGCACTGGGCGACTGTGCAGTCGAGGTCGACCAAAAGGGGCAGAGATGTTGATTGTGACGAAGGTGAAGATGGTGGAAACGCAGCAAATTGAGGCCAACGTGTTCTGATATGGGAAATGGAAAGAGACAAGACTCAAGGAAAGGAAGTCACGATGGACATTCTGAGGGATGCCAAACAAAATAGAAGGAGCGATCGAAGCACCTGCCATGAGCACGACTAGATGTCAAGGCTGGACCTCTGGAGGGGTGCAGTCTTATCAAGTCGAATGAGAGGTAGGTCTGGGTATACATTGCTGATCCAGATTCACCGCATTAACTTACTGTACAGCTTGAAGAAGGCTATTTATTGCCTTGCGAGACGGACTGTTGGCAAGATACTCGTTCATGAAGGATAAGCTGTCACATTGTTTATTAATGGAGGTTGTCAACAATACAGCGGAGTTCTCATGCGGGGAATGCGGCGACTTTGAATTCTCCAACCGTTGTTGATTGTTACACCTAACGCATGACATTGGCATCCAAGGAATCTTGCCAGATGTCCTCTCTTAACCCCGAGTCAGGCGGACTGCATGTAGCACTCAGCTCTGGTTCTTTCGAAATCACTTCCAAGGAACTGGGGAGGCTGGACTCTAAGGATTGAATCTCGCCTGGCCCAGCACTTGCAAGATCCACGTCATGGATCCAGATCTGGAGATTGAGGAAATAGGTCCTGATGGATACCTAGTGGCCATCTACCAGGTCGATGCGGAAACTGGTCAAATGCGATCAATGATGCCCCAAAATCAGATTCAAAGCAGGACCACATTGTTCATTCGACTTACCAGCCCTTTCCTACCTCTGGGCTTCCCGGACAGCGTAACGGCAGATTACATACCTTATCAAATATACGACTCCTTGCAAGCATTTGCCTCGACAATTGCAGGATTGCTGGCATCACGGGCCGTCTTCGTTGGCATGGGGGTAGGGTCGGAAGGTGCATCTCTAGTCACCACGATGCTACTGTACATTGCCCAGGAGACCATGGGCCGCGTGGCCACCATTTTGTTTGCCGATCGGTTCTCTCAACGAATCGAGGCCGACGTCAAGTTCTATCGGTTCTTTGCTGACATTGTCAACGACACCGCGCTCCTTCTCGATTGCATCAGTCCCAGCATGCCGACTGCTGCACGAGCCATGACGCTAGGTGTCAGCAACGCGTGTCGAGCCTTGTGTGGGGTGGCAGGCGGGAGTAGTAAGGCTATACTCAGCACCCATTTTGCCAAGTCTGGAAATATCGGCGAGCTCAACGCCAAAGATGGAAGCCAGGAGACAGTCATCAGCCTGTTAGGCATGTGGTTCGGAGGCATCGTGGTCAGCAACGTGCATGGAACTTTCGAAACGTGGTGCTGTCTGTTAACCCTCCTTGGCTCGCACCTCTGGTGCAATTGGCAAGCCGTAAACAGCGTTCGACTGATGACACTAAACCTTGAAAGAGCATCGATCCTGTTTGAAGGCATCGGGCGAGATCAAATTCGGGACCCGGTCGAGGTTGGGGCGAGTGAAGGTGTCATGACGAGGTACAAGAGTCTGAACAGCAACTATGCCGGCGGTCTTCGGCGCCTTACCATTGGCGCGACCTTTGGAGAATTAGTTTCTTGCGTGCTGCGGACAGATGACAGGCACAAGGGACTTGAAAATGTTCAGTATCTGCTGCACCTGTTCCGCCAAGAAGAATACATATTGTGGATTGATCCAACCACGGCTAAGGCTGTGATGTTGCTTCGAGAAGGCATTTCAGGACAAAGCCAAGCTAAGGCATGTTTTCACTTCTTCCGACTGATGCAGCGATCACCCGCGCCCTGGACGCGTGAAATCTTACACGGCAGCAACCAGGACAGCACGGGCTTGAGCCACGAGCCCGTAGACCCGCTGGTGCAGGCCGAGAGAACACTGGATCAAGTCAATACGCAGTGGGATTCTCTGAGTCAGCGGCTCAAACAAGCGGGGTGGGATTTGGACAAGACAATGCTTGAGACCCGAAGAGGCTTTCGATTCAGGAGACTGCCGCATAGTAGGGGCAAAAAAGATAGATAGGAGACATGGGAGAGGGAGCTATGGATGTATTCGGCAGTCCTCATGCTGAGAAGACTTGACCTCAGCGTGTCATGGGGACTAAGGACAAGATATTCCGACAGTCTCCGCCCAACACCTACCAGGTGGGTGTCTGTGGATATGGGTGAGGAGTAGATTGCAACGTATGATTGTGATTGCGGAGCCTTGGAACAACCACGACAGCAAGAGCTTTTGGCGCAACTCCTTGGCAACGCCTCTCACGAGCAAGCCACACGCGGTTATGATACTGTTTTTGCAATGGCGGGCTAGTTTTACAGACAATGGGTTGGCCGGGCCCCCTGCAGAATGTATGACTGTCAACAACTGAGTCGAGTTCAATGGCTGACAAAGTCAAGGGATCAATGCGGTTGCTGATCCATATGCCACGATGCTTAACCGGCAGGCAACGGCACTTCCGTCCCCACCGGGTAAACTGTCACTCCTGCCATAATTGCCCCAAGGCTGGAACTCCCCAACTCGGAAATATTCCAGAAGGCCCCAAATTTCCGCATCTGACAAAATGATACATGTCAAATCCGAGGTAATTATTATTGAGGGTCCCGCCCGAGAATTTTGCACGATCAATGAGATGTACTTTGAAACAATTACTAACTGAGACAAGCTACGCGTAGTGGAGGCATGAAATATACTCCGTAATAGGTACGTACTCCGTAAGTCAAGTCGAACCGCCCGAACCGCCCGAACCATAATGGCGGCCAACGCGCTTGAGGTCCCTCCCCAGCCCCGTAGAGGAGTAGAGCCAAGCATAAGGGCTTTTGTACACAATCTTTCTGGGCACACGAACACGTCCACCCCGAAAGACGAGGGCTAAAGGTACCTAAGCGTGCTAAGGTATGCATAGGTTGGAAGCCACAACATTACCTCATTGCCACTGCAATCTCTTCAATTACTCGTGCCACAGTCATGTATCATTACTGTTATCATGGAGACCCGTCATAATGTCTACCTGGCTTGGCGTGGCGTGAAGGTACGACTGTCCGTAGACGTAATCGACAGCAAAGTGGCGAGCGTCCCAGTACGATATCAAAGTAGAAATCTGAAGGCACGGATCAAAGGCAACATGTTGCAGACAGGAATATTCCGGGCCGGGCAGGAGAGGAAAGGTGGGACACGTGCCATTGAGGAAATCACTTTTCAGTAGTGGCCGCATCGGACAAAGAAGGTGGTGACGGCAGTACAATGGTGCAGGTGCAGGCGCGGGCGCAGGTGCAGGTGCAGGTGCGATGCTGTTCCTGGTACGGTAACGGTAATATGAAGTTGCACGTGAAGGTTGCCACTGGAACCCGGAAACATTCCAGAAAACGCACAGAAGGCCGAAGCATTGACAAAGTGATGTCCAAAAGTCAATCGCCCAAAGTCATGGGGCAGTGCCCATTTGGGGTGCTGAGATTGGACAGAGGCTAGAAGGCGTGGAAGTTTGGAAGAGTTTCGAAGGTGGAAAGGAAGGCAACATAGGTAGGCTAGAAGCCAGGCAGCACCTAGCAGCATCCAACCACTGCCCACCGTGGCGATCTGCACCTGGCACGAATGCGAGATGATGAAAGAGACCCTGGCAGCCCACCCCGAGGCTTGACTGACCGCAAATCTTTACCTGTACCATGGACAAGCAAGACTCGTCTCTTGGATCAACCTGATGAATTACCAAGTCACTCAGATACCCTGACCCAAGCAGCATCGACACCCTCTCGTGCCTCTGCACAGGACGCACGGATTTATAGTTTTAGGGACGAGCAGGTGCCAGAGGGGCCAGAGTGCCAGTCACAGGCCTCCAAGATTGCCCCTCACATCCGAAATGAAATGATCAGCATCATCATTCGAACAAGCCCCGGCAGGCGGCCCCAACTTGACCCAATCCCATGCCCACAGACTAGCCTTGGTTGTGGCACTAGCGATGTTTTGGGCAAGGCTAGCGACCCAGCGTTGCAGCACGCAGCCCGTAGCCTGTAACCCGCAGCTCGTCACCCCCCGTTTTGTTCAATGACTTTGGTCTTTTCTCCTCTCACCTCTTGACAATTCACATCACTCCTTCTTTCGCCTTTTTCTTTGCCTTGTCCGGGGGGATCCTGGGCTCTCCGTAAGGTCAGGGGCGTGTATCTTAGCTTGTAGCCTGTAGCCTGTAGCCTATATGCTATGGTCTTCGTCTTCTGTTTGCCCTGTGCCTGGGCGCCCTGTCTCGACTCGTTGGGTTGCTATGGTCCAGGCTGCCCAAGCCATGCCTTCCAGGCGACCCTCACACCCTGACAGGTAATCGACTAGTCACTCACTCTAACACTTTTCCCCAGTGGGACGAGAATAGGGCGCGTGCTCATCGGGTTTTTCTTCATCCACTTCTTTTTCAATGCCCAAAGAGATTGAATTCGCGCTTGATGCTTTGCTTGCTTGTTATCGGCGAAGAGCTGGGCATCGATGCCATTTTGTGCTGTTAGCATAGGCTTGTCCCTCGCTCCAAACCATCAAACCATCTTCCACCTCCTCTTCTCACTTGGCCCCATCTATCGTGTGCATCATATTATGTTGTACTGAATCCATCCATCATCCATACCACGGCTCTCGTACTCTCGTATTGAATTCCTGGCCTACTACTCCTACCTACCTTCCCTACCCTGCCTAAAGGCGACATCCTCCTGACCCTGACCACGACCGAATACCCAGGCACCCACTCCACATCCTTGTCCACCATCTTTTTCACTTTGTGACCCATAAACGCTGTGGACCGAACACTAAGCCACCCATCCATCAGATTGGCTCATCCGCATCCTCTGCAACGTATTCCTCACACTTGAGTTGGTTCGCTCTGTATTGCTCAGCGGCAGAAGCCTCCTTGTTGCTTTCCTCTACCCACCATCACCGTCTCCGCCTGCATTTTAACGTCAATCGCTCATCGCTCGACTATGACTCTTACCTAACCATCATCGACACTCCTCTCCACTTTCTGCAATTCTCCTTGCAACCCCGAGTCCACCGCCCTATTCCAGCAACATGACTCTACGGCTACCTCAATTTCACAGCCTCTTCATTCTGTAGTCACCATCGATATCCTCGTCAGCGTTCAGACCCGCCCGAAACGTCTGTGGTCTGCCGGTTTAGACAATACCTACCACTCTCTCCCTCTCGACACTTGGGTCAGACAACACACCTTCACTCTTTCCCGTTTTTCATTCTCGTTCCGAGACACACTCTGCTCGATTACGAAACCCGTCCCTCACCTTCACGGCCCTCCTTCGTCCCCATCGTACACGAACGACTACAAGACGACCCCTCAGGAGCAGAGTCTTGCCATCCCAAGTACTATCAGCTACCTCTCACCAGCACTCCTCCCTTGATCGCTCCACACTGCTGGCCTTGTAGCTCTGCCGACGACTCTCGACTACCAACCACCTTGCTCAATTCCAGAAACCGAACATTCGTGGTGACACCACACCCTTCTGTCACACAAAAAGGGAGTCTGCCGGACGGAAAAAGATCGGGTGCGTACAGGCCAGTGACGAAGTTTGCCGGCCGTTGCACATAGTCACCTGTCTTTCTCATTTGAGCAATCACGCGTGAGCAGAACGCGCGACCACCTTCAGGCTCTCGGGGCAAACTGGGCACTTGACGCCTTGTTTGGACCCGGTGCCCTTGGGCGACGGCTATATTCCTGCAACAAACCTCCGGTGGTAAGCCTTGACTGGTGGCATATCCCCGCCGACACCCTTCACGTAGAGTGTGGGAAAGCTGCCAGTTCAGCGCCATGATTAAGAGGAAATCAAACAGCATATCCTACCCATATACACCTGAACCTTCGCCCCCTCTTGGACCGTCAGATCAGTTGCTGGGCCAGGTCCCGGAGCATTGCATCATGGCGAGCGATGACTTCCCTCGGGCTCGACCCATCAGCATGGTGTCGAGAAGAGATGGTGTCATGTCACCCGCAAGACCGACTTTGGAGGACGTCCTAAATAACAATGCACCATCTCCATATACCCTCGCCGCTTATACCGCCTTTCTATCCCAACAACACTGTCTGGAGACTCTAGAATTTACCACCGAAGCTAAGAAATACACGGAAAAGTATGACCTTGCTTCAGCTCAACTCGCCGGCATGCCATTGACTGTCGATACCGACGAGGGCTTTGACTTGATTCAAGATTGGAACCGCATGTTGGATATCTACGTCAAGCCTGGAGCCCCTCGCGAGATTAATCTTCCAGCAGAGGAACGAGACGAGCTTGTTGAATGTCCATATGAGCTGCGCCCTCCTCAACCCGAAGTTCTGGAACCTGCCGTCAGAAGAATGTACGATCTCATGTCCGATTCCATCTTTATTCCCTTCTGTAATAGTTTGAAGGTCCCATACGCCAAAACATACAATCCCACCTCGGACTGGCCGACCAACGATTTGGAGGTGTCACGGTTAACATTTGACGAAAGGGCATTACATTCTCGACGCCGACGCTCACCCCCCAACACCTCAGCAGCTCCTTTTGAAGTCCCGTCACGCTCACCGCCGCAAAGCCATCGACCCCCTCAATCCTCGTCGCTGTCATCAGCCCTCGGTCGTCAGAGCCAAAGCCGTCTATCTACTCACGTCTCACATTCATCCGCTGTTTCAGAGAGCGCCTTGACAGATAGTAGTGGCGGTGGACCTGAGAGCCCACCAGAGGACCTGATGACGACGCCTCCGACGACACCGCCCGCGGGTGACTTGCCTGGCGGGGGTAACGGACACAGTCACTCGAATAGCATTGTAGCATCCAAATCTCATCGAAGCGAAAGTGGAGGATGGAAGAAGATGGGCATGAAAATCTTTGGTGGAGGCAAGAAGAAAACCGGAAGTTTTAATGAATGAATGGGTTGAAGATTCTGGAGGCTCGACCGGTCAGCGTTTGCATGACTAGTGCGGCCCCATCCTGACCCTCTCAGCCTCTGTGCGGTCGAGGGCTTCTCGATTGTTACGGCAATACCTTAATGTTACCGGGACATGGCAATCAACATAGGCGTCGAATTGGAGCAAAAGTCGAACGCATTGTGGATCGGACCCCGAAAAGACTTTTGATGTGGTTATGAGTTATGATTTGGCACGTGGTGTTTGGGTTATTGGGTGGCGTTGCATCGCAAGAAATTGCCAGGTTGCTTTTGATGGCCAAGTCCTGCCTTGGTGACGTTGGATGTGGATTTGATGAAGGGGGATCATTGGATACCCATCTGGACGGTCACGGTCCACGGTGGTCGGAATACATATATATGTAGCCGAGATGTGGATGGTTCTTGAGTGAGCAGGAGAAGTTTTACTCTCAGTGACAATATCATTGTCGCTGAAGGCAATCAATGTAATCCACTCAACACCGACAACACTGAACCTTGTGATTTCGTTTTGATTCGTGGCTGAACACTAGTTTACATCTACATGAGTTTTTGTAGGTCAAATTAAAGCTTTCTTATTCTCCAGGGCAGGGCGACACAAAGAGCGAAGGTCATGTGTTTCAAAGGGGCCTCACGTGAAGATTCAATCTCCCTGAAACTGCAACTGCAACTGCGGGTGCCTCGCACGTGTCGTTCTTTCCTCAATAATGACCAGGGTCTTCATCAATCACCTCGCCTCACTTCACTTCACCTCATCCATCACCTCATCTCATCTCATCTCACCTCACCTCAGAGTTCTTAGCCATTTCCACAAGGGCCCTGTCTGGGGACTACGGCATTCGTTTCATCCATGTCAAAATCACCATGAATCACCAGCCAGCCATGGGCTGGTGGTCTGCTTTGACGAGAATCGAGATCGACTTCTCACCTCCATGACGGTAGGTTCTTTCATATTTCTTTGAAGATGATGTGTGGCGCCACTGGCAGCAAGCAGTTACTCGTCTGACGACCCGATCTCGACTTTGCAACTGGAACTGGGCATTCTGGTGACCTCTCACCAATGCCGACGTCGTCCTGCTCCTTCGTGGAGCTTCATCAACCTTACCACAGAAAAATGGAACGGGAGAGCAAGATGGCAGCGCCGTGTCCACCTACATTAGCAAAGAATTGAGTTTTGAGATGCCGACGTCTCTTATCCACGCGTCTTCGTCCCGTCCGATTATCCATTGCCGCGATTCTAGTCTTTTGCTTTGCATGCATCTCGCACCAAAGCTTGCTGAATGTCTTGCTCTAGTGGCAGGAGTGGTTCTCCAGTTGCGATTTAACACCATCTCTCCCATCGTCTAGGCCCTCCGCGGCCTCAGCCGCATTTCCCTGGATCCACAGCTTGTGCACCACTTCAGGCCCGAACCTCCACCAGATTCAGGCGAGTTCGAAGCCTATTTGGCGAGGCTCGTCTAAACTTGTCCTTGATTCGCCAGTGCCCAGCCCCAGCTCTCCCAAATGAGGAGTTCAACCACCAAATCGTCCACCACAGTCGCGGGTCGATCGCTTTAGGTTTTTGGGCTTGAGCGTGGCCTGTCATGCCTTTCCCCAAATGCCCATCCATCATGCAGCAAGAACTGCTTCAGGTCACCACCTTGTTCCATCCACGGTACAAAACCCTCCTCTAAACTCACTTGGGCCTTTTGCTGGTGAAACTCAAGTCCTCTTCGGCCTCGGGAATGCTATTCGACGCAATCTAGAATTCTTCGTCCCTTGTGGCGTTCACCCGGGCTGAATTGAGCAAGTGCTTGACATAAAATCCAGAACCTAAAGACGGAATAGAGGCCATTCTCGTGGCACCAAACGGCATGAGCCGCAGTCGCCTGTTCCCGCAGCCTCTTCTCTATCAACCCCAAGCTCCCCCCCTAAACCGAATTCCCAACCTGCACCTGCAATGATCCAAGATGCCTGGCAAGTACTCCCACAGCGTGGTGCTGGCCACCTACTCGAGTCGCCGCATCAGCAGCGATGTCACCGAACCGCACCGGAATCGCTCTCGGGCAGATGTGCCTCAACAAGCCGAAAGATCAACTCACGTTTCAGCAAGCAAAGCCGCGAACCAACCACTGAGGTCTAGAGAACAACCGGTCGACCGTTCTACCGTTCGAGCGTCAACATCGTCGCCTCACCGTCCCCGGTCAACTCAAAAAGGACAATGCATCTACAGCCACGCAAGTGATGTGACAAGAAATCATGCCGCGATTCACGGCCAACAGACAGAAAATAACAAACACAACCCTGTGCCTCCTGCATTTCAATCACACACCAAAGCAAAACCAATCAAACAACCACAGACCAGAGAAAACCATCTGACCGATCCCTACGAAGGTTATATGCAACGGATGTCCCGCGTCGACATTCGCCCTGCAGAGAGGTTGCAATGGACGAATTCCCAAGCTGCGACTGAACACAAGACAAACACAGATAGGTGGCAAGTCGAGAGGCTTGCGGCTGCAACTGAGAGGCAGCGTCGAGAACCACCTCTGCGAGGAACCCAACCGTCTCGACCTGTTTCAAATGTCGTTCCCAGCCGGCTCTTTTCTGTGCAGCAGTTCCTTGACATGTCGCCACGCATTGACAGGCCTCTCATGAGCTCTCCATCACCAACTCACCTTCAGCAATCTACGCCATCGCCTAGGCATCGGAAAAGTTCCACAAGCTTTATTGATTCTTCTGATGATGAGGAATCCAGTCCTTCTGACTGGATCTCACGTGGCAATCCCTATAGACCAGCCACCCAATCAGCACCAGAAGGGAACATCGATCGGACAAGACCAACAACTCCAGCAAAGGCTAAACCGGTCCAGAAAGCTGATGTGACCAAGGACCTACCATCTATTCCCTCGGCGGAAAGTACCCTGGATGAAGAGCGTCGTCAGTCACGCGGGTCTTCTCACAACTCACCCGAGAGAAGGCATGCTAGACAGGGCTCGGCGGATCTCGAAGAGAACAACATAGGATTACCTCTCCAGAGGTACTCACCACTTCGCCAAAGTCCTAGCCTACAATTTGTGTACTCCAGTCACGTCTCGATTGAACCCAACACAGGAGACGATGATGAACTCGAATCCTCGCCGGGTGTCAAGTCACCCGAGTCGCCTGATAAACTCCACAAGTCTCCATCGATGACTGATGGAGTAGACACTGATTCGAACGGATCTGGGTCAAGGGAAACTGTTCAAGCCCGTCGTCGTTACTATCGTTCAATGGGCCATGAGATTCCGAGCACCAGCACCTGGCTTCAGCTAGCACCAAGGAACTCTTCATCAGGTCGATCATCGCTAGAAGACTTGTCAAGGATCTCCCCCACAACTTCAGATGCAAGCGTCGCCACGAAATCTCGTCGCCCTGGGATATCATCTTCTAGCTCATACTCTGAAAGGAACCCACGGACCCCAACTTCGCCCGTCTCGCCGATTCGCTCTGAATCTGCCCCGCCGAGATTGAGCGAAGACCAGGGAAGAAACATTCTCACTGACATGCACCGATTGTCCAACCGACCTGTGAACCCAATGCCCAATTTTGGTATCCCTTCGGTCGCGCGGTCGCCCAAGATATCTCCTCCCTGCAGCCCTATCAAGCCGCACCCTCCACTTAGCCCATCGAAACTCAAGCAAGCGAGGTCCTCGAGATTCAAGCAGCACACACCATCACCCCCGCTGCCATGCATCACCGAAGCCATTTCCGAGACCGCCCCAGCGGACCCAGACACCTACAAATTACCAGAGCCGAGTCCATTGAGCTCCATCGGCTCGAGCAAGGAGAATTTGTCCGACAGTTCAAACGACTTGGAAAAGGGTGAGCATGAAGTGCCGGTTGCAGTAGAGCTCGATGCAACCGAAACCGAGATTCGTTCGCCAAAGCAATCCGACACTGACACTGTGTCGATTCTCCCCCAAACGGGACTGGATGCCTGTTCCCCAACCAGTCCAAGCGAAGTGTCTCCCATCGCAGGCCGCATCCACCCGGCTTTTTTGCACATTGATGAGTCCTCAGGCTCCGATTCGTCTGATCAAGAAGAAGACGAGATTGCGTGTCCACCCGACATCCGGCGATATAGGTATTTCCAAATGCCTACTGTCGGCACCATGATGGACCTAGATGAGGAGCCTACGACAAGGCCATCGTCATCGTCATCGTCAACAGAAGCAGCAACACCACCATCCGTGCCATTTCGTCGACCAGTAGCGTCGTCCTTGGCAAGATACAAACCAGAGACGCGACGGGCGAATGACAACGACGACAGAATGCAGTCGTTGATGAGTTCTCTACACTCAGGTCCACAGATCACTCCAAGCCAAGTCGTTCGCAGAAAGACTGCAGTGGAGAGATTGGAGGAGATGATCCGACAGACAGAGGCCGAGGCCGCAGAGAGGAAAAGGAAGAAGGGCGTTATGGGTTTGGTGAGGCTGCTTGCCCGGTAATTGGATACCCAACTGGGTCACTCCGGAAGGATTCTCGTCATGGATGGATCAGTATGAGTTACGTTTACAATGTGCAGTGATTAAGCCAAACAATTGTATGGGTATATAACGGGGTTGATATCGGATCGATCCCAAGCTGGCAACAGCAAGATATTTGTAATAAAGGACTAAAAAGGACCCAAACAGTCAAAACGATCATCCAAGATTATCCATATCTATCTATTGGTGGTTTATCTTTTTCGCATTACTCCTCAATGCTATGGTGTCCCTGGCCCGACCACATGAAACTCTAGACATCTGAAAGCATTGATGCATAGTCGTCTCGCGTGCAATCGCAAAGCCACAAACAAACGTTTGACTTGAGTCGCCCTTCCTGATTCTACTACCCACACGCTCGTGTGTTTCTTTTGTGTAGTCATGCCAGATACGAGTCTATATCCCAAGCCTTGTGGTCATGTTTATTCTTTTTCACCATCACCATCACTGATCCTTCTTTCTCCCCTATGAGGATCCCAAGAATCCCTGGCTCTCCAAGAGCAGGATGATCTGGTGGACAATGTTGCGGACCGTCTGCTTCTCAGTATCGACGACCAAGTCGGCGTCCGAGGGAGCCTCGTAAGGGTCAGTCACACCAGTGAAGTTCTTGATCCCAGCCTCACGCGCATGCTGGTACACTCCACGGCGGTCGGTCTTCTCTGAGTATTCCAGACTGGTGGCCACGTGGACCAGGAAGAATGTACCGAAGCGCTCGATTGTCTTGCGGGCGTCTTTGCGCGCAGCGTCAAAAGGTGCGATGGGCGCTGCGATGACGGCTGCACCCGCCTTGGTCAGTTCGCCGGCGACGAACGCAATGCGCGCAATGTTGCGGTCGCGGTCCTCTCGGGTAAATCCGAGCTCTGACGACAATTCTGACCGGACAGTCTCGCCTAGCAGGAGCGACACTGGTCGGCCGCCCTGTTCGTTGAACGTCGTCTGCAGAGCACGGGCAATGGCGTCTTTGCCGGAATTGAGATATCCGGTGAGGAAGATGGTGAAGCCTTGGGTGGCACGAGGCGGGTTGGACTCTCGTAGGACTTGGACAACTTCGGGGTATGAGAACCATTCAGGGATGGGGGCGCCGACTCGTAACCGTCTGCGGAGCTCAGTGCCGGAGATATCGAGGGTCTTGATGCCTTCGGGGACTTGATCCTTGGGTCGGTATTCATCGGTCTCGGGCAGGTAGGTCATCTGTTGGAACTCGACCACTTCGATGCCCAGCTCATCCTTGTATTTCTCCACGGCGTGCTGGGCGTCATATGGGCCATAGAAATCGACGCCTTTGCTGTTCTTGCCTGGGCCAGCATGGTCGCGGCCGATGATGAAGTGGGTAGCTCCGTGGTTCTTGCGGATGATGGAGTGCCAAATGGCTTCGCGCGGTCCTCCCATGCGCATGGCAAGGCCTAGGAGACCGAGGACTGCCATACCGTTGGGGTATTTTGGCAAAATCTGCTGGTACACGCGCACTCGGGTGAAGTGGTCAATGTCACCAGGCTTGGTCAAACCAACGACAGGGTGGATAAGGACATTAGCCTGACGAGCTCGAGCAGCCCGAACGGTCAACTCTCGGTGGGCTCGGTGCATGGGATTACGGGTCTGGAAGGCGACCACGCGGGACCAGCCAAGCTTCTCGAAGTGAGTGCGTAGTTCGGCAGGAGTGTATCTTAAGGCTGTGTAGTCATAATGATTCAGTCGGTTAACGGCTTCAAGCTTGCCACCGACGTAGAATTCCTTGACGGTGTCGTAGAGATATCTGATGGCAGGGTGTTCTGGGTCTCCTCCGAAGACCTCCTTGGCCTCCTTATCTTTGTTGGGCTTGTAGACATCTTCAATAGTAAGAATGGCAAGGTTTCGGTCGTCTCTGAAGTCCCGCAGGGTGACGCGGGCACCAGGTTTTAGACCGGATTTCTCGACAGTCTGGGCGTCGGCGTCAAGAGTGATAGGGATGCTGAAGACATTGCCATCAGCGAGTCTAGTATTCTCCACCACACCGTTGTAGTCTTTTTCACTCATGAAGCCTTCGAGAGGAGAGAAGCCGCCATTGAGAATGAGTTCGAGATCACACAGCTGTCGCTCGGTGAGGACGATGGCAGGGAGAGTTTCCGCTTCAGCGGCAAGCTCCTTGTGACGAGGAGCATCTCGAGCAATGAGGTCCTTCAACACTCCACCATGAGGTGTGTTGGCCATGGCTGCGGAAGGAGATGGTCAAGGGAAAAATCTCGAGACGTAATGGTGAGGGGAAACTTGGTGGGAAAAGATCGAGATGCGGAGAAGCCGCTGGCAATGTAGAAACCAAATATATGTTGGCAGGAGGGGCACACGCAAAGTTAGCGGACAAGGAGTTGATATATGGGAACAACAAGATTGATTGAGAAGATCTCTCAGCAACCTGGACTTTCAACTTTTGAATCAACTTTTTCGGAATACGGAGTATAGGTAGTGAAAAGTGAGAGAGGGTATGACGGGCATGGGCCAATGAACGGAGGAGGAGTGCTATGTCGCCATCCGCGCTGTGGGCGTGGCACAGGATAAATTTTCGGGCCAGGGGATTTTCCAGCAAAGAGAGTTGGGTCGAGAGCACAAGCATCACCACTCACCAGTGCTTACAGACCTTGGGTACCCACATTTTGAGATCAGACCCTCGGGCCAAAGAAGCGGCTGGCCAAGTTCCCATGTTGAGATCTCTAGTAAAGTCGCCCAGGGGTTTGGGCATATGAGCTGTAGTGTGAGGCAAGATTAGTAAAATGTAGTGTTCGGGGAATAACCTGCTGAGTAATTCAAAAGAGAATTTAGGAAACATGGAGGGACATGATACATGATCAGGGCAATATGTACTGTCGAGAAGTTGGGCGAAAGGCGAGAGACGAGAGAGGCGAGAGTCATGGGTGTCCCTCTCACCCGCCCAGGAAGTCGCACCCCTGCATCAGCCAACTTCCTTCCTTGCAGATCTACTCGACTGGTGCCTGACGACACACGACGACAACTGACAATCGACAACCACACAAAACCACAAAACCACAAAAACCACAAAAACCTTGACAGAAAACACCAGGTCCTGCTTATCATGATTTCAATTCTTGTCAACATCTTTTCCTGGTCTATCTTCCTTCTCTAGCTTTAGATCAGCTCTCATCCAGACAACTCCCTCGGCGTGTTACGGTCACAGCAAGCCACATTGTAATTCCAGAAGCATGAGTGAATATTCATTAGATCATGATTTTCTATGCAGTGCATCCTTTTGGTGCAGGAGCTAGTATGTAGTTTCCCAAACGCCATCGCTATGCCTAAGAAGCTGAATGTACACTGTGGGATCTATGCCTCGACGCTGACCCTCTGCAGAGCCTGCTCGAGTGCTTCTCGTTCTCGCTTCTTCTCCTGTTCCATCAAGTATTGCGCATACTTGGAGCGGGGATTGTGAATCCCGCACTCTGTTTTGGCCTGACCCTTCCACCGTCCGGCCCGCTCGTCCTCACCTTCCTTCACAGGCTGAGTCGAGTGCCAATCACCAACGCTCTTGTAACCTCGGTCGAGGAGAACGTTGTAAGGCACGTCATTGTCCTTGACGTACTGCTGCACTTCCTTGAATGACCAATTGGCCAGGGGGTTGATCTTGATAAGCCCAGCCTCATCCACCTCGATAATGTCCAGATCCCCACGTTGACCGCCTTGACTTCGTCGTCGACCAGTCAAGACGGCGTAGGCTTGCAACTCACGATAGGCCCTTTGAGTGGGCTCCACCTTGGCAAGATAATCATATCGTTCGTCATCCTTTTCCCACAGTTTGTCACCATACTTGGCCGCAAATTCGTCGGCATTTTCCACTCCTTCAGGCTTGTATACGTGAAGGTTGACGAGAGGATACTTGGCTCGCACGTTGTCCACAAGGTCCAACGTCTCTTGGAAGTGATGCAGTGTGTCAATGAAAATCATATCGACCATTTGTGGTCGAGGGATTTTAAGCTTGGACAACATGTCGAGCGTAACCAGGCCAGTCAGGCCAAACGCTGTGGTCTGGTAGAGTTGGGGAAGAGAGGTGATGCACCATCTGAGGATTTCTTGAGGCTCGAGGAATTGAAGTTGTCGGTTGAGGAATTTCAAGTGTGGTTTGGTGAAATACACCTCGGGCAAGCCAATTTCACTGTTTGAACCGCTGGCATACCCTGAGTCCGTGGCCTTCCAGCTCGGGCTGCGTGAACCACTCGTAGGCGACGACATTGTGCAGAGATCTTAGGCTAAGCGAAATCGTGGGGTAGAGGTGTAGTGTGAGAGGATATATAAGGAACAGGGGAGGGAAAGGGTTGAAGACTGAAGGGCAAGCTGGACAGACACGACAGACAACACGAAGGGCGAAGGGGCGAGAAACACGCAAACCCACCTTTACAAATCCAACACTGGAGTAATCTTGTCATTGTCGAGCACGCAATCGCTTGGTGGAGCGCACTAGAATACCTCACTGTCGGCTGAGAAAGCAAAAAATGAAAAATCGCGAGAGTTGTTGGTGTCAATTCAGTCACGTGCAATCACGCAATCGATGGCGACAGCCTCCTGCAGTTTCATTGGTCGGTGGCGTAGTTGACCTTATTACGAAGCGGCAGACTCGAGCACGTGACTATGTTGGAGCATATAGCGTATATTGCATGACCAAGCCTTTAGTGTAGAGTGTAGAGACCTGGTTATAGATCGCGACGCCCTCCCCGTTGACAATGAGGAGAGACGATCAACCGTTTCACCTCTCCATCTGACACCCTAGAGACCTCATATTTGTTGTCGGATATTTCCCTGTCTATAAATATGACTGCATATACTTTACAAGTCTAGTCAATGGAATGTATGTGCGCCTATAGTGGATCGTTTATATCCGTAGATCGACCTCACACCTATAATAAACGATCCCCTAGAGTAAACCCATACCAGATGGTTGCAAGCACAGCAAATAGATTGACTAGAGATGATGCACCATGCAGCTGTCCAAACTTGCGGTTCAACTTCTGCATCTCTGGACTATGTGGTGGAGCATCATAACTCCTTTTCCCGTCCTTTGTCTCCTGGTGTTTTCGCAGACGCATCGTCTTGGTGGTCTGAGGTCCAATAACTAGAGAATTGGCCAGCCCCGCACCGAATACGATGGCTAGAGGTGTCAAGACATGCAGGCGGTTGGAGGGGTGTAGGACACCAGACAGGCTCGAGGGAGTGGTACCAATGGCCGTTCGTTCAGCAGGGAATGTCAGTGCTAACAGAACAGGTAGCACAGACTGCATGCTGAAGTATATGGGAAATAGAGCCGATTGCAGGGTTGCAAATTGTGCTCGTGGTAAGGAGCGGAATGCGACGATGCCTCCAATGAACGACTGGAATATCTCACTGCCTAGGAGTGTTCCATAGCTAGAGATACACACAGGATTGATCAGTACGTGAACAGTGTTTGGGCCCAAATCGGAGAATCACCTGATGATATGGTATGGTGCGGCAGAATAGAACAAAGAAGTGCTGGCCATATTGCAACTAGTATATACAATGCTCGAGTTGCCTGATTGAAGGGGTCCGCTTTAGAGTAACACAATGTATGTACAGTGCCAGCCGTCGGTGCAGATAATAATAAATGGTATGATAGGATACGACAAGTTGATGTCGATGACGATGACGACCGCGCCGAGGTTCCACGGTCGCTCGCAATGCAACGTCCACCGTAGGAGATACGGCCGTCCAAAAACCTAAAAGCACAGTAGGCCATCTGTCCACGTGACTACGCGACCTCACGCGTCATGCTCTCTTCACTTTACGCCCAGGGTTGCCGCCTGTGGATGTCTCTCTTCTCTAAGTAGCATGTTGCAAGGCTTCATCCTCTTGAATATCCCAGTAGCAACATTCTTCTAGTTCTGTCACTCGTCGCAGTCGAAACTAAGAAGAATGTATCTCGTTGATCGCTTACACCTCAGTTCGCCCGTCCTTCTCTGTCCCACCTTCATCGCTCGACATTAAATCCCCTCCTCCAACCTCCGTCTCCATTCTGACCAGCTGTCAACCCCATCATCATGGCCGACAAGGAAGCCACCGTCTACGTCATCGACGTCGCGCACTCCATGGGGAGACAATCACCGAACCGTACACAAAGTGATCTCGAATGGTCTCTCCAGTATGTATGGGACAAAATCACCAATACCGTCTTCACGGGCCGCAAGACCCTGCACATTGGCATTGTGGCACTTGGCACAGACGCGACCAGCCTGAGTGATGATCTCCAGAATGAGGATGCATACCAACACATCAGCGTCGTGCAACCGCTAGATCAAATCCTCATGCCACAACTGCGAAGTCTGCCACCGAAACTCCAGCCAAGCTCGACCGACGAGCGAGATGTCTTGTCCGGCATTATTGTCGGAGTGGACATGATCCTCAAACATTGTCGCAATCTCAAGTACAAGAAGAAGGTCGTGGTTGTGACCAACGGCTCCGGTCAAATTGATGACGATGATGTCGAAACCACAGCGGACCAGTTCAAGCAGCATGGTATTGAGCTCGTGGTCTTGGGTGTCGACTTTGACGATACGGAGTATGGGTTCAAGGAGGAAGATAAACCGGAACAAAAAGTATGGAATGAAGCCTTGCTGAAGCGACTGTGTGAAGCCACCGATGGCGTATATGGGACAATGCAACAGGCGATTGACGAACTGGCCATCCCAAACATTAAGCCGGTCAGGCCCACTCCGACGTTCACCGGCCAGCTGCGGTTGGGGAACCCCGAGATCTACGACTCGGCATTGTCAATAGACGTGCAACGGTATTTCAAGACTTCGATACGGAGGCCACCGACCGCCAGCGCTTTTGTGGTGAGACAAGGTGGAGGTGGCAGTGGTGGCCAAGATGAGGCTGGGACCTTGGATACTGTGCACAGCACTTACAGATACACGGTGCAGGATCCTGAGAACGAATCCGGAGTCAGGGACGTGGATAGAGAAGACTTGGCCAAGGGCTACGAATACGGCAGAACCGCGGTGGCCATTTCAGAGACTGAGCAGAACATTACGAGACTGGAAACCTCGGCGGCATATGAGATTCTAGGATTTATTCCCATCGAGAATGTCGAGAGATACATGCTTCTCGACAACTCCAATATGCTGGTGGCTCAAAAGGGAAACGACAAGGCGACCTTGGCGCTCTCATCTCTCATCCATGCTCTGCACGAGCTGGGCTCTGTTGCTGTTGCGCGCTTGGTCAAGAAGGACATGAATGAGCCCATCTTGACCATTCTTTCACCACTGGCTACCCAAGAAATCGAATGTCTCGTTGAGAACGTACTCCCGTTCGCGGAAGACGTCCGCACGTATCGTTTTCCCCCGTTGGACAAAGTCTTGACTGTCTCGGGCAAAGCCCTGACCGAACACCGCAACCTCCCCAATGATGACCTCCTCAACAGTATGAGTGAGTTCGTCGACAGCATGAATCTTATCGATGACCAGGGCGAGGAACTCATGGCTATCGAAGACACATTTTCGCCACTTCTCCACATTATAGAAGGAGCCGTCAAACACCGTGCTGTCCATCCTACGTCACCGATCCCAGAGAAACCCGAGTCGTTTCTGGCGTATTCCCGACAACCCGCGCACCTTCAAGAGGCTAGCCAATCCATCCTAGCTAGATTGATCAAGGCAGCCGACGTGAAGAAGGTGCCTCCCAAGACCAAAGGTCGTCGTCGGTACCGTGAGGCCGAGAAGCCCTTGTCAGGGCTCAACGTGGAGGAGCTGTTTGAGAAGGAGGATCGCACCTCGATCTCGGCCACCAACGCCATCCCAGAATTCAAGCAGCTTGTGGGCACCACGACAAAACTGGAGGACTTCCAAAAGTATGTGCAGCAGATGTTGGCCATTATTCAAGATTGGACTCGGGACAGTTTGGGGGATCAGAACTATGGTCGTGTCCTGGAGGCCTTGGGTGTGATGCGAGAAGAGATGATCGGTTACGAGGAGCCCAAGGTGTATAATGATGCCATTGCTAAACTCAAGCACAAACTGTCGGCCAAGGATCTGGGGGGCGACCGGCGCGAATTGTGGTGGAAAATTCGAGTGTCGAAACTGGGTGTAATCAGTCAAGATGTTTCGGAGAGCTCCGATCTGACTCGTGAGGAGGCAGACAAGTTTATGGCCGCGAAGCTGTGATGAATTGCTTTCAGCCCATCACCTCGAAGCAGTTCTTGTTTTCATGTGGTCGATACCCCCAAAAGTTTAATGAGAAAATGTAACAAAAATGAGAGATGAATGATGTTTAGGAGATTTTGCCGATTCTGCGTTTGGCAATATTGATCTTGCCTTGGACACGATCGACATCCTCATCGACCATTTTGAGCATCTCGTTCTGTACTTCGAGTTCCTGATTGATGGCAATGCCTAATTCCTTTTGTCTCATGACGATTTTGCGCAACTCTTCGACATCTAGGTCTTGATCGGCCATCTTTTGTTTCTGAAGTTGCAGCACGCCCGCATTGTCGAGCTCTCGTGTTTCGGCCGTCTCCTTGCCCAAGACACGGCCTCCAGATCTGGGCTTGGTGCCGACCAGAGCCTCCTTGTCCTGGATGGAAGCTACGGTGGAGTCGAGCTTGGATTTGGTGATCATGGCGTTCAGGAGATTCTCCAAGCCTTCTTTGTCCTTGCGCGCCGACGCCAAAAGGTCCTTTCTCCGTCTGATTTCTCCTTCGCCGAGCTTTTGACCTCCCCAGCCACCTTGGCTGTCTTTTTGGATGTTAGTGAGCCCCTCCTCGAGAGCAGTAATGAGTGTGCCGGACTTGACGAGGCTACTCTTCGCCGCAACGCTGGCTTCGTGTTGTTTCTGCGGGGTCGAGGCCTGGTCCCGATTTGTCAGGCTCAGACGAGCATCTTGCAGTTGGGTTTTGAGGTCACGGTGACAGTCGAGCCAAATGACGGGGTCAGTGATGGGAGCCCCACCAGCTCCGGGGCCTGACAGAACTGAATGCAAGGCACCAGCTGTGGAAGAGGTCTGATTGGCAAAGGAGGACGGGAGATTGAGGAACGTCCGCCAGACGGAGGTAGTCCTCCACCGAGCATCGTCAATCGAGTTTATGGTCTGTAGATAAGCCTCCAAGGCCTCGCGTCTTTCTTCTGTGAGTTTGGCATCACTAACTGTCTTGGAGAACCATGATTTGGCAGGTAGTGTGGCGGGAGGAGGGCTGCCAACTTGGTCCGTTAATCCCGAGTGGAGGGTGAGGAAGTCTGAGTATCGTTTCTGGACAGTGAAGGAGCGGAGTGGAAGTCGGAGCGAGATATTGTAAATTGTGTAAGGCTTGGACCCCGTTGAGATGGTGGCATTTGGTACGGAGATTTCCACCGGTGGCGCCATGATGTGAGTGGGGATGATTGGAAATGGGGGTTACGATGTCATGATAGACAAGCTAAATCCACAGGAATAAGAGGTCCAAGAGACACAGTGAGTAGCGGGATAGGCACAGGATTTAACATGAAAAAGAGTTGCGGGATAGGCACAGGTTTTAGAACATGAACAAGAATTGAAGATAGGCGATGGTCGGTTGTTGTCGGTGGTTTGGCGTGGCTTCCGTCATTGCACAGCCATGGCTTGTGACGCCTCCAGGAATGAGCCATCACGTGATGAGGGTCATCCAGGGCTATAGCAGCGAGTCTTCATCGAATGCGCCAAGATCAGATGCCCACGAATGCCTCCGTATTTGGCCAACTAACAAGCGAATGCTCTTTCCTGTTTGTAGTATCACATCGGCGAAAGGCTGACGCGTACCAAGTGCAAAAGCAAGTACGAGTTCGAAGTGTCAGGGCAGGTGCAGGGCCAGCCACAACGGTTTCGTCATTGTTTGCGTTTGACCGTTTAATTTGCCCTTTTCACACGCATATTTCACGCCACCCACCGTGACATCCCACTTGAAACATCCGTCAGACACAATCATTTCTGATTTCACCCTGATCCAGGCGTTCCAGGTTCTCGTGCTTCCTCATTCGTGCATATACAACACAGCTTGCCAGGTTTCTGCCTGGACCCAACCAAAGCTTTTCATATCTTCGTTAACCGATTCCCGGAATGCCCAGATACGTTCGGTGGGCTTGGGAACATATATCTCTTCGGCTATCATGAAAACTCATGGGATGAGATGAGTCTCAAGTTGTTGTATCACCGCTGCCAGAATGGTGGACAAGCCCCCACTTCCACCCAGAAACATTTCTGCCACCCCAAGTCTAGGAAGAGGTGATGCTTCGTTTGTGGATTCTACTCAATATGAATACTCATCGCCCTCGCCCTCGCCATCCCCCAGTCTTCACCCTGCTGATGCTTATCGAATTTATCCCGGTGGCCTCCATGACCCTCGAACGTCTTCCACTCAGTCACTTCGACCAATAGAGTCGGCGGGAAGAAATCGACGGACCTTGCTTATCATCTACATTCATGGCTTCATGGGAGATGAAACCAGCTTCAAGAGCTTCCCTGCCCATGTTCACAGTCTATTGACCAATGCCTTGGTCGAGACCCATGTCGTCTACACCAAGATCTATCCTCGATACAAGTCCCGGAAGAACATTTCTTTTGCGAGGGATGACTTCAGCAACTGGTAAAGCCATTTCTTTCGTTTCGGGTTTCTGTGGCTGACTATAGTCAGGATTACACCTCACGAGCAGGACTCCACGGACGTAATCTTGGTGGGACATAGCCTTGGGGGGATTCTCGCTGCCGAGGTTGCTTTGTTACCATCACACAACCCTCGAAGCAATGAAATCTCCCAGCATCGAATCCTTGGTGTGCTCTGCTTTGATGTTCCGTTCCTGGGAATGCACCCTGGGGTGGTAGGGACGTATGTAGTCATCTCTGCTGGCGTCTTGCAGTCTTACATATTAACCGCGAATTAGGGGTATCGCCAGTCTTTTCCGCTCAGCACCAGAGGCCCCTGAAAGACCTCTAGAAAACTCCAACGAATCACACCCCTTATCCGACCCCTCCTGGGGTTCTTCGGATCCGACTTATAACCCAGCATACCCCAACGACAATCGCCTTGCTACTCGAAATGGCAAGCTGTCGAGGGCATGGTATTTCTGGAACAAACATGCCGGAGAAGTCTTCAATGCAGCTGGGAAATATGTATCGTCTCACGTTGAGTTTGGAGGCTGTCTGGCCGATTATCCAGGCTTACGGAGACGATACAATGCAATACGAGCATTAGAAGACGTGGATGAGTTCCAACAGCCTCGGGACCCCAATGGCCGGTTGATGAAACAAGTCCGATTTGTAAATTATTATTCAGCCAGTACCGGAAGGATCAAAGAGACCCATGAATCATCTCCTCGAGATCTGCTTGAGCCACCAGCAACAGAGATGCAGGCCTTGAAGCCCCCAAATGCGAACCCTCCCGCGCTGTCGGGACCTTCCAGTCCTCGTCTATCCCTCGAAGAACATCGAGATGGAGAAATAATCACGAAGAGCATGTCTCAGCTGAACATCGATCCAGATCCCGGACCAGCCCCACCTAGTTACGACTCTATTCATGGTCGGAACCTGGAAAGATCAGCCACTGCTGAGTCCAACTTTAGCCCGACTGGATCAATTTTGAGCCCATCATCCACCATTGATCCCGGGTCTTCGACTTCAAGAACCACCAGCGACATCACAAATCTTCCCCCCATTCCCGACTTGCCTCCTCAGCCGCCCCCGTTTGACCCTTCACCGTATCAAGACGACGCGACCTTACGAATCTATTGTGAACAGCATGAACGACAAACGAGAGCGTACGAAAGAGCAGTTAAGGACCGTGAGAAATCCATCAAAGCACAGGAGAAATTACTGGCCAAGAAAAGACGGGAAGTGGCCAAACAAGAAGCCAGAGCAGCGAAATTAGCGCGGCAGCAAGAACAGAAGCTACAAAAGGAACAAGTCAAACGATCGGCGACCCTGAACCCGGAAGACTACGATAACCACCTGCGTCGTGAGTCAGAGCAAGCAGGACAATCGTCGAGACAAGCACAACAGCAAGCACCACGGAAACAAAAGGATCGCAAGTTCTGCAGCCTCCCCGGCAAAGATACACAGACTGGACAAAGAGATCCAACATGGATCCGAGTCTACATGGAGGGCATGGACGAGGTGGTGGCACACACGTCCATGTTCCAAATGAGTGAAACCTATGTTAAGATGGTGGGAGATACGGCCGAGAGAATTGAGAGGTGGGTTGCTGAAGACGCGACCAAAAGAATGCTGTTGGTTGAGATGAAGGCAGAGGGTGTTTTGGGGTAAATGTCTACGGGAGCTTCTTCAACAGCTGATTGAGTAGATAAGCGAGCGCTGAAATTCCATTTTATCGATACCCAGTACGGGTGTAGATAGATCCCTTACCCATAAGCGCCATCAAGAGAGTCATCTAACCAGGCACGCCAGGCAAGCAAGGCTGAAGGCACGTGCGATGCTTAGATCACGTGAACCGAGACCCAAATCCCGCAGTCAGTCCACATCCCACCATCCCACCAACTCACCATCCAATCCACGTCCAGGCACAAGCCAGCGTAGGCTCATGACTGATGACTGCTCACTGCTCATGCTCGATTCCCCGCATTCAATTCCCTACAGAATAATTTTAGGTCCGATAGAAATTCCCTCGTGACTCAATCAGAGTCATTCTTCTGAAAACTCATTGCTTCAAAGTTCACCTACACTACCTTACACACCCAATTCCCTTGACTTACTCGCTACCATCATGTCTGGGGAAGGATCAGCACCACTGCCGGTCCGCGAAAAGGAGACGGCCGAAGCGCCTGCGGAGGCAGGTCCATCGAAAAATGCCCTGAAAAAAGCACAGAAAGAGGCTGAGAAGGCGGCCAAAAAAGCAGCAGCCAAAAAGGCAGATGAAGAAAAGAGAGCGGCTCAGCAGTCACAGGCTGCAGAGGACACTGCCAAAGATCTCTATGGACCTCTGCCCGAGGACGACATCCGTGAGATTCATCTCAAGAAACTCGGCGAGGAGCACATTGACAAGGAGGTCACCATTATTACTCGCATCCACAACAGTCGAAGCCAAAGCGCTAAGCTGGCTTTTCTCATGTTGAGGCAGCAGGGCAGAACTATTCAAGCCGTCGTGGCCGCAGGAGATGTCATTTCCCGACAGATGGTCAAATATGCCACAAGCATCAACGTCAACTCTTTCGTCCGCGTTTCTGGAATTGTAAAGTCTCCCAATCCTCCCGTCGCTTCAGCCTCAATCAGCAACCTCGAGCTCCATGTCACCAGAATTTACCTCATCTCCAAAGCCATTGAACAGCTACCTATGCAAGTCAAAGACGCGGAACGACCCCCTCCAGCCTCTGCTGAAGAAGGTGCTGTTGATGCTGAAGGTGCTCCCATCGTCACCCTCAAGACTCGCTTGGACAATCGGGTCATTGACCTCCAGACGGAATGCAACCAGGCCATCTTGACAATCTCTGGTGCGGTGCAGGCGCTGTTTATCGAGTACATGTACAAGAGCGGAGCCACACCACTCAACACGCCCAAGCTCCTGGGAACGGCAACGGAAGGCGGAAGCGGTGTCTTTGAAGTCAACAATTACTTTGGAAAGAGTGCCTTTCTTGCCCAGAGTCCACAGCTGTACAAGCAAATGCTGATTGCTGGTGATTGTGAGAGCGTGTTTGAGGTTGGCCCAGTCTTCCGAGCGGAGAACAGCAACACCCATCGACACATGACAGAGGTGAGTCTCTTCGATGTGTTTCCATCCCGTCGTCTTCTCCAACTAACTGTTGATAGTTCACCGGTCTTGATTTCGAACAAGTCTTTTCCAAACATTACCACGAGGTCTTGACCTTTGCCGAGAACTTGATCGTTTTCATTGTCACGGAACTTCAATCACGACACAAGGAAGAGATTGATGTGGTCAAGAAATTCTTCCCACGAGCCGGTGATTTTCGAATCAAGGACGGAAAGGCTCTTCGACTGCGATATCTCGAGGGTATTCAGATTTTGAAAGACGCAGGAGTCGACACGACTGAACAAGACAACTTTGTTACCGATCTCACCACTGCCCAGGAGAAGAAGTTGGGCCAACTGATCCGTGCCAAGTATGACACTGACTTTTATGTTCTCGATGAGTTTCCGTACTCGGTGCGACCCTTTTACACCAAACGACACCCGACCAACCCCGACCTGTCTTATTCGTACGATTTCTTCATGAGAGGAGAAGAAATCATGTCCGGTGCTCAACGAGTCAACGATGCCGACGAACTCGAAGCAGCCATGCGTGAAAAGGGTGTCGACCCCAACTCGGATGGATTTGCCGACTATGTCAATGCTTTCAGACAAGGATGCCGACCTCATGCCGGTGGTGGATTGGGATTGAATCGGATTGTTCAATTCTTCCTGGGACTTGACAATGTCCGACAAGCTACGCCATTCCCTCGTGATCCCCAGAGATTGCGGCCATAATTTGGGCAGCCAAAGGATGATGATGTGGTTACGGTAGAAGACACATGATTACGATGATGTGAGCGAGTGAGTTAGGAGAAGGTAGACGATAATCAATACAAGACCAAGTAGTTAGACCAGAGAAAGATGCAAATTCATCAAACCCACGTCTGTTCTGTATACATCCCGCGTGTATTGAAATGGATGCATGGTTAGCACCGTATACAGTACTATTGTACAGTAGCAGGAGAAGAGAGTAGAGGAGAGGAGAGGAGTTTGTCTTTCTCTTGCACCCCCGCACAAGCACCGACCTTGGGTTTCTGAGATTCCACAAAAGTCCTTTGGGCTCAGTTGATTGTTGAGAGGTGCATTAGCCGACAAGCCGGCGGAAGAGGGGGGCCGAGGAATGATTGTCATGTAGAAGAATGGATTTGTTTATAAGCTCAAAGTCCTGAGAGGATTGTACATGAAAATAACTCCAATTCTACAAGTCAACGGAGTGTTTAAATGTTGGAAATCCATTCTTTGTTTCGCGTGGACCCTGTACAATAGTACAATACCATCACATTGACCATCCAATATAGCTTCTTGATATTTGATATTTGATATTCGATATTCCAGCTCGCAGCTAGGACCAAAGCGATTGATTATCATCTTCATCATCTTTTCTTTTTAACCATATACTATCAATCCCCAAACAACAACATCATGTCTACAAAGAATCAATACACACCATCCTCCTCCACCTCTGGGGGAAACCCTGTGGATTCAAGAATCCTGTCATTCTTCACAACCTTCTACGCCGCATCCGACAACCCCAAATCCATTGAAGAATGGACGAATGAATATTTCAAGGATGACGCGCAATTGACCATGGGCACGAAAAAGGCACAAGGAAGCGACGAAATCCTCGCACTTCGCAAGGCCAACTGGGCGGGTCCCGTCAAGACTCGAAACCATATTATCCATCAGATCTATCCTTTTGGAACCGGTCCCAAAGATGGTTTGGACGTTTTTCTCAACGGTATTGTCGAATATGGATTACATAATGGCAAGACTGTCACTCTTGAGTGGTCTGCAAAGGCAGTCTTTGTTGAGGATTCAACGGCTGCTCATGGTATCAAGTTCAGTTTCTACCATGTTTATCTGGTTAGTCTTCCGTTCTACTATTGTCTTCTCTCTTGAGTCTATTGGGACTGTTGTTAGTACAAATTGCTTACCATCTTCTGCAATAACAGGATTCTGCTCCATTGACTGCTGCAGCTCAGGGATAAACTTGAAAATAAAAGCATTCTGTTCAGGAGTGACCGAGCATGCGGTTGTTCATACTCCAGTTGGTCAAATATGTGTTAGCCGTGAGGGAGAATCAGAATAGCAAAATGAAAGAATGACCTCCTGAGTCCAAATTCACACACGGGACTGGTCATAGACCAGTATCAACGATCGTGTGACAAAACAATTTTCTGCCTCTGTCTGTCTGTCCGCTAGTCAAAAATTGGACTCTCCTCTAATGTACAGCAATTATTCAATCCGAATTCGATTTGAATTCGACGACGAATTCTTCCGTCCGTCTTTGCAGTACAAACTGGCATTTGGGGTATCATTGATGAGTACTCATGACAAAAACAAGAAAGAATAACAAGAAAGGAAAGAAAGAGGGAAAAAAAATCAATGCCTTCCCTCCAAATCACGCTCTCAGCTCTCAAATTCTGAAGACCATCGCCAGGCTATTGGTAGCGGTAATCATTCCACCGATCTTTGGTGTGGTCCCAACATGGCTTTCTGGCACTCCATGTGGCTTGCCTTCATCCTGCCATTTCATAGTATCTGCCCGACTGACCCACCCGATGCAAAGAACCATCCTGCGCCGGTCTAGCAGGTGGAGGCGAAACAGGAAACGGACTTCCATCCCCTTCGACATCGTCAGAACTTCCAGGTACCGAACATGCCTGATATGAAGCCGTGGTTGAGCTTTGAGGTCTGTAGGGCTTGTACGAAGTCATGTTGGACATGGCGAAGCTCTCGTTGGCTGGCAATTCTGGTTTGTGGCCGGACCATGCCGGACTTCTCATTTCGTCATCGTCATGTAGGGTAGTTGTGGTGGTCGTGGCTGTGGTTACAGGATGTGGGCGTATGACAGAAAATGAACTTGGTCCATTGCTCTTGGAGACTTCTGGTGAGGGCGACTTGAATCCATCTTGATCATGTCCCTCATCTCGATTCCGCAATCTGTATCGGTAAAAGAGCCATCCGACAAGGAGACAGATGATGAGAAATCCAGCTCCCGCTCCAGCGGCAATTCCACCTATTGAACTCTTTGACAAACCTCCTTCTGAGGCGAGTGTCGCTTGCGCCGACGAGTCTGTGGTCTGGGATGCAGGGATGGAGGTGTCGGAAGCTTCTGTCGCTGAAGTTGCCGTCGAGGCAGATGATGTGGTAGATTCGCCCGAAAGGTCCGTCCACACCGTAGTTCTCGTCACAAACTTCCATGTGCCATCAGACGCTTGGGCGATGGTGTAAGTCTTGGTTTCGGTCTTGGTTGACACAGAGCCTTTTGTCGACATGGATGATTCTGCTTCTCGAGACATGGATATAGCAATGCCAAGCTGTTCCTCATATTCGTCCATATCAACCCAGTAAACACTCATTCCAGTTGATCGAGGAAGTATCATGATATTGTCGAGAACCGAGCCCGCGTGGAAGGCAATGTGCGACTCGGTATCTTCCCTGGGGCACCAGCAGGGTTTTGGGGTAGTGATGGCATCAGGTCCGTTGATACACCAAGACCATGCATTGGACGAACCTAAAGCGAAGATGATCAGCAGACTGTAGATTTTGGTGTCAAGATTGTCTTCTTACCATTGCAATACACCAGGCCCACCCAACTTTCATCTACCAATTAAGATCAGTAAAGGTGAATGGCGGGAGAGAGAGAGAGAGATGATGCATCATCTGAATTTCATACCTTCGTAGTCCTCCGGTTTGTCAGGACATCTATCATCTTCATAATCAATGTCTGTACAGCCTGCGATGTAGGTGACACCGTATTCGCCGTTGTAGCAAGCGTTGGAAGAGAGGCACACGTCAAACGCTTGACAGCAGGATTTGTGACCTAGGGCCGCGTTGCCGCAGGGAATGAATCCATCACTTGCTCGATCCTCGACGTCTCTGAAGCACAAGCCAGAAGAGATGTCTTGGTTGAGATTGGATGGCATGATTGTGCTTGCCGGTGAAGGTGGTGAAGGTGGTTGACTTTCGGGGGGGCCCAAGCGAGATAGACAGACCCCCAGAGGGTGGTCTTGGATCTTAGGAAGGGGAATTCTGCTCTCACAAGCCAGACGCGGGCTGTGCAGAGAAAATGAGAGACGACCTCAAGAAGATGAAAAGAGGGGGAAAATTATAAACTGTTGGCTGAGTGGCTGGATTGATGATGTGATAGTGCGCAGTTGAGAGCTGAGAGTGAAATGATTGATGGAATGAAAGTGAAAGGTAGAAAAATCATGAGACGACGCAATTCATTCACTCACTCCCTGATTCGCACTCCCACATGTGGTTCTGGTCGATTCTCTTTTGCTCTTCCCTTCCCTTCCCTAGCCTGCCTTAGCCTGCTCTACTGTCTGGGTGTGTTTGTGCTTGTACAAGGAGGGAGACTGCAACCTCACCAGTGTAACATATCTCTACCTAACCAAGCTCCGTCCCTCATTCTGCATCTAGTTCTGTGGCTGATCAGGTCATTTCGACGAGGTTTGGTGGATAAGGCAAGGTCCATTGTGATCTTGTCTGGAGATCTACCCAGGCGGTGGGTGGTCAAGTGGTTATCCAGGCCATCCCATTCATCTCGTCGGACTTGATCTTGGTATTGTATGTCTTTGGTCAATCGGCCCATACCTTGCGTGAATTTAGCAAATCCCTTTGACCATAAACTTCTCCAACAACCGTCATGACCATGTCAAGAGTTGTCGAGATCAATCCGTCACAAGCCTCGTCATCGTCATCGCCATCGCCAATCTGCTCTTTGACTGTTGGATCCTTCAGCTCGTCTGTTTCGATATCCTGACCCGCATCATCGTCCTCCACCTCACCATCCTCTGATCCAATATCCTTTGATACCTCTTCAATTTGGTCGGGCTGACGCTGGGACATCTGAATAGCCCTCTGTGCAAGTTGTCGAATTTCTCCGATCTCATCACTTGACAGCTCTTCACGATCACGGCTCTTGGCTAGAACCGCCCACAGCCACGAACCTGCTCTCTTGATCGTCTCGACATTCTTAGGCCGAAAGAGCAACGGCAACTTTTTGCGTATCAATTTGACCAATTCCATCACGGACTGAGCATCCATACATGCAATCTGTGTAGGGCTGGGATCCGCATTCATGATGTGTTCCTCCCATTGTAATCTGGCCTTTCGAGATTCTTCAGGAAACGATATCAATTGAGATGATCGCAGCGACTCAATGGCTGAGAGTGGAGGCGTACATCTGACCGTGGCTCGTGCCAGTCTGAAGTGTCGCAAGAGAGAATCATGATAGTGTCGTTGAGCAGGTGGCAATGTCTCTACGGGATCTTTGCTTGCGAAAGCCTTAGCTGTGTATGTGCCGTCTTCGAAATAGCCTCCCTCATCTTCATGCTCAGTTCTGGCATTTTCAATCGCGTTGGGATGGGACGTAGTTGAAGGCGCTGTCAATATGAAAGGAACTCCTCGTGCCTCGGAACTGTCAATTCGATATTAGCTTGGATGAAGCGCACTAACAAGTCTGGGGAGGCAGGTCTCAGCATCAAGTTGCCCAGGTCGGTTGAGGAATGACTTACCGGACCATTCGCAGATAGTCGAGTCCATCGGCTGCGGGGCCATAGAACAGTTGACCGTCATCGTCTCCTAGTCCAGGAAACGCACCGGTCTGTCCGGTCTGTTGATCGATCCGTGGAGTTTCGTCCACTTCACCCTCATCTGAACTAGTCCATTGCTCTTCATCGAGCCCGGTGTTGAGTCTCTTTGGCGATGGGAAGTCATCTGCTTCGGGCGAGGAGGTGTTGCGTCGCTTGCGAGACATTGTTGTGCCGAGTCATGGTTTTTGGTGGTTACTCACTCACGTCAGGAAATCAGGAAAGGCGCAGGCTCATGACGGGAGGATGCATGGTGCATGGATTGAGGTGCGAAGTAATTTATTTGTTCGTAAATCAATGAATGTTGTCACCGCACCCGCACGTGATGGGGATTCACACAATTCTAATGACGCAGTTTTGGATGTCTGACGGGGATTTATCAGTCATTCGAATCTCATAATCAAAAATCAAAAATCAAAAATCAAAAATCAACAACCAAAAATCAAATGGTTGGTTGTCTAACAACTCTCATGTACCTGCATTTGCTTACACACACTGGTATATCACGTTACAAGTCGTCAAACCCATCAATAGACCAACTAACTCCCTTGCAAGCGCTGAAAACCACAAGATCTATCTCGACTGGTCATGAGCCACCGCTAGCGGCACCCATAATGATGGCCATCTGAGTCGCTCTCCTTCTATCAATCTCCTTCTTCAACATCATCAGGCAGGTCGCCACGATTAGCGACTCGTCCAAAATGCTGGTGGCATCTTGATCAAAGATCAATTGTCCACCGTTGCCAGCAGTGCAACGTGAAGTGCCAGGGGTTCTGGAATCTTGACCCCGAACCAACTGAGCGAGTATTTTCCCCTCTGGCTCCTCAGACCCCGAACTCTCTCGAAGCGCAATCAGATTCACTCTCTTGCCATTTGCGTCTTTTGCCTTTGCATAACTCCAGTTGAAGGTTCGACCGTCAGGGGTGGAAAATGATGTGGCTCGACTGGTCCATCGGCCCTTGACTTTGACCTCGTCCTCTTCACCATACTCGTGGCCAGGAGACTGCATCAGTCGCAACACCGGTTCTCGATTCGGTCCAAATTTGTATGTGGTACTAATCAGGTCTCCTAGTTTGGCGTGGCTTAGTGTCGAGTTGCCAGAACCCCGCTTCGCCCTCGTCGATGTGTACGCCAATGTTCCGTCGCTGTGGTAGACCAGGATCTCGAGTTCAGATGACGGTAAGGGAAAACGAAATGTACCGATGCCTCGAGCTGCGATGTCTAGTGTTGCTCCTGGGTTGAATGAAGGCCTACTGACAAGTGTTGGTGTTGTGGAATCCGTCGAGCCTACCGACATGGCTGAAGACTTGATATTGACCTCGCCTATGATTTTCTCTGGAATCTCATGGCTGTAGATGGATTTGTCTGTGGTCATGATGGATAATGTGTGTATGAATGGTCTCTGGTATGTGATAGATAATGGTTTATTTGTCTTGTTGTTGTCCTTGGTATCTAGTAATGCTCGTGCTCGAAGGACCACGGATATGTGGACAGTATATATACATGTACATATACATCCAGGGGTCGCATCACCCTTGTCGATCAATACCACGGTGTGCATGCGTTGCAGATATACTTAGCAAAGCATTCAATCAAGAACCCTGCAAGAGTATTGAGTATTATCCACACAGCCTTCAAACCTTGGGACGTGATAAACCCGTATGGTAGAACGAGGTATACGATACTCGCACGTGATTGGACAGTTGTCCGAGCCTCATCCAAGGCACCGACTATTCGATTGGCTACGAATGAACCATGCCTCCACTTTAAGGATGGCTGGACAAGTCTGCCTTGGAGAGAAGATTTGGCCCGAAAGACAAGAACTACAGGGTTTCGACTCGATCCAATGAGATAATGACTTGGTCGACAGGGTCCAACGTCGGATTCAAGATCTTGTCATCTCCTTAGATTCGACTTGACGTATTCGGATCGGGGTCACGACTAGTATGGTCAGGCACGGGGAAAAATAGATTGATTGCATGATGCGGTACAATGATACATGGTGCCTACATTGATACATATCTGTTCGAGATCTAAATATAGAGACATCTCGGTCCCTACATGGCATCTATCCGTCGCTTTCTTCAACAACGACCACATTCGGCAAATCACGTATATCTGCCACCACCCCCGGAGCCCCCACGCCATCTTCACCTTCCTTGATCAGGTCCACAATCCTTATCACATCGGCCGTCAAGGTGCCCGTCTCAAATGCAACCATTTGAATCTCACTCTCGTGACACTGTCCTGGCGCCAGTGGCCCAATCCGCAATTCTGATGTTAACGCCATGAGGTCTGCTTCTGGAGGTACACTGTTGGAGTGTTGCATGACATAGAGCACATTCTCGTCAACAATAGCCTGTGCGATGTCCACGTCGTCTCCATTCCTGGTGTGCCTTCGCTCGCTAGGGTGAAACGAGGCTGTGGACGATTTGGGTGCGTGCCGCTTGGTCAAGGTCTGCGCTTGACTCGTCTGCCGTTGTAGTCGAGGTAGCGGTATGATTGCAATCCGGGCGACGCCCTGCGATTGGTTGACAAGGAGCACTTTCCATGTAAATGGTCTCCCAATGGTGGCAGGCTCATTCGACGACAAAAAGGTCACAGACAAGCCACTGCGGAAAAGCGGAGGATAGACAGGTTGTAAACTCGCACTAACTGCAGTAACAGGTGGCTGTGTGATGAGGCCATTGACTGGAAGGCTGCTTGGTCGGTTGGATCGTTGGATAGGTTGTGAAGGAGCCCCGTATGAAGGGTTCAGCGCTTGGGTGAAGTCGACGTGGGTAGTCCATTCCATGGTGACAACAGGGGTGCATGTTGCTGACACCATGATCCTGAGTACAATCTTAATCGAGAGCAAGTCGATGTTGGGATTCATTAAGCCAAGGTTCGTGTATGACGTAGCATGTGTGACTTGCTGCAGCTGATACATGAAGGTCAAGCAGTCCCCAGACCGGCATTGCATCGGAAGAAACCCTGGCATCAAGGATTGGGATTCTCCATTCTTCAATGAAACATCGACTTGTTCGACTTTTGCCTCGACCTGAACGAATGGAATGATTTCCATGTCGAGTAGAGCGATGTTTGTGGGGACAACAGTGTGGGTGTGTGATTTGTTGTACCTCACACGTGCAATTGCCGCAGGCACTGCTTTCCATCGCCGCGGATGAACATGACCTATATGAGCTCGATGCCGATGCGACTGGGCCACGGGTAATACTCGTTCTAACCGCGATACGGCAAGATATGGGGCATTCGCTCCTGGGCCGGCCATGGAACGCATTGGTTCGAGAACGTTTGCCTCCAGGGGTTGAAATGGTGCAAGATCTCGATTTGGATCATCCTCGTCGTATTGGGGACTGTTCACAACTCCCGACGGAATGAGGACCAGGCTTTGCTGCGCATTTCTTGATCTCGGTCTGGATAGAGTAAGCCCAACTTCCCAAACCAGAGTCAAAGTCTTTCCAAGGTCTGCAGATTGGCTTGCTAGAACAATGGGCTCATGACCTTGAAAGCCGTCTGCAGAAATGACGTGTTCTCTCGATGGTGAATTCAAGGCAATACTTGGATCGTTAGCCCCGGACTCGTCAAATGCCCAGACGTCGACCTTTAAAGCGACACGTGCCAGATAAGCCTTGAGCGCATCTTCATCACAGTATGGCACTTGAAGGACCGCCAATGTTCTCAAGCGTTCATCTATGGCGGTAAGACCTTAGTAAGACATCATTGAACGTGGACCGGGTACTCCTCCCTACATACCAAAGAACAAATAGTCTCTTTCCTTGATTGGAAGCAGCCGATTGGGTTCTTCCACATTGTCGGCCCCATCTTCCAATATAGTAGCTAGTTCCGCTGTAGTATCTTCAGGTACGATGACGTCGAGAACAGCAGCCCTGAAGAAGTCTGTGTCCATGATTTAGCTCTTGGTTGAAGACGGATCATCTTGCGCCCATGATTTTATGATCTGCAACACGCAGTCTGTGTTGGGTCATATCACAGCAAGTCCATTGAGAGTGACTGACGATCACTGGGATGATATATAGTAAAGTATTTGTTGAATCGACGTTGGATGTTCCAGTGGACGTCGCGATTTGATGGAAGGGGGCAGATGTCGTCCAAAATTGGTTAGGCGTGCCAAGGCCAAAGGTGGCACTAAAATAGCTTATGTAATCCAAGTTCATCGTCCTGCGCTCGGTTCGAACGAGTTTGTTTCGACCTTTCATCACTTTTGACCTCGACGACGACGATTTCTTCTTCTTGTTACGAGCCTCACCATCACCATCCCATCTACCATCCCATCTACCATCCCACCTGCTTCTCGAGTCATCCCGGAACCCACATCATCCTCAAACATGTACACGGTTCTGAACTAACATCCGTTGACTTCATAAGTAATCACGCCGGTTAACTCACAACCCTTTGATCATCCAACCCCAATCCCCTCGAGATGAACGGACAGTCACCTGCCCCAGCCCGGTGGCTGGAGGCACGCGCACCCGATGGACGTGTATATTTTTACAATTCCGAGACAAAAGAGACATCATGGTCTAAGCCTGCGGAACTGATGACTCCTGTTGAGAGGGCTCTCGCCGCACAGCCATGGAAGGAATACTCGACCCCAGATGGTCGCAAATACTACTCCAACTCTGAAACAAAGCAAACCGTGTGGGAAATCCCGGCCCAGTATCGTGAAGCTCTCGAAGCGGTCTCTACCCCTGCTCCCTCGCAACTCCCTTCTAAGCCTGTACCACAAGGCCCAGCCTTTGTTGCCGGTGGCTCAACCGCCCTTGCTAGCTACTCTGAACACAACCCGTATGAGTCAAGGTCACGCAACGAGAATGGAATTGCGCTGCCTGCACTCACCAAAGAAGTTGTTCCCGACTATGCAACCTTTGCCGAAGCCGAAGCCGCATTCATGAAGTTGTTGCGACGATCCAATGTCCAGCCCGATTGGACTTGGGAACAAACCATGCGGGCTACCATCAAGGATCCGCAATATCGCGCTTTGAAAGACCCAAAGGATCGCAAGGCTGCCTTTGAAAAGTTTGCGGTTGAGGTTCGCCAACAAGAAAGAGAAAAGGCCAAAGAAAGGCTGGCTAAGCTACGCACAGATTTTGGTAACATGTTGAGAACCCATCCCGAAATCAAACACTATAGTCGCTGGAAGACCATCCGTCCAATCATCGAAGGAGAGACCGTTTTCCGGTCGACCGACAATGAAGATGAGCGTAAGCAGCTTTTTGAGGAATACATTGTCGAACTGAAGAAGCAAAACATTGAGCAGGAAGCCAACTCTCGAAAGACTGCCTTGGACGATCTTGCTGCCATCCTCCGCGCACTCGATTTAGAACCCTACACCCGATGGTCTCAGGCACAGGAGATATTGCAAAACAATGAAAGGATTCAATCAGACGAGAGGTTCAAGCTTCTGAGTAAGTCAGATGTTTTGACGGCATTTGAAAACCATATCAAGTCCCTTGAAAGATCATTCAATGATGCACGTCAACAGCAAAAGGCGATCAAATCAAGGCGTGAACGCCAAAACCGTGATGGTTTTGTCGATTTGCTCCAGTCACTTCGCAGCAAGGGACGCATCAAGGCTGGGACAAAATGGATGTCTATCCTCCCCGAGATTGAGACCGACCCAAGGTATGTTGCAATGTTGGGTCAATCGGGTTCAACTCCACTGGATTTGTTCTGGGATATGCTCGAAGAGGAAGAAAGAGCCTTGAGGGGGCGAAGAAACGATGTATATGATGTTCTTGAGGTAAGCCCCTACTCTATTCCTCGTCGTCAATTGCTAACAAGAATCTCAAGGATAAACGCTTCGAAGTCACTCCAAAGACTCCCTTTGAGGATTTCGTTGATGTCATGATGACTGACCGACGAACAGCCAACATTGATCGAGATGCCCTTCAACTTCTTTTCCAACGTCTTCATGACAAAGTGGTTCGACGCACTGAAGATGAGAAGCACAATGCCGATCGCAACCAGCGCCGTGCCACGGATGCTCTTCGCTCCAGGATCAAACATCTCGAACCTCCAGTCCGTCTCCACGACACCTGGGAAGATGTCAAACCCCGCGTCGAGAAGCTGGAAGAGTACCGAGCAGTGGAAACCGAAGACCTTCGGAGGTCTGCGTTCGACAAGGTCATCAAGCGACTCAAAGAAAAGGAAGAAGACTACGAAAGAGACCGAGAGAGAAGACATGCCCGACGTGGCGATGACCGAGATTATCGCAATGGGCATCGCCCCGACACTCGAGGGCGTGGTTCCAAGACGCCTGAAGCCGATGCCTACGAAGCAGATCGACGCAAGGCTATGGCTGCTAGGGAAAAGCAATATCGAAAGAGCAATACGCTGACCTTGAGCCCTCCTCCAACATCGTATCGCGACCGCGAGAAACGAGAACGGGATGAAAGACACGGACGACTGGATCGAGATCGTTCACCCCCATCTAGACACATGAATAGCTTCGACCGCGAACGGAGAGAGCGTGAAGAAGAACGTGAGCGCCTCTATCGAACCCGGGCTGATCCCCGAAGCAGTCGTGATGAATTAAATTACGGCGAGGAGTCACGAAGCATGACTGGAAGTGAGCGACGCCGCCGACGAGGTGACGGTAGCGACGGCGAGAGCGTAGAAAGCGGCCGACGAAGCGCAAAACGACATCGAAGAGAAACCGGAGGCAGCTCGAGGGACAAACAAAAGAGCAAAACTCCGGAGCCAGCGAAAAAGCCAGTCGAGCCGGAAGTCGATGCGGCGGGGGTACATTCTGGTAGCGAAGAAGGCGAGATCGAGGAGGACTGATGGGCTGGATGCGAGTGTCGGTCTGCACAATGGCACGTCCCAGGTCAGTTTTGCTCGCCAGTTCAATCTTGGTAACATGACGACTGCTACTCTCACCAGTTCGGAACCAACCAACCCGCACTCATATGTGTTGGCGATGTTTTGCCCAAATGACTTGCGCTCCTCGGCAAACACGTTGTTTGATGACTGTCTGACACCATCATCTCTTTCGGTATGTAGTGCTCTACAGCTATTCTCCTAATCATACACCCTACAGTGCGTTAGAGCAGCGTTCATGCCCTCATGTGATTCTTTTGAAATCAATAAGAATTATTTTTTTCTCCACTCTTTTTGATTGAGAAGCGTCCTTAGTTTTGTGTGACAGTGGCTTCTCTGGCAGCGCAAGAGGCCTGTATGAATGTTTGGAAAACGAGAATATGAACCAATGTCACAGCCTGCCATGGCCCTTGACTATCATCTTTGATCCTGGATCCCAATCAAGGAGCCCAGTCCAGCCAATCCGAGTTGCCTGAGTCGACCATGAGAACTAACCCCTCATGCTGTGTCGGCAAAGCAGGTTCAAAACATTGTGAAATCCAATATGAGCGCCCTTTGTCATCCCCATCAATCAAATTCCTTCAGCCAGCTGCCGAGCTTTAGCAGCGGTGATGCGAATTCCAGTCTTGTCATAGTGCCTGGACGCCATTTGTTGCCATTTATTGAGATCATAAGTCTCTGCTTGAGACTTGAGGTTGTTGTTGGTAGACGTGGCTGTGGTGGTAGCGGCGAATCGAACGCCCTTATCCTGAGCCCCTGTTAGACACTCCATGCCTCTGAAGTACCAGACTTTGTTGACTCTCGGCTTACCTTGTCAGCAACCTGTGCGGCTCCATTGCTGCCTTCAGTGCTGGCAATTTTAGCTGCTCTGAGCTCAGCTTGTCTCTTGAGGCCCTCCTCTCTGTCTTTGTTGATCTTCTCCCGATTTTGTGCGTTTTGTGCTTTTTTCTTCTCTTTCTTAGCCTTCTTAGACTCTTTCTTCTCTGCTTCTTCCACTGCCTCCTGCTTCTTGTCTTGCTCAATTTCCTTCCAGCGAGACTTGGCCATTCCGACACTGGTGAAGCCAGTTACATCGACAATTTCTTGCCAAGGTCGAGTAGGGTTCTCCGTCTTCATGCGGATCATGATGTGGTCATCTTCTGTCAGGCCATCGCCGTTCTTTTTAGCCTCAGTGGAAGGGGGTTGGGTGGCATTGGTGATGGCATCTTGTTGATTTTTCGGCTCTGACGAGACGCCTGAGTTGTGAAATTTGCCACAACATGAGCACTTTTCCAGGTCAGAATCATCAGAAGTCTCGATAAACAGGATTGAAAGCATAGTTGCCTGTGGTCTCGAATTGTTTCGCTTTGATTGCTGTTGAGGGGCTATAACGAACTCACCACCTTGGGTTTTTTTGGTTTGGGATTTGGAACACCACGAAAAGCATCAAAGATGGAAAGCTTGATGGGCCGCCGAATACCGTCCTTAGTGTGATAAACCGTGAATGACATGCTGTCAAACGGAGAGATATTGTTCCGATGTTGAGAGTAACGACTTTCGCCAGCAACGTTAAGATCAATTGAGGGGAAACAATGAGCAGATATGGTTGCAGTGTGAAGAATATTCTGCCGGGCAACAAAAGATTTGGCCAAAAGATGTCTTCTCTCGCGACGTGACCTTGACCGTGTCAGTCTACCCATCGCGCATCGCGCATCGCGCATCGCGTCTGTGGTGTTAAAACACAGGTAGTATCGATCTCATAATCTTCACACGTTTGGCTCGCTGATAGGTGCGTTGGCTACCGACCATAACATCTAGATATTCAATGACACAATAAATCTATGAGCGAACACCTACATATGAGGGAAGACGTTTGATGCTCCCTCACGAAGTCCATGCTTCAGAGTCCCTGTCATATGGCTAGCTTTGTCGGTGTAGAACTAGCTTCTTATGCCCATGAACCTTGCCCGCTATGTACATCTGTTCATAACCAAACTTAAACACCCCACTATGGTTCCATTCCCACAATGCTGTTTGCCTAAATATCTGACCTGATTCGGTTTGGGTCAGGGTACACGCGAATAGAATCGTGCCACGGAAAGGTAATGCCCTGTTAGGCCAGAGGGAACACCGCTGAGCCCCATGGAGATGGCGGCAACACTGATCAATGATTGCTAGTTAGGCGTTATGCCACAAGACATGATTTGGTTGCCGGTCGTAAGATCTGGGCCCTCCTGGCAGTGACCAGGGCACCGTGATTTGAAGGCATAATCAGGACTAAACCGGTGTCGCCGTTGTTGAAATTGGCTATCCAGGCTGCCATAGATATCGACATAGCTAAACAAAATATGGTGCGAAATACGCCTTATTTAGTATTTACTATAATTATTTAGCTAATACTATCGACTTAGTCATAATCTAGACTAGCCGATATCGTTATTTTAATAGATAGAATAGTTTGTATATAATATAACGAAGACGCTAATTAACCTAGGATATTACTATTTTAGATAGCGTGAGAGGAGCTAAAGAGATACTTAAAGTTTTATATAGCCTACACTAGTCTTGAGGTACTAATATATTTCACCCCTAATACTAGACTATCTACGATAACGCACTCACATGCTCGTCTCGGCTGTGTACATCGGTGGTACTTATATCCTTCGGGTCCTACTTGGTCGTTCGGATTCTTCGAATCTCCTCTTCGGATGTACCTAAGATAATCTCCGGTTTAATTCTACCCGTCTTCCGATGAGCCCTCTTCTTTTGATACTTTAAGCTGCAGATAGTGGTTCCGCCAAATAAATTTACCTGCACTCCAGTAGTAGTGTGTAGCTTATTCAAACAATGTATGGGTTATGGTCTTATATGGTGTATATATATTGATAGCTGACGGGGTCAGATGTATGCTGTCTTACACGATCTGCTCGCGAGGCTGAATTCTATTTAGCGTCTCCAGAGTCTCTGGTTGCGAATCTATTGTATCGTAGGGATGTTTCTCTCATCCTAATGCTCAATATGTGACAATTTCCAGTCAAAGGACCAGGGAGACTTGGCTGTTTCTTTATGTCGTGACTCTTTTCGGTCACAATGCTGTACAGGTTCAGTTCGGTACGCTAAACCGATTCGTCCCTTCCGAGGGTACTTCTCCAGAGGTTTGACTAATGAGAGACAAGATGGCTAGGCATTTGCATCCATGCGAAGAGATGCAGAACGGGAGAACTACCATTTGAGACCATGGCCATCTCATGACTATCTTCAATTTCCTTTGCCAAAAGCTGACCAGAGAGAGATTGACCCATGGCTCAGCCGCCTGTCAACTCTCTCCGAAGTCACAGCAACATTCGAGTGGACGATTGCTCGTTTGCGTCGGTCGATCTCCGATTACCCACTAGTATCTCCCCCAGCTCTATCATTATCGGAACCCGCGGAGGCAAATCGAGACCTGATGACAGACAGTTACCCCATTGTCGGCCGCAGACCCACGTTATTGTCTCCGCTCTACACTACGGGGTTGACTCTGCGCAGTGGTACATTTCCCCCTTCTGGGATATATCCCCCGGAATGGGGTCACGATTCTAGCTTGGCACATATCCGTTCCCGTGGTGTCCTCCGAAATGAGGGAGGAGCGTAGACTAACATGGCGAAAAGCTAGCTGCAGAGGTTTATGGCAAGCTCGTTCCCAGAGGGCCTCGGGTTGAACAATAAGAACCCCCGGTTTGCCACCTGTTTACAACCTAGATAACTGCCTGAACCATTTGTGCGTCTTGTCTATAACCATGGCTGATAACGACAAACCCCAGGAGATCCATTTGGACTCAACCAAAACGCCAGATACGATCAAAGAAGTGAAGACTACAATCACGGTCGACACTGTGCACAACGACGAAGCGACGTGTCTTGGCCAATTATCATGGTGATGAGCATTGGACAGAGAGGGAAGAGAAGAAAGTGGTTCGTAAGATCGATCGAAGACTGTTGACAATCCTCTGCTTGACTTATGGGCTGCAATACTATGACAAAGGTGAGAAGCAGGATGCTAGAGTGTCATAAGTGATAATATACTGACCGTGGACGTAACAGCGATGTTGTCACAAGCCGTCAGTAATATGAACACAAAGATACGGTCTCTCCAACTGACAATCCTAGGCCCTCTTCGGTTTGCGCGAAGACCTTGACCTCAATGTCGGAGTCCGGTACTCCATGTCTGCGTCGATATTTTACCTAGGCTTCATCATCGGGGCATACCCTGCTGTTGTGCTGGCTCAGAGATATCCCATCGAACGGGTCATCTTTGCAATTGTTCTCCTTTGGGGTATTTGTCTCGTTACCACAGCTGGTTGCCAAAACTACCAGAGTCTGTATGCCCAGAGATTTTTCCTGGGTGCTCTCGAAGCCGGCGTGTCGCCTGCATGGATGCTCGTGGTCGGTGGGTAAGTTACATTATCTCGTGTGACCTGGGTCAAATGATCACTCGGCTGACCGATGGATCTAGATGGTATAAGAAACAAGAGCAAGCACTACGCATGGGGTGGGCTTCTCCCAGTGTTCCCACCATGATCTTTCCGCTAATTAATTCCAAAGAGCGTGGTACAGTGCTTCTGGCTTTGTATCGATGGTATCTCCTCTGATCAACTATGGACTGGGCCACATCACCGGATCCCTGGCGCCATGGCGATATATGTTCATCGTCGCGGGATGCCTCACCATCGTGTGGTCTTTTGTCATTCTATTCCTAATGCCGCCTGATCCTATCCGGGCGGAGAGATTCACTGACAGAGAACGATACATCGCAGTGGCCCGAATGAGGTTGAACAACTCCGGAGTTCGAAACACCCACTTTAAGAAGGAGCAAGTCTATGAATTGCTGCTAGACCTTAAGTTCTGGCTGGTTTTTATCATGTCGTTCTGCATGTTCGTGGCAAACGGGCCGGTCTCGACCTTCATCCCAATAATTATCAACCAGCTAGGCTTCAGCATTCTCACTTCTCTGTTGCTGGTTATGCCAGCAGGATTCTACGTTGGCATCACTGAACTACTGGTACCTTATCTTGCCTATAAGTTTCCAGGCTGGAGATCGCATCTTGTCACCATCACTGTCTGCGGAACCATTACCAGTTCATTCATGTTGTGGCTGTTGCCGCAGAGTCAGATTGGAGCCAGACTGTTCGCCGTGTATATTCTGGCGTCCTATGGTGGTGGATATGCCATTCTGATGAGTATGCAAATTGTCAACACCGCTGGATACACGAAAAGATCTCTGGGTTCATCGGGAATGTATATTGGTTATTGCTTGGGTATGTTGGCCAAGGTCTTGTCGTTCTCATCGAAAGTCGGATTAACATTGCTCTCTTCCAGGTAACTTTCTCGGTCCCCTGGTGTTCAAGGTGGAAGAAGCGCCAAAGTATAACACCGGCTGGATCACGACTATTGTCACATCGATTGTCACAGCAGTCGTCGCACAGATTTACAGAGCTATTTGTGTGTATGAGAACAAGAAACGGGATAGGTCAGGGGTGATGGAGGCATATGAACATGCGTATGAGGACGACTTGACCGATAAGAAGAATCCACAATTCAGATACACACTGTGAAGTGGCTGTCTAAGGGGGAGATGAGAAGGGTCACAAATACCATAAATTTACCTTTAGTTACAGGCTCTCCAGTTTGGATCCAGTGCGTCTGATGCCGTCGGTTCTCTTCCAGGAGGGGATGATGCGGGCATGCATGGCCCCAGGAGGAACGAACAGTGTTACGAGTATCTACAGATGTCGCCAAGGCCTCTACCCTAAATTTTCTGTCATTCAATGCAAAGTCATGTGAAAGCCCTGGACCGTCCAAAAAGGCGGGAGTGTTGCTCGAAATGACAGGGCCATCAGGCGTGAATCGATTGTTGAACTTGGAATGTTCAATCAAGCCCGGAGCATCAGTAGCACGTCGTGGTTCTGAGGTGCTGCACCCTAGAAGAATATGAGATGGTGGAAGCCACTCTTCCTCCTGCCAAGGAAGTCGTATCAGTATGAGATTAACCCTCGAGTCACGTATAGATTCTGTTGATGCTTCTCTTTGAATCTATGTTTGCAAGCAAAATGATGCTGTCATAGCCAAGCTACACATTCAATCTCTACCAGAGCGTTCAAAGGCCAGCCAGCGACGCCTACACATGTTCGGGCCTGTACTTGTCAATAACAAAAATTCTCAAAGCAGAACGAGTAGGATAGAAGGAAAACAACTTGCAAATGCCGATAGAAAGGTAAACTGAAAGGAAGCTCACGGGCATTGGCATGGCAAATCGTCGCACATAGACCTCATTCATTGCCGAAAATCTCTCGCTATATCTTTGAGATAAACATTGACCTTGACGACCTTGTCAAGTCCCGTGCCTGCTTCATTAAGAACAGCCTCAAGGTTGTCGAGCACGCGCTCCTGTGATCCACCGATAAGATCGAATATAAGTCGGGGCATCCACCAACACAACTCGTATGAGGCGACATACCGTCTCTGCCTGGATTCCCACTTCGACAAGGGCGCCGGTCTTTGTACTCAGTGCCACAGAGCCGGAACAATAGATTTTGTTTCCAGAACGAATAGCTTGGGAAAAGACATGTTGGAAGGGCGCGGCCGCTTTGTCAGTGTACACATCTTGCCGCATGGTGGTGAGAGTGCTAGAAATTGGCGTTGCCATGATTGATCTTCTTGTCGAGTCTCCTGTTTGCTTTTGGACGAACGTAATCTACAAAGACAATATCTCTTGCTCACACAATACTTCGATTCTGTCGCTTCGTGTGCCTCGATTGTTGGCGCTTTTCTAAGAGTAATGAATTGAAGATTACGTGACCGGTCTTGCGCTGTTATCTTTCACTCCCGCATAGCATTGGAGACGTCATTTCCGGCGCTGTACTTCTGCAAGTGGCTATCTTCTCGGGCTCCGCCGCGTAAGACGAACAGAGCTTGGCAAGGCTGAACGTCCCCTGGAGCGGAGAAAGCCGAACTTGGCTCACCAGGTGGGGCCGCCCTCGCAGTCACGAATGAATCCAAATGCCACCGCCCCCTATCGTTTGACAGTTGAACGACTCCATAAGTCGATACTATCTAAGTTGATCTTCTTGCGATCTTGCTCTAACATCACGCTTCCTCGTATAAACATTGTACGAAAACTACCAACCGTTATCGCATGGCTAGTACGATCGATCGTGTGGCAAAGGGCAAGTCCATGGGAGCACCTCGGGCCATAGCTGCCTATAGTTCGGGAGTCAAAAAATATTGACGCGCCTCTGTAAGTGAAGGGTGTTCCACTCCCTCGGGAAAGGCACTGCCATGTCCATTTTGACTTGGGACCGCCAGTATATTGAGCCGGTGGCGAGCAAGGTCGAGCTTCCAAAGTTGCCTCTGCAAATTATGTCTACCTGGTGGGATGATATGATCCAGGAGGTATGGAGCAGCCTCATTCCGGAAGTGGACCACATTTTCCCATGGGAATTTCAGCAATCGCTTATGAGGTGTTTGTGATATGAATTCTTGTGCGAGGGTCTCGAGGCCAAGGCCCTCGCTGGCTCGCCATAAGGGCAGCGCCGCAGGCAGCGCTTCGCGGACTGCATAACGATCACGTGTTCTGGCGTAGCTGCGGCGCATAGAGCACAAGGCTGCTCCTGAGTAATCCGTCCGAACCCTGACGGTGACAACATCAAGTAACAACAAGGACCCATCGATCCGGACCTACGTACATACTGCTTCCGTTTTGGCAAGGGACTGTCCTAAATGAGACAACAAGAGACCCAGAAGTCGATACAACGTGAAATGCCTGGCCTCTGTGAACGCATCCTCCTTAAAGACCACATCCTCTCCTCTGTCCTCGCCGATCTCCAAAGCTCTCAAGCAGCAAAGCTTGCTGACGCCGTTTTATTCGGCCAACGGCCACAGGGCCTGGGGGCTCCAGCTTTTGACTTGAGTCGCCGCTTGCAAGCCATGTGGCGTAATCATCGGAGTCGCGCTTCGGACAAACGTTCGGAGGCAGCAGCAAAAGCCAGCCCGAAAAGCGACTTTCGGATTCTACCCCACATCCCCGCCCCAGATTGCGAAGGCTCACAAGCTCAAGAACTACCACAGCACTATCGTTGGAGGAGCGACTGGACCATGTCATTGGGGTCTGCGGTGCTACCGTCGGTGCTACCGTCGATGAAAATACCCTTGCTGGTACTCAGCCGTCTCTCTTTGACGACTGTCCATGTGTGAGGATCAAAAGTGAGCTAAAAACACAAAGCACCATCGCTCCCACATTTGCAATGACCACGCAATCATCGAGATGCGCAGTTATACTGCCAGAAGCCAAAGCCAAGGTCGAAATTCGGTCTTTCGATGTCATGCCACCAGAAGAGGGCCACATCACGGTGAAGATGGAATTCGCAGGTATCTGTGGAACCGATCCGCATCTCTGGAAAGGCGACTTTCCATTACCAGGGCCAGTCATCTTAGGACATGAAGGCATTGGAATAGTCCATGCACTGCACGACTCGGTCAAGACTGACCACGCCTCCCAGCCATTGGCGGTGGGCGATCGTGTCTATTGGGCCGCGGTCAGGCCGTGCCAGAGCTGTTACTATTGTACAGTCCTCGACGATGAGTGTGGCTGTCCCAACAACTTCTTCATGCATCAATTCGAGGAAGCTGTTGCTGCACGAGGGACATGGTCGACATACACCGAGTTTGCGACCCTGGGCCCCCGAAATGCATTCTACAAGGTTGACCACAGCGTCCCACCCGATACATTCATCGCTTTGGGGTGTGCCCTGCCAACCGTTCTCCAGGCAATTGCCCACCTTCCGGGCGGGGTCATCAAGCCCGACGAAAACATCCTCATCCAAGGAGCAGGGGCTGTAGGTTTGGCGGCGATAATGATGGCCAAGATCTCAGGCGCCAACAAGGTTATCGTCATTGAAGCAAACAAGCTAAGGATGGCAAAGGCGACAGAATTCGGAGCGGACCTGTGTCTCGACATTACGCAGACCACCGGAGAAAGTAGAGCGAAGACCATCAGTGATGCCCTAGGTTTTCGCGGCGTCACTCTGGCCTTTGAGTGCTCAGGCGTGCTAGGGGCTGTAGCAGAAGGTCTACACCTGCTCGGTCGCAATGGGAGGTACATGTTGATCGGGACGTGGGCTGGTCAAGGCGAAGTTGGCTTTGACCCCTTCGTTGCCGTGAACAAGGCTCTTACCATACAAGGTAGCACGTACTGTGCTCCACGAGACTATCACAATGCTGTGCGGCTCATCGAAAAGAATCATCACAGATTCCCAGTGGCAAGCAGCGTGAGCCACCGCTTCGCCTTGGTGGACACAGAGAAAGGATTGGAAACCGTGTTGAGTGGTGAGGCCGTAAAGGCCGTGATTCAGCTTGACCTTTGAAACTAGATGAGGCATAGACATTACCTTGTTTACATTGTCACGTCTGAAGTTTTGTCCCGAGTCTTGTAGACCCTGTCCAGAAAACGATCCATTGATGACCTTGGGTCGTGGTTACAAACTCGAAGGCCCGTCATTGTTACGTTTTGATGGATCGAGGATTTGTTTGACAATACAACTCTCATTCATTTCCTTGCTATGCCAACTTGAAACCTGAGTACCCATCGTTTGCACAGTCGTTGATCGTTTTATAATATGTAGGTACACCACCAAGATAAACCAATGGCTCTCTAACCTTGCCTGGTATGTTGTCACCCATGTACCACTGCCATAAGTTTAGTATCGTGAAATGGGAGGAATGCAACGAGAATTCGAAAAACTCACCGACTTTGCAGTTGGCAACAATGAGGAATGTGCAATTGCGCTCACACCTTTGGCCCACTCGAGTTCTGCCTGTTCTTCCGCGTCTATAGACTTAATTCCCTTCTGCCGCATGTAGTTCATGGCTTGAATGATCCATTCCCCCTGTAATTCCGCACAAGTTGGACCATTACAAAGGGCAGTTGGGGCTTGTGGGCCGTAAGTGAAGAACATATTTGGGAACTGAGCAACGGCCATCCCAAGATACGTCCTGACACCCTCGTGCCACTTGTCAACAAGTTTCTGCCCCGACCTTCCACGGATGTTGATCTCGTTCAGACCACCTGTGATCGCATCAAACCCTGTAGCGCAGACGACGTAGTCAAACTCCCATAGCTTCTCTGTAGTTCTGATGCCGGTTTCGGTCACCTCAGAAATAGGTGTGGCGTTCATATCCACCAAGGAAACATTCGGTTGGCGGAATATCTCATAGAACCCGTTTTCCAACGATATGCGTTTACATCCAAAGGCATGGGGTTGCTTCTCAGGAGCTAGGATTTCTCTCAGTCGGGGATCATCAATCCTTGCTCGGACCTTGTCTCGCCAGAAGTTGTAGGCCTCTTTATTGGCGTCCCAAGAGAACATCATGTCGTAATATGTGGCCAACCAAAAGTGGAAATCACCTTCATCCCACAGTTGCTGGAAAGTCGCTCGCCTTTGCTCCGGTGTATCGTCGAAAGTGGCCCGAGGAAGAAAGCTGAACGAAAAGCCACCAGCTCTGAGATCTCTCGGCAAACAGCTTGGTATATTTTTCTTTTGAAAAAGCTTGCTCGTCGCCGACGTATTCAACCTGTTTCATGGGCAGAGCCAGATTTGGAGTTCGTTGGAAGAGGACGAATTCACCAGCCACCTGGCTGAGTTCTTGACAAAGTTGGATACCTGTCGAACCAGTTCCAATGACGGCGACTCTTTTTCCTTTGAGGTCGGGTTCATCCTTTGGCCAGTATGACGGATGGACCCAAGTGCCTCGGAACTTGTCAATGCCTTTCCAATCTGGAATGTGTCGTTTGGCTGCGAAGCCTGTGTTCAACAGAAAGTACTTGGCCCGAAATTGCTTTCCGCCGGCAGTAGTCACCAACCAGTTCCCTGCTTCTTCGTTCCATTCTGCAGCCGTGACACGTGTGTTGAAGTAGGTGTCCTTGCGCAAGTCCCATTTATCGGCAACGAAACTGAAATACTCGCGGAGTTCTGCCGAGCCTGGAAACCTCTGAGTCCAAGACCACGAACGCCAGAGTTCCGGATCTGAGAACTCGTAGTGAGGAATGGTGCTGTCCACTCGCGCTCCAGGATACCGATTCCAATGCCATACTCCTCCGTAATCAGTTGCAGTGTCAACCAACTTCGTCTTGTATCCTTCCTGACGCAGGCGCCGAAGCTGATAGACCCCACCAAAGCCAGCGCCCACAATGAGAGCGTCAAGTTCTTCGACAGCACCTTTTTGGGTGTCCATTGTTGTATTGGGCTTATTAACGATGCTATCGGACGTAGCTCTCAGAGATTCAGGTATCTTGAAGTGCTAAAGAAGCCTGTAAGACATTAGATCGAATGGGATGGATGCAACGGGTCCTTGATCTCATGATATAGTTAGGTTACTCTCCACAGAGGTGTGCTTACCACCCCCCGAGTACCCGTCGCACCAGGCGTTGTTTCTGGGGAATTTGGCACCGAAACCAGCTCTGTTCATCCCAAAATATTCGTGATGGGGGCTTGAAGGTTCGATTGTCCGATGCATTGTCCGAAAATGTGGAGTCTTTTCGGCCAGTCTTCCAGACAGCTCCGAAAATCTTGTACCCTGTTTCCTCGGACAATCTGATGTCCAAACAAAATGTTGGACGAAAAGCCCTGGATTCATCGGCTTACCTAGAGGACTGTGAATGGTGCGCCACAATCCTGCCACAAAAGCGGAAAATTTCAGCGTCTAGTCCTATTGGATAGGCTGAATGAACTCTGAGAGGTATTCATACATGCAGATTCGTGCTTCGAGCTTGGAAGCTATTAGACATGGCCAGGTCGAGGTCTGTACCCTTCACTGGCGCGAGCAACATATGAAATTATGGACGTAGGAATGCAGCTATATACTGATGGAGGATTACCTATTTACTTCTCGTAAGCAGCCATCTAATTCCATCGAAGAGATTTTTCAGGAAGGCTTTGGTCTCTGGTAAGCTTGGAAAGATCCAGAAACAATGCGGTAGCTCCGAATAGTGATCATGCTTGATCTCAACACCTTGGGACCGCAGAGAGCGCACGAAAACTGTCCCATTATCCCTCAGTGGATCAAATTCACATTTTACATCGTAGGTAGGCAGGAATGAATTCTGAACGTCCTCGTCAAGCCCGATGAAGTAGTTTGGGTCCGTAGGCTGAACTGTAGCAGTCAACATGTCCTCCAACTGTGCTGGACTTTTGTTCTCAGGCGCCAGTCTGTAGTCCACGCTCACTTTTATACCCCCTGTATTCTCGACAATGTCTCGGCACAAGGCATCCTCGCTGTCAAGACTTCCCATAACGAGTCCTCCAGCATGGGCAAAGACGCCAACAGGCAGCGAGGTCCCTGATGCTAAGGATTCAGGGGTATAAATCCTCAATTTCAGACCATCAACATCGTGCTCAGTAGCATGTACTGCAGTGGAGGGTGGAGGATATTGTGGTCCTAGTGCTTCGACCAATCCGTTGAATTGAGCACGCATTTCCAGAGTACTTCCCTGAAGAACAGGACGAGCTCCGAGCGCTTGCTCAAGCTAGAGGAGATCAATACAAGGCCTTGAATTTGGAAGGTCTGGTATGGTAGCATACCGCGAGCCACGACGATGTATAGCTTCGAGTGTCTGCCATGGTCCCGGACACTTGGGTACTCTTGGTCGACGACGATGGACTCCTGGGTGAAGTGTAAGACTTGAGACTTTGACAGTAGGCTTTACTTCACCGGCCACATCTACAGGAGCAAAGCAGAGATAATATCCCATACGACTTATCTTGCACTACCTATTCAGGTTTCATTGAAAAGTGGTAACGGCCCATTGGGTGCTGTTTCCCGTGGGTGCAACTCCGATAAGGCTGCAATCAATCGTCCAGTGGAAAATAGCCCCCTACAGCACTGCATGGCGCTAGAATCTCCGTCCCATACAAGACAACCTGGTTTCGGGCCACAAATACGTGCTGGTGACCATGATCGGGGTGCACCCGCCAGTCCTACTGTCAGTCAGATTTCCCCAAGCCACCCCGCCCTTCGGCTGAATCCCCCCGCTCATCTCTCGGAGTCGAGGTAGAACACTTTCCGAAATGTACCTGCAAAGCCAATCGGCACATGCGCGTACTCGAAAAGTTGGGTTGTTGATTGTACGGAAACGACCAGATAAATATCTTAAAAGACGCTTTGAATGTGGTTGGCTAGTAGGAAAATATCTCGAGTTCCGGGCTCGGTCATCTTTTCCGAGCATCCTTAATCAACCCAACTTCTTACACGAGCTTTGCACAGGATCGATCATCAATTGTGACAGCCTCTTTTGGACGACATGGCCACCACAAATGGGAATGTGAATAGGGTCGGACCCGACAAGGTCGATGTCCTCATCGTAGGAGCCGGTCCTGCTGGCCTAATGATGGCTGAGTGGACAGCCAAGTGCGGTGTCAAGACCAGAACCGTTGACAAGCGCGGCACAAAGGTATAGAAGAGATCAGCAGTTCTTCACCAGCCATTAACTATACGTATTAGATCTTCAATGACCAAGCGGATGGCTTACAGTGTCGCACGTTGGAAATTTTCGACTCGTTTAAATTCGGTCACCGTGCCTGGATTGACTCAAACCACATGCTGGAAATCTATCTTTAGAACCCCGACAAAGGCGGCGGCATCATTAAACGAGGTGATCGGATAACAGACACCATCCCCGGCATCAGTCGATTTCAACAGGTCATTCTTCACCAAGGCCGTATTAAGTGCTTCTTTCTCGATTAAATCGAAGCATGTAGCGACATCAGAGTTGAGCGTAGTGTCATGCCATCCAAGTTAGAACTCAACGGTGATCTTGCTGAAGACAATCATACATACCCAATTACCATCACTTTACGACATCTCAGCCACGAAGAAGCCACCCCAAACAGACGGCCACTTCCGCAAATGGTATATCCATCCAGAACGGACTATTCCGAAGCAACCTTGCCCCCGACGATACACAGGAGCTGCTGGGTAGTGCTGCCAAGTTGAATGCCAAAGCGAATTCCGAAGAGGTTATACAAGCCAAGTATCTAGAGCCGACGGAGCGCACTCTTGGGTGCGTAGTCAACTAGGTTTCAAGCTTGAAAGCGAATTGACAGATTACGTCTGGGGAGTCCTCGCTATTCACAATACTCCTCGGACCGAAGTCTCCTTCTTCGATATCCCCGAAATTTATCGACCATTCGACGAAGTGGATGGGTGGGACTACTAGAAGATCTTTGTCAACGATCAGTCGTACCACGAAGGCCATGGACGCATTTATGAGAACCTCCAAATCGACCCGGCCGGATGTACGGTGGTCCTGCGACCTGATCAATACGTGTCTTATCTTAGTCCCATAGATGCCTACGACGAGCTCGACAGGTTCTTTTCAGGTTTCATGTTACCGCAGGGGAAGAAGGCGTAAGCGTAGTCCGAGACAAAGCGGTAGTGTACTTGAAAAATCTTCAAGGAAAAGTTGCTCGTTTCTTTGTAGCCCAGTGGCATTACACATCGTGTCTTGTTACAAATCTATTCGCTGCCACCATGCTAAGGTATCGCTTTTTCCGTCTCCTTGACACCTCTCCCTCAAGTCATGCTGGTGTCAACGGTCGAAAAGAAGGGGAATTCTTCGACAAAGGGATCGAACCATAGCGTCCGTGGTAACATGGGTGGCATGGATTCCCCGAACGCCTCGAACATCAGGCCAGCGTCTTTGAATTGATCACTCATAACGTCCGTTTCGGTGCGGCCTCGGCTCGATTCTGGAGCAAAGTTGAGTTCTTGATACGAAGGTTCAAAGTTTGTGCCGAATTGCGTTTGAAGGCCCTGTTGATTATGATCATGATCAGTCTGCTCGCTTGATGGTTGCTGTGCTTGGATCGTCTGGTCTTGAGGCGGTCCTCGTAAGCCCGAGATGGTGGACGCGGACAAGTTGTCTGTTTTCGACCTCGCCGAACAACTTCCTGCTGGTATCGGAGTCTCATGAATCCTACCAAACAATTTCCCAACCAGAAGAGCTTGGCGCTCTCGGTCCGATTTGCTCCGCTTCTCGTTGAATAATTGGCAAGCTTGAATAAGATGACCAACTATCGTCATATTCCTCCTCGCGATAGCATCGTGAGGGAATTTTCCGAGAAGGCGATGGGCCAGATTGAGACTAACATCGACATGGAACATCTTGTTCATGTTGCCAAAGTGGGCCAGACCAAGTACAAGCGCGGACACAAGTATGGAGTTGACCACAAATGGAAGCCGCTTCGGGATGTTGTTATGATCAAGCAAGATGGCCAAAAGTTCGATCGTACGCAATGCAGAATCGACGCAGGCGTGTACCAGCATTTTCTCCGAACATGAGGAAACACAACTTTCGTCTTCGTCCGATGATGCTAGCACGGCTGATGGTGCATACGAGGAAACCGCGTCGACCAGGAATGGTCTGGTCAAGAGCATGATCGTCCAATAGTACGCTTCCTTGACATGCAAGAGGCCGATGTTGGGCAGCATCCCGTCACCAACCGTCTCTACAGGCGATATACCATCGACGGCCAGGCCCTGTTGGAATTTCTCGGCCCACTGTCGATGAAGTGCACTGATCCTCCACAGCGCGTCGGTCGAGATCATGCGTCGGGAATAGACCTCGTTAAGTATAGTCTCAAATATGGCGCAAAGAGCCACCGATGCGGAATAGTTGTCGGTGGACAAGGTGTCTCGTGTCTCGGCCGTCGACGGTGGCCGTCCGAGAGAGGAGCTCATGAACAGATCAAGGATACGTATCACCTTCCAAAGTCGTTCTCGTGTCCTATACTCGGTCGGTGTGAAGAGGGCAGCTACCTCTTTACGGTGAAGACCTAACGCATATGCAGCTCTCACAGCAGTACCGAGGTTCATAAATGCAGCGTTCCGTCGAGAAGCATTGAGAAGATACATGGTGATGAGGGCATAAGCTTGGACCGAGGAGATGCTGGGGTCTTCTGTGAGGCTAACAGCGGTGTAGTAGCGCCCGTAGCTGAAGCATGTCTCCGCGAGCTCTTCCTTATCTTCTGGGCATGTCTGTGCACCTAAAGCAAATACTAGGTAGTATGTGGTACTGAGAACATCGATCTCCGTCGGTTGTCTCTTGAGCCACGATGGTAGATGTTGAAGCAGATGAGCCTCGTCGAAAAGGTCGAGGACGCAATTTGTTGCCAGAAGATAGCGACGAACGAGGTATGTCGCTTCTGCTAGCGTGAGTCTGGGCGGTGTTTGTCTAAGCCCTGCCTCTAACCAACTCGGTTTGCCTTTGATGGCCGTTTCAACCATCTGATATCGTAGAGGATCCTCGGTGAGTGGACATCCGCCTATCGAGTCCTTTATCACCTTGCGGATAGTTTGAAGAAAGGACAAATTCGCCGAATCGCCAATGAACATATATCTGCCTCGGGAATCTCGTAGAAGTCTGGACACCAAATAAGTGGAAGCCGAAGGCGATTCAACCAAGATATGTTCCGGGTTCGTTGGATCTGTTTGGTTCGAGGTCTGCAACTCGATTTCATCCATTAGGTCGATGATACTTGCGTTGGTCGCATCTTTGACGAAGTCTGTTTCACCCAAACTGTTGCGATGCCGACTTGGCTTTTTGGAGTGAGCGGAGTGGGCGGAGTTAGCGAAGGATGAAGCGAGGACGGGTTGGCACTCGGAGGCCACATGGCGCGAGATACATCTTCCACACGGTTGCATCCCATCACAGCGTTCTTTCCGCCGTCTGCAATTCGAGCAAGCTTTAGGACCTTTCCCACGAGCGGAAGCGCGGCCTAACGCTTCCGCCATCTTTAGCTGAAGACCTGGCCGAGACGGGATAAAATTTGTGAAAAATGACCCCCAAAAAGACCAGATGAAGGCGCAGAAGTTGAAAACAGCGCCCAGACACTCCGTCCTGATCAGACTTAACCGGGTCCGGGGATGATGGGGGATGATGGGGTGTGAACTTGGCGGGGCGCAAGGTCGTGCGGGGTAGAAATTAGTTAAAACTTAATTTCCACGGTCGCCCGGAGCCGGAACTTCCAGGCGAGCTTTCAAGGTCTGAACCAGCCCAACCCCCCCTACAACTGGTGCGAATAGTCGTTCGCCTACAACTTTACTGCAGAACACATTTCGCATTCAACTTGACCACCCTCTGTGCCGAGGTATCAGAGATCAGATGACAGCTTGCTAGTACATGAGTAAACTCATGTACCTCCGAATAATAGCGAGTCCCACGTGAAACCATGCTTCTTGCATACCGTAAAGAGAGAAGACTGTAAAAGGGAATGTGTTGCCCAGAAAGAACTCGAGAATACCACTGAGGAGCATTACTGGACCACCGATGAAGAAGAAAACACCTCTGTTTTGGCTTCGTCAGTCTTGAATCATCTCTTCCAAGTCTCTAATGAAGTTGCACGAACGTGTTTGCAGCTGCCAGACCACCAGCACCTCGTCATCCTAATAATGACCATGATAACGGTGTCAGACCTGCGACGAAACCCACGAGGCCCCTGTCGAAGCGTTAATCAAGATCCCGGCAGAAATGCAATTGCTGTCTGTGGCGGGCCTGTCATTACAGGGGAGTTGGATTGCCGAATGCTTTGCGTAGATCTCCATGTACATTTGCCAGCGGTTGTAGATATAATTTCTCGAATAACTCAGGCGACATGTTGACCGTGGCAGCAGAGCACACCTTTTCCAGGGCCTCTTCCCGAACCTTGGTGGCTGAGGCATTTTCATATTCGAGAAACATGCTTGCAGTGGAGGACCAGATGAGGTTGTATAGTATGAGTGATACCTTCACCGACGAGATTAAATATGTCGAGGGCTCATGGCAGACTCTGCTGGTTCGAACTCAAACAAAATGCGACCCTTCGGGTCAATGGATGTTAGATCCTTCTTCCGGATTGGGGCCAGCCATTTTATTGATCACGACCATTATATTGTTCATGTCCCAGTTGTGCGTCCGAGGGTTGCGCACCAGTGCTTTCCCATTTGCACTTGGACAAAGACTTTCGAGACATGGTCTGATGCTCCGAAGTGACGTCTCCGAACCGATCGGGAAAGTCCTCGGTCTCAACACATGCCCATGCCTTTAACGTGGTAACGTAAAGGCTACAGGGTCCGACCTCAATCTTGGAAATCGACATAGGGGCTTCAACCCTTCCCCCCGCCCAGATCCACCCCGGATCAATCTCAAATTTGAACGACCACATCGGATACATATGTCTTCGGCCTTCGGAAACGTCACTCAGTCCCTACGATACGCTGATCAGCCAACGACGTCTAACCATGGTGCGTGTAGAAATATGCAAAGCAGTCCATTAGTGTCGGCAGGGTATGGAGGGAAAGGAAATGGTGGCAGGATGGCATTTAAATCGCTTCTATGTTTCGGTGCAGCAGTATACTTTCGAACGTAATCTTGAGGTTCACCTTGTGCCGGCACTTCATATCTGCTCACTGTGCTTAGGGACAAACGACCCCAAATCACTCACAATATATCTCAGAGAATGGCTCGATTCAATCCTCATCACGCCAGTCTGTCTCTGGACAATCTTTCGAACAAAGTCATCGTCCTGAGTGGAGGGTCTACCGGTATTGGAGCTGCAGCTGTCCGTCTCTTGGATTCTCACGGAGCGAAAGTGGTCTTTGGTGACATCGTACCACCAAAGCACTCCCTCGGTGACTTCTTTTGCACTGACGTCTCCAAATACGAAGACACCCATGCGCTTTTCCAATATGCTTTGCACAAGTATGGTCGCATTGACCACGCCGTTGCCAACGCAGTAGTGATTGAGCAGCCTGGCTGGTTCCAACCGGATGTCATACAATTCCTTCAAAAACCACCGCCAGATCTAGTGGTCGACGTCAACCTGAAAGGCACACTGTATTTTGCTCACATCGCCCTGCAGTATCTTGCTGCCACCAAGGGCATCACGGACCATTCACTTACAGTGTTGAGCTCCCAAGCCGGATTCAAGGAGACCCCGGGACTTTTTGTTTATCAGGCAACAAAGCATGCAATCCTCGGTTTGATGAGATCCCTCCGGTTATACACTCCGGCTGTATTTGGTGTTCGCGTCAACGCCGTCTGTCCTAGTATGACGACTACCCAAATGGTGGCCGGCATTTAGGATGCATGGAAAGCTGGAGGAAACCCTGTGAATCATCCGGAAGATATTGCTCAGGTCATTGCCGCTGTGATAGCTGCTGGACCCGGGACTGATGCGATCTGGTATGATGACACTGAGGGATATTCCGAGACTAGGCATCGAAAAAATGTTGGAGGTATTGACTGGGACGATTCCAACGCTGGGTTAAACGGAAGGGCACTTTTTGTAATGGGAGGTGAAGCTTACGACATAGAGGAGGGCCTAGATCGGACTGAAGATCTCTGGCTAGGCAAGAATATGAGCATGAAACTCATGCGAGCACAGAAAGGACTGGGACACGGAGTTGACTGGGTTCCTTCTTGAATCATTATCTATGCGTTAAATCAACCATCAACGCTATACACACCTCCGGTTATAAAACTAGCGTCTTCCGAGAGAACAAAGGCAACTAAATTTGCCACCTCACGGGGATCGGCATATCTTTGTTGGCATGCCATCACAAGGGGCTGTTTGCAATCTTGAGCCTCCTCCATTTTTCCAATAATCGGCGTGTCAACGGCTCCTGAGACACATTCAGTCAGTGCTAGTCAAAACTCACGTCTACAAAAGAGGACTTCTCGTCTGTGCATGAATGTTGGTCAGAAGCCTCCGAGCTGAGTGTAGCATTCTGGGGGCTATCAGAGTCATGGGAGCACGACTTAGCAACCTGTGTGATGATCCTTCTGTATGATGATCCTTCGATTGGACAACCGGCTATCTCCTAGATGTCCTGTGTGACGGGTGGCCCCGCTACCGAACCGCAACTTGGGAGGGGAACGAACATCGCGAGTGTCATAATGAACTTCATGAGTGAAGCCCTAGAAGCGAGGTGGGACATGAGCCCTTGACATGACAGTAGCACTAATTCCATAAGCTGACCGTTTTGGGTCAAGGGCTGTCAGTGACATGATGCGTCTTGGCATATCTATAGGTCACATGATGTTGGAAGGATCCAAACCGGATTGCCTAAAGAGGGACATTAGAAGTACCATTAGGATCCTCTGGCCCTCTGGCCCTCTACCTCTACAGGAGCCTCTAGAAGCGCCCTGGAGGGGACTTTGAGTGCCCACTTAGGCTTTAGATAAGTCCAACAAGTGCCTTACAGGGGCATATGTACGGAGTAAGGTTTTTTCCCTGTATACGGAGTAGTTGGTACAAGCTTTAAACTATGCCAAGGCGTAGTGGACGAGCAGATATGCCCCGATCCAATCCCCAGCCTTGGAACGTGGTCACGGCTTACGAAAGGCGCTGCAAATAAAGTTTCCGGAGAATCCGAGTCATAAAAGAGCTGAAAAATAACCCTAGATCCCTCGTGGGATTTGTCGCTTTTCAACAGTCCATGGGTCTTGAATCTATCCAGTGGAGCTCGACCAAGTGTCGTTCCAGGGAAATAAGCAACCTCGGCGACATATGGCAGAATGGGTATTGACGGGCGTGATCATCTTTCGAGCAAGTAGATTCTTGAGAGCTGCTTGAGAATGATAGGCGCGAAAATACACCACAGGTATGGATCAATTGTGCAGGTAAATTGACAGACGGATATATATCTTCCTTGACGACTATGACTCACATGACGTGGCCAACTGCCATTGACATTTCATGACACAAGCAGCACCGCCCAGGGATATATTTGACTACACTCATTCCTCAATTTGATAACTCGACAAGTTACTTGGTATCCCGACTCCGACAACCATATCCAATTGTTGCACCAAATCTCTCTAAACCCTCTTCGAGTTGTCGGTTTCAGTGGTCGCTTCACCGACATACTCGTGGCCATCAGAGGAGGCATACTCAGCAGGGTCGTCCTTGTCGACAATGCCAGTGACCTTCTCGAGAATCTTGGCGGCAAATAGATCACCGCTGACATTGGTCGCCGTACGGAAACGATCAATGAACCAATCGATGGCAACCACGACAGCATACATGCCTGTGATCTCCACGTTGACCGATTGGGCGATCATGACGGTCAACACCAGCGACGAGCTGGGAATTGGGGTCGCCGCGATCGACGACAAAGTTGACAACAGTGCCACGATGGTATAGTCGCCAGCGTTGAGTCGCTGTCCCTGCGTGGCAGCGAGGAAAGTCACCACCATGGGGAAATAGATGGCAGTTCTGTCATGGTTAGCTGCATGTATTGCGATGCGCGAAAAGCTTCAAACTCACCCGTCCATGTTGATCAAACAACCCAAGGGCACGGAAAACTTGTTGATTGTCTCAGGAACGCCTCTTGCTCGTACTTGTCGGATGGTGACAGGCAAAGTGGCCGCCGACGAGGCAGTACCCCAGGCAGTAATCCATGCTGGAGAACATTTGGCCCAGTATGTATATGGGTTGATCCTGGTAAAGGAATAGAAGATGATGGGCAAGAGAATGAACAACTGAATCACCATGCCGCTGATGGATCCACCAATTAAGACACCGAGATTCTGTCCAATGTCTGCAATGTTGAGGGTCATGAGATTTGAGAGAATCAGGAAGAAGACACCGACGGGTGCAAGATAGATCAAGAAGGTAATGATGATGGTGATGATTCTCTCCACTTCCTTGACGGCTCTAAGCAGAGATGAATCAGGTCCGCGGATCAGACAACCCACAACAATCGACGAAACAAGAACAGCAAGCAAACTATCTTGAGCCAGGGCGGCGACGACGTTGTTGGGGATGAATGATCGGAAGACTTGGACGACGATGTCGTGAACCTCATTGCCAGACCGTTCGTCAATGGTTGCTTGGTCGTCTGGATCGACGCCCAAACTCTCATCACTGGCCACGACCATGAGACGTCTCCAAACGAGATCCACCATGATCAAGCTGTGGACGATGGCCATGATGGTGGTGAGGACATAATAGCCCACAGTCCAGCGAGCCAGTTGGGCACCCTCCTTTGCCATTGTCTTGAGGTTCTGGACAGCAAGAATCATGGCGGTGATGATCAAAGGAAGCACTGTGTGTGTGATCAGCATGGGTTATTCCCACATTGTCACCCGACTCCACGAGATCACGTACCTGTTGCTCTAAGTGCACGAAGCCATAGGTCTCCAGGAATTTGGAGCAGGACGGGCGCTGCTTCAGGAATGTCGTCGACGGTCGAGGTGACAGCCATACCAATCGCAATGGCTACTGCAGCAGCGGCAACGATCTGCAAGGCCGAGCCGGGCGTCTTGAAATTTCGCCATAGTCGTTGACCAAAGTTTTCATTCCTGGTCTCGACATCATACTCGGCGGTCTCGCCATTTCTCAGCGTACTATGGGGCGACCTGGAGTTGCTGCGGTCTCCCACCTGCTGCTGCTCGCCCTCGGTAGCTTGTTCAATACCCTCCTTCATCGTGCTTGAATGCTAAAAAGTTTGGGTATAGTCCTCGAAGAAGAACAAATGCTGATATACGTACACCGGATGGAAGGGTCTGAGGTTGCACGTTGGACAACTGGGGGATGGATCAGACTCAAATCGAAATCGACGGACTCCAGGAAGAGTCGACCTCCATGGCCCTCCATGTTGATCACCTTATAACATCATCAGGGCACGACCAAAGGACCATGTCGTCCCCCAAACCCTCGAGGGACGGCTACTGGAGAGATATCGCATCGCGCCACAGGCCAATTGCAACGTCGAGCCACTGACGTGCCGAGACAGACCGACTCATAGTGCCAAGGCCGCCGAGGCTTTGGCGGCGGGGATCAAAAGGAGGAATCTGCCTACGAGGCCCCACCAAGACGCCAAGATATCCACTCCGCCAACACTCCCAAGCCTTTGGCCAGTCCATATGACGAAGTGGCAACGCGCCTTCGAGGCTTGAAGATCTCTGGGCACTGGAATCCTCCTGCCTTCCATCGAAATCTTGTATAGAAGAAAGGCTTGCAGAGCGATGATATCAATCCAGAGAGATCCCGCGCGGTACGTTTGCGATAAGAGACAGCGGAATGCCGTCATCTAGGGTTTAGGTGTATTGCCAGATTCTTGTCCCAAGTCTTGCCCTTTGCTAATTGGCCGAACATGCACTCGGTCGTCTGGCCACTTAGGTCCCTCTGCCGTTACATCCTGTGATCCTCCAGTCCAAACAAGACTACCCCCGCGAGATCATGCATCAGTCTGCCTAGGGCTGATTTCAGTGATGTGGATCGCCGCTCCTTGATAACATGTCTTCGCACTTCTGCGATGCAACCTCACACATGACGGAGGATTGTCACGGGCGTCGCGTGCGTGCACAGTACTACCAGGGAGTGCGCTGCTCAACCCTGGTCGTCGACCGCGCGATCTACCTAGCTCAAGACCCTCTTGACCTTCCACCTGGCTACGCCGCCATCTCATAGGTTGGGCCTCCGCAGCATATCTATACCCATATCACGCCATGGCTGCAATCCTACTCATGTCACACAATGTCACCCTAGTCGGGCAGCCAGCGGAGAATGGAAATTGCAATATCATCGCGGTTGGCATCGGTTGGCTTTGCCTTTCTTTGCCTTTCGCCTTCACCGGGTTAATCTACCTTTCTGAGATAACGAACACCCTAGTATGCCATCTTTTCTTGGAACTTACATACGAGTAGTGCTGGTAGTATTGCGATCGTGAACCAAGGCTGGGCTAGTCTGATTCACAAGAGCTACTAAAAAGTACTCGAATCTGGGCTGCAAGATACAAAGTCCCTTGCAAGAGGGCATCCACAATACCCATGCACAGTCCGCTGGCTAGAGCAGGGTTCACACACCAGCTATTGACATCTAACTGACCCATGTAGAGCAGCGCCAGAGCTGCACGTAAAGATCAAAGAGGCCTTCTATAGATATCTTGCCGGCACCGAGATAAAGTGGTTACACCGCAGTGTGGACGGAGGCGTTTGCGAGTGGATTCGACATGTGTATGGTCGTCAGGAACACCTTCAGCAGGTTAGCAATCGCTTGCAAAGACTAGCGTCTCATGATGTTAGGCAACGATCAGGCCTTGTCAGAGGGTCGCGTGGACGAATCTAAACCATGTCGGAGAAGATACTACCACGTGTATACTTGATGGTGATCATCTCATCCCTGATCTTGGTAACTTCCGGGTGTCGCTGAAGCTGCCTTTCTAGATGCAACTGATCACCTTGACTGCTGATCATGTTTTGTGATCTATCGGTATGAGGCATATCTTAAATGCAAGAAGCACCGCGTCCTAAAGCGTGTAACACCCACGATTCAGGCCAAGGCTCGCTCGCCTCTCATTGTTTCGTCCGCTTGCCTCGTCACAGTTCCCTGTCTTGTTGGCGTAGGCGTAGGACTCCCATCCCGGTCTAGACCCCGGATCGTCGAGCCTATACTGGCTGATGGCCGGACTCTGCTCCCGACGAACCCCTTGCGGTTGCGACCAGTGCGTCCGCGACCTAGCCAATTGAGTTTAAGTTGTTTGTTGAGTTCCTCCATTTTCGCCTGGGCGTCGTCGCCAGACTGGATAGAACATAGCACCGACAAACACTGTAACATGCGCCCGACGGTCTCGGTTACTTGTGCCGAAGAGCTGTCTGATGGTCGTGCCGCTGGTGGGGAGCTGAATGACTGGAAGGCGACGTCTTGTGCGGGATTGCTTGACACGGACAGGTTGGAGGTGGCTCGAGACCGGCCGCCGCCTGACATACTTCCCAGCAGAGTGCTGCTCTGAGAATTGTAGCTGGCGTACATAGGTTCGAGGCCTGTCGCGGTACCGGGTCTCTCGCTCGTGGCGCTATTACCACGGTTTCTGCCACCGTCAATGTGTGAGAGACTGACGTTGATAGATTCGAGACTTAGTCGGGAGAAGGTTGCCTTCAACACGTCGAATCGAGGAAGAATGATGACGTCCCGGTAGGCAATCAACAAGATTCGTCGAACCTCCAACTCTTCGCCAGCAGCAACGACAAAGTCGCTGCTTTCGCCAGTCGCCGGGGAAGACGACAACTGACTCCCACTGTCAGCGCTGGGCAGTGCTCCCCAGAACTCTGCCGCCATCTTGGGGCTGGTGAGAATCGTTCCTCTGCCTTTGAATTCCTGGTCCAATGGAAGGAAAACGGCTTGCATAAATGGCAACACGGAGCCGAAGACCTGCATCCACAGGCTGACCAGATGTGGTACGAGTCGATCATCAGATGCGGTGCGCAATGTGTGGTTTAGACTGGCAAAACCGGTTCTGAGAAGATCTTCCAGGTCTCCGATGACGATACTAGGGTCTCGCCGCTGAACGCATCTTTGAACGTGGATAGTGACCAGACGATTGAGATTCTCGACCGCAATGCGGACATCCTCGCCTTCAAACGAGACCAGAATCTTTGCTCTCAGGAGATCCCATGCATCGTCAGCAGACATATTGTTGAGACCAAAATTGGCAGATGCATCCTTGACTTCGGCGTAGGGATTGAAACTGCTGTTGGATTGGTTGGTGTAGGTATTCCCGAGAGCCGGCCATTCAGATGTATCGCTCTCAGCACGGCTATACACAGGCTCAAGATTGGCCATGGCTTTTTCTTCCTTTTTCTTTTCTCTCAAGGCTCGGCCGCCATGGCGAAGGTCAAGGCCCGACACAGACTTGGAAAAGGTGGACGAGGGAGCGGGAGACGAAGGGGCGAACGAGTAGAGCGACTGTGGGTTATTGATATCAACAGGACGTGAATTCGAGCTTGCGGAAGAAAGGGAGAGCGCATATGTGTCGTCCTTGTCTTTGAGTTTTAGTTTTTGGCGCAGACCATGATGTTTGTGAGGTTTGTCTTTTTGCTCCGGGGCTGGTATAATTGTGGAGGATGACGGATTGGCTAGTTGGTATAGAGACGAATTTGTAGATGAAAGGGAGTCGGCCAGACTCGCGGTGGAAGCATTCATCACCTTGGAGAGTCCACTAGGAGCAATTCTATCCGTCCTGAGGGGTGAAAGTGGTGGCTTATCTTTGGACTCTTTGTCTTTGTCTCTAGATAATACCATATTCTTAGGTCGAAAGCGCTTCAATCCTCCTTTCTTGGGCTTCTCCTCCTCGATGTGGGTGACTTGAGGAGTGGCGGCGTTTCGCGGAAAGACGACACTGGCAGCAGTCGCAGCAGCATTGTTACCGATAAGTCCATTCCGGTACTGTTGTTCCGGCGGATGAGTTGGGGTGATAGGGCCGTCGTGGGAGCCATTGGAGCCCCGACTGTTACGGCGACTTTCTTGCTGATGTTGTTCCTGAGGGAAGGGAACGGTCGGTGATCGCTTGCGATTGTGGGTTGCTGCGTTGAGATGCTGCATAGCCGCCTGAGCAGCAATTTGCGAAGGCGTGAGACCGGATGTGGAGGCATGATCATGGAGATTGGACTGGCTCGCGAGGGAGGCTGAAGGCATGGAAGGTTCAAAATAACCCTGGGAATGTTGTCTCGGACGATGTTTCTGCAGCTCAAGCGGCGGGGGTCCCAGGTGAGATTTGTTGTCTCGAGGCATGTACTGCGCAGACGGCCTGGAGTGAGAAGGAATGGAGAGGTTGCTGGAATTGGTATGAGAAGTAAAGGTGGGGAGTTGTTGATTGTACGGTGACCTTTTGACCACAGAGAGACGGGAGGAGGCTGATGTATCGCTGCCACTTGATTCCGGCCGGTTGGATTGTTTTGACCCTGCGCGAGAGGAAGGGTTGGGGGAAAGGGGCGGAGGGACAGGAGAGCGACCAGGTCGCCGTTGAGCAGGAGGCTCCATGTTCTAGGTGAGGGAGGGAGGTGGGTGGTGGTGGTGGTAGTGATTGTGGTAGGAGACTGAGGTAAGTCAGATGCAATTGACCATGGTGTGACGGTAGCACAACAAGTCGAACATGTTGAACTAACTGTCAGCGCCTTGAGACAGACCAAGAGATCGACGCAAACAAGAGTAGTCAAGGTGATCAAGGTGATCAAGGTGATCAAGGTTGTTGGCCGTGGACCTGGCAGAGGAATTGAATGAAATCGATTGACGGGAGGTGACAGAGGAGGAAGGAGGCATACGCAGACTGATGCCGCAGTTGTAATGACAACATAATTTATGAGCCTTTGATCAGCTTCCGGACAAATCTGAGTGAAAGTTCCGGTCAATGACATGAAATTTACCCCTCCCCATGACCATCACGACCTGCACATCTCTCCAAGTCACTCACTCTTCCTCAACAACCTTTTGTAACTTCTTTGGCTGCTTCAAGACTACCCTCTTCAAGACCTGATCCCTCCCCTCCGCTGAACACAGCGACCCACAAGTGGGAAGCCATGACCCATGCATTGAATGACAAAGCTCAAGCCCCCCTCATCGCCGCCTACAGTTCTCCCAATGAGACCAAACAATTCGAGCACCTTGTCCCCTCCCCCAAAGTCAGTTCAGACGGAACTCTTGACACAACCACAAAGACACAATATCTCGGCCAGCTACGCGCGTCGACTAAGAAACTTCAAGAAGATATCAACACATACCTGACTCAGAAGATGGAAGAGGACAAAAGAGCCGGGGCGGACACGGTCCAGGGAAAGACAGCAGATGAAGTCGAGGAAGAAAACTATGGAGAGGCACCAGCAGGAGAGGATGACGATGCAGCGACTTGAGACATTTCTATCCGCGCCATCTTATTCTATTAGTCGCACTCTGCGTATCTCTGACTCAACCCTCTGTAACTGATCACGCCTGGCTGGCCACCTCGTTCTGTTTTCGGACCGCACATCCCAGGTGTACCACAGAATTGCTATCATCAATTGTTAGCACTAACCACCCTCACAGCCTGGGGGACCAAGCATTATCAGGCCTTTACTTACTCTGGAAACACACTGATAACGCTACTGCCTAGTCTCTTGTAGCAGACGCCGCAGACTCGATCCTCGTCGACTCGCACTTTACGTTGACGACCACCGTTGGAGGCTTCCTCGCCAAGGAGCAAGCCGGCCTGAACACGAACGGCTTCGACTTTGCGGAGACCCGCACTGATCATGGCTTCGTTCATGATGGTATTGGCATTCCTCATGCGGCCTCGGAAGTAGAATTCGAGCTCTTGGACCAACAGCTCTTGTGGAATCATCTCTAGCGTGGAGCTGGCGGGCAATCGGGCTCCGTGGCGGGCCATCAACTCGATAGCCGGGGCAAATTTCGGTTTTTCTCCCTTGGGCGGATTGAGATATAGGTTGAGCAGAATATGGTAGATGGATGGTTGTTCGTCGACTGGATCAATTGTTGATTTCCGACGGGAATATTGCTTCCCTCTCGTCCCATTCGAAGCAGCTGACGTCGACTCCTCTAGATGGGTCTGATTGCAATACTCTTCCGCCTTGACCACATCATCGAGCTTGAAGACATAAATCTCAAGGGCCTGCTTATGGTTGCCCATCTTGCTAAAGACAATGGCTCGTGCTTCGTACAAGTTCGGGTCGTCACGAGAGAGCAGGCCCAGGGTTTGGGCGGCCGAGTATTGGTCCGAGGTGCGCAACAACGTGAGCAGTTTATCCAAAGTTTCTGGCCGATTTTCCAGGTCGGGCTCCTTGAGGCGTTGGAGATAAATGGTGACGAGTTTCTGATGCAGCTCGGGGGTCTGGTCATCGAGCTCATCGACCACGTGCTCGAGGTATCTCTGCGCTAAGCCTTTGTCAACGGGTTCCAGAAATGACAAGACTTTGTCCCGAGGGAGTGATTCTGCAATCTCCGTATCAGCCAGGAAGATTTCCAGGGCTAGGTTCGGCTCGACCTCGAGTGGCCATTGTGCGAATTCTAATATCAAATCGACCAATTCAGGGCCGAGGTTCTGCAGATAGGAGATGGTTCGCTCCGGTCCGTGTAGTTGAGGATCAACATCAGCGATCTTGTCGTCTTGCCCAAATTTTTGCAGCCTTTGGAGGGCTTGACGGTGCAACCTCTTGCCGTAGAGAAATTCGATCAGGTCGTTGTAGCGTTCGCTGTCCTCAAGTTTCGTCATGACCACGTCCGGGTCGCAGAAATTGGAGATGCGAAATAGAGAGCTTGCCAGAGAAGGGGTTGCATACATGTGCGCGCGAAACAATGTCGTGTCGACCAAGCGGGCCACGGCTTGGAGCTTCTCGGGAAGATCAATGTCGTCGAGCGAGGGAATTCCGAGCAGGTATTCTGTGATTTGGCGAATGTCCTCGGTCTGCGAGTTGTTCTCCACGTCCGATAGGGGCCTGACCGTCTGATCGGGGTTGAAGAAGCGTTGGAGTCGACGGCGCACATCGGCCAGAAAGGCTTGCAGCTCTCGCACCGCCATTTTGAGCTCCCTCTCGCTCAAATGATCTGAGCCAGGCCGGATCTCGGCGGTTCGAACGCTTCTGATGCTCCCCGCGTCCGCTTCCGGAGGCGACCCGGTGGTCTTCTTGATCGAACCGGTGATGGAGCTCGACTTTTGGTGCCCTTGGTTGTGGCCATCTGAGGCTTTGGTAGACCCCGACACGTCCGTGCTATCCTTGCGCGTCGGTTCTGCCAAGTCGCCGGCGATTATGTGTGGGTAGAGCTTGATAACACGTTCTGGAGGTGCCGAGACCTCGCCAAAGAGATCCAATGCATCACGGTATTTCTTTTCATCAAAGAGTTTTTGGGCCTTTTGCATTTTGATTTCTCGAAGGCGGCCTTGTTTGTCCTTGATCAAGGTATCTTCGACTATTTCCAGGAGACTGATGCCCTCGTCTAGCTGTCCCAGCTCGACGAGGGCATCGACCTGGTCATCGTAGCTCAAACCTTGCATCCTCCAAACGCCACGCTCGCTGGCGACGAGAAAGCCCTTTCCCCGATGAGCAAGGCTGATGTTTGGATTGGGAACTTGCAACAGAACGGCTCCGGGAATCTCGATAGACTGAAGCAGTGTCAAGGTGACGGGGTTGCGAACCTCCAAGATGCCCTTGTTGGGGTCTTGCAAAGCGAGCAGATACGGGTAGGAATAACTGACTGCCTGAGGGGGGACTCGCCAGGGTATCTGCCGCCGGTCTATGGGCTCAGCGGAGCGATCGATAAACAGTGTGTTGATATCTCTTGCTAGAAGCATCTCGTTGTCGCCTAAGCCGGTGGCGAGGGGCTGGGGAACCACGGCGCCCATGCCAATATAGCTCATGGTACCACCGAGTCTGCTGGACTCTTGGCCAGGGGCTCCTCCAATGCTGCCAGGCCCAACGATGGGCTTAATGTCCTGGGACTCGATATCTACGAATACATAGTTTGGAGTGAGCCCAGCGATGATTTTGGTGCCGGTGGCCCAGGTGAGGGACTTGATGGTATTGGGCAGAGCAATCTCTGTTGCATCATGGTCAAGTTCGCCATCATGCCACGACCAGAGGAGAAGGCGACGCTTGACGGCAACGGCCAGGCGGCTGACGAGGGTGGGAACACCAGTGCTAGGCTCCTTGACGATATTGCTAGTGACGGCGAAGAGGGAAGCGCCTTTTGTCTTTACGAGTTGTTCGGCGAGTTCATAGGTTCCAAGGTCATGTATTGAAACCAGGCTGTTGCTGAGGGAAATCAAGATGTTGGCTTCACGAAAGACGGCCAGTTGATCGATCTTGTATCTCGAGAACTTTTCGTATTCGCGCAGGAGTTCAGAAGGGTTGGGGAGGGGAGAGGGAGGGGAAACATGGTCGCTAGACGAGTCCTGAGGCGTGTCTGAAGTTGGCTCGGAGGGCTGGGAAGGGGGGTTGTTGACACGATATATTCGTAGAGAGCCGGTGTTGAGGCCGACTAGCAGTTGGTCGCTGTGAGAGAGGATGGACTCGATTTTGGACTTGTCGCGCTGCTTGAGCTCAACGATAGGCTGTGCCGTGAAGGCAGACAACATTGAGGAAGATGAGGGGACGAATGCGCATGGCCTGCAGGATGGTTGGGTTGGGAGAGGGAGCGAGGGCTGATGTTGGCTGTTGTGGTAGTGAGGAGAGTGGTGGGTTGAGGTTGATGTTGTTGGAGGATTGAAGCCTTGGAGATCAAGTGACGTGATGATACATGGCTTCAAATGTTTGCTGGCGCAGAGAGTCACCAGTTGCTGCTTAGGTCCCTATTCTCCGTAGGTAGGCCGAGGGGCGAGGGGGGCCGAGTGGCACTCGTAGCACCCAAGACAACTGCCACAAGACACCTACAGAGAGTATCTGATGTGGAGCCAAATACTGAAGTTTCGGGGGTCCGAGTGCCCAAGCGCCTCCTCGGCCCTTAGGCTCTGGGATGTCGGGGGCGTCAGGCATTGGCGACCACAAAGATCCACTAAATTCTTAAGCCTACAATAGCGGGGAACTATCGCTTGTGGTCGATACTCCGCGTATTGAACAGTCTTCCATCCCATTTGGCTTGTGAATATGAGATGAATACACACTCATGTTCTCACACCAGATGTTATACGCGAATGAGTACCAGGGCGAGATATGTAGCTTTCTCTAGTGAGTCCAGTCTTTTAACCAGTTGAGTCCGATTGGTCTGGCCGTGTCTCTGAATCAACCTCCTCTTGATCGTCAGCCTCGACCAGACGAAGAGTCTCTTCAATCAAGCCAAAATCAGCTTCAAGTTCTGCCATCAACGCCTCGAGGTCTTTGAGTCCTGAAAACTCCATGGCCGTCTTGTCCAGGAACTTTTCAAGCGAGTCATTCTCCTTGGCAAGTTTTTTTGTCTCCTTTTGCACAGTCTCCTCTTGTTTGGCGAGTGCTTTGGAGTTTGTGTGGATATCATCGGCTCGTGAGTAGAATTCGGTGATGCTGCTGGCACCTGTCGACTTGAGCGAGCCGACAAAGGCAGCCTTCGCTTCGGCGGTGCGACGGGCGGGGTCGGCAGACTGGTGGACAGCGGAAGAAGAGGCTGACGGGAATGAAATGCTATTGAGGTTCATGGTGGATCATAGAACAAATAACCACAGGTTGGGAGAGGGCGTATGCAAGATGGGACTTCAACGTGGTAGATGGCAGGTGGGAGGATGCTGAGGAGGGTTGGCACTTGTGATAATGTACCTAAGGCATGTATGACCCATGCTTCCAGAAGACCTATAGTCTGCATGCTGTGCTTGTTATGATGTCTGGAATCTTTGGCTACAGTAAAGCCGAGAAACCCTCGAGCTCCATCCCTAGGACTTTGGTCTCAGGGCACTATCTCACCAATGCTTACCTACCTAGGTACCTAGGAATTGTTGTTCACTTTGAGGTCAAGCTGTACCCCCAAGCTATGCCTACAGCCTCAGAGCTTCGAACACCTCTCTAGGTTAGGTACCTAGTAGGTACTCACTCCAAGTTCTTAGTTAAGATTTTGCGGCGCCCCCGGCGCCTCGGCCCCTCGGCCCACCATCACCTCCAAGTCCAACGCCAACGCCAACTCCTGCGGTTCGCTCCGTGCCTTTACTGCGCCGTGGCCCACAGCATGGCATCGACACCATGTTCAAAATATACTGTATGCTTCACCTTCCTCTCTCCATCCTCTGAACATCACATTCTATGTCATTGCGGCCATCCTAGCAATATCTGCCCTATGGATTCTCCGGCCCAAGACTCCAGAGCAGAGGTTCGCCACCACCGCTGGGCATCACTCCGTTTCTGATGAGCAACCTGCCGACCAGCCAAGCAAGTCGGCCTATACGGGCATCACACCTGGGCTTCAGGTTTTGCGTGAACGTAAGAATGCTATCATTGAGTACCTTCGTCTTCTCTCGTACCTATGAAAGCCCTTCATATATTGACCACCACAGTATCGTGGGTGTTCATGGTCTCGGCGCACACCCTGCCCACGCCTGGCTCTGGCAACCCAAAAGCAATCCCAAACACGGCCTTGCCGCCAAATTGGGCTATCCGTCAAACGACGTCCACTGATTGCGCGATCTTCTTCCCACCAAACTGAGGTCTGCCCAGACACCCTGTCGTGTCATGATCTACAATTACCATTCTGCCTGGCTAGTCAACGCTCGTGAACAACGCCTTTCCAACATCTCAGACCGCTTGTTAGACCTTATTCAAACCTACCGAGGGAGAATCGACCGCCCGATCATCTTTATCGGCCATAGCTTTGGAGGAAATCTGATTGAACAAGTCTGGTAGACCTTCTTTCCACTGTTTTAATCTACTGAATCTATCATTTTCGATGAAGCGGGTAACAATCGCTTCAGGCCTGGCGTTGAGCCTTCCGTTCATTTCTGCCACCAGTCTTTCAAAGACTTTCTCTTCTCCGACCAAGGCGTATGGTATCATTTTTCATCCCACAACCTCGGCCTTTTAACCAGTGTACGCCTTTAATGGAGGCCTGTCAATATTCCTACCAAGAAATCGCTAGGCTCCTTGTTACACATGAGGCCGATATTAATTCGAGAGATATTAGCCAATATATGCCTCTATGGCACGCCTGTCTATGAGTTGGAAGAGGTCTCATTTGGATTCTCGCTGTTCAGGACGTAGTCACTAATGTCATAGCAACATTGACATTTCATATCTGCCATGCCTGCTAAGCAAATCGTGGATCTCAGAATTGAAGATCTCGTGCCCTCATGTCCAAGGCAAACCAAGCTTATGCATCTCGACGGCGAGCTGGAAGAGATAATCGAGGCTTTCGCATTGTGTCTTTGCCTTAGCAGGAGTGTCCCCCCAAACATATCTAAGAGGGTTAGCATAAGCGGTTTTGAATAGGATGAGGACAAAGACTCACATTCCATGTCGACGGACCAGGACCGCATACGTGTCGGGATATTGATCCATGGCCTTCTCCAGCCATTCGGTCAAATCTTCCTCAAACGGAGTGTTCTCGATGATGGGGATCCGTAGAGTGTCGTGGAATCCAAGCATTCCCTTGCTGGGACCCTTGGGGATACCTTTGATCTGCTCAATGTTGCTGATCTCAAAGGGGGCGTCTTTGCCGTGTAGCTTTTCAACTAGCAGAGTCACGAGTACAGCCCATTGCGAGTGGGTGTGGATAGAACACAGGGCCCCGCGTTCAAACGCTGCCAGGAAGAGGGGCGTACAAGCTGAGGGCTTCAGCTCAAAGGGCTTTCGAACGTAGTTGCGTGCCGACGGAGGATATTTTGGTGTAGGCCAAGACAGAACGAACATGTTTTCAGGCTGAATCAGCTCTTTTTGAACGCCGGATGGAGCAATATAGACATGGTCATCTTTCCGGATGCTTGTACCTCCACCAGTCCCAGTCACCCAACCTTGGTGAAGATTAGTGATTTGATGTCCGGTCACTTTTTGGACCATTTGTCGCGCTCACCTAGCGTGTAGAACTGCCTGCATAGCCGGGGTATCAGGTTTGCCGGGTGGTCTGGGTCCTGCGACTGTACGAGCTGATCGTTGTTGGTGTCGGACATGGTGGCGGGGTAGCGGAGAGAGTATGGTAAAAATGGACAAATCGAAGGAGTTGGATCAAATTATCTTTCCATACCTGGCTATCGATTTCCAGGTTGCTCAGAGCTGTAGTAGAATCAATGTGATAGGGAACAATCAATGCCCAATCTCGTCAGCAAAAATTCTTGCCCACGTGGTTCTGATGAAGCGGGAAGAAGCCAAAGTTGATTCTTGGCACGGGCAATTAATGGTTTGGAAGGTGCAACCCACCCATTGTGGAAACATGGGAAGGTGGTCGATTGATTGCGTGACAAGTGCATCATCGCCTCTTCAAATTAGGGTCCAAAGGGCAAAGCATACATTGAACATGCCTTTCTATCAGTAACAGTCGTTCCTAGCACGAAACATCTCGTGACAGTAGTAGCGCAATATATGAACTGATTAAAATGTGATGAACACCACGCAAAAAGCCTACTTAGTCATGGACACAATACTGGATGTATTCACCAGCAGAATTTGAGAGGTGACACGCCCCCGGCTGGTTCTGAGTGCTTAGTACTGCCTAAGTCTGATAACTACCCCTAGCGTGAGAATTTACAGTGCAGATTCCAGCAACCTAATGCCCACTAGTAGGTGACTAACCTACTGCGGCTGCTTCGTGCTTCCCTATTCTTCCTGCACCCGCAACTGCAAGTAAAGGACACCTTTCAGTGTGCCATCTTGACTTGTGTCCACCCTGCCCTGCCCTCGACCCATTCGCGAACTTTCCAATGTTCAAATAAATCACCACCACCCTCACAAACTCTCGTTCCCTTTCTTCTTCTGTCTTCACCATCCTCTCCCAAATCGACCTCTACTTTGTCGAGTGTCATACCACCCTCTTTTACTCTTTTCTTTCTTCCTCTGATTGATCCTCCATCATGAGGCTCAACGCTGCCCTTACCCCGGCCTTATGTGCTACCGCACTGCTAGCTGGTGCCGCGTTAGCCCAGGAAGACGTAGAGCCTTCGTCAAGCATCGTGGAGAAGCCCACTTTTACAGTATGTTCACATCTTGCCACTGTTTCTTCCTCCTATTGACCATTTCCTCTCCAGCCCACCACCCTTAAAGCCCCTTTCCTAGAACAGTTCACCGATGATTGGGACACCCGATGGACACCCTCGCACGCCAAGAAGCAGGACTCCAAGAGCGAAGAGGACTGGGCCTATGTCGGTGAATGGGCGGTCGAAGAGCCAAAGGTGCTTCCGGGAATCATTGGCGACAAGGGCTTGGTTCTCAAAAACGCAGCTGCTCACCATGCCATCTCAGCGAAGTTCCCCAAGGCTGTCGACAACAAGGGCAAGACCCTTGTCGTCCAATATGAGGTTAAGCTACAAAACGGTCTAGAGTGTGGAGGCGCCTACCTCAAGCTACTGCGCGACAACAAGGCTCTTCACGCGGAAGAGTTCTCAAACAGCTCCCCATATGTCATCATGTTTGGTCCTGACAAGTGCGGTGCCACCAACAAGGTATGAGAGCATGTTTCCCAAATCTGGCGTCTTTGTCTAACTAGTTCAGGTTCACTTCATTTTCCAGCACAAGAACCCCAAGACCGGAGAATACGAGGAGAAGCATCTCAAGAGCCCCCCGCAGGCAAAGACCAGCAAACTCACAACTCTATACACCCTGATCGTCAAGCCCGACAATACCTTTGAAATCCTCATCGATAACGTGTCAGCCAAAACTGGCAGCCTCCTCGAGGACTTCTCTCCCGCCGTCAACCCCGACAAGGAAATTGATGATGTTAATGATGTCAAACCTGAAGATTGGGTTGAGCTTGCTCGCATCCCCGACCCAGAAGCCACTAAGCCTGAAGATTGGGATGAGGAGCAGCCATTTGAGATTGTCGATGAGTCGGCCGAGAAGCCCGATGACTGGCTTGAGGATGAGCCATTGACCATTCCCGACCCTGAAGCTGAGAAGCCTGAGGACTGGGACGACGAAGAGGATGGTGACTGGATCCCTCCCCAAGTCCCCAACCCCAAGGGTGACGAGGTCTCGGGTCTCGGTCCATGGACCAAGCCCATGATCAAGAACCCTCTGTACAAGGGCAAGTGGACCGCACCATTTATCGACAACCCAGACTACAAGGGGCCTTGGGCGCCTCGCAAGATCCCCAACCCCAACTTCTTCGAGGACAAGACTCCCGCCAACTTGGAACCTATTGGAGCTGTAAGTTTAAACGCGACCCTTGGCTTGTCAAATGCTATGGACCCACTGACTCGCTATAGATTGGCTTTGAGATCTGGACCATGCAATCTGACATTACCTTCGACAACATCTACATCGGTCACTCGGTTGAAGACGCCAATGCGCTCCGGGCTGAGACTTATGACATCAAGCGGCCGATTGAAGATGCCGAAGACGCAAAGAACAAGCCCAAGACGCCTGATGCCAAGACCACGACCCCGGGCCTCACTTTCGCAGAAGATCCAATCACCTTTGTCAAGGAGAAGCTCGAATTGTTTGTCGCTCTCGCCCAGAAGGATCCTCTGGGAGCCATTCAGGAATTGCCCGAAGTGGCTGGAGGCATTGGTGGAGCGCTAGCCCTCATCATTGCCATCATCGTGGGATTGTCCAGCCTGGGAGGCTCTGCCGCACCTAGCAAAGAAGATATCAAGAAGACGGCTCAGAAGGCCAAGGAGACTGCAGCTGATGCCAAGGACAAGGTTGTCGATGCGGCAGCCAGTGGAGCTGAGGCTGTCAAGACCGAGGTCAACAAGCGAACCACGCGTTCTAGCGGGAGTGCTGAGTGAAGGGCAGGTCGAGTTGCAGGGGATGTGCTTGATACTCGAACGAGATAGCAGGTGCTCTGATACCGCACAAGGTAACGGAGGGAACGAAAGTGTACTGTGATTTGCCGTCCATGAATGGGGGCCACATGTAGACGGAGGGATACATTTTCAAGGCGCCTGAGGCAGCCAGTGGCCCAACAAAAGTGGAAATGAAAGCGGCGTCTTTGAACGCGAGTCCATTGAGGTTCATGTACATCAGAAACATTCGGGGCAATTTGACACGGAGTTGAATGACGATGATGACGTCGAATCTAGAGTGTCGCGTTCAAGTTGTCGTGACCGGATGTGGAAGAAAGTAAGTCACGTGATATCAGATCCCGTGACCGATGACTGTTTGTAGTGCGGTGACAGTGTGCGTCGTCTGGAATGTCGTAAGTACCTATGTACAGATATATCTACCTACGTGCATGTATCCGTACATCATAGAATGGGTACCTACCGCAGGTACCTAACGAGCTACCCTTCAGTACCAAACCACTATCCGTTGACAGTTGCTGATTGATATAATGAGGACAATAGATGGGCGGGCATAGACCGTCTCTCTGTTGGAAACAATTTGATTTGAATTTCGACATGTGTCAACTGCTCTGTCGATCAACCTAGCGAGCGAGCAAGTAGATCAGACAATGACAACCGGCCGAGTGTGTCAAATTGATAGCCGACAGCCAGATATACATATATACTCCAGAAAGACCTCCAACCTATAGGCACAAATCCGGGGTGCCTGGGAAAAATTACACTTTTTGGGCCTTTTCCCCAATAATCGAGTAGAACGAAGGTTTCATTTCTTTCCTCCTCTCCCACTTCAGTTTCTGTTACTGTCGGCTCAAATCATAAGACTTATGAATGAGTAGGCATGGCGACTTGTTTCTCAGTGGCGATGGCATCCTCGGCCTTCCACAAGCTGGTGACGGTCTTCCATTGAGTGTAGAAGCGCAAACCGTCCTTTCCGTAGAAGTTGCTCATACCGGTACCGGCGACAGATTTCTTGTTTCCGGTGAAGCTGAACATGGGCAAGGGCACTGGGATGGGGACATTGATACCAATCTGGCCGGCCTCGAGCTCCTTCTGGAACAATGATGCTGTGGCTCCGCTGCGGGTGAAGACGGCGGCTCCGTTACCGTATTGGTTGCTGTTGATCAGGTCGAGGGCTTCCTCTGTCGTCTCAACGTTCAAGCACACCAATACGGGTCCGAAGATTTCTTCGGTGTAGCACTTCATGTGGGGCTTGACGTTGGCGATGATGGTGGGGCCAACCTATTCGTGGAGGAAAAGAGTATGTTAGTATTTTGGTTGACAGGGCGAGTTTGAAATTGTTAGAGAGGGATGGGGGAAGAGACAAAGACTTACCCAGTTTCCGTTGGGGTACTTGGCTGGCTTCTGGCCTCGTCCGTCAAGAAGGATTGTGGCGCCTTCGTCTTCAGCGCTCTGGATCAGAGCCTCAACTCGTGCCTTGCTCTGAGGGCTGATCAGGGGACCAAGATCTGCTCCTTCCTCGAAACCACCGTCCATAACCAAAGCTTTGGCGCGCTCAGCAATTTCAGGAACCCAGTCTTTGGTCTCGCCAATCATGACCAAGGTGCTGAGAGCCATGCATCGCTGGCCAGCGGCACCAAAGGCAGCGCCGGTGATGGCGTTCAAGGCGTGGTTCTTGTTGCAGTCGGGCAGGACGGCCGCGTGGTTCTTGGCTCCCAAGTTGGCTTGCACACGCTTTCCGTTGGCGGAGCCACGAGTATAGATGTATTCACCGGCGCGGTTGGAGCCGACAAAGGAGATAGCCTTGATGGCGGGCTCGTCAATGATGTAGTCGACGGTGCGAGCGGCACCGTGAACAATGTTGACCACACCGTCGGGGAAGCCTGCCTGTTTGCACAGCTCGGCAATGATCATGGCCGCACCAGGATCACGTTCGCTGGGCTTGAGGATCAAGGTGTTGCCAGTGACAGTGGCGAGAGGCACACTCCAGAGGGGAATCATGGCGGGGAAGTTGAAGGGGCAGATGGCGGCAGTTACACCCAAGGGTTCTCGGTAGGAGCGGGTCTCCATGTCTTTGGCAACTTCAATGACTTCGCCAGTCAATTGGGTGGTGATGCCACAGGCAGTCTCGCAGACTTGGAGACCACGGAGAACGTCACCCTTGGCATCAGCAAAAGTCTTGCCCTGTTCCAGGGTGATGGACGCAGCCAGACGGTCCATGTTCTGGCGGATCAGGTGAGTGAGCTTGAAGATGATTTGTTGACGGGTGATGATGGAGGTGTTTTTCCATGTCTTGAACGCCTTCTCGGCGGATGCGGTGGCAGCCTTGAGCTCAGCATCGGTGGATTGAGGAACTCGGGTCACAAGGTTGTTGGTAGCAGGATCGTGGAGGTCGATCCAGGTGGTGGCTTGTGAGGGGACGAACTTGTTGTCGATGAAATTGGGGGTGTCGACGATGTTTGTGATCTTCTCGTGGGTAGTGGGGTAGTCGACGGCAGCAGGGCTGGCTGCTGCGAGATGTCGGGTGGTGGCATGTAGCCGTCGCTTAGCGACTTGTTCTGCGGGAGACATTCTGGTCGAGGTGATGAAGGAGGAAGTGATTTGGGGCGAGGCTCTTCTGGCAGTCAATGCGGGGATGGCACGGCAGAGGGACCGTCTGGCAGCGGCCATTGTGTAAGAGGAGATGCGAAGAGGGGGACAGAATTTAAATACCAAGCAAGCTGACGAGCAGGCTGAGATGGGGCAAGACGGCGATATCGAGAAGAGATGAAAACAGAAGGGGCAGGCCAGCCAGCAATGATAATAGTAAATAGTAATGGGTTAAGCCGTGACGGTGTGGTTGTTTGATAAAAGGCAAGTCGGCGTCAACGGCGAAAGAAGATGGATCAATAATCTCTGCCCGAGGTTAAGGTTGGCACTGATCCATGATTATTATTGGATGCCGGTGACTCTCGCCCACTCTTTGCATCGGATAGGTCCCTGTGCTGCTCCTCCGGGGGACAGAATGGTCGATTCAGAGCCTAGAGATGCCCCGGTCCTCTGGCTGGATTGGACCCTCAATGCCTGCGCTTCTTGCTTAGATGGCACTAAAGGCTGGGGAATTTTGTACGGGGTATGGGTAACGTACAGTTCGCTTGTACGAGAAACCATATGATTCTGCGTGTTGATTGGTAGACAAGAATTCCGGGCCGAACTAGGGCCAAAATGATGGTGAGGAAAGAAGACCGAGAAGGCGGCAGTAAGTACAACCACTGGCCCGTGGTATACGATACCCCTTCAGGGGTATTTATCCTATCTTTCGGCGCTTTAGGGGCTGGAAGACCTCTATTTTGGCACCTAGAGCCGAACCCTTTAGGCGCTCTATTTACTTGTTCAACCTCCCACTCTGACCTGCGGCTACCATCGGTCTCCGTCGACACCGGCGTGACCGGCATTCTGGCCCAAAGTGGACATGCGTACATCCCTCCCACTCAGATTCTCGTCGTGAATTACCCAACTTCTTCAGCCCTTGCTTGTCAATCCGTTTCCTTTCCGTGTTCCGTCAAAATGCCTACAGACATGACCCATCCTGAATTCTCGGGATTTTTTTTCGAATAGGGTGTCTTCATTCCTCACTACTCGCCGTACGCTAGTGTCTGATCGCCTACTACTTCACCCTTGTCTTAAGCCTTGCCCGTGTAGTCATATACCAACCGGGCCAACTCATGCTTGTCACCCTTCTGGTTCTGCACCATCACCCGGCGTGTGTGATATCTCTTGCCATCAATCTCTTCAAACCCCCAATTCTGTTCTGCTGCCCATCGGTAGCCTTCGTCCACATTCTGAACAAAGCTATGCAGATGGTCATCTTCCAAGAATCGTGAATCTGTCTGACCGTCCTTGAGCTTGTTTCCCAGCATGAATGCCATCACTTCTGCAGGCATCTGTAGCACGGGCTCGAACCCGCCAGTGGTCCACATCCGAGATCGGCCTTTGATATTGCCAAAGATACGATCGCTATGATCTCTCTCCTGCCAATCTAAGGTCCGATTTTCCTGCGTAGTTGACAGGCCCGACGCCACCGAAGTGATGTCGATGTGAATGACCGAGTCTTTGGTGTATTCTTTTACGGTGAGCTAGACATATCAATCAGTCATCTGTTGGTCTTGGTATTGGTATTGCTGTTGGTCTCCGGGGCAAGGCGGGGTTGGTTGCGAAGTAGGAAACGGCACTTACCACCACGGTCGCTAATCCAATGGCTTTGCGGGTAAACCAGCTGAGACCTTGCAAGACAAACAAGGGATCAATTTCGTCGGAAAGGGACTTGTTCTGTGATGAAATCAGTATCAACTAGATCCTCGACCTGTGATAGCGCCGCTGCGTACCAGGACAAAAGTGCCCGACAGATTGGTCATGGTGACCTCGGGAGGGCTGGCCATGGTTGTGGGACTTGGCTGCGCTCGTTCACGGGAAGAAAAGAGTGACTGTAAAGACCTTGGAGTTCAAGGTGGTTGATCAAGCAGATACTTGTAGTCAAGGACAGTCGTAAACATGTGAACCAAGCAACTGTGACTCGGCTGACTGCTGACCGTGACCAGGATGGAGCCGTTCATGTGAGAAGGAACTCGTTTGTGAGGCTTCTGTCATTATTAGCTGGACGATAAACAAGAACACGAGAGAGGCTGCGGGGTGCCGTCATCCCCAGAACCCACTTGCCACAAAGCCCAAGAGCCCAAAAGTCACCCAATGGAGGAGATATTCTAGCAATTCGAGCCTTGCCAATGTAACTAAACTTGCTTTAGAGCGGGGCTTAAGGATCCCTCTCAGACTGCAGAAACAAATAAGCGCTTGGGATCTGGAGGGGCAGTTCTTAGGCACAACTCTGACCACCATCAACACCTAAAGATGCCGAGGTCCCTGGACGATCGTGGCGCCTAAGCACTTATAGGCGTGGCTGGTTCCTGAATGCTACCCTTCATCAAGCAACAAGTCCGGTGTCCTAACCCTCGAATTCCAATCCAAGCCCTTGAAGACATCCCCTCGTCCCTATTCAGGTCCGCCTCCGCGGACAAGTTATGCACCCACGACACCAAACAACCTCTGGAACCTCGGTTTGCGAGATCAGCCACATGCTTCACTTGATCTCGAATTCTCATACTTTTCATCACCAAGCATCAGGCATCAGGGTGACGGCGAGAAGTGTTGATTGTACGTAATTGTGCTTGATGGTTTTTTGGTGGCCCCTGCCTCGGTCTCTCGCAACTGCCTTGTGCCGTTCTCGCAACCACGACATTGCTCCTTCCTTGTTATGCAAGGCACTAAATACAATGCACTATACAACAACACAATAAAAGACTCAACAAGTTACTTAGACTTACGAACTGTGATCATAGGTCTAGACTGGCCGGTCCAATCCTTACCTCGAAGATAAACTGCTCATTATGTTAATCAAAAAGTTATAGCAACTAACGCTATGTCTATTGACTGCTAGGCGGATTGAAACATCCAACATGTCGTTATGCTTCTCGCGGGAGGATCATATACAACCAGGCTTTCCTCTACTATAAGAAACACAAATCTATATCTCCAGTAGAGCTTTCATAATGACAACAAAGTAATCTAATATCACACTATCAACCCTTCAGTCAACAAAATTCTTTCTTATTCTCTAATCATGCCTTCTTTTGAATCCTCAATCGACAGCGCTAGACTCTATTACGTCGACTATATCCCCACCCATTCCCCTTCCGCTCCTCCCTTCCAGCCCACCGATCAACCATCTCTCTATTTCACCGACAGAGACACTACACTAATATTCATCCATGGATGGCCAATGTCACATCGTATGTATGAGCACCTTCTCCTCCGTCTGAGTCAGACACATGGTGTCCGTTGCATTGCGTCCGACCGACGTGGGTTTGGCAACAGTGAATGGAGTGGCAACAAGGGGTACGACAAGGACATCACCTACCAGACCTTTGCCCAAGACACGATCGACTTACTTCATGTTGTTCGCGAGAACGGAGTACGAAAGTTTTACTTCGTCGGAGCCAGTATGGGCTGCGGCGAAACCCTGTTGTCGTATCTTTCCTGCAGCCCTGAGCTCCAACAGGACTGTCTAGGCTTCGTTTGGATGGGACCCAGCGCTCCATACCCCCTTGCGACTGAGACCAATCCAACTGCACCCACTCGCGAGCTTTGGGACATGATCTTGGCCGGGTTTCGTGCAGATCGTGTTGCCTTTGTGCATGCTAGTATTGGAGGGGTCTTTGGTATTCCATTCAACATTGGGATCGAGTTGCCCGAAAGTGTGTTGAACAAGTTTGAGGCCATTGTGGCCCAAGCCGACTCCCTTGCCATTGAGAGATGTATCCAGATCATCAGCAGCACCGATCTTGCCGAGAACATTAGACAGCTGGATAGGGCAGATGTCAAGATTCTCGTAATTCACGGTGACAGCGATCAGAGTAAGTCTTTCTGCTTCTCAGCGCTAATCCTTCTTGTCGACTGACTTCATGGATCACTCAGGCATGCCTGCCTCTGCTAGCGCAGATATCATTCAATCATTGGCCAAACAGACAAAGGTCAAGATCTACGACAAAGCAGCCCATGGACTTTACCTCACCCATGCCGACCAAGTCATCAAGGACATCTTGGAATTCGTATTCGGATCCAGAGGTTGAAAGGGGTGGACAGGAAAGTTTGCTGGAGGTTGATATTCAGGTCTTGGCATGTCGGTACATCCTGCCGCAATTTGGGGATCCAGCCAATCATCGTCTGCACCTCGGTTCCACCTTCTCCCATTTTTCATCTCCGCCCCAGCAGCATAACGTTATGGTCGTCCTCTTCCGTGTCTTTGAAGGCTGCTGTCATGTAATGCCACCCATGGTTTGATGCTCCTTGTGAGTGTTGCCATCACATGTTCATGGTTTCTTACTTTCTCATAAATATGCGATTTGACTTTTCACCTCAACCTCGTGCGACAACATATGTGTGTGTTTATATTTTCATGACCCCAATGCATGGTCCTCTAGGCTTCTCTCGATTTTCTCAGCCACAAGATCACCATTTGCAGACATCACTTATTCTACAGATACGTTGAGCCTTTTCCTTCTCCCACTACAGAGTGTGCACCGCAGCAGTCATCATGCCTGATCCTAGACCAAAGAGGAAGGCAGAAGCCGTGGAGGTTCCTGAGCTAGATCAAGACCCAGCAGAGCGTAAACGCTTACTAAACGTCCTTGCTCAGAGGCGGTACCGTCAGCGAAAGAAGGAGCACGTCAAGGAGCTCGAGGCTCAAGTAAATACCGCCACAGAGTCTCAATCCACTCCAAACGCTGTCAGCGTGTCATCAGACCAGCCATCGGATAACTCGACCCTTTCACCACTTACTCAGCAAACCTCGGTCTCTCATCCTAGTATGTCGACGAACAAGTCAACGTCCCAGTCCGATCAGCAGCTCGACCCTCGTATTTTTGAACCCATGGATGAGCCCACAGCTCTCAATACTGACCGAGACTTGCTGTCTGCGACCCACCACCAAGCTCAGTCGAGATTCACTCAATCTGACATATTTGCAAGTTACGACAGTGATGGCCAGATGCTTTGCCTTCCTGTCGATGACGAATGCTTTTGGGACATGTCTGTCGTGATCCCTTCATTACCAAATAGTCCATTATCAACATCAACTGGCACTTCATCCACCGGGAGCATTGCACCGTCTATGGTTGCACATCCATTGGCAGACGACTCGGATAGGCTATCCCCCCAACAATCGTCGAGGCAGGCATCAAGACTACCATTTCTCCAACCATATGCCCAATACTCGTTTCCGGATGAAGCTCACCTAGAGGTTTTGGAACTAGACCTGCTTCGCGGGTGCATGGCAATTGCAACTCGTCTCAACGTGCAAGAATCCATGTGGTCTTTGGCCGCCCAGTCTCCATTTACAGACCCAACCATCTCACTCGAACACTGGTCCCACCTTCCTGACAATTTGCAGCCAACAATCGTACAGATGACAGTCCCTCATCATCCTATCATCGACCTACTACCATGGCCAGCAGTCCGCGACAGGATGGCCAATGTCATGGCACAGCCTGTCCAAGTCCGCCCGCCCCAAGCAGCGTCTCCCTTGGCCTTGTTGGACTTTGTGTATGACATCGAAGACTCATCTGAAGGCATCCGAATCTCTGGGAACGATCCTTACTCGGGCATAAACTGGGAAATAGGAGAAAAAGTCTTCAAATCCTGGTGGTGGATTTTTGATCGCGGCGTCATCCAAAGAAGTAATGAACTACGGCAACAGAGAGGAGCACCGATACTAGGATCTAGTATGGGTGCCGTATTGGGTGAAGTGTTATGATGCAACACTTCCAGCTAGCAGATGCCGCTGCTACGATTTCTCAGCTAACTCAGTGGTTTGAAGATACCCCTCGGTCCAAACTGTTGCCTAGGTGTCAGCCACCTTGGAAATGAGAATTGATCGCGTCTCGACACTCTTCCGTGGTGGAGCCTCAGCAGGCGCCCGTGGGTTCTTGACTGGTACATGGGGACAATCTGATGTGTGGGGTGATCAGTCAGTACCCCAGCGGGTGGGTCGATGTCTTGCACACTTACATCGTGCCTGAGGTCCTTTCTCCGAGTCGTACATGATGAAAATGAACAACTCGTCCATTGTCATACTGTCTAGCCAGTACCTGGACTCCATATCAGGCTCACCGGCGTCTAAGAGGACCTTATGGATTGGGATCTCTTTCTCACCATTTTTGGTCAGGGTTATACTTGAGATAATAGACTTCCCCCTCATTACTCGGAATCACCCGATCTGCGGGCACCAAGTCATCTGGATCGACGCTCCGGAAGTCGCACAACGCAAGTGGGTTATCCTCCAGCGAAGCCAACAATGGCCGCCAAGTGCTTTGGCCTGTAAGCATACTCCTTGTTTAGTTTCAATGCCACCATCGCAAACTCACTTGACAATTCGAAATCGGTATCCTCCGTTATGGTATACCGCCTTCAATTCTTCTGGGAGGTGGTCGGCAATGATATTTGGACCACTGATAGCCGTCACATCATTGTGCGCGCCTGCAGCTGGGCCGTCCGGGATTGTCCAGTCATTGAGATCCACGACCATGGCCTCCCTCTGGACATTATGTCGCAACTATTCGTGTCTCAGGGTCAGGAAAGGTGGGAAGGTTCCCTGGCTCAGTGGCCTGGTGGCCGGCGAGAGGAAGTAGCGTTGGATGATTTCTCTTCTCCAGGAGTATCTTACCGTGACCTCCCAACATACGACTCGGTCAACGCCAAATTGCGCCCGCAGAAACTTTTCGGTCTGAGTCTGATATTGCCTAAGACCGCTCCATCCTTGGATATCGGAGACGTCAAACAGATCAGTCACGACCTCGAATCCCGTCTTGTCCAGCCCAAACGCCGAGGGCTCGCAGTCTCGAATGTCCTTGACGAGGATATTTTCATGTTGCTCGAACTCAAGGTTACTGGTCTGGGTATCGGGAGGGAGATTGGCCGCCTGTTCTGGCGATACAAGCACACAATATGGCTTTTCTCGCTTGTAAAGATCGAGGTCCGCGAGATAGCCAATCGAGGTGACGATGTCAGGCATCTTGGTCTCGTGTTGTACCGATAAAGCACACAAACACACACACTCTCTCTTTGTCTACAAGAGGATCAATGAATCAGATGTCTTCCGTTCTGCATTTGCGTAGCCGGGTCAATATCCATGGAATGCCGACAGAGGCTGCCGAAAGCCTGACTTTCCGGTGACACCATCCATTCGAAGGTTTGGCAACAGCGTCTTTCGTATGAATTTGCGCCTGATTACCCTGCCCCCGTGAATACTTGGATTGTCCCCCTGTTGTGGTATGAGTTACAAGAAAAGCTGGACAAGGATTTGATTGGCATAACTGGAAATTGTAATGACCGGAATGGACCTTCAGTTGCCTGATGATGCGTCCTATACCTTGGCCCAGTGGGCTCTAGAGGGACGCGCCATGCAGCTGTTGTGCCGTCCCATAGATTGAACAGCAACAACGTACATACAGTGTCCGTTCGATCACGGGAAAAGCGGCCCGGATACGACAAATGAATCGATAGGAGACACAGAGAGGGTGCCTTTTCCGGTGGAGGATAATCAGCCAAACCAACTCAGTTGCGTATGTATATATATATGTATGGCCTTTGCCAGGCCAAGTTTCTCGTCAGGCAGACTCGTGTCGTCTAACACACCCATTTGTCCAGTTAGTCATCATTCTAGAGGTCATTTGCTCCTTGACTCTTTCTCGCAACCTCCATCTATTCACTTCCTGGAAACCATGCCTCCCACCAACGAGAACAAACCCAACTCTACACCACTCACGGAAAGGGCTGCGCCAAGACAGCCATGGAAACTGTGGAGAGAGTCCAAGCTGCCCAGGGCTGAGGCTGGCTCTGAGCCAGAACTTGTCCTCAAGAAGACTGCCTATGATTCCAGTGATGGCAAAGTCGGAGGAGGCTAGGTGTGCCATTCTGTCCTTCATATCTTTTGCAATCATGTACTAACAACCTCTAGAGATCACGACGGACCAAGATTTCTGAGGAATGCTGATGAAGACACACTGTTCCGCTGGCATAACCAACTCGATACTTGCTGCCTCCGGTGGGGGATTGAATAGTTCTGTATTCCAGTGAGTAGTCGAATCAGAGAATGCCAGAATTGTGTGATTTTTGAGATTCTTTTTGGAACTATACTATGTGATTGTCCCGTTTGATGCCATTGAAATTTGTACTTGAGCCGCACCGATGCCTATCTGAATCAAAGTGAGAAAGACACTCAGGCCTCCAAACGTGATGACGCTCCAGATTGTGTACCTGCCCACATCAGCGGTCTGTGCCAGCTGGGATAGCAACATTCTTACCATTGGAGCAGACTTCTTCGATCATACCAAAGCATGCCAAAAGTGCCGGCATCCTGTTTGAGCATATAATTCTGCAATTTGGCAAGCCTCGGTCCCAGGATTGGAAAGTCATTCGATTGGTCGTAGAAGCCAGCAGAGTGCATGACACCTGTATTTTGCTCGACAAAATGGTCAAAGTATGGGTCTCTAATACCTGTGACTTCCTCCGCACCTTTTATAATGTCTTTGAAAAGGCTTGCCGCCTTACTCTCGTCGCCGAAGATCAAATGATACGACGCAAGCACTTCTCGGAGGTAAGATTTGACGGAAAACGCGTCTGGTTGGGAGTACGAGTCATAGTAACCCGATACAATCCTGCGACGCGAATTAGACTTGAATTCGACCTCTCGAAATGGGGGGGGGCTTCACTTGGACAGAGTCTTGTGGTCAGTCTCGTATACCGTACAGAACGAGGGCAAGGCGAAGATCATCAAGATTCTCTTCTTGGGATCAAACGCTAGGTGAGAGCTTATGTTGTCAACCCACACGATCCGGACCTTGCCAATCTTGGACAACGAGCGATAATTCAGCTGTGAGACGTAGAGGTCTCTCTCGGAAGAGTCAGCATCCGTTGCCTGACCTTTTACCGGTAACAACGAGCCGAACTTCTGTATCGTTTCGCAAATCGAGTGCTGAGATTCGGCAACATCCAAAGCTGTCGTATCAAGGTCACATGACTTGTCTGCTTTCATACGCAGTGCGAAAGGTTCGGCTGGGGCTTCAGGGCTATAGATCATACAAATCCAAGAAATGATCGAGAACATTGTTGCGCGAGCCTTGGGTTGAAGGGGATACTCCAAAGCTGGTGCAGCAAATAGATTGCGATCAACGAGATGCTCAAGTGTTTCATCAATACCAAAGTGGTACGTCGTGTTAGCGCATTCGACTATTCCCGTGAGGATGTCAAAAACTTGGTCCATTCTTGCCGGTGGGTCATGAGGTGGTGCGTACATCAGCTCGCATAATCTGTTTCGAAAGACATCATCTGCTTGATGTTGGATGTACTCAAGGTAGGTCTTCTGGTGAATTGAGATGACAGCAAGGACTGGAATACCAGCAGAAGCGGCGAGAAATCGTCGTGATGCGACGGTGTCTGTTGCGGTTCGTCTCTTGTTAGTCAGAACATCCAAGGAGAAATGGACGATTACGGTCACGTTACCTAATACTGTGTCCATGGTAGAGGCTTCCAAGTCAACTGATTTGCGCTTTCTTGGAGAAAAAGGTCTGGTCCATCGCCACTGAACCTTTTTCTCGTTGACAAGGCTTTCGAACATACTGGGAGGTGGTCATTGGTCCCACTTGTTACGACACTTACGTCGGCAACCAAGGCATCACCTGTTCTGAGAGGAGCATGGAACCATGTTCCAAGATTATAAACCAGATAAAACCATCGGTTGGACGTATGAGGCTGAAAATTGTCCGGCCAGGTGAAGATTGAACGATTGCCTTGCATGTTCCCTCAGCATACTAATGCCTGAGGGCAGTCCAATGTTGTACCCTTAAACGAGGAGCTTGCTGGGGCCAAAAGACTTTCATAGTTGGACAAGCCGTCCACCCACCGCGCCATCGGAGCAGAAAAGGGCATTGATCATGGTCGAGAGGTCATCATGACAGGTCCGAACCCGCAAAAGTTTGCACAGCCTTTTGTGTCTCCATGCTGATCATGACCGTGATACGAATCGCGGTGTAGGGAGAATCGTGTCGGATACCACCATGTACTGCTTGATCAGATGCAGTAATCTAAGACCTTACATGTAAAGAGAAAAGGCAATGATTTCTTTGTGAGAATGTCGGTTAGCCGGGACTCAGCCTCACTCGGTAACACCGTTTCATTTGTTGATTGCTGCATGGACCGTGGTTCGAGAAAGCGGGCGGCAGCGAGGAAACAGTATTCAGCGGTCTGGTAAGAGTGTAAAGGGTTGTAATGTCAGCATGAAGTGGACAAGTCCACTCGGTGATTGATCTTCACTGTAAGGAGTTGGGCGTAGGGATTCATGCCATTGCCCGGGTGGGGCCCATGGAAAGTCATAACGGTCTTCCATTGGCTTGGTGAGGAGGGCTTGGTGAGGAGGCATTGGCATCTGTACACACATATACGAGGACTCGTATCTGGGCGGACATCGGGACAGTGCCTTCACCTCCCGGCAATATGCACATACCAGTACCTTAGTTGCACAACGCAGAGGCACTCTTCAGGGGTCCAGGGTCGTTATTGCGCCCGGCTTTAGGCATATGAGAGAGGATTCACGTTGCCCCAATTAAGAAGGTCTAGCGTTGTGTGTCACCTTGCTGGCCAATCATGCCTGGTGACTCAGGAGCCACTATTTGATCAGGCTGCATGTTGCATATTCTTGTGTGCTGCGGCCTAACTACTGCCTAGCTACTGAGAGCCTCGAACAACTCAAGAACACTTACCTTCCATCCGAGTCAGTGGGTAGTTCTATCCCATTAATTACTCGAAATGGGAATTTGAACGCTGTCGAGGTTTCTTGTTGCCAAGTCTGTTCTCGCGCACGTGAGTTCTATTACAGTGCTGCCGGATTAGACATCTAGCACCACCGGGTCATGCCATTAAGAGGTGCAAAACGTCTGTTGTTGACTGTCGTTCTCGCAACACTGGCCGCTTTCTTCAGATATAGAAGGACCCCCAACATGACCCGAGGCTGGAGTGCTGGGAAACTCCCGCGTGGTACCAGTGGAATTCGCAATGCTCCGCCGCTGTTCGATGCCCTGACTGCAACCGCTCACGACTTGCAAAAGGCGCTGGCTGATGGCAAACTGAGAAGCACTGATCTGGTTCAGGAGTATGTGTGGAGGACGGAGGAGTACAATGGCTACCTTCGCGCCGTGGCACAGTATGCTCCCAATGCTTATGAACGAGCTCAGGAGCTGGACGAACAGCGCACTTCAGGCCAAGTAGCCACTGGACCGCTGCATGGGATTCCAGTCCTCTTGAAGGTTTGAACGCGGCACCTTTATTTCACGTCATCGGTTTAACTTACAACCCCAGAACACAATATCGACAGATGCTTCTTTGCAAATGGACACTACTGCTGGCGCCGCTGCACTCATAGGGTCCATACCGTCGAAGAATACCCCTTTGGTTGACCAGGTAAGTCTTTCTTCACCAGACCGTTGTCTCACTGACATGAGATATATTAGCTGCTCGATGCCGGGGCTATCATATTGGGCAAGGCAACCTCATCGGTGAGTTTCCCAATGCCCCTCATTTAGCTACATCTAATACAGGTATCTCCAAATAGGAACTCAATTGGAACAAGTCTGTATACCCCTCTGTTTCGTCTTACTAAAACCTTTAACATGCCTAGGGATTGTAACCTTCCATGTGGCTGGTCCACTGTCGATGGTCAATCACAGTCACCATATGTCTTCGGAGGACTGAGAAATATCGCGGACGATGGGTTGGGAGGCCATAGCGTGAGTGAGATGTCAATACCAGGCCAACATCATTGCCAGCGCTGAAAAATACCAGAACCCAGGCGGGTCTTCTACCGGTGTTGCAGTCGCACTTGCTGCAGGACTAGCACCCATTGGAGTTGGTTGTGATACCGAAGGTTCAATCACGGCACCCGCAATAAGAGCTTCCTTGTATTCGATGAGACCAAGCACCGGCCTTGTGTCGAGCCAGGGAGTTGTGCCTCTTGCCCATTCCTTTGATACTCCGGGTCCGTTGGCAAAAGACCCAGAAGACCTTGCGAATCTTCTGGATGTTCTGAAAACTGATAGCAAGGTCCTAACTGAAAGAAACTTGCCTCTGACGCCCAAGAAGCTTGATTGGAGCTCGATCAAGATTGGTACTCTTGCTCCAGACAGATCCCCCTACCCAGATTTCATCGTCAAGCCAGTTGAAGAAGCCACCGAACAAGCTGTGAGTCCCCCTGTAACAACAAGGTCATATGCCTTTGGGTTAACAGCTTCAAGACCAGGGAAACGCTCAAGGCGTACTCAACATTGAAATCACTCGTCGGGATCTATCACGAAAACGTCGACCTTCCTGATGTTGACGCCTTCAACGTAGGCGATGACCATTCGCTATACACCGTTATGGGTATTTTGAGTCTTGCTACAATTGGAGATTCATTGCACTTTCTAATTCTAGCAGATGCGGAGACACAGGGAGATACGGACCACTATTTACAGTCATTGTCCAAGTCCAAGGTCCGAAGCCTTCAAGAATTGGTGGATTGGAATAAGGATAACCCAGACAGCTCTTTGCCATCAGGTCAGCCCCGACTGTTTTCTCTCTTCTCAAAGCTGATTGTTTCTTTTAGAATATCAAGGTCAATCTACTCTCATCAACTGCCTTGAGACTGTTCCAAAAGAGAAGGTGGAGATGCTGCGTAAACATAATCTGGCACTGGGTGCTAAGCTGGAGGCTACGCTCGAGAAATACGGCATCGATGTGATCATTGGCGCCGGAGATAGCGTCTTTGGTATGTTTGCAGCCGCCAACGGTATGTACTGATTCGATCGACGTGTGTAGACTTGACTGATTACATACAGGCTCTCCTATTTCTGCATTGCCATTGTCATACCTCGATTTCAATGGAAGGGCAATTGGTCTTGTTGCGTTGGCAGGCAGGCACAAGGAAGCAGAACTACTCAGATTCTTGGACCACTACGCCACTCTCTTCGTTCGCAAGCCCCCTCTGGCATTCGAGGATCATAAGGTTCCTGGAAAGGGCCTCCAGGGTCAGTTGTAGCCCAACTCTGCACCATCGGTGGAAAATTAGATTGGTGGAGCTCACCCAGGATGCACTAAGCTCTTTGACTCGATGGACTTGTAGACTCAGTAACATTGTTGCACGAACTTTTCTGTACACCGGTCAAAAACGCGAGGTGAGGATGATTGCCGCGCCTGTACGGAGGCTCAACAAAGACTTAGTGTGCTGTAGTTTGACAGGAGGAAGCGAGCACCCGGCGATTTCCCTCCACATAAAGGATCATGTGGACATGTGTTCAGTCATTTCTTGCTCTCCTCGTGCCTGCTGCATTCCACACGTATTTTGGCTCCTTGGATGCAGACAGATGAAGCCTAGCGAAAACCTTCAGCGTGAATCATCCCAGTACTTGCAGGTACCGAGAGCGGGCTTACTGCCCTGTCACCAACATCGCAAAGCCACCACGGTGCTCCCTCTTTGCGTCGAGCTAGTCATGAACTGGGCGCAAGGTGGATTTCTGGAAGACAGAATCAGTTGATTGGATGCCCGGTGATACGAGGAAGAAGACGCCCAACTCTCCAGGGACTGCTTCCCTGGAACCTCTGGCGTGACCAATGGCACTGTCGCAGGTCAAATTTCCAATTTACTGGCCATGTCAGGAATTCCCGAGCCCTCTACACGTCCGAAACTGGAATTTGGTAACCGTCTCCACGCCCGACAGACCTAGGTTGCCTCCCAAGACCACGTCGGCGCATATTCATGATGATCGACACGCAGAGCTCGAATCACTTCCAACAGAGGTGGGAGGAAGCTCACAGGATATGCGAAACGAGATTAAACAAAGTGGACCAACGCTACATCAGTGAGATCAAGGACTGCGATGCCTTCAAAACCAGCATCGAGCAGATGCACATCACTTTTCAGGACCTATCCAGACCAAACATCATCAGCCAGCTCGACAAGTCTTTGATGTCAATACGGAGTTTTGTCACCTTGGTTGCTGTCGCTGCTGGTTGGTCTCCGTTCACAGCGGCGATCTTATGGGGGGTTCTGAGCCTGGCGGTCAAGGTAGGCATCTGCTGATTCCTCTCTGCCGCCTGATCCATGTTTACAATATAGCTTGCAAGCGACATGCAGATTGTCCTAACAGACACTATCGAAATGCTCGCGGGACTAGGTCATGATTTAGAGATTCTACAGATCCTGAATATCTCCTTTGAGGAAAATCATGTCATGGACCAAGAACTCGTCGACACTTTTGTGGATATAATCAATTTCTGGACAAAGGCGATACACTTTCTGAGAAGACGACGGGGACACGGTGTGTGGCAACCGCAGAAACCGAGTTTCCAGAACTGATTCAGACAGGGTCCGATGCGCTCGCCCCCTGGCGTGAGCTCAAAAATGACTTTGAAAAGAGCAGCAGGAAAATCAAGGATCGGTCAACGAGGTTGAAGGAAAAGGCAGATGCAATCGCCTCGGCCGCATCTGCTTCTCGGGCAGCCATACAGCTTCGAAGACTCGATGCATACTCTACTCAAGATCGCGACGATGTGTCCATGTTCACACCGTCGGAAGCAATGTCAAAACTTGAATTGCACGATGTCTTCCCATGCCACAATATACCATTTGCGCCAAATGAGGGGTTCTACGGGCGGAGTAAAGAGCTAGACGCCGTGGTCACCAGTTGCTCGCAGTCTGATGAGAAGATGGTGAGCTTTGTTCTGTGGGGAATGGGTGGCATTGGCAAAACTCAGATTGCTGCTCAATATGCCCACCAATCTTACGTGTCTGGTACTCAAGCAGTACTATGGGTCAACTGTGAGACTGGCTTATCAATATCGAAGAGCTTCAAGGAGATCGTGCAACTTTTACACCTCTCCGGCCCTGTGGTGGATGACAACTCTGACCAAAACCGGCTAAGAGTATTACAGTGGTTATCAAAGGCTGGTATGCTGGAAGATCTTTGCAAGTACGAAGTTGGAGCTAACGTGCCATTAAAGAACAGAGATGGCTTCTTATTTTGGACAACGTTGAAGACAGCAAGCTCGCAGAAGATTGTTGGCCTATGGCTTATCGTGGAACTATACTGGTAAGTACAGTTCTTACGCAAGAAACCCTAACATGTCTAGCAATAGCCCACCACGTAATGAAAAGGGGGGGATTCGTCAAAGAACTTCTTCATCCCATCAGTAACTAAACTGGTGTTCGCAGGTCACTTCGAGACGAAACATGGTCGCAGTCGATCTCAAGGCTAGCAATCTCCATGTCGAACCCTTTTCTCAGGAAGAAGGAGCAGACGTCCTCCAAAAACGTGCTGGGCGTGAACAAACCTCTGACGAAGAAAGAAAAGCTGCTGAATCTCTCTCAACCGAGCTTGGGGGGCATGCTCTTGCACTGACGATTATGGGAGCTCAAGTTGCTTTGAGGCAAAAGTCCTTTGTGGATTTTCTGAAACTTTACCAACGAAACAAAGAGCGTCTTCATGGAGACGTACGCGGAGTACCAACTGAATATGGTGGAGCCTTGACCGCGTGCTGGGATACCGCATTCGCCAGTCTCAAAGAGGAGTCACGCATGCTTCTAGGGATGTTGGTATTGATAGCGCCTGACAATATACCGGCGAGTCTCTTTGAGCCACACGACTTGACCGACATTTCGGACAAATTTGAATTCTTCAAAGAGGAGATGGAGTAAGTTCACAGATAACACCCGCAATTACTCCTGTTATATCTAACACAAACACTCCACAGCATCGATGACGCCTTTGAGTTACTCTTTGATACATCACTAGTTACGAGGCAGCCGGACGCACGTATGATGGGGATGCATCGACTCATTCGACACGAGTTTGGTAAAAGGCTTGATAAGCATACGCAAACTGTCTGCTTCCTGGCGGCGGCGGAATTACTCTGTGCAGCTTTCCCAAACCAAGTGGATGGCAATTCCCTGTGGCCCGAGGTCGAAGAGTGCAACAAGTTCAGCCAGCATGTTCTCCGACTATGTGCAAATTGGCGAGAGAGGAAAGGTCAAGGATTTTCACCAGGAAGTTTTCAAAGGTTCATCAAACTTTTGACAAACGCCGGATGGTAAGAAGAGCAGTACGTGGAGCTGCATAGACGTGCTGACCAGATCCCTCAGGTTCCTCTACGAAACTGGAGCGTGGAGCGAAGTGATAGAACTTATGGACGTTGCTTTCGAATCCTGTGAAGATAAAGAAAGCCTGGACTATGCTCATCTCTGCAATACCTGGGGATGCCTCCAAATTGAGCGTGGGCGAGCACAAGAAGCCAAAAAGGTATTGGAGGACTGCCTGAATATTCGCTGTAGGTTGCTGGATGAAGATCATGTGGAAATTGCCAATATCTGGAACAACCTTGGAAACGATGTTCTCCAGATCTACGAGTCCGAGGAAGCAACGGCTGAAGCCATCAAGTGCTGGCAAAAGGCGCTAGAAATCTACTATAAAGCGCCTGTAGAGGAACAAGCGGAACTTGTGTTTGCCAGCTTGCTCAACATCACAAGAGCATATCGACTCGCTGGAGATATGGAACAGGCGACAAAGTACATGGAGCTTACCGATGAAGCAATCCAGACAGCTTTCCCCCCCGGAGGACACTGGGAGGCAACGTAAGTTACTAGCAGGTCAAGTTAGCAGAAAACCCAGTCAACGCTGACCTCACTCTCAGAGCGCATGTACATCGAGCACATATCCTGTACGATCAAGGCAAGATCACCGAGTCGGAAGTGTTGTGGCGCAAAGCTCACGAAATATTCTTCGCTCACAATGCAACACATCCGGCGACCATCTCTGCCGAGCTGAAGTTGGCTTGCATCGAGATGCGACGTGGAGAGGTTGAGTTGGCCATGTAAGTGGTTTCCCATTGCATGATTTCATCACTGCTGGACCCTGGAATCCTGACGGTTGCCTTGGGGAACAGAAACAAATTAGAGCGTCTTCGTCTGATTACAGAGTTGCGCGAGAAAGCCAAAGGCGACAAGGGAGAGATTGCTAGAGTCACACGCAGGCTCGCAGAAGCCTATGGACTGAAAGGTGACCATGAGAAGGAAGCGCGACTGACTCTGCAGGCGGAGTCCATGCGTAAGGCAATCCAACGAGGTCGTGCCTGGCAGCTTCCAGACAGCGAACGCTCGTATGATATTCTAGTGTACAACGAGTATTGGTAAATAGGGGGGTCAGATAATATATCTTAGCAATACGCGGTGGACTAGGTATCAATCATCTTTCCTGAGTGCTGTTATACATACACCGTAGTCATTGTTGTTTCCTCCAGAAAAGGGGTTCATTAGTTAGAAAGATCCACATCTATCCTGATCACGTGGCCTAAATCGCTTCCCCCTCGTTCGGTAAACCTTCCCCAGCCTACTCCGCAGTCTGGAAATTTTGTAGATGGCAACTCGCGATAGAAATATTTCATGGGAACGCTCATAGACTACATCCACATTCCACATTCTAGTTCAGGGAACCCGGCAAATAGACGAAGTCGGGAGAAGGATCAGAACCCCCCTCCCAAAATGGGCAAAACACGAACGAAAACGCATTCCAAGTCCGGCAAGGACATCCTCCACAGCACAACCTCTCCACTCGTCAAGTCGGCGCGGACCAAGGCCTCATCACGGTCGATAGAAGATCTTTTAACTGAAGCGGCGGCTCTCCTCGAACAATCACAACCAGAACTCGCACTACCGCTAGCGGAAGAGGCATTGCGACGACTGGAAGCCGAGTCCGATCACAACAACGACATCGACACCCTCCTCCAACTGGCGGCTCAAGGCCAGCCCACCCTCCCCATCATCCTCAATGTCTACGGCGAGATCCAGCTTTCTCTGGGCAACCTCGAAACAGCACGGCAGTCGTTCCTACGCTCGACTCAGATTGATCCAGATGGCGCGCTGATCTCGGCAGAGCCATACCTGTGGTTAGCGCAGCTATCTGAACCGGGCGGACGTGACAGTATTGAATATTTCGTCAAGGCGACCGAGGTGTTGCGAAATGAGATCGATGTCTTATCCGACACAAACGAGGGCTCGGCGGCGGGAGGAGCGGTGGCCCTTGCACCTGAAATCGAAGCTGTGGTTGGGGAGAAACGAGCCAAGCTCGCCGAAGCCCTCTGCGCTATGGCGGAGGTCTACATGACGGATTTGTCGTGGGAAGAGGATGCAGAATCACGATGTGAAGCCTACGTGACCGAAGCTGTGGCCGTGTGTCCCGAACCGCTCAGTGCCGGGGCGTTGCAGACTCTGGCAAGTGTGCGGATCAGTCAAGAACGGCTAGACGACGCCAGACAGGCCCTGAAGCGCAGTCTGGAGATTTGGAAGGACATTCCCGTCGAAGTGGAGTCGGAGAGCAGGCCTGACTTTGCTACCCGCGTCAGTCTGAGTCGGCTGTTGATGGAGGTTGAGGTGGAGACGGACGCGATGCGAGTTATCGAAGAGTTGATTCGCGAAGACGATCAAAGTGTTGAGTGTTGGTATCTGGGCGGCTGGTGTCAGGTTCTCATGTCCAACAAGGACCAGGAGACTCGCAGTGCCGAGGAGCAGACCAAGCTGTTGGAGCAGGCTAAGTCGTGGCTCGACTCGTGCTTGCGGCTATATCGCGTGCAGGAATACGAGGACGAGAGACTACGCGACCATGCCAAGGAGCTTGTGCACGACTTGAACACCCGTTTGGGGGTCGAAGACGGTGGTGACGAGGATGATGATGATGCTGCCTGGGAAGACGAAGATGATGAGGGTTCCGACGACGACGATCTCGAGGTCAGGAGTGATGATGGGGATGTCAAGATGAGTTGAACCGGCTCGCAGACATACATGACACGGATCAAAAAGTAGGATACGAGGACATGACCATAGATTGGGTTACATTGCATTAGTTTCGTTATGTACAATATCTGAGGAATCATTCCCGTTATGAGGACACATTGAAGGAGATGGTGAAATAGTTGTAGTCTGGAGCTTGCTGCTGGGGAAGCGAGTATCGATGGCAGCTAGGATATTGAAGCTTTGTCTGCCTTGATATGGTTTCGTGTCCAAGAGACATTGTTGGAGGACCAGAAAGGGGTCAGCTGGTCGTGAGACCCTTCGGAAGATATCTTCTGGAAGCCCTCATCAAGGTGAATGGAGCATGCTGAGGACTCCATGTTGAGGATTTGCCTCATTCACTCCAGACTGTCCAGACTTGCATTTTGTGTGTGTGGTGTGATTTAGAAGAGTTGCAAAACAAAGCTTAGTCGTCTTGCCATCCGCTCTTGCGAATCGTGGCGTGTGATCTACTCCCCTGGACGCCGACTTTGACCTTGGACCAATCTCGCTCCATGACATGATCCGAGTCGTCGTCCTTTTCTTTTCTTGTGCTTTCAAGGTAGAACCGGCCGGCTTCGTAGATGCCCAAGTATAAACCACTGCCAAAGGTGGTCCATGCTGCCCTTAGCAAGGCGCCTTTGAACAGACCTTGAATTCCTTCTTTCTTGAAGACCTCGGCGGCAACAGTGAAGCCGCTCTTCCTGTTCCCCTGGATTCCCTCAAACAGCATTCCTCTCTGTTTTGGTCTGTTGTCAACAGGATCATCTGTGGAAGCTGCTAGCATGATTCTCGTCTTCACCACATCGATTGGTGTCGTGATCCAAGCGGCGCCGCTGCCAGCAATACCAGCACTCACGGCAGTGATGAGAGCTCTTTCCACAATACCGTCTACTGGTTTTCCACCCTGACTAGCCTCTCTCCGTTTGAGAAAATCTTTCTTGAGGTATTCGAAGAGTGGAAACTGAAGACCAGTGTACGGAAGGTTTCGAGCGGCGAGGGCAGTGTAGCCCCTCCATAATCTGGTTGGATGTTTCTTGAACTGTTGGAAGGTGTGGAGACTAGAGGACCTCGCACCGGAGGCGCTCATCATTTGGGCATTTTGTTTGAGGACCTCGGCCGGGGTCAGGATGGCGCAACTGACGAGCTCCGCACCTATGCTCGCAACGGCGTGGATGGCAGGTTCGGGAAGGTAGATTGTGGAATTCGGGGGCATTACAGTTTCGGATTTGAGGATTGTCTTGAAGCCTTCATAGGCGGTGAAGAAGGCGCCAGAAGAGGGGAGGGTAATGAGGATGATGGAGCCCACGCCTTGGTAAAGGCCACGGAAAAGCGAGCGGTTGGTTGACCCATTGGGCAACTTGTACAACTGTTTATAGTTCTCGGCTTGCAGGCGAGTTTTCAAGGTGTCCAACGGATAGACCAGAAGGTCGACCGAGAAGGCGGCAAATGCGCCGGCCTGGAGGTGAAGGTCAGATTGAAGGCTTGGGGGAAAGACATTTGATTGCGAACTTACGAGCCATATGTCTGTGTTAGTGTTGGCCGACATCAATCATCAACAATAGAAGAAAACAAAAGCAGTCTATATGCAAGACAAGGAAACCCAAGGTGGGCGGAGGGAGACCGTAAAGTCGACAAAAATGAATGACGCGCAACTGAGATGGATGAAAGGCGTAGAGTGATGAAATAAATTATTCTCCGATCAGGGTGGGAAGGTCCCCAGTTAGGTACCGTGTCCGACGTCATGTCAGCTCTCCAACCATGTCAGAGCAGATTCGAGGGGTCTAGTATGTACATGAGTCATTGACGTCGCGATGAAGGTGATGGAGAAGATGATTAATTATGTGAACATTTAGATGAATCATGTATTGTTAATTGATCAGAGAAGCTTATGAGGTTGAATGGCAGAGTGATGCTGACTGCGCCTGAGAGAAATGGTCGGAAGGCAGGTGCGAAGAGAGGAAGGGACGTTCCTACCCTGATGGGATTTCTACAGAAAATCAACAGAAAATCAACAGAAAATCAACAGAAAATCAACAGAAAATCAACAGAAAATCAACAGAAAATCAACATAATGGAAGGTACCTCCTGTATCATTATGGCATTCATCTTGGCCATTTCCAGCGATATTACTGCAATTTATTAGGATTCATCAGAGGACGGCCGAGGGGCCTCAATAGTGAGTGATAACAGCAGGCTTTAGTTAGAGGGCCACGGGGCATAAAAGTACATGGCAAACACTCTCCCGTCCCAGTTGCATGTAAAAACCCGTGACCCCACAGCGTTGCTCAACAGCCTCGCGCCTTCCCCTCATCTCCTTTTGGCCTCTGCGCCTCTGTGCCTGAATCTCGGCAAACCTTCTCTGGGATGAAAAATGTTCTCGCCGCATCCTGCAAAATCCCACAAACTCGTTGGCGGCCCAAGACCAACCGCCGCCGGACTCTGAACCATGTCACGGTCCTAGATCACCATCACCACTGCGACCACGACGACTCTCATACCCTCTTCTTCCAAAGAGTCTGTCAATTAGGACATTCCACACCAACTCAGCAGAACAGAGAAACCGATCCCACCCCCAACCTTACACCATGTCTCTTCCTGAGTATGCCTAAACTCATCATCGACGACGACCAGTGCTAACAATGTTGCAGAAAGGAGTCGCCTCTCAAGGCAGTGCAACTCGAAGCCCTCCTCGTCATGAAAGTCATCAAACACTGCGCCAGCCGCTTCCCCACCACCGCTACAGGCTCTCTGGTTGGCATGGACGTCAATGGTACACTCGAGATCACAAATTCCTTCCCGTTTCCCATCGTCGATCTGCCCCCGGAGGCCCAGTATGAACAGCAACACTTCAACTCGGCCGCTGCCGCCCCTCGTGCCAAATCAAATACTGCCTACCAAGCTGAGATGATCCGACATTTGCGTGAGGTCAACATTGACGCCAATAACGTCGGATGGTACACAAGCGCCAACCTGGGCAATTTTGTCAACTTGAACTTTATCGAGAACCAGTATCACTATCAGAAAGAAATGAACGAGAGGACAGTCGCTCTAGTTCACGACGTGAGCAGGAGTTCTCAGGGAGTTTTGTCTCTCCGCGCATTCAGGTTATCACCTCAGTTCATGACGGCGTACAAGGACAATAAATTCACCACTGACAAGTATGCCTTCCTCCTTTCCCCCCAGATCCATGTCGCTTTGTTGGAATTCATGCTCACTGTAATTGTACAGTCTCCAAAAGTCGGGTTTCAAATATTCTGACATCCTCGTCGAACTCCCTGTCCAAATTCACAATTCACACCTCGTCACCACCTTCCTCCACCAAGTTCCATCGCTTCTCACCAATGGCACCCTCGCTCCTCCCACCTCAGTCAAGTCCATTGAATCCAACCCCGCCATTCTCAACGATACCATGGCCCCTAACTTTGATTCTCTTGCCATTAGCATTGACCCCTTCTTGTCACAGACCTCGGAGAACCTCCTCGAGGCCATCGAAATCCACCACGTCGAAGCAAACAATTTCTCCTACTACAGCCGTGCTCTGGCCAGAGAGCAGGCCAAGATTCAACAATGGCAAGTCAAGCGCAAAGCCGAGAATGCCGCTAGAGCTCTTTCCAAGCAACCCCTTCTTCCAGAGGACGAGTGGCAAAGATTGTTCAAACTGCCTACCGAACCCAGTCGTTTGGAAAGTATGCTGAACAGCAGACAGGTCGAGCAGTATGCTAGACAAGTGGATGGTTTCGTGGCTGGCACCACCGGCAAAATGTTTGCCGTTCGGGGCAATCTGATTCCCGGGGATTCCAACAACGAGTGAAGTTCTCCAGCTGGCAGACGCAAACCCTGAACCCAACGCGCCCTTCAGTGTCGTCAGAGAGCGTCGACTTTACTCATGCGCAATGAGAGGGCCGACATGATGGAGCTACCAGGGCATCGCTCCGTGCTGCAGATAGCTTTCGAATCGCCAGAATACAAGCCGATTCCCAGCAATGCATCGCCAACCTCGAACAGTCGATGGTTCACAGATGTATATTTTCTCCAGACAGCATGAACGAGATGGTGCACGGCGTTACGGACATGATTGCAATGTGGTTGAAGGTTGGACCCATCTTGTCCTGGTCGAGGAACCAAAATGGCATGGAGGCTGCCGGCAATCGGTAGATCTGGTACACGTCTCTGAACCTGATATTGTCTAGATATGATGGAAAATGATATCAAAATCACGACAAGCAGAGCTACATTGATTCCCAGTCCGTAAAGATGATAATAGGCCGTACTGACGACGATGTTGTCTCCTTCCTCACGCTCTCCCGATTTCCCCCAAACCTCTGTAGGAAGCGCTTGATGCTCATCTTCTCGTTGGCTTACATACATATTGACCATTCTGTTATGCCGTACTCGAGGATCGACACGGCAGCCACACTACTTCAATCTAGCACACTTAACCTCATGTAGGTCATTTCTAAAATAATGCCACCATATAACCACCATCATGTTTCCTCTCAAAAGGCAATACAAGTTGAATATCAAGGGACACACTGTGGCGCGTCACGGATCACGTGCATTCCATCACGTGATATCAAACATGTCAAGGCATAGACAAGACGAGCCATCTAGATGGACATGGGCACCGGTGACCTCTCTTCGTCATCGGCCTGAAGGGAAAGAGGAAGAACAGAGCAGGGAAGGTGGACGAGGGCGAGTGCTCTCGCCCGGAACTTCCCAGGGTGTTTCCCAAACACTCTGGGTGGATCTTTTAGTTCATTCGTTCGAGGCTCTGCTCAAATGAGGGTCGTCTACGGAGTAGGTCATATGCCGACTTCAAAGGACAGTGCCTGTAGTCTCGGACGACAGAATCCGCAATCTTTGACCACAAGACTCCACTTGTCTAGCAGGAGGTGCTTGATCACCTGCTTCGGGCACTAGCAATCGATTCGGGTAGAGTTGTCAGAGGCTTGCGTCGTCGAACCTCTTGGAATGTCAACAACAGCGTTTTCGCCGGTTCGAATGAAACCGGTGTTTCGTGACTCGTTCTCTCTTTCCGGCAAACCAAAGTCTTTTATTTAGCCTAAACTTTGGTAGGTACTTTTGCCAACGCCGTGCACGTAAAACCGGGGCCGGGGCCCTTGGACGGCCTTTGAGTTGGACTTCACCTTGATGACCAAATCACCCTTCAACGAGCTCCACTTGGCTAGATGTTTATCAGGTCCAGGATGGAAATGTTGCCCCCAAAAATACCAGAGTAGAGCGTGGATGTTTGCTTTCCGTATTTAACATGAACTTGGTATGTACTGATATGCGCTATGTTGCATCTGAGAAACGAAATCCGATCCAACCGAGTACATCTTTCACAGACAACTCCATAAACAAACATTAGCGCATTCATATCAGCATCCACTGAACGCTCCAGATTCGTCCCCGTTTCTCATATGTAGGTTGGTCTATGTTGCATACGCGCTTGACTCGGAAATTCGTAGTGAAAAACGATGTCCAACAACAAGGTGCCGTTTTGTGCTAGGCTCGAAATAAAAATGGATGTCGTTCCGCATTTCTAGTGCATCCGTGCAACTCAAGTATTCGGTGAAAGTATATCGCCCTATGTCGTGTCGTGTGATCAGGATGGGGCTAGAGGCCAGCGTTGACTAGGTCGAGACAGTCGCGCTTTTGTCATACTCGATCGACGATGGCGAGGCAAATAGCGCATCAGTTCCAGGTGCGGGCCTGCGCATTCTCGTCCGCATCTCGAGCTCGTCGCTCCGCCTCAGACCCAGCATTCAACAACTGGTTTTGGGTTTGCTTTTTCTGATTCGCAAGGTTTGTGGCTAGTTTGCCACCGGACTTGTTGGCGCCTGCTGCTCGTTGCTGAAGTTGCTCATCATTAGCCTCTAGCCCAAATACTCACTTTGCGTTGTTTCCGAATTGGTGATGGTGTAAAAGGGGTGATCGGTCATAGCGGCCGAGTGTAGAATTCATTACTCTGAAGATCTTACCTCGGCAGCTCTGGCAGCAGCGCTGCGTGCATCATCGGGGCTGGACGCTCCTTCTCTGCCTCCAAGTGACCGACCAGGAGTACTGGTAGTCAACTTCTGCGGAACCGGAGTTGTGGTTGTTTTCTTGGTCTGAGAGCTTGTGCCCAGCGGTCTCCCAGGAGTCGAGAAGTTCTCTGGTGGATTCGACGACTTGGAACATAGATTGCCCATTATGGAGAGAGAAAGCGAAGGCTAGGAGTCCACAATGGTCCGAAGTCACCTGGTCAGGCACGAGAGCGGGTTTAGTCTAATGAAGTAACTCAAGAATCAAGCCGGTCTTGAAGTCCTGATGGAAGAGGTGAACCCAAGGTTAGCATGTAACTTACTCCGTAGATGGGAGATGGAGGAGGAGGGGGAACAGACGCTTGGCGATTCGTCGCCTTCCTCCGCTCCTCGTATGGATCGTATGGCAAGAGCCACAACATCTCAGGGTCCTTCTGCTTCTCCATAGTTTATCCTTTTCACGTGACACGAACCATCTTGCCATCCAAGAAGGCGCCTGCGCCAACTCTTTAGTACTCGACTAAGTTGGGAAAGATGATGATTGGCAGGTACTGGCCATACAAGAGGGACCTAACAACTTCGTCCCTGCCGCGCAAGGCTGTATCCCTAATCGACTCCCACTCCAATGTATCTTCCTTCCATTGGTGCACCATCAACAACCACCTTTCACCACCCTTCACCACCCATCACCACCCATCGCCCTCTTGTCCTTCACTCATCACTTCTCGTTTCAAATAACCTGTTCACTTGATCTTTCCAATTCAGGTTAATTCTCGAATCCTTGCTTCAGCTAGTCTGAGCTCGTAATGATGGCATACTTTTATCCACATCTACGGTCCACAACTGGACGGAGACAGAGGTCTTTCACAGAGCGAATTCAGATCCTTGATCCATTTTAGCCCCATGCAGACCCATCAGGTTCTTGCAGTACAAGTTAAAATGCCTTTACCTTTCGAGAGCGGAACTCTTCATGAGTGTGTCATCGATGTCTTCTTGCACGGTCTCTGGTGCGTCTTTTTCACGTTTACTCTCTAACCCTGTGGAAATCCCCTTCGAGAGTGTCATCTCCACAATCATGACGAATACTCGTCCTGACCTCCTAGCAAACTAGGTCCCTTTCCCTATCACTCTGTTGTCTGACCTATACGCAAAGCGTCCTCTCTTCCCATTTGCCAGCCGAAATCGAGACGAGTGGAGACCAGGGTAGATGACCCTCTACACAAAATGGCTGGGAGGTGTTGTTTTGTGAGATGGAGTCCTGTCGATAGAGGATACTCCTCGTGATTGACTCCGGGCGATTTAAACCTAGATCTACGGAGTCGCTCTCATGTTTCCGTGGTTCTGAGAGACGTTCATCGCCCACAGTCCGTCCTCCTACGTGTGAGAGCTTGTAAAAATGGGCCTGAACTTACAGTGTTCACATGTTCCCTTTGATCTAGTTCTACTGGGTCTGTAAGTTCCCCTTCAAGTGTGTCTGATGATTAACTTTCAGTGAACCATTCTTTCTCCCATCAGGCAGCTTTTGCACTGTCCTGAGGGGTTCAGTTCAAAAGTACATATACTCTCCTAGCAGCCTGTCGTGATGTCTATATCTCTCACACTTCAGGACGATCTCATCTAAGAAGACAGACTGCTGCTACAACTTACAAAGGAGTTGCTGCTATCTTTTTTCGTACGACCAATACCAGATCGTTCCAATAAATCACTACAACAGGCCCTCCCTGGCCTCCATACTCGACACATCCGACCCATCAAACAGGTACAGCTGCCTCTCACGTATATCAACACCTACTTACTGATGTCTTCAAGAAAGTCGATCAACACCAGACCTTCTGCGAGGATAGCTTGACACGCTATACGACCCTGAGCCTGTCACACTCAGGTTCCTCCACCTCGCCTCATCTTCTCTCGACATCTTGGGATTGTGGAGCCTGCCACACTCAACGTCCCATAATAACTCGACATCATCTCTCTCCCTTCCTCTTCGCAGTCTGAGGCCCGTCACACCTAACAGACCGACAAAATGCCTGGAAGTCACAAGTGCACCCTGTGTGAGGACAAGACTTATGTCACGTCGTCGAGTCTCCGGGAGCACATCTTTTCGGCGCACGAGAACATGCGGTTTTGTTGCACGTGGCAAGGCTGCGATAGAGGTTACACCACGTCAGCCAAACTACGCGAGCATACCAAAAAAGTGCACGAGCCGGCGAACCCTTTTTTCTGCCCGTGGGTCGGCTGCGACTCACGTGGCAGCCGCCGACGGGACAACGCCCTGAGGCACTCTTTGAAGTGTAGCAAGCGCCACCAAGCCTTTGCTAAAGCGGAAAGGAGCAAAATGCCAAAGCCAATTTCGATGGCTGCCACAGCGCAGCATAATGGCGACCTCGATAGAGCGCGTGAGAAGGTTGTCCGGGCTAAATTAGCCGAGCTAGACGGTGCCTCGCTTCAAAGCGATCAGGAGGGCCGCCAAGTCAATGGCCAGGATACCGTCTATGGGTCCGTTGTGCCATCAGAGGGTCCTGCTGTTAGTGGCCTGTTCTTTCAAGGCCAACAGGAAGGCCACCAAGTCAATGGCGTGGACCCCTTCTGTGGGTACGACGCGCCATTGGAAGATCCTGCTACTGGCGGCCTGTCCTTTCAACAGCAGGGTCCTGGACATGACGCCGGTGCCTTCCTGCCGCATCAAGCTCAACCGTACTTCGGTGGGCTTGATCTTCCCATTCAAGATGCTCCCCCTAAGGAGGGTTTTGTTAACTTACGGGAAATTGAGCTTCGCCAGCAGCCCTTCCCACAACAGGCACCGTTGCCATTACAGGATCAAACGCAACTCCCTTTCACGTACTAGCCCCCAGCTTCCGGAGTCGGTCGATCCCGATTTTGAGGCGGAGGTGGAACGTCTCCTGGATGAGTTGGAGGATCCTTGTGCCGACGGCAATGCTGTGAATGGAGACAACGGCTTCAGCGGCTTTGACTATTCTTCATAGAGGATTATTAGTCTTTGACGGGGTCATTCTCGCAGAACATCAACAAAGTGTTCAGACTCGACTCTGGCACTGGTTTGAAGATCTGAAATGACTCGAATACCTGGCCCAGTTTCCTCAACCACGATACGTAGACTCGACTCTGGTATCAAATGTGGCGTGGCGCGCTCTCGCTGTCTCTATCTTCCAACACCATGACGGCAATACGAAGACTCGACTCTGGTATTTGCCGGTTGGTATGCACGACTAAGGATTGGGAAATAATCCTCGGCGTTATTTCGACCAAAATCATCATCATCATCAACAAGAACAACAACAAGAACAATAACTGGCAATACATCTTGGAAACTGGGCGGTTGGGTGGTTTCCAGGAAGGCTTGAACCTGTTGATACTCGAAATTTACGACACTTACTCCTTGACGACTTGACGACCTTACGAAGCGACTTCATCATCCTACAAACAATTTTGGCTTTGCTTGAACACCCTTCGATTGACTTCACAATGAGCCTCCGATTCACGTGAGGACTCCTCTGTAACAAACTACATGGCACGGCAAAAGCAACTGTATCAATCACTGTCACAACAAACAACCTCGGCAACTATTTACATTCTTGACGTAGAACGACATTGCACAAGATACCCAGAGCTACATTCACGACCAAACCCAGCATTACACATGACACCCAGAACTACATCACACCCAGAACTACATCACACCCAGAACTACATCACACCCAGAACTACATCGCACCCAGAACTACATCACACCCAGAACTACATCACACCCAGAACTACATGACGATTGAGAACGACATCACACAAGATACCACCGCCTGCACTACACGACTGTTATACTACTCAGACTAGATGAACCACGGCATCCATACTTATCAAAAACTTTTGAGCATTAGGATTATGATTTGGATACTCGATAGAGGAGCGCGGGGCCGGAGGATGCGAAGTTTGGAATTTTGATATTTGTAATATGGTGATGGATGGATGGAATTAAGAGTACATGGATTCAGCTGGTGGACAGGCTTAGTTTCAAGTATGTAGTCAGCTTGCTGAAATCAAGAAAAACTTGAGATGCTATGTATCTTGACCTATGTTTTTTTCTGTGCTGTATCAAAGTCTCTTTACTACCCGCCTGCTTCCTTGGTCGTTGCCTTTCTCACCTAGCGCTAGCTTGAGCCATATGAGTGAGTAAGCATAGCACTGTCTTCTCTATAGACCTAGACTCTAGTGGACAAGACAAAGATATACACTCCATTACTTTGAGAACGTCAGGGCCAGGTCAACATCTACTTACAAGCGAGCTTCCTACGAGTTGTGCATTGAGAACCCTTCATTATTCATTCACGAGCTACGAGGCGGAGGCGTTGGTGTTGGTAGCAAAATCCAGAAACCTTTCTCTTATTCAACACTTTAACACTTCTGGATATCCCACTACAGTACGACTTCGACATTATCCTTCCCACCATCTGCGCTATCACCTGATGGCCGAGACAGCCGAGACAGCCGAGATCCCTCCCGTAATCCCTTCCCACGGGGATAGGGGTTCATGTACTACTAGGTAGCCATGACAAATTACCAACTTGATCACATCTCCATCACGTCACCTCCAGCCACATGTGACGAGAGATTCAGTCTGGACTGATCAATTGGCACATCATCCTCATCATCACCTTCCCCATCCACATCGAAATCAAAATCGCCACGTTCGATCCTACTACATTTATCAAGGACCTGCTGATATTCCTTTCGCAGATCTTCAAGCGTCACAATGACGCGTCGTCTTTTCCGACCCGCGGTGCTTTCCATGCTTTGGATGGTGCCACCCTTCTGATGTGGTCCACCGGATGATGTTTTTTCTTCCACATCGGCCAAAACGTATGCTTCTTCAGGATCAACACATGCCATCGCATTGATTAGAGCAAGCAGGACGTGTCGTAAGGCAGTGGCCTTGGGATCGTGTCTGGCACGTCCGGACTTGCGGACTAGGCGAAGGCGGTCAAAAAGCACGGCTACGGCGCCGCGATAGTCTTTCTGCCCTATCCGAACAGCATGAATGATGCTCAGATAATCGGTGTCACCCGGTGTAGAGAGCCAGTCCGTGGATGAAATGCTTGTGGAAGTTTGTTTCTTGGCCAATGACAACAGGTGGAGATCTAATTGGTGGGCAAGATGGGGATTGATCGCCCATGGTAAAGACTGTATCTGTTTGACGGCACCTGCTGGGCCGCCCGTCCAGGACTTGGCATCTAGCATCGAATTGATCAAAGCGACAACCGAAACCCGCTGTAGAGCTTTGTCGGGAAGCTGGGCTAACGCGTCATAGGCACTGGCGTATCTGGCCTGTTTCAGTTCTGCATTGAATAGTCTTGATAATAGGTCCGACCGGAAGCTGGAACTGGATTCCGGCTGGCCAACGCTCAGAGCCTCCAGAGCCAAGCGGAAAAATTGGCCAGCCTCGTTGTAGGATGAGGCTGTCTCGAAGAGCGTGGCGACATGATACAAAAATGATGGGAGGCCATTGTAGAAATGTTCGGCATCGATCAAAGACAGTAAGCCGGCCGAGAGTTCGACCAGGTTTCCTATTGCTTTGCCATGGGACAGGCCATACGAAGCGGCTCGGAAATGATTCGCAGCAACATCATAATGTTCCATCCCAAGAGCGAGGCGACCCTTGATGTAGCTAGACCATGGCGTCGAGGGCTGAAAGAGAGAGAATTCTGTGGCAAGGTCAAACTCCTTTTGCGCGAGCAAGTCGCATTGGAGGTAGACAGTCTCATGATCGTCGCGAGAATCAATATCTGTTTTGTTCTGCTTTCCCGAAGCCCAATCTTCGATTTCATCAAGCTGAGTCGTAAGCAGGGAAGTCATGGGCATCTCCACCGGTGGTGTTGGTCGTATTGCTTTGCTCAGTGTATCTTCGAAAATGCTAACAAGTCTGGTGTTTTCAAGAGAGGTATCGATTGGTTTACGCGCAATGTTGGGTCGCGCATCATGGCCCAAGATCTCGAGAGGAATGCGGCGGTTGTGCGTCGCCAGCCACAGGTTTCTCTCCACGACTTTTAACTGTGGTGTGATATAGGAGAACAGCTCGGAAGCGTCAAAGTCTGGGATCTTGTCGTCGTCTTGGTTAAATTCCCCCTCGACGAATATGGCTAGGATGAGGAGGTCTTTCAGCAGGAGATGCTCTGATTCGAGCACGTCGAGCATTCCGTTAGACAACAGAAGATTTCCGAATAGAGTAGTTCTCAAGCCGCTCTTCGCAATGCGTGTACTGCGAGGAAAGTTCTCGAGAAGGACAAGAAACAGCTCGTTTGTCAGGCCAGTGCAACCGTTCAATGGTTGCAGATCATTCTCCAAGCGAGTAAATAACTCATCCGAGACGGCTTCACTGAAACCGACACTGTCAAAGATGTCGACGACCTTGGTAGAAATGAGCGATTCGGAATTGGTATAGAGAAACTCCCGAATGGCGCCGTCGAGGTTTTCGGACAACTCTGGAGTCAATGAGGCACTGAAGGCCCTGGCAGCAGTGATCAATATTCCAAAATCGCTGAATGAGTCGCCGCCGTCCGTAGCCAGCCTTCGATGTGGCCACACTCTCGCAGCAACGTCCTCGAGCTCGGCGAGATCATCGATTTGATTATTTTGTAACAGCTCAATATTGTTACACTCTCGGACGGCACAGAGGCGGCCGGTCATGGGGATCCATACCATGTCAATAAAGGAATCATATGCCAATGACAAGGGAGCTGTGGTGGCGTCGTTGATCTTGTCCACGATTCTGTAGAGATTTCGCCACTGAGCGTCCGTGTCCGACAGGAAGCGATCAAAATCAAGATCCGAATCGCCATACTTGCGGAGAGACACATTGCTCGCAACAACAGAGACCATTCGCTGTGTTAGAGGGGTGTTGGAGTGGGAAGAGGTGGGAAGTTGCTTGTTGTTGGCGTCTTCGTAGATAGATAGGGCAGTCTGCAAGACGGCTTCCGTGTATCTGCCAGGGTAGAACAAAAAGTCAATCCATTTTGAGGCAGGGTCCTGGGAGTCGGTTCTGATTAGATCTGGAGCCAGTGCCTTTGAGGAGGCAGTCGGGGCGCACTTGACCCAGTGTGACTTCCAAGAGGATGTGAGGGTGCGGAATTCAAACTGGCAGTTGTAGAGCTGATGGTAGTTGTGATTACGATACAAAGCCCATACTCTAGCTGGAAGGACATCGTTCCCAGCATCCAGTTTGACTCCGACCATTGACCACAGGGTATTTCCCGAGGGATCGGGGTCCGGTGCGGTCAACTTTGTGCCCGGGTATTTGTCCTCGATGATGATGTTGTCGGTCAAGCTACCTTTGATGTCCCAAAACTTGAATTGTCCACCATCTTGAGGACTATATGTGAGGAGTACGGGGTATCTTTGCAAAGGAAGCTTGACGATCTGAAGGTGAGCATCATCGGCGGGATTCAAGTGTGTGCGGTCGTTAGGCTCGCGCTCTTGGTCGAGTAGATCTTTTGTGGCAACGAGACGTCCCGACGGAAGATGCCAGACCCTGATCGAGTGGTTGAGACAAATTGTGAAGAGATGAATACCATCGGAGGACAGGATCATGGATTGGACGGTTCTGACATCGACATTAGAGGAGGCATGAGGGATCGTCTGAACACCGCGCCAGGTGACGATGCCTCGCAATGATTCGCCCCAAGTCTTCTCATCGTAATTGTCTTCGGACCAATGATCTTCCCCTGCCCTCCGCTTCAGCCTCTGTAACCTGCCGTTTGTGAATGAGGCGAAGATCTCGAGAGGGTTGGCTGCATGGAGATGATGGACAGTGTGGAGTCTAAGGGCGGAGCTATCGAGTATTTTGACCCAAGTGGGTTGCGGGCTACTCTGGAGAATCGAGGGATCGCGGAAGGCGGTAGGGTGAATGATCAGGTTGAAGAGTTCGTTTCTGGTCGTCGCAACAAAGGCGTGTAGGTCGTCACCGTTCTCGGAGTCGGCGAAGGCGACGGCGCGAGGGACAATATCATCCTGGAACTCGAATTGTAGAGTGAAGTATGCCTCCTTCCGATCACTTTCGCTTCTTGCGAGATCGGCACATTGGACTTGCAGTGCCCTTGATCGTCGCAGGATAGACCAGAGAAAGACTCTAGGGTATGTCTTTGACTTTCTGAAGTAGATGGAGCTTTCGGAGGCCAAGTGACGGGAGGAGAAGGTAGCCTCATCCTGAGGCCAATTGGGAGACTTTGTGTGGTGGCGTTTGGAGGGACTTCTGGCTTTGTCGAGGGAGCCGTTTTTCCGGGGAATGTGGAATTCGACCAGGGAAGCCGAAGTTGGGGGAGTCACCTGGAAAGCGGTCTCGGTGTAGAGGTTGAGCATGTTTGCAGAGTGAGGCCCATCTGCCCATGAGGGTTATGGCAGGTGAGAGAGAGGGCGAAGGGTTGTTGACATGGTTGTTGTAGAAGGGCTGGAATTCTCTCGAGGTTGACTTGGAACTTTTGATGCGCATCGAGTTGGACGCGTTTTGGCTGCAGTTGCAGTTGGAGTGGCAGCCACAGTCGCAGCCACAGTGGCAGGGGTAGCCACAGTCGCGATCCACGTGCCAAGCCTTTTGGATGTGCTTTGGGACAGCGCTCCTTCCAACTGAAACACAGGCACAGACTTTACAGATGAGGAAGGCGTCCATTACTATTAAATACTAGGTAGGTATGAACCTGCTTGCATTGTGATGCTCTTTCCCAAATGTCTTTCAGAGAATTTAATGTGGCAGATGAGGCAGGAACGGACTCACAAGACCGCCTCTGTCAACAAAGGCAGGAGCTACCACAAGTACAAGGCTCAAAGTCACGTGGTACAGGTGATGAGTACTCGTAGATACTAGGTACCTAGAGGTATGTCTTCGTACTAGTTACTCGTAGATACTACCTAGAGGTATATCCTCGTACTCGTTGTTGTGAATACAAGTAGTAATGAGACATGATTTATATCTTTTAATGTTGCAATGTTGCAATGCCACGCTAGCCAACTCCATCCAAACACCAAACAGCCGACCCAGTCATATCAAGTCATATGATCATAACTACCACCAGTCGCCGTGGTCTTTCATGGCTGCCGCAACCTTGCTGAATCCGGCAATGTTGCTGCCAGCAACCAAGCTGGGCAATTCGCCTTCAGCGGGTGTGACATAGGTCTTTGCCGTCTGGAGACCGTTCTCAAAGGCATTCTTCATAATGTCCTTCAACTTGTCGTCCACCTGCTCTGATGTCCATGGCACGCGTGCCGAGTTCTGTGCCATTTCGAGTCCTGACACGGCCACACCACCAGCGTTGGCTGCCTTGCCGGGGGCATACCAGATGGCATCGCCCTTTTGAGTCTTTCGGCTTGCCTCGAAAACGTCGATGGCTTCCTGCGTGCTTCCCATGTTGCTGCCTTCGGCAATGAATTTGGCACCGGCTTTGATCAAACCTTCTGCCTCCTCCTTGGACACTTCGTTCTGGGTCGCCGAAGGCAGTGCGACGTCGACAGCTCCAACCTCCAGCCAAGGACGAGCGCCAGGCACGTACTTGACTTTGCTGCTGAACTCGGATGTGCCCGCAACCTCGGCCAGTTGTTTGCGTTCGAGCTTCAGCTTGGCGATCAGTCCAATCAACTCGGCATCGATTCCGCCTTCGGTGGTGGCGATAATAGCACCTTTGCTGTCACTGAGTGACAAAACTGTGCCGCCCAATTCAATGACTTTGAGGGCAGCAAATTGGGCCACGTTGCCAGAGCCTGAGATGGCCACTCTCTTGCCGCTGAAAGATTCTTGTCCGTTGGTTGCGTACTTGATCATGTGTTGGACATACTGTGGTGGATCATGTTAGCAAATGCATTTGTCCGAGGGATCCGCGCCGTCGTGGGGTGGTGGTGGGTGGTTCTTACGTAAACGAGGCCATAGCCAGTGGCTTCAGGTCGGATCAGCGAGCCTCCCCAAGAACCTTTGAAAATGTCAGCAATTGAAATTCCCCAGTTGACAGTGGGTGGTGATTCAGTGGACTGACCTCCTTTGCCTGTCAGGACACCCTCCCACAGTTTGGTCTGCTTCTTGTATTGCCCAAACATGTAACCAATTTCTCGTCCACCCACACCAATGTCGCCAGCTGTAGGGTATTAGTAGGCATGGACAAAAAGGGATACTAGTCGAGTGCATTACCAGGAATATCGGTGTCAGCGCCAATGTGTTTTCCAAGTTCGCTCATGAATGCACAGCAAAATCTTCTGATCTCATTGTCGGACTTTCCCTTGGGGTCGAAGTCGGCACCACCCTTGCCACCGCCAATGTTCAGGCCGGTCAAGGCATTCTTGAAGATTTGCTCAAAACCCAAAAACTTCAAGATGGACAAGTTGACAGTAGGGTGGAAGCGCAGACCGCCTTTGTAGGGACCGAGGGTGGAGTTGAACTGGACTCTGTAGCCCCGGTTGACCTGGACTTCGCCCTTGTCGTCTTCCCACACGACACGGAACTGGATGATGCGTTCGGGGATGGAGACCACCTTGAGAGCAGTCTTGTATTCGGGGTTCTGCTCAAACAGGGACGAATTCTCGAGCGTGGAGACCAGCTCCTTGTAAGCCTGTTCAAATTCGGGTTCAGAGGGTAGGTTGGCCATGTTTAATAAAGACTACTGAGAAGGTGTGATGGATGAATGGATAAAGACTTGGTTGGGGAATGGATGATGTCGAGTGAAAGAGCAAGAGAGAAAGTTAAGAGAAGGTGGTTTAAAGGGTAGCTATCTATGTATATACGGCCATTGGTAACATGGCTTTCTTCTTCAGGAGATCCAGTTGTTTTTGTCCGACCAGCACACCGGTGTGACGAGATCGGAGGGCGTAATTTGGTTGAGGTGCATGTGCAGCCGTTGCACAAGTCATGTCAAGCCGTCATGGAGACCGGGGAAGATCCATGTTGGTCAGGTACCTACAAGAAATGCTCGACTCGAAGCTGGATTGAGCTGGATCAAGCTGGATCAGCCTGATTTTCTTCTGATGGATTTGGTGTATGCGAAGATGAAATTGTTGATGAATAGGCCGACCCGGGGACGCGATTGGCTCGATAAGGAACAAAGCTAGTCGAGAGCTTAGATTTCAACATTGGAGCACCTGGTGGCCAGAGGGTCCAACGAACAGCTCCAGAGTCTGGAACTAAGTAGGAGGCAACGAGGCCCTGCTGGATCTCCACGGCGCCACCAGGAGAGAATCCAATGCCTATCTCGGGGACCGTCGGACAGCCGGTCGCTGAGCTTGGGCTGAGCTTGCCAATGGATCAGACACTCGAGCCCTCTATCCCAGGTGCCTTTTGAGTTTGACAGCGCCGGGCATCGGATCAGGGACCTGCAGGTGTCTTCTGGTGAGCCTCATTTGACTCGCCAAAGCTCACAAATTGTGGTCCCTGGTCGAGATCTTATGACAGAAGAAAAAGCTGGTTGGCGTCTTGGGGACAGAATAAGCAAAGCCTCTCCTTGCCGATGATCCACCTATTTACAATGGACATTCCCACGGTCAATTACCGCCGAATGGGTTATGGGTTTGGATCCTCTGCAGACAAAGCAAAGGAAGCAAAGGAAGCGATGGGGGGACAATTGCACAAGGTGCGAAAATCACCACGCTGCAAGAAATTATTATTTATTATTCAATGGGATTCGAGTTGCAATGCTTCATTCAGAGCTCCGAGCCTGGACACGACGAGATGAGTAAAAGAGTCTTGTGTCATCTCTATTCGTAAAGGTGACGGTGGATAGGAGGTACCCAGGTATGTGGTTCTGATACTGGGATCATCATTATCCTGATGGCAGTTGCTCTTACCTCACACGCGCACTTGCCCTGGACGGTAATTTTACGGAAGGAAGGAGCGACTGCAGGTGTGGTGAGGTGAATTGGTTCTTCCGAGGAAGGCACGAACCATCCCCAGGCAAGGCAGGCACGAGTCACGAGTCACTCCAGTATGCACTCCTTCCGATTCCAGGCCAGAGTACATGTGACCAGAAAAACTTGCGCCTTGTGCTTTTGTGCGACTTACTGCCCAGTGCCAGGTTTGATTCGAGATGCATTCTTTTGCTGTAACAATAAAGAAAATACCATACGAACATCCTCAGAAGCAATGTCATGTCCTCCAGAGTCCAGTTCATCGAGTACTTGGACAGGTCGAGCGCGGAGTTTGCCTTCCAGCGGGGAACCAACCTCTTCTCCGCGCCTTGTCACATTGTCCAGCCTTTGACTCGTCACTCAACTTCAGTCCTCTAGCCCTGGGCAGTGTACAGGACATACACAGGTTTGCCGATCTTTTGTTCTTCCCGTTGTTTCCCCATCAATTTCATGATTTGGGCTACTACTGCATTTTATAGCATGCGTTCTTTATGTTGTATCCTGTGACTCGAAATGCTGGAGAATCTACGGTCAAAAAGCAAAACGCTGGACCCGACTGTATCGATCATGCTCACGTGACGATAACACCAAAACCCCAATGGTGACTCAATTCAACTCTCCAGACCACCAAATTGTTCACGACCCAACAAGGCTCCAAGGGCCAACTATTTGATGCCACAAGAAACCAATCGTTAGGCCAAAAAAGGCTGCTGTTTCACGTCATGGCTCTCGCCCCCCATTCTCCAGCACCGTCGCCAGTCAAGTCACAGCCAGTCTTTACCATCACGCCTGTGCAAACCAGCGCCCATCTCGACACAATCCGCAGCCTTTTCACTCGATATGCCACCGCTCTCGGCATTGACCTGACATTCCAAGGCTTTCAAACGGAACTCGACTCTTTGCCTGGCGCTTATAGTCCGCCGACAGGGTCTCTGCTTCTCGCGCAACACAGTCTCTCCGGCGAGGCGATTGGTTGTGTCGGTTTGCGACCATTGAAACCCTCATCATCCCCCTCGCATCCCTCACCCACTGGCTCAGTCGCTGAGATGAAGCGCCTCTACGTCTCTCCCGACGGTCGCGGCTTGGGACTAGGCCGTGCATTGGCAGAAGCCATTGTCTCTGCTGCCGAGCAGCTGGGCTACACTGAAATTCGGCTGGATACATTACCTGATATGCATGCCGCACGCCATCTGTACACTGACATGGGGTTCGTCCAAATCGATCGCTACTACGATACACCTCTGCTAGACACGGTGTTCCTGGCGTTAAAGCTGCCAAGGCCTGTCGTCAAATCCAATGGTGATATCAGCCCAAAGGACGAGTAGAAGTAAACCCCGAACAATCCCACGCACGATACCAAGTACTAGAATATCACCATAATCTACCACAATATAGAAGATATCACGACATCAAATCCTCAAAGAACTTTTGTCCCTGTACAATTTAAAACCATTCTATGTCTTCTTTCCGGCCAAATACAGCCGCCAGCAACGACATCGATCCTTCTAGCCCTAGAATTCCTCTAAACAACCATGGTAGATGTAACTCACTGGCCGATTGTCCCATACATTTATCCTTTTCCGCCTCTGTCATCACAATCCCCTGGCTAAGTAGAACCAGCAGCAGATTTTTCCTCCCACCTCTTGACCGCGTTGAGGGCCGCTGTAATCTTCATCCCCAGCCGGGCATCCATCTCATACTTTTCCCAGTTCTTAGCCTTTTCAAGATACACCTTGCACTCGCGAACGAGATCAGCGTCGCTGCGATGACCCGCGTGTCGCTGCTGCGCCGGTGATTCAGTCGCTGACCCTGTTGTTGGCCTGCTGCTATTGGTATTCGCCCCCTCAGCCGACCCGCTCGCGTCCGACCTTACTACGAACCCAAATCCAGCCATGTGACGGCCGTGGATCTTGATATAGGCCTCTCTCTGCGTCCACAAGTTGGCGGCCATTTCATGGTGCGCGGTTGGCGCCGTCCAGTCATCATGATTAGGTCCCTTGAAATCGGCCGAAGTGTGATTCAGGATGTGCGTGCGCAATATCTCAATCGCCTCGTCGTGCCGCCGCAGGTTGCGGAAAATGACCGCCTTGAGCAAGTATAGAATGCTGCGCTCGTCCAGGGACTCGTCCTCCCAGTCCCGCCCATTGGCGTTGGACTCGGACCAAGCCAGGTGCTCGAGTGAGACCATCAAGTGCTTCTCCGACATCTTCTTATATCCGTTCCACAGCAGGATCATCTCCTCCAGAGGGTCCACACCAATGGCATCCACAAAACTACAACGCAGCCGCGTCGCCCGCTCGTCCCACTTGGCTAGTTTCCGCACCACAAATGCATCAAATGGAAGTTGTCGTCCCATCATCTTCCTCTTACCCACGCGTGTTGGTGCCGTTCGGAAGTGTTCTTCGGCAGTCCGTGCATGCACCGCTCGCTGCTTCTCGCTGAGCGACTTGTCGTGCCTGTACGCGGCCAGGTGGCACGCTCCCGCGATATAGAAGTACAGCCCCTGTGACCAGCTGTTCAGTTCGACACACGCCAGGAACGAGTCCGCGCAAAGCTGGTATCGATGCGCATACATAGCGTTGAGGCTTTTTTCAAACATGTGCAGGGCTTCAATCTGCTTGAGCTGCGACTTTCCCGGCTTGGAGAGCGTCTCCAGCGCCAAGTCCACGTTGCGTTGAGCAGCCGCCATACGTGCCTCTTCGACCAGCCACAAGTGACTGTTCGGGTAGCGTTTTCGCATTTCGATGAGTAGCCGTTGTAGACGTTCGGCCGGGTATCCGTCGACGTCGTGAGGGTTGTTTGGGTCGGAGTCGGTGATGATGTCGCAGAATCCCACTAGTCCATTGTACCAGCCGAACAATACCAGCCCCGCCATGCCGCCGTTGATATTGGAGAATTTGCTAGCTTGCCACAGCATTCGGATCCCCCGTTCGCGGTCTCCGCGAAACCCGACAATGAAAAGTAGTCGGCTAAAGGCGGGAGGGATTACCGAAATCAATAGTGCAAGCACCCCAGACATCAGGTTAGCCCCAGAGTGGATAAAGACGTCGAGAGAATTGGAGAAGATTTCTGAGTCGGCGTCCTCAGTGAGCATCCCCAGACTGGTCGGTGGTGGTGGCTTCATGATCCCTTGAGGTTGAAGCGCGTCAGAGTGGTGGGAAATGTTCATTTGTTCAATTTTACGGTCGAGGTCGGTCAGCTGCTCACTCTCGTCCTTGTCAAGGTGACCGATGTATTCTTCGGTGATGGGATTGTCGGGGCCAATTGTCTTGGTCTCGTGGAAGACGTCGCTTTCGTCGTCATTATTGGAATCGTCGTTTGAAGTTTCGGCCGATTCAGCATGGCGTAACGCTGACGGTTTGACTGGATGAGCTCCCGATGTTTTGTCTGTGGAAGGTACCTGAACGGGTGCATTGACCGTGGAAGCATTCTCCGAGGTGACCGAGGGCAGGCTCTCGCTCGACTGATTCCTCGAGTTTGCAAGACTTGTGACCTGGCGAGCTTTCATGAAATTGATCTCCATTTGAATAATGCCGTCAAGGGTGATATAAGCCTTTCTCAACTTGTAGAAGCCCTTGAGCGACTCGGTCAAGCTCTCATTCAGCACTCCGACCACAGCGGACATGATCTGGGCCTCAGCCTGGCACAAGGCAAACTCGGAGCCTCGGTCGTATATGTTGGAATTAAATGCCTTTTGATCATGCTGAGCCTTGTAGTAACTGGTGGAGGCGCTGGACTCGGCTTCGTACAAGGTATCCGAGGCCTCCTTCATGACGTCCTGCTCGAATCCCAGAGTGGCTCGGAAGAAGCCTAAGGTGCCTCTTGCGAGTTTGTGGAAGGAGGAGTTACCATCCGCGAGGCCCTTTTCGGCGCCAGTAATGTCATCGTCCATGATCAATTCCACCGCACGAAGTGCAGTCTCCAGGTTTTGAGCCTCAGCCAACGAATCGAGAGACTGAGTCGAAGCAGAAGCCATGGAACGGCCCCGATCGAGCCATTTTCCCACCCGGTGCATGGTGACGATTCGGTGGGAGAGGCCGGGTTCAGGTGACTCGGATAAAGCAGATTGCAACACTCATTACCTAGGTCGTCCAACTCACAACCATTGCCTAGCCTGGGCTTAATTTGCCTGCATCATGAAGTCCAGATGGGAAATTTGTTGAAATAAAGATAAAGAAAGACACACTCCGGGAGTTTCAGCCGTACCACCGAGCAAGAGCCAAGTACGTCAGACTGAGCACGAACACGAGCACGAGCACGTGAGCAAAGTCACGACAGGAGAATATCAGGGAATGGTCGGCTGGTGTATGTTTCTTGGATGGCAGAGGAGAGGATCAACGACGATGAAGGAGAGGAGTAACAGGAACAATGTCGGCGACGTCCTCAAGGATAAGTTGCAACCTATGTCATCTGGAGTAATATAACGTCGTCATCGACGGTCCGCAGTCAAATGGATTTTAACTGAAGGAACGGGGATTGGAACGGATTGGGTGGTAGGGGCTGTGCCCTGCATTGACTTTTCCCGCTCCATGGAAGATCCCATGGTGGTATCGCCGGGCGTGCATCAACCAAGAGGTCCCTGGAGGCTTCAGACCTAATGAGAAGGTGACTGGGAGCAAATTAGCGTGGTGCACATTGGGGAAGGATTCAGGCAACAGCTTTTTGGGTCATGGAATGCCTGGTGCTGGAGCTTGGTCGAGACATTTTGGGGGTACCTGAGGGGCAGAGACTTGTCACTTCCAGGTCACCCGTGTTCGCCAAAGCTAGTGCCTTGACTAAGTGCTCCGTAGATGTTCTGGTCGAAAGATGGAAAAAAAGGGCGTTGTGGGTGGGGAGGGGGAAGAGGTGAGAAGAGGGGACGAGGGGATTTACCTGTGACCCTCTGCCCCTCATCCTACGCCCCTCGGCCTGCGCCTGCACCTGCACCTGCACCTGCGCTTGAACATATTGTACCTACCTACAGTGCCTACTTATGATTAGGCGCTCCTTCCAGATAACGGTTATCCTACGCTCCACCGAAAACTTGCAGGAAGGAACAGAACGGTACTTGGCATTCACGTGACACATCAACCAACAAACAATGTGTTTACTATTGATGATAGCTTCCATGTTGAAGGTCTGTCAAAATGTCTCTAGGGCGATGAGACTGAACTACGAGCGTATTATCGTACAGTCAAGAACATATTCGACTATTGTGCCGATGCTTGATTGCGAACACTTTATGGTGCATTGTGTGCATATCAAGAGCCGGTCGTCCGTACAAGGGGAACGACATATTGCCAAAGAAAGACCCTACAGGTAAGAGGCTCTTACTCCCTAAGGCAGGCGTAAATGATTCAAAGAGCAGCGCCAGGACCGCTGATTTAGACGGTCACTCCTGCCCTCATGTGCTCTGTTACATACCTCCTTCCTTTCTGGTGTATGTTCAAGTTGACAGGAAGGAGGCACGGCAGGCACACGCGCACAAGCTACATACTAACGCGTCGAGGTCGAGATCAGGGCAGCTCTTGCCTTTAGAACAATAAGCACAAGTGATTTTCAAAGGGAATTTGGTAAGTGGTTGGGTATCAATTGTGTTGTTGATCGAGGAACTTGAACGCCAGCAAATACATATACATCCCGTGTTGTTCCACTCATTCCATACCATCCATCGCCGAACATCCTAGGCCTTTCGGCCTCTTTCATATCTTGTACACGTTCAGAAGTGCGAATACTGAAACTTGATCTACATGAAAAGTAATCCTGAGCACAGTGCGTTGGCTTGTACCGGTGCTGGGGACTCAGTCGCCTGCTGGCGCAGGAGATATAATCACATCTCTGCCCAGTTACCGCCTCTCATCTCTCCTAGGCTCACCATTCTGGCTCAAATGTCTAAAATGCAATTGATTGCCGGCATGAAGACCCTGACCCTGAAGCTGTGAAGAAGGGTGCTGGAGACGATGGTGTATTGGGTGCGTAGCGGGTGGACCACCCGGTTGACTCGGTGCTTGATTTGGTGCCTGAGGTTTTGCTTGCATCGATGGCAGTCCTGACTGGTGATGTTGTACCCCAAGACCTGAACCACCATAAGGTGAATGTGAGTGCTGGTGAGGAGGCGTAAATGTCCTCGGGATCTCGCGCTGGCCATAGCCCAGGTGTGATGGTGTCCCCGAAGTCCCCATCGGGCTCGGCCGAGCGATCGAAGGTGATGAGTGGTGGTCACTTCCCCAAATATCCCGTCGCACATGTTGTTGCTGTTGTTGCTGTTGCGGCTGTTGTTGCTGTTGCTGCTGCTGCTGGTGGTGGTGGTGCTGCTGCTGCTGCTGCTGCTGCTGCTGTTGTTGATGCTGCGAAAGAAGGTCACGCTCTCGCTGCTCTCGTTCGCGGTCACGCTGTACAGCTTCGACCTCGCGTTGACGATGCATCTGTCTCTCTTGCTCGCGCTGCTGTTCCTGCTGCTTCTGGGCCATATGCTGCTGGATAGTCAAACGTGGCTGGAAATCGCTGTTTGATGACGCACGTTGATGGAGACTTGACACAGGTGTAGAACTAGTTGATTGAGGATGCATTGCTGTGCCTCCAGGTTGATGAAGAGGCTGCTGATGACCCAAATGTGCAGCCGGGCTGGCAGTCTGAGGCGGTGGGTAACCCACTGAGGATACTCGAGAGTGGTGCCCTCCTCCAGAGACAGTTCTGAAAGGCTGATTCGCTTGGGGCGTAGCCTGCGGTGGGGGCGAAGGCGCAGGCGGTACCTGGTTGAGCGAACCAAGCAGAGATCGACGGTGGTCAATAGAATTCTTCGCTTCCAGCTGCAGAGGATTTGGATCTCTCAATGGGTGCACCGACGGCGTGTTAGATTGTGCAGATGGAGGAATCAGTGAATAGGGGCTTGGTCGAGGAGACTGATGCAAACTCCTCTGTTCAGATTGGCCTTGTGTTCGCGGATCATATCTATCCAACCAATTCTCGTTCGCAGGCGCACCAGTAGTAGATTGCAGTTCATTATAAGCATTCTGATAGTCTGCCAGTGAATGACCGGACGAAGGTTGGATGCCGCTGCCACTGGAACCATAAGGCCCTCTACTTGACCTTCCCTGCAGAGCATCATCTGGTGGCCCTTGACCTCTGGACAATGCTGGTGTGGTACCTCCAATATTTGTTTGAGGAGATAAAAGAGATGTGCGACGTGGCGCCTCTAAAGAAGGTCTCTTCGGAGGCGGTTCGGGAGCATCATCGTTGAGCAAGCCGAACAAATTAGACCGCTTTGCGGGCGGCTTTGGTTGCTCCAAAGGAGGGGCGCTTGCCGGTTGAGAAATCGGTGCCTCAGCCTTCAGATTCGGTGGAGCCGAAGTGAGCGACGGTGTCGCCGATGGCGAAGGACCCGCCCGCGACCCAAACAAAGAGCTTCGAGGTTGGCTATCAAATCGTCGTGCGAGTTCTTGTGGTGGCTCCAGTAAGGAATGACCAGGCCCTGTAGAACTGCTGTTCCTGCTGTGGTCAGGTCGATGCATGGATGTGGCATGGTACTTCTCTGCCTGTGACTGGGGCGTTGGGCCAAATGGACCCGACGGAGGATGCGATCTTTGCAAGGGCTGAGCAATGAGCTCGCGAGAATGTCCGAGGATGCCTTGAGGCATATTTGACAAGGCCGAAGGGAGATTTGGATCCGATAGACGCTGATGCTGGACATGTGGGGAGTGTTCTTGTAGAGGCATGCGCAAGGGTTGTCGGGGGCCGTGATAACCGAGAGGGTCTTCCTGAAAAACTCCTGGTTTCGGGCCATGCAAGGATTTGGGTCCATACAGTGAACTCCGCTCCGTCTTGGACAGCTCCTCGATCTTTGGTTGAGGATTTAATGCTGCAGGCACTGAATCGCGCCCAATGTCTCGAGGGGCAGGTCGATTCTGTAAGACCTCTGTGTTTCGATCCGAGTTGTCTCGTGGATGGTTGTCAGACGCCGTAGCGGGTTCCGTGTCAACGTGTGATCGATCAGGCTGAACTCCGTGAACAACAGGCGGACGGACAACCGGTACCACAGATGGAGCTGCTTCGTATCTTCGCTTGGCGGGGGCAATAGGGCTGGGGGGTTGGGCAGGTCGAGTACCAGACAAGCGCATTTGCTCTCCAATCTCCTCCAATCTCTTGAATTCTTCTTTTCCTTCGGCATTGACTTGACGTAGGTAATAGTTTTTTATCTGGGGCGTGTTAGTAGAGAGTTGCGTTGATGTAGGGAATGCGTACCATTGTCACGCTCTTGGTCTTCATGAAATCAGCGATTGCCGCATAGTCTCGTCCAAAGTATTGTAGAAGCTCGGGAAACTTGTTCTGTTCTGGGACCGACCAGTAGCTGGTGACCTGGGAAGTGGCTGGCGGTGGAACGGTGGATGGAGGCATCGCGTCAGTTGCAATGTGAGGTGGTGCAGCGCCGTCCAGACGCGCAGCTTGAGAAGCTGGTTGAGGATCGCTCCTAATGGGCACATTCTCTGCACGAAGGAGCGTTCGAGCGCGCTCGGGCTTTGCGGCAGGTGCTGGTTTGAGCTGTGAGGCTTCGGGGACTTGGGCATACGCTTGCGCCATTGCCTGAGCCTGAGCCTGAGCCTGAGCGTCAGCGAGTGTTCCTGCTTGGGCTTGGGCGAAGGCTTCAGCTTGGGCCTGGGCTTGTTGGTCTGCCTGGATTTGCGCCTTTGTCCGGCGGGTCTTGGTTGCGATCCCAGTCTTGCGTCCCCTAGTCGGTTTGGCGGCCGTGGGTTCAACACTGCCATCTTTTGGTCCATGGCCGGGCTTCCTCGATTGTGGCCCTGGCGTACTCGTATCATTCTCACTTGCCACATCTCCAAAGGTTGGAGCAGCAGCTCTTCTGGGCCTTCCACTCTCGGTCACCGGTACAGAAGCGCCTTCACCGTCTTCGCCGTCACCCAACTCAGACATCAGAGCCGTAGCGCGAGGCTTGCCAGCACCTCGACCACGTCGCTTCCTGGGCTGTGATCGTCTCCAGATGTCTTTGTACGGAGTTTGGGTCTTGGTCAAGTAATAATGAGCAATGCATTCATGGTAGGAGCGGCCAGGAATGGACTCTGCAATCTTTCCCCACTTTTTCGGGCTTTGGCAATATGCTGTGATAAAGAGAGTTTGCTCTTCCTCCGTGAAATCGTCAACTGGGGGTAGGAACTCATAGAACTCGAGTGTGAGCTCGACATTGATGAGACGATTGGTGTCTTCAAAGTAGGAAGCTTCGACGTCTTGTGGCTTTAGCATTGCGGGAATGACCGCTTCTGTGTCGAGGTTTGGCAGAGAACTCGAAGCAGCTTCTCTTTCTCGTCGCTCTTCCTCTTCCTTGAGAGATTGTTGAGACATCAATATGGCTGCCTGCAAGTCTGCTTCTGTAGTATTACGAGCACCCCTGGTACGCTCGTGACCCAGTGACGGGGTGACAGAGGGCGCAGCTGAAGGTGCGGGGGAAGCCGGAGCAGGGCTAGCTTGTTGATCCCTTCGATCGACATCGAGGTAGACAAATTCATGCTTCCAAGCAGGGTAAGACTTTCGGTACTCCATGTGCAAATCTTCCATCTCACTCCGCCAGTCCCACGCACTATGTTCAAACTCTTGTTGAAGAAGCATCGCCACAGCTTCATGTTCAACTTCATTGTCCGACTCTTCGAACAAAACCGGTTCGGGCAATTGGGCTCGAAGATATGGCAGCTCTTCGATAGGTGGAGTTGGTATAGGGTTGACAGGAGGCTGTTTCAGTGGTCTGCCTCTTGGCATAACGTTCTCCGCCACAAGCTTCGCATCGAGATTGGGGGCATCTGCATCGGGAGAGGGTAGAGCGGGTGGGATGTCGGGCGAAACGGAGGCCTGGGCTTTTGAAGGCTCAAGCAGTGCTGACGCTGGTTGCGGGATCGCATCCTGCACGATCATCTCGAGAAATTGCAATCTGATCAACAGAGACACAATTGTTCCGTCCTGCAGGACCGGAGCTGGCTTGCGGGCTTCGAGAAGATCCATCTCTTGTTTGAATCTATCTTCCGACTCGGCAAAGTAGTCATCGTCAAAGGCATCATCCTCAGCATCATCTTCGTCTTCGCTTGAAGCTGGGACAGACATTTCGACGTCATCGCTAGCTCGCATCACATCGATAGGTGGCCTGGGGATCAGGGTAATCTTTGCCTCCGGGATCCTGGGGCTGGTGGCTAAGAGGGCTTTAGGGCCCGTGGGAGCGGACGGCACAGAAGTTGGCCCATTCTGCAGGGCACGAGACTTGTCCATCTGTCCATGAAAGCCAGATTGTTGTCGTGGCCCCGACGGTATGAAGCCAGCTCGATCTCGTGGATCTGAGGGGTAAGGCTTGTTCATTTGGTTCATAATTGAGGGCTTCGGTTTATAGTCGGGGGACACCCATATCTTGGACCCTGTCCCTGGTGGAGGCCTTGGACCATCTCTGTCCAGTCGGGTATCTCGATCTCGGCCATCCCTGTCAAGTCGAGGACCAGTGGGGATTGAGGTGGTTTTACTATCAATGGAAATGGACTTGAGCCCGTCGCGCATGATACCTGCTTGTGCTGACGTCTCCATAGAAGATAGTCTTGCTCTGAATGGCGGTGCTGCAGTGCCTAGTCGTGGACCTGATGGGATGTTTGCTGGTAGAGCTCGATCGATGGGAGCTACCGGACTGGGCCGCGAGTCTTGAGAAGGCTGTTCCTTCTTGGCTGCTCCCTCACCCTGGCTATTGCTGGCTGGAGGCGGGGGCGTTGGCCGCACGGTGCGCTGGTGTGGTTCATTGCGTGACCAAGTATCTTGGGCCTGAACCAACTTGGGACCCAGGGGGGTTGCTGGAGTGGTTGCAGTAGGCGTCCTAGCTGCCTTTGGCCCGCTCGGAGGCTGGAAAGGGGTTGATGAGGTAGGGTTGAGATCGGCTTTTGACTGCGCAGGCTTGGGGGCAGGCGGTCTCTCCGAGACAGGAGTGCTAGCAGGCGGTAATGATGGTGGAGGGCCATAATCAAGCCCGACAGCGGTAGACGGTTGTTGGGAACCTTGAGGTGGATCGCGACGTGATGGGTCTGGCCTCGAGCCAAAGTAGTCAGACGAGTCTCCATCTCTTCGAGGGTCGCGCAAGGAGGTGCTCGGCGTATTTATAGGGGGTTGCTTTCGAACAGTATCGTAGTCAGCCTTGGCAAGTCGCTCTGTGGTTGAAGCTGGGGGGGTTGCGCCGGACGCAGTGGTATGTCCAGCAACGCTCCTGGCTGGGGAAGAATCTCTGGGTCGGATATCTGGATCTCGATCCCTGCCCCGGATATCACGTTCTCTACTACGGTTAAATTCTCTCCGCTCAAAGCGATCGGCCCTATCGGGGTCGGGTGCTGATGGACGTCCACGATCATAATCCCGGTCGCGCCAGCTTTCGCGAGAGCGGCTTCGGGGGCGAAATAGATCTCTGTCACGCTCACCAACAAGAGAAGTTCTGCGTCTGATTCTTTCCCAGTCTCTGCCACGGCCTCGACCCAAACCACCTCGTTGAGCTGGTGTATAGAAGGATGCGGCCGAATCAGCGGTGCGAGAGAAGGTGGAAGGGAGGGAATCGCGAGAGTCGCGTCGGGGGCGTGCTGGGGAAGCAGATCGTTCTCTACCAACATAGGTGCGACTGTCCCTCGCTACGCCAACGTTGCGGTCTGCTGGAGGGAAATCGCGGTCTCGGCGCTGCCACTCTGGACGATCGTCATCTCTGGCTCGATAGGACTGGGGTGTCCCACGAACATCCCGGTCTCGGTCACGGTCTCGGTCATGGTCTCGGTCGCGATCGCGATCGCGATCTCGATCCCACGTATCGCCGCCTGCGCGGGCGGGAAAGCCTCCGCGGCCTCGAGGTGCAGAAGAAAATTGATAGCCTGGAAGATGGGAATTAGCTTTAGAACCTCGACGAACGCATGGATCTGTCGCACCTCTATATGATGAGCCTGGTGCAGGGTAAGTCCCCGAGGGTCTTCGGTCGTAGCGTGGTGGAGAACGATCTCGGGGCGTGGTGGGATATCTCGAGGACATTGATTATATAAGCCTGCTGAGGAGATAGCAGGCCAATCAGGTGACGGAGTTCTTGGCGTTGAAAATTGGGTGCCACATCACGTGGTTTCAGGCCCAGAACAAAGCAAAAGCGCCACTCAGCCAAGGCTTCAGCAAGCCAGCAACGGTGGTTCGATGCAAACTCGAGGCAGGTGGGGATCGTGTCAAGACAGAATCGCCGGCTGCTTGGGTTCTGTTTCAGTGTGACTTTGGAAAAGAATTGCCAGTTTGCCAGGTGCAGGTGTCACCCAAATGGGAGTAAGTCGCTCGAGTTGGCTGGGTGAGTAATCGCGAATACCCACGGCTCCGCGTTGCTCAAGATTCTCCGTGCGATCTCGTTGGATGCCTCCCAAGACCTTGCTAGGGAAGGTACAGGTACTCAAATCCTTGGAAGGGGCTCTCCGGTTAGAAGAAAAGCAGCAAGCAGACCAGGGAGGTTAAGGCTGTTGTTGAGAGAGATCAATGATGGCGTTTCTGCTTGGTTGGAGGAGGTAGGCGGTGGATCGTGATGATGTGATACGTGGTCAAGTCGAAGAAGTGTGCAATGATGGAAAAGCTAAATTAAGACACGTCCAAAAAGGCACTTCGGTGCACAGTGAAGTGCGGGTCGTAAAACAGGCGAAGGGTGAGTTTAGAAGTACAGGGCGCGACTAGGTCAACACGCGCCAGCCAGGCGATACAAATAACAATCTCGATTGAAGAAGATCGCGACGTTGATGTTGGCGACGGGAGTGAGATAGGAAGAGAACACTACGAAGAAATGGAACAGCAGAGGAAAGGCGGACGAATCGAGGAGGAGACCAAAAAACACGCTTGCAGTTTAGCGGAGCCCTATTTGGACATTTGACTTGACGGTGGGAGCGGCTGACTTGCAGTGTTGGCACCTGAGGAAAGCCTACGAGTAGAGGTGGACGAGTGACCAGGGAGGGAAAAGGATGGGGCCGAGGGACCTGGAATGATCGGATCTTGGGGGATCTTTGTGGGCACATTGGCAGCAGTGGCAGCAGTGGCAGAAGTGGGCACACATACTTCAATAATAATAGGTAGGTAGATAGTTCAGTACCGACTCGTACTCAGGGCATACAATTACGTCCAGCCACCAACTTACGGCCTGGGCTCGTGTCTACTCCGTAGGAGTTGGATGGTCCGGAAAGTCATGTTGTGCTCCACCGTAACACTGCGCATTGACGGTAGGGCCTGACATCATTACACCACTTTTACACAGGTCCGCGTACGGATTACATTAGTCAAAAGCGGACCTACCAGCATCACAAAGCGATAGGCCAGGAATGCGTCTGAAATGAACCTAGCTATAGATAGTCTAGTTCCCCTATCTATAGTGATCGCATCTCTCGACTTATTGATGAAAATACAGCAGCAGGATATACTCGTGTGAGGAACCCCGGTCGGGCCCGCTTTTTACTCATTGATTTACCCAAGCTGCCAAGGTAGTGTAGCTCCATTTTCAGCTCACAAGGGTGCCGAGTGTTTCGTACTCATCTAAGGAGGTTCGTAGGTACTCATCACCGTAACGTCAGCCATGTCATCCAAAGGTTCCAAGTTCTTCTTCTCTTTGTATTCATTCAACACTCTGGATCCCAAAAATGCCTCCCAACGTCACAATCCGAAACCTCAGCAATATCCCTTTCAATCTGGTCAAGGTTGAACACTTTGAACCTCATGTTGAACAAGGTGGATTTCAGCTTAAAAACGTCACACAAGCATTGGGCAACGTCACCAACACCTTGGGCCTGACCAACACCACAACTCGCAAGGATGTACCCCAAATCGATCCCGACACAAAACCAACCAGTTCCCGTGATATTGACGTCAGGATTGTCCCTTACGCCATTGCAAAGACCGACATCAAACTCAGTCAGCCTGACGAGAGGTTGAGATTGACTTTCCAGGCTGAAGGCGGTGGGAAACACCAGCTTTATTGCCCAGTCCCCACATCCAAGACTGCTACCTTGGTCGCTCTTGACGAGAGAAATCCTCAACGTTTCACAGGCATCTATCTGACTGATGATTCATATGTCGCTCTCTTCAACAGCACCAACCTTAGTTCGTGGCAGCGAATGCTGCCCAATGAAACGCCACTGGGTGCATTGTCCATTCCTGGCTCACACAATTCTCCCACCTGCTATAATGCACCACCTTCTGTCCGCTGCCAGGCTGTTTCACCCAGAGAACAACTCGAGAACGGCTTCCGATTCTTCGACATTCGGGTCCAAGTCCCTGAACCTTTTGATGCCAACTCTGATCGTTTGAATCTGGTCCATTCGGCCTTCCCCATCTCACTCACTGGCAACAAGGTCTTCCGCGAACTCTACAATGACATCACCAAGTTTCTACAAGACAACAAGAGCGAAACTTTGATCATGTCACTCAAGCGCGAAGGCACCGGTAAGGGCACCGACGAGCAACTATCGCGCATCTTGCACAACCATTACTTCCGCGATCGTGACTTGTGGTTCACCGAACCCCGAGTCCCCAATCTCGGCGAAGCACGCGGTAAAATTGTGCTACTGCGCCGTTTTGGGCTCGAAGAAGAACTTCGCCGCGAACACAACGGGCGCGGCCTCGGCATCGACGCCCAGGTCTGGGCTGACAACACACCCAATGCAACCTGCCCGTCTGGCGACGTAGTGGTGCAAGATTTCTACGAGGTCTTGGAACGCCCTTCGATCGAGAAGAAGATCGCGTATGCGCGTGACCACCTCGAGCGCAGTGGAGCGTGTGTCTTCAATCCGCGCGACGTGCGCGCCACCGAGGGCAAGAAGATTCCTCTTCACATCAATTTCCTCAGTGCCAGCAACTTCTGGAAGGTTGGCACCTGGCCCGAGAAAATCGCTGCCGAGGTCAACCCAGCCGTCGTCGAGCATATCTGCAAGTCGCATCAGCTCGACGATCGTGGAAACGTCAAGAATGGGAATTGGAGCACTGGAATTCTCGTCACCGATTGGGTCGGCCTGGGTGGAGACTGGGATTTGTCTAGAGCTGTCGTTGGACTGAACACGAGATTGATCAAATAGATTAGTACATGGTAGGATACTTGGATATTGTTTCCTCATACAGAACAAGTTTCGGTCTCGATTCTAGCTTTGCGCTCACTGTTAGTTGGTGTAATAATCTTGAAAGTGGCGTATCTCCTGTGTCGAATTGGCCTCGATGATTGAAGAGCCCAGGTGTGTTCATGGATGGATCATCTACCGACTTCTTAGGTAGGGTTCGCAACGGTGATGATACAGGAAGAACCACAGGTGGCAGTGCGTCATTGTTTATATTTGGAGGTATAATCTGCTAGACGATTCCCGAGAACAACAGTCTTAAGAGTGGCTGACGCAATGCCAATTGATGGGATAAGCGATGATGAATCAACTTCCCAGCGCCTGTTACTTCTCTTCGCCCGTCGTATGCCAAACTCTTTAGGCTTGCAACAATTCGTCAACTTCGTGTTTGGTCAGTCCCAAGAGATACACCAGATCTAGCATGTTCTCTGCAACATTGAGCCTTGCAGGAGCCTCCATTTGCACCTTGGACTTTGCTTTCCAAGCCACCCCCAAGCCTGCTGTTTTGAGCATAGGAATATCATTCGCCCCATCACCAACTGCCATTGTTTGTTGGAGGGGAATATCCTTGCCTGCAGCGAGGCTAATGAGGAGGTTCCTCTTGTGCTGTGAGTCCACTATGGGGTAGTCAGGGTTCAGTTCGCCCGTCAGGGTTTTAGTCTCTGGGTCAGATACCAGGTGATTGGCGAATGCGTGATCCAGACCCAATTCACCGGCCAGCCAGTCGGCCAAAGGTTGAAAGCCACCAGAAAGGACAGCAAGGGTATAGCCAAGACGTTTGAGTGCTTTACACAGCTCCCTGGCCCCTGGAGTGATGACAATATGTGGCTTCAGCCGCTCAAAGACATCACTAGGCACCCCCTTGAGTAGTGCAACACGTGCCTTTAATGAAGCTGCGAAATCCAACTCCCCATTCATTGCTCGTTCTGTGATCTCTGCCACCTTGTCCTTGACACCGACGAAAGCAGCAACCTCATCAATAACTTCCTGTTGAATCAGTGTAGAATCCATGTCAAAGACACACAGTCGCTTGTGTCGGCGAAACACGGTTGACTGCTGAAGAATGACCTCACAATTCCATTCGCGCTCGAATTTGTAGATGGATTCATGCTTGGTGATAAGCTCAAAGGGTAGATACTCTGGATTCGGCGGAGGGTTGAAGGTGACCTCCACAACACGAGGCTTGACTGGATCTGGAGAGAGACAGCGATGGCTACTGGTCAGGCGGCGTTCTGAAGCATGATTGTGAATCAAAAGGCTGTCCAATGTAGCAAGAAAGTGGGTCAGGCACAGTTGCGAGACATAAGCACCGTACAGATGGTCCAAGGGCTCAGGTTCGGGAGCTGGTGGTTCCAGAGGATAATCGGCGATGCTAGTAGTAGGAGCAGAACCTTCAGCGATTTCAGGGACTGGCAAAGGCTCCGTAGGCTTTGCTTGTGGTGACTGATCGGGATGAATGTGAGGATGTCTCGGGGCCAACGAGTTATAGAAGATGGTTGCTACCAGTCGGGCACTTTGACCTTGAACTTTTGGTATGCAATTCGTGTGAGACATGGTATGTACGGCCTCTTGCGCAATTGTTGTCGTTGGTGGGATGGCGCTGAAGGATCTTCGTGAAGACAGGGACATAAATCGCCAAGATACTTTGTGGCGGTCTTCGGGATTGGTCGAGGACAGCTAAGAAAAGTGGGGCGAGAGCAACAAGACGGATTTTGCAATCTGGGCCTCATAAGCTGATGTAGAGCTTCAAGAGTGATGCCTGGAAGGTCTATCTATAAGAGGAGGAGGAGGAGGAGGATGATGATGATGATGAAGGGGGATCTCTCTAGCTAGAAAAATATCGGCAGGAGCCAAGTGCGAAGGATATTTACCACAGGCTTCAGGAAGGAGTATTCAGCTACTCCAACATATTGCCTAATTTCGCGGCTTGAAGAAGAAGCCAGCGGACGTGGGTCAACAAGGGCCAATACACACAAGCAAAGTTGCCGTATGGATTTTTACACCAGATCAGTGCATGACTAGGTACCTACTGAAACTGAAGAGTCACTCAGGTACGCCGTAGGAGTTACTAGGTACAGAGACATGAGCATAATTGTAAAGACACTCAAATTCCTAACTTTATGCCTATGTTCACGCACATGTTTCCTTCGCATTCTATCTGCTGAGACATCAAATCATGTCATGACAAAACATTGACCTTCTTCCAATAATAATGGTTCCTGTCTTGAGCCTTGCTAGTCTTGGCAAGACTCTTGGCAAGAGTCAAAGCCAGCCTGAAATCTTGAAATCCTGGCAGCCTTGCCACGCAATGGTCCAGAAACACCAGAATTTTCAAATATCTACGGTGTCAAATAATGGGGATATCTAGGTGTTCGAGGCTAATGCCAGTGACAGTTTAACAATTCAAACATCATCCGGATGGATTCAATCCCTCCAGCAAAGGCCACAGATGCCGTTTTGGTGGCATCTGACCCAGTTCCAGAAGGAGTCAAGCAGGTGAGCGGGATTGACTGGAATTCATTACCTCAAGACCAACGGGGTATCATCTCAGACTTTGTCCAGCAACTGGTGGGACAAGGATTTCAGTCATCATCCTTAGGCGAGGCAATTCGCATCATCAATGACATGGTCTGTTTTCCCTTTAATGCCACCAATATTTGAATAGCAGTTTCCTGACTGCATCCCAGCGAATGTGGAAGGACCCCGAAACGGGGGATAAGACGACCATCTTCCTCGGATACACTTCGAATATGATCTCGTCTGGACTACGTGAAACGTTTCGATATCTGGTTCAGAACCGACACGTCTCTGCCATCGTCACCACCGCCGGCGGCATCGAGGAAGATTTCATCAAATGTCTCGCTCCCACCTACCATGGCTCTTTTTCAGCATCGGGCGCTGCATTGCGAGCGAAAGGTTTGAATCGAATTGGCAATCTCATGGTTCCCAATAACAACTACTGCGCGTTTGAAGATTGGGTGGTCCCGGTCTTGGACAAGATGCTAGAAGAACAGGAGGAGGAATTTGCACGCACCGGCGAGAGATTCCACTGGACTCCTAGCAGAATCATCCATCGTTTGGGTAAGGAGATCAATGATGAATCTTCTGTCTATTATTGGGCATACAAGAACGATATTCCGGTATTCTGCCCAGCTTTGACCGATGGCAGTCTTGGGGATATGATATACTTTCACTCTTTCAAGGCATCTCCGTTGCACCTAGGCATTGACATTGGGCAAGACATTCGCAAGATCAACACAATAGCGGTGCGGGCTAAGCGAGCCGGTATGATCATTCTTGGAGGAGGCGTGGTCAAGCATCATATTGCCAATGCGTGCCTAATGCGGAATGGCGCGGAAAGGGCGGTGTATATCAATACAGCCCAAGAGTTTGACGGCAGTGACGCTGGTGCACGACCAGATGAAGCCGTCAGTTGGGGGAAAATAAGGCCCGATGGTGAGAGTGTCAAGGTAAGTCTGACACGATGAATGTTGTTTTGTAGGCCGCAAAACGGCAATTGACTATCTCACCAGGTATATGTCGAGGCAACCATTGCGTTTCCCCTGATCGTAGCAAGCACATTTGCAAGACCTGAGTAACGATGGATGGTTGAGGGCGCCATTACTGTATTGACGCGCCGCCTCCGTCTGGACCTGATTGTGGGAGAAATCAGTTCAGAGGCCAGCAGCTGGTTGACGTGGCGGCATGGTTACGGAGCACCAGCATCAAGGGCCGAATTGGTATGCATGCTATTTACCTAGTCCGGGCAGCCGAGTGGGATAGAAGCCTTGCACATAAACATGTTGGGGGGTGGACAGTAATGTTGAAGGAGTTGGTTAGACGCGTGGGGAATGATCATTTGCTCACGAAAAGCGCCTGACCCAGCAAATGCAAGCAAACTCGTCGTCTACACATACGGAGTACCTAGACGTCTAAGTAGTGTCTAGCGTATGGTAGGCTATGCCCACTCTTTTACTAGGGGGACTTTCTGCCTTTGCGTCTCCGATGTGGCACTCAGGGCACTAAAACCGGTGGAGACTCCGTTAGGCTGCTACAGGCGACAACCAACAAGGCGAACATGGCTGCCGAGGGTGCCTCGGGCATTTCAGCCAAAGAATGGTGAGTGTAGGTGGCTTGGAAATTTGGGGGCCAAGGAAGAATTGTGGCCAAATAGGCCAAGTTATCCAGACATCTCAGGTACTCTCCAGCAATTCTTTGCACCTACAGGTACCTTATACAGAAGCAGAGTGGGCGACGTGGGTAGGGAGCCGCTGGTAGCGTGGGTATGGAGGTAATAAGTCTGCCACCTGCGTCTACAGTCTGGGTACCTACAGTAGAAGTACCGAGTTCGTAAGCGTACCTACCTACTACTCCGTAGGTAGGCCCTCGGGATCCACCTGGTCGCAGATCCACACTTAACGAGAGGTGCCTAATGCCGCCAAAAGTGCATCCCCGGCCTGGCCTATAGCCACTGTGGCCGCCAAAGCTAGGCGGAGCGGGTAAGAACCTTGGGCCACTCGGGCCCTGATTTGCTTGAACTTACCAAGGCAGCCCTGCCGGACGGGCGTTGCCTGCTCTTAGCCAACAACTCCTACAAGCCCCGTGAGCCCTAAACTCCGCTGATTTGTGGCCCTCCCCAGGTGGCGCAAAAGTGGAGAGTCGCGTGGATCATCAAAGTTTGGGCGGTGACTGCAATTGAGTGCAATTGACAGCAGGTGACTCTTTTTGTTCCATCTTGAACTCGATCTGGATAAACCCAAGGGCAGGAAAACAGGCTGCCATGGGCGCCTCAGCCTGTCCATGAATGAATGACATTCTTCTTTGGAGCCACATTTACCAGACGCAACAAAATCCTCCTCCACATTCACCTCAATCATCACTACCACTCATATGCTGCCCTCCTAGTCCTATCCAGAATTGTTCGTCCTTGACACATTCCACCACTACATTCTCAATGTCGACCTGATGTGACGCACATCCCGATATCCTGTTGTCACAATCACTGTTGTTTGAGCAAGCGACTTGCCTTTTCTGCCTTTGTCTACTTTTCTAAACTTCATCTTTGCCGCCGTCGACTTCTGTGCCCTCCTCCTCATCCAGCCTCTTCCTGCGTCTGACTGCGATCAGTCTCACCAGTCACCCACTAGCGACCCTGCGAGCTTGTCGTCTTCACGCACCTGAATCTTCACTGAACAGCCTCAATTTACTACCAGTCCTTCACCATTTCCTCGTTTGTTACCAGCTAGACTTCACCATGGCAGCCTACCACAGTTCACCTGTCCTCGTCCAGCACGCCTCTTCTCCCCATTCCATGAGCTCCCCACTCGCACTCAACTCTCTTTCGCCTTTTCCACTAGAGTCTCAAAGTGAACCAGTTCGTCTGCCCGAACCCATAGTTCCCTCAAACTCTGCGCCTTCTTCCTCTGACCTCCAGACTCCTTTGCTATCTCTGCCAGAGATTCTCATGTCTGACGGTCCAGGCACCCAACAAGAGGCTTCAGTCTTCCAAGTAGCCGAGAACCCAAACTGGGGCGAGCGATCACACGTTCAACCGCAGCCAGCTACTCAGGTCACCCAAGAAGGATTGGAAGAGGCGGATGTGCGGCAGGAGCAGCACGTTAATGACAATCAGACAGATGTCATTAGACAACCACATGTAGGAGATGGACCATCAACATCTGAAGTGAACCCAGACCGCACACAAGATGTCCAACAAAACCCCCCATCCCGTTCAGGTCCGGACTCTGCTGAACAAGCCGTTGCCGACCCCTCTGCCGACCCTGTGACCTCTCCTTCCATCCCAGAAATGCCTGGACAAGACGCCCTTGTCCCCACAGCCACTGTTCCTGACGAGCCCCCACCCCCACCAGAATGGGCGACTTGGGAAGATGACCTGTCCACCCCAAGTGAAGAAGAGTGGAAGAGGATCAAAGAACGGGGCGAGACCCATGCGCTAGATACCGCCGCCATAGGGAAACATCTTTTGTCATTCAACGATGATCCAGACATTCGCCCTGTGAAGAAATTGCGGATGAACTGGGTCATTCGAAACATCCGTGGAAACAAAACCAAGCCAAATCATGCTCGGGTCATGATCTCCCCGCCTTTCAAAGTCGATGGGCGATACTGGCAGATCAAATTCTTCCCTAGAGGTAACGACGAGCATGGACAGCGAGATGCAAAGCATCTTAGCCTCTATCTTCGATGTGGCTGGGAACCACTTGCGTCGAATAACGGCATCACCCAGAGCACATGTACCTTTTATCAAGGATCTCCAGACTCCGACTTTGGCGAGGGAGCTACCCCAGAGCAGGTCATTGATATCAGTCCACCCACGGAAGAAGCCTCCGGCGGCCCTGAGGCGCAAGCTCCGCCTTTGGCTCAAGACCAACCCATCCCCGCCAGTTCAGATACGCCCCCGACGTCGCAAGCAGAGGCCAACGCTGGTGCCGATGGTACCTCGATGCAAGATCGGCCATCGCAGGTAGACTGGCGAACTGCAGCTGCCATGGGAGTTACCATGTACAATCCTCAGGAGCCTCGTACGTTCGAGACGGTATGGAGTACTCACCAATTTAACCCGCAAAATGAAGACTGGGGCTTCTTACGCTTCGGAAGTCGAAAATGGAAATACCTTCATATTCGAGGGGGTGAGCAGCGCACACCTTTCATCCAAAAAGATACGCTGGCAATCGATGTTAACGTCTTAATATTTGACGACCCATCCCAGTCGCTTTGGTGGCATCCAAGCGACACAGAGCCATCCTGGAACTCAAAGCTCCTGGCCGGCTACTACCCCATGGGTACACCACATTTCTATTACAGCCCTGCTGTTGCCGGTCTCACTGCATTATTACTGCTGGTCCCTTTCCGCAAGTTGATCCAGAGCATCGATGGGGGGGCTTGGAGATCAAACTCGCAGCTTCGGCCCCGTCCACTTGTTTGTAAACTACAAATGGTCCTCTCCTTGATGCGTCATCTGCTCCCAACATCAGATAATTATGTCAATGTCGTCCCTATTATTGACATGCTTCAAGCAGCAGGGGAGACGTTTTTGGAGGTCAACACATTCTGGGATGCCCTGCGGAGGTCTCTCGAGCTTGAGCTTGAGGGCGAGTCGGCAGCACTGACAAGTCTCTCGAAGATTTTTGACACTGCCAACGGACCCGTATCCTTTCCACCTCTTCCCGTGGAGACGGTTGCCAATATCCAACAAGGAGTGGAGCACATATTGGATCAACAAAACTTCCAAGGACTTCTCCCTGACTTCCTCCCTCTGACGCTCGACAGACAAAAGTTTGATAAGCGAACCCGCAAATGGGTGCTCCTTCAAGATCATGTTCACCTCAATGAAGAGATTGATCTGAGTCGCTTCTCAACGGATGGCGCCGCTTCCAAGTATACGTTGTACGGATTTGTTGTGCACAGCAATGAGAGGACGTCGGAGAAATTCTTCAGTGTTCTACGACCCGGAGGCCCTCAAACCAAGTGGCTCGAGTTCAGTGATGGCAATGGGAACAAGGTGAAGTCTTACACTACGAAGGGTCTACAGAAGTATTGGGGCTTGGAAGGTCAAGCCTTGAAAGACTACCTGTCGCAAGAACCTACTCCACCACTTGACACAGTTTACCTCGCCATGTACGTAAGGTCCGACCTTCTGGGAGAATACCTGGCTCCTTACATGGAGCCGTATCTGCTACCCGAGTGGATGGTTCAACATCTTCAAAGTGGTATCCTGAGTGAGGGGATCATCTCCAGCGAACACATTGATGGAGATACAAACGAGATTCAGGTCGAGGTCTACTCAGACCAAGCGGTTATTGGCCGAACAGGTCTCCTAGACCCAATCAAAATGACGAGGCAATCCCAGCACCTGGGGACATTTCACAAGATGACCTTCTCAAGCAAGTTCAAGTTCCAGGACGTCCGATCAGCGATTGCGACAAAGCTATCGATCGACAACTCGGAAAGAATCCGCCTATTTGTCTTGAACTTTGGGTCACTGGGTGATGCGCCTGAGATGTTTCCGGTTATTCTATCTACGACACTGGGTGATGAACATGCTCGGTCCCGACCTCTGTGCTTGTGGATGTCAATCTTGCACACTGCCGAAGACCTCGAAGCGTTTGGCGAGCCGGACCACAAGGAAGTAGATGATCAGGACGCACGATGGAGGATGGATACGGATGAAACGAATCGATCAACAGATCACGATGGGTGGGGAGATTCAACAGCAGCCGCAGACCTCGAACAGGAGTCTGTGCAACAAGCAGTTTTGGCCGATGTTCAGCGCCTTCCGAGCACCGCTGAAGCTCAAGTAGGCCCAGCACCGTCAATTGAGAACAACCAAGGCACAGCTATGCCAACTGGAGAAATAGTGGTTTCCGGAGTTGAAGACGAGACAGCGCTAGAAGTTCCTCATGGCCACCTTGTGGACGCCACCAGTCATGAGCAAATCGACAGTTCTGACACCGTCGAAATGAATGGAAATGGTGCGACAAACCTCATCCCGGTTGAAGATGCCGCCATCACCACCTCGGTCGATGGAGCAACTGTGACCATGGAGATGCTCTTATCGACGGTACAGAATGGAAACGAGCCAGACAGCATGAACACGGCCAATTCGGAGTCATCATCGGCCTTGTCATCACCTGAGGAACAAGCCAGACCAGTTGCCTGCACGTATGTATTCCTTCAATTCTTTGACGTGGAAAATCAAACCTTTCGCCTTATCGAAGCCTTTTTCACCAAGGCGGATGACAAGGTCAAGGATGCGTTACGAAGAAAGATGGGCTACCCTTTGGACAAGCAGTTCGAGGTGTGGAGAAGAGCCGAAACTCCAGTGAAATGTGAAGTGGTCGCCGACGATGAATGCTTCGAAGCGAACTCGGTCACAACATATATAATTGGCGACAAGAAGTCTGAAATGGATGACCAGAAACTGCAGCGACAGGGCAAATATTGGGACCCATTTGAGGTGGGCGACTATCTTCGAATGTTGGAGCGGAAACATCCTATTCGATCCAAGACAACAGCAGCGCCAATTGTACAGTCGGTGTTTGGAGAGGACTACTACCAAGGACACTTGGTACAGGGGCAGCGACACGGGGAGAAGTGTGTGTTGATCTCGGGCGAAGGCAACATGTACGAAGGCCCAATGGCTTTAAACGAGAAGTGGGGCCAAGGCGGAAAGATGACATATTGCAACGGGGACACATACGAAGGGGAGTGGGAGGAGGACGAGCGACATGGCCAAGGTACAATGATTGAAAGCCGGACTGGCAACAAATATGTGGGAGGCTTTGAGCATGGAAAGCGCTGGGGCACGGGGACGACGTACTGGCAGGTGGCTGACGAGCAAGCCGACTTGTGTCAGATTTGTGCTGGGGAAGAAGTGAATGCGCTCTTTTACCCATGCGGACACGTCTGCGCATGCGTTGAATGTGCTGGACAGTGCCCTCAGTGTCCGATCTGCCGAAAGTCGGTCCAACAAGTGGTGAAGATGTTTCGGGCTTGAAAGGGAAGCTGGCAGGTGATGAGCTAAAAGGCTTGCATTGATCAGACGACCGGCGAACGACAGGGAGAGAATGTTTTTTGCAGAGACATGGAATATCAGACCAACGACATAATGACACAGTCAGAGGAGCATGGTGTTTAGGCGTGCTGAAATACTGGGATCAGATATGATGCCAAGGAGCAGATAGGATTTGACGCTGAAACGAGAAGAAGTTGTAATCATCATACAACAGTGACACCACGGGTGCATATCTCGTGTTTATGTCACGCTAGGCTGAAGTGAAAAGCGTACAGCGGTAGATGTATATGCAGGTGATGGATATGAAGTCTCATCTCCGGTGGCAGATCTCTCAGGCCACCCATGATGGTCCATCGATAGAGACGGCATGGCATGGTTGGTGACGACGACAAATAAGGTTGGACAGACAGAAAGGGGACGAGTCCATGGATGAGCCAAGCACAACGATCTGCAACAGATGGAAGAGAGGCGAGGTGAGGTGAATGGTCACAGTCTCCATGTGTGTATGCCATGTGTGGTGTTCCTGGTCGTCACTCGAGTATACAGTACATACGGAGAACATGTGATTACAGAATGCCAAGACAGTGGATGCCAGACTTTACCAGGGGATGGAAGACGGTACACAGTGATATCTTAATATGTTGATTCCTGGATATCTGGTTTCGAGTACATGGGTTATTATAAAAGTTCCCATCAACAGTCCCAATGTGTCGACATTGGGAGTTTAGTATTTGGACATGTGAATGCAGTACTGTGGGATGGTATACTTGCACCATCTACCACCTGCCGCTATCAAGTTTTACAAGGGCACAACTACGTACGAGTAGATCAACGGTATACATGCAATGCGCATAACTCGAAATTCATCAAAAGGTCAAGGTTCCAAGTCCCAAGCCTTGATCATCAACTGCATTCGTCCTCGCACTGAAGTCTATATTACTGTACCACTGTCCGTAGGCAGAGACCCCAGGCCAAGAGTCTCAATAAGGCCAAGGGCTAGCGGTCCGCGGAGGACCCTCAATTAAAACCGACAGTATTACTGAGTTCGGCCTTTTGCAGGAATCCGAGAACCCTTCTTTACCTTGGTTTGCCTGTTGCCTGTTGCCTGGTGCCTGTCGTGCCCTTATCAAATGTACATATCATGAGTACCTACTAAGTGACGGTATGGTTGTACCTAGCAGTTGGATCTACAAGATTTTGATGTGCTTATTGGTAGGCATGTGCTGGTATATACGGAGTACATACAAGTAGGTAGCTCCATACATTGACCTCGCAACAAGTAAATAAATTATGTACATACTAGGTATCGATTTGTTTCTTGAGGATCTACAGGACAGAAACATCAGGCTACAGCCATGGCAACATTTCAATCACATTCCCATTGGGTGTCCCGCGGTCTTTTGGTTGAGCCGAGTCTCGCACAATTGATGCATTTCTCGAGCCGACAAGTACTGACTGTCCTAAACAGTCGTCATCCATTCAAGCACAGCCTCTTTTGTTCCTTTCTCGCTTTTTCGGGCGTTCGCAAGTATGCATGCACGGAGACTCTCTGTCCGTCTCTCTCGTTGATCTTGATCTCATGTCCTGTCCTGTCCTGTCCTGTCCTATTCCGAGCGTGTAATGTGTTTAAACGCTCAGTATGGTCTGTTAAGCTGAATATAGCAGCATCGTGTATCGTATTTAGAATATTAGGTACAAAACTTTGACGGGCAGATCTCTCTCAGTTACGTCCAGGAGCCAGAAACGACCAAGTCTGGCGCTACGAGTGCTGATTGGATGAGGATAACCGGGAGGCTGTGAGCGTAAGCAGCGGGCAGAAGGCGCTAGGTGGTAGTTAGTGGAATATATGATGTTGTAATGACAGACAGGCCGAGATAGGATATACAATTCTCCAGCAATGAGAGCATCTGCAAATCTCCTCTGTCTGACGTTATACCATTTCCCAATCCCTCCTGTCATAGCTTTGAATTAGGTTACAAGATCATCAAACAGGCTTAGCAGCACCATTTAACCACCATTTAACCAGTGCGCTATCTAACCCAATCTGTACCATCGTTGCGACACCACTAACAAGTGATATTTCGGTCTTGTCTTCTTTTCTCTGTCTCTGCCACATCGTCACTGATGGTCAATGCGTGCTATGCGTGAGACGAAAAGCCAAGAGAGTCAAACGGTCGAATGGAATTCCTGTTCTAAAATGCCTCCACACATCTTGATCTTCTTGTCACCAGGGGTGCCTGGTTGCTGCAAGCTTTTGGTTCCACAGTCCGTCCACTCCGCGGATTCGGACCCTTAGTCGTCAGTAGTATACCGGACAGGTATCTCCGCCTCACTTGGCTTGGTTTTCTGATGTTCGTTTGGCTTTTGGGGTAGGCTTCTTTCACGTCGCAACTATGTTCAGCTTTGGATTGGGTCTCTTTTTGGTGTCTATTTTGTTTCTCAGCCTTGAGTCTTGCGTATCGGCCTTTCTTGGCTTTTCTAGGTCCGGTGGGCTGATGGATATCTATATTCTATAAGTACCTCATGATGTCTCCTTTTAATGATAGAAGGGATATTCTTGATTGCATCCACCTTTAACAACAAATTGTTCCTTGGACCTTGACATTGTTGAGTGCTTACCATTACATAAGGTATTCGACATTCATTCATCATAACATTATCACATACCTTCATATACCATCACTGTCACCACCAAGAAACCATACCATAACCATTTTACCATATCCCACCCAAATCAGCCCAACTCAACCATGACCGTCCGTCTCACCGTCCTCCTCCTCCTAGTGGACGTCCTCAGTATCGGCGAAGGATTCCCCTCGTCATCATCGACTCAAAAACGACGAGATTCAATGTCGTCAATGGTAATGAATGAGAGCGACTTTGAATCTGATTTCGAACGCGAACTCGGGCTCGGCCTCGAACCCGAACCCGAATCAAAACAACAGCCATCAAAGACATCAAGGTCGTTGTCATTATCCACCTCAGGTGGTCTGAGTCGGTCCTCTACATTGACTTCAATGTCCCAGTTTTCATTTAGGAAGGAGAAATAAGCAAGCAAGCAAAGCACCGTCACTATCATCTTTTATCACCATCACCATATACCCACTATCTGGATAGCGTTGCCCATGTCTAGGAGAAGGATTGTCGACCTCCTGATCATATGTTCCTGGAGTTGAATGGACTGATTGTTATACTATTGGGCCCTATAATGTACAGGCAGATTAATGAATGTATGACACCAATGATATAATGATGCAATGATACCACAATGCATGATACAATAACACGTATAGCCCTCGTTATATGACTAATCCGATCACGTTGATGAATACAAAGACACTTGTTTCAACTTTGCAGCTCCTCCAGTCCATCTAACTATGATTCGCTACAACTGCAACATGTGTTTGCTCTAGACCTTGCCGAAACAGGCCCAAAGCCGGAATAAAACTGTGATACATACGCTTTTGGAGGATAAGCTCCAGCAGCTCCTGGCCTCTGCGCTTTTCCAAATCGGCCCGTCCCTTTACGGCGGCACGCGCAAGCTGATATCCAAGTCCCGCCCGGTATTTCAGCATGCTCTAACCTCCGTGCAGTGGAATCAGCCAGATGACGGTCCAATCGCTATCGATAAAAGACTGCAGATCGCCAGGATAAGATGTAGGATAAGATGTAGGTCGTGACTTCGTGCGAGGGAGAGATGTTCCATTCTGATTGCGAACAGAGTATTCAAGACGAATGATTCTCTCGACACCCCAAATCCCACTCGGGCTTTCTCCATTCGGTGCTCCTTCCAACATGACCATGAAGCCCGCTCACCAACAACATGCTATCATCTATAGCCTCATAGGTATAGTTTGAGATTGGCACCAATCAACGGACTCGAGACTGCAGGGGAATTGGAATTCCGACGCTTTGTCTGGGACCCGACGGCAATCCACTTGCAGGTACGGTCCGTCGATTCAGACGATTGGTTCGCCAGCGTTCGTAAAACTAGGAATTGGGTCAGTGGTGACATTATAACAAGACTCGACGATGACTTACCACCTCACGACTGGCTTCCCGCAACTCGGACCGCCACTCGCCGAACACGGCGTTTTTGAGCTTGACGAAATCACAATGTGCCGGGTTGTATGGGTCTGCGAATCCCCAAGGGAATTGTCGACCTACGGGTCCATCTTTGGATCCGAGAGAATACTTGTCTGGACTGATGATGGACCACGGTTCAAAGCCGCTGGAAAAGGAGACATCGGTGGGAGAGGCGCTCGATGACTGCTTGTTGTTGGCGGAACGCTTGGACTGACGGTTGGAATCCGATCCAGCACTATGGTGAGATCCACCTTCACTTCCCGAGTCTGCATCACTACTGGCATCCTCGTCGCGCTCGTCAAACCGATCATCATCAGAATCATCGGCATCAAAGTTGACGGCCTCCAAAGGATCTAGGCCGGCCTTGTTAAGACTTTTCTTGAGCTTCTGCTTGAGGAAGGACATGTGTGCGGTGGTGATGGTGTCAGCCTTGCTGATGACAGGGATGACAGTTGTTTGCTTGGACAGAACCTTCAAGACCTGGATGTCAAAGTCCTCGTCCAGGGCACCGACGATACGCGGGGATTTTCCGATTCGGCCTGTGTCATTACCCTTGCTGGCTTCTTCCGAGGCATTGATGTTGGCATCCAATCTTGAGGGATCGAGAACAAAGAACACGCAGTGGATATGGGTGTCCCTGACGCCTGGGGCGCGGACTACCTTCATCTCTTCGATAAATGTGTCGTCAAACTTGCTCTCCACGAAATTGCTCATCTCACGCAGTTGGAGATCAACAATGCCTTTGTCGAGGCCCTGCGAGTCCCACAGAGTCAAGCCGACTCTTTCATTGTCAACGTCAATTTCCTGATAGTGGTGGATGAAAGTGGTGTTTGGGCGTGCGGAAGAGGGAGGTGTGTCGCCATCGGGGGCTCGATTTGCTTGTTTTCTGGCGGGCAAAGCGAGAGAGCTCTTGAGGAAGTTGATCAAGGAGGTCTTGCCAGCACCCCGAGCACCAATGACAAGAACATTGTAAGGAGTAGGATCTTTGCGGCGGCGGACTCTCCGGGGAGAGTTGATCGTGGAGACGGTCGAGGTGGCATAGGAATATCGGCCTCCTAGACAAGGGTCAGCAAGACGAAGCAACGAGATTGACGGGGCAAGACATACGATGGGTCATGCTCTCTGTGCGGGCATAAGGGTCGATGGCGTGGGACTCGATGCTGGAGGGCAAAGGCGGTACCGGGGGAGTACCTCGATGCATGCCGTTGGTTTGGGCATCTGGATTGTAGTTTTCGCCGCCAAAGGATTGAATTCCCAGAGGGTGAGGAGTGTAGCCAGGCAATCTTGGAGGTGACTGGGTGACTTTCGCCTGCTCATCCATCTCATCGAGTCTCTTCTTCAGACGAGAACTAGATGCTTTACGGTCGCCCAAAGCCTCTCCGCTTTTTGATCGGAACAGGCGTGAACCGAGGCTTGTACTTCGACGACTTGAATTCTGAGATTCATTACGAGCGATCGGGCCCGGAGATGTCATGGCGATGGAGATTGGGTATGGACCGCCAGTCGCCGCATGCACGGGTGGCTGTCAACGAGGGATGTGGATTGTGGGGGCGGTTCAGGAGAGGAGACCGTGCGTAATGTCCAGTGCACGGATGTGTCACTTTTTTAGAATTGTCGATGCTCTCGGAATGGTGAATGACAGGCACGTATAGCATATGAAAAGCAACAGGCGCACAGGTTGAAATCGCAAGAGTATTGTCGCACAGAGAAGCAAACAAGAGATTCCGTTGGTTGGAGGTGGTCGAGGTCGACGGATGATGCAGATGTTACACGGAAGCGCTGCAGTTTGGTTGATGGAGTGACGGACGGCGAGGGCGAGGGTTTCGACAGGTGGTGCAGACGGAAGAGGAAGAGGAAGAGGGTTGAGGGAGTAGGGAGTGGAGATAGAAGAGAAGGGATGACTTGAGGTGCGGTCGTCAAAAGTGAGGAACTGAACCCTGACCAGAAACCAGAAAGCAATGAAGATTGGCGACGAACAGATACGGAGAGGGAGATGATGGAGCAGCAAGTTTGAAAGGAAGCTGCAGGGGCTGATGCTGGGTTGGGTTAGGGTGGTTAGCAAGGTAGTTAGCAGGCTGGCGGCGGCGCAGACTAAACGACCCAGAGGGTCAAGAGAACGCGTTAGTAGAGACCAAAGGTGGTTAGGATTAATAAAAGAAGTTGACGGTCCAGAGTCGTCCAACCAAAGAGGAGCGAGTATTCGTGACTCCTTGGACACCTAAATGTCAGGGACTCGGGGACTCATCAGGGCACTTCAGGGTTGCTGAGATGCTCAAGACTGGACGGACATTAACAAACCATACAAGTTTAGCTGGCACTCGGCTACACATCTATCACCTCCAGAAGGTTAACAATTGGAGCTTGGATCGAGGAGATCGAGAGGCCCATTGGGCCCATTTGGAACCCGCGAAGTCCCAACCAGAGGCAGCTTCCTCTACCCACCATGCCCACATACAGCCCATTATTACGGAGTACAGCTTCTTCGGTCATGACTTGGTGGTAGAGGAGCCCCGGCCCGTCTCGTCCCTGCGTCCCTGCGTCCCTGCATCCAGCAAGGAAACTTCTCCAACTCAATTGCAACTCACCACCTAAACAAGATTACCTACGCACTACTTTTCTAGACCTCCATCAAAAATCCGGCTGCGACCCTACCTATCAAACGAAATCACTGTACGTTATAAGAGGGGTCATATTGTGATGATACATCCACCGGCCTCGAGGTAGCATCAACCTTCTGCGGAAAGGAATAGACCATTCTGTAGAAGTGTCAGATCCCAACCTGTCAGTGGCAATAATGGCGGGCTTTGCGGCACGGCACGTGAGAAACCTACTCCACAAACCTTTTCTTCCAGGCTGGACGAACCTATGCTATTGCCGAAGGGCCTACGACGGACCCTATGAACAAAGTCAGTCCCATCTCCTTTTTACACCCTTTTAATCGTTCAAATCATCATTATACACACATAATGGTGCACTTTGAAGTCGACAAACTCCGCCTACTCACATGATTCATTAATGGATGGTTAGCGCAGAGGGCCATTTCTCACTCCCCCTTGTCTACGGAGTACGGAGTATCTGTTCCATCTCATCTCAGGGGCTACGGTCCACGTTGGCCCTCCCAGTCTGTAGTCTGACTGGCCAACTTTCTCGTTTCACATTTTCTCTGAACTACTAAAAGCCGCACCCCCGTTGAATGAAACATTGGCAAAAAGGCCCTCTCGGCCCACCACATGGTCAATAATCGCTCTTCCTGAATCGTGGGTGCGTGGCTACCTGCAATTGCCTTGCGCCTCAGGCCCTTAGCTATTCTTTAGCTTCTCACCTCCTCCAAGGACATCCCACAAGAGTTGACGCCTTGAGCGAAGTTCGGGGCCCGCTCCAACCTTCTAGCGCCTTGTACCCATTGCCACTCTCCGCTCCACCCCATACCAATTTGATCCTCGTGTATCGTTGAGCTTGAGAATGCATTTATCATTACAGTATCTGTGCACAAATTGGCCATGGCCCTCATCTCCGGGTCCATCCACACACGTGGTTGCATGCGCCACCCACAATCTCTCGCCAACGAACGCCATCTTGAGCTTAACATTCTGGTTCATCTCTGCCCACTTGCTGTCAACGTCCCTCCCTCCCTACTCCACATAGATCGTGACCTTGACCTCGCATCGTGCTTGCTTTCCCTCTGCCCACACTGGGGCTCTGTCAACCTCATCCATCAAATTTTGGAGACTCTCAGTCATGCCAGTTCGAATCACGATGTTGGCGTCCTCGGTTAACCATGGGAAAGTCGCGATCGCGTATGAGAATTTGGCTCCATTGAACTGCCAATCCCATGCCTTTATAATTCTATCGACAAACGTCCCAACCTCTTGACACTGATTCAGCGGAAACGGTGCTGCTCCTCCGCTGAAGCCGTCGAGCCAGACTTTCAACACTGTTCTATCCCGCCGAGATGGATCATCGAGCAACTCGGAACACGACAACGTCGTGGATGACACTGACCTAGCTCGCTGTTGATTGTCCACTTTGCGGCGTTTGTCTGCTGTGTCGCCGGCGTCTATTTTGACAACGCCTTGTGCTTTTCCTTCCTCTGGCCCCTTGACTTCTGGACCTTGTTCGGAGCTCAATCGACGGCTTCGTTTACCAGTCGATCGTGTTTGTCTATCCTTCTCCAAGCTCTGTTCCATGATCTCTTCCATCTTTCGGTCATCGACGACTTGACCCTTGGTGTTGAGGTTGTGCTGGACCTTGTCGAATTGAAATGGCTTAAGCTGTTGCAGCGTTCTCCCACGCAGCTTGCGCAGTGAAGATGTCACGTGCATTTGTTCTCCCTCCCATTCAGTGACTTTTGTGGGGGTTGCGACCAGCGAACGTCCACCACGAGCTTGCTTCGATACTTCGGTGCTATTACTGTCGTTCGACTCGGTGGGTGGGGCTTGATAACGCTGCTTTCCACGCGTATTGGAGGGACCGGCAATCACCTTTTCTTCGTCTTGTCCTTCATTCGTCTGCGTGTGATTGTCGACCAGCTTCCGCAGGGACGAGGCTTCTCCGTTAGACGTTGCCACTGCAGAACGCCGGGGTCCTTTTTGGAAGGCCTTCGTGGCCCTAAAGGATGACGACCCTATCAATTGTGAATTTGGGCCTTCGAACTCGGAATCACTTAGGTCCTTAGGTTCGGCATCGTATTGCGTCATGTTATGGTGATCGAGGTCACGTTCTGGAGAAATTGCGGACATGGTGGTACTGAGGGTGCTCGATCGAAATCGTTTCTGGGACTTAGGAGGAACCATGTCGTATTGCTTGTAGTATAGGTTTTGTTCGAAGAGGAATGGGGGAAAGCTGGTTGAGGCCTGAGTCTTGGTGCTTATGAAGTCTTTGCTAGGACATGCAAGTGCAAGGTCAGACTCAAGGTCAGGGTTGAAATAAAGAACAGGGTCGTGGGCGGAACTGAGGAGATTTGGCATGGCTGTGAGAACGTGTCTGTCCTTTGTGCGTCAGTGACGAGCAAGGCGTTACTGACATATGGCCACACCACAGCCGTGGCACCCTAGGGTAGTGAAGGAATGATTGAACCTGTGAAGTTTGCAGCACACCAAGAGACGTTATGAACGTGTCTAACCGCCTAACGGCCGCCGTTTAGGCTTAATGTAGTCAACTGGTGGTTGATATTTCACTTGAGGTTGAGGTGGTCACGAGGTGTCCCCAGGCCAGACCGGCTACCAAGGAAGGAGCAGGTCGACCTCAACATCGACCGCGGCAGCGCCTTCCCCCAGCCATGAACCCACGTCATCAAATTGAACTTTTCAATTCACTTTCCTTCTTTTCTTGCATCTTCTTCAGAGGCGAGAGGTCCAGAGGCACTTTTTCACCAAGCCAGGTCGCCCTCTGGCTGTGCGACCGCAGCTCGTCGTCGTCATCCGTATTGGGATGAAGCAGAGCAGACAACGGGCCTCGATTGATCACCAACCATGGAATGAATGCCCCAAACTGTTCCGGGCTGAAGATATTGACTTCAAACATGGCCATGGTGTGGGGTCCAATTGGCTTGTCCCAAAGACGGTACATCCTGATGTCATGGTCAGTTGTCAATCATTACCGATCACCGCTAACCTGAGCACAGTGAGAAAACGTGGTCGCACGCACCTCAGTTCTGGAAATTCTCGTCGGATGCGTTCCCTCAGTTCTTTCGCGAATTGCGTCTGTTCGGCACTGCCTGCGTGGTAGTAAATGTGGACATCGAATCCTCCTCGTCGACCGTTGGTTACCCCGCTAGTGAATCTGTTATATGCCTCGCTCTTGACCCCAGTCTTGGGGTTTTTGAACGACTTCCCATCCTCTTCGAGCTCCTCACCAAGCGGCTCCAGCCCCTCATATCCTTCCAGGGGAGAGGGGTATGAATATAGAAAAGTGTCTGACATGATCGAGCTGGTTGGTAGACTTTGGCTTTACGTCGCGGTAAGACAAGTTGAGGCGAAGTCAAAAGTCGTATGACTATCGAACATCAAATGAATGGGATATTAAAGAGAGTCTGACCTATTTCTTCTAATCCTCGTCGTTTTAAGCACAGTTGGTGACTAAAAGCTTATTGGGAACCAGCCGCCTTGAGATCAGACACCGCATCATTTTAGTCAGAATGGCTTGACCCCGGGCGGAACGGTTCCGGCTTACTAGATTCAATGAGTTTTTCCTGACCCTGACGCATAAAGTGAGCACCTGTTGATACTGCGACTACCTCAATATCAACAGAGACGAATACGCAGTCACAAGGTCTCCCTTGTACATTTTAGCGTTGAAGGCATTGGCCTGAAGACTCCAAGATCGCAGGTACAAGGAAACTCGTGACTCAGCCACACTCGTGACACTCTCCATTAAACTGGGCGACACCTTGGTCAAAATCGTCCATGCTCAAAAGATCAGTGATTTGTGTAATGAATGATTTGCAATATATGGAGGAGCTATCATGCAGATCAAACTGCCTAGCTAGTAACAAGTACATAAAATTTGACAGATCAACTACCATCATCGATCCAAGGTCTTGACTAGCAGGACGAGCATCGTGAATCGTAGCGCAACCAGGCCATCCAAAGGAATGAGCTGCGATCGTATATAAGAGACAAAAAAACTGGCATTGGCCACGAGTCAATCCCTGTGGCCTAAGACAAATCCATACCCAGTATAACCAGGCTGCATATAGAACTGGCCAAACAGGGAGACGATCAGAATCGGCCATGAGGCTTGACAGAAAACCCGAAACATCAGTCTGACGCATCCGAATGACAGAAACCTCAATCTGTTGTCACACAGTGAGCAGTAGCCTGGTCCGTCGAAGCGTAGACGACATCGGTCGTAGGAGAAGCCTGAGTCAGCCGGTAGGACCAACTCATCAACTCCAATGATAACCTGAACAATAAAAAATCAATAAATCCCATAAAATATTTGTGTGACGAGGCAGTTGGGAGGCAGCCCTCCTGGCTTAAGCCTAACAATTCCCAACCCCAAGCGTCATGCTGCTGTTGTAAGCTACCACTCCGAGAGTGATAACAGCATCAATTGTAGTCCGAAAATGTTTTTGCAAACAATATAACACCCTTCCAACAAAGTTTGACTCATCAAGACACCAAGTCTTGCCACAGGAATCTCAAATTCCCTCGTCTGGATCTCCGCCCATGCGATAGATCATTGCCCGAAGGCGTTGAATCTCGGCCTCGCTCGCTTCAGCATATTCTTGCTTTCGTTGCCGTGACTTGCGTGCGGCGGCGGTGTTCTTCTTCCGCTTAGCAGTTTCCTTGTCGTCTTCAGAATCGACATGAATTTCGGGTAATGCCGCACGTGGCTTGGGCGCCTTAGAGACTCCATATGCACCGGAGTACTTTCGACCATGGCTGAACGGAATGGTTGGAGGACGGCCTGGGGAAGACTTCTGCCGTACCATCGGAGATGCACTCGATGATGAGCGCCCGGAGCTTGGTCGAGCTGGCTTAACGGTGACTTCCGCTGGTGCTTGATACATGAAGTCCAAGTCCTCCTGGGGGAACAGCGGAGGCAGATCAGCGAGATCATTGAAATTGAGTTGCGCATCAAGGAGACCGTCATCTAACGGAGACGTGTTCAATCCAGTGGCCGGGGACTCGAGGTATCCGGATTCTGGAGTGCTCAAATTCGGGAAGGCAACGGAAGACGGAGCTGACATGATCAAAGAGTCATCGTGAAACAGGTCAGCTGGTGATACCGTGCCGTCTTGAGCAACGTAGCCAGTAGTGTTCGTGGAGAAGTTGGACGCTTGGAAGCCGTCGTCGAGTGTGAGGAAGTCATCCACCGAGGCGTTGTCACCCCTGGGGAGATACATCGAATCGAGTACAGACATTGAAGCTGAAGAAGTTAGCGGTAGGAGAGGGTGAGGCGACCAGGTGAAACTACCTTGTGGAGCTGGAGCTGGTTGGATCTTGCGGGGAGCAGAGTGAAAAGGAGGGACAGGCGGCAGGCGCTGTAGGTGAGCAATCTGACGCAGAGTTTGCGGGGTAGGGTGTGACTGTTGCAAAGTTGGACTTGAATAAGACCGGTGAGTGAGGTGCCCTAATGACGGAGACTGAGTAGAATGGATCGGAGACGTTCTGTTAAGGGACAGATGTCGAGATTGAATCTGCTGAAGTCTATTAGGGGGTGTACTCGATATCACCTGCGCACGCGAGGCGGTTGGAGAGGCCGAGGGAATCTCCGGGGTTGCGAAGAGCTGGAAGTCCTGGTTGAAGCTGTTGGGCGGGTAGTGCTGCGCTATAGCAGTTGATCTTGGGGTTGGGGAACGCCATGTTTGCTTTAGATCCGTGGTGAAGGATGTAGAATCCAACGCGTAAATGGTTGCGGTTGTGAGTGAAGAGCTCGAGACGCGGGGTGCGGCGAGATCTTTGTTCACAGAAACTCCGTTAGGAGGCTGTGGACTGAGGGGGGATTGGGAGTGACTAAGGACTCGGTGGGAAATGACTGAGTCTATCTTGCTATGAGCGAGATAGAAGGGTGACGAAAATAACTAGAATGAAGCCATGTCCTAGAATGTCTTTGATGTTGTTGTCTGGTTGAATGTATGAGGGGTGAAGAAGGGGAAAAAAGAAAGAAAATTTCAGGCAACAGGGCGCGCAAGGCCAAGTTTAGTAGTTCAGAGTGGTTCGGGAAGGAGTGGTGGGCCACGGGAAGCTGGGAAAGTGCGAGGACGCCTTGGCGAGGCTAAATCCAGCACGGTTAGAAGGAACGCCCAGTTTCACTCTGATCCATGCCTGTTGCCGCCCAAATGAGCCATTCATAGAGCCCCCAGGCTCCACCACGGGGCGGTTTCTTGCCTTTCGTCCACATGCTGCTTACCCGCCGCTTAGGCTGGCCACTGACGGCCTCAGGCGCTGCTCCGAGAAGCAGGGACCCTCAAACTCTAATGAATTGTGACTCATATTTCCAACTGGCAAGGCGTCCTCCCCTCAGGAACGACACATGCCTGGTACTGTCCTTCGCATCGAGAAATTGATCAGTGGACCGTCATCCTGGAGATTAGACAGCAATAATACCTATCATCATGATGATAATGATGTATTTGATAGCATGCTAGACATGCTTCGAATCCCATGGAGGTTCATTTTACTGTCGAGTTTCAAAGAAGTGTATCTTTGATGGTACAAGATCAGGTTGTGCTAGATGCATGGAGATCGACATTTGACCTTGACCATGCCAACATGCTTACAAACTATCAAAGGGCGTGCTCCCACAAGAACCGGAGATATCCATCGCTCCAATTTGGGATCCACCGTTCCTGTCTCCAATGGCTTGGAGGACTCATCGCTGCTTTGCCGGCCACATAGGTGACTAACCGACATTGGTAATATATCCATCGATTTGGCCGTGCTAGTTCGAATTCGAATATACGAGTGCGAAGAATATGAAATCGTAGTGTACCACCACAACGAATCGTATCCTCATGAGACTCGCAGTTCATCCTACCCAAGTCTCATCACAGAATGTGTCCTATTTGCTAGCAGCAGCCGCGGCTTCCTTGTCAGCTGCAAACAACGTCTGTATGGCTGGCCGACTCATACAGCGGTCCCACCAGTCGTTCACTGATTTTCGACTCGTGATAACATCTCCGTAGCCGCACGCGAAAAGTCTTGCTATTAGCGGAATGTAGTCGATATCTACAAGAGTGAAATTGTCCCCTGACATATACTTTTTCTGCTGTAAGAGGCGATCGGCGATGTCGAAAAACGTATCGAGCGACTTCAGTGCATGTGAGACAACGGCCTCATCAGGAGGCAGCCCAATGATTTTCTTTGCGAATTTCTCGAACCCAATTTGACCGGCAGGTTCTGCAAAGTAGATTGTTTCGACAGATCTCTCTTGCTCGAACACTGCCATCGCGTCGATGTTCGAAAGATCGGGTACTAGTGGAAAGGAGTACTTTCTTGCGAGATAATTGCAGATTGCTCGGCTTTCATAAAGAGTAAACCCCTCGGGGAAGGTTATAACAGGGACTTTCCCCCACGGATGACGTTTCATGTTTTCCACGCCCTGAGCACCATAGTGTTAGAATATATTTGATGCCCACATAAGAATGGAGCTCTATCATCTCCAAAACACCCACCTTTTGTTCCCCTTTCTGAAGATTGAGAAGGACAATATCATAGTCCGTAAAGCCACCTTCGGCCAGAGTCAGACGTACTCGATCGGTATTCGTCGAACCCCGAGCACCGTAGAGAGTAAATGCAGGCATGGTCAACCCGTGGAGTGGCTTGGAAGGAGACCGGAGGTAGTTGGTGATGAGCTTCGACATGTGTAAGAACACATCTTGGTACGCACCTTTCGGTCACATCCTCAGTATATAAACTGTTTGAGACAGCGTTCACCCCCTGAGTGAACCCATGTTGACAAGCATTTGGGAAATGATTATACGAAACTCTTTGCAACTGGAAACATGATTGGTCGATTCGCTTTCGATACCTGATCAAGCTTAGCGTTGGCACTTTTGTATATAAAGTCTCAACAACCTGATAGGCACGGGCCTACAGGACCTCCATAGCTCTGATGAAGAGTCTGGTGCGATCGTTCGGTTCATCTTCTCCGTTTCTTCACTTACCATGGTTCCTCGTCTGGTGCCATTGGAGCTTTGCGCGACATATGTGAATGGCCAAAGATCCCAATGCCAGCAGGCGGAAGATCCAATCCAGAACAAAGGTGAAAACTGGTTGTGCCACATGCAGGTAAGTCTAAAGTCTCCCGCCACTCTGAATCCCACCTCTGGCAACTTCAATGGGAGGTTACCTCTGTGGTCATTGTGCTCACTTAGCAACAGAATCAGGAAAGTCAAATGCGATGAAAATAAGCCATTCTGCAAAAAGTGTGTCGACACTCATCGGACTTGCGATGGCTACGAGTCTCCCTTCAAAATTGTCTCCACAAAGAGTATTGATGAAGATCGTGCTGGCGAATGCGAGGCAGCATTTGGTTTCCAGTCCCTCCCTACTAGCGTCATGGAGATCAGCCAGCAAGATATTGATATTCTGAACCGTTATTTCTCAACAAAGACGATGCTTGACGTGAAGCTCCCCTGCGACGAAGAAGCCAGGCAAGTTCTTCAAGCAAGTTTGAATGATCCGCCCATACGACACGCAGTTATGTCCCTCAGAGCCCTTCGGGAAAACCTAGAGATATTGGGACACGATCAAACATCTGTCTCTGAACACATCACCGCCAACGCCGACTTTGGCCTCCAACAATACTGTATGGCTCCTACGAAGTTTGGTGTCCAGTATTTCGACTCCAGACACCGATGGATTGAAGTCAGCGCTCCTTTGCTGCCAGATCTTTATCAGCATTGAGGAAGTGCGAGCGAACTATGTTGCAATGGCCCAGCATATCATTCTTGGGCTTGGGATTATGCACGAGTGCCAGGCAAGACCTGGTTTGACTACGGCAAACAAACTAGTATCAGCAAAACATGACCAACTACCGCTCCTGGATGTTTTCATCATCAAGCTCTTTTCCGCCCCATGCAAGTTCGCTGAGTCCTCGATACCTACCGGTCCAAACGCGACGTCAGCTTCTGAATGTTTGTTCTCGCCTCCTCAAGATTCTGTCACTTCTCAGAGTCTCCGTACGATCGTGCCCGATGTGCGGAAAGAGCTAGTCAGCATCGCTGCATTGATGTTGGGGTTTCTCAGCAAGGTGTCGTCTGTGATGATGGTCGACGACGCTCTTCGGCTACTTCCAGAGAAGATGAGTCTGCTAGATTCTTTGGATTCGTGGCTAGCCAAAATTGGTCTCAGTCAGACGATGATCAGATCTCAAGGCCCCATCTCATTATCTTTCATGTCTTTCTTCCACCAGGTACTTAAAATCATACTTTTGGGAGCTCTTGACTCCTCACCAAGTATTTGTGCTCAGTTACGCACGGAGAATACCCGACTGCTGGATATCGCAAACGATGTGGCGGAGAGGACAAAGTCTTTTGAAAAGCATGCTGGAGCAAGAAGTCGACAAGATAGTGGCTCTCTAAGACGAGGTCAGCTTTAGAGCTACGAATCGTCCAGACGATATATTCAACTAAGGGGACATGAAAATTTTCTGCGGAGCTACAGCCACTCGATAAGAATGATCAATTGCTTGTTACTCATGGGGAAGTCATGACACTCTATGTTGTTGCGAGTCAAGACCTGTGCAATTGCTTCGGTATGAACTTTGGGCTTCTGTGGCTAGTGATAGATACAATGTGTGGCTCAATGATCTCAATTGGGAACATGCCGACTTTTACGCTAGTCTCTTCGTGGTGGGAAAATAAAAGCAGCAGTGCATATGCGGGTTTTGGCCATCATCGATCTCACCTTCCTTGTTCACTCCTCCTTGATCCACTTTGTTAGAAATCCATAATTCCCAAGGCAGGCACAGCAGGCAACCGACGGCAAAACGGCAGTTGCGACTGGATCTGTGGCAGCAGTTCCTTGGTAACTACCGTTAGAGAATTACGATTGTGTGGCATCATCTGTGCCGACTGCTCCCCACGGATCTCCATGCTACGGCATGTACGGATCCCAATTTACACCTGTGTGGCCTGCTCTCATCAATTTCACAGTAACTCCGTAGTATTTGGATGTGACTCATAATTGAGGCCTTTGTACCTGTAAACACCCCCACAAATTGGCATTTTTCTCCACCAAAACTACCCATACATATCCCAAGCAGTCTTGGGATAAAGATTGTAATCTCCTGGCACGTATGTGTATTCGATATGCATATGCAATGCAATGCAAGTTGCCTTTGCTCCTTGTCTAAGCCTCGTTGGGCTGCTAAAGGACATCTCTGACAATGGCCTTTGTGGGTGGTGATTGTGGGTCATTCCAGACATAGAGGCTGTGCTGCGTTTTTGTGGCCGCTGCTCTCGACGGCCACCGAGCGTACGGCCTACCGACCACAGCATACCTACATGAAGCTCTCATGCAGTCAGTTTGCAGCGCCACAGCGACGAAAAAATCAGCGTAAGCTGGGCTCATTGATTATTGGGGTTCCTTTCCCAGGCTGGTCTCTGTCATTGACTCCAAACCTGTGGCTTCAAGCCTCAGCCCATGTGCAGCTCGTGTTGAATCATGGCCCGCCAATCGATCCGGTCATCATGCATGCAATGCAACATCACCATGGACTACAGGATTCCGAGACCGAGTGGTTCGTATCACTACTGCAGGTTCCAGTTGCGTGGTTTATTGCTCTGAGAAGCTCTCTCCCTATCAACGACCGTTCTGCCCTTCCTTTTGAGGACCATCCATATCCTCGTTGCTCCACTCAGGCCCAAGTTGTGCGTCACCGTGCCTCCCCTCGTGCCCCACGAAATATCATCGTATAGCAAGACGCAGCCAGCCTGCGGACATTTTCAAGGACGTGATCCCCGTGGACTCTTGACCGGTTAGGCCATTTTCAGACGAGTCACTGCCACCTCAACAACCTCCCTTACATCCACGTCTTCCTTTTCGCGTTTGAAGTCCATATAGTCACAGCCCTGTAAGCAGGTTGCCGAGCGAGTCAATATGAAAACTGATTGCCAGGCAATAATCAATATTTCATGGCATTGGCTAGCCCGACGTGCAGATTACTTTCAGGTATACTGTCGAGCCGAAATCATACTCCAAATCAGCTGGCCTCTGCTGTCTCCTTCGCGGTAAGTTGTTCCAATGATTTGATGATCTGTGATGGGGTCTGGCCATCAAACGAATTTGGTTCTCCTGTGAACATTTCCGCCACGTGCGCGGCTTCAGTCCGCAATAGCGCGTCGAGCAACTCTTCGTTGGCCTGGGCTGCCAGTTTCCGGTTCTCATCCGCTCCCTTCTCATCTCCAGCTCCCTTTCTCGAGATCAGACCCTTGGAATCCTCAACCTCCATTCGCTTCAGCTCCAGCTGATGTTGCAGCTCCCGACCTTCTCGTTCGGCCCAGTGAATTTGTCGGCGCAGGAGCCGGAAATATTGAGAAGGGGGAAGTGTGCGTTCGTATTCTTCCATGTCAGCCCAGATCTCAGGCGGGTAGAAGTCTTCAGCGATTGGCAAGGAGAACGGCACGCTGTCGATATCGACGGCATCTGCCAACTCTTCCGATCCATCAACATCTGCCATTTCAACATCCTCGGGGTGAATCCCTAGCAATGATGCTGTATATCGAGTGAGTAGGGGCGGTAGGTCCCCTAACAAACTCGACTTTTTCTCTCCGTTGCTTTTACCTCCCATGGTGAGCTTTAGCCTCCTCATTGGAGCTGCACCTGCACCTCCGTTAGAGATGCCACCGGTGTGACCTCGGGGGACAGGATCACTAGGTCGCAAAGCTTCCGTCTCGTGGACAGTCCGCATGTGTTTGGCCAATGCGTCGGATCTTGTAAAACTGCGATCGCATTCTGGGAGTTGACACATGAATGGTTTTTCTTTGGTGTGGCTTCGCATGTGTGCTTTGAGCGCGTAGGCACTAGTGTGGGGTTGGCCTTTTCGGATGCAGCCTTCCCAGTCGCAGTAGTACTTCTTCTGACGAGGGATGATATGAACATCGTTGATGTGGGAGACTAGGTTATCCATATTGCCCTGTTCTCGGTCGGAACACTTTTCCCACAGACATTTGGTCACCTGGACATAGTCTCCTAGTTCTGGGTTGTCCGGGTTCGCTTGTGCAGCAGCATAGGCAGTCGATAGAGGATGGGTAGGCCCAAGGTTGGCAAACGACGGCGATGTAGGTACTGAGCCATCAGTATCGCTTGAGATTGATCCTGTTGGCGAGCGGGGAGGGATGATGGTTGAGGCTGACTGGGGTGTGGCGTGATCATAGCTCGAGTTGCCTGTCTTTCGTCGCTTGGCTGGAGGAACTCCGACGTGACGAGCAGTAGGACTCAATGGAGAGGTGGTTCCATCGTCTGACGCCGAGATGGTCGAGTCGCGGGAGTGTGATCGCGAACGGTGGTGATTGAATTTGACGTCTTCAGGGAACTCATCTGAATCAATATCAGACAAGGGGGAACCCGAAGCCGGCGTGTCTGGATCTTGCGACATGACGGGCAGATGAAGGAAATCGAGTGTGTGTTTTTATGATGATGCCATTGTCACCTTGTTTTCAAGAGCGATGGAAAAAGGACCATGAGAGATGCCTGGGTCATAAATGGGAGAACAGACGTGGCATCTCGAACGCAGTCCAGGATAGACGCGAAATTCCTCTCGCCAGGCCTTCCCTTTTGGACCCTTCTCATCGCTCCTTCCTCCTTCTCCGTCCCCCACAAATCGCAGTCACATGTTTTTATCTTGGCGCGTTTCCTCAAATTCATCTCTACCAGTACAGGCAAGTTGTGAGTCAAGAACTATTCTATGTAATCAACCCTGGTGACAGCGTTGGTCCAAAAGGGAATACACTTGAAATTCGCTACGATGCGTGGGTGTTCATAGCTCACCAACCTGGGTCTGCTCTAGGTGTCTAGGCGGAGAGATTAATGTCACATCAGTCTTTGAGGGTTACAACTGAACAGCGCCCTTCCGTCGACTTAACCATTTCCACTTACTTCTGTATATTTCTCCCAGCACATTGGTTGTCAACGTATGTTACCCTGTTACATGTGTCATAATAGTTCATCGGCGTATTATAAACTGTTATCAACGTGACACTGAGCAGCAAGCACCTTTTTCTTAATTCCGAATATATCAATTGCAGAATTGTTCTTTTCTGGACCACCACCTACAGAAATAAAGCCTGTCGACTTTTTACACGACGCTCAACATTTTATATTATCCCAAAGAACATGTCGTCTTCAATAGGGCGGACGCTTCTATCATTTCAAACAAACGCAAAATTGTACAAACTCAACACTACAGTCACATCAATCATACCTTTTTCGGCTCTAGCGGAAGCAAATCGCCTCATTTTCAAGACGGCCGCTGAAGATGACACCGTCGTCACCACCGAAGCAACAATTTTCCATCCTCAAGGGGGAGGCCAACCCTCGGACGTAGGCGAGATCGCCTCCTCCAGCAACGGGGCCAAGTTCATTGTCTCGACGGCGCGCATGGACGCCATCAACGAAGGACAAGTTTTACATCTAGGCCGCTTTGCCGATACGGACAAGGTGTTCAAGATCGGGGAGACGGTCGAACAGAGCATCGATGTGGAGAAACGGACACTCTATTCCAAGTACCACACTGCAGGCCACGTGCTGGGTGCTGCAGTGCGACATCTTCTCGAACACGACATCGAGGGATTCGACGAGTTGAAAGCATCACATTTTCCCGACTCGGCCTCGTGTGAATTTAAAGGTCTGATCGACGGCAAATGGAAACCCCCCATCCAGGAAAAGCTCGATGCGTATGTGGCCGCGGCCATGCCAGTGGAGATTGACTTTTGGGACGAGGACGACTTCAAGAAGAACGGACTGGAGCGACTGATCCCGAATGGAGATGGGATCAAGTTAGCAGAAGGTGAGAAATATCGTGTTGTCAAAATCATCGGTGCCGAGGTCTATCCTTGTGGCGGCACACATGTCGACACTACCGATTTATGCGGCAAGGTCGGCGTCAAGAAGATCAGTCGCAGTAAGGGCACCAGTCGGGTTAGTTATACTGTGGATGCATGAGACCGTAATCTAAAGGAGGCCATGGCCCAAGCTGATGCCTTGAACTCATATCACGGCACATTCGACATGTACTATGACACTTCAAGGACCACGACACGTAGATCATACATTCAACCATAGAGTTCTCTGCTGGCCTTCGATACACCTTTTTGTTCCTGCGAGCGAGACTCGTCAGCTGATCATGATTCAGGATGGAGAATACAGACTGCGGATTCCATTAGATTCGTGCACCAAGATTTCGCATCCTTCTAGAGCCCTTATATTGTCGAAAACTTTCCATATCGTGGCCTACGTCCTGACGCGCATCTGACGTCACGTTGTATCTGAAAAAGAGATTTGTAGACGATAACTGATATTACAAATCGCCTGGTCGAGCTACTCATCAAATTCTAGTAGCAATGGTGGCCTTTAAGGGCATCCAAATCTCAACCTGCTTTGCATCATGCTCAATAGGCCATGATGAATCGAAGCATTCGTTGCCGCTTAAACTGGCAGCCATTGCCAAGGCTGGATTTGACGCCATCGAGATGTCGATGCCAGACATTCTGGCCTACGGCAAAGAGATTTCTCCAACCAAAACTGAGATTGACCCCAAGGACTATGAGACTCTCTGTTCTGTTGGTAGACAGATTCGAAAGCTCACAGAGCACCATGGTCTCAAGATTTTGATCCTTCAACCATTTGCCAACTTTGAAGGCTGGCCAAAGGACAGCCCTGAGCGAAGTGATGCATTCGACCGCGCCCTGGGATGGTCAAGTATCATGGAGGCTATTGGCACGGACATGTTGCAGGTAAGATACCCGCATTCTCCAGCCTACACACCTACCTCAGGCGGATCGAAAGGAGCGGTTGCTGACAACCTGAAAGATCGGTTCGTCAGACGCTCCAGGCATCTCAGGAGATTTTGATTACTTGGCGATAGATCTGGCCGAATTAGCAGACATACTGGCAAGTAAGGGACAGAGAATAGCGTATGAGAACTGGTGCTGGGCGACTCATGCTCCTAACTGGAAGGATGTGTGGCTGGTTGTTAAGAAAGCCGACCGACCCAACCTCGGACTCTGCCTCGACACATATCAGAGTGCAGGAGGAGAATGGGCAGATCCAACAACACAATCTGGATTATTGGAGGATGTGGACAAGGAGAGTGTGCTTCAGCGATGGGAACAGAGTTGCCTAGAATTGTCGAAAACAATTCCTCCAGAGAAGATCTTCTTCCTCCAGATCTCAGATGCGTACCGGATGCAACCACCGCTCAAGAATAAGGCAGACAAGAGTGGATTGCGGCCTCGAGGGCAATGGAGTCACGACTATCGACCATTACCTTATGATGGTGGGTATTTGCCTGTGGAGGATTTCACCAAAGCTGTCTTGCAGACTGGGTTCAGGGGCTGGCTCTCCATGGAGGTCTTTGACGGCAAAGGGCCAGAGAAGTATGGCGATGACCTTGATCGCTATGCCAAAAAAGGCTTCGACTCGCTGCAAAGGCTGCTGGCAACGGCGGAGAAAGATTGATACTGACTCAAAGATGTTGGATCATCCAAGCCTGGCCAGGAACCTGATTTATTTTTTCTCCTCTGAGGGACAAGGTAGTCGCAACGGATGGCAGCATAGACTGTTTGTGCCTACCTCCTTTGGGGCAACATGAAGTTTGGGAAGGTGCTCCTTTGATTGGTATTATCACGCACGTGGCGGCCTGCAGGTCGGACATCCATGCATCAAGAATCTGGAGAGATAGAGCCATTTCAAGCGGTGTAGAAATGTGCTACAGTACACAGGTTGTGAGAGCAACATCATCAGCCATTTGGGTTAGTGCACTCAGATGTTTAGGCGACTCTCAAACTTATTACCTCTCACCCTCTTCACCATCACTCCTGGGCCATCATTCCTTCCAACCATCGAACTTAGAACGAGCGTGGTACCTTGTGAAGTACCTTAGGTACCTGGGTAAGAAATGACCCCCAACCCAGCAGCCCTCGGTCGATCGGATTCCCAAATCTTCCCTAACGTCTAGCCACTCAGGGGCCCGAGGTACCCGAAGAGCCTGGCACGCTGGGCGATCTCAATTGCCATACCCGCCAATTGCGGTGCCCAAGAGCCCCAAGCCCCAAGCTCACCATAAATTTTCTTCCGACCCACGCAATGTCAGCAGCACGCCATGCTTTTTTTCCACACCGGCGATATCTGTCCCGCAATTGCTCCGGGAATCGACTACTACCCCACCACCATAGCAAAATGTTTCTTGTGCCAGTGACTCCGAGATCCTCCACTTGCAACAACAAACGCAAACACCAACACCGCTTCATGTACAAACAGCCAGTGGTACTTTGAACTCGATAAATTTCACCACTTATCAGCATGCAAAGTCGGTCCCTCTAAACGAGTTTGCACACATATCCTGACAACAGATTCGCTCCTTCATCTCCGTCCTCATCCACCTCGACGACGCAGTTTCTCTACCGCCTGATCACACCTGATCCTACGTCAAAATGCCTGTGACTTTGGTTCTCGGCTCTCAATGGGGCGACGAGGGCAAGGGAAAGCTTGTCGACATCCTGGCCTCGTCGGCTCAAATGGTGGCTCGCGCGGCTGGTGGGAACAATGCAGGACACACCATTGTCGTCAACGATGTCACTTACGACTTTCACATTCTCCCTTCTGGCCTGATCAACCCCTCATGTCAAGTCAACCTTATTGGCACCGGTTGTGTTGTTCACATCCCCAGTTTCTTCAAAGAGCTAGCTGCGTTGGAACAGAAGGGTCTCGAGGGTGTCCGCGATCGCATTCTCATCTCTGATCGGGCTCATGTCTGTTTCGACCTGCACAGTGTCGTCGACGGCATAGCTGAAGACTCGCGAAAGAATATTGAAGGCGGCAAAGGTGTAATTGGCACAACGAGAAAAGGAATTGGGTAAGTCGATGGTGTCTGAGAAGCTCGAAAGCATGTTATGTGCATTTGTTCTAACCCAGCCAATAGCCCGGCTTACAGCGACAAGGTCGCTCGCAAAGGAGTTCCCTTCTGGATGTTGGTCAATGAGCAACAACGATGGATTCAGCGCCTACGAGACCTAGACGCCGGATATCGAAAATCATACCCTGACGCACCAGCGCTGCAAGCGTATTCGGTCGAAGACGAAATCAACAAACTCCAGGGCCTTCGAGCCGAGCTCCAACGCTATGTCGTAGACCAGACTCCTCTCCTTGCCCAGGCTGTCGGCACCAAATCCTCCACCGCATCCACAATCGGCACCAACGGCACCCTCGCCCAGCAGACCCCTAACATCCTCATTGAAGGTGCCAACGCTCTTCTCCTCGACATTGATCACGGCACATACCCATATGTGACGAGTTCAAATACAGGCCTTGGTGGCGTCTTCACCGGTCTGGCCGGATTGAGCCCGCAGTCTCTGTCGGCTCCTGGCTCCAACGTCGTCGGCGTCGTCAAGGCGTACACCACCCGTGTCGGTTCAGGTCCATTTCCAACCGAATTAGATGAGGCTATTTCGCCCGTCGACGCCGATTATGGCGAGCGGCTACAACGTATCGGACGCGAGTTTGGTGTTACCACTGGCCGCAAACGACGCTGTGGCTGGTTCGACTTGGTACTTGTCCGTTACTCGGCGGCTGTCAACTGCTACACCCAGCTCAACCTGACCAAACTCGATGTCCTGGATGACTTTGACGAAATCCGCGTCGCTACAGGCTACAAGGTTGATGGAAACCTCCTGCCATCCTTCCCTGCCGACCTGGATGCCCTCGAAGGCGGCAAGATCGAGATGGTATACAAGACCTTTAAAGGCTGGAAGACGCAGACCACGGGTATCAAGACCTTTGCTGAGCTGCCCGTGCAAGCTCGCGAGTATATTGAATACATTGAGCGTGAGGTGAATATTCCTATCAAGTGGATTGGCACAGGTCCCAAGCGGTCCGACATGATTGTGCGATAACGTCCCCAGCGTCTCCCAAACAACACGACGTTTCTTTTTCGGACGTTGCATGCTTCAAAACAACCCATATCCGTGCAAGAGAAGGACAAATAAAAACCATTGGAGCAAATGAAATGATTTTCGCGCCATGTACTGGGTCGTTAGATGGGTGGCCGGGTCTAGGTTGGCGTCAAATGTGTTGGCGTTGTAGCAGCTTTGATAGAGAAGAGCTGCGCTTCTTATGATACTCGGTACACCGTGCTAACACACTGTACGAGCACACAAAAAGTCCATAGACTACTTAGATCGAATATACCTCTATGACTTCAAAGTGCAATTTTAGGTTGATTGAGATTTGCATTATACTCAAACTAGGGTATCTAGACTATGTTCCATCTCGAGAGCCAACTGGTTTGACCGAGTCCGCAGGTCGGTGCAGAGCTTCAAGGCCACTCCATCTTGCAAATAACTTTGCCCTCTGAGCATCCAATGTACGGCGTCCGTCCGACCAGATAAGCAGGACCGCATCCAATGGCAGCAGAATCAAAGTTATCTCGCCGTGACTAACATGATATTGTTCAGAACAAACACGATGCCACTGGATGATGTTTCTCCCCCCTTGATCATGCAATCAGTATCCAGACAAAACATGGCCTCACTGTATGTATATGCTTTTTTTGTGGTTCCAGTTTGTCCAAATCTGGTTGCTTCCCCTCACCGTGTATTTTCCAAACATCCAAATCCCAAGCTCAAGAGTCGCTCACCAGCCAATAATGATGGCCAAAAAATGCGGATGTGGCTCCCAATAAATCGACATGATTTCTCGATGCAAACAACCCCTGGACCGGCGATTGAGAGATAGTGAAGGACGTCCCTGGGTCTAGAGAACGAAGACGACACCGGCGATGGCGATGGCAGCTGCGGCAAAGCTGCCGACTTGCTTCTTAGGATCAGCGGCGGCGTTGTCTGTGGCGGAGGAACCTCCTGCGCTGTTGGTGGACGAGGCGCTAGAACCTCCAGATCCTGAGGCGCCAGTGGTTGCAGTCGAGCTTCCAGAGCCGGTTGCAGTGGCAGAATTAGTGGCGGTGGCGGTAGCGGTGTATGGTGCTGTGGGAGGGTTTAGTTAGTGTTGTGCCATGGATAGGTTGGGAAGCTGGGTGCTTCAACTAGAAGAGTCGAGGGATAACTCACCAACAGAAGAACCAGCAACAGAACACGTCGAGATGAACGCAGACTGTGCTATAGAGACATTGTCACCAGTGCACAGACTGGCAATAGCTTCTTGGATCTCAAGTGCATCGTCACCACAGACAGCATCCAAATCTCCAGGTAAATCTTGTGTGTTGACGGCATTAAGTAAACAGGCGGGAGGAACAGCGGCAAAAACTCGCACAGCGAGGGCCAAGGTGGAGAAAAGAAGTGTCGTCTTCATGGTGAAGGCGACAAGGAAAGTAAGGTAGTGGTGTCAGAGGTAGGACAATGTGTGTTGTTTTGGTAGGTTCGGTTGTTCGTTCGTTCGTTTCGACTTTCGACGCGTGACAGGAACTGGGTGGAAGGTTTTAACTTGCTGGGCAACGAGTGGTAGAAAAGTGAAACTTGCTGAAAGTGAACAACGATGGTCAAAGGAACGACTGAGAATGAGGGACGCTGGTATGGTTAGTAAAAAGAAAAGCTCGACAATACACGCCGGTCGAGAAATGAGGTTGTTGAAGGAGTGAAGTTCGAAAATTGCAAACCAAATGCCATCAAGAAGTTCGCATATGAGATGAGGTCCACTGCTAGTAGAGATGGAATTAGGTGGACGGGGCCTCGCAAAAACGAGCCCCTGGAATTGTTGAAAAATTGGGGTTGACAGGGGTCTTGGGGGTGGTTGATCGCTATTAGTTTGCTTGGAACTTTGTTATGAACCAGTAAGAAGACGCCTAATCCAGCCCCTGGACAAATTGAGGTGGTCTGATCACGTGACTGGTCCACTGCCAAGTCCTGGGCGGCCCCGGGGAATCTTTATCGCGCGTCTGCACTTGGAGGCAGTTGGGGGAGAGTTGGAGGAGGCAGGAACAACCCAGGAACTCACAAGTCACGAGTGACAAGTGACGTTGGTTGTCCTCCAATTCTGCATATCATATCAACTCCCCTTCAACTGATAACAGGTCGTAATCCAGAGGTTATTGGCATACTCTTACATGGTCATCTTGGCCTCTGGGTGGTGCACTGTATCATTAGACCAACTATCCTCATCCATTTGCATCGACACACTCACTGGCTGTATATAACACGCATCATTCCCCTCAAATCCCCCCCCGCTACCTATCTCAAATCGGGACAACTCGGACTACGGAGTACATTAGTTCTCGAGCACCAAACAGCTCTTGAGAGGACAGTTTCTTATGATACCTACCTCCAAGCGAATGCCAACGGGCTTAATGAGCTAAGACTCGGACTAAAAAGATCGAGCTTCTAATTAGATGCTTCTCTAGCATCAACGATTCCTCGGCCTACCTACAAACTGGGTCTACTCTTCATGTTCCAGAACTCGAGGTAGGGAAATCTCATTGTGGCCGTCCCTTGATCTTCACCACACCATCAGTTTCTAGCCAGGCCTACACAACTGAATCCGAGGCCATGGATAAGCATGTCGATCGATTGGCCGACAAGACTTGGGGTAGGTGTATTGCTTTTGCTCGCCCCAACATACCTTCGCCTTTGACCTATCTCATGACTGACAAACCATCACAGAACTCTTCCAAAAATGTGACCTGTCTCAACGGCTCTTGATAGCCATCTCTGGCATCCCCGGCAGCGGCAAGACGACTCTGGCGGCCAGTGTGGCATCGGGCGTCAACAAACGGTACCACCATGACCAACATAGCAAATTCCCAAATTCTCCCACCTCGGCCGACTCGTCACACCCAGACATTGCATTTGTGATTCCGCTGGACGGGTACCACCTGACGCGCAAGCAGTTGTCAGAGATGCCCAACGCAGAGGAGGCCATTTTCCGGCGCGGGGCGGCCTTTACATTTGATGCACAGAGCTACCTGGGGCTAGTGGCCAAAGTGCGACGGCCGATCTCGCCGGAGACGCGGACGATCTACGCGCCGAGTTTTGACCACAAGGTCAAAGACCCCGTGGCGAACGATATAGCGATCCCGCCGACGGCGAGGATCGTCATCTTCGAGGGCCTGTACACGGCGCTAGACGCCGAAGGATGGCGCGATGCCTACGCCCTCATGGACGAAGTCTGGTTCGTCGAAACCGATATCGACACCGCCACTGAGCGAGTCGCAAAGCGTAACTTTGCCGCCGGCATCTCCTCTTCCTTCGAAGAAAGCCTCAAGCGCACCCAGGAAAGTGACATGCGCAACGCGATGGAAGTCATGGCCAATCGCCTCCCCGTCCAGGAAATCATCGTCAGCCAGCACGACGACTCCTGGCTTAGCGAGGACGTCATCAAGGTCGAGGGTCAGATCGAGGAGGAATTTGCTCGTGGCGACTACGAAGCTGACGACGACGATATACGGAAAAAGAGGATGCTGAGAATGGATAGCATTGCTGCGCTCGCCGCCGACGGTGTGGGTATGTGAATGTGAATGGGTACGAGTATTTTGGTGATCTAGTACGGTATCCCACAGAGTGTTGGTGGTTCAGGAGATTGAAGCATTTAGACGAGATCAACACTGCGTGCCTATCATGGCCAGGAACCGTCATACCCGTTATTTAAGGAGAACTCCCACAACGGCTCACACACACGTCGACACAGCAAGACAAGATGTAAAGAATGAATGACACAAGTCCCACTTCGGGGCAACCAATTGACGGATCGATTGTCACGGCCGTGGACCTGGCATAACTACAGTATAACAGAGTGTGACATGGCCGGAAAATGGTCATTTTGCCCTCCCTCTACTCCTCCCATCGTGACGTTTTCCTTGCGCTGTACAAAAATTGCGCCGCATGTCGCCGGTACGAAAATGGAAGCATGGCAAAGAAGGGCCCAGCCGTTTCTTTGTCGGTGATGATTAGAAAGCCAGGTATGGCTGTTGAGAAAAGTGGCTTTTGGGTGTGACGTTGGAGGGTGGTAGCGATGGCGATGGCGAGGGTGAGAGTGAGAGCGACAGGCTTCGTTGGATATCTTGACAATTGTTTGCTGTCCACGATCCAACATGTGTTGCGTGTGCGGCTCGAGCGAGCCTGCGTAGAAAAACAAAGTCTCTTGGTAGACGTGTAACCGGATTTATATGGCGTGGGAACGAACCACATCAGGCGAGAGGCCCACGGCGGCCCACATTCCATCTGGAACCTCCTCCCTCCTCTGCATTCGCTGCAAGATATCCGAAAAGACGCGTAGCTCGTCAGTGCCAGGAGACAAGCTCTCCCTTGACTGGCTAGCGGGGCGAGGCTGATCCCGGGGCCGATTTAATTGCCGGCGAAAGGCGTCCAAGGACCTCGAGTCAGTCAGTCGTGACGGAGCTGGTCTTGGTCCTCGTCCATGGCTTGCGCGTATCTCCCGAACTTGATCGTAGGTAATGCCGAAAGGGAGGTCCAAGTCACAGGATTCGTCGGCTCCGATTTCTCCAAAACTAGTTGCCGATGTGGCAGCTTGGGATGAGCGCTGAGACTCGGTTCGTGAGTCGGATCGGGACGACATGAAAGACGTAGCATTACTTGCTCTTCCTGGTGGGATACTAGTCAAGAGAGCGTTCCAATTCTCCTCTTCGTGCGAATCGGAACTTGGACTTGGGCTCATCATCCGATCTCCTAGTCCATCCACTCTTGGCCCCGAATTGATGGGACGTGGTGAAAGGTGATTGACACGGCGAAGGGCTGGGTAGGAAGAAGAATCTCGATCTAGAGGTGGGGTGTCTGGGGAAAATCGAGCGGCCCAGACGGGCGTTACGTCGACGTCTTGGAAGGGCTGATCGTCGGCGGCTCGAGAAAGTGGACGCAAGGGACCGTGAGCGGGGGCAAAGCCAGGAGTCAAGGCTGCACTGTTTGGCGCGCTGGCCTGAACGTCGTCATCACCGGATGACCCCTGAACGGCAAGAGAATATGGCGACCTGCTTCGATGGGGGGATCTTAGGCCTCTCTCTCGTTGGCTGGTAGTACGGTGTGGGCGAAGACGACGGCGACGGGTGGTATCGCTGTCTGGGTGGGGAGAGGCGATAACCTCAAATCGAAGTCCAGATTCTCTGGATGGTCGCGGGAGGTTTTGTGAGACGGTTTCCTGCATGTTGGATGTGGGCTCCCCAAAAGCATAATCGGTATCAATTAGAGGAATGGGGGTGTCAGCATGGCTCCTGAAGTGGTCCATGACCTCGATGAAATCGGGATCGAGACGTTCGATGGTGACGCGATCGCGAGCATTGTCGATTGGCTGCAGGAGACGGTCGCGCAGACGATCCAATGGCCGTTCGAGTTGATCTCGGCGCAAATCCTGGATCTGAGCTTCAATACTCGACATAGAGTCGTCGAGGTGGCGTAGAGGGGGGAGGGAGTGCAGGTCAGGATCTTCTCCAACCATCATGCGTATCATTCTTCTAACTCTGTGGTCATTTGCAGACCGAGGGCTGAGGCGAGCGCCATCGCCTGATGATTGGCGATGGGGCCGAATTGAGGATTCGCGACGGATTGTGGAACGGCGGGTGGCGGCAACATGGTCGAGCTTTGCGGCGGCTTGTTCGGCGATGGCCTCATCGGGCTCTCGGAACATACTAGATGGAACCCAATGTTAGCCTCTGATGATTCAAGAATGGTTGCGATAGACTCGAGTTGGATGGCGATTGCCATTGGCGCAAGGCAGGCACGCGTAGCTGCGGAAGCGGAAAAACTGTTCAAAGCGAGCGGGGAGGGCGTTTGCTGGAGGGCAACTTACGGCAAACCCATGGTTGCTGCGCGCAAGGCGACCGATCAATGAGGAGGGGATGGAGGAGAGGAGATTCGATACTAGAAACACATGAAGCGGAAAATGTACGACAAACAGAAAAAAAACGAGTTGGAGTGGAGAGATTGAAGATGGAGTTTGTCAAGGAGTTGTTGATGGATGGTGGAAAGACGGAAGACGAGGGTAAGTAGAGAAGGTAAAAAAAGAAATGGGTCGGTGGCGGGTAAATGGAGGGAGGGAAGTAGTAGTGGGAGCCGGAGTAGGCACTAAGCACTGGGATGCAGCTGGGGATCTCGTGTTAGGGGATGGCGGCATTGGGGAGCGTCTAGGCGGCGGACCAAAGTCTCCAGATACAGCAGTAAACTTTTATAGTCGGACAGTGCGGCCTATAGACTAACGTCTACTCTAGGCAAGGCGCAGGACAAGGTTAGGCATGCGTGCGTCAAGAGGCAAGCCAAAACATAAGTGCAGTTGAGCCCCAGTGGTGCCCCCTTTCCCAGAGCCTAAGGGCCAGAAGTAGGGGGCGCGAGGGGGTGCCTCAGGCTCTCTCATCCCCTGTGGCTTCAACATCGAGACTGTCGTGCGAGTCGCCTAGGGGGCGCGTTCGAGCCCTCAAGCATTCTCCTAAGGGATCATTGGCGGATAATACTCAAGCCAGTGGACTGTAGCCTAAACATCAAACGTAATCTACGCCGTAGATGGCAACTCGGTACCTGATGGTCTGTCTGAAGAAGAGATGTTGTTGTCGGCTAACATCTGTTCATCCGTTCATCTACAGGTCTGTAGGTATTCGGAACCAAAGACTCCATTTATGAGGAGCCTTGGATCATGTAAACGCTTCTGCAGGCCAGACCAACGTCAGTCAATGCACCCTTTTTCATTCTCCTCCCAAGTACTGCACTTTGACACATTATTTGTTCTGGTCGCCTTCTTGGGTACCAACGGCAACTGCAAGAAGGCGGCTCATGCGCAGTCTTGGCGCCCACTTGCAACGTGGACAAATGTCCACGCCATCTCTTCTCCATGCATGTCATCAATGACACACTTGCATTGGCTGACAACCACTGAAACACCGTGCTTTTCGCCTTCATTTCGTGCACAAGAAACGACACAGGTAGGTGATGAGCACTCGTCTTGCTCACAGGTTTGCATAATGAGAATTGTCTGTCCTCCATTCCTCCCTGCGGCTGTAGTGATTCTTCAACTGAACAGATTTTTCCCAAGGTAGTTGCCTGACCGATGCTGCCTCACATCCATCCTCGTATTCGCATTCGGGATACGAGCCTGTCTCCCTTCACAAATATGAATGACTCAACAGTCTAAGAATCATTTCTAATGTTCTCAAATGCTCTGCTGAAGGCATTACTAAGTGCTACTGTCAATTCAGGATGGACCCAAAATGGTTTCCATCCTCGAATCGACCTGTTTATCCCACAGGTCTCGTCCAAGCAGGCTGTACTTTGATAGGCGTCACCTCGCTCCTCTTCCCTCAAGGACAATTCCGAAATGTTATTGCTCTGCCGCCTCTGTTACTACTGGCATGGAATGTTCGTCAGCATACAGCAGGCTCTCCAGAAGAGGACTACCTCACTGCCGTCAACGTTGTTATGGCCATTGCCAAATACGTTGACTTTGCTGTCATGAGAATACCCGAGCAGTCCTGCCACAGGATTGGACCTGACAAACACGTCGAGACTACGGATGAGATCAATCGGATGTCCCTCTGGCAAAAGTTCAAATGGAGCCTGGAGCTGGCTTGCACCACAAGAGGCATTGGTTGGGATTGGCGTGTGAAGAATGTTGAACATGTTCCTCATGGCATTTCGAGACGGTGATTGAATTCTTTGCTGTCCAAGTCAGGCTTGGCTCTGACGATGCTTAGGCAGTTTATCCTGACACAATTAATCAAAGCAGGAGCTGCTTACCTCTTTATCGACTTCTACCAATGGTTTATCCGTTCGAGCCCCTTCGGCACCACCGGTCCACCTCCAAATTTGTTCAGCCTCCCATTGAGGGAACAATTCATGTATGGTTGGCTCCGCGGCTTTCATAGCGGGTTCTCGATGGCTCTGGGCTATTATATCCTGGCCGTTGTCGCAGTCGGGACAGGTTTCTCCTCTCCTCAATCGTGGCCGCCTATTTATGGCTCCTTTATCAAAAGAGGATACACTGTGCGCAATATCTGGGGTCGTTGTTGGTGCTGAAAATTGTCTCTCTTTTCTCTTTAACTCTGTACTAACAATTCTCAAGGCATCAATTTCTTCGACGTACCTTTGAAACCAGCAGCTCAGTGCTTTTGGCCCTGACGATGGCCAAGAAGGGAAGCTCTTTCTCACGGTATCTGCAGTTGTATAACGGTTTCTTGGTGTCAGCTCTTATTCATCATGCCGGGTCTTTGAACATGACATATCATGAAGCGATCAGGTACCAATTTATGTTTTTCATGGTTCAGCCTGTCGCAATTACTATAGAGGACTTTGCCATCTACTATGCGAGAAAGAAAGGTCTTTGTGACACATGTAAGCCAATATCTCCCTCCAAACTCTTCTATCCCGACTAGACAGCGACTCACAATACCTTGTTAGGGATGACGAGGGCTATCGGCTATATATGGACATGGACATGGCTCGGCTTTAGTCTGCGATATGCTGCTAAATTCTACTTTGACCTTGGGCTTGGGGCGGCCCCTCATCCACTTGTCGCCAAATTCAGCGTCATGGATGTCATCTGGACCACGTAGCATGTCTTTGATTGTGTTGGCACAAGTTCATTTCCCCCTGAGATTTGGTGCTGGCAGCGGCGTTGATGACTTGTTGATTCGGTGGCCAGTGGGTTGCCACATGGTCGATCCCGGTTGGACTGGTGGATTCCACTATTGCATACATGTTCCAGTAAACAATACCGATGGGTCCGATCTTGACGCATAACCGAGTAGATAAGCGGTCACATTTCAGATGGCCTCCTTTACAAGGATACGATGAGATGTGCAGATGTGCAGATCGCCCTTAGTTGACTCTGAGTGTGGTTGAGTAAATTACTAGGTACCTTTGGATGGTGTACCACTGCGCCTCTATGTGACTAAACTCATAATGAGCCTCAGGGACGGACCCTAACCCCAGAATCTGTCTGTTCGGGGCTTGAATTGGGCGTGAGGGGTGGCTGAAACTACAGAAACAAGGGGGACTGAGGGGTCCTCATATACACGTGTTGTCATCCTGATCTTCATCTTTCACGAGCGTGGCTAAAGCACCTTCTCAGCCGTCAGAGGTACCGCAAGTCGCCCTCAAAGCTTAAGTTGTCCATGCAATTCCGGGGTTGAGTGGGCGACCCAGAGTGCCGAGGCGGGCCGCCGATTGTACCTGGCACTACTAACAATTTAGAAGGCCCGTGCCCAAAGTGACAACCTAACCTACCTGGTCTAGGCCTGAACATAACAGAACACAGACAGTATGACACAAGTACACAATTGACACAATTATGCATCTTCATGTTCCCACATTTTGGCCAAGCCAATCTCCTACCTCCAGGTATCTGACTGATCCAACACCACACCGCAAAGTCGTGTCTGCGTATGTGTGCGTGCAATTACGAGTCTCGCCAACGGTCAGCCTAGCATCTGGGAGCCATTCCTATCTCCATCGTCGACTACTGCCCTCAGGCTATGGCAATTGTGGAGGGACATCGACTGATTCATTGATACCGTTGCTGTCGTGTGTCAACACATCCTCTTCACTACCAAATCTCCGCGCACCTTCACCTGGCCCAGGTGACTGGTGTTTCTCACACTCCTAGACCCTGACCTTGTCACGTTGAAACAGACGATGACTATATTCTATACCAGTACCAGTCGCCAGCCCCGCCCCTAACTTTCCATCCTTTATCGTCAAGATGCCCTCCCGCACAGCCGATCTTCCAGAGGATGTCTCAGACACTCGACCAACCGAACCCCCTCTCTCCAAGCCTCGTCCAGCCAAGACCCCTTCAAGTCCTAGTAAAAAGGACGACAAGACAAAGGCTCACGATGTGGCCGAACTGAAAGACTATCAGCTGGGAGATTGTTTGGGTAAAGGTGCTTTTGGTTCCGTCTATCGTGCTCTCAATTGGGGAACTGGAGAAACCGTGGCCGTCAAGCAGATCAAATTGGCAGACCTTCCAAAGAGTGAACTCCGAGTTATCATGCTAGAGATCGACCTGCTGAAAAATCTCGACCATCCAAATATCGTCAAGTACAATGGTTTTGTCAAGACCCCAGAAACCCTCAACATCGTCCTGGAATATTGCGAGAACGGCTCGCTCCACTCAATATCCAAAAACTTTGGTCGTTTCCCAGAAAACCTAGTCGCATTGTACATGTCCCAGGTCCTTCAGGGTTTGGTGTATTTGCATGAGCAAGGTGTCATACACAGAGATATCAAGGGTGCCAACATTCTTACCACCAAGCAGGGTTTGGTTAAGCTGGCAGACTTTGGTGTCGCGAGCCGTACTTCGGGTCTTCATGAGGCCAGTGTCGTTGGAACTCCCTATTGGATGGCACCTGAAGTCATCGAGTTAACCGGAGCCACCACCGCCTCAGATATCTGGAGTTTGGGCTGCACAGTCATTGAGCTCCTCGACGGCAAACCACCCTATCACACCCTTCAGCCGATGCCCGCCTTGTTTCGCATCGTCAACGATGACCACCCACCCCTACCACAAGGAGCCTCTCCTACCGCCCTCGACTTCCTCATGCAGTGCTTTCAAAAGGATCCCAACCTGCGAGTTTCAGCTCGAAAACTTCTCAAGCATCCTTGGATCGTCAATGCTCGAAGGTCCGACTCTGTGGCCCCGAGAAATGCTACCGAATATGACGAGGCCGTGAAAAGCGTTCAAGAATGGAATGAAGCCCTGCGTGATTCTCCCCCACCTAATAACAATTCCCTCCGGAAGAATTCCAGGGCTTCCGCGTCGAGCCCTATTCCAGCAGCCAAAGATTCCCGGTCATCCAGGGCCCAGGTCAAATCACCTGGATCCGGCCTCTATCAAAATCCCGGAATGATGAAATTACAGTCTCTCCAAGATGACGATGATAATTGGGACGACGCTTTCGCCACTGCCATACTCCCTAGTGCTTTGCAACTCCCCCATCTACGACCCCATGACAATTTCGGTGGCATGCTCTCCTCAGAAAGACTCAAAGCATTTGCGAACCCGGAGAATGCATTGGGAAAGGAAAATGAAGGCATGGATGACAAGGACTCAACCTTGAAGGGCATCTCCACCATCAGTTCGGATAATTCAAAAACAGTTCGTCTGGCAACGTCCAAGAGACCGGAGAAAGGACACACTCGACATAAATCAGAAGCCCCTCCAAAGTCACGGACAAAGCCCTTGCCAACCCCCCGCAAAGTGTCGCTTCCCGCCGCGGGTCAGGCTACAAATCTGTCGAAAAGCAAAGCACCACTTTCCAAAGGGCGAGCTGAGGAACCTCCGACAAGATTGTATCGGGAAAGCTCCATTGAGGATTACTCGGACATCATCAATGGCAATGAACTCGCTATTGACACAAAGTTCAGCCTGATGCAATTGAAACAGGACGCTCCATCGAAGATTCTCCAGTCACCCAGTGTCACAGATCTCATGCAGAGTATGAGACCGCCAAAATCAGGCGGTAGCTTGCGAAGAAATCCTGCTCCCAGGAACAAACTGTCCATGCGAAGAACGAGGTCGTCAATCGAAATCCAGCGTTTTGCCGAGAACGAGGATGACGAGGACTTCTCTGATGTCTTTGCACAAACGGCATCTGGATTTGAAAGACCCGACAGTGAGGATGGCTCCGAGTTGATGTTGGCCTCGAAGATGTCCAATCTGTCCTGGCTGCCAGACGGAGAGGACGAGGATGATCCTTTTGCACAACTCGAAGAGGGCCTTCCTGACCTAGACCTTGAATCAAACATTGCCCGCGACAAGCATGCCCGCTTGAGGACAGAAGTCGAGGCTCTGGTAGGTCAGCTGAAAGTTCTGCAGGATGACGATGCCCTCCTTCAAATCTCCGAAGATTTGATGAACTATTTTGGAGTATTTTCGGAAACAAAAAGCGTCATCATCAGTGCTCACGGTGTACTTCCAATCCTCGAAATCCTTGAAGACTGCAACCGCTTGGACGTCGTTCTAAATCTACTCAAGATTGTCAACGCTCTGACATACGAGGATGAAGAAGTCCAGGAAAACCTTTGCTTTGTCGGAGGGATACCCAAGATCAACAAATTCGCCTCCAAGAAATTCCCACGAGAGATCAGACTGGAAGCTGCAGCCTTTGTACGTCAGATGTATCAGACTTCAACCCTGATCCTTCAGATGTTCGTCAGTGCTGGCGGATTGACAGTCCTTGTCGACTTTCTCGAGGATGATTATGACGATGACCGAGAGCTGGTCCTCATCGGCGTCAACGGCATTTGGAGCGTTTTCGAACTACAAGGATCGACGCCCAAGAACGACTTCTGCAGAATATTGTCCCGCAATTCAGTGCTCGAGCCGCTGTCGCTAGTGCTAAACCGAGTCTTGAACGAACCTGCTGATTCTGGCGACCAGAAGGAGCTTGCAGATCTGTGTGAGGGTCGCATTGCCAGCATCTTTTTTGTCTTTTCGCAGGCCGAAAATTACGTCAAAGAGCTGGTCGCTGAACGAACAGTCTTGCATCGCGTCATCAAGAACTTGAAAAGAATGGCGCCACCCCATCAAGTAACGATGCTCAAATTCATCAAAAACCTGTCAATGCTGTCTACGACCCTTGACGCCATGCACAACTCCAATGCTATCGATGCTTTATCTGAGCTGCTTAGCAATAGCATGAACAGTAAACATTTTAGAGAGATGTCGAACCAGATCTTGAACACTATTTACAACCTTTGCCGGCTGTCAAAACGACGTCAGGAAGACGCGGCGCTGGTCGGCATCATACCCATTCTCATCAAGATCGTGAAGCAGGACAAAACTCCAGTCAAAGAGTTCGCCCTGCCGATCCTGTGCGACATGGCACACTCGACAAGAGCGGCGCGCAGAGAGTTATGGCAGAACAAAGGCCTTGCCTTTTATGTCTCTCTTTTGTCGGACCCTTATTGGCAAGTGACGGCGTTGGATGCCATCTTTACTTGGCTTCAGGAAGAGACTGCTCGCGTGGAGGACCATCTACTCGAAAACCAGAACTTCACTTCGGCCATTGTGGCTGCCTTGACCAGCAGCAAGTCAACATCGTTTGAAAATCTCTTGGAACCTCTCCAGAAGTTGCTGCGCCTCTCACCGCCTCTCGCCGCATCCATGGCAAGAAGTTCGGATTTGTTTGAGAACTTGGGTCAGAAGCTAGGTCACAACAAACCTGCCATCCGACTCAATCTCCTGCGTATTATCGGCAGTATTTGCGATTCAACCGAAGAAGGGGGTTACCTACTCGATCAGTATGGTCTTTTCGAAGTGATCCAGGAGCTTTCCTTTTCCGATTCAGCAGTGCTTGTGCGCAGTATGGCCGGGGAATTGATTCGTTCTATACAAGAAGCCGATAGCGCCAGCATCAAGAGCGGACAGAACGTCGCTGCAGGTACGAATCCTGCCTGGCGTAAGCATCCACAATTCCAGCGACGAACCAGCTCCACCACGCCTCCACATCTTCTCGAGCGGCAGATGAGTATGCCAACGTCGCCACAACTTGGTCGCTCCGAGCGTGCTTCGATCAACATGTTTGACGCTCCGGTTGCTCAAACCCCACGACGACAACGGAACGGGGTTTATGTCAATGGGAGCGGTGTCATTCGGCCAGCCAGCCGTGACGGATCTTCGTATGCCAGGGAGAGTTCGCCTGCGTTTGTGATGCCGAGTCTAACACGGGCTCAAACCACAACTTCAGCGTCAGACATGACGATCAATAAATCTCGTCTTCCGCGTCAATCAACCGCTTCAGCAGTTGGACAGCAACGACTATCAAGGCAGAGCACACGGGAGAGCATGATTGCATCAGCGCGAGCTTCCACCCTCAGTCTGGACAAAGATGTACGATCGCACCATGGTGGACATAGTAGCGGGGTTAATACACCTGCGAACCTTACTCCGGTCACGGAATCAAGGCTACGGAAGGAACAAAGAACTGGACGCGGACATGCTCACAGCCACTCGAGTAGTATAACTCAGAGCCGACCAACGACGAGCTCGCGCTATGGTAGCGGTGGTAGTAGCGATAGACCTGGCTCAAGTTCGAATCAACACCAGGGCAACAGCCCACATGTCGAAGTGACAGTCGCGAGCAGTGCTCGGCGAAGCACCGCGAGGAGGCCACCTCACAATGACGAGCGATGGACTTAGGACGTCGGCTCTTGATCCTTTGTTTCCTTGTTATCTTCCGGGTTGATCGTGGGGGAGATTCATAAACGGCGATGGGATGGCAAAGTCCTCAACCTGGCCAGGAGCTAGAAGGGCGAAAAGCATGATACTCTACATGAAGGGGATGGGTTGTTTTTAGAGCATGTAATGCAATGAAAGGATGTGTGGGATGGTTAGAGTGAGGGCTGCTACCATATACACACCTTCAACCTGTCTCATCCGATCAACCGTCCTACATACCAGACAATATGTGTCCCGATCGCATTGGCACGAGACACATGTACAAATAGATCGAGACAATGGCCAAACCAGCGTTGATGTTCCAGTATGTAGACTCTCCGTGACTTTCTCCTACAGTACTGTGAGCACCAACTACGAATTCTATTTCTGGAGAGTCGCCATTATTGGCCCCTCGTCACGCAATCGTCTGGACCCTCCGCCTTACCAATAATACGAGCACCAGTAACTTGCAAGTAAAGTCCAACCCCAAGTGCGTCGCCCAAGGGGGCGGCGCAGGCCCGAGGGGCTCCCTCGGCCGATCGACCACAGCGAGTAATCCCAGATGACAGCCCCTCGACAGCTAAAAGTATGCCCCTCGGGCCAGGTGGCGGTGGTACCTGTGTGCCTGTTTAGGTGGGTACCTTAGGTACGGCACCGCTCCGTGAGCACATTCTTCAGACAACAAAGAAGGTAGCCACGAACAAGTATGGTTTCGTCTTACAAATCCTCTTCGAGGACTTTTGTGGGTATGTGTCTGTGTCCCTCCCAACTCCAAGTGCCACTCTTATATGTGTGACTGTGTGACAGTGTCACAACCAACGCCTGAACTACTGGAGACTTTATTATTATTATTACTGTCTTGCTCCCATCGATCGCAACATCGCAGCATTCGATTACCTACTCTCTCACATCCCGTCTAACGACAAGAATAGTCACCTTCTCATACCCTCTCTCTCCTCCATTCAAATTACCAATCAATCAACCATGTCGGACCATCACTACAAGTTCAATGTCAGCATGAGCTGCGGTGGCTGTTCTGGCGCCGTTGAGCGTGTCCTCAAAAAACTAGACGGTGAGTTTCCCCTTTTTCCTCTCCATCTCCGCCTTCCTGCGCGCATGTTACTGACCATCGCATCCTTGTTCGACTACAGGCGTCAAGGAGTATAACGTCTCACTTGAAACCCAAACCGCCGATGTCACCACCGAGGCCGCTCTCGATTATGCTACCGTCTTGGAAAAGATCAAGAAGACAGGCAAGACGGTTAATTCTGGTGAAGCCGACGGTGTCTCTCAGCCAGTTTAAAGACATCGTTGCGGGTTGAAGCCTGCCGTGTGCCGTGGATGGGTACCCTGGTGCTTTCTATACAAGGACGACTCGGTTGATCAAACGGCGTTTAGATGGCATGTACTCGGGCACGCTTGAAGGATTAAGACAATTGCTTGTTGCAGACAAAGATGTGATGCATGACAATGCTATTCATTCATGATGACTATACACTTCCCATGCGACTCTGACTCGACTCTGACTCGACTCTGACTCGAACCTCACTGGAAATATTGTGATTGTGTGCATCTCGCTGTTACAAGTTCCCGCCGAGTTGAAACCCACTCATGATTCTTCGTGGTAGACCGACGCACTGCTTGAAATGCTCGACATAAAACGCCGCCAAATGCGTGCCTAGTCCGTGCGCCATGCTTCAACGATTTCAGGATCCCAGACAGAAAACGACATGGCTCTGTTGATGCGCCTCCTTGTAGATACGGGCTTGTTCCACCTGTGGTGCATGCTCTCCCGGAAGACCGCACAAGCAACCCAAACAATCGAGGCATTTCGCAGACCAAAAATTGACCTCGGAATAGGATACGCCTAATCTGTGGTTAGCTTCTGTCGATTTGAAATGGTCATGTCCAAGTCTCAGCCGGTTTGCTGCCCCATATCTTACCCAGTGTAGTAAGCAAACAGATGCTAAAACAATTCCTGTGACATCACATATCCTGGCACACAGGCAGCTGGCTCACTCGTAATGAATTACACGCTGGCGAGAATGTGAATCCATGGGCCCACGCAAAATTGCGCTTGTACCATGTGCATACTGAGGACGACGTCCTTGTAAGACTGGCTGGACATATTCTTCACGGGGCGCTGCATTCCGTTGAGCAACAACTCGGTCTTCATAGGCAAAGGGTTCAGGAATTGGTTCATAAACACGACTGGGGTATTGAGGCTGCTGACTTCTCAATTCCGCAACCTGTGGGCTTGTCATGGGAATACCATGGGAGTAAGGAGGATTGTCTGGCAGGCCACGGCTCGGATGAACAACCACGTTCGTATGGACTTCATGTCCGTTCGCCATGGGCCGGCGAATGACGGTGCCATCTCGAAGCGTGCTAATAGGTTCATAGGACATCTGCGGTCGGACCTGCCTGATGTGTTCGTAACGCCGATCCGACATCTGCGTGTTCGGAGAAGCATCACCATAGTGCAGGTGACTGACTTCGATACGTCTTGGAGGGGACTGTTGTCTCACAATTGGAGGCTCTGGTCCAATTGGGAGTCTTTCCCGCTCATCAATGCGACGCCTCTTAAACGATTCAGTACTCTGGCCATGGTCAACACGGACGTGATCGGCAAGACCTCGTTTCCCGTATTGACTCATATCAGCATCACGAGGCTCCGAGTATCTATCGAAAGGATACGGGCGAAAGCGTGGAGACGACGTGGTACCGTCGTTGGGCTCAATCGATGGCAAGATTGTTTCATTACCTTCCAAACCTCGATGTCGAGAAGGCTCTGTAAAGCCGGGCTCTAATGGGGAAGACGGACGTGTCCTCACCATTTGTCCATGGTGTGGACGAGGTGGTGGGGTGCGTTGATGCCGGGATGATGCGATGGGTTCGATATGTCCTTGTGGTCGGGTGACGACCCTCTCATACAAAGCACCATTGGCGTCGCGAATAAACGCGGGCGGGCTTGCTGGGCGTGTCGTTCGAGGCTTAACGTCGTTAGTAAGAATGTTGCACCGTTAATGCACCGCGTCATCTACGACACTTAAGACTGTATTAAAGCGGAAGAATACGTACCTCGTATTCAACTCTAGGTGCGGTAGAGACCGGTGCTTGAGAACGATAGATACGCTCGGCTGGGCTTGATTGAGTATTATATGGTACGAGCATCCGGGGTCGAGATGTCGGCTCAGGCTCGTAGACTCTTTCCAGAATCGGCCCTGGCCGCTGAGCGACACTAGATTGATAGTTGCGTTTAGCCTGGTCCCAGACAGCGTACCTACTCTGATCTCGCTGTGCAATCTCGTCCTGGGTCGGCCGATAACGACGGACAATCTGAGGAAGCATTTGTCGCCGAAGTCCTGATTGCATGATCTCGGGATTCGGTGATATTTGCCTTCCTGAGATCGGAGCATAGGCGCCGGTGACAAGCTCCTCGACATGAATTCGGTCCTGAGGAACTTGTTCAGGGCCATCACTGCCAGAGTCAGAGTCGTCTTCGTCAGAAATCACGATGACCTCTCGCAAGGCGTCAGCAGCAGCATGCTTCGTAGCTTCGTCAGCTTCATCGTCATTACCACGCCATTCAATCAATTTGGTGAGCGTCTCGCGTTCAACAGCATGACGGGCGTCATTGTAGGGCATTTGTCGAAGGTATTTGTCGTATCCCGTGTAAATATGGCGAATATGGGCAACGACAGCCAATTGAGCTCTACGCACTAGAGGGATCTCTTCAGCAGTTCCGACCTTACCATCGCCAAGTTGGAAGGCCGTCTTGATGATCTGAAACAGATCTTTGTCAGGGATTTTGGGGAACAAGTCTTTCAACGTCTGTTTAGCCTCCGTATTGATGGTAATTTGATCCTTAGGGGGCTCTTTGATTCCATCACGGTCTCCATTTTGGTAGACCTGCATGAAGGAGGCTTTGTCGTCCTTTGACTCGTCGATAAGCTTGCCCCCACTGGTGAGGCGAACGCCATAGTAACTGCAAACCTGGGCGACAACTTGGGTGGGAAAGTGAAAACCAACACGATGTACTTCTCTTGACAGTTCGTGACGAGTGGCATGGGGGGTGGTCTGTATGGACTGGTGGTGAGGAGAATCCAGGGTGTAACGAGGGGACTAACTTACCGTGACCGCGTATATTTTGTGGTCGCCCTGACGAGAAAATTCTTTCAGAGCCTGGGTGAGTTCAGGGTTGCCAGCCGGGATAAAAGTGTATCCAGGAGGGGGCTCTGCCTTTATTGTGATCTGACAACAGCTATGAGTAATACCTCTAGTAGGACCATGAATTTTTCTTACAACGCTGTTGAGCGGTTTTCCTTTCTCTTTCGAATCAGTCTGTACAGTGACTTTGTGTTTTCCCTTTGCGCGGTCTTTGGCGACCTGGGCAGCACGTGTCGTGGGTTTCCGAGCTGTTGTCTTGGTCCGCGCCATTGTCGAAGCCACAACCACCTACGAGCCAAGAACAGGGGATCTGGGACAAGACATGAAAGCAAGGGTAGGGCAGGATCCTCGGGAGAACTGGTAGAACTGGTGGAAATGTAAACACGATAGCATACACACAAGGAAAAGGCGTCTGGGAGACCGTTCAGTAGTTGCGGCAGCAAGACAATCCAGGAAAATCCGGTAACGAGTCAAGTGCAGATACGGTGAAGACCTTCAAACTCGACCGTGGACAGGGTCGGTCCGCAAGGGAAGGAAGATTGAGGGCCGCAGAATCAGACTCAGCCAGTAATACACTCGCAGGGGTTAGAAGATACGATTCCAACCTCCTTTCTGCTAGCCCAGCTGCGAAGTGAGGAAGAGTGTGATGAAGCTGGGAAGAGATCGAGATGGGTGGCTGCGTTGGAGGTTGAGAAATGGTCAGTGGCTACCTGCGCCAACCTGCGCCAACCACGTTCTTGTACCATCGAAGACGTGGCTTGGCATATTCTGCGGTTGACGCAGTTAGACGGGACCGTATATCAGCTACGGAGCCGTACAGAGAGATGGACTGCACCGCAGTAAACCCTTCAAACCTTCACTTGCGCACCCAGCCAGCTCTCAGTTTGAATGGGCTCAGCAGACGCTTGTCTGTCTTTTCGATCCCCATGAGCAGACAAGACATTATCCATGCTTATCGAAACCTCCACAAGGCTACACTAAAAGCCATTTGCTACTCCAAGCCCGCAAGTCACACCGCTCGATCTATCCTCAATGATACCTTCAAAAAGCGTCCTCAAGATGATTTCGATGCCATTCGGATTCAAAACACCCTGAAGTTTCTCCAAGCCGCTGCGGATTATGCAGGTTATGAACACAAGATCCTGAAGAATCTGCTCTACGTGAAATGGTGGCAATCACGTGAGTCCAAGCGAACCATGTGAGAGATCTCAGTCTGGTGCACATACATTGGCTAATATCTGGGAATAGAACATCATCGTCTAACAGCGACTTTGCGCGCCACATACGGGAACAGAGCACGCTGCAATACTCTGCGACTTTAACCATGCTCAACGAGAGCCTGGGCACGTGTCTAACCATATAAGGTTCTACACACCGGGATGCGGTCACATGCGAGGAGGGCAATTGAGAAGACCCATCTCGACCCAATGTGAAACAGGCGTGCGCATCGTGGCTAGATTGTGCTTTCCACCGCATCATGCTGTCATTCCACTCGAATTTGTCGAGCGCCAAATGACAGTCCAGCAGGAATTTGCAGGAGGCGTTCCAGACTACACGTAAGCGCCCGAGTCTGTGACGACCACTTTCCGAGTTGAATCCCGAGCGTCTACATAAAAATACGCATTTCAAATCGACAAGAGCTTGCTTATCACTCATTCGGGTTACTGTGATGTGACTAGATAATTCATTTCTTCACTGACATCTTTTCAGTCAAATCAGCAAAGCGACTGATCGCATCCAACTAATATCACGTGACTCAAATTTGGCACGTGGCACATTTGTAGGCATGCACTGTAGTTTGGTTACCATGAACGGCAAGCGCGTTCAACAATGACGTTGTCCACATCTTTTTTTCTCGGTTTGGGAAAGCTGGCAGCAAGGTTCCTCTTCCCCTTTGTCTACACAAATACTATGAATTGCGCCTGAATCTTGTCTGCCATCGTCCCTCAACCTTCGTTGTTTTAAATTGAGCCTGTTGCAGTTTGCACTACTCCTTGTGATTGATTTCACCACCCCCAAGCGTCTTTTGTTGCTTTCTCGACGCGTCTTTGCTCCCTCAACACCGACGCCAAGATGGTCTATATCAGATATCGCAATCTTGCAAAGCTGAAGGAGTACAAATATTCCGGGGTTGACAAGTCATTGGTCTCAAAGTATATTTTGAAGCCCTTCTACACACATGTCGTGATCAAATGCTTTCCCATGTCGATGGCCCCGAATCTCATCACTCTCACCGGGTTTGGGTTCGTCATCATCAACATATTGACCATGTTGTGGTACAATCCTACCCTCGACACAGATTGCCCTCCTTGGGTCTACCTTTCCTGGGCCGTTGGCCTATTTCTCTATCAGACCTTCGATGCCGTGGACGGCAGTCAGGCGCGCAGAACTCATCAAAGCGGCCCCCTAGGTGAATTATTCGACCACGGTAAGTGCTTCACACACGCCAGCCATCTAGAGCACTACTAATATCGTTCTCAGGTGTTGATGCATGCAACACAAGCCTCGAAGTTCTGCTGTTTGCAGCAGCCATGAATCTTGGCCAATCATGGAACACCATTCTGACGCTTTTCGGGTCAATCTTCACCTTTTACATCCAGACCTGGGACGAATATCACACCCATACATTAACCCTTGGCATTGTTTCCGGCCCAGTCGAAGGCGTTTTGACCCTGCAGATCGTCTACTTCATTACCTACTTGAAAGGAGGTGGTAGTTATTGGCAACAGCCTATGCTCCCGACTCTTGGTGTCCCTAAGTTTGATCTAATTCCGGTCTCACTATATCAGAAAGCTTGGAATGAGTGGCTGATGCTGTATGGTGGCCTGGTGCTGGTATACAACGTCATCTCCAGTGCACGCACGGTAATTCGAGCTCGAGAAGAACGAGGCCAGAGCCCCTACAAACCACTGTTGGGATTGCTGCCCATCATTATCACTTGGACTCTGATCCCTGCATACCTTGCGTTGAATCCGGTCATTTTACACCACCACATTATCCCGTTCGTCTTGTTTGCCGGCCTCGTCAATGCTTACTCAGTTGGCCAAATGATTGTGGCTCATCTAGTCAAGGACAGATTTCCTTATCAGAACGTCTTGATCTTACCACTAGCTTGGGCAGTTGTCGACAGCCTCGGACCCAGGCTTGGATTGTGGCCAAGCGCACTCGGCCATGATGTTTATCAAGTTGCATTCGTCTTCTTGTGCCTGGGGTTCGCCCTGGGAGTCTATGGCAGTTTTGTGCATGATGTGATCACCACGATTTGCGACTACATGGATATTTGGTGTCTCACAATCAAACACCCCTACGTTGAGGACAAGTCAGACGGAGTGGTAAAGAAGTCCAATTGAGGAGTCTTGGCTTGGTTTATGACTACAAATGAGGACGCAATCACCGACTTTACAGCCAAACGTCTTGTTACTATTCACTTCTGCCACCCTCTACGCAGATTCTCCACTTCATCTCAGTCATCGTTCTGAGAATCGAGTCATTCTCAGATTCAATCTTGGAGTATAAGAAGGTTTCGGCACCTCGCACACAAGTACTGTGGGCAACCTCACAATTTTTCTCCTTAGGCGGCTTCGCTTGGGTTCTCACTTGAACTGGACTTAGCGTAGCCTAGACAAACATCTTGGTTCAACAACATCGGATCACAATGGCTGGCTCTAACAAGAGTGCAACTGTCGGTACGTGTTGGCAGAAGCTCCGTGCCTGGAAATTGCCGTGTCGAAGGGGCAACCCGCTGACCGCTGGTGCAGCCTCGGGAGCGTCAATCGCACCCGATGAAAGTGTGGCAGAGGAGGTTGCTCGAGCCCCCGGGCATGGCTCAGGCAGACCTGAGCTTCTCGAGTACGGCACCACTTTTCGTCATGAATACTCTCCCAATGGCGGTGTCGGCTATGCTTATCACTATGGCCAGCGTAACGATCAACCGCTCGAATTCCCAGATTATGGCAACACAATGACAACACATCACAGTAATTGGAATCCCCCAGACGAGTATGTACGCAGCTACGCCAATGAGATTGTCAGCAATACTCGTGGTGTTGAGGTCGTAATGAAGCCAGAAACCTTTTTCAAGCTCTCTGCTGAGCAGCAGAACATGCTTATCAATGTCGGTAATGGCAGAAACTATAACACTAGGGTTCCTCAAGTTGCTGCAGCTTCAAACTCTTCTCCTGCCCCAAAGACCAAGACACCAGAGAAATCAAAAGCGACCGAGCCAAAGAAGAGACATACTTGCTGCATGGCCTGTAATAGCAGCCGGATCGTGGTTATTGTTGGTGGAAATATCCCGTTGTGCTCTGAGTGCATGAAGTCTCAGGAGGATATTCAGTGTCGTTATTTCCACTGATCCGCCTCTGGGTGTACTTTTTGTTGTTGTCATTCCTTCCGACGGACAATTGTGGTTAGTCTTTGAGGGTCTTGCCGCGGGCGGAGTGATTGATGCGTTGCACTTTGAATTTCAGAGGTCTTCTTATTGCGGGTGAATTATCATGTCCTTGCTGTTAGTAGATTAATACCATAGTTGAATTTCCTCATGTTTTCTTCAGAGCGCATCCTGTAACTTCGTACATATCAAGGTAGTTCCTACATGGCAGTGTCAAGTGTGGCCTCACGGCTAGACCGAGCAGAAAGGCAATGGAAATAGACTCGACGTAAGAGTCGATCAAGCTTTAGCTGGGCGTCAATGATGACGATGATAGAATGACTCATTGTATACGAGAAAGAGCACGAGAAACAGAAACAAAGGTCAGATTGGGCAGATATTCATCATTGTATTGTTTTTTTAATGGGGTGAGAACATGAACATGGCTCGCCCAACTCATGAGTCGAGTCCAGGGAGGATCAATGCAACCACATTCCGAACGTGCTCATGCCCTTGACCAAGCATGGTCTCCATGGCATCTTCATGTCACCACGCCACCCCACCCAGGGACTTCACCCTCTGATCGATCGAGGTCGAAAAAGGCCCTTCGATGCCGTTCGTTCAAGCTGGATAACAACTGATCAACGACAAGGGGGATTTCGAGATTGAAATGTGTTGTGTGTTTTGATTTGTGGGTTGATCAAATGGTCGAAAAGGAAAAAACTCCGCAATAAGACGTCGCTCTGCTCACACCTCATCTCAGACTCAACCGTCCATAACCAGTCTCGCGCTCCTTCCACCACAATGCTGAAAGTCTCCGCCCAGAAGTGCAAATGCCAGTGAGTATTCTTATCGAATGATCAACAAAATACCAGTCGAGGCGGAAGGAGAAAGTTGGTGTGGAGATTGTCGGTCCTGTGATGAGTTCCAGGTGCGTGGCAAGTCTAGTAGCCAAGTTCGGCCAGTTGCTGCTTCGCCTTTGAGTCGCTCGTAGACTTCTGGGCCTCGGCGAGTTGTCTGCGGGCAACCTTCTTGCGTTCGTAGTAGGCGGCACCCTTGACCTTTCTTCGCTCTTCGAGTCTATTGGGCATTATTAGCATCACTCATAGGAGAGAAGATTTCCAGATCAGATTCTCTCCAGATTCTCTCCAGGTTCCATCCACGTACCTTGCAACAACATCTTGGTATTTCCAGCCCACCTCGTGTGCCAGACGGCCGACCGTGCAGTATTTTCGTCCAGGCTTTAATCTGAGGACTCGGAGGGCCTGAGGAACAACAACTCGCTGCTTCTTATCATATGGAGGAGGGACACCCTCGAAGACCTTCAGTCTCTCCATGGCGGCAGCACCTCGGGCAGTCTTGTGTGGGATCATGCCGCGGACAGTCTTGTAGAAAATACGGCTGGGTGCTCGGAAATGGAAGGGACCACCTCGTGTGGGATTGTATCGGGTGATCTTGCGGAGGTAGGCATGGTACTTCACTGTTGGCTCATGGTTAGTCCGCTGATATTCTCGTCCTGGTCATTGTCGGAGTCTTTGTAGACATACGTTTGGCACGGAAGAATTCCCCAGAGATGTTGAGGGCTTCGGTTCGTACGACCACAACCTTCTGGCCATTGAGAAGTTGCTTTGCGACTGTGCTGGCAAGACGACCAAGCAAGTGTCCTTTGCCGTCAATCACAACCTAGAGAAAAAGGTTGAAGTCAGTTTCAGTTCGATCTCATCTTGCGGCGCGACGGTGGTGGTAGAGAGGTGGGAAGTCGAGTTGAAGACTTACGACAGGCTCGAATGTCGACATCTTGCCCCCGTATCTCCTGCAAAGGTTCGATGTTGGAAAATCCGCAAGTTGGCGAGGTTGTTGAAAGTTGTCGTGAATCGTCAAACTGTTCTGCGATTGAGCCGAAAATGCGAGTAGTGTGGTCCGCTGTGATGTGTGTGGTCTTGGCACCATTTCCTGCACTTGTGACTCGAACTGTCTGCCTGTTGCTTGGCAAGAGCACAATCACGTGTAGACCAGATCACGTGGAGAAAACCAGAATAGATTCCCGGCTAATCCTCGGATAATCTTCACACTCGGAGCCAAAAAGTTGTAGAAACTTTTGAGGACTTGAGGCTGTACGAATTGAATACCTGGACATTAGATCATGTGGCAGTTGCAACGACATGGCGAATGGCTCTTTTGTCTAATCTGAAACTTTCAATTATCACGCCGCCAGGATGCTGACAGAGAGTTTTGTCGCGGCCACATTGACGACAAAGGCTCCAGTTACCAACACCAGTGCGGCATTGAAAGATGTTGGTATATTCAAACACGAGCTCTGGCCTCAGAACACTTTCCGCCAGGGTTTCAAGAAAAGTTCAAGTCGCTCAGGATGTGCCGCAATCAGTGCAACACACGTCTTTACTGCGCAGGCGGAGAAAGCAGTTGTGAATGTCTACAGCCGAGAACGAGGAAACCAAGAAGCAACTGTGCCGTTTCCAGAGAAATTGTCTCGCATCGCATTCGCAGGAGGGGCGGCAGTCCTAGTCCTTGGAACCGAGGAAGGGCGACTGATCTTGTGGGAAGTTGCTACCGGGAGACTGTCAACTTCATCTGCCGCGCATTTACAAGGGATCTCGTCACTGTGCATCACTCCAGAGGATGAATACATTATCTCGGGCTCTGGAGATACGCAGATCCATGTCTGGTCACTTGCAAGTCTCATTTCATTTAAACATCGTTCTGATGGTTTCGGGAACGAGGAACCTTCCAAATCACCCATTCGTTCCTTCTCCATCCATCGAAGTGGGATCTCCGCCATTCAGTGTGGACATTCGACCAGCAGTACAAACTTGGTGGTCTCTGGGTCGCTTGATGGCACATGCCATGTATGGCATGTGGACACATGTCAACTCCTGCGAACAATACTTTTGCCCACCCCAGCAATTTCAATCGCCATCGACCCAGCAGACCGAGTGTTTTACTTTGGGGCGCAAAGTGGCGATATATTTTCCTGGGCTGTCTATCAAGCGTCCCACAATGGAATTTCTAGCCTAGACCCTTCTACTACGGAAGCTGCTCGCGAGATTACCATGAAGGATCGCTGGACGACACCTTCATCGGACCTGGGACCCGCAAATTGTTTATCTTTATCCTATGACGGGTCTTCTCTCCTCTCAGGCCATAGCAATGGCGCTGTCTTACGATGGGACACCGGCAAAAAGCGAATATCCGGAGAAGTCACGAATTTGGGACAATCGGTCACCTGGATTCAAACTCTTCACCCCGAAGGCTTGCTGAATGCTAAGGCTTTGGATTATAACATCCCAGAGATTGTAAAGCCTAACCTGGAACTTTCCGCACAGACGGACAATGGGTCTTGCGGTGTACCGTCAAAGTATGGCCTTCATGCTAGAATACCGCCGAGAGCCAAGGGGAACGTTAACTGTGTCGATGAGGCCTTGAGTGGTTCTGGCTTCCCTCAATCAATGATTGAGGATGCCCTCAATAGCCTGCGAAACGGCGGGACAACATCGATGTCGGGATCGAACGAAGCCGCCACAAGTTCTCATACCGAAAGATTGGAGTCAGAAATCTCGAGACTGAAGCAGCAGTTGGCGGCCATTAACCACTCTGAACAACGTCGCATGGAACGGAGGCTCGTGAGGTCAGAGAAGCGAAAGGCACTTGGTTTGAAAAAGAGAGAGGCCTATTTCGCCGCCAAAAAAGAGGGCAGGGACGGAGATGCTGCAATGAAGCAGTGGGAAGAGAAAGAAAAAGCGATTGACGCTGAAAGTGATGATGACGAACTTGCGGATGACATGGACACAGAATGAACATTGACCACGTCAATGGCTTGAAGTTCGAAGAGCAGTTGGGGATGGATTTTGTGTCTGCTGGCTGGAAAATGCGCATCATACGAATTCCACGGGAACACTTCGAAGCGACGGCATATGGTCCAAGTGACCAAAGTCGGAAACCGAATATATCTTGGGATTCTGGCAGACAAATCTCACTGCCACGTAAGAGCTCCTGGGTCAACGATACCTCCCGCAATTGCTCTTTTTGAGATCTCGGGGCAGCTGGATTACCGGCGCTAGATGAATGCTTCAAGATAATGTAGCAACACCATACTGTACAGTACGCAAGGACTGTGATGGGATTCATGAAAGGCAACTTCTTGGAAATAACATAATACTACCTTGGTGACTGCATATCAGGTTTAATGCATCGAAGTAGACCTTTGGACCAAATGCGCTCCGAAAGCTATGGTCCGATGTAGTAGTTAAGGTCATGTGATTGGTCATTGCATCGTCGGACTCATCAGTTCCTCGTCGACCTTGTGCAGCCTGCGAGGCAATCGATTGCTTCACCTCGCAGTCTGTTCACCCTCCGCCATATTGAACAGCCTCGCTTGGGCAGACTGATCAGTCATGGAGGTCTCGAGAATATCAACGAGGAATGCGCTACGTCGTATCGCCAAACACTCCCACAATGTCTCTCAAGCCCGAAATTTATCTCCAGCCATGGCCGCCTGTTCTCCGATGGCGGTCTGGAGCCGACGACAGTTCACGACCGGAACTGGCCTCGGACTCCCCAGTCCCTCTGCTCTAAGCTTCGGGGGATCTTCCTCTGGTCAGACCTACTTTCAGAAGCAGTCGAGCCTGCCTGCGAATACCATCATTCGATTTGTTCCTCAACAGACGGCTTGGATCGTTGAGCGAATGGGAAAGTTTAATAGGATATTGGACCCTGGCCTTGCAATTTTATTGCCTGTTGTTGATGTAAGCACGAGTGGTCTGTTTCAAACGAATCATTGCTGATCTTGTGGGCAGCGTATTGCATATGTGCAATCCCTTAAAGAAGCGGCGATCGAGATTCCCAGTCAGAGTGCCATTACAGCGGACAATGTCACGTTATCTTTAGATGGCGTCTTATATACACGAGTATTTGATGCGTATAAGGCTAGGTATGTCGGCAACATGTCGTCTCATCCCCCCGCGCACGGCTAACAATGAGGTAGTTACGGAGTCGAAGATGCGGAGTATGCCATCGGACAATTGGCGCAGACCACGATGAGATCAGAAATTGGTCAGCTGTCGCTGGATCACGTACTCAAGGAGCGAGCCAACCTCAATTCGAACATCACGCGAGCAATCAACGAAGCAGCGCAAGAGTGGGGTGTGGTATGTTTGAGATATGAGATCCGAGACATCCATGCACCAGAAGGTGTGGTAGCAGCAATGCACCGACAGGTGACTGCGGAGCGATCGAAGAGAGCAGAAATTTTGGAATCAGAAGGTCAAAGACAAAGCGCGATCAACATTGCTGAAGGGCGAAAGCAGTCGATGATTCTCGCATCCGAAGCGTTGAAGGCGGAACAAATCAACAAGGCTTCAGGTGAATCGCAGGCAATTTTACTCAAAGCTCAGGCTACAGCCCAAGGAATTGATGCTGTGGCAAACTCAATTGCACGAGGCGCCGATGCTTCTCAGAGTGCCATCAGCCTTCGAGTGGCTGAGAGGTACGTGGATGCGTTCAGCCAGTTGGCTAAGGAGGGAACGGCAGTGGTTGTACCTGGAAATGTGGGAGATATGGGTGGCATGATTGCGAGCGCAATGGCAGTGTACGGAAAGGTTAATGAAAGTCAAAGAAGAGCCCTGGAAAGCAAACCTGCGACTGTTTCCGATACAGCCAACGAGCAGAACACGGGCGAGGCGGAGTCTTCGACTGACTCTCCGAATGATGTGGCCAAGACAGTACTGGACAGCTTCGAGGATATGACAAGTAGGAGAAAGTGAAGGAAGAGAGCTTGCAGGATGAATTCGTGGCGCATCATGATTTTGATGTCCGCAGATGCGAGCGAAGCGGGGGGAGAAAAGCATTGATTGTACCACCACTTTTAACCTGAAAAAGGAGCCCGGCAGGTGTGTATTGCTTGAACTACGCTGTGTTATCATCACATGAGGGGAGAACATGATAATAATAAATTACCACTCTGCATATCGTCTGGTGTATGTTAGTTGTGTAGGGAAATACCAGCGAGGTGGCATTTGCGCGAGTTGTAAACACGGAGATGGTTGCGGACTTTTAAGTGAGGTGGGCAGGTGCGCAGTGGCAGCGCGTGGTCGTTCCTTCCACCTCCAGAAACTGCGGAAACATCCAAAACCTCAACTTCAATCCCACATCAACACCACAACCACAATCACATCTCACCACGCCCTTCCTCCGACGCGTCAAATCGACTATCTTACATCTTAGCCCTCCAGTCTCTTCCTGTCCCTCGCGATCCTCTTTCCCCGCCATGGTCCCCTTACTCCCGCTGAGATAGCCTCGACATGCACATCATCAAACCGATCTGGCTGACCCACGGTGGTATGATTCTTCTCCCTCACCCCTTCTAACGCGTCGCAAACCGCGTAATCGCCATGGTATTCCTTCGTTATTCCTCCATTTCCACTGACAATTGTTGTCCATTTAGGTGAAAAGAAAGACTTCGAAGTCTACAGTTGCCATGTCTCTCCAGATGGCCAACGTCTGGTCACTGCGGCTGGTGGTACGTTCACACTTGATCGCATCATTTCTTGACTTGGATTCTGACGCCTCAAAGATGGCTACGTTCGTATCTGGTCTACCGAGGCCATTTACAATGCCGCGAATTCAAAATACGACAAACCAAAGCAATTGGCTTCAATGAGCTACCACTCTGGAACCATCCATACCGTTCGATTCTCTCCTGGGGGCAAATTCCTCGCCTCGGGCGCCGATGACAAGATCGTTTGCATATACACTCTCGACCCTTCTCCTCCTACTCATGCCACATTTGGTAAGTTAGGCGCATTGGTTCATTCTTGTTGGATCCGGGCAACTGATGCTCTACGCAGGCTCCAACGAGGTACCTCCTGTAGAGAACTGGCGCATCTTCCGACGACTCATTGGACACGACAACGACGTCCAAGATCTAGGATGGTCATACGATGGAACAATCCTGGTTTCCGTTGGACTCGACTCCAAAGTGGTGGTGTGGTCTGGCTTCACGTTTGAAAAACTAAAGACAATCTCCAACCACACTAGCCATGTTAAAGGCATCACCTTTGACCCCGCTAATAAGTATTTCGCTACGGCCAGCGATGATCGCTCTATCAAAGTGTTCAGGTTTCAATCTCCCACCCAGAATTACACCACTCATGATGCTGTTAACAACTTCATCCTCGAGGCTACCATCACTTACCCCTTTGTCAACTCCCCTCTCACCACATATTTCCGAAGATGTTCCTGGGCCCCCGATGGCCAACACATCGCAGCTGCCAACTCTGTCAATGGTCCTGTCAATGCCATCGCTATTGTGACGCGTGGCAGTTGGGATGGCGACACCACCTTGATCGGACACGAAGGCCCTGTCGAAGTTTGCGCCTTCTCTCCTCGCTTGTACGGCATGGAACCGGTTGACCGAGCTTTGCCTGAAGGGCATCCTCATCCCCACACCACAGTTATTGCCTGTGGAGGTGCGGATAAATGCCTGAGCATCTGGACCACGAGTAGTCCTCGTCCTCTAGTTGTCACACAGGAGATCTCTTCAAAGCCTGTTTCCGATCTCGCTTGGAGTCCAGATGGTCGAGTTCTTTTTGCTACGACCTTGGACGGCACAATTCTGACGATCATGTTCGAGGATGGCGAGCTTGGATATCCGAGGCCAGTCGAAGAAAACGATCGATCACTGACCAAGTTTGGTACTTCGCGAAAGGGCCTTGGCTTTCCAGAAACTACAGATGCACTTCTTCTTGAGGAGATGAGTAAAGCTGGCGAGTTGAAAGGCGTCGAAGGACGAATGGGCGCATTGATGGGCGATGCAACGGCATCAGCATCGCAGCCTGCCAAAACACCAGCATCAGCACCAGTACCGGCAACACCAGCAGTTAACGGTACAGCCACGAATGAACCCGCGTCGAACGGCACAGACGCACAGACCAATGGTGTCACAGCGGCAAAATCTCGAGACGATCAAGACCAAGCCAAACTTGAGCGGCTGAAGCGTCGCGTTGAAATCACAAAAGACGGCAAAAAGCGAATCCGACCTCTTCTCGTGTCAGGCGCTGGTGGAGCCGAGTCATCATTACCTCAGACAAAGCTAGTCAGTGCAAGCGCAAATGTCGCTGTGGCGGATGCACCGCAGTCGGTGTTAGACCTGTCCAAACCATTCGACGGCCTTCCCAAGGGTGGCCTGGCGGCCATGCTCTTTGGAAACAAGAGAAAGTACGCACAAGTCGAGGGCGAAGAGGAAAACACTGCCGAAAAACGCGTCATTGCAGCCAGTATGAAAGGGGCAACTCCTATCGTCGTGAACGGCACCGATGGCCTCCTCCCTGCGCAACATCAACCCACAGCAAATGGACAACAACCGACTCCAGAGTTTATACGACCAGCGGTGATCAGTCCAGCACTTAGCGTCAGCCAGCTCAGACTAGCGGTTCCAAAAGTTAGGACACATATCGTTCAAGGGATTGATGCGACCGGAAAACCCGGTGATGCTAATAGCGATGGCACCGGTAAACCACGAGCCGAGTTTGTCTTTGAAGCTCGAAACCCTTCAGGCCCCTCACTGACTCAGCGAGCTCAAGATCGGGAGCCCTGCCGAATCACGCTAACTAAGAGAGAACAGCCGGTCTGGCAGGATTTTCTTCCACGCCCTGTTCTTCTTGTCACTGGCAACCAGAACTTTTGGGCTGCAGCCGACGAGAACGGATCACTCTACATGTGGACACCTCATGGGAGACGTCTCAACAGTGCAATGGTGATGGAGGCACAACCTGTCATTTTGGCTTCGTATGAGTCATGGTTGTTGTGTATCACTGCGGTGGGAATGTGCTATGTGTGGAACGTCAAAACTATGTCCTCACCACACCCCCCTGTCTCAATGGCTCCTATCTTGGATGCAGCGATACACTCACTCACGCATCACCCAACTGGGACACCAGCTATCACTGAAGCTCGCCTCAATTCTGAAGGACGAATTGTGGTGAGTCTATCGAACGGCGACGGATACGCCTATTCCCCACAGATGTACTGCTGGCAACGATTGTCCGAGGTCTGGTGGGCTGTGGGGAGCCAGTACTGGAACACTACTGACTCATCGGTCGGCAATGTGCAATCCGCACACACCAAGAATAGCTCTGACAAATCTGTGAATCTGTCGAGTGGTATCATGCCGTGGCTTGAGCGGAAAACCACGTCAGAAACTCTCCTACGTGGTCGTGCGTATTTCTTGCAAAGACTCATCAAAGTCCTGCTGTCTCGAGAAGGCTTTGAGAGCTTTGAGGCTGGAGTGTCGATCGCACATTTGGAGAATAGAATAGCTGCTGCTCTCATGCTTGGCGCGAAGGATGAATTCAGAATCTATCTCCTAATGTATGCCAAACGTCTTGGAGCAGAAGGATTACGATTGAAAATTGAGGAACTTCTTCGAACGTTGGTGGGAGGGATTGTCGAACAGCCAGAAAGCGACAGCAATGGGATCGCAGCCAACATCAACGCAATCGAGGGTCGTAATTGGCAAGAAGATTCCAAGACAATTTGCGGATGGCCACGAGAAGAGCTTTTGAAGGACGTCGTCCTCCTTCTCGGTAAGTGTGACTTGATATCGTCAGTGGAGTGAAGTATGTGCTAACAAGAGCCAGGCAAACACCGTGATTTGCAACGAATCATTGTGCCATACGCCAAAATGCTACACATTGTCAACGACACCAACCAAGAACTGGATGTCATGGTCTTGTAAAACATCATTCGGAAAGGGGACACAGCGTTAGTGCGGATCGAAGGGCATGATTTGGGATCGATGATGAGAATGAACCTAGATGCATCTAAGGGTTGGGCTGATCGCTCAAGGCATGTTGATGGGTTCCTCAAGGCCTGGCGTTGGCGGCATCATCAAATCAGGGAGACGCAACAATTGCACGGGAATAGTCGTCAAGGACACAGCAACGTCCAAATATGTTCTGATGCTCCAGCAGATTGAATAAACTGCCATCTTGGTAAGGCGGAATTATGCTACGAGAGATCAGTCCTGGAGGCATTTTCCCTTTGATTTAACCCTTGGTGTCGGAGCCGCATATTTGGCGGAATCAATATTTGCAAAGATGCAAGTTCACGATTTGTTTTCTCACTGTTTTTCTGTTCGCTTGCCTGCTCCTGTTCCATCTGCAATCCACTATATGTCACAACCTTCAATTCTTCTAATGTGCATTGCTTGATTCTCTCAGCCTCGCCTCACGATGGCGGGAAGTATGTCCTCTGCCCCTGGACCGCGACATTCTCGATCTGAGAGTCTACCATCATCTTGGTAAGTGCCCTCGCCCTCTCCATCCACCTTTCATGCTTCGCACAGTGACCCGTTATTTTTCACGTCTATTTGCAAAGTCTGGAAAAATGCTGAACTCACACTAACCTGCGGCAGGCCAGACGCTCTATCCCAACATTCTACGTATCAATATGGCTTGAGGTCGAATCAGCCAATCTATCCTCGACCACGACGCTTCAAGCCCGCTATCTGGCGATGGACGATTCTCCTCCTGATCCTGACGCTCTGTGTCGTCGCCCTGCGCCGTCTCGCACAACCCACGATTCCCCTATCTCCCCTCGATCTCGACTCTCGTATTGCCGACCAAGATACCTATCGTAACCCTGCCCTACACCCACATATCTTCTCTTCGCCAAAACGAGAAGTTAAGAGCCCAACGCGATGGTTGAAAGAGAACTCATCGCCACTAGATGAGCCACTTCCACATGGCTCCCTGACGTCTTCCTCGCGACCAAAAGCCGCTCTGATCAGTCTAGTGCGCAATGAAGAGTTGGAGGGGATTCTACAGTCGATACGGCAACTCGAGTTTCACTGGAATAGAAAGTATCAATATCCGTGGATCTTTTTCAATGAGAAACCCTTTGGTGAGGAATTTATCGTGAGTGCCTTTGACTGACATGGGTGCATCATATATGCCTATGCATATTCAATTCATATCTCTGACATGGAACAAACATGAACAATAGGCCGCTACAAGCAACGCCACCACATCCTCTACCTACTACCACCTCGTACCCTCGGCACACTGGACTCCTCCATCCCACATCACCGACAACCCAACGCCATATCACGATTCACTCACATATCTAGGCACCATTGGCGTCGGCAAAGGATCCATGCCATCCTACCACGCCATGTGTCGATGGAACAGTGGCTTCTTTTATCTCCACCCATCACTTTCAGAATACGACTACTACTGGCGAGTTGAACCAGACGTACATTTCTTCTGCGACATTGTCTACGACGTATTCCGATTCATGCGTGATCAAGACCTCCTGTACGGATTCAACATGGCGATTCTCGACGACGCACGGAGTTTTGCCTCTCTATGGCGACGTACACGCGACTTTATGGCCGAAAATCCGGACCTCTTATACAAAGGTGAGGAGGAGCATCTTTCATGGGTATTAGACTCGGCCAACGGCCTCGAATACAATAACTGCCAATTCTTCTCCAACTTTGAAATCGGCTCATTAAACTTCTTTCGCAGTTCCGCCAATCAACGGTATTTCGAATATTTGGATCAAAGCGGCGGATTCTACTATGAACGATATGGCGACGCGCCCGTCCACACGTTAAGTGTAGCCATGTTTGCGCCGAAATCTCAAGTCTGGTTTTTCCGCGATATTGGCTACCAGCACGACTCGGCTAGACATTGTCCTCCACCTGCGGCGTTTGTTGACTATGGTAGTAGTGGTGGTGGTGGCGGCGGTGCTGGATTGCGTCGATGTACCTGTAATCCCACTTTGTTGGACGATAACTTTTACAAGCTTGTTCCAATGGAGAGTCCGCAGATCAAGCCTCAGGATACATGTATCCGTTTGTGGTTGGGGGGAAAGTATTTGGCGAAGAAACCAGGTTGGAGTCAGGATGCAGAGAGGGCGTTTGGTGGCGATGGGTATGGTGGGTATCTTGTTGATGGGATGGATTGATTTCATTCATTGATGGATCACTTGATTTCATCTGGTACAGTATCTTGATTTCGCTCCTCGAACGGAGAAAGAGAAAGGTCTTTTGCCGGTTCAATTCAGCCAAGTTCAAGTATGGGTATAGATGGGATACGGAGCGTCTGTTCTCAAAAGTGGCAAAGCACGTGGATAGAAGAAAATGAAATGATTATCATTGTCAATGGTATGACATGTTGAAGTTAGTATTATGCCGGGGACGAATAAGGTTGGTACCTGATCAACAATGCAGTCAGTCCCCAGTATGGGCAAGAAGGTTTCAGAAATATATCGAGAGAGAAACAATTACGATTGTCGTTGTAGTGGTCATTCTTTCTTATTCATTACTTCGCTGAAAACATGGCCAAGATAGACCGAACCGCTAAGCCGGCCAGCAGTAGGCTCTCATACATGCAAACTCAGCCTATACTCTGACCAAGTCAGGCATTTCGTTCCCAATATTTGTGGTGGTTGTGATGAGAAGCACCAGGAAACACATCTATCAGTACGATGGAAGACCAGGCCAGCCCATGCTAATATATTCGGCTCGAGAAAAGGGAAACGGCGATGATGAGGCCACCTTGACTCAGGACCAAGTTTTATCTAGGGTGAGAAATGGTTGGACATAATGAGCAAGACTCCGAGGAGGAAGAACTCTAAGCCTTGGCAGCACCGGCCTTGATGAGTAGGATATCTCCATCTTCAACCACTGTTTCACAAGTCAGCAATGTTGAAAAAAACAACAGAGAAGCAGCCACGAAGAGAAAAAGTTTTGCAATGACTGACAAGAGAAGTACTCACCATAATCTTTGCCTTTGGTCAAGACCTTACCAGCGGCTTGGACGGACTTTTCATCGCCATACTCTTTCAGAACATCAAAGTTGTACACGATACATTGGATAAAGGTCTTCTCGAAATCGGTATGGATGACACCTGCTGCTGCGGGAGCCTTTGTGTTTTTTCTTATCGTCCATTGTCTCACTTCGTCAGTTCCAGTAGTGAAGAAACTGGCGAGGTTAAGGGCATTGCGCATCGTCGTGATGCATTTCGGCAGCGCCGACTTTGTGTTGAGGGTCTTGCACTCTTCCAAGGCAGCTGCATCATCCATGGCGGCGAGCCGTTCTTCGAAGCTGACTGAGATTGGGAGGATTGGGTCATTGGGACTGTTGGTCTTGATCCATTCCATCACCTTGGGAAGATACTTGTTCTTTTGTCGAAGGTAGTCTTTCTCAGACAGGTTGATGAGATAGACTACGGGCTTGGCGGTGAGGAGGAACAGAGGATTAATGATTTCGACCTTTGAGCGATATTGATGTTAGCGTCAAGACATCAAATATGATGGGTGACAATATCAGATCAAGGGGGTGGTCTTGGGATTTCAGTGTTGGACTTCCTCTCATAACAGCCTCGAACGTGAATTTAATGAGGCTGCTGTCGACGAGCTGGGATTATAGAGCTGAGAGCTCTTGTTCATCATGTAAAAGACCATTGCAAAAGGGTGGGCGATTCGTGGACGAGCCTGAGCTTACCTCTTTTGGTGTCCAGTCGTGTTTCCGGACATCTTTGCCTTCTTTCAGGAAAGCGAGAATTCTTTCAATTGTTGCCTCTTCTTCCTTAAGTTTCTTCATCTCTAGACTTTGGCCTCCTCTCCGGGTTAACTTAGAGACGGCTTCTTTTGCCTTTTCGACAAATTCGATGTCTTTCAATCTCAGCTCCTCGGCAATGATTTCTAGATCTCGAACTGGGTTGACGTCTCCTTCAACGTGAATGATCTCGGCATCATCGAAACACCGCACAACCTGGTAGATGGCATCGACGGCTCTGATATGAGACAAAAAGGAGTTTCCCAGGCCAGCGCCAGTGGACGAACCCTTGGTCAGGCCAGCGATATCGTAGATGGTCAAATGTGCAGGGACTTGAGATTTTGGTTTGTAGTGTTGAACGAGCCAGTCATATCGAGCATCTGGCACGAGGACGCGAGACTCTTCTGGTTCAATCGTGGCATAGGGAAAGTTGGCTGGGTTGCCGAGAGAGCATTTGGTAATGGCTTGGAAAAGTGTGGATTTGCCGACGTTAGCCAGACCAACCTGGAGCAGATGGTGTCAGCGACATTGAATCTTGCGACGATCGGCCGTGAAAATTGTGTGCTGGTAGAAAGTCCCTACATACGATACCACTCTTCAGGTTATTGCCTGGTCTACCCAACAGAACCTTTTCCTCTTTGACGGCCTTTTTGGGAGGCATCTTCTTCTTTGCCTTGGCGTAGCTTCGACGTTGGGATACGGGTGCAAAGGTGAGGAAGTAAAGTGACCGGTGGCCGGCGAGATTCTTGGAGCAAGCCTCAAGCGCAGGACCGGCTGCGAAAAAAGAACGGGTGAGGGGAGAATTGAACAGGGTGGGAGATAGGAATTGGGAAATGATGGAAAGTCGTGATCTCGAGGCGAAAGGCACTCGAGATATTGGAGTTAGAAGGTGAATTAAGTTGAGGAAAATTGTCCTGGGAGAGGTAGAGTTGGAGGGTGGTAAGGTGTGGTGGTCAGGTTCATCTCACAATGGCCGTCTTCAAGACTTTTTTGGTGGTGGGATATTGGCCAATCAGCGCCTGTGGGTGGTAGTCTGCCAAGCCTTAGTTTCGCTCCCTCTACTAGGGGACATATGCACATATATGGTAGGTAGATGGGTACTTATGTAGGAGACATACCACTGCACGTGTTCCGGAGGGCAGTTATCTTCGAGTTCTACAAGATTTACAAATGCAAGATGAAATGATCCATTCGGAGCTCTGTACATTTTGAAGCTCATCGTACAAAATATGGCAGTCAAACACCTCTGATAGGATGTTGTGCCAGTAGAACGCCATGCCACCACGATAATGGGTAAGAGATTGCACCCTAGCGACTGAATTGTTCCGCTCGTCATCCTTTCACTGCCTGTACCATAATCGGGTAATTCTTGTGTGTCTCACTGGATCACAGTGTTAGTAAAAACGCCCGCAAGCGGACCGAGGAGGGGCCGGACTTACTCTTCTTCTGGAGCTGGAAGATGCCATACATCAAAGCCTCACTGGTAGGTGGGCATCCAGGCACATAAATATCAACGGGGACAATTCGATCGCAACCTCGGACGACCGAGTAGCTGTAGTGATAGTATCCACCACCATTGGCACAGCTGCCCATACTGACGACCCATCTCGGCTCGGGCATCTGATCGTAAACTTGTCTCAGGGCTGGGGCCATCTTGTTGGTCAAAGTTCCGGCAACAATCATCACATCGGACTGGCGAGGAGAAGCTCTGAAAATGATTCCCAGTCGATCTTGATCGTACCGAGGGGTGGACAAATGCATCATTTCGACGGCACAGCACGCCAATCCAAAAGTCAAAGGCCACAGCGAGCCTTGTCGAGCCCAGTTGGCAATCTGATCCAGGGTCGTCAAGGCATATTGCATGGCGCCTTGCTTGGGCTCCTGACTCGGTAGGGGAACTTCGCGCCGAACACCGCCTGTGACTGGTAGTCTAGAGGCATCTCCTCCTGCTGGTGAAGGGGTAACTGCTGATGTGGCGGATTTTCTGGAGGATGAAGCGATGGAGGCGGCGGGTGCGGCACGGATCAGAGAGTATGGGATGGCGGATGAAGCTGTAGATTGTGGTCAACATTGATGAAGCGTGTGGGTGGCAAGGATGCTAGATTACCTCTCAGAGCTCTAGGAGCCACTGTTCTTGATAGAGACATCATCATAAATGTGTTTCAACCGAACAAAGGAGATGAGAGGAGGGGAGAGCGAGTTGGACGGCGTCGACGAGAGGAGGGACAGTCGACGGGATTGATTTCGATCATCTATGATGTTAGCAACTTTCCGAGGGTGCACCTTTGCGCCTGCGTCTCCACTAAAATAACCACCATTGGCGCAGTTCTAATTGGTTGCACAGGAGCTGGCGCTCGAGTCAGTAGAATGTCCTCTCCTACATCAACATGACTCAGAATTATTCCAACCGTGTTCATCTTCATTGTAGTGATGAAGGTATCGATAGTCACTCTTCCTACATACCATCGCCACAACAACGTCCCTACGATCCCTGATACCTCCGAGTCATGACCAGTAGATTTCCGACAAGGTTCGCAGTCAGCAACGTGAAATGAGAAGCTGTCACCTTCTTCCGCGACATCTCTAGCATTAGTCTCGCATCGATTGTCCTAACCGCAGGACACTCCCTCGCCGCCTTGTCCCTTCTCTAGACATATCTACCCGGTTGATCTCTCCATGGCGGCTATCAACTCATCACCCGCCATTGCCGCTATTGCGGTGATTGGCAAACACGACAATCCTCTCCATATATCACTCTTTCCACCTCATCTGGAATCCGAATTCTCCATGCAATCTCTCGTCTACTCCTGTCTTGACATCTTCTCCCTCCGCGCGCAGTCCAAAACCCTCGATCAAGACCTCGGTCTCCTCCAAGCCATCGACGAACGTCTAGCTGCTTATGGTTGGTTGACAAATACAGGGATCAAGTTCATCATCGTAGTAGACATGATGGGCCGCCCGCCTGCTCCTGACGAAGACAAGAGAAAGTTCCCTCCCATTTTGGGTCTGAGAGACGCAGATCTCAAGCCTGCATTCAGGGCCGTGCAAACCGCCTATATCCACCTGATGCTCAACCCCTTTTACTCTCCAGACGATCGGACTCCTCTACAGATTGCCAATTATGGCGGAAAGAGCCCGGAAATCACGAGCAAGAAGTTCATCGACGAGTTACAAAGGATTGGGAAGGCCTGGGCACCCGGAGTCACCACGATATAAGGACTGAACAAGGCACTCGCACCCCGCAGTCAAGACTTGGTACCACCAATATTCCATTTCAGTTGGCCAGACTGGACCTCCGTTTGACCAGGCCATGTATAAATCACTGTGTCCTCCATATTGACTATTCGCACATGGATTAGGGCTTCATTTGTCCCACTGCAAGATCAATCTTTGCTGCAGTATCACCGACCTCAGCGGCTGTTTGGGCCGCCTCAGCTTCTTCCTTGCTAGGCGTTTTCGCGATAGGCACCTCGTCAAGCTTATAAGGATCGAGTTTATCAGCTGCAGTCGGAGCCTGAGCTAATTTAGCTGCTTCCTCAGTCGCCACGGGGTCATCAGCTGGAGGTGCGGCGACAGCAGCTGGTGCTCCCGTCTCGGTGAATCCAGATTTCTTGATATAATCGAGAACCACATCGAGAGTCTTTTGTGGTCCGCCTAACTCGTGGACCTTGACGACCGACTGTTTGTCAATCACCACCACACCTCGGGCGGTGGATTTCCCCGGCCCTGGCTTCTTGAGCCCAAGGGCTGCCGTGAGAGTTGCATTGGGATCACACTGTATTAAAGCAGTCATGTGAGCAACAAGTTTGAGAAAACTATGAAGGCAGACTCACTAGAAGAGAATAGGGCAATTTCTGCTTTGTGGCAAAAGTGGTATTGGCCTTGGGGCTATCCGTACTCAGTCCGAACACTGACAAGGATGCCCCAGTGATAGGAGCATAACTGTCGCGGAACAGACATGCCTGCGTGGTGCCTAATGTTTCCGGAACGGATCACAGTCAGCCATGATTCCTATTTGGGATGACATTCAACTCGGAGTCATCCTGCTCTAGAGTTGGTCGGCTGACAGGAAGGGCAAACTTACAGCCGGGGGTACTCGCTCTGGGGTAGGAAAATATGACCACGCCCGCAAGACTCTCTTCGACGAGTTGCTTCAAAGTCACGTCTTTGCCTTCATGGGTTTGGACTGTGCCACCGAATCCGTCGAGATTGACTGTTGTACCTGGGGAAATGGCGCCCGCTCCTCCACTACCATTAGCATTGGGAGTAGCCCCGTTAGTGGCCGATGTGTCCCCTGCGCTGTTCTTGGGATTGACCACTGCCTTTGCCTTATCGGCGAGCTTTTTCACCGTAGCACTAGCTCCACTCCCCCGTTTAGCTGTTGGTGGAGGAGTTGCAGTCTCCTTTGGAGGAGGACGTTTGCGAAGTTCGACAGGCATGGCAGCAAACGACTTGTAGTGAGCTGTTGGAGTGAAAAGCTGAGCCTGACCCGTGATGGAATGATTGTTACGATGCAGATGGCGGCTCGGTCTGTCTACACTAGATGGAGAGCGACAGTTAGCCGCAGTGCTTACAAGTCGATTGAAGAGTAGATCCTGCAGTCAGGCGATTTTTCAATCTTGTCGTGCACAGCAACTAAGCTAGGCTAAGAATCAATCTAGAGACGACGAATCAGTACTCATTACTGTAAAGCAGTGTATATAGAAAACGGTGAGGCTGTTCCGCCTGAATCGAACCTTTGCAGTGTACCATATTGACGATCTAAGAGAGGATGTTCAGATGTTATAACCCTGTCTGACCCCATGAGCCGCGGAATAAATAGGTCATAGTTTACCAGGAGGACCTAGGTACTGTTTCCACAGGGTGGCCATGTCCACCATGGTTCCAAGCCACGGGCATGGTGAAGAGAGGCACACACTTACGGGAAACTCAGATGGCAGTGCCAGATGCCCTGACGATTGTACCGGAAATCATCTCCAGCAGAGCTAGACTCGTGCCACAGGCCAAGAGATCTGGCCCCTGGCCAAATTTAAAGTCTCCCTGCGCGACGATGGGGCCACGGTGAAATAACAAGTCCCTTGACCTCCTCTTATAACGGCAGAGGGGAAGTTCTTTGCGCAAGCAAGGTGTATTCGACTTACCCCTGAGGACAAGAGCGGCAGCGGTAGCGATAGAGGCGGCGATGAACAACCTGTAACGGTTGCTTCAGTTCTCGCTATCTCAATCGCGTCAGGTTTGATTCGTGACACTCAGGAGAGCAGATATGACAAATCCACGGGAGGGCTGGCGTGCGGGCAGAAAGGGCAATGACGTCGCACCAGGACATCCAAGTGTGACAGAGGAGATTGTGTAGAGAAACTCACCAAGATGGGATGACCTTGACTGCGGGTGCTGAATAGATCGAAGAACAGGTCGAATGGGAGAGCGTCTCAATATTGATAATCGAGGCTGCTAATAGTTGGGTAGTGAGTCGGTGTGAAGTGAGACCAGCTCCTGATGATGGATCCGAAGAAGACAAAAGAGAGGGTCGGTGTTGCCGTTGCCGGGGCTAGATAAATCCTGACTGGCTAGAGGTCAACCACCAGACGGCAGCTAGTCACAATGCAGTACAGTCGTATGTATGTAACAGGTGGAGGGATGGCTGAGGGGAATCATGGGAAACCTGAAAGTGAGATGATGATGGATGAGGAGACGAAGACGCAGTGGACGCACATCGGCCTCCAAACTGCGCTGATTCATTGATTGATTGCTCTTTCCCTTTGGATCCCCCCGGACCTTCCCAGCTTGAAGGACTCGAAGTGGCGGGTTTTTCCCTGCGCCATTGACGCCTCAATTCTCACCTTGCAACCAACTATTCTGGCTAGTCAGTCAAACGTCCAAGTGAAAGATCAGCACATGACGCATGAAGCTGTCCTCATCGACTGGCTGAAATGTCGAGTGCCCTGCGTGCCTTGGGTGCCACTGGTGCTCTATGTCGGCCCCTTATGTCGGCCGCTTTGTCGATCGGTCAGTTCCCAAGACGCCGCCTTTCTCTCCCCGAGGGTCCCGCGCTTGTACCGGCCCAGGGAACACTATGGTCTCCTACTGTGTCTTGCACACTTACGCACACCACGTCCTGAGTTCTGACTAAGACATCATCCTCTGCGGTGGGGGGGCTTTGCCTTTCTGGAGCAGACCCTGACTTCAAGCTCATCATCGTCAAAAAGGTGCATCTAATCGTCGACTTAAGACAACCCCAATCATTGAGCACATTTTTGTTTATCATTGACTAAAGCTAAGTAGATCCGAGTGGATGAGTGACTCAAAGCCGGGCTCAAATGATTATGTCACTCGCCAGGTCTGTCACTACTGCTGTGAACCTCCCCGGAAGCGGCCCCTAGCATATCCATCGCCATGTGGCCGAGCCCATACAACTTTGCCTGTGCAGACTAAGCGGCAAGAGTCACAAGCTTCATATCCTTGGCTAGTGTTGTGTACTTTGTAGCAGGCTGTCATCGTTGCGGGGCTCTTCTTCATTCCTCTCCACGTCGTTCAAGCCATGTCGAATGCCGTATGCGCAAATCAATAAAACATAAAGGAAACCGGGCAGTGGAAATAGAGGGGAGTCGTTGGTGATTCTGAAGCATGCTGAGTGTCTGTAGTCGAGATTCGACAGAAGGGATGTGCACTCTGCCCCAGTGGATACAGTGGTTGCATTTCCATGGTCAGTGCTGCCTGTTGCCGACGTCCAAGATGTGCTTGACGCCTGCATGTCGTATGCCGCTAGACTTTGTCTTGGTCTGATATTGCATTACAATCATTGCTCGTGAAATACGTGCCGTGCCGTGCTCAGGATCCATTGCCCAGAGTCGGTGACGGTCGCGTTAGTCTCGCATGATGATATTGAGCTGAGTGGTTGTTCAGACGACGAGTCTGCAAGTCACATATCCCGATCCGGATTTGCCATGTGCAAGAGCAAACCCCGCGCTGGGTCCGACATTCCCATGTTGTGTGTGTGTGTGTTGGAAGACAACCGTCTTCACACGGTTGGAGATACGAGTTCAGTGTCTGAGAGCACCAAGCCGTCATTCCAGTTCAACGGTAATCGCCGTTGCCGGTGGTTACCCTCGTTCCGGAACGAAGCCTAACGTCGAAGACTAGAGATTAGTCAGATGCCATTGTAACCCTCTACGCAAACCGAAGCAGAACGCAGAGGAGATCCCTTACACGGAACCAAAGGTTTCAGTACTCACATCCTATCACTACCACCTTGGTCGTTGCCGCTAGCACCGCGTTCGATGGCTTTGCGGCGGGAGCTGGAGATGGCGGCAGGCTTGCCAGCCTGAGAGGCGTGTTGGGGTGTTGGTGCTCCAGTGGCGGCGGCAGTTCCGTTATGACCACGGCGTGGCTTGTCGTCATCTTCCTGGGCAGGGGGGTTACCAGCTGCTTGAGCAATTGCTTGAGCATTCTTCTGATATTTGTAGACGGTCCAGTCAAAGACGTAGTCGTACTGGAAGGACTCTCGAACGAAGAGATCACGGAAGATCTTTCTGAGATACGAGTAGTCTGGCTTGTCGTCGAATCGGAGAGAGCGGGTGTAGTTGAGATAGATGGCGAATTCATTGGGGAATCCACGGCACAACACTTCGGTGGGCGTAGTCATCTTCTTCTCCATAATTCTATCGTACTTTTGCTTCTTGGTGGCGGCCTTCAAGCCTTGCCATGGGAGAGAGCCGCGGCAGAAGTAGAGCATAACGTAACCCAAAGATTCCATGTCGTCACGTCGTGATTGTTCAACACCAAGATGGGTGTTGATGGAGGCGTATCGAGCCGTGCCAGTCAAGTTCTTGTTCTCACGGTATGGGATATGGAAGTGAGTCTTTGGGTCTCTGTACTTCTTGGCCAAACCGAAATCAATCACATTGACCTGATTTCCTCGCTTGCCAATACCCATGAGGAAGTTGTCGGGTTTGATATCGCGATGGATGAAAGACTTGGCGTGGATGTATTCGATTCGTGAGATGAGCTGATCTGCCAGAAGCAAGACAGTCTTGAGGGAGAATTTTCGGTTGCAGAAATTGAAGAGATCTTCCAAAGACGGGCCGAGCAGATCAAGAACCATTGCGTTGTAATCACATTCTGTTCCAAACCAACGAACGAACGGGATGCCGACACCGCCTGCGAGAGATTTGTAGACACGAGCTTCGTATTCGAGTTGAGGGTGTTTGGCCTTGACGGATTCAAGTTTGATGGCAATCTCTTCCCCAGAGATGATATTAGTTCCCAAGTAGATGTCACCAAAGGAACCACTGCCAATCTTTCGACCGATGCGGTACTTGTTGCCAACACGCAGATCCTGCAGGGATAAAATTAGTACTGAATTCTCGCAGCACAATATGGTGAAAATCTTGATGATTAGACAAGGAATGAATCAAGATTGTCCAACACAAATCTTGTGTGAATCATTCAAACATCTCTTGCAGAAAAGGTTTTGTCACATACCATTGTGGTCATGTTGGGCAAAAGGGTGCAGCGAGGAAGCTGCTTATCGTGGAGGTTCGAATAATGGATGTGTTTGGAAAGAAAAGTTGATGGATGATGGATTCGGGGTTCGAAGGGATGGTGGCAGGACGCGAGACGAGATTGAGCGTTGAACTCAGGCTGGATTGACTTGGGTCAGCGAGAAAGGTCAGACGATGACAACAAGAAAGAGAAATTAGGGCAGCTGAAGAAAGGCCACAGCTTCCCAACAAGAGTTGTCTGGCTGTCGACCGGAGGGACGGTGATGAAGAGATAAGAAGAGAAGCGGTGGAGTGGAGGTTTGAAGGAGTTGAAGGTTGAGTGAGAGATGGGAGAGAGTTCAATCGGTGTGGGCTGCACTTGCAGTTACAGTTACGGGCTAGAGGCCCTTCCGAAGCAGGAGTGCCGAGAGAGTCAGGAAGGGGATGACTAACCTAGTCCACAGTGTCAATCTGTTTGCTACCGGAGCTAGGTTTGGATGAAAGGGTGACAAGTGAGTCGACACTCACAAGTCGAGGGTGGATCGACAGAACGCTGCAGCCGTGTTGTGTGGTGAGGAGAGGAGGGAGTGAAGGAGGGAGGGAGTGAATGATGAATGAGCAGACCAGGAGGAGATTAATGGAGGGAACCGCAGGTGGCAGGGGTTACTTGGGACGGAAAAGACCGAGGGCGAGTTACTCATCCAGCAAAAGGTCACGTTCAAACAATGGCCTCATTCCTCGCCAAAGCCGTGGCCGTGGGAGTCAATGGGCTGTGAGTGACAGATAACAGTGGGTGAGTGGCAATCACAAGGCCGAATGGCCCGAGACTGTGTTCACTGCTGAAGCCTCTTGGCCCCTCCCTGCGCTTATGCTACCTGGAAAGATACAGTGTTAGGCAGCAAATCGGGTGCTGGGGGGGGGGGACTTTAACACCTAAACTTTGGGTTATCCTTGGTAAAAGCTGTGACCTTTCTTTGGACAGGCCACTTGCTCGCCTACAGTTAACTACTCCGTACGCAATTCCGACTTTGACACACACACTCACACACCTCTCGTCATTCAATCAACTACTAGGTACTTTAGAAGTCTCATATGACAATGCAAATCCTTCCACATGGTTTGCTACAAATTGAGGCATGCAAAAGCAATGCCATTCAGTCTTTTAGTGATGAAATGACATCGGATCATGATTGGGAGTCTTGAGCGGGGGTGGGCGAGGACGAAGGGCGCACAACGCATCTCTTTTCCTTGTACTTATTAGTTAGATGTTTGCCTTGCAGCCAAATCCCAGGTGGTGATTAATCCTCCCACGCTCCTCGGCCTCCCCAACCTTGGCTTTAACGCCGCAATGTCCACGCCCAGTACTGATGCGGGACGCCAATCCAGAAGACATTCAATGATCTCAGGTTTGGCTAAGATGATATTGTCCACTGATCAACACCTGAAAACTCTGTCATTATCTGCGTGGGACTTGATGCATGCTCGAGCTGATGGCATGAGTTAACTAGCTATTGGGAAAGGCTCGGCTGTTAGACAGACAGCCATGGTATCCAGTTATGAAACTGAACCAAGCCTGTAGCTATTTTCAGCTTTCGGGGGTCGCGCACCAGGCGCTTGCCTACCAATAATCCTTGTAGCGTAGGGAGGCCTGGCCTAGCGGGGCACTCGGAGTCATCATACACCACCTGGCACTTGGAGAAACCACCGAGCCCGGGCACCTGGCCTTCCGATGATCGTGTGCCGTTAAGGCCGTGTGTGCTTACAATAGAGGTAGTCCTTGTTTGCCTCATCGGTTGGGCAGCAGGGTCTCCTTGTCGTTTCAAAAATTCCCGCTTATTTCAGAATCTACCAGTCATACAATTGCTAGCCATCATGCTCAATTGATAGGAATACATTATGGAGTGCACGGTCCAGCTATCGAAAAGACTCATGTTCTAGGCTCGCACAGTCCTGAGTTCCTGCTGAACCTGCCTATCTAGAAGGCACGCCCTCCTTTCATCGGCATGATGATCACTACCTAGGTATCTTCTCCTCTCACGCCATGACGACCTGGACCGTTGAGGCTTGATTTATCCGAGCGGGCCACGGGCATGGCGGGGTCAACTTCCACTGGCGCCAGTACTCCCGAAATCTCTCCTTTGTGCCGACGAGCCAAGATCTTCACCCACCTGGATATCGAACTACGCGAATCTTTGATTTCTGTAGTCAGGTTGGGAGTTCATTTCATGAAGTGTCACTTGCTCGTTCGTTGCCATGGCTAGGTCACAATTGCTATCAGTTTATAGAAACATGACCTGTGTTGCCGCAGTACCTAACGGGGCAGGTGGTTAACATACATGCCAGTCGCTATTTCTGTGTACCAACATACTGTACATACCCGAATCCCGCTTCCAAGCGGTTCAGCCACTTTAGATGAGGTCATTCGATGCATGCCACAATCCTCAGCCACAACCTACAATTACTTACTACCGATATGGAATATTGTAACCTCGACTGTCAAAATCAATGACGAGGGCTAAAGGAGTTTATCCAATCACCTCTTGGAAGACAGTCAAAGCAATGAATGGTGCCTCAGTCTACATCTTTACCCTTGCCCCAACAAGATTGACATCACCTACCAGGCTTTCATGAAATCAATATCATGTCGTGGCCAGAAATAGAACCCAGCATTCCCCATCTCGCATATCTTCTGCTGTCGCTGTTCCTCATTCTTTATGCCCTTTTCTCTGAGCTGATTCGAAACCGTGCTCATCTATCTGAACCACCACTGGCCACATTCACAGGGATTGCATTTGGCCCTTATGGAGCAAACCTGATCGACCCTGCTGAGACGTGGGGATGGGAGGACAACATCACACAGGAGTTGGCTCGAATCATTGTGGGTGTGCAATGCTTTGCCGTTGGTATCGAGCTGCCAGCTGGCTATGTCAAACGCCATTGGAAGGCCATTGCGGTACTTCTTGGACCTAACATGATATTTGCATGGATGGTCTCGGCTTTGATCATCTTTGCTGTCCTTGACACAAAATGGACCACCGCCATGATCATCGGTGCCTGCTTGACACCTACTGATCCTGTCCTGTCCGCCAGTGTCATTGCTGAAGCCAAGTTTTCACAACGGGTGCCCAAGAGAATTCGACATCTACTGGCTGCCGAGTCAGGTTGCAATGACGGCTCTGCATTTCCTCTAATCTACATTGCAATCTATGCCGCCACATCCAGCTCCCCCGCAGATGGTGTCAAGCAGTGGTTTCTCAATCTTCTGTTATGGCAATGTTTGATGGGAATACTCTTAGGTATAATCATTGGCTTGGTTGCAAACAAGACATTGCGCTTCAGCGAAGCGAGAGGATTTGTCCAGGAGTCTACCCTCTTGGTCTTTTATTTTCTCCTCGCCATCTTTTGCGTTGCTGTTGGAAGTACACTAGGTCTGGACGATTTTCTGGTATGTTTCTCTGCCGGCGCTGCCTTCTGCTGGGACGGATGGTTCTCGAGACGCACGGCAAGGATGAAACTCCCCAGCATCCTGGATCTGATGCTGAATTCGGCTTTCTTTGTTTACTTTGGAGCCATCATTCCATGGAAAACATATAGCGACAACCTAAAACTTGGCAATATGCTGCTTGTCGCTGTTCTCGTGTTGTCACTGAGACGACTGCCGGTGATGATTGCCACCAAACGATTCATTCCTGAATTGAGAACATATCACGAGGCTATTTTCACCGGCCATTTTGGCCCGATGGGTGTCGGCGCTTTGTTCCTCGCCATTGAAGGGTTGGCGCGTCTCGAGACAGGCACTTCGGAACCATTGCCTCACGTTCCTGAAAACCCACCACATCAAGAAGCCTTGAAGACCATATGGCCCGTGGTCTGCTTCATTGTGTTTTGCTCCATCCTGGTCCATGGGTTTTCGGCTATTGTAATGAGCTTGGTCGGACATTTCCTCCGTCACCCAAAGGAGAGGGCGCCATTATTGGGTGGTGAACAAGATCGTCTCCATGGCATGGCGGAAGATTATGGCTCGGTGGACTTGGGTGAGGAAGATGAGTCGGAAGATGAGATGTGAAGCTTTATCATCTATTCATCACGTGGAATGGGTGTATTATAGGACGGTGTTTCTAAAGATGTACAGTAAGACATCAGAGCATATTGTGATCTCAGGCAAAGGTCCAGTCATTTTGAATCAGACTCCCTGACTATTACCACTTATACATTTGCCTTGCTCGCGCTGTTAACCATGACCAGTTATATATCCCTTGAAAAGAAAGTCTGGAGACTAAAATTTCCAAGTCTGACTCGGCTTGCAAGGCAACCTGCTCACTCGCCACGGGGAGATCCTCGTCTACCTTAGCCCTTAGGTTAACGACAGCCTTGTATGTTATACTCTTATACATAGACGTATAGAATATTAGTGTTCAATATAATAACAACTTATAAGAACTAAAGGTTCAAAGCTAAAATATTCGATTGGAGACATCCTATAAGTTTAGCATAGACAGGATTTCTTACTAAATTTAGAACGAGTTCACAAGTTCACACATGAAAGTCGACGGTAGAGTTGTGTCTGCTGTTCGTTACGCGACATAGATCATGCCTTCTTTATTGTCTCTCATTCTGTTGCTGTTTCATTTGTTCTGTTCGTTCGCATGGCAAGTCCTGCTGATCACTGATTCAAAACCGTCTCTTCCGCGGAAAGGATGAACAATGCGACGTTATTTCGGTGTGAGGCGATCCTTCACTTCTGCTGTGGCCATAATTTCAAGCTCAGTGGAGTCCACCACAGGGAGCTAGAATTTCCGCTTGCTGCTTCGCTTGACTCAAAGATACATTGAACATAAATTTGTTGTATCACTTACTCTGACGACGCGGTTCAATTATGCAACCTGAGCAGACCACAAGACCAACGAAGACATTTATTGCGGCTTGTATATGAGAAGCAAAGAATGTGTTCTGCTCATGAAGATGTACTAACGCGGTCGGAAAGCTCGCTACACTCGTTCAGCAGCATTGTCAACTTCAAAGGATCTGGAATTCCCAGCCAAGCTGTCAATAATCGACAGCAGGTGTTTAGATCTCGTTGGCAAAGCCTTTTGACAGCGCAGATCAATCTCATCGTTTCCCAGATTGATTGGCAATGCCTATCCTGAATGGTTCTGCGAATTATAACGAAGAAGAGCTCTTCAGGATAGACGACGTTGTTTTGTGCCCGGTCCACGATCTCCGCTTCAATTGCGCGATAGCAGAGGTCATCTTTCAGCAAGCATGTGCTTCGCAGGTCGAGGACGGTGAAAAATAAAAAGCATGCAAGCCTGCCTCTGTCCCATTTTCCAATCGAGTAAGAATCTTTCTTGTATGGTGGCTGGCAAAGCACCGTTATAATGGGGCCCGTGATTCTGGGACTGAAGTCGTCATTTGCTTTTTTATTGGCCACAAATTGTTGATGGATCTCGCTCAAGAAGTCTTGTAGCTCCTGATTCATAACATCAACGTACATCGAGACTGTATGAGGTTGTACGATGGAGCCAGAAATGGTACTCAACACAACTGCTTCGATCAACAAAAGGAAAGAGTAGAGGTCTTGATGCATTCTCAGACGGTTGATCCCCCCGTTGATATCGACCATCTGCTGAAGAGCCCTCCAATGAGACTCCACCAGATCAGACTGAGAGAGACACTCGGACAGGCTGGCTAGCATAGCAACTGTCATCATGGTACTGCATGCTGGTACTGTTGGTGATTGGGACAGCTGCGTTGAAACCTCCTTCAAGGCTTTATTCTCCATCTCAGCTATGCTCAGAAGTGGTTTTTCATCGTTTTCATCTGCATAGTTTGCTGCTATGATCGCCAGGAAGGCGCTAAAAGTTCCCGCAGTGTCGCGATAGACCCGCAGAAGCTGACGAGTGATCTGAGATCCGCCTGCATATTGGAGATCTGTGAAGTATGGTCAATTTGGAACTCGCAATGCCAAAGAGATAGGCCTTACAATGTCGTACTAGTATCTCTTCCACATCCAACGGGCTTGACAGCGGGGGATAGATCACAGAATCCGATTTTTCCGACACTTCGGGAGACGATGCTGATGGGGACAATCGAAGGCCCCGATGTTCATCACCTGGACTCTGACCAAGGTCCGAATGCGGAAGCCGAGGATATTCTCGGCTCGCAGAAAATCTGTCGGCACGAGATTCGAGGCAATCTTTGGATCGACCAGAATATTCGTCCGAGGGATTCCAGAAATGAATCTCTTCGCCGGCCGCGCGTTCGTGTCTCCTCACTTGTGGAGTTTTTGGATCTCGTCTCGCCTGACGATGACGCCGCCGCATTATGTGGACTCGGATGGCCTCTTGCGCAGGCTTGCAGCGCCAGTCCACCGGGATGAAAGTGAAGCAGCCATCATTTAAGCCATCATTTGAGCTTGCCATTTCAGTGAATGATTCTCTGTCAATGGGCAGCCACATGGAAAATAGTAGTTTCAGAGCAGCGCCATCAGGGTTCGAAGGCGTTGTGTTTGCTTTCAAAGCCACAGAGTCCTCATCTTGTCGTGAAGGACGGATGAACGATGAAATCAGATGAACGAGCTCGCCCACGAAAGAATGATAACGGCAAAACCTGGGGACCCCACGGTGGCCAGCTTGGCGATAACATTTGAGTTAGAGCTATTGCTGCTCAACCTTCCCTCATTGCTGGACACTTACCAATGTATCCACTACAATGTGAAGCAGAGCTATGCCTAAAACAGTAAACTGATACCCTTTTAGGATGGTACGAGAAGACTCTCGTCTTTCGGTGCACCATGATCCCGTAGTCACCGTAGTCTTCGCTCTCCAAGTATCCCTTACTATTCTGGTCGTCAGTAGGGACCTTTACCCTAGCATCTATTTAAGGACAGCACATATCGGAATCTCCTCGATTGTGTTCCCATAAAATTCGTTCACAGACATTGCATAAGACGCCATGTTGCAACTTAGCACCAATGCGCATTTTCATTTTGAGCTTCTCCGGGTTCTTGCAACAACCAGATCTTATGGAGCAGATATAGCAGAAGTTCTCCGAGTCTGCCAGCGCATCAAGCCTGGAGATTTCGAGAGCTGGTACGAGGAGTTTCGACGACTCGCCGAATGGGTAGAATCGACGGTCAACGCCAAGGGCGAACACGACAAAGTTACGCTCAGGGACGCCTACTTTCGGATATCCAGATATTACTTTGCCTCTTCTTTCTTTCTTGACGGTAATCAATCAGACGCTCGATTGGTCGAAAGCTACAATCTATGGAAATCTTATTTTGACAAGGCGACAAGTCTGCTCGCCATCCCTGCCGAGCGCCACATTCTGGATGCTGGAGACTTTCAAATACCTGTGATCCTTCTGCGCGCATCTCTAGACAACCGAGCTCGCTCGTGTCTAATCATGGGAAGTGGTCTGGATGGATCAGCTGAGGAAATGCTCCATTTCCATGGCTTTGCAGCTCTTGAACGTGGACACCATGTCATTCTGTATGAAGGGCCAGGACAAACCAGTGTCCGTCGTGACCAGGGTCTGGGCTTTATCCATGATTGGGAGAGAGTCGTCACTCCAATAGTTGACTGGCTTCAAAATGTCCCGTTCGTCGATTCAAGTAAATGTGGCCTCTTTGGCGTTTCACTCGGGGGTTATTTGGCTGCGCGAGCCGCCGCGTTTGAGCACCGGCTTGCTGCCGTCATTCTCAACGATGCTATCTATGACTTTTCTGATGTATTGGAACAGATGCTTGGCGAGTCTACCATGCGATTCGAAGCCGCCGGTGACATGGACAACTTTTATGCTGCAGTCGAGCAGCAATGCCAGTCAAACACTAAGCTGAGATGGCTAGCTCATCAATTGAGATACGCTTTTGCGAAGGAGACAATTCATGAAGCTCTCCGGGAAACCAGGAAAATGACGGTTTCAGGCATTTTGAACAGTGTTCAATGTCCAGTTTTCGTCGGAGACGCAGAACACGATCTCTTTGTAAGATCTGAGCAGCCTCCTTTGGTGGCGCAAGGTTTAGGCAAATGGGCTACCTACAAAAAGTTCACCAAGGCAGAAGCAGCAGAGGCGCATTGTCACCTGGGTGCCACCGTCTTTGCAAATCAAGTCATGTTAGAATGGTTTGGGAATCAGGTGGGAGCGGTCGAATCGCAGGGCACATCTCTCAAATGAATGGGTGTTACCGGCTTCTGTGCTAGTATCTCTCAGCTCTAACAAATGTTGGGGATATACCACTATTGAATTGCAGTTGCTGTAGGTTCGAATGAAAGGTGTCATCAATATGTTGCGGCGTTACCCCGAGAGTGTCCCTAGTTCAACAAGTCTTCCTCATCGAAACACCCGGGTGGCTGGAGCGACTTACAGTCATTCAGAGGCTATTAAGAAAATAGATTTATGCGGTCGGCAGACTAACGCCTCCCATCTTAAGCCAGCCTCCTGCGTTTTATCCCACGCAATATTCTAGAACCCGACGCTTTGCTACCACAATTAAGAATTCTTTCAGTTCCGCATGCTATCAAAATTGAAGCCCGCATTAGTTCTTATGGTTGGCCATTGCTGCTGTTGCAGCGTCGCCCATTTTAACGAAAGAAGGCACCGCTCTGTCGCGTTGTGCTAAGCGGCATTCTTGCAGCCCAATCTTGTTTGAGCGTTGAAATGTGCTCTCTGGAGTGTCTATATCACTAGACTTTGTCAGATATCGTTGCCGCTCTTGACAAAATCCTCGTGGCCGCTACCTAGATCCTCTTTCAACCTCTGTCCATTGACAACTACCGGAAGACTATCCTGCAAGACATACAGCATTCGTGCCCATTGTGTCGAGCTGGCATTCCTCCATGCGTGCATCGTACCACGCTGAATCACAATGTCTCCTCTCTTCAGCTGGGTGCTGCTCCCGTCGTCCAAGTCGATGACCATCTCTCCATCTAAGACAACACCATAATCCAGGCTTTGGGTGCGGTGATACATCACATTTGTGTTCGTCTTCGATGGCTCGAAATCGACAAAGCGAATGACTGTACCGTTAGGGTTGACGATTCCAAGTTTGCCCGACGCAATCAACTCCTGATGCTGGCGAAGGTCAATCTCATCGTTGAGTTCGATGGGGAACTTGGAAGTTGTATAGATTTCCGCAATGACCATCCCAAGCTCAGGAAGTGATCTGCCGATCGGTTTATTAGCAGAATACATCGCTGCTTGCCCTGCTGAATTGTGTGTAGTGATATTGACAGTAGGAGGCTCTAGAGGTGACTGTAATCGATCCGGCCGAGTTGGTGCCATGTTAGGTACTTCGCTCCAAAGTGCCTGATCTGGTGTTAAAGGGCAAGTTGTTCTAAATTCACACTTGGAAGATGCTCCTTTGAGGAAGATCCCTTAATACAAGGATCTGACTAACTTCTTAAGTACCCTATCAACGTCGGAAAAGTAATAATTTCAGTCTCTATAATTACAGATTGATTAAAAACCTACCTCTAGTTTCCCGAGTCGCCAACAATGCTCTGTTCACAAATCCATCTTTACCGTATCCGAGTTCCGGTCTGTAGAACTCAATGTGTCGATTGTAGGGTTTCATTCATCTACCATCTGCGGGAAAAAGGGCTTGGATTAGTTTTCTCGTCTGTCTTTCCCGGTGTCGGAGCCGGGGTTCCCTGGCTACTCCGGACAATGAGAAACTATTGCTCGTTTGTCTTATTTGATTGCTTTCAAAGAGTTGTGCTTGGGGGCTGAGCTAGACCATGAACAGTAAGTCGATACCGTTTTTGGACATGCTCCTCTCTCGTGTTCTCCGCTCTGCGGCATATGTAAATAGAAGAAAGCATATTGATGTAGTCGAGGTGCTCAAAGCAACGTGGAGGACATAAACGAGGAGCATCCCCAAACACAGTATCGACTTACTATTCATGGTCTAGCTCAGCTCCCAAGCACAACTTTTTGAAGCAACGGCATTGGTATAACTAGACGAAGCTCGAAGCACACGGCCAATAGCTCGTAACCAAGAAACAACATCCAGTAGTCACGATCAAATCCTCGAAGAGGATTGCCATCCTGAGTCGAGGTTGAAAAGATAGAAAGAACGTCGTCGCTACGATCTGTAAAGCAAGATGTATGTATGTGTTATGTGACCTAAAGCATTTGAGATCGAAATATTAGGCAGCGAGCCTTGTTCAACCGACTTGGGGGCTCATTGAGCAGTGTAACCACCGTCCACAGTCACCGCACTTCCTGTGATGAAGGAACTTCTTCCACCCGAAAGAAACAGAACCACATTCGCCACTTCCTGAGCACTTCCCCAACGTTTCATGGGAGTGAATGTCTCAACTTGTTCACTAGCTCTTCGTACAAGTTCTTCGCTCGTGTTGATGAGGGGGGTATCTATATATCCTGGGCAAACAGCATTAACCCTCAAGCCTTGTGCGGCATAGTCTAGCGCCGCGGTCTTCGTTAGACCTAAGACAGCGTGCTTCGAAGGTACATATACGCTGGACAAGGCGATACCGACCAGACCCATGCTATATGATCAGAATGTCAGTGTTATCGGGCGTTTCAATTAGAGTCTTCTCGGGCATGAACTGTCATGTGTGGTCGCAGCCCAAATTTATTCCCTACCAAAAACGAACAGAACTAGGTAGGTATACACTTACACGGACGATATATTGATTATCGAGCCCCGTTGACGTGAATTATGGTCCCTTTTATAGATACCGCGTTAGTCAAATCTCCACATGGTCTGTCAATTTGGACAACTGCACATAGCAAATAGGGCTCTTCTCACATGGACGAAACCAGCCATTCTTGCTTCAACATAATCTGTGCTGCGACCCGAACGCAGTAGAAGACGGCGTTGACATTGACGTCCATTACTCTTTGCCAGTCACTTGTCTCCGCAAAGATGACACCGCCAGGCTGTTTATGTGCAACACCGGCACAATTGACCACGTAATCGAGTCTGCCGAAGTGTGTTGCGGCTTCTTTAAAGGCTGAAATGACCCGGCTCTCGTCCCTGACATTGACCGCCAATGTAAGACACTGGAAATCTTTCCTGGTGCAGGCTCGCTTCACCTCATCTTCCACGATCTCGAGGTTGGCGGTATCCAAATCGAACAATGCGACGCCAGCTGCGCCTTCCCGTGCGAACGCAACAGCACATGCTCTGCCTATTCCACTACCCGCGCCTGTCACCAGAGCAAAACCTGGTACGTCCATGTTGCTTCAGTTGGGCAAAGGAGAAATGGAAGTTGAGTCAGCAAAGCTCATACCGAGAACATTAAAAGACGTGTATCCAACTCTTTATGTACCTCGATTGTCGGTCTATGTGTGCGCTCTGGTGTTGGATCTACCTGTTTCATCTCTGGTTCAGAAAGTATGCATGCTCACTAGGTTCGGAAAATGATCATGGTACTGTTGAACTCAGGAGAGGGACATAGCACCATACCCGGGAAACAGATGGCCTAGATACCTTGGATGCTGTGAATATACGGAATAAGCCCCCGTATGCGGACCCCGCGTGTTTATCTGAATACAACCCAAGTATTTGACCGAGGTTGCCGTGATCTGTTGTCAGTCCATCGAAAGCTGAGGATTATATGGCGTCTTACGTAACAGCTATCAACGATTTCAAGAGGACAGGCTCGAGTAGGCTTCAATACATTGTGTTCTCAAAGACACGTTGACGTGAAGGCCCCTAAAAGTATTACTAACATAATATACCGCCGAAAGAAGGCAACCGAGATTCCAGTGTACCCAATCAGGAGCATCTTATAACATCCTAAAATGGTATGGGCTTTCTGTATTAGGTCTAACTAGCTCCGGCTCAGAGCATCTTGGATATCTTGGTCGTGTCCAGCCGATAGGGAAGATGGATCGCACCTTTTTGAATCTCAAGCCGTCCGATGAGATCAGATTTAGTGCCGAGGCCGATTGGCTATTTTCTTCGGTACCATAGCCCCCAGCGCTTTTCTCCTGACGGCATGCGGGTGGAAAGCCATCTGATGCTCCAGAAATCTCCAGGGTATCAAAGTGTCCTAATCTAGTCTATTTCTGGCATCCGCATTCCTAACTCGTGAATTTGGCGCATATAACTTGCAAAACCCTGCTTGGTAATGGATCTGAATTTTTAGAATATCCCATACACCGCTTGGATATGACAGGTACACTATATGTAATACAGGTTGGTGCTTCGTCATACAGCCCTTGCTCTGCATCTTTCCACGCTCGCCAAAATGTCCCGTACGCAAAAAGCACTTGTTGTCAGCGAGCTGGGCAAACCAGTCACTCTGCACAGTGACTGGCCAATACATCAACCCGGTCCAGGCCAAGTCCAAGTCCGTGTCATAGTCGGCAGTATCAACCCCCATGACCAAAAGGCTCGTGATTGGGGTCTATTCATCAAGGACAGTCTGCCCGGAGGCTTGGGCAACGACCTTGTCGGTGAAGTGACCCTTCTGGGTGAAGGGGTGAATGCGTATACCATTGGAGAACGCATCTTTGCACAAGGATGTTTTAAATCATCTGGTTGGTCGCAGAACGCACTCCAAGAATATGCAATTGTCGAAGTCGACCACAGCGCAAGCGTTCCCGAAATGTGCAGCGATGATGAAGCCGCAACGCTGCCCTGCAACTTGTTGGCGTCGCTCTTTGCCATCCACGATGGACTGGGCATCCCTGCCCCATGGACACCGGAGGCTGCTACGTTCGACTACAGAAATTCCTCCATCTTGATTATCGGCGGAGGAAGTAATACCGGCAGACTCGGTGTGCAACTCGCCGCTCTTGCGGGTATCGGACGCATTATTGTCGTGGGTGGCGACCCGAATGAAATGACAGAGTACGGCGCAACGGATATCATCGATCGTCACGGTTCGCCGGATCAAATTACCGCAAAGATTCGCGACAACGTAGGTGATGACTTGGTATATGTGTTTGATGCTGTCAACCCGCCCCCGACGCAGCACATCGGCATCAATGCTTTGTCGCGGTCAAAGAAAGGGAAAATGGCCAGGCTTCTGCCCAGTGGACTTCCAGACCTGTCGCAGATCAAGTTACACCAGGACGAATATGAGTTAAAAGATATATACGGGGTGTCACTCTTGAAGCCTGATCTGGCCAAGCCATTCTGGAAAAGATTACCAGGGTATCTGGTCGAGAACAGAATTCGTCCCACAGCGTATCAAGTTGTGGCAGGGCTAGACGCCGAAAAGCTAAATCAATTGTTGGACGATTATAGGGACAAGAAGAAGACTGTAAAGGCAAACTTCCACCCAGGAAGGTAGTCTGGCCACTATAGCGCACCATCGGTTGGCAGCAGTCGAAGGTACTAGACCCTTTAGCTAAAGCTGACTTCCAAAAAGCTTGCGATGTCGCGCTGAAGAGGGGGATGTACTTGGGAGAACCCTTCTATGCGGTTCAAACGCGGCGAATATAGTGCAAGATAACCCAATTTAACTCCAGCAGCATCACACATCTCCTGAATATGAGGGGCTGTGATGAAAAGACGCATTATCCATGATGAGAACGAACTTCGTGTTCAGGAAACCTTCCACAATGGTGCAGGAGCTAGTCGACTAAGTCCTCGAACATAGCACTATCCATAGTACCCTGCGCGACAAGGCTTGCTAAGGTCAGCTCGTCCTAATAAGCCAGTCATATCAAGTGACACAGTCTTGTCCCCCCAAACATTATCATCCATGTCACCATGATGTAAACTCGAGTTGCGATGTCACTTGTAGAATGCGTGTGGCATTCTTGAGAATATAAGAAAAGGTTGTCTCTGATGTAGCTCACTGATTGATCCTAGTTGCCGATCCCGACCTCACACTGTATACATCCTTGAACACTCAACGAGAAGCCACTATGTCTAAACAATACAAGGGCCAGGATCTATTGGATATTGCCAAACAAGCAGAGCGAGATCTTGACTCCAGCTATGTTAAGACGATGTCTTCAACAACTTGTGCCGGAATACTCTGTGAAAAATTCAAAGCGTCTTGAGACTTTCACATTTAAGTCTCATCTGACAGTAGAAAAACCACTTGACCCAAAAAGTTCCATCCACGTGGGTGAATGCCTCGTTTCACCGTTCATTTGCCTTGCGATGTAGCACTCCTGGAGTGAAAAGGACTCGCTCATTTCAACGAAAATATAATTTTATTCATCTCCGAGGCATCGAGGCAGCCTTCATGCTCGATATATCCCTCGTGCCCGAGGTGTTCGAATACAATGATCGAGCATCGCGAGCTTGTTCTCCACCAGAAGCCTAGAACCTCCCAGCGATTTCTTTGTCAATTGACAATCAGCTCAGATTTTCGGAAGCGACGTTTTTCTGTCCTTGAAAGCAAGTCATGGATACCGCTAACTCTCAGGGCCTCTGTTTGTAAAGCCGTGCCAAATGGTGGCGGCGGCCATAGAAAAACGCACTAATGCCGCATTTGGCATCCGAATCCTCTTCTTGGTTTAGCTCTCGAGTATCCACAACCACGGGGTGGCACGGGGTGGCACGGGGTCCCCGCCTTTGTCTTGGTTGATATTGGGGACCGTGGACTAGCACTGGGGAACACTGGTGTGGTGGCGTACCTCGCCCCAATGATGATAGTCCTCCTGACGGCTTTTGAGGAGAGGGCCCCTCGTACCAATAGCGCGTTTCTTGGTATGGTAAGTCTGAAAGAGGCGTGATAGGTGTTTTACTGGGATAGCAAGGACGAGTATAAGAGATGGATATTCCTGCTGCTGTTGTGGTCGGAAGCAAAGTATCATCAATCTTTCCTGGTTTAAGTGACAAAGCATAGACCATCGATATCTGAACTCTTGTCTATCACCATACTCCTCCAAAAATGGCGACTCCCGTGAATACCACAGCAGTCCCCAGCACGGCAGGCGAAGCCCATGAACTTGAGAAGAGCCAACCGATCAACGAGGTGGAAACCGTAGCATTGTCAACCACAGAAGACAGGAAGTTGCTCAGACGCATCGACTTGTGGTAAGTGCTAAACATTATCTTGGAGAGCGAGAGGCAACATTTGCCACAAACAAATGCTGATCAGGAACGCGCAGTCTTTGCCCCCTAATGTTTTTCACAATGACGCTTCAATACATGGACAAGCAGGCACTTCCCACAGCGTCTATCTTGGGGATCATCCAGGACCTTGTTAGTCTTGGTTTTCAGATCTTGTCGTAATGTTATCCGACGCTGACCATATCGTACAGAATCTGTCCGGCAGACAGTATTCGTGGGCGAGCTCGATCTTTTGGTTCGGCTACCTAGGTTTCACCTATGCCACTCCATATATAATGGTTCGGCTGCCTATCGGCAAAGTCCTTTCTTGCACTTTGTGAGTTCATCCTCGTGTTCCCTTTTTTCCGTTCAACGTCAAGAAACTCACAGGCCGCAGCGTTGGCTGGGCAGTCATCATCGGATGTCACGCGGCAGTCAAGAACTTTGGAGGCCTCATGGCTGTTCGTGTCCTATTAGGAATGGCTGAAGCTGCAGCAATTCCTGGATTTAGTTTATTGATTGGCATGTTCTATAAACGCCAGGAGCATGCACTGAGGCACGGGTATTGGTTTATCGGGAATTCGCTCGGAATTATCATTAATGGCTTGGTGGCCTTTGGGGTTGCTCATATTCAGTCCGGTATTGGTGCTTGGAAGGTATGTATTCGGACCTAAACTCGGGAGTATTTATTAATCAAAACCGTGTCTAACCCTTTTACTAGTGGCTATTCGTGACCCTAGCCGTCATCACCTTCGTATGGGCGGTGGCAATGTTCTGGCTCCTACCTGACACGCCGGTAACGGCGAAGTTCTTGTCCACAGAACAAAGGGTCCATGCGGTAGAGCGCCTGCGGAGCAACCAAACGGTAGTCAAGAACAGACAATTCCAATGGTATCAGTTCCGAGAGGCATTAGTCGATCCTCGGATCTGGCTGATTGTTCTCTTCCTGATAGCTGTGTCTATATGCAGTAGCGCTATTGCCGCGGTATGAATTCTCCTTTTCGAGCTCTGCTTCGAGAGTGTTTTGCTAACAAAAATTCTAGTTCACTCCTATTGTAATTGTGGGGCTCGGCTACGACGTCTTTCAGGCTAATCTCTTCAACCTCGCTCTTGGTGGCATCCACGGCGGCTTCGGCATCGCTGCGACCTATCTCTGTTCACGTTACAAGAATGTTCGATGCATTACGTGTGCCGCTCTATGTACAGTGAGGTTCGTGTATAGATGCTGCGCATGAATAGTAGCTCCAAACACTGACCAAGCATATAGTCTCGCCGGAGCTCTTCTGGTCCAATTCGGCCCCAACATCGGTAGCAGGTTGTTTGGAATCTTGATCTTCTGGGCCTATCCGTGCACGGTCGCGATTGCCTTCTCTCTGGTCGCTTCTAATGTGGCGGGCTTTACCAAGAAGAGTGTCGCCACATCGATGGCCACTCTCGGCTATTGCGGAGGCAACATGATCGGTCCATTTCTTTTCTTCCCTCGTGAGAAGCCCAAGTATCAGGTATGTGCTCACCGAGTGACAAATGAGGTCTCTTGCTGGAACTGACTTTCCCTGCACAGTCTGGTTTCACGGCGACAGCTTGCTGCTTCGGTATTGCCGTTGTGATCATGCTGTGCTTGTTGGCCTTGACCCGTTATGAGAACAGCCGCCGCGACAGGGTATTTGGCGTGGTTGATGAGTCTACCCTTGAGATGGTCGAGGAGGAGGTTTCCATCACTGATCGCACCGATGGCGAGAATTCAGTCTTTCGCTATATGATGTGATGGGATTGAGTTGTTCCTTGCTGAAGGCATAGCTAAGTCATGGATATTGTTCAGCAGAAGGTGCTTTAAGACAGCCCAAGAATCGTGCCTGAGGGATTAGATGTACAGAGCAAGTGGTTTACCGGGTCCAAATCGAAGATGATGTGGCAGCAGGATCTTGTAAGGTCCTACTTCTTACTCATCTATTCTTATTTACGGTACGGTCGTATGTTTTATAGTTCTGGATCCGTGAAAGGCCCAATGGTGATGGGAAGACTCCCCAGTGGACGGGGTACGCCAGTGCCAGGCCCTGCTGGTCTTGATATCTGCATAGGCGAGCAAGGGGCATCCAGTCTATGTGGTGGTGGTTAAGATTTCCAAGACAGTACGGGTTATGCCTCTAAATGGGGGTCCTTTCTAGTCCTTCGCATACAGCTTCATGCCCCATGAGCGGGATGTCCAACTTGAGGAGGTTGATGGCATCATTTCTGCCCATCTTGACTTTGTCAAGAGGATTGATAGGCAGGGAATCCCACCATTCAGCCGCTTCATCCACGTCCTCGTATTTTGTATCAATCGAGAACATAATACGGTCGGCAACTACCTCGGCCATTGCGTGGGCTAGGTTCGTCCATGGCCTTCAACCTGTCACCGTGGATGTCTTCCAGGGTCTTGTTGAGCTCGTCCCCGGCCCCAGGGCTCGCAAACATCTTTGCATCCCATTTATCCGAAGGGAGTTTGATGGCTTCTTCGAGGGCCACCTTGCCCTTATTCTGATCTTCGCCTTTGGACGACCCAATGGGCCTGGATTCGCCGGTCGAGTCTGCATCTTGATTGGAGGACAACGTTTTGCTGGTGGCTGCGCTGGTCTGCCGATCTGGGGTCAGTAGGATGTGGGATAGGCAAGAATTTAGATACCATTGACAGCAATACGCTCATCTAGCTCGTTCAGGAATATTGTTTGCCTTTCGGCAGAGTATCCCGTGACAGACATACTGTGGTCGGACAGACCGTCCCCGGGAAGTGATGCCGGGAAGCCATTAGTACATACCTAGGTATCGCTCCTGTTACGGCACAGCACACGTGCTGTAGTCTCGTGACTCGCGACAAGTATATCCTCCTCACTCCACGAAGTCGCTTCTACTCGAAAGGAAGTAGGCCATCGTCGGGACTTCTGGCGAGATTGATGATTCACCGTCTTTATGCGGGGGCTAGTGCGATTCTTCAGCGTCAGACAACGCACCGCTCCCTGTTCAATAGGACTTGGACGTTCTTTGTCCCGACATGCCCGGAAAACTACCATTTCTGACATTGAGGACGTTTGTGGTAAATGTCAGGTGTAATACCCGTGGCACTGGTGGGTCAGCATGGCCCACGCTGATTGGAATTCTGACATTGAGGCTCTAAATTCTGATATTCATTTACTCATCCAAGTACACACGGTACTCTATGGCATCCGAGTAGTCCATAATAAAGGGCCAATGGGTGCAGTATTTGTGAAGGAACGGATTCCTCAGCCAGACATAATGTCAAACCAACTTGACCGAACTTGATCTCCGCCCCCGGCCCCCCCTCCCCAAATACCCCGGGAAAGCAGTATATTAATATGCAGAACCTTTCTAGACCGGTGAGTCTTCCAGTTGCCTTGAAAACCATCACAATTATCCAGACTTTGTCCAATCCCGCTGCCCTCGTCTCTTGAACCATTTTGAACCCCCTCAGAGCCATGTCTGCAACCAAGCCCTCAGTGGTTATCATTCCTGGGTCTTTCAGTCCAGACTACTTCTACTTCGACATTGTGAAGAAGCTACAGGAATATGGATATGAGGCACAGGTGAAGAACTTGCCATCAGCCAGCCGACTTCCCCCGGAGCAGCCTGCGACCATGTATGAAGACGCAGATTTCTTTCGTGGTTTGGTTGAGCAACTCGCAGACCAGGGAAAAGATGTCGTTTTGGTGACACATTCATATGGTGGAGTGGTTGGATCGGAGGCCGCAAAAGGGGTGCTCAAAACGGATCGAGAAGCTGCAGGAAAACCAGGTGGACTGGTCAAGCTGGTTTATCTGACATCTGTGGTCCCGGAGCCGGGGGTGTCTCTCGGTGGTCAAATGGGCGCTACCCTACCGACTACCATCGAAATTGAGGTAGGATTGAGCCAGTCTCGTTCCTCAAAGCCCAGGTCAACTGACCCTCGTGCAGGAAACTGGTTTCATGCGTCAGACCAAGTTCGAAGTAGGCTCGAAAGAGTGCTTCTCGGACCTGCCTCTAGAAGAGGCGATTGAATGGGGAAAGAAAATGTCCAAACAGTCTGCAGTCAGTTTCAGCAACGAGTTGACATATCCTGGCTACAAGTATGTACCAGTTTCGTATATATTCTGCGAGCAAGATCAGATCCTGCGACCAGATTTTCAAACAAGCGTTATTGCTGGCATTGAGAAAATGTCAGGCAATAAGGTTGATGTGAGACGCTTGAACACCGGGCACTGCCCAAATGTCAGCAATCCTTTGGGGACTGCAAAGGTCATTGCGGAGGCCATAGTCGGAGCTTAGCATCGTAGAGGGCCTGCTCAGATGGCCTGATCTAAGATACATTATAGCCACCTGATTTAGAAAAAGAGATAACCCCATTTCTTGCCAAAGTCTTTGCCCATTTTCCAAGACGTGGGATCCCAAGCAGGCGCTCCCGGCTTGATCTCAAAGCTGTCGAGGCAGAAGAGGTCCGCGAAGAACTCTTCCTCGTCGATGATTCCCATCAAGGTGATCATGTTGTCCCTCATTTTGGGAAAGGGAAAGCGATCCATCCATCTAGGGTGAGGTATTGTTAGCTGAAGAGTCGTTGGCTGTAAAGAGTCCGGGACTTCAGGGCCAAATTTTGGTGACAGCTCGGTAACTGGAATGCTACAAGAGATTCCCATTATCGATCCATTGATGTAGAGAGCGCAATACGCTGAGCCACTGAGTCCGCCGTGCACTGTTTTTCCGTTAGACGAGGGAATGATGACATCGAAGCCACGGATGGAACGAGGCGGTGACTGTTCCAGGCTTTGGGGACTGTTTTCAGGCGACGCGCTGACGGCGGAGAGAAGGTCGCAGCTCGAGGATGCTTGGGGGCTATTATCATTGTTGGACGATGCCTTTTTGAACTCCGCTAAACGTTTTCCTGCTCCACGGGTCAATATTTAGACCAGGTCAACGAATACGATTAGAAGGAAGACCAACGTCTAGCTCTTTGTGCGAGGCGGTCCTGCACCTGTTTCCTTCTTTTTGGATCCTCGATCCCAAACCAAACATCATCTTCGGGCTTAGTTAACCGACCCATCGTGAACAGGAAGCCAAATTAGCACCCACGGACGTTGAGTGGACAAACAAAGAGTCGATTTTCTGACAAAATAATGGTGACTAGCATGAGGTTTCTCCAGAGGTCTGGGCTCACTAAAGAAAGCGATCTGGGGACGGACTCAGACAAGGTAGATTAGTAATAATATGGTTGGCAACTACCCTAAGTTAGTATAGGCTGAGTTGACACGCGGGGTTCCAATAATACGGAGTAGATCTGTGGTTGCAATCGTGACGAATCATGGGCGAAGCACAAAACTGACATGTCTGTTCCAGTGGCCAGACCATCCTGAGGCCTAGCGCCTATATCTTCGCTTGGTCCTACCCTGCTACCGTAGGATTTGTTCTCAAAGCAAAGAGAGTCATGGGCACTATTGTTAGGTTTGAAAGATTACGTACTTCGCGGGGTTCAAGGTGACAGGCCACCAGGCCACCTTGGCTCCTCTAAACATACAGTGTATGTGACCCTTTGCCACAGGAAGTGGCGGTTATAGTGACCAATAGAGCACAGTCTCGCTAGCCGATCATTTACCCAGATTGCGGTCATGGGAGCGACTATTCTGACATGGGCACGAAATTCTGACTACTTGTACAAAGCAAATGTATCACATTACTGTAGTTCGTCTGTGGGCTTCATAAGCCATTCATCTTCGACGATTTCTGAGGATGTTTCTCTCACTTCCGGATCCCAAGTCAACATCTTTCGTATGAACTTTAGAAACAGATCCTTTTCTTCTCCAGGAGGAATAGTGGTGATAAAGTCCTCAAAGGACGTTTCAGGAATGGGAGGTTCGGATATCCAATTGCCTGTCGTTATCGAATGTTATTTTCTCGCACACAAAGTAGATAAAATCATTAGTACGAAGGATTAATTAAAACTTGCCTTTTTCGTCAAAATATGTCTGAAAGAGTGGGCTTCGTTTGATCATCTCCAGTGGTGGAGGACCAAGATAGCCGATCTACTGGGACAATGCCAACGGGAGAACGTATTGATTATGAACATGATCCATAGGATCGAAGAGATTTCTGCCTTCTAGAAGCTCAAGTGTCTAATGATAGTCATTAGTACGAGATCACAACCGTAAAAACTTTGCTTCTCTGCTTACCATTACACCCACCGACCAAATATCGACCAGGAAATACCAAGGAAGCTTCAAGAGCACCTCAGGAGCTCGATATATATCGGGCATGCACCAATCAGTATTCATCGGCTCTGCTAGTCTCATTTTGCCAAAATCAGTGACGATAGGGTGGCCTGAAACTTCAGTAATGGCAGGCCAAGATCTGTGAAGCGCAACTCCATTGTACATGATTGGTGTGCTAGGATCTTGCGATTCTTGTTCCTCGATGTACTTGAAGATGCCTCCGTCCCCTGCAGCTGTTCAAACATTTTGGGGGGAAATGTCTATGGCAGAGTTAGAAGATCGCCTTTCAACAAACCACCTACTGAGCATACCAGTATGTACGACGCCACAGCCTGCGTGTAGCCAATTTAAAGAAAAAAGTACACGATGTACCAAAGATCTGACGAGTAATTTTGGCAGAATTGCATCGTCCAATGTTTCCTGCAATGTGCGAAGGCTACACCCTTGTGCTTCAGCCGCAATGCAATAATGACGACCGTGTGGACCATCAATCTCGAAGGTGTCGAGGGCAAGACGTGTGAAGTCTAAGCCCGGATGATCAGCCTCCTTAGCAATTCGACTCAAGCGCTTCAACATGGCCACTTCGTTGGTAACTGGCGATGTCTCCTTTCCATCTTGAACGCAGACCTTTAGCGAGATATATCGCTTCGATCTACACAGCAGTTAGTTACAATTTCCACAGACGTTCGGGTGACTAACATCTCGTCTCGAGCAAGCCAAACAGTGGAATACGCTCCATAGCCTAGCTTCGCAATGATCCGATATTGTTCTCTGAATATATCGCCAAATTTGACGGGATAGTAGCGCTTCTGATCAAACCGCGATAGTGTTGCTTCCTCAATAGGCCAATAGCTACTAGGATATGTCGGGCTGTGGATTCGCTGACCAAATGTTATAGGGAGACCACCCCAGCTCGATCGGGGAAAAGTTAAGCGCTGTAAAAACGTATTCGCACCATGCATTGTGGAATATGTGATATATCTTACGCTCAACCCCCTAACAGATGCGCTGCCTATTGTCAATAACAATATCCTCTTCACAACAGCTGCTTGCATTGTTGTCCCGGTTCGCCTTTCTCTGTCCTGTCAATGATACAGCGTTACCTATTAGAGCGTACTCGCCAGAAAAATAGTCTGGAAGATTTGTCAACACTCCTCGACAAGTAGTCATGTCACGTTTTTGGGCAGCCCGTAATATCACCATCATAAGCATGTTATTTATATAAGCGCTCATGTCAGGAACAGCATGGAGAGTTCGCAGGGTAGTTAGCACAGTGTATAATTGACCATTCGATCCGTGGTCTTAACCTTGACTCCGGAGACTTGAAGTACATAGGAGGATAGTGATGAGCGGTGATGTCGCAAATCTCCCTACTAGAATCCGCTTTGCAGGCTGTGTTAGCTGACCTAGATAGGTCTCTGTCATTCTGGTGCATGAGAGCTCGTGAGCTGAGGAAACTCATGACGGTGATTAGCGTCAGTGAGAAATGGTCCAGCTTTTGCGTAGGTTAGTAATAAGGGACAATTACCCAAGAATAGTGGGCTCGGCCTTCCGGTGGAGGTTTTTTAGGTGGGCTCAACACGGATGCCCAAGCCCACGCGACCATACAAGGACAAAGTTTTGCGTCGATTGACTAGGTACTATGGAGTTCCAGGACGGGAAATACGGAAAAATCAATAGCACAAGCCCTGATACCAACAATCCAATAAGTTTTTAGACAATAATCCGCCACTGTGGCAGGCTATTACTGTGTGTGTTTCAGAGACAGCGGTGAGATCGAGGCACTTCAGTTAAATTTGTGACTATTACTACTCAGTACGGAGTACTAGGTACTTACTGTAGTTTTGTCATGTTGGGACAGTCACCGACGACCCTAACAAAAGGGTTTGTGGACTGTGAATCCACTCACTAGTTCATAGTTAATTCTACATGCTTGGGCCGCCCATCGATCGACACACACGATACATAAGCACGCCATAAGCAGATGCCACAGCCTCCCAGCATAGTGTGTCGAGGGTGTTAGTTTTTAAGTGTCATAGTGGCGGGGTCATTTGGGAGATGGCGGAGCGGCTCACGCTTTTTAGTCAGAGCATTAATTCATCCCAAGCTTTGCAAGATGCCCTTAGAGGCCACTAAATCCATGCAATCGATCACAAGGTCGATTTCCGAATGCTATGGCACTACGCCTCCTTTTCGCCACCGTGTGGTGTGGATAGATACAGTCCACGATCGTGCAGTACAACAGAAGTGAAACGTTTGGATTGTGTTGGATTTCCTCGTCCACGAAATATTGGGGTCAGATCTCCGGGGTCAAGGAGCAGATCAGCACAGCTGCCCGTGTTGGATTTATTTTGGCTTTCAATCTCTTCCTTTGCACGGAGAGTTACGGAGATCCTGGGGTTTGGGTGCGCGGTTCCGAACCATCTCCGCCACCACTCCAGGCATGCCAAAGGCTCCCCTGGTTGGGTTCTTGGGGATTACGGGCTTGTCATTCGTCAGCTGAGACTCGCCAACGTGGTGGCTTGGGGCCCCCTTGTACCCCCCGTCTCCATCAGATGTTGTCCTTACGCACGCTCACGCAATCTACGCGCGGAGCGAAACACGGGCTCAAAGAAGCTAAGTCTGCTTCCGGTCAAGTGACGAAACCACCTTTTTTACACATCTGGACCATGGGCCGGAGGTTCGCACGACCCAGGCCTTGGGCCATGGCTAGATTTTGCACAAAGTCGCTGTTTTGGGTGGCTTTTTCCGACTCGGGCCGAACAGCGAAACACAGCGACGGTAAACAGACCAGGCGTTTCTTGATGGCTCTTTCATCGGCCGTAAAACGTGATGCCAAACTCATGACCCCAGGTGCCCAGATTCCACGCTTATGGAGGGATCCTCATGCACGGTCAGGAGTGGGAATGGATACGGTAAGCTTCTGGAGATGCCAGATTATGCTTGCATGGAAATTTACTTTGTTCTTTGACTGCTACTATAAACCCTTCCCACCCCCCCTCTACCCCGTCCCTCCACCATTTTGTAGCCAGCCTTGTATCGTTCCCATATTAGGTACTCGACCAGTCCTACTGGCTCTTGAAGCATTTTTGCCTACTCTCTCACGGGTCACCTTGGGTTACCACGAGGCAGTTCGGTGACCTGGTCTTCGCCATAATGTCTTTGCTTGAACGCCTTTTCCCTCTCCAGGAGCTCGAGGCTCTTGGGAACAAATATCATGACCCCTCGAACAAGAAACGAAAGCTTGAGGGTGAAGCCAGCCAAAGCAAGCCTCGAAAACAAAACAAGCAAGATTCACATGACCACCGGCGACATACCATGTCCGATGTTTCGAAATTGAGTCGACCCATCACAATGTCTACGTCACTTTCAAGAAGCACCGAGCCATCTATCAAGCGGTCCAATTCATCTTCCCAATCAACCTCGCTCACCACAGCCAGCAGATCATGCCTTCCAAATTTCATCGAACCATCACTTCTCAAGAACTATCTTCAGCATTTACACCCCAAGGACCGCCATCGGTATTCAATGACCAACACGCCAGAGCCGGAGGTTTCGCGAGCTTCGAGCCAACGTGGGCGAACCCCAATCGAGAACGAGGAGAACACGCATTCACCTGCATCCATGGTGACCGACACATCCTCACCTTCGTCATCGGAAGGTTGCGCTACGCCATCGGCGGCCATGTTCGAGCAATTCCGATCCGGACCATTTGGACATCTCTTCAACGGCATGCGACTCACCGAGCACGAACGAGATTTCATGGAAGATTTATTAGGACCAACAGACCTCGCAACCGAAGAAGCAAAACCGGCCCAGGCCCCGATTAAGGCACTCGTTGCCTCGCAAACTCTCGTGCACGAGTCGAAAGTTGGGAGTCGAGAGATTGGCGTTACTCGCGAAAATTCCAAGCCAGTTGTGCCTGTGAAATTAGAAGACAAGCAAGAAGAGGAGGAAGAAGAGGTGGTCACTTATCGCGGATTCTCCATCGGTCGACACTATGACGATGATGATGACGATGAAGACGACGTCCACTCGTCAGGAATGAGCCCGATCAACGACACGGAGATGGAGCCCCTGCAGCTGCCGCAGGGACACAATAGCAAAAGCCTGATCAGCGTGCAGGACTTTTTCGATCTGGAAGAAGCATCGGTGCTGTGACTGATGCATTATCAGACGAGGTTTTCAATTACTACGACATGCTCGATTCCGAGGCAATCAGAGCCTTGACGCGCGAAAGCATCGATTTACGACACGGATGGAGTACTATTGCTCGACATTTTACATGTCTATAGTTGGTTTGATAGGATCAACCACCAACAAATGTATACCTCAGCAGGTGTACCGGGCGCACTATACCACGGATTTGAAAGATTTTGGTCAGGAGCGCCAAAGTGATGAAATTTACACTTCTAGCAACCTATCTACATTACATACAATAATGGGATGAAAGTGGTTTGCTTCGTATCAGCTTCGTAAGTGACGATGATGAATCCACGAGCACGTTATTGCATAATTCCCAGAACCCCTGGAATGCCCATCATGTGCAGTTGGTCAGACACCCTGACACCCCGTGCAATCAAGAATGCCACACGGGAATTCCAAGAAGAACATAGCCGTTAGCCGTGGCTGGCGGGGCGGGAAAAAGTGTTGTGTGGGAAAGTATCATACGGGAGTAGAGAAGAACGGCATTTCCGAAAGGGGTGTGACACCGACCAACACTTCCATGGAATGAGCCAAAAATTTGAAACAGAAAACATGTGAAAATCCACGGCTTTGGGAGAAATGATTATCATTACCGGGGTCTAGACAATCTACTCCGTACTACTACTGTACAACGTATACCCACCGATTAGGTACTCAGTTGCCTAAGTACCTAAATAAGTTGGTTATGCATGCAGTATATGCGGGAAGTTCCTACCAGTAAAGTGCCTGTGAGTTTACCGAGAGCCTGTTCGATAGCCTTGCCGCGGTCCTGGGTAGGTATCTGGGTAAATCGATCATCGTCTCTTTACCAACGACACTACAGACTACACTACATACGATCAACAAGGCTTAAGAATGCCGAACTTGTTGGTTGGATAGTTCGGCATTCGGGGTTCCGTGGGCTTTTGGAGGGGACGGGGGGACGGGGGGAGGGTGCACGGGGCTGCCTTGCACTACTTACTCCATGGAGATCGGTACCGGCGGGACGCCGAGAGCTGATCCAAAGGCTCCCCAAAATGAAATTGAAGTCAAAGCCCAAGTTGTCCGGCTCCGGTGGAGGGTCCGAGAGGGAGGGCGTACGTGTAGAAGGCGTGTTCCGGGGAAGTGGCCAAGTGTTGCGGTTACTTAGTCGTTCTGTTGTTCGAAGGTCTCTCGGCCCCTTCTCTATTCGGCGCCTGCTTACTTAAGTTTACATGTGTCGGTTCCAAGACTATTATACCGTGCGATATGAATGCTGAACTTGATGATGATGGTGATGATGATGACGACAATAAACCCAGTGTGATCCCTCGACCATTGGTACACTGAAGAGAAAGTGAAGCATCCTTGCCAGTGACTCATGCAAGGTCGGAGTAATGGATGGTATCATCGGAGAAGTCATGCGCAAACACGCCCACAAGACCGGACCTTAGCACGTCGACTGATAGGAAATTCTACCGGCACGACGGTGCTTTGGACATCTAGGATCCGAAAGGAAAAGGAAGGTTTGGGACTGTCTACACACAATGAGACCATGTGATTGTGGATGTTTCGGAAGACAAGACGTGCTCCGGGACCAGTCAACTGCAAAGCAAAGCCAGCGCAAATCGAGGACAAAGAATCAAAGATTGTTGAGACTGGGCTAACAAATCAATTTGAGCATCTAGTGTGCCGGTCTCTGGCTAAAAATTTAGTCCATGGAGGACTCCATCGTAGTCAAAAGATTGGTGATGCATGTCAGATATTGTCCTGTCATGGGATTGGACTGTTTAGAACGACAGACATTCTTTTCATCTGTTTCTTCACATGTCAATAGATATTCGTATATGACTCCTGAATCCTCACTGTTCAGTCGGTGGGTTAAGTTATCGACATCAGGGTTCATTATCATCAGACTCAGGCTCAGGCTCATATATATCCAGCAGAGTCTGACTTCGTCCCATTGTTGGGTGGCTTCTCTACGTTTTGCTCTGCTTCTCAGCAACAGGTCGCATGGCGATTCCCCGATTCACCGCATGATCAGATTGTGCGTGCTCATACCATTAATTAGCTTTTTTAGCGTCTCAAGTCCAAGGGAGGCACGGGAGGGTCACTTCAACATTCCTTCTTCAGACCTGAAAGTGTAAGTAGTCGTACTTCTTACCATTGGCATCCGGCAAACTAGTCCGAGGAGTATCCACTTTCACAATCGAGACAAATTTATCAGCTTGATGGTTTCTCGTGAATTGTGAATTTTATGTGTGTGTTTTGTTCGTCATTGAGCTTCGAAATTGTGTGGCGCCTATTGTAGGCGGCAGGGAACCAGAAGTCCTAGTACTACTTCTTGTGGGCAATATTGATCATTTGGTCGCTTGATCACTTGATCAGCCTGAGATGACATGACGTTTCGTCTCATCTCGTGTCCGTGTTTCCTCCGTGCTTGTGTGTGGGGACCAATATCTGTGGCATTGGCATTGGCATTCCATAGTAGCCAGGTGAATAGTCCGTCTTGCACTGATGAGTACTACAGAAACTACTACGGGACATACCTTATGGATTTGTGGTGTCTCGGCTCGGCGACTAGCCTCGGCTCGTGGATCATGGACCCTTTGACCTTGTATCACCGACACACATATAGCAGTCAAGGAGAGCACATCCATCATGGTTATGCAAACATCAACTAGGCACTAACATATAGCCGCTCCAGCTCCCTATCTAGATAACTAAGTAGCTAGGCGGCCAGGGCCACGGGTACTAATCAATTTGAACGAATACCTCAAGACCAGCCGTGGCTCGGCCGTCGGGCCATGATGAGTTATCTATCAGAACCACTCTACTGGTAGTCTTCACCTGCCGCTAAGCATATAATATTGCCGTTTTCACATCACCGTCAGTAACATAATTATTGCAAGTAGCCGCAGATTAGGTAGATTCGGGTGTTGAACCATCAAGAGCCGATTTTCTGACTTTGAAGTTCTAATCCCTAGGTAGATATCTATTGTAGTAGGTATCTAGATATCTCGGTGAGTCGGTGTTTCGGTGAATCGGAGAATATAGCTCGGTATCTAAATCAAGTCTCGGTACTTTGTGAATGCGCAGTTGAGCAGATGCTTACCTAGGTACAACAGTAAGTAGTATATTCGTTGGCAGAATTCCTCGTCAGTACTTTCTCAGCCAATGATAGATTTTGATTCTGGTTCTGATGGTGACTCCGAGGGCTATTCTCATTGCCGCGTTGCCGCGGCTGAATTCTCCTATTCCAAGTCCTCTGGAAGTTTTACATCCCGAGCCGGAAGCGGAAGTCCCGCCAGACTCACCTCACACATACTACGTACGAGCAGGACATTTTCCCGCGGCTGTCTTGTTGTCAACCGAAGTGATTCATAGCATCACCTCCCAAATTCGTATTGATGATCTTGATCATGTCGATTTCTAGACTCCACCAGCCAGTCTGCCCTTGCCGATTCGATGACCACCATGGGCGCACAAGGCATGCATCTTCCACCGGATTTATTGTGCATAGCAAGCGCATCTTCATGATTAGACCAACTTGGTAGGAAGTCCTGTCTATGCGTATCTGTACATAATACAGTATTCGACAAACGCCTATCCAACAGTAATACCCCAACTTGGCGATTCTATAGTCCTGTTTGACCTCCGCCCAGTCAATATTAGCAATCTTTCCCTTGCACCCAACCAACCAAGACATGAAGCTTAATTCATGAACTCAACAAGTCATGAACACTCATACCCTTTCCTCGATCTTTCCCCTGTCCAGCACCGCCTTGTCCATTGCCTGAGCCGACACCACCCCCAATACCCACGCTGTGGCGCCAATCAGTCGTCAACATCATCAATGCAGCAGATGCAGTGGCTTCGGCTGTGCCGTTGGTCTCGGATATTTCGCCAATGCTGATGCTATTGCTGTAGTCTCTTCCGCTTTCCTCGGAAACACTGGCTCGCCCCGCCGTAGATGTTTGCGCCTGGGGTAGTTGCAAAGCCGTCATTTGAGACAATGGGGGAAGAGGTAAGTGAATGGCCGTCTTGGGGCTGGGCAGAGGTTGCATCTGTGGACTAGGCCTCTGGCTGCTGCTGTTGATCGACATCCATGGTGTTGATGATTGCATCATTCGACTTCCGTCATTGGTGGGCAACCTTGTCAATTCCGGCGAGAAGTGAATTGAGTTGAACGCAGGACTCAGGAGTGTCGGCGTCGGCGTTGCGCTGGGATTACTTGGGTTTGCGCTGCCGGTGGGCACGTGGTTGAGCGATCCAGAATATGAGCCGAAACCAGCGGCAGGACTGGGACCAGGGCGCAGCTTGATTTGCGGTTGCTCTTCTGATTGCCCTTGACCTGGCATTGCGTGTAAGTATGGCGATGGATATGCTGAACTTCCTGCAGATGCAATGGATCCTGTGCGTGCGTCACGAAACTGCCATTCGCTCGGCGGGATAGACGATGTGTTGTGCTGACGTCCAGGCTGAGTATGCGACGAATATGGTGCTGCTGTCTCTGGCTGCTCGTCGTCCATTTCTTCTTCATCTTCATCGTCATACTCTTCGTCTCTGATGACAATGTTCAAGGCTTTGGGCATGTCGCGCGCTTCGTCATCGTTCTTTTGAGCCTTGCCCTTGCCAACTTTCAATTGTGCAACACACCCTTCTAGATATCTCAGGTATTCGATACCTGCTTGGAGGATGGCCAGTTTGTGCATTTCCACCCCTTCACATGCAGGTATCATGTCCTTGAGCACACCGAATTCTTCATTCATCTTGCTCCGACGCCGGCGTTCGATGATGCTATGTGCTGTTTTGCGGGCAATCTTGCGGCCGGCAGCACTAGAAGCTGTCGCCTGTTTCCGCTTCGAGGTGGTTGAGGTATTGGCTGCGGTGCTAGCATTGGCTTTGGATGTTCCGACGGTGCCGACACTGCCTGGAGGGTGATAGCTTGCGTCACTATCCGGAGAAGGCTGATGTTGCGTCGAAGTCGACTTTGGTTTCATTTGTATGATCTTGCGAGCACGACTAGGAGGAGGGGGGAGGCCATGAGAAGGGTTTGAGTTGCGGGACAACTGTGACGCCTCCGCACCGCCATTGGATTTAATCATGCCTGAGGCGGTTCTCTTGTTTCGGGGCTCAGATGCAAAAGACTTGTCCTTTGGTGACACCGGAGGAGTTCGTTGTTTGGGGATCGTGGACGGGGGAGCGGAGCCTTTCGAGGACGTGTGGGTCAATGATTTGGGCGAACGCAATGCCGGTGGAGGTAGGTCGAAAGCGGTCTCGAGATCCGGCTGAATATTCTTTTCTATTGCCTTCAAATCTGTTGAATTGCCGGGCGTAGGGGGTGGTCGTGGACGAGGCATTCTGGGCGTTCACAAGGACGACGGCTGAGGCCCGACGTTTGTACCTGCGCAAAGCAAATGCAACAATAGGAGGAAGAGACTCGACGATGGAATAGTGAGACAAGAAGCTGCTGGATGGTTGTGTCTGGAGAGGCCAATCAATGAAACTGGCGGTAAAGAAGGAAGAAGAGGTTGGAACAGAGGTGATTGAGGATTTCGAAGGAGGAGGAAGAGGACTCAATCCCAAGATGCGACCATCAGAGAAGTGATGTGTCCGTAAAGTCGGCAGACGACAGACATCGACTCGGTGCTCGAGGGAGATGAACATGAGCACGTGTGCAAGGATGTGGAAGGAGGAGCACACGACACCGGAGCAGATGGAATGGGATGCAAAACACCTGGAGAAGCGGGATATCAACCAACCATGCCACGCTCTGCTTTGAAGCGATATGATAGGATGCTGAGGGATCAACATAAGGAGATACCCTTTAGCTAGAGGTCTGCACCATTGCCTCGAAGGGGGGGCAGCCACTCGCTCGGTTGGTGACCAACCGACCATTGCCTCCTGGAGCAATACCTGCATCACAAAAGGCAAAAGAGTGGCTGGGCAGAGTTGCGCAACGTGCAGCAACGGCGAAAGATGAGAGGTGTAGGATGTAGGTCGATCATGATGCAAGTGTCACTAAGTGTATAACAGGAGTGTTGATGCCGCATCCAGAGCACGTGTGGTCATCTTCTCCTTGTGATTGGTTGACTTGGGGAATCTGGAGAGTCAAACCCGTCTTGCTGCACGACTGGGTTTGAAACCAATTGGCGAGATCTTTTTCTGCCGTCTGGGTCATGCCAGGTCAAGTGGATATGAAGTTGGTTGCATTTGTACGTCGTGAAGATCAGATGAACCTTTGAGGTTGTTGAGAAGATGAATATCGCGTGACTAGAGAGATCATGAATAACATGTGACCTATTCGCACGTGACCAATCAGCACTCTTTTCACGTGATCATCTGTATCGAAGCACGTGGCTGTCTGTCACACGTGATCGTGCTAAGAATAGAATTCAATATACAGAAATATGACCAAAAACCAAAGGCACATGAATGGGTCTAGGCAAATGATGGATCATATTAATGAATTATTTTATGTCATCACGTCAACTCATGTCTGTCAGAGCTTGCTTCTCTTCTGAACAAGTTTTGGTTGGTATCGTGGACACTGCCTGCGTCTTTGGCATCCCCAATGGTTTACTTCTTGTCTCCGTTGGTGGCACCGCTTGCTTTATCGGGTCTTTTAAAATGAACCTTTAATGGCTGCCAACTGTGTGCATTGTATTGCTGTAGATAAAGTCAGTTCTATGTTCAAGGACATGCTGGAGGAAACACGTCAGTGACTCACCTCTTGAACTTTTTGAGACGTCTTCAGACCCCATTCTGTAACGCCAAGCATCAAGCAAGTCTCAAACATAAAGGCCATGCTCCCCTCGCCTACCTTGCTAGGGGGCAAGTCCATGGTCGAAGCCTTCTCAAAGGTTTGCATGTCAGGGCCATGTCCACTCATCGTATTATGTAAGCTAGCGCCGGCAGGTTGGAATCCGCCCTTGCCGGCTCCCTTGGCGTCATAATTACCATGGATCAATCCCATGAATTCGCTCATGGTGTTTCGATGATACCACGGAGGTCGGAAGGTGTTTTCTTGGACCAACCATCGTGGTGGGAAGATGACAAAATCTGCCACGGCCGTACCGGGGCCATGAGGAAGCGAGGGTGCTGACAATACAGTGAAGATGGATGGGTCGGGATGATCGTACGAGATACTTCCGACCGGATTGAAACGGCCGAGATCGTATTTGTAAGGATAGAAGGTCCCATGCCAACCAACAATATCGAATGGAGTGTGTGATTGTTTAGCCGAGAACATCTTGCCATCGAACTTGGCATACAGGGTCCATTCTGTATCTTCGTAGTCCTCGATGAAGTCCGCCACAGGGCTTTGGAAGTCGCGAGCGTTGGCTAGCCCGTTGGATCCGATGGGTCCCAGTTCGGGCAATTTGAAGTGTCCTTGGAAGAGTTCGAGGATGTACCCTCGCACCGGCTCGTTGTCGTGCAGTGCGACATGATAGCGAATTCCACGAGGAATAACGCATATCTCGTTCGGTCGCACAAGTATTTTGCCGAATTCGGTTCGGATATCGAGGACTCCGTGTTGTGGAACAATCAGGAAGTCACCGTCGGCGCTGTAAAAGGCGCTCTTCTCTGGCATCGATGCACCGGCGGCGTAGATGTAGATGGCGATGCCAGATTTCATGGTTGGGTCGCCAGCACCAGCAAGGAGGTGCAGAGAGTGTATCCAGGAGACCTCCTTGTCAAAATCAAACGGATCCCAACGCAACTGGTTTGGGATTGCATTGAAATGCTTGCCATATTGCGGTGAAGGTGAGTTCAAGGATTGGGCCGAGGAATCAGGGACAGGCTCAAAGTTCTGATGACTCGCAGAGGGTAGGATGCGATAGAGCCATGACTGAAGGTTGTCGTCCCTTGGGGCTGTAAAGGCGGTCCCAGACAACTTTTCATTGTAGAGACCGTAGGGGCATTTTTGAGGCGAATTGGCCGCCAGTGGTAGAGCACCTTCTATCGCCTCACTCCTGTAGATACATGGTCAGTTACAGACTCGATACTGGTTTTCTGGACGTTGAAACCTACTCTTTGTACCCCCCGAACCCATTCAGATATTCGTACGGATCGGTTACAGCGAATTGGGTTACAGGCATCGTCGATGGCTTGTTCGTCTGTGAAGGTATTGATGTTGCGTACTAAGACAACCAGTCAGTCAGGAACACAACAGCAAGGCAGGGTCAAGATGTCAAATGGTATCTTGGCAGAGCACACAGGCTGTGAGGCGGGGTGACTTACTCGTGAGAGGCGTCTTGTACTTGATATTGATGTCTTTGTTCTCTCTGTGCCTTTCAATGGCTTCTTGCAAACGTTTGAGGCCCTGCATGAAGGGCAGAATTGTTATGGGATCACCTGTTGCAAAAGATGGACTGGTCAGAGAGGGGGAGTGCGGAATCAGTGTGAAGAGCGCGAGGGACGATTCCGTGGGGAGCATATGTAGGAAACGAGCGGTTTCGCTACAAGGGCCTTGAATCGGCATCAAAGGGCCGGGGGGTGGAGAGGGTGGTGGAGGAGGCACAGGGGGGGTGCCTTGGGTTTCGGTCTTGGGCGTTTTGCAGGGAGAGGATACGAGAAAAGCGATAGTACCAAGGAACCAGGGCCAAAAGAGGCCAGCGTCTCAACGTCCCAGCGTCCGTCCCAGGCGGCTGTTGGTTGTGGCCGAGTCCGTCCTGTCCGTCTCAGGTTCAGGTGCAGGTGCTCAGGCTTTCTCTTACGGGCTGCAAGCTGCAAGTTGCCCACAAAAGCAAAGCTCTAAGCTCGTCCCTCGCCCCTCGCCCCTCGGTGATGAAATTTGAGCGAGTGGAACCACACCATCCGGCAAACGACGTCCGACCTGGGATGGACAAGTGCGAAATTCCAGAAGCAAAAGTGCGCCTAACTCTGATAGTGTCCACCATGCGAAAATAACGAGGACATCTGAGTGGTCGATGGCCGTGCCCACGGCATGGTTCGCGGGATGAGGCGTAACTTCGTCCAAGACTGCCACACAGCGCTTCATCAAGGTTTGGGAGAGCGGTAAGTCTGGGTCAAGGGACGCCCGGACTCCAAGCCTTCAGGTGGCTGATTCGCCCAGTGACGATGCACTATGCCTCGGGCGATCGGCAGGGCGAATTATTAGACGGGATAGGCTTGGCCCTTGCCCAGACTATCACCTTTCAGTGGCCCGAGGGCCCCTCATAATTCCCAGCGCCCCCCCAAAACCACTCAGACTGCCGACTGTGCCGCTAAACAGCCCACCATCCCATCCCATCCCACCCAAGGCGAAACCCAAGAATGCCCTCGCATCGTCACCGTCAATTGTCCATGGTGCCATGCATGAATGCTGTGCCGAGTCTTCAGCTTCTTTTGCAGCAACCCACCATTGTACCCCGCGACCAGAATTCTTGTCTCAGGCCTTAACTGGAGTTGTTGCTAGGATGCGATGTGGAGGGACAAGGTACTCTCTGAGTCATGGTCAGGGCACCAAGCTGATGAAACCCTTGAGGTCAGACTATAATCGATTGAGGGATGTCAACCAGCTGCGACCGGTGAGATAGCGTTTGTATGTCAAATCGAATCCAATTGTATTATTTATTGTGCACTGATGCTGATGGAGGATTGGTGGGCTGTGGATAAGACGGGTGTCCAATTTTTGGCGCTCGTCCAGCAAGCGAAAGGCTCCAATGAAGACGATCCAAGTAAGCCTGGAGATCACTGCCACCGGTGCGGTGCGGTGCAAGTCCAATTTCCAAGTTTTCTTGCAACTTCTGGATGGATGGTATGGCACGGCTGGTGGCTGCATGAGAACCAACAACTGCAGCCAAGCATGTGTCCGACCTGTAGGGGATGACGCCAGTTGATCGTCATGGAATCATGGTCATGGTTGCTTCTGGAAGCCTGCGTACGCAGGGCCACGAGGATGAAAGCGTTGACTCGATGATGATCCCGTCCGCTCTCAACCCTGTAGTCGGTTACTTGGTCTCATTCGCTCAATCCTGATTGCTCGACCGTGACTGCGATCGTCCTCCGTCAGAAACCACGGTGGCGATCGCCAGTCTGCATGGGCAGAAGCTTTTTGCGTATCCGGCAGATGGTGTGAGTCTTGGGACAAGAATTATCGTCACCAAAGTAAGAAAGCCGTTCTGATCTCTTGACCAGTCGTTGTGACTGCCCAGATACGACTTCGATAGTGAGGGACGTTTCAACGGTTTCTCGGCGCCAACTCAAGAGGGTGACGATATCCGAGCATCAATGATGATGTTGACCTCGGGCCCGGATAACCACAACCGTACCAATGCCAATGCTAATGCCCTAGCCTGGCTTGAGAATCACCAGCTTTGCCAGAACCTCGTGACCTTTGGATGAGTGAGTAAGAGTGAGTGACTCAGGACAGTGGTGTGAGTAGTAGTCAGTCACCCAATCGCACTGATGCTGCCCAGCTCGTCCATAGCTCGGGAAGCAGAAGGCCGAGACACAGCTGAGGGAGCTTGGTCTTATCGCTGTCGTCTTCGCTTATCCAAAGTACTTTTGCTGGCCATTCAAATGCCTCGCGTAGTCGATAAAGCATCAAGACACGAAATGCACGACAGATCACGCAACAATATAAACATGCATCCACATACCTTGTAGAGATCGAAACTTGTTCCTCCTCCGCTCTTCAAGAAAATCCGAGGTCACCTGGATCATCTCCGATCTGGAGTACCATGGAACGGGCATGGTCGGGTATAGTCGAGTCGGCATGATGAGCGAAATATCCCTGAACGGAGTAGGCCGAAGAGAGTCAAGTATCTGTGTCGATGTTCGCGAAGCGAGATATGCTAAAGGATAATTCTTCGATGGTGGATATTGGATTTTGCATTCGTTGCTTCGACCTGGAAGCGAATGTGCAGTCGTGAACTATATACCCAAAGCCTTAGGTGAGGGATAAGAAGGCTGGCTCACCATATTGCTACCAGAGCATGTGCCACGGCCTTCAAAGCTATACAAGGTTTCGAATCTGGAGAGAGTCACAAGCTGATTTGTGTTCCGATCAACATCGGCCCCGACGACATGGTCCACTTGAGACACTCTCTTTTCTGTTGGACTTGCCTCGAAGAAAAGATTCCTCGTCAACAATTTCTCCTAGCAGGCGCGTCCGTCGAAGCGAAGCGACAAAAGTCAAGTCATGAGTGTTCATATCTTGGGCATTCTCAAGCGATTGCTACACAGTGATCCAAAATATCCAACTGACCATGTCATAAAACTCCTCATTTGCCCATGCTAAGCATTGCTCACAGCTGACGTCCATCAATTATTCCAACAGACTTCGTACAACTCATCAGTTGGTACCGGTAGTGTATCCAAATTGGCGCATACATGTCTCCCGACATTTGCAAATCCCTCTCCGCATGAAAACTTTTGGACACTCCATCACAAGTCTTTGGTCCTTTCCTCGCTCTCGGCGATCCACCTGTCCAAAGCTGCCTTGTTTCGGAGACGGAAGCCCACCTTGAACGGCTTGGGCTCCGTGGTCAATGCTGTAGGAATACTATTGCATTCCAGCGCATCAAGCACCGGCCAGTCAGCCGAGTCTTTGGCCGGCACAAACTTGAAGGCAATGATCATGCGCAAAAAGGCCGTGTAAATCTCACGGTTGGCCAGATGCGATCCCACACACATACGGCTGCCAGCTCCATATCCATAATGAGGTGTGCCACTACCCTCTTGGTCGTTGAGATATCGCTCGGGGATGAACTTGGCTGGGTCCTTGAAATGCGTGTCGTCATAGTCTGCCGCCCATGCATTCATGTAGAATACACTGCCAGCTGGGATTACTGTATCATTGTACTTGATGTCTTTGATACTGGTTCGGGGCAGGCAGATTGGGATGACTGTCCAGAAACGGAGAATCTCCTTGGTGAGTGCCGTGATGTATGGCACCTTTTCCTCAACCAAACACTTTTCCCACGCCTCGTCCTCTGTGGAGTAGACTTTCATGATCTCCTCATACGCCTTGTCTTGGATGTGTTGACCCTCGGGGGATGCAAGATAGCCCAAGCCCATGATCATGTTGCCGGGTACGGTGTCAATGCCTGCCGAGACCATGGTCAGGCAGATCGACTTGAGTTCGGCATCATTCAATGTCTCCTCTGGGTCTTTGATGATATTGCCAGTGATACAAGGCTTGTCTGTACCGTTGGCAATCCGTTCCTTGAGCATGTTCAAGAAAGTGGTCAGGTATTTGTCCCGTCGTGCTCGATATTCGGCAGCAGACTTGTTCTGTCGAGAGATGAAAGGCAGTCGCAGAAGCGGGATATAATCTTGCCAGTTGTTGGAGGTGCTTCGGAAGTTGGAAACAACTCTCTCGACATGGACAACTGTGGGCGCCTGTTAGCTTTCTGTCATCTCGATCGGAACACAGATGAAAACTTGCCTTCTCGGAGCAGCTCTTGGTCGATGCCTCCGTCAATGCGGATACCGTAGTTGAGAGTCAAACTCGTGTTCAGGGCAAAGCGGTGGAAGTATTTCCGGGGGTCCAGGTCCACTGTACCATCTTTGCAATCCTTAAGCATGTCCCTGATTGCAACGGTGCTTTCCAGGTCAATGAAAGGCATGTAGCTCTGGACAGCGGGGCGGTTGAGTGCTGTAGCGGCCACCTTGCGGCGTCGTTTGCACGATTCGTCCCATGGTGAAGTACCGATGGTGAAACCTTGACTGCTTGAAACAACACTGTGGAAGGTATAGAGAGTAGGTCTAGAAATGAGGGAGGACTGGTTGGTGATCCAGAAGTGCTTGACCGAGTCAAAGGTGTTGGCAAAAATGATACGTCGGTTCCCCAGCCGGGTTTGGAAGACTGGCCAACCGTATTCCTTGGCCCATTTTGCCGTCACTCTTGCATGATCCTGTCCGAGTTGCAAGAGATTGCCAAAGATTGGGACACCGGGGATTTCGGGCAAGCCCTTGATCTTTGGTTGATCGGTAGAATTGAAGTACCTGATGAGGAAGTATCCCAAGGTCAATATCACAAACGAGAGGGTCGTCGGTGATAGTGCGACGAGCATCTTGACAAATAACCGGCTACACTCTTGCTTAGGTATTCGAGAAATGTTTCAACGTCTTCACGAGGGGAAAGGATCGTGATGAGTGGCGCCCTGGCTCTCTGCAAGCGAGGAAATGGAAGGAAGGAGGAGGAGGGAAGCAATGGAATGTAGTCGAGATACGACGTCGAACAAAATGAGGACGAGGCTCCTTATATCAACGATCTCGTATCACTGTTCTTTATAGCGGATGGAGATTCAGCAATGGAGGTTTCCTTGTGCAATTGAACAACACCCTTATATGATTGAGGTTAAACCAGACTAAAATTGGGGACGAGACTGATGGAATTAGACGCGCTTACTGTCGGTACGACGCTGTCAATGGACAGCCCGAGGGCCTCCGTGACGCCCTAGGGAGGGGTTGATCGCTTGGACAATACCGAATGAGAAAGGAAGCAGAGAAGACGTGGGATTGTCTCGTTTGTCCCCAGACTCCAAAGTCGCGGAATAGCGTCCGCCTCTCTGCATGACGGAGGGAGGGGCAGGAGCGACTGGAATGTGGGGAAGGACGCACAATTTGAATTTAATGACGTATGATTGGCTGTAGAGTCAAGCAGCACCGCGGAATGATGGAGCCGCATCTCTCGCCTTCTAATTGGGCTTGGCACATCTCTTCATACACGTGATGACAGACTTCAGGATGCCCTATTCCTAGTTTTATGCAATTACTCTATGAATGCTCGACTACCCCAAGCACGCACAAGCTTCCTCGACGAAGCTAAATCAAGGACCCCCCTAGAACAATTTAGGTGCTGGGAGAATCTTGCCCGAGCATTCGCCGAAGCCGACAAGTCCGGTCTCTTCAGTTCCAGCGACGCCATACAACGTGATAGTGTCTCCGTCCTGGAGGAATTTCCGCTCGACTCCGCCCTGGAGTGAGATTGTTTCCTTTCCACCCTTGCTAAGCTCAAGCAAGCTACCCTCCGAACCCGGTTCCAGTCCGCTGATGGTGCCTGAGCCTAGAAGATCTCCTGGCGCCATGGGGCATCCACCAATGGTATGGTGTGCTAGCATTTGAGGGAAAGAGAATAGTAAATGCTTGCTGTTGGAGTTGAGTATATTGGTGGTCGGTTTACCCTCCGCTGCAGAAAGAGACTGTCAGTATCATTTCATGCTTTCTGCTTCCTGCTTCTGGTTCCAGGAAATACTCACGTGTAATGTCCACCTGCAACCTAATATCATATGCATTCTTCTCATCTTTCTCCTGCAGATACGGCAGCAACTGTGTGTCGTTCTTGATCCCAGTAGTCCGAAACGGCTCGAGAGCATCTGTCAGCACTACCCAGGGACTGATGGTTGATCCAAAGTTCTTGGCCAAGAACGGTCCTAGTGGGACATACTCCCATGCTTGAATGTCTCGTGCTGACCAGTCGTTGAGTAGCACATAGCCAAAGATGTGATCTGCTGCATCGGCAACGTTGACGTTTTTGCCCATTTCGTTGGGTGTGCTAACAAAGGCTCCTAGCTCGAGTTCAATGTCCAATCTCTTGCTTGGTCCAAAGACGGGAACTTTAGGAGTGGCTGCAGGATTGTCCAGAGTCTGTCCATTTGGACGTGTGATGGGTGTCCCTGAGACCACCACAGACGACGCTCTACCGTGATAGCCTACAGGTAAATGGGTGTAATTTGGTTGCAATGCATTATCCGGTCCACGGAAAAGGCATCCAACGTTAAAGGCATGGTTCTTGCCTGCGTAGAAATCGGTGTAGTCTCCAATTCGAAACGGGAGATGCATGGTGACTTGATCGCGTTTGATCAATGCTTTTTCTTGTAGAGCGTTGTTGCTCTTGAGCACTTGTGCAACGGATGTGTTTTCTGCAAAGACATCCTGGAGATATTGTCTCACTGATCGATGCACCGGTCTTCCCAGAGCAGCGAAATCATTGAGCGTTGATTTAGAAAAGACAGATGTATCAATGTTCAGAGACGAAAAGGCCCCTGAAGCTGCGAATTCAGCAAGGTCCAGGACATGATCGCCGATTGCAATTGCTGGACGAGGTGTCGACTTGGACGCTGTGGAAATGATGCCAAATGGGATGTTCGCCAGGGAAAAGTGGCTGGACTTGGGGATCGGTAGCCAGGAACTGAGGGAAGCCATCTTGGTTAGTCAATACCGAATGTTTTTTTTGGTCAATGGGTTATCTCAAGGAATTTTGTGCTTGATCTTTTGTCGTATTTGACGGAGGACGTTGCGATTGTCGTGGCAAAGCCATGGTGGACCGAGTCGTGAGGAGTCGAACATCCCTGGTCGTCATGTGTCGGAGAAATTCCGTCTAAAGTTCCGCCAGTCTTGACATTTGGGTCAAATTAAAGAATCAGTTCACGCCAATCTCAAGGGGGAAAAAACTTTGCGATATCGCAACGTAGCATAGCTCGGTCAGGACATTCCTGCGTACCTCGGTACCTAACTCAGGTGTCGACCGAACTCATAATCAATCGTCGTAGCTGTCTCATACTATCCCTTTCTTGACCGGAGGAATATCTATCTTGGCAATCTCCACGTGACAAATACAATTATGAGAAATGTCTACATAACGTCTGAGTTAAGTCATGATTGATGTTATAAGTAGACACTCACTCGTCTTGATGACCTTTCTTCTCGTGATCCATCTTAGGGCCCACATCCTGTGTCTGTGGTGGGCGATAGCTGCAATGCTAATAGACTCCCTGAAGATGTACTAATGTGTTGGTTCATATTTACTGATCTAGCTCCAGTCAATGACTAACACGCCCAAGACCTGCAGCAAATGTCCAGATCTGAAGCACTAACAAGAATTTGTCCAAGTGAAGGGCTAAACAAGATCTCTATCCTCATCTTCGGACCCTCCACCTTTTGAGATCACGTGATGACATCCCACCTTGAGTTTCTTGTCCCAAGAGAAGATCGGCCGGATGGTCTTCCTATTCGAGCCATGACGACATCACAGTGGATTGGACGGAGATACTTTCGCTGGTTTGGAGATTGACGAAGATATCAGTCAATCGTTATGATGTCGAGGGGTCAAGATATTTCAACTTGGCCATGCCTCTTGTTCTAAGCATCAATCATTGTCTTCATTCATCTCTCATTATAGAACCAGGAATTTAATTTGCATATTAGAAATGTCCAAGAACTCGACCTACGCAACCCCAAAATGGTGGAAGGAAGCCGTTATTTACCAGATTTACCCATCGTCCTTCCAAGACACCAATGGAGATGGATGGGGGGATGTCAAGGGGATCACATCTCGAGTTGACTATCTGAAGAGTCTTGGAGTCGATGTCGTTTGGACGTCTCCCATCTACAAATCGCCTCAAGCGGACATGGGCTACGATATCGCTGATTATAAGGTCATCGACCCTATTTACGGTTCAGTCCAAGATGTGGACGATCTCATTAGCGAGCTCAAGAAAAGAGACATGAAGTTGATGATGGATCTGGTGGTGAATCATACCTCTAATATGCATGTACGGACTTCACGTGGCTACCTGCAAAGTTTCGCATCACTGACCAGCCTCATAGGAGTGGTTCCTCGAAAGTAGATCTTCCAAGGACAATCCCAAGCGAGACTGGTACATTTGGAAGTCTCCAAAGTCGGTCAGCGAAGGTGGTGTCCCAGAGCCCCCTAACAATTGGGCTCAGATTTTGGGTGAGGCCAACTCAGCATGGACCTACGACACCGAGACTGGAGAGTACTATCTGTCTGTCTTTACCCCAGAACAGCCTGACCTCAACTGGGAGAATAGTGAAGTGCGAGAAGCCGTATGGGATGTCATGAAGTTTTGGCTTGACCGAGGTGTGGCGGGTTTTCGGATGGATGTCATCAACATGATTTCCAAAGTCCCCTCTTATCCAGATGCTCCTATTGTTTTGGATCCCAAAACCCACCAGTTCCAACCCGGAACGCAATTTTTCGTCAATGGGCCCAAGTAAGTGCAAAGACAGAACATGGCACAGTCTCAGCTGACATTATTTATAGACTCCACGACTACCTCCAAGAGATGTATCGTGAAGTGCTCTCAAAATACGACACGGTCACCGTTGGCGAAATGCCAGGAGTCTCTGATGAGAACGAGATCCTCCGAACGGTTGGTGCCGACGCCGGCGAGCTGAACATGATCTTTATCTTTGATCTCGTGGACATTGACAAACCCAATGTGCGGATGGCGTTGAAGCCGTGGGACGTCAAGGAAATGAAGTCGATCATCACACGATGGCAGAGGTGTATGATTGAACGGGATGGATGGAACTCGGTCTTTATCGAGAATCACGACAATCCTAGAAGCGTCAGTCGATACACCGATGACCGCGACGCCGTTCGTGACAAGGGAGCCAAACTGTTGGCCTTGATGCAAACGACTCTCGGGGGCACCATCTTCGTGTATCAGGGTGAAGAAATTGGCATCCGTAATGCCCCTACCGATTGGGACATTTCTGAGGAGTACAAAGATATAGAGACCATCAACTACTGGAAGAAGTGTCAGCAAATTTACAAGGACGATCCAGCGCAGCTCGAACACGGCAAGAAGATCATTCATATGAAGGCTCGAGATCACGCTCGAACGCCTATGCAGTGGAGTGGGGATGCCAATGCAGGCTTCTGCAGACCTGGAGTGAAGCCTTGGATGCGAGTCATGGACGATTACAAGGATGGCATCAACGCTGAAGACCAGATCAGGTACGACAATAGTGATGAGCTTTCCACTTGGCAGTTCTGGCAAAGGGGTTTGAAGGATCGAAAAGAGCACGCGGATGTGTTTGTGTATGGAGACTTCCAAGAGATTTCGCCTGAAGAACCCTCGATTTTCGCCTACGGTCGAACCAGCATGTCAGGGGAGCGCTGGCTCGTGGTCTTGAACTTTTCCGGTACTGATGTCGAATGGAACTTCCCGGAGTCCCTGAATTTGGAATTCTGGGCTTGCAGCACGTATGAGAAAGCAAAACCAGACAAGGCTCGACAAGGGAAGATCACTCTCAGACCTTGGGAAGGGGTCCTTGGAAAGTGTACCTTGGAATAGGGGACCACTACTGATGAAATTATTTCGTATCAATTGGTGGAAGGCCCAGACTTTGGATCAGACAGTTTCGTGGATCGAGGTGCATTTGCCTTGCTATCTGAAAGGCACAGGAATTTGTCAGACTACGGAGTATGCTTTGAATTTGGGCTTTGATGACCGTGACGGGGAGTTCTAGTCCTTCGACGAGTATTCGACTATTCGACGTCAGGGGCAGCGGGTCTCTACACAATTCATCAACATCATTATTACCAACTAGCGCGTCCCAGTGGGCCTCAAGATTCGATCATCAAAGCGGCTGCATGGTCTCGGGCAACTGCTTTAGTCTGAGAACCAAAAGTACACATGAGTGGCTCCAAAGGAAGCCGGCAGGAACCCCTGATCTGAGCACAGAGCATGTGGTGACAAAAGACTCGCCAAAGAGTGCTCAACCATCCTGTAGCCAATTCGTACACCATTCTCTATACCATTCCCAATACCATGCATACCAAACCCAATAACCGTTTCAGGGGAGGAAGGATGAAGGCGGAATCAGGGTAAATCACATGCGGAATGAGAGTCCGCCCCCAACCCGCCCCCATGACAACGTGGAACCAATCAGTTTATTGGTGATGTGCAGGGAATGTGAGGCAAGTGCAGCTAATGCGCTTCCCCACACCTTCCAAATACCCAAGTTGGCAAAGCCCACCTCCAGATCTTTTCTCCAGAATATCTCCATCAAAAGAATCTGTCTTCCTCCGCACGCTATACAAGGGCCACATTGCATATGTTCCTCCTGTCAATTGCCTCCAGGTATTGTTCGAACCCGTGCGGAGACAATTTAAACCTTTGATCTGTTGACTTCCCCCAACCCGACTAGTACCATAAGGTGGCGGTTTAACTACCGATCTCGAATTCCGAGAGGACCCCGTGACGATCCTCCTTGCCATTGGCTTCCTCTGACGAGCTCAAGCATTCAGTCTGTGAGTACTGACATCTAGTCTTCGACCGGATTATACCCAGCTAGCCAGCAGTAACCTTGTAGAGAAGCTTGGGATGATTGTCCAAGGCTTCTCCATATCCTGGAGATGGTAACTCATAGTCAGCCCTTGTTGCCAATCAAACTAAGCTCCCTTCGCTCCCCCAGTCCTTGACCCAATCTCCACGCAAGGTAGGCCTGCTATCATGCGTATAATGCATCAAGTTGATCCTCTCTGCCAAGTCATCGGGAGGCGATTGGTTGTCACATAACGAAGATGCTTTTTCCTCCCGGTTGATCTTTACGGAACCGAACCCCGACGTTGCACTGGATCATCATGTCGTGGCTTCCAATCCTGCATCCTCGAGGGAGTGCGGAAGTGTCCTCGCTTCGGGCAGGTACCTTGCTGAGGTTTGACAGGAGTCTCCCAAGGTGTGGGGGAGAGGATTGTGATATCCTTGCCCTGCACCCATGCATGTCCAACACCAGCCGCCCAACCACTGTTGCTCGAGAGATATAAATCTGGTTATATCCCACTACTCGTGGAGGTCAGCGTACACCACTTTTTCCCCACTTGACCAACTACTTGATCCTTGTGTGCAAGATCGTCATTAGAAACATTGTCAGTTGACACCCTTTTGCACCGACTGCTCGACATGGCGGACAAGACGTTGAACAAGTCTGAGATCGAAGACGTCCCTGGCCAAGAACAACTCGATGTGGCAAGCCTCAAAGAGGAGATCCAAGAGGATGACCCTGTTCGCGTCAAGAAGCTCCTGCGGAAAGTCGATCTGCATCTTGTCCCCATCCTATCCCTGCTGTTTTTATGTGCTTTCATCGATCGGTAAGAAAAGACCAAACTCCCAGATTGACCCAACTGACCCCAGCATAGTATCAACATAGGCAATGCTCGCATCCAAGGACTTGAAGCCGATCTCAACATGTCAGGACAAGATTACAACATTGCTCTATTCCTCTTCTTCGTCCCCTATATCCTTCTCGAGGTTCCCTGCAACATGATGTTGAAGAAACTCCGCCCTTCTGCCTTCCTGGCCACCATTATCGCCGGCTGGGGTATCGTCACCGTCTGCCAAGGTCTTACACAATCATTTGCTGGGCTGGTTGTCTGCAGAGTCATCATCGGAGCATTGGAGGCAGGCTTTTTCCCCGGATGTGTCTACATCTTGACAATGTACGCGGCGTGACATCGGACCAATGGTCTTGACATGACCCGAGGCTAATGATCATAGGTATTACCGTCGTCATGAACTCCAATGGCGATTCAATCTCTTCTTCTCTGCCGCCATCATCGCTGGCGCGTTCAGCGGTCTCTTGGCCTACGCTATCGCCCATATGTCTGGTATTGCCGGATACGGAGGATGGAGATGGATCTTCATCCTAGAGGGTATCGCCACCGTCATTATCGCCGTCGCCAGCTACTGGATTATTCCAGACTGGCCCGAGACCGCCAAGTTTCTCAACGAAGATGAACGAGAACTTTTGATCCGCCGCTTGGCAGCAGATAGATCAAATACACACATGAGCCACTGGAATAAGAAGACGGCAAAGCGGGTCTTCAGCGACGTCAAGATGTGGCTCGGGTGAGTGACTCTCCTCAGCTACGTGTCCCTAGCATACGACTAATCAGAATAGAACCGCCATGTATCTAGGAATTGTGACAACATCTTACAGCGGAGCATTCTTCACACCTACCATCCTCCGACAATTGGGTTGGACATCGATTCGCGCTCAAGTCATGTCGATTCCCATCTTCATTTTTGCTACCGTGTGCGCCTTGTCCTGTGCCATCGCTAGCGATAAGCTCAAACATCGGTTTGGATTCATTATCTTTGGTTGTTTGGTCACTACCATCGGCTACGTCATCCTTCTCAATATGCACAGAGTCACTGTCGGAGTTCGCTACTTTGCACTCTTTGCGATCGTTGGTGGAGGCTACATCGCTCAGCCTATTTGTCTGGTGTGGATGAGCAACAACATGGCGGGTCATTACAAAGTCGGCGTGTCGTCAGCCGTGCAAGTTGGTCTTGGAAACACTGGAGGCATCATTGCCAGGTAAGCTGGTATAGCAACCGATGGAGGAGACGAAGCTGACAGAACCCCAGCAACATGTTTGTAACTTCACAGGCTCCTGAATACCCTCTTGGCTTTGGCTTGGGCCTCGGCCTGGTCTGGTTTTGCGTGATCAGTTCTGTCGCATTCTTGTTTTGGATCAAGAGAGAGAACCGACTGAGGGATCAGGGGAAGAGAGACTATAGATACAATCTGCCCGAGGACGAGAAGTCGAACCTAGGAGATGACCATCCTTCTTTCCGCTTCACGATTTGAAAAGGATAAAAGATAGAGGAGCTTGACGAACCATAAAATGATGTGGTGGTGATTAGCCTGCAAAACGCTAAATCGTATTCATGCTCTCAATGCTAGATGATTGGCCGTACACCAAACGAACTAGATATCGAAGAATGAAGAAAGCCTGATTGAGCGCTGATTGGTTTCGTTTGTAGTTGGACACTATCGCTTCCCGTCATTCATCCAAGCTGCTTCACTGGTATTCTTTAGACTTTGTCAGCTTTGCGGCCCGTTCGTGTCCTCGTGGCCGCCTGTATGCTGTGATCGATTTATGAGCCGCACCATCCGCTTCAAAATGGAGCTTTCTCTGTGGTGTGCGACTCGCGAGGTACCTGCAGAGCGAATCCTTGTACGATGACCACTTTCAGCCAGAGACTGCTAAGGCTCGTTTCGGCTGGCATGCCACTTCGCAACCATTGCTCATTACGAAGCATTTTTGCTGCGTAGATGGAGTGACGGCCAAAGGCTCCCAAGGTTGAAAAGATTTCGGGATTCAATCTCCCCTGAATTATCGTCCTTCGCTGCTGCTGCTGTTCACACATGCTTTGTGCTGCCAATCACTTCCCCTCTGACTTTTTCCCAATCGATACTGTTATCCAACTCTTCATCGACCAAACCGACAATGGTGATGTTATCTCCTCTAACCAAATATAGCCCATGCTGTACCTCTGAACTCGGCTCTGGATCGTCTGCGGGTCGAATGATTCTCTCGACGGTTTCGTTCAAGACTATGTTCGTCACTTGGTCGCAGGAGAGTAGAGTGCCAACCAAGGTTCGGCCATCGACGGTGATGACAAGGACCTTTTCTGTAGACACGAGATCAGTTAAGCTCGCATTCGTGGGGAACAACGTAGAACGAGGGATCTTACTGTCGACAAAGGGCTGCAGAGACATGTTGAAGGGCGCAGTCGTGCAGACTCGTCTCCAGCACAGTCAACACACGCGTCGTCGTCGTCGTCGTCGTCGTCGTCGCCGTCGTCTTTGACTGTAATCAATGTGATGCGTCGAGGCAAGTGCGATCGATCCAACGGTGCGGAAGGAACGCGTCCCCAGCGCAAATGGGCGCAGCCTCCTCAGTCTTTCTCTCTCCCTTTTTCCTCTCTCGCAGCTCGTTCAAAACTCGATCGAATCTAGATAAACACTTGCGACCACCATCTGTCGATAGTCGGACCTCCTGCGCTTGACTTGGTCTGCTGATCTTGTCCTCACTGGTCTCCCAAATCAAAGTTGAACAAAAAATCCGGGGAATCCACCAAACACTTCAAGGCTGAGGTTTAGCCTGTGTGACATTTAGTCAGACACAACTTTTCTTGGTCAGAAACCACGCCATTCTGCTTTTGAATGACTCGGACAATGCAGCAATCCACGACCGTCAGACGAAATTCCAAGTTGAACAACCCACTCCGCCCACTCCTCCCACTCGGCCATGCTTACGTCTGAATCACATTTCCACCGCTGGGTTCCTTTCCAGTTGGATTGCCAACTAACACCTCGAGAAACCCTTTAAACTTCATCAGCACTGCGATCATGGAGCATGCGGAGAAGATTAAAGCCTAGAAAACTCTCTATGCCCGTCAGTTGAGCCAGTCTTTTCCTTTATCAAATGATCTCCTGCCCACCGGTCTTACAGACCTTCATCCACCTCATGCCGCCTCCCAATTCTCACACTGGTGCAGCTTGCTCCGTTGTGACATCTTCATTTGCGTCATGGTGCACCACGTCCAGTCCCCCACCATCGAGAGTCTCATATCGATCTGGACAGTGGCCGAATCCATCGGCCAATGTCTATCAGCTGGGGATTTGATCAGTCTCTCACGTTCCACCGTCGGTCTTCGGGCTAGTCTGCACGGATTCGGCCCGATCGACATTGGTGATGAGACTTCTCCTGCACAACCGAGGGACTCTCTGAGAATCGGTAACCACAACACGGCCCAGTGGAAACTCCTCAAATCGATCGCTCTCTGGGAGTGTTCGCTCACAAGCCACACCAAGGGTGACAAGCCAAGACCATGTCTCTATTGTTCTCGCCCAGTATGTGGCGCTTGCATAGTCAAGTCTTCATTCTCCAGAGGTCACGAGAATACCTTTCAGCATCGCATTCGTCATCTGTGCACAAAATGCTGGGAGACTGGCACTCAAAGTAGGGGACACCGCTTCCCTCTGATCGCCTCAGAACGGCCCGGCAGTGCCACAAAACAGTGGCACGATACCACTGAATCGACTCGCGATTATTGTGTCTGCACTCTCAAGTCAGATGGGCATATTTGCCCCGATTGTAAAGACTTCCAAAATTGGGAGGCTATCGCAGACGGGAACGACAAATGCCATGGGCTACGCTGCAATGAACCGCTCGGTGATGACAAAGACCGAAGACGTATCTGTCTCTGGTGTGACAAGGCACTTCCGCGACAGGTCGGTGGGACAACTCGCCATCACTGGAATCGAAGGATGGTAGAAGCTCGTGCTCGAACAATTGCGTCTCGACAAGCCGACATCGAAGAGTATAATCGCAAAAGACTGATGTTGATGCGAATGTCTCGACGAGAAATGCGTGGCGACGATGCCGTACAAGGTGATGCTGAAGCTGATACCCCTCAATTCGTTCGACATCTTGACACGATGAACTATCGTACCTACATGGACGAAGCTGTGGCACCGACACCAAAGGCAGTCTACGACTCTAAAAGAGGGTACTGGCGTTATAACCCGAGCTTCTTAATTAAAATAGGCACCAGAGTCCAGCATGGAAACTCACTTCCCGGCCCGTCATCAACTGAATTGGCCTGCCTTGAAGGACAGTCGACATATCGATTCGCACGAACCAACGCTGAAAAGGCCATTGAAGAAGAGCCACACATCAACGGTAGCTCACTCAGTGGTGACTATCGCTGGATCGACATGAAAGCAATCATCCTTGAACACGTCTTGGTCAACAAAGTCAGCTACCAAGAGCTTGGGAGGATAATGTTAGAAGGCTATAACGTTGATGCATCCGCTGAGGATTACCGGGTGATGGTTGATCGATGGATCTGGAACACACGCAAGCGATCTTCAGGGGCCAGCAGAACTGGATCATCAAGTCGAGTTCTGGTTGATGCGACAACACAAGCTTCTTGGGTCGAGGGGCTTGACTCCAAGTCCAATAAAACAATGCTCTCCCCGTCTGACAGCGAAGGACAGAGCAGCGCTCCAATGGACAGGTCCACACCTACCTTCTTGATGGACGTTCTACCAGTGAGTATGTTGGATCAAGCCAGCAACGAACAGAACATGGTCTCCGACGCAGGAGGGTCTGGCCTTGAAGGCGTACAAACCACCACCAACGATAATGATAACGACGACACGCAGGGAGAGCTTGAAGAGAGTCATGATATTGGCCCACCAGACTTATTGAATCCGCCCGAAGAGGATGAGGATCCTCCTCCATATTCTTCCAATGGCTGGCTGTGGCCATGACCAAGTACCAAGGGCGACAAGGACATATATATCACATTACGGTCGAAAGCTAGCCTCATTTGTGTATGAGCTTATTGCTACAGCGACGCAAGCTTGAATGGACGCAGTCATTGATGTATTGGAGAGATAGCTACGTACGTGCTTGTAGTACACCAAGCTCATGACACCACCTAGTGTCGAGAAAATGCTTCAAATTTGACCATAAACCCTGTATGTACATCAGCACCTATACATGCTAACAGGAATTCTCTCCACGACGGCTGGTTATGTATTTATTTTTCTTGTTCTTGCGTATTGATCCATACAGCCAACGATGAGGCAGACGCAAGCCAGATCTGACCCCCAGGTACTTTATAATGGAGACATATCACCTTGCTCGTTGATCCACAATTCAACAGCCATTCTTTTCTTCCTCACTCACAGCTTGCTGGATCCACTCGGAGCAGAGAGCTCCTTGGTGGCATTGCGGAAGTTTTTGACCAGCTGTCGAATAGCCAAATCCAACATGACATCCTCACTTCCACCGGGGATTCTCGTTCCGGGCACTTCTCGATAGAGACGTTCGGCAATCTCGCCCTGGCCGGTACGGGTGTATCCATTACCACCGAACAACAGCACTGCGGTCTGGGCGCATTCGTTAAACACCATACCACCCTTTGCCTTGGCGAGAGCGGTCAATCCACCGAGTTTCAAATCGGCTTCCTCCTTGGTGAGCTTGGTCATCGAATACAGGAACTGTTCGACCCAGGCCTGGTAGGTTTCGAGTTCGGCGCCGACTTTGGCCAGACGGTGTCGCACCACCGGTTGTTCGATCAGAGCCTTGCCGAATGCCTCTCGCTTCATGACGTATTCGAGGGCGGCTGAAACGGCGACACGCGATTGACGTGCCACGCTGCAGCAGATGGTCAGACGTTCGTGGTTGAAGTTGGTCATGACGTATCCCATTCCCTTTCCTTCTTCACCGATCAGGTTCTCCACGGGCACTTTGACATCGTCCAGGTCGATGAAGGTCGTGCCAGCGCTGATTTGGCCAGCTACTTTCAATCGTCTCATGTCAACACCAGGGTAATTCTTCAATGGGCACACGATCATGCTGAGGCCTTTTCCGCCAGGGCCGCCGGTTCGGACTGCCATTGTGGCGTAGTCGGACCAGATACCGTTGGTAATCCACTAGGACCATGGTTAGCGAATCACTATTTGATGTAGAGAGAGAGGGTATATATCTATCTCACTTTCTTCTGACCTGTGAAAATTGTTAGCGTGGTTTACTTGTACAATCAGGTCAGGTGTGAGAACTCACCATTGATGATATAGTGTTTGCCATCTGCAGTCTTCTTTGCCGTGGTCGCAATGTTTGCAACATCACTTCCAGCGCCGGGCTCGGTAATGGCAATACAAATTCGCTTCTTACCGGTGAGGACGTCTGGCAGGAACTTCTCGTGTAACGCCTTGTTGCCGAACTTGATGATGGGAGGAATACCTGGATCAACATTGTCAGCCACCACCAGAATGCCGTGCACGTCTAGTTGAGCATACCAAAAGCATGGCCGGCGGTCATGGAACCACCTGGACCTCCGAGACCAGATCTGGCCATCTCATCGAGATAGATACCCGTATGGAGATAATCCCATTCTTCAATTGGGGTTCCCAAGATGTCATTGATACCCAATCGCCTCAGCCACTCGACTGGTAGAGGCGAAGTTAAATTGGGAATCAGCATGTTGTGTTTTGCAAATGTCTGAAAGAGGTGGTCTGGCACAGTCTCTTCCCGTTCCCAATCCATGGCATGAGGGAGGAGGTGCTCCTCCAGGAAAGCCCGACATGCCTTTTGCCATTTCTTGTGGGACTCGTTGTAATAAGGAGAAGGGAAGCCAGCCAGCCAAGGAGGCTCAGAGAATGGGATTTGGGGAGCCATCGCGAAGGGACGAGGGGGCGTGGATGTGAGAGGGAAGGGATCTGAGATGAGTGAGAGAGTGAGCAAGTCTAATCCCAGGTTCGTGTCTAGAATAAGAGGAAGGACTAGAACAGTCGATGTCGATAGCTAGATCAAGGTGAAGGGGAAAAAATACGCAGCGATCACCGACCCGGCTATATTAATTTATTGTACAGAGATCCTACCTAGGCTTGTTAGCATCGGCTTGTAAGCACGGTGGTGAGGCACAGCCGTATCGGATTTCTGAGTTGCATGTTTGTTTGAGCCGACGACTACCTCGGCGCCCCGGAGAGAAATCAATGTGAGGGAAAAGTGGAGGAGATGATGAGGGGGGATTCGTTGACAGGCTATGCTATAGGGGAGTTGATTGGCTATACAAAGGGGGCTTTACCAAAAGAAGTTAGCCGATCGGTGCAGACCACACGCTCTCCGAACCTCCGCGCCGGACTATCCTTTTTCCTCTTCCGCTATCAATCAGTGACTACTTCACACGTGATATAAGCATCAACGACTGACTCGGTTCTTGTTCGACACCCGGCTTGACTCATTCACCCTTTGGTATCATCTTGTATTGACAGTCCTACCATGGCACAAGGGGAAGAGGAACCCGTATTTGGCTCCTAGGCATATCCAGAAGTACAAAACTGCCAGTTGATCATGGATCATAAGCAAGTCCATATGGTTGGTGTCATAGTCCCAGGTTCAAACCTGACTTTTTACCATGAGAAACTATATAGAGCCAAGAACCAAAGCATTCCTGCTCAATGTCTACACTTGGCCATAAGAGGCACTGGACGACAGATTCCGTGCCAACATTTTTGGTGTTTGTCGCCGGTAGCCACACTGACTTAAAAAGTCAAACCCAGCTTCGACGTCACCAACCCCAACCACTCTGACCAGAGAACCTTCAAACTCTTGACGTTACTATCCGCCACAGAGCTCATCGAACATGATTCTCTGAGAACATGATCGACTTTCAATGTGTCAGATCTGTCACTATCCGAATGAGGTCATTACCACCATACTCTTTACGTGCCCCCTGAAGTCTTTTGTTACTGCGTTCAATATGCTTTGTGCATGTATCATCATACTATTGGGTCGCTTGTGTTCAGCATTCCCGCTCCCTGTGGCCTGGAAGCCTTTCAGAGTGGTGGATAATTCTCCGCGACCAGTTTGGTTGATGACATCTAGACTACTTTGGTAGCCCTGGTCATTGGAGATTTCGACACCAGTCAAGGAATTTCCTTTCTTTCAGTGGTTCAACGCTTCCTCTTTTGCTGGTCTCCAATGCCGTCACCCAGCTCAGTGACTTTTTGGAAATACTTAAGAGATAGTCTTTGTCCTTGAACATTGAGCGATCACTCTGGTTTGGCCTACTATTTGACACGTCTACCGATCCTTTTCGACTAACAAGCCCGTCCAACACCGAGGTTTCTAATTCATACACACACAAAGATGAATGTCGATAGACCTGCCCGACAGCTGCGTCTGCCATGGCAGAAGCGGCAGAACATCCTACCTTCCGACGATGAGACAATGGTATCTCGCCGTGTCCCTCTTCTGAAATTCTTTCCTCTATCTGTCAAAAATCACTTTGTGGCCATGATGGGAGAGTTTGCGGGCACTTTTTTGTTCCTATTGTTCGCTTTAGGAGGCACCAATGTCGTCAATGCAGCGCCATTAGAAGGTCAACCAACAGATCTGGCTGCTAACCCTGCAAAATTGCTTTTCATTTCGCTTTGTTTTGGAATGTCCCTTGCCGTCAATGCTTGGGTCTTCTTCAGAATCAGCGGTGGTTTATTCAACCCAGCGGTCTGCGGCACCAATCACTGAATCCAAGGATGCAGCTGACTTGTTTTCCAGGTTTCCATTGGGATGATGGTTGTTGGAGCAGTGCCATATATCCGAGGAGTTTTGGTCATCATTTCTCAATTACTTGGCGCCATTGCGGCTTCTGCTGTTGTATCAGCGTTGCTGCCAGGGCCGCTGAACGTGCGTACTTCATTAGGAGGTGGTACGACTGTCGTGCAAGGCCTATTCATCGAAGTGAGCTGAACCAAACACACTGACGCACCGAATACCTCACTACTAACATCAACCTCAGATGTTTCTCACCGCCCAGCTAGTCTTCACCATCTTCATGCTCGCCGCCGAGAAACACCGCGCGACCTTCATCGCTCCGATTGGCATCGGTCTATCTCTCTTCATAGCCGAGCTCATGGGAGTTTACTACACGGGTGGCAGTCTCAATCCAGCACGGAGTTTCGGCCCCTGCGTCGTCCTCCATTCCTTTTACCCATACCATTGGATTTACTGGGTTGGTCCTATCCTGGGATCCTTGCTCGCATCTGGATTTTATATGTTCATCAAAGCATTAGAATACGAGACGGTCAACCCCGAACAGGATGCCACGGGTACCACCGGACACATGTTCGATCCATCGTCGGGTGCTGAAAAGACAGTGAGTGCCGACAACCGGGTAAACTCCGATCTTTTTCATTCGAGAAATGGCCAGGCCAGCGCTGCTCCTGCTTTTGGAAGTCCGCAGAGAAATAATGTCGACAACGCTGTTGCACATGGACGAACAAGACAGCCAGATCTGGAGGCCGGTGCAGGTTCCCCTGTCCCATAAGGGTTTTAGCGGTCTAACGTGCGCTCTAACGATTTGAAATGCGTCATGTCATGTCATTCTATTGAGACTCTAATATGTAACTTCTATCAGCGACCAGAAGCGTGAGGTTTCGTTTCTTTCTCTTGAACTTTGAAGATAACGCCAATCTATAATACAATATAATACAGTATGGGGACACCACAATGTAACCAGCAGGTTCATACATGACGGCCTGGATTTTGGTTCCACCCACGGGAGTGATAATTGTAGGAAGGAGGCGGAGGCGGAGGAGGCATGGCGAACCCATCATTACTTTGGATGTTGCTGCTCATCATCTTCATCTTGATAGCTTCTGAGCGCATGACGAAAGCAAATCGGATAGCGCGAATGATCTCTCTCGGATCCGGGACCGACGCCCATGCTCTGAGGCCGAGGAAGCCGCCATAATATCTTGCGTTCGCGTGTTTCGCATATAGCTGCTTGGTGTGTTCCGTCGGAGCTTGGCCTACTTGGTCATTGATCATCGTAGGCCTCAGCTGCGGGTTCGCCTCTAGGTCTGCTTGGGCAAAGCCAGGGCCAGCAATGTCAGAGACTGGGAGAGGGCGTGCTTGAGTGATATCATAGGCTTTGACATCATAAGCATAATGGAAGTATAGCGAAATGGGAACCATTTCGATGCAGATGATCATAGTCTGAATACCAATATTGACGTCGGCGTACGTGAGGGTAGAGGTTTCTTTCAAGACCGACTGAGAGCGTAGGATCTGGAAGATGATCTAGAGAACTCATGTTAGTACGGTAGCCGATAGGAGAGGCCCATGGCAATGAAATCGTACCGATTGAACAAAACTCAAGAAGATGATGAGCTTGAAAGCCACGAGCTTGGCGAGAGGCTTGTGGTGCTTGAGGTCCTTTTTTAGTGCCCCATAAAATCTGAGCACTGCTGTAAGAGCAATGGCAACGGAGATGTTTGAGATTATGGACAGCTGATTCAACGAGTTAGCTGCTGGAAAGATAGGAGCATGGCCTCAGGGTATTGAGCTCACCCATATTTGAGCAAAGTGAATATTGTTGCTCTCTAAACAATATATGTTGGCGGCTTGTGTGATATCCGTGGCGATGGCAACGCCAATTGCTATCAATAAATACTGAAAGACGGCAAACCATTGTTTCTGTTGAGGAGATGGATTAGACCATGAATCAAGGGCAAGGCTCCATAAGACAAACTCACTCTGTACCATTCTAACCCTCCTAGGCCCGAGCCTCGGTTTCTTCGACGCTGGGGTACTTTGAAAGCAGCGAAAAAGACGTCGCGAAACTGAGCACTGGGCGAAACAAATTCACACATAAGAAGGAAGAAGCTTCCAAGCGCCCAGGCCTGAAAAACATCAATCCATGGGTCGAGATATACGTATGCGTTGGGCTCGACAATGCTAATGAAATTGAGGAAAGCCTCAATGGGGATCAACGCGCAGATCTTGAGAATTCTGGAACAGGAATCTGTCAGTCAAAGGGCTTGCAAGCATTGGTAGACGTGGAACTGAATAACTGACTTTGTTTGCTCGTTGGGCTTGCTGAAGTGGGTAGCATGCCTTGCCATGAGAATGAATATCGAGACGCATGATATAGCGGCACATGCTCCAGAAAGACACATGTTGAACTGGCGAAATGACAGGTTGCCAATGAAAGGTTCCGGTGCGTCTGGGAGTGATCAGTGGCCCTTTCTAGCTTTAGTGATTGTGGTGGTCTTACCAGCAACGAGATGAGAAGGCATAGGGCACACAGGCGTATCTGAATCGTCAAAGAGCCCCATATTGATATTGATATTGATATCGACTTTCAAGAACTTCAAATAATGATAAGACGTGAAACGCTAGGACCAAGCAGAGAAAGCAGTAGATGGAATAGAAGACAGGAATCTTGTGATGTGAGCCATCTCGAAACTACCTACCATGGTATTCTTTTATAACATGAAGAAGGATGATCTGCATCACTGACGTTCATGGACACTTCGTTTCTATCTCGTCGACATGTCTGTAAATGGACTGAAGCGCGAGGTGAAGTGTCGTTGTGATGGGCCATGAGAAGATGAACTACTTAGGTTATCATGAATGGATTTCTAAATGAGGCTTAGTGAAGTTCTCCAGCCCACAGGCTATTATGAGACAGGTCAGAACCTCTTCCTTGAGAATAATAGGAGAACAGAGTTATTAGGCAGAAGAGATCAAATGTGTCCGTGGAAGTCGACAGGTGCAATGCCTTCGAAAGGATTTCCTAATTAAGCCAAGTGCTTCAGTCCCCTCGGCGGGCTGTGGTGACCTCGTTGGCTGAGCTGAATCTCTGCCTGCGGCTGACAGCTGCAACGTCGTGCGTCATAGCCTCTGGGGTGTCCTAGGGAAGGATATTGTTAGGGTTTGTAGGTAAGGCGCAGCTGCGTCTACGCCTACAAGTCCTGATCCCTAACGAGACATTCTAGCCGAAACCCTGGAAGTACTCGTACTACGAAGCGAGTCACGAGTTCGGCTACCTAAGGTATCTTAGCTTACAGTAGCTTCGCCAGACTATCATTCCCTCTGGGTCCAGGGCTACATTCCCCAACTCTAGGCACCTATCACCCCAAACCACTGGCTAGGCCAGCCCGTTGATGAAGCCCGCCTCGGGCTCGTCAGGCGTTCCATATGTCCAACGTGCTCTCCCAAGCTCTCCCATTCAATGTTAATCAAGCTCCTTAGTCGAAGCTTATACACGTGGACATTGCTTCTCGAGAAGTTGCGCTTGATACAACGACATGAATACCCTACGTTTATAGGTGCCGACTTATGGCGTCTCGATATGCCACCACAGACAAGTCTGACCAACGAGGTATGCATCAATAGCAACTATGCCTAACGTGGGACGACCAAGTCGAGATTGCCATCTCTGCAGGCAGCGTAGGGTCAAAGTGAGCCCCGCCTTTCCTACTGAATCGCCCGTCACAACTGATTGACAATTCTAGTGCGACCTGCTCCGGCCAGAATGCGGCAAGTGTGTTCGTCTCGGAAGGAAATGCCCTGGGTACCGTAAAGAGCGTGATATGCTCTTCAAAGTCGAGAATGCCAACACCTTCGTCAAGAACGCCACACGAGACCGCCGCAGAAGACCAGAAAAGCCTGTTCTCGAGCCTGTCTCGGAATTGGCTACAAGTGAAAATGCCTTGGTGGCTCGTCCGGACGATATAAATACTGTAAAGGCGTCAAACTTGGATGAGAGTAATGACCCCACAACGTGCCACATTGTATGAAGAAACCAATTGCTGACTTGAATTTTGTTAAGTCATTAGGATACTCATGGGATATTGTCCAGCACCTTCAAATGGCCTTCCAGAAAATTGGGACAATCACACCGTACCTTTTTTCCTTCGCAAGTTCTGTACACCCCGAGTCTTTCCACGCCCCAGGGGCTTCCTGGGCTTTCTCCCGGCCATGGTGTCTTCGGCTCCCCCACAGTCTAGCCTGGTCTCAACCTGCAAAGCTATTGCTTATGCTCTCTTCGCGCATCATCTTCGTACGCCCGACGCCCAATCACGGCGTGCAATTGCCTATGGAGATGCTCTGATTGCCACGAATCAAGCTCTTCAAGACCAACGTGAGAGATTGAGAGATGAAACTCTGACCGCCATCTGGTTGTTGAGCATCTATGAGGTGGGTACTGGAAAGAATTAATGATCTCGCGACAATTCTGCTCACTCATATGTAGATCATGGTTGGCTCAGTCGCCATGCATCAAGAGGGTGGAGCGGTTGGCTGGGAGGCACACCTCAAGGGCATCATCACATTGTTGCGTCTGCGAACGACTAACTGTCTGAAGACACCGACTGAGAGAAATCTCTTCTTTGTGATATACAACACCATTGTAAGTTGCCTGACTTCTCGGCAAGGCGATCGTTATTGACTATCGCCCTAGCAAATTCAGTCGTTTGCGTCTGGCATTCCGTGTCCCCCAGAATCAATCGCTTGGTTTGCGGAGCTGGAGAATAACATCTGGCCCGATGAACTTTATAGCCTGCAAGTCTGCCGGTATGGGTATGAGGCTTCAGTCACATGTGCAAAAATTCGAGAGATCCTCAACAGCAGGCAAACCGTGAGCTTGCCAGATATTGTGGAACTGCTCCTCGAGTCCGAGTCTCTGGATCTGAAGAGTGCCTATCTGCTGTCACCAGGTTTGCCGGTACCATTTCCTGAGTCAGGTGGCAACAAGGAGGGTCAAATATGTGTCGTCACCGATCTCCGGACCCTGACGACGAGGACATTCTTTTGTGCATTTCGCCTGAAGCTGCATCTGAGCCGATTACAACTTCTTCAGGATCCCAGAATATCCCAACTTGAACCGACTGGCTTCCAGAATACCTGTCGTCAACTAGTGAGCACTGTTCAAGAGGTGGCGGACGAGATCCTGTCGGTCAAGTCTGTCCTTTTTTCAACCCAGGCTCATAAATTGAAGCCTTTTAATGTTGAGGCTGTGACGAAATCACGGCAGTGGACAGATGGCATTCGCGTATTGTGGCCCTTGAAAATGGTTGCAGCATGCAAATTCATGCGTGCAGAACAGAGAGCAAATGCCGTACTGACACTACAATTCATCCGAGACGGACTTAGCCTTCAGGAAGCAGGAGACCTACATATGGACTGAGATTCTGAGCACAACGGGCAGACAATGATAGAGTCGGCGCTGAGGGATGCTACTTCCAAACTAGGGATTGGACGTACTGGAGTTCCATCTGACATGCAGATTTGTCAACATGCATTGCCAAAAAGCCCATCTTACTTGCAGCTCCCTTGGACATGTCCAAATGGGGATCAAAAGTGAGTTCTGACATCCGGAGCAGGCTTCGATGCTTCGATGTCCCGTTTATATGTCGCTATAATACTAAAATGTCAATACCGAAGAAGCGAGGTGGCTATTGATAGACTCTGTGGATTCGGGAGATCATCAAAGTTCAAGTGTCCGTGTTGTTCAGCTATCTAAAAGGGGACATTAAGCCGTTCCATGCACCCAACAAGTTCGATGTATGGATGGGGAAAATCCGATAGAAATTTAACCGTCCTTCTGTTCTTTGGGGTTGTTCGCACTTGCGTTCTCCTCCTGATCGTGGAATCTGGAATCGTGGCCCAGGCACCAACTTCCACGAGCCCCACATGATTCGGTCGGTGGTTTCCTGCGGCCAATTAGTAGCATCGCCAAGCCGGCAAGTCCCACACATTCAGTTTTTCCAATCACGCCACAATCTCTGACGTTTGCACTCCAAGGATTTGGTTCACAATCTCGAAGGTATCAAGTTTGTGTAATTTGGACAATTAACTCATGAAACCCTATTCCAGAACAAACAGGCACCAGGCTATGCGAATGTCCCACTTGTAGCAAACTGACTTTTTCTGTCAAACGTGGCAACCCAAAATAGGAGTCGGTCAGCGAAACGTCGCCGCAAGGGGCTGAGAACCATAGAATGGGATGCTTTCCATCCAACGATGCTCCGTCAGCCTTGTCAAATAGTTCTCCCAACAATTTCCCAGAGATCTGAGCTTTCGCCCAAAGGAAAGGGAATTCTTCCCCTTCCAGTAAGACTCGTACTTGTTCCATCATTATTGAGTGATTACATGTGTTCCTCGCTGCTCTCGCTATTCGGCACTCCCGAGCCACCACCTTTTTTTTATCTTTGCAGAGACAAAAGAATCCCTCCCTCCCTGTTCTAATGATCCACCTGCAGCCCCCCCCCCCCACACCATTGTAGACTTCCACTTTACTTTGTGTGTCCCTCTTGTCCGCGTCGTCCGGACCCCAATTGTCCATACCAAGTGACGCCGCTTCTAGGCCGTTATCTTGTACGCTTATCCTTCCCACTTTTGTTTCATATCCTCCTCTCTGCTTCGGTGCACATGTCACCTTAGTATCATAGCTCACGAATCCCATCTCAAGGTAGAGTTGTCACCCATATGCATAATGTCTCTCATCAGGGTTTTGTCGCCTCCACTGTGATCCGAGGTTGTATGAGGTAAGCGAGGTCCCTCTCTCCCAATTGTTCCTGCCACAATCGACATAAGTCAGGTAAGCCATTGAAATCTTGAAATCTTTCCCCTGCCCGTGTACTGGTCCTCGTCACCCCTCCATCTCGTTGTCATCCTCAGCTCGTGAACTCGTCAACCTTTACCCTTGTTCTCTATCTTTTCCCTACAATTTTTCCCACTTGGACTTTAACGTCTAGTTATGATATCTACGCCTCCCGATTCTATCATGTTATGATCTCCAAATGCCTCCTATCGTTGGCGTCATTCTCTTTTTATCTCCGCTTTGATTCAATGTCCCCCGCCCGCTTTCGACCTGCCTGATCTCAATATCGCCATCCGTCACCCAAGGTGAAGCCATTTCCTTTCTGTGACAGTTGTCGAGCCGAGCAACATGTCGGGCGACTCATCAGCCAAAGACGGCATTCCGACCCAGCATTCCTCACAATCCCCTTGGGAGTCCGAGCATGCCAGCAATGAATCGAGTCAACAGTCCAGCCGGCAACAGAGTCGTCGACCAGACAGGCAAACACAAAGACCTCCCCACAAAGTCACGTTCTCCATCGCAGATGACCAGGCAGAGAGCAATCCCCACAGGCCAGTCGATTCGAGTCACACCCATCCAGAGAGCACGGTACCAGAAATCCACTTTTCCACCCCAGATGTTGTTACCGACATCCCGTCGTCTTCAAGTTGGACTGGGAGGACTCACGCAGCGGCTGCTTATGCTCAAAGTCGTGCTAGTCGGCTCGCAGACAAACTAAGCAGTGGTGAAAGGCGAAACAAGACTCCATCAGGCTCCAATACGCCTCTCATGGCACCACCGCAAGGTCAGTTCAATCCTGGTATGGTAAAGCCCCGCCACGGCCTTGAAATACTAACTCGTTGGCTGAAGTTTACACACCTCCAAATCTATCCCCTCCGCAAAGACCCCTTGACGACTGGCTTGTCAATGTCGGCGACGTTCCTTTGGAATCACTCGACAGGGACAAGAGGCCATATACCATTCACGATGACACTACCGATGATGAATCTGACGTCGAGAAACCCGAACCATTGAAGCGTGACGATGAAAATCTCGAAGAGGCGAGACGACTCATTCGGACCTTGACCAAAGGGCACAACTTGGGCATTCCACAAGATACGAGGTCAGGCACCGCAACACCAGCTATAGACAAGTACCTCCACGACGTGGATTATATCCCCCCTCCCGACGAGTATCGTCCTGGTGTTTTCGGTGCCATCCTTTCTTCAAAGCTTGCCAATCTAGCCCATAGCGGCTTCTCTCCTCGAAATTATCAAGTGGAATCACACTCGCCCACCCATGGCCGCCACAAACACTCTCAGGCTCATTCCAGAGCTGGGTCTAGTATCCCCAATTCCTCCGAGCATTCTTCTGGTCGTGCAACACCTTCAAAGCGACCCAAATGGTACGAACAAAGACCCCATTCCACGGGTTCAATGGCTGCATTGCTGGCACAAGCATCTATTACTTCCGCGGCACCCGCCGCTCCCGGAACCGCTGGATCGGTACCGAGACCACCAACACACCGGGCAAAATCGTCAAACAGCATGATTGCAACCGCAGTCGATATGATAAAACACCCCGGCAACGTGAGTCTCTGGTCCCCACGAGGAATACTCTTCTAACAACACAAACAGCATTTTCACGCAAAGTCAGAGCAGATCCGTCGCGCGGAAGAGGAGCAGGTCATCCATGATGTGGCAGAGATTATTGCCTGCCGCAAATATCTAAAACGACTTGGACGGTCACTGATGGCTGTTGGGGCGCCGTCTCATCGCCTTGAAGAATACATGAAGACCTCGGCCCGGGCGCTTGGCATCGACGGCGATTTCCTATACCTGCCAGGCTCCATGATCGTCTCTCTCAACGACAAGTTGACCATGAGCACCGAGGTGACGCTTCTCCGCGAATCGCAGAATGTTGAGCTGGGCCGATTTAAAGATGTTTTCGAAATCTACAAACTCGTGATTCATGGGAAATACACGGCCCAAGAAGGAACGGACGAGCTCGAAATTGTCATGAAGAAGCCTCCGCACAACAAGACAATCTGGCGGATTTTCGCATATGGTATCGCCGCTATTGCAGTTGGCCCCTTTGCTTTTTCTGCACGACCGATCGACTTTGGACCAAGTTTCCTCCTCGGTTGCACACTCGGCTTCCTCCAGCTTGTGGTGACGACCAAGTCTAGTCAGTTCAGTCATGTTTTTGAAGTGCTGGCCTCAGTCATGATTGCTTTTGTGGCCCGAGGACTCGGGTCCATTTATCACAACGGCAAGCCAGTCTTCTGCTTCTCTGCCATAGCTCAAAGCAGCATTGCTCTGATTCTGCCAGGTTATACGGTCCTTTGTGCTGCTTTGGAACTCCAAAGCAAGAACTTGGTAGCCGGATCTGTCCGCATGGTCTACGCAATAATCTACTCGCTCTTCCTCGGCTTTGGCATCTTGATTGGTACTGTGTTGATGGGTATGTATCTGCTCCTACTGTGAAGGTCTACGACAAATCACCTTGCTAACGGTTCATTAGGCCTTGTTTATCCCGATGCTCAAGATGATGTAACATGTGACATTCCGCCTTGGTGGGATGCGTCGGACCTTAATTACATACTTATCTATACAAGATTCCTCTGGGTCCCTATCTTCGCCGTCTGTCTGGCATTTATCAACCAGGCCAAGTGGCGGCAGGTTCCTGTCATGGCACTGATTGCCTTTTGTGGATATCAGGCCAACTTTTGGATTTCCACCCGGATTGCCAACAACATCCAGGTGTCGAATGCTATTGGAGCTTTTGTGGTTGGATGCATGGCAAACTTGTACAGCCGATTTTTTCATGGGTTGGCGGCTGCAGCCATGCTGCCTTCAATCTTTGTCCAGGTGCCGAGCGGGTTGGCGGCGAGTGGAAGTTTGGTGGCGGGCATCACGAGTGCCAACCAGATCAGTGGCAACGCGACTGGGGTCAGTATCGTCAGCAACGGCACGGCGGGCTTTTTGAATGCACAGAACGGGACTTCGACCGATGTGTATGGTGGGACGATTTTCAATGTGGGTTATGGGATGGTGCAGGTGGCGATTGGGATCAGCGTCGGCCTGTACATGAGCGCTTTGATTGTTTATCCTATTGGGAAAAGGAGAAGTGGTTTGTTCAGTTTCTAAATGAGCGATGCATGGCGAGCGTTGAGCGTTCTTTGGGTCAACTTCATGGTCATGGATGGCATGAACGGGCAGATTGAATGCCCTGCCAGACACGTTGTAAAATCATAAACAATGTTGAAGAATCAAGATTCATTCCAATTCTGCAAATAATGTGAACATCAACGCAAGGTTGAAGGCGAGGGGGCCAGGGGACTAAGGAAGTGAATTGTGGTTGTGTTCAGCCTTGTCAGGAGAAGATAGCAATCAAATATCAAGGGCAAGTGTGCCGAGGTTTGTGATAGGCCGAGGGGCCTTCACGCCCACGGCCCAGCGCGGTCCAGTTAGTGTCGATCGCAGGTGCTTGGCTTTCACCCTCGGCCTTATCTTTGGGCATTCGGTGTCAGTGCAGATCCCAGTCGTGCCACTCAGGCGAGTCAGGCCAGTCCAGACTTTGGCGGTGCATGACCGTGGTTACGGGCTCTTATCTCTGTCCCTGGTTTTCAGTGGCTCATCGCCGCGGAGGCTCTGACGTCTCTGGGTTTTCAGATCTCTATTTCCCCGGAGCAGTCAAGAAATGGGCAGGGAATACATCATGGACGATGAGATTGTACGCAATCCAGGCGCCATGTCACTGACATGGCTTGTTTCATTTTTACTTATCTGAATCATACAGCAAGTGCCATATAAAGGCTCTCTCTCTCACACAGCCTCTCTCTCTCAGCGGCTGTGTTCTCGTGTCTTCCTACAAATGCTAAGTAGTGTGACTCTTGACCGCCGCCTGCCAGCATGGCTGCAGATGAAGAAGCCGCTCATGAGCGAACTCACCTCCTTGCCCGTGATCGTAGGTTGAGTTCGGTGGCTCATGCGCCTGAAATATCGTCGCTTTTCAGCAAGGATGAGCAGGCTCTCGGTGAAACTGCCGTCGGCGAACGCCTCCCATATAACGACTATACCACGATTGACTGGTTGCATGATCTGGTAAAGAACTTCCTTTTGATTTGTTGTCACTCTCAGCATGCATATCGTTGACATCTTCCACAGGTCAAAGACTCATATCGTTTTCGCACGATTCACAATCGAAAGGGTTTGCGAAACGCTCTTGTATCGGCTTTCGACTCGTGTCAGGGGTGGATTGCCGCTGCGCTGATTGGGACGTTGACAGCGTGTGTGGCGTTCTTGGTGGACGTCGCTGTCGCCACTGTCAGCGACTGGAAGACAGGGTATTGCTCGACCAATTGGCTGGCAAGTCGAGAAATGTGCTGTACTTCAAAGTCGCCTTTCAATTCCTCCTCAGAATCTTGTTCTGATTGGAGGTTTTGGTCTTCAAACTATTGGCACAGGTTTGGTGTCTATGTCACACTTGCCATACTGTTTGGAATCATCAGCAGCACTGTCACCCTGACGACCAAGAGGGCTCTTCCTGCCACTGCACCTGGGTCTGGAGATAAAGGTCCCCCACAAGAGAACAACCGCGGCGATGGATCCGGTCCTGAAGATACCGCCCCCATGGGCAAGTCCATCTACATGGCTGCCGGCAGTGGTATTCCCGAGATCAAGACCATTCTTTCAGGCTTTGTCATTCCACACTTTCTCGACCTCAACGTCTTGATCGTCAAGGCTGTGGGATCGATCTTTGCAGTGTCGACGGGGATGTGTCTGGGGAAAGAAGGCCCATTTGTGCACATCTCCACGTGCGTATCCTACCTCGTTGCCATCCAGTTCCCAAAGTATCGAGACAATGGCCGGAAACTAAGAGAGATGCTGTCTGCGGGTTGCTCAAGTGGCCTTTCGGTTGCTTTTGGAGCCCCGATTGGAGGAGTACTTTTCTCGTACGAAGAGATTTCGACCTACTTTCCTCGCAAGGTGCTGTGGAGAGCGTTCATCTGTTCGATGTTTGCTGCCATGACCCTCAAGGCACTCAACCCAACCGGTACAGGCAAACTGGTTCTTTTTGAGACAAACTATGGAACCACATATCAACCATATCACTATGTTGTCTTTGTGCTTCTCGGTATCGCGGGCGGTATCTTTGGTGGAGTCTTCTGCAAGGCAAACTTCTTCTGGTCACGGAACTTTCGCAAGTATAGCATAATCAAGAACTATCCAGTTTTGGAGGTGTTCTTGGTCGTGCTTGCTACAGCATTGCTCCAGTATCCAAACCCTCTGACTCGAGAACCTGGCGATGTCATCATCAAGAACCTGCTTGTTGACTGCGGGGACCACTCCAGGAGGGAGTATGTCTGTGTGCAGGAAGGCCACGCCGAGCCGACGCCAGAATATCTCGGGTGGCTAGCGTATGGAACCTTGGTGAAACTGATCCTCACCATCGTCACATTTGGAATCAAAGTCCCGTCCGGAATCATTATTCCTGCACTAGATGGAGGGGCATTCTTTGGTCGTTTGATTGGGCAACTCCCGTTCCTCGCTGGCAGCATATCGCCTGGCATTTTTGCCATGGTGGGGGCTGGGGCATTTTTGGCTGGAGTCAGTCGTATGACCATCTCATTGGCCGTGATAATGTTCGAGCTCACAGGAGAATTGGAGTTTATCGTGCCTAACATGATAGGGATCATGGTGGCCAAGTGGGTTGCGGATGCATTGGAGCACAATGGGGTTTACGACCTTGCTCAGACGGTGCTAGGACATCCTTTCCTGGACCTGGATCATAGCATCAAGCTAGTGCAAAAGGACGTGTACCTAGTCGAGGAACTGATACCTCCAGCGCAGACCATGCGAGAGATCACGGTCGAAGTGCCTCGAAGTGGAGTGGTTCCGATGGCCATACTCAAAGAGAAGCTCCATCAGCTCCAAAGACGTGGACTCATGGACGCTGGACTTGTCTTGACGCAACAGGGATTGCTTCAAGGCTATCTGGCGGAGGGAGAACTGGAGTTTGGTCTGGATACCTTGGGTGAGGGCTTTGGTCAAGGAGGCCAAGTTCGACTTCTGCAGGCCGAGCCAAACATGATTGATCAACCCGCACAGGACGAGCTGGATATGTCACACTTCATAGATCGGACGCCCCTCTCGATCTGTGCAAAGGCTCCAATGGAGTATGCGGTGGAAATGTTTGGCAAGCTAGGGTTGAGATACTTGTGCGTGACCGAAGCGGGGAGTTGTCGACTGGTAGGGGTAATCATCAAGAAACGCCTGGTGGTTTGGCTCGAAGAACGACAACCCTGACACCATGGTTTGAATGTGACGCCAGGCGAATGTTCAATAGCGATTCGAGTGAGACTATACATCAGATAGAAGACCGGAAGTCGATCCGCTTCCTCGATTCTGTTTTCGCTTAGGGGTCAAAGTCGCTCCTGCCTCGAATCTCTCTTTGGACTTGCCGTTTGCGAGCATCCACATGTACTCCGTAGAGGGAAGGAGCAATTGGATTCGCATGCCTTCCACTTGACTCCGCGTCCAATGGTCACGCCTTCCGAAAGATGAATGGAGTAACTTAGGGTGTCCAAGGAGCCCGAGGGGCCGGCTGGGCAACTGGCATCGGTTTTGGCCCTCGGGCTCTTGTGATAGCGGTTCGAGTGGGACCTCGGGCCTAAGCTCCGGTTGATGATTATTCCCTAAAGAGCCAAAATGCGGGGTGTTCAAAGCAAGCGAGAGAGTTGCGTGACCAGAGGCGGGCAATGAGCTTTCAGAGAGGCTTCGAGGGTCTGGATTCTACGCTATCTGTGCTGCAGGAATAGCCGTAGCCCCCTCGGCCCTAACGTGTGATATGCAACACAAAGTGATACAGAAAAATTTAGAGGGACTTACCCACCATGCATAACTGCGTCTGCATACGCGTAAGTACCTGTACCTATTTGTTGCGGTAGTCCCAGGTTTAGTGCCGGCAATGATTGAGCTGCAGGTTGCACTTTCCTTGTGATCGACCTTTGCGAGTCTAGTCAAAGGCAGGAAGCGACGATGGATTGTCATATCACCACTCGTACCTTCCATGTTTCGCCTCAAATGCCATCTGCTGACTGCACGTGATGGATGACCTTGGGGGACCGTCTCATCCTTCCCTGCAAATCTCTTCAGTCACTCCATCTCCTCTACCAACAACGCCTCCATTCTTTCTCACACCCCATCTTCCGACTGGCTCGTATCTTGTCCAAATGCTACTTTAAATTTTCTTCTGCATCCTTCCTTGGATTAGCTCTGCAGCATTAGTTCGCTTCTTCGGCTCGTAATAGCCTGTCAAGTTCACTCGTTCTTCCTGTTTCATTGGATCGTGCCTGAATGTTCAGACGTTCATTGTTCTATCTCGGCCTATCCATTCATCTTCACCCTCTCTCGAGGTCATACATACCTCAAATCACTGTCACTAATGTCCTGTTCTTGACAGCAATACCCTGTACAGGTTTGGCCACAAGCCAATGCCAAGTCAGTCTATGATCCTCGGCCTTCAAAACGAATCGAAATTCACAAGGATTCTTTCGAGCCTTATCAGTGTTCTAGGCTTCCCCTCACCAGTCCTCAAAAAAATCTCCACATGGGCTTAGGGCACGATGGGAACATGACGCCTGAAGTCGTAATTGCTCCACCCAGAAAACAACCCAACAAACCCTGCTGCAACTTGCATCAAGTTCTTGCATTCACTTCCGTCGTCTAGACAGACTTTTACCCTCACCCCGACCGACTACGAATTGCGAATATCCCAGTCCTCTTCGCGCAACCCGCCACGGCATTTGCTGACTGGACTACCGGATCCTCCCATCCCCGCCCAATTACAGAGTACACTCTGCGAGACTCCTGGTCCTCAATCCCGATTGCATGTGCACCTATCCACCCACTATGCTTTCTGTATAACACCCAAACATGTCGTCAGCCTCAAATACGGGCAGGCAGCATGCCCGCCATAGCTCCACCTTTTCCAAGGCCGTCTCTCGAGCCTCAATGTCTGCCGCATCTCCCTCGAGAAAACCCCAAGATGATTCCTCCATAGACGAGTCGAACCCTGCGTCAATCACTGACCGTCCCAACCCTCCTCGACGTGCTCGAGCGGGTTCAGCCTCCAGCCAAACCGTCGCCAGAACCCCCGCGAGAAGTTTCTATCGCCGTTCATTTCATGGTCAACTTGATCCTCCTCAATACTCCTCTTCTGCCGACCTCCGAGAAGAAACCGCAGAGCTGGCTGCCTTTGCCCTCAACGACAGTGCTTCCTACCTTGGCAGCTCCCCGCCAGCCTCGGACGCATCTTCAGATGATGGACACCCAGATCCAATTCAAGAAGTCTCAGAACCAGTCTCCCCCCAGGAGTCAGAAGACGGCCAACCCCAAGATCCCATATCTGAGCTCACCATGATGATCCAAAATGCTCCGCAAGACGAGCCTGAATCAGCTCCAAATGGCCACGAAAAGAACAAACATGTACAAGATTCTCCTCAGACGAGAACAAGAGAAGACAACATCCAGCCTGCAGAACCCAGTGAGCGGACACGCCTTCTTGGAGACCGGAGGTCTTCCGTCCAGTATGGCCAGTTGAATGACCTTGAACGTCAACACCTAACCAAGAGGTCACATCAGGACAAATGGAGGAAGACGCTTGAGAACACAAAGGCATGCCTCTACACGCTTTCTCATCCAAAGACGTGGAACCCACGCACCATTTACCACGAGGCCGTCGCCCACCCAGTCTCTCTTTTGCCTGCTGTTTTTCTCGGTCTACTCCTTAACATTCTGGACGCTCTGTCATATGGGATGATTTTGTTCCCTTTGGGCAACGCAATCTTCGACGACCTAGGTTCCGACGGCATTTCAATGTTTTATGTCAGCACAATTGTCGCTCAAATCATCTATTCTTCCGGCGCCTCGGTTTTCCGAGGTGGCATTGGTTCGGAAATGATCGAGGTCGTGCCATTTTTCCACAAAATGGCCTTTACAATTCTCAACACAGTTGGCGAGGATGATCCAAAGTCTGTTCTGGCTACCACCATCCTCGCCTTTTCCGTTAGCGCCGTACTTACCGGTCTCGTCTTTTTCTTGATGGGAGCATTTGGCCTGGGTTCCTTGATTGGCTTTTTCCCTCGTCATATCCTGATCGGTTGCATCGGAGGTGTCGGTTGGTTTCTGGTGGCCACCGGACTCGAAGTCTCGGCCAGGTTGCCGGGGAACCTCGAATACAATTTCGACACTCTGAAGCAACTGTTTCGCGGAGATACCATCCTCCTCTGGGTCATTCCTCTTGTGCTCGCCGTCATCTTGAACATTTTCCAGCGCTTTGTCAAGTCAAATCTACTGGTCGGCGGCTATTTCATCTCCGTCGGTGCCATCTTCTACTTTTTCAAGTTTGCCCTGGACATCCCAATGAGTACCTTTCACTCTCACGGCTGGGTCTTTGACCCCCCTCCAGCCGGAAACCCCTGGTATCATTTCTACACCTTGTATGACTTCAAGGCTGTTCATTGGGGAGCATTAGCCGACACCATTCCTGCAATGTTTGCTCTGACCTTTTTTGGTGTCTTGCATGTCCCCATCAATGTCCCTGCTCTTGGAATTTCCACCGGAGAAGATAACCTCAATGTCGACCGCGAATTGGTCGCTCATGGTCTATCAAATTGCGTCTCTGGACTTTTTGGAAGTGTCCAGAATTATTTGGTGTACACAAACAGCCTGTTGTTCATGGACAGTGGAGGCAACGACCGGTTAGCAGGTCTAATGCTCGCAGCTGCCACCTTTGGAATTCTTTTGGCGGGCCCTGTCATTATCGGCTTCATCCCCATCATGGTTGTCGGAGCTCTCATCTTCCTCCTCGGAATTGAACTGCTCGAAGAGGCTCTGGTCGGAACCTGGGGAAAGGTTCACAAACTGGAATACACCACCATTGTCATCATTGTCGTCACTATGGGGGTTTGGGATTTTGTCGTCGGCATTTTGGTCGGTATTTTGTTGGCTGCTCTGAGTTTTGTCGTTCAAACATCCAGAAGAACTGCTATCCGTGCAACATACTCTGGACAAGTGGCCAAGTCGCTGGTCAGACGTCCTCCTGTCCAACTCAAATTCCTCAGGGAGACTGGTCAACAAACTTTTCTCATCAAGTTGGCAGGCTACCTCTTTTTTGGTACGATTGTTGGAGTTGAGAATCGCGTGCGTGCCCTTCTCGAGGAAGACGCATTTACCGATCGCCCCCTCCGATTCCTCGTCCTAGACATGGCCGCAATCAGTGGGATCGATTTTTCTGCTGCAGAAGCCTTCACCCGGATCAATCGACTTCTTCAAAAAAGAGGCGTTCAATTAGTCATCAGCAGTTTGGATGTTGATGGCGAAATTGGACAGGCCCTTCAAAATGTCGGTTTGTTTGAAGATGAATCGGGGGTGGAATTCTTTGGAGATCTTAATGTCGCTTTGGAGCATTGCGAAAACAGACTTCTTACGGCGCTGTACCGACAACAGGAGCACCGAAGAACTAAACGCATCGCCTCCCACCTGGATGTGCCACGTTCTCAGAGTCAGGATTTGCCACAGTCCTACAAGGCTGAATTCATGGGGAGCTCACCGAGACGAAACATGCTCCATCAGGTGGCACAGTCGACACTCGATGAGGATAGCTCTACCGCAAGCAAGTGGCATTCTTTTAAGCAGCCGTTGCCCTTGCTGTTGCAAATCATGGCAGACCTGACGAATAAGAATGAAGACTTCTGGCACCGGGCCATCCCATATTTTGAACGGGTTACATTCACAAAGGGATCTGTACTCTTCAATGTGGGTGATTCGCCTAATGGGTTCTATCTCCTCGAGGAAGGAATCCTTCGCGCAGAGTACGATCTACCACAGGGCAAGTATTCGGAGTTGATTGTTGCTGGACGACCGTGCGGGGAGTTGCCGTTCTTCTCGCAGACCACGCGGACCGCAACCATGGTGGCGGAAAAGGACAGCATCGCGTGGCAACTGGATGACAAGAATTGGCAAGCTATGCAAAGTCAAGATTCCGATGTGGCCCGGGAACTTTTGATCATCAGCTTGAAGCTGACCAAGGAAAGAATGGATGCTATCACGTCCTATGTGTTGACGACTGCGAGTTGAAGTGTTTGACAAATGTGAATGATGGGGTGTAGGTTTGAATTGATGCATATACTCAGCCTTACGAGACTGCTACAGGGTCAGCGAGCGAAATGGAATTGTGTAGCGGGTTGAAAACCAAATTTGGCAGTGGCAAAAGTCGTTTCATTCAAGAAAAGCATGGCGCTCGTGGCATCGTGAATTTGAACGGGGAAAACAGCAGAGATGTAAAAAGTTGCAGGGTCGGTGGGGTCTTGGTTTGGTCTGGACTAGAAATATTGACGGGAGTGGCCAAGTGTAGGATGATAGCATTGTAGCGTTTGGAATAGTATCAGCGAGACGTAGTGGAAGTGATAATAGGATGAGTTTTCACACAGTCATGCCTCATCAGTCGCATTCAATCATGGTTTGGCAGTTAGGTAGTCGAGAAGGCCAATTGGAGTGAATCGCTCATAAGAGAAAACATGAGGGAAGCCATATCCCCCAATACCCAATTGATGAAAAGCATGGCACAACATGCCACATCCATCCATCCATCATTCGATCCCTCCATCAATCCATCTATTCAAGGACGGGTCTTTCACTTATTTATCCTTGACACCGAGTATCGTGTCAAGAAACTCAACGGCAGCAAGATCCACGCCAGGACTCTTGACCATGCGATAGACACGGTTTCCCGACAAGTTTCCGAGCCAATTATCTCGGTCGTAGGACCGCTCACCATCACTGCCACGACGACGACGAGCGCGACGGTCCCCAACAGTCATACCGCGAGTCCACTGGCCTTGGGTCTCGATACGCACGTCTTCAGGACTCTTCTCGCTGGCAACCCAGCCCGGATGTGTCTGGCTCGTAACCCACCAGAGACACATCGGGTCATGGAGGGCGAGAGCGGCGCCGTCGCCTTCATGGCCGAGATGCAGCCGCTCCATCTTGTCGAGCATAGGCGTCATGAACGACATCATCCACTGTGCGAGCGGCGAGCCGGCGGCGGCCAATTCGCTTGCGGCCTGTGTAAGCTGTCTGCGACTTAGCATGTGATGCTCAGTCAGGTCCAAAGCCATCAGCCGCAGATTCAGAGTGCGCGACAGTGATGCCGGATAAGGGGGTAGACGCGCCGACGGTGCATCGGTTTTGGCTGGCGGTGGCATCGTCGACGCTGGGTTCGGGCTCGTCAGCGCGTATACACGTGCCGCTGCATAGGGGTCTGCGTAGACATTGAATTCGGCCACTGGCGTCACGTTGCCAACCAGATCCACCACCGTGCCTCCCATGGACACCACTTCCTTGCACCGTAAGAACGTCTCCGGGTCTTCGGCCGCTGCCAATGCAAAATTCGTCAATGGACCGATCGACACCAGCGTGATGGTGTCAGGCTCGTTTTCGCGCAGAATCCGTAGGATTTCCTGGTGTGCGGGTAGGAGTGAGGGCGTGAATGATTGCGTAGGGTTTTGGAGGTCGGTACCCCCAGCGGAGGTGGACTCTGCGAGTCGTGTCAGGTCAGGGTTTGGCGGCGGCTCTTCAAAGAGATGGGCCCATTCTTCTTCTGGGGTGAAATGATGTGGATGGCTCGCGTGGATGCCTCCTAGTCCGTCGATGCCGTGGAAGAAATCGCTCTCGATCTGGTCCTGCAGCGGCTCTTCAGCGCCAATGGCCACAATTGGCTTGAAGTGCCTGATCCCTTCGAATCCTTCGGGTAGATTCTTCTCCCGTCGCCATGCGAGTTCTTTCTCCAGCACGTGGAACACGGCTACCACGTTGCGTAGACATGACCGGACGTCGACGTTGCCGTGAGTCAGCGACAACAGCACGACCTCTAGATCGGACGATTTCGACGCAAGTGCGTACAAGATAGCTAGTACATCGTCAACGCCAGGGTCGGTGTCGATGATGACACGGTTCTTAGGCGCCATGACGGCTTTGGGGGTTGTGGTTGGAACTTGTGACCTGTTTCTGGGAGATGGGTCGACTGTGACTCTGACTCTAGCTGTTACCCTCTTTCTTATAGGATCTCACACGAATGAGGAAGAGGACAGTCCAGTTCAGGTAGGACGTCCGCTTGAGATAGGAGGTCTTGACTCTTGCCAGACCAACAGCAAGTAACGTGAGATGACTATCCTGGCCAAGACCTTGAGAGGCCTGGGAAGATAAGGCGAGAGCGGAGTTGAGTTGGGTGGCAACCGTCGTTCGTATTGCTTCAGGCTTCCAGCATCAATCAGGACTGGGCCTACAGTAGTGAACTGGAGGACAAGAAGAAAGCAACGTCGCCACTAGAATGCTGATCAACAACCAGGGTCACATTATTTTGAATTCAAGGATTAGTGGAGCATAGGTAGGTTCATCGGCCGTCTCCGAGACGGAGAGATTTTAGATTGTTATTGAAAAAGATGGGTGGATGGTCAACTGCACGACGTTACAATCAATCGAATCATTACGCAGTAGTGAGAAATGAGTTTCGAGGGGCCAAAGTACTGCGGGCAGGAGGGGCGGAAGTCGGAGGTCGGAGGTCGGAAGACGGATTATGGTATTCTTCCGGGGTTGGCAATCACGTGCTTATCAATTCATTTATATCCCCCTTTCATTGCCCGGACGGACGTTGTTGATGTTGTCCTTCTTTGACTCGACCTCTAAGCTTGCAAGTAAATATTGGCTGTATTGGGGATCATCTACGGAATTTTTGTTTGTCTCCCTATCAGATCAACTCTTCCAGACTCTTGGCACCAGGCTCTGGATTCCCTTTGATTCCATCGGTCGGCACTTTCTGACTAGCAAATGCCAAAAAGACTGCCTTCCAGCCCGATTCATCATGTATAATAATGGCACCGTCCGTTCCGACTGCATTCTGACTCGCAAATGAGCCCACCGACCCTTGATTCATGTGCACCTTGTGCAAGCCCTTCCCATCGCGGTAGCGGAAGCCAAAGATGTACATCTTGGATTGGTTGCGAATGGCGGCCTGGATCACGGGCTCAAGGCTGTCCAGGAGGTCATTATCGGGCCCAGGCACGTCGTGTGGAAGGATCTTGCCGGTTTTGGTGATGGAGATGAGATCTGGGGTGCGCAGGTAGTCCAGTGAGAGTGACGACGTCGCCGTGGGAGTGTCGGGCACTCCTGTTGCAGCGTGGAAGCCTAGATCGAGCTCTTCGAGGACCTTGATGGTTGGTTTATGGTCGAATGGATCTTGAATGGCATAGACAAGCTCCGATGGAAAGCCCTTGGATTTGACGTTGATTGCTACATTGTACTTGAACTCAGCTCGCCGTGGGTTCTGAGGGTCTCGGAAATAGAGCAACAGATGTGGGTCCTGCGGGTCGTCTTCATGTCGTTCTCGTTCATACCCAAATGGTTTGAGTGCCCATACGCCGTATGTTTCTCTTGGGCTAGTGGTGGCCATCTTGAAGCAAGGCAGCAACAATTTCGTTCTGAAGAAGGGGGGCAAGCAGAGAGGAGAGAGACGAGACGTTGATTCAACCTCCCGATGGCAGCCTAGCGATCAAGCCTTATATGTTTCTTGTCTGTGGTTCCTCCTCAGCCGTGAAGGCAAGGATTCCCTTCGATTGTCACACAGCCTGATGGGAAGAGGCGTTGTGGCGGCTTCAGCTTGCCAACAGGTCTCTTGATGTTTGGTTGTGATTCTGACACTGCGGGGTTTGGTCTCGTATTCCTGGCGATTTCATGGTAACCGAATCAGCTGAAACGACAAATCTGGCACCTGATGAGCTGTTGGTGCTGACCACGCGCAGAGCAGATGTCTTTCTAGCGGTAAACGAGTAACGAGATTTGAAGCCACAACAGAATGAGCGCCTTCCCCTCGTAACTTCATGATGCCACGAAAGAGAAAAATTTGCTTTCAAACTGTCATTTTGATTCTTCCACTTGATTGCAGACTTTTCCACAGGTGGCCTGGGAAGACACACATGGCCCTCGACCTCATTTGTTACGTACCAGAGATATGACCGCTAATCTACAATGACATTCACATTTTGGTCGATGCTTAAGCCGGCGCCCAGTGCCCTTGCACACAAATCCAGAACCTACGCTGCTGTCGAGGCGATGCAAACCCAAGCAGACCCCTCTTGGAAATGCCTCGGGTCTGCAACAGACTGTCGCCTTAGTCTGGTCTGATATCTGGCGATCGGCGTGTATGCATGAGCCTCTTCTGTCTCATGCACCACCTTTTCTCTCATGATCTGCATGATCTCATGCGCATCGTTATACATGTCGACGTTGGCGAGTTGCCCCACGGCCGCAATTCAGTTGTGGGGAGATAGGAATCGTTCTAGTAGACCTTCTTCTTCTCGTCGACACTGAGCTGGCCAGGTCCCATGTTGACCAAGAGGAGTAGACCGCCAACGATAGACAGGATTTGGAAGAAGTCATACTTGGCAAAGTCCTTATGTGGGTGATTGTGATGCAGCTAAAAGAGAACAGTCAGACACTGGCACAGGGGTAGATGGGGGCGGATGAGCTTAAACGTAAGACTTACCGTCCAGAAGTTGTTGACGAGAATATTGAAGACGCTCAAAAGCAAGACGAGAATGATAGCGCTCAACTTTGCCTTGAAACCGACCACGACCATGACACAGGCCATGAAGCCGATCAAGCTGACCAGGACTCTCCAAATGCTCCACTCACCAGCAAAGACGAAGCCGATGAACAGAAATATCAACAGGACTCTACCACCGAGTTGGATATACATCTTCTTGTCCTTTTCGTCGATTGTGGGTAGGCCTGCAAAAACGCGGCTCTTCTTGACAAAATTATCACCCAGGACCATGAGAAGGCCACCAATGACGGACAAGTTTCGTAGGAAGAAGTTCAGGTCGAAGATGAGACCGTAACCGAGAGCCTGAACGACAACGACGGTGAGGAGGCCTCCGACCGCATACTCTCCATAGCGACGCATAATGACCAGGATTGAACAAGTGGACATGACAACAACGTTGAAAATGAGGAAGAGATGCGTGATGCCCCAAGGAACTAACAGAAAGGGATTAGTATAGATTCGAGTACCCTTTTCCACCTCGTGCTAATGCTTACTGTGTCTGAAGTCTCTGAGGTAGGTGAGCTGATCGCTCCACTGGGTGATGATTCTAAGAGCATCTTCGAGGAAAGTGACGACAATGAGGAATCGGCCGATGGCTGGCACGTATCTAGATATCCAAGGGTTAGACGTGAATAATGGGTTGTGGTCTCAATGCCAACACGTACGGTTTCAGTGGCTCGCCGATGCTGGTCAGCCAGTCCTCGATCTTGCTGGTCTGCTCCCGAATCTGATCGAGGGGACTGGGATCACTGGTAGCATCGTTACTCCGTTGTGAAGCAAACTGGTTGTTCATTCCCAGGTTATAACCTGCGGTCCCTCGTATCTGCGCCATGTATGACGCGTGAGTCGATGCAATAGCAGGCGAACAGGAATGGAGGAGAAAGGTGGTAGGATGCGAGGGTAGGTAGTTGACAGGTGTATTTTTATTGTTGTGCAGGAAGGAAGGGAGGCCAGATGAGGACCTGCCAGGAAGGTTTTGGAAGGCGTGGGGCACCTGGTGACTTTGGGAGGAGGTAGTACGGAGTAATGTCAAAGTGGCAGAAGCTCTGGAGCAGGCAATTTGGCCGTAGGGTTATTGGTTGCTGTCAAGTGGCACTGTTCTTCCACCAGGTAAGATTATCAACAAGCTGAGAGGGATTATTGATCGAGCAGAGATCGAGCAGAGATCGAGCAGAGATCGAGGTGTCGATCTTTATGAATTCCTCGAGAGAGTTGAAGAGGAATTTTCGGACGCGAAGCGAGCAAGGTGGATTGTGGCAGAACTTGGTTCAAACAAGTGACGATTATAGTGATACTGATGACAGGTTTAGGAGCAACAGGCTCAGCACGGCATGGGGAATAATAATAACACTACGCATACTACTACGGAGTAGTAGTAGATAGGTACCTGCGGAGTGCCTAAGGTACTTGGTGTAAATGACCTACTACCCACCAAATCTACCTCACCCTGCCTACGGAGTACTTACGGAGTAGTAAGTACCTGTGACGGAGGTCCTCCCTTTCCATCAGCAAGTGCGAGAAACTTAACACGCTGTCTACACACAAAAGCACCAAACCGCAAAAAAACCCACTACGCCCATCCACCAATCAAGTCTCCACCAGCTACCGCAACTCTGGCTTTCGAGTCAAAATCATTCCTCAGGACAAGAAGCTCCCGTCCTTTAGGGTCCACGAAGCCACCTAAAGTCCTAGGCCACCCGGACTTAAGCCAAGGTCTATACTTTCCTTAGTAACCTCCTCTCGCCACGCCAGATCGCCACGACCTCAGCCTCACAATGCTGACGGGGGATTTGGGCAACAGGTTCCTATTCTTGTCCGGTAAGTTTTGACCTATCTGCTCTGCTCTGCATTCTCTGCTCGATCGATCGATCGTGTGAGGGTATCAATACAATGCATTTTTGCTCGAGTCCAGGACGAGAAAAAGGAATTGTGAATTTGCAACCAACTCCTTGCGCCTACATAGACATAGAGCGAGTATTTCCACCCCCTAGCGCCTGGACCAGGTGTCTTTCTCCGCCAACCTTTGGACTTTGGATGCCTGCCAGTCCCTTTAAAGTACTGCACTCAACAATGCTCCCATTTTCAACCATCCCATACAATGACAATGTTGCAAATGTTTTAAATTCGACCCTTGATGCTTTCATGTGTACCACTCTGCATTGTTCAGGTAGCACTCACACTATGCCTCCCAATCAGCATCTTTAAATGATGAAGAACCTGTGTCCTCCATAGACGCGAACCGATTTCCCGAATCGACTTTCGCTTTCACTGTCTCTTTGCTTTTGAGTCCATTGGTCAATGACTTGGTCTCGGTCACTGTTGTTTTTGGCACCGATGAACTGGCTTCGCTACTGGTCTCGACATCCTTTCTGGCCTTCTTTTTGCCCTTTTTGCTGGTAACGGATTCCCATTTCTCGTCTTGCACAAGCTCGCTGGCCCATTGATCCTGTTCCTCGTCGTTGACCTCGTCTGCCCAGCTTGCTTTTGCCTGTAGCTCAGGTCGTGATACCTTTTCTCGACTGGATGCCGCCATTGCATTCGTCTTGGACTCTCCTTGTTCCTTCCGAACCTGGTTGACATTGGTCGCCTCGGTTGGGACGTTGGTGATGTTGGACAGTGGCTCCGACGACACAGCTCCGTTGACAGGTTTCGCAGATTCACCTACAGGGTCAAATGTGTCCAACAATGGTGCATGTCGAACTTCTGCTGTCTGACCAGAAGTCCCTGACGTTGTCGGCTTACCAGACTGCCAGGCGTTTTGCTTCGCTGCGAAGTTGTCTGCCTTGGTCTGGTTAGAAGTTCCAGCGGCAGTCCTGGCCGTCCGTAATTGTTGCTGTTTCTTAGCATCATGAAGCCGATCCGACTCTTCCTTCAAAGCCTTTTGCTCTGCCTGCTTCGCCTGTCGTTGACGTTGCTTCTTTGACAAGACAGGCTCAAACTTGTTGCTGCCTGTCTTGGGAAGGCTTTTGATCTTCTCCTTGACGTCGGTCAATCTAAGCGTGGTGGGCTTGGCTGCTGGAGCTTCCAACATATCCGACACATCATCCGCACGAGAGGTTGGCGCCGTAGACACTGGACCCGTTGAAGGGGACCCTACAGGAGAGAAGTCATCTTCAGCATCAGGCCCGTCAGTGACGGAGGATGCCGTCGAGATGGCGGATGCCTCTAGCCCCCCTGTCGGACCTCTGGCCTTCTTCGCAGCACGCCTCTCTTTCTTGCTTGTCCCCGTTGCTTTTGAGGCTGATAATGACGTTCCAGCCTGTGTCTTGGAGAGACGCTGAGCAAAATCCTTGTTGCTCATCGAGGCTTCGTCGTCTTCGACTGCCTCGCTTTGCCTCACCGCAGCTGGCTGGACTGGCTTTTCATGACCAGCTGTGGATGAAGCCAGCTTTCTGCGTTTATGTGCAACGCCTTCACCGGCACTGGTCGGTGTCGAGGTCCCACTGGTGGGTCCCACTCGACTGGTATGTGTTCGCTTCGTTTTCTGACGTTTCTCGGCCGGTTTTGGTGAAGCAATCGATTCTGAAGCCTGGACCGCTTGCTGGGTCAGCCTGTCAAACAATTGAGGGTTGTAGTATTTGGTCAAGGCTGCGGTCAGAGCCAGAAGGGCGACCCACGATGCGGCTGTGGACCACATCTTGCGCGATGTTGTAGAGGATAGGGAGAAAGGAGGAGTCGAGGAGAGACGACGATGGGAGTATCAAGGATGATCCCTTTAAGCCTTGAACTCCAAACAAATGCTCCGAAAGCGTTGCTCAAGCTCGAGGGGGAATAGTGGTGACCGTAGCCAAGCAAGGGATAGATTGAATATGACGGCCAAGGTATTGTCAAGTCTGGGCAGCGGGCACGGTGGTGAGGAGTGGCGGGGCAAGCGACCAGGAGTTGAATATTCAGCAAAGAAGGGACTGAAGAAATGGGAGAGAGTGAAGTCGAGGTTGAGGTTCAGGTTGCGGCGAGGAGGTCAAGGGGGAAGAGAGACGGTGGTGGGATGATGTGATATGAAAGACCGTGACGCGTCGAAGGGTTGAGCTTGGGCGTGCAAAATGTTGTACTCGGAAGTTAGAGGCTTAGAGCTGCGTAGGTGAGGACAAAGTGGAACCAAATCTCACCAGAGTGTCGCAGAGTCGCAGTTTGGGAGATTCGGGAAGGGGGGTAGAATAATGGAACCAAAGAATACAGAGTACTCCGGCCTGGATTAGGATATAGAAATCGTTGGCGTCGACTGGAGATCGAGGGGAGACGAGGGGATGCGAGGGAGGGGATGGAAGCGAAACAGACTGGATTGTCATCTGGTCCTGGCGAGTCTGATCGAATATCTGTCAGAGGGCCAAGGTTGCAAGGTGGTCTGTCTTTGTACCTAACGATGAGGTCCAGGGGCCGATGGGGGGATACAGTAATCCTAATCTACCTATCGAAAGTACACCTAACGTACTATGTGTGTATGCTTATCTAGGTAAGTACTAGGTAGTACCTAATATAACGTAACAACGCCAGTCGTAAAACATAGCTCGTGGCACCAGGTCTTCCAACAGTCAATGCCTATAATAAGTAGAATTCATTGTATGCACGGGCACCTACTCGTCCGCGTTCTTGGTGGTGGGAATTGCCACCTAACCTTTCCTTTATAGGCATGTTCGTCGCGTGGCCCAGTCCCCATGTAGCTCTGGGGGCTCGCCTCTGGATTGAGACGTTCTTAGCGAGAGCGGCCTTCCAGTAGCGACCCCAAAAAGTCTCACACAGTTAAATGATGCTAATGGATAGCGTCATGGATGAGTTCCTTCTGACGCACCACCATGTGGAGTGCAAGTAATGTACAAATAACACAATTTTATCATGAGATTGTAACTCAAAAGATAACCAAATCTCGATGCCATCACGATGTGCCATGTGAACCAGCGACCTTGACAAGCTATGTAGGTGGCTGAGGGCTAGCATCCCAGATAAGGAGGCATCCACGGAGTTGCCTAACGTAGGTGGCAACTGCAGGTCTGAACAATCGAAGTGACTACACCATATTAGCCCTAAATAGCGACGGTTTAGGCGCAATGCCCCCGAAACCGGCATCTTCTCCTAGGTACCTACCCATCCATGCCATCCTAAGTAGGAGGTCTGTTTACAATGCCTAGCAATGCCACCAGACTATACACAATGTCTAACGTTGGAGTCACGGAGTACGCCACCACATATCAATGGAATTTTGGTCATGCTTTCATGACATAGTATAGACCCAAGTATATTTAAACATCCTGGCGAAATTCTCCAATGACCAAGATGTGCTCAAACGCTCACAATTACGCCCGAATTCGACTGGATCGCTAAACAAATCAGAGCTTGTCCTCAGCATGTAGCCAGCGATACACCACCAAAAGTTCAAGCCCAAAACATATATTCGCCCTAATCATGTCGACTCGTCAGATGAGATCAAATAGTGAATCTGCCAAGAGCTTCGTCTGTTTAGCAAAGACAAGTCATCCTCAGTGGCAGCTTTGGTGTGCGCCAACATTGGCCTCATGATCGGGTCAGAAAGGTGTTTTATTTTGATAGAATCAGGTCGTTCCCTCTTTAGCGAGGGTTCACGCACTTCATGCGCAGGTTCCTCCTCGTCTTCGACCTCCGGTTCATCAGACTCGTAGTCCATCTCGTGGATCTCCATAATATCTTGGTCCGAATTGCAGTCGAAATTGTCACGAGACAGAGTGTGAGCCAGCGGTCGTGTTAGCGGTTCATTTGCTTTCATTGGCCTGCCGATAATTGCCAACGGCCATCGCATCTCGAGTTCGGTCCCAGGCCTTTTTCGACCAGCCATGACTGCTGCGCTTGGTGGAGGCAACATCATCCATGCAGCCTCGTCTCTCGTTGCGGGCAACTGTGACACAGGCGGCGGATGTAGATCGTTGAGAGCAGGGTTTTTGCCGCGACGATAGTCATATCGATCACTCTCCATTGTCGGAGCCCGTCTTCGTAGTTGAAAAGTCTCGTCTCGGGCTTGAGCATCTCCACCTTCATCATGAAGAGCCCCTGCAGTCGCCCGATTCCACATGCGGGTCATTCTCTCACTGAAGCCCCATAGAACCTCGTCTTCGCGATCGTAGCGTTTCCAGTTCCATGTATCAGTATGCAAGGTGGATTTCAATGAATCCTTGATATTCTCCATAGCTGTCGACAGTCTTCTGTCCATCGAAGGGCGTTTAGGACTAACCCCGGACGTAGCATCGCGAGGCTTGGAGGAATGACTCTCGGTGTCGCTCGAGGAGGAGGCAGTGGATGGGCGTGATAATGTTGGAGACAGGCCCGCAGAAGACCTCGTCGCTTGATCATGAAGCTGTGGTAGTTCTGGTGATTTTGAACCACCAACCGCCTCCGGTGGCTCTATAGACTCGCTCTTCTTCAACTTTTGCAACAGTCGGTCGGCTTTCCAACCTTTTGGTGGTCCAGGACCCAGCATTAACTCCTCTGCCCATGTCTCGTTGGTTTGAAAGGGGCCGGGCTGTCGAACGAGACCTGGTTGAGTAGTGACTATTTCATTGTGGGCTTGCGCTTGAGCTTCTGCCTCCCTCCGTCTTTTGCGCTTGTGCTGATATTCTAGACAAGGGGTGAAGGAGATGTAGTAAAAGATGGCCGACTGGACGCCGCGCAAGAACCAATGTCCAGGCTCTGCTGTATAGGGAGGAGGTGTCATTTGCTGCGGAGTGGAGTCGAAGCTTAAGGTGTAGTTGTTATCGACATGACGGCCCCAGGGGCTCTGTCAATGGCGTTGCGTCGGATCTGAGGTGGCGCATGTAGGTGACAGTCGAGGATAACGTAGAATGAGCCGTGAGAAAGGAATGCCACTCCAGGTCTCCCACAAAGTCGAAGCTTCTGCGATATGAGGGAACAGAGAAGATGGACGGTCAAGCCAAGAAGATCTGTGGTCGATGATTACATGTCGGTACTGTCAAACCCGTGCTCAAGGTAGTGGGTTATAGTGACGAAAGTGAGGTGCAAGTGCTTTATTGGCATTGCTTGCGTTTTGGCGAAAGGGTGCCGCAAGCCGAAGGGGCACCAATGCAGGCTACGATTGAAGAATCTCCACGCGGGCAACGTGTCAATCCTCTAGACGGAACAGGCTTGGTGGTTAGTTGGCCAATAGTGGAGGCAGACGGGTTGTATCGGCCAGGGACCATGAGGAGGAGATTTCGAGGGGTGAATTGTGACTGGCAAAGACTGGCACTGACTGGCTGCCGGTGACAGAACTGCGAGGGCGAGGACGCACAACGCATATGGCAAGGGCGACCGACCCCTTTCATCAACCTCATTCCTTCCAAATTGTCACGGCAGGGTAAGCTCCGAAAGCCCGCTTGCCATTTTAGGATTAGCCTCTGTAAAATGGGGTCTACGGCGGATCTTTCAGGCTTCGGATACAATCTCACCTCAACCTCGATCCTAACCTGACCCCTCGCATTCGACATTTGCAGCAGAACACAATGCAATGATCGTTGCGGGTGAAGACTTGCGAAACGGCAAGGCGTGCATTCTTAATCACGCTTAAGCTATGCTACATGATTCATACTGTGAGTTTCGTCGTGAATATCAAGCGATCTCACTTGATCATCGCTTCAGGCGCTCGACTCCAAGGCAGTTGAGTCCGAGGCGCCCAATTCCAACACATGCCCATGACAACCTCATACCCTATTGAATAAATGCATGATTGACTCGAGGGCTTTCTAATGGCGTAATGGTATACTTAAGGCCCCCCAAAGTTCAATAACAACCTTCTTAGAAATCACCGGAGACAAACGTGTTCCGCACTCGGAGACATTCTGATGCCCAGCCTCATTACCTCAGACATATATCAAGGCCCCATTGCATTCAAAGTGATCCTCGGTCTTTGTGTACACATATACGCCATCTTTCGTACACTTCAGAGAAAACTTCTTTACTCATATTCTCAACAAGAGACCACTGTCTAAGGCTATCCGCTCCGTTATGGCGCGGCTATACGATTCCCTCATCATTGGTTCTGGTCCGGCTGGCCTCTCGACCGCCTTAGGACTTGGCCGTGTCCATCGGACATGTGCAATCTTCTCAAACTCGACATATCGAAACGCAGGCATCCATGCAGCTCATGCAATCCTAGGTCACGACGGGAAATCGCCCGAAGAGATTCGGAATGCTGGTCGTAAAGAAATCGAAGCATACGGTCATGCCGAATTCGTCGAGGCTACCATTGTGAAAGTCTCCCGATCACAAACCAGCAACGGTTTGCATAGCATCTTTTCAGTGTCAGATTCCGTCGGACGTGAATGGAGAGGGCGAACTGTTATTCTGGCCACCGGTGTTAAAGACGTATTCCCCGACTTACCTGGTTACCGAGAGAACTGGCCTCAGAATATTTATCAGTGCCTGTTTTGCGATGGCCACGAACGATATCAGCAGCTGAAGGCCGTTCTGTGCTATCCAAATGTGAATCTGATGTCCATCAAAATGGCCACCATGGCCCATTTCCAATCATACCCTCCAGGATCAAAAGGAACACCGTCTTCTGGGAAATCGCTGGTCAGAGTATTGACCAACGGGCCCGCCAACCCTGAGAAGGATAAAAGCATCAGTAACGCACTCAAAGTCCTGTCCGCGTACGGCATTGAAGTCGACGAACGGCCAGTGTCAAAGCTGGTTGCAGATCCAAAACAAGGGGTTCATGTTCATTTTGAAACTCAGGAATCGTTACATTTCGGCTGGATCTTCCACAAGCCAACTACAGAGCTCTCGAGCACCACGGCATCATTCGTGGACCAGCTTGAGCTCGCCACCGCAACTACCCCGTACGGAACCACTATCAAGACTGAGCCGCCTATGAACTCGACAAGTGTGCCAGGACTATTTGTTGTTGGTGATGCCGGCAATATGATGACCCATGTCACCACTGCTATCTCCAGTGGCTTGGGGGCTTCTGGTGGCGTTTCGCATTTTTGTAATGAATGGGATGATGCAGACGTATTGTTGCAGATTGAGGGTCAGAAGAAGGAATAGCCACAATTGACTTCAGCATGGATATCACCACCAATTGCTGGCATCAGACAGAGGTTAGATGAGGTTGAGGCGGTAATTGAACGAGGGGACAGAAGCAGACTTGTATCACTGTCAGCGAACAGCCAAAACTTCTGTACTTTTGACAATGAACAGGAAGGCCAGTTGGTTGAACCCCGCAGACAGGGCTGCATTAGGGTCGCGGAATACCGGCCTCATCCGTCCAATATTTACGCAATCCATGTCCCTGAAAGCTCACTTTCCTTCCATATGCAACGAGGACCGTCAATCGAACAGCGCATATATGCACGGGGTGATCAGTGTGGAGACCATACGACCCCGGTCCGCTCTCACCTCTATGTAGATGAGACGTTATGACAATTACCAGATCGTGTAGCTTGCGTCGATCGGGACTTTCCAGCCGAAATCGAACATAGTTGGTGGAACTCGTCCTGATCGGGTTTTTTAGCACTTGGCTCTGTGGCTCATTTCCTTAACAGTGTCACGACCAGTGCTTCACCAAGTCATGGCTAACCTTGCACATGTGAGACTTGGTCCATGAATCGCCTTGGAGGAATTAGAGTGTATTCAGCTAGTCCTTGTTGCCAACTTGAACAAGTTTAGCTGTCCGACTTTGCACTGAACCCTGAACGTACGGCCGAAGGTCCAAGGCCCAAGTAGGGCTGCTGCGATAGATCATGGTCTGGAAGTCTGGTCTGTTGTGATTCGACTGTGTTGATTTGTCAGTAGATCCTGGATATCCATATGACGCCAACCGGTCTTCTTCTCCTGTTTCAAAGACAGTCCAAATTCACATCGAGCTATCAGATGCATCTTCGTTAAACCCTTGCAAGGACATGGTGCTAAACTACGCTTCCGGCAACGCCTTTTGCTGCGTTGCAGAAGTGGGAATCACGATCGAAGTAGCTGGGATAACTAGCCGAGACTCGTCCTTTCCCCAAGGGTGGCCTTGTCTCAAGATGACCCGACACAGTGGTAGAGGAGGTGTGAGGGCCTACGTATGCGTGCTGGGCGGCCATCCGTCTTTTAATGGTTACCTGAAACTGAAAAATCAGAGTTTATAGACCCCACGGACTATACACTGGGCAACATCTAACACTTGAGAGCTTCGAGGACAGGGTTGATGTCAAATACCGAGTTGGACGACTGAATAAAGTTTTACTGAGCAGCCACAACGGACGTTGTCAGGGCCGGCGTTGTACAAAAGGACGAAATGTCCCCAGCTGTGGTATTTCGGTGGTTGGATGCTCGCTGACCCATGTTCCACAAGGTCCCACCAGCAGCAGGCTCAAGAAGTATGTATAAATTGCGGGTCTGGGGTTACCAATCACTGATCGATCGCTGTGCATCAAGCCCATTCATCTGCTCTCACGGAAGTGCTTGTTTTATCCCAGTCACGTACACATATGCGTATACTGGTTCGGTTTTAACTTTCCATCGGTGCCCCCGGACCAAATGGAAATACACCATTGGACAAACTGTCTTTGGACCTCGATGGTGTCACATTTCGGGTCCAAATACCCAATTCCCGTTCGTTGTGGATCACTCACTTCCTTTACCAATAGTCTCTTGGACTGGTGATAGAGGGGCCCATGCTGCATGCTTCAGGAACTAGTTAGGACAATTATGCTGCCCCAGCGCTGAGAGGTATATCGGGTTTAACGCCAGGTGAGTCTGCTTTAAGTTCTTTGGGAGGGAGATGGAATTGCTAGCGAACAAAAAGGGGCCCCCTCGGCCGGCTAGGGATGCCGCCTAATTGGAAGAAGCCTGAACAAGTTTCCCCAGCGTTCAAGGTCCATTAGTCACAGCCGAACAGGTGTATTAGTGAATGACCCTAATTCACGTACAAACCGTAATCCTTCGTGCCACTGGTACAGTCTCGCAATGTCAACTCCATCGGACCTTTTGAGACTTTAACGCCGGGCCCCACGGCGATCATGTTTGTTTCCGCTGTCATGTTGAGTTTCTGTGGTACAGACCCTCAGAACAGAGCCAATCAGCTAGACTCGGAAGTATCCAGTACACTCTTCTTCCCAGGAGACGGTCTAGACCAGATTTCAAGTCAAAGGCATTTCTTTGAGCATTCCTCGGATGCATGCGGCTGCTAATGGCGACGAGCAATGCGTGAGGTGGTCCGAGCGTACACACGGCATCGGAGGCTTGCCAGGATTACCCTCTGTTTGCCTCAAGCATAATCCAGGGATTGCTAAAGTCGACATGAGATATGGCTGTCTCTCCTGGGGTGGGCATGATACTTTTTACTAGGAAACATCTTCTTCATAGAGAGCAGGCAACAGCAGTCTTTTAAGACCCCCCTTTTGAGTGGGTGTTCTGTAATGGCGTCATTGAGCGTACAGATACTATGTTCACGTCTCAGACGATGACAGTTGGGCTTCCACTTACCATCGATCGCGATTGCACGCCTGGCTTGCATTAGCCTCAATCAGCCCAACTTGGTCGTTCCTGGAGTCTATCTCGCAGATGTGCTAGCGTATGGTTTTCGCTTTCATCTTGTGTGAACAAAAGATGAGTTCCAGAGAAAGACTTGACTTTTGGTGTTATGTCCGAATGCGGCCAATCTTCTCCGTCGACGCTCCCAGCTCGAGCGAAAGCAACCAGAAGACATGAGCCGATCCAGTTCAAATGGCTTCTTGTTTTGTCTTTCTTCTTTCTACTCTTCTTACATCGACAAAGCTTGATACCGTCTTGTTGACAATTTCCGACTGGAGATTGCTCCTCCTTTACTGGGAACCATTTGAGACAAAGCCACGGGTGGCTAGTTACAGAGAGTTCAGCTCGTTCAGAGAGCCACAGCTTTACCGCAAACCCATAGCCTTGTCTTCCTGCAAGGTACCGACGCTACTTTTCCAACTGGTTCCTCCTCAACACCTTTAGAATACCTCACACCGTGGGAAATCAGACTGCTGGTGGCAAGAGCTTTCTCTCTCCATTCATCTATCCGCGTCAAACCTTCCCAGAACAAGGGATCCTTTGAGAGACGGTTTCCTTTCCCAAGGAACAACCAAGCAAAGCAATTCTACATTGTGCAGAACAACGCTCTGAGGAGAGAGCTGATAGCAATCGTGGCCGGCGTTGTTCTCCTGAACACGATTCTTATCAAGGCGGTTATAGAGCCCAAGCCAAGGTCTCTTTCATCTGAGATCCTTTCAGCATCTGCCCCACAACAGCCACAGTCCTGTTCCTCATCGGCCATCTAAAACTCACTCTGACACCAGCGGTGAAGTATCACAAGGAACATCCCGCTGCTCCACTTCTCCAGTCGCCAGTCGTCTCGGTTCACACTTGATACTCTCTACCGTAATGCGTCCCGCTGCTGGCCGACCGATTTCCCCACCACACTCTTCCGACGAACAATACGACCTGGCCGACAGGAGTACCAGGTCATCAGTGGCCAAAATCAAGCCAGAGCCCTTTACACCGCCGATGCCTTCAACACAACTGATGCCAGATCTTGGGCTCAATGATCCATACGTAAGCATCTCTCCCTCAATGACACTCCCCATCGCTGACAATTACAGAGCTCATATGGCGACCCATCCATGTATCATCAAGCTCCTTCCCAAATATACTATACGCCACAACAGGTGAGTTCAGACTCTTAAGTGCTATCTCCAGAAAGCTGACCAGCCAAGCAAATGATCACCTCACATCCAGCATATGCTTCCCCAGAATCTGTGCATGAACCGGGTATACAGACACGCAGCGGAAGAGCACTTGGGTCGGCAAGTCCAGCAACAGAATCAGACTCACGACATTCACGATCACCTCGTGTCCGAGGCAAAAGGCACCAGAAGAAGACTGGTAGAAAAGGAGGACCCATCATCGACCAACCACTCAGTGTGCTGACCCGGGACTACAAGACGCCGTTGAAGGACATGGGTGCTCATGTCCATCGGTCTGTGGAACGACGACGGGCAGAGGTCGAAGGGAACAAGGGCCACGTACCCAGACCCATGAACTCTTTCATGCTCTACCGTTCCGCATACGCCGAACGAGCCAAGCAATTTTGCAAGGAGAACAATCATCAAGTCGTTTCCCAAGTGACTGGAGCAAGTTGGCCTCTGGAGCCCAAGGAGGTCAGAGAATTGTATGAGAACTTCGCCATCATCGAGAGAGACAACCACGCAGCTGCGCATCCTGAATATAAATTTGCCCCTAACAAAACCAAGAGGGTAAGACAAGACGAGGATCCTAGCGACAGTGACCCGGACTGGGTAGGCTCTCCCGCGGTCGGCAAGAGAAACCGAAGTATGCGATACGTGGAGAATCGAAGTGCGACATCAAGTCCGTTTGATCCTCACCAAGTCCAAGTCCAATACCAACAACCCATGCCGTCACTACAGCTATCTGGATACGATATCCCCAATCCCTACGGCATCACACCGGTCATGGTCAGACACGAGGCTATCGGCGGGCAATATTACCAACCTGGACCTCCTATGGGCTATTATGCTGATCCCATGCCTGAGGTGAGGTACGACGCCCCCGAAGATCCGTACGCGGCATACCAAAACGGTTTGGGACTCGTCGGCATGCCCCAAACGACCCATCACGAGCTATTGACATCTGAACCGCCTCCTCAGCAGCATCATAATCACATGCACGTTGCTGGGGACATGATTGACCCACGTCTAGGTCAGGTCAATTCTGGATATGAACACGTCTTTTATGCAGAGGCCGAGCAGCTCGAAGACCCGTCAAGGCCGGTGGCCTTCGAATCTGTCAACGAAATGGAGATGGGATATGACCCCGAAGCAATCCATCCTGGTTTGGCCACCTTGACCAACGAGCATGATGTTTGGGGTGATGGGGCTAACGTTGGCATGGACTTTGAATCCGAGTTTCAGAAGTTGGGCTGAAGGTCCTGAGGTAGCAGACAATGTTTTGTGTCTGATACAGTTGCATGGCGACGGCGTATGAGGCTTTCAAGTCGACATTTTTTGCATATTTGCCAAGAGGATCGGGAATGGATGAGATGGATGGTCAAAGAACAGAACTTACTACATGTATCACCATGTAGAGATATAGTGATAGATCTGGTAGTGGAGCTCAGCTCTAGGCTACGTCTGTCAACACAGAGCATAAATACGTTTTGACTTGCACGATTACCATCAACGTACACAGGAGCCTATCGTATCAATTGTAGACAATTCTTCCAAGACCACCGTGACAGGACAGAACACATCACAACAGCAAAACCATGGCAAGAAGGAGATTCAACTTAGTGGATCCATTAATAAGCATTGTCTGAATTTATGTACTATCCATTTATCGTACAAAGCGCAAAGAACCATTTTTGGCTTTGGAACCAAGAAGCCACCGTCTTAGTGGGGCAGGTTCTGATTAAGCAGGAGGACTCGGTTTCACAGCACAGTGACTGTTACTCACACTCTGCACCTCGAGAAGGTGCCTCCTAGGCAGAGCAAGGCTGGCTGATTACTGATGCTGATATGCCCAATTGCCAGAAGTAAACAATGAGATATAATTCCGATGGATGACAGAGCTGGTGAAAAGGTCATGTTGAATGTGGAAGCTATGGCGGTGGAAAATTCGCTCCTGTAGGTTCATGTTCCTTCCTTCTGCTGAAAGACTGTACTATATCTCCTCCACGGAATTCCTCTTTTGAATAGATGAGAGCTGAGAAGGGTCGTGTGGACGCTGACTCTAAAAGCTGAACATCATGCCTGTATCCTGAAGACTTCCTGAAGAAAGCCTAGCGACGTGTATAGCGAGGAAATTCAGCTCATTTTCGTATTGACCTGAGAAAGATGGCCACACAGAACGTTGATGATGGTGACTGAAAAATGCAACGATAGTGATCGACTTATATGCGACCCGAGGAGTGGCTGATCGCGGTCTCCAGACAAAGCCGTGTGCTCAGATCCCCATCTCGAAGACACAAAGCAGGCTATGTGGGGATATGTGGCCTATTTTTGGTTGAATGCAAGACAAGGAGGGCGGAATACGAAGTGAAAGGTCGCTTGTGTGGGGTGGATGCTGGGATGATAAAGCTAGGGCCGAGCGATTTGATGGCCAGTGGAAGTTGAATCTATGATATCGTACAGACCAGGAGACAGATATTAGTCGAGGAGCATTGAATTTCGAGAAAGCTAGGTTTGTTCTGCGGAAACCGAGGAGAGCAACAGCCAAGCGATAGTAAAGGAAACAGGATAAGAAAATCCGTTGAAATGGAGTTGCATGGATATAAGTAGCAGGTCTGATCATTGGGCAGCAAGAATGTTGTGTAACATTTCGAGTTTGCTGGTGTGAGACGGCTTCATCTTCTATGGTTTCTGAACCCTCTTCTCAGAGCCTCGACAATGGTTGGCTTTCTGGACCCGGGCTTTGTACGACATTACACCTTCTGACTAAGAAGACACCAAGATCCAGGCTAGGCAGAGAGATGATCGTACTTCCCGAGATTGATACGAGCATTTTCTTTTCACATGTTAAAGTTCTATTCACGGAACTGGTGAAACCAACCACTTGGTTGGGTCGTCAACATTTTCCAAGGCTTACGTGTGCCTCCTCATGATATTTCGAGTACCTGAAATCTATCGTCCTTTTCTATTCTCTTCTAGGTTTGCAATGGCCATCGTTCCAAGGTGCTCGAGAGGTTGAGATGATTAGGGAGCATTTCTTGCGATCCCTCCCCATGCCTCATGCATTTGCATATTCAAGTAGCCATCAGCATGACCAGCATGCTGTTCTCAAGTTCCCAGCTTGAGGGGGTTACTATCGACAATCCATTCTGAATTCGCGCTTTGAATCCTCAACCGAGTCACAGCTCTCACTTTCTTCGGACAGCAAGACTAATGACAGTCTCTCTCACAAAATCGCGCTCGATGAGCTTGTGACAAAGGCGACATTTCCGCTTCCATTTCATATGCTTTAGCTCCGTGTCAAACTTCAGAATATCGAATCTCGTTGATGGATGGCAGGCAGGGCAGTACTTTCTGTCCCTTGCACCATCCTCCCGTCTGGATATTGGGTTTTGTGGCGATGTCCGTAGGTTGGTATTGGGAGAATCCCTATTGCGAGTAGAAGCCCGCGAAAGAAGCTCATGGAGATGCTGGACTGGAGCAGACATAGCGGGCAGCGGTGTTTGCACATGGAATTGTTGAGTCGCTTCATCGCGATAGAATGCGAGTAGGCCTTTCAAATATAGCCTGGTCCAGGAGTGGTCTGTAACTGTGAGAAAGGTGTCACTCAGAATATTCGAAACCACGCTATGAATGTTCTGTCTGTTCGCCCAGAATTCATCCTCTTGAGCTTCGAGTGGTATCCTGTTACAGGTCCCAATGAGGCGATCGAACATGAAGGCTATCCGGTTAACAGCAAGCCTCAGTCCGGTTTCAGCAACTCTAAATTTGTGATGAGGGCGTTCTTTCTGACAGTTCTCCAGCTCAATCCTGTTTTCTCGTAGGGCAAGCGAGTTTCGGATGAATCCCTTGAGATCTTGCCCGCTGCCATCTGCGTGGTACGAGCCCATTAAACAGGCCGGGAGGCCTCCTCCAATCTTGGACATGGTCTGGCGCTCGTCGAGGAGTTCATCAAGCCTGCTACACAGATCCAGGAACCGATCTGCCACACTGATAAGGAGATCGGTACGCCCAGAAGTATTGGGTGTGTTGCTTTCAATGAGGCTGAGACTGGTGGCGGTGGAATTGGTGCTGATTAGGGATGTTCCATATGAGGAGCTTGAGGGGGTGACAGAGGGCGGCGTAGAGCTTGGAGTTGCAGAGTTAGGAGTGATGATCGGTGATGCTGCTGTAGAACGATCAATTAGCTTGGAGTCACGGTGGCATGCAGTTATATACGTACGCTTTGCGCTACTTTGCGCGGAAAAATTGGTGTCAACAGGAGGACAGCTCCGCAGTTTCTTCTTCAAGTCTAGAATCTCTTTTCTTAGATTCTCTATTGTCGATGACTTTTCTGACTCCATCGTTCTCTGAGCACTGATTCTCGGTGTTTGGACATTGTCGGCGTCTAAAGTCAGACTGTCCACCGACCTTGGCCGTTTAAGGTGAAAGAGGCTTCTTCCCAGATGTGATAGCCGTTGTCGCTTGCTATCCGAAGGCTTAGCCATGTTGTGCTTGGTGAGATATTTCTATAGCTATAATCAAGTGATGAGCAAATGTTGATCAGCTCGCGGTTTGCGGGATGTCAATCTTGATAAGTCAGGAGAAGGCCAGAGATATGATTCCTTGTCCTTGTCGTTACTTCAAACAAAGGTCCAGGGACAGAGTCATTGATTTAAACCAAGAAGATCTGAATCAATGACACAATCTAGTCTTTGATTGCCAGCCAACCGACCTGCTTTGTTAATTGTTGGGTTTCACAAGAACACCGCGTTATCTCTCCCGACCCACAATTGATTCATGGTTGGAAACAAAGACCGCAGCACTGGGAAGGCGTGCTCGGCCATTTGGAAACCCATCGTGGTCATCCTCTTGCTGTGAATGGTGGAAATGGTGTGCTCGTGCTATGAAGAAGGGCACACGACTGTGAATCTGCACGTGCACAAGGCTGAGATCTAGGGAGGCGTGCCAAGACCTACGACGCTCATTTGCTGGCTGCGAAGATAATGTGGGTCCTTGGTATCGCTGTGTCACCGATTAAGCACATGTGCATGTATATGGGGGAGGATGTGACAGTACTGACCTTCACGCTTTCCTCCTTGAACGTATCAGATGCAATGGATATAGGCGTGGTAGAGCGATAGTGGGCCGTCTCTGTTTCGAGTTGCTCGGTCGCATGCGTGGTCGTAAATGCCAAAGGCACGTCACAGCTTAGGAAACTTGACAAGCCGGGTATGGTGTAGGGGTTTAGAAGAGTTGATGATAGCTAGATCTTTTTGTTTCTCATGGCACTTTTCGTATCTGGGGAAGAGGTTTGTCAATATTTCAACTTGGAGTCTCCTAAACACGACCCAACAAGTACTTACGGTTCAATCATTTGCGAATCGCTTTGCCAATTGAAGTCCGTCAGAACCAGAGAGAGTAAGTCAGTTTTAGCCATGTTTGAACAGTTTGTCTTCAACCATTCTTTACAAACCACCAGCTCATATGACAGATGCGCAACTATAGTTTCGAGAAACGTGTTGCACCAAAACCATAGGGGGTTCCTCATACTGAGAATAGCGTCTCGCTGCAAAACTGCAAGTCCACTGCCTAGCGCACCTGAAGGAGAGAGGTCCTTGGCCATGCATCAAAGATACGTCGAGCAGAGACATTATAGGCGGGTAAAGTGCCGCAGATGCGGCTAACTTGTGCACACCAGTGTAATGAATCGAGCTAGATGGTTGATGATGTTTATGATTTAAATGCGCGATTGTCATTAGGATTGCTTTCAGCAACAATTAGACTTAAACTCCGCCTTAGTTGAAGATGATTGGCGGAATGAACACGACGCGTTGAAATTTCCCCGCATGCGCCTGCGGCTTTGTTCAAGGAATACACATCACTTGATGTTTCTCGTCCAAATAGAACACACCTGGCAATCCTAAAAATCCCTCAACCGCAAGGGTGATGCTTACAGATCGATATCAGACTTACTACATGTAGCGGTCCAACGATGCACGGCGAAGTGGGCAACAAACTGGTAAGTACATTGGACGAGGGGGGTGTTCCAAGCACGGGCGCCTCGCCCAAGATTTCCAATAAACCAACTGTAACCTTTGCGCAGACACTGATCTTCGGGCTTTCTCTAGGTGCAACACGCCCGGCGCACGCTCACATTACCTGTGCTACCGGCATATCAGACGGAACTTGTACGCAGCTGTGTCCGCGAGGTGCGGGACCTCGATCGAGACGTGGCGGCGATCCTTGCGCCATTCAACAATACACAAGGCTCGACGGAGGATGGCTTCCAGAGCAGCAGTAACTCATTCAACCCGGCCGAACACCCGGCGACGGCGTGCGCTTTGTTGGTGGACCATTTGAGCATGAGGCGGAACAAGAGATGTCTACTGGCGTATCATCGCGTAAGGGCAGATAGGGTCGAGGAATTGGTTTGGCAGGGATGGGACCCTACGACCTCGGTTGGTGACGGCGACGATATATCAGCAGGTGGTAGCCGTCTAGGGAATGCCGGTGATGCGACAGGGACTAAGGATTCGTCTGCGTCACCAAATCTCTCGCCTGAAGAACATGCCCTGTTCTTGCAATATTCGGATCTTCTGGCCAGCTACAAGGGTCAATGGACCGACGTCGACCTCACAGGGTCATTGGTCCCGCCGAAAGACTTATTTATTGACGTGCGAGTCCTCAAGGATGCCGGCGAGATTCAAACAGAGTATGGAACTCTTAACCTGACCAAAAACAGCCAGCTACATGTCAGACTTGGCGATGTTGAGAGATTGATCCAGCAGGGGTTTCTGAAGAGACTGAATTGATTCATGGTGACAGCTGCCTCCAGAGCCTTACTTGTTAGGCTACGAGACGATTTGACACACTTACGGGCGGGATGGGAAGCCGAGGGAAACATCTTCTGAGGGCTTTGACACGAATCGATTGACAACCAGCGGTTCCGAAACCACATCAATACTTTGGTTCTCAGACCAGGTCAAACACCAGAGACAAATCGTCGGCCATCTAGCGATTCCAGCCACTAGATGCCACCACGTCCCAGTCTCAATCACGCCGCCCTCGATTCTGTCTACTATTATACATGGTTCATTGTGATAAACCTTTACCTAACTGAATGGCTCTGATGGCATGCATAGCGCTGATTTCAGCCGCTCAGAACATGTCATCCAAAGACCACAGCAACAACGGCAAGATCACTGGTGTCATGCAAGCAAGACAAGACAACAGCGACAGTCTGGTTGCACCAGCTGTAGGTGTTGCCAAGGTCGGACCTGTATGGTTTCCGCCTCCTCCATTGCCTCCATTGACCGGATTGTAACTCTCTGGGCCATTACCATTCGGTCTGCTTCCATTTCCAGCGCTATCACCACCTTGTCCACCTCCGCTATCAGCCACCTGTTGGGTGAAGTTTCCACAATTCAGTCTTGTGCCGTTGTTTGCATGGACTACAATCGATCGATTTCCAAAGAAGCTAACGCTGTTTGGATCGGTGCTTAGATAGAGGTCGAGAAAAGTGGCCTGGAAAGTGTTGCCATCCGCGGTATCGGAGATACCACCGTGTTTGCCACTCAGGTCGCCCGGCTGGCAAGTTTCTTGAACAGTATTGTCACAAGGAGGAGTGTCTTGGCGACCATACGGAGTCAAATGACCACCTGCGGAGGTACAATTTCCTTCAGTGTCGAGGGGAAACTCGTGGATATGGTATTCTGGTGAAAATGTGAGCATGAATGAGACTAAAGTGGAGGGAGTCGACTCTGGGTTATCGACCTACTGAAAGGACCATCTTCTGCGGATGGAAAATCAAAAAGGTTGATTGAGAAGTTCACACCTGTGCCATTCTCACTGGAGACAGCAATGACAAGGCCTTGAACAGGTCTGCCGTACTGCAGAAGTGCTTGGAAGGCGGTAGATTGAGGGTTATTGTTGACGATGGGGGCAATATGCTGGGAGTGATCCTCTTCTTGAGCGAAGGCGGTGAGAGTAAGGACGAAAAGGGTGAGGACAACGCTGACGATGGACATTTTATGTTGGAAGCAAACTTTTGGGTGGGAATGGGAATTTGAATGGTTTGAGCTCTTGGACTTTGCAGGATAGTGGTAGTGTGGATTGGGATTGAAATAAGAAGAGGCAGACTGGATGAGGTACCAGGAGAGGTTTTATGGTTCTTTGGACCTGGTGAAAACGAAAGATGAAGAGAGCAAGAAATCGTGGGATGTGCAGAAATTGTATCTGGGCAACGATCCAGGAATGGCAAGAAGCCTGGTAACGGTGACGAGTGACTGGGAAGGCACGACGGACACACCTCAACTTCAAATTCCCGTTGCTACGGATTCATGGATTCAGCCATTCAGGTCGCAGGGTGTACTTAGTGTACTTAGCCGTGCAGCAGGCGCTGACGTAGATGTAGATCTTGAATATTCTCAACCTGCGCTGTAACGGGAACCGACTGCGAAGCATTATCATTTCTTGGATTCTTGTGGGAGGACGAGGTCGGCAAGCTGCCGCTACAACGACCCGAATTCTTTCAGTCGCTGGTGAATATTGACCCACCCTTTCCCAGGCATTCCTCGTGTATCACGTGTCCCATTCAGCTCGGGACGATACATCTGAAACACATGTCAGTGTCACCAGAGCAGAAGACAAGGTGGAAGGCTCAAGGGCCGTCTAGTTGAAGTACCCGTAAGGGGCAGGCTCGATAAGCGTCAAGGAATAGTGTTTTGGTATTGATGTTGCTTTGGTCAAGGCAGAAGAACAAGTCACAGGACGACATGACTCGAGATGCAGTCTATTTCACCCACCAACCAAACCAAGGTGTCTCTGTCCCCTTGCCGTGACAAATTGTAGAGAGTGCTGGTGATTATTTACATGGCGGTCCTGACTGCACACCGGAATGGGAAGATCTTTGCATTCTTTGCGTCCCACGCACCGCCCACAGTATACGCATCCTTCTCAATGAACTCTCGCACCTTCTCTTCGCTCTCAGCCTTCATCATCATGATGCTTCCCATCATAGCTGGAGCTTCACCCTCTTTGGGCTGTGTGGACAATTGAGCTCCGCCAAAGACAACAATGCCCTCATCGATCAAGGGTTTCAAATTAGCCAGGTGGGCGGGGCGAGCGGCCATACGTTTGTCGAGGGCACCGGGGAGGTCGGGAATCTGCACCACCCATTCGTAGAGTGGTTTAGAGGTTCCGGTGGCTGAGGAAGACATTCTGATGTTGATGGCGGGGGAGGTGCGGAGGAGGAAGTGTGGGGTGGTGATTGGCTTTGATTGGAGTTGAGTCCTTGGGACTAGGCGTAAAATGCTTCGACGAGGAGGAGTAGGGATGGCAAAAGACATGGAAAACAGGTTGGACACCAGGAAGGTCTCTTGTCTGCCGTAAACTTTGGGATGAGAGATGTGGTACAGGTAGTTTGGAAGTTTTGTCGGTTATATGCGGAGAAGACGACGGGTGTGTGTTGCGGCCGAGGCGGCCAAAAGAATAAGACCGTTTGATAGGGAGAGATTTGGAGTTCGGGCGTGGTTCTTGGCCGGGATTTGGAACCGGGTTCTTTGCTGGCTTCTACATCAGATCACTGCGGTCGATGAACAGATGACACGCCTTTTGACATGGAGTATACAAATCAAAGTCAACACTGCCGAAATCGACATCGACGACATTGTGCATGCCTAATGTTGGAGACATGAGTCAGTCACTTAGAGGATGACTGCTTGTTTACGAGTCATTTACTGGGATAGATTCTTGGCAAGAGTTCAACCAGTGAAAGCGCTGGGAGTCTACTACTCCAGGTGATCTTGTAGGTCGCAAACATGTGGTGAACATGTGGTATAGCTGCCTTCAACCCCCTCTACAGTGGTCCTAGACATCCACTGTCCACAGCCTTGCATGTAGGTACCATAGGTAGGGATGTATACATAGGTGGGCACGGAACAGTTCGCCAAAACGTTCATCCACCAGGCCCCATTTGTGTACACGAGAAACTTCCCAGTGGAGTGAGAGTTAGGTCAACCACGAAGCCCTCTACATAGCTTCGGGCGAGATTCGGCCATCATCTCCATGTCTAAAGCTAGGCCCTGTACACACCGACATGCATACTGCCACGCCACAGTAGCCTACAGCTTCGCTCTAGGTCGGTCCTTGGCGAGTAACGAGTCTGCTACTTTTCTTCTTTGGATCTTGCCCGTGGCCGTCTTGGGTATCTCTTTTAGAATCCACACCTGCACAAAGAGATATGTTAGCACGTGCGACCCTGGTCTCGGTCAAAAGGATAGGGTTAAACTCACTCTGCTGGGTTTCTTGAAACTGGCAGTCTTCCCACCCACGTATGCAGTAATCTCCTCTTCTGTCACCTGCTTTCCGGGCTTGGGCACAACAGCCACGCCGACTTCTTGCCCATAGAGCTCTGAGGGGATGGCAAAGCTGACTGCTTCTGACACTGCTGCGTGGGTTGCGATCACATGGTCCAGCTCGATGGGACTGATCTTCTCCCCTCCACGGTTGATCAACTCCTTGATTCTACCCGTGATGATGACATATCCATCGGGATCTTTCTTGCCTTGATCACCTGTCCGGAAAAAGCCAGATGCCGTGAACGCTTCCTTGTTGGCCTTTTCGTTGTTGATATACCCTTTAGTAACATTCTCCCCGCGGATCGAGATCTCGCCCTCGACCCCTTGGGCCACTTCGTTACCCTGATCATCCAGTATCTTAATTTCCACGCCCTGGCCGATACCAACACTGCCCGGTTGGCGTTTGCCTTTGTGCGGTAGAGGGTTGGACGTCATTTGATGAGCGGCTTCTGTCATAGCATATGCTTCCAGCACAGGGGCTCCATATGTCTGTTCTAATTCTCGAAACGTCTTTGGTGACAGGGGAGACGAACACGATCTGATAAAGCGGATTTGCGGTTTGGGACTGGGGGGAGGATTCTTGAGTAGGATTTGATGGATAGTGGGGACAGCCGTGTACCAGTTAGCTTTGTGAGTAACAAAGTCCTCCCAGAATACGCGAGCCGAAAAGGCGGCAGGGACAATGACAGAGCCGCCGACCAGTAAAGGAGCAAGGAAGCCCGCCAACAGTCCGTGGACGTGGAACAGAGGCATGACCAAATAAGTTCGATCCTGGGCAGTCAACTCGTAAGTGTCTCTGATGTTGGCCATGGTCCTTGTCAGATTGCGATGCGTCAGAGGAACGGCCTTTGGTCTGCCCGTAGTTCCACTGGTGTGTAGGACCAAAGCGACATCTTCCGGCTCAGCTCGAGCCAGCGCCTGTGGCTGTCTCTTAGCCAACTTGCCCTTCTCTTTCACATCGAGCACCAGTTGGGACCCCTTCAGGTAGAGTTCGGCAATTGCAGCATTGAATCTTCGAGCTGCTCGGACGGCAGGTCCAACTTTGGCATATGAGCCTTGAGGAACAATGACTATCGCCGAAGACAGATCTTCAATGTAAAACTCGAACTCATCCTGCTTGTATGCTGGATTCAGAGGAGCGGCAATTGCTCTTTGGTAGGAGGTCGCGAGGAAGGACACAATGAACTCGTAGGTATTGGGAAGTGCTATTGATACGGCATCTCCGTGTTGAATGCCGAGTTGAGCGAGTTGGCCTTGAAGCCCGGTAATGTCCGAGGATAGTTGGGAGTAGGAAATGGTCAGAGGATTAGGCTTGCTAGGGACGATGATGGCAGTTGCTGACGAAGTGCCAGAGATGGACGATGGTAACGTAGCAGCTCCCATAATCGGTAATGTTTATGTGATGTAGGTCTATCTTCCAGGGTGCTAAGGGAAGAGACGCTTGAAGGTGAACGCGACGAGGTTCATAAAAGTCAAAAGAATGATTAAAAGGTCGACCGAGACAGTTCACAGACAATGACGTGATATTCTGGGCAATAGAATGGACGCAGCCAAGCCTAGATTCTCGGAGTACAGTCTTGGTGTGTCTTGTAGAAATCCACTGGAAATGTCTATCTTCTTGAGAAAACTATGGTACACAATTGGAAGGTCGAGAAAAAGAAAGATAAGAGAGGACAATGCCGGGTGACATGAGGTACAGAAATAAAAAGTTACAATTCTGTCCGAGTTCCAGGTCTGTTACAGACAAGGGACCCTGGTTCTTACAAGGGGTGGTGGTTGATCTCAATAATGATGATATGACGCCTGTTGGTTCAGACACAGCAGCTGCTCTTCTCGAGACGTTCGGGCTCTAACCTTACCAAAAACTAGGTAGGCGGAGGGGGCATCCTAGGTAGGGATTAAGCCCTCGGCCGCAGAATACGAGACCTGACGACGCCTAAAAAAACATGTGCATACCAAGGGAACCCCCCATATTCCCCTCGCCTGTGCCTGCGCCCATCCGAGGTCACGGGACTTGAATTAACCACGTGCACTACTTTCATCTTTCTCATTCTTGCCCGCGTCTTCTCTTCATCACCCCAAACAAATAATAAATACCTGTCGTCCACACCAGGCGCAATACACCAAATCCTCCAGATCATGGCAAACCATCTTCCCAGTTGAAGCCATGCCCAATGACTCTAACCTCCCTCCCGCGCCTCCTCCCCGAGGTGGCCTCTCCCTCTACGCCAACTTGTTAGGTCCAAAAAGTGATACGCCTGGCACCATCTCCAGTGCCCCCGTCTCCTATGGCAAAGTCAATGAATCATCCCCCGAGCAGGATGAAGCTGTCAAGAAACAGCAAGCTCTCGCTGGTACATCATTCATCGTAAGAACCTAGATAGGTTTGGATATGGATTTGCTCACGTGTTGCCATGTTTGGTCGTAATTCCAGCCTCCCTCAGATTCCAACCCACCAGAAGACCTCAATTGTCTGCCCAAAAGGCAAAAGCAAAGTCCATTGCCAGCAAATTCGCCCCGCCTGCTGCCGCTGCCGTTCCCGCCACCACTGTAGCAACCGAGTCAACTCAAGATGCTCCGTCAGAGATCCAAACCCCATCAATGGCGCCCAAGACAACTCTCGCCGACTGGATCGCCACGGCGTCAGACGATGATGATGTCAATAACTTCTATGCCTCCGGCCCCAAACGAGAGCGAGGTGGTCGTAAGAAGCGCAAAAAGAAGAAGCAAGAGGTTGAAGTGATTCAAAACTGGGACGACATTTATGACCCTAGCAGACCAACTAATTACGAGGACTTTAAGCGCAGCGAAGAAAAGATCCTTGAAATTCGGGAGTGGAAAGATCTTCTATACAGACACAAGATGAAACGGAGAGGATCAAGTGAATCCGACAGCGATAGCTACCGTCCTATGAATAGTGAGGACCCCATGCCATTGTTCGTTTTTCAAGCTAACCAACAACCGCTGTAGAACAATTCGCGCCACCAATGTCCTTTGCCCCTCCACCAAATCTCAATAACGAGTCGCCGCCACCACCACCACCAGCTCCTGCGGTCGATCTTCCGAATGATGACACAGGAGAGGATGCGTTCTTACGAAGGATGCGCATGAGTGGGATGCAGGTCGACAGCCTGCCATTTCCACAGAGAGAAGACGAACCAGACAACCAAACTTCGAATAATACCTTTACGCCCCGTCCACTGGCACCGCCCACGGGGCAGATCTCGAGAGCGCCAATACGCTACAGCCTTCCGGACGCCCCTGTTGAGATTCCTACCACCGAGAGTGAGCTGGCCCAGAAACTGGCTGAATCAAATCAAGCGGAAGACGAGTCGGAAGATGCGCCTCGATCCAACCGCCCAGGCCAAGCAGGATTTGCTGAAAGACTGATGTCCAAATACGGATGGACCAAAGGTCAAGGTCTTGGGGCCCAGGGCACCGGCATCATCAATCCTCTTTACGCTAAAGCCGACAAGCGCAAGAAGAAGTCTGATGCTGAAGGGGGAGGTTTTGCCACGCCCACAGCAATGGGCAAGATCCTCGGCGGCAACAAGTCCAAATCGGCAGAAGCAGAAGAAGAGGGCAAGTTCGGGGCCATGTCAGAAGTTGTTCGACTTGACGGCATGCTGCAAGGATTAGATCTCGACGAAGAACTTGGAAGGGAAGAGGGTGGCATCATGCAAGAAATCGGGGAGGAGTGTGGAGACAAGTACGGCAAGGTCGAACGAGTCTACCTCCACCGACCAGACCAACCTGACGACCAAGCCCTGGTATTCGTCGCCTTTGTCAGTCAGCTAAGTGCGCTGAGAGCGGTCAATGCACTTGAAGGCCGGATTTTTAATGGGAACATAATCACAGCGAGGTTTTGGCCTAAGGAGAAGTTTGATGCTGGACAATATCTTTGAGTTAGACTTTGGTCTGGTAGAAATGCCAAATTAATCAGAATCTGGGCCTATTGAGATGGCTGGACTCCAGACAATGGAAACACTCTCAGAATTCCTATTATAATTCTCAAACGCATCATATAGAGATCTGCTCACGTGACCAGCGACGCGTCAGGGGCCAAACTGCACTCCGACACGCGCCCACTTGACCGTGATTAATTGGCCTTGGGAATCGGTCTTCGTTGCACTCAGCACGTCGTCTTGAAATCATCGTCATCCTTTGATTTGAGTCTGCTCAAGTCAACTGGACACCGTTCTAGATCCCCTAGATAAGACAACAGACGGCCTACCTTTGCACATCTATGCAAGCCGTGTCCTATTGCTTCACAAACCTGACAACGGCAGTCCTCCAACATGGCCGCTCCCGCTGTCATTCAACAGGCCTTTGGTCCAGACCCAGCATTGCTAAAGCGAGTCTTTGATGCAATCAGTAAGACCGTTCAATCCCCGCAATCACATTCATATGTTGGTTCTAACGAGTCCTCTTGGACAGACTCGACACCTCAGTATACTCCCTTGTTCCAGGACATTGCCCAATATCACCTCTCAACCAAATCCCTTACTTCACAAGATGCGGAACCCGCCACCAAAAAACGGAAACTCAATGGCATCAGCTCAAGTACAACGACTGACATCACCAGAGAACCCATTCTCCAAGCCAAAGATATCTCCTTTACACTACCTCAGCGCAAGAAGTTCCACCTCGGAATCTCACAACATGGTTCTGATTTCCATTCTCCCACCACTACTTTCTCTATTTCCGCAACAAACCCTACGACTAACGAGCTCGAGTTCGAAATTCCTTTCTCTGACTTTGCGCATGCGCTCCGCCTGCCCGTGCCAGAAAAGGCAACTCGACAATTCAATTTCTGTCTTTTACCCAAACCAACATCTTCCTCTGCCGATCCTTTGATATGGACTGTCCCCGACGGCCCACTCAAGACACTTAACATATCCTCCGGTCCGCTTTCCGAAGCCGCAACCAAACGCGCACAATCAGACGACATACTTGGAGCAGTCATCGACCTTCTCATGTCTCGCAGTTCTAGTGAGGGAGACAAAGGGTTGACTCTCCCCAACGCTGACGAATTCGCTTCTGCTACTCCCGAGTCACATCGTAAGAGTGATACAGCATATCACGTAAAAGCATTTCGTGGAAGTAAAGATGGGTTTCTATGGTTCTTAGAAACCGGAATCTTCTTCGGATTCAAGAAGCCGCTCGCCTTGTTTGCCTTGGAGGATATTGAGAGTGTCAGCTACACTAGCGTTCTTCAACGCACGTTCAACCTGAACATTGCCTTCCGGGATCCAGCCAAGTCTGCTGATGGTGGCGATCCGGTGATCGAGGAAGTTGAATTATCCATGTTGGACCAGGGAGACTTCGCTGGCATTGACGCATACATCAAACATCATGGCCTTCAGGACGCCAGTTTAGCTGAGTCGAGAAGAGCCAAAAAGCTCAACATCAATGGCACCAGCAGAGCTTCTGGTATTAAAGTTGAAGGGGCCGAAGATGACGAAGATGCAGCTGACGATAGAACGGAGCTTGAAAAGGCTCAACAACAGTTGGAAGATGAAGAGGACGAAGAAGAGGAAGATTATGATCCAGGCAGCGACGGCGAAAGTGATGGAAGCGGAGCAGATAGTGACGACGACAGTGACAATGGAGGTGATTACAAACGAGAAATGGCAAAATCTCGAAGCCGAGATCTTGTGGCTGATGAATTGGGTAGCGAGGCTGAGGATGTCAGTGTTACCGATGAAGAAGAAGGGCAAGACAATGGGGAGGAGGAAGGGGAGGATGCAGAGATGCAAGATGGATACGACGAAGAGGATGAGGAGGAAGTTAATGATGAGCATGACACCAAGATCACCCCAGCCTTCCCTTCCACCAATGGATTTGCGACAATAGCAGCACCTGTTCCTCAAGGGAGATGGGGCCATGCATCTAATTTACCCGATCCTGACGACGAAGACCAGCTTTGATTTATGTTGTATGTTGCCAGTAGGATAAAAAGTTGCAGTATTGGACCAAAAGTCGTCAGGATATGGGAACTACTAGACATTAGCATACAAATAATGTTTGCAAATCAAGATTGATCACAGTCGTTATTATCTACACTCGGTGGTAGCCAGCCTCGTGAAATCAAGTCAGGTCGGATGTTCACAAAAAGTCCAAGGCTGCCTGCCATACAGCCATGCGCACAGAATTTATATAAATTTGGTTGTTTGCATTTGTTCAATGCAAAGACCTGTAAATTTTATATGGTCTTGTCTATTAAAGACCAATCGTACGTTCCGTAGCTCCCATAACTGGTTATCAAGGTCTAAGTGGAAAACGACACCCATCCGTGATTACGGGCCATACCTCAAAGGCGAGCAAGGATGTCCTGCCCGTCCAGTCCAGTCCAGTCTAATCTATGAATCGGAGGATGTAGTCTCAACGAGACGCCACACTTCTGGAATTACACTCCATCTCCACTCCCCGATTGATGCGTCCCCTTCAGGCAAAACTCTCTGGTATCCATCATCATTAGAATCCTTGACAAGAAAGTGAATGGTTTCCCTTTGCCTATTTGGGGTTACTCCCTCTCCCCGATAGGTTTCGCCGAATTTCCAGGCCTGCCACCACACGTAGCCTGTAAAGTCTGGAATGCCATCGATATAGAGACCGCTTTTGTCCCAAACAATCTCCTAGTAAGAAGTAAGACAGGTTCGTCAGTCCACTCGGGTCACATTTGAGGAGAGGTTCCCAAAAAGAACAACAGATGTTGGAGACCAGGATAGAGGGGCATGCTTGTGCTTGTGTGGGCATTTTATTTACACACAAGAAAGTCGAACTCTGTTCATGTTCCGCTTACCAGATCATACTCTTCGTCCAAAAGCCCTGCTTTGTGCGAAGCAGGCCCTGATCCGGCTATAGTCGCCATGACGCGAACAGACAACGTGTGACCACATCGGATCATCAGGTCTGTTCGAGAGAGGTATTCCATTGTCTGCCGGAACGGCTCGGTGGGATAATCTTCGGTATGGGCTTGTGTGGCGATGAAATGTTGGAAGTGGGAAAGAAGTGCGTTAGATGATGCCAGTTCTTCGGGTCCTTGGTCGTCACGAAGACACTCAGCTACGAATGACAATACGTCGCCAGGATACCTCAGGTTGACTCGGATATCAGCCGAGGGTGGCGGTCCGGCCCACACCATAGTCAAATTAGGAAAGATGTTGACGTCGTATTCCTGCCGCTCGAACAGGTCGTCGATCCGAGTCATTGCAGGGCAAAGCTGGTGAACGTTTGTAAATATGAACCGTGGGAAGTTGTAATGCTCTGGAGTGAACGGATGGCGTGGAGCTCCACCAACAGTAACCGGTGCTTTGCTTATGGCATGCATTGCATCCTCGTGCACTTGTTTGCCCAATCTGAAAAGAAGTGTGCTTAGAAGGGTTCGCGGGGGTTTGATCTTATAAGTGTGTCGCCGAGGTAGCGTGGCACATCTCACTAGCCTATGATGATGGACAATCAAGATCGTAGGGATCAAGTATTCATAAATAATACCTCGAACTTCTGGTGGCAAAGTGTTCAAGGTCAATGGATACGGTCTCACACCCAACGGGGGGCTTGGACGATTCGAGGAGGTCATGTTCTCGTGGAGAAAGATATCTTTCGTTCAGGCTATTTTCTGTTAGAAACAGCTGCTTCTAATGTACATACATCTGAAGAGAAGCCCAACTAGCAGAGTTTATATAGCACTGATTGAAGTCATCCTGGCCATGCCTGGGGGAGTCATAAGGTATGACAAGACGTCTGGCCATCGCTTTGTCTGGTTTGATCGTTGGTTGATACCTGGGCTTGGGCATCGCTCACAAGCTCTCCCACAGCCAGTAAGTCATCCTTGATGATGATTACTTTGAACCTCCCTCTATGACAGGTTTGACTCCAGATGCTGTTCAGGGTGATGTTGGACAGTAAATTGAAGGCGGCTATGCCTACAAAGTAGATCTCGCAAAGGAATTGTAATGAGTCGCACTGTCCGGGATTCGCAAGCTTTGAAGAAGTTCTCATGCGCAGTTGTTGTACACTGCGCATGGCTTGCAACCGTTACCAACAGAGTCACCGATCTATCGACAGAGGGAGGCTCGTCGAAAATGCACTAGACCTCGGAATGGGTTCGGTGGCATCCCAGTGCATTATTGAGCGAGCGAATTGATCAAAATGTCAACTCTGGGTATCGGAAGGAATTCTCGCATGTCGCCTCTGGTCAAAACTGTCGAGTCTATCCATTAGAAGGGGATGCAGGCGCTCCATGAATGACAGTTCCCACTAAGACGGCCGCAGTATATAGACAGTTGAAAGGGTTGTCGACTTAGCTGCCAAGGTCTCCCTTTAAATCTTCTATTCAAGAAGCGAAGTTGGGCGATCCGTAGAGGTTTTGAGAGAGTATAGTCGCCCAGGTATCGTAAAATGTTGATTAGGACGTTGGAGTGGCACCGAAGCTTCAAACTTCGGCGTAGGTGGGGGAAATGCACCATGCAACCTTTGAGGCTCACACTTCGTCATGCATTGCTTCGCTCCTCCTCCTTCCACCAAGCCAGGCACCAGGAGGAGGCTGAAGCAGACCATCCACCTCACAAACAACCTGCTCTCTTCGTTGTTCTGCTTCGATCTTCTCCTGGCGGTCCTTGTCTGTTGTTTTTCTGCCACTGGCTTCGGCTGAGGCAGCATAGTTTCCGGCACCACCTCGACCAGGATGGACAGGATAGATGGGACTGTTGGTCTTTACGCCTGTCAGGCTGACTGGGAGACTGGGACTGCGTTTCGCCTGGGCGACCTCACTACTCGAGATAAAGTTTCCAGCTCCTCCTCGACCCGACGGGAAATAATGCGCGGAGCTTTGACGCAAGCGCATTGCTTCTTGTGTGTTTATGTTCTCGAGGTTCGCAGCGGCTGTTCGTCGCTCGCTCAGGGAAGATGGCTGAACAGGTTCCTTCTGTGCTTCGATATCGACCATGGTGGGTGACTTTGATGACTTGTCGTCGGATTGCCAGGTGAAATTACCAGCGCCCCCTCGACCAGTTCTCACATAAGGCCCGTAGGCCGAAGAATTTGAGATTGAAGACATAGGTGTGTGTACGGGAGAGGTGGTATACGTATGATGGGAGTCAGAGTCGTCGTCGTGTTGGCTGTTGACAGGAGATATCGATGAAGCGTAGGAGTCAAGAAGCCAGGCAGCCCAAGATTGAGATGGAGGAACTGGCTGTTCGACAGCGGCCATATCTGCGAAGGCCAGAGGCAAAGGATCAGGTCGATGTAGTGGTATTGGTGAGATTTGAGTGGTCAGGCTGGCTGAGCTTAGATCGCGTGGGCGAATCAGAGCAGGTGGGGTGACGGGTGACGGGTGACGTTCGCTCCTGCCCCTGATGTTTTGTGAGAGGGCGAGTTCGAAGAAGCAATAATGAGAGAAAAAAAAATAAGAACGAAGCAAGGAGGGTGGTAACATGTAGCGTTACTACTATGGATCTACTGATGACTTATGAACAACGCAGAAGGAAAGGAGGGTAGCGTCAGTCTCCTTCTCCGTCGCGCCAGCCAGTTGGGAATCACAATCAGAGTGGTGGTAGATTGGCCATGATTTACAAGCATTGGCGAACCGGACAAGGTCCTTGGTCAAGCGAAATCACAAAAAAAGAGAGCCCAACAGGTGCGAAGGAACAAGTCCGTCCACCAAACACGGACAATATTGCAATGGGCAACCACAAGCAAATCAATAAAGTTGAGATCTCTGCATCATGATTGAGCTGGCGTGGCTGATCGGACATGATCTTCCACTCAGATAGCGAGCTTGGGGTAGGGTGTTGCTAGGTACCATGCCTGTCCAAGCTCTGCCTGTCCGACACTTGCAGATCAACTCACGGACATTATTGATATTAGTGCAGAGGCTTGGGATAAAAATATCACCACATATAACCTAAACAGCCATGTACTGTGTATCTAGTTGTCATCATATTCCCTAAGGGAATATCGACTGACAAAGGAAGTCATGATGAGACAGGTCTGAAAGAACGGTGCTGCTATCTCATCAGTAGTAGCACTAGCAATCCCCGCCCCTGGAAGCTCTCTGCGTTCCTCCAGTAAACACCCTGCCACTTGCTATTTTGACGCTGATGACTGTTCTTATTCTAATCGATGCATGAACAACTCCGACATTCCATAGACGATGAACCACAAGGTCTACGCATGCTCATGCATCTACCCCTCATCTTATCCAAGGTGTCATGGGGGGCTTCGATCTCGCCGCTAACAAGCGAAAGCGACACTGCTGGGGGGATGAGGGCGTCGGTCACTCCCATTTCTCCTAGCTCCCAGCAGTTCCTGCCGCCTGTTCCTCCTCACTGAGGCCTAATTAGTGATAAGTCATGAATGCTGGTGCCTGAATCCATCGTTATCGGGTTATCTTTGTTCCAGCCCCTTGCAAGTTAGCCCTGATGCAAGAACCGTCCCTTTTTCTTCCGTGATGCCCCTCGAGTCTCGACATGATGGCCTAAAACCGGAATTCCCAGTCAAGGTCTTATCAGTAGTCTTCCGATAGCGTATCGCGAGTCTCGGGCTGTTGTTCGTTTTAGTCTTGAATGCCGCGATATCTTGAACAAGTCAGATAAGGCATTGTCTCCTGAGTTGGTCCACACGGCTGCATTGAAGTATATTCCTATGCGTGGCCCACCAGGGTACCACTGTACTACTTACTGTACCAGAGTTGCCTAGGACCAAAACTACTCTGACTGTAGGTGTTCAGCTAGGCTACCAGTGCCAAAGGTCCAGAGGGAAGGGGGGGCCCGAGGGGCCGAGGGGGCATGCACTACGGAGTACTACTACTACACAGACAGGTGCTAGTTAAATGTCATTCTATGCGGGGAGGCTATGCTCTTCCTGGCGAAAGCCGCTCCGATGACTTTTTGCTCCGGCAATCGTTTAAAAAAATGTTCGTGCTGCTGGTGGCACACTGCAGGCTGATTGATAGTCACGATGTCCCAAATTCAAGGAAGAGATGAGGAGATCCAGAGTGTCACCTGATTTCTCGAGAGCGCCACTGCCCTCGATTGCGATCACTATCAAGAATCTGCAGCTGACGTCTTCAACCATCAATTGCGATCGTGACCTGCAGGAACGGCACAGAAAAATAATTTTCTGGGCACAAACACGCTTGGACCGGTTTCTCCTGACATGACTGACTCCAGAAACCCCGGAAAGCTTCAAACTTGGAACCGCCACTGGACCACGCCGAGGTTGGCTCGTTGGTTGGTTCTGAAACCCCGCCATTAATTAGTACCATCTCTGTTCGGGCGTCACTAGGCATCCCCAATTTCTGGGGTCGACCCCTCTTCTCCACGATGCCAAATAATCAGGTAATGGGAATTAGAGGTCCACTGAGGTCTTAGTCTCTAATTGATTCAAGGCACATTTATGGACTGTCAAGCGTAGTTGCATGCTCAAGGTAAAAAAGACCTTTTCAGGCTCCGTTGGAAGTCATTGCTTTGCAAGTCCTCCGGCAGCTTCGGATGAATGAGACTGGGCAGACAGTTGGAACTTTTTTTTTAATTGATCAGCAATGGCCCTTAGTTGCCACGCGGATCACTGATCGTCCGAAAGCATACCAGATTGTTGGCCCCTCCCCATACTTTTATTCGTAGACTGAACAAGACTGCTTGGTGTCAACATCAACACAGTCAAGCCCCGCCGAGTACGGTAATCCCTTGAGACGATCCCCGGATACGTTCTCCAGGCGTAAACTAGTCCATCCATCCCTAGATGCGGTTAGGGTACGCTGGGAAACCTCTACTCCGTACTGTAGGAATAGATCCCCCCGCCCAGCAGGAATCATCTAGGCACCGTGGCAACGTCATTAGGCCCGAGGTATTGTTCATGGGGTCGTAAGCTACTGTGCCGTGCGGGCCTGCAGGCAACACTTACACTGCAGGTGCAGTGCACAAAAGTCAGCCCCAGCAGGTATGACGACAGCTGATGGGCCACTTGACACGAAGAGCTCGGGGCATGGAGAAAGCAAGAGGCACGGGGCTGCACCGCATCTCAGGCAAGCTTGTAAGAGCCCGCCGATGACGGCATCGGTAAGGGAGACGCTGCGTGATTTGGCGGCCACTACTATCATGCGACCACGCCAGAGCATGGGTGGTCGTCGTAAGTGCGTCAGGCCATGCCGTGGTCGCTTGTCGCCATTGCTGCACCCATTCCTGTTTGGCTCCAGGTCCGCTGACGCTGAGCCCAGTCGGTTGATGCGAGCTACGAGTCGCGGTTTCAGAGCTCCATCGTATCCATCAGATTCCATCATTCCTGTCTGGCTCCACCTGGTCATGCTGCACACGCTCGCAAGATGCAACACCATCTCCCGTGCTGAGGCCCAATGACTGATCATTCGGCAATCAAGCGCCTGCGGGAAGTTGGTTGTAGATACCAATCAACACTCCACGTCCAAGTACCGACTGTCGGCCATGATTCGTGGAAATGGAATTGTTTGGGCACCTGCAGCCGTACCTTTCGTCGAAACTATCTAAAGTATTGATAGTTGGCCCCTCATACACCCCTCTGTTAACCTCGGATCATGATAGTTGCTGGACGCGACTTGACTAATGGATCGCGAGCGCAAGGTCTACAAGCAGGATGATCTATGTATATCAATATGTCGTTATAGTGACATCGGCTATCGATGCACGGGGTCAAGAATTTGGAACAATGTCAGCGCTGACGATCCTGGAGCAGTGCCCGAGGCCACGTTTGGGGGAAAGCTTACAGTGAACTTGGGGGCGTTACAGGAGCTTCAGGGCATGGAAGTGCGGAGGGCGGCTATGGATGACAGGCGACCGAGGGGCCGAGGGGGCCTATCCCAGAGGCTTGGAAGGCGCGAGAGACACTAAGTAATAGGCGTTAAGTACTACGGAGTACTTAGGTGATGATTGCCTGGCACCGGCGGCCTGGCAGCCTGGCACCCCTGAAGCAGTCGTTCTTTATTAGTCAAGTCTTTAGCTAGGAACAGTCAGATTGTGTGGTTACAGCAGTTAGTGACTTGTTCCAGTCTTGCTAAAAGGTGAGTGCAATGCCGCCCAGTTAGGTACATCTAGTATTAGTCCGATGCTGCTGCTCGTTGGTCAACTGGGTTGAATGAACCCATGACCACGATCCTGAAGGGCATGAACCATCTGCACAGGTGTACCGTACACCCGTGGGCGCTGGTTCCCATACTTGTTTTGTTTGAGCAATTGCCATCCCGGCTCCGTGGCTTGCCAGTCCGTGCTCCATAAGGTTGTGGGATACCATTGGAGCCAGCCATTCCCAGGTCCAGGTCCAGGTCCACGAGGTGAGCCTGTTGCCACTTTGATCCCAACCGTACAACCACGGTCAGTGCAGACCCACGCGCCCTATCAGGATACGTCTAACAATCATGAATCACTTTAGTGCCCCAGGCTTAAGATTTCGTGTTATCTGATCGTGAAGACTAACATTTGCCTACTCCTGGACTTGAAATTTGGCATCCCATAGCCTGCGTGTGGGAATTGTTAGATACTAGCCGCGGCTCAAGAACTAATCTCTGGTGCCGCCCGCCTGCCTGACTACCATGGCTGAAATCACAGCGTGTACGCGCATCGCCACCACAACGTACATCTCACCCAGGACCGAAGGTTTTGAAAAAAAAAAAAAGTTTTGGATCAATCTCCTGGACCACCTCCACGCCTCCCAAGTGACTGCTTGCGGGTATGGAGCTTTCGTACCTGTCTGTACTCCGTAGGCTGTTGGCTGTGATCCAGCCAGCGGATGACCCCGCAGTACACCAACTTATCGTGGCCTAGCCAAGTGTCGAGCGTCACAAAAGGTCAAGCCTCCCTACTCCGTAGAGAGCCCATAGACGATGACTCCTGCACGATATCCACTAGTTGGCCATGGCTCGTGGGAGGGCGCCAGAACAGGACTGGGGCGATCAGCAGGACCCAAGGAACAAGAGAGTACGAGAAAGCAGGTTCCTAACGCCAACCAACCAGACCTGGTGACCGCGGTCGAGCCTTGGCCAGACTGAGGTTAAGATTATTTTGTTTGACAGGTTGACCTGGGACAAGCGCATCTGTCAATTGACAATATGGGTCTTTTTTTTACGACAAGCAGGACTTCATCGTCTCAGAGACTTACTTGAATGCGAGTCTACTGTACGTAGTGGCCGTGGACAAAGAGACTGTCAAGTTCAGTTCTTTGGGTCAACCACCATTCCAACCACTGCAACGGCTGAGGTGCGGAGGCAGCGCTCCTTGACCTACGCATACATGACTGAACTGACCACTCCACAGGCGCTACTGATTGGTTGCCCGCCCGTGCCGCGTGTGATAGGGACCCATAAACATAGTGCACCGACACTGGACCTGCGCCTGGCGCCCTGAGGTGGGAGGAGCAAGCACAGCACCACTGTGGCACGGCGGCGGCATCGGCACTGGGCCTGGCACTGGCACTGGCACCCACTGGCACCCACTGGGCACCGGGGTCGCTTGAGCAAATGGACAGCTGCAGGCCTGAACAACTGACCACCTAACTCGCCGCAGCAAACACCTGAGCTGCCGGGAGGAGCAGGCCCCTCGGGCTGTTCTGTCAAGTACTACTACCGGTTTCCCTCTTGATCATTCCGCATGATTTGTCCACAATTCCACCCTTCATCTGCCACCTCCAACACGGCCACCCAGTAATACCACTGCCACCCTCTCCACGAGCACACCCCAGTCCTCACACATTTCCGACCCCATTCCTTTTTGCAATTCATTCTTCAGATCATTCTGCTGTTGTCCTTCCCTAACTCCTTCTCGATCACGATAACGACCACGCCCGTCTTGCCGCTCTTATACTTTGAAACAATATCTATTATCAAGCAGCCTGCGCGTTGTAACGGACGCCCCTTCCAGCCCTGGTCTCCGACCTGCAGCCTGCCGCGTCGTTCCCCCTCGCCGTCCATCACGCACCTTTGAATTTCGGGAGGAACCCCCACCAGACAATCCAACTTTGTCCCTCCACATTGGCTTCGATTGTCTCCTGACGACTCTCAAGTCTCAAGATCTCGCTTGGTTTTGAACTCGAGGGTCGTCTGATAATCCTCCGCAAGCAGTCCATCATGGCATCTTCCAAAGTGAGTATCCAGGACCCAGACACCTGGTTCTTTGACACGTCCGTGCTGACCCTGCCTCTCAACAAAGGAGCAACCTGCTTCCCGTCCAGTCTCTGGCAGTTTTTCCAGACATGCTCCCAATTCTACGAGGCAGCACTCTCACTCCATTTCCCTGTCGGCCACCAATCCCTCCCATCGAGTCAACCGCCGGAAAAGCGTCAACTCGGCCGCCTCCTCCACTGCACAGGCTGCCATCGTGGCAGCGTTGAAAGAGCAAGGGAACGCGTCCGCAGGGCCTCTTCACGCCCACCGGCGAAGCGTCGGCTCCAAGAGGAACACAGAGTCTCACTCCTTCAGTGCCCGGCCCAGCATGCACTCTTTCTTCAACGGCTCCTCCCACTCTCCCTCGGCACAGGACAACGAGGCACTGGAAGACAATTCCTTTGATGAGGACGAAAAACCCTCTACCAAGGGAGAGAATAAGAACCGTAATCGGCGGGCAAGCGAAGGCTCATACCTGATCAAAGGAGAAGGCAAGAAGTCGTCGTCCGACCTTAAGTGCGATACCTGTGGCAAAGGCTACAAGCACAGCAGCTGCTTGACAAAACATTTGTAAGATACGCTCTCTGACGCCGCACAGAAGCGTCTTGTCGGGTTGAAATCAATTAACCGTGAATAATAGATGGGAACATGATCCTGCGTGGGCTATTACCTCCAAACTCCTCATCTCCAAGCACCAGCAGGTTCAACTTCTCGAGGCGGCCTCTGTTCTATGCACCATGAACAATGAGAGTTCAGTGTCAGGCCACTCGGAAAATGAGTCATCCCAGATCGATCCAAGCGAGGGATCATCAGGGTCGCCAGCATTCTCATCATCCGAAATGCAAGACGAAGTCAGCTCCGTCGAGACCACACCTCCACCCATGAGCGAAGGGGCGTATCCGGTGCCCACCTCGAAGCGTTTCAGCACAAGCAGTAACAGCTTTTCGCGGTCCTACCGTTCCGTCCAGTCCAGCTCATATGGCGAAAGTGTTATCTCTCCTGGTCTACCACCCCATCGGTTCTCTGGCGTCGACTTCCGACCAAGTACGTCTGGCACGGATGACGGCACTCTGGCCGCCGCCACCGCCGGACTCACCTTCAACAGTGGCACTCCTCGTACCAAGCCAGCTTACCTCAGTCCCGACGTTCCCCCTGTACCACCACTGCCACAACAGTATCAATCCTTCAACAGCAAGTCCTCGGACAGTACATTGACCAACGTATATAATCCCATGTTACAGTTGCAACCTCCTACCCTCACGCAGAATCTGTCGGACGAGCGGAACTACCGCGAACTGTCGGGCGAGAAGGATATGCCCATGGACGACGAAGAAATGTTCCGCATGGAGGAATAGGAGACAGAGCTATTTACCACCATTCATTTACGACATCAGTTTTAGTCACTCGTTCGCACGACTCATTCTCACCCATTTCAGGTTTGGTCTCGAGATTGGTTCCGTTTGATATTGTATGTATTTCCTTTGGTCTGAACTGAGAAAACGGATAAAATCCCGGTTCATGCTCCGCGGACAGATCCTCAAAGCACCGAGGAGTTGACTCACCAGTAACGAAGTTGACGAGGTTAAAGCGAGTGGGACTGTCAGGCTCTTGCGTCGAGCGGATCGTATATTCGATAACGAAATGGCATTGTCGAGAGTTGGAAGCAAATTTTTAGTTGACATGATTTATTTGGGGCCCTTTTCAAATCCAGAATTGGCAAGTGGTCTTCTACCATCATACTAGGTGATCGCCCTTTGAGATTGCACATTATTGCACATCAGAGGACCAAGGGACACCGGGCTTCTTTTTTTGGGTGTTTGCCAAGGAGGGTATTTGGTTAGCATCAATCCCCAGAAGAAATGAATCGAGAAATCTAGTGCCTTGGGTTTTCTATTTTGATGAAGATGTCGCTGAAGCTCGTATCTCGGCCTCAGCCTCGAGAAAATCTAATCGTTCGCTTGCTCGCTTCCTTCCCCGCCAGATCAGCACTGTCTAGTGGCTTGATGAGCGCTGCACAACATGCCGCTGATCCTGAGGGTCTTGTGAGACCCTTGCGAAGTGGTGACAGCTCCACACTGTGAGGCTTGGTTTCACCATGCCATGGTAGATGCGGAAGGTCGATCACTCTGGGTAGGGGATCTGGGTTGGCAAGTGGTCCCCGAATTCGAACCCATATGAGGTCATGAAACTCCCGTCCATAACTTTGGCCCGAGGGGCGGTGTTGCGGCGTTTGCCTACCGATGGGTCTTTTGGACAATCGTATCAAGACTGTAGCTCGCCCCGCCGATTGCATATTGCAGATTGCAGCGTCGGCAGCTTGACATGTATCTTTCGTAGTCGAGTGATGTGACATTGTGGATTGTGGGCTCGATGTTATGTTTGCTTACCTCAACGACCCTGCAGCCATAAACAGAGAGGAGGAGCAGGCACCGGGACAAAGATGCCTAGTCTCCAATCCTGATACGGCCTCGTTCCGTGTCCTTTAGACTATCTCTCTCCATATATATCTTACCTTCCATTTAGCTCATAGGTTCATTGACTGCTGTGTGCCCAGTATCGATGACAACGAGGAGGCTGGAGGTAATAACGCGTTTCTGCGTGACCGTAGCTTACAACGGCGAACCAGTGGGGCTTATCATGTCAGATCTCAACAAAGGCACGTGAAAGGATACGTAGATGCCAAAGTACAAGATCACAACAATAGATATCAACCCTGCAAATTGGAAAGGCACCGAGCAGGGATATAAATCTGTATACACTTGACATTACAATCACCTCCTCCCGCCAGGCTGCAACCTCCTGAATCAGAAAACATACCCAAAAGAGCATGTGAGAGGCATTATTCAGATCTACTCAAGTCCCCGCTCCGTCCTTCCTCATATCTCACCTTCGTATACTTAAAGCCTCCGTTATCGGCCCTCGACGTCTCAACAAGTTGGCTACTTTCAGGACCAAGTATCCAATCTAGAGTACGAAACTTGGTTTCCTGCCTCATCAAAATGCCTCTCAAGGCATCTGAACTCGTCGCCCACCCGGCCTACAAAACCGTCAATTGGAATCAGGAGCCTTCAAAGGAAGGATATGCCGAGGTTGCCAAAGGCAGACGGGGTGGGCCGTTTAAGTTGAAATGGGAGGTCCATGGAGAAGGTCCCATTAAACTTGTGGTGAGTTCACGATGGCTCGCTTTTGTTTGCCGTTTCGTCGTCGAGGGCCAGGGAAATTGAATGTTCCCACGTGTTGGTTCCTAGGCTTTGGCCAAGCAGTGTCAAGATACCAGAGTTGATCATGGAATTGAATGTTCAAGTACTCGGTGGAAGCAGTAATTGATAGCTGGCAACTCTGAGAGACGACGGAGCCACTACTTGAAGGCTTCCCTCTCAAACCAGTTTATGGACCAGAATGTTCAATCCGCTGACATTTGTTCTAGTGGATCATGGGCCTAGGTGCTTACCGGACGGCATGGAAACGACAAACTCAATATTTTGGTCACAAACACTCGCAGCAGTATTCCTCACTCGTATTCGACAATCGTGGCATGGGTCTTAGCGATAAACCCAGCTGTCGATATTCGACCTCTGAGATGGCCAAAGACATCGTTGATCTGCTCATCTCGATTGGTTGGCTTGACAAGGACCATGCCACCCACACGACCTCGAAACGTGACCTGCACATTATCGGCGTGAGCATGGGTGGCATGATCTCTCAAGAACTCGGTCTGCTCATCCCAGACTCGATAGCTAGCCTCGCCCTTGTCTCCACCTTTGGGTGGATGGTCCGAACCGTGCCGTTTATTCAGAACTTACGCGACCGTATCAACATGTTCATCCCCCGCGACATCAATCTCCAACTGATGGAAATTTCTAAACGCCTCTTCAGTGATGACTTTCTCGCCCTTCCCGACACAGAATACGACGACTCTAATCTCAATTTTCCCACCAACTGGGATCGTTTCGCCGCCAATGAGCTCGTCAAGAGATCCGATAGAGAAGGATTCACCAGGAAGGGCTTCATGCTACAAGCGATTGCCGCAGGGTGGCACCATAAATCCAAGGACCAGCTACTGCTGCTCAAGGAAAAGATCGGCGCCGAAAGAATGGCCGTCGTGCACGGCACCATCGACCGTATGATTACGTTTCGACATTTTGAGATTTTGAAGGAGGTGTTGGGCGATGGCCCCGAGTACAGGGTGTGGCAAGGGAGAGGACATGTTCTCATGTGGGAGGAGGAGGACGAGTTCAATACATTTGTCCAGGATTGGGTAGAGAAATGGGACGGGAAACCCTAAGTTTTGTCTGAGCATTTATGTTCATTATTGGTCTGACAGCAAGCGCAGTGTGATCGAGCGATTGCTTTGATGGTCATGTTTGTAAAGTACATACATAGCATTTCTTCCTAGTAGGAGCATAGACGTCGAGGCCTTTTGGTTGCAACACACCTCTCTCGCTTCTCCCGTCGTCTTTAGAAATGTCCAGAGCTTTATGATGTACAGATTAGAACGTCCCAAACCTCGAGTGGAGATAGTTTGCACATTCTCATTGTTCGTCCCTCCTTCAATTTCTCTTGATGCGCACATGAGAAGCCATCTTCACGTTACCACCTCTTTAAAATTTCCCACGTCGATCTCACCGTCGCCATCCCTTATCAAACGCCAGCGCTATGCAAAGCCAACAAAACCATGTGGTGAAACAAACTCTTCCCCGCTCAATCATAAAAGCTCTCTTACGTGATAGATTGCACCTCGCACCCCTCTATTCACAGTCTCCTGCTCAACCATTCTTCTCCAGAAACTCCTTGGCTTCGTTGACCTTGCTAGCCAGGTAGGGGCTACCACCTCGATCCGGGTGATTCGAAAGCATCAAGGCGCGATGATTCTTTCGGATTTTATCTTTGGTAAGCGTCCGCTCACTCAAGTCAAGTATCAGACTGGCTTCGCGACGGGTCATCTTCGGTTCGAATCCGCCTTTGTAGAAGGGTCTCCCGAGCGCGTTGAGACCGTTGGGATTGCGCCACCGGCGGAAGGCTACGAGGCCCGCTCGTCCCTAGTAATGAGACTGTCAGCGATGGAACAAGATTCAGTCTGTATGATCGGCAACAAAGGGATACATACGAAGAAGGCAGCGGCGGCAATGCCTACGCCGACGGCAACGGTGGATGCCATTTGCAATTTTCAGAAAAGGTCGATCCTGCGAGGGTCGAGTAGGAGAATGTTGGTCGTGAGTATCCACAAGTTGTTGAAGCCGAGAACCCTTGCTCGCAAGCGACAGAGACACACTTCTTCGTTCGATGGTAACCTTGGAATCTTCGATCAACATCGAAAGAAGTTTCGCAGGTCAAGAGCTCGGAACGGAAGAACCAAAGTCGGCTATCTTACCCGATCTGCCTATCCCGCGCCCGCAGTTGCTTGGCATGAATTTTTGACTTTCTCCAACTTTTTTCGAGGATCTAGCGACGATGAGGTTTGAACTGGCTTAACGCCTATTTACGCCATCAGGCTCTTCCGGCAAGACACTTTCAAATAGTGATAACGGTGGAGGCACTCTACAGATCTAGGGTCAACACAGAAGATCCTATCATCCTGACACCGCCTCAGTGAGGCAGAACAGGAACCATGAGGTTAGTCTTGAACGCTCTCATTCCATGACCTCTTACACAGGATTACTCACTCTTCGTTACTAGAATCGAAACCTGCCATCTATGTTCTCGACCGGTCTACCCATCCAAAGGCATCACATTCGTCCGCAACGATGCCAAAGTCTTCCGATTCTGTCGATCGAAATGTCACAAGAACTTTAAGATGAAGCGACAACCGCGCAAGCTGAAGTGGACCAAGACATCGCGAGCTCTGCGCGGCAAGGAAATGATTGTCGACCAGAACCTACTACTCTCACAATTCGCCAAACGACGCAACGTCCCGGTCAAGTACGACCGCAATTTGGTGGCGGCAACCATGAAGGCCATGGAAAGGATCGAGGAGATCAGAGCACGTCGCGAGAGAGTCTACACAAGGAGGAGACTCAGTGGCAAAGCTCAAAGAGAGGCCAAGAAGAGGCAGGATCTCAAGGTCGTCGCTCAAGGCGAACATCTCATCCGGAAGGAATTGGCAGACCTCGAGGCCGCCAGGGCAGAGATGGAGCCCATGGTCGAGAAGGTCAAGTTGGAGATGGAGAGCAGTCGACTGGTGGGACAAGAGAGATTACGGCAGAAGAAGAGGAAAATGCTGGTGGGCGGTGGTACGGAAGAAGACATGGATGTCGACTGAGCCTTCATTGCAGCAAAATGGGCATCGCATCCATGGTTCTGGTTACGTGTTACGATATTTGGCGTTGTCGGCGTTTGAGGCCACACAACGCATTTGCTCCAAGTGGTATTCATTACTATGGAAAGCCAACATGGAAAATGTTCATCCTCATCAATCCTCTGTTCCTTTCTGTTGCACAATTGGAGGGGCTTCAGCATCTGGGCCCCTTGTATTTGACATGAGACTTTGCAGGAAGGCCCAAATTATCCTCGAAGCAGTCCATTCATCCTATCGATAATGATCATGCACAATATATTCATCTACCTAGCCATTGGGCTCTTCTATTTGTCACCAGATCTCCCGGTTGTTGTCGTAGCAAAGAAATCACGTGCCCAATCACGTGCCAAGACATGCTCCGTTCGGGTATCAAACTTGTTCCCAGTTGCAGCCTGGAATTGTCACGACAGCAAACAAACGACCTAAGTAGATTAAATCTATCTCAACAGCTGGTCTGTTCATCTTGGCACCTGAACATGACCAAAATGAATACAACGCCACTTCTTGTCTGAGAGATCTACATCTAGACCGTCACTCAAGAAGTCCAGTCTGGGCTGATCCCCCGCCCGAACGAAATTTCATCCACCGCCGGATCCTGGGTGTGGAGTACGCTTTACTGTAAAGCTCACTTATCTACAGCCACAGGATGGCTAGGCACGGGGACACTCGCTCACCATCACCTGTAGGAAGCCAGTACTCATCGTCCAAACGCAACCGTCGAGATGATGATCGACACGAGAGAAGCCGGCGAGATGACGACCGCAGTCATCGAAGGCGGTACTCCAGGTCTCGAAGCCCAGAGGTATGTGTTGAGATCCACACCCTCCATGTCGACTCTTGTACTTACTTGTCTCTGTTCCAGCGTCGACACCGTGACCGCGACAAGAATCGCGATCGTGAGGGTTATCGAAGACGGGACCGTTCCTTAGACCGGAGGTACGACGGCAGAAGAGAAGACGAACGCCATCAATACTCCAGACGAGATAGGTCTAGAGACAGAAGACCCTCCAGAGACCGGGATGATCGTCGACGTAGTCGAGACCGAGATGCCCGCCCACGCCGGGACGATTCTCGCGATAGGGCTCACAGATCAAGGGACGGTTCGACAGAGTCAAGGAAGAGGAAGAGAGAGACCAGTCGAGACCGCGGCTCCAGAAAGGAGGCTAACAATGTGTCCAGAGAGGTACGTTCTGGTCTTCACCGGTTGCCGAATGGTGCTTATAACTGCTTCCAGTCTTCTAAACCTTCCACTCCCACGGCGCAAACTGCAGAAGAGCAAAAGGCAGCCAGACTCGCCAAACTTGAGCAATGGAAAAAGAAGCAGGCCGAAGAGCAAGCGAAGAAACAAAAAGAGCTCGAGGCCGCCGGTGGTGCCAGAAGTATCCTCTATGAAATTGACAGAAGAGCAGGAATGTCACCAGCGGGAACATCAACCAACTCCCCATCAGCTCCCGCGACTCCCGAAATTGGCTCGCCTACGCCTGCTCCTTATGCCGGAAAGTTTGATCCGAAAGCTATTGCAAAGAAAGCTCATCATGCTGCCGCAACATCAAAAGTGTTGGGAGGAGATGTGTCGGCTCCATCACTGGCCAACGGTCATGTTCCGAAGCCTTCAACGCCACCGTTGGGCTCTAACCTCAAGCAATTGCCTCCCAAAGCCCTGAAGGCCACTGGAAATATGGGCAAATTTGGTCTTGGCATCAAAGCTGCGGCAGAAACTGATGTGTCCAAGAAAGCACTTGACTTTGAGGACGTCGAGACGACCAAGAAGAAACTCGAAAGATTGCCCAATCTAGCGCTCGAGGAGAGTAATGGCGACGGACAGAGTCAACAGGATGAAATTGACGAAGCTGAGGATGACACAGACATGCAAGATGACGAGAACGATGAAGAGGCCATGGCAGCAGCACGCGCAGCCGTCGAGCAACGAGGCCGGGCAGAGACCGCAGAGGACACCAATATGACAGACTTACCAGCTGTCGAACCAAGTGAAGAGCAAACTGCGCCTGATGAAGACGAAGAAATCGACCCACTTGACGCTTTCATGCAAGATTTGCAACCAGCATCGACGCGAAAGACGTTTGCGCCCAAAGGCAAGCTCAGCACTCGGAAACAAGAACCAGAAGCCATGTTTGGAGACGATGAAGTTGACCTAACAGCTGTTGATGACGACAATCCTGACAACATCTTGTCCCTTGCGAATGCCAATGCCAAAAAGAAGAAGAAAGACATTCCGACCGTTAACCACGCGAAAATTCAATACAGGCCCTTCAGACGGAACTTGTACTCGGAGCCTATTGATATGGCGGACTGGTCCGAAGACGATGTTGCTGCATTGCGCTTTAAGCTGGAAAATATCAAGGTTCGGGGCGTGGATGTACCGAAGCCAGTCCAGACATGGGCCCAGTGTGGTCTAGGGGTGCAAGTCCTTGAAGTCATCCAAAAGCTGGGTTATGAGGCTCCAACAAGTATCCAAGCCCAAGCTGTGCCTGCAATCATGTCTGGTCGAGACGTGATTGGAGTTGCCAAAACTGGATCTGGGAAAACAATAGCATTCTTACTGCCGATGTTCCGACACATCAAGGATCAACCTCCTCTTGATGCTCTCGATGGCCCGATTGGGCTAGTATTGAGTCCTACAAGAGAATTGGCGACCCAGATTCACAAGGAGTGCAAGCCTTTTATCAAGGCTCTCGGTCTGAGAGCAGTTTGCGCCTATGGCGGTGCCCCAATCAAAGACCAGATCGCCGACCTCAAGCGAGGTGCTGAGATTGTGGTCTGCACTCCTGGTCGAATGATAGATTTGCTGGCTGCCAACAGTGGTAGGGTGACGAACTTGAAGCGTGTGACCTATGTCGTCCTTGATGAGGCAGATCGAATGTTTGACATGGGTTTTGAGCCTCAAGTGATGAAGATTTTGTCGAATATCCGACCAGATCGCCAAACGGTCTTGTTCTCTGCCACCTTTCCACGTCAAATGGAAGCATTGGCCCGAAAGACATTAAGCAAGCCGGTTGAGATCGTTGTGGGCGGTCGGAGCGTTGTTGCTCCAGAAATCACCCAAGTTGTCGAGGTTCGTGAAGAGGGCACAAAATTTGTCCGTCTATTGGAGTTGCTGGGCAAACTCTATGAAGATGACAAGAATGAGGATGACCGTGCATTGATATTTGTCGACCGACAAGAATCAGCTGATTCGCTACTGCGAGATCTCATGAAAAAGGGCTATCCATGCATGTCTATCCATGGTGGTAAAGATCAAATCGACAGAGACTCGACGATCGACGACTTTAAAGCAGGTGTAGTTCCCATCCTCATTGCCACATCTGTCGCTGCTCGAGGACTTGATGTCCATCAACTCAAACTCGTGGTCAACTTTGACGCTCCAAATCATCTCGAAGACTACGTCCACCGAGCCGGTCGTACAGGGCGAGCAGGAAACACTGGCACTGCAGTCACATTCCTCACAGAGGAACAAGATCGGTACGCGGTGGATATCGCCAAAGCGCTCCAGCAGTCCGGCCAGCCCATTCCCGAATCAGTTCAGAAGTTGGTTGACACGTTCATGGAGAAGGTCAAGTCCGGCAAGGAGAAAGCTGGGGCATCTGGATTCGGCGGCAAGGGTCTCGAGCGGCTCGACCAAGAGCGCGACGCAGCCAAAGCACGCGAGCGCAAGACCTTCAAGACAGGTGAGGAAGGTGACGAACAAGAAGAAAAGGAAGAAGGCATAGGCAAGGACGTAAAAGTGGGCGACGATATATTCGCCAAGGCGGCATCTGGTGTCAAAGCATTCGACGCGACCCCCAGTACCAGCAACAATGTCCCCGGAGTACCCAAGGGCATTGACTTGGACGGCAAGATCACCGTGCACAAGACGGAACGAGCAGAACCGGCCGCAAGCTCAGGACCCACGAACCAAATGGACAAGGTCGCCGCGGCCGTTGGTGCAATCAACCAGAAACTGTCCAAGGCAGGCGTCATGAGAAGCGGAGTGCCCATCGACAATAAAGGACCTGACGCCGGTGCATTCCACGCAACGTTGGAGATCAATGATTTTCCTCGTAAGTTGACCCTTGCCCACTTTCCTTTACTCACTATGTAATGTACCTTTATCGCCAGACACATATACTGACCAAGAATTTTGTTCAAATAGAAAAAGCACGATGGGCCGTCACCAACCGGACCAACGTGGCCAAAATCCTCGAGAGTACCGGCACCAGCATCACCACCAAGGGCAGTTTCTATCCTGCAGGCAAAGACCCAGGCCCCAACGACAATCCCAAGTTGTACATCCTGGTCGAAGGCGATACCGAGGTCGTGGTGCACGATGCAATGAGGGAGTTGATGAGGTTGCTGAAGGAGGGTACTATGAGCGCCGCCGACGCTGCCGATCGTCCTGGTGGAAGATACAGTGTGGTCTAATCCTCGTGGTTATGGACCGTTGGGTTATACATGCCACCAAGGGTTGTGGGTGGCCCTAGTGCTATAGTGACCAGGCTTCTATATTTTCTCACCTGGGCCTTTCAGGGATTTGAAATGAAACTAAACTCATTGACAATCTATGTACTTCTGTCTGTTTGTGGTCTTGTTTGACCTCCGAGCTGCGTCGTCCATTGTGAATTGACTAGCGACCTATCTTCAGAAGAAGAAGATATACTGCCTGTAATGGAGCCATCATAGCCGGGAAGTTCTAGCTCTATTACCTGGTATGGTACAGTACCGAGGCCACCTTATCCATGTCGTGTGCGATGACTCGATATCCTACACACCCCTAAGGGGGGTTTCCATAGTAGGCGAAGCGGTGTAAAAGCAGATATGCATCGTAAAGAATAAGTTGGGTTGCTAGTCTGTGATGCCACTCAACAGAAACTCTCCTTTCGTAGAGACGAGTCGATGCCGCCAACCCACCACACTGCAGCATTTATGACCTGCTCAATGAGGTTCAACTCCTCCTGGTTTCTGGGTGCATAGAGAATGACTTGGGTACCAGCTTTTGGGGTGTGATGTGCAGAAGTAGTAGAGTAGCGAAGCCAGGTCGCACTACGACTTGACAATGGGTGTCTCTGGCCCCATCCATTCTCAATAACAGCCCGGACATCATCTGGGTGGATGGTAACGGTCATAGAACCGGAGTCGACATGCATACCGACAATCTCGCCGTGATACTTCGTTTGGTCAAAGACTCGATGGCGGGCGAAGAGAGTGGCATTGCCGCCCTCGAAGGTCGATCGTCCAAGATAGATGGACTCTGGATACTTCGCACTAGTGTCGGTGAGGAGCTGTCTGAGTCGTCCATTGATATCCTTGTCAAAGGTAGGAAGTTGATCGGTCTGCCGTGGGTTAAGGCAGCCTCGGACTGTTGGTCGTGCTCCAGATCGGTGGGGAAGGTCTTGTAGATAACCGCGAGAAAGGGAGGATGATTCACCCTTGGGAGCAGAGTGTGGGTCGGCGACAGAAAAGAGACGAAGACAGGTCTCACAGGCTGAGTTGAGCGCAGATGTAAGATAGGCACCGGTCTTCGAGGTCACGGTGTGGCCAATATCGAACTTGAGTACTGTGAGGAGGCATGTAGCCAATATCGAGCCCACAATGATGTATGCGAATGCAAAGACAAGTTCTGGACCCGTAGAAGAAGTCATTTTGAGACTCAAGGACGCAGTACTGGTAAGGGCTGTGGTATGAGAGTGTGTGTGCGCGAGAGGAAGGGAGGAAGAGGAAGAGAGATGGGGAAAGAATGAAGGGAGGTGATTCAGACGTTGCAATAAGCAATTGCGAAAGGACAAAGTCTGATAACCAGCAGACTAGGCAGGCGCCTGGCTTTGCACACGTTTGCAAAAATGTGTTTTAAGTAGGCCCTTGTTATATGTGCTTTTCCGGTGAGGACCTCCGACGGAGAATGGCAAACGCAAAGTCCCGATCGTGGGTCAGGAAGTTTTGGGTCACAGACTTGTTCAAACAGTAGTGGCAAAGTGACAATCTAACATAACGAGGGATATCTCTCTGGCAAAGGCGATTGTTCTGACCGGCGCAAGATGTTGCGATCGCGGGGGAGGGAGAACTCACAACTACCCAGAAGGGAACTTGGGATAGCGAGCAAGAAGGTTCACTTGGCATGATATCCATGGTGGATTGGTCAGAGGAACCAGCCTGGGACCATTCTCGGCTTGTCCGGCGATATAGGAGCAGCGATATCGTCCGACCACTGCAGGCGTTTTGTCCCAAGCTTTCAATATTGCTCTCTCACTCGTTGGAGAACTGTATAGTTGACTGGAGGGCGTGGGAAGAAGGTTTCTAGACGATGGAAGGGAAGACGTCGGATCGGAACTTCGGACGGAGTTTTGGCCGATGGACCCCACCACAGAGGATCATGTATGTGGGAAATGCATATATGTTTACGGTGGATCATAGAACATTAGAGCGAACATCAGTAACCTCACAATTCAGAATTTCAGAGCAGACCACTACATGACCTCAGGTCCTCAGCGACCGCCGCGCCATGGGAATTGAATCGACACTCTACTATCAGCATCTGCTCTTATTGACCAGATATAGCGCACATAGCGTCCATCATTGGTTTTAGAGCTATCCAGCTATCACGGTGCAAGCAAGCGCTGTCAGCGCTGTCCGCTCGAAAGTGCTGATGATGATATGAATTCCTCTATGGAGGACTAGACTAGGTGGCGAGGCACTTGAGAGTCAAAATAGGTTGATTGTGGCCTCATCACTTGACTGCGAGGCTTGGCGCCTGAACTAACTAAACAAATAAACAACAATGCGTGAAGACCGAACCGTGACACCAGCTTTATATCGTCGCGTTCTACACGTGGGGGCCCTGGGGGGTAGGAATACCTTGGATTCATTTTCAGGAATATAGGTCTAGCGTCCTCTCGTGTATCAGCGAGGTCGTAGAACTTATTCGTACTACCTACTTCTTGCCATTCTTCTTCATGTCTCTACCGAGAGATATTCCTCACCCACTATTTCATGCTCCCAAGTCTTTACTCTACAATCCTATACCGCTAACTCTTCAGTCGTGTCAACCTACTTCATATTCGCGCTTTTAGCATGGAGCCTTCCGAATTGCTCCCTCCGAACACGCTGACGGACCCAGAACGAGCGGCCGTGTACCAGGTTAGTCTTCCAGTGATACCACCACTCCTCGCCTACTCACTACTATAGTCACTCCAAATTATCAGCTCTCTATTCCTAGATTGCTCCTACGATACCGCGCCACAGTTTATACAAGCCATCCAACTCTTAAGTCGAGTAGCCGTTCACCAGGTATCTCACGACACATCCACGTCAGGTAGGGGCACCGCCGCACCACTAGAAGGCGGTCATCCACCCCTATCTCGCCAATGTTCGATCCTGCACGACTACACGGAGTCGGCCCAACTTCAGACTGACGACCGTGACAATTCGTCCTCTACCCCCTCACAGGATCACGAGGAATTGCCTATTGGTGTTTTCCCACACACTCGTCCCCACGACAGTGATGTAGACGAGATCGATCAACAACAGGATAACGACCAGGAGGACTACGAAGACACCTATATCAGCGAGGATATTCAACCTAGCGAGGACGAGGAGGCCGGTCAAGATATACCCGCTGGCACTACTATTCATCCTCCAAGACATACCGTCGATTCTAGCGACCAGTCCACCATTCCGTGTATAGAGGCTCGGCTCCACAAGCAATTACTTCCACTCTCCCCCACGGTCGGAGAACGGCATGTCGCCAAACTCCGCTCTGAATTCTATCGCGGTCTCAAGAACCTCCATGTCGTAGGAATGAAGAGCAACAGTCGGGCCATACTTAATTTCAAGGATACCGATATTGTGGAGATCACGAACTTCTTCTTCGATGACCTGATTGGACCTAGGGCCTCGAGACACCTATACTCCCTTATCCAGATATATGCAATTGCTAACGGCGAGGCCCCGGATGTACGAAGCGCTATAAGGGCCCGTGACGCGGCTAACGACCCATCAACCCCTGAGATTTTCCGCCGCTTTTTCAGTGCGTACTCTCAAGCCGCCGGTTAGAGGCGTAGTCCCAACGAGCTCCTAGAGCATATTCGCCAGGTGAAAGATGATCTTGCTTTCCTTGACGAGTACAACAAACTCAAGGCACGGGCCGAGAAGAAAGACTCGACGCTCATCACTTTCCTAGACGACTACAAGATCGAGACTAAGGTAGGCTGGAGCATCGTCACACGACTCTTGAAATACGTCACGGACAAGATCGGCATGTCTAGCTCTCAACTTTCGAATTTCATACAGTCCATTCAAGCCATTGAACATCTAATTAACCAGTTTGGCCGCGGCGTTATCATCCTCCTCCCTCCCGGGCACGGAAAGCGGTATAATATATCCCCCTTTATCTCTCGCTCTATATATTCAAAGCTAATCAACTTAATAGGCTCTATCGATGGGGTAATCAACGCATGGTCAAGGTCTACCCGATCTTCGACGAAATCGCCCCTTCGTTCCGCGACCTTTGCAGTTTCCTCGAGTCTCATGTGTTAGACCCTATATTATCACGTCGTGCTCTACCTATTACGAACTTGACAGTTACCGATACACAATCAATTGACGAGTGTATTCGGCAGGCCATTCCCTGCAGTTGTCAGGATAGGGAGATAGAGGAGTTGGCGTAGCGAGGTAACTACAATATGCTTAGCCAGCAACATTAGCTTAATGATTACGCGCACTAATTACCCGTCTCTGTCCACGACCGTATCAACTGTCTAGGAGAGACACCATGGTCAAGACTATTTGAATTTGCATTCGGTAGAGAAAAGACTATTTTCTTGCTAGCAATACAGCGATAAGCTCGCGATCAATCTTCGGGCTGAAACATGGCCAGATTTTCCCTTGTTGCCCGTCGTTGCCTCCTCACATCGATCTCGTGGCCTCAGACACACACCACCCTCAAGACCTCGTCTCAGATGCTAGAGCTCAAGCGTTGGGCGCTTTGCCAGAGCAAGTAGAAGCAACAAAAGTTGCTTGACCACCAAGCTGTACTCCTAACATATGACCACTTGTACTTGGTGATGTAGATGTAAGCCAAGCCGTAAGCGACCCGGGAGACCGAGTAGATCGTGCAGGCCCGATTGATTGAAGAGTTGGGCACTTTGGCGACGGTTGCAAACAAGATACTCGCAACAAAAACTGTATAATGCTCCATCGAGTTGGCGTGCGCGGCTTCGTTGCGTTTGACCATGTTGAGTTGCTCACGCGTGATTTTGCCATCCTGCACTGCCTTTTCACCAAAGCGTGCGACATCCTCGCGTGGGTTGACGTTGTGATCGAGCTTGTATTTCTGCTTCAACGTCCGTGCTGAAAGCGCCATGTACGCGAGGACAAAGTTGAAGATGGCATGGTGTGCCGCGTAATTGCCAACCAAGGGATTGGCAGTGGAAGTGAGTCCAAGAGCTCCTGCGAGTGTGGCCATGATGGGCAATGCGTTCAAGTTGCTTCACTTGATGAGATGCTGAATTTTGCTGTAGATGCTCACGATGATCTGATTGACGCGTAGTGGTGAAATGGATAATTGAAGTCGTTTCTTGAAGTCCAGCTGCCCCCTGTTGTTTTCCCAATAGCCTTTAAAGTGACGTATTCCGTATTTCGTGTATCCGAGGTCGAGTCCCTGAAAAGCTCGGACCCACTTCTACCAGATGGACCCAGTGGCATTCCAGGCATCATCATCACCATCACGGAGAAAAATGTGAAGAAATACCGATCATTTGGTCTCCATACTACATGGAACCATGTCGTTGGTCTTTATTATACTTTTTCTTTCAATTTAAAGCCCATTTTTATTGAGAAGACAGATAAAGTGGGCCCTAAGATACTAGGTAATATTGATGTCCAAGGTACATTTCATGCTCATTGCAGCGTCTTGTGTAGCCACGCAAACACGAACCTGTTCAGCTCTTGAAGCGCCCCAGCTTGACAATGGTAGCCGGCTTCACCATCGAAGAGATGAAACGTAGCCACTTCACCGAGGGCCTCAGCCAATAACTCCGACTGGCCTGCGAAAAACTGTTCAAACTCGGCATCCACAGTCAAGACTGGCATTTGAATTTGATTCACCACACCTTCCATGTCAAATGCTCTGGCTTTTTGGAAAAACTCAAACCCAGACCGGGTATTGAAGGCCCATAGGCCGTGTTCGATACCCCATCTAAGACCTGAAGGAAGATTGGGCTGTGTCAGTAAGGCGGAAATTCCCTCGTCAAAGGCTTCTTGGGCTCCCGTGTCTAGTAGCGCCCTTGCGTCGGGCGGCAATTGACCTGCAAAGGAATCGAAAACATTAAATATTCCCCCATTGAGGACGACAGCAGCCGCGCGTGGCTCAAAAGCGGCAGCTCGTGCGGCAAGGTAGCCACCCAGCGAATGGCCGTACAGTACAAGACGATCACTGTCGACCACATCCCTTTTTTCCGAGAGCACATAGTCGACGACTGGGTTCACTGCGGCTTCCCAATTGTGGATGAAGCCGATATTCTGCTCTCGACGCACCGTAGGCTGACCGGGACCTTCATACGTAATAGCATTCCATCCACGAGCCAACGCCGGGACGACAATCGTGTGGTACATATCTTCTTGGGCACCGTCGTAGCCATTGCAGAGAACCATGGTCGGACGAGGTATGACTTCGTCAGATGGAGCGTACCAGAAGTTCTCCGCAGCAGGAATCTGAACACGGTGTGCTGGATGTGTCAAGGACGAAAGACCTTTGTCAAAGGCGCTTCTCTGCTCCTTCCAAAGAAGGTCTATCAGCGGGTTTTCCCAGTCTCCGTGTATGTAGAAGTCGGCACGGCGGAAATAATTCGCCGCCGAGAACCAGGTGTCTCTCACGTTGACAGGATCGTAAGCATTCTCGGGATCTTCTGCCTGGAGCTTTGTGCTATTCCCAAGGTCATAGAAGACTTCGCTGAAGCTGTCGAAATCTCCAGGTTTGATCCTTTTGGCAGCACTCAATAAGGTATTGACATCTGCGCCACCGTAAATGGCATTTCCAAAGGGTAACAGCAGTTCGTAATGGAAAGACTCATCCTCGCTGAGAAGAAGAATAGGATGGTCGTCTGGCTGCGCTGTCTGAGATATCGCGGTTTGAAAGAGCCAAGGGAGAGCCGCTCCAATCGCAAATGCTGACGAAGTTCTCATGATGTCGATGTATTGCTGGTGAATTGACGCAGATGTTTTGATACGTTATGTCCTCTGAAGGGCAGGGAACAAAGGCTTAAATAGTTTCAAAAGCACCATCAAGTCTTCGGAAATTCCCAATCCCTTCGTTTTGGCATACGTCCGTAGAGAGCTTACAGCCTGCTCTGAGGACAAATTGCGTCAGTAGAAATGTTGGAGCCTACCGAATACAATGATTCAGACAGTAAGAACCCATCCGATAGACATGTTACAAAAATGGGTCGTTGATGTTGACTTTCGATACCATCTTGTGGGCCGGAACAAGAATGCTCAATCCCAGAGAATTTTCAAGTAACGCCAGTGGCCTTAGGGTAGCCAATCCTATCATTTTAAGATACGTGCGTAAACAAAATTCCAGGCTCCCGAGTACAAAAGTACTGAAGGTGAGGAGCCCTCCCATAGTTAGCAGATCAAGGAGATCAGCCTTGGGTGCCGCTCTGAGTAATGCCAAGTATACCCCGATCCACTAGAACCCAGGTTGGACGAGAATACGGAACCTCATACCTACCTTGGACTGGGTATAGTATACAAAGTATGGTACATGGTAGTCGTGGAACTCTAGGTAGGATGTTGTCATGACCAGGGATCATAACGACAGTAACAACTAACTTCACACGAATTGTGTAAAGACATCGTTGTAAGTACTGACAAAGGACCATGACAATGAGCAACCACATATATGTCGTAGAAGAGTGCGGAGACAAATACTCGTACGAGTATGCGGATGACATAGGAGGCTAGTTAGAGTGCTGGTGCTCCACTTGGCCCCTCGGGCTCCGACATAGGTGAGATACACACTTACGAGTACGGATGAGGCCTCCCGTGGCTGCGGCGAGCCTCCTTGAAAGTAAGTGACTTGCGAGCTGTGAATGGGTACATGGTGGCGTCATTCTCCCCCCTAACAGTGATTGTGTTGCGAGCAGTTCTTCCCGAACCTTGGCTCCTTAAGCACCATCGAATCATCACCAACTCATGCAGCAAACAATATAGTGGGTATAAGGAAGATCGCGGGCCTTGAACAGATGAAGGAGTACTGTCAGTTACGACCCAGGCCATTAATGACCAAGTACTCGACAGTGTTTCTAACCATCGCTGGCCAAGGCAAGGTCGAGAAAGTCGACTCTTTACGGTGACCTTGCAAAGGAACGTGAATTTCGTGCTTGTGGAAGTAGTCGTCCCCCCAAATCGTGACCTGACACTACCTAAAAGATTCTATACTCATGGATGCCTTTGATTGGCATTTTCTTCCACAACCTCGAGAAATGTGGCCACCTCTGTCATGGAGACAATCAGAGCCACTTGTCGGTACCCGTATGAGAGACAAACGATCCGCCGTCTCCATTGGCCACGCTTGCCTTTTCATAAATCGAGATGACAGCTTTGACGGAATCTTCTGGCCTCGCTTGGCCAGCAAAGTTTGGTGCATATGCCTTGAATTTCTGAAAAACAGTCCCAGCCTTCTGCTGCTGGTGTTCAGTCACTGGAGAATGTTGTCAGCAAGCGTCCTGAAAATTGTCATGTGTTGCGAGCAGTTCATGCTAAAGGTCTGATCACACAGAGCAAGGCTTTGGGTGGACTTACAGTTATCGAAATTACCAGTGTCCACCATTCCAGGGCAGATACTCATGAATAGCACACCATCTTTGGCATATTCGGCGCTGAATTTCGCCACAGCAGTATTGACGCCAGACTTGCTGATACTGTAGGGACCACCACCTTCAAGCTCGTACTTGGCCGTGAGCGAGTTATCGGCCATTCCTGATGAGATAACGATGACCTTCTTCTTCTTGCCCTTAAGGATGAGCGGCATAAACAAGTTGATGAGGTGAACATTTCCGATAACGTTTGTCTTTATCGAGGTCAGAAGGTCATTCTCGAGGGCGACTGGATCCTTGGCCCTAATGACATCGCAAGGGAATATTGTCAGCAGATGAACCTCGAGCTCTAACGAGAACAACAGGCTGGTGACCCTGCGGACGCCCACAATCAACTAACAAGGCGGTACTCACAAGGTTCCAAAGCCATCAAAACCGGAATAGTGAGAGATGAACGCGGCATTGCCGATGAGATAGTCGAGGGATCCGCCTGTGATCTTGGTAGTCTCTTCGGCTGCGTCCTACGAGGATAAAAGTCAGCACAGTCTCGAGAACGTGGGATCTTACTACCTTCAATGACTGGTAGTCTTCCAAGTTTCCCTTTAGGATGTGGATGTTGTTTCTCTTCAGCTCAGCAACCTTGGCCTTTGTCGAGGCTGGATCCCGTACCAGCCCGATCACCGTGTTTGCTGGGTCGCTAGAGAGCTGGCGTAGGAATTCAAACTAAGTACCCTGTTAGTGGAATGTTGACCCAATTACTTCAGGCGTCGAGCTTACTCCAATGCCTCGGGACACTCCCGTCACGACGTATGACGACATGTTGAGCTGTATTTAGGTCGCGTACCTGGGTTGAATAAAGATAACTTGGCAAGAGAGGTCAATGTTTCTATTGGATTTTGCTTTGGCAGTACAGTGAATTCTCTTTCAGTGATGTCTCCCGTTGCTTCTTTTATATACAACAAACCCAGGAATAAGGCCCCAGTCATGAAGAGAGTTTGCCTGATTTCCAATCGTCACGGACGAATCTGTCCGGTAGATTCGTCGGCTCTCTCTTCGAAACGCACAACCCCAGCCATGTGGACATTTTGTGATTGAGATTGCGGGACCTCGTAGGTACACGACGAGGGTTCTGTTCAGGTCGCAGGCGTGTATGGTCACAAGCCACGTGGAGATCAGATACAACTTAATGGATCTCTTCACTACTCACGCAAATTCTTTCCTTCTGACCTTTTCGGAATTAGCGCAGATCCACTTTTTATTCTTCGATATTGGGTCGGGTGATTGTTGAACAATCTGATAGGCCGGTTGGCGCCCCGAGCGCGGTGTCTTTGTCAGCCTCGAGGCAAATATCGTGGTCATTGCTCCACACTGGACTCGGGAGAGGAGGATTCTGGAGTACCGCTTCACCCATTCTTGGATCATATCCAGTGTTTCGTTACACCCATCACACCGACATTGCGTAGTTATACAACCATAACATGGTCTCGGCCGCGCAGGGGCGCTGCTGGACATGCAAAGGTACGTGTGAACGCTGCTGCCTAGCGGAACGAGGCCACACTACTAACCGAGAGACGATATGCAGATCGGAAAGTGTCCTGCGACCGCACCGTGCCAGCATGTCTCAAATGCTCGACAACAGGCCGGCAGTGCGGGGGCTATGGTCTTCGACTGACGTGGCCACGTCGTGGAGATCAGAAGCGTGCCCTCAAAAGCATTTCCTGTACTCTTTCCTGGAGCAAGTCAACACCGTATCAGACCTTTCATCTGATTAATGCATCATCTTGGGACCTTGCACTCCATTACGTCTCTTTGGATAACGTCAGCCACTGTGGGTCCGGCGCAACACCGAGCGACTTCTCCGGCTAGATTTGCTGATACCATTACACAGTCAGACAGCCTCCAGAATCACATCAGCCTATACTAATTGCATGCCCACTCAAGTCTTTGATAGCACCAAATGTGGCCGCAAATGACCAAAACTTGCTGGAATATTGTGAGTGGCTCCAACTGAATACCAGCACTACTCGGATGGTGGCTGACTGGGTTGATTATGACAATCCAGTTCAACGTGATGGTATCCATGCGGTTCCAATGTTTGACCTCGATCGAGATCGATTCTGCCAAACGTTGATGCGCATCGCCTTTTCTAACGACTCGTTGGCGTCGAAAGCGGTACTTCAGTCGATCCTCGCTCTCTCATCTCTGTACAGGGATGGACTTCAGCCACTTGCAGTCCAATTGAAAGATGCAGCGCTCCAGGCTTTGATGGTCTCTGTCAATGCGGGCGTTCACGGAGTGGATGCAATCGGGCATGTTGTCGCCGGCATCCTCAGTTGTTGCTTCGAGGTAAGATTCAGAGGAGTCAGACTCTACTTGATCCTCGTGTTTGAACAAACTTTGGGACTGATGAATTGGCTTGCAGATGCAACTGAAAAGCAACGGAGAGATATGGAATTCCCAGTGGGTAGGGCACATTGTCGGTGTGAAAGAATTAATAAGAGACATCAAAAAGCCATGTCATCATCCGCCAGGAAGCGACAATTCCATCATCCTGAATTGGGTTTATTACTTCGATGTGGCGACTCGGTTTTCTCTTCGACATTGGCGCACAGTTCTCGGGTGTCAAAGTTTCCCCGAGCTCGTCTTCGATCCCGCAGCAAATACATCCTGTCGACTACAGACCGCGCTCGTTCGTGCCTCGTTTTCAACTCCAGTTCCACAGCTCTCTGAGCATGCGCCGCCGGTTTTGGCACTGCTCGGTGAGATTTGCGGTACAATACTATATCCATGGGACTCGCAGTACCATTCAATTGAGTATCAAGACTACTTGGGGAAGTTGGAGACCAGACTTGAGACTCTAGAGCTTTCGGATTCTCGAGTTGGCAATGAAAGCGAAGATGACATTAAAATCACAGATTTGTTTCGCTTAGCCGGCCTGATCTACCTGGAACGAACATCTAAAAGCTTCTCTGGACAATCTCCTAAAGTTGAGGGGTGGGTCAACAAGGCATTCGCGATCATTGCTAGCATTGAACGGTGCCGCCAACCTTTGCCCATTTTTATTATTGGCTGCGAAGCTCGTAGTGATGAACGCAGACAGGAAGTTCTAAGGCTCGTTTCAAAGACGCAAACAGATCCTCGGGTGAGGAACATGCATGAGTTGGGAGACCTACTGCAGTCATTCTGGGTACAAGATGATCTCGACGTTGAATCCGAGGTCGAGTACGTCCGAAAGGTCAGCCTGGTGGTGAGCACCTGCGCAGCTGTGCCTATTTTCGTCTAGTTCTCGAGATAAATGAGGAAATATAAGAACATGTCGCCTAGGTTTGAGAGACAAGGCATGAGAGACATCTTGCTCTATATAATGTTTCGTCGATGCGGGTGTAAGGACTCGAACCTCCTTTTTTGACCACGTGACTTTCGCTTGATGAAGCAATGTGTCATGTCATGGGCGAGGAAGGAGCGAGGGCGAGCTAGGTGCGAATGACAGGTGTGGCTGCCTAAACTAATAAACTGGTAGAGGGGAGTTGACTTAGAGTTTCCCAAGCGTCCCATAGTTGGAAGGAGCGTCCATGTACTCCCCAGCCACCAACAGCGCAACTGCAGTACAAGCAACCAACTGCCCCCTCGGCCCACCACGACCCCAAAGTTCACTATCGTGCTGCTTGTCCTCAAGAAAGCCGCAATTCAATCACATTGTTTCCCTGCAACACATCCTCATCCCTTGCATCCTTGGATTCCACATCGTCCACTTCGATTCCTTCGGGTCGCCATGACGGCCACCACCTCCTTCTCTCGGGCCTTGTCCCGACAGCTCCTCCCTGGCGGTCCCCGACCCTTCACGCGACCTCACTCCACCCTCCTACGCGTCTCCTGCAACTGCACATCCGAAAGCGCGCGTTCATTCTCGCTCAGGCACCGTGCAAACCTCTCTGCTGTCTTTGGACACGCAAGAACATACGCAACTGCAGTCCAGAAGAAAGCACCGGCCAAACCAAAGACCCGCGCAGCTGCTGCGAAGAAACGGACCTCCACCAAAGCCACAGCAAAGAAGACTGTGGCAAAGAAACCCAAGAAAAAGGTCGTGAAAAAGGTCAAGCCAAAAGTCAAGAAAGTGGCTCCTGAAGTTGCTCTACGCCGCAAAGAACGACTTGCCAACTCTGAGCTGCGTGCGGCCGCCCTCCTCACTCGACCTAAACAATTGCCCTCTACAGCCTACCTGGTGTTGGTCTCCCAGATCTCTACCAAAGGCTCTCAACTCCAACAAATCATTCAATCGGCCTCAGAGAAATACAAGACACTTTCACCAGAGGAGCGCGAGGTATGCTCATCCCACGTTGCATATTTGCATGACTGACCAATGCGACAGAGTCTCAATCATACGGCGAATGCCAACAAGGCCAAGAACGAAATCGAGTACAAGAAATGGGTTGAAAGTCATGATCCACTGACCATCAAGAAGGCCAACAATGCTCGTAACAAGCTCCGCAAGCAAGCCAAGGCCGCGGGAAAAGCCAAGGTCTATTCGCATATTCAGGATGATAGACTGGTCAAGCCCCCCACGAACGCCTATAACTTCTTCTTCCAGGAACGTGTGGCTTCCGGCGATCTAAAGGGACTCAGTCTCGCCGAGGGTGGCATCTTAGTAGGGAAAGAATGGAAGGCTTTGTCTGCAGACGAAAAAGAGGTTGGTGCCCACACTTTATTCTGATTCGACACAGTGATGTGACTAACTCATTCGCAACAGCGTTACAAGGGTCTTGAAAGTGCCGATAAGGACCGATACATTGAGGAGCACAAGTCCGTGTACGGCATTGACGCGCCGTTTTTGACAGCATCAAAAGCCTGAGCGTTTGGCCGGCAACAAGATCTCTCTCCAGGTGTTGACAGGATTTCTGACTGACGACGCGCACACGCCGCAACACATGGTCAGATCCTAATCTCGTCTACCCACACCAAATCCAGTCGGCTGTTGTACGATAGAATCTTAAGAGAAGGATCGTGGAGAACAATGTTGGTCGGTACTGTAGGACAAATTCGGAATTGGGATTGCAACGCAAAGGGCAGGATGCCATATCTGAGCCAACTACAGCTCATGGTCTACGCTCAGGGTCGAGGTGGATATTCATGGCGGTTTCGCAAGGCATAGAGCTCCACTTCTGGTTCTTCTCCATGTGATTATACCACGAACGCAAGGATGGCAAGAAGCCAGGTTGTGAAATAGGGGTGGACAGATGAGTCAAAATCATGATTCTCAACATGCAAATAAGTACATGATCAAAGGTCGATCAACAAGAAAGCAAATTTCAAGCTGTGGTATATTCATTTCTACTGTACATTGTGTAGAAGCCGAAAAGACCAAGCCAGTTTGCCTTTTCTCTTCTTCAACCGCACCATGAGTTCGGCATAAGCCGTCGTACATATGTGGCTTGTTTATGCTGCCCGGTGTCGGCCATTCTCAATTATGATCAAATCTGTAGATGGAATCTTTCCATCCATTGGATCCATCCTGCCAAAGCTCTGGACGACAGTGTTAACCCTAATGCACTTATTTGGTCTCCTCAGAAGATTTGGCAGTTGGATTGGCCTCCTCTTCCATCTGGGTCCTCCGGCTCTCCATTGTGAACCACAGACTGCGGCTAGCGCTTTCCAATGTATTAGTGACACTGGCACTGAAGCCCTGTAGCATCGCCACCAGCTGGGCGCGGAGCCCGTCAATCCCTCCATCAATGCTTCCAACCCACCGGGTGCCTTCCATGTCAAAGACTTGACCGTCGATGCGAGCTCCAAGAAGCATCAGCTTTTTCAATCCATCTTGCACCGGAGGGTCATACAGAGAAGGCCTCAGACGGCGGGGAGGGGCGGGAAAATGAGGCGCTTTGGGACTTAGGATGGAGAAGGCGGTCTTGATGTGCTGTGGTGACACTGTGGGAAAGGTCAGGATCGCGATAGATCCCGTGAGGAGGGGAGTTAAAGGATGTTCGTTCTTGTGTTCCTGAATGGCACGGTATGCCGAGGTGGACAGGGCGTGGGTGAGTGCTGGGTCATCCTTTTCCGACCTTATACCATTTGGGCTCTCCACTGGGGAGAGGGATGCGTCGCCTGGTTTATAATATTCCGTGATTCGTAGAGCAGGTTCAAACATGCTCGGATTGATGACCTGAAGCTTAATGTACTGGCCGATCAAGCTCGAGGGATCTGCGCCTTCAGCAAGGAGCTGTTGGTCGAGTATAGAGAGGGCAGACGACAGTTCTCGTCGGATCCCTGTCCATTCTGTAGCTTTTAGAGAATTGTGTTGGAAGAGGATGATGAGTGGTGTCGTTTGCAGGAGGGAGACGTAGGATCGGATCAGCTGCGACTTTCGGTATTTGGGATCTCGATGGGATGGAGGTTGTGAGGGAGCGTATCGAGAAAGAGGAGCGGACGAGCTTTGTGAGTGGGAAGCTACCGCGGTGGCATACCCACAGCTTCTGCAGGTGTATGGTTTCAAAGCAAGCTGAGCATCAAAGACGTGAGAGAGGGGCCGGAGCCGAAGCCTGGGTGGCATGGTGCTATGTGTCCCAGGTGTGAATATCGGCGACAGCGAAGATGGCGGTTTTATTTGGATTTTGGTTTCGCGTGTATCTCGATCCTCTTGAACCAGAGAAATTTCGAAGAACAAAGGGACGGGTGGAGCACGTGATTCCGGGCCCGTGACTAGCGCCTTCCTCCTTTGCACAAATACGGAGTATTTACACGCGTGCCTTCCTTACCATTGCTTGTCATTTAAGCAGAACGCGCTAGTCTACTATTAGACTAGAGCCATTTCCATATCAGACCGAGTAACAAGGCACGAGGCTCGGTACATCAACGCCCATCTGCACGACTTTCTACGGAGTATGCTATCCTTGCACTCGCGTACTCCGTACAGAAGAAACAAGCAGATGTCCAATAGAGGCTGGAGTCAACAGCATCCCCTGATCATGGGGGCAAGCGCCCTCTACTCCGTATTTTCCGCACTACCCGCCCTATGCAGTGCTGGGTATGGCTCATCAGCTCATCAGACAATCCCTACGGTTTGTTATGCTGACTTTGCTGACTGAGCAGACTTGTTGTTCCCAGTGCAGATGGTATCCACTCCCGCAACTCATACATGCACATCAGACGCCGGATTCCTCCTGTAAGAGGAATGCGGTTCCAGGAGATGTTGGCACTGTACAAATTCGACCTGATGTCTACCACACTCGCCACTGATCATGCCGAGCTCCGGTTCTGACAGAAATGGTCACGGCTCAATCAAGATAGAATCGGATCGGTTATTCCCTTTTCCATGGACTGGAGTCTATTTACAAACATAGTGCACTTTGCAATTGACCCGCTGCCACCATGTCTGATGTTACGAGTGCCTAAGTCCGCGTCTAGCGAAACTAGTCGCGAAATCAACTCTTACTCAGCACAAGTCCTGATGAGTGTGAGATCCACCACTGCAGCAGACCGACAGAGCTGAATCCATAGAGACTCCCTCCGTCAGCCTTAAGCTTCCCCCAGATATTGGATTACTGTCCGCGAATTCAACATTGAAGCTTGATTCATCGACTTACTGACTTCCCACCTTGTCGCACACTCCCCATTTCCAATCCACTGCGACCTTCATATGTTGCTCATGTCTCTACCATTTCTGAGTTTAGTGGATCCAGAGTTCGCCTAGGACACATTTCTTGCGCTGGTCCACATGTCCTAGGTTCCGTCCAAAAAGAAAAGGGCTCGGTACCTCACTTTGAAAATGCCAAAAATGCGCATTCGCATCCGCGAACAGTTATGCCTCCTCATCACTGTGACTACCTTGCTGGCATTGACCGTCTTGGCCGTATCAACATGGGTCCAGACAGCCCGCTTCATGAGGCGAGTCAGATCGGAAACGCTCTGTGTGACCGCCAGTCTCAAGGCCACTCAGCTCGCAGAAGAGCTTGACATGCTGAAAGACTTGGTACAGTCCGTGTCAACCCGTGATACACTGCAAGAGTATGTTCATCAATACAGCAAGGGAAATCATTCAGAGCAAGTCTTGAAAAGTATTCAAGTAAAGTCGCCTTCCGAGAACAATCAAACATCTGCTAATGCTTCTCGAGGTTGACCTGGAACACGCCCTATCAGGAGGGGCTGACCGATCAATCTTCCTCCAGGCTGCAGTCTTCCCCCCCGTTGCCGATTCTCGCGACCAACAGTATTCGATCGTGAATGTGACTGGAATGGAAATTCCGAGTACAGTCGATCTGCCTCGCTGCCACGAAAATGGGACAAGCTTGTGTCTAAGCGATGACGGCTTCGTCTACCCGCCTGAACTCTATCCAAACTTCACCTACAGCGACGAGATGTCCAATGTGACCCATGTGTATTACGATGACAAGCCTTTGTTCCACGACTCGACTTTAGTGCTAGGACCTCTAGTTCTCGACACAAACACCTCGCTGGTCTCAATGACGGTCGCAATTAATAGTAAGAGGGTCCCTTTCCCTGCCACAGCAGGGTGCTTGGTTGTCTATTCTAATCATCTCCAGACAACACAAGTCGAAGGTGTGTTCTATAGGCGTCTATGCATTCTCAACAAGTTTAACAGCTTACTTTCCCTAGTGACATCCTCGGCTGGCTGACGATCGTGCTTGATGCTGAAATCCTTTATGATATCACCACTTCCCGAGTTGGTCTGGGAGACACTGGTGAGGTTGTCGTCATTGGAGCTACGCCACCAACCAACAAATTCGCGGAACAGATTGATGGTCGCTCGGAATCGTTGAATGAAGATGTTCCCGTCCACTTTGTCTTTCCTCCCTCTCCAGATCGTCACCCGACCCGGGCCAACGACACTCAGCTGCCCTTTTTAATGAAGGATTATCCCGCAGTGCTTGCTGCGTGGTCGGAAGATAATGAAGAACTCAACAACGCCGGTGCTATCATGGCCAGTCGTAATGAAGAGAACTTCCGAGTCTCGGTGGGTTATGCTCAAGTTACTTCGCCTATGGTCGACTGGGTTTTGGTCTTTGCTCAAAGCCGGGGTGAAGTCTATGCGCCAATCAACAGCCTGAGGAATACAGTTCTGGCGTGCATCCTTGGCTTGGGAGGCGGCATAATTGTGATATGTTTGTAAGTGGAATTGATATTCATCCCAAATCCTGCTGACAAGATGATAGCCCTATTGCCCATTACGCGGTGAAACCGATCCATGCCCTGAAACACGCCACCCAAAACTCGGTCATGACGTATGAAGCATATGTGCCATCCGAAAAGTCCTCCGATACCGATACTGAACACACTGTTATCGACGGAGCAGCTGCAACAACAGAAAAGGGCCACGTGCCTCGAGTCCGTCAGCGCTCGGAAAAGAGACAGGCCCGTTCCCGCGCAGTTAGACGATTTCAAATCCCAGAGAGGGTACCGGAACACCGCCATATAATATTTGATGAGCTGACGGACCTTACTGCCACGTTCAATGAGATGTCGGAGGAGCTCGCGCTTCAATATGCCAAACTCGAAGAACGAGTAAGAAGTAGGACTGCAGAGCTTGAACAGAGTCGCAACGCCGCCGAGACTGCTAACCAAAGCAAGACCCTGTTCATAGCCAATGTGTCTCACGAATTGCGAACTCCGTTGAATGGCATCATCGGCATGTGTGCTGTAGCGATGCAGGAAGAGGATATCGTGAGAATTCGGGGGTCGTTGAAAATCATCTACAAATCATCTGATCTTCTGCTTCATCTTCTGAATGACTTGTTGACATTCAGTAGCAGCTCCTACGGCCGGAAACTGGCGATTGAGGAAGGCACTTTCCGTCTTGTCGATATTGGGACGCAGCTGGTGTCGATTTTCGAAAAGCAGGCGAATGACGCGAATATCAGTCTCAGGGTGGTCTTCATTGGCGCACAACGAGACAATGAACTGGATTTGGATGCTGTCCAGGACACTATTGTTGCACGGGGAGACACAATTGGCAATCTAGCTAGGATCAAAACAAGCATGCTTGCGAAAGGACCTGGGGACACTGGAGCCCTGCGCGAAATTGGTCTTCGAGGCGACAAGAATCGTATTCTACAGATTCTAATGAGTGAGTGTCCATTTGCTTGGTGCGAAAATGAATATGCTGCTGACATTACGCGTTCCAGATCTGGTAAGCAATGCGCTCAAGTTTACGCCTTCTGGGGGGTCTATTGAAGTGAGAATCAAGTACCGGCAGCTCATAGAGTCAGCCGCAATGCCCGAGGTCATCTACTCGAATCGAGGATCGCCAGCGACTACGCTGACCAATCCCTCGAGCTCCAAGGCCCCTACTGAAATGGAGCCGTTAGTTTCGTCTATGCAAGGACTCATGTTTGACTTTGTTGTGGAAGATACTGGGCCAGGCATTCCAGAGCGCTTGCAGCAGGAGATATTCAAGCCTTTCGTCCAAGGCGATGTGGCCTTGAGCAAGAAACACGGTGGCACAGGACTGGGCCTGGCGATTTGCTCACAACTTGCAGAGCTCATGGGCGGGACGATCGTTCTTAAAAGCACGGTCGATATTGGGAGCACGTTCACCCTTTCTCTTCCTCTACGTTATACCAAGGAGCATGTCCCGTCGGTATCTGGCTCACTTGCTCGACCTCACTCGAACAAAGCTGCCAGTCTGGTGAACAGCGTCCAGTTTGAGACGTTCAGCGCACGATCTCGAATGTTTCGAGAGATGCGTTCCGCACGTTCCACTCGTGCCTCGTACTATTCTCAGGACAAAGAGTCACAATTGGATGCTCCACGGTTGGTGGGATTCTCTCAGCCTTATCTTGTTGACGGCGATCAAGGAATGGAGCCTGCTGATCTCACGACAAGTCCAACTCTACATAACCATCGACATAATTCGGATCCTGAAACATCAAGGCTGGAACCTATCCAGTCCGTCGCTTCCCCCCTCCAAACACCGTTTTCTGAGATTTCAAACACACAAAAGGAAAAGCAAATTCAACCAAAAGATTCCGGTCCCTCCACGGCTCAAAGGCCTCCCGATCTGCTGAATCTCAGAATTCTGGTGGCCGAGGACAATAGTGTGAATCAGCAGGTCATCCTGCGGCTCCTTGCTCTTGAAAAGGTAGGCGATGTCACGTTGGCAGAGAATGGCGAGGAAGCTGTGGAAAAGGTGCAGCAGTCCCTCGAAGCCGGTGCACGGTTTTCATTGATCTTCATGGACAGTAAGTTTTTCTTGACGACTGCTTATGCCATAGGATGCTTATCCAGTCTACCAGTCCAAATGCCTAAGATGGACGGCATCGAAGCTACCAAACAGATACGAGGAATCGGCTGTGACGTACCGATTGTGGCATTGACGGCGTTTGACCACGAAACAAATCGGAACGCGTGTCACGCTGCGGGAATGAATGGTCAGTCTACCAAGCTTCGTTTGAGTACTAAAATTAAGCTTGCATTAGGTTTTCTTCCCAAGCCGATCAAAAGGACTGCTTTAAAGAAAGTTCTTGAGCAGTACAAGCCTGTCAACGAGAACGAAGCAAACGAAATTTGAGACACATCCTAGTTGCATTATTCAGAATGAGGATTGCATTGATTTCCACGAAAACATGTCATATACTCGGAGATTTGGAGTCATTGTTATGTGGGGAGAGTGGCGGATTTCTGGCATATTCCTCTCACTGTATCTTGCATGTCCAGGCACAAAATTTGGCTACTGTCTACCAAAATGAATGCTGTGTATCTTTGCAGATCTTCAAAAATCCAAATAACATCACAACTGCTGCTTCAGTAGACCTTGGTTGTCGTTGCGAGCACGTAAAGTACATAGGGAGATGGGAATCCATTCTAGGGATCGCCAGCTGGTTGAAATTATCCAAGATACAACCAGATGATTCGTTGTATATGATTTGGGTCCAGGACATGGAGAATATGAGATATTCTACGATGTATCACATTCTATATGCATTGCTCTCTGGAAGTGACAGTCAGCCGCCTACGCCACATATGACGCCACAATAACTAATGACGTTGATTGGCCCGCAAGGAACCGCATTCCTCTTCCATCTCAGATACGATCTTAAGTCTGGACCGTCAATCATAAGTTGTGATCATCAGTCATCATTTTTTGACCATCTACTAGCACAGCAATGGTCTCACCTGGACGATGGAGCCCGCATCTGAAGCTGCAAGGGCTCTGCGAGAGTCCTTTGGCGACCGCAAACCCATCGACATAAGTCGAAAGATCACCGCCTGTGTCGCATGCCGCAAACAAAAGGTCAAATGCTTTATGGGCAATGATGGAAGTCCGCCTTGTACACGCTGTAAGAAGCGAGGTATATCATGCACCGTCAATCGCAGTCTACAAATGCTACTTGAGAACGATGTCTCGTGAGTGCACTCCAATTTCTCTCCCCTTGGCACACATGTTTGCATTAGCCAGACTCACAGGTCGCAGGTGGAAATCCACAGTGGAGAAAAAGCTCCAGGCTTTGGAAGACTCGGTCGGCAAATTGAACCAGCTGGCCGCAGTTGGGGGGGAGCATTCTCGACTTCTTACTTCTCTAGACACCGCATCAACTCAGCTCAATGCACTGGCTCCAACCACCGATCAGGCTCCTCCACAGCGGTCAGAACAGGCTTGGGAAGTTGTCATGGACTTGAATCAAGGCCCTGGAGTCGTTCCAGCGTCAGTGGTTTCCGAAGTTCCCGCTGCTAGAGGAGACGCAATCGCACCGAATCAGCGACAGTCCGTCGACCTCATCGATCAAGGTGTAATCTCTCTGACGGATGCGCAAGAGTTCTTTGACTTGTACTACCGTCGGCTAGACCATTTCCTGTACAGGATACTGGCAGAGCATGACTCCCTAGCAAGTGTACGGAAGAGTTCGTCTTTATTGACTGCGGCTGTGTGTACAGTCGGCGCACTTCACCAATCATCTTCACAGTATCAGCCATGCTATCAACATTTTGTCCAGCTCGCATCGTCCCAGATGTTCTCCAAGAAGAACAATCACGACGACGTGCGAGCACTCTGCATTGGTGCTTTCTGGTTGAGTGATATTTCGTGGAGTCTACTTGGTCAAGGTATGTGAGGCTTGTTGTTTTAGGTCGTGAGGATCATAAGATGACCCCAGGAACAGCTGCTCGACTTGCAGGTGAATTGAATCTTCACCGGTGTATACCCAAAGCTCCGCATACCAAGAAAGCCTGCTTTCTCCGAACTCGACTGTATTATCTGGTCTACATCTGCGACCACCATCTCTCGATAGTTTACGGACGGCCGCCCCTGACACGAGATTTTGGCGCCATCACGCCGCCCAGCGAGTTTCTGAAGTCGAGCTTCGCGACAGAAGACGACACCCGGCTGATCAGTCAGGTGGAAATATGGATCATCAATACACGGGTATTCGACCAGTTCAGTCTCGACCCTTCAGCACATTTGTCCGATCGACTGATTCCACAGCTTCGGCGTCTGGGAATCGCCCTCGACACTTGGAGGGCTGACTGGTACGAAAAGTTCCAAGCGAACCTTCATGTGGGTAACTATCCCCGCAAGGGAGTCGATCTGCATTACCACTTTGCCAAGTTGTTCCTCTGCTCGCACGTGTTCCGAAGACCTTCGGGTCCACTCGAAGGGTCGACGATGCTGGAACCTGAATTGATCGAGTTCTCCAATACGGCAATCAGTTCAGCGACATCAATCGTACAGGCCATCATTAAAGACGAGGAGATTCAGTCATATTTGCACGGCCTGCCTGCATATTTCGACACCATGATTGCCTTTGCATTTGTGTTTCTCTTGAAACTCACCATCAAATATCCTGGAAACATATGGATCGATAAGGCGGGGATCCTGGACATGTTGGACCAGGCCGTAAGCATCCTGGAAAGCTTGACGACCAAGATGCACCCTCGACATCTTCTGACTAGCATTGTCAGCAGTATGAGAAAGCTCCTGGATCGGTCGATGCAGAGCACCGATGAAGAGGGCAATGCTGTCGCGTTGAACTCGATGTTGGTAGGTGGCGGTGGAGGTGGAGGTGGAGCAGGAGTCGATGCATCGTTTGCGGAGAATGAATGGTTCAGCCCAACCGATGCCATGTTTTTGGAACAGTACGACTTTGCAGATTTCAATTTTGACATTGATTTCGATGCGACCCCGAATGCTTGATCGGGGGATGCGAGAGGAAATAGGGTGTGTCTCCTAAGCATGGACTCTTTGCAGATCATAGAGTTACCTGGTCTATTTGTGATCACTCTTTGTATATGCCAAGGCATCATCTCATGTAAATATTATGTGACAACGTCAACTATTCGACCTCATGAAGATCAGATGGGCGTGGGTAAAGAGAAGTATTTGATAGGACGAATGGAACAAAGTCGATTGATCACGTGATATCACATGCAAAAACCTTCGCACGAAGATCCGCAGGAACAAAAATACACGTGTCACGTGATAACCCACGTGACACACCCAATAGTATTCGTAGTATTCGCAGTCAACCCCCTCCACTCCCTCCCCACGTTCGCCGCAGTTAATTGAGTCATTGTTCGGCGCAGTCTCTAAACACAACGATCACAGCTCTCTTTGCACCATCTATAAGAGAGGGACATTTCTGGGTTTGGTCTTACAGTCGCCAGGATGTCCGAACCACCGGTGCGACAAGTCACCATCACTCCGCTGCTGAAGAAGCTGTCGGCGCCTCCTCCAATGGACAATAGTGTCAAGGCGGAGGACATTGCACTGGCATTCTCGCGGACGTTTGAGAACCAACTGAGCGGGACACAGACGGCAGCTCTACTGACGCTACTCCACTCGACCGGCCGAGACAGACACCCGGACGTGATTGCAAAGTGCGCGGAGAGTATGCGAAACGCTGCAGTGCAGGTCGACGCCCAGGCGTTGAAGGATGTGGTTAAGAGGAGGAAACGAGGGTTGGGTTCTTACAGAGGAGGTCTATGTGACATTGTGGGAACCGGTGGTGATCTTCATTCTACCTTCAACATCTCGACTACTTCGTCTATTATCGCTTCTCCTATCCTCCTCATGGCTAAACATGGTAATCGAGCTCAGACGTCCATGTCTGGTTCGGCCGACGTGCTCAACGCCATTCTTCCCAAGCCGCCCAGGATCGAGGCCCTCAGCGCAGAACTCCTCCCTCAAGCCTACGAACACACCAACTACACCTTCCTCTTCGCCCCCAATTTCCACCCTGGTATGAAATACGCCGCAACCGTCAGAAGAGAGCTGGGTCTCCGCACAATCTTCAACTTGATGGGTCCTCTGGCAAATCCCGTCGAGGATCAAATCGAGGCTCGTGTCGTGGGAGTCGCATACCAAGAACTCGGCCCTGTCTTTGCTCAGGCGCTGGCTCTGTCAGGGGCAAGAAAAGCAATGGTGGTCTGTGGTCAGGAAGATCTCGACGAGATCAGCTGTGCTGGCAAGACGAATTGTTGGCTGCTGAGAGAGTTGCCCAATCCCAAATACAAGGGCGACCACAATAAGGAGGAAGACGACGACACCAGTGACGACGAAGCCGAACCCAGATATATTGCCAAGGTCGAGACATTCGCTGTTGGACCAGAGGATTTTGGACTTCCTTCACATCCACTGTCAGAAGTCGGCGGCGGCAAACTACCGCGACAGAACGCCGCTGTGCTCATGTCCATGCTTCGCAACGAGCGAAGCCCCGACGACCCCATTCTGCATTTCGTCCTCATGAACATTGCCGCCTTGTTGGTCGTGAGCGGTGCCTGTGATGCAGACACGTGTGAGAGCGGCGAGGTCATCAAAGAGACGGGTCCGGGTGGGCTGAGATGGAAGGAGGGTGTCAAGAAGGCTCGTTGGTGCATCGAGAGTGGAAGAGCTCTGGAAGAATTTGAAAAGTTCATAGAATTCACCAACAGACTCTAGGCAAGGTCTGAAAAAAGTTTTTTGATCCATCTGAACCCTTTGATTCAACACGAGACCACCGTGTGAATGCATAAAACAGTGCCTGTCCAAAAACGCCGTCGCTGTGAGGTTCGAGTTTCATTCAGCTCTTCCGCCCGCCGCGTGTCGTCCGCACCTAATCCCCAAGGTGTTCAAAGACTGCGGTCAAGTCAAGTCATTTCGTTGGCTCTTATCTCGCCTCAAATTGTACCATTCTGTAATGATCACAGTCAGTCGCCATCGTTTTTGTCATGTGCGCAAAGTCGCTGCGGACGTACCTCTTGGTTCTCTCTTTGTACAAGACTCGGTGGCCGCACATGCTACATCTGATGGCGTCGCCTTTTCCCAGGCTGACTTTGGCCGCACACTCTCCACAGACATATTGCACAGTCACGCCACCAGAGCTATCGCCTGCAGCAAAGCCCGATGCGAAACCCTGGAAGCCGCCGCCTGCCCCGCTACCACCGCCAGAGGGAAGTTGGTATGTTTCTCGTTGGCTAGACATTTCGAGAGTGCGGGAGAAGTAGGATCGATTGAGGACGAGGAAAGAGAGATTTCGAGATTCTAAAGAGAGAAGATTGATGCGACAAGATGCCGCAACCCTGGTGGATGATATGATGAATGTTGGATTGGATTTGAAAGAATGCCTGGAAGATTCGGCGTAGAAATTATGGGCGGATGGTTTTCTTTCGGGAGAAGGTTGTTCCGTTCCGGTCAAAAGTCACAGCCACATACATGTGGGAAGGAACGCTCCTTCCTTTGACCTGTCTTGTCCGTGCATGTCAGTCACTCCTGCCTTAAATGTTACACAATATCAACTCTGATATTTCTACATCTCTTCATGAAATCCAGACGCTCGTGTGATACTCTCGAGATCATGATTCGTACTTGGTTTACAGGTTTTGCGGCCTTGTATCTCTACTGCATGCATGCATTTGTCCCCTGTTGACAGCTTTTTCAGCGTCTGGCTTTATCTTATTCTTTCTTACATCAACAAAATCGCTCCACCATGCTTGCTACTCGAGCGCAAAGCTCTCGAGCTACAACTCCGTCCGGACCGAGGACAAAACCCTGGTCCTGTACAGTCTGTCATGAATTAGACAGAAGTAAGATCATTTATTGGAAGGCTGGCCCCTCGAGGCACAAGATGTTCAAACGTTACTATCAATATAGTGATTATCATAGCCTCCCGATTCCCTTGAGAGACCTCAAGTTCTCTGCCAGTCGCGACTGCCCCTTTTGCGTCGTGGTCTTTGACATCTTTCGCTGGCTTGCCCGCACAAAGGCTCAGGGGTTGAATGCAACTTACCAAGCCAAGGTAGAAATCTGCATTCCCTTTGACGCCAAATACCCTCTGGTCTTGACTTTTTCCTGGTTACCAGCTCCTGCTGCTCCAATACCTCGCCAGTATGATTTTCAGCTCGCCGTACCCAGTCAATGTCAGTCGATTTCGCTCATGTATAAACCCTGCTGAATACCCTGCTTTTTCTAGGTCATCGCTTACCCTGGTCGACCATGGGTGTTGGCCGTCAGGTACCAATCGATCCAAAGTTGGCTATCTTTCGAGCCCGCTCGTGGCTACAGGACTGTTTGAAAAATCACGAAAAAGCTCGGTGCAACACAGCTAGACACGGTATCCCTCATCTGATGCCTAGAAGGCTCCTTCATGTTGGCAAATCACAGAATCAGGTCAAGCTCGTCGATAATTTTGCCGGTATCCAGCATTCATACGTGGCTCTCTCTTACTGTTGGGGCGAGACAAGACACGTCGTTACCACTCGTTCAAATTACACCCAGCAACTCCAATGTATCCCCTGGTCGGCTCTCCCTGCCACATACCGGGACGCTATTGAGGTTACGCGGGCATTGGGCTTCACGTATATCTGGATAGACGCCTTGTGTATCGTTCAAGGAGACGAGCAGGACTGGAATGCTGAAGCCGCTCGCATGTCTGATATTTACGGTGAAGCAGTCGTGGTCATCTCCGCAGTCAACGCTAACCATGTTGGCTTTGGATGTTTGAATGAGAGACCAGGCTCAAGAAGCTTCAAAAATAAGTTAAAGCGCAATGACCACGATCCGACTCACTTACTAGTACAGGAACCGACCATTCACGAGAATGTTCTAGGTACTCCGTCACTAGAGGCACAATGGCCCCTTTTTCGTCGGGCTTGGACCTTACAAGAGCGCATATTGGCCAGCAGGATCCTCCATCTTTCTGCAGGTGAAATGATCTGGGAGTGTGCCAGTATTTGCGCTTGTGAATGTGGTCATCTTGAATCGACCACTGCTGTCACCTCGAGACGAAGATACGATCTTGCCAGGCTCGAGTCCATGACGACCCTCGAGCGGGCCAACGCATGGGACGAACTCGCTCTCTCATATCAGAATCGTCACATCACAAAGGACAACGATCGCCTGCCAGCATTGTCTGGTCTCGCCCATCGATTTCAGACGGACGGCCTGGGTCAATTCTTGGCGGGCTTGTGGTCTGAGTTTGCCATCAGTATGATGTTATGGGAAGTCAGAAAGGGCCGGGTATCGGGAGCTTCTGTGGCGCCCTCTTGGTCATGGGCATCGGTGCAAGGTCTTCTGACACGAAATGATCCGATCGAGGAGAACAACTCATTTCAGGCTGTCCTCAAGGATTTCCATTGTGATCCAGCAACTTCGGATCCATATGGAGCAATTGTCCAAGGTTCGGGCTATCTACAACTCCACTCTCCCGTCCTCGACGGAACCATTGTTCGAAGCAAGACAAACAGTCACATGATGATACGTTTGTCTCTCGATATCTTTGCTTTCTTCGTCAACGATTCGCCAATTGAGGAATCTCTAGTCGGCGCAACGGTCAAATGCCTTTTCGTCCGTGGACTTGAAACAGCACCTTCTGGAAGGTACGTCGAAGCAGTAGTACTCAGTCTGTCAAGAGACTTGGAGCACTATCGACGAATAGGTATTGCGCATCTGAGAAAGCATGACATCAACAGAGCGTCACAGCAAAGCCTTTACCTGTCAATGGAGATTGTCACCATTCGATGAGTGTTGGTAAGCCACACCGCTCTTCTGGGGGGGACCTGCAGTCAAATTTCTTTTACTGGCTCTATCATTCCACCATCTTTTTGATCCATCCATGACTCAGATACGTTAGAGGTAATACAACATTGAGCGACATCTTACGAACCGGGTGAGGAAGATATGCCAAATCTGGGGCAGATGGGTTCTGACACCTTCTATCTCATTGGCGGAACTCAAACCACCAATATATACTTCCTGAGGACTCGTCCAATCAAAGAGTGTTCCTTCCGACTCAACCAATCAACGTACAGGAACCAGATATTGACTCTCACAAAAACTAATTCATACTTGCGAGGCAATTCGGACGACGTGTTCAGGTCCAGAATATCGACAAGTTTCTGACGTCAGATGATTGTTGTCTGCTCGTCTTCTGCAACCATGTCAATACCTTGAGCAAGGATAAAAGGAGCGTGCTTCCCCCGACAAAAGTCACCAACGCTATACTCAAGGTGCGCTGATCTCCTACAGGCAACAAGGTTCCATTGACAAAAGTCCCATCCGGACCGAACCCTGCCGTAAGTGTGGTTGGTCTTACGAGTATTTAAAGCACTTGTCCTCCTCACCAGTCGTGTTCAATACTTCATTGCTCTCTTCTCATACATAGTCATCTGGCGGGCAAACGTCACACACAAGTTCAATGTCGAGCGAAATCGAGATTGAGTTTCAAGCGGCCATCGACACGGGCAAAATCAATGGTGCAGTCATCTGTGCCACTGATGCCCAAGGTCATTTTATCTATGACAGAGCCCTTGGGCAGCGGACTCTGCTGTCAGGAGAACATCGTCCACAACAACTCGATGATGTGCTCTACCTGGCCTCGGCTACAAAGCTCATGACCACCATTGCCGCTCTGCAATGTGTTGAGGATGGGCTCCTGACTCTCGATGGCGACCTTTCTTCCATCGCACCCGAGTTAGCAGCCAAGCAAGTCATCACAGGTTTCTCCGAAGACGACGAAGAACCCATCCTTCAGCCGCTGAACCGACCCATCACTCTCGAGATGCTTCTCACCCACAGCTCTGGCGCTACATATGACTTTATGAACCCACTTCTCATGAAATGGCGAAAAAAGTTTGACTTTTCCCCCCCTGATGCTAAACGCCGAGTCGAAGATGCATTTGCCTACCCACTCGCATTCCAGCCCGGCGAAGGCTGGATGTATGGCCCTAATCTCGACTGGGCAGGTCGAATTGTCGAAAGAGTCACCAGAGGGACATTGGGATCACACATGCACCAACGAATCTTCGGCCCTCTTGGGATCACCGACGCACAGTTCTACCCTGTGACTCGACCTGGGCTGCGCGAGCGTCTTGTCGATCTCAACCCGTCCGACCCAGAGGCACATGGTCTGGCCGTCACGGGCCAAACCGAGGCAAACAAGCGCTCGGAGGGAGATTTCGGTGGCCACGCCCTCTTCATGACAGCACCTGACTACGTCAAAGTCCTGAAATCCTTGCTCAGAAACGACGGGAAAATCCTTAAGCCGCAAACCGTGGACGACATGTTCCAGAACCACCTGACCCGTCCAGACGCCGCTGCCGGTCATCAAGCTGCAATGGATGGGCCGATGGGCATCTTCTTCCGCGTCGGCACAGACCCAGACTCCAAGGCTGGATTTGGTCTGGGTGGCTTGTTGACCATGCAAGACTTGGAGGGTTGGTATGGTGAAGGTACTTTGACTTGGGGTGGAGGCATGACTTTTGCTTGGTTCGTCGATCGTAAGAATGACTTGTGTGGCGTAGCTGCCGTTCTGAGTGCATTGCCTCTGGATGGAAAGTTGATCTCGGAACTCAAGCAGAGTTTCCGCAGGGGTATCTATCGTGAACGGACCGCGTGGAAGGCGCAGCAGGAATGAGACACTGGTTAAGTTAGGGTCAAGTGTGGAAAGGTGAGAGTGAACATGTCTAGATGGCAAATGTTCCATTACGAGAACACCAGACAAGCATGGTTGACAATTGTGAGGTCAAAATCCCAAGAACTCTTCGTTCAATTATGATATTGATTTTCATATAGTCATTGCATAGTTAGGTATATCTCATATTGGAACAACAAATTGATCGACCAAAGCAGTCTCATGCCAAGCGAAGCCCACAGGGACATCTCATGGAGACAACCACCCGAGGACTAATTGGAGACGTATAGATCAGATCAGTTCATTAGACTTGTTCTTTCCTCGTCTCGCCAATCTTTTCCTGATCGGCACCATTGACTGTATCGGTACTGCTGCGATCGAATTGAATCTCGGTACTTTCGCCCGAGAATTGATCGACATCGACTTTGTGGAACTTGCGAGCCGACACCTTGTTCTCAAAGAGAACGTCGAGTTCGGCATAGGTGCGGTCCTTGCATTCAGGCAACATGAAGTACATGAAGACAGCCAGTAGAGCGGTGAGACCAGCGTAGAAGAAACCAGTCATGCCAGCCCAATTCCAATCATTGGGCGAAAGCATGCGTGGAACAACAATGTTGTTGAAAATACCGCCCTGCAATCTCGAGGTTAGTGGGATGGTGGGGGATCTCAAGAATGGGTGCGTTTTAGTCAACTTACCAAGTTGTACAAGTTACGGGCCAGCACGACGGTCTTGATCTTAAGTCGGGTGGAGGGGATTTCGGCAACGATCGCATAGCAGACGGGGCCGACGGTGAAGTTGTAGAAGAGGGTGTATACCAGCAATAGAGAGCCGAGGGCCCATGCGGCACCTTCGTTCTCTCGAGAGATGACACCCAAACCGCCAATGAGCATGAGGAAACAGAATAGGATGCATAGACCCCAGAAGTAGAGGGCTCTTCGGCCGATGCGTCTCATGAGGAACCATGAGACAATGGTGCCGACGAAACCGAGTGCGAATTGGCCAATGTTCATGTTAAGGGCGTTTTCTTCACTCAACCCAGCTTCACGGTAGATTTGCACGGCATAACTATTCATTTCAATCATGGTTAGTACTGTTGGTTCGGGCAAGGGAAGGTAAAGGTGGTGGTGGTGATGATTGCTTACCCCATCATTGCAGCACCGCAAAGAGCCTGAGTGAGCCAAACAACACATGCGATCAAGGTACGGCGAGCCTCAACTCCCTTGAAGCAGTCACTATAGCCGACTCCTTCATTCATAGCTCTCTCGAGTTCGTTGGTATGTCGGATCAATGCCACAGCACCATCGGCGTTGAAAGGAGTGTCTTCAGATGGGGTGGTGATCTGGACGAGTGCTGCTCTTGCTTCATCAAGACGGCCTTTTCGGACGAGCCACCACGGCGACTCTGGAGCAAACCAGACACCGGCGAGGATGATTGGGCACCAAGTCCACTGAATGGCGACAGGGATTCTCCACCCCCATTCATTACCCAGAGTCTGGCATCCTCGAAGGACACCTGAGGCGATGAGTTGACCCATGACCCAGCAGAGATTGATGTACGTGGTCAGGTATGGTCGGAGGGTGGATGGTGTGATGTCGGAAGCGTATGTGACGGTCAGGGTCTGGAACACACCCCATGGCAGACCCAGGAGGACCGAACCGGCGCAGATCATACCGACATTCTGGGCGAAGAAGTGGATAAAGTTGAAGGCGGCCGACAGGAAAAGGGCGCCATACATGGTCCTCTTGTATCCGAACCATTCTGAAATGTAACCGTTCGCCCACAGACCGATGATGGAACCAGCCTGGACACCATTCTGAATTCCGGCTTGCCAGGCCGCTGTAATTCTAGGGTTGCCGTCTGGGTCTAACTCAGTCCCGAATGCTTCACGGAATTGATCGTATCCCATGAAGGAGCCCATGGCAGATAAATCGTAGCTGGGTTAATGTCAGCGAGGATCAGTGTAGTCTCCTCACTACTAGGGGTACCCACCCTTCCATCACCACGGCCAAACTCATGGCCATTGAGAAGAGAATAGCCTTCTTGTACAGGCGTATCGATTGTCGGACAGTCATGGACTTTTCCTTGTTGGTGGCATCCTGAGCCTCGGCCTGTTCAATATTATTGTTCTCATAGGCCTGACTGAGGCGACGAATCGAATCATTTCTGACACGAATAATCCCATCGTTTTCGCGATTGACGCTGGCCACCGAAGACCTTCTTCTCTGAGACATGATGGGCGGATGTCGAGATCAATGGGGTCCGAATATAAAAGTCTGATGTGGACTGAAGGTCCCTGAGCGGGTGGAAAAAAGTATTGGGAGGGCTTGACTTCTTTATACATTGATCAGCGCCACTGGCGTACATCCTTTTTGAGGGGTTACCAAGGCCGTCATCCAGGGTTCTCCGTGTCGAGAGTATTAAGAAGTGAAATTTGGACCGAGCGTGAGGTATGATGATGGTGGGCCAAGGCAGTTTGGCTGAGCAACACGGCTTCGAGCACGAGACCAAAGCGTTTAAGACAAGGCTTCGGCACTACTCTCGGGCATACAACTGTATCTTGCACGGCTTCCAAGAAAATGGGGCGCATGGAAGGAAGGTGATCTGTCAGACCCACCCCCGAAGTGGGAAGGTTGAAGAGAGCTAGAGGTCAGACCCAGCAAGTCAAGAGTGTCAAGACGACGAGCATCACCAGAATCCAAGAGGGCACAATCTGGGGATTGGGGAGTAGAACCTGGGGACCGTTTGGGAGTGGGCTTGGGTCGAGGTTTCGCATGGTGATTCGCAGACCAAGCGAATTGTCGATGTATGACGGCGCAATGCTCGTTGATTTCGCAAGATGACATCGACACTATGGAGAGCGACTAGCGAGCAGTAGCCATTCAAGGTGGGAGGAACCGACACCAGCGTGATCGGAGTGGAGAGATGGCGGAGTCTTGGTAGAGCAACGCGACTAACGATGGAAGGAATCCTCAGCCAAGCAATCGGCGACTTGGCAGGAGTGGAGCGGGAAATCAACGTCGCAAGAATGACGAGTGCCCAGGCCACATGCACAAGCGCAATCGACCCTGTTCGGTAAATGGTTTTGCTAGACTTGGATGATCCAACATGTGTTTGAAGAGAGGTGTACAGGTTTCTAACTTCCAGAGAAGTACCACACCTTTTGGTGATGTTGGATGTCGCCCAAGTCGTGCCAATGATGTATATCTATGTCACGTGGTCCCCAGCACCCTCATCGAGGATGGGTACAAACTCACCTTGTGTTTATGGGTGCAGGTGAGAAGATTGACTTTCCAGGATGGTGACGAAAGGGGCTTGAAACCTCGAACAAGACTTTTTTCTTCGAGGATTCTTAGCTGTCTCGTGAGGGTTGTAACTTGGCGCACTCAAGAATCCGCCGTCTAACCGATTGTGAGGCTGGTGACAAGGTTTTTGCCAAGGGACCGATGCGCGACTTGACCTATAGAGTTGAAAGGTTCGATCTTGGTGTCCTCTGCATAGCATAGTTGATGGTGAGTCTTGTACTTGTGGAAGATGGGAGGAGGTCTGGTTGTCAGTCTGTCATCCTTACTTGGACAATGAGCTCAGCTTTGGCGAGCCAAGTTGAGGGGTCGATCCATCCTAGGACTCGGCTGGTCAGTCTATGATATCAGATGTCATTATTAGGAGCCTTGGTTCTTCAATTTGTCATTGTTGTTGGTTTGGTCTGCTAGCATCAGAGAAGCAGATATTAGATTCGAGGCAAGTGGGAGTTACAAACACGTGGCGCACGTGATGTAGGCTCTCCTCCACATAGGTCATCATGTCTCCGCCTCTCCGCCTCTCCGCCTTTCCACCTCTTAGACAAAGTGTATACATACTGTAAATAGTGATCTGGTGGACACCGAAGACAATGATAGGCATTATTCTATATCGGGATTTCATTTCCTCATTGGTCGTGCAGCTCTCCTCAATGTACAGTGCATACTGACCTCAACCACTCACAAGGCTGAGGCCCTGGTCCACAGTGATTGGTTGGATTGTCTATCTTCTACCAATGGATGTCCAATTCAACGGAGACCTCCTATTTGCTCTAGAAAGGGTAGACTCTTTTTCTTCTGTCGCCATAGCTCAAGAAAGACGCTGGTCCCTCTCATACCTGCCATGCTATGCCTTGAGAAACACTGACTAGGTTATCTATCCCTAGTGGTTTCAGGCCCGGGGCCACCAATCGCTCACGGATCGGTTTTGTCTGTCGAACATGGAGCAAAACACATAATTGACATGACAATAAATTGCCAAGCACAAGGTGTTGAAAGGTATAGCACTGCGTGAAGAGGCTTTAATGTTTACGTACAGGAAGTTTTGAAGCGCACACGGCCGGATCGATTCCAATACTTAGTAAATAGCTTCTCTATGTGGGAGGATACAGGCAAAGACTCTGCTTGGTATTTCGATGATCCTGACGAGGGTTTCCAGCTGTAGTAACTAAGGATCTGCGAGAAGGAGAGAGACTCACTCATTCGAAGGGCAGAGAAGCGTCTCTCTGCAGTGCTCAGAATGCCGCCAAAGCAAGATCGTGACCGAATTTAGAGATGATGTCGTCCACGTGATTGTGCACGTGACTGGGCATGATGTCAGTGTACCTATTTAAAAATTCAAGTCTACTCGTGAATAGTCACGAGATTCTAGTCCTTTTGCAGCGATCCTACAGTGCTTCATGAATCAGTGGAGAAGGACGTAGGCTACAGGGTCCGACGCAAAACAGGTATATAGGCATAAAGGAGGTAGGGAGAAATAGGACAGCAGGAGGCAATCATCGAGAGGGGATGAGGGTTCTTATCGACGTTAAAAGCGGCGACGTGCATAGTCCGCAACTATACCTGAAACGGCCGGACCGACCACACCGAAGGCGGATTTCCGGATTTCCCTCCAATCAATAACTTTGTAGGTCAAATTATTAATTCTACAGTCACTTTTACAACCCGCCAATCCCAACACCCTCTTAACGACGTCTTTCTCTTTTCCGAGACATATTCTTTGTTTTCCTACCATCTTGCCATCTCACCATCTCCAAAGGCCCCCTATCCTGACAAGGATCCTCTCGCGCTCTGGCAGATTCTTTGCCTCGGCCTCGGTGGCAAGCCTCCCACCTGAGATCTCCCGCAAGATCTAACGACCATGAGCGCCATCTTGTCGGCGGATGATCTCAACGACTTCATATCGCCCGGTGTCGCCTGTATCAAACCGATCGAAACCCTCCCCAAAGATGACAACTCCAACCCCTACGAAGTCACTACCGAAGACAAAGTCCAAGCCTCTAATCCTGCCCCCGCCTCCATCTCCTTGACCGATTGCCTCGCGTGCTCCGGTTGTGTCACTTCGGCGGAAGCTGTCCTCGTTTCTCTACAGTCGCACACCGAAGTCCTCAATACCCTTGACTCATTCCCATCCTTGGATTTGAACCACCTCAAGGCCTATCAGGATGGCCTTTCAAACGGACATGGCGCACCTCCGGCGGATGCCAAAGTGTTTGTCGCTAGCATCGCGCCCCAAGTCCGAGCCAGCATCGCCGCCACCTTTGGCATATCCGAAACCAAAGCAGGATTTATGATCGAACAATTTCTCAGTGGTTCACAGGGGCTACGGATAGGCGGACAACAAAACAGCGGATTTACCTACATTGTCGACACCAACAAGATGCGCGAAGCCTGTCTCGTACTAGGAGCAGAAGAGGTGGCGAGTGCTTTGGCGGACAAATCGAAGCCTAAGCCAGTCCTGACCTCGGCTTGTCCAGGTTGGATCTGCTACGCAGAGAAAACACATCCTCATATTCTACCACATCTGTCCGCACTCAAGTCACCCCAAGCTCTGTCAGGAACCCTTCTCAAGTCCGTCTTGAGCAAGACTCTTGATATTCACCCCTCGCAGATCTGGCATCTGGCCATCATGCCTTGCTTTGACAAGAAACTTGAAGCCAGCCGACAAGAACTGACCGATCAATCATGGGCGTCTCCAGACCTTCCTGGACAAGGCCCCATTAGGGACGTTGATTGCGTTATAACCTCTCGCGAACTTCTGTCCTTGGCTTCTGCGCGTGGTATCGAATTGTCATCATTGCCCCTCAGCCCTCTGTCAGCTGCGGATCGCATCCCTTTCCCTGATTCCAAACTGTCCAAATTCCTGTTCCCCAAACGCCGGCCGAGGGAGGAGCAATCTGCCGCCGCAGGCTCATCAGGAGGCTACCTCTATCATGTCCTTCGGTCCTTTCAGACAAGCCACCCCGGCAGCACCATTTCAGTACAGCGCGGGCGCAACGCTGACGTTGCCGACTACACCTTGATCTCCGAGGACGGTCGGCCCATTATGAAATGCGCCCGGTATTATGGGTTCCGCAACATTCAGAATCTCGTGCGCAAGTTGAAGCCTGCCAGGCAATCGAAATTGCCAGGGGCTGCCAGGCGAAATGCGGCAGCCGCGGCAAACACCGGGAGTGAATACGCGTATGTCGAGGTCATGGCCTGCCCTGGTGGTTGTACCAACGGCGGAGGCCAGATCAAAGTCGAAGACGCCGCGAATGTACTACCAGCCACCAGAGGCGAGACCACTGAAGGAGTGGTTGCGGGTAGTACGGCAACGCCGCAAGCCCAGAAAGAGTGGCTCGCCAGAGTGGATGAGGCATACTATTCAGCAGATTCCTCTGAAGAAGAGATGACCAATGGTCACAAAGAGGAGGAAGGGGAGGATGTGGTTATGACTAACGGTGACGCGCATGATGACGATCATGGATCCCAGCCCAGTACAATGGTGAACGGCATCAATGTATCGCAGGTCCAGAGCATGCTGGCATACTGGGCAGACTTGGTACAGGTACCGGTGCAAACACTTGCCTACACGACATACCGCCAGGTTGAGAGTGATGTGGGCAAAACCAAGGCCAAGAATATGAATGATACGGAACGCATTGCTCAGATTGCCGGTATGAGCGGTGGAGGATGGTAGGATACAGATGATCTGATTCGCCGTTATAAACTGCATATGTTCACGAGAGAGAGGGTCATCATCATAAAGACACTGCATGTATAGAACAAGATACCCACGATAATGACAAAGTTCGATATTGTTCAGGAAGCCAAGTGGTAGTTTGTCTAACCAGAATCAAGTCATTTCCGTTTCGTGGAGCGGAGTGCCTGTCTATCCATGTATATACAAGTTTTTGAGCTATCCTAATGTCCGGGATATGCAACAAGTTTCCTTCCAGGGCATGCTGTCAATCAGGTCATAGACCTTCAAGCGGATATGCGAAACCAGAAACTGCACCGTTCTTTTTCATGATCGGGTATCATCGCAGCCATGGATGTCCGTACCATTCGCCGGTTTTTACCGCTGCTGCCTTTCCCTCCATGTGTCCAAGGCAGCCTCCCAGCTTGCGTCATTCTCGACGCCGTCGCACCGTTCTGCAACCACAGTCCATGTCCTCTGCCTGACAATACCCTCGACGGCATTTTCGTTCCTCAGCAACCCTGCCAGGGTCTCGGCTCTGCCTTCTCTCGGGAAGAACCTCCCCGAATACGGATCTAACCGCTCATCCACAATCCGCTCGGCATCTTTCCTATTCAGAGCCTCCCGCTCAATCAAGTCTGGGTCTGAGGGGTCGGGACTCGTCGCAACTGAGGTGCAGTAGTGTATGACGTCGCTGCGGGCTTGCCAGGTTGGGAACAGCACCGTGCTTAGAAACACGGAACTGGTGGACGCGGGAATGCGCTGATGTGGTAGCGTTGGTGGTGAGCGGGTCGAGGTCGAGGTCGAGGTGAACGGTCGGGCGGTGCTGGGGGTGAGCAAGGCGTTGAGGTTTGTCGATATGCTATCGTCTATCGTCGACCGCGACAGGCGGAGAAAGTCCCGCAGGACACGTGTGTTGAAGCAAAACTGCGGCGTGAGTGGTGGTAGCTGTGTCGGTTGAGACATTATGGGTTTGTGTGCTGGGCGAGGTGCTGTGGGAGAGGATGGGAGGTGGCGTCTGGAGAGGAAGTGTTTCGGCGGCTCAGAGGGCGTTGAGCTCGACGGAGAGGGGAAAGGACTAGGAGGATCCGAGGACGGTGGTGTTGCCCAGAACCAAGCCAGCTTGATGGTGGTTGAGAGGGTTTGTCCGGGTTGGTGGAAGTGAATAGAGAGAGGTATATGGGTATGGATCAGGATAGCGATCGAAGAGGTGGACCAGGATTAATGATACATATTATGTCGAAGACAAGCATTCTGACTAATCTGACAGGACTCGATGTGCAGGGTTGGGCTCGATGCCTTGGGAGATAGGCTTGCATAGATTGTAGCCGACGAGATCTTGACCAGGCGGAGGTAGTGAATGAATGCTGGAATATCTTGCCTGCGTATCTCGGTGATGACAAGAAGACTTCGAGACCCTTGCAAGGCTGCGGGGGAAGATGTTCTTTTCCCAGCCAATTGCATCACGTCATCGAGCATGGCAGCCTGGCCTCCGTGCCTTCCTTGGGAACTTTAAACCAAAACCACTTTACGCGACTGGCCACGCGCTCGCTCCTGCCTTATTAGTTTCATCCCGCGTACTTGCAGTAAAAATAAAGTCAGAGTCATCATTCTGGTGTTGGTCGTGGCTTCCTTTGCAATTCCTTCTTCATAGACCATGTGACCGCAGACACTCTCCTACTCAGTCGATCCTATACTCCTGTGGATAGATCAAACACCTCAAATACAGGTCGAATTGCATTCAAAACCAAGGAGCAAACCAACTAACTACCTGTACTCGGTACCACGCCACCTCAATCATGCCAGAGATCGCCGAAGTTGCACGTACTGTGCACTTTATCCGCAAACATCTAGTCGGCAAGACCATTGCAACGGCCGTGGCTGCTGAAGATGCAAATGTCTTCGGCAAGGTTGGAACGTCAGCAACCGAATTCCAGAAGCATATGACGGGCAAAAAGGTCGTCGATGCGGGTCAACAGGGTAAATACTTTTGGATGATCATGTCTAGTCCACCCCATCCCGTCATGCATTTTGGCATGAGTGGTTGGCTGAAATTCAAATCGGAGCATACCTACTATTATCGACCGAAGCCCGGCGAAGAGGACGAGGCCTGGCCTCCAAAGTTCATGAAATTCACTCTCACTACAAAACCGGAGAAAGGCCAAGACACAATTGATGCAGCGTTTGTCGATATGAGACGATTCGCCCGGGTTCGTCTGGTGGATTGTCCTGGTGACAAGATCAGAGAATATACTCCTCTCAAGGAGAATGGTCCAGACCCAGTCGTGGATAAGGAGGTGGTAACCGTGAGCTGGTTGACGGAGAAATGCCGTTCGAAGAAAGTCCCCATCAAAGCCATGTTGCTCGATCAAGCAAACATCAGTGGCATTGGAAATTGGGTTGGCGACGAGATCATGTATCATGCCAAAATGCATCCGGAGCAATATGCCAATACTCTCTCCGACGAGCAGATCAAACAACTCCACCAGTCAATACATCACATATGCAGTACTGCAGTTGATCTCCTGGCAGACTCGGATCAGTTTCCAGATGACTGGCTCTTCAAACATAGATGGGGTAAAGGCAAGAAAGGAGCTTCAAACACCATGCCTAGTGGAGAGAAGATTTTGTTTCTCACCGTCGGTGGCCGTACCAGTGCCGTTGTCCCTTCGATTCAGAAGAAGACTGGTCCAGTTACCAAGGAGATGAGTGAAGCTGTCGGGGACGATGAGAAGCCCAAGAAGGCCAAAGCGAAGAAAAGAAAGGCCGATAGCGAGGACGAGGAGCAGGACGAGGAAATCATCAAGCCTGAGAAGACAATTGCTCGAACGAACAAGTCCACCACCAAAAAGACTTCTGAACAAGCGGCCCAGACTACGAAGCCAACAAAGAAATCAAATCAGCAGCAGAGAACTAAAGTCAAGGAAGAGGAAGATCTCCCGAAACTGAACGGGGCATCAGCATCCGGAAAGCTTGTCACTGCCAGTGGCCAGAAGGGACGAAAGCTCGAGGATAAGGTGGAGAAAACAAAGACGACGAAGCGTCAAAAGATGACCAATGGTGGCCCCGAGAAAGCCCCAGCCATCAAAGATGAAGCGGCAGAAGGGAGTGGCAGGAGAAGATCGGGGCGCCTTAGCAAGGCCTGACGAGAAAAGGGGGAAGACGTAGGAAGAGCAAGCATTGGACTACACTGTGATAACTATGGATTTTTTGGAGGTACTCTGTACTAATAACACAAATGGAGTATGGTAGGTCAAACATGACCACCATCATCTGGAAACATGAATAAACAAACTGGTCAAGAATGGAAAGCATTCCTGACTCCCTTCAAACGATAACTGACGACCTGTGATCACCTTGGACCCGTCTCTCGAAAACCCAAACAATCCAAACTTCGTTGTACCATGCATACACAATTTCCTTCTGATTCAAATGCTCCGAAGTAGGGCTTTTCCCCAATCCTAGAACCAGTGTTAGAAACAAAACCAATGGCTGTGCCAGAGCGAGTGAGAGATGCAATACCGGTATCAACACCGATAACAATACCGATAACAATACCGATAACAATGGTAATGCCAGAGACAGTAGCGGTGCTAGACCTCGTACCAGCTGTTCAATAATAAAAGTTGAGTGAATATCGATGATGTGGATGTTTATGATGTAGGCGTCGATCACGGCAACCGTGATCAAGAAGATGGGCGAACGGTAGGGTGTTGAAGACTGGATTCGCTGCCAGTTGGAGAAGCTGAGATATCAAATGGGCTTTTCTCCGTAACACCGACGGCGGCCACGGATGTAGCGAAGCCGCTGTCGAGGCCCTGTTCGGTGTCGTTGGAGGGAGAAGAAACTTGTTGGGCGGCGGCGTGGTCTCCCCCGAGCTCGGTTGCGTCCAATGCTCTGCGGAATGAAGGGATCAAGTTGGTGGCGACTGGGTAGGTGAAGACGACCAAGAAACAGGCTGCGGTCAACCACCAGGCGCTGGAGATGTGGACAGATTCGACCAATTTGGCCATCAGGGGTGGCTGCAAGGCGCCACCGGAGATGGACACGATCATCAGTGTTTCGCACGTTGGCGTCCACTCGTCGAAGCTGGCCGTGGCGCTTTCGAAAATCATCGGGAATGATGGAGCTTCGAAGAACATGACCATGATAGCCACAGCCACGGCTGTCGAGCCGGTGATTTGTGTGCCTGCTGCGGTGGTGGCTACGGCGCCCGCGATAAAAGTGCACAGGACATATCTGGGTTTGAAGATGTTTGGTGCAGTGACGAGGCCGGCGGCGGCGAAGCGGCCTGCGACAAAGGCGATTTGAGCAAATGACATGCATGTTGCCGCCCAATGATCACTGGCACATGCGTTAATCTTCATATGCTCGATGAAGAACTGAGCAAATGTGACTTGGCAGCCGAGATTAACAAAGTTGGCGACGACTCCCCACCAGATGCGGGCGTACTTCCACGACACGAGCGGATGATTCCATTTCCTCCATCCACAGGTGACAGGAGGCGAGGAAGGGACATCAACTTCTGGAACAAGCCGAGTGCGGAAGAAGATGGCCCCAACGATGAGCATCAGCAAGAAGATGCACGCTCCAAGAATACGATAGAAGATAATGACACTGCCGAGGTTGGCGCAGGTCGCTGAGCTGGATGAGACGGGCATAAGACATTTCCCGGGCTGAAGAGGGTCGGGGTTGGGTCGAAGGGTCGAAGTGTCTGGGTTGAAGACGAAGGCGTTGGCGAGGAACGGTGCGATGACGGTGCCAATACCAGCCCATGCTTGAGCGATGAGAATCCGTAGAGTGGCTTGCTGACGAGGACCACAGTTGACGGCGTAGGGGTTTGCTGATCGCTCCAGGACAGAAACTCCGAGACCGATGACAAAGTGGGCGAGGACCATGCCAGGTAGAGAACAGTTCTGAGCTCCGACAGACATGAAGAGATCACCAAGAGCCAGTCCGAAGAGGCCTAGAACCATGGTGAGACGATAGCCACAGGTTTTGACGAGAGGGCCTCCGATCAGCAAAGCCCCAGGGATGTAAGCAGTGTAGTAACCGGCGGCAAGAATCGCGGCCTGATCACGTCCGATGTTCATGGCTACCTTGACGTGGTAGTTCATGATGTCGAGCAGGCCGTAGGCTAGACCCCACATGCAGAAGAGTGAAAGGGAGGCAATAGTGATGGGGACGACAGTGTCACGTGCGCGGATAGTAGGCTTGGGTTTGCCATACTGGACGTCCAAGCGCTTGACACGCTCGAGTATGCCGGCGAACCTCATGTCTGTTGATCGGTGGAAGGGAAGACTGAGAAGAAGCAATGATGTGATGTCAAATAAGTGACGTCAAGACGGTTCAAGAAGCTGAGAAAGGCTGGTTTTGCAATCCTGGAGAACTCTGGAGTATGTGAGAAGAGAAATCCTGGGGAACTGGGGGGGAGGGCTGAGACTTATACACCTCGAGACTGTATGCACGAGGGAGCTGGTCCGCCAAAGAGGACCTCATAGAGGACCTCAAAGACAGAGGGGTTCCACAGTCTGGAGAAAAAGAACGGAAAACATGGTAGTGCCAGAAACATTTCTGTTACTTCGGCCAAAAATTGTGCGTTTAATTCGGAGTGTGGGATGGTGAGCCAGTCGTAAAGTCAGCCTCGTCCCAGCACAATGGTTATATCTGTGGGGATGGACCTCGTCGTCCGCAAAGTGGATCTCTAGAGCATCATGAGCAAGTCAAGTTTTGTTGGCTCAAACTCTCTGCAACTGAAAGTCCGTTTGATTTGACAGCATGATGAGCTAGCCACTTTGTCCGCAGGGTTTCCTTGAATGTTCCAGAACAAATCGAGCAATGATACATCAGGATGAACGAGTGATCTCTGATCCCTTGAACGAGCTTGGCTCCGGTGGGGAAGTTGACATTGTTCACGGTCTTTAGCGTCGAAGCTTCACTGAATCCTCCTCAGCAACAAGGTCGGAGGGTGGCAGCCATCTTGGTGAGGTACATGGTTCATGTAACTCCAGCACGCTCTTGTCACCCATTCTCCCAGGGCATTTGATGCTTGAGTGGACAAGACCGAGGCGACGTAGGGTTTCCAATCGATTTGGAGCAAGAGACCCCCAGTCATTGTAGTAGTAGTCTTTGGTCTCGTCTAGGGAAGGAGGGTCATCAAGCGTACTCTGGTTAGCCACGTACGTGTAATCCACTTAGACCTAGTCGATGAGGAAAACGGTTTTCTCGTGTTTGGTTGCCAGCAAAAACCTACCTATAGGATTCTCTGTGATCCACCTGTCGAGATGATTAATTCATGTTGTACAGTATCAGTCTTGGGTTAGTGTGAGGAGGTCTAGGAACAGACAGAGCTAGCGAGTTGAGAACGCTGATGGAAAAGGTCGTATTAAAGGGTGGGAGGTTCGGTGTGAGGTTCTTTGGGAGCCAAGGAGAACCTGGATTCTTGTCAGGTGGCAGGGGCTGACAAGAGAGGCAAGAGGCCCTCCGGCCCCCGGACATGATTGCACCTGCCCCTGCTGCCCTGTTGGCGGTCAAGTCCGGCAAGGCTGAGCCACACATCAAGTTTTGCACGTGCCTTCGTTATCAGAGATTTTGTCATCATCACATCTCTATAGACGGAGACTGGGATTTCCTAAGTCTATGCTCCATCCAAAATCCAGAGCGCAGGCCTGGATCCAAACAAGACGTCTAACAAAATTGGTACTTCTCGGCCGCAGACATCTCCACATTATGCCTTCAGCGAAAAACACTCCATCCGGGTTACGGATATTGATGCTTCATGGATATACGCAGAGTGGACAACTGTTCCACGCAAAAACCCGGGTTCTTGAAAAACACCTGCTGAAATTCTTTCCTGGGGTGTCATTAAGCTACCCTACCGCACCTATTCGATTACGGCCCAGTGATGTGCCGGGATTCGATGCAAGCACCAGTGAAGAATCCGACAGTATCGAGGCTTATGGTTGGTGGCGGCGGTCTGACACGTCCAATCCCCCAGAATATGTTGGCCTTGATACCGGGTTGGAATCTGTCGCCAAAATACTCGAATCCGAAGGTCCATTCGATGGGGTGATTGGTTTCTCCCAAGGGGCTGCCCTAGCGGCCATGGTCACCTCCTTACTTGAAGGGCCGTCGCGGAAAGAGGCATTCAGCTCAGCAAGAACAAAGTCTCCTCTGGCCATCTCATACCCTCCATCCTTCGAAAGTCTCAACCATCCACCACTAAAATTCTGCGCGGCTTACTGTGGCTTCATAGCGCCGGGTGAACGGTACCTAGGCTTCTACGAGAACCCTCACATTCAAACTCCGGTCTGCCATTTCATCGGTAGTCTCGACAGTGTGGTCGATGACTCACGAACACAAGCCCTCGTGGATGCTACTGGAGGTATTGCTACTGGAGGTATTGGAAAGACTCAAGTGGTGACTCACCCAGGGGGCCATTTCGTACCGAATGGAAAACAGTACCTGGACACCATTGCCGCCTTCATCAAGCAGACGACAGTCGTATCACGTGACCATGACTCACAAGAGGAGCGAGTCGAGGACATGGATGTTCCATTTTGAGCCACCAAGTGCGAAAGACCTTGATGTATCTCGCTGTATTTATACCCCATAGACTGTGCACAGTGTCTGCACATTACACCGAACTCGATCAATACAATTTAAGCTACTTGCGCTACTCTGTGACTGGTGATGACTTTTTTCTCCGCTCGAGTCCAAAAGTCGTGATCAAAAAGGGTTTAGCGCACAACCTTGCCAAGATTACCCAAGTTCGAAGTTATTCGCACACTTCTCAAAGACGATTTCGATTGCCACACCGACCAGCATCTCATCGAGCCAGTGCACCTCCTTCGACACTCAATCTCCATCTCGATCAAGTCAGTAGACACATCAACAACTCAATCAACCTTGAAAATCCGTCAAGATGGTACGAAACCCATTATTCCCAGTTCATGCGATTTGTCAACCTCGAAAAATCCCCTCTTTTGTCGATTCAGCACACGACCACCACCCCCAGCATCAACACCATCGCAAGTGCTTCAAAATCATGACAATTACTAATATATCTCCTTCCAGGTTCTCGCAGTTGATCTTTTGAACCCTACTCCTCAGGCTGAGGCCCGCAAGCACAAGCTCAAGGTACGAAACATCAGCACAAGTGGCTGCGCCTGAGAACAAAAACTCTAACCGATCATCCAGACTCTTGTGCCCGCCCCTCGCTCATTCTTCATGGACGTCAAGTGCCCCGGCTGCTTCACCATCACCACCGTCTTCTCACACGCACAAACCGTCGTCATCTGTGCCGGTTGCTCAACCGTCCTTTGCCAGCCCACCGGTGGCAAGGCCAGACTCACAGAGGGCTGCTCTTTCCGAAGAAAGTAGACGACTCGTTACGGGAATGAATTGATGGCATCTGCTTGCTTGATAGAAGATGGATTCCTGGTCTCGAACCAAACTCACCACGAATGGAGTTCCGGATATCTTGCAAAAAAGACTTTTTTCAGCATGGCGGGATATTTTGATTGTCTTTTGACCGTGGCCACACGGGAGCGTCGAGCAATGCGACAGACAGACGGACAGACAGACGGTATATGGGGATGTGTCTGTCACGAGTTTCAAACCAAAAAAAAGTCCTTTACTTGCATTGGATCGACCGGCAGAGACAGAAGATGATGCATGAACATGTTCCACGTTGATGTGTGAGGACGGCATGTCTTGCTGTTGAGGAGGCCTTGATCCCTGCACGAAGATACAATCGTGGTTTACAGGTGGACAGGCATGTACTCATAGTACGAAAGTGAACCAATAAAATCCCATTGAAAAGCATCTCACGTATTTCTATTGTAATAGTAGAACACTACGAATCAGAGTCGACTTTGACTCGACCGGAGTAGTAATAGCAATCACAGCTCATAAGCTTGTGTAAGCTTGTGTTTGCCAGCCCACGCAAGCAATTACCATAGCAACGACATTGTGGTCGGTGGAATTAATGCTGCTCTCAGACAGTCCATCAAGGACTCGTAAACTTGCACCCAAGGACTTCTATCATCCTCTATGGGCGAGAGATAAAGGCCACAGCCCAACAGATGGCCAAATGAATCCGGCCTTTCTCTAGCCCCCATGCTTCTGTGCGTGGCGATGCTTTCCTTGGTGATAGAACTCGTTGATCTTCGAGGCAGCAGACGTTTTGAGAAATGCCCAAAACTAGTCTGGGCGAGGAAGACATGTAGCCTCAACCCCGCTCGAGTTCGGTGATGATTTTTGTGGCCAGCTTCTTTTGCTCCTTTTGAGTCAATTCGAATTCGTCCATTTCATGCAAGCATTTTCCAACCGCGACAATTCCCTTGACTCCTGACTCAGGACAGTCGACCCAGACTTTGCCATTCCTGCCAACTGCAATCTCGAAGCCTCCCTGTAGCTTGGACCCGAGTTCTTCAAGAGCAGTGACACCTTGCTTCCTCAGAAGTCGGTCCGCAAGACCTGGACTGATGTCGAATATCATGCCTCCATTCAGCTTTCCTAGCCCATCCGGTTCCGACTTGCCGGTCGAGGGATTGACGCACGTCAACTCAATCTCCATGCCCTTTTGCGCAAAGACAACTTTGGCGTATACGACATCGCCGTTCTTGAGTTGCGGTCGGGTCTTCTTGGAGGCTCCTTCAAAGGCCAGTGACGGTAGGACGGCTTGAGGGGAGTGTGCGTTGATGTGAAGATGGAAGAAATCAGCCGATCCTTGACGGACTTGGGCAATGACAAGATCGCCGGCCTTGGGGATGTACCGAGCATCTGGCGTTAGAACATATGCACTTTTCTTGCGGAAATCCACCTCGAGGAGTCCTCCAATGGTCGAAGTGAAATTGTCTGAACCGCTTTCCTGCTGTATACCTCGACCGATCTTTCTTTTGGCCGAGTTGGGGAGTTGATCGGCAGATATGATGTCCCCTGGAAGGACTATCGCCGTAGACCCCATCCTTGTCAGTGGTTCAACAAGATTTCATGCATTACAAAGAAAGAAATCAGTTCCTCTTCACCTGTTTCTCAGTTGGAAGATCTGGAGGCCAAGATTTTCGACGAGGCTGAACTCGGCAAACCTTCCTATTTGGCAGGTGGCTCCGCAAGGCTCAGAAAAAAAGTAAGTGACGGGTTTTGAATCTTCGAAGAAATAAACCTGCAGTGCATGCCGCTGATTTTGCCCCCTGTCACACTCCCAGATCATTCCTGATCTTCTCACTCCCGAGTCAAATTTGACAAACACTGACCCCGTCCTTCCCACCCACGGCCACGATGAGTGAAGAGTCCAACGAGGCACTGACGCCCGGCTCGCCCGAACAGTACGCTATCGGCGTCTCATTCGGAAACTCGTACAGTTCGATAGCACATATCACTGGCGAGGGCAAAGTCGAGGTTATCGCCAACGAAGAGGGCGATCGACAAATTCCTTCCATTCTCTCGTACGTCGATGGCGAAGAATTCCACGGCACCCAGGCCAAAGCACAGTTGGTTCGCAACAGCAAGAATACCATTGCCTACTTTAGGGACTACATTGGCAAGGAATACAAGTCGATAGACCCCACGCCTTGTCATGCCTCGGCACACCCTATCGAGAGCGATGGGACAATCGCCTTCTCGGTGCACGACACCGACAGTGAAACCGCCAACAACGTCACAGTGCCCGAGGTCACCATCAGACATCTCCGGCGGCTTAAGAACTCGGCATCCGACTACGTTGGCAAGACAGTGACCTCCGCTGTAGTAGCAGTCCCTACCGACACCAATGATGAACAAAAGGCTGCGATCTCCAAAGCTGCCGAAAGCCTCCAAATCAGCATCCTTCAATTCATCCCCGAACCCATCGCAGCCTTACTCGCCTACGATTCTCGATCATCAGACTCGGCCACAGACAAGACTGTGCTTGTCGTCGACTTGGGCGGCAACCGATCAGATGCTGCTATCATTGCATCAAGAGGAGGGCTGTACACCATTCTTGCCACGGCACACGACTACGAGCTGGGAGGCGCACAACTCGACCAGGTGCTGGTGGATCATTTCGCCAAGGAATTTGAGAAGAAACACAAGTCCGACCCTCGCAAGAACGAGCGAGCGCTTGCGAAGATGAAGATTGAGGCCGAAGCCGTCAAGAAGACTCTCAGTCAAAGCACCAGTGCCACCTTCAGTGTGGAAAGTCTGGCAGATGGCATTGATTTCCGATCGACAGTGAACCGAACACGATATGAGATTCTTGCTCTAAAGACCTTTACAAAGTTCACACAGCTGGTCAATGAAGTGATCAAGAAGGCTGGACTGGATGTTCTGGATATCGACGAGGTCATCTTGTCCGGCGGAGCCTCTCATACACCGAAGATTGCCAATAACATTGCCGCACTCTTCCCTGACTCGATCAATGTCTTTTCACCATCCACTTCGGCCAGCGCCCTCAATCCATCTGAACTGTCTGCTCGAGGAGCCGCGCTTCAAGCATCCCTGGTGGAGGAGTTTGAGAAAGAGGACATCGAGCAGTCAACCCACGAGATGGTGACGGTGACACCACATCTGACAAACGCCATCGGCTACCAAGTGAGCGGCAAGGCAGGATTCACCATCATTGTCCCCACCGACACAGCTGTGCCTGCACGGAGAACACAGGTTATTTCAGGATTGGAAGGCGACGTGCTGGTACGCATCAGTGAAGGAGAGCGGGAAATCAAAGTGACCCAGCCGCCTCCCAAGGCGAAAGCAGAGACCAACGGAGCCAAGGCCAGTGACGACGAGGACTCGGACGAAGACGAATCCGAGGAGGAGCCAGAAGAGATTCGCGAAAAGGCGTGGAAGCCCAAACAACCATTGGCCGAGTTCATTTTCCAAGGATTGAAGAAGAACTCCAAACTTGAAGTTATCGTCAACGTGGATGCCGAGTTGGCACTCAATATCTCGGCGCGGCAGGTCGGCGGTAAGGGTGGTGTGCGAGGCGAGATCAAGGCTTCAGGGGTTACTCCTAATGGCAGTGCATAGAGTTTCTCAGCGGTGGTTACGGGCCAGGTAGAGAGAGAAATCTAGAGAGATGAAGGTGATGACGATGACGAGGACGGTTGATAGGGCTTTCGAGGAAGGACCAGGGAAGGTCGGAAGGTCTGGTGCCTGTTCCTCCTCGTGCTTTATAGTCTTATTGTTATTAAGTCATCCGCGGCATTTCACTGGCGCTTTTGAAAGGGGACGATGACGATGATGATCACGGGGCGGGTGTTGTTGTTGGACGTTTTGAGTCCAACATACCTAGTTTCATAGACAGCAACAAAGCAGAAGCAGACCAGAGACTATCCGCGAGATGGAATCATTTGTCCATCAATCGATACGATTAGAATACAGTAAGTAGTAGTGGAGATGGTATTGGCTGCAGAGTTCTTGCTGCTTCATCATTGGTTTATATAGATATAGATCTGCCGCCTCATGGAGGAGCGCTTCCAAAGCAGTATAGGTTGGCTGAAGCCTCACTTTTCACCATCCGTCTTTTGTATTCTACACAGTCTTCGCTTTGACGCTGCTTGACGTAGTAATTGTAGTTCAACGTACGGAGTAGGTTGCATCACCCTCTCCGCGCCGCTTAATAAAAGCGGCTCACGCCTCCTCGCCCTGAACCTCACCTTTCCTCACGTCCTCACTCACCCTCATCTCACCACCGCCGCCGCCACCCAGTCTGAGAATGCGTCTTCGGCGCCCAGTAAAGCATTAGGCTAACAGCCCGAGAGGCCGAGGGGCCCTGCTATATGCATGTGTCACGGGACAGATATCACGTGCGAGAGTGCTCTACTCTTTCTGCCAACACGAGGAGGTCATCATGCTCAGCAAAGGTACTTAAGTAGTCTCTGTATTACCCCTAGACTGGTCAGCTGCTATTCATATACATTAGAGTGCGTACGCCTGTTCCTATCGACCCTTTCGGCCCCCCAACATAAACCCAGTCCTTATATCCCCTATGTGAATATTTGGCCCGCACCTCCATGGCAGAGTACTCCGTACTTGGTGTCCACCTCTTCCACACTAAGCTTCTGGCGTGTGTAAAAATGTATAGCCGAGACGCGGAACAGAAGCGGAGAGTACTTGGTCCTCCTACGGAGTAGTTGAATCGAGTCTGGGACAACCAGACCTCAAGTACTGGGCGTACGGAGTACTTTGTATTTAAGCCCTCGTCGCCTATTGTGCTTCTTTGCGGCCTTCTAAGAACCCCGTATAGCTCCCTCGACTGAACTTGAACTTTCTAAGCTCATCGAGTTCTTTGGAGATGCTGTCCAGCTCTTTGAGGATGTCCTTTGCCACATCCTTCCACTCATCCTCGGTCTTTCCTGTCTCTTCATTTTCTGCGATCATAATTGTGCGTGGCCAACCACAACCCTAGGTATGAAACCCAAAAACCGAAGGTTTTCAAGACCCGGAACGCACGGAACGCACGGAGGTTAGGCCAACTGCGCGTCATGGCTGAGGTGACGTCCAGCGAGTTCTGGGGCGCTTTCGCATTACCTCATTACTCCTTTCCACTCATAACAGCGAGGACTATCTAACAAATTCTCCGTCCCGTCGTTTCCTGGTTTCCCGGACAGGAGGATGGCTGCGGCGCCATCTGTGAAACGGCGCCGCGTCGCGCGAGCATGCGAAAGTTGCAGAAGTTTGAAAGCCAAGGTACGCAGTGAGCCGCGCAATCTACGAGATCGTGAGATCCGGGAAGCTGACCACCTCTCGCTCTTGCCATTGATTCAGTGTGATGGAGTGCAACCTATCTGCGGGCGTTGTGCAGGCTATGGCTATGAGTGTTTCTGGCACCAAGCCAATCGTCCCAGCCATCCGTCGCTCGCCAGCGGCAATGCCTTGAGTTGTATTTCAACTGATGCCAATAGCCAGAGAATGAGCGATGCACTCAAGGTGTACGATGATTTGATTATTCACCTTCGCGACAAGCTCTCTCCCGATGACCGAAAATTGGTTGATTTGAGGCTTGCGACAATCCAAAGGCCTCATCATGGCGCAGGCCAAGCGGACAATACCATCGAGGATCCGACTCCATCTTCGCCAGTGCAGTCGTCCACCAGCCAACGTTACTCAAGACATGTTGAACGCTACTTGGGAGAGGCGAGTGATATTCGATTCTACCACATCTTGCAATCTGCCTTTGGTCCACCGCCAGGAGCAGATGTCAATGAATCTGGCGTCTCGGAGCCACCAGTCAACAGTTACGAGCAAGAAAAAATCTGGCCTGCACCTGCGGACAAGAAACTCGACAGCCTGCCATCCCGGCAGACGGCTGACTCACTGGTCGACATCTACTTCTCGACAATTCACAAAGCGTACCCTTTCCTATCCGAGCCTGATTTTATGGCTTTTTACGGACGCTTTTGGCAATCCGAGTCATTGGACGAAATCCGCGGCCCAGGGCTGAGCACAATATGTAAGTCGCACATCTTCAAGGCCACAGGGGCCTACGGACGCCCCCAAGACACTTGTGATATCTGCAACATGTCCCCTGAAAAGGCTCTAACTTCCCGTCCAGTTTCGATTTTTGCCATTGGCTCCTGCTACAAGAGAGTCGCCGAGTCCGAGAATGGGCATGCCTCGGACTCGTGGAGCTCGCGTCAAGATGTGCTTTATTTTGAGCTTGCTTTGGCAATCATGCAAAACCAAGCACAAACCCGGACGGTTGACCACGTTTGTGCTTTACTGATCCAATGCTTCTATCTCTTGGCCACTTGTCAAACGGACAAAAGCTGGATAACGCTGGGTTTAGCGATCCGGATCGCTCAAAGTATCGGTCTTCATGTCGAGGAGGCATACGGAACAAGCTATGGCGATGTTCCGGGCCCGGCGCCCAGTGAAACACGCCGACGAGTCTGGTACTCCCTTTTTGTGCTCGATCGCCTGCTTGCAATGCAGTTGGGACGGCCCCCATCCATTATTTCAGACGGATTCAACGTCCACTTGCCTTCTCGACAGTCCCTGCTCGACCTGGCAGAACAGCCTATTCCTCCCGGGACAAAGTCGCAAGACTGGGGAGGCGACTATTTCATAGCCATGATCCGCTTCTCCGAGATGATAGGCAGAGTTTTCACCGACCTTTATGGCCCGAACAAAATCGACGACGCAGCATCCGTTCTGTCGAAAACCGAGCTTCTTGACGCTGAGTTGATCCGATGGCGTTCCAGCCTGCCGCGAAGCCTGAGATTCGACTTATCACACACGTTTGAAAGTTCCAAGACCTTCCAAACCCAGGTAAGCCAGCCTCTAACAAGTGGTGGTATGCACTTTGTCCGATTGACCCCATCATTAGCGCAACATGCTGGCTGTCAAGTTTTACAACCTGCAAGCTCTGGTCCATCGACCGATGCTGTCGTCTACCCTATCGGCCACGTCACGCCAAAATACTGTGGAGATCTCTCGTGCCGAACAATATCGCGTCTCCTTGTCCAAGCGAAGATGCATCGTGGCGGCGCAATGCACGGCCAAGCTACTGTACAACCTCAAAGACAAGAGAAGTCTCGTGTACGATTTCCCGTGGTGGCAAATGATCTCGTGTCTCATCTGCGCAAGTTCCATTCTCCTAGTGGCCAGCATTTGCGTTGATCACAACTCTGGCACCGAGCTCGAAGTCTTCAGTGACGTGGATTGGCTGGTCGTGAACGAGGATGCCGAAGTGTGCCTTCAAACCTTCCAGGCTCTCAGCTCTAATTCCAACGCAGCGAGGCTGGCGAGAGACATGATGCAGAGACTTAAGAACACGAGAATGATGTCTTGTGGTAAGCCCATGTCCACCTCAGTTGCATCGCCCCTGGTCTTACAGCGAGATCGAAACTTGTGATGAGGAGAAATTCGCCATGCCTGTGCGCGTTGGCACCAACCATGACTATTGTGAATCCTTTTCTTTTATGGAATCTGAGCTGACGTTTGATTGCGCCTATCAGGGACAATGGGAGCTTATGCATCAACTGCGCCTGGCGCGGCCACCGAGAATGGAATCGAAAACGTGGAAGCCCCGGTGACGTCCATTGGCGATCTTCCCGTCTCCCAGATGCCACAGCTTGACTTCGAAACATTGAATCAGGAGACTTTCGACCACCTCTTCCAAGTGGCGCCCTATGAATTTTCGGAGCCTGTCACCTGTGAGTATTCTCTCCTGCCCTTCGCGTGAACTCGCAGCAAGTTGTTTGTATTTGGTCTCCATGCGGAGATTCCCGAATTTCCTATAGAACGACCCGTTGCATCATGTTCCGGAGGTTGACGGCTGACTTTTGGGTTCCATGGCAGGGTCGGCACAATTTGTGAATGCGACATGGAATCCGTTTATTCATCGTCATCAAGGGTAAAAAGTGGATCAAAGGGGTGGGAGTCGGAAGACGGTCGGACCGCAACGACAACCGAATTCTTTCACCTGGAGTTCAATGCAAAAGATTGCGTTTTGGGGGATCTCAAATCGCTGAAGTCAGTGCGCTGTGGGTACTTTTGGCGATCGCGCAGATGTCTTTGCTTGATTCGGGAGACTTGTCGGGAAGATTGAAGAAGCTTAATGGGATTCCTCTTGTGCAGGAAGAATTCTTTGTGCAATCATGTTTCCGCGGGCTCTTGTTGAAGCCGCCCGCTTCGTCCTCTGTTTTATCACTTTTCCGTTCCTCTGACGATGATCATGTCATCCTGCGGCGCGTCGCCTTCGATTTGTTCTCACCCAAGCCGCTTGACGCTATTCAATCACGCCCCATGGCAAAACCGTGATGTGGTCAGCTTCTAAACCCAGACGGAACGATTGGGTGGCTTCGAAGGCCCGGCTCTGAGCAGGCGAAGCCCAGGCAGGACGTGTGCGTCGACCGTGGAGCCCCTGGAGGGGCCAGGATGCACTTGGGCGTCTTTGTGAACTCGCTGTCCAAAGTGCGACCTCATTCGCGGGGCTCCCATCCAGAACCTTGAACAATTGAAACAATTCTCTCGTTACGTCGAGTAGGTGGGACAAATCTGTTCGACATGGCCAAATTTGTTGTTGAACCTGCTCACCTGACGGGGTCTCTCTCTGGAGGGCAATCACCACGGTTTCCCAATCCGTCTTCCTGTCATCCAAGAGGACCATCACTCCAGGAATCTCCCGCCGGTTTGATTTCGCGCACAGTATCCCACGGTGTTTCCAACCTCACTGACATCGGGCGGGTTGTTGTCCCCCAGCTGCCTGATGTCTTCAGGAACATTTGAAGGATCGCCCAATGAGTGGTCGCCAGTCTCAGCACGGGACGCCATTTCCCCCCAGGCAATGGCCGTAATTTCCATGAATATCCCTGGACCTCTGTGGGACTTCTAACACCATGTCTAAGATCTCATTCTCTCTGTCAGCATGCAATGGCATATTATGCCAGATCGAGATGGGGACCGCTTCCTCCCCATAATACAAGCGGAATTCCAATAACTCGGCGCTCTCAATTGGCCCTAGAATGTATTGTCCTTGTTGCAACATGGGTTGCGAGACTAACCCAAACGACTGCAGAATTTTGATGTGAAGTAGTTGCTCCCCTCGCCCGGCGTTCGTAAGCTGAGCTCCTTGTGATGGGCAGTTTAATCGTTGCGATGAACGTCCCCTCGTTCCCCTCCTTCGCCTGGGGAGGGCTATGTCAGGGAATAAGCCACCGATCAGCGCCACTGCGACACAAAGAAGCACCTCCTGGACACAAATCAAGCATGACAGCAGCATCAACAAGTTCTCCTTCGACATGCCAAAGCACTCTCGCTGAACGGACGTCACCCTCCCACCCAGCGTTCCCGGTCGGCTCGCCCGGAAGAGCTGCTCTCGGACAAATAATATCAGCTCGCTAGCCAGAGTTGAGATGAAATAAATGCGATGTTCGCAGACCACTCACCAACAAGCTAGATGCAAGAATTCAGATTGCTGAATATGTGGAAGCGGTTTCTTGCGCTTTTCAGGAACAAATCGTCAGATCAGGGTCCAGGTCATCTCGACCAACGGCGCGAGTCTGACCCGCAGGGTTATCTCAGTGAGGTGCTGATGCCTGCCCCAGCCGAGGAGTGGGATGGTCCTGGCATGCATCGCCACCGCACCTTGGAGGAGAACCTTGAGCGTGCTGCTCGAGATCCGAACTTCGACCCTGATGATACTCTGGGCGACCGCGACGATGTCCTAGTTCGCCACCACGACCTCGAGGAGAATCTCCAGCGGGCGGGAGAATTGAGCCGGGAGATGCGACGCCAGTCTAGCGGGGCTTCTTCGTCTGGCCTCGGAGGAGCTTCACGCCACCCAACGTGTCGGACGACGATGGTGGCAGGAGAAACCAAATGACAAGTTGAACGGGGAAATTTTCATGATGGAAACCGTTGGCCTACCTGTGGGGGTTAGGTGTACAGTGCTGTGATGTTTCATGTCTCTCTTGCACGTTCAAGAATATTTCTTTTACCCTCCACACTGCGTCAAATTTGGAAGGAATGCAAGGCGTTGTACACGGGCTTGGTGTCGCGAGCAGACTTCTTCTCTTCCAAGTTCATTTCATCCTGCTACGATTCCAGGCGCTCGAGGAATGGTCTATTGAATCATGAGGCAGGTATAACATATTCAATCGAGCACAAAATACTACCTTGACCCTACGCGGGCCGATTGTGTTGTCCAGCCCTCTCGATTCCTTCGAAATACCCACAACATTAATCAGTCTCGGGAGTCGTGGTAGGAAGAATGTGCGACGCAAGGCCAGCTTCTTTTGCCCGGCTCGTGACTATGGACTCTTTGTAGTCGATAATATCTGGGCTGCACCGTAAAGAGGACGAGGAGGACCGAGGAGAAAGATGGGAGGGTGGGAATGGCACCGACATCGTGTTCTGAATACTGTATCACCTGTCAAATGTTCTGGAACATTACAGATTAAACGAGGGTTATGAAGATGAATGCTGAACCAAGACTTGATTCCCTGGCGCGTCTTACAGTGGCCCAAGCAGCCAAGTCCTATGAGTCTTACCGCTTGATTCCTGGTTTAACCAAAAACACCTTGGAATGGAGCACCCAAATTACTTTACAGTTTCCCGCCTGCAAATTTTTCTCCGACACTATGGTGAGACCAGGGTCTAGTGTTCAATGTGTCTCCAGCGGTGCCGAGGAACTTTTCTTTGGCCGTTGCTTCAACTGCCTCACCTGATGCATTTTCTTCAATCCAATGAATGCCTTACTTCGCTCTGTGAGCCTCTGACGAGATTTCGCCAAACTCTCCGGGCGTAGCATCCATTGCACTCTCCAATGAAGCTGGTTCAATCGAATCGTGTGCGAAATCGGAGCGGCTGAGCGCCGACTGAGCAGGCGGCTCTGGATATCGAGGCCTGGACTGGGATGGTCTTGTACTCTCGGAACTGTTCTCGCGATCGAAGACGCCCTCTTCCAGGTCTTCGCGCTCGATTTCTTCTTCTTCCTTTTCCAGCTCCGGGAAGTCATCCACGCAAACAAAGGTCGGTCCTGGTGCCCACCAGTGAAGTGGATACCGGCGGCGACCAAGATTGTTAATGACCAAGGCCCAGGCTAGCATTATGAGCGACGAGGCCAAGACGGTGGGCAAATAACGCCAAGAGAGAGTTACGACCTGCGATTGAACCGCGGCGTTGAGACCGGTAGCACCGGCACTGTGATCTGTCTGAGCGGACAAGGTTCGTTCAAGAGGTTTATGGAGAACTTACGGGGGGTGGGCCGTGCCGGTCATTAACATGGCCAGGAGCGATGTCGCCATTGATAAGCCACCGTTGATGAAAGGTTGAGAGTGAAAGGAGGTGTTGTCAAGGTATCCTTGGTAACTAGCATTCAACACCCAAAGTCGCGTGATGGCGGTGCCAACGAGTGACGAGATGAAGTGACCGAGGACGAAATTCCGTGGTTGTCCCACTGGGGATTCTATCACGCCGAAGAGAAGAACTGCCGACGCACCGAAGGACGTGATGATGGTGGGTGCGTGGTACACATCTCGGAAAGCCGTGCTGGTAGACATGATGGCTTCGATCAAGAGGATGCCCCCGAATGCGCCAATCCAGGCGAACCCCCAGACTTCGTATCTCTCGGGGATCTTTTCGAGCCATGTAAAGGGTGGAAATGGTAACGGTTCAAAGGGAGGCTCTGCATTGGGTGGTCGATACCCCGTGAAGCGGGAAATGATCAGGGGCAGACTCTCACGGTAGTCTCGCCTCAACTTCAGACGATGGAACCGATCTCTCTTTCGCATTGGCAACTCTGGTCGGATTGTGTTGCCATTGGTGAACTTCATTGCGTCCACTTTTGGTGTGTGGCCTCCACGAGGAGCTCAAGAAGTCCAAAGAGGGGGAAGTGAGGGCTGTGATATAAACCGGCCAAGCCATATTCGTTCTTGTATCGACGGAGAACTGGGGCGGTCCCTACCATCAGGCTGTCAACCGCTACTCAATTGAACATCCTCTACATCCCGATTGTCGAACTGCGTCGCCCTTCGGGCCCGGGCCGCCCGGCCCTTTCCCTCCACGTCCAAACTCGCCATGTATCCTGAGATTTTTGAAATGCTCTCCCCCCCCCCCCCCCGGGCAGGCGATAGGACAAGGAGATCTATAGCTCGCTCGGGGCGTGATGTTGTCATGACATATGGAGCGCTGGTTCGGTCTCCATTGCCCCTCACGCATGTCTACAACCCTGGCTTGATGACATTTTGTCGATCCAAAAGAACGTCGGAAAGACTGTATCCATACGTTGCAGCAGGGTAAGACGATCGATGGACGGATAGAGGGGCTCATCATCGGAGCCCATGTCGGGCCTATCTCCACGAACGGCTGTACAAACCCTAACGTTTCCGCGCGAGCCGGAGTGGACGAGGTTGATTGAGCCGTATTGGATACACTCCTTCATCTTTTGCTCCAAATAAGTACGTCACTACGTCTGCCGAGTCACCTGCTCCACGAATTGCCTGTCGAATCGGAGCATACCAGAAGGCCGAAGTTCATGCGATGCCCTAGCTCGTTGCACGAGCCTTGATAGACTACAAGGGACAGGTATAGAAGGTTGTGTATAGTACCTCTCGCAATGGTGACCTTACTTTGGCCATGTCCATCCTTATTGAGATTCTCCTTGATCATATCGACGCGAGTCTCGGGCCGCCTCTCGATGACACTCTCGATCACCGTGTTTCAACGCTTGGGGGAGACATTCACTCCGGGGTCCATGGTGATGGGTGTCGTGAAATTTACCAACCATGCGGACCAAATGATTGAATCGTTGACGCTTGACTTCCAGGGTCAGAGCAAGGTCTTTCTACATCATGACATGGGCACGGCCAGACCGAGAAACGTCTCTGAAAGCTATCTCTTCAGTCGCCATGCGGACTTGCACTGCGATCAAGGAATTCAGCAGAAAGGCAATTATTTTTGGCCTTTTGCGTTCCGAATTCCCCTCTTTGCAGCGCCTCGTCTTCTAGATTCCGAGTTCCCGGAAATATTCTATCCCGAACTTCCGTGGAGAGGTGACTTTGTCAACGAGCCCTTTACTGCCCATCCTCTGCCGCCGAGCATGCAAGAGATGGGCAGATCGATGTGCAGCATTCAATATAAACTGGCAGCCTCGCTGGTATATCGGCTGCCAGCATCCTCCAAGAGCAAGAAAATGCAGGCGTCACGGACAATTCCCGTCCAAAGCTTGGACATGTCCTCTGCCACCTCGTCTGGGCCCGGGAATGCATACGTGATTCATCGTCACACATTCCCAGAGGGCAAATCTTCTTCCTCCCAGCATTTCCTGCACCTGCTGCCCGGGTTCCGTGGCGAACAGCAGTCTTACACCGATGTGAAGATCTGTTTCTCAGCTCTGCTGCCGAAAACACTGAACCTTAACGTGCGACAAGCATTGTCCATCCCGATCTGTTGCGCGATGAAAAAGGGCCCCCCCGACGTCAGTGTTGTGGTGCCACGTGCAATTCTTGAAGTTCATTCCGCCAAGATCAGCCTGTTCCAGCATACTCGCATCCGAGCAGGATCACATTCCAACGAGACTGTCAAACGTATCTTTACGCGCAAGGGTAGCTGCGTCATTCCCATCACTCGCAGCACAAGCAAAGCCACATCCAACGAAGAGGGCGAAGTGGACACTACGTGGGTCGACCTCTGTAATGTTATCGATCTGACAGTGCCGACAAAATCCATAACCCCCAGCTTCTCCACATACAACATCGCCAGATTTCACAGCCTCGAGGTCCGTTTTTGCTTATGTCTCGGAGGTCACAAGAATAGAATGGTGTTGCGTCGAGTTCCGATTCAAGTGTTGCCACAGACCAGCGGAGAGTTGGCAAAACGACTGAATGAGGGTCTGGAGGCAGATGACGCACATGGCTGTGGCTTATTGGGCCTTCAATGGCGGGGGAGGGAGGAGGCACGCGCGGCATTGGTGTATGATGGTTGGACCTTCATGGCTGACGTCGATGACGATCTGTACCCAGCGTTTCCCCCGCCTGCTTATGCTCCTTAGCGGTTCCACGCGAGAGACTCCTGATTGCAGAGTAAGTCATGTCAAGCATTGAAGGCGAAAGCCCGGCGGCATCGAGACCGAACTTTTGGTAACCTGGGCATTCCATTCTCCTTTCCATATCAAGTGAGCGTAAGTGTTTCGCCACTGGAAGTGTTCAACGAAGTTTGCCTCAGCGAGGACAGGCTAGGGCCAAATCAGGAGATATCCTGGTCGGAACGGGCGGGACGGGCGGGACGGGCGGATCTGCCTCGACCTTCCCAACCCTTTGGATTGTGAGACCCTCAGCTACCAGCTGCGACGGAGTATCCGCAGCAAAGGGGGGGTCTCTGGAACACGCCATTTTTTCTGCGAGACTCATAAGGCCTGGCCATCTCTGGACGCTATCAAGCCATGTCGTTTCAGACGCTCTAGACCATCCTAGAGGACCACCTACCAAACCCCAACCAATGCCGCCTGTCGCTATTGATTCGATTAGAGCAGCCCAGCGGCTCGATTCTCGTGGCAAGCCCACGGTGCAAGTCGAGGTAACTACTTCCGACGGAATCTTCACTGCGATCGTGCCCTCTGGAGCATCGAAAGGTGACTACGAAGCGATTGAGCTTCGGGATGCGGATAGCGAGGCTTTCGGGGGCAATGGAGTTCTTGAAGCGGTCCAGAACGTCGAAGAAGTGATTGGACCGGCGCTCATCAGCCACAGAGTCGACTTGACTGCCGGGCTCAAGGAAATCGATGATTTTATGATCCAGTTAGACGGGACCCCTGACAAGAGCGGCCTGGGAGCGAACGCGATCTTGGGAGTCAGTATGGCGTGTGCCAGGGCATGTGCAGCGGCGCGGGTTCGTCTCCTTCTCTTCCAAAGATTCTCCAAAGTCGACGTTTATCTGACACTGATCATCCCTGTCACCAGAAAGTACCGCTATACGAGTTCATCGCGCGCGAGATGGGTTCTGACACGCGAGGCTACACGATGCCCGTTCCGTTCTTCAACGTTCTCAACGGGGGTGTTCACTCTGGGAACGCCATGTCGTTCCAAGAATTCATGATTGCACCCACTGGAGCAAAATCCGTAACGCAAGGCATTCAATATGCGGCGGAAGTCTATCAAGAGCTCATGAGTCTCCTCATCGAGAAGTTTGGCAAATCGAGCATCGGGATTGGCGACGAAGGAGGGTTTGCACCACCGATCTCTCAGCCCTCCGAAGCCTTAGACCTGCTGATGGAGGCATTTCAGCGGTCGGGCCATCAGGGGCATTTTCACATCGGCATCGATCCGGCGTCAAGCGAGTTCTTTAAAGATGATGCATACGACCTCGGCTTCAAAGCGTCGACGTCGAATGTCAAGACGAAAGGAGAAATGGCTGATTTGTACCACGAACTGATTCAACGCTACCCGATCGCGCTCCTCGAGGACCCTTTCGCGCAAGACGACTGGGACGCTTGGGTTGCATTCAATCAGACCTGCCAGGTGGAATTGGTGGGAGATGATTTGCTCGCCACCAACCTTGTTCGAATCAACAAGGCTAACGAAAAGAAGGCGTGCAACGCGCTTCTCCTCAAGATCAATCAGATTGGGACTGTCACCGAAGCGCTAGCTGCTGCAAACAAAGCCTTCGAACTAGGTTGGTCGGTGTTTGTCTCCCACCGCTCGGGCGAATCGACCGACCCTTTCATCGCCGATCTCGCCGTGGGAGTCGGTTGTGGACATCTGAAATCAGGTGCCCCGTGTCGCGGGGAGAGGGTGGTAAAGTACAACCGGCTGATGGACATTGAGGATAGCCTCATCGCTCAGGGACAACAATGCCGCTATCCTGGCGAGCATTTTCGCGCAGCTGCAATGGCACCAGTCCACCGAGGCTGAGAAATCTCGGTTAATACTGTGTGGGCCGGATTAGGTCATTTTAAAGGGAGATCCTTACCCCTTGCTAGCATCGTAGGATCGAGGCATACAGCGTAAGACCGTCCATGTATGGAAACCAACCTCATATGTACAGCTAGAGTAGTGCTAGATCACAATCGTTACCAGCATTTCCGTTTAATGGTGACGCAATCAGACGCAGTGTCTCGTAAAACGACAGGCTTCTCGGCAAAAACATAAGTAACGGAGCATCCCTACCGTACGTTTGTGGCCCGTGAAAGTGGCGGGAAGAGCTGCCCCCTGGTCGATCCATGGGCGATCCGTGTTCTCCATCGTTTCCGCCTGAGCCGCCATCCGGGACCAAGACTCCATCCACCCTTTATCCCGGCGGTGGGATCAATCACCCACGTTGTATCGCGGAGGTGGATTGAATGGTGAAGAAAAATCTGATGACCTGGAGAGACTTCCCTCATCGTCCAAGGGCATGACTTGCACCGAAGAGCGTATTTCACATCCCCGGTCTCAAGAAGTATGACATCTCACCAGCCGCCAGCAGCCCTGGGCTACACAAACGATGGTCATGGTCCTGCTCCGGGTGACCGAGGGGAGCTACAGCCTAAGAACACCAGGCGACCCAGCCGATCCATGTCAGCAGGCAATGAAGCAGGGCTGACCGAATTGGCCATCCCACCTCCTGTCGAAGAGGTTGAGGACAACGGTGACAGCTACGAAATGGAGGAGCAGAGGATAAACAGAATATCGCGCGCTCGGCGGCGAGGCGGCGAGGACGAAGAAGAAGAAGAAGAAGATGATGATGATGATGAAGGAGAAGAAGATGACGATGACGATAACAAACTTACCGAGCTGGCCGTACCAGCCCCAGTCTCTCACAGTGGTGGTTCGCAAGTCCACCACGATGTCTCCCTCGATGTGGGATCCCCAAACACTCAAACTACATCACCGGCGCCGGGGGTGGACGAGGAGAAAGGCGGCCAAGTGGCGAAGGCCTCCGCGTTCTTTGCCGAACTCTGCATTGTCAGCTGGCTTGTCTTCTTCTCCATTCTGGGGACGCTGGCTCGCCTGGGGGTCCAGGCCATCTCGACGTACCCGAATGCGCCCTTTTCTTCACCGGTTCTTTGGGCCAATCTGGGCGGCTCCCTCTTCCTCGGCTTCCTGTTGGAGGACCGACGGTTTTTCCGGTACAGCGTCGAGAATGAGTTTGATTCTCACGACGACCTCTATTCGGAGATCGATCGGGTGAAGAAGACGTTGCCGCTGTACATCGGACTGGCGACGGGCTTCTGCGGGAGCTTCACCTCCTTTTCGACATTCATCACCGATGTTTTTCTGGCGCTCGCCAACGCGTTCCTTCCTCCTTCTCCCACCCACCCCTTTCAGGTCGCGCCATGGCCTGTCCAAGCCCGTAATGGCGGCTATTCTTTCATGGCCGCGCTGGGGATGCTGATCGTCCAGATTGCGGTCAGCCTGGGGGGCTTGAAGGCGGGTGCTCACATGGCGATCGCAGTCGAGCCAGCCTTTCCTAGCATCTCCACGACCATTCTCCACCGAGTCCTCGATCCTCTGTCGATCCCGCTAGGTTGGGGTTGTTGGCTGGGAGCTGTTGCGCTGGCCATCTGGCCGCCCCACGACGTCTGGCGAAACCGCGTCACAGCGGCCCTGGCCTTTGCGCCCTTGGGAGTCATTCTCCGCTTCTATCTCGCCAGATCCCTCAACGCTCGTATCCCAGCGTTCCCGCTCGGCACCTTTACGGCGAACATGGTCGGCACCATCATCGAAGGCATCTGCATGGACCTGCAGCATTCGAGTGGCGTCCGAGCGCTCTCCTGTGAGATCCTACAAGGGGTTATGTTCGGCTTCAGTGGCTGCGTGACAACAGTGAGCACATGGGTGGCGGAGTTGGACGGCTTGCGACGGAAACATGCTTGGATCTACGGCCTGGCCAGCGTCTCAATCGCCCTGGGTTTCCAGGTCATCATCATGGGGAGCATGCTTTGGACGGTAGGCTACAGCCAGCAATGCGCCGCATAAAAGCTTCAGGAGTTTTCCACCCGGGCGTGGTGCCCCGGCTTCCTTCCCTTGCTGGGCCCGTGACCAGGGGGATGTGATGGTAAACATACTAGGTAGTGTTTCATAGATCTTTCGTGTTGTCGAGCTCTCTTCACGTAGATTTACTACCGGACCGACAAAATTTGCAAAAAAAAACGTCGTTTGGATCTACTTCTGCTCGTCTTCTCCCAATTATCCTTGAGATTCAACACGGCCCGGTCGGCCCCATTTTTAAGGCAGGGCTTTGGCCATCTTCGAGTACGGAGTAGGGCGAAACGGCGAAAAGGAAACTGCCAACGAACAAGACAATACAGAGAATGAGACGAGATAAGGCTTTGTGGGTACGCCAAAGGCGGCTCGGGCGGCTCACATCAACGGATTGACATCATTTCAGCTCGTCGAGCGATGGCCCTTTGGCGAGCTGTTGCAGATCATACAGCATATGGCCCCACGTCTGAACCTCTAAAGTCCCTGCGCAGATGTCGTACGATCTCCACCTTATTTATGACGGCACATCCTTCAAAGCATTCATGACCTACATAGAACGCGACAAACGCCGGCATTTCCCTTCCCAACGATACAGCCACCGAGTCTCGGATCCTAGAAGATATATCTGGAACAGAAAGTCGCTGCAATGTCGTCGTCGATGTTCCAGGCCACCAAAGGCATTCTCAAAATCGCTGTCCCATCTGTCGTCGTCACCTATGGCTTCCTTCAATACTACGATCCTCATCAAAGTGGAGCCCATTCACAGGCCATGAGGAAAAGGCTACACGGTCAGTCAGTGGAATTCTTCGGGCCGTCTTGTTCTTGCACGTGGATAGAATGGCTGATAATTTACGGCATCCAGATGAAAATAAGCGAAATGACAGAAGACACGGTTGCAACGAGATCCATCTGGCGGATCTGGACGAGTGGATTAGACGAAATCCCGGTGAAGCCGAGCATTGGGAGCGCTTGCGGGCTCAGTTCTACCAGAATCGAATTCATTCTCCAAATTCATAGCTTCAAGGGCTATAGCTGAACAGAAGGCTGATAGAAGGCAAAATGTATCAAAATGTGATGTCGACGGAGATATCATGGACATTTCCCCCCGCAATCGAGCAAGACACATGCAGTGTATTCTACTACCTTTGACCCGTGTTCCCGACAGCGAGCAACTGCGCTGGTCTTTCCGTGCGCTCTGGGGGCGCTCACGTGTTCACTGTCTCTGAGCATTGCGCTCCCACTGTTCCAATTCCACCGCGGCTTGCTCCCTTTCGTATACCTGTACACAAGGTGCATAGAAGATTTGACCCCGGAAGGATTTGATGACGGTAATGATGAAGACCATGAGCCATAGGAAAACCACGACGAGAGAGAAAATGGTGCCTAGTACGCGAAAAAAGGCGCTGGGTAGCTCCTTGGCCAATGTGGTCGTCGAGACGCTGTAGACTCCCAAGGGGAAAGTAAACCCCCACCAGCCCATGTTGAACGGGAATCGGTGTTGACCGATACTCGCCAGGGCCAAGAATAACCAGAACAGACCGTAGCCCCAAATGATAAATGCGAGCGCGACGCCGAGGGTGTTAAAGGTCGTGCCGGCGGCCGGGTCGAGCGTGTGAGTGCGGGGGAAAACCTCTTTCGCGACCTTTCCGAGTTGCATAAGGGCGAAGCTACCCTGTCCGAGCGGGCCGAGAGGGAGAAAAACCGAGACAATGACTTCTCGAGGCGGGAGCTTATGAATGGTGAGTCGATGAAAGTAGACGACGAGGATAACCATAGCCAAGGGAAATCCCGTCCCCCACAGAATATAGGAGATGACGATGGTCCAGAGCTGATGGTCGGGATTCGGGAGGACCTCTGCAACGATGCCGCCCGAGGCCGCGGCGACAATAGTGGAGACGACGGGAAGTAGCCAAGCCGCGGTCATTTTGGACAACTCGTGCTCATGCTTATTCATGATGATAAAAGGAAGATAGAAGCATGTACTGACGGCGATAACAGCGTCAATCCACCAGAGAGTCCAGGCCAGAGTCGTCGCCCATGAGCCCCAGACGGGGACACAGACAAAAACGACCATGTTGACGATGGTGGCCAGGCCCATGGGGAAAGTTCCGGTAAATAACGACTGGACAGGGTGATTAATCATAAAGACGAACAGCCCTCGGAAATAGGTGTACCGGACCACGGAGATGGCCAGAAAGACAACAAAGAGTAAGATGTTGAGGCAAAAGATGGCCACGGAGATCCAATACAGCCAGCGAGCATTATAGGGGAGGTTATGGAGTAGAATCGAAGCGATGCCCGTGCCCATGTTGACGGAGAACCAGGACGGAGTGAAGTTGACCACCACGCGCCGCCAGCCATGATTGTTTTTTTCAACTATTGTTTTTTCGACGTCGTCAAGAGTGACGGCGTTGGCACCGTGGTGGTGACCGTCGGCGTGGTTACAGTCTTTTCGTCCACAGCCTATATATGCCGCTGAAGGGTCCATGATGGGAAAACGCGAAGTGGAGGGCAATCGAGATTTCCGGCAGACGACATGTGTAGCGAAGACAAAGGTCAAGATGATCCCAACAAGAAAGACTTCTAACCCGGGAGGCGAGAGAGGGTGTTAAGGTGTTCAGGTGTTTAGGTATGAACCCTTTTGCCACCAGGCTGGCCTGCTTTTGAGAATCTTGGAAATGACGAGATCTGACGTACAGAGTAACTTCGTAGATGGATGTTACCTTGTCTCGAACAAGCTCCGGGCGATCCGTCCTTGCCGGGACTGAAGCTTATTCGGCCTATCTGCCGATCCGCCACCTACGGAGTACGGAGTGTGGGAGTATGGAAGACTTGCAAGACTTCCTAGCGCACTATGCCCCATATCGTGCACCCAGTACGGCGCTTGAGGTTGAGCTTGAGGTTGAGCTCTAAACTCTAAACTGGCGTACAAAGTGCGACGCCGTGGCAGTGTGGACTCTAAAAACATGGATCCTGTAGCAAGGGGCAAGATGCTAGCAGTACCAAGTGCATCGGATGGAGGGACACGACGATCCTGCGTGGATGTTTTTGTGACTTTTCTCGATCCACTGCGGTACATCACAACGTTTACTCGAGATCAGGCACGGAGTGTCCCAAATTATCTTGCATGAGATAGTCCGATCTGCATCGAGGCCTTGTCGGCTCTTTCCGTATCCTATTCCGCCTCAAGCTCCTCGACGGCGATGGTGGTTACACGAACCTGGACTAGTGGGACTGATTAGCGTAGATTTCCCCCGGGGGAGCTGGTGATGGGAGGGTAGGGGAGCTTACTCTCGCGGCAGTGACAGGACTCTTCAACTGTCTGTCGATCACGGTACAACAGACTGGCTGATATCGACCGCACCTGACCCAAGTCAGAGTCGCATGAATGGGTTGTGCCGCCGTGCGTGTTGGGGCAGTCGGCTTCGTCATCGAATGAATTTAGAAAGGGCCTCGACTTCCGCCTACTCCGTCTGGCTAGATACGACAAAGGTGGGAAAATGGTTTCATCGTCAAAGTTGGAGTGCATCATCCTCTCGGTCTCGGAGAAGACTCGGGTGTGTCCAAGCATCTTGCGTAGACTGGGATCGGGTCTGTGTTGTTCTGAAATGGCTTTCCGAGAACTCAGGACAAGCACATCTGCAGGTTGATACGATGGGTATTTCGCAGCAAGACGCGAAGTGCGAACTAGAGACATGGCGGTTGGTTTCGATGGGTGGTTTGTCTTCGACGTGGTAATAGCTTGACTCGAGTCGAGAAACAGTCTTTTCTTTTGTATGTGTCGAGATGGGAAGTTGCCTCACCCCTCTAGCTCTCCCTACTGGAGGGTTCATTGATTCAAATCCACCGCCACAGTAGGGGCAAGATCTGGTAGGTCGCAAACATGTCAGTAGTCTTCCCGGTACCTCCGCCCCATCCGCTTTTAACTACCCGTCCCCGCATGACGTGTCAGGACGCGCGCAATTCCACGAGGCTGAAATCGGATATGTGAAAACACCAGGATGAGGTCACTCGGTCATGGGCTCTGTGGAGAGGAGAAAGGATCAAGGCGCATTTTCAGTGAGGAGGTATCGACATTAAAAGGAGCGGTGGGCCAGGGAGGGCCAGGGAACAGGATGTGTGTGTGTATGTGTGTGTATGTGTGTGTATGTGTGTGTATGTGTGTGTATGTGTGTATGAAGGTGGGCGGAGGTGCAACAAGGGTGGAGCGTGACTTGGATGGCCAAAACATGCGTCACGAGCATCATATCACGTGATCGTCGAGACGGCCCCCCTTGTTTCACGTGATACGAGTGAGTCATCGAGCAGGAAGCTCAGCACGTGATTGTGACTTGACCAAATCGCGGAGGGGACGCGGGTTCTTGGACATACAGAGTAGATGTAAAAGCGGCGGCGCGCCTAGCCTGCGACTATACCAGAAAACGGTCGGACCGCTTCAACGGTCGGCGGATTTCCCGGTAATAAGTTGACCAAGTACTCCGTAAGGTCTACAACGTTCGCTCGTTCGGCTTTAATATATTCGGCTTTACATCAGAGACACACCGAGATGAGGTTTAAAGGCGACGGAAGCGCCGAGAAGAGTAATTGCTCAGCGAGGACTAAACCGCATCAAGTAATCTGAGAGCGAGCCCCGAGATCACGTGCACAAGGATGAGAGAATAATCTCGAATTTTTGAACATACAAATGGGAATGGAGGCAATGTTCATGCCATGAATATCTTGTTTGGATTCAACTTCAGTGAATATTCATGTGTCAATGTACAGTTGACCAATTATATTTCTTGCGATTACGACCAGGAGTTCACTTTGCAACTGTGAAAAGTGGGTGCAAGTAACGGTGCACACTGGATTTGTCGCTGGGCTGACCATTAAACGCACTCTGATTGGTCAGAACTGGCATAAATTTGATAGTCGCTTTGACAGAAACGGATTCACTTGGGCAACGCGTCCTCCTGTCAGTGTTGCAACTGCTTGCTCATAAAGTCCTTGATTTTGGTTCCCTGGAGGTTGGTCTTTTCTGTGTAATTCAAAGGATCTGAAAAGGGTTGAGAAAGGAAAAGTTTGGGACAGTTTCAAAGACAAGAAGGACAGGCATCGACGACTGCATCAATCAGCAGCGTTCACACCCAAACACCAATAACCAATTCTCCAATATACCCCTTGTTGCATCACCACTCGCAGGTAGACCCCACGAATGGGATTTATCGAAAAGACCCTATCTCAGAGCACCATGGCCAGCGACCGTGCCACTTTGGGGAGAGAAACAAACCCTACAGCCGCTGACATTGAGGCCTGCCGGCCGCTATTATCCCGAACCTCGACACTCCAAGGATCAGCCACAAGCGACGAGGCACAGGCATTTGTATCAGACAAGACACGACGACGGATGGGATTCTGGTCAAGTTGGTCCTTCCAGGTTGACGCCAGGGTCGTCTCAGATGCGATCTTGGGGTTATCAGATGGACTCACAGTACCCTTTGCACTTACAGCTGGCCTGACAGCATTGGGCGACACCAGAGTTGTGATCCTGGGAGGACTGGCAGAACTGATTGCTGGTGCCATCTCCATGGGCTTGGGAGGATATGTTGGTGCCAAGAGCGAAGTGTAAGTTTGACCTCTCGTCTCATTGACCGACAAGAGACTCTCGACTAACTGTGAGCAGTGATTCGTATGAAGCAACAGACCGTAAATGCAGCAAAATGATTCTGAATGAGGCTGAACAAGCTCGAGACGTGGTCCAGGAATACTTTGGCCAGTTTGGGCTTTCCCCAGAGGAAACGAAGAGGGTGGCAGACCACATCAAAGAGTCAACGCCCATGTTCAAGGAATTTTTGTTACAGAATCACTTCCAGACCACAAAGCCCGACACCAGTCGGCCCTACCTGTCGGCGATCACATTGGGACTTGCATATTTCATCGGAGGATTCATCCCTCTGATCCCTTATTTCTTGGTACCCAGAGACCAGGTTCTGGCCGGTCTGTGGTGGAGCATTGGATTGATGGGGGTCATTTTGTTGTTTTTCGGCTATGTCAAGACCGGCGTGGTTCGGGGTTGGACAGGAAGGGAAAACCTTCAAGCTTGCACAGGAGGAGCATTCCAGATGTTGGTGGTTGGGGTATTTGCAGCTGGAGCGGCGGTTTTGCTGGTTCGGCTCATCAACCAAGGTTGAGCGATGGTCTACTACTGTCGAGGCTACATAGTCAGAGTTCTGAGCGAGTCAGCAAGCGTGTGAAATTTTTGCAGGGGTTCAAGGGAACACAGCCGAGCCAACAAAACACCTCTCGAAGATTTCTGCATGATATCTCTGCATGTGATTCAAAAGCGTAGACTTGAGAACCGACAGACGACAAGTGTGAAACTTTGCCGCCCGATGGTTCTGGAGGGAAATTTTAAGTGATGGAGCAAAGAGGTAGTCTGGGACGTGCACACAACCAACCCCGATAGCTTCCTCTAGGTCGGCTCGGCTAATAGGTTGGGACGATGGGAACTGGGATTCATTCTGCTGTGCTGGTGCTGGTGCTGGTGCTTGTGCTTGTGCTTGTGCTTACTAGCTTTTTCCTCCCTCTTGAGCATTAGTGTCGAATCGACTGCAGTGGACAGGGTTTTTTCACACTGCAAGAACAGTAAGAAAACTTTGCGGGCGGAGGATACCCGTGAAGGGAAATGCCGCCCGTAGAGAGAGGATTACACTGACCAGTTGACCAGGGCTGGCGGAAAATACCCAAGAACCAGGGTGCCAGGTGAACCGGGGAAACCAGGTGTTCACGGTGCTCATAGTGCTCTGGTTCAGGCACCGAGGGGAAGGTTCCTGGGTTCTGGAAATCTGACTTGACAGCCGAAGGGTGTGTGGGAGGCCCCGAAGGTGACAGGGTAGTGACTCTTGAGAGGTGGTTCCAGTGGCGGGACAGTTGCAATTGTGCGTAACTTTTAGGGTTGGTGAGTGGTTGAAGTCAAGTCGCAGTCGCAGTCGCAGTCACAGTCACGGGGCACAGTGTTTTTGACACGGATGAGACTCGGGGACTTTCTTGAATGAACAGTAGCTCCTTCCTTCTTGTTCCAGACGTTATTTCCTTCCTGTCTTGGAATGCTTGGGTGTTCGTTTGTTCCTGCCTCGCAAGTGCGTCGCAAGTGCCTCGCTAGCACCTGCACTCCCAGCATCGTGCTTGCCTAGAATGCCGCCGAAGTGCGTGAGTGCCTAGCCAGAACTGACTTCTTGCGGAAGGAGTGAACTTAGCGTGCTCCATTCTCCTCCCCTGCACTTCTCACCTCACCACTCACCACTCACCACTCACCACTCACCACTCACCACTTTGCTTCGTACACTACTCAACCTCACACCTCACTCTCTGATTCATTCAACTCATCATTCTCGTCACTAACTATCTGTCACTGTCGGCCGAACCTTTGGCTCAAGCATGCCACGTTGCGAGGCCCCATCGGGTCACCCTTTCATGGTTCTGGCGACCGCATCACTCACACTCTACGTAGAGTACTGGTTCGAAGAACCCATCCCTACCAAAGTCGAATAGTCTATGCGCTCCCACAAACACAGTATTACCGTGTCCATTCTCTCTGGCACCTGTCCAGCCAGGCTTCCTTGCATCGTCATCCTTTCAACATTGTCTACAGTACTCGTACAAACTCTAGAGGCATGGGAGCAGACTCGCTCTGTCTGTATCTCCGGACCTCGCCTTGATGTTCCGTCTCCGGCTGCCATGATGCAAGATACCCGTACAATGCGCTCGACCGTTCGCCAAGCTCGGGTACATCTACCAACCTACGATAAACCGGCCTTGTCCTAAGTAGTACTCCGGTATACGGATATGTGTACTACTGAAAGCCATTATGCTTCTCGTCAATCCTGAGCCTATTGCGCCGAGGTATCTACTCCGTCCATGCAATAATCCTGTGGGTAGTTACTGCTAATTGTGTGGATGCTTCTGTCGAGGACCCCGTCTTCCCGCATGATACGCCGATAGTGCAACCAGTACTCAAGATCTAGAATTCTCTTCTGGACAGGAAGCAGTACGAGTACACATTGTGTCCACTTTTGACTCTCTTCATGCCTGGCGAACTCCGGTCGCATGTTGCTCTTGGTGCTGCGTGGATCGACGCTGGTAATCTTGTCTTGTTCGAAGGTCTGTCCTAGAGACTTGTCAAGTCCTTGCTCACGGCATGCTACTACTGTACAATCCCATGCCAGAACTCTCCGAACCAAATCGTCTCGGAAGAACACTAACGTCAAGCTAACTTCATCTGGCCATATCTAGTAGTCTTGTTCTCGGTGCTAGCAGACTCAAACCATCTATACGTGAGTTTCGATAGCACTCCCACTATCGACCCCGAAATCCGCCAACTGCACAACCTCGTAACTCCCGACTAATCAGTTGACTGTCTTATTGGCACTTGTGGCCACGCAAGCTCCGAATCACGGCACTCAAGATCAAGACAACTTGCTAATGGTCGGAAGCTGGGGCACTTCGATAACCTAACCGACTGTGGCTCTTGGATTGGAGGCTAGAATCTACTTGCCCTGGTGGAGTCTCAATATCATAACGACGGCCAAGATGATACAGTCATGACTTTGTGAAGGCGAATCACACGTCCAACGGTATATTGATGTGTGCCGCGCGTGCGACACCGCTCGGCATTCATCGCCATTGTCTGCGATCGGATTGTTGGTCTTCAATCTCTTTGATGTCAGAAGACCGCTGACGTGATGGTTGCATTTTTTCATCAGGCAAAGTCGGGATGGATTTGACCGGGGTTCTGCAGCAAGTGTTCCAAGATTCTTGATGCAAGCACTATACACGCCACGAGGTAATCGATAAGATCGAGTTGACAAGCTGTCAAATCATCCGAAGTCGCATTCCGGGCGCCAGTACGTTGCTTTTTCGGTAGCGGCAAAATCATCCAACATCAGAACTAGTCGCAATCATGATGTATCTTACGCGGGGTATCTTGGTGAACTCTGGATATGGACCCTTGCAGCCATTTAGCCAGTACCAGGTTGAGGTTCGGGAGAAGCGCAACGACCCAGACTTTCCATAACCTTGAGTTGCACCGACTGGGCGGCAACAGGCCAACAGGCCAAAAAGGCCCCATTGTAAATTCAGCGTGCGGCAGTGGATCCCTTCCGAATCGTGGCTTGTCGTTTGCCCAAAAATCCTGAATAGGGCTTCTAGTCTGACAAGTACACAAAATCCTACTGTACGCGAACGTGTCGTACCGAGCGGCCCTCAGCAATTCGCCCACGGCGTCCGATGGATTCCTTGGTTCGAAATTTGCTCCTTGCGACATGTGGGAATGTGGCGCTTGGCCATTTTCACCATGAGACAAGAGGGCGAAAGCCACATGCGATAGTAATCTTGCGACTGGCCTCCCACAAAGTCATCTCTTTAGGCAGCAAAAGACGGCAGACGACAGGCAAAAAAGTGATGCGCTGCAGGGTCACTCGACACGTGGGCGGCCAGGCACAAGCGAACTACGGCAAGCGGAAGGCTTGAAAGTGATGGTCTGATTCTTCCCGACCGTACCTGAAGCCAATCCGTTCTTGTGTCTAGCAAGACGGGACTGGCTGCGGCATTTTGTCTGCCCAAGCGTTGGCCCCTCCAATCGGTGAACCTTGGTACCTGGCCAATTTTCTGGGCACGCCCAGGACTTGAGTTGACGGCGGCGTGCGGCGGCCAGGATGGCTTTTGGGCCGACCGGATGCGAGGACGGGCTATGGGAATTTTCACTACCTTGCATTAGCCCCAAGAAATACCATTTGTTGGCGTTGCGCTCGGGCCCTTATTCGATGCCGGCATGGACAAGAGACAACCCTGATCCACCTTGTCAACTAGGGGGTCCCACTACCACCAGGCAAGTCAACGTTTCAACCGTTTGTCGCCCAGGGCCCCGACACGTACCTCTCTCTGGTTCCTGACTCTCTCGATCCCAATGGAGTGCTCATGAATCCAAAGATGCGGGCCCACGTCTTCCCTGTCCACGTCGACAGCGCTAATGCATCTGCGAAAATCTCTGAACGACGTCCGCAACGTATCCATCTTTTACTGCATGGCAGTGGGATCTAGTCTTTGGGCGCCTCCGCCACGAGGTTTGTTGTGATCGGGGGGACAAACTGGTCGTGTCGTGTGGGAGGTTACTTAAATCATGATCGTCTCTGTTGTCGAGTTTCCTCTTTTTGCAACCATCTTGTCAATCTTTGTTAACCACACTCTCTCCACAAGACTCGAGCAGGTCTCTCAACGGCATCATTCCTTTGCTGAACGAGCCTCTGTCGACGTGACTCCTATACAGGACTAACTTTGAACCTTTGTTCTTCCACACTACCAGTGTCCCAGTGACCAGACCGTCTTTACGACACCAACTCAACATCAAAATGCAATTCAAGACCATTGCCTCAGGCGCAGCAGTGCTGCTTGCCTCTGCCCCAGCCGTTCTCGCTGCCGGAACTGCTCACGTCGTCAACAACTGTGGCTTCCCCGTCTACTACGCCTCTGTCGCCCAGGGCGTTCATGCCAGCATGCAACCTCTCCAAGGATCGTACTCGGAGCCATACAGCCAGCCTGGCGTCGGCATTTCCATCAAGCTTGCCCCCAATGCCACCACCAACGGACCTGTCTCTCAGTTCGAATTCACCTGGTACGACGGCAATATCGCCTACGACATCTCCAACATTGATGGGTATCCCGCTCCTTTCAGCGCCGGCGGTATGCAGATTGTTCCCTCGCGATTGAACGATCCTGCTTACCCAACCTGCGTCGTCATTGACTGCCCTGCCGGAAACCCATACTGTGATGCCGCCTACAACTTGCCCGACGACACCCGAACCATGGTCTGTGACGAGAACGTCGACCTTACCTATGTCCTCTGTCCAGGTGGACCCACCAAGCGAAGTGTGGAAGTGCCCAAGACTTCCCGCATCCTCTACCGCGCCCACGCGCGTCAGTTCCTTCCTGAGGAGTCAGAGTAAACGCGTCATGTGTTAGCAATAACGATATGCCAACCCAGTCAAAAGACCAGCCACGATCTCTCCCTCGTCAGCGCAGCTAGATCTGCCGCTTCGAGGCTTCGACATCTCCCCCTTTCGCTGCCTGCAAGAACACTCTCTTAGCGCATTGTCCAGGAGTCGACACTTGTATGATGCCATTACCCCTGCAGGACAGTTACCGATCTCGACGATCAACTAGACTCTACGTCAACTTACATCACAACAACACGACACGCACCTTTCTCTACGGCGACTGGTCTCACCGCAGAACAAATGACTGGCATTTCAGCTTGGCTACGAGTTGCCCAAAGCTACGTAGTAATGAACAAGTCCTACATCGGGAATACAGCCGATGAGACTCATGACGATCGATATACCAAGCAACGGCGATGGTGGACGACAATACGATTTCTTATGTTTCCTTCAATTATAGACACGGACACCGGAACGGACTTTGAAACTCCCAATGGGCATCTATGAGGATGACCTAGCCTGACGACCAAGAGGTTGTCAGGGACTTGATCGACATGACTGTCGCACGAACCCTTGGGTCCTTGTGGACCGAGAGGGCAGGTGATACAATCACTCGTGGACCATGTGCAGATGGTGGGAGGGACAAAGACAAAGTCTTTTACAGATCTTTTCACTGGGATGGGACCAATCATTGAGATTCATTTATACATAGACTTCACTTCTTTGAATATCACATCTAGGGTACAACGAAAAGAAAATGATATTTACTATCAAAACTTGAAACTCCCTGTGCATGTCGTTGGTGACTGAGGCAAAGAGTCAAAGAGCCTAGCCCCAGTTTGTGAAACATCGAATGTCGGCCCCAGTTGAACCACAGTTGAATGACAGCTGACAGTGACAAAAAAGTGGTGGGTGGTTGGCAAGCCAGCCATTCTGACAACTGAACAATTGACAGGAAGACGACCAGACGATTAGAAGACAAGCCTTTTTGGTCGACGTCGGTCATCCGCCTGGCACGGCGCGGTGTCGTGTAACTGGTTTCCACCGAGGCAATCGAACACCGTGGAGTTGAATCTGGAATCGGGCGAGCCACTTACGTTTTGACGTCCAGCTAGTTGTGTAAGTAAGGGCCATATACTTAGTTTACTACTGTACGTACAGTCCTGTCCTGTGTCCTCAGCTCTGGCCATCCGTACCCGCCACCTCCCTACGGAGTATGCGTCGACGGCATGGCAGTGCTCGTCTAGTAGTGACGACGCTCCACCCCCAGAGGCATAACACAACAAACAACAAGATTATGGTTGCCACGGATTGAATTCAAGGTTAAGTTAAGGGGAGGGGGATGGGGGCGAGAGTTGTGCGTGCTTGCGCGTATGGTGACTAAGGTTTCCTTTAATTTAGGCTTTTCCCTTGCGCATTGCAATAATGGATCGTGCCTCACACCCAGCCTCATAATAAATCTATCTGTAATGTCCCCTTACTCATGAGCCGATGCAGAGGAGAGGAGGGGAGTCGCGGATACGCCACGAACGCAGGTTCTGTTCTGTAATTGGACACCTGAAGACATGACAGCAAACGACACACACCCCTGCAAGAGCGAGCGCCACACGGTTGAGGGTTGTTTGTTTGACAGCAATTGAATTGCCAATCAGATGGATAGAGCCTTGGGTTCTAGGTAAGGTACTGAGTTCAATAGTGCAGAAGTATGAACTTGCACTCGTAGCCTGCCCGTCCCACGATGTGATCTTTGATAATCAGAAGGCTGGGGTTTAGCCCTGAGGATGAAGGTACCTACTAGGAAGTCAGGACTTTCAGAGTTGAACTATGCTATGCAGACAGCCTTATTTTTCTTGTAGCATGTTGGAGAATGAGTACTTGATAGAGCAATCACGTATCCACGATAAGGGCACTCGAGTATCTACGTCGGCAATCAGATCTATCGCTGCACTACCCAATGGTGTCAACCGACTTCTAGTTCCCTTGCCTGAACACATCTCCAACTAAGTAGGCATAGGTAGCAAGCGGTGAAACCCCCCCCCCCTAACCAGCCATCCCATATCATGGCAGGCCATCCGTGCGATCCTAAGTAAGGAGTGAGTCACTCATCAACAGCCACCAATCTCGACCTTCTGTAGGGGGCCAGGGGGATTTGAAAAAGGGACCCTCTTGGATGGTTGGTCAATTCACTCGAGGCAAAGTCAAGTTCTGAGACTCTGGTCTGTTTCAAAACATGTACCCAAGCACACTCCGTGTGCCCTCCCCCGGGCTGTCAACTCCTGCGTTGACTCCCCGTTCGGGCCGGTGCAGTTTAAGCTTGGTGGCTGGCTCTCGGGCCTCCAGGGGTCACTGGGGCCCGAGGCCTCCCTCCCTTCCGCCCGCGTGCGTGTGTGGGTGTGTGCGTAGCGCGTCGATTGAGAGTTGGAGGTCTGTGCTGTTTCCTTAGGTCATGGATCCAGGTACTTGGGTCAGCCTTGTACTCGATTTTATAGTACTACCAGTAGCTACGGGCAAGTAAGTGAAATACATCAGGCCTGGATCACGTTCGTAGGTAGACAAAATTAGGTACCGAGTAACAAATCACTGAGTGATAGGGCATGAGTGTTGAAGCAGGTACATACCTAAGGTACCTATCCATCTACCTGTAGTGCCTTCTTCGCTTATCACTCATTCTGTGAATGTGGCAAGAGCTCCCGACGCACGCTTTCAGGTCCGTAGGCACGTCGAGGTTGGAATCAATTCAAGGTGATTCATCATCATCTTTTGCTAGGCGACAACAAATAGACCAAGCAAATGATCTGGTAAATGTCCCTCTACCTTTCGGCCCCCACCCCATACTGGGTGACTGGGCCACTCATTCAAGCACGGCGGCTTGTCGCATCTCGATGATGCAACTGGTACCTGGAAACAAAACCCACCAATGCTTTACGGATGTTCTGTCAGTTCCGTAGGATCAATGTGCCTGCCGATCAATTCTCCATCAAGAACAGGTCCGGAGTTTTCTGTACCCAGCTCGGCATGCCCAGCACACATGGGCTTCCAAGTTCTGCCCTTTTCCCTCTTTCCTCTATCCGTAGACTTGTCAAAATCCAGGCACGGAAATCCCAAGACACACTGTGATCAAAATTGACTCACCTAGTACATTCGCAATTCACATCACACCTGACAAGTCGAGGGGTGTCAATCTAATCCTCTATAAATCGAGAGGCTGGGATAAAAGACATCCTATTCGGAGTGTCTTGCTCGTGGTCATGTGGCCGTGTCGCGACGTCCCGAAACCTTACTATCATGATCAGAAAATCCTTCTGCCCACAATGAACACATCTTCGCCGACCTGATGCGATATCCGAAGCTATTGTCAGACTCTGCCGTCGAGCGAGTATGGGTCAATGTAAATCCTATCACGGCTATCGTTCATGGCGTTGAAACCCAAATATCTAGAAATTCAATCTTCGATAGTTCCAATCTCTGTTTCCTCCCAAGACTCTCTCCAGTCGGCAAACACATCCAGAGATTCACTCTAGCGGGTAATGAAGAATTCTACCAAACCAGTGCAATCAATGCGTACATATCATCCTCGATCAAATTTCATAGTCAGATTTCTTGCTTCGCTGACCACAGTGCGGGTCAAGAGGCGTTGGAGGGGCTCGGTGGGTAGGTACTAAGTATGTACGGCAAGTTCTTTTCCACACTGTTCTCTCCATAGTGCGTACCCACACTACAATGGCGCTGTTGGGTCCAGTTGCAGTGTTTTGTCGTCATCAAAGGAAGAGTGAGACATGCATTTCCTCAATCTCCAGTGCTGGCTAATCGAATTCGAGAGTCCCAAGCACCACAGATTTGAGTTTTTTTCGTTGCCGGGCCGCCCAGCAGAGGATCTGCGGCGCATCCACACACCATGTTGTCAAAATTGAGGTTCATCTCGATGGTCCGTCTCGATTCTTCGACCGTTCGACGGACGTTAGGGTAGGCACGGGTTACGATGCCGAGATCTACCTGCTTACATAGGACACTCTCGTCCTCCGAGTTGAACTGTCAGCGTGTTCGTAGAATCGTCCTATAAGTTTTGACTCCACACAACGGGACTTGCACACCTAAGCGAGTGTATGCTACTATAGTATGCCAGTAAATCTGATGTCAATGAACCGATCACTGAATAATCGAAGGAGGGGGAGCGTGGAGTCTGTAGTGCTGTACCTAGTAGTAGAGAGGACCGACTACTACTTAGTACCTAGTACCTAATTACCTGGTACTTACAACGGAAGATCCATCCATAGTACTTGGGAAAGAGCAATCAATGAATGAGCAATTGATAAGGTGCGGTCATACATAATAATAGGGGAAGGTGCGACACTGTCGGGTGAAGGAAGGCGCGATGGACGAATATGACGTGGAGGGAGCTATACAAGATCCGGCACCTAAGGGAGGATGACTAACACCATATCATATACCTTATAGGACATCCCTGGTGCGGTAGGGAAAGAGTAATAGAGAACTCGAGTTCCCACATTATAGTAAAGCAAGCTGCGATAGAGGACATAGAAGAGCAAAGAAAGGTTATAGGAGAGAAGGTGCAATTATAATAGGGCAGGAGCGATGGAGAATTGATGGTAGAGGAAGGTGCGATGGAGAATTGATGGCAAGGAAGGTGCGATGGAGAATTGATGGCAGGGAAGGTGCGATGGAGAATTGATGGCAGGGAAG